TCGCCCCCCTCCTCTCCGGAAGCACCGGGCCAAGGATTACGGTAGGATGGCCTACTTGCCACGTCATGACGGTCACACAGACTCGTGAGCAGCATGGAGAGCAATTACCATATTGGGGGCAGATAAACTTGCGATGAACTTGCGATAAAAAGTGGTGTGGAAGAGAAACAGGTGGCACAAAAGATCTGGGAGCAAGATTTTTGCCCGGACGGATTCGAACCCACGATATCTCGTTTGACAGTCCAAAACGGAACCACTGCGCCAAACGCGCCAAAACTAGACGTCGCGCCCAGGGCGGTAAGGAGTTTGAAACTTTTGAATATTATGCATATGAAACAGGACGCCAAAACCCCCGCTAAAACCAACATTTCGGCGCTCAACACATCATGAAATTGATGATGATGACAACTAGTCATTATCCTCGCTGTTCCGTCTGCCATTCGCCCGTTCCCCCCCCCCCCCTTGAAAAACTGACTTTTATCGAGGTCATTATGGCACCACCACACGACCATACGACGGCAGGTGTTGACACTAGCTGCCCATTTTATGACCTCGATGAAGCTTTCCCTCCTCCTCCTCCGGTCCCTCTATTCCTTAAGACATGAAGAGAGAGAAAAAGACAATACCCCGGCAGGAGGTCCGCCGAACCACTGGGTCCAGGTCCGGATGCCTGTAATTAGGTGGTGCGTAACAATGCAACCACAGCCCGACATGTTGCGCGCGCTCATGGTGCATTCGTGCACAGACGACGCTTTTTGAGTCTAATCCGTTCGGATTGTGGATCTACAATAGTCGTTTGGTCGAGTTGCACTTCTAGCCGATGTGTCTTGGTTAATTTTCAAGATTTTTCGACGGTTCAAGTAGGAAACGATGAAGAATTTCAAGAGCTACAACTTTGTAGTAGACAATTCATCACGATTCGGCTTGTGCGCCGAGATATTGTCGGTTGAGCAGCGCTCGCCAGTGCGGCCGCGGGACACGCACGTGGCAAACGCGAATATCTCAAAGCGCATGCGATATCGAGAAAAACGTTCCACAACAAAGTTGTAGCCCTTGAAATTGTCTATCGATTCGCGTTTAGACCATCAAAAAATAATGGAAACCAAGCAAGATACAGGGCGTTAAAGTTTGACACCCTCTTAAACCCCTCGAACTGGTGAGCACCACAAGTCGGTCTTCTCACACCGCCCGTTCCGGAACAATGAGCGAACATACGCTGGCTTCGTGTCAGATTATTAATGTTAGATTGGGGGAAAAAGAAACGAGCCACCTGTGTGATTGATTGACACGTGGCATACGGTCGCTCGCGCGGGAAGTCTCCTTCGGGGTCCGGAAGGAAGGGTCTAATTATATATTATATATATTATATATATATATGTACATGTTGTCTTTTCTTTTCTACCAACAAATACGTACTTATTCGTCTCACGCCAAGTTTCGGAGGAATTCAAATTGATTGACATGAACCGACGGGACCAGGGAGGGGGGGCTTGATCAAGATAAGCTCCCAGAGGGGGACAGGTGTAGCAGACAGGTGTCTAGAAGATTTGAAATAGAGATACGGGGGGAAGGAGCATCTGGGAGCCCGATTTGGCAAGATTCCAATGGATTTGTCAGGTGGATAATACCCAATTCAACTTTTTTGCAAATTGATAATATCATTCCCAAAGAGCTCTCGCTCTCTGAGTTCACACCTCGTTTGTCGGCGGCTCGCAACGCCGACAAAGGGGCCTAATCTTCAGATTCACTTGGGTGATAATAGGAGAGCACATGGTGCATCGAGCTTTTCTCGGATTTCGGTACGAGCACTTTTGCGGCGTCTGCAACGCTTTGAAGAGCTACAGTGGTCTTGGGAGAGATGGTACAAAAAAAGTGTCAACTGAGAAATTAAAGTTCACAGTTGGCGCTTTGTTTTTCTAGTTGACCACTTTTTGATACAACGACGCACAAGCCTACAATAGCTGTTTGAAGTCATCGCTACCCGAGACGGCCCCCCCAAGTTCAACGAGCTACAGTAGTTCAGGGAGTGGTCGTGCACAAAACGTGTCAACTACAAAAATGACGTAATAGACGTGAAGTTTTATCAGAAAAATTTTCGAAGCCATCGGATGCCCAGACACCCCCGCTATTCGTGTTCAAAGAGAGCCGAACCGCAAAAGCTTTGGGCAGACGTTCTAATTACATAACGTGAGTAAGAACAACAACAAAAAAAAGGGATTTTTCTAGAAGAAAAGTGGAGAAGCAACCTTCTTCTTCTTCTTCTTCTTCTTCTTCTTCTTCTACTTCTTCTCCTTCTCCCACCCCTTTTTCGATCTTTTCTGGAGCAATTATTCCAATTACTTTTGGTTGGTAATTACGAGAGACACACCGCCGCATCATTCCAAATTGGAGAGAGCGCCAGAGAATGTGTGGCAAAAGGGGGCGTGGCCGGAAAAAGAGAGAGAAGAAGTGAGAGAGAGAGAGAGAGAGAGAGAGAGGGAAACTGGTGATTATTTTAATTGTCCTTGAAAAAGGTTGGGAGAGCTTCACGCCTACTCAAAAGATGACGTGGCAAATGGGAAAGAAGATCCCTTTTTTTCCATCAAAGAACATTTGCCGCAACCGATTGGGACCGCCGCCAAAAACAATGTTTTGGCTTCGCACCAAACTGCGAACCCTTTTGATTGGATCGATTTGAAAAGAGCCGCCGCCGATTCGCACCCGATCCCTCCGGATCATCCACACCTCGGCAAAGGTTGTGATCCCTCGGGGACCGCAACGGAAGGAACTAGAATAGTGGCAGGAAAGAAGATGAAGAAGAAGAAGAAGAAAGAGAGAGTAGCTATTGGGGGGCCGAAAATTGCGCAATTTTCGCTGAGAGTTGAAGAATGTAAAATTGCGTTTATTTCGGGCACTGTATCTCAGCTGCGTCTGACGATATCAAAAAGTGGTCAACTAATAAAATGTGTAAAATTTCTTAACAAACAATTTATTAGTTGACGACTTCTTGATATCTCCACGAGCAGCCGAGATATAGCAGTTCAAATAAACGGCTTCAGGAATTTAAACACCGTCTATTCAAAGCGATGTATCTCAGCTGGCTATAGAGATATCAAAAGGCCGTCAACTGACAAATTATTCAGAATGACATTGTGCACATTTTATTAGTTGACACCTTTTTGATGGCTTCAAAGACAGCCAAGCTACACAGCCTTGAAACATCCATACCAGTATTGGGGGCTGTTATCGAAAGATTTCGTGTATAAACCGTTCTAGAACACGTTCAAAATCCTGTAAAATAGTTACAAAACGTGCTACCAACTGGCAACGAAGAACAGATGGGTGTGCGAGGCAAAAGTTGTGAGCCCCTGGAAATTGGGTGTCACACCAATTATCGCGCCGCCTCTCTTCATTCCCACACTGTGCAAAAAGGTGTCGGCGGCTCAGAACGTTCACGAAAAGGACGAAGAAGAAGAAGAAGAAGAAGGAGAAGAAGAAGAAGAAGGAGAAGAAGAAGAAGAAGGAGAAGGGGAAGGAGAAGGGGAAGAAGAAGAAGAAGAAGAAGAAGAAGAAGAAGAAGAAGAAGAAGACGTCCAGAAGACTAAAGGAATGGGGCGCCAGCAGTTGGGGCGCCAGCAGTTGGGGCGACAAGATTGAGGCCCTTTTGGCTACACGCAATTACAGCCAACCACACACACAATTCACTCACGTACACCCGGCAATTAGCTACAATATGAGAGGCGGGGTCCGTCAGCGGGCACACACAATATAATTGGGCTAAATTATACCTCAACTCGACTTAATCTGCCACACTTAACTTTTAACAGGGACCAACTACTCGATTTCAGTTTTCGATTTCAGATTTCCGATTTTTTATCACTTGTCATCACGCCCCCGTCCCTTTAGGTCGGGATTACTGTAGTGTGCCAATGATCGGAACACGCCACGCCCACTTCTTCTCCCCACTAGTGGACATGACGCGCCGCCCCCCCTCCCCCTGTCTCTTCCCGGTTTTGGGGTGTCTCTCTCTCTGTCTCTCTCTCTCTCTCTCTCTTTCTTGTGCGCGTTGCTGTGTTGTGCTATTCCCCCCCATCATCATCTTCTTCTTCTTCTTCTTCTTCTTCTTCTTCATCGGAATCGCTTCTGTGCTGAACCTCCTCCCTTATTATCCTAATTCGTACCTTCCCGCTCCCTCTCGCTCGCTCGCTCGCTCGCTCCCTTTCAAATTTTAGGTAATTGTCGTTCTTCGTGGTGTGTGTCTGAAAATTGCCACACACTGATTGCCAAGGATCATGTCAATTAAGAGAGGGGGGGGGGGGGAGAACGATTATATCGTTAAAACAAGTGGAGAAGAGAGAGAGAGAGAGAGGGAGCTCGGTAATTACATATGGATAATAGATGATGGAACAGGAAGTGAGCCCCACACGTCTATGATTAGCATCGTGAGATATTGTATGGTTCCATTTTGTGCGCGGGGACTTTCCGATATTGTATGATTCGAAAACTGTGCATGTAGGACTTTCCGCTATTTTTCCACCTTTCAAACGTTCTATGCGATATTTCAAGCTTGCCTAAACACCTATAAACTTTCGGCGAACCTTTTCCGCTATTATATCCTTTCAAAACTTGCCACTTTCATTTCTATCCGATATTGTGAATCTCTGAAGCTCCGCTATTGTATCTCTCAAAATGTTCGTCTCCAATTTTCGATCCGATATTGTTGCTTTCCCTGGACCGTCCGTGATTGTATCCCTCCAAACTTGTCACTTTTCCCAATATTTGAAACCTCGAGCCGTCTTGTCTGGCCTTCAATCCGATATTGTCGTCTTCGTGCCATCGCTTTCTAGAGTCGTCACCAAAACGTTCCGCAACTATTGTAGACTTCCAAAAGTTGTCTCATCAACTCTCATCCCCCTTCTCGACTATTGTACCCTTTCAAACATTGTCCCACTCCCCAAACAACTTTCACTTTTCATGATTCACACTGTTACAACCCCTCTAAACCTTTATTTTTTTATTTAATGCCACTCGATGCTCCACCCGCTGGCAAACATAGTCACGAAAAAAGCAATCGGTGAGAAGGTCGCCGTGACTTTTGTTCTGGGAATTTCTCGTCGATCGATTCGCTTCTTCCACGTTTTCCAACGCTGAATATTATCCGATTTGCAGAATGGACCCCACAAAACCGTTCGACTACAGCGCCGCCGAATATCATTATCAGACGAGTGCGGCGGGCGGCGCGGGAGCCACCGCAAACGGCTCGGCCGCCAACGTTTCGCCCTTCTTCGGCTATCACACGTATCCGGGCTCGTCGACGAACGGAACCGCCGCCGCGGCAATGTACGCAACGCCACAGCAGCAGGCGACCGCCTACGGCATGTATCCACCCGGACCAGGCAGCTCTCCCGAAGGTTTGTACACGTCCAAGTCGACACTTTGCCTCAGAGTGATTGTATCAAAATGTGATCAACAGCAAAAATGAAGTAAAACTTGTCATCTTCAACTTTGTAGTTGACAACTTTTTTGCACCATCACTCCCAAGACTACTGTAGCTCGTGGAAAGTGTAGAACGGCAGAATACCCTTAGAAGTGGTCGCACAAAAAAGTGGTCAACTACAAAAATGCTCAAGTAGACATGAAGATTTGACCCCAAGCTCTTAAATCCATAGAATTGAGAATAGGGACACAAGACGTGAGAACAATCCGAAAGGTTAGCGATGAAAAAGGTGGGAGCCGTCTAGAAGCGTCGAAAAATGCATTTTGAACATGATCTTCCACTCGGAAATTCTGCCGTAAAGTTTGTACTTTTGCTCTGCCAGAGCCGTAACCTTTAAAACCAAAGCGGGCCACCCGACATCCCCCTTTTCGTTTCCTTTCCTTAACTTTCCCCCTCACATTACGAATTCTCGCCGTGAACCTCGAAATAATGACGTCACACCGATATTGTACGTTCAATGGTAAGCCCCTAAGAAGTGACAAATTGATATCATCCACTTGCGAATCGGGTGCCGCCCCTTTGGCCGGTTGCCAGAACATCAAAGACGTCAATGAGTCGTTTCGATTGTAGCGTCTGCACATTTCGCGGGCTATTCTGATCCGGAAACTGAGAAACTGAGTGTATAAAAAGAAGGCAGCAATCCGCAAAAAAAACTAGTTTAGAAGGCGGCTACTCGTCCGAGCACACGACCACAAAAATTGTCGAGGGTTGCGAGGCAAAGTACAACGGAAAAGGGAAGAAGATGCGCAAACCGAGGACCATCTACAACTCGCAACAACTGCAAATGCTACAGAAGAAGTGAGTTTTTCGATTTGAGCACTCAAAATTCAAACGAACATTGGTTTAGATTCCAAAAAACGCAATATTTGGCGCTTCCGGATCGAGCCGCACTCGCAGCCGAACTTGGCCTTTCGCAGACTCAGGTAGGCGGCGCCCTTCTTGTTATCATTACCTTCGCGCGCGCGGTGATTTGTGTCGCCGGTGGCCGAGTGGCTAACGCGTTCGTTTTTGGCGCCGGTTGGTGGTCCCGTATCAATGACCTTCTTCTCCACACCATCCGGCAATAATCCGAGTCGTAATCCGTTTCGTAATCCTCCACACTGCACGTGTGCCTTATTCACCCCCCTTCGTTCGTAAAAACAGTCTCATTTACTCGCCTTGAGAAGGTCACGTCTCGGTTTATGTACGCTCCATTGGCTGTTTGCAAAAGTGAAGTGAAAGTGGCGAATGACGTGGCAAACCGCAGAGGACCGCGCTTTAATTATTGTTTTCGGAGCCCTCGCAGCTTAATTATATAGAAGTCAGTCTGGCTCGCGCTCGCGCGCGCGCATTTCACAAATATTATATAACTTTTCGAGGGGAGGAAAGGTGCCTAGATGGTTATCGGCGGGACGGGTAAGCCTATCAATCATTGGCGACCACAACATGTGTCCGATGGTTATCGCGACGGAAATGAAATGATTGGCAGGTTTTCTGGACAAGGTCTTGGCACGAAAATCGACTGTAGAAGCTTGAATTCACTAGTTTCGACTATCCGGAAAGCGTGCCGTTTGTTCAATGCAATGTATCTTGGTTATCTTTAGAGATATGAGGAAGTGGTCAACTAACAAAATGTTCACCAGGATATTGTTAACATTTTGTTAATTGACAACTTTTTCATACCTCTAAAGGCAACGGAGATTTGCCGTTTTGAGTCCACGCGATGGTATCACCCTAAAACCGTTCGTTCAACGTGATGTAGCTTGGCTGTCTGTAGAGATATGATCAAGTTGTCAACTGATAAATTGTGAAGTAAGATATTTTAAACATTTTGTTAGTTGACAACTTTTTGATATCTTTTAAAGCAGCTAAGATACAGCTAAGATACGGAAGCTTGCCGATGCAATGTTTTATCACAGACCGTCACCGTATCTAAGCTGTATCTTAGCTGTATGTGAAGATATAAAAAACTTGTCAACAGATAAAATGTGCACATTTTTGTGTAGAACAACTTGTTTGTTGGACACTTTTTGATATCTCTTCAAACAACTGAGCTACACCGGCTCAAATGGAGTCTATAGTCTTTAGTGTAAATTTGTGCTATTGTAGATCTGTAAAAGCTGAGACCTTGATCCTTAGCGGTTGAATCGTCGGTTCCGCGACACAATGTTACGGTAGTTTGTGTGTGGGTGACCTCTATAGGCATCTCTATTCACAAGCGCACCATCGGGGCCACGGGGGGAGGCTAATTATCCTCCACGGATGTCTCTCTCTCTCTCTCTCTCTCTCTCTCTCTCTCTCTCTCTCTTTCTGTGTACATTGGCCCGTTTTTCAAAACCGTCGGATCGGAAACGAAATCGAATTGAATTGACTGAGCGTCGAGTCATTTCGACTCCAACCGGCGGGGACCAACTGTTGAATTGAACGATTTTCGTCGCGGTTTTCAGGTAAAAATCTGGTTCCAAAACCGGCGGTCGAAGCAGAAAAAGCAGAAGACGGGCACGTCGGACCGCGCGTCGGACGAGGACGACGATACGGAAGACTCGAAGCCGGAGAGCCCGCCGATCGGAGGCTCCGCAGCCGCCGCCGCCGCCGATGCCACGTCGACGATGGGCGGCGCGCAGATCAATCAGGTGAGCAGTGGTGTCAGACGAGCTCGCGTTAAACAGGAGATCGACTACGGAACGGTAAGAAGAAGAGCCCGTCACTTTGACTGCTAGGCATAGAATCTCTCATAGAACTCTTGTAGAATAGTTTGAATCTCAATTTATATCATCCTGTTACTAGTGTTAACAGGTTCTTCGCTATCTAGTAGGCGTACCGTCTATTCAACGCGATGTATCTAGGTTATTTTTAGAGATATAAAAAAGTTGTCAACTAATAAAATGTTCAATAGGAAATTGTGCACATTTTTGCAGTTGACCACTTTTTGATATCTCTGCAAACAGCTGAGGTAGATCGTGTTGAATGTACAACAGCTTCTCTCAGGCATCACCTCCCAAAACCGCTCATTCAATGCGATGTAGCTCGGCTGTCTCTAAAGGTTTCAAAAAGTTGTCAACTAATAAAATGTTCATTAGAAGATTGTACACATTTTTGCAGTTGACCACTTTTTGATATCTTTACCAGCGGCTGAGATATATTGTTTTGAATGTGCAAATGCTTCTCTACAGCATAACCCCAATACCGTCTATTCAATGCGATGTAGCTCGGTTATTTTTAGAGATATAAAAACGTTGTCAACTAACAAAATGTTCAGTAGAATATTAAACACATTTTCTCTGTTGACCACTTCTTGATATCTCTGCAATCAGCTGAGATAGATCGTGTTGACTGCAAGTCGGCTTCAATGCCTTCAAAAACCTCCCGGTTTTGCAGGACAACTCCTCGCCGCCCGGCCCTCCTGCCACGTCGATGATGCCCGACTGGCCGTCGCTCTCGCAGATGCCCAGCTCGTCGAGCCAACATCTTCCGTCCGTCGGCTCGCTGCCCCCGATGGCGACGGTCGGCTCGCTCGGACTCAACGGCTACGACGGACTAAAGTACGAGGAGAAGTTGCCGCAACAGCCGTTGAATCCCTATGACATGTCGGCCTATTACACCCCGTACACCCATCCACAATTCACATATTCACAATATTAGCGCCCCTCCTTTCTAGTTCTCCTTCTTCTTCTTTTGAAACTTTTCGATTTCACTTCTCTCTCTCTCCCTCTCACTTTCCCCTTTAACTCTTAGGATCTCTCTGGATCTTTTGTCGACCTGTGTGCCCCCCGTCATGGATACGGTACCCGCCTACCGTAACCCTTTTCTCTATTCCCCATTCTCAACTTTTCGATTCTTCTCGCCCCCCCCTCCCTTAATTTTACGGCCATCCGGGTGTCCGCCTTCTATATTCTGATCGAGCCTATTTATTGATTGATTGATGGATTGTATCCGCAAAAAAACACTCATTTCTTCCACTATTATCATTCTTTAGTTCAGTGCGTCGTTTTTTTTGGAACATTTTGTAAATGAATTCGTTTTTGTGCAAACTTATGGCTACTACCGTACTTTAAAGGCGCATCGTCGAAAGACGAATGAATTCTCGACAATTCCCATCGAATTGCAATTTTCCGCTCCATTTTTACGCGCCTAGCCAATAAATAAATCAAAGGATCGATCAGCACGTTCTCAGCGCGCATTTCATTTCGCCGCCGCCGCCGCCGCCACCGCCACCGCCGCCACAAACGGACAATATTTGGAAGGAGCGACGGAACGGCGCCGTCCTGAATTACGGTGGGAAACGAGAAGAAGGATGACGGTCGGTTTCGTGTCTGAACCCCGGCGAACCGACAATTCGGAAGGGCCATCAGCCGTCGTCGGGGATCGGAAAAGAATTGAAATCGAACACTCTAATTATGATGGTCTCCGGTCCGGCGATCGAGAAAAAAACGGATTTTGAATAGCTACAGTGGGCGGTCGTACAAAATCGATGTCATTTGCAAAACTACTACAGTACTCTAGACATGGTTGAGGCGCTGAAATAGATACAATATACTCTCAAACTTCTCGGTCGCCCGATCGGTTTTCACGGTCTCCAGAGCTGACAATGTGGGCGTGGCCTCTGATTTTTGTGGTCAACGGCGATGAAAAATGATTGTTCGACATGAAAACACAACAATTCTCGAGAATTAATGACGTTTTGGTGCACTTTTCTTTTTCGCCTTCGCCGCCGATCGCCGCACTTCTCATTTTGCGATTTCTTGACCGTTTTCCGACAGAATTGGTTTTGAGAATGATAAATCACGTAAATACAAGCATTTTGAGCGCTCGAACCGCGAAAACTACCGAAAAGCAACTGAAATTCACGCAGTTTTAGCCAAAAACCTTCAAACGGATAAATGTGATTTGCGTTTGACGCTCTTGCGCTTTAAAAATTCGTAAAAGCCTACACAATCGGTCTATCAAGAGAAAAATGAGAAATTATCGGTTTTTCGTGGCTAATCTCGCAAAAAACACAAATTTTGCTGTTAAAATTTGAATTTCGCGCCAATGTATCGCTCTATTGGCACTTGCGTCCATTGTCAGCTCTGGAGACCGTGCAATATTCTTCAAAACGGAAAAGAAACATATATATGAAAAAGATTCATTAAAGTTTGTGCCAGCATTAATGTATATATTGTCGATCTCTACGCTCTCGTGTTGCCCTTCACCAAAAGCGTGAGACCGTCGCGGTATTCGGCCTTGCACTCTTCCTTGATTAGCTGCAATTCCGTTCAACATTGCAAAATAAACATGGGAGAAATGGATGATATTTTTGGAAGCGGGGGGCGGGGGACTGACCTGAAGCAATGATTTGCCGAAAAGCGTCTGGAATTCGTACTCGATGAGCACGAGATCTTGCTCGGAACGGGAGACAAGAATGCGGATGAGATCCTTGTCGCGAGTGCCGATTCCCTGAAAATGTAGAGTACAATTGTCGGTTTGTGAGTAAGAGACCACTGTTTGGAACCTTGGTGGCCGCGTGCACCGCGCTCGCCAGGAACCTCGGCCGATTCGTCGACGTCTCGATGAGGGCGAGCACGAGGTTCTTGAAGTCGCCGCTCAATTCCTTCTCGACAAGTTTGCCGAACTCCTTGCCCGACTGCCTCTCGATCTCCTCGATCACCTTCTGAATGTGTCGTCCGCTCGCCGTCGCAAACGTCTTGAACGCGTCGAACTTGTCGACGCCGCCCTTCTTCTCGACGCTCTTCAGAATGGCGCCCGCGTGCGTCGCCACTTTGAACGTGTCCTCGAAGCCGGACTCGTCGCGTTTCGCCTGCAGAATCACGATGAGAAGACGTTTAAAGTCGCCGGAGGTGTCCGCCGACACCGCGTCTTCCAGTGACTTTTGGTACGTCATGAAGTACGTGTTTCTGAAAATTCGCGCATTTTTTCCGTTGGAAATGGGCCACTATTTGCTTCAGAACACATCCTAAACTCGTGAAAAGATTGGTACTGTACGGATTTGAAAGAGCCCAAACTTCCAAGAGCTACAGTACTCCTGGGAAGGTGTCTACAAAAAAGTTGTCAACTACAAAAATAAAGTACAACTCTGACACTTTATTTTTGCCGTTGACAACTTTTTTGTGCAATCACTGCCAAGCGTACTGTAATGCCGTGAAGTTGCTGCACTTTGAAGGCATGCAGAACGAGCCCAAACTTCCAAAAACTACAGTATTCCTGGGAAGGTGTGTACGGAAAAGTTGTCAATCGCAAAATTGATGTACCAATTGTCGAGTTTTCGCATGAAACAGACTTGGAACTATATGGATCCGCTGGGACCACACTCACTTGGCCGCCTCGATCTCCTCGTTGGTCCGGGTGGTCAGAATCTCGATCAGGTTCTTCTCGTTGGTTCCCAATCCCTTCACGGCTCTGTTCAACTCGGTAACGTCCAATTTAGTGGGAGTTTGTAGAAGAGCAACGAGAAAATCCTCGAAATCGCCAGAGAACGCCTTCTTGATCTCTTCCTCGAGGTCCTTTCCGTAGCGGGTTTTGTACGGGGTACGGATCTGAAAAATGTGAACTGTTAGCACGGGTAAAAATGAAGATTTGATACCATTTGTCGCTGGGTATTGTTAACCGAGACGAGAATCTCGAGAACCTTCAGCTTCTCCTTGTTTCTCAATGCTTTTTCCAAGGCCTCTGCGGCAATGACCTATAATTGACAATATCAGAACGCGTAGGCGTGATAGAGAAAAATGATCAACTACAAAGTTGTAGATCAAGACATTTGCTACAAGTTTGTAGTTGATGAGTTTTCATGATTTTGCATATATACGCCGAGATATTGTCGGTTAACTATTTATGCCCTGTGGAGTTGAGGAAGACCAACTTTGACCGTGTGTTTCTCGGTCAATTTTGAATATTTTTTGAAAGTAAAAAAAGAAAATTATAGATAATTTCATGAGCTTTAACTTTTCCTTTGACAGTTTTTGATGATTCTGCCTGTGTCCCAAGATAAGAGCCATTTGCCGCCGACGGCGCGTCACAAGAAACGCGTACGGAAAACAACAATATCTCGGCGGACAAGCAGGCTCGTCAAAAGCGTTCTACTACAAAGTTATAGCCCATAAAATTGTCTATAAAATCGTTTTTTAATGTTCCGAAAATCGTCAAAATTGACTGAGATACAAGCGTTCAAAGTTGGAGCAAACAGTTTACCTCGTCAAAAAGTGGTTTGAAGTGAATTTTCGCCGTCGCCATCACGCTGAAAAGTTTTCTGATTTCTTCACGTTCGGCCTCGAGATTTGACACTTTTGACAGTTTTAAAATGATTTGAAAGACCATTTCGGGAACGGAAACAAGTGTTTCCTCGGGCGGAAAAAAGGCACAAAAAGATTAACCTTTTTCTAGGTCAAAATTGGTTTTTTCTTGTGAAATTCGAAATTCGTTGGAAAAAAGTGGGCATACAATAGTGGTTTTTGTGCGAAAAAACACTCGGATGACTCATTTTCCGTTCTGTCCAAACACTTTTTATATTGTGAAGAACCGAGAGAGAGAGAGAGAGAGAGAGAGAGAGGGAGGGAGAGAGAGAGAGAGGGAGTGGTCGGGCATCTTGAACAAAACTATTGATGGGAAATAATGACTCATCGTTCGAATTGTGGTGAAATTGATTCGATTCTCGATAATTGCTTTTTTCGGCCCTTTTTACATACTGAAATAAAAGTGGTGAACTTTTGAGCGACTATTGTAGAGTTTCGAGAAGACATATCGTTTCAAAAACGTTTTTAGGGAAAACTTCATGTCTAGTACTTTGTTTTTGTAGTTGACAACTTTTTGGTACGAACACTGCTAAGCGTACTGTAGCTCATTGAATTTTGCATTGAAATTTCTTGTCGCTTAACTAGTCCCAACTTCTAAGAGCTACAGTACTCTAGGGAGTGATTGTACAAAAAATTTGTCAACTACAAAACGAAAGCTCATGACTAGCTCTTTATTTTTGTAGTTGACAACTTTTTTGTACCATCATTCCTATGGGTACTGTAGCTCATTGAAAACAGGATCAAGTTGAGGCGCTATTTCAAGCTATTCTAACTTCCAAAAAGCTACAGTACTCTTAGAAGGGGTCTTACAAAAAAGTTGTCAACTACGAAAACATAGTACTAGGTGTCAAGTTGTCACACAAACATTTTGGCGCCAAAAGGACGTTTCGCAACCGCCTGGCGGACACTCAATGCTCACCTTTCTTTGGATTTCAATTTTGTGCGCAAAGACGCGAAAAAAGAGAGAAAAACGAGGAAAGTGGACAATATCGGAATGAAAGTTGGAATGAATCACCACGAACGGCGCTTATTGAGGTTGGCAGTTTGAAAGCGAAAGTGAGGATTTCGCGCGATTTCGAATTTGCGGCGCGCGCATTTTGATGTGCGCGTGCGGAGAATTCGACAGGTTATTAAGAGTAATTCGGAGGGTATTATGGGAAAGTATTCAGAGTCAAACAATATATACACTTTATGAAATACACACTGACACACTGGACTCGTTGAAACGAGCGGTATTTGTGAATGAATAGACGGAGACGGCAAAAGTTCAAACACAGACACGGATCGATGATTGTTCAAGTTGTTGAGAGTTCCTTGTTTGGTAGGCAAACAGAAAGAAAAAGAAAAAGAGAGAGAGAGAGAGAAAGAGAGAGAAAGAGAAAGAGAGAAAGAGAGAGAGAGAGAGAGAGAGAGAGAGAAAGAGAGAGAGAGGAATTTGATCAAGAAGTTTGGAGAGCCTGATCTACGGGGAACACGTGGAAAATGAGGGCAGTTGGAGGCCACGTGGCACTGCGATGAACTTCCGATCAATCAATATTAATCTGCAAGTATAAAAATGGATTTCCCGTTCGAATATGTGGAAAGAGTCATGCCTTACCCGAAGTTTGACCATCATTTTCTCGTAAGTCGCCTAGACACCTCCACCCGTTCTTTTCTTCTTCTTTCTTCAGACTTCTCCGTCTCTGGAGCGTCTGGGTAAAGCCAGAAAGGGAGGAATGAAGGCGGGAAACAAGCCGGCGGCGGAGCAGGAGGAGGAGCAGGAAAAACCGTTCGGAAAACGTCAAGTTCGCGAGGACGACGCCGAAAAAGCGCTGAAAAAGGAGATTGGCGAGTTGGAAGCGGAGCTGCGAGCCGCCGGCACCACCACTACGGAGGACGAGTCGACGGAGACGTGCACGTCTTCGGCGTCCGGATGCAACGAATCGCTGGTCGACACGTGCGAATCCGACATTGCTATTGTCGGTCTCGGCGAGGACGGACGCGACAAACTGGCGGCCACGCGATTCAAGTGAGAGGCTCCATCCAGATCAGTGTTGAGCGGAATTCCGTCTTCCGTCTTCCGTCTTCCGGGATTTTTTGTTCCGTCTTCCGCCTTCCGTCTTCCGGGATTTTTTTGTTCCGTCTTCCGTCTTCCGTCTTCCGGGATTTTTTGTTCCGTCTTCCGTCTTCCGTCTTCCGGGATTTTTTTGTTTCGTCTTCCGTCTTCCGTCTTCCGGGATTTTTTTGTTCCGTCTTCCGTCTTCCGTCTTCCGGGATTTTTTGTTCCGTCTTCCGTCTTCCGTCTTCCGGGATTTTTTTGTTCCGTCTTCCGTCTTCCGTCTTCCGGGATTTTTTTCTTCTAATGCGGTTATTCAGGCTGCAAAAAAAATTATTGTTTTCCGTTTTTTTCGTTTTTTTACGTCAAAAAATCCAATTCAGCGATGTAAAAAAACAACAAAAAAAACGGAAAACAAACGTACGCTGAATGACCCAGATTCAAAATTTTTGTTGTTTAGTTATTTTTTTACAAAAAAAAAACCGAAAAATTTTCTACCGACTTCCGTCTTCCGTCTTCCGTTTTCCGGATTTCGAAATTCCATTTCCGCTCAACTCTGCTCCAGATGCCTTCCTTTTTTACGATTTCGATTTCGATTTGCAGAATAATGAACGAGTGCGTTTGCACGGATTCGGAGTGCGAATCCAACTCGACGCTCTCCACGTTGCCCATTTCGACGACTTCGGAAAGCGAAGAGGAGGAGATCGTTTCGGAGGCGGAGGACGAAGAGAAAAAGGAGCTGGAGGCGGAGGAGGTGGGAAGTGAGTCGTCCGAAGAGACGAGCGAGTCTTCGGACGACGAGATCGGGCTCGACACGGCCATCGAACGATTGGAGCGCATTCTGGAGGAGAAGACGAATCCGGGCGGCGTGAAGAAGAGCGACGAGGAGGAGGAGATCTCCGACGGACTGGATGGAGTCGAGGCGACGTCTGAAGAGGATTCGGAAGAGGAAGAGGAGGAGGCAAAGTCGGGAGAGGAGGAAGGCGGCAAGGAAAAGGAAAAGGAGGCATCCGGCTCGTTGTCCTCTTCCTCTTCCTCCTCCACCTCGACTTCTTCTTCCTCTTCCCCCCTATCCGCTTCCACCAACTCGTGCCCCGTCACCTCTTCCGCGACGGACGACGACGAGTGGGATTCGGACGGCGGCCAGCACTTCAACTGGGACTCGGACGATCTTTACAAAAGCACGGACACCGACTCGGATCTCGAGAGAGTCGTCGACTTTCTCGACAACGCCATGAAGATCGTAGACGGAGTTTTCAACGAGACGAACGTCGCGGCGGTCGCCAATACCCCGCTTGACGCGCAGGTAAACTATATAGGCGCCGGGCTAGGGACCATCAGTCTCATTTGCAGAAATATCGCCACTTTGAGCTGACCTATCCGGAAATGCTGGAAACGGGCAAAAAGTACGAGATGATGGAGGAGCCGGAGAAGCAGAGTAGGAAGGAGGAGAAGGAGACGAAGAAGAAGAAGAACAAGAATGACGAGTTGGAAAAACCGCCGAAAAAGTACTGGCTCGTGCAGCAAATCGACTCGGGAATGATGCATTCGGCGAAGATTGTGAGCAGAAGGCATCCGGATCATGTGCTCATGCAAAAGGATTTGGATGTGAGATATTGTACACTTTTACTTCATTTTTCTTTTTTGTACGACCCGGCACACGGGTACTGTAGCTCCGAATGTAGTTTGAATGATGATCATAACTTTCAAGAGGCTACAGTAGGCTTGTAAGTGCGAGTACAAAAAAGTGATCAACTAGAAAAATAAAGCGCTAATTACGAACTTTGATTTTGTAGTTGACAAGATTTTTCTACAACTGCTCTCAAAAGTAGAAAAAGTAGACAAAAGTAGGAGACCCGAGATTTTGAATAAAAATGTTTCTAGAACACTCGAAAAGTTTTCAGAACGAGAGAAAGTTGCTGCGCCAGCTTCTGCCGGAGCTCGGCGAGCCCACACACATTGCTCGTCTCCTCGACGCCGGCTTCAACGAAGACTTCAAGTACCTGATCTTTGAGGACCTCGGCACCGACCTCTACCATCTGTTCGACCAGTTCTCGGTCTCGTTCGACGCGGCCACCATCTTTCTCGTCTCCTACTTCACGTTCGACGCCATCAAAGAGCTGCACCGCTTCGGAATCGTGCACACGGACGTGCGTCCGACGGCGTTCAGCGTCCAGAAGCATCCGTTCAACGTGAAGATTGTCGAGTACGGAAAGGCGCGTGCACGCGGCGCCGTCATGAAGACGACGGAAAACATGCGGCCCGACTCGTTCTCGCCGCGCGCGTTCCATCAGAAAGACGTGCGATTCGACGATTTTGTCGATTTTGAGTCGTGGATTTATACGGTAGGCCGGCCTACTGTAGACACCCACGCACGGGATGATCTTTCATTCTTTAGATGATCTTTCTGTGCACCAAAATCGGACTTCCTTGGTTCGGCGACGCGGAGCACATGCTGCAACTAAAAGAGCACTACTTCAACAATCCTCTCGATTATTTGGACCACAAAGGGTGTGTGGAGGCGGTGCCGATGGCCACCAGCTACATTAACGATCACACAATCGGCTACGATCAGTTTATCGAGAAAATGAGTGAGTTTGCAGGCGGCGAACAATTCGAATTTCGCTCCTTTGTTTCAGAGCTGATCTTCTCGGTCGACGCGATGCGTTTTCCGGACACTGCGCAGCCGATCTTCTTCAGCGTCGCCGACGTGAAACGCTACAAACCGGGCAAATTCAACGCGACGAGCGACAAACGGATGCGGTGCGACCACGAACACTGGAACCCGGCGGACGAGTCGGACTCTTCGGACGCCATCAAATCGGACGACGAACGGCTCATCGAGAAGGAGCTCGTCGGCGGGAAGGCGGCCGAGAAGAAGGAGAAGAGTGCGTCGTGTCCGATGTCGGCCACGGAGCAAATGTCATCGTCGGCGCCGTCGTCGGCGCCGCAATCGGAGAAGGAGGAACGGACCGGCGGGCGGGAGCAGTCGACGCAGGAACAGTCGACGATGCCCGAGACGGCGGCCGCAGATGAACAGGTACTACCGTACTCCTCCCACCCCTACAGTAGTAGTTTTTCAGAAATCGTCGGCGGCGTCGTTCCGCGAAGAGCGCTCCCACCGGAAGATGCTCTCGGAGGTGCCGCTCTCCGAACTCTACGGCTCTCAATCGTCGTCGTCGACGAGCGAATCCTCGTCGGCCACCTCCTTCTCCTCCTGGACCTCTTCGACGTCCGCCTCCGAATTTGAGCGTCGGAAGAAGGAAAAAGCGCGACAGGAGACGGAGGAAAGGCTTTTGGATAGGGAAAAGATGAAGAAGAACAAGAAGACGCGGTGGAGACAGGCGTGGAAGCCGCACGATGAGCGCGCCGTCTCGGACGTTGACTATTTCAGCGGGCTCGACGAGTACGAGAGGGCTCAAGTCGAGTCCTACCAGACACTCGTCACAGCTCACGAGAAGGGTGGGGGACTAGAAATGAGCCGGGAAAGTTAGGCCACTTGTTGCAGAGAACCCCCGCGACTCTTCCGATTCGGACGATTCAGTCGGTGCGCAGCGGAAGCCGTTGGTGCCGAGACGCGCGGAAAAGTCGCAAAAGAGTCCGGAGAGCAGCAAAATGGAAGGATCGTCGGCGAACGAGAGAAAGAGCGAGGCGGCGAAGAGCTCGAAGTGAACGCATTTGCATGAATTCGTTTTGATTTGAGCGCAACAAAGACTCTTTTCGGAGGTAGATGCTTAGTACATTGAAGGGAATGCAAGGTAAAAATGTGAGAATACAATAGAATTGATTCAGATCAGTTTTCGTCCCAAAACTCGGCCGCCTCCGAATCGGTCACTTCGGAACTCGGCACTTCGGACGAACTGATCGGATTGCACGCTTTCTCCTCGGCGATAAATTCGGCAAACGGCTCGAAATCCTCCTCCTCTTTCAGCTTTTTGAGCAGTTCGTTGAACTCGTCGCACCTCGATTTCTCCACAAAAACCGAGCGAATCGTTTTGAGTTCGGTGAGAAGGAGCTGAAAGATTGTCAGTTTTAGGGCGTTGCAAGTGCACTCCATCAAAATCCGGCGGCAAATTCGAATTTTGATTGAGATTGTTTGAAGTAAAAACTGAAATTCACCTCAAAGAAGCCGCTGACGGCGCGATTCTGCTGGAATCCGCACGTGTCGGCTATCATTTTGAGCATTGCCTGGCAGATGGCCGCAGCGGCCGATTCGCCGTCGGCCCACTCCAGAATCAGTTCCTCTCTCCTCGTCAACTTCTTCTTCCTCTTCTGTCCTTTCTCGTCGTCCGACGTCTTCTGCCGCTTCTCCGTCCACTCGTCGATCATATTCTGAATGTCCTCGGCCGCCACCTGCACCCGTTCTCTTTTCGTTTTTCGAATCGGCTGCAGGTTGAACTCGCGGCCGAGTTTCTCGAAGAGTTCCGCATTTTCGGAGATGACACGTGTCTTCGGAGCCATTATATCGTCGATGATTCGATTGGTGCGGTCGGCGTGCTTCTCCAGGGTGTCTGAAAATGTTCTATTTTTTATAAATTCCAGAAAAATCGTCGAAATCCCGTACCGTTCGGGTTGAGAACGACACTTTTGAGGAAGTGACATTGCATCTGAAGTCTCGGATCGGAAAGGCCGCCTTCGACGAGTGAAGAACTGAAAACAAGAGATGAAATACAGTAACCCTACAGTAATCCCTCACATTTCTCCCTCCTTCAACTGCATACTGTCGATGAGATCGTCGACGGCCGAGAGTTGAGCCACTGCAAAAACGGACATTCAAATTTGCCTTTTGCCGAATTGCGATACTAACAAGTCGGTTTTCCGTCGTCCTCTTCCTGCTCGTCGAACGAGAATTTCGGGAATTTTAGCGTGCGCATGTCGTCTGAGTACGGTAGTTTGACCGATCTGAGGTAGGCGACGCCCGTCTGCTCGTCCCGATGCGCCAGAAGCGCGACCAGTTGGACGTGCGATTTCGCGTGGAAAGTGTAGCGGCAGATGGCGGCGACTCGCAGTGAGAGCATCGCTTCGATCAGGGATACGGTCGCCGAGGTGAGCGAATCGGAGCCGACTGCCGGAAGGACCGTCTTAGCGCTCGCGTCCAACAGGTACGAGTCGAGGATCTGCAAAAAGAAATCTTAGAAACTGTTCTTTAAAGGCGCATAACGCAGTCTGGAAGAACTTTCTCGCATTCAACCGGACATTTCGCTCTCCTTCACGTACATTGGCTCTTTTGGTGAACTGAATTAGTTTGAGCACGCCGCCCGTCTGTCCCTCGTTGAAATTGTGGTCATTGTACTTCTCCTTCAGGTACTCCGGATCCATCATGATCAGCGATTTGCCGAAATTGTAGCCGAGCATCATTTTTCCGTTGTTCGCCGTCAAATTCGTCGCGTTTTGTGTGGAAAACGTGTCGGACGTGGGATGAGCGCTGAAAAAATCATTTTTCGCCTGGTTTCCACCAACTGAAGCTTACCCGTTCGCAGCAACCGAATCCTCGTTGATTTTGCCGTCTTCCGACTGATTCTCCACGTGCAATCGATCAAAACGGACCATCTGAACGAAATTTGCGAAATTTCATCATTTTTTTCGTGCAAAATACCTCATTTCCGTCGATATCCGCATTCTTGAATTTCAGCAACGCGCTCGCTTTTTCCGCTTTTATCGAAAAAGTGACTGGGAGACGGATTCCCGGCGCGATCTGAACGGAACGTTTATGAGATTTACAAAAAGTGTACAGAAAAAAAGACACTGACGTCCCACAATTTCGCGTTTTTCCGTTCGTTTTTCTGACGAGCCTGATAGTTGGAAAGCTGCTCCGCGACGTTTCTGTAAGAAAAAGCATCTCAAAGTTTTAACATTTGACAGAAAAAGCGAACTGGAATGAGTAGGCGGTTCCTTCGAGTTCCTCGACAAGTTCGACGATTCGAGAAGCTGGATACTTTGGATTGTTCGGAATCCCACTGAAAAATCTCTATTTTCAATGGATTTTGCACAGAAACTGGCAAAAATTCACTGACATGACCATCGGATTGACGTTCGTTTCGCGGATCGCGTCCACGAGCAGATCGTACTTCTCCTGCCGCAGATTCTCGTTTTTTCCGTTTGTCAAAACGATCAGTGTGATCGACTCGGGATTCTTTCCCGAATCGGCACTCTTCAGAAGGGACACGGCGGCGAGAACGCCTTTGAAAACTGCAAAAATTGAATGAGGGGTTTTCGAATGTGGTCAACCATACAATTTGGCGTGTTGCCAGTGGAATTTTGCTTTAATTCCTTCGTAATGAACTTCAAATGTTCGAAATTGGCCGTCTGGAATTCCTCGTCATGAACCATCACTCCTTCGTACGTTTCGCCGTCCAAATCGGTCGAACCATCCACGTTATAGGCCATTATCGCGAATCTCGTCGGGTCTTCGGAGAATAACTGCAAAATTGGCACTTTTCGGGTCATTGCAAGGTATCAGAAGATAAAGACAAACTTTGCGAGAAACAATCCAATCGGCCGTATTTATCGCATTTTCAAACGCACTCTTCCCATTTTCGTCGTCAATTTCGCTCATATTCGGTCCGGCGTCGATGAGAATCGCCGTCACTCCCGGATCCTTTTTTTTCGGTGGCATTTCCTGCTGAAAAACGAGAATTTCAGTTGAAATGGTTGCGAAATGGGGGAGAATGTTTGAGACTGGCGGGCGTGTTTTGTACGCAAACACCCCGGCGCAAGCGTGCAATCGAAGATTGAAAATCGTCGCTTTGTCAAGAAAAGCTGCTGAAAACCGGGAAAAATCTATCCAAATACGCTTTCCTGACACATTCTTTGATAAATTTATCTATTTTTTAATCGATAAGACGCATTTCTTACACTTTCAATGACTTGCCGACACTTTTTCTCTTTCTCACGTCTTTTGCGCTCTTGTCGGACTATTGGAATCTGTAAATTGGGTACTTTTGTGTGTTTAGAGTCAGCTGAGCACTCAATTCGTTTTCTTCCCAGTCAGGATAGTGACTCACGTGCGGTTTGACCACTCGAATCGCTTTAGTATCGCGATTCACCGCAAAAACGCCGGTGCACTGAGCAAACCTGTCTCTGCAATAATAGATTAAAAAAAAAGTCAACAATCTTTAATAAATACCGATTAAAACAATGGTACAATGTCTCGGTCTTCATTTCCTTTTTCGCTCTCATCAACCAGCCGTCCAGAACGACGGCGCGTTTAGCTTGTCCACGTGGCATTTCGGAAACTGTTTCTTTACGATGAGCAAGAATTTTTCAGTCTCTGAGAAAACATAAAAACGCGCTCTACCGAACGAAAATTTTTTATTCAAAATGTGAAAATTTTTAGTTCAAAATATCTAGTTGAGGGAATCTGTCATGCCTTTGAATACCGGTCCTCTTCGCGATGGATCGAACGGCAAAAATTGAATAATGTTTGCGAGGTTAGGGAGAGAAGGGGTGCAACTGATGGACCGAGAAAGGGCATTCTTAAGATTAGTTATCAAGACAGTTAATTCGAGGACCTTTCTTTCAAATATTCATTTCAGAGACAACGCGGCACATTACTCATCTGATTGGTTTCAAAAACACGTCGAAATGCCAGAACTGTGTCGAAAATCCTTTTTGCGAGACATTTCACTGAAAGAAGTGTTTTCGCTGAACATCTTTAATTCCGTTTTACCATGCTTTTCTAAGCTTTTCAATAATCTTCTTTTCTCTTGCTTTTCAGCTGATTTCAGCGCAGTTTTCCCTATTGCGCGTCAATTTAAATGCAAGAACCGAGCACCGTCACGCAAAACTGCACACATGCAGAGATCGCGCATACTTTTCGCTCGCGATTTTCGCTCTTTTCCCGTTCAATTTCGTAACTCGTGACTTGCTACACGTGTTTTTGATTAAAAAAATTTCTAAACTATTAGGAGAACCTCGAAAACTGTCGAACCTTGCAGAATGAGCGATCCGACAGAGCAGGATCCCGATTTTGAGCTTGTCGACGGTGCTGAACGCAAATCAAGCACTTCCGATAGCTTTGAGGCCGTGGACGACAAGAAAACAGGTGAATTTGTGAAAAAATATGGAAAACGAGCAATTTCTCTTTCAGACAGTCAATCGGTGAGCGAAAATGAGGAGGAGGACGCTGAGAAGACTTTAAACGACGAGAAAGAAGTGGAAGAGGAGAAGCCACAGCTTCCGTTCGTCGATCAATCGATACTGGACGACGCGAATCGACCAGTGGAAAAGGACGGTGAGCAGCTGGTCGAGGATGCGTTGAACGCTCCGATTCGACCTGATCAGGAGCAGTTTTATACTCCGGAGCACTCGAACAGGGCAATAACACTGCTCATCGGGTTCTCGGCGCTCATGTTCACCGTTCCCCTTCTCGTCATGGCCTCCCTCTACTACTGGGTCTTCATTGGTAAGGAATGCGTGATTTTTCTGGTTTTTTCAGTCCAAATTTGCAGATTATTTCCACATGCCGCCAGCGGACGCGATGCTCTACGCGGGAATCGGTGCCGCCATCGCCGTCATCCTCATCGCCGCCGCCTTCTGTTATGTCGCGTGGAAAGAGGAGAAGGACGCAGAGGACAAGTTGAAGGCCGAGAAGAAAAGCGAGTAATCGGTCGACTTCGAACCCATAATAACATTGAAATTGCCTTCATTTTTTTTAATCCTGTTCCATTTCACTTTTCACCCCAGCTTTGGACCTCGATTAGTTTCCCAATGTGATAGCAACGCACGTTTGTACATACCGAATGAATGATTTCACTTGTTGTTGCGGATTTCTTTGATATTTTGCGTTTATTCGCTGTTTTTATACCTTTTCCCTTTCCCCCACTGGCCCTGTGACAACTCGGCGTATCCGGGTCGTTTTGGTCTCTTCTCATTGTTTTGCATGCCATGCCCTTGTTCTCATTTCCTTTTCTCTCCAACCCAATGGATATACCGAGTTGTTTGCAGTGAAATGGCCACTCCCGTGCCGGCGTCGACGCTCCAAACCCTTCTGCCGAACTTTCGCGATCAGGAGGTGCAGAGCGCCGTCAAGAATCTGCTCGCCTATTCCCTTGTCATTCTCATCGTCCCACTCGCCTCCATGTTCCTTCTCAAACAGTACTTTTTCGAAGGTACCCGCGATTAGCGTCTCATTTTCACACACACAATAAACGCGTTTTTCCACCGGCTCCTCATTTCAGCGCTCCTCGGATTTGCCGCCAACGACGCGCTCACCTATTCAGCGATCATCGCCGTCATCCTTGTACACGTCGTGCTCGCCGTCTGGCTCTTCGCCGCCACGAAACAAGAGGATCGCAAGAAGCGAGAGAACAAACTAGACTGAGAGATGCAGTCTGACGCACACGGTCCCCACTTTTTCCCCTTATTTTTTGTCTCCTTCCTCCTCCTCCATCACTTTTTCCACTGTACATAGAAAAAGAATAAAATTATTTGGGAAGAGCCCCCGCCCTCCGTCGATTTTGGGAAGGAAACGAACGAAAATGTTTGCAGATGAGCCTGTGAATCTCGGGTTCGGCTTGGAGATCGATCCCGATGAGCTCTACCGCCTTCGCTCGCAATTCCTTCCGCTCGGCAAGATCGGAGGGAAGCCGGCGTGGCTCAACCCGAAAACTCTGCCAAAATCGTCCGATCTTTTGTGCAAAGTGAGTTTTCGGGCTAGGTTTTAGTGAACTTTTCAAAAAATGTCAAGAAAGTATAGTTTTTAGCTCTTGCGTGCAAAAAACCAAAATTTTTTAAACATTTCATTAGGGTTTTCAAAGATTGAATGCGATTTCAGGTATGCCAAAAACCGCTGTGCTTCCTGATGCAAGTTTCGGCAAACGGCGGTCCGTCTGACCCGGAGCACGCATTCCATCGCTCGCTCTTCCTCTTCGTCTGCCGCGACGCCACGTGCTCGCGTGCCAACGACGCCGCCAACCTGAAGGCGTTCCGCTGCCAACTGCCACGCTCCAACGCCTTCTACTCGTTCGACGGTCCCATGGACGCCGATTTGGACGGCGACGTTCCGGACCCGCGTGCGCTCGTCGACGGACCCGCGCTCTGCCGCATTTGCGGGTGTCTGGCGGCGAAAAAGTGCGCCAAGTGCCAGGTTGCCAGGTGAGAAGAGAATTTCTAAAAAAAAAGTCGAGTTTGGTGATTCTCAGATACTGTTCCCAAGCGCATCAAGTGATCGATTGGCCGGCGCACAAATTGGAATGCGCGCAGGCGGCTGCCGACGGAATGATCGCTGACGAGCCGAGAAACCCGCGCAACGCGTTTGTCTTCAAAGAGTTCGGCGTCGAAATTGACCAGGAGTACGTGCCGAGCAACCTTTTCCACGGGCTCAGCGACGATGAATCCGACGAGGAGGAGGAGGAGGAGGAGGGCGGCGGAGAAACCGACGAGACGGAGGAGGAGAAGCGGGCGCGGCTCAGAGAGTTCGAGAAGTTTTGCGAGAAAAATAAGGGGGTAAGAAGGGAAAGAATGAAGATTTTCAACCGAAATATCCATTTTCAGAAGAACATTGACATGACGAAAGAGGATTTGGACGCGGCGACGGCCGAGCAGAAGAAGGACACGGACTTTGAGCGCTTCAACCGACTCGTCGCCCTCAATCCCGATCAGATCGTCCGTTACAAGCGCCACGGCGTTCCACTGCGTGCCACGTGTCAATCGGAGCTTCCGGAGACGGTCGAGCCGTGCGAACTGTGCGGAGCGCCGCGCCGATTCGAAATGCAGCTCATGCCGCACCTCCTCTCGCTCATCGACGTCGACGCGATCGGTGAGAGAAAAAGCGACGAAAAACGGAAAAATCGGGAATTTTGCAGGTCAGAGCATCGATTGGGCGTCGGTTTACGTGTACACGTGCTCGGCGAGTTGCCAGATTGCCGACGACGGATACGCGAGAGAGTTCGTCGCCAAACAAGACTTCCTTTGAATCATTTCCCGTTGTTTTTGTTCGTTTTCCTTACGTTATTTGTTACTGTTCCTGCTAATTCACCGATTTCGCTCGAATAAACTTGTTGACACAAAATTTTCCCATATTTTTATGTTTTTTAAGGTAGATTTTCGCCATTTTCTATTGAAATTGAAAGTTTAGAGCGAATTCGCTCATTACCTGTAAAATTTGTACAACTTTCTGCTCAATTTCAGATGGAAAAATCGGCGCCACCACCGACGGCCACGTCGTCAAACGAGCACGAAAAAGAGGAAGAAGAAGAAGTGGACGAGGAGCTGGCGAGCCCCAATTTGTACGAGGAATCAATGGCCGAGATCACTTTCAATGAGACCCGCGACGGCGGACATGTACGGCGCCGTGAAATTTGAATTTTTTGAAAAATTGCATTTCAGGACGATGATCCGTTCGATCGAAGCGGCGAGTACGACGAGGACGTGAATTTGACGGCGCCGCCGCCAATCACACCCGACATTCCGGACGTGCCGCCCAAAATTCTGAAGGACCGGCCGAAGACGTCGTCGGAAAAGAAGGCGACGACGGAAGAAGAGAAACAATAGATTTTCCAGTGTATTTTTTGTTTATTTGCAATATTTTCGCTCATGAACCCGCTTTTCGTTGTCTGTCTTTTATGAGCGCTTCCATCGAATTCGTTTCCACCGACGTCTTCGAACTGCTGACCGCCTTTTTCCGGCGACGTCGGCACTTTCCGAGCATTCGCTTGAGCACCGAGCCACGTGTCACTTTGTCCTCCTCGTCCGCCTCGGCCACACTCGCGCTCAGCCGCTTCAGACTGGCAATGATCGCCACTTCTTTCCACTTCCAGTAGCCCATCAAACTTAATCGCAGGACGAGACCGCTCGGAATCGAGCCGCTCAACACGCAGACCCAGTAGAAGTAGCCACGCTGAAAATGTGGCGGCCTAGAACGCAGAGAGGAAAAGCTAGGCCACGTACGTGTCGGTGGTTGATAAACTTGATCGGATCGTACTCTTTGTCGTCTAGCAAATGTGATCTCTTTTTCAAGTGCTCAAAGTATTGTGAACTCACTCCAAACGTCCTTCCAATGATCGCCGGAACAATCGGTGCCTTTACAACAGTACAATTCGGTCACAAATGTCGAATTTGCGAAAAAAACGGTCGTGCTCGTGTTCGCCACCGTTTTCGCCTCGTTCACAACGTCCTTGCACCCCCTATAAACGTTTTTTAAAAGTTTTTTTTTCAAAAATTAAAGAAAAACATTTCTACTTGGTGAGCGAAAAAGTGTTATAGTAGGTGACCGAATGGACGTTCGTCGCGTTGTCCTTCGTGAATTCGACCGGTCGAATGATTCCGTAGTCGGAGATGCACGAAAAAATGTAACGGTCCTTTATAATTCGGATTTTAGCGCACGAATAGTCGGACGGAAGACACGAGCTCCAGTACTGAAATTCGCAGCTGTTAGGGCCTGATTTGAGGCCTCGAAGTTACCATCGTCCAAAACTCCCTCATCTTTGGAGACCTACATCTCCAGAACCCACCATCAATAAAAAAAAATGATCAACTGGAAAGTTGTTGCAAATTTTGTGTTGAACAACTTTGTAGTTGATCATTTTATACCAAAACACTTTATTCTCGTGTTATACTTCTGTTTTTAACCGCCATTCACAAAAAGCCAAATGTAGGACAATTTTTAAAAATTGGCATGGACCAGGGGTGTGCGGAAAATATTTCGATTTTCCGAAATTTTCCGATTTTCCGAGAAATTTTCGGCAAAATTTTCGGAAAATTAGTGTGGATTCAAGGTCAATTTGTCCGAAACCACCGTATGCTTTTTAAAGGCGCATCACAAAATTTTTTTTTTCTGTACTCCCGCAACGACTGCAGAAACGGAGCGACTCTTTTCAACCGCGCGTCTCATTCTCACTGACAATCGGAAAACACTGGACCCGGAGAGCTTCTCTCGGCTAATTTTTTTGCAAAAAAATATTCCATTGCTTGGCTTCCGCCCACTCAAGTGATTTCAAATCATAATAAGCATTTTTTGTATTAGAGCGTTGTTTAAACACTTTATTGAACCAATGAACAAGTGAGTTTTCCGAGTTTTCCGATTTTTCCGATTTTTCCGATTTTTCCGAAATTTTCCGAAAAAAAAAAATCGGAAAACCCGATTTTCCGAAATTTTCCGAAAAAAAAAATTCGGAAAAACCGATTTTCCGAAAATTTTTTTTTCTATTTTCCGCACACCCCTGGCATGGACCCTTGACGGTCACGGGTACGCGGCAATTTTTAAAAATTGGCATGGACCCTTGACGGTCACGGGTACGCGGCAATTTTTAAAAATTGGCATGGACCCTTGACGGTCACGGGTACGCGGCAATTTTTAAAAATTGGCATGGACCCTTGACGGTCACGGGTACGCGGCAATTTTTAAAAATTGGCATGAACCCTTGACGGTCACGGGTACGCGGCAATTTTTAAAAATTGGCATGGACCCTTGACGGTCACGGGTACGCGGCAATTTTTAAAAATTGGCATGGACCCTTGACGGTCACGGGTACGCGGCAATTTTTAAAAATTGGCATGGACCCTTGACGGTCACGGGTACGCGGCAATTTTTAAAAATTGGCATGAACCCTTGACGGTCACGGGTACGCGGCAATTTTTAAAAATTGGCATGGACCCTTGACGGTCACGGGTACGCGGCAATTTTTAAAAATTGGCATGGACCCTTGACGGTCACGGGTACGCGGCAATTTTTAAAAATTGGCATGGACCCTTGACGGTCACGGGTACGCGGCAATTTTTAAAAATTGGCATGAACCCTTGACGGTCACGGGTACGCGGCAATTTTTAAAAATTGGCATGGACCCTTGACGGTCACGGGTACGCGGCAATTTTTAAAAATTGGCATGGACCCTTGACGGTCACGGGTACGCGGCATTTTTTAAAAATTGGCATGAACCCTTGACGGTCACGGGTACGCGGCAATTTTTAAAAATTGGCATGAACCCTTGACGGTCACGGGTACGCGGCAATTTTAAAAAATTGGCATGGACCCTTGACGGTCACGGGTACGCGGCATTTTTTAAAAATTGGCATGAACCCTTGACGGTCACGGGTACGCGGCAATTTTTAAAAATTGGCATGAACCTTTGACGGTCACGGGTACGCGGCAATTTTAAAAAATTGGCATGGACCCTTGACGGTCACGGGTACGCGGCATTTTTTAAAAATTGGCATGAACCCTTGACGGTCACGGGTACGCGGCAATTTTTAAAAATTGGCATGAACCCTTGACGGTCACGGGTACGCGGCAATTTTTAAAAATTGGCATGGACCCTTGACGGTCACGGGTACGCGGCAATTTTAAAAAATTGGCATGGACCCTTGACGGTCACGGGCAATTTTAGCTAGTGAAATTGGCATTGGCATGGCATTGGCATGGACCCTCCCACACGAATTCGTCTTCTGCTCACTTTCAAATTATCGTCTGGCTTCCCAAACTTGTCGCTTTCGCCAGCAAACTTCTCAAACGTGATCGGCGTCAAAGACCTCGGACATTTATACTCGATCCTACAATACGTTCGAATTCATTCAAAAACTCTGAAAACACTCACACATTATTCTCAATTTTTATTGTTTCACAAGCGCAAATAATAGCGACTAACCATAGAAAAAACATTACAAAAAATGGTCGCTTTTGTCAACATTGTGTGGCCACGTGGATAATCGGGAATTTGGAACAACTCTTTAGCATTTCACAACTATTTTAAGGCCACGTCTACTTGACACTTATGTGCGCGTTTTTGTGAATGTTGGCTCTGAAAATGACTGAAAATGTGGTGCGCTTGAATTGATTAAACTGCATTTCAGACCTGCCAAATCCCGGGCCGGCCCGGCCCGGCCCGGTCGGCCCGGAAGTTAGACCTCAAAAAAAAATATGCAAAAAAAAATATGAAGAAAGAGGAAAACGCGTGCGGCAAAATTGCTAAAATGGCGTGCCAGAGTTGCAATCAATCGCTCCGCCCACTCTTGAGAAAATTTTCGTAATTTTTGTGAAAATTTTGCGACTTTAAACAGCAATTTCTATTTTTTAACAGGTTTTTATGCTATAACATTGCCTTTTTCGTCTTTTTTTCTATTTCTGACTGATTTGTTGCAATTTTAAGTCTATAAAATTATGTTCGCTTTGAATTTTTAGGTGCATCCTCCCGGGCCGACCGGGCCGGGCCGGAAAATTTCCAATTTTGGCCCGGCCCGTTGCAAGTCTGCTGCATTTGGACTCATGTGAACGGCTCTTCATCAGTCATTTAAATTGCACATTTTTCCCCGAAACCGTGAAATTTCGCTGCGGTTTTCGCGGGCGACCTTGCGTTTGTCACCCCGTCTCTTCGGAAACTCGTAACGGCCGAGGCATGTGAGGGAAACGGCCGAAATCTCTGCAAATCTCCACAAATTACACCCTTTTTCGTTTTGCGATCATCGAAAAGCAGAAAGAGAGAGAGAGAGAAAGAGAGAAGAAGGAAAAATGGAAAGTTTCAATGTATGCGGAAATCGAAAGTGTCTCTGTCATCTGAGAGAGAGAGAGAGAGAGAGAGAGAGAGAGAGAGAGAAAGAGGGAATACCTGATTCCGGCGGGCCGAAAAAAGAGGAAAAGCTGTGAAAAGAGAGAAAGTTTGACGCGCGTTTCGGGTGGCATTATCATCACTCATCACGCGAAACCGCATGTTTGGGTGAGTACACGAGAGCCTACGACAATTTGCAGACAAGGGAAGCTACCGTAATCTAGCGAGACTACTTTTCTGCTAATTGTCGAAGTATCTAGTGTACTCTGGACATATTCAACTTAAGTGCTGTGCAAAGCTATATTCAAGACGCTATATCTCAGTCGTCGGTGGAGGAATCAAAAAGTTGTCAACTGCCGAAATATTCAAAAAGACATTTTGCACATTTTACCAGTTAACCCCTTTTTGATATCTCTAGCGACAGGCGAGATACGATGCTTTAAAAGATAAAACAATCTACTCGAGAGAAGTTGGCAATATTCAGACTACCGTAATCCTTCGAATTCATCTTTAAACACTTCCCCGTCTCTCCATTCAATTCGGTTTTTGCTACAAGTTGTAACACTCTGCCCAACGTTTCCCAGATAATGAAATTCGTTAAAAGATCTGTCCATCAGATATTCTTCCCCCATTCCAATTCACTATTTCCGTTCGAAAACGCCAAAAAACCTCTAATCCAGTTATCCGCCCCGACGATGGCCAGTAATTCCGACGAAGAAGAAGGAGAAGAAGAAGAAGAGGACGATAACGATCCCACTGTCGTTCCCTTCGGCTTCTTCTTCTTCTTCTTCCTCTCTCTCTCTCTCTCTCTCTCTCTCTCTCTCTCTCTCTCTCTCTCTGCTTCTCCCGCCCACTCGCACGCCTTCCGCGAAGACGATCGTGGCAGTTTCTGGTATTACGCAATCGCGGCGAAGACGACAACGTCGCCGGCTTTTCCTCTCCTCGCGGCGAAAGTTTTATCTATTATTTTTGACGGCCGCCCGCGCGCGGGCGCATGTCAGAAGCCTTACGTAACCGAAACACTCGTCCATTTGTTTTCCAGGGACCACTGATCTTACCGCTTACTTTCGCCGTTTTTTTTCCGTGTTTCACAGCTCAATGCGCCCCCGTCGTCCCGCCCGCAGCCCCGAGCAAATCATTGCCCTTGCCGCAGAAGGTGTCAGAGTGAGCGCGTGGCGCAGCTGTTGCGTTTTGCATTTTCAATCCACCCGACGCGGGTTCGACACCCACCTAGCGCGATTCTCTTTTGCCTTCTCCGGAAATTGGTTTCGCTTCTTCTCCGCCGCCGTCGGTAATTAGCGAAAGTGTAGGTTGTAGACAGACGGGCACTCGAAGCTTCTTCACTTGAAAAGTATCTGCCAAAGCGAAGACTTGTTCCGAATCGAATTGTCGTCGAGTTCAGTGTCTGGTGTGTGTGTAAACACGCAGCTACAGTAATTCTCGATCCAATTGGCATTGCATATCGCCCGGAAAGTGATTTGATTGATCGGCGCGAGGATCTCGAAAGAATAATGACGACCGCAGAGAGAGAGATTCGATCTCTTGTTGATTATGTCATTATCCTGTTTGGACGGGATGGCGGACACAAAAATGATCGGCAAGATAAATGGGCAAACGAACGGCAAGAGGAAGGAAGTGAAATCAGCCCATCGGGGGGGGTACGGTAGACTCGAATGTGTGAAAAGTGTCGTAAGCTTCGATGCATGCACAGCTTTCGGATCGTAGACCACCCCAATTCCGTTCCAGGTGCATAATCTGAACATTGACCCCGAAAAAACTCGCTTCTTTTCTCCCCCACAATCCCATAATTGCCCCCTCACTATTCCTATTCACTTTTCACGGTCAGCTTCATTTCAAGCAACCTTTTTCTGGCTTTCCTGGCCTGGATTACTGTAGTTATACGTCACAATGTTTTCGCAATAAAATAAAAAAAGTGGGTTTAGGTCGGATGGCATTGAAAATGGCGTGTATAAAAGAGATACGGATAATAGTTTTGCAAGAAGTTAGGACTTCCTCTTCCGCTATTATCTCTTTCGAAAAACGGTGTTTGAAGCTACAGTAATCTCTGCCAAATCCAATTTGCCACATAACAGAATAAGCAAGAATGCAAACATTCCCCTGTGTCCACAATTACTGTTCTTCTTCTTCTTCTTCTTCTACCAGTACATCATCCAGTTCCCCCTCCCGCTCCCGATTCCGCCCCAGCTTTATGATGTCCAGACGCTTTTTTTCTCGTTTTATGTGCGTTCTCATCCAGATTCCTTTCGGCTTCTTCGTCTGTTTGTATGTGTATGTTTACAACATTCGTGTTTGTGCCCAATCCGTTTCCTGCACGCCTATTTTGTACTATTCACCGTTTGCCTTGCAAACTGCAAAAGAAATTTTTCGCGCGTGGGCTTCGAACCCGAGCCCTTGGTTTCGCAGACCAAAACTCAACGACTGCGCCATGCCCACCACTCGCAGCTCTGCCGCTGAGTGTCGTGATGTTATGGGTGTAACGGGCGCCGCGAGCTCTCCGCTCATTCTTCCAATCACAGACTTTCGAAATTATCGTAACTTTTCCAGATGCTCGTTCTACTTGTGGCATTTCTCTTTCCAATTCTGGCTCAAGCTCAGGTACGTACCTCCCTCCCCCAACCTATATCTTTTTTTTCAATAATCCCCCTATTTCAGCAAGTCAACGTGACCATCTTCACCGAATCGCAATGCCCGTACTGCACGAAACTGCTGCGCGAGCAAATCTGGCCATTTTATGTGAACCGACCCGGTATTATGAACTTGCAGGTACCTTAAATGGATGAAAACATGTGAAAGTACAGAAATCAAGAAGTTTTCCAGATTATACCGTTCGGAAAAGGAGATTGTAGCTATGATTACAACCGGAACTTCCACTGCACTTGCATGCACGGAGCCACCGAGTGCGATCTGAACCGTCTGCAGAATTGCGCCATTTCGGTAGGTTCACGTGGTGGAGGGTACTAAGAAATCATGCAAAAGAGTTTTCCACTTGATGGGACTCGAACTCGCGTCAATCGATCCGGGTAGGTTTACAAATCCAAAACGTTAGCATCTGCACCAGACGGGCATCTCCGATTGGGCCTCGTAAGGGCAAGGATAAGCTTGGGTGCCGCGCCTGAAACTCGGACATTTGAACAATATTCCAGTACTTTCCGCGTCGTCATCTGGGCCTCGTAACCTGTATCCAGGGCCTCGGGACCCTCCGCGAAGCCTTCTCCAAGTGCCTCAGCCGACTTTCGGCCAACACCCAAAGAAAACTGATCGAATGTGCCACGACGCAAACCGGCGAACTGCTCAACTACTACTCGATGGTGAACACGCACCGAGCCGGTGTGCGAGTAAGTCGCGCCGCCAAGAGTACAGTAATCGCGAGCCTCCCTTTAAGATCTGGCCGACAATGTACGTGAACGGCGTGTTCTTCGACCGCAGCTATCCGGTGGAGCACAAACTTTGCGAGCAATCCAACTGGTGCTAATTTCTAAAGTTTCTCGCCTCTTTTTTTGCTGGAATCTCAGGGTTTTGTGTTGCTAAATTATTGCTCATTCCTCATTATTCTAACCATAAAAGTTTATTTATTTGGAAGCGCTCACAATCAGAATCGCCAAGATTGCCGAGAAAACGAGAACGCCAATTTGATAAGATAATTCGAGAGAAATGAGAAATCGGAACGGGTACAAGATTTCGGCGAAGCAAGTGATTTCAGACGGACAATGGAATCTGCCACGTTGCGAATCGTATTTGGAAAGGCTCGCGGCTTGCGGGACGTCGAAGAATCGGACGGAATGCGTCGAAGACGTGGATTGTGAAGACGTGACGACGACGGAGTAGATGAAGCCGTGCGAGTGCGAAATCGAGATGGTCGTCGAGCCGCAGAAGGTCGCATTCGGCTGGAGGTATCTGGAAAATGAGGGATTCGTATGGTTGTCGAGGCATTTTCGACTGTCTGTACTCTTCGTTTTTGACAGGGGACTATTCGTGAAAGGTTTTGTCGTCTTTCAACTACGAAATTATCATCACTTCACCGCTATTGCCCCCTGAGAAAAGCCCGCGAAGTTCAAATGGGGCTCCGCCCCTTCAGCGTTCAATTCTTGCAAGTAGCGTGCGCAGTTTTCGCAAAGGTGCCGCACGCATTGCTCTGAACACCGAATTCTTGAAAATTAAAGCAGAAAATTATTTTCTTGTTATCAAAGCGTATTCTGTCGCCTTGTTGCATCTTCTTTTCCGAAAAAATACACTAAAAACCGACAACGAAAGTTTTTTTTACTTGTTTTTTCACTGTCGAACTGAAAAGCAAAATGTGTGCGGCACCTTTGCGAAAACTGCGCGCGCTACTTGCAAGAATTGAACGCTGAAGGGGCGGGGCTCCATTTGAATTTCGCGGGCTTTTCTCAGAGGGCAGGAGCGGTGAAGTGATGATATGAAAATAAAGCGAATTTTGTCAAGAACTGTTGGAAACCATCTTTCGTTATCTTTCCTACACTGCAATCCTCAATTCCCTTTTCCTTAAACGTCTTGGAAGCTTCACGCGAAAAAACGTAACCGCTCGACATTTGGAAGTGTAAACCAGAGCAGGAAAGATGTGGAGCAAGTGATAAGGACGTCTATAAAGGGGAAGACACTTCAGAGTTCTCAAGTAAAGAAGAAATGGCGCAATCGGTTCCGCCGGGAGACATCGCGACGCAGCCGAGCGCGAAGATCGTGTTCAACGCGCCGTACGACGACAAGCACACGTACCACATCAAAGTGATCAACTCGTCGGCGCGCCGTATCGGCTACGGAATCAAGACGACGAACATGAAGCGTCTGGGAGTGGAGCCGCCGTGCGGAGTGCTCGACCCCAAGGAGGCGGTCCTGCTCGCCGTCTCGTGCGACGCGTTCGCCTACGGACAGGAGGACACGAACAACGACCGCATCACCGTCGAGTGGACGAACACTCCGGACGGCGCCGCGAAACAGTTCCGGCGCGAGTGGTTCCAGGGCGACGGGATGGTCCGCCGCAAGAACCTGCCCATCGAGTACAATCCCTGAGGGACCATTAAACGCGCACACCGATGATGACAGCACATTACTAAAATCCAGTGTAAAAAAGAGAATAAAGAGAGTTTTTTGTATTTTTTGGCCCGTTTTATTCGCTCTTCTTACATGATCGGAACTTCACAAGCGGGGGAATTGGGGCAGTTGCACAGAAAGACATCGTCTGGAAATGGAGGCGAACAGGCCTGAAAATCACTGTTCCAAAAGTGTCGGAAAACCAGAAAAAGCTCACCGAGTTGTCTGCATTCATTGTGCTATTGATCCCAAACTGAAAAAGTGGGAAAACGTCTGAAAAGAAGAGAAATCTTTAAATTTTTCAAAACTAAGCCGTCTAGACCTGTTTCATTCTCCCCGCCAGCCAAAACGGTCTCACGTAAAGTGTAATTTCGGCAGGAAAACTCGGAATTTTCGAAATTCGTCGTTTCTTCGTAATTTTGAACAATTTGCGTGTTAACCTGAAACAAAGTTACCAATTTTTCAATTCAAATTACCAGAAAACTCAACCATCACATCGTCCAACTCGAAAATCGAGAAATTTCCAACGGTCCGCACGCCGACCACCACGTTTTCGCACAAATTTCCACTTTGAAACGGAGTTTTGCACTCGGACGGACCGTTTTTCAGGTGAAAACACTCGGAAACGTCCGAATGCCGCTGCCAGAACTGATGGGAAAATTGTGACGTGACAAGGCAGTCGGCGGAGCGGAAAAGGGAAAAACATTGTGTGGAACTCTCGAGAATCGGGCACGACCAATTCAAATTTCTGAAAATTGGACGAAATTTGACGAAAATCCATCTGAAAATCACCTGGAAAACCCCTTCGTCTCCACTGATGGCGGTAGATTTTCAACCCGGAAATTTTGAGGATTTTTGTCGTTTTCTTCGGCGTTTTCAAAAAAATCCTCGTAAAACGAGTCGATAATCGTTGGAAATCCACCAACTACCCGAAATGGATCGAATCTACAACAAAAATTCGGCACTTTTCTGGTAAGTTTGGAAAAAAAACCGACCCAAGTTTAACAGGCACTTCCCAATTTTCAAACAGAATATAACACCCGAGGAACAGTAGGATATTGCAGATAATTGTAAATTCCATAGTTTCTGACCCTTTTTCCTGCTTCAGGGACCCTCATTTCCCCTGTTTCCATGGCTACTCCGAAGGCAGATGGGCTCACCGGAGAGGCGTGTTGCAAGTGCGCTCCATTGAGAACCGCGACGCGATGCGCAACGCCCTCGAACGTCTAGAGATTTTCGAATTTTGAACGGTTTCCGCGGCGTTTTGAGTGTTTCTATCGGTTTTTGCACCATTAAGCGAATAAAAATTAAAGTTCTCACAAATGTGAGTAGTTTTAACGTTTTTTACAACCTTTATACATTTTTTCATGAAACGTTCTAGAATTTTAGTGAAATATTGAATTTTCTCAATTTTTGGCTCATTGTTGCATTTTCGATGAATTTCTAGATATTATTTAATTAATTTTCGTTTTCAAAAGATGTCGAGCAGCACGAAAACTCTTTCCCAAACTTACGGACCGCGTCCGCAGAGTTTCACCCTCGATGAGACCGGCGAACGCTACTACATCGGATCGGAGATCGGCGCGTACCTCCGTCTGCACCGTGGAACTCTCTACAAAAAGTATCCGCTGCTGTGGCGCAAAGTGGCCACTCCGGACGACAAGGACAAGTTGAAGCAGATCGCCATGTCGAATGCCTTCTTGCACACTAATATAATGTGAGTTTTTGAAAGAATATTCTGAAAACTTGAGAAAAAACGAGAAATTTTATAGGTTGCTCAAGGCGCACGAGGTTGACGAGTTGCTCGACGGCTCCGAAGAGAAGTACCGTGCCGCCGGGGCTGCTCCGTCCACTCCACGAGCCGAAGGAGCCACGCGAGCGGTAAACAAAACTCCGGCAGCCGGATGGGCCGGACAACAAGTGACTAGCGGTTCGCATCACCTCGAATCCGTCCCCTGCTCATGTCCAATCGCTCATTCTCGCGGCAGAATGAAGCACAGAGAGTTGGCCTACTCTCCAGAAGACCTAGAATTGGCGAAGCGAGTTGTGGAGAACGCGAACGAGGGCGAGGATCTGGTGCCGATTCGATTGGATATGGAGCTGGATGGAATCAAGCTGAGAGACACGTTCTGCTACAATCGCAACGAAAAGATCATCTCGCCGGAAATGGTGGCTGAGATCATGTGCGAAGACCTGGATCTCCCGCTCGCCATCTTCCAGCCGGCCATCACTGCGGCTATCAATCAGCAGCTCGAAGCATCCACCGAAGCGCCGCCGCTCGACACGAACACGTGCGATCAGAGGGCCGTCCTCAAGTTGAACATCAACGTCGGCAATCAGAGTCTCGTGGATCAGTTCGAGTGGGACATGTCGGATGCGAACAACAACCCGGAGGAATTTGCCCGGAACATCTGCAAAGAACTCGGGTTGGGCGGTGAATTCGCGTCGGGCATCGCTTATTCGATCCGCGGACAACTTCAGTGGAATCAAATGACCTACGCGTTCTCCGAAAGCCCACTCGCCACCGTCGATTGTCCGTTTAGGTATGGAAACGATAAAAACATGCAAAAAACACCTTTTTAACCAATTTCAGAACGTCGCAAGAGGTCGAATCGTGGGGACCGTTCCTGGAGACGTTGACGGATGCGGAAATCGAGAAGAAGATGCGCGATCAGGACAGAAACACGCGGCGAATGCGTCGTCTCGTCGGCGGAGGCTTTAACTACTAAACACCTGATCTCTTTTTGCATTTCATTCAAAATTCCAAACAGAAATTGTATTTACTTTCCATTTTCGTCACTTATTCTCCCTTGTATTTAAACGTCGCTCTCTCTTTTCGACTGCTCTTGTCACTGACACGTGGCGGTCCTCTTTTATGAGCACTTTGTGTGAATAAATGAAACAAATTTTCAGAAAAATGGCCGACAACGACGTCGAGATGGAAGACGTGGTGGCGAACGCCGAAAAGTCAAAGGGAAGAGGATTGGCACAGGTAAATTAGTGATTCTGACATCAAAAACCAGTTGGGCGAGCGGTTCAAGCATCATTATTGTTGTCTCGTTTCAGTCGCGCAATCGCGAGAAGATTGTGTACGACGTGGTCGACGAGGAATCAGCGATCTCGGGCGGCAGCGGCGGAGGCGGACCACAGAGATCTGTCGAAGGATGGATCGTATTCGTGACGAACATCCACGAGGAGGCGACCGAGGACGATGTGCACGAGAAGTTTGCCGAGTATGGAAAGATCAAGAATATTCATCTGAATTTGGACAGAAGAACCGGATTCCTCAAGGGATACGCTCTCGTTGAGTACGAAACTCAGAAGGTACGGGTTTTTCGGGTGGAAACTTATGAATTGTGATTTTTAGGAGGCCAGCGAGGCGATCGAGAAGAGCAACGAAACGGAGCTGCTCGGCCAGAACATCAAGGTCGACTGGTGCTTCATCAAGGGAAAGAAGACGTCCGGAAAGCGCTAAATCACGTTTCACACGTTTTTGTTCTGTTCTCAATATATTTATTCTTATTTATTCCCACGTTTTCGCGCGCGCCCACCACCACTTGGTACGTTTTTTTTTTGGCAAATTTTAACCAATTTGGTCTCTGTCCCATTTTTAGCCTCAATCGAATCGCTCTCTCCCTTGTTGATTTCTCTATGCAATATAAAAGAGTGAATGAAAAATACTTTTGACCAGTCTACATTTGAAATTGAACATCGTGACCTGAAAAATGGACGATTGAATATCTTGACTAACTTTTTCTTCGATAATTTGCAAAAGTCGATAATTTTTGCAGATGTTGAGCTCCGCGATACGTGCGCTGAGCCGTGTCCCAGTTCGTCAGCTGAGCACTTCTCGTGCTCTCCTCTCGCTCCGCCCACTCGGACCCAAGAATGCGGTCCCGGCGTTCAAGGGAACCGCCGTCGTCGACGGAGATTTCAAGGTAACCCAGAGAAACGGACGTTTCGCAACCGAAACAGCTTAATTTTAGGTGATCTCGGAGGCTGACTACAAGGGCAAATGGCTCATCATGTTCTTCTACCCGCTCGACTTCACGTTCGTCTGCCCAACCGAGATCATCGCGTACGGCGACCGCGCGAAGGAGTTCCGTGCTCTCGGAGCCGAGGTGATCGCGTGCTCGTGCGACTCGCACTTCTCGCACCTCGCCTGGGTGAACACGCCGCGCAAGGACGGCGGTCTCGGCGATATGGACATCCCGCTGCTCGCCGACTTCAACAAGAAGATCGCCGAGTCGTTCGGCGTGCTCGACAAGGACTCGGGGCTCTCCTACCGCGGACTCTTCCTCATCGACCCGTCCGGCACCGTGCGCCACACGACGTGCAACGATCTGCCCGTCGGACGATCGGTCGACGAGACGCTGCGAGTGCTGAAGGCGTTCCAGTTCTCGGACAAGCACGGAGAAGTGTGCCCGGCCGATTGGCATGAGGACTCGCCGACGATCAAGCCGGGAGTCTCGTCGAGCAAAGAATACTTTAACAAAGTGAACAAATAAAAGGCTCCTCGCCCGCAGTTTTTAAAGAACGAACGTCCAACAACATCCTAGTAGTGTTATTGTTTTTGTAAAATATAAAATAAATGATAGATTAATTGTAAGATTCAACATTCAACAGTTTTCATCGTCCAAATGTATCTTTCAGAGCCCATTTACCCCCTCCTATTTCACAGATTTTAGCGATGAACAGAAGTAAAAAGTTGGCGGCGTACGGAGAGCAATTCGAAGACGATGAGGACGGGACGACGGTGTCGAAGAAGCCGACGGCGATCCACGAGGAAATTGCGACGGACGAGCACGGAAAACGACGGTTTCACGGAGCATTCACCGGCGGATTCTCGGCCGGCTACTGGAATACCGTCGGATCGAAACACGGTACGGTTTGTGCTTCAAATCGATTAAAAACACTTTTTTCTCACATTTTCGGGAGACTATGTTTTCACTCTTACTGCAATCTGTAATTTTCCACAAAAATAACGCATTTTGCCTTGCAGGATGGGTTCCACAAGTGTTTTCGTCGTCCCGAGACGCGCGCGGCGACCAAATCAAGCAGAGGGCCGAAGATTTCATGGATGCCGAGGATCTCGGCGAGTTCGGAATCGGAAAGCGATCGATCAAGCAGACGGCGGCGTTCGGAGATCATGAACGGGCCGGCGGGAAACGGAAAATGGCGTGGGAGCGCGATTCGAGCAGTGTTTCGGCCATGGCACAGCTCTTCGCGGAGGTCGTCAAACCTGTGAGGTAGGCAGTGCCAACTAGACACCAAAGAACACAGAAATTCATTTACTCTATCCTCTATCTATCCTTTAATTTGGAAGATTGTTGTCGTCGTTGTCGATGCCGAGCGTTGTCCCTCGCTCAGGGATTGTACTCGATGGGCAGGTTCTTGCGGCGGACCATCCCGTCGCCCTGGAACCACTCGCGCCGGAACTGCTTCGCGGCGCCGTCCGGAGTGTTCGTCCACTCGACGGTGATGCGGTCGTTGTTCGTGTCCTCCTGTCCGTAGGCGAACGCGTCGCACGAGACGGCGAGCAGGACCGCCTCCTTGGGGTCGAGCACTCCGCACGGCGGCTCCACTCCCAGACGCTTCATGTTCGTCGTCTTGATTCCGTAGCCGATACGGCGCGCCGACGAGTTGATCACTTTGATGTGGTACGTGTGCTTGTCGTCGTACGGCGCGTTGAACACGATCTTCGCGCTCGGCTGCGTCGCGATGTCTCCCGGCGGAACCGATTGCGCCATTTCTTCTTTGCTTGAGAACTCTGAAGTGTTTTCCCCTTTATAGACGTCCTTATCACTTGCTCCACATCTTTCCTGCTCTGGTTTACTATTCTAAATTTCAAGAAGGGGAGAGTTCACGGATAATCAAAAACTTCAATAGAACTTGAAAAGAAACCTATCCAGAAGAAGTAGAAAACCGTTTTTTAGCAACTCGATCGGCGTCCGAATGCTGCGTTCAATGGGTTGGCGAGAAGGAAGAGGCATCGGATTGGCGAATGTGAAACAGAAACAGCAGAGAGGTAATCAGCCTATTTGGGCTGAAATTTGGACGGTGTGAAGATGTGACCCATCAGGTTTTTTCTTTGATTGGGGTGGCGTTGACGCAGCTTTTTGGATACCTGGATTTTGAGCTGCTCGGGCGCAAGTGCCAGTGACCAGAACAAACCAAAAGCAGACTTTCCCTCAACATTTTCCCGGAAATATCCTAGAACAATTCCTTTTTCAGGCGGACTCTCGTCGGAAGCCCAATACGACCGTGAACAAGCATCGAAAGTGGCGCCGTCCTACGAAATGGCCAACGAAGACGCGCTCATCCAGCAGCTGACTCCCCTCACTGGCGTTCACGGCATCGGATACCAGGGCCTCCGCAACACCTCGGTCCTCGACGAATCCTACGGCAAAACGGCTCTCGCCCTCAAATCGGGCAAGAAAAACTCGAAAGGAATCAGCGGACAGGCGTTCGGAGTGGGCGCGTTCGAGGAGGAGGACGAGAGCGTCTACACGAACTACGACCTCTCGCAGTTCGACTTCTCGCTCGACGTCAACGGCGGCGCTTTGGAAGAGTCGAATCTGAAGACGCAGAAGATCGACACGGCGTTCGAGCTGCAGCCGAAACGATTGAATCCCCGGAAGTTCTACCCACCGCCACGTGTCCCTCCGAACTTCCGCGCCGAACATCGCCCCATTCCGATGGATATCTCCCGACTTCCCCGGGTCATGAAAGACGATGTGAAGCAGATGACGGCCGTGCAGAGGGCCATGTTTCTCGGCGAAGATCGGGTGGAGGTGCTGGAGGGGAAGAAAGAGGGAAAAGCGAAGGAACGGCGCAGTCGGTGGGACATCAAAGCGGAGGAAGTGGAGAGGAAAGAGCAAGAAAGAGGCGGAGAGGCGGACGAGGAGAGGGACCGACGTCTCCGGAACCGAATCGAGTTCGCGGACGAACCGATGCGGCAGGCCCGATTCAAAGAGTTCCTGCACTATCTGCGACGCGGCCTCGCGTACCCGCAACCGACAGATCTGACCGTCTGGGAGTGGGAGTGGGAGAAGAAGGAGTTCGAGTCGAAACTGACGTCGGAAGAGCGGGCGATGCTGCCGGAGGTGCAGTCCCGGAGCCAGCCGCTCGCAAAGACCGCCATTGCGGCGCCGATCCACGAGGCGATGGCGTCGAAGTTTGTGAAGGAGGCGGGCGGTGATTTAAAAGTGGGACAGAAGGACGAGGACAAGTTGGCGGCCGTCAAAATGGAGATGTTTGGAGAGAGGACTCGGCAGAGCTTCGAGTGGTCAGTCAAGGGAATTGTGAACTTCATTTTTTTTGCTGCGGAACTCTAGAATTTGAGGAATTTTGTTGTTCTTGAACGGATCACGTTGGTTTTTAGGTCAAGAACCATACGCCCATTTGTGCTCAAAAAGCCTTCAGATGTTCCGCAGCGAATAGTCCGATCAGATCTCATTAGACTTCTATGCTCTCTTCTTTCCAGGTACCCGGACAGTCTGCTCGCCAAACGGTTTAACGTCCCACATCCGTACCCAGGCGCGGAAATGACCGGAGTTCCGGCGCTTCAGAAGAACAATTTCCGAAAAAAAGAGACGTTGGCGGACATTGGAGGCGTTAGCATCGGAATGCCGAACACGGCGAATGAGATTCAAATGAGGTTCACATATTGGTCGGAAATAGTTTTGATCGAATGAAAACGTTTCAGAGAACGACTTCTAAAGTCGAGAGCTCGAAAAGAAGCAGAAGAGCGGAAGAAGGACGACGACTCGGAGGGAGAGAATAAGTACGATGACGCGGATAAACGACGATTGGATTCAGAATCGGAAGAGGAAGAAGAAGAGGAAAAGAGGGAGGAGAAGGCTCCCAAATCTTTTTACGACTTTGTTTTCGGAGGAGAAGGTGAGGGAACGTCTTCTGAAAGCGAATCGGAGAGCGACGATGAACATGCGGAAGAAGAGGAAAGAAGGAAGGCGTTGAAAAAGCGCGACGACGATATTCGGAGGAAAAAAGAGGAAAAGGAGCGGAAAGAGGAAGAGGAAAGGGGGAAAATCGAGAAGGAACGAAGGGAGTTGGAGAGGAGGGAGATGGAAATCGAGCAGAAGAGGAGGAGCAAGACGTCGGACGGAGACGATGACTGCCAGATTATCGAGGAGGAGACCAGGGTGAGCAAGAGAAGTACCAAATCAAAACATTTATTCACATTTATACTTTGTGCTAGAGATTTCATCGCTATGGTTGTTGTTGTTCGAAACATCCCTCGCTCAGGGGTTGTACTCGATGGGCAGGTTCTTGCGGCGGACCATCCCGTCGCCCTGGAACCACTCGCGCCGGAACTGCTTCGCGGCGCCGTCCGGAGTGTTCGTCCACTCGACGGTGATGCGGTCGTTGTTCGTGTCCTCCTGTCCGTAGGCGAACGCGTCGCACGAGACGGCGAGCAGGACCGCCTCCTTGGGGTCGAGCACTCCGCACGGCGGCTCCACTCCCAGACGCTTCATGTTCGTCGTCTTGATTCCGTAGCCGATACGGCGCGCCGACGAGTTGATCACTTTGATGTGGTACGTGTGCTTGTCGTCGTACGGCGCGTTGAACACGATCTTCGCGCTCGGCTGCGTCGCGATGTCTCCCGGCGGAACCGATTGCGCCATTTCTTCTTTACTTGAGAACTCTGAAGTGTCTTCCCCTTTATAGACGTCCTTATCGCTTGCTCCACATCTTTCCTGCTCTGGTTTACTATTCCAAATGTTAAGCGGTTACGTTTTCCGCGTGAAACTCCCGAAAAGTAGGAAAATGAACTCAGTAGAATCCGATGATGAGCTCAGATTCGGCTTAAAAACGTTCTAGGTCAAAGCGCTACAACTAAAAATGGTTTCCGACAGTTCTTGACATTAAGAATTCGGTTTTGAAGTCAGATTTTGCTCACTTTTCGAGCAACTCTTCGAAAGTTGTGCGCTTACCCAGAAATGTCTGAAAAGTGGGAAAACGAGAAAGGAAATTTTTCAAAGACTGGTAAACTTTGCAGGTGTCAACCGCATCGTACGGACCCACACTTCCGCCCGTCAAATCCTTCTCGGCGGCCAAAGTGCTCGAGTTTCTGCAAGAAGATCTGAAGCGAAAGAAAGAGTCAAAATCGAAGAAGAAGGAGAAAAAAGAGAAGAAGTCGAAGAAGAAGAAGAAGGAGAAAAAGAGCAAAAAGGAGAAGAAGAAGCGGAGGGATTCGAGCGACGACGACGACGATTGGGAGGAGAAGAAATGATATTGTTATTTATTATTTTGTTTGATTTCGGGTCAGAAATAAGAGATTTTTGCGAACAAAAAGTGAAAAGTGATGTTTGAACGAAGCGGCTGTTTGTCCCCCCTCTCCAATTGTCTCCGTCTCTTTTTCCCTTTCTTTTTTTCATTTTTTTTCCGCTCGTCTCCCACAATTTCCGCGACTTTTGGTTCCCTTCGTACTCGTGCACTCACACTTACCTTGAAATTTTTCATCGATTTTAATTGAAAACCATTCGGATCACATTTTTCATCTATTCTGAGATCCTTTCTCCTCCTGTTTACCCGATATCATCGAACCGCAAAAGAGTGTGTCCACTGCCTTATCATTCCGAAATTATCAGCAATCGGACGGTTTATCACGCGATTTTCACGAATTGAACGGTGGCGGCGGCGACTTTTTATCAGCGAAAAAAGTTTTGGTTTTATGATTTTTCCGGAGAGAATATTCTGAGCAACTTTTTTCTTCCCATTTTGCGCATTTTCAGCCGATCTTCCCCTTTTATCGATTTCTAGGCTGCAATTCTCGGTTCATCTCGAAAAAAGTCGGAAAAAATCCGTGTTTCGAGAAAATGTTGACAAAAATTCAATGTTCGGACGAATTTCTGCTCAAAAAATGGATCTCACGTGGAAAAAGACAAAAACTTACAAATTTTTAACCCATAAAGATTGCAGCCGCATTTCGCAACCGTGAATCCCCCAATTTTCTGTGTTACAGATGTCGCGAGTGGTGTCGAAAGTGACGGCGTACTTCAGAGCGCACTCGGCGGCCGAATGGAGACACTATTTCCTGTCGACGCATTTCTGGGGACCCGTCGCCAACTGGGGACTTCCGTTGGCCGCTCTCGGAGATTTGAAGGTGACGGCGTCCTGTGAACTCTTTCGAATAATCGCTCTTCGATTTCAGAAGAATCCGGACATGATCAGCGGTCCGATGACGTCGGCGCTGCTCGTCTACTCGAGCGTTTTCATGCGATTCGCGTGGCACGTGCAGCCGAGAAATCTCCTGCTCTTCGCTTGCCATTTCGCCAATTTCAGTGCGCAGGGAGCTCAGGTGACGAGGATTCATAAAGAAAAATACAAACGGCGTCGGTTTTCAGTTGTCTCGCTTCGTGAACCACAACTATTTGCACGTCTACGAGGACCCGGTCCACCACAGATTGATGCTGAAAAAGGAGAAATTGGAGCACGAGCACGAGCCGAAAAACAACTGAAATCGTCTGAATTGTGCTTTGTTCGCGCGGGTCCCGATGCCTCTCTAGGGATTTTTTCGAATAATTATTGCTTGTTATTACAGAAGTGACGTATAAAATAGAATTTTCATCTTAAATTGAAGAGAAAATGGTTTCGGCGCATAACAATTTAGGCAATTTCAAAAAAGTAATAAATAATGAAGTAGCTGGCTGATAGAGCGAGATCCGGACGTGCGGGGGATCAGGGAAAGTTCAAAGTGAATGCAAATGAGTCGGAATGGAATGAAAATGGAAATTATTTTTTGGAGAGTCGAGCGGAAGTGCGCGTTTTCGGTGTTGGAGGAGTCTGAAAACATTGTAAATTTATAATTTTCCTCTGGAAATCGTTTACCTCTTCCTCCTCTTCTTCCAGCGGCAATCCGTACTTGTTCGTCTTTTTCTGCTGCTGTTTCTTTTTCGGCGATTCTACCGACTTCTTTTTGGCCGGGGACGGAGCCGCTTTTCTTCCAGAAGCCCTTCTTTTCGGCTCCTCGACTTTCTCTTCTTCTTCCTCTTCCTCTTCCACCGGCTCCTCTCTCTTTCTCTTTCCTACTTTCGGTTTCGGAGCGATCAGCGGAGTCGAGGCGGTCAGAGTGACGTTGCGGGCGCTTCGACGGCTCTGAAACACAACATTTGCAGTAGGAATTAGAAACAATTCTCGTTTTTTGATGTTTTTAGTGATAATCGACGTGAAAACGCAGCAAAACAACTGGGAAAATAATTGTTTTTTTCTCAGCGTACCCTTCCAGTAGCCGATTCTGCCATGATGGGCGACAACTCCAGATTTCCGAGCGTGTCTTCCTCCTCTTCATCGTCCTTCCGACGCGTTTTCTTCGGCGACGTCGTTGTTCCATTCTTCTTCGCCGCAGAAGTTCCATTCGAAGACGTCGAGGGGGTCGGGGCCGGAGCTCCCCGTCGTTTCGGCAGCGGAATTACTTCCTGCTCTTCTTCGTCCTCTTCGCTCTCCGGCAGATCGTAGACGGCTCGTTTGCCACGTGGCTTCTTCGGCGACGTCTTCTGTTGCGGCTCCTCCTCCAGCTCGTCCTCACTGCTCTCCGCTTTCCCTCCACTCTTTCTCTTTCCTTTTCCCGCCTTTTTCGCTCCTCCTCCCCCTCGTTTCTTCGTCGTTCCAGAAGTGTTCTTCGACGTATTTTTGGCGTTTGTCGAAGACGTCGTCGAGTTCGTTTCATTCTGGGACGGAGCGAGTTTTGCGAGCACGTCTTCCGCTTTGATCGCGTATTTCGGAGGCGGGATGCGTCCGTTCCGCCGCTTCTCTTCCTCGATCAGATAATCCGGCGCGTAGACGTTCGACGGATCGGCCTTATCACGGTAGGAGCACAAATAGAAGAACATGAGGTTGTAGCCGGCCTCTTTCGCGTCCTGGTCCTGCATTTGGAGCTTTGCGCGGTAGAGCATCATGGTGATACCGAGGTCCGAGAGAGCCCACAGCTTCTGGAAAAAGAAACAAAGGGGCGTGTCATAATCATTTCATTTCAATATTACCTTATTGTGCTCGAGCATGTCCTTAGCGCTAAGCCGCTCAAACTTCATCGGTTTGTCCCCACACGTTTTGAGCTTTTCGAGCACTTTCCACACTTTTTGCATGTCGCACTTCGCCAGTTTCAGCGCATCGATCACTTGCCAGAGACACTCCTGCAGCTGGAACAGCTGGTTCAGGTTCGCCACTTTCGTCTCGATCTCCTTCTCCGAATCGTCCGCCTCGACGTTCTCCTCGACGCGTTCCAATCGATCGTAGTTCGCGAGAAGCCAGACGACGTAGGCGACGACCGTTTCCGCGCAGAACGCGGCACGGGCGGCGCCTTCCAGTTTCAGTTCGATCGCGCGAGATTCGCGACGTTCGGCGAATGCGAGTCGAGCTTGGTTCAGACAGATTGATTTGAAGCTGCAACTTTATGGGGATCAGTTGAGCATTACTATTGTCCAAGCAAAATTGCCGGTTTCGACAAATTATCAGGGCTTTTGTCGAATTCTAATGTAAAATCTATCCAGAACCCTAAAATTGAGCACGAACCCGTCGAGTTTGTTCTCTCCGTCCTCGTCGTTCAATCCCAGGTTGATGAGTCCGTAGCAAGCGGCGAATTCGATGGGAAGTCTGCAAAAATGATCATCGAAATTTGCTCCGATTCATGTTACTCACTTCCTTCCGCATCCTTTCTTGACGTGGAACGCGTAATGCAGACGGACGCAGTAGGCTTCGTCCGTGATCATGTAGGCCATGTTCTTGAATAGTCGGGTGTCCATTTTGAGACGGCACGAGACGATCGCGGAGAGTTTGAGGAGACACGCGGCCGCCGACGCACGCAGACGCGCTTTTTCGACTTCACTGCAAGGCAAATGGGATTGATTTCAAAGGGGAAAACGGGCGGAATACCATTGTCTTCCTCCAAAGTCGCCCTTTTTCTGAATAACGTCGCTGAGGACGTCGATCAGCTGCTGGGAGGCCGATTCCAACCGTCGCTTCTCGTCGCTTCCGCTCGCGAACGATGTGATCGCCATCATCACTTTCGTCGCGAATTTCGCCGCGTACACCTAGACAAAACTGAAAATTTTCTGAATTCGCACAAAAATTGAACCTTGACAAGAGCGTAGGCGGGCCACGGCTGTTTCTCCAGCGGCACCAACTCGTTGAACTCGATCGGATCCTCGTCGTGACCAATGTTCGAGGCGAGGATCGTCGATCCGATGCGGTCCGATTCGACGATCGGCAGAATATCGGCGATGAAGTGGTGCACGTCCGTTCGGAATATCTCTCCGAGCACCTGAAATGCGTTCGCGGCGCCCTCCGATTCCAGTTGCAGGCGGTCAATTAGGGTCTGAAAAGGGAAACGATCGGTTTTTATGGTATTTTCTTGTTTTTTACCTGCAAAATGGTGTCAAAGTGCTCGACGGCCTTCTCTTTTCCCAGCAGACTCGCGACGAGCCGGGTCGTCAGTTTGCAGCTGCGACGGTACGCCGGCTCGCTTCGGATGATCAGATCTTTGAGATTTTTGCTGATCGCCAGGAACCAAATCTCTTTTTTCGTTCCTTCCGCTTCGATTTTCTGGCGGAACGCCGTGTTGCTGATGATTTTGGACAGATAGTTGAGCGCCGCTTCGACCGCTTTCGGCTCGTCCGTGTTCAGCATGCTCGAGCGGATTTTTTCGACAATTTGCTCGCTGGTGAACAGATGGGTGAAGTGCTCGGTGAACGTCTGAATATCAGTTTTTAGCTCGAACATTTTCAAAATTCCGCGAAAAAGTACCTTCAAAAGGAGCAAATCCCTCTCAAAGTGCTCCTCGGCGGCTTTCTGCTTTACAATTTTGCCCTGAACGGTCTTGGCGACGAGTGCGATGAGCTCTTCGGCGGTGGCCACGTCGAAAGAGATCGGCGTGATGCGGGCAATGAAATGGCGGAATGAGGTGACCGCCTTATCGCTTAATTTGTAGTTTTCGCATGATCTCTTGTGCACGAATCTCTGCAAATATTGTCATTTTCGAGAATCGTTTGTAACATCTTCCCTACCGTAGCCGCGAGAATCTCTTCGCTTGTGTACTTATCGGCCACCAGTTTCTTTGCCATATTGAACGCCTCCTCGTGCATCGAAATGTCATTGGCAAAGATTTTTATGACCTTTTCGAGGATCGCCGGATCCGGAAAGATCTGTGCGATCCGGTGGATCCGCTCCTCGACCGCTTCCGTGACCTTGTCCGACTGACTGATCTGACTGATCAGTCCGATCATCGCCCTTCTCAACTGCGACGATCGATTGATGACGTCGGTGAACATGGCGACGCCGACGTCGTCCAATCTTCTGAATATGTCGGCCATCATGCGAACTCTGACTTCGGGGGTCTTCTGATAGGGCACAAAGTTGAGTTGGAAGTATCTCTCGATCAATATCCGCGATTCCTGGTAGGCGGGTGTTCTCTGGAAGAGCCGGAGCACGTTGAACACCTTTTTGGGGATGAATCGGACGGCGTCCTTGTCAGTTTCCGTGTACTCGGTCACTCCTTTCCCTCCGACCGTCTGCGTCATCAGATGGTAATACAAGTCCATCATCCGTTTGATCGCATTGTTCCGCACTTGCGGCTTCTTGTCCCACATACGCTCGGCGCACGCTTCGAAAATCGTGTCGTTGAACACCTCGAGACGATCTTTGGCCACGTCCGTCACCGTCGAGACCACCTCGATCCGAATTTCGTCGTTTATATCTTTCGACAATCGCGAAAGGTTCTTGATGAGTTGGGTGCGCAACGAGTTGTGATGCGATCTGAGCACCTCGCCGGTCTGCCTCACAAATTCCTTCCGAACATCGGGATCTACGTCGTTCGCCGAGCTGAGAAACGCCTGCCACGTGGCCTCGTTCGCGCCCGAATACTGTTGATCGCCGAACTTGCACGTGCGGTCCTGCGTGATCTGCCCCACAATCGTGACCGCCTCTTTTCGGTAGTCGGGCCGTTCCGATTGCAGCCAGTAGTAGAGCTCTTCGATGGCGTCGGAGACGAGTTCGTAGGAGATGTGGTGGAGCCAGCGGAGCACGGAAAAGTACTTCGAGCGCGATTCGGTGCCCGTGAGCGTGAATTCGTCCGGGAGTTGGCCCTCTTTGCATGCCGCCGTGATCGTATTGCGGATCGCGTGCGCCAGTTGGTTGTTGCCGCTTTCCATGCACGAACGGATGATGTCCTGGGCCAGGAGACGGGCTTCCGCAAAGTGAGTCTGAAAATTGGGCCTTTGTCTAGTTTCTATTAACAAAAAGCTTAAAAACCAAGAATTTTGTTCACTTTTTTCCTGCCCTTCAGTTTTTACTAAAGACACCTCAAAACGGTACTAACCCTTTGCGGAGGAATAATATGATGGAAGAGGACGTCGAGAATCTCGTTCGGCACAATGTCCAGTTCGGAAATCGCAGTCGTTCCCATCGAAATGAGCGCCTTTCGGATCTTCTCCACCGAATCCTCGTCTTCCTCGTCTTCTTCAGTCTCCGTCGGCTCCCCCTCCGAACTTTTCCGCTTCATTCTCTCTCGATGGTCCTTTTTCCACGCTCTGCCGCACATCACCTTCAGAATTGTTCGGATGAGGCTTCGGAACACTGGAATCGCCTCTTTGTCGTCGTGATCCTTCATTTCTGACAGTGGATGGAGAATTTTTTCGATTGCCTGAACGAAATCAGTTCTTTTTATCACTTTTTAAGCTACAAACCTCGACCAAATGGAAATAATTTTTGAATTTCGGACTGTCCGTTGAGATCTCTCCGAGATTGCCCAGAGTGTTGAATAAATACATGTAGACATCCTAAAAATGTGAATTTTACACTTTTCGAAGCAAAAATTCTTACTTTTAGCTCTAGAGCGTTGGCCGTTGGGCATTCTGGCTGGAATACGCGGATGATGTTGGCAAGACACAGAGAAAGATTGATTTGGAGCTCCGGATTGTGATTATCGAGGAATTCCTTTTGTGACAAATGGTAAAAGAGTCTTCGGAAGCGATCCGCATTCTGAACTTCTTCGTGGTTGTTCGGCTTGCAGTCGTACAGGCATCCGGAGAGTTTCTGAAAGATTTTTGACATTTCACACTTTCATTGAATTTTTCGTTATTTTTGAATGGAAATCAACTAAATTTGTGTTAAAACGCACTCTTAATCGTTCAACTTGCTGCGAGACACTGCCTGTGCTGAGAACTGGCAAGCATCCGTGCGGATAATCGACATCTCCGCTCATACCTACAATTTTATCATTTGTTTGTTAAATTACATTCATTTTTAACGAAAAAGAAAAAAATCAAAGGGCAAATGCCAATTTCATGGGAAAATAATGGTGAACGAGTGAGAATTGTGACGAGAAAGTGTGACTTTCACACGAAAATGTGAGAAAACGAGAAGCGGAAATACTGTATTAAAGGCGCATAAACTGTTTTCATGGTGGGTCTTGCAGAGATTCAGGATTTTGTAATTTTTGTCCGAAATTCGTTTTAGTTTTTTCGAATTTTCCTCAAACTTTTTCGTTTGCTTTTATATCAGTTGTTGTTCTTTTTCTGAAAGCAAACAAAAACAGTCAAATTTTCTATGTGAAAACAAAACATTTCAAAGCAAAATATTTATACAAACCGAAGAAACAAAAAAAATTCCCGACCTGACCGTAAACAGATGCTATACAAATGTTTCTAGCGCTTATCGGCCCACTTTTGCCTATTATTACTCGCCGCAAGCGAGAAACCTTGGGAAATTCTCTTGCCGTCGATGCTCTCTCGCTGTGAGAGACGCCAGACGCAAAAACCGCCCAGTACGAGGCTCCGCTTCAGATAAACCGGGCGCTCAACGTCACGGCGCCATCGCGGCCTGATCTCGTGCTTCAAACGCGTTTTTCTCTGGTCTTCCGCTCGTTTCTCGCGCCTCAATCGATTTTTCCATCGAAAACAGTGCGGAATTCCGGGAAACTTGCAGAAAATCGCATCGGAGACGGCGCTCACAATGAATCGACTCAAGTCCGATCAGAAGACCAAGGTTGGTAAGCGTAGGTCGGAGGAGAACGCGGAAAGTGAGGTGGAGACGCGGAAAACGCGCAGACCAGTCGGAGGTGATTGTGGATCGAAGCCCGAAACGGTAAAATCGATAATCGCCGGCAGGCTCGGCGCGTTGATTATCGATTTTCAATAATTTCAGCACACTCAGCGAGTAGCTCAAAGCAGTGTTCCTAAGAAACTTTCTAAGATTAATCAGGAAATTGTGAGTTTGAGGTATCCCCTTCCACTGTCCTGCTTCTAGAACTTTCTGTGAGAAATACGTGAAAATTTCGACATTTTTTGCTAATATTCCTTGCCTACTATCAGCAACGCGTATATAATTACTGATCCCCGTCCGCCTGCACTCCGATCCTAATCCAGAGGGTCCCGCAGCGAAAGAGACGCAGAGAGTGAACGCCGTGTGCTCGACACGTGATCAGCAGGGTGTGTCTGTCCGCCTTGACCGACCAAGATCGATACCTGTTTTTGAGATTGTTTTTGAGTTTTTCAGGGAAAATTTTAGTTTTTTTAATATAAAATTTCAAAAATCTATTTATTTTCATTTTCAGCTGCGTCAGTTCGTGCAGTGGACACAGGCTTCCGAGTCGGCGGCAGTCAGCTATCTCACGAAGGCCAATTGGAATATCGAGTACGCGATGACCGTCTACTTTGACAATCCGCAACTGTTCTCGGGACCGCCGACGCCAGTGGTCGCCGATCGACCCAAGATCGAGCGACTCTTCAATTCGTACGTGGATGGACGCGATACGGTCGGCGAGAAGCGCATCGGACCGCACGGCATCAGCCGTCTGCTCACGGATCTCGGCTACGCGCCGACCGATCGACGAGTGCTCGTGCTCGCGTGGAAGTTCAAGGCTGGAACTCAGTGCGAGTTCTCGCTCGATGAGTGGGTGAATGGGATGACGTCGTTGAGTGCGGACAGTGTGCAGGTGCTCAAGCAGAGGATCGACACGATCGACGGAGAGCTCGAGTCGGATAAGACTAAGGTAGCGGAATGTCTTCGTTATTGTGAAATATCCTCTCCGGGACCTCACTATGTATGCGGATCCCGCTAAAACTTGCCGATTCGGATGGTAAAAACGGGTTTCCTTCTGATTTTGCTCATTTCCGTCAAACTTTTATCGATTTTCATTGTTCTTGATAGGGTTATTCAGTCGGGTAAAAAACTGATGAAAAACGAGTCGAAACCGTCTTTTACAGAAAACACGGGGATTTACTGGTTTATTACCAGTTTTTACCCAACTGAATGAACCCATGAATGGTGTTTGTCAAAACTAGTGGGATATTAATAAGCTTGGCATTGTTTCTATGCAAATCGGCAAGTTCCAGATTCCAATAGAGCGGGGATCGGTTTAAGCTGAATTAAATTATCTAATCTGCGATTTCGTAAAAGCCCGATGTTTTTCGGCCTGAGAGCTGCAATTTTCGGAGAATAAGATTAACAGCAACTGAATTCAAAATCCTGGCTCAATAATCCTAATCCTTCTTAATTTCAGTACCGCGATCTGTACATTTTTGCGTTCTCGTACGGAAAGCCGGCCGCGTGCCGTAGTCTGGACCTGGACACGTCGATCGCCTACTGGGACGTGCTGTTCGGCACGCGCAAGCCTCTGATGACCCAGTGGATCGAGTTCCTGTACGCGCAGGAGGCGGCCGGACAGGCGAGACTTCAGGAGGACATGGGCGCGACCTCAAGGAGCGTCAAGTCTGTGTGGATCACCAAGGACACGTGGAACCTGTTCTGGGACTTTATCGTGCTCAGCAAGCCCGACCTCTCGGATTACGACGACGAGGGGGCGTGGCCTGTGCTCATCGATCAGTTCGTGGATCATTGCCGCGGTCATCTCGGATATCCGAAGCAGGATTCGAAGGGAGAGAGCAAGGAGCAGCAGACGCCGATGTACTATTGAGGTTCGCGGCGGGAAAAGTGGTGTGGTAGAGCTGAAAGGATTCGTTTCAGAAAGAATCAATCGATAATCGCCGATTCTTCCCCATCCCCTTCACCGACCTGCTTCTTCTTCCTCCCGTTTCTCTGGCGCCCTATCACCTCGCACCGAACTATTTCGCTGCTTGTTTTCGTCTCTATGTCTCTCTCCTGATTTCCACTCTCTCTCTCTCTCTCTCTCTCTCTCTCTCTTCCCCTTGCACATACTCTTCGACGGGTGTTTTGCCTCGCCGCGCTGCAAGTGGTAGCAATGCCGAGAAGAAGAAAAGCTCCATTGAATGATAGAAAAACACTTTATTTTTTGTTCTTCTTATGAACTTTTCACTGTATTTCGCCCCTATGTATCCTCCATCCGTTCCTCCTCGTTTTTCCCAGTCAACAAACACACCATTTCTTCTATTTTTCCCTCAATAACAAAGTTTTTTTCCAATTCATTTTCTTGATCAAAATCAATCCCTATTTTGTACTGTATATGAAGACTTGATGAGATAGGAACTCAACTTTTCGAGTCTAGAAATATGTTGGAATCTGCCAGTTTTACTTTTTTTTGTGTTTTTTCTGTCTGTATTTCTGGTCGAAAATGCGCCGTTTTAGATGGAGCGGAAGGGGCGGAAGAAGGACGAAGCGGGCCTTCTGACGAGGACTCTCGCCGCCGTCGCATTTGCCGTGTTCTTGCTCGCCTTTGTGTGCTCCGCCTACGAGATCACCTTCTCGCACGTCTTCCACACGATCGACGTGATTCTCGAAGAGTCGGACACTTACAAATCCACGAAAGAGTGGCTCGGCTCCTCGTGGGACGCCACGTGGCAAGAAGTGGCCATTCCGTCGCGAAAAGCCGAGCATATTCAGGTACACATGTCGGTTTTTCGGTTTTTTCTGGAAAAAAAAACAGAAAAACATTGTCTCGATAATCTTCCGAATCTGAAACCGATTTTTAGAGAAATTTCACGAAAAACTAGAAAAATTTAGAGAACAACTGTAATTTCTTGCAGGCGATAAACCCGGAAGTGGATGTGGCGGCCGGCGGAAAGCACGTCTTCACTCGCGAACAATTGCATTTCTTTGACGGAACACGCGACTCGAAGTGAGCATTTTCGACTGGAAAATGTCAAATTTCCTATCAAACCGCATTCAAATCGGGCAAAAGTCCGCGTTTTTTCAGCTCTAGAACATGTAAAAATAGATTGAATCTGAAAAAGAAGTTGCCTCATTGCCCCCAGAAAGTACAGCTCATTGCAGACCGATTTACCTGGCGATTCTGGGTCGAGTGTACAATGTGGACGGGAAGAAGGAGTACTACGGACCCGGCAAGTCGTACCATCACTTTGCCGGACGGGACGCCACGCGGGCATTCACGACTGGTGACTTCACGGAAAACGGACTCGTCGCCAGCACGCACGGACTCTCCCACGACGAGTTGCTCTGTCAGTCGCGTTTTTGGGCCTAACAATAGAGAAAATCTATACAAAACGGTTTTTTTCTGCAATTTTTGCTCGAGACACGGACAATTGATCTTTTGAAGTGTTGGATAGCTCTGGGTGCCCTTTTTCTCTGTTTCGAGCTGAATGTTGCAAACATTTGAAAGAAAACCCAGGGAATTTACGCAAACATTTGCAGCGATCCGTGACTGGGTGTCGTTCTACGAGAAAGAGTACCCGTTGGTGGGCGTCGTCGCCGATCTCTACTACGATTCGGACGGTCAACCGACGGCCGAACTGACGGACGTGCTCGCGCGCGTCGAAAAGGCCAACGAATACCGGAAGGCGCAGGCGGTCGAGATCGAGGTGTTTCCGCCGTGCAACAGCGAGTACAATCAGAACGGAGGACGCGTCTGGTGCTCCACGAAGAGCGGCGGCGTCGAGCGACAGTGGGCCGGCGTGCCGAGGTTTGAGACGGGCGGAAGACGTGGCAAAATGCGGGGGCTCTTGCAGAAAACTCATCGAGCCGACGACGAAAAAGTATCGTTGCGCGTGTGTGAAAAACTTCGGACCCGGAGTGTCGGGAGCCGAAGAGGTGAAGGCGTCGACGAATCGAGGAGACCTTGATCACCCCGATTTGAAGGTGAGTACTCGGCATTTCTGGAATCTAGACAAAAAATCGATAATTACAGCTGTATCCGGATTGCTCTCCGACGTCGAACAGCTGCAAAATTGTCTCGTAAACCCTGTCATTTTTCCATTCAATTCTTCTTCTCGCCCATCTGAATCCCTGTAAAATCTGCTTTATTCTGCCCCGTCCTCTCAGATTTTTACCCCTAAAATTCCCCAAACACATACGGTTCTTCGACCCACAAAAAGTGCTGCCTTTTCAACAATTTCGATACATTTCATCTAGGTTTTTACAATGATACTTATGTAATAATAAGAGCATCTTTTTCCAATTTCTTGCTGCTCAATTCCTCGTAGATGCGCTGCGATCGCGGCTTCAAATGGAAGTAGACCGCCCATCTGTCCATCGCCTGCACGTCCTGATCCACGCCAGAATCGTAGTTTTTAATGGCGAACCGCATTGAGCTGATTCCCCAAAACAAATGAGTTACGGGCCAGAAGAACTCGACCTCTTGGATCAGAGCCCGAATTTCGGACTGACGATTGTCCGGTGAACGGTTTTTGAGCTGCAATTATTCAATCCATTCGAGCGTCGTTCATTACACTTTGAGAACCTTGTTGTCGGCGTCAATGTACGCTTCGCAGAAGAGCTCAAGGTTCGGCGGATTGTCGGTGAGCTCTTCGGAGATTTTGATGCCCGGCGGGAACGGAACACGGAAATCGAGAGCGGTCTCCGACAAATGCATGGCGATGTCGAAACCACGGCTGTTGTACGAGCTGAATTCCCAATCGATCAGCACGATTTCTTTGGTGTCGTTGAGCTCGAGCACGTTTCCGCACTGAAAACGAGAAATCTGATAAACGCGTTTGGGATTGTTCCTTCGCACGGCGATCAAAAGTGTAGAAAGGGACGTGGCCTAATCTGAGACGCGTTTTCTGAAAATTGCCGCAATTCCAGCACACTTTTCCGATATTTTTGTGTTTGATATCGACGAAAGAAGAGACATTAAAGAGAGAAATCATCGAAATTTTCGTGAAAACGCCGCGTTTGAGACGTTTTTGGCATATTTCGCAATACGCTCTCCGCGGCCAATCGCCGCCGCAATTTCGGAATTTTCATACAGGCCGATCTGAATAGTTTTGAGACGAAGTGAGTGTCGGAAGTGATGAAGCACGTTAATACAAGTATTTTAAGCGTTCAAACGGCAAAAAGTATCGGCGAATGACTGAAATTCGCGCATTTTCAGCACAAAACTTAAAATCGATTCAATCGATTCATTTCTGCTATGAAATCTGCTCGTTTTAAGCTCAAAAAGTGCGCGATGATTTGTTTAACGAATTTATGCAATTACATCGCCGAAATCGTACAAAATTTGGGTAATTTTTGACGAAAAACATGAAAAAAAATGGGGTTAAATTTCGAATTTCGCGCTAAAATGGTGATAAACCGTGCACGCTCAAGTTAGCCCGAAGCTTCGGGCTAACTTGAGCAAACTTTCCGAAAAATTGAAAAAGCCTAGGATCTCCGAACTAACCGCAAGGTCATTGTGACTGTAGACGAGGGTGTGCTCGTAAATGTCGGCTGCCCACTTCTCGCAAACATCAATCTCCCGTGAGATGTCCTCAATTGTCAGTACTTTCGGATGATCCGAGTAGGTGATCGTCGTCGGTGTGATCGTGTAATCGCCACCTCCGAAGCTTCTGAAAACAGAAAGCCGTTCGTTGAATTCGCGTCTCCTCCTTCCGTCCTTCCATTACTTGTACTCATCGAGCCATTCTCTCATCAATTGAAAGCATCGTCTGTTTTGGGAAACTGGCACTTCGATCGAGTGGTAGCGTGGTAAGACCGCGCCGATTTTACGGGAAACTCTGAAGAAATCATCGCGTGGGGTAGTGGCGGTTCGAAACTGACTCCGCGTCCAGAATGGTATCCGCGTCCATAGTCCTACTTGGGAGGAACTCTTCGAGTCGACCGCCCGGGAAGAATCCGTACAGTTTCGGGCCCACTCCTCTTTCTAAAACTACTATTTGTGGCGAGTTTCGCGGGCGATTCTCACCGGAAAAGATGGAGAAGACGAGAGTGTCGACGAACACGAGACTCTGCGGCTGTCGATGGATTCGGACGAGGAAGTCGTTGGCTCCGGACGAGGAGCAAGTCACGTGGAACATGAGGTTCGACTGTCCTCCTCTGAAATTCACTCGGTTGCGAGGACTGGAAGGTGCTGGTGGCTCACTTGATCTGCAGCACATTCACTCGCTCTTTCTCCACACTCTTCCATGCTCCGCCCAGGAAATCCCGTCCCAACTGGACGACTTTCTCGAGGATCACATCCGAATCGACCGAGTTCTCACTGAACAACTTCTGGAATTATTCATGAATTGCACAAATGGAAGAGGTTTTCAATAGAATGGTAAGTAGTACCTCCAGTTGACTCATCGCTCTCAATGTCCTTTCAGGTGTCTTGAAAGTGAGTAATCAAACACGAAAAGAGTGAAAAATTGCGTTGTACCTCCAGTTGGTGCTGTCTAAAGTCTGAAATGTCAAAGATGTGAAAACAGATCAAAAGTCCAGTCCAGCTGATAAGAAATCGACAGAAACCGGGTCGGCTAAGTCGACGTTTCACGACTTTCCTTTTATGCGAAAAGAGAACGGTTATTACACGTTGACTAACGCTTTTGATATCAATAAACCAAACATCAAGTTTCCCAATTTTTGTTCAATTACTTTGCAAGCGCGCCCCAGTGCGAATTACCTTTGCTTTTTCGAAAAATCACTTTTTTGCTCATTTTTGTTGTCGCACGCAATGAGAAATCACACGCACACTAGAGCTCCGGCCAGTGGCATTGGAGCGCGCTTGCATACTTCCTCGTATTTGAATTCACACGAAACGTTTACAAGTAATGTTCACAGACATGTTAGAATCTTATCCTTCGTGACAAGCAAATGTTTGCAATCAATTTCGTCAATTCAAATTCAGTATTATTATAGGGGCACCGCACAGAAATGGCGGTCTGTTGAGAAACTCGTTTTGCAGTGCAAATTGAGCGACCTCGGGGCCGAGTTTGAAAAGTTAGGCCACGTTTTCAGTGGAAAATTACTTAGCGGCCTAGAAATACGGACAGATTGCGAACAGCGCGCCCTTTCTGTCCGGTGCCCCTATAATAATTAATACGACTCTTTGAAACTGAGCCCGCTCGGAAGCGGCTAAAAAGAGCCAATGAAACAAATCAAACGCTCAAAAAGTGTGATGAATTCTAGGAACGTCTAGTACACGTCGACTAATATGCCAAATCCACAAGGGTATGCAAGTGCGCCCTAATGAGAATCGGCTCTTTTTCCATTCTTGGGCCAATACTCGATGTTATTCAGGTGGTGCTGAGGAGGCGACGCGTAGAAAAATGAATTTTCGATTGAAGCATGTTCGAATTTCCTATTTTTTCTGCTCACAATGAGCCTTAAATATAGAGAAAAGGTCCATAATGTTTAATGTCAAAATTTGTAAATTTTGAAGACTGCAAAAATGTTTTCAATGATTTCCATATAATTCCTGTCTTCTAGAGGTGATTTCGGTCATTTTAAGCCAAAGCTAGAGTCTGTAGCATTTTTTTGAAATTTATTATGATTTTCAAAAGAAAAAGTATAAAAATTGCATTCCAGATGCGTTTACTTACAACGATGACAGTATTCAATCAGAAAAGGGAAGCTCTCATAGAGATTCAAAGTTTTTTGGGGAATTTTGACAGAAAAACATGAAGAACAGGTTGAAGATGTGTGTGTGTGTCCGAGTACGTTTTGAGCAACAAAAAGGGAAGCAAGAGAAAAATGAGTATCGACGAGGAGGGGAAACTAATGAAAAATGAGGGTGGGTGCGGGAGGATCACAATGGGGGGAGAATAGGAGAAAAAGTACAGGAGAGGGGCGGTTAGGCGACGGCGGCGAGGACTGTGTTGAAGTCGATTTTGGTGCACACGTCCTGGATGTCCCAGTACGTGCACTTTCTCATTTCCCGAATCGCATGCTCCACACAGCACGCGGCGGTCCCTTCGACCAGGTTCTGTTGGGCCATGAACTGCAAAGAAATTGGGGGTTGATGGTGCGGGTTACGGTAGTGTTTTGGGTACCTTGAAGACCGATTTCCACTTGGAAATGTCATGATTCTCGGGTTTCGGAAGGATGTTTGCCAGGAGAGCGGCGCCGAGGTCTGCGAAGATTCCGCCCACTTCTTTCGATGGACACCTCGAGTCGCCGAAGCATCGGATCAGTCGGAGGTACGTGTCCGCCTGCAACATTATTTTTTCATTCTTACGGTCATTTTGAGCTAAAGCGGGAGTTTTTAGCTGTATTTTGCTATGATTATACAAAATTGGTGCAAAAATTGAAAACAGTTGTTTGTTCAAAACTTCTCACATCATAAACGACGAAAGCGTGCGATTTGCGGTGAGGATCCACGACGACATAGTCGCTCGAGACAAACGGAATCGACTGTTTCTTCTCGCTGATCACCGCCAACTGGGTTCCGGCAGATCCCGCGATTTCCAACGGAACCGTCCAGACCTCATCGGTCAGCTGCGAGAATTCGACGCCGTGCGAGGAAACAAAGGCGCGGAGGACCGGGCGGGACGCGGAAGACGGGCGGAACCATTCGCGGATGAGCGCGGCGGCTTCCGGACGGCCCGTCGCGGACTCTGCGGCCGAGGACCAGTCGGCGATGGTGGCGGTCGAGAAGGCGAACTTGTCGAAGATCTGAAAAGAAGGAAATGAGCAAACGGACTCGGAGACCGATGATATCCAACCACTCGGATCATTCCAATGACCGTCTCCGCTCCGTAGGTCTCATCGAGCGTGTAGAAGACTTCGACGAAACGCGGCGAGCAGAGGTTGGCGGTCTGCGGTTTGAGCTGGCGAATAACTCGCAGTTGGCTCGCCGTTTCGTTGAGGTTTTTCGGGCGGATCAGTCCGATTTCCGCTTTCCGCGTCTTTTTCACAATTTTCAGCTCTTCGTTGATCTTCCATTCGAGGTAGGCGATGAGGGCTTTCTGCAATGAAAACTGTACAGTAAGACGGTCCCCTAGAAATAGTTGGTCTTTTGGTAAACGATAAAGTGTGTATTCTAGGAAGTGTCTGGCGACCTCTGGTCCGTCTTGCGCAATGTATCATTTCTCTGCTTCTCCTCATTCTTCGTACTCTCTCACTTGGTGTCTGGCGTTCCGGAGGGGTCATTTCTGCTCTCTCGAGCCACTTTTTGTAAACTAAACGAAAACTAACTATCCGGGTCCCTCTGAGAAACTCGAGATAGGTGCGAAAAGCGAAAGAGACAGCCGCGTTTATTACTATTTGTCGAGAAGAGAAGATTAGCACACTTGTATGTTTACAAACGTTTTCTTTTGACGTAACGAGCTCAATTTACCGCCCTGAGATGCACACGCAACCTAATCTACAAAAGATTCTGCACGAAGTGGGATTCGAACCCACGCACCCATACGAGTACCAGAACACCCAGTCGACCTCAAACTTGAGGCAAGCAGTACGCTTGAGTCTGGCGCCTTAGACCACTCGGCCATCCGTGCTGGCAGATGTCTGCTAGGAAGAGGGGGTAGACATGAGGGCGGCCTAGCGGCGGTGCGCGCGAAAACTGGTAGATTTTCTCGAGCGTTTTTGAGCAGTTTCAGGGCTCAAATCCCTCAAAGTCTGTCACCGCAGTGTGCAATAATATTCGAATTCGAATTCGCATTCGCATTCTCGTTATTACAACTAACTGGCGATTTTATGATGGATTATACACGACGTCCCTCGCGATATCATAACATGTGTTTTAACAATCCCGCGGGAAGGTGTCCGATTTCAAAAGGGTACTTACCTCGAAACACGTGTGCTCCGTGGTCACCACGCCTTCCATCCACTGCCCAATGACTTCTTTGATCAGGGTTTCGTGCGTCGACGTGTGCTTTTGGTAGGCCACCGCTTGTGCCTGCAATTTGAAGGATAAAACTTTATTTTTGACGCGAAAAACTAGCTATTTTGAGCAGAAAACAAGTTGTTTTCAGCGAAAAAACACGATAGAGCAAAAGTACGCAAACACTGCCACGACAACTTGCAGACATTGCCAAAATTGTTTTTTTTTCAGATTTTGAACACAAAAACTGAGGACATTTTGCAATTTTCTTGTGAAAAAAGCAAATTTTTCAAATTCCGGTGTAGAAAAACTCACGGGCAGAGTGATGACTCCCAGTGCGGAATGTCCGGACATGACGGGCGCCACGACCACCTCCAAACGGGTCAACGGGAACGAGAAGGCGGACCATTTGGACATCAACGCCATCACTTTGGTCATTTCCGAATGGATCCACTCGTACTGCTTGAACGTTTTCGCATTCAAATTGAGGACCAACTCGATCTCGGGCAGGTAGGCGCCGTCCAAAGTGCTCGTGTTGTAGAACAGTGGGCTCGTCTTCTCGAACGCCAGGAACGAAATCTGTTGGGCGGTCAGCGGGACCGTCCGCTCGAAGCACGAGATGCTGGCCGACGAGACGTTCGGGTTGAGAAGCGAGTTCGAGACGGCCGACATGGACGCTCCGTGGTTGAGGCACAGAGAGAACGTGGCCTTCTGATCGTGCACGTCCAGCGAGGGGAAGACGTGGCGCGCCGAGGCCGGCTCGAAGACGGTGCCGATCATCTGCGGCACTCGCCATTTGGCCGTCGGGATCTGTTTGTAAACATGCGGTCCCGAGTCGCCCGACACGAATGCGTCGATGTCGATGCGCAAGTTGGTGCCCGGCTCGACGGCTTGCGCGAGCTCCAAATGGACGACATCTCCGATCGGCTGGATGCGCGTCACACAGATTGTTTCGCCTAAAAATCACAATATTGTAGCGGGCGAGCGGGCAGCTGTTCGAGCTCGAAAAGCTATTAATATAAGTTTGTGTGTGTGTGTGTCCCTGTAATAAGAACAAAATGCCGACGTCGCCGAGAGAGAGAGAGAGAAAGTTTACGAGCGGAGCAGAGAGCAGTTGCGGTTTCGGTGACACCCGAGTGAAATATGACCAAAGGGTCAGGCAGGGTACGAAGGAAACTATGATACTCTAGGCGGCTCGGAAAACCTTTGCAACTTTTGCGCAAACTTTCCAAAAATCGCCGCTGAACAACTGATTTGCAACTTTCCCAAACTGTGCACACACCGTGCCGAACAATTGCACACTTTCCGAGCTACCGTATCCCTTTTCCGCTCTTCTTTTCTAGCCTACAATAGTACATTCGAACTTGTGATAAGATAGTATTTATCAACAACAACCCGGGGACCAGTAGCCGATCGAAGTGACACGCGATGATTGATCGGGCGGTTATCAGAGGGACACGTGAATCGTGCTGACCCCCGCAAACTTCTAGAAGTTTGTTCGTACGCACTTGTGGCCTAACTTTTGCTTGTGGAGGATTTCTAGGCCATAGATCAGGTCAAAGCTTTGTAAGTTATCGCCTAAATGTTTCCAAAGTTCCCCCCTTTGTCCGATCAATCAATCGTTCCTTTTCCTCCCTCTCCCCGTGTTTTTTTTCTGTTCTTTTTGCACGGGCTCTCCGCACGACGGAGGGCGTCAGTCCGTCGTAAACATTTAGACGGACGAAAAGTATTGGGTGACCGGAGAGAGAAGAAGAGGAAGAAGAAGAAGAAGAAGAACAGCTGCTGCTCGGGGACTAGGCAAATGCCGGAGGGTTAGTTAGTTATGAGCGAATGAATGGATCCTATGGTTAATGGGTCTCGAAGCGACGGAGCTTAGACCCTTTACTTAGGTCCTATGGTTAATGAAAAGAAGCAAAGGAGCTCCAAGTTACAGTGCCTAGAGTCCCGTGACAAGGTTGTCTTCTCCGCAACAACGCCCTCTCTTTTTGTCAGCTCTTTCCGAGTGTAAAAGTGAGCAACAAGTGCTCCGGCTCAGGGCTCTCACTTTTCACATTATCATGTTAATCTGTCAAGTGGCTCGTGGAGCAGCAGACTCAGAGATTGATGAGCTCTCTCTCTCTCTCTCTCTGCCTCTTCTAGACTAACCTGTATTACAATTGACGACGTGCACGTTCTGCGTTTGAATGTGAATCCGGACAGCGTGGAGTGAGATCTGAAGCATTTTTTTTTCATTTTTGTACACAAATTTCTGAAAGGTGTACTTACCGCTTGGATCTGTTGTTTGGCCTGTGCGAACAGTTGAAGATATCCCTCAAGGACGGGCTTTCGGATGTCTCGGATGGTAATGTTGAGGGTGTAATGGAGCGGTCGCAATTTGGACGGATCTTCTGGGGACAGGGACGACGAGTAGGGATCGGAAGACGGGTGGCAGGTGACCGGGAGTGCTTGGATTCGGGCGCATTGCTCGACGATCTGCAAGCATGTATTTTTGATGCACCCACGATGGCCTGGTTATCAGTAACTTTGACTTGTTATAGGGGGCCCAGATGGAATCGAAACAAAAAGTGTTCAACTGATAAAATATTCAGAATCATCTTGGCTACAAGTCTGTTGAGTCTCAAGTCCCTAACACTTTTAGTTATAGAGAAGGAATTCCGAATTTGAAAGCTGCGCTCACTTTTTCACCGTGCTCTTCCATCATCACCCAAATACTCTTTTCTCTCTCTCTCTCTCTCTCTCTCTCTCTCTTTCACATATGTTTGTTGGTGTGCGGTGAGTCAGGGAGAGCCCCACACACGAATTTTGACAAGTGAAATGTGGAAAGAGAGTGTAAAACTAGAGGGGGCGATGAGTCATTCTATTCGGGTGAGCCGAGGTTAGTAATTTTGTGGTTCCGATGATGTTTTGAACGTGTTTTCAAGAGGCAAAAAAGTTTGACCCCGCTCGGGATCGAACCAAAACCGAAAGTTTGCAAGGTTTCAGCGCTCTGCCACTGTGCCACGCGCGCCAAACTTTCAGGCTTGGGCCAGGGCGTATACATTAAGGGCGTAGCGGTTGATCATCAACTAACCTCCAATTCCTTGGTCTTTTCCTTTAAAATCGAGGCGACATCGACTGGCATCACAATTTCCGGCGAACTCGTGGTGGTCGAGGTGGTCCCGATTATTGTGGATCCTTCCGAAGCGGTCGGAGCGGGCGTGGTGGTGGGTTCCGTGGAAATTGAGGTGGTTGAAGTGGTCGTGGTCGTGGCGGAAGTGGACGATTGACGGACTGTGGTCGCGGTGGTTGACGGGAATTCAGTTGCATTCTGGGCATCCCAATCCGCGTCCGGACCGTCGCCGCTTTGTCGGATCAGAGTCAGGTAGGTAATGACGCCGGCGCAAAGAAGAATTCCGACGATCACGGCCAAAAGTCCGTAGAGAAGCCATGAACTTTTGGCTTTTTTCGTCGGCGACACGGGGGGCGACATGATCGTCAGAGTGCGGAAAGAATGAGTGGCCCGAGTCGGACGGGAAAAGGGGCGTGGCTTGCACGGAGCACGACAGGCGGTCCCCTCGGGTGGCGGCGGCGGCGAAAGAAAGAAAAAGAAAGAGAGAGAGAGAGAGAGAGTCCGATGGACGGACGGACGGGCGGAGCATTTGATACTGTGCGGGCTGGATGCCAATCGGGGGTGTTGCGCAAGAAGGATATGGAGAGGAAGAAGAAGAAAAAGAAGAAGAAAGTGTAATGGGATAAGATAGTGAGCCAGAAGACCGCGGAAAGGGACACTCATCGCCTTATTCACTGGTTTTGAAAGGGACGTTTCGCAACCAAAGGACATTCTGCAACTTTCTGCTTTCTTCCTTCTTCTTCTCGAACTTTGTCTCTATCAAAGTGTATAAGCGCTACAACAGTACAGGCAGCTGAGTGATAGACACTTTGCAACCCGTTCACCAGAGCGGAAGGACGTTTTGCAACTGTTAAACTTGGCAAACAACGGATCGTGGCATTTTGAATGCGGTAAACACTGTAATAGAAGGCTACCCGAATACCTTAAGATATCTGCTTGCGAAAATCCTCTTCCAGCCTTGGTTTGCCTAATTTTCAACAGGATACGCACAATTTTTCATTGAAACGTATGTACAATCCGAAAATAGCGTGATTTTCAGTGCTAGAAGCATTGCGAAGAGTCGGCGGTGATGTTTGAGGCGTGTCGGAGGGCGTATTCGGGGTAGGTGCCCATGTTGAAGAGCCAGTACGCCCACGTGTTCATGTTGATCACCGTGATCACAATGCACAGAATGTTGAGCAGAATGCCGCACGAGACCTGCAAGAAACGAAGACATTCCCAAGTTTTCTCGGTGGCCAAGTAGTGTCTAATTGAGGTTTCGTAAAGGATAGTTGCGAAACGTCTCGGCTAATCTAAACAGTGCTCACTTTCAAGTGCTCTTTTCTCAAATTGCGCAATATCCATAACCGACTCCTGTTACACCCCCCTCCTTTTTTTCTGCTACTGTCGTCTTCGGCCAGTTGGCGGATGACGTGCTATTTGAGACGGGACCACTTGGGTCCTATTTTATGACGGTACTTGGGTGACACACTGTTATACAGACTGAGAAAGTGCTCGGGGCAGCAGACGGAATACGGAGTGCCACGTCATTTGAAGGGATCTACCGATTAACGAATATTGTTGTAAAGCATGTCCAGTGTGCCTTACCGAAATTTTTTTTACCGAAAGAAGTGAATTTCGGTAAATTTTCGGTAAATTTTCGGTAAAAACGTTTTTACCGAAAGAGTTTCGGTAAATTTATCGGTAAATCGTTCCTTTCGACAATTACCGAAAGAACAATTTTGAAAGCGGAGAAAAAAATGTTAAAACATGTTTTTTTGTTTTACATTTTTAATAATTTTTTTTTGTTTTTTTAAATTTTAAATTTTAAATTTTTTTACATTTTAAATTTTTTTTATAATGCTATGCAACGAGTTTCGCATTTAATGTGTCCCCAAAGTTCCTCATTCGAAAAAAATTGAAAATTGTTTCGAAAAAGTACCCATTTACCGATAAAATTTACCGAAACTTTTACCGAAATAGTTTCGGTAAATTTATCGGTACGTTTTCGGTAAATTTTCGGTAAATTGTTTCGAAAATTTACCGAAACTCTTTCGGTAAAAAAAAGTTTTACCGAAATTTTTACCGGTAAATTTACCGAAACCCTTTCGGTAAGGCACACTGAGCATGTCTAGTACGTGAGGAGCCGGCGAAATGCGGCAAACAGTACCATATCGATCATCCGAATCGTTCTCGTCTCATAAACGATCGCATTCGCCGGCGTCGCCATCGGAAGCATGAACGAGAAGGAGGGTCCGATGGCGGTGGGAATCGAGAAGTAGAGTGGGTGGGCGTGGACGCCCTCGGCCATCGTGAACGAGATCGGAATGAAGATGGAGGCGGTGGCCGAGTTCGTCGAAAACTCGGTCATCACGACGACGACAATCGAGAGGATCACTTGCATTCCGAACAATGGAAGCGAGGAAATGGTGTTGTTCAACTGGCACGCGATCAGATTTGATAGACCGCTCGACTGAAAAAATGAGAGTGGCCTAGCTGTTTCTCTCTTCCATTCATACCTTGACCGCGTCGGAAATGGCGAAACCGGCTCCGAGCAGCAAGATGATCGACCAGGGAAACCGCCGGCGGACACAGTCCCAGTCGATCAGAGGCTCCTGACGGACCGACCGACGGTCTTTGTCTGAAAATCATTTTCAGAAGGACGACACGGTCGATTTCCAACTTTTTCTGAAAATTCTAAAGTCAGGCTTCTGTTTCGGCCAGACGAAGAGCAAAAAGACGGCGACGAGGCCGGAGCACGAGTCGGTGACGTATCCTTTTCGGAAGAGGTCCGACCAACCGGGAACGACCTTCGGATCCGAGGAGATCCACGAGAGGACCGCCAGCAGGAAGATCGTCAATGTGCTCTTTTCGGCCCAACTCAAAAAGGAAATATTTGAAAAATACGATCAATGGAGTGATCATCGATCATAAAATGGTTCAAAAACAGTCTTTGTTATGTGATCGGACCCATAGAAGTCAGTTTTCAGCTAAAACGAAATTAAATTGCAACTTTTTACCGTGTTGAAACTGTTTCAGTCGCTCAAAAGTGAGACACTCACGTCATGGGTCCCAACTGATCGTAGCTCTTCCAGACGGCTCTCCTCGCCACTTCCTCTTCGTGTCTCTCCTCTTCCGTCGGCTTCCGGAATATGCTCATGAGATGACGGGGGCCGAGAAATTGCAGTTGGACGATGAACCATGAGGAGAACATGTAGAAGACCATCGGCGGAATCGCAAATGCCATCCACGACAAGTACGAGATTCCCGTGTCTTCGTTCGGGAAGTTTCTGGAACATTAAGGTTGGGAAACGGGGCTACGGTAGCATTTTGAGACTTTTCGAGGACATCTCTGAAAATCAAGTTGGGTCCCGTCGAGTTGATCGTCCCGGTGCCGCCGATCAACGAAGCATGAGCCACGAGGAGCATCATGCACTTGCAGATTCCTGCAAGAACTTCTCCGTGGCCTAGAATCCGACTCGGCCATTTGACACACCTCGGTCCCGTTCGGACAGCTTCGAAGTGTCCAATTTGTGGTCCTCGACCGCTTCCAAGCCCCCGTCCAACTCAATTTCCGTCAGTTTATCCTCGTTTTTCTTCATCTTCGGAATCATTATCTCTTCCAGCAAAGCGTACGCGATCGGAGCCATCAGAGCACAACACGCGGTGTCCGAGATCCACAGAGAGCTGCAAACTATTTGTGTGTGTGTTCTACACATCTGAAACTTCATTTTTCCTCTTGACAACTGTTTTGTACGACTTTTTTTCGTAAAGTTATGGGACACTAAAGTTGAGTTTAAAATATGTTTGTGGTTTTTTGTCGGTGAACTTTCAAGAGTCATAACCGTTTTCTGAGATGTTGTACGAAAAAGTTGTCAACTGAGAAAATGACGTATTGGGTGTGTATAATTTGCCGAAAACAATTCTAGAGCAATATCTCAGTCATAGACTGCTTGGCATGTACGGAAAGGTACCGTAAATCCTGCCTATTCCTATGGGCGAAAAACTTTGAGCTGTGCTCGATTTCTAGATTTTTTTCACTAATTTCTATACTTTTCCTGTATTCGTAAGATGACTTTGGTCATTTTAAGCCAAAGCTGGAGTTTGTAGAACTTTCTAGAATTTAATTATGATGTTTCAAAAATCCAAAAAAAATCGTTTTAGGAAAACTTACATAAAGCTGGTGATAATCATGAAGCCGGCCATTAACCTGAAAATATTGTCAGTACTTTGGAGTCTTCACATTTTGCCTAGAAAAGACGTACCAATGCGGTCGAGTTCCGACGTAAGTGAGCATTTTGAGGGCGATTCGCTTGTGAAGTTGGCATTCTTCGACGGCCAGCGAAAGCATCAGACTGTTGAAGAACACTATGTTCGTGTCCTGAAAATGCGCTCGAGACAGTTTCGCAACCGGACACTTTGCAACCATTCCCCTGGATCCCAAGGTACCGTAAAGCTTGGTATCAAAGGGAATCCGAATACCGTTCATTCAAAACGATCTATCTCAGCTGCCAGTGGAGATATCAAAAAGTTGTCAACTGATAAAAGGTGCACAATTTCTCAATAAACATTTAACATTTTGTTAGTTGACATCTTTTCGATATCTCCGCCCGCAGCTGAGATATATCACTTTGAGTTCCGACTGACCGCAAAGTACTTGGGCGCGACGTTCTTGATGCTGGAAACGCCGAGAAAGGGCAGGGCGATCATGGGAATGAACGAGGTGACGGCCAGAGGGACTACTTCGGCCACCCAGTAACACGACATTGTCAGGATCACGAACGTGCATTTTCCCGCCTGAAATTATGCGCTTAGAACTATCAGATTTGGCCTAGGATCCGACAACTCCAACTTTCTAGGCCAATATCGTGCAGGGCCTAGAATCCGACATCCTCGTCAACGGACCGAAAACTGTTTCCTACCGGTAGTGTACTCGGCCTAGAACCTTACCTTGGGGGTGGCCTAGGATCCGACACAGAGCAAAAAGACATTTGATGTTAACCGTGGCCTAGGATCCGACAACAATCACTTAGGCCGCATATTACGTGGCCTAGGATCCGATCTAATTCAAAAGTGGCCTAGAAAAGTGACTTAGACCTGATCATGGTCCAAGAATCTTATTGCGTGGCCTAGAATCCAACAAATAACATCGAAAGTTCAGGTCGTTCATCACTGGCCTAGATTCCCGCTTACCGTTCCCAAAAAGATCAACGGACAGAGAATAATGGGCGCCGCAATGAGCCAGATGGTCGGGAAAAACGTGCGAATCTCATCGATCCAACCGTGGCCCATTCGGCTGCAATATATGGAAAAGTGTGACAACGTTTTTCAGAAAATGTGAAAGTGAGAATAATAAAAGGGGGAAAGTCATGAGATCTTTATGTTAAAATGGACAATAGCACACATGGAATTGAGCGAAAAAAGCGAGAAAAATGGGGGAAGAGGGGTGCAGAATACAAGGAAACAATGTGACATGACGCCAAAGTTCCGGCGATGATAAATATGCGCATAAGTTTCGGGCGAGTTTCAGATTAAAAAAGTGCGAGGTTGAATTGTGAGGATATTTCCGGAAATAAAAAGAAGTTGAACCCGATTTCGGTGAGTGGGACGGCGGCGATTTCGATGATTTTCGGCCTGAAAACTGGTAATCTCGGCGGATTTTCGCGTGCCGATTTTATGCGTGTTTTGAGTGTTTGGACAGCGAAATTCGACGAACCCCCCATTTTCAGTTGTGTTTCGCGCGTTTTCCGTAGGCGTATCCGATCCATCGATCGGCCGTTTTGCTCAAAAAATCGTCGTTCTCGATGCCGGCGATCCATTTGAGGAGGTAAACGTGCACCGCGTGGTAGTCCCATCTGAAATTTCGTATTTTTTGCCCAAGTTTTCCAATTTTCAAGCAGAAAAATGTGAAACCTGGCCAAATTGGGTGCGGTTCCGAGGGCGACGTGGCGAAGATCGTAGATGGTTCCACTGCCGGTGTCGTACAAAGGAAGGAGCTGTTTGAGCGATCGGACGCCCTCCGCGTACAATTCGCTCGCCTCCGCCACCCGTTTTCTCACGATTTCCGTCGTTTCCGGGTGGATTCTGAGTTGCGAAAGGTCGTAGAGTCCGATGAGCGAGTAGAGGAATCCGTTGAGCACGAAGGAGCCCGGAGTGGTCGGATACTCCTCGAACCACGGAATGCCGAAGAACGACGCCCGCACGCCGCCCTCCGATGCGTTCTTTTTGAACAGATCCAGAGCGTCTATGGCCGCTTTCAGGTACTTTTCATCCGAAAACTCGTGCCAGGCACGTGTGAGCACCGACATTCCGTGTCCTGCAAAAACTGATTTTAGAGATGTTTTTTTTATACGCCAAAAATTTCAAATCTCGCGCCACGAGTGCAGCGGAGTGCACTTGCCCTAACCTTGGGCCATGGCGCTGTGCCATCCGGGCGGCAAAACCAGTTTCCTCTCTGCGATCGCCCTTTCCACTGGCACCGCCCATCCGCCCTGGGCGTCTTGGCTCCGTGCCAACCAGTCGGCGGCCGATCGGAATGCGTCCGAGTGCTGCTCCCGCCGCTGAGAAATGCGTTGTTTTACGGTCAGCTGACCACGGAATCCGAGCGAAACGAGACGAATGTCACCTGCAAAAAAGGGGTTAAATGAGAGATATAACGATCATAGTTTCATAGAGCAAGAAAATTGCGTACCCGGATGCAGCACGACATTATCGTCCTTCTTGCGATTGTCGGCACTGGAAAGGGCGCGTGCCACGTCGACAAGCAAGTCGCGGGTGACGGTCGACCATTCTCCGTGGGGCGCACTTCCCTCGAACGCGTACGAAAACGACACTTGGCCGTCCTTCCGCGTCCGAATTATCGTCTCGTCGTCGCTCTCCTTCTCCTCCTCCGCCCACACGCACTTTCCGTTTCCGTCCGAGTACACGTAGTTGATCAGCACCAGAAGATCGTCCTCTTTCATCTGCAAAAAAGAATTTTGGATCGTTTTTGGATCCGGGGGCGGGGGCGTACTTTTGCGAGTACTGTAAACGAGGAATTCGCGTCGATGGGCTTCCAGTCGAATGAAATCACGTGGAACTCCGGAGACTTGTTCAGGTAAACGTAGGCTCCGGCGTTCGCCAGAGCGTCTGGAAATGGTTGCAGTTTCAAAAATGCTACAAACACCCGCTCTCGCTTTAGATGACAGGAAACATATGTAAAACAGTGAATTCTATCGGAAAACTGACATCCAGCACTGATATTGACAGCCCTTCCGAATGTTTCGTCGTCGAAAAAGAGTCGTTCGGTGGTGTCGTGCATTCCGGCGGCGCCCTTCCATTCCGCCGATTTCTCTCCGACGATCACCTCGTCCGATTTGCTCGAATTCTGGGCTGAAAATCGTCAAATTCTCAATAGAGCGCATTTGCATTAATATAATACCCAATTTCATGCGACTATAATGTTGGAGTCCGTACTGGGCGATCTGAATCGGATAATAGTAGGGAACCGGGTCCCATTGGGTCGACATTGGCACTCCTGGAACATAAATCCGTTTTTCTTGCATTCTTCTGGAAGTCCTACCAGTTTTGGCACTGATGCACCTGACACGGTCCCTCGTTTCGACGCTGTACGTCGAAAAGTGGCCAAAAGGGCCCAATGCGTCATATTTCGTCTCCGGACTGCGCATTTTCGCGTATGAAGTCGACAATTCGAATGTCGAACCGTCTGGAACATTTCGCTTTAAAAGTTGTTCTAAAACCGCCGTCCGAACCTTTGCCCATCTTTCCGCTCAAATCGAATCGTTTTTTGAGGAAGGAGGCGGGAAAGTAGACGTCTTCCTGATCTTTCCAGCACCGCATCGGCCTGCCGCCGTCCGCGGAGCACTCGATTTCGACGGCTCCGGGCACCGGGCACTCTTTTTTGTCTTCCAATTCGGCCGGCTCGAGCACCTCCTCCTCCTCCTCGTCCCTTTCCGGCTCATTTGCCCGTTCCGCATAGTGCTTGCTGAGCACAAAAAGGGCGGAGCAGACGAGAAAAAGGTAGATTCGGTTGCGATTTGATCGCCATCGAAGACATTTCATGGGGAAATTCTAGGCACTGTTCTTTTGATGGACCTATTAAGTCAAGTAAGAAACTAGCATTTTACCGAAAAAAAACCCTATTCAAATGAGGAAAAAAACTGGGAAAAAACCCCGAGGAAGAGGTAGAACTAATAGTAAGCATAATAGAACTGGGAAGAATAGAACCGCAACACAATATAACTGTTTGGAGCGCTTTTTAAACCTTTCTGTAGAATAATTGTTTCGTAGAAAAAGATAATTTTTGAATCTCGTGATCGATTTATTGCAGTCATTAATTTCACTTCCATCGTGATCTCTCTTCTCTACGGCAGAGTTGAGCGGAAATGGAATTTTGAAATCCGGAAGACGGCAGACGGCAGACGGAAGAAATTTTTTTTTACGGAACACGGAAAACGGAAGACGGAAGAAAATTTTTCTCACGGAAGACGGCAGACGGAAGACGGAAGAAACATTTTTTTACGGAAGACGGCAGACGGAAGACGGAACAAAAAAATCTTCAATGCAGAACCTTTTTCTCCGGTTTTTTTGTTTGAAAAAAATAACTAAACAACAAAAAATTTGGATCTGGGTCACTGCCCGTGGAAATTCGCGTTATTCGGGGCTAGTAAACGGCTTTTGAAAAACTTACTCTTTTACGTAAATTTTACGGTAAGAAGAAAAAATCCCGGAAGACGGCAGACGGCAGACGGAAGAAACATTTTTTTACGGAAGGCGGCAGACGGAAGACGGAAGAAAACCTTTTTTCCGGAAGACGGCAGACGGAAGACGGAACAAAAAAAACCACGGAAGACGGAAGACGGAAGACGGCAGACGGAATTCCGCTCAACACTGCTCTACGGTAACGAAAACCCACAGAAAATAATTGTATTGTACTATCAAAAACGAAAGGAAACCAATTTTCTAGGTTTAAACTGTGGTCTTCTGCGTAATTATTCGAGAGACGAAAAATTTTGCGAAAGTTAACTGAAAGGAACGGACAAAATGCTCATATAAATACACAAAAACAGTTCTATTATGTTAGACCGCCGTTTGAATTGGCTGCGAAACGCCAATTCGAAGCTACTCAATTGCGTGGCTGGCAGTCTATTGTTCAATGAGCGTTCTTGCAGACATACGCTTCAACTCGCCGTGAATAAAGGTTTTTCGGTAAAATACTAGTTTTTTATTCGACTGAATAGTTCCATGCATGCCATGAGCTTTTTGAAAATGTTTGAATTTAAAATATTGAAATTACTGGAAACCTGACCAGGCCTTGCAATAAAAAAAAATCTACAAATATTTTATCGACACAGGGATCAATGAATATGTGAAATCGGGAGCGAAATACCACAAAAATAAATACTTTTTCACACAATAAATGGCGGATCTTCAGGTTCTGGCAAAAACGATGCAGTAGTGGGCGAGCAGCTGGTCGAGCAGCTCCATCTCGTCGAGCATCTCGATCTCGCGGATCCTCGACACCTCCGACTTGTCCAGAAAAGTCTTGAAGATCTGGTTCATGTCCTGCACTTTGACCGATTTGAATCCGGCCGAACGGAATCTGAAAATATTTCTTAGCGCATTATTCGCCCAATTTTGTGTACCTCTCCTCCTGTTTTTCGGCGCTCTCGCACATCTCCAGCCCGTGCAGCTGGATGCCTCTTTCGCCCAGATTCTGCTCCATGACTCGCGTGAATTCGTCCGAAGTGCGAAACTGTTCGTAATTGACGAACGCCGGCGTGCGGAACAACGAAACGAGCTGCTGGAGGAGACCGGAGCTCGCCGCCGCCGACATGTACACCAGGACGCATCTGAACAGAGAAACGGATAGTATTCGGAATTGTTTTGAGAACAACAAGAACCAACTCGGCGATGAAGATGGTGGGAATGTCGAAATCGAGTTGGCAAGTGACCAATTTCTGTTCCAATTCCTTCGATTGACGGAGGTCCGCACCGATCAGATGGTAGTTTCCGGCATGAAGATCCGCATGGTGGGACACCACCGCTGAAAATTTTTACAGAAAATTCAAAAAGTTTTTCTCGAAAAATGCGAAACAAACTGGAACTCACGTTCTTGGGCGAAGCTGGCCTTCAAATCGACGCTTCCGGCTCCGACCGGCTTCAGAATATGGCGGATTTTTTTGGAAGTGACTGACGAGAAGTCGACCTCCACGTACTTGACCAATTTTGCGTCCGAAGAAACGAGACGCCAGAAGAGAGTGTCAAATCCGCACCCTGCAAGAATTTTTCATTATTTTTCAAGAAAATTATCGATTTTTGACAAAACTCACCCAAACTAACAACCTGCGCGTTTCCGTTAAACTCTTTGAGGAACTCTCGCACATATTTCTCGATCGCGGCCGTTCTGGCCCAATATCCCATCGAAATTTCGGGGAAACGACGCGCCTCCGACACATTCGCCGCTGAATTCGCGAAACGAGCGATGAATTCGTCCTGCCAGTAGCCTTTCTGCATAAATTATCGAGTTAAGGCCTTTACAAACGTTGATACTGCACCTGAATAGCGAAATTCTTGCACTGGGTCGCGTCGTCATTGGTTCGCTGCACCGAATAGTCGTCGGACACCGAGTTCGAGCGACGGCGCGTCGCAATCGCCGCCGCCACGTGGCTATCGTTGCTCACCGCTTCCGGATCCATTTCTCGCCTAAAAAACCGGAAATAACACAAAAAATCGGTACGGGCTCATGTTTTTGCGGAGAAAAGTGAGCAAATTCGAGGAGATTCCGGCAAGGGGGACTGGAAAATGAACGAGGCGCCTGCTAGGCCACAACTTTCGAATTCGGATTTCTAGCGGAAAAAGTGCTCAAAATCGCTGAAAACTGACAGAATGGCCGACAGAAGAGGAGGAGGAGGTCAGTGGCAGCCACGAGAAGGTAAGAAGTTATCGATTTTATTTTAAAATTTATAAAAATACATCAAAAATCGATGTTTTCGAATTGTTATGAAAAAAAATTGCAGACAACAAATGGAGGCCGTACGGAGGCGGCGGCGGCTGGCGAGGTAACAACCGAGGCGGAAATCCACGTGGCAGCGGCGGGTGGCGCGGAAATCAAGACAATTGGCGCGGCGGGGGCGGCGGACGCGGATTTCCGCGCGGAAACAATCAGAATCGCGGCGGCTGGAATCGCGGCGGCGGAGGATTTCGGGGCGGAAGAGGCGGCGGACCTCATGAGGTGAGCTGAATTCAGTTAACTCAAAAATATACAATTCTCCCAAATTTAGGGTCCAATCGACGCAAAAAGATGCATAATTCCGTCGATGTGGGCGAATCCGTGGCTGAAATTGGAGGCCGAGTACGAAAAAGAATACGGAATCGCCATTTCAGAGGTAAACTTTTTTCCGTTTAACTTTTCGAATTCTTACCTTTTTTCAGGTGCAAGCCATCGAAAATCAACCGGAAAATCTCGAAATTCAAGCTGAACTTCCAGAAACATCGCCGCCAGAAAATTCTCCGATCTCTGCTGAAAATTGATAATTGACCTTTTGTTTGTTCTGTAAAATACCTTGTTTATCACTCAATACATGCCATAATAATAACTTCATTTACGCGATGGGGAGGGGGTCCTGACGTGAACATCGAGAAGTTTGAAGTAGAACGCAGCATTTTTGGAGTGGAAGGCTCGGAGAATTTGGCGGCATTTGAGTTGTTTACCCTTGACTGCCATTCGGAAGTTACAGACTGTCACTTTGTTGTGCACTCCAGCAGGTTATTGAGAGGAACAGCTATTCGGAAGGGCTCAAATGGTTGATCTCCGAGGGAACACAGTCCGTAGAGTGTACTAGAACCAACACTTTTCTATTGCCTTCTCCGGGCTTTACTGAATCGTCGCCCATCAGAATTTCACTTCGGATGCTCAGAGAGCAGCCACTGAAAGCGAGCGGTAAAGTCGGAAATGTCCAGATTGTTGCCCTTATGGGGCTATTCAGCGTATGTTTGTTTTCCGTTTTTTTACATCGCTGAATTGGATTTTTTGACGTAAAAAAACGAAAAAAAAAAAACGGAAAACAATCATTTTTTTCAGTCTGAATAGCCCCATTAAGGACAATCCAGGAAATCTGAACATTTCCGACTCTTGTGCTCTGTTTTGAATCTGTTCATTTGCACACTCATTCAGAGCGTTCGTTTCGCCGAAATGTTCTGATTTTCGCCAAGATTTAGCCTCCTATCGATGCACTTTTGGAGAGGTTAGCAGAGAGAGAATTTTAACGTCCTCCGCAAATGACGTCACGTGGACTTGGCGCGGAAAACGTTTTTCTAAGTCATTAATAAAGACTGGGGAAAGAAGTCTTTATTAGCCTGAAAGGAGCCTGAAAGAGCTCAAAAATTGTCATGTTTTCAGACTGAATGCATGCATGAATAAACCGTTTATTTAAATTTCAATTAGTCTTACTTTTAGATAGCACTCACATTTTCTCAGAAACAATTACAAAAGAACCAGTAAAAAAATGATGAAAAATGCAAACAATCACAATAAATCTGAAAATGTTTAAGACTTAGCGGGATGGGGGGACATGAAAAATACCTGTAACTTTAGAAAATAAACGGTTTTTAATGTTAGGGAAACCGAATGTTGAGGAGAGAGGCTTGACGCCTCAGGATATTCTTGAACTTTTGAAACAAAGATTTTGGCCGTAAATTTCTGCCCTATTCAAAATTTTCCCACAGAAAAATGGTCAGACTCGACTGAAAACTTCTCAACGTTAATTCTTACAGGTAAACTCAATTCATCGCTATTGCCCCTCGGTGTTTGCAGACTCAAGCCAGAATTTCCTAAAATTAGGCTTGAGTCTGCAAACACCGAGGGGGCAAGAGCGGTAAATTGAGTATAATTCGTTCCAATTTTTCAACCTGTGCAAAAAATTCGAAAAAAAACCTGCCAAAAGCGTTCTCGAAGAGTCCCGTGTCGTGTACCGATTCAAACTCTGTTCGATCACCTTCTTTCTCTCAAAAAAAGCCAAGAAAAATGAAAATTTCAGAGAAAAGAACGAATAAAATCCGATTGAGGAGAGGTGGGGGGGGGGAGGGACATTTTTCCGCATAAAAACATAAGAACATTTTAAATCCACAAAAATCCGGGGCGAACACTAGTAGCTAGAGGAAAAAAGGCGCTTTTGGTGGGGAAGAAACGGGGGAAAAGAAGGAGGAGGGATTAGATTAAATAATAATAATAATAATAATAAAATTTTCAAAAAATTAGGAAAAAACTCGGAGAAAAATGACAGAAATCTTCTTTTTCGGAACAAAACAGGGAGAGAGAGAAAGAGAGCAATCACTTGGGGAGGTGGGGCGGAAGCGGCGGCGGTCCGAGGGCGATGCCCATGAGCGGGGGCGGCGGCGGTGGCGGAGGAATGCCCCCGAGCACGGATCCGTTCGTTTTCGGTCCCGGATGGATGGAGTTGCTTGTGGAGGAGGATGTCGGCATCGAACCTTAAACTTCAGCACGCGATTAGTATTGTCCTTTTTGGGCGAAAATTCAAGGAAAATCAGGTAACAGCAATTTTTTGTACAACGACACAAAAGAGAACGAATGGTACTGTATTGAGAGAGGGTCGCCAGCAGCTAGATCCCTTCGTAATTACCTCTCGGATGCGAGTTTGCCCTGCTGTGACCGCTTCCGCTCGATCCGGCCGCCCCTCCGCCCGCCTCCGATTCATTCCGTCGTCCCATTCGGGCTTCCCGCTTCTGCTTCTTGCTCCACATCTCGTGACAGTCCTGAACGCACACAATTACGCATTTTCATGAAAAACTGCACATTTTTATTGGAAGTTTATGCTTTTCAGCTCATTTTAAGCTAATTTTAGTTCCGAAATATTTCTTGGAGATGCCAATTTTTGCAGCTTTTTCCGTGCAAACCTGATGCTTGGGCAAGAGCAACGGCTGTACGACGGCATTGTCGAGACTTCGGATCCACGGATGCAGGAGGGCCTCTTTGGCAGAGATCCTCTTGTCCGGATTCAAAGTGAGCATCTTATCGAGCAGATCGACGGCGTCGCGGGGCATTATGCTGCAACAACGCACATTTCACAGGGTGTGGAGCCTTTCGGCCGACGCGTACTGTTCGTATTCCTCCCGAATGCGTCGAATGTACATCTTGCGTGGTTTGTACGTCTTCCAGCCGATCAGTTCCGTCAGCGTCGGCCAGTTGTCCGGGTTCGGAGTGCCGCATTGCTGCAAAAAGAGGAAAATTGTAGAGGAAACAGGGGGAAACGATACTTTGCTGATGAGATCCAGTTGTTGCAGTTCGTTGTTTCCGTTGAATATCGGTTTGCGAGTGAACAGCTCGCCGAGCATGCATCTGAAAATGTGAAAGGAGTTGCCGAACACTGGATGTTTAATTTCGAGCAATTCCTAATTTTTCTCACGAAAAGCGGTTCGAGTTGATGCTTTGCCTGAAAAAGCCTAAATTTCTTTGAAATCGCTCACCCGGCACTCCAAACGTCGACGGCGGGTCCGTAGCACTCGTCGCCGAGCAGCAACTCGGGCGGTCGGTACCACAGAGTGATGACTCGATTCGTGTACAGCCGCTTCGTCTCCTTCTGCCATAACCTCGCCAATCCTAAGTCGGCGATTTTCAGCTCTCCTCTGCAAACCGACAATATCCAAATTTGTGGACTCTATTTGACAGGAGAGTTCTAGTAACACCCAGATTCTTTCCGGCTTCTAATAGCTAATTTCAATGAACAGGAACGCACTTATTGTTGACGAGTATATTGCTGCACTTGATGTCTCTGTGCAGGAATCCCGTGTTGTGACAGTAGGCGAGTCCCTCGAGGAGCTGCTTGAACAGCGAGCAGATTTGCTCTTTGCTGAACTCGATGAGCTCCTTCGACTCGAGCAGTCCGATGAGATCGTGGTCGACGTACTCGAACACGAGGTAGAAGTTGGCGCGCGTCTTTTTGAGCTCCTCCACCGAAATGTCGTCGAGCACAATGTCGAACAGTCGCACGACGTTCTTGTGGTTCAGCTGGCGGAGAATCTTGATCTCGCGAATCGCCGTGATCGGAAATCCCTCCTTTTCGTTCTCCAGTCGTACTCGTTTTAGTGCCACTTGCACACCTACAATAACCGAATGAATTCGAGAGATTGTGAGTTGGAAACTAGCAGAAATGTAGGATATCTGGCTAATTGAGCAATTCAGGCGAAATTTTGCGTGGAAAACATTGTAAACAAGCAAATTTTCGTGGCAACTTCTCGAATTTTCAAAACAAAACTCTTTTTGCAAAAACCAACCAGTTTTCTTGTTAACCGCTTTGTAGACCTGTCCGTAGGTGCCCTCGCCGATCTGATCGAGCATTTCATAATCGGCCAACGTCGTTTTGTACCACGAGTCCGAGTCGCCCCAGTCGGCACGTGCGGCCACTCCTCGTCGCGATATAATACTGAAAATGGGCTATTTCTTCACTTTCCCTTCCCGGAGAACCTTACACAGGCCGGCTCGTCATCCGTTTCGAATCCGTCGGCGGCATCGGTAAACGGGAACTCGAGGGCACCTCGACGGGCAGCGGCGGCGGCGGAATGGCCGACAGACACACCGAATCGACTGCGGCCACCAGGGGAGGTTCGAGCGGCGGCGGAGGAATCACGAACGGCAGCGGAGGGTGCGGCGGCGGCGGGAACTGCACGAATCGGTCCGGCGGCGGAGCGAACTGTAAATTGGGCTTGGAACCAACTGGAATCGAGACAGTCTCAAAACAACAGAAAATCACGAAACAGCGGAAAACGTTAAAGTTAAGAAAAAACGGTTTGTGCGTGCGCCTTTAACTTGCAGCTTTCTGATTGGCTTCCTAATTACTTTTCAAGGCCACAAATGGCGAAATTAGCCAATCAGAAGGCTGAAAATGGAAAGCACACGCGCAAAACGTTTTTTTTTAAACCTTCCGCTATTTGAACAACCGCTGTCTGCACACGGACTAACAAAATCTGCTATTTTTCAGTTTCTTCCCAAGGTTCATGTCAGAATTATACAAATTGCTACACAAAATCAGTTGAAAACGTAGCTTTCTCCGTTTTAGTTCTTCCGAACGTCTAAAAGTGGTTTCAAAGTTTCTTCCTTTCGATTTTCTCAAAAAACGATCGCTTACCAACGGCGGAACTGGCGGATTGAAGGGTATCGGCGTGTAGTGCGGCATGAAGGAGGGCGGCGGCGGCAGGGGTGTCGGCATGTTTATTCCGTTCGACGACGCCGGACCGTCCAGCTGAAATGGAGACTGTTTTGTGAGAGGTGTGCCCTAACGAGACCGACACGGGTCGAAAGATCTCAACGAGAGGATTCTAAACAAACTTTTTATTTTGGTGCCGACATACTCGATAAAAACTCATCTGATAGTCTATTTTTACGAGTTTCAGAGTTTGGCAGCAAAAGTTAAGAAAACACCTGGAATCCTCTCGTTGAGACCTTTCGGTCCATGCAGGCCTTACGGGTTCAAAACGGACAATAGAAAACAGTCGAATAGCCAAAGGCCAGTGCTCTAAGCCGCGGAGCTCATTAGCAAACCCGAGATTTGTAGCATTCCCGTGTGATTACTCATTTTCGGGCATTCGCACTTCTTGGGTGGGGGTGTCCATGGCAACTCACCACTTCGCCCGAGCTGCTCGACGATGAGCTCGAGTGCTTCCGACGCTTCCGACTCTTCTTCTTCGATCCTTTGCTCGACCCGATGTCGCCGTGTTGCTTCTTTATTTCGCCGATCAGCGAGGACGACATACTGTAACTGGAGACAAGGATTAGAGCAGTGTTGGCGAGTGCGGAAAAGTGAGATATACTACCAAATGTGACAAGTTTGGGTCTTAAAACTAAAAAAACCGTACCCATCATGTCGTTTCGTCTGTCGACCTCTTTCGCGTTCATGATTCGAACTGGCGCGCATTCGATTACTTTTCTAGCCGACTAGATGCAGGTTTTAATAAAATATCACAGAGGAGGAGTGCTCTCAAAATGAGTAGAGAGGGCAGCGGTAGAATAGCCAAGAATGGCGTACACCGGAGAAGAAGGCGAAGAAGAAGAAGCTAGAGAGGGAGAGAGGGAAGAGTGCGGCGAGTGAAGAGAGCCGAGAGAAACGAGAGACGCACGCCGTCAGACGCCGGCTTTTCACCGTTGGAAAACCGAAACGAGAAGAAGAAGAAGAAGAAGAGAGAAAGAGTAGCGTCTCTCTTCTGTTTTGTGACATTTTTCTCTTCTTTTTATGGATATGTGTGTGTAGAGGAAGAGAAAAATTGGAGAGAATGAGAGAGAGAGAGAGAGAGAAAACCCATTGACGGGAAATTGAAGAGAAAGAGACGGATAGGTTCTTCGCAACACTTTGCAACGCAACCAAAACAGGAGATCATTTCCGCGAACTTGGTAGATCATTGACAAATAGATCAAATTAGATCATGCTACAGCTAAAATTCCACAAAGTCGATGATTTGAGAGCTTCAGAAGGCCTGGGATACTATAAACTTTGCAGAAAACCCCACTTCTTGCAAAAATCGGATCAAGCTTCGTCGCTGACCCACTTCGCACTGGATATCCAGTTCAACCCGGCGCGATGAATGAAAACGATATACTATTTGGAAGGAAAAAAGAGTATCAAATCAACGCAATTGATTGATTCCGCTGCGATTTTCTCTCTTTTCTCACAGTTCAGAACGTGGGCGGATTTCGAGAGCTTGCAAATGGCAGAAAACACTGCATTTCAAAACTGAAAAAGAAGCGAAAACGGAGAAATGACCTCGGAATGGCTGGCCACCTGCCGTACAGCGCCTTGTTGACAGGGAATGCGAGTGAATCGGATGGGACGCCGAAAAGTGGAAAACGGGTACGATCGACAGTGTACACGCACTTTTTGCTAGGTTTTTCGAACATTTTTCCATGGAGCCAAGCTTTACGTGCTTAGAATTGCTTAGGAAAGGAAAGGTCGCATTTTTCGCTGTTTTTCTATCCGGGATGGTGGAATTTGTCTCTTATGACCATTTTCTGCAGTTTCTCTCTTCAATTCGCCCAAACACGCCTGAACAGGATCATTTTACATCCTGTTTCATGATGCTCTTCGCTTGCGTCCCAAACCGTTTTGGATACTTGTCCGCACAATGCTAACATCTGTAACGTTTGCGCTGAATTTAAGCAACTTGCCAGCTAAAGTTGGGTGAGCTTTACGCAAAAGTTGCATGGGGTTTTCCGATCATTTGCAGGAGCATCACTTACGCGTCGGGAGAGGAGGATCCGGAAGAGGCCCTCCGTCTGCTCTTCTTCGAAGTGCCCCTTTTCGGGGATCGGTGTCGACTGCGACTGCGGCTCCGTTTGTCGCGTCGCCTTCGTTCCTTGCTCCTCCGACGACTGCTCTCGTTGCGTCCCCGATCGCCGCCTCCACCTCTTCCACTTCCACTTCCGCCGCCGCTTCGACGCGAGTTGCTCACGGGACTCGACCAGTTTCTGGAAATACAGCAGTCGTTTCAGCTAATGGTTTGAACTGCCCGATAGAGGAATTGAGGAAAACCTGTCTGTGGTCACGTTTTACCACTAGAAACGGTTGCAAAACGTGCGAAATGAAGAAAACTAGTAAGAAATCTGCATTTCTGGGTGAGTTTCCCGCGAATTTCATAGCGACCTACTAAAAATCACTTCGCCTGAGCTATTCGAAAAAACACGTGTTTCTTTTGTAAAAGACGATTAAACTTTTTAAAGTGAAATTTTTGCGCTCCGAACGGACCGTTGTTTGTAGGGCGGCGTGACGGAATCCCTGGAATCCCGGTCCCGGCGTCCTCCTAGTCTCGAACCGCCTCGTTTCTCCATTTTTGTGTAGAGCCGCGACGGCGATCCGCTGTGACTGCGTTCGCGGTAATCTCGATGCGAGTACGATCCTTTGCGGTCTCGTTCATGTGTTGACGAGCCGGGCGATATGTCCATGGCTGAAATTGGGGCGGAAATTAGAGAGGTGCGGTGGTGGGCGGTGGAAGCACGGAAAAAGGACGACACGACAACGATAATGGTAGTGATTAGCGGAACGAAAATGACAGAAATAGATGAGAATCGAATGAAAAGGCGAGAGGACTTTTTTCGAAAATTATCAATTTTTGGGGGAAATCTTCAGATTTTCAGTGACTTTCAGTGACTTTCATGAACTTCGCTCTCCGCACGGACTGACCGTCGTCGTTTTTCGCGGCCAAACTGCCGTTCGGTAGATCACTGGCCGCCGGTTGCGAACAGTCCTCAACGGAAGCGTCGAGGCTCATCGGAACTGCAAAAACGAATTTTTTGAATTTTATGGGACCGAAAATCGATAAACTCACGTTTTCAGGCGTTTTCCTGCCCGTGCCAGTTATAATCTGTCTGAATTGAGGTCTGGAGTGGACTGAAACTGCACTATGAGCGTCGATTTTTGCGTAACATTTCGGGCGAGCGAAATTTCACATTTCTTGATCGATTTTCTAACGAAAAACGATGGAAAAATCGATATTTTTGAGTTCGATATTTTTTGTATGGAAAAGTTGAAAATTAGCACTGAAAAAGGTGGAAATTAGTTGAAAAAGGGTCGAAATTGTTTGGATGGCGTCGGAATTGATTGGCCCCGCCCACAAAACCGTGCGGCACTTGCGTTTTTATTTCTCTCGCGTCTCTCGCTTCAGCACACTCTCTCGCCGAAGTGGGCGGAGCCTCGCCACACTTTGCCGATTTTGATGGCAGTTGATAAGGACACGAATCGGACGGAAAAACGGAACGGAAAACTGAATAGAGCTGCGTTTTTTATTGATTTTTTTGCGACAAAAGAAATAATTTGCCTAAAAAGCGCAAGAAAACACGCCGAAAATGTTGAAGCCAGAAAAAAAGTGTAAGTTTTTCCAAAAAAAAAGAGCAAAGGGAGCAGTTACCGGAAACAGGTGAAAAACGCGCACAGAAACTGTTAAACTTTCAGCCTGAAAATGTAAAATTTCAGGAAACAGAGTGTCAAAAGTATGGAAAACTTCGAAATTGCGCTGTTCTGCACAGGACGTCAAGCACCGCCGCTTTTAGCTTTTTTGTTGTTGCTTACGTGTTTTCAAACATTTTCAGGGTTAAAAAAAGGCGGGAAAAATCAAATTTCCAGGCGAAAGATTCCCAGGAGCAGCGGCGGGAAACGGTGGACAGCAACCGCCGCGTGTGCACCAGCAGACACGGTCCCAGTGATCGCCACTCCATTTCTGTTTCCCAACAATTCGATTCTAGCCTTTTATATTCTCATCTTGTATAAAATCGTTGTTTTGTGGGTGATTCCCTGAAGATGGCGAACGCCGAAACATCTACAACACAGCTTGCACTTTTGAACCATTTGCAATAATCCGATCGGACCCAAACTTTGCAGACTTTTAGGACTTGGGTGGAAGTATTTTGAGGCCAAGTTTCAGATCGATAGGTTCTCTCTAAAGTCATTATATCTCCAGAGTAAATGATCTCAAAATACTTGAGCCCCCAAGTCCTGAAAGTCTGCAAGGTTTGGGTTCAATTGGGCCTGACAGTAATCCAAGTTACGGTAGCCTTTCATGCCAATTACCCGAGTACCCATTCTCTCTCTCTCTCTCTCTCTCTCTCTCTCTCTCTCTCTCTCTCTCTCTCTCTCTTCCTCATATTCGTTTCAATTTCAAAATTCGTCCAAAGTCTCTCGCATCTCCGCTATCCCTTCGCTTCCGAATGACCCCATTCCGGGAAGGCCGTTCCCTCCGGCCACTTGTTTTGTCTCTCTCTCCGTCTCTCCAGTTCCCACTCTCTCTCTCTCTCTCTTCTTCTTCTGGCCTAAACTACTTCAAGAGAAAGAAGAAGAAGAAGGAGGAGGAATCCTCGGATAGTTTCTCGTCTTTTTACTTACTGTCTGTCCACTTCTTTTTTGTGTGTGTGTGTTCTCAAGTGGACGGATAATATTTCTTCTTCTTCTTCTTCTTCTTCTTCTTTCTCAATTCCATTCTAATCTGTCTCAAATTCAAACGAAGCCGGAAAATCCAACAGGTAATGCACACGACTCTACGACACTTTGCACACTACCGTAACTCGCCACTTGAAAGCATATGGCGCGCGTGGTGAAGTGGTAAGACTGCTGACTGTCAAGTTGAGCGTTTTGGTTCGATCCCCACTGGGGTCTAGCTTCTTTTGCTTTTGTTTCCTTACTGATACTAGAGTTTTTACAGCGTTCAGACCATCTTTTCCGATTATCTTGGTTGTCAAAATGTTTATTGACACCTTCGCTCCTCTTTAATAACAAAATTAGGGGGGTCTCAGTGTCAGCGCCTTTAAAAAATACCCGTTTTTTTTTGCGCCCCTCTCCCCCAGTTCCCTCTACGAATACAAACTGGTCTCTCTCTCTTTCTCTCTTTCTCTCTCTTTCTCTTTTTATCTTAATTTTAAGTACTCTCTCTTTGTCTCTCTCTCGGAAATGGCCGTATTCCTTTGATTTTCGAAAATGTTACTTTACGAACATTTCAATGTGTTCGGTCCTAAACTACCGTAGTCCCACCTTATCTGACCGTTCTTCAATGAAAAAGTACGTTTGCATTGAATGCAACATCCATTTCCCTCCCATTTCGCACCGTCCTTGAGCGGCCCCCCGCCGCCGATTTAACCGATACACAATTCAATCTCTCTCGTGCCAAATTTCACGCATTTTTTCAAGTGCGGTCTTGCCATAAACTGTTCTGTACTCAAAATGAAATGCAAAAGAGGATTGACCTCAGTGGGGCTTGAACCAAAACGCTGGCCTGACAGCCGACAGCTTAACCACTGCGTCACGCGCACCGACCTTCTGCGCAGCTCCCAGGGAGAGCACATTGCCGGCGATTTTCGGCATTTGCATGCATTTTTCCGGATAGTATATCATTTTGTAAAGTAAAGTACCCCTCAAACCGAACCGATCCGTACCAAATTTCAAGAACGTAATCTTGACATCCCAGCGGGTCCATCTTCCAAGTTTCGTGCGGATTGGTTGAGTAGAAGCCGAGAAAAGTGAAAAGTTAACGGAAACCTCAAGTCTAAACTGTTTTCCCATCAACAGGTTGGCCCTGACAAATGTTCTTTGTTTCCCTTCAAAATATTGTCCGTCTAAACAAAACAGAAACATAAAATCAATTATCAGCTCATCCGCCGGGCCGCCCTCATTCGAGAACATTCCATTTTAATCGCCCCTTTCAAATGCGGATTAAAGTGTTCCCAAATAGGTGTGTATTCGTTGTATTCTCTGAAAAATCTGTACTAGAACGCTGCAGTACACTTTATCTCACGAGAAATTGCGTACCTAGTGATTTTAAGGCGATACATCATAACTTACGAGCAGTTACACACTTTTCAAGCTACAGTACACTTTACCCTACGAGAAATTGCGTATCGCGTACTTTTACGTCCTCTACGACAACTTGCAAATCTACCGTACTCTCTATCACACCACATCTTACGAGAAATTGCGGACCTCACGCTTTTCGAGCTACAGTACCCCTTCTCTACAGCTGGATTTTCTCGTCATCACTATCGCTATCATCGGTGTGTGTGTGCGATTGTGATCCAGTTGTCGCCACAACACTTTCGGCCCGAATGAATGATATATTAAGGGAGAAAGAAGAAGAAGAGATTATTTTCTCTCCTTCTTCTTCTTCTTCTTCTTCTTGTTCCCTATCAAATCTGCGCAAGGACGATTCAGTTAGTTCTTCTTCTTCTCTTGTTCCTTTCATTTCTCCCTCGTTTTTAGAGAAGTGGGTAGCCGCAAGTTGAGACTAATTTCATTTTGTCGTCCGTTTCGGTTCACTTCTTCTTGATCTTTCTTCGACTGTCCTAGGCCACGGCCGTGTGTTTTCTAGGCCATCACGTATCGAAAAAGTGGTCAACTGAGAAAAAGGCATTTTGTTAGTTGACAACCATTTGACAAATCGAAAAAGTGCAGGCTACAACTTTGAGATCTCATAAAATGAAGCTAATGAACATTTTTGCCAAGTTTCCGAAAGTTCTGTCAAACTTTAAGGCCTTAAAAGCGACCTGACGCACCTTGACCCATATTTATCGTCTTATCACCCCCCTGCGCTTCAGTTCAGTTCAGTTTTTACAATTTTCCAATTTCCGATATTCCTCAAATGAACGTGTCACTTGCAGATGAGCTAGCCGAGCTGCTCGCCGGCCGGCTCGAGCTCTCCAACTTGGGCGGTGTGCTCTCCGTGATGATCGCCTCGTTGCTGCGATCTCGGCGACGTTCGCGACGTCTCGTCGCCGCGACCGTTCTTCTGCTCGCATTCCTCGCCGTCTGGTGCTCCCTCTCGTTGGCCTTGTTCTTTTTGAGTGACGTGGTGAGGAGAAGGGCACTAAATGGCCGTAAATGTGTGCGCCGATTTCAGTACTTTGGACCCGACAAACAAGCGATTCGGACACAGAAAACCGCTGCCAGAGGCAACTATCACGTGGGTTTCGCGCCATCTTTTGTGTACTATCACATCACTCCGTGGAGTATTGTAGCTCCCCGGGTAAGTTGTGACTTCCACGAGCTACACTAGTCCTAGAAATGATGGTACAAAAAAGTGGTCAACTACAAAAATAAAGTACGAGGTGTGTAGACTGCCCTCAAACTTTTCTAGAACGGGTGAAACTGTTTGAACCCTACAATGTGTGTGTTTGCAGGTCGTAGTCGGTCACTACAACGGCAATCTTCCCGAAGATCGGAAGCGGAACCTCACTGCCGAAGAACTCAACGCCAACAACTATTTTCCGCACGACGAGTGGGGCGAAGGCGGAGCAGCAGTGAGCCAGCTCACTCGAGAACAACAGAAACTATCGGACGCGACGTTCGCAGTCAATCAGTTCAATTTGCTCGTCTCCGATGGAATCTCAGTGCGACGCGCCCTTCCGGACGTTCGAAAACCGACGTGTCGCAACTTGACCTATCCTGGTAAGTTGGCAAAAAAGAGATTGTAGAACTTTGAAGGAGTGTAAGAGCACACCAGAACCACTGTTTATTAAAAACAATGTATCGCCGCGGCCGATAGAGATAGCAAAAAGTTGTCAACTGACAAAATATTTATAAGGAAAGTGTGCACATTTTATCAGTTGATCACTTTTTGATATCTCCACCCGCAGCTGAGATATAGCGTTTTGAATGTGAGTAGCAGTGTCTACAAGATATTGTATGGTTCAGCGGATCTACCGACGACTTCTGTGATAATTGTCTATCATAACGAGGCCTACTCAACACTGTTGCGGACCGTTTGGAGTGTGATCGATCGATCGCCAAAGGAATTGATAAAAGAGATCATTCTGGTGGATGACTTTTCGGAGAGAGGTCCCGGATTACTGTACTCCGTCCGTATTCCGATGTTTTCAGACTTTCTACGGTATCCAGCGCTTGATAACGCTCTGAAACCGCTTCCCGTGGACATTAAGATCATTCGGTCGAAGGAAAGAGTCGGATTGATCCGAGCAAGAATGATGGGCGCGCAGGAAGCCAGAGGCGACGTGCTCACTTTCCTGGACTCGCACTGCGAATGCACCAAAGGATGGCTCGAACCCCTATTGGCTCGGATCCGGCTGGATCGCAAGGCGGTCCCCTGTCCGATCATCGATATCATCAACGATAACACGTTCCAATACCAGAAGGGAATCGAGATGTTCCGAGGCGGATTCAACTGGAACCTGCAGTTCCGATGGTACGCAATGCCCTCCTCGTTGGCCAAGAGTCATTTGGCCGATCCGACGGGACCAATTGAGAGTCCCACAATGGCCGGCGGACTGTTTTCGATCGATCGCAAGTACTTTGAAGAGCTCGGAGAATACGATGCGGGCATGGATATCTGGGGCGGAGAGAACTTGGAAATGAGCTTCAGGGTTAGTTTCGCACATTGCAAACTTCAATTTACGCACCTTGTACTTTGTTTTTCACTTTTCCTAAAGCTACAATAGCCCAGGGAAGTGCAGTGTCAATGATTTTGGCTACGGTTAACTTCAATGATCTACAGTAATCTTAAGAGTGGTGGCACACGAATATTGTCAACTACAAACTTAAAGTTCACATCTTGCACTATATTTCTCTAGTTGACCACTTTTTTGTATCTCTACTCCCCGGAGTACTGTAGCTCTTGAAAGTTGCTTCTATCATTCTATGCACCCTCGAAGCTTCGCTATTGTATATCTCGAGAACCAATGATTATTGGAAATTGTTGTCAACAGCAAACTTGTTGCAAATTGTATGCTTAACAACTTTGTCATTGACCACTTTGCTCCAACACTTTTCGTTTTCAAGTTATGCCCTCGCAAGTGTTGTCCGTTGCAGATCTGGCAATGCGGCGGTCGGGTCGAGATCCTTCCGTGTTCCCATGTCGGCCACGTCTTCCGCAAGTCCTCACCGCACGATTTTCCGGGAAAATCGAGCGGAAAAGTGCTGAATGCGAATTTGTTGCGAGTGGCAGAGGTGTGGATGGACGAGTGGAAGTTCTTTTTCTACAAGATCGCGCCACGTGAGTCTCTCTCGACTATCTATTGTCATTTTCTGAGAAAAGTGCAAACAAATCCTTCCAGAAGCGTTCCGAATGCGTCAATCGATCGACGTCTCCGAGCGAGTGGAGCTGCGCAAAAAGTTGCACTGCAAAAGTTTCAAGTGGTACCTGCAGACCGTCTTCAAAGATCACTTTCTGCCGACGCCCGTCGATCGATTCGGAAGGGTAAGTGCCGCGAATTTTTGATGATGACGTGGCAGCGAGGGTCCTCCGTTCGTCCTCCAGATGACGTCAGCGGCCAACTCGTCCGTGTGTCTCGCGTGGGCCCTCCGATCGTCCGGAATCAAGGCGCCCGCGTCCGTCGAGTGCCTTCGAACGTTCCAGAAATCACAGGTGATTCTTCTAGATCTCCACCTCCTCCCCCGATTACTGCGTCGCATTCCGACCCGGCGACACTGGGCCTAAAAATCAGCGGCTGCTCGGCGCGCCGTGCACAATGGGATTCGATGTGTGGCAGGTCCGGGTTCGCGCACACCCGATCCTACGACATTTCACACACACACACACACACACACCGCCCGCCTACCGTAACCGTTTTCAGCTTTGGCTCTACACCGGCGATCGCCGCCTCCGAACCGACGAACATTTGTGTGTTTCGGCCGTCCAACTACTCCACACCACCTCCGAATATCAGGTTCAACTCAAGGAATGCGCTGGACTCGAGAACGAGTACTGGGATTATAAAGCTACAGTAAGACCTTCGGAAAATGTGGAATTTGAATGGTAGCTTTGCTTTCAGATCGGTCGATTCAAGCACCGTCAAAGTGGACTTTGCCTCGCCTCTCCCGATATTTTCGATCCGAGCAAGGAGGAATTCAACCCGCCGATTGTGGAGAGATGTCGATCGGATGAGAAACAGGTTTGGCGCTGACATCTCTTCATGGACAATAGCTCATTTTTGTAGTTGATCACTGTTTGGCCGGGAATTTAGTTGAGCCTAGACTTCCATGAGCTACAGTAGTGTTTGGAGAGCTTGTATCGCAAAAGTGTCAATTACAAAATGAAAGAACAGGTCTAGAACTTTATTTTTTCAGTTGACAACTTTTTCGTAGCACTTCTCTGAAGGCTACAGTAGCACATGGAACTGCAGGGCAAAAGATTTTGGCTAGTGTTAGCTTCGATCAGCTACAGTAACCTTAGAAGTGGTGGCACAAAAATATTGTCAACTACAAACTGAAAGATCACCTTTTGCACTATAATTTTTCAGTTGACCACTTTTTTGTATCTTTTCTCCTTAGAGTACTGTAGCTCTTGGAAGTTAGGTATAGTGTAGGGAAACTTCTAAGAGCTACAGTAGGCTTCGGAGTGATGGCACAAAAAAGTTGTCAATTAACAAAATGAAGTACTAGTTGTGAACTTGATTTTTGTTTCTGACCACCTTTTTGTATCACCATTCAAAAGCCCGCTGTAGCTCATGGAAGTAGCCGCTCTTTAGAGAGTTACTGGATCGAGTCGTAACTTCCAAGAGCTACAGTCGGCCAGAGAGTGATGGTACAAAAAAGTTGCCAACTTCAAAAACACAGTACTAAATGTCAAGATTTTACAAAAAAATTTGACGCTCATTTCAGAAGTGGACAATATCCGAAAGTTCATGGCTCCCGGAGCACCCGTCATAACTAAACCTACCCATTTTCGCACCGTCTACCCTCTTTCTTCTTTCTTTACCTGGCTGCTTTTAATATTTTCCCCCCAAAAAAAAAGAAAACCACAACAAGCATTAATTTCGTCCCGTTTTTGCCATTAAACTTCCTCTTTAAAGCCCTCCCCGGAAAGCCATGATTGTCCCCCAATTCCCCTTGTGTTTTTGTGCCTTTGAGGAGCCCATCTCGGTCGATTCGAGAAGCATTTTCTCTCGGTTTCGACCCTTTTGAGCTCTTTTTGTCGCCTAAGCCATAACATTTGACCCCCTCCCCCACCCTCTAAATGTTGACCAAATTGATGTACTTGTGATGGTGTCAGCTCATGATTTGCACGTCGGCGTACGATTTTTCGTAAGGTGTGGTGCAAAGCAAGATTTTTGCCTTTTTTTAATGCAAAAATAGCGATAACTTGCAAGAGAAATGCACGTTTTTGAGATTTCTGCAAATTGTCGTAAGATCCGATGCATGCACCACAACGCCGCGCTACAGTAACCCGATTGTTAGAAGAGATTGTGCAGCTGACGGCATACAGAAATGCTTTATTTTCAAACGGCAACATTATTATTATTATGACATTTCTGACAACAGAATAAAGAGAATTATCGATTGATTGATTGATTGATTGGCGATTGAGGTACCCGAAGAAGAAGACGTTCGGACCGGAAAACGGTCACGAATAGACGACGCACCATATGTGAAACGCGAGCAGAAACATGAGAATTGTGCCCTCCGGAGTGACGTTTATCATTTTTCTGCAACATTTTCCGCTAATTTTCAGACAAATCTGCGCAAAAACCGACCGAGAGAGTGCGCGACGGAGACGAGCAGAGAAAAGAGCACGAATTTGATGAGCTCTCGGCTCCGAACCAGATGGAAAAGTGGTAGGAGAAGAAGAAGAAGAAAAAGAAGAAGAAGAAGAAAGAGAGAGAGAGAGAGAGAGAGAGAGAGCGTGTGGACGGCGGAGAGCGCGGAGAAACGAAAAAGAGCACACTTGGGGCTCGGTTGGTTGGTAGAGCTCCGTCGCGCAGAGCTCTTTCTCTCTCTCTCTCTCTTTGTGTGCTCACTGAATTTTTATGAGCCAACGGCACAAACAGCTGGAAAAATGAGAAGAGAACTGGGCTTGGGGAAAGTCCTACTGTTCTAGAACTTTTTTTTTTGGAAAATCTTCATGACTAATCGTTTGTTCTTCTAGTTGATTGCTTTTTTGTTCTTGGAAGTGTAGGGCAACTTCTAAGCGCTACAGTAGGCTTCGGAGTGATGGCACAAAAAAGTTGTCAATTAACAAAATGAAGTACTAGTTGTGAACTTGATTTTTGTTTCTGACAACTTTTTTGTACCATCATTCACAAGCCCGCTGTAGCTCATGGAAGTAGCCGCTCTTTAGAGAGCTACTGGACCGAGTCGTTACTTCCAAGAGCTACAGTCGGCCAGGGAGTGGTCGTACAAAAAAGTTGTCAACTAGAAAAATATACTTCAACACAAGAACTCCATTTTGTTAGTTGACAACGTTTCGTGAATACTGTTCCGAAGACAGCTGGAGGGCATTCAAAAATCATCATTTATTATTCCTTCTATTATAGCACACACACACAAACAGTAATTCCACAGGTATTCGAGCCGAATCACAAGAGCCGAGCGGCGACGAGCATGATGGCAGATGCACCTGAACAGAGAAAAGATAAAAGTGCGCTCCATCGAGACCGCTCACCAAGCACTGCGCATCCAGAGCCCACGAGCTTTTTCGCTTCATCGGCGACGGCGTTCCCGGCAGTCTTGGCCCCGTCGGCGGCCGCGTTCCCGGCAGTCTTGGCTCCGTCGACGGCCGCGTTCCCCGCGGATCCGGCTCCGTCGGCCACACTTTTTCCAGCGCTTTCCGCTCCGTTTTTGACGTCTTTTCCGGCCGATTCGGCGCCACTTTTAGCTTTTTCGGCCGCATCCGCGTCGACGTTCAAAACGAGAGTGACGAGGAGAAGAAGGACGAAGAGTGACTTCCTGTGCATCGTGCAACTTCAGACGATCCTCGGAAGATTGATCTTGATGCAGAGGCGAGAGCTTTTATAGCCATCGCTTATCGGTAAAAAAGGAAAGGGTAGTAGGGCACGCCAAACTGATAAACTGATTAATTTCCATTAAAAACAGTGTATCTCATCTGTGCTTAGAGATTTCAAAAAGCTGTCAACTGATAAAATGTGCACAATGTGTTTCTGAGCAATTTCTCTGTTGACAACTTTTTGATATCTCTACCGGCAACTAGGATAAACGGTGTTCGAACAACACTTAATCGACTAGAAAACTTTTATCCAAAAAACCCAAACACTATTCATTCTCATTTTATTTGTTGTCGTGGCTTCTCATGTAGATCGTCATTTTGTTCCGAATTGATGCTGGATGCGTGGCGGAGCGTCCGTTTAGAACAGTCCTCTCGCGAGAATCACCGCGGCGCCTGCAAATTTATTTAACATTTTCCGAAAAATGCGAAGCGTTTCGGTTGCCGAGTGTCCGAGTTGCGTTTTTATTCAATTTCAGACCGAAAACACTGCGGTCGAGCGTGTTCGCATCGTTTTTTGAGCGTCAAACTGACCGAGTCCGGTGTAGACGGCCGGCTTCTTTTACGTCAGTAGCCGCGTTGGCAACGAGGAAAGCGGAGGCCAGAACGAGAAGGAGAAGGGCGACGGAGCGATGGAGCCTTGAATCGTTTGAACTGAACGTTCCGCCCGACGGGCTATCGGCGTTCCGGTTGTTTCCGGCCACGAAAAGTTCACAAAGGGTCAAACAAAAATGGACACTTTTATTCCATACTCAAAATTCTAAATGTCGAATCGGAGAGTTCATCATCGTCGGCTTGGGGGTTGATTGATTGATCGGTGCGCTAGAAGAGCTGGCGGGCGGCTAGCAACACGATTGCGCCTGAAAAAACACGGATGCTGCAAGTGCGCTCCACCGAACACTCACCGATTCCGGCGAAAACAGACGTCGGGACGGCCGCCAATTTGGTCGTGTCCTCCATTTTATCGTCTTTCGCAGCCATCGTGACGGCGAGAATGGAGGCGAAAACGAGGAAGCAGAGGAGGAACGGCTGCGTGAGCATCTTGAGAGCTTCCCGACGATTCCAAAGGAGTCTGGTGTGCGAGTGAACGGAGAATTCGAACTTTTATACCAAATTTATATCTTATCTGTTCGTGCTGATTAACTGATATGAAATACGTGCGTAATTTTGGCGGAGCAATTCGCACTTCGCGGTTCCGGTCAACCCAACACGTACAAGAGGAAACCGGTGCGAAGAAGGTGTTTGCTGAGAGAATCCCGGACCCACGGGCGCGGAATTGGCGCCCATTTTGCCGTTCTCTGTGCATGTGAGTTTTTGAGCAAGATTAACCGTTTTGAGAAGATTTTTTAAAGATTTTTCAGGTATCTTTCCGGTTCTCAACCCGTCAATACCTTCTACTACACTCTGGAATCGGTGGTTGAGAAAGCGACCAAGAAGATCTGTTTTTGAAGTTCGAGGAGACGTTCCGACAGGCTATGAAAGTAAGAAAATTTTGGAAAGTTTCAGATACTCAGCGATTTGAAGTGAGGAAACAGCGGCGAAAAAGGCGTTTTGAGGAAACCGCGGATGACCGCTGTTTCGCCAAGCTCAAATCGTGGCGAGACCACAGCCGCGGCGCTTTTGTCGAAACGGCGGAGGAACGCCGTTTTAACGGAAAACAACGCAGTTTTCTGGCGGAGTTCTGGCGAAACACGCTTGTAAGCGTGTTCGACCCGCTTTCCGCCGCTGTTTCCTCACTTCAAATCGCTGAGTAGGAACTGACACAACAAGATGAACTCCCTATTTTTATCCGTTTGAGGAGCTCTCGACAACCGGCCGGAGGACTGGATGCGAGCTGAAGAAGAAGAAGAAGAAGAATCAGTAAAAGTTAGTTCGTTTTCTTGTGTTAATAAATGTTCTTCTTTGAGCTTTCTGTTGCAGAACGGACTGTCGGTTGAGATGATGCAATCTCTCTTTCTCTCTCCGTGACCTCGCAAACAATATGCCTCTCGGTCCGTCCGTTCCATCGCTCTCCTTCTTTCCCCCGCAAATCGCTGTTCTTCCAGACTCAATAATGAATTCGAAACCTCCTTTGAAACTCTTCAAACTGGCCCGTCCGGTTGCCTACAAGATTCTGGACCAAATGACGATAAACGAATTGTTCTTCCTGTCGCTAATTCTGAAAAAAAGAAGGTTCGAGACGGTGGCGACGCTATTGCTCATCTGGGAGAATCGCCTTCGAAGGAATCGATTCGAAGATCGGTTACCGAGACAGCTGACGTGGATTGGGGGCGATCCGCCGACGAGATCAAGGGATGGATCACAAATTGTAAAGCTCACGATTGGTGAGGGGAAGGGCTACGAGTGCAGGTAACTTTATTGTCAAACCACCTCATTCTTATTCCCGTTTTCAGAGTTTGGCTCGAATCCGACACAGCAATATACTGTCCGGACAAGCAGATCGAAAAACCGTTCCTTCTTCTGTTCACTCATTTGTCGGAAGTGTTCGGCATGAAACCGAAGACCACGATCTCGTGGAAAGAATCAAGGAAATGCAGCGACTCGATTCCCGATTCCTTTCAAAATTTTCTAGAGCTTATCAGATGAGGCGCAGTGATTTAGTAACCTCTAAAGGTCAGTGGTGGGGGAATGGATCGTCAGAAGTTTCTCGTCATTTCTCCTATTCAATCATCACGTGAATCGTGCGATGCTGCTCTTCGAGTCGATTCTCTTCGGCTCGATCTTCCTGCTCACCACCGTCTGGATCGGATGCGGCAAAAAGAAATCGGCGCCGACGGTGGCGCCACGTGGCACTCCGCCAGCCGCAAAGAGCCCGCTAAGCACGCAATCGCCCGTCTCGAAATCGCCGGCGAAGGAGAAGAAGGAAGGAAGTGAAAAGGAGAAAGAGAAATCGAAAGAGAAAGAGGAAGAAGGAGAAGAAGAGAAGATGAAGACGAAGAAGAAGACGTCGAAATCGGGAGAGAAGGAGGAGGAGGAGGCGAAGAAGGAAGAAGAAGCGGAGAAGAAAGAGGAGGGGGAGAAGAAGACGTCGACGTCGAATGAGAAGGAAGACGAGAAGAAGGAGGAGAAGAAGGAAGAGGAAGAGGATAAGCAGAAAGAGGAAGAAGGAGCGAAGGCAAAGACGAAGGAGGAGCAGAGTGAGTTCGCAACTACCGTAATCCCACCGTCATTACCGTAATCCTTTCAGTCGCTGCCTCGCCGACAATTCTGACGTTCGACGCGACGACGACAAGTCAGAAGAAGCTGCGGCTCAAAAATTTGACCGATAAGAAGTTGATGTTCAAGATCAAATCCTCGACTACTAATATTTACTTGTGAGTGGAAGAGAAAGAGCTAGGTCATCGGTTAACTTGTTCCAAACGTGGCCTAGCTTTTCCTCTTCCACAGAAATGAATAGAACGGTCTAGAATTCGTCGAACTTTTCAAACTTTTCAGGATCAACCCGGTGTTCGGCAAAATCGAGCCGTTCAACTTTGCGGACGTGATGGTCACTCACAAGCCGTCGGCCAAAGGGGACCACAAACTGGTCATCATCACTTCGGAGGTCTGAAGCGGTCCCCGGCTCGGCCCCCCGACAAAAACCGCACATTTTCAGTTCATCGGCAAGGAAATCGAGATGGCGAAGACGTTCAAACACATCAAGACGAGCGGCGCCGAAGTGAGTGTGAAACTCGAGGCGAAGTGAGCCAACCGACCCGGGACAACGTGCTTAAACAAGGAAAAACATGTATTTCGCTGTTATCGAATCGATAAAATTGTGTTTATTGACCTCTAAAAATGTAAAGAGTCATGAAATGAAGGGGGTGTTGCGTGGAAACTTTGAAAGCGAAATGAGAAGACAACCGGCCTATAAAAAGTGTGGTAAAACTGGTTGATATATATATATACAGTAGAAGAAGAAGAAATAATAATAATAATAATTTCAATATTCTAGAGGAAGATGACAGCGGGTGAGATCATCGCATTGTTCAGAATGTGGATTGGATTTGCATCTGAAAAGAGGGGGTTTTTGAAACTCATGTATCTCAGCTATCTGTAGAGATATCAAAAAGTGGTCAACTAAAAAAATGTGTCAAATTTCTTGCTGGACATTTTGTTAGTTGACAACTTTTTGATATTTCCACCGGCAGTTGAGATATATCCGTTTGAATGGATAGTACTCAACGATATTGTCGTCTTTGGTGGATTACTCACCGGTTGACGTCTCCGATAGGGTTCCTCAAGGATTGGCATCTCCCGGTCCCTCGTCCGCTGGTCCCCAACGACCGGCCGTCCGTTGTGATCGTAGTTGATGGTGATCTCCGAATTGATGTGATACTTCTGCGGCACCGGCTGTCCGTCAGGCCCGCGTTCCCCGGAAGACGGCGGGATCACAATGTGCTGAGGGATCGAAATTCCGCCCGAGAGCGGGAAACTCATGTCCTGCGAGCCGCCGGACGTCTCCTGCGAGTCCTGGTGCCGGTTCTTCCGGTCCGTCTCCCTTCGGCCCCGTCGATCGTCTCTATCTTTCGAGTCTCGGTCCCTCTCCCTCTCCCGATCCTCCCTCCGATCCCTCCGATCTTCCCGATGCTTCCGCGAGCTGCTCCTCTGACTGCCTCCGTGTCTGTGTCGTTTCGATCGTCGTCTCTCTCGCTCTCGCTCCCTCTCCGCCTCCGAATCGTAATCCGCGTCGTCGAACCGTGAACGGCTGCGATGGCGTCGTTTGCTGCTCGATCGATGACGGTGTGCGCGCGTGAATTCGCTCGGATCCGATTCGGACGAGTAGCCGTCGTACTCGTGACGGCTTCTCGATTTGCGACGGCGCGACGAGGATCGGTGCTTGTCGCGGTGATCGCAATCTCGATGCGAGACGAGCGTTCCGTTGTGGAGCGATGGCACGGATCGGGTGCGCTGAAAAGAAAGCGTTGAAAAGTGGTGAAGATGGCGTGAAGCTCACGTGCAACGTGGTCGTCGCCTGTACCTGCTTGCTCGTCGTGATCGGCTCACTGCGCGCCTCGTGGCTCCGATCTGTAAGCAACGCTGAAAATGAGAGCAACGGTTCGGAACAGAAGAGCATGCGGTTAGAAAGAGAGAGAGCATGCATGCACGTACGTACCAATCGATTGCTGCTCGCGGACCCACGAGCCGACGGGATCCTCGTCCAGCGCCCTGATGCTCTTCACTTTGGGCTCCATCGCGAACTTCATCTCCGTCGCATCCAGCGGGTACGGAGTGTTCGCCTGAGCCGGCGGCAACGGAAGCGGCGTCTGCGGCACTCCAGCTCGCGAATAACTCGGATAAACTGGGACCGGGTACGGTTGAGCAAGAGCTGAACGTTTCGATATTGTACGTCTAACTGCTGAGGACTCACGCTTGTAAGGGGCTCCGTGCTTCATTGGCGGGCTTCTGTGCACTCCGTCGTCGTACGATTCGAGAAGGTCCCTTCGGCTGTTCCCGTGCCGATTGATCTTGTACCGTACTCCCCGTCTATCCTTCCCCTCGTACTCGTCAGTCGTCGCGTTGATCCGATTGTAGTAGAACATCACGACGACCACGCAATAGATCTGGAAAATTGGCAGTTTCCGGTGGTGGTATCAAAAAGTGGTCAACTGATAAAATGTGCAGCATTTCTTTCTAAGCATTTTGTTAGTTGACACCTTTTTGAAATCTCCAACTACAGTTGAGATATACCGTTTTAGATAAACAGTAGCCCAGGTGGTTCCCCCCACTTACATTGATGAAAACCACGATGATTTCGATGATTGTGATTGCGAGCCAGTAGTCCCTGACATCTCCACACCACCACATGATGCAGTAGGCCAAAGTGGCCAGAATCGACGAGATCATCACGGGAAACCACGGCCAGACCAGGTATTTCGACCACGTGTGGATGCCGTAGATCATGGCCGCCGAGGCGAAAACCAAGAAGAAGGCGGCGATGAGACAGAGCACTTGGATCACGAAAAGACCTGAAAAAGTGAGGGATTAGGAGATGGCCGAGTTTTTGGGTTCGTGTGAAAAATTAGGGGGCAGACAACTCTGAAAAGTGCTTTAACGCTTGGAAATCAACAATAGCCAAAGGTTTTTCGCGCGTTCCCAAGCGCTACAATACTTTTCTACGTAGGCGTATCGAAAAGTTGTCAACTAGAAAAATAAAGTTCAAAATGTGCACTTCATTTTTGTAGTTGACATCTTTTTGATAAAACCACTCGCCGAGGTACTGTAGCTCATGAAAGTTGCATTACACTTCTGGTTGGCAAGCCTCAACTTCGAAGAGCGACAGTACTCTTGGAAGTGGTCGTATAAAAAAGTTGTCAAGAGGAAAAATGTAGTAAAAGATGTGAACATTACACTCGAAAACGTTTCAGAAAGATATCACTTCTGCTGGCTCTACAATGTGCACTCAAAGTCGGCGCCTACCTGTATAATACCGCTCCTCAGGACTCTGCCAATAACTCTCAAAGTAGGAGGGTATATCGAAGCGTCCGTACGTGTTATAGTTTGGCAGAAGAGTGTTCGCCGCGCGGTCGCGTTCGTACTTGATCGCCGCCATTTGCCACCCCATTATTCCGAGCTGCGCGATCGAGGAGACCTGGAATACCAGGAGCTGAACTCAAAACGATTCACACGAACGAAATGACGGCTGTTTTTGGGCTCTCTGGGGTGGCAAACGGGCGGACACTCTCTCTCTCTCTCTCTCTCTCCTCTCCGATGATATTGTCCTTTTCTCGAAAACTTGCCTTCGATAATGGCGGCGGTGCGTTTAGTGGAAGCGCCGACGCACGGACAATCCCACTCGCACTGCAAATTCGACTGCGCCATTGTGACGGCTCGACAGTGATTGAGCACGCCCGTTTGCCACCCGAACAGAAGCAGTGACGCGAGAGCATACACCTGCGAACCGATAATATCAAACACTCGTCTTTCGCCCCGCATTGCATCGCAAAAACGACTTACCAACGACCAGATTCCGATGGTAATGGCGGCATCTTTGCTGCTGCAGCAGCAACACGCAGTTATTCCCATTGAAGATGATGCCGTTTTTGTCAGCCGGGCGAGAAAATCATAGCCCCCTTTAAGTGGCGGCGGCGGCGGAAAGACTGTCTGGAACAAGAGAGAGAGAGAGACTTGGTCGGGTAGAGACACAACGTTTCGAAAATCGATAAACGGCGAGCAAGGTGAGAAGGAAAGAACTTTGAAAAATCATAACTAATTTCAAAAAAATCGTAATGACTCCGGCTTTGGCTCAAAATAACGGAAATCATCTCTAGAAATTGGAAAAAAATAATAGAATGTTCAGAAAAATGGGCAGGTGAACTCGTAAAGCTTGTAGTAGAATTGACTGCAGTCGCCACGATACAGTTTATTCAAAACGGCATATCTCAGCTGTTCATGGAGATACCAAATTGTTGTCAACTAGTAAAATAATCAACAAGAAATTTTGTACATTTTGTCAGTTGACCACTTTTTGATGTTTCAACAGGCAGCCGAGATAGAGATACAATAACTCGGCGAGTCGGGGGGAACGACACTTCATTAGTGAAACAGAGCAAATACAAGAGCGGACGATCGGTTACGCTTGACGGCGGCTCCGAAAGACTACTGTAGTTGTTGTGGACGAGTAAGAGTGCTGTGAGAAATCGTGGCGAGACCCATGATCCATGAAACAAAAGGAGCAACTGGAAAGCGGGAACAATAATAGGTGAATCCGAGAAATAGAAGACGGAGAGCAAGCGGGCGGGCGGGTGAGTCATGCCTATTCCCATGTGCATACATCGCCAGACTTTACCTCCACTCGCAATTGAGAGAAATTCGTAATATTTGTTGTGTTTCTCTCTCTCTCTCTCTCTCTCTCTCTTCCTCTCTACACTGTTTGCTTTTCGGAAACAGCCGGCTGGCCATGAGAAGAATTGAATAAAGAAAAGAAAAGAAGGTAGGGTGGGAAGGCAACGTAACACGATTTCTGGCAAAGAAAGCCACGAGCTTTCCTTCTTGGTGACGTGGCAGGCAACAACAACGCCGACGCACTTTGAACTTTCTAGATTCTAGAAGCTTCTGGACAGTTTGAAAGTAAGTGACGTGGCCATCATGGTCTCCAGAAGCTTCTAGATGGTTTGCAAAGTTCTCGAAAATGTTGGTGACGTGGAAAGTTGTAGTAGAGAGCTTTTTGAGCTCAACTATGCTTTTAGACGTTCCGAGACTGAAGACGGAAGACGGAAGACGGAAGACGGAAGTTTAAAAGAAAGGGGGGGGGGAATGAGATTGTAAGTAAAAACTAGCCGGAATGACGTGGCAAAACGACGATTCGTTTGGCGGTTCCACGTGGCAAACAAGCGAAACTCTCTCTATTTTTAGACACTCGCTGATAACCAATATGAAAAGAAGTGGCACCGACCAGGTACCATCACTTGTACATGTTCCATTCAAACGCGCTGACTCATTTTCAATTTTCTCCGCGACGCCCACGCATTTATTCATGAATCATCGTTCTCGATGTTCAATGGACGAAGAGGGAGAAAAAATTGAAACGGATGATAACACGATTATGAGCAGAGACGGAATTGTACAATATCGAAAGCGATGGTGGGTGGTTTTCGGACGGAAAGAGCGAAACGGCGGCGGGGGAGAGAAAGAGTGTGATAACGGGGTGATAAAGAGAGAGAGAGAGAGAGAGAGAGAGAGAGAGAGAAAACAGTTTTATGGGCGGAATCGGAAATCAACGAGGGAAACAGGTGATTAAATGCGTTCTTTCCTGACTTTGAGAGAACGACGGTTTGTGGATCACGATGATGACGTGGCAATACGGTCCTACTGTACATTTTAGTACCTTTATGTACTTATCAAAGATTACTGTGCTATCCAAAGGAGTAGCCAACTATTATAGGGGCGGGGCACCGCACAGAAATGGGGCAGTGCAAATTACGCCACGTTTTCAGTGGAAAATTACTTCGCGGCCAGGAAATTCGGCCAGATTGCGAACAGCGCGCCCTTTCTGTCCGGTGCCCCAATAATAAAGTTTTTAGTGTACTTGTAGTAAAAATAGGTAAAAATAGAAAGTTGTGGGGCACAATTGACAAACAATACTAATAAATGAGTAGTAGCCGAGAGGGGCCGGTCACCCGAGCCCCTCGCTGTTTGTTCGTTCGTCATTCCGCGCGGAAACCGTCTTTCCGCGCGGACGGATTGTATCCGCGCGCCGCTTTCGAATCGTGTTTGTTCAGTATGCAAATTTGAGAGCAAACAGAGCGCGAAACATGGGAAGAAAAGGCGAGTTGGGGGGGAGGTGAGTCATCTTTCGGAAACAATTCTTCATTCGAGACAAGTTAGATGACACAATGAGTTTTGGTGACTTGCCGACAATATTGTAGGTGTCGTTTTGTTGAAATGTTCGGTAACAGGAGACTCCAATCACCACGCAATCGATCTGAAAAAATAGAGTTTTTGATGGTTCTGTATCTCAGTTGCCGCTGGGAATATCAAATAGTGTTCAACTGAAAAAATGTGCACAATTTCTTGCTAAACATTTTGTCTGTTGACAATATTTTGATATCTCCAACAATAGCTGAGCTACGTCGTTTGGAATAAACAGTGTCCGAGTGCAATAATCAGAAGGAGAGAGGTGATGATTGAATGAGAAAAACAACTAGAACCAGTGGTTGTGTAAAAAAATAGTCAACTACAAAAATACAGTGCTAGAAGTGAACTGCATTTTTGTAGTTGACAACTTTAATGTACACCCAGTCATTGGATTACTGTAGCTTATGGAAGTTCACAGTATCAAGACCAACTTCGAAGCGTTATAGTACTTTTCTACGTAGTCGTATCAAAAAGTTGTCAACTGACAAAATAAAGTGCAAAATGTGGGCTTCATTTTTGTAGTGAACATCAGTTTTGTAAAACCACTCCCCGTGGTACTGTAGCTCATGAAAGTTGCATTACACTTTTGGCAAGCCACAACTTCCAAGAGCGACAGTACTCTTGGGAGTGGTCGCATAAAAAAGTTGTCGAGGGGAAAAATGTAGTAAAAGATGTGAACATTACACTCAAAAACGTTTCAGAAAGATAGAAACTGTTCTGACTCTACAATACACATTAAAAGTAACCGCTTGATAAGAAAATTAACGTGAGAATCTCAACCCCTCAACTCCCTCAAATGCATTTCTATTTCCATAAACTCTCAAAAAAAAGAAGCGAAGAGCTGGGCTGAAAAAGTTTTCATCGTTTTGCAATGAATCAAGTGAGCGCCGCCCGTCTGAATCTACACTAATCCTCCGTTTTCGACAGTTGCAAGGCCAACAGAATGGCGAGTTTAACCAGCAGGAACGGGGAAAAATGGCGGCGCCGTTTCTCGAGACCGGCATGATTATCGGCGTGAAGCGCTCGTTTCGTGTCGAGAAAATGGTGGGCGGCGGCGGTTTTGGGCAGATCTATCGGGCCATTGACTTGGTGAGTGTGGCCCTGAATGCGACAAAGTGGGGGAAACGCAGTCGGCGCAGGATTCGAAGCTCGTGGTCGCCGTGAAAGTGGAGCCGAAATCGGTGGAATCCGGGCGGATCGTGCTCGAACTCAACATTCTCGTCCAACTTCAGCACTCTTCGCACATTCCCAAAGTGGTGAGCGTTTTCTGGAACGTCTTCCCGAAAGAACACAATCACTTTCAGTACTACAGCGGCGAAATCGGCGGCTACAATTTCATAATAATGCAGCTGCTCGGCGCGAACATTGCGGATCTGCGAAAGTTCCAGAGAAGTCGGTGCTTTTCGGTGGCGACGACGTCGCGAGTCGGCATTCAGAGTCTGGAGTGCATGCGACAGATCCATGCGCTCGGGTACATTCACAGGTGGGCACCGGCGTTTTTTCTCGCGTAATGGGGTTATTCAGGCTGTGAAAAAATGATTGTTTTCCGTTTTTTTACGTCAAAAAATCGAATTCAGCAATGTAAAAAAACGGAAAACAAACAAACGCTGAATATCCCCATAAATGTATTGATTTCTGATGCGGCGCCTTTTCGCCACTAATTCCGCCGAAAAAACAGTCAAATAGAGCCGAAACTGAATGAAATTTCCGTTATTTCGAAAAAAAACCAGTTTTTCCAACGATATTTGACACAAAAAGTGGTGAAATCGCGTCGGAATGGAGGCCACGCCACTTTTCCATTTCTGGTGAAAGCGCGAAGCAAAAGCGAAACCAAAAATGCGTCAAGACACCAGTTTGACGCCAGCAAATTGTCTTCCAGAGACATCAAACCGTCGAACATTTGCGTGGGAATCGGCGAGCACAAACGTGTCCTCTACATTGTGGATTTTGGTAAGAACATGGCCCTTCTTCCTTCACCTCTCCATCGGTTTCGTCGGTTCAGGAATGGCGCGTCGCATCCGTCTTCCGGACGGCACTTTCCGTCCGGAACGCCCGTACGCCTCGTTCCGCGGCACCACGCGCTACGTGTCTCTGGCGGCGCACGAGCGCAAAGAGCAGGGATTCGTCGACGACATCTGGTGCCTCTTCTTCTCTTTGCTCGAGCTCGTCGAAGGACTTCCCTGGAAGAACATTCTCGATCAGGATCAGGTGTGCCACGCGAAACGACAACTTCTCCGCAACTTTCAGTCCAAGTACGTTCGTTTTCACGCGGCGCTTCCGATTGAGAAATCGCTGCGACTTGCAGAAAAATGGGCCGAAACTTTGAGATGTTTCCGCAAATGCTCGAGCGAACCGCCCGCACCGACACGCCCGATTACGAACGGCTCATTGGGATTCTGAAGACGTGCTGCGAGAATTGCAGCGAATTGGACGAGTTTGAGTGGGACGAGCAGGAGGAGCAGTACGGCTAGCCCCCAACGACAAGTGCTTATCAGGAAGAAAAAGTGTTCATCTAACGGCCTCCAGAGCTGACAATAGGGGCGTGGCCTCAGCGGCCAAATGGTGTTTTCATGAATTGAGCAGGTTTTCTCTGATTTTTGTGGTCAACGGCGATGAAAAATGATTGTTCGACATGAAAACACAACAATTCTCAGAATTAATGACGTTTTGGCGCATTTTTCGCGGACTTTGCTTTTTCGTCTTTGCCGCCTAAAAACCGCACTTTTAATTTTCCGCTTTCTTGACCGTTTTCAGACAGAAATGGTTTTGAGAATGATAAATCACGTAAATACAAGCATTTTGAGCGCTCGAACCGCGAAAACTACCGAAAAGCAACTGAAATTCACGCAGTTTTAGCCAAAAACCTTCAAACGGATAAATGTAATTTGCGCCTTGACCAAACTTAACGCTCTAGCGCTTAAAAAATTCGTAATAGCCTATACAAGCGGTCTATCGAGAGAAAAATGAGAAATTATCGGTTTTTCGTGGCTAATCTGGCAAAAAACACTAATTTTGCTGTTAAGATTTGAAGTTCGCGCCAATCTATGGGGCGGGGCGCCGCACTTGCACCCATTGTCAGCTCTGGAGACCGTGATCTCTTTTTGTCCTTTATGAATGAAGGATGTAGTTTTTAAATATTTATTACGTCTGAATGAAAGACAGAAGCGTTGAGAGATTGACTTCTTGCATAGCAATAACGTCGGATCAGAGGAACTGAAAGAGAGAGAGAAAGAGAGAGAGAGAGAGAGAGAGAGCCCTCTCTCTAAACAACACTATAAGCACAAGTTACGGTCGTACTCGCTCACGTCAGATCGAGCTTCGGACAGTCGGCGTCACATTTACGTACAAGGGTCTGGTAGACTGCCATATGCACTTCATATGGAGTACAGTTCAGTCCAGACATTTCCAACTGATCTTCCTGTGCAACGAACGACTAGATCATTGTAGAGGTTGTCTTGACAAACAGTATTTTCAGCGAACTGGTCGCCGTCGTTGTCGTTTTGATCAGGAATACAGTAAAGCCCTGGAAAAATCATCACCGTAGTCCCATTACAACACTTACCGGTCATGAATTCCTTCCAAATTTCTGAAATGGCACAGGTTATAGACACATAATTTCGGTGCTCATCGTCATGGACGTGGTAGGATAAACGGCACAGAAGCCGAGCCCTGTGTTCACAATCCGTTATGCTACCCGGTCTTTGCAGATTAATTGTCAATTGATTCCGAATCTGGTAGAGAACCTTCGTTATCTCCGTGGAAATAATCTCGGCTGCTTTAACATGTTTCGGTACCGAAACAATTTTCGTTCCAAGTTCAACATGAACAGATATGCTTCAATGTGGCGTGACTAAAAAGCACCTTTTTTGTGTTATCAAAAGTTCTCCTCTTTTTGGGCCGTCCTCGTTTAGATTTATCGTTATTTGTCCTTTTCCCAGACGATTTTGACGATCCGCCTTTCAGCGTATAAAGTGAAAACTTCCCGCAATTGAGGTATCTGGAAACAAAATTGTACAAAGTATCGGAATATTTCACTCCGAATTACTAGGCCACAAGGAATTTCCAGGGCACTCTAAACTACTAGCCTACACTAAATTCTTAGGCCACTCTAAATTCTTGAATAACTTTTACGTCTTAAGCCACTTACTTCCTGCCCGCTAAATGCAGCTGACCGAACGATGCCGCCAGTACGAGAATGCGGATGAGCGCGATTGCTTGACATCGACACATTGTTGCCATAATAGAAGAAAGTGATTATGTTTGTAATATGAGTAAAAACAAATACAAAATGTTCACGTGTTTATTCCGTAGAATCTTCTAGTAGTCTTGCCACATTTCAAAACGTGGAAGGTCACCAAGTCCAGAAAGTGCATTAGTGATGACCTAGATTGAGATCTCTGGAAATTTTTCACTATTATCGCATGCAATGAGTGGTCCTAATTTGTTTTTTGATCATAACTTTTTAACCAGAAGAGATATTAAAAAACCTTCAACTGCATTCTTGTGGAGCAGAAATATGTCTTCAACTTTGCAGTTGACAATTTTTTGAAATCTCTTCTGGTTAAAAAGTTATGGGTCTACAGTCAAAAAAAAGAGCCATAACTTTTTAACCAGAACCATTTTTTTTAGCTCACCACCATTTTTTAAAATCTCCACCATTTTTTTTAGCTCTCCACCATTTTTTAAAATCTCCACCATTTTTTTTAGCTCTCCACCATTTTTTAAAATCTCCACCATTTTTTTTAGCTCTCCACCATTTTTAAAATCTCCACCATTTTTTTTAGCTCTCCACCATTTTTTTAAAAATCTCCACCATTTTTTTAGCTCACCACCATTTTTTTAAAATCTCCACCATTTTTTTAGCTCTCCACCATTTTTTTTAAGATCTCCACCATTTTTTTAGCTCTCCACCATTTTTTTAAAAATCTCCACCATTTTTTTTAGCTTCCACCATTTTTTTAAAAATCTCCACCATTTTTTTAGCTCTCCACCATTTTTTAAAATCTCCACCATTTTTTTTAGCTCTCCACCATTTTTTAAAATCTCCACCATTTTTTTAGCTCTCCACCATTTTTTTAAAAATCTCCACCATTTTTTTAGCTCTCCACCATTTTTTTAAATCTCCACCATTTTTAGCTCTCCACCATTTTTTTAAAAATCTCCACCATTTTTTAGCTCTCCACCATTTTTTTAAAAATCTCCACCATTTTTTTAGCTCTCCACCATTTTTTTAAAAATCTCCACCATTTTTTTAGCTCTCCACCATTTTTTTAAATCTCCACCATTTTTTTAGCTCTCCACCATTTTTTTTAAATCTCCACCATTTTTTTAAATCTCCACCATTTTTAGCTCTCCACCATTTTTTTAAAATCTCCACCATTTTTTTAGCTCTCCACCATTTTTTTTAAATCTCCACCATTTTTTTAAAAATCTCCACCATTTTTTTTAGCTCTCCACCATTTTTTTAAAAATCTCCACCATTTTTTTAGCTCTCCACCATTTTTTTTAAATCTCCACCATTTTTTTAAAAATCTCCACCATTTTTAGCTCTCCACCATTTTTTTAAATCTCCACCATTTTTTTAAAAATCTCCACCATTTTTTTAAATCTCCACCATTTTTTTAAATCTCCACCATTTTTTTTAGCTCTCCACCATTTTTAAAATCTCCACCATTTTTTTTAGCTCTCCACCATTTTTTTAAATCTCCACCATTTTTAAAATCTCCACCATTTTTTTTAGCTCTCCACCATTTTTTTAAATCTCCACCATTTTTTAAATACTCCACCATTTTTTTAAATCTCCAGGTTTTCTCTGATTTTTGTGGTCAAAGGCGATGAAAAATGATTGTTCGACATGAAAACACACTAATTCTCAAAATTAAAGACGTTTTGGCGCATTTTTCGCGGACCTTGCTTTTTCGCCTTCGCCGCAGATCGCCGCCTAAAAACCGCACTTCTCATTTTGCGCTTTCTTGACCGTTTTCAGACAGAATTGGTTTTGAGAATGATAAATCACGTAAATACAAGCATTTTGAGCGCTCCAACCGCGAAAATTACCGAAAAGCAACTGAAATTCACGCAGTTTTAGCCAAAAACCTTCAAACGGATAAATGTAATTTGCGCCTTGACCAAACTTAACGCTCTTGCACTTAAAAAATTCGTAATAGCCTATACAATCGGTCTATCAAGAGAGACAAATGAGAAATTATCGGTTTTTCGTGGCTAATCTGGCAAAAAACACAAATTTTGCTGTTAAAATTTGAATTTCGCGCCAATGTATCGCTCTATTCGGCGGGGCGCACTTGTGCCCATTGTCAGCTCTGGAGACCGTGATCTCTTTTTGTCCTTTATGAATGAAGGATGTAGTTTTTAAATATTTATTACGTTTGAATGAAAGACAGAAAAAAGAACGGTAACTTACTGATAATAGCCGGCCTCCCACTGTCCGCCCATCCAATTGGTCCCTTGGAAATCGTTGAGAGTAGGCACCGGCAGATCCCAAATGTTGATAGGAGTCCAATTGAAAACGGGTTGATAGGTGGGCGTGAAGTCAGGATTTGCAAAGTTGGAAGTCGGTGACGACGTGGACGAACTCGAACGGCTGGAAGAGGTCGATTTGGCGGGGTTTTTTCTCCGCGCATACTTGTTGTTCTCCACCTTGATCTCCTTGATGGCCTTGTTCTGAAAAAGGTTGAATTGAAAAGAAAAGAAAAGAAATGAAAGCAAAACCTTATAAACAGAGGTGACCACGAACAAAGTCTCCGAAAAACACGCCTCATGGCACAGTTTCTCGACTCCATTTCCGCATATTTCGAAGATTTGAAACACTGGAATGTATTGGCACTTGGTGCTCACGAGAATCTGAAAAGAGAGAACATGAACAACTACAATATCCCTTTCGAAACTCACTTGATTCGGGCGATGGTCTCCATTCTTGTACATTTTGAGGCGTTCCGCACCCTCGAGCCCTTCCATCAACTGGGACCCGGTTCCCTCCTTGATTACCACGCTGTTCGTCTTCACGGGAACATCTCTGAGAGTTTTATGGGTTTCCGTCCATTTTCCCTTGTAATTATGTAGTTCTCTTGAGGACTGTCGGCCGAAGTGAATGGTGCATTTGTAGAGGGCCGACGGATTGAGCCCCCGAACTTTGTACTTGAGTTTCGGGAACAGTTCCCGGCCATGCGGGACCACAATCATCTCATTCGTGTGCTCATGACATTTCTGCCAGATAGCTCTGTTTACGAGTTCCACGTGGATCTGGTTGGCGGGTTCTGAAAAAAGAGGAGGTTCAGTTGAACAGTCACTCAAAGTGATTTATCTCCGCTGCCCGTGGATACATCAAAAAGTGGGCAACTGATAAAGTGTTGACAATTTCTTGCTGAGTATTTTACTAGTTGACAACTTTTTCATATCTCCACCAACAGCTGAGATATGCCGTTTTGAAAAGACGCTATCCGCGTGCTGTTCAATTTTGTTGAAACTTCATGTAAATTCTTCCAAGTTTAGGTAGAATTTAGTGTAAAAACGAGAAAAGATGCTTACCTTCATAGTTCCGTAATGGTTGTTGCACAGACTGGTTTTGCATGGAAGACGAGGAGGAATTGGAAGACATTCTCGAATGAATGAGTTGGAAATGAAATACCCTGAAACCCTTAGGTCCCTAGGGGTGGGTGGAGCTTGGAAAAGGGGCGGAGCTGTATGGATTTTCAGATGCCTCAAGGGATGGTATACTTCTTGAAGTACTCTCAAAAGTATACCCTACAGAGCATGGTATACATTTCTGTATACCATAGGGGTATACTGTCTTGTTTAGGGAGACAGGGCACCAAAACACTGATGTTTTAAAGAATGCAAGCCTGCCTTTTTGCATGCATTTATACGATATGAGATGAAAATTTAGCACAAGTTATTCTAATTCCATACAGAAAATCATGCTGATCTCTGTCATATATCCGTTTCCCTCGACCTCGCTCACATTCATAATTATGGCGCTGTACTCGATTCCGAACGGATATTTTGTTGCGTACCACGTCGAATTCACACAACTTATTCCGAAAAGGTCGATTAGATTCACCGGCGGTCCTTGATCGCCTGTGCCAGAGTTGATGTACTGAAAATTTTTATCGATTTTTCAGCGGAAACGAGCACAAACACTGGTTTTTTGAGCGATTTTAAAGGAGCCGCATCAAAATTCAAGACATTTTACACGAGAAAACTCACAATATTATTATCCGTCACATTTTCGGGTTTCGGAATGTTTGTATTTGTCCACGTGGCCGCAATGTACGTCCAATAAGAGCTGAAGCACGTCAGATTGCGATCGCAGCCATCTCCCTCGAAATAACTCATCGAAGTGTTCGCATTTCCGGCTGAAAATGGAATTTTTACACTTTTTTTCTATGAAATCGGCCTACCAATCGCCAATTCTGGGCAGGTACACCTCGTCCGGATGCATGTTTGGGCAATGTAAAAAGTAGAGAAAATTGCGGAAAATACCAAAAGATTAGTCATGTAACACTGACTCATGTTGAGATGAAAGTGACACTTCCCCCACTCATTTCGATCAAGTTAAATAGTTATCACGAAGAATTATCACAAATTTGACTTTCAAATATTAAATGTCTATGTGGAAAAAAGGAGTGTAGTTTGAGGCCAACAACATAATAATAATAACTCATTTATTCTCTTCAGCCACCTAGGAATAAAATTACAACAAAAAGAAAGAAGAGAAAAAAAAAGAGGGGGAATGTGGGTGGGGGAAGGAACAATGGCTTGACATGACCATTGGCCGGCAGTAGCCAGAGGTCAGTTAGAATACAAAAAGCTAGGGGGGATCTTCTCGATGCGCGCTGCGAAGGCCTCAGAGGACAGTCTTTCGGGAAACAACTTGGCCACTCGGTTCCAAAGGGCAAGATGGGTATGTAAGAAAGAGTCATGGGGTAGGCCAAGGGAGGATAGAAGGTACGGGTGACGGGGGGAGACGCCGGGTTTGACGAACATGCTTAGGGAGGGGAAATGGTATTTGTGCGAGATTATGTTGTGGAATGTTCTGAGAATAAGAAGAACCCTTCTGTGGAGTATCGATTTTTGAATTAGATTGACTGAGACGGTCGCTATAGGAGGAGAACCGCATGTTACATCTTTGGAAGACTCTTCTACTGAAAAAAATCTAAGGGGAGACTCTAATTTGCTGGAGAGGGATGTCGATGAGGGATGGAAAAAGTTCACAGCCGTACTCGAGAATGGGTCTGACGTAAACGTTGAAAAAGTTTAAAGTAGAGACTGGGGTTCGAGGAGCGAAAAGGCTTTCAGAATTTGTTTGCATTTCAAGAGGGCGGTATTGCTAACTATTGTGATATGCTTATCGAATTTGAGCTTGTCGTCTATCCAGATGCCGAGGTCCTTCACGGAATCTTTTGATTCGATTTCGATGCCATTCAGGAGATATCTGGTTTTGGGATTTTTCTTTCCAAAGTGGAGAACTGCGGATTTATTTTCTGCTAGCTTTAGTTGCCAGGTTTCGCACCATGATGCGACAATGTTTGCACTTTCTTGAAGCGTTTTTGGGTTATCTCCGAAAATTTTCAAGTCATCAGCGAACGCGGTGACATGGACGTCGGTGGGAAAAAGGGCTAGCAAATCATTAATGAAGACCAAGAATAGGAACGGCCCTGTGACCGTTCCTTGGGGAACGCCTGATAGTACTGGGAAGGAGATGTCGGAGATAAAATTATCGATTTTTACGGCAGATGAGCGACTTTCTAGAAATGAGGCGAACCAATCACATGTTTTAGTGTCAAGGCCGAAGTTCTTCAGTTTGCAGATGAGGAGATTGTGCGGGACACTGTCAAAAGCTTTCTTAAAATCAAAGAACAGGGCATCAGCAAACTTGTTTCTGTTCGCAGTTATTTGCTGGATTTTTGATATCGAATCAAGTAGTGCGAGTGTGCACGATCTGTTGTTCATAAATCCGTATTGGAATTTTGAGATTCTTTCTGAGAATTCAAGACGTATAGAGCTGAGCATCACTTTTTCAAAGAGTCTGGAGATCGGATGTGTCAGTGAGATCGGTCGGAAATTGGAAGAATCTGTGAAGGATCCTTTTTTATGAATTGGAATAACTGTGGAGGATTTGAGGAAGTTCGGGAAGATTCCACTGTCGAAAGACTCGATGAATATCAGTGAAAGAGGAATTGTGATGGAGTCACGACAATTTTTTAAGATAAAGAAGTTTATGACGTCTCTAGAGTATCCTATTTTCGGGTCGAGAGTATCGATTAGGCGGCTTATGTTTAATGGGGAGAAGTCGAAGGCGATCGGATGGGGTTTGGGGGCTGGGAGGGCAGGGAAGGGATCGGAGGGCATGGTGAACGCCTTTGAGAAAACGGAGGAGAATTCGGCGGCAATCAGAGAGGGTTCGGTTATAATGTCGCCAGAAATCAGTAGTTTTATTTGCGCGGAGCGCGTGGAGAGACGATTTTTGACAAATTGGAACAGTTTTCTGGGATTTTTGGCTCTGATTATGCTGTATTCTTGTCTGGCGAGACGTTTTTTGATGTTCTTAAGGTGGAGCCTGTGCTCGGATTTAGATTTTACAGCGAAATGGGAACGGCGTCTGAGTTTTCGACAGCGGGCTTGCACTGATTTACTCGTGAGAGGGCGTTTGGGGCGAAATGGAGGGGTGCTGTCGCGGATAAGTTCGTTGAAAATTTTCAGGAAATGAATAAGCTTTGTTTCACAATTGGCAAAGAACGAAAGTTGGAGAGGCCAGTTGTATGCTGAGAGTTTTTGGTTAAGTTCCTTGAAATTGCACTTCCTATAGTCAAGATTCGCGATCGAGTGATGGCAAGGCACCGGCTGCTTTCTAATTTCTAGCGAGAAAGAGACAGAATCGTGATCGGAGAGTAAGAACGGTGGGGCTTTCTCACAGCGGAGGCAGATGTCAGGCGAATCGGTGAGAATAATATCTAAGAAATTGGATTTACCGGATGCGGCAGTACGTGTGGGGAAGTGGACAATTTGGGTCAGGCTGAGTGTGATTATCATATTGGCAAGATCAGGATGGATTCCTCGGTTATCTATAGAGTTCCAATGTGCACCTGGCATATTGAAATCGCCAATCACGAAATTGTGCTTGGCTCGAGAGCTGGTGAGTTCGATGATATTCCGAACGAGGAAGCTGGTTTGCTCGGGTAGGGTATTTGGCGGTCTATAGACGAGGATATAACGAGACTTCGAATGTTTGTGGTCAACAGTGACGATGTCGCAAAAAGTGTTTTTTTCGTAAAAAAATTTTCGGAAAGTGAGTCTACTAGATCGAGCGGAATGCTATTTCTGTAGAATATTGCGACACCGCCGCCTCTGTTTTTGGGGTGGGTCGGTTGACGATCAGAGCGGAAACAAGAGTATTCACTGGAGGTGCACAGCGACAGAGGGACGGCGGAGTTTAGAAAAGTCTCGGTAACGAAAGCTAAATCTGTGGTGTTGTGCGATAGAAATTCGAACATAACTTGTAGACGTTCGGCGGAGGCAATCGAGCGGGCGTTGGTAAGGTAACAGTGGAGAGATTCATCGGAGTTATGAGGGAGAGAACGCGGTTTTAGGGGGGAAATTTTATTTACAGGACTTTTGGGACTCGATAGATAAGCCACATTGTAGTCTGAAGATGGGGAATTGCGCGGTGATGGGCACTTGTGACGGATCATGGGATGGGGAACCGAGTGGCAAAGAATTGATGCCCGGGAGACCGATTTGTGGCCGGGTTCCTAGGCATGGGGTGAGCTGGCGGGGGCGGATGAAGGGGAAACACGGAAATCACGCGGGGTTTTCAATTTGATGACATCAAAGTCACGGACAACGGCGAACTCGATTCTGCCCGCTTTCAGGTTTTTTATTTTTATGAAAAGAATAGAATAGAACAGAGCAGAGCAGAACGGAACGGAACAAAAACAAAACAATTTCAACAGGTAAATTTAAAAAGAACAACAACGAAGAAAACAGTTAGTCTGGCGAAAGCACGAATTTGTGCCCTCTTCTCTCGTAACAAGTCAACACCGTCAAATAAGAGATTCCAAACTTCTTGGCCAGCTGAACACTGAGATTACGGTGGGCCCGATGCCGCGTGGCTCACGTCAATCTTCTCGTCGAACGTCCAACTTCCTCCGCGCGCCGCGCCCATCAGCTCGCGTTCCTGCTCGGCCGTCAGCTGCTCGAGCTCGTCTTCGATGATTGCCGACACGCGACGGTCCTGCTCGGCCTCGCGGCTCATTCGTTTCGCATGCAGAAACTCCGGCGAGTACGGCTCAGTCGGTCGCTTGCGCGCGAACGTGGGAAGCGACTGATAGCCACGTGGAAAGTAGGGCGGTGGGACGATCGGACGAAGAGGGACCGGGAGCGGGCGTGAGTCCGAGGGCCTTGGGAGAAAGACCATGCTGAGCTTCTTCTCGCGGTTCTTGTCCGCTCTCCAGTACTTCCAGTGTTGACGGATCAGTGGTGTCGGCAGCGGAATCGTCTCTCTGATCTGAAATTTAACGACTTTCCGGGGATAATGATGCAAATCTCCCGAAAAGAAATCAGGCGGTAGAACATGTGAATTTTGGCAAAAAATAAAACAGAATGTCAAGCGCACTTGCTTACCAAATGCACGTACTCCACGAACATTGGTTTTCCGCGCATCTCGTGCTCGGCGTACGCCTGCTCTAGCCGTCTTTTGAGATCCACGACGACTGTCTGACTTCTGTACTGCTCGCGATCCTCTTCGATGTAATGCCGGATGCGCTGGCACGAATCCCACTCGGGGCACACGATCTGACGCACACTTCGATAGTTCTCGAAGGCCCAGAAGACTGCCGAGTAGCGGGTGGACATGGATTTGCCGATTCGGATCATGTCCGCCACCGACGGATGCGCGTTTATGTCGAAATGATCCATCAGCGTCATTTTGGAGGAACGGACTGAAAAAAACACGATTTTGGGGGACCTTTCGATAATTTAAGTACATTCAGCGAGAATTTTCTGATCTTTTATCGATTCGTCTTCTTCGTCCGACGACGGCTTCGCCAAACTGTTTTTCATCTGAAAATCTCGAAAACATGGTATTTTTTTAAAGAATTTCGGGAAAAACCAATTTTCTATTGCTCCGCACTCTTTTCGGAGGCAACTTGGTGGCGCTGAGCACTCTTTTGTACATCTGAAATTCAGGTTTAACATTTCAAATTTCAGAAAACGCTCAAATACCCCAAAGTCCTTGGTTTCTTCGCATTTTCCGCCGCCGCCGCCGAAACCGAAATAATCGTGATCGTGCAGATAGTTTTCTTGAATTCGTAGCTCTTTCCACGGAATTTTCGACGGAATCGCGTTCTCCTTGAGCTCTCCGTTCTTGGCGAACTGATTTTCGGCGAAATGGAAGCGACACGCCACCGGATTCGACTTCATAATGATTCTCGCGAGCGCCGTCGCACCGATGTTCGCTTCCCACACGCTTTTGTCTATTGAGAACAGGTTTTGCAGACTCAAAAGGTCAACGACGTCATTTGATTCTTGCGGAGCTCCGCAGATTGTGCAAAATCGCATTTTCACGTGGAATTTGAGCGGACAAGATTCAAACTTTTTTCTTCGGCGCGATTCCCTGTTGCATTATATTCGACGCACAAATGCAGAAAACTACAGTGATTTGAGAATTTGGTTGGCGCGAAATTCGATTTTCGGTCATTGATCATTTCCTGAACCTCTGTTGCCCTCAAACTACACTCTTTGCCTCACGCGCAATTCATATTTGACAGTCAAATTCGTGATAATTAAAACTGGCTAAAATGAGGGAGGGGAAGTGAATAATCAACTGAAAATGCATTTGTTTAATCTTTTGGTATTTTTCACAATTTTGTAGACGGAGATCAAAATACTTTGTTGAGCTGTTCCGAGGGGAACGGCTGTTCTCCAAATGTGACGCATTTTATCTGAAATCGTATAAAAGTATCAGGAAAATCTTCTGATTCGTAATATTCTTCAACGGGTCTCTTTAACAGGACTGTTCACACGTCAAATATCTCTCTGATTGTCTAGATTAGAAAGTAATCGTATCGGGTCTCGCCACGAACGGCATTTAATTCCGAGGGTACAACAATTTTGGGGCACAACAGGGTACAACCTATTTTGGGGTACAACTTTTTTAATTTTGGGGTACAACTTCCCCGATTTTAGGGAATAATTTCTGTCAATTATTTTAGGGTACAATAATTTTAGGGTACAACACTTTTAGGGCACAACTAGCACATAATTTCAGGGCACAACTTCTTACAATTTTGGGGCACAACAACATGATTTTAGGGTACAACACTTTTTTTCTCATTTTTTTGTATTTTCTTGCATCTTACTACAAACCCATATTCTTTCTATATCAATATTTCGCTGATTTTTTTATTTCAATGACTCATCTCTTGTAAGAGAACCAGTCTTTCGACTCGTGCCTTCTGCGGCAGTTCACACATTTTGTTTTCATCAAATCGTGAGGTTATTCAAAACCTTTTATTGCAAAAAAGCATATGACAGTAACAAGTTGAGCACAAATGAACGGATCTGAAATAAAGAGTAGTTAATCTAGGTTTTAAATAGCTCTATTAATAAGGCGGGTTTATGAGAATAGGATCAAGGCTTCCCTTGGGAGCATATTTTTGTGGTGCACTAAAACCTCTACTGCAAGAAAACAATAGACAATAGACTAGATTAACTACTCTTTATTTCAGATCCGTTCATTTGTGCTCAACTTGTTACTGTCATATGCTTTTTTGCAATAAAAGGTTTTGAATAACCTCACGATTTGATGAAAACAAAATGTGTGAACTGCCGCAGAAGGCACGAGTCGAAAGACTGGTTCTCTTACAAGAGATGAGTCATTGAAATAAAAAAATCAGCGAAATATTGGTATAAAAAGAATATGGGCTTGTAGTAAAATGCAAGAAAATACAAAAAAATGAGAAAAAAAGTGTTGTACCCTAAAATCATGTTGTTGTGCCCCAAAATTGTAAGAAGTTGTGCCCTGAAATTATGTGCTAGTTGTGCCCTAAAAGTGTTGTACCCTAAAATTATTGTACCCTAAAATAATTGACAGAAATTATTCCCTAAAATCGGGGAAGTTGTACCCCAAAATTAAAAAAGTTGTACCCCAAAATAGGTTGTACCCTGTTGTGCCCCAAAATTGTTGTACCCTCGGAATTAAATGCCCCACGAACACTGTTCTCCTTCTGGTTAGACTTATCCGAAGGGTTCGGTTGTCGAAAAAACAAAAATCCAAAAGCGGGAGACATTTTTTCGGTTCAAATATAGCGAACGCCGTACGGAGTGACAACAGGAGTTCCGATGATTGGAGCCGCCACGACGGGAGCGGCAATCATCGGCTGCGCGACGACGACGGGCGGCGCGAGCATCGGAGCCATCACGACAGGAGGCGCCACGACCATCGGAGCGGCCATGACGAGCGGAGGAGCCGCCACGACTGGGACCACTTGCTGAAAATACAGTCATGAGGGAACAAATGAGGCTGATCGGTGGGCATACCGGTTGATACGGGTTGCCGTAGTACATGGTGTTAGTTGGAGGGGTAGTGAAGAGAAGAGACGAGTAGGACGAGGGAATGAGTACGGAGGAGAGGTGGGGGCGAGGTGGAAGTGTAGGGGTTCCGCTGATTAGAAAAGGGTCGCCACGGAAAATTAGGAGAAATTCCGAGATTTCCCGATTGGGGACGGACAGTTTTACGCGAAAATCGATTATTTTGGCGATAAACAGTTTAAACAGTTTATCGCCAAAATTATCGATTTTTTCTTAAAACGGTCCGTTCCCAATCGGGAAATCTTGGAATTTCATCAACTGCAAATTAAGAAAATATATATATGTAGCAAAACTGTCACAATTCAATCAATAATCAAGTTACAACAATCATATTAAGTCAAGTTTGAATAAACTTATCGTCAATTTCGAAAATTCCGCAGCCAAGTTTGCTCGTGGGACGCGCTGCCAACTCTGCTTCGAATGTCGAACATTTTATTTTTCAACAGTACTTTTACATCGAATTTACGGTTACTTTACAATGCAAACCTATTTCGACGGAAACAAAGTATTCTAGGAACGTTCCAGAACTTTATTGTTCCAGTAAACTGGCGAACAATCGCGAGAATTGTACAAGTGCACAACTTCACGTCTGCAGTCAGCAAAGGGCGAAGACAGGCGAAGACACTCGAGAATGTATAAATAGGTGAAAGAATTATGTCTCGTCGAACAATTGGAACCCTCCGATTCGTTCCCTCCGCCGCCCCGAAATGTCCTCTTCCTCCTCTTCCTCTTCTTCTTCATCTTCTTCTTCATCTTCTTCATCTTCTTCATCTTCTTCATCTTCTTCATCTTCTTCATCTTCTTCTTCTTCCTCTTCTTCTTCATCTTCTTCTTCATCTTCTTCTTCATCTTCTTCTTCATCTTCTTCTTCATCTTCTTCTTCATCTTCTTCTTCTTCATCTTCATCTTCTTTATCTTTATCTTCTTCTTCTTCTTTATCTTCTTCTAATTCTTCATCTTTGCCTTCCCAACTTCGTCGTCGTCGTGCGGTCACCGGTGCGTTCAAGTGCTCCGAATGCGCACAGGTCTGTGTTCAGATGTCGACGCTGATGCGGCATCGGAAGACGAAGCACTCGTGGGAGCACACGTGTTTCATGTGCGACTCGGAGAAGGGCGTGCCCATTCTCGGACAGAAGATCAAGGAGCACCTGAAGAACGTGCACAAAGTGAAGAGGCCGTACAGTTGTCGCTGCTGTGATTACGTGTTTCTCGACTGCACGAACATGTACGGACACAACAGCTCGATGAAAACGGTGGGAACGCTCGGGAAGGAGACTATCTTGGCGAGGAGCAAGTACGCGCCGGGCGAGTTGCTCAGGGATGCGAAGCGAAACTGCGATGACTCTGCAGAAGACACTTCACAGGCGGACGATGTTCCGACGGCGGAGATGTCCGTTACGGACGAACGAGCGACTGGAACAGACGACGTGGCGGACAATAAAAAGGAAAATTCTTTTCTCTAATTATAATTGAGATAAGTTGAAATAGTTAATAAAATATTCATCGAAATGTCTTTTGTTTAGCAGAAATGTCATCTTCCTATCAAATAAAACCAATTTTATTTGAATTCCAATTCAAGTTCGATTCTTGTTCGTGATCCTCGGATGCTCGTCTCCGTCTATTGCCTGCTGCTAATACCAGTGTTGCTCGAGTTGGCGAGACGCCAAAGCGGCAAGATTTCGGGGCGTCCGGTGTCCGGATGGATGTAACGGTACGAGTGGAAACAGCGAACCATCTCGGAGAGACGACGGAACAGCTGCGTCGGCTGTTTGTCGACAATCACAGTCCACCAGGTGCTGTTGTTCTCCTGCAGCACTTGCTGAACACGGAAGTTGCGCGGCTGATTGTCGCTCGTGCGCACGCAAATGAAGAGTGGAACCGTCACAGAGAATCCCTTCGAGTCCTTCTTCGCCACACGGTAGTAGAGGATGAAGTCGTCGGGGCGGGTGAGTGCAGCGGCCTCCTTCTTGTTGAGCACTCCCTTGAAGTGCTCCTCGAGGTTCGGCTCCACCATCGCCGCCGCAATGTTCGGCTGGCTTCTGATCGAACGATTGTCCGAGCCCAGTGTGAGCAAGTGACTCTCGCTTGTCAGCGGGCGCACCGACGAGATTGTCTGCGGAAGCGAGCGGTTCGCATCCGACGACGACGACAAAGAGTACGTGCGCGGACTGAATCTGAAATTGTTTGGGCATGTCTCGTGAGAACTTTTGACAGGTGCAAAGCTCCGAGCAGTTCTTACCCTTGGTCCTTTCGGTTGCCGTTTTGCTTGTTGAAGTCGAACTGTCCTCCAGTCGCTCTCATTTTTTCGCAAGTGTCTTCAATTCAATACGAAGAACTGATTCGATTCTTCTTTTTCAACCTTTCCAAACTGATTTCCACTCTGGGCCTTCACGTCTCTCCATTTTTCTTTAAACAAGTTCACGAAAATCGCACTTCACGCTTTGCATCTTTCACTCTGATAAAATTGAAAACTTTCCTCAGCCATTTTCAAACTTTTCTAAACTTTCTCAAGACAAAAAACTTTTCTAAGAAATTCTTAAACTTTTTCAAGCGGTCAAAACTTTTCCAAGGATTTATAATAATAACTCATTTATTCTCTTCAGCCACCTAGGAATAAAATTACAACAAAAAGAAAGAAGAGAAAAAAAAAAGAGGGGGAATGTGGGTGGGGGAAGGAACAATGGCTTGACATGACCATTGGCCGGCAGTAGCCAGAGGTCAGTTAGAATACAAAAAGCTAGGGGGGATCTTCTCGATGCGCGCTGCGAAGGCCTCAGAGGACAGTCTTTCGGGAAACAACTTGGCCACTCGGTTCCAAAGGGCAATTTTTTTCTCAAACTTTTTAAAGAAATTCTTAAACTTTTCTAAGCAATTCTTAAAAGGTTTTGAGCTAAAACTTTCTTAAACTTTTCTAAGCCATTCTCAAACTTTTCTAAGCCATTCTCAAACTTTTCTAAGAAGGGTTTTGACGAGTAGTTTCCTAGGCCACGACCACGTGGACAACAGTTTTTTCTGGAAACTTTTCACTGTTTTTCCCGATTTCTTCGGTTTTCAGCTGCTTTTTCGCATTTTTCGGTCTTATTACGCTTATAATTAAATAGTTCGATTGTTTTCACTAGTTTTCACCGAATTACGCGCCAGAATAGAGGTGTTTGCGTGAAAAATTGTAGGATAGGCCTAAAAAATGCACTTTTTTCGAAACAATCTTATTTTCACCGCTTTTTGTGCATTTTTTCAATTAATTACCGCAATCGGCAATGTTTTCAGTCTCTCTTTCTGAACATTTCACTTTACCGAACGTCCGCGGCAATTTTTCCCTAGTTCTCTCAGCTGTTCGCACAGTTTATCGCATTTTCAGAATAGCTTATCGATTTTGTAATAGCTATTTACTTTGAAAAAACAGACAATGGGTGGGGCAAGGCCGTGGAATTTTCTAGTCCCCTTGACGAAAACAGTTTGTACCAATGAGGACACAGTGAAACACTGTTTAGAGAACAAAAAAAACACATTTGCTAAAGCCATAAATATTTTATTAACTACTTTAAATTATCTATTCTTTCCTCTAATTATTATTACTCTTATCGACGGATCCATTATCGATTTGAGACCTTCCAATCTCGCGCGCACTCTGAAAACCATTCGATATTAGGTGAAATGAGACATTTTCGAATTATTACCTTTTTATTGTCCGCCACGTCGTCTGTTCCAGTCGCTCGTTCGTCCGTAACGGACATCTCCGTCGTCGGAACACCGTCCGCCTGTGAAGTGTCTTCTGCAGAATCATCGCAGTTTCGCTTCGCATCCCTGAGCAACTCGCCCGGCGCGTACTTGCTCCTCGCCAAGATAGTCTCCTTCCCGAGCGTTCCCACCGTTTTCATCGAGCTGTTGTGTCCGTACATGTTCGTGCAGTCGAGAAACACGTAATCACAGCAGCGACAACTGTACGGCCTCTTCACTTTGTGCACGTTCTTCAGGTGCTCCTTGATCTTCTGTCCGAGAATGGGCACGCCCTTCTCGGAGTCGCACATGAAACACGTGTGCTCCCACGAGTGCTTCGTCTTCCGATGCCGCATCAGCGTCGACATCTGAACACAGACCTGCGCGCATTCGGAGCACTTGAACGCACCGGTGACCGCACGACGACGACGAAGTTGGGAAGGCAAAGATGAAGAAGAAGATGAAGAGGAAGAAGAAGAATAAGATGAAGAAGAAGAAGATGAAGAAGAAGAAGATGAAGAAGAAGATGAAGAGGACATTTCGGGGCAGCGGAGGGAGCGAATCGGAGGATTCCAACTGTTCAAAGTGAAAGAATCCTTTCACCTATTTATACCATGGACTCTTCCCTTATTGCGAACGTTAATTCATGTAATGTGCACGTTTCGCGATTGTTCGTCATTTTACAGCGACAATAAAGTTCCTAGTATACTTTTTTTCACCGAAATAGGTTTGGATTGTAAAACAAACCGTAAACTCGCTTTAAAATTCCTCTCAATCATCCCACAAGCAAACTTGTCGTTTTGAAATTGAATTTCAGATTCCGAATTTCTGTCGACTTTTCTTCGATACTACGGCGGCATTTTTCTAATTTATAACGTTTTTTGCCATAATTGCGGAAATCCACGTGGCCCCCCAGTGCTCCGATTGCCACACCAGTGCCCCAGATCTGTGACTACAAAAGAAAGTGTTCCGATCGGAACGCCATCAGTTCTGCCCCTTCAACGAACAACAACAATGGGAGACAAGTCTGCGTACATGAGCGCCGGCGGCTACTCGTCCGGCTACATGGGCTCCAACGCCTCCTCGTCCGGATACGCCCGTGAGGAGTACGCGAGCGGCGGCAGTGGCGGAAGCAACAACAACAACCAATCGTCGGGAGGATCCGGAGGCGGCGGCGGCGGCGGATCCGGCGGACAAGTGTTCAAGGCGCGCACCGATCAGTCGTGCTACCTCGGACCGTCCTAGTCCAGCGAGAGACCTTCTATTCGATGCCTCGGTTGTGCCACAGTAAACAGTTTCTTATGCCTTGCTTTTTTCGTTTTTTTTTCTCGGCCGAAAACTGTTTCTGGGTTACTGTTGATGCTGAAACTCTGCAAACACCGTGACGGTTTTTCGCGGATTTTCTAGTGCGCTCCGTCGACTCGAGACATCTTCGGATTGTTTTGCATCAGTTTTTGCTCTTTTCCAATTGTTTTTCCGCGAATTTTCAGATTTTTTCGATGAAAATTGATTAGTCTAATGCCTTTTTTTAGTCTAATGCCTTTTTTTAGTCTAATGCCTTTTTTAGTCTAATGCCTTTTTTAGTCTAATGCCTTTTTTAGTCTAATGCCTTTTTTAGTCTAATGCCTTTTTTAGTCTAATGCCTTTTTTAGTCTAATGCCTTTTTTAGTCTAATGCCTTTTTTCGGTGTCAGTTGCCATATATCTTAAAAATCTTGTCAACAACACCATTTTCGGTCTTCTATGATTTTAATTTTGTGGTCCTGTCAGAATTCCTCATTCCTCCAGACACTTTGTGTGCAATACTTCCATTTTGCCGCCGAAAATCTTTCATTTTCTCATTTTCTTCAGAATTTATTCAATTCTCAATCGATCACCCGACTAACAGCGTACAAAACATCCGGATGCCAAAACCAACGCCGCCAGTAATCAAAGCGCCGATTCGAGTAGAACCGGCGCCGGCGCGCCTTCTCGGAACGCCGCTTTTCCGTGAAACGGACATCGACCTGTGGAATCTGACGGCGGCGCAGTGCTCCGGATGTCTGACCGTAGTGCCGCACAGCCAGTTGTTCGTGTGTGTGCGTGACACGTGTCAGTACATTATCAGACAGTCTCGGCCTATTAATACGCCCACCGAATTCTATAACCAGGAGAAGGTTTTTTGTGGAAACTGCTCTTTCCGTGGAATTCATTCGCGGCACGCAAAGTTTATGGAGCCAGCGGAGCCGTTAGCGGTGAGAAGAAGCTTCTAGACGTATATATATATATTGCCTAAATATTGTTCATTTTCAGATCAAATGCGCGTCGAGCGAATTCGGCACCAAGTTGGAGGAGACGTATCACAGCATGGCGTTCATTGACGCGAACGAGCCGGTCGATTATTTGATGGCGAAAGAGTTCGCGACGCAGAAGTTGCCGTTGCTCCCGGTCGCCGATTATCTCGCCTCGTCTACAAATGTTTGCGAGTGGACGAAGAAGAAGGCGATGCTGGAGGAAGTGGCCAAAGTGTTCCAGGAAAGCCGCCGCGACGGCTACGAATTTGTGAAGAGTCTGGCGCGGAAGGCTTTGGATGCCTATCAGAATGCCGTGAAGGCGATTGAGGAGGAGTTGACTCAGAAGCCGTTCGAGTTGGAGCAGATGGAGGCGCGGAAGCGAGCGCACTACGAACGGATGGGCGATCCGCCGCGGGAATGCAGATCCTCGTCGCAGTCGATTCGGACTGCTACCGTGTCTTCACAGCTGCCAGAATTGGTTGTTCCCAAGAACGAAGATCCGGATTCTTTTGCGGAATCGATCGCCACAATCGTGAAGCACGAAGAGAGTCGTGTAAGTACCACCATTGGGGCATTGGGGGAAATAAGTCTCGACCAAATAAACCGTCGTTGAGTTCTTTTGCCGTCTCCTCCTCCTCCTCCTCCCCCCTTCCCCAAAATACGTATGCGAAATCTGCAGGAGAACGACGAGAGCATCGTGAAAATGCTGTGCAGCACGCTCACGCAACGCTTCGACACGATTCGCGACGATCTGAAGTTGGAGGAGGCGTTGCGGGTGGTGACGGACATGTTGCACGAGAAGACGGGCGATCTGAAGCACAAGTTGGCGGCGGCGCAGATGTTCAAAGAGAAGACGACGTTTTCTCTCAATTACGAGTACTTTTTGACGCTGCCCGGACGATTTTTCATCTAAATTTTGTGATTTCAGACCACGAGAATAAGATGTATCTACTAAACACACACACAAAGACAAACAGACGACTACTACCGCATCCAGTGCATGAACTGATTCCTTCCTTTTTCACGATTTTCTACCTGTTTCTGCCGCCACAGATGCCATGCCGTTTTATATTTGGAACAATAACACTATTCACAAGACGGAAGATGAAAAATCAATAGATTTCGTTGCAATGCGGTTCAGCTTGATGCGGCGCTTGCTGAAGTAGTTCTTGACCTGAGTCTCTGTCAACTGCAGCCTTTCCGCCAATTCTTTTCGTTTTTCGACGCTTGGACTGCCGATCCTGTCGAATTCCTCGTTCATAACGGCGGTCTTGTGCAGCGGAAGTCTCGTGAACGACCGGACCTCCCTGGCCCTCCGGAATTCGAAGGCGTCGTGGCGGAATCCGAGCACGGCGCCGCTCCGCATCTCCATCCACTCGGACACTTGTTTCTCGCGCAGTTTCAGTCGGGCGGCCAGCCATTCGAGCTCTTCGCTACTCCATTCCTTGCTCGTGCACTTGTACTTTTTCGCCAAGTATGCTTCCTCCAACTGGCGAACCGTTTTGACGGGTAACATGTTCGTGTTCGGACGGTTCTGAGTCAGCAGCCTCTTTTTGCAACAATCGTACTGACAGCGGATGTACGACGGCGGCAAATTTGTCTTTTCCATTATCTGCAATTTTTTGTGTGATTCCTCGACAAGTTATTGGGACGACGCTCCTTTAATTCAATTTATTGCCTTTGAATGGCAATTCCGACATAAACAAAAAATCAGAAAACCGAGTTTTCGATAAAGTTCGTCGAGTTTTTAAAAGATCTTGACAAAACCGTACCAAATGAACGTATCCCAAACTGAATCTTTTCCGGGAAAGCAGATGGGTCTCGATGGAATCTTCAAGCACTCTCCTCACTTCCTCTCCCACTTTCCCGTGGCCAAGTGCTTCGTTTTCTCGGAGCAAAAACTGAGCCACCTTCTGGCAATTGTCGTCTTCCGCGCATTTCACCCCCAACTTCCTTCGTTTTCCCGCGAAATTCTCGAAAACCGTTCGGTATCTGACACCGCACCGCTCCGCCATTTCCACCATTTCGCCGATCGACGGGTGCATTTGTTCGATGAACTCTTTTTCGGAAATTCGTTTGTATTTGTAGTACGAGACTCGTTTCCTATTCTCCTTTTCGTATTCTTCGTCGTTGACGACTTCTGGAAATCATCGGAAATTAAAAAAAGAGTTTCGACTTGTTTTCGCTCAGAAATAAAAAATTTTCAAAAATTTAAGGTTCGTGCGTTCTGTGAATTTGGTCGACGATGCGTATTTCCATCTCGTCGACCGTCTTCCACAGAAGAAGAACATTTTTGACAAACCGTTGTAATCGTCATTTCTGGAAGCGGACGAACTCGAAAAAATGGATGATAATTCCGTGTCTGGCATTCGTTTAAACGGAGAGAAGAGGCTTGCATTTCCGAGACACGAATCGTCCGTTTCCTCGTTTTTCAGATCGTTGCTGGCCACCAATTCGTCCAGCGATCCGACATTCGGTCTCCACATGGGAATGGGCGGAGCTATCTGGAAAAGTACCAATTCTTTGCTCTTTTTGCTCATTTTTAGTTCAAATTTCGTTTTTAGCATTTCTTCTTCACATTTTCTCCGATAATTGGAGATTTTTCATTGGAAAACGGCCATTCTATTCGTTTTTTATGTAATGCCGCGTCCAAAGTGTCGGAAAAACCGCAAAAGCCGCAGGTTTTTGTGTCCAAAGTCGGCCGAAATTTGCGTGAAAAACGGGGTGCACACAGCTCAATGAATGTAACCGTAGTGGCGATCGCTTCGAGACCCGCGTCGTTCAAAACGCCATTTTTGCTATTTTTCTCCGTTTTTTTAGTGAATTTTTTGTAAAATGCTTTAAAAATGCTCACAAAAATTTCAAAATCAAGTGAAAAATGAATAAACTAGTCGATTTTCAGGTTTCCCCGCCCGCAAATATGGATTCCGACGATTCCGACGATTCCGACGATGTTGAAATCCAAGAGTTCTGTAAGAAAATATGTTTTGTGTGGAAAATGGGTAACATTTTACAGACATGTTCATCAGACTGATCATGTCCGTGGCACTGAAAAGAAGGGAATGGAAGAAGAAAAAGCAGGAGTCTGAGAAGAAAGAAGTTGAAGCGAAGAGGAAATTGTTCAAGAAAGAGAAGACTGAGAGTTTTAAGAAGTACTGTCGGCGACTTCGTTCTCTTCCCCACTTGTACAAGGTATTTCATTGCTTGGTTTTCTGAAATCAATTTCCGTCCAGGAAGAAGTCTTCGTTCCTGGAGAAGTAGTCGAACGGGTGATGGAAGCGATCGAAAGCGACGGAATCGCGGAAAACTGGACCTTTTCTGCTCATGAACAGTCAGTGATGTACCTCCAGTTTGCCACGTCCGGTAAGCATTTGAATAGTTTTTGCCACGAACTACAGCAAAATACTTGAGGACAATCATTCGGCTGCATGAGAAGACGAATCGGCGCATCGAAATCGACTATTTCTTCGATCGTGAAGCGCGTCTCGCGGGTCATCATTCAACATATTCCAACCGTTCGCTTACCATCGTCGCCTTCGGAATGGCGAGAAATTGAGGAGACATTCGTCAGGCGAGGGTTGCTGAGATGCATTGGGTGTCTCGACGGCAAGCACGTCCGAGTGAAGGCGCCTCCTGGAACCGGATCGTTGTTCTACAACTACAAAAGTTACTTCAGCATTTCCATGTTGGCGTTAGCCGATGCAGATCTCCGCTTCCGATATTTGGATATTGGTATAGTTACTGAACACTATCATTAATCAAATTGCCTCTTTTTCCAGGTGCTCCCGGAAGTGTCAGCGACACGTCCATTTTCAATAGAACGTTTCTGAAGACTATCCTCGACACCCGAGCCACTTTACCACCGCCCGTGCACTACAACGATCACCTTGTGCTCCCGTCGTTCGTCTTGGCGGATGGCATTTTCGCACTGACGCCGACTTTGATGAAGCCTTTCGGACGAGCCCAGCTCACCCATGAGCAAACAATTTTTAATCGAATCCTGTCAAATTCTAGAGTTCGAGTAGAGCATGCTTTCGGCGTTCTCGCTTCCCGCTTCCGCGTTTTGCACTCTCAAATCGAACTTCCATATTCCGATGCTGTTAATTTCGTTTCTTCCCTTGTGCATTTGCACAATTTACTCATTCCTCCATTTGTCGGACCGTTGGAGCCTGTTGTGGAAGCCGCCACTGAGCAGTTCCACGACGGCAAAGACCAACGAGAAGCATTACTCGATTTTTTGATTAACTAATAAACACAACAATTTTACACTCGCAAAAATTTCATACTCGTCATATTAAAAAAATTAAAAATTAAAAATTGTCCAGGTTCTCCCATCCTTCTCCAGATCCTGAGGACGAAGCGGCGGTGGTGAGCGTGACGTCTTTCTTCTTGTACTTTTCGCACAGTTGTGCTATCTCTCCTTGAAGGAGAAGCTGGGAAGTAGGAGGAATCGAGCGGAGGGTCTCAGTCAGCAACTTGGTGACTGCCTCGAATTCCCGTCTCCCGTCGTTTCTGCGCTGGCCGAAGCTTCTCAGAACTTCGCGGGACTCCTTCATGAATAGCTTCAAATCGGCGTCGGCGTCGTCGCTTCCAGTTTGCCAGTCGTACTTCTCCCTCTTCATTCTTTTCGGAGTGTCGACGCCAACATCTCGACGGACGAATCCAATAGTTTCATTGTGAATTCTGAAGGATTTCGGATTAAGTCGGCCTCCTAACCTTTCACTTACGGAGGTGGTGATTTGTCTCTGTATACGTTGTCCAAAAATCCCATTTCTTCATAATATGGGAATGAAGGACGGGCTTTTGCACTCGAGCTCCCACTTGGTTTCATCGACGCCTTTCGTTCTACGCGATATGCGGCCACCAGCGTGTTCCAAACTTTCCGCAAAGTACAGCCTGAAAAATCAAAATCACCATCTTTTATAGTGGCAACCAGTGATACCTCGGTCTCTCTTGAGAAACTCCACCGACTTCTCTATGTCGGCCCACAGACCGTTTTTCAAAGGCGTGTCTTTGTAGTCCTTTTCTCGCAGATTCCAGAGACAAGGATTCATTTCAATTTGTGAAATGATCCGGCTACACTGCGTGAACGTCAGCTGAAAATGAGATGTTTCCACTTTTTCAAAACAAAATGTTTACCTTCGTATAATTATCGCCTTTCGTCATCGAAATCTTCGCATTTTTTCCACTTCCACTTGCTCTCTTTCCGTTCGCATCTTTATCATCTTCTTTGTCCGCGGGTTTGTCCTCTTGGATTTCAACATCGTCGGAATCGTCGGAATCCATATTTGCGGGCGGGGAAACCTGAAAATCGACTAGTTTATTCATTTTTCACTTGATTTTGAAATTTTTGTGAGCATTTTTAAAGCATTTTACAAAAAATTCACTAAAAAAACGGAGAAAAATAGCAAAAATGGCGTTTTGAACGACGCGGGTCTCGAAGCGATCGCCACTACGGTTACATTCATTGAGCTGTGTGCACCCCGTTTTTCACGCAAATTTCGGCCGACTTTGGACACAAAAACCTGCGGCTTTTGCGGTTTTTCCGACACTTTGGACGCGGCATAAAGTCTCTGCGAATTCGAAAGCGTACCTCTTCTTTTACTTCCGTAAACTCAATCTCCGACTTCAGCTCAAAATCGATTCCTTGACCCTACAATCCTAAAATTTTCCAGATATTTTAGCTGTAAAAGTACATTTGCGCACGAGCGTTCGAACTGTTACGCGCATGCAAGCGCGCCCTACCGAACATCGTCGGCGTCTCTTCAATCTCGCACTCTCTAATTTGAATAAATAAACAGCTGGCCTAAAATTTGCGTAGTATCTGGTGCCAAGTACGCAAAATATCTAGAACGGTGTTTGCACAGGGGCGACACGCAGCCAATGGGCGTACGCCGGCGTAAAGGCGGCAAACGAAAATTTTGAATCGGTGCGTAGCGCCCTTCGAAAATAAATTCAAATTTTTATGGCGGGAGTTCTGAATGAACACACGTGTTTGCGAGGCTGAAATCGTTCGAATCGTCCTCGGGTTCCGGTTTCGGTGCTTTCAGATCCATCCTGCGGTCAAATAACTGCTGAAAAAGTGATAAAAATCTGTCGAAATTTGTTTTCCACTTTGTCAAGGGAGCGCACTTGCATACTGCACGAGAAACAAAATCTTTAATTTAGGAAGATTGAAAATTGAAACAGAACAAAGTGCATCAACAGTAACAGGTAAAACAAAACAATTATAATTTTTTTCGTTGCTGCGAGAAGAATCTTCGGATTTGTGCGGTCGGCAGTCCGGATTTCTCTTTGATTTCTCGGAATTCCTTCGCGTCCGGAAAGGGATTGCTTGTGAATTCGGCGAGGAGAAGCTCTTTTGCGTAGACGGGCATTCGGGGACGCGTTCCGAAGATTCGGGAGCTCACCTCTCGTCCGGCCGCCCACGTTCTGAAGCGGCTTCTGATGAACGTTGACGTCAAATTTGTTTTTTCCATAATCTGAATAAAAATTTCAAAATTTCCGCCTTAATTTCGAGCATTTGCCCACCAAATGAACGTGTCCCTGCGTGATACGGCTCCCTCCCAAATCACGAAACGCCTTCAGCATCTCCTTCATTTTCTGCTCGTCCACGGCCGCCGATTCCTTCACATTCATTCGTTCCTCTCTCAAATATTGTCGAACTCTCGCACAAGTGCAGTTTTCAGTCGCGCACATTTCGTTGGTTCGCTTTCGGAAATCGTCAAACTGCTTGAAAACGGTCCGATACGGTTTGCCGCACATTTCGGCCATTTCGATCATTTCCTGGATCGACGGGTGCGGCATCGCGGCGTAGAAAACGAGGGCGCAGCCGTCGATCAGAGTGGAAAGAAGGTTGCGGATGGGCACTCCCGGGAGTGGGGGCGGAGCGCGGCACGCGTATTTCTCGCGGATGTACGCCGGGCGCGTGTGCAAATTGTCGACGAGCTGCAAATTTTGAAAACAAATTAATTAATTTTAATCGATAAGACCCACCAAATGAACGTATCCGTCGGTGAGCTGCATTCTATTAAAATCGAGCCGCGCGAACTCGTTCTCCAGAATATAATCCACTTTCCAATTGACATTCTCGTCCGCATCCATGTTTTCCATCTCGAAATATCGTCTGACTCGATGACACGTGTCATCTTGCGCGCACGGCTCATTCAGCTTCTCGCGCAATTGCTCCAAATGCTGGAAAACGTGTCGATATGGGAGATGACATCTTCCCGAAAGTTCGATCATTTGATGAATGCGCGGGTGTTTGAAAGTGAGAAAGAACTGAGCGATTCGAGTCGCCCATGGAGCGCAGTTGCTCTCCGGAGGCTTTTGCTCTTTCTCGGTGTTGTCCGGATGTCCGGTTCCTTCGCAAAACTCGGTTTGCGTGGAGAAATAAAATCTGGCGCGTTCGCAAGAGTCCAGGACGGAGCATTTGACGCCGGTGAACTTGCGGAGCTGCTCGAAACGATGAAATACTTCTCGAAGTGTCATTTGCAGCTCCGCCGACAAATCGGCCATTTCTTGCATTGACGGGTGCGGGTTACGGTAGACGTACGCGTCAAGAGCCTTCGGGTACACTTTCGGGTTCGGGAGCGCTGGTTCGTCAACAACAATTATTTCCGTGTCCGATGAAGTCTCCGACTCTGTATCGATTTCATGAGACTGAAAATTGAACGCTTACGGTGAGTTTTTAGCTTTGAAATTGTATTTTTACTTTTTCGTCGTGATACATGTAATACTCGTGTTTTTCTGCTTCGCCGTGTCTTGTCATTTGCGAGAAATGCACATCAGACTCCGCCCACGGTTCCTTCTTCTTAATCGTCGTCATTTTGCCTGAAAACTTTGGTTTTTGTCTGAAAATCTGAAAAATTAAACATTTGCGCGTAGAATCCAAGACACGGTACGCTGTCAGATTGACGCACAATTACAGATTTTTGTCGGTTCCTTTGATTACGTGGCTCGGCCCACGCAAATGCGGTGAAAACAAGACAAATTTTGGGGAAAATTTATTATTTGTCATCCGAAAATGGAATTAATTCAAGACTCATCACTATCAAATGATTCGGCAGATCTTTTCAACGATTCCAAAAAAGAAGGCCCGGCTGTTGAAGTATGGTTTTTTTGCGAATTTTTTTGAATAAAATCGAGCTTTTCTGCTTCAGATTGTGAAGAAATGGATGATGATCGCGTATCGTTTGTACGGAAATATGCTCGACAACGCCGACTACGCGTTCTTTTTGAGCGTTCCGCAACTCATCTCGCAGCTCTCGTTCCTGATGTCAGTCTCCAAAGAGGTGGTTTTCAGCCGAAAATGACCGGAATGTAAACATTTCCGTAGAAAGCGACAGGTTTGCGGATGGAGTTTGGCGGAAATCCGACGTTCGAGAAGTTGGCGCATCAAATTCAGCATCAGAATATGCTGGAAATCACTGAAAAGTTCATGAAGACGTGGGGGACAGAGGTGCGGGAAGCGCTGGAGCCCGGGCAGATTATGTCGGCTCGACGGGTGCTCTGCTATCCGAGCAGCGCCGTCTCTTTCCATCTGAACACTCTCAAGTCCCTCCGTCGTTACCGCGTCGAAATGAAGATCTTCGAGGGCGCGAAAGAGCATCGGCACTGGGTGAGCGCCAAATTGAAGAAGAATTTGGCGGAGCAGGTGGTTGTGAATGTGTGGGAGGAGGAGTGCATGATCAAGGAGACGCTCGAGCAGCAGAAGAGCAAGAGGAAGCCGGCCGGCGAAGGGCCGGATCTCGAGGAGTTGCGCCGGAAATTCGAGAGAAATTCGCCGATTCTCATGTGGATCAGCCGCGCGAATGTGGCCATTTTGCCCGAAATGTGCGATTCGAAACAGTTGTACTCGCATCGGGGAACCGATTATTTTCGCGTTTCCGCCACGCCCACCAAAAGGATTTCCGTGCTCAAGGGCGAAATGCGTGCGTTTTTAATTCCGAATTTGAAAAAAAAAACAGATGTGTATCGATTTCGTCGAATTTTATCGAAAAATTTCATAATCTTCTTTTTTTCAGCGTGGAACATGACAATTCTGCCGACGGGAAATCCGCGAATCCTCTTCGTTCTCATCTACAATCACACGCGAAATCTGTGCTCATTCTCGGATCTTCAGTCCCAAATCGAAAAGAGCCGACCGCGTGTTCCGTGCGTAATACACGGCTACGAGCATGAAAATGCGAAAGAGAATCGCGAGATCACGGACATTTATTTCGCGCACTGGAGGGACGAGGAGTTCCATCCGAACCGCTTCGCGCCGGACCTCCGGGAGACGATGGACGTGGACGGAATCTTCGAGAACGGCGGCTTCGGGGACCTGGCCCAGTCCGCCGCGAGACCCTCTTCCGGCGGCGACGTGTTTCAGATCGCACACCTTCAGAACTTCTCCCTCCTTAGCATCTTCAACACGCCCGTTTCCAGGTAAAGCGACTCGATGCAAACGCGCTCCATCGCTCGAAGTTTCCAGAGTGTGTTCACAAGAAGATATACGTGGCAAACACGCGGAAGCAGCGGTCCCCAAAAGCCAGCTGGACGCCGGCTCCCCGCACACCGAGCTCGTTCCATTTCCGTTCAGCGTACTCGTCTGGGACAGCGAGCGATGCATTCCGGTGTACATGGGAAAGTGAGTTACTGGACATTTATTGATTAACTCATATTTTGACAAACATTTTCAAATTTTCCGGGATTTTTCGAAGTTTAGAAATGCTTTGAAAGTCTTTAACAATTTGGAACTTTCGAAAGACGAATTTTCAAAGCTATTATTTTTCAGAATAACTGGAAAACGGCTGGACGACGTGAAACCAAGTCGGAGCGGATGGAAAAAATGGCTGTTCGGATGGATTTGATGCGATCAATTGAAATTCTAGATACTTGTTGTTCTTTTGCTGTTTTCCTTATGAATTCCCTGTCGGATACAATTAATTTCCCTCGAATTCCCTTCTTCGTTTTCTTCCAATCTCGTCGCGCTTATTGCGGCCACTGCTTGGCCGTCCGGCGAGAGTGCGTGCGCGGAAAAGAGGGCGCCGGACACAAAACAGACTATAAATGTGGCAATTAGGCGATATAAACCAAGGCCTTCACACCGTCCCGTTTTCTGCGTTTATTGGCACCTTGCCCCCTCGATTGCCGGACGAAGTTAATCAAGAGGGTCTGTCGGCGCGAAACTCGGAAATTTCTGACAAAAATGTATGCAGCTGCGGCACAGGTGTTAACCATTGTGGCATTGAACGAAAAACGGCGATTTTGTGAACAGAAATTGTACGATTTTAACTTTTAATGCTCGTAAAATTAAGGAATTGCGACAAGAGAACTCCTGATTTCTGAAAGTTTTTCTTGTTTTTTTTCATGTATTCTCTAGTTGATTTTTATAGCATTTTAATTTAGCATTGTTAGCAGCATTTAGGTAGCATTAAAAAAAAAATTTCTTCTGCCTTTAATCCCTTTCCGACGATCGGCCCAATCCATCCAAATCATCTGGTCTCTCTAATAACTGTCATCTGTCCGCCGGCCGGTCCGTTCCCATATTTCAGTTGGTTAATGAGCACAAAGATACTCATCTCGGTTGCCACGTCATCAAAGGATTCTGAAGAGAACAGATGGTGTCACGCAATCGACTGCCACGTCATCATCATTCTCTTCTTCTTCTTCTCTGTGTCTCGGGTGTTACCACTCGAACAAACACCTCAATTGTATTCTCTCTCTCTCTCTCTCTGTCTTCATCATCAAAAGTGAGTTGTGTGTACGTATGGTATATGTACACTGTGTGTGCTCACTCATTCCCGCCATTCATTCATTTCCGTCGCCGACAGTATTCGTGTTTCGCCCCCCAATGTTTTCAATGGAAAAGTCAAATAGAGGACTGGTGAGATGAAAGAAGAAGAAGAAGAAAAAGAAGAGGAAGATTGGATGGGATGGAGAATAGAAAAAAAAAGAAACAAGTGTGGTTTTTGATTCACATCCCGCTCGCATGCACTTTTGATTGTCTGGCGCCGGCCGGCGGGGCGAAAATATCTAAAAATTTCAATTTTTGCCCGTTTTTCGTCCTCGGGACGCGTAAGTGTGTTTTATTGTAATTTGCTGAAAAAATCGGCTCAAAATTGCGCTTTACGGCGGGGAAACGCGGAAAATTCACCAGCTACCGTATCCGCCTCGAATTTAAAGGCGCACAACTGCAATGCTCGTCGCTGCTCGTTCGCTCCTTTTCCGTCTTTGGGACTCGAAAGGAACACGACTTCGGTGTGATGCGCCTTTAAATTAACGGTAGACTTTAATTTTTGGACTCTACTCGATTTTCGACGAATTTTTGTGTGAAATATGAGTAAACTGAACGGAGAAATGGATTTTCATCTGCAAAAACTGTCAATTACTGTATCGGCACCAAATTTAAAGACGCAGCACTCATTTTCTGCCTAGAAACACGGGGTTTGACGGCGCAACGCATCGACATTTCCATTTCCAATTTCAACTAGTCAAAAAAGTCCGAAATGGAATGAGAATTGCGTCCGTTCTCGTCTTCCTCTTCTTCTCCAAAAGACGTGGCTGTCGGTCGGCGCCTCCAGCCAGAACCTCCGAATTTCCCATCGATCACACTTGTCGATAAGTTTTGATTGACGAGTACAGGCCGCCCAGAAGATCCAAAGAAGCGATATTGGCGGAAATTTGAATTATTTCCGAACCTACCGTACGCCGGCGGTAATCTCTGGGCGGTCACGCTTGTTAACTTTCTTTCGGCTCCGCCCCCTTCCCGGGGGGAGGATCTAGGCCCCGCCCAGTTTTTGCGCGTGCGCAGCGGGTCGTCCTTCCTCGGCCGCCATTCATTCATGGTCTTACCTCTCTGCCCCGCGAGACCACAAAATTCGTCGTCGTCTTCTTCTTCTTCTTCTATTATTTTCCAACACTTTCCAAAGGATTACGGTAAGTTTGGTGCGGCGCGGTGAAGCTGAAGAGAGCCGTCTATTGACAGTTCGCCTCAGAATGTGCTGTCATGGAGTCGCTCTCTTCAGATGATCCCGGAACCCTCTGATTCTCACAGATATTATTCAAGGCCAGACACGCGGGTGGGAGCTGAGATTGATCGATTGGATGGATGAGCGAGGGGTGGGGGTGGGGGGACAAAGAAGAAGAAGGAAAAGATCTTTGACGTTGTGATCGATCACATGGACACAGACACATTCAAACTGTTGAGGAGAACGGAGAAACGGGAAAGAAAGTCACCTTTTTCGCCTAAAATATCGGAAAACTGATTGATTCTGGCCTAAAAACCCTTAATTTTCGCCCAAATTTCGTGTAACAGTCAAGCAAATCGTGGCGCAGCAAAACTGACCGAAAATTGTGGCATGCTCCGTCAGAATACACATTTGCACGCAGCTGAAAATCGCGTTTTCGCACCAGCTAGAGATGGGCGGAGAACACGAAAGATTGGTGAGGAACAGCGAAAACCATTCATTTTGCTGCAAAGTTTAGGAGAAAAGCAGTGAAATCCGCTATGAAACAAGGTCGACCGTATTTTAAAGGCGCATAACACTCTCGCAGAAAAGTTTCGCCTCGACACGTTGCGATTTTGCAATTTTGCAATTTTACCTGTTCGCGCGACGTTATTTTCGAGCATTTTCACTCAAAAACGAGTCTGCGCTTTTAAAACTGTACGAGGAGACCGTGGCATTACTGCGCCGCATAGTTTATCGATTATTTTCTAGAGATAGATCGAAAAACATGCTTTTTGATAAAGTTTGCAGAAAAATGCAAAGCGTGTTATCGATTTTCCGAGTGTGCCCGGAACTGGAACAGTCCTCATAAAACCGTTTACGACTACTCGTCCGCCGATTTCATCCATTTAAGACTGCCATTTCCCCCCTTCCCCGTTTTATAGTCCGTGTCTCCGTGACGTCCACGCACACAATGTTCCCAAAAATAAATCACTTCACACCAGCCAAAAAACGTACAAAAGGTGTTGGGCGTCCTTGGGAGACCGTTTTGCGCCGTCCGTCTTCCAAAACATATTTCACGCTTGATTAACTCATTCATTAACGGCCAAAACGGGACGAAATCAAAGGGAAACGGCAGGGCGAGACGTCCACGTAGAGGTGTCGGATTCTAGGCCACCAGGGCAAATTTCTAGGCCACTCAACTTTGGAGACGTGTATCTCGGCGGAAAATGATCGGATTGACTCGAAACTTGGACACGGGGTACTTTAGACTTTTTAGTTTCATCTGAAAACTTTTGAAAAACCTAGCTTGAACATGAACAAATTGTAGAGGATCTTCAAAACATTCGAGCACTTTCTAAAACGCCTAAAGTACGCCTTGTCCATGGTTGGTGTCTATCCGATCATTTTACGTCGAGATACAGGTCTTCAAAGTTGAGTGGCCTAGGATCCGACACCAGCGGTCCCAGCCAGTTGTAGCTACAGTAATGCTTTGCAAGTACCTCTCGGAGGCGATAAAAAGACCCCCTTTTGGTTCGGGGGAGGTGCGCCGCGCCGGTTACGGTACTCAATTAAGAACGGAAACATTTGTCGAGTCTCTTTCCGTCAATGTTTGTACAGTCCCGGAAGGTGTGAAGTAGTTGGAGGGGAGACAGAAACACTCTCTCTCTCTCTCTCTCTCTCTCTCTCTCTTCCTTTCATCCTTCTTCTTCTTCTTCTTCTTCTTCTTCTTAGTGTACTAATGTACGCATTCGGAAGCAGCACTTCGAGGGGACCGGACTAACAAGACAAATCATTTATTTCATAGAAACACAAGCACAGTCGAGAATGGAATGGAAAAAGTGGAGAAATGAGAAATTTGAGGGGAAGGATCGGATCGATATCTCACTTTCTACTGGTACCACGCTTGCACGTCTTCCGCCGCCGGGACCGCGTGCAACGACGACCGTTTTCCGAAGCGCAGCGGGCCAGAGGGACCACGTCTCTTTCCGAAACGAAGCGGACCTTGCGGACCGCCCTTTTTCGCGTCTGAAAAAGTGCACTTTGGCTCGAGCTGCTACAGTACTCCAGGAAGTGGTCGTACAAAAAAGTTGTCAACTAGAAAAATAAAGTTCACAATTAGTACTACATTTTTGTAGTTGACAACTTTTGTCAACAACCTTTCCCAAGCCTACTGTAGCTCTCTGAACTTCAGATTAAGTGGAGGTCTACTGCAAGAGCTCTAACTTTCAAGAGCTACAGTATCCCAGAGAGTAGTCGTACAAAAAAGTGATCAACTACAAAAATACAGTTCAAAACTAGTTCTTCAAAATTGTAGTTGACCACTTTTTTGTACAACTACTCCGAACTACAGTAATCCTCGATGAGCTTACAGTTGGAGAAGTAGTCAAGATCAACGGAGACCGGAACGGCGCCGACTGGATACACCGCGTCATCGTAGTCTGCAAAGTGATCATTCGAATCCAAACATCCACCCCATCATTTTTTCTCTTGAAAAAGTGACGAATGTGCATTTGAGGAATGCTGCGAAAATCCCACCTACGACCCACTTCCGTCTCATTTTGCAATGAATTATTCGGTGAAATTCATGGGAAAATGGTCGAGTGCAACACACTTTTTCGTCTTGTCATTCGACTCGTTTGGAATAATACCTTTTCAGTCTTATTTTCGACCTGAACAACGCCGAGAAAAGGACTGCACTTTTCTATTTCTATGAAACGAAGGCTACACGAACTTTGGTCAACTTTGACTGGATGTCTTGGGTTTCGATGATGTTCGAATGCTCCAAAAAAATTTTTGCATAATCTTCAGACCTAGTTTTCCACTTTTCCAATTGACAACTTTTTCACAGGACCACTCGCTGGAGTACTGTAGCTCTTGGAAGTTAGAGCTGTAATGAAGTGCGCTCTTCAATTTTACTCTGACTTCCAAGACCTGCAGTATTTGTAGGAGTGATTGTACAAAAAAGGGGTCAACTGAAAAAGTAGAGTACTAGGTGTGAGCTTCATTTTTGTAGTTGACAACTTGTTTGTGCGACTGCTCCTAAAGGCAGTGTAGCTCTTGGAAATCAGGGTAAACGTGCAAGTTCCCTCATTTTCCGCCGCTCCTCCTGCTCTCATCTGTGAAACTTTAAAGCTCGCTGAGCACACACAGAGGGGACCCATGTGTGCTCGAAATTATACGAAAAACTAATCGACGAGTGCTCAAGTTGGGCCCCCAATTACTTGGTCTCCAAACTTTTTCCATTTCCATTTCATCTCATTTTCAAACACAACCCTCTCAAATCTGTCGCCGGTCTTTGGGGACCAACGGGCGTCTGGAAGGGACTAAACGGGAAGACTTGCAAGCGGAAAAAGCAGGAGAAGCCGTAGATTTCAGAAAATTCGGATATTTTTAGATGTTGTGTCTTCTCTGGCTTCCGTTTCTGATCGGAAATGTAGGTGTGGGTTTGGCGTGGCACAAACTACAGTAATCCAGAGTTTTCGTCAATTTGAGGGGTGATAAATCATAGTGGTTCGAGTAAACTTGATGGAAAGTTCATTCGGTTCAACTCAAGGGCCTCTCTGTTCGGCTAGGATTACTGTAGTCGGTTCCAAGTACCCTGCCCATCCCGGTGGGACCACATTCCGAGTCACCGTTTTTCGGGAAACGCAGTGATCCGTGAACACAAAAGCCAGTGTGCTCTCTCGCTCGAAAATTTGAAATTCCGCGCAAAATTTATGCTCCCATCGCGGTGCCAACGGCCGCAATTCGCGAAAAAATGACAAATGGGCGACGAGGAATTACTACTACATGACAAAGGGAATTTGAATGGGCGAAAAGGGGAGGAGAAGAAGAAGAAGAAGAAGAAGAAGATGGAGTTGTGGATCAAAAGTGACAAGAACAAGAAGAAGAAGAAGTACTGGTAAGGGAGAGAGCGATGGATTACTGTAGATGGGTGCGTGACGTCATTGCTCACAAAGTGATGTCGTTTGTCAGTTGATGAAAGCACATGTTGTCACGTCATTGAACATTTTCACAAAGTTGGCAGCCAACTACCACTACAACCTTCTTTGCCACGTCACGATAAGTTGATCCTTACCTCTTGACCTCCACCCGTTCAACTACCACTACAACCTCGTTTGCCACGTCACCCCTTTTTCACTAAACAAAGCCAAGAATCCTTTTGTTTTCAGTGCCGTCCACACCTACTCAAAAACTCAGAAAAAAGGTGAGGACGACATTTTCGAGGACACGTGTCAAACCCGAAAACATTTGAATGTCAGAGAGCACAAGGCGGCTATTATGGCATCACTTTTTCGAGACAAAACATTTTCAGTCGGATATTATAGGTTTGATATTATCGGAATTTTTGGAGCTTACCGGCCAGGACTGCTGCGCAGGCGATCACGGCGAGAAGAGCGAATCGGAGTGAGAACGAGTGCATGGCCGGCAGAATCTTCTTCTTCTTCTTCTTCTTCTTCTTCTTCCAAAAATGAATGCGAGAGCGGAGCGGTGAGCACGAAGAGCCCTGGCGAAGGGGCGGGACCAACTGCCCCCCCCCTTCCTAAGCTCCGCCCACTTTTGAAGCTCTTTTTCACATCTCTCCAGTTTTCAGATGGAGAAACGTTTACAGGGGGAAATTGGCAAGGATTACGGTAGATTGCTCGGTTTTTGGGGGCTCTACACCTTTTCTGGACAGCTTGAGAGACGTTTAAAACCAACCGGTTGGATTGATTCGATTCGCTTGAATGTTCTTGGGTAGCTGGATCGGTTGCAAAGTGTCCTCCTCTGCAAACTTTGCAACTAAAGGACGTTTCGCAACCGAGCTGTCCTTCCAATTCTTTCCAACTTTCAAACTAATGTCGGATTGGTTGCAAAACCTCAATTGGCGAAAAAGCAATTGCGAAACGGGACGAATAAATAGAAAAAAAGCAAAATTTGTTGTGATGTGCTTTCCGTGTGACACCCCCGTTCCCATCTTTCCTTTATTGCTCTCATGGAAGAGAGAGAGAGAGAGAGAGAGAGAGAGAGAGAGAGAAGGAGTCCCTCTTCCCTATCTATACACATTTCGAACGAACATGCGACGAGACAAAGGCGGCGAGGCGATTAATAGAATTTTCGGGTTGAAAGTGAGCACAAGAGACGCGCAAAACCTTGATTGTTTACAGATCAGAGTTGAGCGCGAAAAAACTCAACGCAAGAACGCGGAAGAATTTTTATCTTTTTTAGAAAATTTTTTCATGGAATGTGATCAACTGACAAAATGTAAAGCAAAATGAACTCTGCTCCTAGAAAAATAATTGTAAATTTAGCATTTCATACAAAAAAGTTATGTCCTTCCGTCTTCCCCGTTAGCCCTTTTTTCACGGAACAACTCGAATAACTTTTTTGTATGAAAAGTTAAATTTACAATTATTTTTCTAGGAGCAGAGTTTATTTTGCTTTTCATTTCGTCAGTTGATCACATTCCATGAAAAAATTTTCTAAAAAAGATAAAAATTCTTCCGTTGAGTTCTTCCGCGCTCAACTCTGGTACAGATGATGACGTGGCGCCCGACAATACAGTAATCCTTATTTTCCGCGATTCGTAGGGCGTGTTTCGACGCGAATCGTCGCTCTCCAAAAAACGAATGAGGCGTCATAATGACCGCTCTAATTATATTGTAGGGTTTCGGATTACGGTACACACTTCTCGTATTTCAAACGAACCGGCCCTCAGCGATCGACAATATAGAGACAATTGACTTTGGGCCTAATTAGGTGGAAGTTGGGGATGGGATTACTGTAGAATATGGGAGAGTGAAAAGGTATTTGGAAGTTGAAAACTTCAGCGATCAGGGAAAGTGAGTTTTTGTAGCTCTTGGAAGTGTGAAGTGAGCATTGAGGTACGTCAACTTCCAAGAGCTACAGTACTCCAGGGAGTGGTTGCACAAACACGTTGTCAACTAGAAAAATGAAGTACTAGGTACGTATTGTGGGCTCAAATTTTTTCAAAGCCAGATCACAATTTCTGTTCCTGTGGCGCTTACTTGAAATTGGTCCATTTTTCCATTCATTTTCCTTTCCAAGACCAAATCTTCTGAATTGGCAACATTTTAGCTCACAATCTTTTCATTTCTGACTCTCCGTGTCAATCACACACACATTTCCAGAAGTACAATATCCAATTTGTCACTCAAATGCGCTCAAGTAATTTCACGTAATCTGTCATCATAAATCAACGTTTCGTGGGCTCCAATGAGCTCGGACCGGAAATATTGGGTGACATGGAGTGGACAAAGTTCTGAGGGTCTGAAAGATTTTAATAAGTCCTGGATGGCCTAGAAACCTCGGGAATTTTGCTAGGTCACACAGCCATCGATTCCAATTTAGAGGATTGTCGAGCAGTGCAGAGTGTGTGGAATTCTCGACTCGCCCTCGTTCTTTGGATTTCGGATCAGATGACGTTCGAAGCCGAGTGACGCAGATTTCCATTTCGAACATTTCGCCAACTAATCCCCATTTCTTTTCTGCCGAAATATCCATAAATGACGAATTGTAGCGGGTAGCGGAAAACAACGAAAATACCAAGCGTCAAGTCGCTGAAAATGAACAGTGTCCCACATGAAAAGAGTCCGGCCGCGAGAAAAGGTCGTCGCAAAAGTGGTCCAAATCGTCTGGAACACCAGAATGGGGCGTTCTTTGGATTCAGGTGACGTTCACAAGGGAACGTTGTGACCCCCCCCCCCCATCAACTTGAAAAATTATCAAAAAATTCTCAAAAAATCAGAAAAATTCTGAACAGCATGCTCAATTTTTTTTTGGCTTTTTCACTTTTTCAGCAAGTTTAGGATAAGCAGAAGAAAATGCAAATATGGTCACGTGAGAGGTCAAATAAGAGCACTTCAAAAGCACTTTGGAACGTTCTAGAAAATCCAAAAAATTCGGCCTAATTCTGAAAAACAGTGAGCGTGCTATTCAGAATTTTTCTGATTTTTGAGAATTTTTTGAGAATTTTCAAATGTGCCGATTCCGTCGAACCTTTTTAGGTTTTGCCAATTTGAGTCAACCACGTTCACTTTCCAACACAGACACTTTTCAATCGATTTCAGTGCAACAGTTGCAATCTCCCTCTCTCTTCTTCTTCTTCTTCTTCTTCTTCTTCTTCTTCTTCTTCTTCTTCTTCTCTTCCATTTTGTCTCGTTTCCGCTCTTCTAATCGAATCATCCGACTGTTTTGTAGTGAGGAATAATACATCGTGACAATTGTCAATTTCATTCGATTATTCTGGTCAAAGTTCGACACTACAACTCTACTTTTTCTTGATCTTTCCTGTTCATTTTCGTATTGTACGTGTTTGTTAGAATTGCCACTTAATAGCGAACTTGCTGGGAAGCTCAGCGTTTCTTCAAGAACTCTCTCCTCCGGACCAGCTCTGAGAGCTGAGAAATTGCGGGAATTAATCGGTTTCGAGAGGAAAGGGGGGAGGGTATTATAAAAATGGGTTCTAATTAAAAAGCCGAGCGGTTCCGCTGGCCAGCACCTGCCGATTGAGCAATTCCATTAATGTTCTAAAGCTCTCTTCAACCCAATTTCCAATTTCAACTGTATCTCATTTGCGGATAGAGATATCAAAAAGTTGTCAACTAACAAAATGTTCCTTATAAAATTCTGCACACTTTTTCAATTTACAACTATTTGCTATCTCTGCAGGCGGCCGAGATACACTGGTTTGAATAAGTTGCTCTCAAAACTGATCCCATAATAGTGGTAAGTGACCTGTCCAAAACGAGATCGAACCAAAACAAACAGAGAAAGAGAGAGAGAGAGAGAGAGAGAAAAGGGAACACATGCCATTTGGCACACCCCAATAACTTTCTCTTTCCCTTTCCTTCTCTCTATCTCTCACTCTCTATCTCTCTCTCTCGTTCGCAATAATATTGTCAATTTCTGAGAGTGGTACGTGTCATTTTGAATGTATTACTGTACTCTTTAAAGGCGCATCCACTCTTTCAAAGCCGAAAGTTAGAGCGCTCTGATTAAATTTTCAATCGAAATCCTATTAGTCTTACTCCAGAGAACTTCATTACATTGCAACATCTCTCTCTCTCTCTCTCTCTTTCTCTCTCTTTCTCTCTCTCTTTTCGTTATCAGTTCTCTTTCTTCTTCTTCTTCTTTTTCTTTTTCTTCTCAATCATCAATTCTTTCCGCTCTCCGCACCCTCGCACATCTGATAAACGTGAAAAGATGACATGCGACTTCTTCTCTCTCTCTCTCTCTCTTTTTCATGTCCTACTTTTAATTTCCAACAATATCATCATTTTTTAAATTCGCGACACTTCAAAACTGCAAAAAAAAGTCTGATCGGTCGAAAAAACGTTATGGCATTGCTCTTGGCTCAGAATTTGCAAGCTCAAATGCTAGGCCACCTATTTTGATCTACAATATCTAATTTTTGTTCCCTTTTTTCTCAAAAGCGATCGTCGTGGCCTAGAATTGTGTCCTGTCGGATTCTAGGCCATCTATTTTGCAGCTACAATAAGTGTAATGTAGCTTGTTAGGAGCCTTTTTCTCTCCTAACAGCCTAGAAATCACTTTTGTCGGATCCTCCTTTGTTCCAGCTCGAAAATGGAGGTGCCCGGTCCCCTGCTCGACGCGTTCATCTACTATTTGACAGTGATATTCGTGTGCGAGGGCGCTCGCCACGTGGCAGATCGAGTGTTGGACAAAAAGGGATCGGCGCACAGATTGCTCATCGAATTCGTCGGAACTCTTCAAGTGACGACGACCATCTACGAGAACGGTGAGACCGTTTTTGCGTACTTTCAACCGCCCTCCCCCCCCCCCGATTCCAGCCGTCATCGACATTCATCTGGGCCGTCAGGCGTTCGCATTCACCCTCTTCTCGATGGGTCTCGTGTTTGCCGTCTGCAATCGGACCGCCTTTGTCAGTCCGTTGGCGCCGCTGGAGCAGTACCTCTTCGGAAGACTCAAGTAGGCTCACCAACTCTTCTTCCAACCGTACCGTATGCCCTTTCAGATTCACCGAGTTGCTCCAAACCCTTGCCGCTCAATTCTCGGCCGGTTATTTGGCGTTCAGTTTCGCGCGAAACATTTGGCTGAGGGCCTACAGTACTTCGGGAGCGCACGGAGAGATTCTCGGGTTGATGGAGTCGTGCGGGTTCAATCATCCGGTAAGTGTGCTACCGTATACCTACGCCACATGAAAAACGACAATAGCACTTTAAATTTACCCTCATTTCCAAGAGCCTACAGTACTCCACGGAGTGGTTGTACCAAAAAGTTGTCAACTACAAAAATAGAGTGCTCTGGCGGTGCTATGCGCTGCTCAAAGCTAGTCTTCCCATTTTCCACCGTAATCCTCTACAGTATCCCCTCTATTATCATCTGGCGTTCGAGCTGCTCGGCACGTTCGTCGTCCGCCACGTGCTCACTCGTGCCACTGCCGACTCGCGCGATTCCCGTGTCCGTTTCGTCTTTCCCGCCTTTTTCATGGCCGCCGTCTTCACAGCCAGTAAGTTTTGAAAGAAGTCTATCCATCCGAAAACGTATCGAAAATTGTTTCAGCGGTGACGTTCGTCGGGGACCAGGCGCTGGACCCGTTGGTCGCTGCCACGTTGTTCTACGGGTGCCAGGGCCTCAGTTTTCAGCACTTTATCCTCATTTATTGGGTCGCTCCGACCGTCGGCTGGATGGCTTCCGCCTGGTACGACTCCCAGGGCGACGAGTCCGCGAAGAAACGTCTGGCAAAGGAGAAGAAAGCAGAGAAGAAACGGGCAAAGAAGAGCGAATAAGTTAGAGATAATAATACACATTACTATTCAACTCATTTGGTAAAAAAGGAAGATAAGAATTAAAACTTGTAAAATTCAATTCAGGATTGAGGCACACATACACAAATGAACCTATTTAGTGATCAGGGCGAGGGGGCGTGATTCGAGAGCAATCGGTCTGAGGGCGGGAGGTCATTTATACAAACACTTATATATATTGTCAGTTTAGTTCGAGTAGAGACGGGGGGAAGTGGTGCAGTAACAGTGTACAGGAAAACTTGATAAAAAAAGTTGAGAAAATTGGAAAATCGGCTAGAAAAATATACAAAAGAAGGAGAAAAAGAAGAGAAACGGGGATTGGGTTGAGAGAGAGATTGAGAGAGAAAAAGACTAGTCCGTCCAGCGGTAAATCATTTTTTGGAGTCATTTCAATTCATCCATTTCACACAGTTCGGCGCTCCGCAAAGGCACGGTATTTTGTCGGTCGAGTCTTCGAGTTCGAATTGATAGTCGTAGGTGAGCTGCAAGAAGGACCAAATTCGATTAAGCCCACATTTCAAATGTTTTTCGGACGACACAGACTATAAAAATGCCATTCGGAATATTTGCGCTTTTCACTAAATTGGTTTTCCAGTCCGCTTTTCCACGAACACCCCGTGGAAAACAAAAAATAAAACGGTTGCGGACGAAATTGGGCAGAAACTGACTTGAGGGACTTCATCTCCGATATTGTTCATTTCTGAGAGAATCCCTTTGGTTTCTAGAAGTCATTTTCGAGCGTAAGAGAAATTTCCGCAAAAAGTAAAACTTTCTATTCAAAAACGGTCAGAAAATGGCAAATCCACTCTCGATTCGTCAATTTTTCTCAAATTACCTCTTCTCCAGCGCTGATCGGTCGATTCGCCGTGATGATTATCTTTTTCTCGCGCGGCCCCGATCCGGCGTCCATGATTTGCGTGGAGCAATTCGGATCGCACGAGTGGTTCACGTATCGAGCCGGTCCGCCGGCCATTGTCGCGTCTATCACCCACTCCTCGTCGATGCGGAACATGTACACGCCGCGATTCTGAGCCGTGTAGCGGATTTCGCGCACTTCACACACCTCCGAACGTATTATTTCGCCCTGCAAACAGATATGATTGGGGAATGAATCTAAAAAAAGGAAAAATACCTTGTACTCGATGATATATTCGCCCATTCCAATGTCAATCTTCGCATACAATCCTAGTCCGGCGATTCGAGAACGCGCCAGATAGACTCGATCCTTCCACTCTCTGCGCATTTTCTGGTAGGCCGAGAAGGCGGCCTGCGTGTTCTGGATTGGTTCGAAGCGGACGTTCATGGCGAGATCGGGCGAAATTCCAAAGGCGCGGGCTCGGGCCGCCGCCTCTTCTGTGTAGTAAGAACGGACTCCGCGCGTGCGGCCGCTATTCGCAGAAGTCAGAGAAGTGGCCGCTTGGCGCGTCTGCAGGTCGTGGGAGGAGGAGCTCGCGGAGCCGCTCTCTTTTGCGATGCTCATTCCGTGATGGTGATGGCTGGTGCCGCCCATCGGCTGCGGTCTCGTCCGGAAATGCTGTCCGATCGTTCGGTTTCTGGGCTCGGATCTCGCGCATCCGGACGGATTCTCGGCCAACGGCAACTCGAGAACCGGACTGTTCTGATGGCGCATGGTGTACGTGTAGACGGTGTCAAATCCGGGCAGAGACTCTGTGATCTTGCAAATCGCCATCTCATTCAGTCCGAAAAGGGTTTCTCCGACGATCTGCGAGCCGAAGAACTTGAGCACCTCACCGTGCTGCTCGCGGAGCTGGTTGATGCTCTTATAGATCGGAAGCCAGGCGCCGGTGGCCGAAGGAGCCTTGACGCAAATCGACGGATCCTCTAGACTCTTCACAATGAACAGCGGCTGATTGTTGCGATCCTCGATGGTGCACTCGAAGAGCATCCGCTCGCGCGGGTTCTTGGGCGACCAGAAGAGTCGAGTGGCCTTGTACTGGTTCGGGAAGATGAAGTCTTTGTTGTGGAACGTTTTCAGCTGCTTCGGCACAATCGATCCAAGTTTGTGGAAGGTGAATGCGCCGAGACGAAGGCAGAGGCGGTCGCCGTCGGTGAGGTCGAAGAGACGCATCAGCATCTGGTTCTCGTCGCGTTCCACGAAGATCCGACGGAGAGCGTCGAGGCGAACGACGATCCGGTCCTGAGAGGCGCTGTGCATTTTGCAGAAGAACGTCTGAAAAGAGAATTTGATTATTACTTGACTGCGAACTCAGAATCCTACCCGATCGTGTATAAAGTGTCCGTTGGTTTGCATCGCGCACAACAGATGATAGTTGACTCCGCAGTTCACTTTATGGCACTTCACACTGGCTCCCGGCAGTTTGCACAGTTCGCACGCCGATTGAGCAGCTCTCAACACTGCCTTGTCGACGTTCGTCAGCGCGCCGCTCGGCCGTTCGTACACTTCGGGACTCCAGAGCGCACAGTTCACGTGCACCCAGTAGTACTCGGTGAGTGTAATCAGACGGCCGCACTTGGACGTCTCTCCGTCGCCAACGCCTCCGCAAAAGACGCAGAGCCGTTTGTCGAGATCGTGCGGCGGTTGTGCAACTCCGATTTTCGGCGCGAGCACGTACTGCTGCTGCTGGTATTGAATGGCGGCGAACGAATCGTAGATGGTCTTTTCGTAGGGCTTCCAGTCGTCCTGCGAGGACCTCTGTCCGGTCGGAGCTTCTTTCGGCGGCTCCACCGCTCCGATCAACGACAAGACGGACACGAAGGCGAGGTGTTCCTTGCGTCCCTCGTCCATCATGAACCTGGTATCCCGCGGAGAGATCATTCCTTCGCCACTCGAGAGCAGAGAGGCAGAGGAGACTGACGGGGCGCACGGGGCTTTCGGTTTTCCGAGCGTCACCGCCTTGACAATGCTGTCCAGATGGATCTGTTTGAGTCGGTTGAGCGTCTCCTCGTCCACGTTCTGCTCGGCCACTGCTAGTTCCTCGGGGGTCAGCGCCACTTTGCTCGTTGCCATCAGTTCGTAATAGCACTTTCGGCTGCAGAACGTCACCGTTTCCTCCTTCTCCTCCGACGTCGCTTCCGCCGCCAGAATCCCCAGCTTGTCCGCCTTGAGCCGAACGGGCGCGGCTCCATCTCCGAGTTTCTGACACTGTCTGCACTTGTACTGCCCGCCGCCCGCTCCTTCGTTCTCCGCCATCGTCTCGTCCTCGATCTCCCGTTTGATCTCCTTCTCCACCGAAGCGGACGGAGCACGGGAGGACACTCGCCGGCTGATGTTCTTGATGTCTTCGGGTTCCGGAGAGGAGGGAGCCGGCGAGTCTGGGGGCGTGTCCTCCATCTTCCATTCAATCTCCTGCTTGATTCCCAGCAGTTCTTTGAATTGCTCGTGGAACTTGGCAATCAGCTCCTTCTTCTCGTCGACAGTGCTCTCCGGGGTCAAGTTTTCAGTGTTGAATACCATTTCCACAGGCACGTCTTCCTCCTTTTTCGGCTCCACTTCCCACATCTCCAACGCCGGACGCAACGGCGCCTTCGCCTCCTCCATGTACTTGGCACGACTTCTCACGTGATCAATGATAGGCCGCCGGAGTCTCATCAGGTTGTGGATAGTGGCGTTCGGATTGAGAATGTGTCCGCAGCGTCGATCCATCTCGTCCTGGAAGATCTCGTCGTTCTCCGTCTGCGTTCCCGAGCTGTTGTAGAGGGCGACGAGGCGTATCTGCGGATCCATTTGGTAGAGACTCGGCTCGGAGAACACCAACTGCTTGCTGGTGGCGTCTTCGTTCAAAAACATCCGCGTTCCTCGCTTCACAGACGCGCGTCCGAACTTTCCGATGAGCGGCATTTTTCCCGGCTTCACGACCATGTCCGTCATTCCGTGATTCACAAATTCCGATCCTCCGTGCGTGAGTTTCGGTTCTCTCTGATGCTTTGGAATTTCCGGACACAACCGGAATCTCGTCCGCATTTTCTCCAGATACGAATCGTATTCTCCGCCGGCCGAGTAGGAAGACGCCGTCTTCTTCTGGATCGTCCGCTTCTTCTTCGGTTTCGGCCCATCGTCCTGTGAACTGAGACCCGGCTGCTGAGCCAGAGCCATTTGAGGTGGCGGCTGTGCCCCGGGCGGTGGTGCAAGCTGCTGTGGCGGAAGAGGTCCTCCGGGGACGCCGGGCGGCGGTGGTCCCGGTTGCATGTGCGGCATCATCATGTGAAGCGGCGGCGCTTGTCCTCCGACCACTCCCGGCAGTTGGAGCGGCCGTTTGAGCATGTGAGGCGTCGGAGGTGGAAGCTGCTGCTGGTGTTGTTGCTGCGAAAGATGCACCGAGATGTCGTGGATGACTTCGTCGAGGAATTCGTAGCAGTCGCGGAGCACTGGATCGGTGATCGACTCGTAGCGGATGCCGCCCATGACTGGAGCTCGGTTCGCACGTCGTTGAGCCATCTGAGTCTCAATCTGCATTGGGAATAGATGAATTGGGGGAAAAGGAAGCAAAAACTCACAATGATTCTGCGATGCCACTCGGCGTGCTGCTGCGGCGTCATGTTGGGCGGCGGTCTCACAATGTACGGCTGTCCTGGTACTCCGGGCGGTCCCGGTCGCATCATTTGCACTCCGAACTGCATCATTCTCTGCTGCTGCTGAGCTTGAGCTTGAGCCTGTGCCTGCGCTTGTTGTTGCTGTTGTGCGTGTTGTGGATGTTGTGGATGTTGTGGATGCGGCATTCCCATCTGCATCGGATGATGCGGGGGCGGTCCTCCAATGCCCGGCGGTCCCTGGAGACCCTGCGCTTGAACCTGTTGGATGCGAGCCGCTTCCGACTGCGCGTATTGTGCATTTCTCAAGTTCGACTGCTCGATCATTTGCATTGAGACGTCCGTTTCGTTGCGGAGCACTCCACAGCTCTTCTCGAAATCGTTCAACAGTGCTTCGTGGGTCTTCAGATCCCTCTTCGACTTCTCCACGTCGCCTTGCTTCGACTTGATGTGATCTGTGAGCATCACAAGCTGCTGCTGGTCGTGCTCGTTCAGATCGAGCGGTCGGCCGTCGTAGTCCGGTGCCGCTTGCGCCGTTTTGATCATCGATCGTTTCTTCGCCGCGAGGTTCTTCTTCTGCTTCCGGGACCGCGCCAAATCGGTCTCACACGACAGAACCAGCCGTTCGAGGTCGCTTTTGATGCGAAGCAACTCTTGCCACTGCTGATATTGATCCGGATTGAGGTGGCAGGTGATACGCACTTGCTTCGGCTGCGGCGGCAGATTCGGATCCTCCCCGGGCGCTCCGATGCCTCCAAGGCCGGAGTTCTCTCCCGGATTGGCGGGCACTCGGAATCCTATTCGATGCGGAGCAGGCGATTGGACCGTCGGGCTGTCGACCGAGTTGGTCGAGTGCACGTTCTGCCTTCGTGGCCGTGGAATCTTGCCGCGTAGCGTTCGATTCTCGCGCGCCCGATTCACGTACTGCTGCCGTTCGTTCTGATTCAGGTTCCTCCACATCTTCTGTATCTGCTTCACGCGATCCGTCCACTCGGGGAACTGTTCCTTCAGATAGCCGTGTCGTTCGTTCGCGTAGAGCACTGCCGCCGTGGTCGCCTGCAGTCCCAGCGGCTCGTCTTCTTCCCATCGCTCCGCAAACTGATATCGCTCCGACGCGTCCGTGCTTTGGCTTCCGCTCCTCGAAATCGTCTGCGCGGCACGTACTCCCGGTGCCTGCTGGGCAATGTTCGGCGGGTGCATTCCGGGCATTTGGAAGCCGCCGTGCGGGACCGCTGTGGAGGTCGACGGCTGTTGATCAAGGCCGCCGAATGCTGAAAATTTCAGGAAATTCAACGATATCTCTGGAGAGAGCTGAAACTCACTGGTCGGTCCCAGATTCCGGTTTTCGCCGCCGTCCTGGTTCGTGTCTCCCTGCAGACTGTCTTCCAATTCTTCGTCGTCGTCGTCGAACAGGAGCGAAAAGTCAAAGTCGTCGTCGATCTCAATGTTTCCAACGTCAATATTGTCCAAGAACGCGTTCTCGCTGATGTCGTTCCTCAGCATTTCCGCCGCCGTCGCCGACAACTGCGGCTCCACTTTCTTCCGCTGGAATTCGTACTCAAACAGAACCGGTTCGTCCACTTTCACGTCCACCAGCGCCTTCCCATCCACTCCTTTCATTCCGAAGAACGCCTCCTGGATGGCCGGCGGATACGCGTCTTCCAAATACGATCTCCTCGGCTTCCTCGGCCGCTTCTTCTTCGTATCATCGTCTTCTCCGGCTAAAGCGAGCGCTTCTTCCAGAGCTTGAATCCGATGACGTGGAAGTTTTGCGTAGAAGCCGCCGACTCCGATTCGGTTCATTCCACGTCTTCCGCCCGGGTTTCCGCGTCCTCTTCCGCGTTGAACTATGGACGGCTGCGGTGCGGAAGGATCCTGCGAGTCTTCCGGTACGTTCGAATCGCCGTCGTCGTAATGGTCGAAGGATTCCCGGTATCCGTGGATCTCCAGCATTTGACTCTTGAGTATCGCGGGCGCGTATTTTGACTTGAGCACCTCGTCGGCGTTTTTATTCAGAGCGACCGAATCGCAAAATATGAACGGATCCGAGTCGACGCTTCCCGTGTTGTTCTGGCGGTTTGGACGGCAATCGGAGCAGCGCATCCGGCTGTTCACAGCCTGTTCGAGCTGCTCGTCCGTGAACAATCCCTCGCAGGCGCCGTGCCTCCATTTGCTGCAGTGCGTGCACCGAATGATCTTCTCGTTCAGCTGATATCCCTTCGCACACTTTGGACACTTTTTGAGCGAACTGCACGGGAAGCACAGTCCCTCGGTGGTCAGATCGTTGCCCGACGTCGTTTTGTGGTTGCACCGGCGGCATCGGGAGCACCATTGGCAGCGCCACGAGCCGGGCGGAATACGGTCGAGCGGCGGTTTCATGTGATAGATGTGGTAGGAGACGTCGCATTCGTCGCAAAGAAGTAGGTTCGACTCGTCGCCGCCAGTGCCGCATCCTTCACAAACTGTACAGTCGAGGCATCGCCAGCCACGTGTCAGGACCGCCGAGTTGAGCTGGAAATACATCTATGCGAATTTGAAAATCATAGTAAACCAACCTTATCATGTAAATTGACACAATACGTGTGATAAGTCTGAGCGCAGTTGGAGCACGCTACCATCGACGCCTCGGCTCCTTTTCCGATCGATCCACACACCAGACACATACACGCCTGCAAGAATCCATTAATTTTTGTCAACGCACACGGCATTTTGTATGCTCACTTTTTGCAAAAATTCATCGTTGACTCGACAGACGACCGCCGTGCGAATGTACTCGGCCTCTTCGGATTTGGAGCCGCCCGACTGCCGCGACGCCTCGTCTTCGAGCATTTGTTCGTCGACTTCTCGAATCGCCGTCGGAATTTGTATCTGCTGGAAATTGGGCACTTCTGAGGAGCTCGTCGCAAATTGCGGCTCAATAGGGATTGGAGCAGCAGCGGCAGCTGAAGGGGGAAGGGCTTGGGCAGGTAGAAGAGCAGGTGGAAGATGTTGGGGAGCAGCGGCAGACGAAGAAGAAGAAGAAGCAGCAGCAGGAAGGAGGACACTGGGTGGAAGAGCGACAGAAGGTGAGGGGACGCCCATTGGGAGCCCGCCGTTGCCCACGTGGTGCATCGGCTGCCCGCCACTGTTGAACATCATCAGACCGCCCATTCCGCTGGCGAACTGCACCTGTTGAAGCACTGCGGCTGCCTGCGCGGCACTTCCGCGTCCACGTCCTCTTCCACGTCCCGGTCCCTTTCCGGTAGACGATGTTCCGCGCGCCGACGTCGTCGCGCCACGCTTTCCACGTTTTCCGCGCACCGTCGCCGCCAGCGAGGGCAGTCTGCCCATTCCGAACGGATTCGGAACTTCACCGGACATCGCCGATTGAAAGTTTGTCGCCGAAAAGTATCCGGACGGCGGCGGATTTGTTTGCCGACGTGCCGACGTCGTCTGCCCTCGTCCCGGCTTCTTTTTACCACCGCCACGTCCACGGCCACGTGTACTGCAAGATTTCCCATAGAATTTTGAAATGTTCACTTAAAAATCGACTCACCTAACGTTGGGCACAAAATCCTCGTCATAATCGGACGTCTCCTGATAGAACGGACTGCTGTTGCGGTCGCTGTCGTTCGTCGCGCCGCCATCGCTGATTTCGTCCATCAACTGCGCCTGCGTGTTCAACATCTGCTGCACACCGGAGGAGGACGAGGAAGAGGAGGCCATCATCTGCGAGTACATGTCGACGCCGAAGTCGTTCATCGGATAGCTCGACGTCATCGGCCCGGACGGCATCTGCAGCGCAATCTGGGATTGTGGATCGCTGAACGGCGAGAGCGGCGCGTTGCCACGTGGCGTCGCCGACTCGGAGAGCAGCACGTCTCCGAGATCGTCGGCCAGCATCGGGTTGTGACGACGGCACGAGGCGCAGATGAAGCCGTCGAGCGCCGAGGCGTCGGAAGAGTCGCACGAGCGGTGGTAGTGTCTTAAAAGTCGCGTTTAACGTGAAAAATTTGAAAATCTCACTTTCGACACATGGAACATCGTCGAGAATCGTCGGTAATCATGCGACGACACGCTGCGCAACTCATCGACATGTCGCACTGCAAAAACTGGTGTAAAACTGGAAAAAATCTTGCGGGTTTCTACCTCCCGAGCCATTTTGAGGGACATTGTGCCTGTTCGGTTGATGTCCATGCAATTCTCGCATAGCTCTGTGTTGTTGTAGGCGACACCGCCACAGTCGACGCACTAAATATTCGCAAATTCGAAAATTTATAAGAAAAAACGGTAAAATGGGCACTCACAATCATCTCCGCTTATTGATTTTCTTCATAAAGTCGTCCTGCTTTGGGTGAGAGCTCTGAAAAACTAAAAAACCCATTTCAGTGTGGATTTTTACGAATATATTCAAATTTTTAGAACAATTCCAAGTTTCCCGTGTATTTCGCGTAGAATTTCGGTGAAAATTGTGAATTTCAGAGGTTTTCAAGCCAATTTAATAAAAAATCAAGTTCAAATTGGCGCCAATACTCGGGAAATCGGTCGAAAAAGGGCGGGCACGCCCCTTCTTTTGTATCGATTGTCTGGCACTCTGCCAAGCATCGGACCTTCTGCGTCTCTCAAGAGGTTCCTGCGTGGGTGCCCCCCACAGCATGGGCGTGTATAATGAGCGGGGCACACACGCAATTCAATTCTTGTCTCGTCTGCGCCTCGCTGGCAGCCTGCCAATGCGCGCTAAGTGACGCACAATTGCAGTGTGGAGGAAAAATTAAAATAGAATTTTCGATTGTTTTGAAAATTTGGAATTCTCTTCCGCTTCCGGCGATTGATTGACTGAAAAAACTGATTGATGGCTTCCAGATAACTCACTTGGGGAAGTTTTCATTCAAACGATGTCCGATGAAGTTTTTAAAGTGAGCAGAAAAGAGGAAAATAGGCCCGAAATGAGAGAACCACGATTTTCAGGCATTCATCGGTGGACTTCCGTTCGACTCGCTCGCCAGCGATGTCGAAGCATGTCTGAAATACGCTGATTTCAACGAAGATGATGTAAATTCCAAAAATTACGAGAAAAATTGTAAATTTTCAAAATTTCAGTTCAAAAATATGGACATTCATCTGGTGCGCGACAGAGACACTGGCGACTTCAAAGGATTCGCCTACGTGACTTTCAAGACCGAAGAGGAGCTCGAAAGAGCCATCAGGAGCCTGAATGACGTCTCGTACGGAAATCGCGTGCTCAAAGTGAACCGTGCTCAGCAGAGAGATCGCGGAGGCCGCGGAGGAGGTGAGAAATTGCCAAAATTGTCATCAAACAATCTGAACATTCTCATAAAACTGTCGTATTTCAAGATTTTGAGCAATTTTCGTGTAAAATGAGCTGAAGATCAACAAAATAACTGAATTCCACTCAAGACTTTGTATTTTTTGCAGGCCGTGGTGGTTTCGGCGGCGATCGTGACCGTGGAGGCCGTGGAGGCGGCGGCGGCGGATTCCGTCGTGGCGGAGATCGTGGCGGACACCGCGGAGGCGACCGCTTCAACAACGACGGCGGAAACCGCGGCGGATGGCAGCAGGTCGGCGGCAACCACAAGGGCGGATACCGAAATCGCAAGGAGAGCGAGGATCAGCACGAGGAGCGCCGTCCAGGTCATCGTCAATCGGAGGATGGTCCAGAAGGCGCGTCGGCCGCAGGACCGCCGGCCGAACGCCCACGTCTGAATCTGAAGCCCCGCACGACGGACACTGCTGAAATTGAAGCGCGCCAGAAGAGAGAGGAGGAGGAGACGAAGAGACGTCAGGAGAAGCTGTTCGGATAGATAATTGCCCCCCAACGGAATAGTCCCCAGCATGACTGTAATCTGCCCTCCACGTCCGCCCCCTTTAAAGCCTTATGTCGAATCATATCCAATCAATAACTCGGAATATTTCCAAAGTTTGATGTTTTGACTCAATTCCGACCTCGTAACAAAAATCATAGGAATCAAGCTCTTTTCTCTATTTCCCCCGCCTGGTATGACCACTTCAATCTCCCCCACAAGTTCCCGTACCTCAATAATTTGTTCGTTCTGGTTTTGTTATCCCCTTTTACTTTCTTTTTTCCCTAAAAATCCCCTCAAAAATCGCCCCCAAAAAATGTCTGCGCTCCCGCTCCCAATTACTTGTTCTGTTGTGTTGTTCTTTTTATTCTATGTTATTTTTCACCGTTAGACGTCGTAGATAGATATTTCTCAATGAAAAACCCGAGTTTCCCGGCAAATCGTAGCATTTTTTCAATGGATTTTCTGGTACCTTTCCGATTCGTTCTTATTTTTTCCATTTTCCTTATTTTTTTGCAATTTCCTCTAGATTCGTGTTCCAGTATGACGTCGACAGCGGAGAGAGCCGAAAAAGTGCTAGCCGAGAGCCTCAAATGGGAAAAATTGGTTGGCAACTTTTTTTTGAATACGTTTTGGAATGTTTTGATAATTTTTAAGAGTATTGACGTGGAAGAGGGCTGCGGAGGCGGACACAAATTCCGAATTCTCATAGTTTCGGACGCGTTCAGCGGAAAAACCACACTCCAATCACACAGGTTTAAATTTTACAAAAATCAAAGAACTTTTGACAGATTTCTGTAAATATTGACATAAAACTCTTGAATCTTCCCCGAAATTCCCCATTTTGCAGACTTGTGCAATCGGCTTTCGGGCCGCTGATGCCGGAAACGCACGCGCTGACAATCTACGCGTACTCGCCGGAAAAGTGGTCCCGAATGGACGAGGCCGCCCGTCAGACCGCCGGATGCGCCGATTTTGCCTAAATTTTTTGCACTTTTTTCTTCACTACGAGTACATAAATTTGAATCGATTTTGCTGGAATATTAACCCTAAAAATTTGATAGGTTAGGTCCTAACAATGTACTGTTTTTGTTGTTGTTAAACTCATTGAATTTGCCCGTTCAGACGCGAAAATGTTCGTTGCGTGGGCGTGTTCGGCGTTGCGATCATCGCCCGAATCGTCCGGAAACGCGTCGGAAAACGAACGAATCGATGCGCTTTTAGAGGCGAAATTCGACGCGGCGACTCAGAGATTACCGGCGTTTTTGTCGAAAATCGACCAGAAAACCGTGCTCAAATTCTACGGACTCTATAAACAGGCGGTCGAGGGACCGGCGGGTGAGTGGCCGAGGAATGTTCTAGACCACGGCCCCCAGAAACGAGAGAAACAAATTTCCCGAAAAATCTGAAAATCACGAAATTTGTCGGAATTTACTAGACCACGCCGTTTTTTTCTAGTTTTCAGTCATTTTGATATTGTAGACGCGAAAAAAGGGCCGTATTGGTATGAGACGGTGGCGCGGAAGAAGTTCAACGCGTGGCTGACGAACGCCAAAATGAGCCGCGCAACGGCGATGCAAAACTACGTGGAAATGATGGCCGAGCTGGACGCGGACTGGAATCCGAACTCGGCCACGGTCAGCCGCACCGGCGGATGGGAGAAGATGCCGAGCACCATGGGCGTGATTGAGGTTCCGCGGAGAAATTTACTCTCGAAAATGCTCGGACTTTCAGCCGGAAATGTTCGACGACGTGGTGATTCAAGAGCCGACGCGTCTGGAAACGGAAACGGAGAAGACGTGGTTCGCGGCGATGCGGGAAGACGACGTGGAGACGATGCGGACACTTCTGGAGACGGATCCCGAACTGCTCGAGGCCAAGGATCAGCATCTGGCGGTGAGAAACGGACGGTCGTGGGGTTGGTTCTCATGAGGACGTTCAGATGACCGCACTTTTGTGGGCCGTCGATCTGGGATGCGACACGGTCGTTCGGTTTCTGATCGATCGCGGAGCCGATGTGAACGCAGTGGACGGATGTCTTCAGACGGCACTTCATTTCGGTACGGAAGGGTTTTGACAAACTAGTCCGGAATAGCTCAATTTTCGTTTACTTCAACTTTTTGACTATATGGGCTGATTAGCAGTAACTAAAATCCTTTTTTGCACTTTTTCCTTTTCAGCGGCGCAATGCCACCGACCGTTGCTCGCGGAGATCCTGGTGCAGGCGGGCGCCGACAAGCGAGCCCTCGACGCAGACGGCCTGACGCCTTCCGAATGTTGCGACGACACGGAACTCGCCGAGCAGTTGGCCCCGCCCCTCGATTAGCGTCTCATTCCGTTTTGTGCCCGCCCCGAATGTTGTACATATCGAATTTCTTTCTCTTTTTCACATATTATATCCGCTCGTCAACTCTTGCTTCTTCTCCAACCAACCGGACCAAACTTTCTTCTTTTTTTCTTTCTCCTTTCTTCGTCCCGGACATTCTCGTGTTACAAATCCGTTGGGGGGAAAAAGTCGAAAAGAAAAGATTCCCCGCTCGCAACTTTATATATGAAATGAATTAATCGAGGCTCTGAGATTCGGACGAAATTAGAAATTCAAATTTTCTTTCCTTCCTTTTCCTTTCTCTTCTCCTTTTAATACCCAAAAGGAATCTTGCCAATCGGCACGCAAATTCCGGAAATTCGCATTAATCTTGACGTCATTCTTTCGAGAACCTAAATGAAATTGGATGCGAATGCGCATGATGAGCGGCTGATTAGTCGTCGTCGACGCCAATTTCCAATTTGTTTCAGCCGACTTTGTGCTGCTCCTTTAAACTTACCTACCGTATATTGTCGTCATATCTAGTGTTTTTCAATTTCATTTCCCTTTTCCGATTCATTTCCATTATTTTGTCGATAATCTGATAATTTATAGGAAAAGAGGATATATCGAAAAACGATTGATTTTGTGAACGATAAAAGGCGCAGCGCATACAAAAAATAATTTTTCCGCTGCAAGACCTACTCACAATGAATAGACGTGAAGTTTGACAAAAGAAGAAGCCAGTCGGAGCCAGAGGTCCCCGCTTTTCTTCTCCGTTTCGCCGCTTCCTTCCTTCCTTTTCGTCTAGCCCCGTCCATTCAAACTTTGTTATTTTCTCTCTCTCTCTCTGTCTCTCTGTCTCTCTCTTTTCTGCTCTTTTCCGCTCTTTTTGCCCATTTTTCCATAAAAGCGACGGACCCTCTCTTGCTCTTCTCATTCCAACCAACAATCTACTCTCTTATTGTGTTTCTCCTCCCCCCCCCCGTCCTTTTTCGCCCATTTCTTGTCACGCAATCGTCGCATTTCTCGAGAAGCCTGAAAATGTCTCTTTTTCGCTCTTTTTCAGCTGCTCAATTGATCAAACCTCCGCCCACGGAGAGAAATGTTGAATTTTGCACGCGTGCTGTGCCTTTAAAGTACGGTAGCTGCGCGTTTCGTTTTTTCGAAATTTCAACCGGAAAAGTGGTTTTTAGATAGATTGTTCGGTAAATTAATTTTTTTTTAAGCCGTCAATTTTCAAAAAAGCAGCAATGCAAGTGCGCTCCAACGACATTCGATTTGACGAAAGAATTCGTCTTTTTCTCCCCAAATTCCGACCGAATAATTGATGATTTGGTGTTTTCGAGACTCGCAAACATTAATTATTTCGTCTCGAGACTAGGCTCGATTGTTTTCGGCCTTTTTACGACGAAAACATTCGCTCTAACAAGCCATCGAGAAGAGTTAGGCCACCAAGTGCAAAAGTTAGGTCGTCCCCAGAGGAAACGAATAAAAATGCAATAAATTCGTCAAAATTGAGCACTTTTCTTCGAATGTTTCTTCTTTCTTTCTCACCACAATCATTTTGATTGGCATCGGCTTTCGCGTTGCGCTGTAAAACGACGGACGCGAAAAAGAGATGGGCGGTGCAAATGTCATTCGGACTTTTGGAGCAAAAGAGCCGCACGAGCAAAGCATCCTTCTTCCGCTTCCGAAAATGAGAGAGCAAGCGACGGCGGAAGATTGGCGGATCCGAACACTTGGCCTCTCGTCGACGACATGTTTTTATTGCTTTTCCACCAAATTTTCGGAAGAGCCACTGCTTCTCAAGCTGAATTTCATTAGTTTCCGCTTTCTCTCTATGATTTTCTGCAAAAATCTGGAAAAGCGCCGCTCGTAATTGGGTATGCGCCTTTAAATCTACAGTAATCCTTTTTTGTTTCGGCGGCGTGCGCATCGAGCAAAACCAATAATAAGAAAACTTCATCTTTGCCCCCTCCAGTGCCGATCAAAAATAAATATTCTCCCCTTTTATTATTTGTGCACGTCTTCATTCATTCCTCAAGTTTTACTTTTTTTCTGCGCGTCAACACATTACTCAATTTCTATGCAAATGGATGTTCATCTCTTTCTCTCTCCCCGGGGGGGAACAGTTGGCGTCTCGGACTCTGCGAGCCCGTGCCGCCCGAGAAAAGAAAAGAAAAGAGGCCATCGGAGAGGAGAAGAGTCGCCTCCGTTTTGATATGATCGATTCATGCTCGTTGTTGTTGTTGTTTGTGGCCTCAAAACGACGCGTTAATTTATTAAACAGCAAATAAGTAAAATCCCGCCTCGTTGCCATGTATCTCTGCCAGTTTTTCATATTTTCACAAAGTTGTTCAACCAATCGATAGACAACTTTGTGCTCTACAACTTCTTAGTTTACAGTTTCTCGAAATTCCGATTGTCCGCTGAGATACATTCAATTTAGTGATTGCACCGAATCTTACGACAATTTGCGTATCGTCCACCGTGTTTCTCAAAGACAAAAGGAATGACGTCATGTGACATGTCTCGAAGGAGACATTTCACTTCCTGTTTTTTCCTCAATCTGACGTCTTTTTCTTCATCTTTTTCCCTCAAAACCCATTTTCGGCTCGCGGGGAGAATGATTCTTTTTTTGGGTTACGGTAGGCGGAAAGGTGTGTAGGGTCAGGTGTATGGTACGTAAACACCGTCAATCCAATTACGAGGCGGGAAAGGAGAAGAGTGGAATGGAATGAAAAGGCGCGGAACTAATCCTTCGACGGACCCAAAAGACGAAGAAGAAGACGAAGAAGAAGAAGAAGAAGAAATTGTTTCTCTCTTTTTCCAACCAATTTCTTGCTCTGCTTGCTCGTTTCACGGTCTCATCTCCGAATACGTTTCAATTCAATTCCCCACTCGTTTCCTTCCCTATTTCCCCCTTTTCATAGTACTAAATCGTTCCGACACATTGAAGTTTACGACAAATTGCACAGATTCGTCGAAACTACCGTACTCTGACCCGTTTTTCGATAAGTATCACTCAATTTTCTGCACTCTTGCGCATTGAATTCACGCAAAATTGCACACGAATCGAGATTTCTCGTTTCCGGTCTACTTCCACCCCGCCCCGCGTGCTCTTTTGTTTTTGAGTGCAACAACGTTTTGCACTGAACTTTACGACAATTTGCGTACTCTTAATGAGGATTACTGTAGGCTCATTGAAATAATTCACGACAGTTTGGGTGTGTGTGCGTCAAGTTTTACGAGAAAATGAATCGATAAAATGCACAAACAACGTGTTTGTGCATTTCTCTCACAAAAGTGCACATTTTTCTAAACGAGCACTTATCCATGTTTATCCATGTTTATCCGCCCATTGCGCACCGCCCACAAATCATGCCAATTTTCGTGCAAATGTCAAAAACGGGCGGCTCGCTCGGAGTGCTCCAAATGGAGCCAATTATCGCAAACTTTTGTTGCTCTTTTCTTTCTTTCTTTTTTTACCCCAAACCTTCCTAATATATACATATTGTCGGCCTACTACTTTTTGCAGGAAATGTTGAACATCGACTGAAATGGTGCAATTGGATCGGTTCGAAATTGTGTTCAACAATCCGGAAGAGGCGTATTTCGCCGGCCAGGAGATTTCCGGAAAAGTGATAATCGAGAATAAGGAGCCGAAAAAGGTGAACGAGATTCTGCTGGAACTGAAAGGACGCGCAAGGACCTACTGGACGAAGCATTCGGGTGAGTGGAGGTGGTGGAAGAGGAAAAGCTAGGCCACGGGTTTGTTCAGGCAAATCACGGAAGCATTGTTCCCACTCGGAACCCTACTTTCTCGAGCAATTCAACACGGGCTACACACACAAATTCACCGTTGTGAAGGACGGAAAAGAGAAGGAACGCCTTCTGCCCGCCGGAATTCATCAGGTTTGTCTTTTCTTTTTTTGAGTGTAGCTCACTTGTCTTGAAAGCTATTAAAAAGTGGTCAACTGCAAAAATGTACAAAATTTTGTGGTGAACATTTTTGTAGTTGAAAACTGTTTGATATCTCCACCGACAACCGAAATATATCGCTCTGATATTGTAGGTCCCCTTCTCTTACACCCTTCCCAAGTCGCTTCCCTCTTCGTTCGAAGGAGAGTTCGGACACATTCGGTACACGTGCAAAGCCATTTGTGAAAGGCCCTGGGACTTTGATATTGTCAGTCGGAAGGCGTTCACCGTCATTGGAATCGAGGATATCAATTCGGATGCGAAGGTGAGCTACCGTACCCAATACCGTCTATTCAAAACGATGTATTTCAGCTGCTGGTGGAGATATCAAAAAGTTATCAACTAATAAAATGTTCATTAAAACATTGCGCACATTTTATCAGTTGACCACTTTTTGATATCTCCACCCGCAGCTGAGATACATCGTTTATAAAAAACATTTCACCAAACTTTTGCAGCTAAACGAGCCCATTTCCTGTATCGAATCGAACCACGCCGTCACTTTTTGTTGCCGTTCGGCGGGCAGTGTGACCGGCGAAATTCGAGTACCCAAATGTGGATACACCCCCGGAGAGAAGATTGATGTTAGCTACAAGTACGTTTACATTTTGTTGCGTTAAACGTGCGTGTTGCCGGAAAATGGCCATTTTCAGAGTGATAAACCTGAGCTCAAAAACGCGTCAAATCTACTTGCGCTTCGTGCAAATGACCACCTACAAAGCGAAAACGTTCGCCGGCCACGAGCACATTAAAAACGTGGTTCGCGTGATTTCGAAGATTGACAGAGGCGAAGTGGCCGGCGGATCGTCGACGGAATGGCAAGAGGAAGCCGTCACGATCCCCTCGTTGCCGCCGAAACTCGGAAAGTGCAAGATTCTCTCGGTTTCCTACTCGATCGAGTTGGAGGTGAGCGAGTTGAGGGAAATGCGTCAAAAAACACAAAGTTGTTCGGATTGTTATGGGGTTATTCAGGCTGTGAAAAAAATTATTATTTTTCCGTTTTTTTTTCGTTTTTTTTACGTCAAAAAACCCACGAAAAAAACGGAAAACAAACATACGCTGAATAGCCCCATTAGAATTTGTAACAACTTTGTAGTTGACGTCCACGGCGACCAAAAACGTAGAAAGGGGCGTGGCCTAGCGTGCACGGTTTTGTCACCATTTTGGCGCGAAATTCGAAATTTAACCCCATTTTTTTTCATGTTTTTCGTCAAAAATTACCCAAATTTTGTGCGATTTCGACGATGTAATTGCATAAATTTGTTAAACTAATCATCGCGCGCACTTTTTGAGCTTAAAACGAGCAGGTTTCATTCAGAAATGAATCAATTGATGCGATTTTCAAGTTTTGTGCTGAAAATGCGCGAATTTCAGTCAGTCGCCGATACTTTTTGCCGTTTGAACGCTTAAAATACTTGTATTAACGTGCTTAATCACTTCCGACACTCACTTCGTCTCAAAACTATCCACATCGGCCGGTATGAAAATTCCGAAATTGCGGCGGCGATTGGCCGCGGAGAGCGTATTGCGAAATATGCCAAAAACGTCGCAAACGCGGCGTTTTCACGAAAATTTCGATGTTTTCTCTCTTTAATGTCTCTTCTTTCGTCGATATCAAACACAAAAATATCGGAAAAGTGCTGGAATTTTCAGAAAACGCGTCTCAGATTAGGCCACGCCCCTTTCTACACGTGTATTGACCATTTTTTGAGACAAAGCGATAGTTATCGAAATACAGGTTGGGCAACTTGTCTCGTGTTTCAGGTCGAGCAAACGTTAACCGTGCCGTGCGCGATCGTGATCGGCTCGATTCCGCAGCTCGCCCAACTGCTCGTCCACTCGAAACAATCGGTGCAAAGTGCCGGAAATGGGTCGCTTCCGAAGAGTTCGATCAAGGACAGCCCGCCGAAATGGGACAGCGAGAGTTGTGTTCAGGTGGGGGGCAACTAACTGAGACTAGCTGCTGTTCCATTGCACACTTCAATATCGTTCATTCAAACTCATGTATCTCGACTGTCTCTAGAGATATTGAAAAGTTGTCAACTGATGAAATGTACATAGTTTCTCGGCAAACAATTCATTAGTTGACAACTTTTTGACTTCTTTACCGACAGCTGAGATATCTTGCTCTGAATAAACTCTATTGAATTGTAGCTCTTTGAATTCTGAGTCAAATCTAGATCTCTCTAACATTAGCACACTTTCAATTGCAGGTGACAATAACCGACGAGAGTGGTCAACTGGTCGAAGAGCTCGGAAACGAGATGGAAGCCCTGTTGTCGTCGCGAAAACGCGTCCGGATGCCGTCGTCGATCCTCAGCGAACTGTATCCGACGATGCCGAGTCCCTACTACAAGTACGCGCCCGTTGTTTTCAAATCGCACAATATCCGAAACTCGTTGCAGAGAATCCTTCTTCGGCGCCAGTGACATATCAGAGGAAAAGGAGCAGGCACAGTTCGGAGAGACCTCTTTCGCACCCAAATATCCGTTTTATACCGACTAATTTCTTTCCTTTTTTTTGTTGTTTGAGCACAATATGAACCTGCTTTTGAAACGTTTATGTGCAAAAGGGAGGCCGTTCAGCTGATCTCTGGGTTTCTGGAAGCGTTGAGGGAAGTGGGTCGCTTCACAAATCCGAAGAGATCTGCAAACTTTGAGGGTCTGTAACTAGGCGGATAATGATCCGATTTTGAAATTTAAGAGTTCTAGTTGAGGCCAGTAGTGCTGTTTTTCCAATACTGGTCATTCGAGACGCTATATCTCAGCTGCCGGTAGAGATATTCATAAGTTGTCAACTAATGAATTGTTCTTTAGGATATTTTGTACATTTTTTCAGTTGACAACTTTTTGATATCTCTTCAGACAGTTGAGATGCATCCATTGTGTGTCAAAGTGTCAATCCAAACAATCTCCGTCTTACCCAAAATAGCTCTCCGAAAGCTTTGAATGATGAAAAAGTTGGGCAACGGATCCAGCGCCGGGTACAAGAAAATGGTGACGGTTGCAATTCGGCCGACAACTTCCGACGACCGATTGAACATTGAGAAAAAGAAGCCGATAGTAGCGGGAATGTGCATCAGAATGACGGGAATCAGCGTCTGGAAGACGAGCGCCCAGAACAGTTGCGATTGCAGACTTTTGTGGCTTTTCGACGAACTGCACATCATGCTCGTCATTCTTGTGTAGATTTGGTGGCCGAACAAAAAGACGATCGAGACGCTGATCAACTGGAAAATGATCAACTACAAAGTTGTTCGGCTTGGTAATTGCAACACTTTTGCAGTTGACCACTTTTCGAAAAAGTCAATAGCTATCGAGATACAGGCTTTGAAAGTTGAAGTTTGGCAACTTTTCGATGCTACAAATCAAGCCCTCAAAGTTTTCTTTGAGAAAAATGATAAACTACACTATTGCCCAATTTTTGACGGTCTATCCAATGAGACACATTTCAGCTACAAGTAACCGTTTCCTAAACTCACAATAACAATAGTCATCAAAAGCAACGCGGCCGCCGTTTTCCAGTTGACCACATCCGCTCCGCGCTCGTCAATTTGATAGAAATGCGCTCCGACATAACAGATTTCGCTCAGATCGAGATGACGTGGCAACAAGTACGTCTGCCTGAACGTGGCCTAACTTTCCAATGGCCTAGAATTCACCGACCGCATAAAAGAGTCGGAATTCGCATTTGGACCGATCAGCAGACACACCACATAGCTCCAAATTGCGCCCACAATCCAAGTTAGCAAAATTAACGTTATCACTTTTTGCGGGTGGAAGTTTTGCAGAAACCGACTTCTGAAGAGTACAGTACATGGTTGTGCGTCTACAGTAACCCGAATAAATTGAAAATCTTACCCAGTAATGACCAGATAACGGTAGACAAAGTGAATGGCGAAAATGGCCATCGACATGCCGAAAAGACTGCAGAAGGCTACTGAAATTGTTTGAAAACATTTAAAAAAAGTCACTTTTTCAAATTACCACTGGCAGCGAACATCAAAATGCGGGGAAGTGGCGTCAAATTCGAGTTGATGACAATCAAAAACGCCGAATTTGAAGAGAATATTTCCTGAGCCCCGGTTATGCGCCTTTAAAAACTACCGTAACCCACCGGAACGGCCAAAAAGTCGAGAATCGAGTAGAAAAGCTCAAAAATTGAAATGTACACCATGAGATACTTGTAATTTCCCAAGTTTTTCGGCGATTTGAAAATAATCAATAAAATGAGCACGAAATTGTTGAGCACTCCGAAAGAAGCGTACAGGCGTTGGGTGAAGTAGCGGAAATCGGCGATCATTTTCGGAGAAATGAAAACAATTGGGTTATTTGATAGATTACCCGGGTCTTTTGGGAATATATAGTAGACTAATTAGGGGGAAAAACAGGAAATTTTCGTGGAAAAACGTGATACGGAGCATGTTATGCGCTCTTAAACACTTCAGTTGGGTTTTAGATTGTTATTTGACATTCAGTAATACAATATCACTTGGGGACCACATTCCAAGAAGTGTTGGGGTTTAAATCCAAAAAGTTCTTGATCAATTTAATAATATCTGCCTTCGTTTTGCTCTTCAATCCTTTCGGCGGTTCACAATGCTCCAGAGCCATCTCGATCAGTTCGTCCTTCTTGAATTCGAGCATCTGAAAGTGTACAGTGTGCCGCAGGCGTCTACAGTAATCCGTCCAACCTTATCCGCCGCGAAACACTCGCGAACACCCATTGATTTGGCGGCGGGCTGTCCGTCCGCCGGTCCCGCCGGCTTCCTCTTTCTTCCCTTCGCTTCCAGCTTCTTGTCCTCTTCGGTCAACGCGAATTTCTCGACGATCTGCTCGATTTGCGCGCCGACACGTTGCAGTCGCTTCGGAATCAGGTAATAGGGTTCTGTAGAAGCAGAACATTTAGTTCCCTCCAAACGAATATTCAATCTCTAACCCAACGTATCCCTCCTCTCAATCAGTTCCTCTCCGGTCGCTTCCAGACAAAGCGCCGCGCGTTCCGACAGCAATCGCGGGTTTTCGTAAAAGCTCGGATTGTAGCTCATCGTAAGCCGCTTCACAAACTGCTTCATGACTTCCACGTGCTCCGTTCGCACCTCCGGCACACTCGTTTGTTGCTCTTCGAAGCGACGGAAATCGTCGCGGAGCTCTTCGCGGAACGGAAGCCCGACGAGCATGAATCCCTCGTGCAGCCATTCTGAAGAGTCCGCTTGCGCTTTTTGTTGCTCCAGGCGCAGCTGAAAGGTCAACGTTTCTGATATTTTTCCTTGTTCTCCTCGTTTACCACATCCGGTTTCTTGTCCTCCTCCTCCTCGCCATCCTCGCCGATCTTCGGTTGTTCCTCAATCAGCGTCAGGTCCTTTTTGAATGGAATCAACGCGACAATCCGCATTTTCTGCTTCGATCTGCTCTGATATTTGCACACGATCGCTTGCTGTCGGGCCCAGCAACGGTCGAGCAGGGCACGGTAGATGCTGCTGCTGCCGAGCGTCGTCTGAAAGCATTCTTTTGGTTATTTGAAGGAAAGTTGGCGAAGAATGCGGTAAAGTGCGGTAGAGCGCACTTTCCCCTCCCAGAATCTACCTGATCATTCGGCTGGATGATCTTGGGCGAAATGACGGAAACTTCCTGGTCCACACGGTCGAGCGGCACGAATCCGATAACGTCGACGCCTTTCGAGTCGATTTCTGTCATTGCGTCGTACTGCTCTCGGTCCAGAATGATCTGTTCCCCTCCGATTGTGATCGACTTTTTCAGATCCCGACGGGCGTACGATTCCACTGTTTTGCAGTTCATTATATCTATTTCTAAAAGGAAATAGGGTTATTCTTTGCAAGTTTCGGACTTTTCTCGACGTACTGCACTTTCTCAACGCCTTCTCGATCTGATCCGTCTCGGGAAGCGCCTCCGATGGCTCCGTGAACTCGTCTTCCTCCACTTCCTTCTTCGTCTTCTTCGTCACGTATCCGGACGTCTTCAGGATGCGCTGCTCCGTGTCCTGCGTGTATTTGTGACTGCGATCCAGCGGACGGGCTTCCATTACCAACGAGAATCTGCAATGCAAGAGTCTTGGAAGGTACTCGCCCTGTTTTCATATATTTTCACACTTTCTCTTCCAAATTCAAGCACATCTCTTGTGCTTGAACAGTCGACGCCTTTTGCTGTGAGCCCTGTTCAAACTCTTACACAGAAACGTCGAAGGTGACGCCGGGACCGAGCTGAACAGTCAGGTTCGCATGCGATCTTTGTGCGGTGATCTTCTGACGGATCCGGGCGGCCGCGTCGCATTCCGTCGTGAACACTTCCGGATCCAGGTGGAACTGCAATCGGAAATGGACGAAAAATGAGTGAAATTACTCATTTCTCAACAGAAAACTACACCCTTTCAGAGCAGATATTGTAGTTTTCTATGAAAAAGTGAACGTACCCATGGCTCTGTGTTGCGGTCCTCTTTGCTCGCGGGTTTGTAGCCGTCCTCCGGCAGCATGATCACCGAGAACTCTCCCAATGTTTTGCGATGCCCGAGTCCGATGATTTTGGTCACGGCGGTTTTGGTTCGTTTCTAGAAGACTACAATATTGGTCCGACTGGAGCGGTTTCACCCCACAAAATAGGAGGAGTCCCAGAAGTCGTCCCTTCCGAACGGATTGCGATTGTTCGTCAGGTAGATGACCGACTGGTGGCGGGTGTTCGGACAGCTCGAGAAGACGCGTTTGCAGTAGTTGAGCACGTTCGAGATGTCCGATTGGTGGTGACCGCCCGTCAGGGAAAACACGGAGGAGAGCAGGACGTCTGAACGGACAATTGCTCGTGAGCGGGCGGATTTTCAAAGTTTTGAACGGATATTCTAGGTCCACGAGATGTCAAACCACTCTAATACTGTTCTAAGCAGAAACTTCACGCCCTGTACTTCACTTTTTTCACGCACAAGGGTACTGTAGTCGTTGCAAGTGCCGTAACTTCCAAGAGCTACAGTACTCTTGTGCCTGGACGTAGAAACAAGTGGTCAACTGGAAAAATGTAGTGCTATCAATGACGATTGCACTCAAATCAATCTCAGACAGTATCCGAACCTTCCTCGCAGATGTCCTTGATCGTGTTCACCTCGTCCTGTCCCAAAATGCCCATCGGCACCAGAACAGTGCTGTTTTCGAGGCCTTCCGTCTCCGAGTTCTTCTGAACATTCGCTTGTCATTGGAGCGCACTTCCCACTCTCACCGTTCCCGCAATTATCACTCCAATGTGATTGTTGAGGCTCCGCGAGCAGCACACTCGCACCATTTCGTTCAGAATCAACTGAAAGCCACATTTTCCGGAATTTTCGTTGAAAAGTCTCAAAACACGTCTAAAAAACTGGAATTTTTGCTTCAAATTGCAATTTTCTGCTGAGAATTGTCAAATTTCGCCAAAATGTTTACTGCAATCAAATTTCAATCGTTCTGTGTCGTTTTTGAATGATAAACGCCGAGGTTAACCGAATATGTTCTACTTTCCTATATTTTTTGAAAATATCCGAAAAAGGGACCTTGAGAGCGAGTTTGAACTCGGGAACCTCGCCGGCCTTCGAAGTCTCAAACATGGCTTCGCCGCCGTCGATCACAAAAAACGTGTACTTTTTGTTGGCGGCCGCATCAAGCCCGTCGTCCTCCAGATTGTAGTTGGTCTCGTCCATTCTGTAACCGACTACAGTACCCCCAAGCTACCGTACTCCTCCTCCTCAAAGGTAGTAGAGTTGGACAAAACTCCAGAACAGAAACAAAAGACCGAATGCAAAAACAACCTTTTTCAATGTGTGACAAGTGTTTCAATTGATTTGAAAGTGTTCATAAATGGTACAATATGAGTTGGCTAGTGTTTTAGTGACTGTCTCTTCAGATCTTCATCATCGGCGCGAAGATGTAGGCGAGGTCGACGCGATTGTAGGCGTTCCGTTCCAGGTACTTCCGGTTCAGTCGCTCCACCAGCTCCATCGAATCTATCCGACACGCCTGGAATTGCTGGCGGTCGGCCATCTCCGCGGATTCTGGAATTAAAGGAAATTAGTATTTCTATAGGAAAAAGAGGCGGACAGAAGCTTGGAGGCAACTATTTTGTAGGCACACTGTAAAGTAGAGCGTTTCGTGTATTCAAGAGGTAGGAAAACGGGTTTTCTGGGATTTTAAACGTATTGGTGCTCAAAGACTGAAGATTTTGGTCTTTGAAGATTCTTTTCTCTGAAACTTTTGCGCGCTACTTCCCCACTCACTTCTCTGCGCGTCGCTCAACTTGCGCACGGCACTGTCGACGTCGAAAATGGTGCGGAAGAACATTTGCTGATCGAAGAGCTGTTTGGCGGTGTACTCCCTGCGCAGTACGCCCGTTGTGCATTTTATGCACTCGAGGCCCTCGCGGCACCATTTCATCGTCTGCACTCGCGTCCGGAACTCGCACGTCGGCTCGTCGCATCTGAAGAATGCTCTAAAGTTACAATTGGACAAGCTGGAGACATACTTGAATCCGGCGACATGGTGTCGGGCCACAAATTCGGCCATCTGACGGTCGATTTGGTTGGCGATGAACGCGCGGTGCTCCGTGGATTCCCACGAATTTTTGCAGTTGCCACACGCGGCCAGGAACAGTCGCGGACACGTGGCATCCGTCTGAAAATGCAAAAAAAAAAATGGAAATTTTCATGCAAAGTTGCGAAATCGGCGCTTTTCGGCTGTGTTCGTCGTCTGCGTCTCGCAACTTACCACACAATCAAAAGTGTCTCGAATGATGTTGGTGTGGCCGCAGTGGGGACAAACAATATTCACTCCCTCGCACAGGTCGTAGTTCTGAAACAGTGATAAGAAAGTGGAGGGGACACCAATTTTCATTTGAATCGGTCCAGAAAAAACAAATTCTAAAGGCGTCGGGTCTGAAAAACACTTTCAAGAAGTACGGAGGGGCGAAAGTGCTCAAGGTGTAATTTGACTTGAAATTTTAGAGCAGATGGATGAATCTAACTAAATGCGCTTCAGAAATCGTTTTTGCGCCAATTTTCGCACACAAAATGGGAAACTTGACAGAAAACGGTTCCCGGCACCCAGATGCTCACCTCCTGAACCCACGCGCAGTCCTCTTCGGCGGCTCTCTGTGAAGCCTGCGCGGCGGCAGCTCTGCGATAATTCGTCGAGTCGAGACCCAAATCCTCGGCGATTCTGACCGCGTCGGTCTCTTCGATCGGCGCGCACAATCGGGAGACGACCGGGTGAATCTGCTGAGCCAGATAGTACTGGAGATCTGCAAAAAAGGCAAGAGTTCAGTGAAGTTCCGGCTGAGAATGGAGGAGTCTTACCAATCTTGAGTGCCTTGTTATCTGTCATTTCGGTGCGATGATAGGCCCTCTGCGTGGCCGGATTGTCGGTGCCGTCCTCGCAAATCACGTACTCGACAATGTCGTTGTGCCGCAAATGGAACTTTCCGCTCGCGTTGAGTCTCTGCGCGACGGCCGCGTGCGATTGCGCCTTGACGTCGGCGTACTGTTCCGGGTTGCGGGTGAGTTGCTTCGAGATTTGGAACATTTCCAGAGGGACCGCACCCGCATCGAGTTTCTGGCGAATCTCTTTGAGGAGGTCGTCGATCGAGGAGACCATTTCGTCGCGGGTCAGCGACGCGTCCAGGATCTTGTCGACGACGGCTCTGAAATCGAAAATCGTAAATTCACATTATAAGAGATGCATTTTTGGATTAATTTTCGCTTTTTTGCACTAAATCTGATAAAAAAGGTACTCCTATATTTTGAGCGCTCTAACAGCACATCTTGGGTAATTTCAGTTTAAACTCACGTTCCGGCCTGTTTGGCCAACTGGGACCAGTCTCTGCGCACAATGTCGAGTCCCTTCAGCTCCTTCGCCTCCGCTTTCGTGTCCGGATTCACCGTCAACGCCGCGTACTTCTTCTTCTTCAACAGTAGCATCCGCTTGAAGACGCCGTCGAGATCGAGCTCCAGGAGCCGATGGCACTTGTTCACCGCCTTCTTGATCTCGGCGCCCAGCTTCTTGGCGGCCTCCAAATCGAGCGAGTTCGTGTTGATCATGATCGAGTCGGTGTCTCCGTAGATCACCGAATATCCCATCTTCTCGACGAGATCCTTCGAGTGCATCAGAATCTCGCGCCCTTTCGCCGTCACCAGAGCAGCCAGGGGCTTCGCGTAGAACCGCGAGTACTGGAATCCGAGGCATCCGTACATCGAGTTGGCGGTGAGCTTCAGGGCCATCTGCCGAATGTCCAGCTGCTTCCGCTTCGCCTCGTTCCGCTCCCTCTTCATCACCGATTTGACGTTGCGCCGGCACTCGACGAGCTTGCGGATTTCGCGCGGAAGCACGCCCTCGCCGTCCGTGCTCTGCGGCGTCGACAGCTGCTCGTCGCCGTCTTTCGCGTATTCAAGAGTCGTGTAGCAAATGTTGTATTCTTGGATGATACTCGGATAGAGGGAATTGAAGTCGAGCAAGAGGATAAGGGTCTCGTAGAGTCCTTTTTTGGGCTCTAGCACCAGACCGCCCAAGTACTGCGCCTTCTTCTTCTCCTCCGCTTCCTCTGTGTGCTCCGCCTGCTTCTTCTTTTTGTTCTCAAACGCGTTGTACTTGTCGGGCGCGATCAAATCGGCCTTCTCGAACGCGTGCAGCAAAAGATACTCGTTCCGTTCGGCCCTTCCGCCCATCATTGTCCGCGAGGCGATTCCGCCGACGATCTGCGAGATCTGCACGTAGAGGGGAAGTGCGTTGAGCCGGACCACAATCCGAACCGAGAGCAGAAGATCGTTCCACGACCAGTTGATCATGCTGACCACGTCCTTCGAGTCCCGGTACAGCTGCGAGATCTCGTTGACGTAGATCTCTCGGCGCTGTGCTCCGAGGATCTGTTGAGAGAGTTCGGTGAGGTCGAAACTTCTCGATTTGACCAATTCCATGGCGGCAAGCTTCGAGTCCAACATCAATCTCCCGGCCGTCAATTCCCATTGGCCCGATTTGGAGTGTCCGATCTTTCCAATGCTGATCGCCCGTTTGAGTCGAGAGATGCGGGACCAGTTGGCCACTTTCAGCTTCTCCAATCGATTGGCCAGGAGGGAAACCGAGGCGGCGAGATCGTGTCCCACGTACATATCCGGTTCCTCCTCCTGAATCCACGCGAGGAACAGCGTGAGCAGCGCCTTCTCGTTGGGCACCGTCTTCACAAACTTGGCCAGTTTGTCCGTTTCGAGCCGTTTTTGGATGTCGAACGGGAGCGAGCCGCCGAACGGGCGAGTAATGAGGCACTTGGGCTTGAAGTGCTTCGAATCGCCGCTCGGATGCGTCAGGTCGCAGCGCGGATTCGCGAGCATCGAAATCATGCAGATCTCGTGCTCCTTCTTCTCGTTCAAGGTCGTCACAACGTTGAGGGCGAGCAAGCGGATCGTCGGATTCACCGATTTGTCGTCGATGTCGGCGTCCTCCAGGTAGGCGATGTTCTTCATTCTCTCCATGTCCACCTCGAACTCGTACTTGCAATTCGTCGTCTTCGCTTTCGGATCCGAGTAGTTGAAAAGGTCGATCCATCCGGGACCCATAAACTTCTTTTCGATCAGAAGACGTTCCAGTGGGGTCACAGACGTGTTGAAGACATGGGAAAACGTGTTGCCGTTCATGTCCGCTGGCAGTTTTCCTTTTTCGGCCTGGAAAAAGAGGGGGTTAATGTACTTTCACTGGGATTTTTAATGAAAACTTCAGAAATTCTATACAGTAACCCCAAACTCACCGGATACAACACCTCCATCATTTGCACTTTCTGACCGCCCATGCTGCCGAACGCCTCGTCGCGAATCAGCTCCTTCTCGCTCATTTTGCACCGAAACTCGTTCGTTCCGAACTTGCTCTTCATAATTTGTCCGATCTCCTTGTGCAGGTCGACGGCGTTGACGTCGGCGCCGGACATGAGATGCGTGTGACGTGGCATGAAATACACTCTTCGGCAGATGTTCCGCGCGATCACCGCACAACTTTCCCACGTGTTCGACGAGGTTTTCACTTTTCCGAACAGGTAGACTGTGCCTGAAAAGTAAAATTTTGTAGTAAGAGTTTCTAAAAGAAAAGCGAATAATTTCTACTCCTCACCGTTAGCCTTGTGCACATCCTCGTAGGCGTCGATCCAGTACATTCTAACAGCTTTTTCTCCGTTCGAAGCGGTCACATAGAACGGTTCGGTGCCCGTTTTGACCTCCACCTTCACCTCCTCCTCGGCAGTTTCCTGGCTTTCCCATCCTTCGATCACTCGGAACTTCTCCAGTCCCTCCTCGACCACCTTCATTCTTTCCTGACTTCCCGTCAGTTTCTCCACTTCTTCTTGGTCGTCTATTTCTATTTTTTCAGGTTGCGATTGAGCTGGAGGCGGGGAAAGTGGCTCCGATTTGATTGGTTCTGCTGCTGGAATGTCATCGAAAACCGGAATTCCGTAATCCTCATCGTCGTCCTCTTCCATTTCCACCTTCTGCATGATCTTTACCGGCTCCTTCTTTTTCAGATGTGCTCCCAAAGTTTTTGCTTTCTTTACAATTGGCCGTGGTGCGAGCGTGCTCGTCGGCGACTCCTCGCTCCGCCCCCTTTTGAACGGATTGCGCGGCTCTTTCCGCTGAGGAGTCTCTTCCACGACCTCATCGTCGTCTGACTCCAACTGCCCCATGATGTCCTTTAGATCCTCGTCCTCTTCCAGCGCCTCTTTCACCTTTTTCTCGTCTACAACCGCCTTTTTGTGGCTGGCGGAGGAAAGGAACGCGTGCAAACCACCCTTCTTCTCTTTTTTCTCCTTTTTCGCCTTTTTGTCCTTTTTCCGGCCGTCTTCCACGTATTCTCCCTCGTATTCGTCCTCAAAGTCCTCGCCGTGATCCACGTAGCCGCCGCCGTCGTCATCGACAACGAAATCGTCCTGCTGACGTTTCGCCACGATTTTCTCGTATTCTGCGTCGTCGACAGTGTCGTACACGTCGTCGACTTCCAGCTGAAAGTGAGGAAAACTTAATTTTGAGGCAAAATTCTGGAAAAAAAGACAAACCTCTGGTCGGTACGCCTTTCCGGTCGCTCTCGCCTCCTTCAGACGTTCCAACGCCGACATTGTCTTTGTGGTCTGCAAAAATGACAGTTTTTAACGATAACTTTATTTTAAAAGTACCTTTTTACTCTCGACGACTCTCCGGCCTGAGCGTCGGGTCTCTTGTATAGATTCTTCATGATTTTCAGAGTCCGACATCTGAAAAGAAGTGGATTCATAACCGGAACACCCAATTAACTCTAAAAATGCGGTAAAATTGGGCGGAATGCGGCGGTAAACTTCAAAAATCCGTTTTCGCGCTCACTTTCGCAACGAGTGCGGTGGAGCGCACTTGCATATTTATCCGTGAACTTCTTCAATCTCTTTCGATTGCTGTCATTTTTGCAGATTTTTTTATTTTAAAATTGGTTTTTTGCAGATGGTGACCAAGAAGAAGGCACGAAAAAATGAAGATTTTAAAAAGGTGAAGCTAAAGATCGGAAAAAAGCTCAAAAAGACGACCACCACTGACACAACTATCAAAGGTAAGAATTTCGTAATTTTAGCTAAAACCCAGACGTTTTTTTCAGCGAAAAGAGTGGTTTTGGCTGCACAACTTGAGGAAAAAGTGGAAACCGACGATAATCCGTTGAGTTTTCGCGGTCTGACATTGGAGGAGCTGTGCAAGCAAATGGGACATTTTAATGCGGTTAGAATTCTTAAAAATGACTGAAATCCTTCAAAATTTAAAGAAAAACCTATGAAAACTCAAAAATCTGAACATTTTTTGCAGAAAGTGAAAATGAACGCGATCCAGGGCCTGAAACAGATCCTGACGTCGCGCCCGGACCTCGTCAACCTCCACCTGCGTCTTCTGATTCCGTGCGTCGCCGTGCACGTCTCCGATGCTTCCCTCGAGAAGCCGTCCCGCCAGAATCTGCTCAATTTGTATCGTATTCTGTGCACCGCCTCCGTTCCGGCCATGTCCGCCCACATTACCCTCTTTCTGGCTCACGTACTCCGAGCACTCACTCATATTGTCGTTGAGTAGGTTATTTTTGATTTGGAACTTTAAAAGTGTTGTAAGAAGATGTTCTCTCTGCAGAGTGCGTTCGCTGGCGCTTCAAACGCTGTCGATTCTTCTGGAAAGGTACCCGTCCCTGTGCCGAAACCACGCGGATCTCTTTCCCTGTTTCATCAATTATCTGGCGAGTTCGAAGCGGTTGGCGTGGAACAGACCGGGTCTCATCGACACGATTATCTATTTTATTAATGTTAATTTGACCAAAATTTCCCACAAAAATCCTGATCATTTCCAGGTTTACGACAGGAATCGAGAGCGAAAAGTGGACGTTTCGGAGGTCAAAATCGATTTTGAGCACGCCAAAATCGACGGAAATCCGAACTTGAAAACTGTTTTTCGACAGGTTTGTCTCTCAAATTCCAGACTTTTCCGAAAGTTTATACTTTTTTGCAGAATCCAGAAGCGTCTCCGTTCGATTTTCCGGTCGTCATTTCTTCGAAGTCGCAGGCCGTTTCTCCGTTCGAACTTCCCGCCGCTCTCCTCAATTTGGCCGGCGTTTTGGCTCCGATTATTTGTGAGTTTCCGAAAAAATCTGGAATTTGTTCACCTTATTTTGCAGCCAACATCGTCTTGGAAGACGTGAGCGGTCAATTCATGGCACAGGGAGTCAAACTGATCGAATTGATTGTGAAAGGCGCCGAAAATCAGCCGAACGACTTTCTGCTCAAGGATTTTAGGGTAGGTTTCTAAAAATTTCGTAAAAATCGTGAAAAACGTCGCCGATTTACGATTTACCACAAAAAGAGCGGAAAAGTGCTGAAATCGGCAAGTCTCAGCAAACTTGCACTTCCCCTGGAAAATTTCGAAAATTTTTGAAAATAGTTGTGAAATAGTTCGTGTTCATTAAAAAATGTTTGAAATGTTCAGAAGCAAGTGTTCGATTCGATGGCCTCGGTGCGAATTGCGATTTCGAAGCGTCAGGGAAAGAGCGAGAAGTTCAGGAGTGCGGCCGCGTGGCTCGTTTCGACGCAACAATGAGATCAGTGTCATTTCGAACGTCTTTTCGGCAAATAATACGCCTTTTCCCCCCGTTTTCCCTCTTTTTCTCTGCTCCCTCCGCCGTTTTTCCCTACGATAGACGGTGATATAAAGGCGGAAAAGAGGTTGAAATTGACAGCATTTCGCACTTTTTCGCAATTTCTTGTATACTCTTGTTTTGGCCTTTTTGTTGTTGAGTTTTTGTTGTTTCTCTCTGTTTTATAGTAAATTTGCTCTGTTTGTCTACTATTTTACATTTTTTGGTTCTTCCGCCACTATTCACTTCTTTTTCTATCTTTTTGTCCTTTTTTTTTGAGAAACAATTTGATTTCAGATGGGTTTTTCACCGTTCATCGACGAATGTCGAGCAGAAGGATTTTGGCCGATCGGGCCCAGTTGTAATAAGGTAAAACATTGCCGACGAAAAGTGAATTTGTTCAAAAGGAAATCGTTTTTTGCAGATCCTCTCATTCGGTGTCTATTCGTTTTTTATCGTCGTCAATCTGATTGTTTTATGCCTCCCGAACACTGCCAATAATTATCAGCAAATGATTGGTAAGCGAATGGCAAAAATATGAAATAGCCAAGTTTCGCTCACTTTTTGCAGACGACGAAGGGCGTACAGTGTCGAAATTGACAATCTCGAAGGTTCTCTCAATCTGCACCCTTTTCGCAATCATTTGCCAATCGATTTTCTATTTTGCGTTCGCCTTCTACTTCCACCCCTACAGTCACCTTCTCCTCGCTTTTTGCGTCTCCAAATTGGTCAGTTTTAGCCGAAAATGGCGATAAGAGCGATTTGTTCGGAAAGTTTTTGGAATGCTATTTCAGGTCTGGTCTTTTGGCCCACTTGCAATTATCCGATTGGACCCAAACTTTTCAAGCTTTTTATACTTGGATTGAGGTATATTGGGTCCAAGTTTCAGAGCGATTGGATCATTCACTCTGGAGATATACTGATTTGTAGAAAAAACCACAATCTGAGGGGTATCTTCAGAGTAAATGATCCGATCGGTCTGCAACTTGAACCCAATATACTTCAATCCAAGTCCAAAAAGCCTGCAAAGTTTGGTTCCGATCGGATAATTGCAAGTGGGTCAAAAGTCAAAAACCTCTCGTCGTTTCAGTTCTTCTGGATCGTCTCCCTGTCCTCGTACTCGAAATGGCGTTCCCAGCGGTTCACGCCGGTCTCCCTGGGGCTCGCCTTCTCGGCGGCCCTTCTCATCGACGCAATTCCGTTGACGGCGTGGAAGACGTACTTCAATCCGGCCACTCGCAGTCACGGAGACCTCACCTTTTATATAATCGAACTCGCCCTCGTCTCCGCCGTTTTCTTCTTCACGCTCATCGCCGGATTCTGCAGCACTTCCGGCTATTCCCGCCAGGATTCGGTAGGAAAAGATTCAGAAGAGAAAGTATTGAAAAACAACTGTAGGCGTGGAATAACCTGTCGAAGAAAGTGGTGATGGTGGCTCCGTACATCTGGCCGACCAAGTCTCTCGCTCTCCAAATGCGCGTCGTTTTCTGTCTGTTCCTGCTGATTATCGGACGATTGATCAACGTTTCGCTGCCGATTCTCAGCAAATGGATTGGTGAGTTTCTCAGGAAAAGAAGCGGGAAAAATTCGGGTTTTTGTTGAAACTTTTGAAAACGATTGCAGTGGACGAGCTGTCGACGCCGGAAAACTTTCATTATTCGCTGATTTTCATCGCGACGCTCCTGAAGTTTTTGCAAGGAAACGGAGCGATGGGCGGTTTCCTGAACACGGTGCGCACGTACCTGTGGATCCCCATTCAGCAGTACACGACGAGAGAATTGGAGGTGGAACTGTTCAAGCACCTCCACTCGCTCTCCCTTCGCTGGCATCTTTCCAGAAAAACCGGACAGGTTCTGAGGGTGATGGACCGCGGAACGAGCAGTGTGAACAACATTTTGAAGTGAGAGAAGAGGAGAGAAAAAAGATCCGTAATCTGTGTTCTTTGCAGTTATATCCTGTTCAACGTGGTGCCCACCATCGCAGACATCGTCATCGCCGTCATTTTCTTCTTCTCCGCATTCAACGCCTACTTTGGCATCATCGTCTTCGCCACAATGGTCCTTTATTTAGGTATTCCTATAGTAACCACTCACCGCTAACTCATGAAACTACAGTAATCACAATCTCGATCACGGAATGGAGAACGCAATACATTCGGGAGGCGAACGAGAAGGATAATGCCACGTCGGCAATCGCCACGGACTCGCTCATCAACTATGAGACGGTCAAATACTACGGGAATGAGGATTTCGAAGTGAATCGATTCAAAAAGGCCATCGAGGGGTGAGTTCCCGGGCTTTTCGAGGACTCTTGAGCCACCTGCAATAAATCCAAACGGGCCTAGACTTGGATTGAAGTATTTCGGGTTCGAGTTTCAGATCAGCGTTATAGAACTCAATGTTCCTGGTTTTTCGCATCTAAAACCGTGTCGATAGAGTTATATTTCGTTACAAATCTATTTCGACCAGTTCTGTTGCGTAGAGTGTGATTACTCAGGTACCAAGAGGTGGAATGGAAGACTCAGGCCTCTCTGGCGCTGCTCAACTGCCTCCAGAATGCGATAATCGGAGTGGGAATGATCGCCGGATCGGTGTTCGTCGTCTACATGATTGTGCACGAGAAGACACTGACAGTCGGAGACTACGTCCTCTTCACCACTTACCTCCTCCAGTTGTACACTCCGCTCAACTTTTTCGGAACTATCTACAGGTACTCGGCATTTGAACGAATTGCGAGTGTTCGGGTGCTTTCAGAGTGATCCAGAAGGCGTTCGTCGACATGGAGAACATGTTCGATTTGCTGAACGACGAGGTCGAAGTCAAGGACGTGCCGCACGCGTTGCCCTATAAGGATCCACGTGGCACGATATCGGTCAGAAATCTGTCGTTCGAGTACAACACCGGCCTTCCCGTCATTCGCAATATCAGCTTTGAGATTGGAAACGGACAGACTGTCGCATTGGTGAGCTGGCAAAAAATGGGCGGCGCTTTGGTTTTTGGGATTTAGAGAAATGGATTATTTACAAGGAACTTCGAACAAGTTTTTTGTTTTTGTTGCAGGTCGGCTCGTCGGGTTCGGGTAAGAGTACGCTGGTCCGGCTGCTCTTCCGGCTGTTCGAATCGACGGAGGGCACGATCGAATTCGACGGAACCGACGTGCGCAACTACAAAATGCACTCTCTGCGGAAACAAATCGGCATAGTCCCCCAGGATACGGTGCTCTTCAACGACACGATCATGTACAACATTCGGTTCGGACGGCCCGACGCCACCGACGAAGAAGTGATTGAGGCGGCGAGGGCGGCGATGATCCACGAGAAGATCAGCTCGCTTCCGGAGGGCTACGCGACGATGGTCGGCGAGCGGGGACTCAAGCTGAGCGGCGGCGAGAAGCAGAGAGTCGCCATCGCACGTACCATCCTCAAGAAACCCCAGTTCATCTTCCTGGACGAAGCCACGTCGGCACTCGACACGCCCACCGAACGCGCCATCCAGAAGTGCCTCGAGAAACTGTGCAAGTCGCGGACGGGCGTCGTCGTCGCCCATCGGCTCAGCACCGTCGTCAACGCAGATCTCATTCTCGTCCTCGACAAGGGAATCATCTTGGAGAGGGGCAGGTACGGACGGAGGGGGAAGCCCCTGAAAATCCATTGATTTATGTCCGAATTTTTCAGTCACAAGCAACTGTTGGAGCAGAAAGGCGTCTACGCGAGTATGTGGGAGGCCCAAATCGCGGAGCAGCGGGCGAAATCGATTGAAGTCGAGGAGGTGGTCAGCGATTCCAGCAACTAACTTCTTTTTCTGATACTTTCTGATATTTTGTCCATCTCCGGTTCATTCTCTAGCTTTTCGCCAGTAATTGTCCATAGATCTCTTTCGTTGCAAAAAAAGCATTTATTTTTGATTTATCACAAATATACAGGTGAGCGGGGAAAAAGTGAAAAATTGTGTGCAAAAAAATGGCAAATTAGTGTTGTAGATAAAATATGGGGAGAAGAATGTGAGTACCCGAATGAACAGGTCAGAAAATGCGAATCGCACTTTGCAATTTTGTCAATAGAACGCACTAGAATATGAAATTTTCTGTGAATACAGTCGGTTCACGACTGCAAATCAATCTTCTCGATGGGCTCGGCGAGCAACTGTTCGACGGCGTCGTCGTGAACGTCTTCGCCGCAGAACTCGTCGATTTCGAGCAATTGGACACTGTGGCACACGGGATTCGGGCACTCGCGCAGGTCATTGAGCGCCAGAATGTACGGATGTTGGCCGCAAGTGATCTGGACTCGGCCCACGCATTCGTAGCCGCATCTGGAACGGATTTAAGTAGAGGTTGCGAAATGAGATCAGGGCTTCGAGGGCCTAGACTTTTCGGACTTATCTGGACCGAAAAGGTTCATACAATTTGTTGGAAGAAGTCTCGGTTGCCAAGTGGCACGGTTGCAAAACGAACTGACCTTTTGCAGACGACGTGCGTCTTCTTGCGATCGCAAATGCACTCCTTCTCGTCGGATTGGGCGATCATCGGAGCGAAAGCGTTCGGCCGCGGCATCGAGTACTTTTGCGGACCGCCCTTCACTTGCAGCACACGTGGCGAGGATACGGTGAGCGTGGGCGAGACGAGGGCGCCGGTCGACGAGGACATTGAGGAGGAGGAACGGGACGACGGAGTCGACGATACGAGATGAAGGTCTCGCGGCGAACTGGAGGACGAGTACGGTCCTTTTACTTTTTGAACGGTCGAAGACGGAGGCGCTGGCGACGACTTCTTCTTCGGAGCGGCGTTTGATTTTTGCGTATTCTGACGGCACGACTTCTCCTGGAACGAACGGATTGCGAAGGGACTGGACGGATGAGGAACAAGCGTACCCTGAGAGAAGAAGTGTTCGTGGACGGAGGAGGCGAAATGACGTGCTCCATGAGTGGGCGGGGCTTCGGCTTCTGCTGTTGGCCAGAAGTTTGTGTCGGCTGAAAACTTTTAAAGTCACTTATTTTGAGCGTCAACTTGACGGGGTCTACAACAGAAAAGTACAGTTGCGAAACGGTTGCGAGACAGAATTCACATAGTTCTGTCAGGCATGTTGCTGAGCATGTGTCACGCACGGATCCGGCATGACATCAGCATGGATAGGGCGTGCAACAGGAAAACGTCGGATGGGCGGGAAGCAAGGTTTTTGAGCGGCAACGGTAGCAAGGGTTCAGCGCGTAGCAAGCACGCAATCGGCACCCTTACAGCAAGTTGCCGCAGAAAACGGCACGGATGCCGATTCTTGCGGCAACTTGCCGAAAATTACCCGAGTTCGTATTTTTGCTGAAAGTTCACCGTCCGATAACACTCCCGCCTCACTTACCTTGTCATTCTTTTCGGTGCAATTTGCTTTAGACTGCGGGCCGCGACCACACTCGAGCAGCTTGCGTGGCACGTAATAGGCCTGCGTCGGGCGCTGAGTGCTGCAAATTGAATTCAAATACTTTTCGCGTACTCTCCGGACGATTTCGGTCCTGTTAGGCCGAACAAAAAATGGGGGGAAAAAAACAAACGTTGAGTGTGGTCGCGGTGCAGCTGGGACGTCCATTACCTGCAAAAAAGTGATGATACGGCAGTATTCGGGACATTACGCCAAAAAAAAAACGCGTGGGCGGACACAATAGAAAGAAGAAGAAGAGGAATGTGAAAAGAAAAGCCTGTCAGTTTCATGGATGAAATGGTCGGTTTTTGGTTGGCCATGATGATCGTTGCGAAAGATAAGAAAGAGAGAGAGAAAGAGAGAGAGAGAGAGAGGGAGTGGAACACATGATGACGTGGCACGAGATAAGAAAGTGTGACGGAAGAGGCTTTGCCGCAGAAATGCTTTTTTTGCTGTTGTTATTGTCATTTTGCGCCTCATTTTTTGCGCTACGTCCTACGGTTTTGATGCGTTCTAGTAAACTGACGATATCGTGGCATACAGGCAAAATAAAACAAATCTTTGTACTAGGAAGTTGTAGACCATAAAATTATCCTTAAAACTGTTTTTTGAATGTGTAAAAAGCTCAAAAATTGACCAAAATACACAGAGTCAAAGTTGAACGACTTTGACCCTGGCACATTTTTCCAGGCCAACTTTGCCGCCTCATATCTCGGTGAATTCTGCGTATTTTCAGACGATTAAAAAACGAATCAAAAGACAATTTTATGCTCTACAATTTACTAGTTTACTGTTTTTTGAAATTCCGTCTACGCGTTCCAATATTTCCGTTCAAAGAGAAATGAGCGAAAAAAGTACAATTACGGGGTCATAAATCAACTTGAAAAGGGGATGGGTATTGAAAACGGAAATGCCGTTCTTTATGGGTCTCAACACGAAAAAATGAACAATAGGCCCAAAAAACCCGTCAATTTCGCTTATTGGAGTGAGTCATAGACTCCGTTTTCGAAAGTACAGTAGCCCTTTGGGTCTCGACACGAAAACTGTACTGATAATATAGAATCTGTCTCGTGTCAATCCACTAATAGCAATAAAAAGTCGAGTATTTGGTCGAGAGAGAAGAAGAAGAGAGAATTACGGCGACGAAAGATTCGGCGGGGAACGATAAGAGATTAATATCTGGTGGCCTAGAAAATATGAAAATATTTCTAGGCCACCGGCCGAACTGAAACGGGTTCGATGGGAAATGACGATGATAAGGGTGGAATTGATTGATGATTAGTTATTACACACTTTCCACTTGAATGGACGACACTTTTCTTGATATTATATGATTGGAAATGAGAAGAAGACAGGTGATATTCATGAGAATACTGGACGACTTTTTGAGCTTTGGGGGTCTGCAAAAGTGTCAAACTTTGAACTATTGTAAATCGGCCAATTTTGAAGATTTTTGCAAAGTTAAAAAACGATTAGAAAGGTTATTTCATGCTCTGTAACTTTGCAATTGATCACTTCCTACGAAATGAGCCAGAAACCGTGATATGATCACTTTACTTGGACTTGGCCAAAGCGTGCCCGAAAAAGCAGAAAATCTTGCCGTACGCAAAGCATAGAAAAAAATGATCAAGTGCAAAGTTATAAAGCTTGATTTTCTCTTTCGATTAATTTTTTAACCGTCCCAAAATCTTGAAAACTAACCGAGATACGATGGAGCAAAATCACCGAAAAATAGCAAAAAAATGTGACTTTTCCAATTGACTTTTCAACTGAAAATCCAGTAAAAAACCGCAAGAAAACGTTCAAATTTGTCGGAAGACCGATAATAAGATGAGTGATCAGAACGTCTCCGCCTCGAAAACGATCAAAAACCGTCTCCGATCGGAGGGCAATCCCTCTGTGTCCAAAAAGAGAGAAATAATGACGGAGACAGTCTGTACTCTCTGTTAGTATACACTTGTTCAACTTTTTTGGAGGGTTTGGTTCACTATTGTACGCCTACAAATACGGGTATGAGCGGTGAGAAGAAGAGAGAGAGAAAGAGAGAGAAAGAGAGAGAGAACAATGAGAAAAAGCGGGTGCCGGCACCATGTTTCATCAAATTCCTAAGCAAAAGTTTGGAGAAAACGTCAAGTTTTCTCACTGCAACTCGTTTTCCTGCTGATAAAATGACAATCGTGAAAAGTTTTGCAAGCAAGGGTCTCGCCACGATTGTTTTTCGAGATTTCATCGTTTCAAAACGAGATAAAAGGCGCTTGGGAGGCGGTTTTAAAGCAGAAAATGTTCGAGGCGAGAACTGACTGAGTCATGGTTTCGAAGCGCGTGTGGATTGTGAAATGTCTTTGCATTTTCAATCTTTTGTGTTTCATAATAGCTCGGCGTGAAAATAAACAAGGGAACGTTGCCAAAACTCTCAAAATTAGCGCTTTTTCGCATCTGGTTGCCCTTCGACTCGACCACAAAATGCTCACAAAGAACCAGATGGTGTCAGTGGTGTCAATCGGGAGAAGAAGAGAGAGAAGAAGTGAGAGGAGGACGATAATAAAGGTTGGAAAGAAAGAAGAAGAAGAAGAGAAAGTGATAGAGAGAGAGAGAGAGAGAGAGAGAGAGAGAGGGAGTGACTATCATTTGAAATGTGTCCATTGTTTCGACCGATAGTTACCTTCCTTTTGCGGCCGGTCAAAATGAGGTGAGAAAGTGAAAGATGATAGCAGGCGGCGGCACGAAACATTCGAAAAAAAGGCGCCAAAACTTAGAAAACTACAATATTTGAAACTGCAAGCAAAGTTTCTTGACTTACAATATCACAAAACTAGATGAGGGCAATGTGAAGGATTACTGTACATGGTACAATATCCCCAAATCTGGTCACTTTAGGTCACACATATCAATGGCGCGAAAGTTTGCTCTTTCTTTCTCTCTCTCTCTCTCTCTCGACAAGTAGTAAGAGCCGATAATACTCGACTTTACCCCCCTCCCAATACTTGAAAAGTCAAGTGTATATGGCCAGGAAATGGCTTAATACGGTACTAGAAAAGGATTACGGTAGTCTGTGGAGTATCTGAAGCCGGCAAACTTTGAACGGATATTGTAGCTTTCAAAGACTTTTCAGCGCTTCAGAACAACACAACATTTTTCCAGTGGACAACACGCACAAGAGTACTGTAGCTCTTGGAAGTTTGCACTGAAATGCATGGCTGCTTAGCCTTCGCTATCTTCCAAGAGCTACAGTAGCCCAGAGAGTGATAGTAGAAAACAATGACTACAGTAACCGTACACAGTCGTACCTTAGTACAAACTAAGTTCAAGTTCTCTCTCTCTCTCTCTCTCTCTCTCTCTTTTTTCTACGAATTGCTCTTTTCCAATAGAAGCCAACCAGACGGCTTGTTTGCCATAGAGCCGGAGGTGTGAGAAAACTGTACTGAGCCCCGCCACTACTCTTTCTTCTTCTATTTGACTCTCTCTCTCTCTCTCTCTCTCTCTCTCTCTCTCTTTCTCTTTTTCAATGAATAGGGGAGCGAACGAAGAATGCAACGAATCGAATACAATCGAAATTTGAGACAATTGCAATCGGGGCGCCGGTGCTCCAGTGGAAGAGAAAGAAAGAGAGAGAGAGAGAGAGAGAGTGGGAGCAGTTGTTGGAAGAAGAAGAAGAAGAAGAGAGAGAGAGAGAAAGAGCGCGTGGGTGGCAGAGACGCCGACCTGATCGGCGGACATTGGATCATGGAATTGGCTCGTAAAAAAGAAGAGATGGGTCGAGTGGAGGAGGTTGGAAACTTTCGGAAAAGTATTATAGAGCAGAACAAGTGATTACGATATTATCGGTTTATTTCAAATACCAAGTGCAACGGAAACCATCTGAGGAATACAGGGAAAACGAAGAAGTTGTCAAAAAGGTTCTTGACTTTTCCAGAAGGTTAACAACGTTGATTCGATTATTTCCTATCGGTTTTTTTGTAGTCGAGTGAAAATTTAAAGTAGTGAAGTACTTTACAAGCCGATGCCACGTCATTGTGGTGCCGTGGCAATGGAACTTTGGCCTCTTATGAAGTCCCAACTTCTGAGAAGTACAGTATTCTTAGGATTGGGCGTACCGAAAAGTGATCAACCACAAAAATATAGTACATGATGAGATGTTACCTTTTGTAGTTGACAACTTTTGTGTACAATGACTCCCTGGGTTACTGCAGTTCTTAGAAGTTGAGCGGCTATAACTTTTAGCGCAAACTTCCAAGAGGAGTAGCCCAGGGAGTTGTGGTGCAAAAAAGTTGTCAACTACAAAAATATAGTACAAAATCTTAACTTCACTTTTCTAGTTCACAACGTTTTTGTACGCCCACGCATAAGAGTACTGTAGTTCATAGAAGTTTAGGTAGGGGGTTTAGGCCCGAAATAACGGTAAATTCTGGCCGCCTTGAGGACACAAACACGGAAAAGAAACAGCTGAGAAGACGATAATATTACAAAGAACAAAGAGAGAAAGAGAAGGAGAGGAAGTCAAGTGTGTCACTTGTGAACCGTTCATAACTAGCCTCTCCCTCTCTCTTTCTCTCTCTCTCTCTTCTTGTAGGAAAAGGTGTTTAGTGGCGTGTTTACCCGAAGAAAGCGATCAGTGTAAAGCGAGAAGTTTCCTTTCTCTCTCTCTCTCTCTCTCTCTTTCTCTCTTTCTCTCTCTCTCTTTCTCTCTCTCTTTCTCTCGCTGGTCGTCAGTTTTAACAGCCCATTAACGGGTAGGATTGCAACTTGAAATGGGATGGAAAACGAGCGATCCGAAACGAGAATATGCAAATTGGAACGGAAGGAAATCGGTCGAATCTCGGACAGAAAGTGATGGATTGAGGGGTACGGTAGCTTTCTTATTTGTTTGGAATGTAATAGGGACACTTTACAGGTGAAGAAATACCTGAAATTGAGGGGAAAAAGAACTTGGCAGAGCGCTTTCGCAATGAAACGGCAGGACACACTTTGACTGGATATTGTAGAGTTATAGGGCGTCATTTTGTTCTCAAATCGCTTTGTTTTGTATCTTTACATTTAGTAGAGCTTTTTTGTAGTTTATGACTTTTTTGTACGCCCACGCGCAAGACTACTGTAGCCCTTGAAAGTTTGCATAGGAATGCATATGCTCTCAGGCAGTACCAACTTTCACGAGCTACAGTATCCCGGGGAGTGGTTCTAGAAAAAAGTGGTAAACTACAAAAATATAGTCCAGCGTGTCAAGTTTAGTTTTGTAGTTGACAATATTTTTGTACAACCACTCCTCAGAGTACTGTAGCTCTTAGAAGTTAAAGATAGCTGGGCAACTACGTAATTCCATACAAACTTCCAAGCGCGACAGTACCCCTGTGTGTGGGCGTACAAAAAAGTCATCAACTGCAAGAATGCTCTACTAGATGTCAAGATTTCACTCAAAAATTTTCAGAACGCTATGATTTCTGGTAACTCTACAATATTCGTTCAAAGTTTCCCCAATTTCTTCAAAACGTGTCCCTCTCCTTTTCCCACTTTTCTAATTTTTATCATCGCCGTGCCAAACCTACAAAGTGTTTTACTTTATTTCACATTTGTATCAACAAAATATTCAATCAAAAACACAGCGTCTGTGGGAAAAAGGAAGAATGGAGAAGACTCTCGATGTGGCCAACTTGCCAAACGGCACAAATGTACACGAGGACACTTTGCAACCGTCTCTCGCATACTTTCAGGTGTACAAATGGACGGTGGACCGTAAAATCGCGCAGGGCGACTTCAGTTTCATCTACGCGTGCACCGGCGGAGCCGTCAACTCGAAACAGTTCGCGATGAAGGTGGAAAGCGCGGCGAGCCCTCTTCAGATGCTCAAAGCGGAGGCGTACGTGCTCCAGAAGATCTCCGTTGCCAAGAAGAACTCGCGACACTTTTGCGACGTCGAGGACATTGGCAAGTTCCAGGGAATCCACTACATCGTCATGAATCTGGTCGGCCGTGCGCTCGTCGATTACATGAAGTCCTCGCTCTCCGGCATGCTCACAGTCAACTGCGCACTGAGCGTTGGCGTGCAGATTGTCGAGGCGTTGGAGGATTTGCACAATTGTGGATTCTTGCACCGCGATCTCAAACCCTCGAACATTTGTTTGGGCCGAAAGGATCGCAACGAGTCGGGCAAAGTGTTCTTGCTCAGTTTCGGCATCTCCAGAAAGTTTCTCGACTCCAAGGTGCGCGTTTTGACGCAAAATGCTGTCAAAAATCTGAAAATTTCGGTGTTTTATTGTGTGCCTTTTCCCGAACACTCGTTTTTCCAGAATCAAATGAGAAAGCCGCGCGAACGTGCCGACTTCCGCGGCACAGTCCGTTACGCGTCGCTCGTGTGCCACCGACTGCAGGAGCTGAGCCGGAAGGACGATTTGGAGTCGGCGCTGTACGTGATCACCGAGTGCATAACGGGCCAATTGCCGTGGAAGGGCCTTCCGGACGGGGCCGCCGTGCTCGGCGTGAAGCTTTCGAGCCGCCAGCCGCCCGCCATCTACCAGCTCTTTCGGGGCGCTGCTCCGATCGATGAGCTCCGCGAGCTCATGCTTCTCATCGACTCGTACGAATACAACTCGACGCCCGACTACAATGCCATTTATGCGATTCTCCGCCGCGCAATCCGTCGCAGCCCGCAACCGGAGCACCCGTACGACTGGGAACACGGCGGCACGAACTCTCTTTGCGACTTTTGAATGAATGACTTTATTAAACTTTTGGTTTGTGCACTGGTGGCTCGATGGCGCGGTAGAACTCGGCGATGGTCAGATCGGGTAGGTCCGACTTGGGCATCTCGTGATATCTCTTGATTCGATGATGATCTCCGTCCGGAGCGTGTCCTTCGTGTCCGTGCGGTCCTTTTCCTTCGTTTCCGGCGACGAGAGCGATCGAGAGGATGGCGAAGAGGAAGAGCGAGTAGAAGTTCATACTTGACGAGGAAGTTGGGGAAAATCGAGGACGGAGGGCTCTTTTATAGAAGCTAGAAGCCTTCCGAAACAATCGGAAGAGGTGTAAAAGTTATGGCTCCGCACCGCATAAGTACCGGCGGTAAAGGTAAAGTAGAAAATAGATTTACGGAATGATCGTGAACATTCGGAGAGTGTACGGTAACTCTTGCCGTCTTTAAAGGACCAGGGAACGCTCCGAGTTTATGTGTCTCACTGAATTGCTTCTTATTGCCACATTCTCAGTCCGAGCCCCCAAATTTCAGAAATACTTGTGAATGGAACAGCGCGTGTCAGTCAAAGTTGTGGCCGTGGCCCAGAAAAGTTCAAGGCCTTGTGATCGTTTTTTTTGGCGTTCGGCACAACCTTCATACGTTGCAAAACATTCACACAAATCAGCATTCATACAGAGTGCAAGAGCATGAAACTGCTCACAGGGACGAGTTTTCACACCGGAGTTTTCTAGGCCACGGCCACAACTTCAACTGCACGCCGTTTCGTTCATTGGCATTTCTGAGAGTCACCATTTCACCAGTGTATGAGTGGCAATAAGAGACAATTCAAATAGACACAACAAATTTCACAAAAAATCAATAAATTTGAGGGTTCCCTGGCCCTTTATGGGGTCATTCAGGCTGTGAAAAAAAAATGATTTTTTTCCGTTTTTTTCGTTTTTTTTTACGTCAAAAAACCCAATTCAGCGGTGTAAAAAAACGGAAAAAACGGAAAACAAACATACGCTGAATAGCCCCATTAAGAATTCTCCATTCGAGACGACTTACAGCGCTGCAGAGTGAGCATTTGTTGCGAAACGAGAGAGCCGAACAATCAATTTCTTTGAGAATTCAGTCGATATTCCAAGCATGCCCAAAGTTTCAGCATTTTCCCTGTTTGTGATTGAAACAGAATGTACGGCTTTTCGTGTAGAAAACAGTCTCAGGATGACTTTGCGGAAGAGAACTTTGAAAACGGACGGATTGTTTTTTGTAGAAATTGTATAGTACTTATTCATTAGTTTATTCACAAAGAATCACTCAACAAAGTCCACGCGGTTATTTCGTGAATCTATGGCCGCGAATGAGGAGGTGGCCGGCGGCGTCCTTTCCGATGACTTTTCCATCTCCGATAACAATTTCCTCGTTATTAACCGCTTGATCTCCATCCGGAGCGTGTCCATCGTGTCTGTCCACGTGGCCGGCCGGTCTCTTTACGTCGTTTCCGGCGACGAGAGCGATCGAGAGGATGGCGAAGAGGAAGAACGAGTAGAAGTTCATACTTGACGAGGAAGTTGGGGAAAATCGAGGACGGAGGGTTCTTTTATAGGGACTAGAAACGATCGGAAGAGGTGTAAAAGTTATGGCTCCGCACCGCATAAGTACCGGCGGTAAAGGTAAAGTAGAAAATAGGTTTACGGAATGATCTCGAACGTTCGGAGGGTGTACGGTAATCTTTAACCTAGCTGGAAACTAAAACTCATTTTTGAAGGTTGCAATATTGCGAAATTCGTCGATAATCTGATCAGACTAAAAAACAGGGAAAAGTTCTTGTGAAAATAGCCTGAAAAGGGTCAAAAACGTTGGTCAAGTGGATGCCGATGGGAGGGTTTGACAGATAACCCACCGACGCCGGACCAGGTCGGGAGAGCGAGAGAAGAGAGCGTTTATATAGGCGGTCGGGGGGAAGCAGCCGACGTTTCACGGGCAATGGCGAGGCGGACGACGAGGGCGTAAGGACACGCATTTCCAGAGGGTTTTCGGGTTTACCCTTGTCGGAAGCTTCATCTGAACTGCTATTGAACTCATTTTCCACTCACTATTAGAAAAGCACAAACAGCAAGCATTCGAACGAACTGAACAGGGAACAGTTGCCATAAATCAATCGATAATCTATGCAAAATCGAAAAAAACGCCTTGAAAGCCGAGAAATCTGTTCAAAAAACGTCTGAAATCAACATTCCTTACTGCAAAAATGGCAAAACCCCTAGTCGAGTGGATGCCGATGAGAGAGGGGAAATCTAGTAATACGCGCGCACAACGAAGCAGCCGACGTTTCACGGGGAATGGCGAGGCAAGCGAACGCGACGAATTTCGAAAAGTTTCGCCTTGAATATGCTCACAACTTTATTCAAACTGCCTAAATTCCGATAATGGCGGGTTCCTGTTCGCTGCTGTCCTCCACCGATTCGCCGACGACAATGCTGTCCTCCTCGATCGGTTTATGATCGTCACTGACCGGAATCAGTCCTTTTTGGAATGCGAATTCCTTCCTTTTCTTCTTCGGAACCGAATTGTCGTCTCCGGCGACGAGAGCGATGACAAGGATGAGGAAGAGGAAGAGAGAGTAGAAGTTCATAGTTGAAGTTGGAAAAAGAGGAGAGCGCGCTGCTTTTTATACGTTGAAAAGCGGCGAACGGGGGTCGAGCGAATTGCAAAAAGGTTGCAATGAAATGAGGGGTCAACGAACACAGTTCACTTCTGGTTTCATCGATCTCCGATGCTACGCGGAAATTCTGAAAGTTGCTCGCTCCCTCTAATCCTTCTCCAGTGACATTTGCCTAGGAAAACCGACCACTTGATATGCCGGAAGGCTCCTAGTTCTCGGAATCCACTGAAAATAAGGAATGTCAAGAGAGTCACAGAAGTATCCTATTCGATGTCAGGCTCGTGATGACCGTATTGCCGAAAGAAGTGAGCATTATTCTCAACAGAACTACAACAATCCACGCAACTGGACTCACTTTTGGAGAAAACAATCCGAGGATGTATGCACCTCCTTTTCTCTTTTTTCAGTAACTCAATTAAACGCAGAGAATGATGCTGGCATAACTTTATTCAGAACATTCAATGAACTCTCTTCTCCAGACGTTCTCTGTTGAATTTGGGGGGATTTCCTTGCTTTCTTCCCGGTAAGTCTCTTTTGATTCGATGATGATCTCCATCCGGAGCGTGTCCTCCGTGTCTGTCCACGTGGCCGGCCGGTCTCTTTTCGTCGTTTCCGGCGACGAGAGCGATCGAGAGGATGGCGAAGAGGAAGAGCGAGTAGAAGTTCATACTTGACGAGGAAGTTGGGGAAAATCGAGGACGGAGGGCTCTTTTATACCAAGAAACGGTACGGACCTGACCATGAGAGGTGTAAAAGTTATAGCCCCGAACCACATTAACGACAAAGAAGCTCGGAAGGTTGGCGCTGATCTGATCAGGTACAAAACAAATCATTTAGGTGCTGTTCCATCTTGAGAAAGTGTTCCGACAGCCAATTATCTCCCACGGAACATCGTCATACTCGACTGATCCATATTCTTGCAATTTCAGTGCACAATTGCACTTTTTGTCGAGCTCACCGTATTGGAAATCTGAAAGCGGATGTTGGAAGTAAATACAAAGGATCCGAGCCAATTCTTTCCGTTCGTCTGTCCATCTGCTCATTTTCAAGAACTTTACGTCTTCTCTTCTTTTCTGTACTTTTTCAGTTTCCATCTTTGTACCTGATCAGATAGATCAGCGCCAACCTTCCGAGCTTCTTCATCGTTAATGTGGTTCGGGGCTATAACTTTTACACCTCTCGTGATCAGGTTCGTACCGTTTCTTGGTATAAAAGAACCCTCTGCCCTCGGTTTTCCCCAACTTCCTCGTCAAGTATGAACTTCTACTCGTTCTTCCTCTTCGCCATCCTCTCGATCGCTCTCGTCGCCGGAAACGACGTAAAGAGACCGGCCGGCCACGTGGACAGACACGGAGGACACGCTCCGGACGGAGATCATCATCGAATCAAGAGAGACTTCCCGGGAAGAAAGCAAGGAAATCCCCCCAAATTCAACAGAGAACGTCTGGAGAAGAGAGTTCATTGAATGTTCTGAATAAAGTTATGCCAGCATCATTCTCTGTGTTTAATTGAGTTACTGAAAAAAGAGAAAAGGAGGTACACTCTATCCATACATCCTCGGATTGTCCTTTGCAAAAGTGAGCGCAGTTGCGTGGATTATCGTAGTTCTGTAGAGCATCATTCTCGTTTCTTCAGAACAAAACTTCTTGTCCATCTCGTTTTCATCATAGTTGATCTGAAATTGAAGACGCAACCCGAATTTCTATTCATAAAAACTGCTTATCATCAATTTGTCCGCTCTTATTTTCAGGTTTGAACGGGCTGCTTCTAGCAATCTCCAGCAAGCAATAGTTGTCTGATAGTCAAAAAAAAGCAGTGAACATGAAAATTTTAAATGATAAATCTTTATTCCACATTCTAATGTTGCCTCTTCTCTGGACCTGATTCAACAACAATTTAATCTCTTCCAGAGCAGTTTCTCTTGGCGCGATGGAAGTTTCCGACGAGGACTTCACCATTATCCGGTCTGTATCCACCATATCCGTAGATTCCGTTGGCTTCTCCGTTGCGTCCTCTTCCTCCGAACTTGTGACGTGGTCCATGAGTGGATCCGCCGGTTCCGGCGACGAGGATGGCGAAGAGGTAAACTTGACGAAGAAGTTGGGCGAAACCGAGGGCGTAGGGCTCTTTTCAACAAGGAAAAGTCACGGAGCGATAAAAGCTATGGCCCCGTAAAGTTATACCTGGAAGCTGGAAACGAAGACTATGCAAAACAGGCAAGTTATTGCTTCTTGAGATGTTCAAGAACAAATCCTCGTCACTCTTGATTGCGAAATTCATCGATAGGACTAAAACCAATTAAAATTCATATGATATGAAAACAGCTTGAAAAGTGTCAAAAACGTTGGTCAAGTGGATGCCGATGGGAGGGCTTGAAAGATAACCCACCGACGCCGGACCAGGTCGGGAGAGTGAGAGAAGAGAGTGTTTATATAGGCGGTCGGGGGGAAGCAGCCGACGTTTCACGGGCAATGGCGAGGCGAGCGAACGCGAAGGAAAACGAGGGAAGTTTCGAAAAACTCTCCTAAACGACAGAAACAAAGAAGAAACATTTGGAATGCTCATGATTTATTCAACATGTTGGATGCTGATCACTGGTCGCGGGAGGATCCGATGATGATTCCGCCTCCGTTTCCACCGCATCCTTTCGAGCCGCCCTTGACGTATCCGATGGCCGAGACCGAAGAGATGGCGAGAACGGCGAAGACGAAGACCGAGTAGACGTTCATAGTTGAGAATGGAAGAAGTTGAAGCTTCTTGTGACGATCTGATCGCCGAGAGGTTCTTTTATATTGAAACGCTCGAGCGGGGGCCGAGGCGTAAAAGTTTTATTGCAAAAAGATCGGAGAAGAAGAAGCGTTTTGCAGATGAAGAAGTGTGATGTTGGGCGCTTAAATGTTTTTAGACGTTCCATTAAAGAAGTGTCAACTTCTCCATTTTACTTCAATTTTACGCTTTAGCAATTGTGAAAGGCGAAACCTTTCGAAATCCTTCGCGTTTGCTCGCCTCGCCATTCCCCGTGAAACGTCGGCTGCTTCGATGTGCGCGTATATGGTCCGGCGTCCGTGGGCTGCCAGATTTCCCTCCTCCCATCGGCATCCACTCGACTAACTATTTTACTAAATTTCCAGCAGACCGGTACGAAAATTAAAACACGTTTTTTTGAGGCGAGGAAGATAAATTACTCTTGTCCGATGAGATCCGCACTGGTCGAATCTTCCTGGCCGCGAAAAAACTTCTTCCACTGCTCGATCGTCCTCATTCCGTTCCCACTTTCATCGGTCGGGGGCGGCTTGTTTCTCAACACGTGCTCGTACTTCCGACGCACCATTTCTCTTTTCTCCATCTTCATCCGTTCCCGGTTTTCTTCAATTCGTTTCTGCTCGGATTTCGAGATCGGAATATCTGAAGAAACTCAATTTTTAGAATTAAAAACGCATATATTTCTACCGTATCCTGTGACTCGGAACTCCGCGTCGAGTGGCAGTTCTCCGACAGCGATGAGCGCCAAATGTCGCGCTTTTTCGGCCATCTGAGGCCGACCGCATATCCTCAGAATCGCCGGATCGCCGTGATCTTTCGCACGCTCCAGCTGACATTTCGTTTCCGATTCCTTCTCAATATTCCGGATTGTCACTCCGTTCTTTCCGAGAAGCCGTCCGATCTTCTCGCTCGTCAGGTAAACCTCGACCGACACGTTTTCCGGGTCGTCCTTCCGGATCTTCTTGTCGGGAATCTTCCGCAGCTCGGCCATCGCCGCGTCGATCTGCTCATCGGTTCCCTCCAGTTGGACGGTCCTTTCGGCGTCGGCGCCGACTGCCTCTGCGACCGGGTACAAGTACAGTGCGATGCCCGTCTCCCGCTGGATCCGTTTCGCAATCTTCGAGCCGTTTCCCATCAGCGGGCCGACTAACGAGTTCCTGATGATCACTTGCACGCTCTTCTGGGTTCGGATCTTATCGATCAGCATCTTTTTGGCGGCGCGCACGGCGTCCGGCTCTCCGTGCAGAAGGTACGGCGGGACTTCTTCGCAGACGTTGCTCGTCGTTTCGATACCGCATTCGGCCTGAAATCGTATTTTTAATGTTACTTTTTCCATGTTTTCTGTCATAAAGCTGGAATCCTTAGCTGAGAACTAGCTTTTTTATTGGAAAGCGAGAAAAATTGCACACATTAAACGTTTTTGACTAAAGATTTGGATGAAAATGCTCATTTGCTATAGTTATTTTCGCTGTTTAGATCATCCTAAACCGGCGAGCGCTTCAAACGTTCCGTTGTTTTTACATTTCCAAAATATTCTACTTGATATCTAACATTTAACAAAAATCGGAGCCCGCGCCCACCTTGATCGATGGGATCAACTTCGCCACGGCCACTCTGGCCCTCGGCGGGATCGGCACGAGGATGCGGACGAAATTGAGATTGGAGAAGCTATGCTTCTTGTTGTCGTTCTCCTGCTTGCTGATCACGAACTCATCGATGCGATCCTGCACTTTCTCCCTTTCCGACCGATTTTCTCCGCTCACTCGGATCGATCGATATTTGGAGACTTCTCGGTCGAGCAGTTGCAGGCGGCACGACGTTCCGGCGGCGAACTGGGCAAGACGGGACGAGACTGAAAAATACACACTATTTGGAGGGGTTCTTGAGGCCTAGAGATTACCCCAATTGGCACAATAGCTGGGGATCGGATGACGGATCATATTCTTATCGTCCGCCAGTTTGTTGCTCGTAATCACAATCTCCTTGTCTGCAAAAATGTGACGTTTCTTTGCACTTTTTGTGTAAAACGTACTTGACGGCGGCTTCCAACTGCTGTTCGGGGTGAACGGAGATGACGACGGAGACGCGTCGTCGATCGGAAGCTCATCTGGATCCGAAGAGCTCTCCGAGTACGTCGGCTTCCTCTTTTTCGGGAACGTTCCGCGGTCGTCCGTCTCTTTTCTCTTCTGACGATCCTCGTCGCGTTTCGAAGATCTTCCGTTCTCCGTCAATTGTCCTTTCGACGAACGTGACGTTCTTTCGACGACTGAAAACATGAGATTTCCGTAAAAGTGCAAGAGAATTTCGCATTTTGGTGACGCGCAGCATTTCATTCTTGCATTTCAGCATTTCAGAGGTCTCGAAAGCAGCTTTTGAAAACTGGAATATAGGTTTTGAAAGTCCCTCTTTCGAACTGTGTCGTTAGTTTAGGCGGGTTCCTTTTATCACTTAAAAGGTTCCCTTGTCAGAACAATTCGTTTTGAACACAAATGATTTAAAATTATGTCATTTCAGCGAAAACAGCGCGAGAGTTTCGAAAATTGAGGAGATTATTTAGAACACACAGAAAATCTGCTAACCACTGTCAATGGGCTTCACGTGGATCTGAATTTTGTAGCGTCGTTGGCGGATCGTCTCACACTCCTCATGTTTTGAACTTCTGCGAACACGGTGGTCTGCAACAGCAAACGCATTTGAAAATTATAAACGCTTTACTTCAAATTAACGGAACTCTTCTGGAGAATGTGAGAAAAACGAGAAAATTGTTTACCTTCAACAAATAACTTCGCGCAGTCTGCCGGGTTGTCACGTGTCTCTTGATGGAATTCGCGTGGATCTGACAAGGTTTTTTGTTTGAAAATTTACGGCACAAAAAATGTCAGTACTTTTACTGCTCGCTTCCTCGTTCCGATAATACAAACCTAAAAATAACGATATGAAAAATTGCAATTTTTCAAATTCAATTACCACGCTCGCCGAATCCCACTTTCGATAGTGTACTATGTTCATAGTCTGAAAATGTATTTTTCAGAAAAAATCTTCTGGCTGGGAAAAAACCATTGCCTATCTCCTCCTCCTTGATTCGAGTCGTTTCGGCGGCTGAAATTTGTTTGTTTCGTCTTAATATTAAAAAATTTGACATACAACTCTTTGTCGGATTGTTGTCGATAGTGATTTTTAGAGTATCTCGTATTTTCTCCACGTTCCTTTCAGAATTTGTTTCGAATTTCTTGGAAAACGTTTGCCGGTCCGATTCGTCTGAAATACGTTTTTTTTTGGAGGAAACAGACGTATTCTCAGGGAACTCGTTATTAACCTAGCTGGCTTTTTTCAAGTTCTTCTAAATAAACGGATAAATTTTCTAATTAGATTGATTGATAAAGAACTGATATTAGATTCACAATTCATCTAATTAGATAAACGTTTTCGGTCAAAGTGATAATCTAATTAGATGAATTGTGAATCTAATATTAGTTCTTTGTCAATCTAATCAGACAAATTTCGTTTTGTCAATCTAATTAGGAAATATTATTATTATTATTGTTATTTATTTACGTCGTTAACGTGAAAATGATTGAAGAAGAGAGAAAATGTTTAGAGAGAAAAGTCTAGCTCAGTCCAACTAGAAAATTTTTCAATCTAATCGCAGTAAATTAGAAATCTAATAAGGGCCGGTTATAAGCGCGAATTAGCCAGCTAGATTAATAACGATTTCCCTGAAGTTCAAGAAAAAAAAGAAATATAAAAAACTGACAATCGTCGCGAGGCTCTTGTTTGACGTCTTGAAACATACTCGCCCTTCGTGATGTGTAGTCTGAAAAATAGATTTATTCAGTGCCTGAATAACCCCATTAGAGCATAAAATAAGCTTAAATTACTGAGTCACCGCGTGGACGTTTATCATTGAAGCGCACGTGCGGCAGTTCGAAAATAATAATTTTTCGGCGAAAATTGTGTTGTTCCGCGTATAAAAATTGAACGGCGTAATTTTTTCGTTTTTGTCACAGTACATATTGAATTGAGAAACCAAAAAATCCAATAGTGCGCCAACAGTCTCCCTTTGGTCTCATGTCCACGCTGCGACTCAGTGATAAATGTTGAAATTTATGACAAACTAAAATCACGATTTCTGGGTCTGTCATCAGTCCGTCTTCTGTGCGTGTTGCGGTACATTTTTGACTTAACCTGGAGAAAAAGCACTTTTGATAGCGAGAAGATCATCAAATAACGATGAGAAAATTGGGAGAACTGAATATTAAAACTAATCACAACTTCCAGTCCTGCACCAGTCCGTGCTGCTTTCTCCAAAAAAAGTGATCTCATGGGTGGCAGGTCGAAAAACTGACAAAATGTACAGCACTCAGACTGAAAGAAGGCGTCGGCGCGTCTTTTTCTCTGAGCAAAGTAGACTTCTTTGTTTCGAAATTTGCGAAAAGTAAAACAAAAGCGCATTACAAAAAAGCATCTATCCGCATTGGGGCGCGTTTACATCATCTTCCAAGGTGATCGAAAGGCTATTTGAGATATAAATGCTGGGCCCAACGGCAACATAATCCAACACGTTACACAATCGTAACGATTTTCGAGCGTACTTTATTATTTTCAAGAAAAAATCGAGCAACGAAGCGAAAGATACAGGCTAGAAGATACGGAACATTCTAGAGGAAAGGAATTTTAAAAGGAGAATGGGTGCGTTAAGTATTTGGTGTCAACGGAACGGATAGAGAAAAGAAGCAAAAGTATTTTTTTTACAACATTTGTGCGATTAAGATGCATTGTGGGAGATGTTGGATAGTTCGGGCAGTTGATTCGACTCAGAGTTCCCTGCAAAACATAAATTTTGACATTCGGTCGAATCTGTCGATTAACTCACTCCGACTCGATGAATCCGTTCGTGTAGACGCGCAGCATGAATTCGGCCTCCTCGTTCGGCTCGAAAGTCGACGGAACGATGACGTAGTTGCCGGGCGGCACGCGGAATCGACCCGTCATCTGCAATTTCACACATACTCTTTCGTGGCTAGAGATGGGCGTAAAATATTGTGGGATTTAGGCAGCGTAAAGCTTTTCGTTATTGACAAATAATTGGGAAAAGTGGAAATGCAGTCTACGAATATAGAATACCTCTCTGAGATTGATGAACGCGGCGGATCGCATCGTCGACTTGTTGGCGGCGAAGAACTGTTTGCTGAGGCGTCCGCTATTTCTTCCGGCCTAAAAATATCAAAATCATTGGGGGGAAAAGAGTCAGAAATCAAGCTCTAGACACGTTGTGGTTAGAGTGACGTCACAGTTTTTCAGTCTATAAAAATATACGAAATGAAATACGGCACACATGTGAAAACATTGAAAACTAAGAAAAAAAGCGGATGAGCTTTCTAGTGGAAAACAGCACAATTTTACCGGCATTTTCACGTTGTACTTACATTGTTCACCTGAAAAATTAACTGTCTAATTACTTATCTAACTAGGGAATGATGCCATAAAATCTTTTTGGGTTTTTTTTTGTCGATTATCTGGGTCAAACGAGGTTTCATGATGATTTTTACACATTTGATGACTCTCCACAACCGAAGCAACTCAAAAATCGAATAAACAGAGTTTTGAAGAAATATGCATTTTCCATTATAATCATGGGGCTTCAAAAATTTTTTTAGTTGGTCAGATTATTATGTCATTAGATAGAGCTTATACTTCTGTTTTTAACCGCCATTCAAAAAAAGCCAAATGTAGGACAATTTTTAAAAATTGGCATGGACCCTTGACGGTCACCGGTACGCGGCAATTTTTAAAAATAGGCATATCAGATCCTAAAATCTCTGATTTCTCACGTCATAAACGGCGAATCCGATAGGCACGTTGTCCAGTCCGTCTTGCTTCAAATTACGTCTGAATAAAAAGATTCGAAAATGTGATGTAGCCTCAAAAAGTGTACCTGTATTTCTGCATGACCGCAAAAATGACAGTGCACAGTTCGTCGTCGTCGTCCGGATCCGAATCGGTCAGTTGGACACGGAATTGCGGGTTGTTGGCGAACGTGTCTGGAAAACGATTTTTGTGGTAATTTTTGGTAATTCTCGAACAATTTAGTGAAATATTTTCCGGCAATTTTAGAGAAGCTTTGTTAAACAAGGCGCGATGCGCAATCATAATCAGAAAATCGTCTTTCGTTCGGATCTCTCGCTTGTAATTCTGGAATATGAACAAAAAACTACTCACTGATATAATTTCTGCATCCGCCGGCGGTCTGGTTGCGAATCCATGCTCCGTCGTGCGTGTTGGCGGCCCAAACCATTCCGGCGGCCTTGACTCCCGTCATTTGGTACACCTCGTCCATGACGTCGGGTCCGAGATTGCAGATTTCCATCTTCTCAAAGTTGCGCATGTAGTCCTCGAACGACATCCAGAACTCTCCGTCGTGGTCGAACTTGAGTCCCATGTCCTGTTTGACCGAGTCGGGAACGTTGCGCCACTCGCGCGAGTTGTCCGACCACGCGCCGTTCCACTCCTGCTCGTTGCCCCACGGATTGCGGATGCGCAGAATGCACGTCTGTCCGTTCGGTCCCTCCACAATTCGGCAGCCCGTGATCGAGTAGGCGTGTCCTTTCACCAGTCCGTTCGACATTTTCGCCTCCCACACATTCGGATCCGCCTCGATCGAGCAGCCGAAGAGGGAGCCCATTTCGAAGCCGCGCATCATCATTTGCATCAGGTTGCGCGGCGGATTGTTGAGGTCGATGAACTCGGTCAGACCGCCCGTCATGTCTTCGAGCGCTTCCGACGTCGTACCGCCCTTCAGCGCTTCGTACGAGCCGAAAAGTCTGGAACGAGAGCATCAGGATCTATTGAAAGACATTTCTAGCGAAAAATGTACTAACTTTGCGTAGGCCTTCTCGAGAAGAGCACTCCAGAACTCGTTGTTGCTCGCCGAGTGCATGTACAGCAATTCGCCGTTGCTCGTCGGCAGACGGTCGTCGATCACGACGTCCACCCATTTTCCGTATTGCCAGAATTGGAAGTGGAAGATGCCGGCGTAGTTCTCGGTGAACGACTGATCTGGCGGCACGACACGGTAGAACAGCTCGTCCTTCAGAGTCAGATTCGCAGCGGCGGCCAGCAGCCAGCAGTCTCCGAGTTCTCCCTGTTGATTAGAAGTGAATTAGAAGCGAGATGATACCGACTAAGAGGGGCTTACCTGAATGACATCGAATCGCGAGTGTCCTTCGGTGATGAGCTGCGGCTCGCGGGTGATTTCTCCGGGGCGCAGCCACTCGACACGCTTTGGCGGGCGTTTCGAGAAGAACAGCGAGCTGTCGTTGGCGAGGAACTGCGGATCTTCGAAGAGCCGCTTGCTCGCGAGGCACTGGTCTCTGAGCTCGTAGAAGTCCTGCGGCTCGGTGGTGGGTCTCGGCGCGATCGGGCTGGGGCCGCTGCCTCCGCCGCCGCCTCTCGCCGGATCCGGTCCCGGACGCACGAACGGATCGACATCTCTGCGGAACTTGCCGGAGATGATATTGTCGAGAATGACCTTTCCGATGTTTCCCAGCGAGTTGTCCTTTCCGCCCAATCCCATGATCACATTTCCGGCGACTGCTCCGATGATTCTTCCGGTGCTCGGATCGACTCCCAGGAATCGATGAGCGGCCTCTCCGATCAGGTTTCCGATGATTCCGACCATTCCTCCGTTCAGATTGTTCGGATTCACGTTTCCACCGCCGCCGTTGTACTGTCCGCCACCGCCGCCGCCGATCAGCGATCCGATGCCGCCGAGGATGCTTCCGAAGTCGGTGCCTCCACCTCCTCCCTGACGTTGGCCTCCGCCGCCCCCGCCTCCGCTGATGCTATTGATGATTCCACCAATGTCGTTCAAGTTGAAGCCACCTCCGCCTCCGGAATTGCCTCCGCCACCTTGGTAGTTGCCGCCGCCGCCCTGGTAGTTGCCGCCGCCGCCTAAAATAGAACTGTTGCAGTCGACGAAAGATCGGAATCGGGGGACTCGTTAGAATAGAATGGAAAAACGAGGTTAAGACAAACTTCAGGTTTTTCTTGGTATAAAGTATTCAACTCCAAACTTTTGAAAGAAAATCTACAACCTCCAGCTTTGCCGCGAATTGACGAAACGTTAAAATTTCCGTCAAATTTTAAAACCAGATTAATCGCTTTTTGCCACTTCGGTGTATGCAGACTCAAACCAAAATTTCTGAAATAGGTTTGTGTACGCAAACACCAAACTTTTTTGAATTTGCAGTCAAACCCTTCATGCAGAAAACTCTCATTCCCATCAAATCCTAATCATGCGAGACATGCCTCCACTGCCAGTATTTCCGCCGCCACCAATGAGTGATCCGACGAGACTTCCAATGTTCGTTCCGCCTCCGCCACTACCACCACCACCTGAACAACAATCACAACAGTTGAATCACAAGTCTCATGCGGTTGATTAGTGGTTGTTGGATGCCAAAGCCGAACTTAACCAAAGTAGTGCTGACCGTAATTCTGTCCTCCTCCGCCCCGTTGATTCATTCCGCCGCCGCCGCCACCGCCGCTCAAAAGTCCGCCGAGGATGTCTCCGAGTCCGCCGCCGCCCGTGTTCTGCGGAGGTGCTTGTCGGCCGCCTGACATTTCCAACTGATATTGTGCACAACGAAGAAAGTGAGGGTGTATGCGAACTGACAGGACAAAACGACGAAGACGAAAGAATACTAGAGATTCCTAGGGGACAAAAAGAACTAACAAAAAACAGCACTCTACCATTGCCATCCGTGTCTTTCTTGTCCTTCCGATGTACGATATTATCGAAGATTCCGCCGACGATGTCACGTGCCACGTCACGCTTTCGTTTCGGTTGATCCGAAGCACCGCCGCCCGAGTAGTCGTTGTTCGAACCGCCTGTGGGAGGGGATTACTGTTGGCCGGCGGGGTTATGGTAAAAGCCTAGAGCTTCTAGAGAAAGAGACGTGGACAACGAATGAATTGACACAAGGAGCCACACGGTGAGGGAAATCGAGAAATTAGGGGGGAAAGAGCGGACGCACCTCCTCCGCCGAATCCTCCGAAGCCGCCACCTCCACCGCCGCCGCCGCCACCACCTCCGCCGAGGAAGTTTCCGGCCAGACCGGCCAGGATGTCACCGCCCGGACCACCGACCTGCAAAAAGTTGATGAAAACGTTCAATTTCTGGTTAAAATTTGCGAAAAAAAACCAACCTTTTCCCTGATGAGATTTCCGGCGATCGAGCCGATGAGTCCGTTGAACTCGTCGGGCTTCACCTCCACTTTTTGGAAGACCTCCTCTTCGTCGTCGGCCATTTTGATACCGTCCGTGTGCGAACTCGACGCGAAACCGTCGGAAGAAGTGACTCTTTTCTGGTAGTTCTCCTCCTCGTTCGAGCCGGCGCGTTGCTCCGGGTCTGCAAGTTACTTGATTGTTGATTTTAGAGAAGAGATTTTAGTATAAATTTAAAGATTTAAAGTGGAGAATATGATACCTTTTCTGGGTGACATGGCAATTAGAAATGGGAACATTTTTGTTTTTTTGGATAGCAAAATCGATAGTCAGCTCTTTGAGCCCGTGCCCCCGATGGCGGAGATTAGAGCGACGGCGATGTGTTTTTCGTGCTTTTTTGGAGACGAAAAAGAGAGAAAGCGCGTGAAGATATTCTAGAAGTTTAAAAAAAAAGTTTTCGCGTCAAGAACATGCTTATTAAGAGCAAGAGGAGCAACTCGAAATGGTTTTTGCTTACTACTATAATCACATTTTTCAATTGTTTTCTGCGGGGGTGTGTGCCTGATCTTATGAGATTGAAACGCAGCTTAATTCGATAGATTGAATGGGTTGTAAATCGAAATTGACAACTAAACAACTATGAAAGTGAGCGAAAGAAACCAGATTCGGAATGAAAACGGAACGAGCGCGAATTTCCGGTGTGAGTCACAAAAACACACGCACAACCCTCGCTTTTATTATTATTTTCTGCTATTGTGTCATTTTAGGTGTCGAAATACTTTCAGTATGTTTCTGTTGTTCAACACTGAAAATCGATGCAGAAGGAGGAGAAAGCGACCAAAGTTCGCGTGTTTTTCTCGTCAAAAACAGAGTTTTCCCCGGAGAATTTCAGAAGACAAACTTTCAAGTCTTTGTGTCACTCAAAATCTCCAAAATCAACGATGCTCTGTGAATCTACATCAAAGTTTTGGCGGGAAAAATTCTAAATTTCTACTTACCGACAAGACAACAGTTGAATAGGCTCATTTTTGTGGAAAAAGCTCAGAGCAAGAGCACAAAACGGGCGAGTTGGGGCCCTCAGAGCACGCAGAAATCGAGAGGTCCAGCCGGAAATTTAGGGGCGCGCACTGAGCCCCGGCCCGGAGCAATGGCACTTTTTTTCTTCTGTGCCTGCTCAAAGAGCACAAAGTTTGGCTCGTTTCGAAATGGGATCCTCTCTTTTTCTCTTTCGAAATTGGCAGAAAAAGAAGACAGAAAATGGATGTTCCGCGCCGATGATAATTGCTTTTAGTTGCTGGCCGATGAGGAAACGGAGCTCTCGGGGGCTCTTTCTTGTTTTTCAGGTGCCTTTTTCCACATCTGATCGATGAGCGAGAAAATGGGCCCGTTTGTTTTCGCACAAAATGTATAGAACTCTGAACTTTTTCCGTTTTAGCCAATTTTTGGGCAAGTGCTACGACAGACGCGCGAAATTCAAAAGTTTCCCGGAATTTTTGTGAAAATCACACAAGAATCGAGTCTAGAATAAAAGCCTTATAAAATTGTTTGTTTTTTGATTCAATTGATAAAGTTGCGAAATCACGGGTTTTGAGAAAAACAAATTTCTCAGCTTCTCGAAACATTCCTCGCAACAAACATGATTTCAGAGCTTAAAAAACCTCTTTTTTCGGAGTTGTTTTGTCTGATTTGATTGCTCATAAAGATCGAAAAACATTCGGAAAATTGGGAGCAAATCAATTTCTAATAAAATACGAATCTAGCCGTGTCACATGGAAAGTCATAAAAGCTCTCAAAGCGAAAAACCTTAGAGCTGAGCAATAAGACACTCCGGGGGGAAAATGAGACCACGAGCTCTCTGTGAGACAAACAGATGTTTTATTCACACATGTCGCAGAAGATCATTTAAGAAAATGGGTATAGTTTTAAAGTATTGCTAACTTTAACATTTCAAAACATCAGGTACAAACAATCTGAACTTTTGAACTATCTTATCAATGGTGGTCGTGACTTTCTAGAAGTTTTTCTAGAAGACAATTTTCTGAACTTGGTCAAACTAAACATCAAAAAACTATTTAAACTCAGCGGCAGGTAAGGGAGTGGAAAAGAAAACAAAACTCGTTCCAAAAAAAAAGCCACGAGCGAGCGAGAGAGAGGAAGTGAAAAGAGAGAGAGAGGCAAACAACGAGCACGTCTTTCAATTGACGACGAGAGAGCGCGGTGAACCGGGAGGGCGCAGAGAAAGAGAGGCAAGGGCGAGCGGGGCGCCAAGGTTACTTGTTTACCCCAATAACTGTATTAGTACGGGCGTCGTGTGTGTGTGGCAAAATTTTGTGGTCTTCAAGGTGAAAAAAATGAAATAAATTGCGGTGAATTCGAAACGGAGCGCACTTGCTGAGTCTGACTATTTTTGAGCAAAAATTCAGGTCTTAAATTCCCATTTTTCAAGAAATTTCGCGCAAAACCCCGTTATGCGCCCATCTCGATCAAACACAAATCAACAAGAGTTTCACCGACAAAAAATCTCTTTGTGAATGATAAAACGTATCAATATGAAGGTCAAAAAAGAAGTGTTTATCACTCTCAAATGCATTGGCATTCGCAACAAACAAACACAAGTCACTCTGACTTTACAACACACACACACACACACACACAAAAAAGAGATAAATGAGACGGGAGAAGACGGAAAAGAAACGATATTTTCTTTCGGACGCGCCGAGAGTGTTAAATTGATCATTTGATTGAGAGAAAAGAAGAGAGCGCTTGTTTTGATGATTCACCCAAGTTTTAGGGGGAAATCGGAAAATAACATTCCGAAATTTTCTTTGTCGGTTTTCACAAAGACACACCATTTGGATCATATAAAGCGTAGGAAAATAGGTTCAGATCGAAATGTTTTGTAACAGAATAGGCACACGGAAGTTAATGCGCACTGGGGCAACGGACATATTTAACACATAATCTTAATCATTATTATTTGAATTGTCCGCAGCTTTATCAGTTAGAATCAACGGACATAAATTGAATCAAATAAAACTCCCTTTATCGCTAGTATGGAATCGACCGGAATGAAATGGAGCGCCCCTTCTAAGGCATTTAATTCTGAACGTTGTATCTCAGTTGTTGGTGAAGATATCAAAAACTGGTCAACTGATAAAGTGTGCACATTGTCTTTCTGAACGTTTTATTAGTAGACAGCTTTTTGATATCTCTACTCGCAGCTGAGATGCAGCGTTTCGAATGAACGATACTGGGGTTAACGACTATCAAGATAGGAAATCTGAAAGGGAGAGGCTGAAAGGGAGAGGCTGAAAATTATGATACACTTTTGTAATGAATGAAAATACTCAACTTTCCCGAAAAAACGTGGCGAACCGCATGCAATGTCCCATTTTCCCATTAAATGTACGTCCCAAAACCGCACGCACATTTTTTCAATTTTCACGTTCAAATCGAGACAATAGCAGGTAAAGCACGTAGATTTTCAATTTCCAACTTGCCTCTTCAGAATCTGTAAAATGTCGACGACGCCGAACAAAAAGACGGACGCGGAGGCGTACAAAAAGGAGGTGGCCAAGCAGAGACGGATGAAGAAACTCCGTCAGATGAAGGTTTCGTTCGCGACGACGCCTCCGCCACTATTTGAATCCGTTTCAGATCCGTGATCGCGCCGGAGACGTCAAAGTGGACGATGTTTCGGACGTGGAAGTGGTCGGAGACGTGGACGAGGAGCCGCAGGACGCGTGGCTCAACGACCTCATCAAGAGCGACGGCGACTCCAACTCCGGCGGCGTTTCTTCCGATCTTGCGTCGATGGAAGTCTCCACCGAACCAGTCGAATCCTCGTCGTTAGCCGCCAAGATATGCGCGTTCACCAATGAGAATTCGGTAAAACGAGCAGATCAAATCGCGAGTTGAATCACTTGAATCAGTTCCTCTTGAAGGCTCTTCTTGGCGTCGGAATCGCCGCCATCGCCCTCACCATCTTCACGCGCCTTCACAAGTGAACTCGCCGCATAAATCATTTGATTTTTGATTGATTTCATAAACAATCTTGACGAGAAACATAGAAATGAGTGAAGAATTGATAGGTGTGGCTGGTGGGGTGTGCGTGCGTGTGCAAAAACAGAACAAACAAAAGATCTACAAAAACAATCTCATGGAGGTTGCAATGATGGCGACTACTACGGGAAGAAGGGAAACGGAATCATTCGTAGCAGTTCCGGGTTTGTTTTTGTTCATTGACACGACCCGAAAATGCTTCGAAATTCCAAAAAATACATTACAATACGTACAAAAGAAACATGTACTAGAAAGGCGAAAAATAGAATCATAATGATCGTCTACTTTGAATCCGAAAGAGTCTTATTTCCGTTGCGAGAACACTTCCTTCATCCGGTTGAGCGCCGATCCGGCCTTGAACCATTCGATCTGCTGCTCGTTGAAAGTGTGGTTCAGGACAACTTCGACCTATAAACAATTGCAATTCTAGTCAATTCGTTTGTTTTCTGTGTACCTTGGATCCGTTGGTCTTCTTGAAGATGGCCTTGAGCGGCTTTCCTGGGGCAAAGGTCTTGAGTCCGACGATCGAGACGTCGTCCGATGGGTCAATCTTGTCATAGTCGGCTGGGTTGGCGAAGGTGAGTGGGAGCATTCCCTGCTTCTTCAGATTCGTCTCGTGAATACGGGCGAACGACTTGACGATGATGGCGCGTCCTCCGAGATGACGTGGCTCGAGAGCGGCATGTTCGCGGGAAGATCCCTCTCCGTAGTTCTCGTCTCCGATGGCCACCCATCTGACTCCATCGGCCTTGTACTTGCGGGCGGTGGCTGGGACGGCTCCGTACTCTCCGGTCACCTGGTTTTTCACCTTGTTCATCTCTCCGTTCTCGGCGTTGACGGCCGTCAGGAAGAGGTTGTTGGAGATGTTGTCCAAGTGCCCACGGTATTTCAGCCATGGTCCGGCGGCCGAGATATGATCGGTCGTGCACTTTCCTTTGACCTTGATCAGAATCTTCAAGTTCTCAAGATCCTTTCCGTCCCACTTATCGAACGGAGCCAGGAGCTGAAGACGTTCAGAGGTTGGCGCAACGTCGACGTTTCCGCTTCCAGCTGGAGCCTGGAAGGTGTCCTCTCCTGGGTCGTATCCTCTTGGTGGCAGATCGAGTCCAGTCGGTGCCTGGAGCTTGAACTTGCTTCCGTCGGCGGCGGTGAGCTCATCAGTGAGTGGGTTGAAGTCGAGACGTCCAGAGATGGCCATGGCGGTGGTGATATCCGGGGAAGTGACGAATCCGTGGGTGGCTGGGTTCGCGTCGTTTCTTCCGGTGAAGTTACGGTTGTACGAGGTGACGATGGTGTTCTTCTCTCCCTTCTTCACATCCTGACGGTCCCACTGTCCGATGCACGGTCCGCAAGCGTTGGCGAGAACCATTCCTCCGAAATCAGCGAAGATTTTGGAGAGTCCGTCACGCTCGATGGTGGCACGGACCTGCTCGGATCCCGGGGTGATCGTGAAGATGGTCTTGGCCTTGAGTCCCTTATCGAGGGCCTGCTTAGCGATGGAAGCGGCACGGGTCATGTCTTCGTAGGAGGAGTTGGTGCACGAGCCAATGAGCGAGACCTTCACGTCCAATGGCCATCCGTTCTTCTTGGCGTTATCTCCGAGCTTGTCGATTGGCGAGGCAAGATCCGGGGTGAACGGTCCGTTGACGTGTGGAGTAAGCGTGTTGAGGTCGATCTCGATAATCTGGTCGTAGTGAGCTCCTTCGTCGGCGGTCAGAAGGCTCTTGTACTTCTTCGCCTCGTCAGCAATTTCCTTGCGTCCGGTGGCCTCGAGGTACTTGTACATGTTCTCGTTGTACGGGAACACCGAGGTGGTGGCTCCGATCTCGGCTCCCATGTTGCAGATGGTTCCCATTCCGGTAGCAGAGATCGAATCGACTCCTGGACCGTAGTACTCGACGATGGCTCCAGTTCCTCCCTTGACGGTGAGGATGTCGGCGACCTTCAGGATGACGTCCTTGGCAGAAGTCCATCCGCTCAGCTTTCCGGTAAGCTTGATTCCGATCACCTTCGGGCACTTGAGCTCCCATGGAATGTCGGCCATCACGTCAACGGCGTCGGCTCCTCCGACTCCGATGCAAAGTCCTCCGAGTCCTCCTCCGTTCGGCGTGTGCGAGTCGGTTCCGATGAGCAAAAGTCCTGGGAAAGCGTAATTCTCGAGAATAATCTGATGGATAATTCCAGATCCCGGCTTCCAGAATCCGACTCCATACTTGCTTCCGGCGGTGGCGAGGAAGTTGTAGACCTCTTTGTTGAGTTCCTAAACACTACATTTTGTTTGAATCTACTCTAAATTCCTTAGTTTCTTACCTTAGCACGGCTCAAATCCTGAGCTCCTCCCTTCTGAGCCTCGATCAAGTGATCGCAGTGGATGGTGGATGGGACGGCGGTCTTCGGGAGTCCGGAGCTGATGAATTGGAGCATGGCCATCTGGGCGGTGGCGTCTTGCATGGCGACACGATCCGGACGGAGACGGAGGTAGGATACTCCTCTCTCGATTTCCTGCGATTTTGGCTGATCCAAATGTCCATAGAGAATCTTCTCGGAGAGCGTCAACGGGCGTTTCAGTCTGAGAATTAGAATTTGAGTTGGTTTTCTCTCAATTTTTAAGATTATTCTTTACAAAAGCAGCTAGAGGTCTATTGTTTTGTGTGGTTTTAAAGTTCAAGTTTCTTGTAGTCTTTAGAGCAAAGTACACTCATGTTTCTCGCTCCGCAAACATGACCCCTCCAAAGTGCGATCAGTCTGGAGACTTGGCAAGTGTCCCACGTCACATGTGGTATTTCGAGCTGTCTCGTGATAGATCAGAAGCGTTTGATGTTCTCCTTTTGTTTATTACAACCACAGAGCAACAAAGAATAGTTTGAATTGCATCGAAACACTTCGTCGCCTATTGCAGACCATATTATCGTCACACAATCACGGCCAGCGTGTTTGCATTGACCAAAGAACTGAGGGAACGAGAAGAGAGAATCTTACTCTTTCTCTCTCAATTCCACTGACGCGCGCGCCTTCCCATTACAACGAGAACTCTGTTTGTCTCGGCGACCCATTGGCCCGAAAAGCTTGACTTGTGATTGGAAGGATCACTAAAAGCTTTCCTCGAATTTTTTTCAAGACGAATTTTGAAAGAAATCAAAACTGGAAGTACACTGTATACGTGAAATGATATCAGTGCGCACATGACAAGCCAACGCCACAAACATTTTTGATAAGCGAACGATATACTTTGGCCCCCCGACACTTTTCGAACTGTTCACACACCTGTCCTTGACGATTTTCACATTCTGCGAAAGTCTCTCGTAAGGAAGGTACGCATTTGGCTCGAATTTACTGAGTGACACCTTGCTCTGCAAAAATTCGAGGTAATTTTGGCAAGAAAACTCAGTTTGTGAGTACCCAGATGGAGGAAGACGAGTGGAGTGCGCGGATGTGGGCTGGTCCGGCCAGGTGGCTCAGCCGAAGAAGAGAATTCATAGTTTCTCCTGAAATGATGATGAAAATTGGCAATTTTAAAAACAAAAAGCCACGAAGAAGCATAGAATTGAAGAGAAAAACGCTTAAAAAAAATTTTGAGTGGCCCAAAATGCATTTTGATCGAACAACAATGGAATTTTCGTTCGAAAATAACGGCGTCAGTCAAAAAACAAGTGATTCGGCGGCGAACCAAAGTGAAAATGATAACGAATCGGTCAGCAGGAGGGGGCGAGACGAGAGGCAATTGGGTGGAGAAATGAAAGCGCGAAACTCGGGCGCCGCCTCTCGGCAAGTGCGTCAGCAGTGCCGCGCTGGCGTTCTTCCGTTAAAGGCGCAACAAGTTTTCTCGTCGGCCGGGTCTTGCGACGATTTTGTTTTTTAGGGAGATTGCAAGCCGTTTTACAGTCATTCCATTGCGTTTCACCCAGAAAAGATGGTTGCTGACGTCAAGAGCCCGGCTGGACTTGCCGCTTTCAACACCGCCCTCGCCGAGCAGGCTTTCGCCAACGGGTACGTCAATTTTTCTTTAATTTTAGGCCTTTCAGTTCGAAAAAATGTAAAAATGCCATTTTTACTGTTTCAAGTTGTTCAAATTTGTAATTTGCCCGTTTTTTCAGCTTCGTCCTTTCCGGAGAAGACGCCCAGCTGTTCGCCGCTCTTGGAGCTGCCCCGACCGCCGCCACCTACCCAAATGTGGCTCGTTGGTTCGCCAACGTGGCTTCCTACACTGAGGCTGAGCGCAAGGCCTGGCCATCCGCAGGAGGATCTGCCCCAGCCGCCGCTGCCGAAGGAGACGACTTCGATCTTTTCGGATCCGACGATGAGGAGGACGAGGAGAAAAAGAAGATCGTCGAGGAGCGCCTCGCCGCCTACGCCGCCAAGAAGTCGGCCAAGCCAGGACCGATCGCTAAGTCGTCGATCATCCTCGACGTGAAGCCATGGGACGATGAGACCGATCTCGGTGAGATGGAGAAGCTCGTCCGTGGAATCGAGTTGGACGGACTTGTCTGGGGAGGTGCCAAGCTCATCGCCATCGGATACGGTAACCATTTTACTCATCCCTTCTAATATGAATTGTCTTTTCTTCCAGGAATCAAGAAGCTCCAGATCATCTGCGTCATCGAGGATCTCAAGGTCTCCGTTGATGACCTCATCGAGAAGATCACCGGAGACTTCGAGGACCACGTTCAGTCCGTTGACATCGTCGCCTTCAACAAGATCTAACGGGTGTTCTGTTGTTCTTGTTATGTTTTGTTCAGAAATAAAATAAGTATCTTTTGCAAGATGGCTTATATTTCCATTACAAAAGGTTCCGAGGCTTTCAGTCACAAGATTCATTCAAATTTACAATAAAGGTTATTTGCAAGAAACGACTGTTCCTTCAAATGCGAGCCTATCTTCAATTTTAAAAAACTGCAAGTGATTATCGAGATTTAAAAATATGATGCCAAACGAGCAATCGAAACGTAAATTCATGGTCGATGTTTAGCCCGCATACAGCTGAAGCCAACATTCCGTCGTCTCGCTCAATGTCAAAGGCGTCGCCACAATAGTAACTTAAATTGTTTCGGCCATTCTCGAATATCTCATTCCTTCTCTCGGAATCCCATTCTTTCGCGTTCAGTCCTTCGACTACTTTATTCCAACTTATCGCAAATGCGTCATAGATTTTAATCTCCAAAGTGATTAGTCTTTTGCGAGTTACCATCCAGTTCCTGAGCAACTGATTGATGCTAGAATTGTTCAATTGATTCTCGAAGATCACCAAGTAATCGCAATCGATCTTCATCAGTTCGTTTAGATCCACATCCGCCGGAACTCCAATCCGGATCGCTTCCATTTGCAGCATCTTCTCGTGAAACACCAGCGCCTGCAGGTTAACGTCGATTTCCTGGACGCCTTCATAATGATCCATCAGTTTCTTGAAATCCTCTGCGGACAGTACGGTCGTTTCGGGGAATCGGAAAGAAAGGCGTTGTCTCGGCGCGAGCGGAAGGAGCACGTCCACGACGAATCGCAAGTCGCAGTCCACTTCGGTCGTGTAATCTTTGATTCGCAGCAGCTCGTCAAAGTATTTCAGCACCAACAGCGTTTCCATCTCATAGCTTTCCGATTGCGACAAGAGTTCGAGACGGTCCTCGTGCTTTGCTCTGAAATATTTGGGCATTTCATCGAAAAATAGCTATATAGACGAACTGATTTTTCTAGTTTCCAAAATATTCTCTCTCTCTCGCTCTCTCTCTCTCTGCCCAACTCACGCTTTCTCGAAGTGCACTCCGTCGACGGTGCGTGCGCCATCGTCTCTTTCCACGTCCTTCACAAACTCCCACGTCATCTGTTTGAGCTCCTTCCCGAAGAAAAGTGTCGTTTTCGATGCGGAGATCGCCACCGTTTCCACTTCGAAATTACACTGTTTCACGAGATCTCGCGTCGTTTTGGAGCACAACGACAAGTCCAATCTGCGAAAAATCGATAGGCGCACGTTTGGAGCGCATCTAGAAAACTTACAAATCGATGGGATTCATGAGATTAAGTATGCGTTTTGCGGCTAAAAATGGGAGTGTGAGCAGCAGAAATTCAGGGGAAACAGGCATGATCGCAAGGAAATGGGTATGTTGGGGGAGAAGAAGAAGAAGTAGAAGAAGTAGAAGACGTCGAGCAGGGGAGGGGACATCGATTGGATTAAGGTAACCAGGGGTAACCAATTAGCAAGCCGACTCAAAGGGGATTCCCGGGAAAACGCCAGACCGGGAAAACGTTTTCTCTGATTTTTGTGGTCAACGCCGATGAAAAATGATTGTTCGACATGAAAACACACTAATTCTCAGAATTAATGACGTTTTGGCGCATTTTTCGCGGACCTTGCTTTTTTGCCTTCGCCGCCGCAAAACCGCACTTCTCATTTTGCGCTTTCTTGACCGTTTTCAGACAGAATTGGTTTTGAGAATGTTAAATCACGTAAATACAAGCATTTTAAGCGCTCGAACCGCGGAAACTACCGAAAAGCAACTGAAATTCACGCTGTTTTAGCCAAAAACCTTCAAACGGATAAATGTGATTTGCGACTTGACCAAACTTGACGCTTTTTCGCTTAAAAAATTCGTAATAGCCTATATAATCGGTCTATCGAGAGACAAATGAGAAATTATCGGTTTTTCGTGGCTAATCTGGCAAAAAACACAAGTTTTGCTGTTAAAATTTGAATTTCGCGCCAATGTATCGCTCTATTGGGCGCGCGCCGCACTTGCGCCCATTGTCAGCTCTGGAGACCGTGCTCTAAAGTAACTGAATTTGAGTGCATGATAAACAATTTTATTGTAAAAACCACGTGGGAATCTATTTTCTGCGGGTTCCGTCCTCGAAGAAAACTCCTCCGTCGATGGCGCAGTACTTGGGGCAGATTCCGCGGTTTCCGGCGCCTCCGTCTTGTCCCGGTTGACCCGGTTGTCCTGGATTTCCGTTGGCTCCCGGCTGTCCTGGAGCTCCGGATGGTCCCTTTGGCCCTGGTGCTCCCGGCTGTCCTGGTCCTCCCGGGGCTCCTGGGCTTCCGGCTCTTCCTGGTGGTCCCTGTGGTCCTGCTGGTCCTGGTGCTCCCGGAGTAGATTGTCCCTGAGCGTCGGCTCCCGGCTGTCCTGGTGCTCCAGCTCTTCCTGGATTTCCTGGCTGTCCACGTGGTCCCTTTGGTCCGGCTGGTCCTGTGGCTCCGGCGCCTCCTCCATATCCTGGCCCTCCTGGAGCTCCGGCGTCTCCCTGTGGTCCTGGCGAACCTGGAGGTCCGGGTGGTCCCTGTGGGCATGGGCGGCACGGTGGTGGGGTGATTGGATGGCATGGCTGTGCTGGTGGTCTTCCCGGGTTTCCAGGAAGTCCAGAAGCTCCCGGACGTCCCGGACGTCCTGGCTTTCCAGGGGTTCCGGCTGGTCCCGCGGATCCCGGCAGGCAGCAGCCAGAGCAGGATCCTCCGGAAGATCCACCGGAGAACGACTCAACAGCGGCGCCGGCGTCCGAGTCATAACCGGCTTGACGGGCGAAGCGTGAAGCGTTCTTCGGGTTGGCACGGATGTGGTTGACCTCGGAGAAGATGTCACGGGCCGAGTGCTTACAGTAGGCGATCTGATGGTCAATCTGGGTCTTGACGCTGTTCACGTAACTGTACACCATAGGAATGGTTACAGCGAGCTGAAAAAGAAGTGAGTTGAGAGCCGTCAGTCATGCAAAAAACTAACCGAGAACACGGCGACGACGGAAAAGGTGACGGCTGCGTAGGCGACGAACCGATAGGCATTCCGACGCGTGATATCCTCCATTTTCTTATGAGAATGATGATGGCAGGCCGGCGGCGCCCTTAAATACTGTTCGTCTTGCAAACCTCCAAAGTTCTGCCCTTGCCCAAGTGTTCAACTCGAACCGTCTTCGTCTCCGAACCCGAAGTCACTTGTTTTCGGGGGCGAGGCAGTGGGTGAAGGTGACGGACACAACACACAAAACCGGACACATACATGATGACGGTTTGTTGCAAGGACGACAGAAGAAGAAAAAAAAACGGTTTGGCAATGAGGAACTGATAATATCTGATGGAAAGTGAAGGTGTTGGAGTGTTCCGTAAGGGCTAGAACAAAGCAAAAGTGTAAAGTTTTCGAAATTTGACTTCACTCGAAATAATGTCTTGCTAGCGCTACGTTCAAATTTGAGGAAACGCTTTCTCCACTTTGAAAGTTTCACATCATATATTTAGGCACAAAACCTGGGATTGGAGGTTTCAGGTACTCGATTTGATCCTTCTCACTAAAAAAAATTAGTTTTCGAGTTATCGCCGCTCTGACCCCAGCACTAACGTTTTTCTTGTCGCTCTAGGAAAACAGTTCATAACTCGAAAACTAATTTTTTTTTAAATAGACGATCAACTACAAAGTTATTCACGAGATAATTTGCGTTAACTTACTAGTTGACCACTTCTGCAACGGACGCGTGGTTCTTGAGATACAGGTCGCCGAAGATGAACTTGCTAGAAAATGAGGCAGAAACAGGCAGATTTTCACACCAGTCAGTGCTCTTTAGCAAAAATGGAGAGCAGATTCGGATTCTGCGTGAAATTCTCTTTCGAATCATATAGGTCCCATTCCAAAAGTCCAAGGTAAGTGCGGGCCATTCCCTAGTCAATGTGTTCTCTGACACGCGGACGCCCTCGATTCCTCCCAAATATCTACTGTAGTTCTTCCGTTTCGTTCAAATTTCCAATTGGCCGGCCATTCGTTCTCAATCACCTGCCGGGACAGTGCGAACCGGTTCGCAACTGCGGCCAACTTATCAGCTGTGCCCTTGGAAAACCTATCAGACAACCAAACATCGGCGTCTCTCTTGACGATTACCAGGAAAGGGAAGAAGAAAGAGAGGAAATGAATTGAAATTCTTTATTGTATTTAGACAGGGATTTAGCGTCTGCGGAAAGTTCCGTCGTCGAAGAAGACTCCTCCGTCGATGGCGCAGTATTTGGGGCAGATTCCGCGCTCTCCGGATCCTCCAGATTGTCCCGGCTGTCCTGGGGCTCCAGGGTTTCCATCGGCTCCCGGGAATCCTGGCGCTCCGGACGGTCCCTTTGGTCCTGGGGCTCCTGGGAATCCTGGTGCTCCTGGCGCTCCTGGGGCTCCGGATGGTCCTGGTGGTCCTTGTGGTCCTGGGGCTCCTGGCTGTCCTGGGGTAGACTGGGATTGGGCGTCGGCTCCTGGTTGTCCTGGGGCTCCGGCTCTTCCTGGCTGTCCTGGGGCTCCGGATGGTCCCTTTGGTCCGGCGGGTCCTGGGGCTCCGACTCCGCTTCCGAATCCTGGGGCTCCTGGAGCTCCGGCATCTCCCTGTGGTCCTGGGGCTCCTGGGGCTCCTGGTGGTCCCTGTGGGCACGGGCGGCACGGCGGTGGGGTGATTGGCTCGCACGGCTGTGCTGGTGGTCTTCCCGGGTTTCCTGGCAGTCCGGCGGCTCCTGGACGTCCTGGACGTCCCGGTTTTCCTGGAGTTCCCGCTGGTCCGGCGGCTCCCGGAAGACAACATCCGGCGCACTGATCCGCTTGTCTCTTCTCGCGCAGAGTTCCGTTGTTCGGGTTGGCACGGATGTGGTTGACCTCGGAGAAGATGTCGCGGGCAGAGTGCTGGCAGAACGAGATCTGGTGATTGATCTGGCTCTTGATGCCATGCACGTAGTTGTAGACCATTGGAAGAGTGATGCACAGCTAGAAAACGTGCTTGATGGGATGGGTGGCATGGACGGGAGGCTTACCGAAAGCACGGCGACCACCGAGAAGGTGACGGCCGAGTAGGCGACGAAGCGGTACGCGTTTCTTCGGCTGATATCGTCCATTTCCAAGAGGATGCCATTCTCCCGTCGCGCCACACTTTTATACCGTTTTGGGCGAGATGCGGAGGTGGAGGAAGAAAGAGGAAGTTACTATTCCGAGTTCGAGGTCATTCCCAGTGTAATTCATTTCCTCGTTTTGACAGGGTGGGCACTGTAATTGGTTCTGTTATCATTGTCGCCCGAAGACTTCCTCCTCGTTCGTCTGAATGTGTTCTCAGATGCGTGCGGCAAAAGTTATTAGCATGAGAAGATTGAAAACGGAATTGGAAATGAAGAAGAAGAAGAAGAAGAAAAGGGTTTGGCAGAAGTCAGAAGAAATTGAGTGAGTTGGAACTGGAAATTGGGTCTTACAACGAAAGAAAGAAAGAACAATTTCATTCGTAAAACTCGTACTGGACACAAAGTAAATTAATTCACTGTTCGATCAATGATTCGGGCAAATGTGCTCGTCCTTCTCGCTGACCGATTTGGCCGGTTGGAGCAAGTACGCGTCGTACTTTCCGTCGCGGGTGATCTCTTCCGGTGCCCGGTTTCCGTACTTTTTCATGTATTCCACCACTTTCTTCTCGTCCACCGAGTTCATTTCGAGACGCGATCCCCAGCCGACCAGGGCCAGTGGCTGCAAAGAGGTTACTTCAAGACAAGATATTTTAGCAGCCGGTGGAGATATCAAACATTTGTCAATTAATCAAATGTTCATTAGAACATTATGTACATCACGGTCTCCAGAGCTGACAATGGGCGCAAGTGCGCCCCGCCCAATAGAGCGATACATTGGCGCGAAATTCAAATTTTAACAGCAAAATTAGTGTTTTTTGCCAGATTAGCCACGAAAAACTGATAATTTCTCATTTGTCTCTCGACAGACCGATTATATAGGCTATTACGAATTTTTTAAGCGCAAGAGCGTTGAATTTGGTCAAGGCGCAAATCACATTTATCCGTTTCAAGGTTTTTGGCTAAAACTGCGTGAATTTCAGTTGCTTTGCTGTAATTTCCGCGGTTCGAGCGCTCAAAATGCTTGTATTTACGTGATTTATCATTCTCAAAACCAATTCTGTCTGAAAACGGTCAAGAAAGCGCAAAATGAGAAGTGCGGCGATCGGCGGCGAAGGCGAAAAAGCAAAGTCCGCGAAAAATGCGCCAAAACGTCATTAATTCTCGAGAATTGTTGTGTTTTCATGTCGAACAATCATTTTTCATCGCCTTTGACCACAAAAATCAGAGAAAATGTGCTCAATTCATGAAAACGCCATTAAGCCGCCGAGGCCACGCCCATATTGTCAGCTCTGGAGACCGTGATATACAATTCATTAGTTGAACACTTTTTGATATCTGTACCGGCAGCCGAGATACATCCTTTTCAATAAAGACTCTCAGGTGGTCTAACTTCCAAGGGCTACAGTTTTCAATTACAAAAATCAAGTACTAGACTTGAATTATTCACACACCAATTTTCAGACGTTTAGGCGCTCACCCGTTCGGCAGTCAGCTTAATGTAGGGAGTGATGACGTGGCGATAGATGCATGACGTCACCAGCTGTCTCAGTTTGTTCAATTCGTCCACATCGACGCACGGATGGTAGAGAAGGACGATGGCTCCGTGCTCCAGATTGTGCAGCCACCGCTGCACCGGCACGTACAGATATTCTCCGAAGCGCGCCCAGTTCGGACGGTGATCTCCTCTGAAATTGGGTCCATGAATGATTGGCTTGTCGGATCCTAGGCCACGTACCTGACGGGAATTCGGTCCTCGTACTCGATGCTCTCGTCCATGCATCTGTGCATCACTTGGTCCGTTTTCGGGTTGAACGTGCTGTTCTGCTGGACCAAATCGAAGAGCACCGGGTCGATGTCCTCAAGAAATATATTATTGTAGGATCAAAGTTTAAAAAAAAAGCACTTGCCCTGTGGCCGTGGCCTAGAAACCCACCTTCTGAACGGCGTAGTGAATTGAAGAGGAGCAGGTGAAGGCGCTGAAATCGCGCGGATCCCAATCCTTGTCCAGTTTCGTTTTCGCGTCGTCGCACGTCGTCAATTTGCCCATCACCGCTCCCATGTAACCGTGGGCGGTTGCGAAATGGAAAAAGAGGCACAAAAACGAGAAATAGCTCATTTCGGAGGGCTGAAAACGGAAAAATGGGCGATTTGAGGGACCCGAGCGATTATAATGAAACATTTGAAATTCGCATACAAAGCATGGGAATTGGTGGTTGTCGCCGCGCAAAAATCAATAGTCGCGACAGTCATTCCAGTGACTTTTTCCTCCTCCTCCTCCTCCGCGGCGGCAGGAAAAGCGTCTTGCGTTCCGCGCGGAGACAGTAAACAAAGAGACGGGCGGCACCACGGTTCGACGGGTTTATCCAGGACTAATAGGTCTAACAAGCAACAAGTGAGTTCAAAATGAATGTTGGATCAATCCACGATGATCAGTCTGGGCATGATTCGGGAATATATCGAAATTAGAACGAAAACAACGAAATGCCGGAAAAGCGAAACAACAATGAATAACAAAAGGGTTATTTGGAATGGCCCTCGCTAACAAGCACCTGGACTCTATTATTATTGTTTATTATGTTGTTGACCATGTCGGATCCGAAGACGTATTCCAAACGGAAACGGTCGAATCGCGTGAAGAGGATGACGGTGAGCATGCGTTGGAGAACGCTCGCATCGGACATGTTCACGAGTTCCGGGTAGAAGCTCGGGTGGCTCGGAAGTTGGAAGAACACGATTCGGTGGACGCCCTGAATAGATGTTGTAGAGGAATTCAAAACGCGAAGGCTCACCCTCAAGTGTCTGCGATTGAAGAAGTACCATCTCTCGGTGACGAGCAGATAACTCTTTTTCTCGTGCAGGAACATGTCTCTCGCGCGGTCCGTTTTGAAGCGTGGCGCGTATTCGTGGCACGCCACAAAGCTCTCTTCGGCGCGTTTCAGCTCATTTCGGACGCGAACAAAGTGATAATAGTTGGGGATGACGATGAGCGAGCGCGGCAGCAGAGTCGGCACAATCTTCTTCATAAAATATTCGATGCGGTTCACCGTCAACTCCGAGTTGTTGTTCACGTTGACTCTGTGCAGTTCTTGACACAACGGGATCTCAATCTGAAAATCGAGTCCGATCTCAGGGGCTGGTCCCGATCGGACAGCACTCACTTTATCGAGACATCCGGAAGAGGTCGGCGTGTTCAGCACCGCACCACGATGGTTACCAAAAGTATCGGTCATCGACGAGAGCACTAATTCGTTGGAGAACCGAGAAAAGAAGAGCACTTGGGAGAAGTGGCTACCATGACCGTCTGAAGGGGGACCAATCAGGGAATGCTCACAAAAAAAAAGCCTACCAAGGTACACCTTTCGGACTCTCGAGATGTCCGTGTCGATCTTTGACGGTTGCTTGTGGAGACATTCGAGCACATTCGTCGCATTTTCCCAACTCTGTTGCAGGATTATGTCGGTCTGAAAACGTTTAAATTATTCTCTGTTCTTTCCAGGACTTTTGAACCATTTTCGGTTATCCCATCGGACCAGAACTTTATACGATTATCAGTCTTGGTTTGTAGTATCTACCTCGGAAGTTTCAGGTTCATTAGATTCTCTGATGCGGACATATAGATTTGAAGCCGAAAAACCGTGATGTCGGAAAAACTACGGATTCGGGCTAAAACTTCAAAGGAAAATGCCTTAAACTAAGACTGTTACGGTCCAATCCAGGCCCGTGTCGATTCTGTCGGTCCCTTACCCTGTCCACAATGGTAATATGGATGCTGCTGAGGAGATACGCCTCTTTTCCCTCGCCGGCAACAATCATTCGGAGCCCGAGCGGAGAGCACAGAAGAATGTCGGCTTTATCGAACTTCTCGTACAATTTCATCACTTTTTTAGAGATGGCGATTCCGATGCGGAACGAATCGTCGTTATTGCCGCGGAGCAGTTCCTGCACGAGAAAACATTGGACTTTCAGTTTATTTTAATCGTTTCTACCTTGTGATCTTCTGGTAAATCGGCTCTGGCGAACGGAACATCCGACGGACCGCTGTACTCCTCCTCGAATCGATTCTTGTTCCACACTTCGCCACTTTCATCTGAAATAATGCCATCTCCTCTCCAATTTCTTTTCTCAATATTACCTTTTCCATGAAAGATGCGTCTCAATCGATGCACAATATCGTAGGCGTCTTTTTTGAACGGACAGAGGATAACGACGGTGGGACGCACGAATCCCGAATCTCGGCACGATTCGATCAGCTCCTCGCTGGCTCCGCCCTCTTGCGCCGCCGCGATTTCCAGTTTTCTCTTGTTTTCAATGATCAGATTTCTGTTTCTGATGACGTGTTGGACGACGTGAGCACAGTAGACTGACTGAAAAATGTCGAAAATTTTTTTTTTACCGAAAAATTGTTTTACGCGGTATCCGTCGTGATCTTTGGGGATGGCGAGAAGACTGGTGTATCGGGAGGTGAAGTCCATGAGTTCCCTTCTTTCCGCCTCAAAAACGGCTTTCTTGTCCGCGGGCACCTCTGTTTCGTTCAAAAGGTCCATCATGTTCTGCACAATCGCCTCGTTCCATCCGAGTTTCGACGGATCACAGGTCAACGGCTGAAACATTCGATTTTTCTGAAATTGTATCGCTTTGGATACCTCAAAACTGTCGAGTCCCTTGTAAAATACGCACTTTCCGAGACCGGGCAAAGAGAATCGTGTCTCTTCGGTTTTGCTCTTCTTCAGTTGTTCACTCTGTACTGCATCGAGTTTTAAGTCCCAAAACTTTGAAAAATAATCAATTTTCTTTGCAATTTTTACGGATTTCTCTTCCACGCTTTTCGGTTGCTCCAGCTTTCGTTTTGCCATTTTCTGGACTGAAACGTTTTGATTCTCTTCTCGATCTATCAAAGAAAGTTGGAAAGAAATTCAAAAACGAACATAAGCGTTTCGTTCAAAAAAATTTGAAAAGAAAACCAACTAAACAAAAAAGCACATTTTATGGGGGCTGAAATTGCGTTTCAAAGTATACAAATATATATATACTCACATGCGATTAGACCGAAATTGTCCGGTTGACAATTTAGACGAATACAAAATGAATGGGAGGAGTCAGTTTATATAATTTAGGAAGGAAGAACACGAAAAGACTTGATCGCATAGTTGAAATTTAGAGGAAAGGAGTGAAAAAGGGGGAAAAGTTATCGCATGTTTGTGTGGAGCACGAGATCTAGTCGGTCGGGGCGGCTTCTTGGCGCATCGTGTCCGGAATTGGCGGCGGGGTCGAGACTTCCGTGATGGCGAGGTGTTCGTCTGACGTCAGACGTAGTCCGATTGGCGCCGGCTGTTGAGCCTGAAAATTAGTCGACATTTAGAAAGTTTACTCGGAAAATCGCTTTCTTTTATCGAAATTAACTAGTTCTAACCGAAAATCGTATTTTGAGTACTCAAAATTGCAAAGAGGCACGATTTTGGAAATACATTTGGCACAAGAATAGTGTTTTTTGAAACGTTTAGTACTAAAACCCGGCCCGACCCGGATCTTGTTATTTTAATAGAACTTTCGGCTAAAAACTTGATAAATCTATAATTTTCCGCCCATTCAAACCTTGGCATTGGACGGCGTGTATCCGCACTCCTGAAGCGTGGCGGTGTCGTGCAAAACTTGGCTTCTGTTGCCGTGGTCATCGATTTTCCACAATTCCATGTTGTTCGCCGGTAGCTGAAACTGCTTTAAATCGAATTTATCGGCCCATTATCGATTTCTTACATGAACGATGCCGCCGATCATCATTTTTAGGTCCTGCACCGTTTGGTTGTCATCGGCGTCGATGAAATAGTGCGATTTTTGGCGGCGAACTTCGAAACACAGCTCTTGTGCCATTTGAGAACTTAAAAATGCAAATTATTTTGACAAAAAAATCGATAAAATCGGAGCAGAAAGAGGGGTGAGACGGCAAGAAATGGCGTCGAGTCTCCGTGGAAACGATGATTGACGCAAGTGCGCTCCATTGACAATCGACTTGCTCATTTGCGCGGCAGTTCAAATCGAGGAAATTGAGGGGATCATCGAAAGGGCGTGTTTACCAACGATATTCGCATCGCGTCGCTTGCCGAGTGACACACACATGACCGAAAGACATCTCTATCACAAAACCATCATATTTTCATCGGCGGCAGGCCCCAAAAATAGAGTAAATATTGACATGGGTTTTACTTTACCACAGTGTAGAGTTGCGGTGCCAGTCTTTTTCTCTTTTTTCGCGTTTTCTTCGTTCCCCCCGCGCGTGTTAATACTCGATAGTCGCCCCAATCGACAATGTCTTATCCCGATGATTTCCCGATTCCCCATGTTATTCAGCCGGTTAAAGTCGTCCGACACGTTGTAAAAGTGAGTTGAAGCCGAGAGAAATCAAGGGAAAATGAACTGAGAGTTTCAGGAAACACCCTTAAAGTCGCCCTTCTTGGAATTTTGTCCAAAATGTCAGGTTCGTTCTAATTCTCCCATCAATTTTACCCGATAGTTGCCGTCTTGAAAGGGTCTCGAAACAAATTGTGAAGTTAATAGTGTTTTTCGGGGCCGAAAACTTTGCGTCTTCACAAAATGCGACGGAAATTTACCAGAAATAAGGAAATCGCGCTAGATCGCTCAATTCTCAGCCGGCGGACGTGCGAAAGACCGCGAAATTCGAATTTCATCAAAAAAATTTAAAGGACCAGGGAACCGTCAAATTTTTTGATTTTTTTGTGAATTTTTTTTGTGTCTGTTTGAATTGTCTCTTATTGCCACTCATACACTGGTGAAATGCTGACTCTCAGAAATGCCAATGAACGAAACGGCGTGCAGTTGAAGTTGTGGCCGTGGCCTAGGAAACTCCGGTGTGAAAACTCGTCCCTGTGAGCAGTTTGATGCTCTTGCACTTTATATGAATGCTGATTTGTGTGAATGTTTTGCAACGTATGAAGATTGTGCCGAACGTAAAAAAAAAATCACAAGGCCTTGAACTTTTCTGGGACACGGCCACAACTTTGACTAAGCGCTGTTCCATTCACAGGTATTTTGGAAATTTGGGGCTCGGAGAGTGAATGTGGCAATAAGGAGCAATTCAGTGAGACACATAAACTCGGAGCGTTCCCTGATCCTTTAAAACGAAAGCAACAATATACTGGAAGACGCGTGGGGTCTTTCTATCGAGACCCTTTCCTAGTACGGCATGCCGTTACGTGAATTGAAGTATCTTGGGTCCCAGTTTCATATTTTACTCGGAAAAGGTCGATTTTACTCGGAAAAGGACGAAATGTTCGCGAAAACCTTCTCAAATCCGGGTCGAAACGTGGTCCCGAGATACTTCAATCCAAGTCCAAGAAACACGTAAAGTTTTGGACCAAACGGATAAAATTCAGTTCGAAACGGGTGTTGATTGCAGAGCACAATAATGACGACGTGCACGACGCACATCGGCGTCTGCTGGTGGCTCATCTGCTTCTTCGGAACCTTTCTCTTCTGCTGGCCCATCCTCGTCTTCCTCTGCTGCGACGCCTCGAAGGACGTCGACCACAACTGTCCGAACTGCGGACTCCTACTTGCCACCTCGAATCGAGCCGGTTTTTGAGTTACTTGTGACTAATTATAGAAAAATGAACGGGCCTACTTTTTGTGATGATAATTCATAAAATGACAAAGAATAAACTTGTTTCAAACTGTACTTTGTGTCCATGTGAAAAGTAACGGAAATGCCGTTTATTCAAAACGATATATCTCAGTTGTCTGTAGAGATATCAAAAAGTGGACAACTAACAAATTGTACATGAACAAATTTCGAACATTTTATCAGTTGACAACTTTTTGATATCTTCACTAGCAACTGAGATATGTTGTCCTGAATAAATGGTATTATGATGCTCCTCGTTACTGGTAAGTTGAGAGTCGAAAATCCAACAATAATCATGTTTCATTTGCGAGTTTTACATACACAAGTCACAGTCTCATTACAATATTATTCTGCGCGTCGGGAACCGGTGAAATGGCCATCATTCGGCACGAATTCTCGTCGGATTTCACAAAATCAAACTCGAAGATTTGGTGGAGAAGCTCGTCGCACTTAAAAAACAAATTCTCTTTTCTGAACACTCGATTTGATTATGAATTACCATTCTCATATTTTGCTCATTGTGCTTTCCGAGTTGCGAGCACTTTCGGCGATCTCTGAGCACATTTTGAACTCCCGCGATTACGACGTTTTTCGCGTCCGAAAATGAGTCGGATTCCGGTTCTGAAAAACAGTTGACGTTTTGTGTGACATGTTCACATCTAGTACGGTACTTTTGTAGTTGACAACACTTTTGTACAATCCCTCCCTGAATTACTGTAGCTCTTGGAAGAGTCGCAACTTCAGAGAACTACAGTAGTCTTGTAAGGGGTCGTCAACTACAAAAGTATATTTTCAAAGAAGCAAAACTTCTTATGAGGCCTACCGTAATCGATCTCATTGCTCAAAACGTTGGCAAGTCGGAACAGTTTCTGAAGGGAGAGGATGTGATAGGGACGGTTGAGAAGGGTGACCATCTGGAAGAGAAACCATGGCCTAGGATTGGGCAGTTAGGCCACCGACCTCATAGCTTCGTACGACGACCTCCACGAGCTTCTGCGTGTCTTCGCCGCCGCCGAGCCGCACAATCCGTTCGTAGGCGACGGCCTCGTAGTCGAGCAGCTCGATCTTCTCGCTGTGTCCGCGACCCGCCTCCACCGAGTCGAGGAACTCGGCCCACCACTTTGCAAACTTCAGAGCATCGTCCGAACTGCTCGCCGCGTTCACCATCTCCGCGTACGAATGATGAGCCAAAGAAATGAGGCACATGTCGACGGGCGACTCCCGATTCGCACTTTCGACGAGACGGACGCATCGAGAGAAGATCTGCTGGTCGTACGCCTCCACGGCTTCTGTGTAGACGTTGTCTGTGCAGAGCGACGAGTTATCGGCTGGAAGGGAAAAACGCGTCTACAGCAGAGTTGAGCGGAAGAACTCAATGGAAGAACACGGAAGAATTTTTATCTTTTTTAGAAAATTTTTTCATGGAATGTGATCAACTGACGAAATGTATAGCAAAGTGAACTCTGCTCATAGAAAAATCATTGTAAATTTAACTTTTCATACAAAAAAGTTATTCGAGTTGTTCCGTGAAAGTCTCCTTCCGTCTTCCGTTAGCCCTTTTTTTACAGAACAACTCGAATAACTTTTTTGTATGAAAAGCTAAATTTACACTTATTTTTCTATGAGCACAGTTCATTTTGCTACACATTTCGTCAGTTGATCACATTTCATGAAAAAATTTTCTAAAAAATATAAAAATTCTTCCGTTGAGTTCTTCCGCTCAACTCTGGTCTACAGTAGGATTTGCATTTCTTAGGCGTTCAAACTGCGAAAATTATCAAGCAGTTTCTGCACAAACCTTAAAATTTACTTCACGTTTTCATTTCTCAACAAAATCACGGAATTGTACAGGCAATCTATTGTCCTGAATGACCGCAATTTGGGCGCCTTATACTATTTACAATAAAAGCCACGCTGTAGATGGAATAGAACGCCTTGCACGTCAATTTTCTAGGTGAATAAAGACTGAAACTCACAATAAATGCTGCCGGAGCCCATGGAGGCGGGCGGCGTGAGAAGCGAGGGCGTCGGCGCCACGCTCCTCTCGACCTCTTTCCGAATCGTGCTCAACTTTTGCACAATCTCCTGCGCGACGACATTCCACTCTTCGCAGTGCTCCAAATGCTCGTCCATCTCGGCGAGTCGCTCCAGATTCTGCTGGATTTCCTGTATTCGCTTCATGCAATCTGAAAAAGTTGCGACTTACTGATAGCAAACCGATGATAAGCGAGGTAACGGAAAAAGAGAAAGAGAAAGAGAAAAAGGTTTTGCATTTTTGCGCTCTAATTTTAAAAAGAGTGATAGGGAAACTGGTATTTTTAAAGGGAATAGAGTCTAGGGAACGGATTACGGTAGTTCGAATGATCAGAAGAGCAACCGAACAATTTTGAGCCCATATTGTAGATTTACAAGAAGTTGTGTTGTTCTGAAAAGTTTAGTGTACAATCTTCACATCTATTACTGTACTTTTGTAGTTGACAACGTCTTTTGTAGCATCACTCCCTGGAGTACTGTAGCTGTTGGAAGTTCGAGGGCTTGGGACTAGACTGGGCACAAGTTCAAGGAGCTACAGTAGTGCTAAAGGAAGTGACTGTACAAAAAAGATGTCAACTGGAAGAATACTCTACTAGATACAAAGATTTTGAAAAAAAAAGTTTCAGAACAGTGGGAAAGACAGGAAAGAACAAAACTTTCAAAAAATCTCTTTCACTCGGAAGATCAAGTGATAATGAAACGGAGAAGAGGCGAGAGAGCGCATCGAAAAGAGAGACGCAGAGAAATCAGGTTTTAGCGGAAGAAATCGGAGGGGAATGGAAGTAGACACCTTTATGACCTCTTGATAATCTCAAGGGATAATGAATGGATGGGGAACCGGAAATCGCACGGAAAAAGAGGAGAAGAATGTACTGGGAACGTGGAGGAAACGGAAGGGAAGAAGGAAGAAGGAAGAAGGATAGAAGAGGGAGAACATGGAGTTCACGGTGCTCGGCCAACTGCGAATCAAGTAATTCCGGCCATTCATTGAAAATATTTGAATAAGTGAGTCGCGTGAGCGGGGGTATCTCATGCTCACAAACAATGCGAACAATGATCGGAAACAAACACGAGAGAGATCGACGCGAATCGGGGAGGCGCCGAACACGGAACAACTTTTGATTCGACTCGGAACAATGGATATGACTGGATTCGGACACGTCTTTTTTTTTTCGTCTCGTAACACAAAAAACCACTGAAATAGAAGAGCACCTAAGTATTGTCCATTCAAAGCGATATATCTCAGCTGCCGATGGAGATATAAAAAAGTTGTCAACTAAACAATTGTTCATCCAGAAATGTTGTACATTTTATCAGTTGACCACTTTTTTATATCTCTATCGGCAGCAAAGATAAATCGTTTTAAATCGACGGTATACGGTAGCCAGAGTTTAATGGCGTTCTGACACAAAACCAAAGTATTGTCGACTCGATTTTGAAGAGAGAATTGCCCCAAAAAGGTGGAAAAATTGCCACGTCACCTATAAAAGCAGGCAAACGAATGAATAAGTGTGCGTTCGAAACGAGCGAAAAACGAGTGAAAAGTCAGGCACTTGACCCTCGCGTAAGCCTCCTTTAAACGGCTAATTCCCTGGGCAAACAAGGGCAAAAACGAGAGGAATATTTTGTGAATTTCGCTTTTATGAAAACGTTAAATTCAAGTGTTCGCTTTGTGCACTTGAAATTGAGAAGTTCTATCTCTTTTCGGATATCGTCCGCCCACAAAAGTGAACATGCCATATTCGGAAGAAAAGAGGAGGGAGATAAGTGTGAAAAACGAGAAGAAGAAGAAGAAGAAGAAGGCAAAGAAACCAGTTGAAAGAGACCCGGATTATCGGGAAAATAAGCGAATAATGTTTTTTGGTGCGGTCGAAAAAGACTTTCTTGATTTATTAAGGGGATCGATGGCCACATATTGTAGAACAATTATTGTAGGGTTTTAAGAAGGATTTGAGAAGGGATCAGTTTGGCTGTTCAATGTTCAAACACCGAAAGAAAAAGAAAAGAGACTAGTCTTCGAGCCGACAGTATTATGCATTCGCGGATTTCTCTGTGGTGTCTCTCGGAAGTTTCTAGTGCCTGACCCCGCGGCCATCGCTGCTCTACTAGGCCAAAACAAGATTTTCAGAATGCGTTCATTGCGTACATAGTGAATGCGTTCATTATGATCAAAACTAACAAAGAGCAACAAAAAACTCGCAAAAATGTCTTTAGGTCAATGGAAAAGCAGCTTTTTTTTTCGAAAAATGGCTGGTAGTGCGTGCTTTTTGCGTCTCTTTGTTAGTTTACATCGTAATGAACACGTTCCCAAAAAATCAAGTGAAATTAATCAGTATTCGTCCGACGGCACGCATCGGAAGTTGCGGCGCACGGAGAAAGGCTTGGAGAGCGCACTCCTTGGCTGTTCCGTGACTTCAGATGCGTGCTGTCGGAAGAAAACTGAATAATTTCACTTGATTTCTTGGGAATGCGTTCATTATGATCAAAATTAGCAAAGAGACACAAAAAGCACGCACGAGCAGTCATATTCGGAAAAAAAAACTTTTTTCGTACTGATCCTCAGAATATCTTGCGAATTTCTCGTTGCTCTTTGTTAGTTTTGATCACAATAAACTCATTGCCAAAAAATTAGGAAAAATGAGCGATGCGCATTGGAGTTCTGCGCCTTTAAAGCAGAGGGGGATACGGTTGATCACAATTTTCCCAAAAAACTTTTTAAAAAGCGGATAAATGTATTAGCGTGAACTGTCCTCAACGCTTTTCCCAATTTATCAGTTCTTGCAGGGTTGGCAAATCAATTCTGTGTGCCGATAATACGATGTGGAGAGCATTTTTGCTGCTGTCGGCCGCCTTCTGGGAGCCCGTCGCCGGACTTTATTTTCTCTCGAAAAGCGATTCGATTTGCCGCGACGAAAGTTTTCTGTTCTACTGGCGCGCCAACGATTGCAAACTGCCCAAAGACGTCAATCCGTACGACATCAGCAACGATTGTTACGTCCGTGCTCAGGTACTTTCTGGCTGTCATGCGCGTTTAAAAGCACGGTAACCTTGCAGACGTGGTTCAGCGTCCTCGCGATCATTCTCGCGATATTCTGGGTGGCGCAACTGCTGCCGGCCATCGTCAATTTCATTGAGGGAATCGAGAGAAGGACAGAGTGCTGTGCGGATAAAACAAAGAAGTAGAAATAATGGAAACGAAGAGAACTCTCCTTCGTACTCTTTGGCTATAAAACGACTTACTGCTCTTTTCGGACGCTGCTCACTACGCAAATCGAATATTCTTTCAAAATTTCGACAGAATGCGGCCATATCGAAAATTGTTGTGTGAAGAGCTTTAAAACCGTCATTTTTCGGCGAAAAACAGCAAACGCTAGACTTCTAACCTAGAATTGCATCACAAATGGGAAGAACGGTCGATTTCTGGACAAAAGGTGCGCATTGGAAAGAACCGAAAGTGAGGAAACGCGTAAAATGTGTCGGGAAATTGAAACTTTTATGAAACAAAACGTCGTCGTGGCGGCGAGAGAAAGACGAATGTTACAGCGTTTCGAGGAAAACGGCGTCGGAGGAATGCCGCCCTCGGCTTCTTCTTCTTCTTTTTCCCTTTTGTATAATTAGTCACAATCAGCTGTCCTTTCGCTTCCATTCTCGAGGTCAAGACACATTCTGAGTGTGTAATCATTCTTTTCGTCATTTATGAATACGGCGACGACGTCTTCGATCATCTTCAATGAACGAGAGAGACAATGCCACTTTGGTTTATTTAAACAAACAAACAGAAGAGGAGAGGCGGCCGAGAGTTTTCTCGGCCACCACTAGTGGTTCTATGTGCTTCTTCGAGGGTCGGTTCGCGATTTCAACTACTTCTTGCAGCAGCAGCAGACAATTCCGACGACTGTCGAGATGATCGAGATGAGAACGATGACGCCGAGCACAATGTACACCCACATCTGAAATGACGACAGATTGCGGACGCCCCCGAGCCAACCGTACTCACCTGCAAAGCGAAGCAGCACTCGGCGTTGTTGTTCCCGCAGCAATCGTAGTAATGCGCGAAAGATCCCTCGCCGCAATCGGTTCCATTTTTGCCCGGACCCGGACAGAACTTCTGGCCCTCGAGTGCGGCGACCGAGCTGACATTTCCGGCCGCCACGTTGTTGTAGGCGGTCCCGGCGCCCCCCGTGTTGTCGGAGAAGACGTAGGCGACGGAAAGAGCGAGAAGAGCGAGGGCGAGGAGTTTCATGTTCGGCATGATTCAACTGAGAAATGAATAATAACAGTTGCAGATAATAGTCATCTTTTTTTTCGGTACTGATAGTGTTATCTTCACAATGTCAGAATATTCTAGACGATTCATAGTTTCGTTCAACTTTCCATCATGAACGACGTCGCCTTCTGTCGTCGCGCAGGTACGGTAGGCCCAATTGTGTGCAATTTGGAGTCGTGGTGTTTTCAGATGATCATCCGCGAGTGTCCCATCATCTTGTTTGTTCCGAGAAATGTCTACAATCACATTTGAACGTTTAATTTTCAATGTTCCCTTCGTATAAACGTGGCCTAGAAACCCAAAACTAGGCCATATGTTCTGCTTGTTGTTTGGTCCCTCGAAAAAGTGTAATTTTAGCAAAAAGCGAGAGTCACTTTTCGTCTCGGCCGGTCGTCAAATCTGCGAAAATGATGCGACATGTGGTCGCTATCGGATGCGCCCCCACTCCTCCTCGCAAAAGTGTAAAATATCTCCTCTCGTGCTCTTTTCCCCCCATCGGTTTCGGGTTGTTTGGAAGCGAGCGCGACGAGCTGATTGCGTGACTCTCTTCGCCCGCTTTTTGGTCACACAAATTTGGCGTCTTCCTCCAAACCGCCCTCTCCAAAAAGCCATCGGCTCTAATTGTGTGTGTGTGTGTGACGGGAAGCGTCTCAACCAAACACATACACACACATACACACACAGGACAATCACGCAACTATTATGAAATCCGTCACTGCTTTTTCGAGCAATTTTAGGGCAACCAACGCGCGATTCTCTCTCACATCACTGAGTTTTCCCCTTTGCATTTCTCTCATTTCTTATTATTCGTTCTGGAAGGAAATGACGAGGCAATGAGTAGAAGTGCCTAGAATTGGGACGGTGTCGGATTCTAGGCCACACAGTCTTTAGTGAATCTTCTAATCCTCGCGTGGCTTTCAGGGATTCCAAGATTCCAAGTAATCTAATCGTGGCCTAATTTTCCTCCCGATGAATTTGTAGGCCACCAAGCCTAGTTCCCCTATTGTTGGATTCTAATTAGACACCAGAACTCTTGGCTAGTCTTCAACAGATTCAAGCCTTCCCTTCCCATGGCCTAACTTTTCCCTTTGTCGGACTCTAGGCCACCACTCGTGGCCTCCAAGAATAACCGATTTTCCACAAAAAAAATCGTCCAGTCACGAGTGAAATCCAGCTTCTGTTTTTGTTGTTTTGTGTGTCTGGTGAGTAGGAAGTGGGGGGGAAAGAGGTCAAAGTGTCAATATTTACATTCACCGCTTTTTCCCCCTCCACTGTTTTCGCTCGCTCCCGCGCAGATTGCTCATTTTCAGTCGACACACTGACTGAGAATACGAAATACTCGAAAATTCTTCTTCTTCTCCATCTCCTTCTCCTCCTTCTTCTTCTTTTCCCGTTTTCTCGTCCCCTGAAAAAGAGAGGGGGAATTTCGAGGCGAAAAGACAAGAAAAAGCGATTTGTCGTGCTCGTGAAAGCATGTTTTCGTGCCCATGTCAGTCCCCTTTTTTGCCAAATTTTGTATGTGTGTGTGTGTGTGGTTTCGAAGGGAAGAAAGGGGGCGTGGCCTATTTTCGGTTCGTTAGGCGCCCACACTCACAAGCGCTCACTTTTCTTTCTTGCGCGCGACGAAAATTCGTCTTTTCCTGCCTTTTTTCTAGGAATTCGAGCCTGAATTAGAGCTCTCGGGTAATTATGCGGGTATTGGCAATGCTCTCAACTTTGGCAAGTGCTGCGCCTTTAATACAGTACCCCGCAGACTTTTGTAACTCGTTTTTCTTGTATTATAGGGGCATCTCGCAGAAATGACGCTTTGTTCGCAATCTAGCCAAAATTTCTAGGCCGCGAAGTAATTTTCCACTGAAAACGTGGCCTAACTTTTCAAACTCGGCCCCGAGGTCGCTCAATTTACACTGCAAAACGAGTTTCTCAACAGAGCGCCATTTCTGCGCGGTGCCCCTATAATATGTGTTTGTTTTTCCATTTCGTGTGTCAAAACCAGAACGCGTTTCTCTCTAGATTTCTCCAAAACCTTTTCCAGGCCACTTCTCGGGTCTCGAAGCGACCACCCTACAGTAGTCGGTAAACTTTAAAGGCGCAGCGCGTAGCGAACCGAAAACTTTGTTCTTTTCGTTTTCCATTTCGCCGCGAAGCGTTATTGTTTTGTTTCGTTTCGTTATTCCGGCCGACGACGACGACGACCCAAACAACAATTATTTTGCCTGCGCTCACTTGCAACAACCGCACGTACGAGTAATTTTCGAAAGTAAACTGAAACGTTGATGAATTCCGACGAAATTAAGTTAAATCGGTGTGACGTGGCAGCGGAGAATCGGAGAGAATTGAGAGGATAATTGGATTTGAAAAAGGCTTTTAGTGAAAGTGAATCCGCCGGCGGCTTCCATCGCCCGTACAAGCCATTCGAATGGATCTTCGGGTTCCGCGACGTTTCGCAACCGTCTTTGCCCGTTTTCGGTTGCGAAACAGTCCATGACTCACAGATAACATCACGTTCCCACAACATTCAGGCCCAAAAACATTCTGAGAATGGTATAAAACGAGTGAGTCAGTGGCCTTCTCGACGTGCTACTTGACATCGAATTATTGCGAAACGACAGTATTCGTTCTTCTTCTTCTTCTTCCTCCTCCCCACATCCATTCGATGGTTTTTGGTCTCACCACGAATTATCAGAACTTCGCTATGCGCCTTTAAAGTACGGTAGTTGCATTTTTTTTCAGTTTCTTTCGCTGAACCAAGCTAGAAAAAGGCTTTCTCGCATTTTTCATCAATTCTAGACCTGCTTTTCCGGAATTTTTGTGTACAAACTTGTCAGAATCGTTGTGTTCTTCGCAATTCCAGAAGAAAACTGAACATTTTTCACATTTTGCGCGCATTCCTGACCTAGAATTCCGCAGAAATGGCAGAGCGGCTGAAACTTGCGCGATAGAGCGCGTTTGCCGCACAAAAACAGAGAATGTACAGAGAACTACCGTACTTTAAAGGCGCATAACCGCCTTCTCCGAATCATATCTCTTTCGGCGCGTTTCCAGAAAGTCTTGTTTATCGGTTGTGCCCTCCAAAAATTCTCTCTTTCTTTCGATTCGCTCGTTGGCTGTCACGCAAAAGACCTCCGCCGGGGCCACATGATGTTGTGTTTCCGTTCCCATAATAGCCCTTTGTCTCCTTCTCTCTCTCTCTCTCTCTCTCTCCTTCTTTCCCTCTTCAATCCATTTTTCAATTACCTTTTCCTCCATTTCATTCATTCGAAATCAAATCCGCACCAGAAATTCTTGAGATGTCGATGGGGACCAGTGAAATTCGCGCGGCCGAATGCATTTCTGAGCACGTTTTTATGTTTTTTTTTCGGGTTCCGCTCCTTCTTTACAAGCATCAAACAACTGGGTTCAGGGGAGATGGCCTAGAAGTTTCAAACATGCAATATTCCTTTTCAAACCGCATCCAGAACGTTCCAGGGTTTGCAAACAAACCACTTATATTCCAGGCCAACCCATTGCTGGCCTAACTTTCCATCTCCCCGGGGGGTACAGTAGCCCGCTGTCAAAGTCTTTTGAAAGCCGCCGAACCTTGACCGATGACGTGGCACACGAATAAACATTCCGATTCGTGTGTGTTTGCGATGGCCTTCACGCTTCCACCACTTTTTTGAATAAGTCTACAATATTCGTAAAGGACGTGAGACACTTGAATCTTTTTCAACGATTTTGAAACGCTCGGCCTTCAAGGGACCACAAATCAATCGCATCCATCTATTTTCACTGCCAAAAGTTGTCATCCGTCTAATCTCTGACCCTCCTCGAAACCTCTTCCCCACCCACGCTCTCTCTCTCTCTCTCTTTCTCTCTCTCTCTTTCTCTCTCTCTGCCAATCGCGTGAAATTATCTCTCTTTTGAAACGAAACTCTCTCCTTTGGGAGCTCATACTTCTTCTTTTCCCGCTTTTCCAGTCGATACAGCCATGCTCTCGTACGTTTCTCTGGCCGTCTGCATCGGAATCGCTCTGGCCGCCAACAATGTTGAGCAGGATGTGAAGAGCGCCGTCAACGAGGTCACCACCACTAAGGTAGGCGGACTCTAGAATAAGAGCATCCCTACCGTCTATTCAAGACGATGTATCTCAGCTGTGTGTAAAGCTATCAAAAAGTTGTCAACTGACAAAATGTACACAATGTCTTTCTAAGCATTTGATCAGTTGACAACTTTTTGAAATCTCTACAAACCGCTAAGATATCCATCAATTTGCAGGACGGAGACACCTACTGCCCGGTGCCACTGGTGGGAACCAAGTGCGGAACGTCGAGCATCTTCCACTACTGGAAGTGCTGCGGAGACCTCAACAAGGAGTGCTGCTTCAACCTCCAGGTTCGGACAAGCTCTGGAAATTTGATAACGTTTCCTTGCAGACGTGGGTGTGGGTGACGCTCGCCCTGTTCGGAGTGATCTTCGTCGCCTCGTTCGTCATCTCGCTCGTCCGTTGCATCTGCTGCCGCAAGTGAACTCCTTCCTTCCTTCCTTCTCCCTTCCGACCGACCCGATCCCAATCTTTCCGTAGCCTCTCGCCCAACTTCTCACTTCTATCGAACTCCCGAATATTCCGATGACACTGGCTCAAATAGCATCACCCCTCCCCCCCCCTCCACACCGTTCTTAGCCCTTTGCTTTTTCAGTTTTATATGTCACACACAAGCTTCAAAAGTTTACATTTTCCAATAAAGATGTCTACACAACAAATCATTTAAAACCTAACCTTACCTAGCCTTGTCGGACTAGTTACATTCGGAGGTGACCCTGCTCATTTTTTCTCTTCCGAATCACATTCTTCCGAGCATGTCGTCCATTAAACTCGTCGGATTGGCCACCCTTTTCGCGGTCCTGCTGGCTCAGAGTGCTCAAAATGCAAAGCAGGCAGTGAGTGGTGGAGACTACGAATCCATCAAAGATCTCAAAGAAGTAAGTATTGCCCAGCATCCGGAGACCAGCTTTCAGAGCATTTTCAGGGAGAAGTGTGGTGTCCGAGCAAGAAAGTGCACAACGAAACCGAAGAGGTGATAGGCACAAAGTGCGACGAAGGATCGTTCGCCCATCACTACGAATGCGGCGGAAAAGACAACGGAGAATGTCGCTTTGCGCTTCAGGTAGTGGTGCTTGCGTGCATCAAATCTTACGAAATCTGCAGCTGTGGGTGTACATTGTTATCGGAGTGATCGTGCTCATCTCCCTCTTCTCGACAATAGCCGGAATCGTTTGCCGCTGCTTCTGCTGCAAGTAGTCTTCCAAATATTTGAATTTCATTTTTCATTAGTATAAACTTTGTTTCGCTTGTTTTTCACACTGTTTCAGCCGAGAACAGCGGCGGCCGTGGCCTAGAATTCACGGCGCGGACTCCTTTCGGACAAGGCGCCAAAGTTAATTTAATTTCCGTTTCTTGTCTTTTTTTTTCTACAAAACTCTCATAACATGGAGATGGAAACGACGCAACGCACAATTTTGGAGATGAAAAAGGAGAATGTGAGGGAAATGGCGCAAGTGATCAAAACGATACTCTTCAAAGAGGTTTCCATCCACTTTCTCTTCGAATTTTCCAAAAAAAAAGTAATTTTTCCAGCAAGGCACTATCCACGCGTTCGATAAAGGAATCAAGATCACAGTCGACGATGCAGCGTGTCAGCAGGTGAGATAAACGGAAAATTTGCAATGAAATTCAATTTCAGGCAAATCTCTTCATCGACGCCACGTTTTTCTCGAATTTCCATGTTCGCGAAGAGAATATTGCGGTAAAGTGGCCAATTAAGCACATATTTGTACGTTTCTCCTGAAATAAAATAAACTTGACACGTTTTTCGATCAAAATTTAAAAAAAAACCGAGTTTAAGGTCAAAACTCTAGAAAAGCCCGATAGAAAGGAATCTGAGAAAACCGAACTGTTTCAGGAGTTCCTAAACATCCCGGAGGGCTCTTCGAACTCGTGCAAGTTCTCATACAACGGAATGTTCGCTCCGTTGAACCTTTTGATAGAAGACTCGGAGGGATACGTGATGCGCGGCCGTCTGAACAGCACGATGGCCGAGCAGGAGCTCGACTTCGAGTTCCAGGACGCCACGGTGCTCGCCACGTTCATGCTCAAAACGCAGGTGCTCAAGGACGTGTTCAAGGTCGGGTTTGTGGTGCACTTTTGAGTTTAAAAATCATGATTTTGGTTCAGGATTTCGATGAAACGAGTCGTCTTGTGAAAATCGAGTTTATGAAGACACAAATCTGCTTCTCGACGGATGGAGAAGTCGGCGATATTACGGTAGACTACCGTAATACTTTTTCAACTTTCGAATTGTTTTTTAGGTGTCAATTCCATCGAAAAGTCTTCAAATGGAAACTGTGAAATGCGTGGAAGAGGTGGAATTCAGCTATAAATTGACGTTGCTCCAGCGGATGGTCATCGCGTTGGGAATGGCCGCAAAAGTATCGTAGTCCCGTGATGGTTACTGTAGATATTGTCGGTTTGCAGGTGGTGATGCGAGTCGACGATCGAGGCGTTCTTTGCTGCCATTTCACCATCGACCACGGCGACAATCGGCAGAGTTATGTGGAATTTCTGACGGTGCCCGACATTGATGATAATGAGAGTGACGTGTAGAAATACTTATAAATTTTTATTTGTTTATCGTTTTCAAGCAGCATTCTGAAGGTAAAAAGAAAGATGGAAGTGCGAACTAAGTACAGAAGAAAAGACAAACAACTCATTTTCAAACAATACGAATTCCACTCTAACCCAGTAGTTATTCGACTATTTCGGAGAGGACACTTTATCACAACGCTCAAATGGTAATGCTATAAATTGGATGAGGGAAACGAATAAATTAACGTGACCGATTCGATGAAAATAAAAAGGTGCTGAAATTGATCACTGCGGCGGCGGATTGGACGGGTTGAACGGAATCGGAGTGAAGTAGGGCGAATCCAGAGACGTTGCCGGAGGTGCCGCGGCGATCTGAGCATGGATTCCAGAATGATCTTCAGAAGGGTTTCTCACATTCTGTGACGACGAGTAGACCTGCGAGAACGCGCTGTTCGCCGACGGAGCGACGATTTGATGGTAGGCAGGGACGGGAAGGGGATTGGCCACCGAATACTGAAAATAAAGAAATACTGTTGAGATCGTACTCCTATCTACCTGTCCGTGAACGGTTGCCGGTTGTGGCTGCTGAGCATGCTGCTGCTGCTGCTGTTGTTGATACTGCTGGTACTGGTTGGCTGAAATGAGCTTGCTCACATCTACTGTACTTTTCCTTCCCCTACCGTAATGCTCAGCGTACTGTTGCTGCTGCTGTGCATATTGCTGCTGCCAGTAGGCGGCGGCTTCCGGCGAGTATGCGTACTGTTGTTGTTGGTACTGCGGATCGACTGGAGCTTGCTGATGGTATCCTGGGTACTGTTGGTAGTGCTGCTGCTGCTGCTGGTATTGCTGGTACTGTTGTTGCTGTGGCGGACTTGACGGCTCGACAGAGCCTTGTGGCGGAGATCCGATCGGAGAAGTTGGTCCCGAGTGGACAATCACTTCTGTCAGCGGCACTGGTGTCGGTGGGATGGGTACTGGAGCGGTAGACTCTTCAGGACACGTCATCAGGGGAGGAGCTGGAGCAGAAGCTACGGAAGTAGTGGACTCGGAGGATTGTGTAGTTGAGGGAAGGACAGATTCAGAAGAGGTCGATGAAATTGGTGGCTCTAGACCAGCAGCATGGTGAGTTGGAGCAGTTTGCTTGTTCGGCGGGTTCGGGATCGTGTCCTTGATCAGCTGAGGCATCACTCGGTTCAATCTCTCCACCGTCATCTCGTAAAGACCCGGAATGGAAGCGAAGATGGCAGTGCTGTCCATAACAAGAAGCATGTTCTTCAGCGACTCCGGCACGGCTTCATTCAGATTTCCGCAGCTGTCGACACGAAGATACTGTTCCATGTAGTCGAGAAGACGCATCCAGAGATCTGGGAACGAGTCGAGGGCCGAAAGAGCGGTCAGATGATTGAGCAGAGTTTTGGCGACGATTTGAAGGGTCCGCACTCGCGTGTCTTCCATTCCAATCGGGTCCATTTGCGAGAACGGCTCGAGCAGTTTGGTGAGCAGCGGGAAGAGCACTTCTCCGAAGCAAGACTGCCATTCGGCGGCTCCCAATGTGGCCATATTCGCCGGAAGGAATGCTCTCTGCAATAGAAACTGCGCGCTTTTTATACGAACTCAATGTGTCAGTTTACCTGAAGATGAGTGAGAGCGGCTGCTCGCACACCTCGTCTGCAATCGCAGCTCAATCGGCCCATTGCTTGGAGGAGGGGGCGCCAAATGTCAGTCCAGACGAACGAGACGGAAGCGAGATCAGCGCAGCTTTCCTGTTTAGCCCATTCGGCGAAAATGGCGGGAGTTTTGGAGTGGAGTTGAGAGCAGAGATCCAGAAGATGGAGGGACGTCTGAAGACGGACAAGATTGTTTCAAAAGAAAACGCTTCCCACCTGTTGATAATTGGCGGTCAACTGCTGCTCCTCATTCCTGCTTTCATCGGCTTCTTCGGGCACGTCCATCGACAGATCCTTCTTCTTTCCGTGAGGATGATGGTGGTGTTTCTTCGCCGCTCGTTCCTCGGTCACGGTACTTTTCAATCGATTCTGCGCGTCTCCGCTGAGCGGTCCAGCCGCATAGCATCCACCGTCAAAACTGGCTTCCACCATAGTTCTCAAGCATTGGAGGCTCGACTCAAAGTTATCCGGAGTTACGTGCATGCCGTCTCTGAGCAGGAACGCGAGACATTCGCACACTTTCAAGAATGACGCCGGTTCGTGTCTTCCGAGTCCGGTTCTCAAGACGAGACTGCCGAATCGCTGAAAGTTCTTCATGTGGGAAGTGGCTCCCAGAGCGCGGAGTGCTTCTTCTGTCGCTTTCGCTGCATCTTTGTGGTCAAGATGAATCCAATCGGCCGGCTGTCCTGATTTCTGAGCTCCGAAAAGTGAGCCGGCAGAGTCGACTCGGCTCTCCAGATCGCTTCCCGAGTCGTAGTTCGCTCTCTTTCCGCGCGCCTCCTCTCCTTCCGATGTGTACGCGCGTTCCTCGTGTCCAGACCGTCCCGTTTCCTTTTCCGCATCCGAGAATGCGTTTCTGGCGTCTCCTTTCGATTGTTGTTGCGGTTGCACATAATCATCAGGAAGAACGGCGGCTCCGGCGGCTTCAAGAAGCGCGAACAGCACCGCCCAGTGCTCCTTCTTGTGCACATTTGCGGCATTTGCACGGATGAGCTCATTGAGACCAAAGGCGATTTGTCGACTGAACACGAAAAGGGCCTTGGGCGAGAGACGGAGAAGCATGGAGAGGGAGTGAAGAACGTCGTCGGAGACTGTGTTGTCGCGGAACAGATTGCGGTTGGCCACTCGGAGCAGTCCGACAACGGCTCTCTCCACAAGTACTGGGCATCTTCCGAATCTCGGCGAGAGGAGCCATTCGATGTGACGACGAACGTGTGGCCAGACGAGCGGAAGACGGTCCTTGTTCTCCAGAGTGATCGAGACGATGAGCTCGAGATAAAAGACGAGCGCGTCCTCGTCCTCTCCGCTGAGACTGGCGGTCTTCTGCTGCGGCTCCGCCAGCTCCACAATCATCGCGCTGTTAGCCGCGAGCGAACTGAGCATTTCTGCAAGGCTTGTGCTCGTCAGGTACTTGCTATCGGCCACAATCTGAGCCGGGCGGCACTCGGCAATGACCTGAGAGGCTAGTTTCATGGCGCTCAGTTGCTCTTGACTCGGCTTCCGGCGCTCCGCTTCCGACGCTCCACCGCCCAGTCCAAACCAGGAAAGGAGGCCGGTATCGCTGCGGGTAGTGGTGATTTCCTTCTGATGGACTCTCTGAATGCTGACCCATTTCTTCGCGTCCACATAGTCGTCCACTTCAGTCATTTGGCTTGGAAGAAGACGTGCTCGGAAGAGTTGAAGCAGCACTTCGAACAGATTTCTCCAGCCTTCTCTCAGAATGTTTCCGTTCTCGTGCACCAGGTAGAACAGTGTACGAGTCGCCAATTGAGCCTTGTGGTTCTCTCCGAACGCGAGGGAGAGAACTTCCGGCGGATGGTTGAGAATGCCTCCGAGTGAGCCGACCGAGCTGCTCGAGACGTCGACCATCGATCGGTGCCGTTGAAGATCAAGAGCGTCGTCGGCTCCTCCGTCACGCATCGAGGTGAGAGTGGTGAACTTGCAGAGATGGATGCACAGATTGTCGAACACCTCCTTCATTCCATAGTAGGCGGCAATCTTCGCGCACTTTCTGTATCCAGTGAGCGCCTTCTGGAGTATCTGTTCGTGCTCCGATTTATCGAAGACGTAGGAAAGAGCGGCGACGGCGGGTCCCCAGCAGACTGCGAACAGATCGTGATCATTCCATCCGGTGGGCGCGTGGAAGAACGATCCTTCGGAAGTTTCTCCTCTTCTCAACAGGACCTTCCACATGTAGTCATCTTTGACAGTCCCCTTCTGCTCGGCTGGCATCACAATCTCCTCTGTTTTGATCGCATGATACATCTCCGCAAGCATCTCCGGTTCAAAGTCCTTGGTCCCGTTGGTTCCCGAAAGGTTTCGTCTGAAGCAGTCGACAGTCATCGGCGGTTGATTTCTCTTCGCCTGCGGATTGTGCTGATCGACATTCAGCATGATGATGGCGTAGGAAAGGGTGAACGCGGCGTCTACATGGTTAAACGGCTCGTTGTTGGCAGTGTACCACTCCTCGGAAAAGTGCGTCATCACGAGAGAGATCTCGGCAGACTCGCCCGGAAGTCGGAACGTCTCCAGGAACATGCGAAGGGCCACGTCGAGGCGAGTGTTCTCGAACGGGAAACTCTTGACGAAGGCCTTCAGAACGTCGGCGTGCTTTCGACTGCAAATGTAGTCGGCGATGGCCTTCTTGTCCAACTGCGGATTCGTGCGCAGCCACTGCACGAGACTGTCCTCGTCGTGTCCCAAAATGCCCTTCTCTCTCAAGAACTCGATTCCCTTTTTGGGGCTCTGATTGAAAAGTTCGGTTCCTTCCGCGATAAGCTTCTTTCTTTTCTTCTGATCAATAACTTCAGTCATCGACGGAAAGTTGTTCGACGGAGCGTGACGGTTGGAGCGGAGCAAGACAGTCGGAGCAGCTGGGATCGGGGATACGGTAGCGGGCACTTCTCCCCGACTCATCATCCTCTTTCCGCAATCATATCCACTAAGCACCGGGAGTCCCAGTTTCTTCTGATCCTTCTGCTCATCCTTCGCTTCGGCGCCTCTACCGTTCTCCCGATCTTCGCAGTTGTGCTCGATGGTTTCGATGACAACGAGGAGTGCGTCAAGGGAAAGGAGCGAAGCGGTGTGTCCGCCGAGAGTGGGGAACGAGTTCTCAACGAGAAGCTTCGTGAGATCTTCGAAGATGTTTCCGCAGTAGAGATCGCAATCGAAATTGAGGTACATTTCGGTGACGAGTCCCGGAATGCGCCACAATTGGACAAGGGACTCCAGAGCCATTTCCTTTTGCTCGGTACCGCCGTTGGTGAGATTCTAAAATGAAAAGTATTAGAAAAATTGAGAGTTTCCACTATTAACCTCTTCAGAAAGCACAATAGTTTGCAACTTCTTCAAATAGCTCTCCAGCTGAAACTTCAGGTGCATTCTCATCGACTCAAAAAGCAGGAAGCAACAGCGATTCGTGGCTGCGAGAACCGGCAACTTCGCAGAGTCCAGCAACTGAAGGAGACTTCTGCACAGGTTGTCCTTGATCAACGGCATCAGGACATCGTAGTTGGGCAGGAAATCGGCGACCGCTTCGAGGGCAACAATGAGCAGATTCAGGCCGAGCACGACCATCGATTCCGTGTTGTGGCGATCCAGCGGATTGATCATTGCGATGAGGAATCGGAGGAGTTCCCGACAACAGGGCAGTCCGTAGGGGAGCTTTTCCTCCAGAACCTGCTCGGTTTCGATCGGATCCTCCTCATCTGACACTATTTCTCTCTGAAGTCCTCCATGGGAACGGGTTCGTTCATCCTCGCCGCCTTCAGACTCCGAATCCGCTTCGTCGCCTTCGGAAACCGCCTCCTTCTTGATTTCTTCGGTCTGTTTGTCCGGTTGGGTTACGGTATCGACGGGCGGATCAGTGGTCAGCACGACATCATAGCCTGAAACTGATTTCTGTACTAATTTTCAGAGTTTATCATTAAAAAGTTACCTAATTTGGCTCCGTCAGCTTCCACTTCACTAGTCGGATCGATTAATTTGGTGGATTCCGTCGGCGTTTCTTCCTCCTTCGACTCATTTTTTTGCTCAACATGCACTGAAATCTGACGCTTCTTCTTCCGCTTTTGACGTTTTTCAGTTGGATTCACCTGAATATCACATTGTTCTCAAGTTCTTTTCATTATCATTTTGAATACTCACTAACTGCCGGATGTACGGATGTCGGGTGTCTTCCACGAACGTCGGTAATCTCGTGAAGATCAATTGGGTCATGTCGGCCAGCGTCGATTCGGCTGCCTGAAACGAGGAAATGAATGGAGGTTTTTTTAGAAAACAGCTTTTCAACGTACTTTTCTGAGTAGAAGTGAGAGATTCTGCTCGAATACGATTCTGAAGCAGGACTGCATCATATCACAAACTGCTTCGTTCGAAAGGAGAATTCCAGGAGGCGAAAGGAGCAAAGAGCGGAGCACCTGGAATGTTAATACAATTTCAGATTATTCTTTCAGCAATTCAATAGGATCAGAAATTATGAAATCGCTTAAAATCTATTCTTACTTGCAGAATCTTGAACAGAACGCACTCATCACTGCCATTACTCTTCCCTCCGATGAATTTCGTGTGAACGACGGCGTAAGCGATGGATTCGACGGCATTGGCGGCCTTGATACTGCTCGCGTCAATGAGCCCGTAGTTTAGGAATTTCGCAACGGCTGCCAGAGAGGCTTCTGTGATCGGTCCGTTCGTATTCTGGGCTTTGATGACGTCGAGAAACGGGGAGAGGTAGGTGAGCGGGTTCATGTCGGCCAAATCTGCCACCTGCAACGGTTTCAGGTACTCTTGAATTCATCTTATCGTTTTTTTGGTTAGTTGGAACGTTTTCCGGGTAATATTAGTAACTTTCAATAGTTGTCTAGCTTTCTAAAGCTACCAACCTCATTCAGAACTTCTTTCAAATCGGTAAAGTTCCGAAGCAACGGATCTGTGTCTTCCATCGTCGGAACCTGATGAGATAGTTGATATTGTCTGAAAACAAGTTTTTCCTTTCGAATTCCAGCTTTTCCCAAACCTTCTGGCTTTGTTGAGCAGCGCAACGACGCAATTCGCCTCGCCCATAACGATGTAGACGCCATTGGTCGCCATCTTGAAACGACGACGACCTGCTGCAAAGATTATTGGTATTGTACATCAACACGCCTTATTTTATGTCAGGAAGGTAATTTTACAAGAAATTTGTGAAAATCTGGGGAAAAGCGATAAAATCTAGCGAAACGACCAAGGAATTACACGTCACGTGCACCGCTTTTCGGTGTTTTGACCGCAAACACTGTTACGTCGCAATGCACACTTTCGGCCGCTCTTGAAATAAATAAATTTTCAATGTCAAATTTTGAGCCGAAGAATCACAAATGAGCAAGCAAAAAGGTCTGAAATTGATGTGGCGATACACAAAAGGTTAGTTCTTCTATTTTTATGTTAAATTGAGTCAACGTATCCAGGAGCAGCGGCATTTTACTGCGTAGCACATTGCATCAGTCGGTATGTCGGTGAGCTGGTGATTTGCAGCGGTCCTTCGATGTATCCTACTATTCACGATGGAGATTTAGTACTTGCCGAGAGATTCAGTGAGTTTTCCTTCCGAAACATACTAAAATTGCAAAAAATTCATACATTTTTCCTCTGAAAGTTTCAGGTATCGCTCAAAAAAACGTACAAGTCGGAGACATTGTCGGATGTCTGAATCCGCAGAAGCCACAGGAGTTGCTCTGTAAACGGATAAGAGCAAAAGTAAGTCAATAATCACAAACTTCATTTGAAAATCAAATAATTTCCTAGGAGGGAGAGCCTGTAACCTGCGAACTTCTACCTTCCGGACGGGTTCCTGTTGGTCATGTCTTTCTTCAAGGCGACAATAACGCCGTTTCCACGGATTCTCGTCATTTCGGCCCCGTTCCAGAGGGCCTCGTCCAAATCCGTCTCTCCCTTCGAATATGGCCACCTGAAAGAGCCGGATGGATCTCCGATCACTGGTTCTGGGACCGAAAGGATGAAAACGAAGTGAAATAGTCGATTTCTCCGTGCATTCTTGTATTTTTGTATTTAAGTTCCAGTAATAATTAGTCATTCTAGCTCAGCTTCTTTTTACCCGCTTTTCTTTCCGTTGAAATTGCCTCTTGTTGACTCTTCTTTTTTTCCCGTGATTTCACTATAAAATGACACAATTTTCATCATTTTGTCTCATTTACGAGTCATCATCCTCATATTATTTAAATTTTGGTGAAAATTCAATTTTCAAACCATTTTTTCAACAGCAAGGATGGCGGATCGACTGACGCAGCTGCAGGACATGATCAACGACATGGCGACACTGATGACGAACGCGATCGGAGTTCTGCAGGCGACTGCTCCGCCGTGCGAGTTCGGATCCATTTCGAAAGAGCTCGAGGATGAGCCCAACTGCGCGGTCTTCGCTGCCGGCATTGCCAAGGCCGCCAAGAATATCGAGGTGAACGGATTTTCTACACAGAATTCCCAATTTCGCATTTTCCAGATCCTAATTGACTCGTTCCCAATCGAAGCGGGCACTGTCGAGGACGAAGTCGAGGAGAAAATGGTGAAGAACGACGAAAAGCAGAAAGAAAAAGTGAACGAACTGGTCGAATTGGTCGGCGATTCGCGTAAACTGATCACGATTGTGCAGCAGAAACTCACCGAAATCGCCACAGTTCAAATGATCTCCCGGCCGAATGAGTAACCCGATTTATTGTGATTTCACAGATCTCTTGTCAATTTTATCACTTTTCCATATGTAAAAAATCTTTTTTATTTACTCTTTTGTGTGATTTATCGGATTTCCCAATTGATTTACTTTCGAAAATCTCCGATTTGCGATTTTCCTTTTGATCTTGGTATAATAAAGTTCAGATGTCGTCAGAAGAAGAAATATCAGAAGAGGAGAAACAGCGACGACGAGCCGTGCAACGTGAGCGATATCTGATGTGTTTGATGGTAAATAACTTCGGAAAATCGAGTCATTTTTATGAGAATCGTATGTAGAACGCAGTCGACAAGCCGGCGACGATCCAAATGCACGAGAATACGACCGTGACGGCCACGATCAAAGCGTTCCAGCCGTCCGGAGAACACGTAATCGTCGGTGAGGGTCTCGAAGCGAAAACTTTCGAACAACTGCATTTTCAGAGAATTTGAACACTCCGATAGGAACCATCGAACGCGCCGTTCTCCGAATCTCGGATATTGTCAAGGTCAGCTGGGATATAGAGAAGAAGACTGAATAAATCATCTGACTGTACATAAAACAAGTTTTAAGGCTTTCAGATCCAGAGAAGAGTAAACAACGAAACTCTTTTGAAACTTTTTTTAGTTGGATTTCATTCATGTGCTTGGTCTCATCGATGTCGTCGTCGTCTAGCACTGGTCCCTCAGGGGTTGTACTCGATAGGCAGGTTCTTGCGGCGGACCATCCCGTCGCCCTGGAACAACTCGCGTCGGAACTGCTTCGCGGCGCCGGGGTCGAGCACTCCGCACGGCGGCTCCACTCCCAGACGCTTCATGTTCGTCGTCTTGATTCCGTAGCCGATACGCCGCGCCGACGAGTTGATCGCTTTGATGTGGTACGTGTGCTCCACATCTTTTGTGCTCTGGCTTACTATTCCAAATGTCAAGAAGGGTCAGGTCACGGAAAGTCCCAAGAATTTCATTCCTCGTCTAGAAAGACAAAACTCAAATTGAAACGAAAGTCAAAATGTTCTAGTGGAAGTTCGCACAATCGAGACAGTATTTGGCGCGATCGATACACTCCGCTGGCGTCGAAGCACAAAGTTGCGGTAGGGAGCCACGTAGAAAATAGTCAGAATCGGGTCGATGAGACAGGGAAGTAGACACATCGGGAACGGAACGAATTCGGCAATCTCCGCTTCGATGTGAACTATCGGAAATGACAAAGATGATGTATCTCAGCTGCCGGTGAAGATATCGAAAAGCTGTCAACTGGTAAAATGTGCCCAATTCTTACTAAACATTTTATCAGTTGAAAACTTTCTGATATCTCTACTCGCAGCTGAGATATATAATTTTGAGAGGGCGGTATCACTTGCCTGCGTGGTAATGAAGTAGACAACATTCGGAATCAAACAAATCATTGGGAACATTGCCTGCATCGTCAAAGCCTAAAATAGCATGGATTACTGTGGCTAATGGGTTTCGGTAGCCACTTACCCTGACCAAATCCAGCGACGCCTTCTTGGTGCGCTCACTCAAATGCGTCTCCACTTCGTTGATTTGTTTGAAGATCTGATGCCTCCAGAAAAGTATGAAAATGGGCATCAAATAGGGAATTCCCAATAGAATGGAGGTGTTCACGAGGTACACGAAAGAGCTGGTCGACTTGAATCCTCCGAATTGACCGTACGACTCCAGAAGGTTATAGGTGGGGTAGGCACGAGTTGTATTCAGGATTACGGTAGAGAATTCGTACGGTGGGATCAGAATGGCAACCTGAAACGGACAAATAATAAAATAACTAATGGGATAACCAACCAGCATTCCCAATGGGACTATCCAATTCAATCCAAAGTTCCTGGCCAACTTTAGGTTTTCACACTTTCCATGACATATCAAAGAGTACCGATAGTACATTGACAAAAGAATCGATAGATATGTAGTGCAAAGAAACAGATTGTAAATGTTATAAACTATGAAGGACAGCTCTACGGGACCAGATCTCAACGGACCGTAGGGAAGAAGAGCCACCGAGTCGCCGGCACTGATCACTCTGGAATTGGAAAGTGCGCTCTATTGAGAACTTCTTAGGCTCACCTCAATTGTAAGAGAAGTGAGAACACGATGAGCAATGTCTCACTGATACTCGTGTTTAGCAATAGAAGTCTAAAATACTTATTTTGTACATAAAATTCACGAAAAAAAGTACCTGTAAGTGCTGAAAGACACTGGGGATTTTGCCCAGATCAGGCCAATAACCGAAACATTTAAGGGAATTGAAATGATTGCGAAAAAGGTGTAATAATAGTTGACAAACACTGGAATTCCTCGATTCATTCGGCCTAAAATGAAATTCCTAGGGGAGCAACGAAAAAAGTAAAACATGTAAAGATTCAGAGCTCGAATAGTCAGAGATTAATTAATGTTCAGAGCGAAAAACGTGTGGTAGATGATATTCAGTGAATCGGAAAAAAAAATTTGTTCCAATGCCCTAATTCCCGTGACCCTTTCACGTGACCCACTGAACTTGACCTGCCCCATAAAAGCGTTGACCTCTGCATTTATCGTTCATTCTGACACGATTTTTCGGTAAGCCACGTCGCTCATATCGATAAGGTGAGTTTCACAGATCTTTCCAGAAAGAAATTAATGGATGCGCTTTCAGGTCGTTCAAAACAAAGTAAGCAACGTTCAATGAACAAAAAAAAACAAAATGCCTTTGCGTGAGTGGAACTTTTCAGATTTTCTCCAGAAAGTTCTTATTTTTCAGCTAACAATTTACCGCCCGTTTCCGCCGTCGATGGATCCGAAGCTCACACGTACTTGGCCACTCTGGTTCACACCCGGATGAAGCGAGCCGTGAACGGTATCGCCCCTTTTCCCCAAATACCAACTTATCTATCTGTTTTGAAGGTGACAAACTCGATGAAATTCTGGAGAGTTTGCAAGTGTACGCCCGTCTCGCCAACGGAATTTCCCTGCAAATCGGACTGTCCGACTCTTCCGTTCCCGTGGATGACGTCATCGTCGAGTTGCTCCACGTGGCACCTCTCAAGCTCAGCGATGTTATCAACTTGGACACGAACGCACTGAGCGAGTCATTGAAGACGTTCAAGGAGCTTCTGGATCAGCTGGAGACGGCGAATAATGTGAGGAGCGTTGAGGAACGATTGGAGCTTCTGGAGACGATAAGGGGAATTGTTGCGAACCTCGGCGATGTGAAGAATCTGGAAGGGAAGGGAGCGTATTCGAGTGCGTTAGAGAAGGCGAAGGGATTCGCGATTGATGTGCATGCAGTTTCAATGTTTGGTAACGCAGTGGATGCGCTAAAGCTGTCGATGACTCAAATTGACGAATGGAAAAACGAAAAAGATGTGAAATCCATGTATGCCAAAGTGAATAATTTGAACTACCAGCTGAACGAGTACGAGACCGCTTTCAACACTTTCTCTCCTATGTTCCTCAAGTTGGATGAAGTCGGTGGTCTTCAGAATGGAACGGCCATCTTCCAATCGCTGATCGACGAGAACGAAGCACGGAACAGTTACAAGCTCCACGCGGGATTCAAGCCCGAGCAAATTGAAAAGTCACGTAAGCTGCTCAACACTTTCAAATCGGCTGCCGATGCCTTCAAGAGAGACCGCGGCTTGCTCGAAACTCTCCGGAGACTGGTTTCTGCGCACAACTCCGTTTTCGGTCCGTCGAAGTTCGCCACTGGATTCCCGAACGGAGGCGACGATCTGGACGAGCTCGCGAAGGATACGGAGAAGGAATGGGTGCACGAGAGCATGAAAGGAGGAAAGGAAACGGCTGTGCATCTGAAGGGAACATTTCAGAAGTTGGATGAGTTCAAGAAGGAGTTGAAAGTCGTGGAAAAGGTTCTGGAGCCGGTGAGCAACAAGAAAAGTGTCGCTGCTTTGAAGCAATCAACATCCGTTCAACTCGAAATGGCCGGAAAAGCGGATAAATGGAAAGACCAGCGCAGTGCTTCGGAAGGATTGGAAGATTGCGACAGCAAGTTTCACCAGAAGTTCCAGCCCGACTATTCCGCTATCAGCCCGACTCTGGAGTCGATTAAGAGATTGGATGAGTTGATTGGTACGCTGGCGTTCGACAGGAGCACTGTCAAAATGGATGATATCGTCGCACTGAAGAACCTTACCGACGTGCAATCGTTCTCGGACAAAGACAAAAAGGAGAAGATCCCCGGAATCGTTGCCAGCCTGAAAAGTATGCCAGAAGTCAAAACGACTCGTGCCGGTCTCGACAAACTCAAATCTCATCTGGAAGGTGTGAAGAAAGCGGCCACTCAGATCCCCACGTTGGCTGATGAAATCCATAAGAAGATCGTGGTGATTGACAAGTACGTGAAAGACCTGGCTGACTCCAACTTTTTGAGTTTCTACGATTGCATGAAAAAAATCGGACCCGGTGGGACAGGACTCAAGGACATGATCGGAAAGGTCGAGATTCTGAGAAGCAAGAGAACCGATTTGAACGTCGACGAGGCACGTGGCATTTTGAACTCTCTTCAGGCTTCGAAATCCGGATTGAAAGTGCTTCAAACCGCCGGAAGTGCTCTGAAAGGCGTGGATGTGAATGAGCTGAAGGGAGCGATGGAGAGTGCCCAGACTGTCGCGGAGAATCTGGGAATGGCCGCTCAAGGCATTGGAAGTATCGCGAACGCGCTGGAAAATCGGAGCAATCTGGATGGGATCACGGCTGTCAATGCTGAAGAGATCAAGAAAACGGCGGATGCGCACAAGGCACAGCTGGGGTCTCACCACGAGAATCTCTTGAAACTGGAAGGACTCGGGACCGATCTGAAGAGCGTCTTCGTTGGAATCGACACGTTCACGGGCTCGTTGAAACATTTCTCGAGCACCGTGCTGAGGAATTTTGTTGATCCGTTCCGCCAAGCCGAGAAGATCCCTAGTGTGAAGATGACCGAGTCAGAACTGGTCGAGATGAAGAAGGCCGTCGAGGCGTTAATTGTCATCGATCCGAATGGAAAACAGCAGTTGGAACCCGTTCTCAAGGCTCTGAACACTTTGAGCTCTTTGGATTTGGATTTTTCGCGCTTCAAGTTCTCCCAAACGGTCAATAGCCTGACATCGCTCGAATCCTTCTTTGCCAGACTCTCCAGTTCCCTCGTCGTGACGACTTCTACTCCTCCGTCCACGATTTCGTCCACTTCCAGACCACTCTTCGCCGCTTCCACTGTTCTCATTTCTGTGGCTACGCAAGCACCGACCGATTACACGTGGTATGATATTCAGTGGAAAATTGAGTACATGTATTTATTTCAGGCTGGTTGTGATTGGTATCATCTTAATCATTTTGATAATCGTCATGGTAACCAGCTGGTGCTGCTTAAGAAAGAAGATCAAAATGAAGTTGAACAAATGGAAAAGCGGCTCGACGAGCTCCGCTTCAACTAGCAACGAAACTGTGTCTTCAACGCCTCTGAATAGCACCGTGATCAATGAGACGGCAAAAACTGCAGAGTCATACACCACGAATCAGTCGCCGGCTCTTTTACAAAAGCAGCCGAAGACTCCCAAAGAGAAAGTTCCTGCGAAGGGTTCGACGTCTTCGGATGGATCCAAGAATCAGCCGAAGACTCCCAAAGAAAAAGTTCCTGCGAAGGGTTCGACGTCTTCGGATGGATCCAAGAATCAGCCGAAGACTCCCAAAGAGAAAGTTCCTGCGAAGGGTTCGACGTCTTCGGATGGATCCAAGAATCAGCCGAAGACTCCCAAAGAGAAAGTTCCTGCGAAGGGTTCGACGTCTTCGGATGGGTCCAAGAATCAGTCGACGAGCCGTGAAAAAGAAGATCCTCCGAAGGATGCGAAAGATAAATCCAAAGAACCTGGCGTTTCTCGTGAGAAGAAAGACAACACAGTTTCGGATGAAGAAGAAAAGTCAGTAGTTTCACTGAATGGCAAGATGACATTTCTGGAAGGCGTGTGCCGTCAGATTCGGAATGAGGACTGGATGGCGAGGACGTGGGCCAAAAAAGTAATCGAAGAGGCTTTCAAGAGAGCTACACAAGACAAAGAGCATGCAGTGGATGAATACGTGCACAAGATAAAATGTGGCCATCATACAATCTTCATGACCGAGGTAGTGATGAATGATGAGTAATGAATTCATTGTAACTATTTGCAGCATCCGAAAGACATTTCAAGCCTGGAGCGTTTTTGGGAGACGGTCGACACTGGCCATATCAAAGCGATTGTTCATTTGAGCAATCACTCAAAAGGTAGGAATAATTGGAAATTGCCTCCGACACGCTTGATTTTGCTACAGACCGCTTCCCGTATTATCCTGAGGAAGGCGCAGTGTTTAGAACGGCGAATAGGAAGTACCAGGTGGCGATCGAGAAGAGGACCCAATGCCACTTCACGCCGGATATCACCGTCAAACTCACTAATAATAGCACGTGGGTTGCATTGCAAATCGAGTTTCAGTAAATCTGGTCTGATTTATTTAGGAAAGTAGAGAAACACATCGGCATTTACAAGATAGATACGCAGGAGTGTGAAACTTTTGCTGCTTTCCAAAGAATTGCCGCCTTGTTCGATTACCTAAGTGACGCCAAAGTGAGTTCTTCATCTTTTCTTCTCAGATCACTCATTCTTTTACAGAAGACTACTCTGGTTCATTGTTCAAACGGTATCGATCGTACGATGGCATTCGTCGGCGCACGGAAGGGAATCGAAATGTGCTCGAAGCAGAAAAACTGCACGGTTCTGCAGAGTGAGTTTTTAGCGCGCTCAGTGTCATTTCCATTGCAAAGTCTCTCTGTTTGCAGTTCTGATCACCTTGTACCAGCACAAGCACAGATTGATTAGGCCGAAGGTGTTGTTTTTCATTTTGAAGGCAATTGCACAGCGTACTGAAGAGGTACATTCGAATTTTAGCACAATTTTAGAAATACATTCGAGTTTGCAGAAATCTTCGGCGTTCTTCCATCCGATATTCGACGAATTCTCGTTTTACTTAGAACAGGAAGAGTCGAAGAAACCGCAAACTCATTTACTATATTTGAATGCTCTAAATTATTATTTGAACAAAGCGTATCAAGCAGCCGAAGTGGAATGTTATCAACAGAATAGAAAGATGAAAGAAATGAAGGACAAGCAGGAAGAGGAGGCAGAACGACTAAAGGAGCCGGAAGTGAAGAAAGTGGGCAGACATTTGGAGAAGTTTCCAACCGACTCGGAGAGAGAGCAGCGTGAACGGAGAGATAGACGGAAAAGAAAGCCGCCGAAACCGGATGTTTCCTACAAGCAGACAGAGAAGAAGGATAAAGGAAGAACTAGTAGACTATTGTATATCCGTATCAACGGGAGGCCTGAATCAGCCCCGAAATGATCGACTTATTTGACGATTCGATAAAATATATTTGTTTGATCCTCCTGTGATGTGTCCAAATTCATGTGATTGTTTGCATTTTTTCCTTGCCCTTATCAGTTTCCACTGCCCAGAAACATTGCCTTTCTCGCCTGACTGCTCTTCTTTTCACGAAACTTTTCAAAGCGAACCTTTTCAGGATTATTGTATCCTTAAGCGATGAGAGAAGTGATCTCGATACACGTCGGTCAGGCGGGAGTTCAAATCGGAAACGCGTGCTGGGAGCTCTACTGTCTCGAGCACGGAATCCTTCCCGACGGCACTTTTCTCGATGCGGACGGTTCTTCGGGCTCTCTGAGCACGTTTTTCTCGGACACTGGCTATGGAAGACACGTGCCACGGGGACCTCTGATTTTTTTTATAAGAGTTCAGTTTTACTGGGTTCTTCAAAATGAGCCAGGTCAGAGGTAAATGTAAGGTTTCTGAGAGAAGTTACAGCTTCACAATTTCCACTCCTCCGTATGCTTTGACAGCCCGTGATGACATTTGCCGCAGAAATTTGAGAGTTTTCCGCCCGAGCTACACCAATTTGAACAGAATTATTTCACAGGTTTGCGGAAAAACAGTATTTCTCCGGTAGCGGCCAGACAAAAGCCCTCCAAATTTGAATTTTTGTAAATTTTCCAAGAAACAGACACTCTTCCTTTGTGTTTGACACAAAATATCGTAAATGTACGATATTTTTTCCCAAACATTTAAATTTTGCAGTCTTTTTCCAGGCGAAGCCTGAAATTCGGTAAACATGTACGAAAAAGACGAAAAAAAAGAGCATTTTTGAAATTTTTGTGCGAAAAAAGTTGTATCGACTGTTTGCAGGTGGTGTCCTCGATCACGGCCTCTCTCCGCTTCGACGGCGCTCTGAACGTGGATCTGAGCGAGTTCCAGACGAACCTGGTCCCGTACCCGCGCATCCATTTCCCCCTCGTCGCCTACAATCCGCTCATCGCTTCGGCAAATCATGAGATCCTCTCGGTCGACGAGATCACCAAATCGTGCTTCGACTCTGCAAATCAGATGGTGAAATGCGATCCGAAGAACGGAAAGTACATGGCCGTCTGCCTGCTTTACCGCGGCGACGTCGTGCCGAACGACGTCTCCGCCGCCATCAAATCGATCAAAACGCAGAGGACGGTGCAGTTCGTGGACTGGAGTCCGACCGGATTCAAAGTCGGACTCAACTACCAGCCGCCGACGGTGATCCCGGGCGGCGACATGGCCAAGGTGCCGCGCGCCGTCTGTATGCTCTCCAACACGACGGCGATTGCGGAAGCGTGGCAGAGACTCGACTACAAGTTCGATTTGATGTACGCCAAACGGGCGTTCGTGCATTGGTAGGTTCATTTTCAAGTTGTCCACGGCGACCAAAAGTTGAGAGGCGCGTGGCCCAGTGAGCACGGTTTTCCTCAAAATTCTGACAATGTTGCTCTATCGCGGCCTCGACCTTCTCCAATTTTGCACTAAATCCACGTGGAGAGCGGTAGAGAAAAATAGCCCAAATTTTCAGACGAAAAGTGATTTGCAGGTACGTGGGCGAGGGAATGGAAGAGGGCGAGTTTTCGGAAGCACGCGAAGATCTGGCGGCGCTGGAGAAGGACTACGAGGAAATTGGCGCGGATTCGAACGACGGAGAGGAGGAGGAGGACGAGTATTGAGACTTGTTTTATTGACAATAAATTTACATCTACTACTATACATCTAAATGTACATGTACATGTGAATGCACTATCTAATCGATTCTGGTCGAGTCGAAGTCGGTTCCTCCGTTGATCTCGGTGGCGGTGATTCGGTACGTCTGGAAGAAGTTAATTATTGGTGGCGGTGGCCTAGAAAACTCACGGCCTTGGCTCCTCCGTAATAAACGGGGCACATCGACTCGCACACGTCCTCCAAATCGTTTCCTTTTGCCTTTTTTTTGAGAAACAGGCAGCTCTCATATCTCTTTTGTTATCACATTAAACACAGTCTCTAGTCTTTCTCTCTCCCCCAATTGTTCTGGGTTAATTCGTTTTCCAGTCCATTAGGTCGCAACTTAGAATGCTCTCTGCAATAAAAACTGTCTTCCGAGTCCGGTTCTCAAGACGAGACTGCCGAATCGCTGAAAGTTCTTCATGTGGGAAGTGGCTCCCAGAGCGCGGAGTGCTTCTTCTGTCGCTTTCGCTGCATCTTTGTGGTCAAGATGAATCCAATCGGCCGGCTGTCCTGATTTCTGAGCTCGGAAAAGTGAGCCGGCAGAGTCGACTCGGCTCTCCAGATCGCTTCCCGAGTCGTAGTTCGCTCTCTTTCCGCGCGCCTCCTCTCCTTCCGATGTGTACGCGCGTTCTTCATGTCCAGACCGTCCCGTTTCCTTTTCCGCATCCGAGAATGCGTTTCTGGCGTCTCCTTTCGATTGTTGTTGCGGTTGCACATAATCATCAGGAAGAACGGCGGCTCCAGCGGCTTCAAGAAGCGCGAACAGCACCGCCCAGTGTTCCTTCTTGTGCACATTTGCGGCATTGGCACGGATGAGCTCATTGAGACCAAAGGCGATTTGTCGACTGAACACGAAAAGGGCCTTGGGCGAGAGACGGAGAAGCATGGAGAGGGAGTGAAGAACGTCGTCGGAGACTGTGTTGTCGCGAAACAGATTGCGGTTGGCCACTCGGAGCAGTCCGACAACGGCTCTCTCCACAAGTACTGGGCATCTTCCGAATCTCGGCGAGAGGAGCCATTCGATGTGACGACGAACGTGTGGCCAGACGAGCGGAAGACGGTCCTTGTTCTCCAGAGTGATCGAGACGATGAGCTCGAGATAAAAGACGAGCGCGTCCTCGTCCTCTCCGCTGAGACTGGCGGTCTTCTGCTGCGGCTCCGCCAGCTCCACAATCATCGCGCTGTTAGCCGCGAGCGAACTGAGCATTTCTGCAAGGCTTGTGCTCGTCAGGTACTTGCTATCGGCCACAATCTGAGCCGGGCGGCACTCGGCGATGACCTGAGAGGCTAGTTTCATGGCGCTCAGTTGCTCTTGACTCGGCTTCCGGCGCTCCGCTTCCGACGCTCCACCGCCCAGTCCAAACCAGGAAAGGAGGCCGGTATCGCTGCGGGTAGTGGTGATTTCCTTCTGATGGACTCTCTGAATGCTGACCCATTTCTTCGCGTCCACATAGTCGTCCACTTCAGTCATTTGGCTTGGAAGAAGACGTGCTCGGAAGAGTTGAAGCAGCACTTCGAACAGATTTCTCCACCCTTCTCTCAGAATGTTTCCGTTCTCGTGCACCAGGTAGAACAGTGTACGAGTCGCCAATTGAGCCTTGTGGTTCTCTCCGAACGCGAGGGAGAGAACTTCCGGCGGATGGTTGAGAATGCCTCCGAGTGAGCCGACCGAGCTGCTCGAGACGTCGACCATCGATCGATGCCGTTGAAGATCAAGAGCGTCGTCGGCTCCTCCGTCACGCATCGAGGTGAGAGTGGTGAACTTGCAGAGATGGATGCACAGATTGTCGAACACCTCCTTCATTCCATAGTAGGCGGCAATCTTCGCGCACTTTCTGTATCCAGTGAGCGCCTTCTGGAGTATCTGTTCGTGCTCCGATTTATCGAAGACGTAGGAAAGAGCGGCGACGGCGGGTCCCCAGCAGACTGCGAACAGATCGTGATCATTCCATCCGGTGGGAGCGTGGAAGAACGATCCCTCGGAAGTTTCTCCTCTTCTCAACAGGACCTTCCACATGTAGTCATCTTTGACAGTCCCCTTCTGCTCGGCTGGCATCACAATCTCCTCTGTTTTGATCGCATGATACATCTCCGCAGGCATCTCCGGTTCAAAGTCCTTGGTCCCGTTGGTTCCCGAAAGGTTTCGTCTGAAGCAGTCGACAGTCATCGGCGGTTGATTTCTCTTCGCCTGCGGATTGTGCTGATCTACGCACAGGGAGTCCCAGTTTCTTCTGATCCTTCTGCTCATCCTTCGCTTCGGCGCCTCTACCGTTCTCCCGATCTTCGCAGTTGTGCTCGATGGTTTCGGTGACAACGAGGAGTGCGTCAGGTACTCTGGAATTCATCTTATCGTTTACTTGGGTTAGTTGGAACGTTTTCCGGGTAATATTAGTAACTTTCAATAGTTGTCTAGCTTTCTAAAGCTACCAACCTCATTTAGAACTTCTTTCAAATCGGTAAAGTTCCGAAGCAACGGAATTGTGTCTTCCATCGTCGGAACCTGATGAGATAGTTGATATTGTCTGAAAACAAGTTTTTCCTTTCGAATTCCAGCTTTTCCCAAACCTTCTGGCTTTGTTGAGCAGCGCAACGACGCAATTCGCCTCGCCCATAACGATGTAGACGCCATTGGTCGCCATCTTGAAACGACGACGACCTGCTGCAAAGATTATTGGTATTGTACATCAACACGCCTTATTCTATGTCAGGAAGGTAATTTTACAAGAAATTTGTGAATATCTGGATGAAAAGCGATAAAATCTAGCGAAACGACCAAGGAATTACACGTCACGTGCACCGCTTTTCGGTGTTTTGACCGCAAACACTGTTACGTCGCAATGAACACTTTCGGCCGCTCTTGAAATAAACAAATTTTCAATGTCAAATTTTGAGCCGAAGAATCACAAATGAGCAAGCAAAAAGGTCTGAAATTGATGTGGCGATACACAAAAGGTTAGTACTTCTATTTTTTAATTAAATTGAGTCAACGTATTCAGGAGCAGCGGCATTTTACTGTTCAATTTGTAAACCATTTTTTCTACAACAAGGATGGCGGATCGACTGACGCAGTTGCAGGACTTTGTCAACGACATGGCGACTCCGATGACGAACGCGATCGGAGTTCTGCAGGCGACTGCTCCGCCGTGCGAGTTCGGATCCATTTCGAAAGAGCTCGAGGATGAGCCCAACTGCGCGGTCTTCGCTGCCGGCATTGCCAAGGCCGCCAAGAATATCGAGGTGAACGGATTTTCTACACAGAATTCCCAATTTCGCATTTTCCAGATCCTAATTGACTCGTTCCCGAACGAAGCGGGTACTGTCGAGGACGAAGTCGAGGAGAAAATGGTGAAGAACGACGAAAAATACTTTCGAAAATCTCCGATTTGCGATTTTCCTTTTGATCTTGGTATATTAAAGTTCAGATGTCGTCAGAAGAAGAAATATCAGAAGAGGAGAAACAGCGACGACGAGCCGTGCAACGTGAGCGATATCTCATGTGTTTGATGGTAAATAACTTCAAAAAATCGAGTCATTTTTATGAGAATCGTATGTAGAACGCAGTCGACAAGCCGGCGACGATCCAAATGCACGAGAATACGACCGTGACGGCCACGATCAAAGCGTTCCAGCCGTCCGGAGAGCACGTAATCGTCGGTGAGGGTCTCGCAGCGAAAACTTTCGAATAACTGCATTTTCAGAGAATTTGAACACTCCGATAGGAACCATCGAACGCGCCGTTCTCCGAATCTCGGATATTGTCAAGGTCAGCTGGGATATAGAGAAGAAGACTGAATAAATCATCTGACTGTACATAAAACAAGTTTTAAGGCTTTCAGATCCAGAGAAGAGTAAACAACGAAACTCTTTTGAAACTTGTTTTAGTTGGATTTTATTCATGTGCTTGGTCTCATCGATGTCGTCGTCGTCTAGCACTGGTCCCTCAGGGGTTGTACTCTATGGGCAAGTTCTTGCGACGGACCATCCCGTCGCCCTGGAACCACTCGCGCCGGAACTGCTTCGCGGCGCCGGGGTCGTGCACAAAATGTCAAAAAGGGTCACGGAAAGTCCCAAGAATTCATTCCTCGTCTAGAAAGACAAAACTCAAATTGAAACGAAAGTCAAAATGTTCTAGTGGAAGTTCGCACAATCGAGACAGTATTCGGCGCGATCGATAGACTCCGCTGGCGTCGAAGCACAAAGTTGCGGTAGGGAGCCACGTAGAAAATAGTCAGAATCGGGTCGATGAGACAGGGAAGCAGACAAATCGGGAACGGAACGAATTCGGCAATCTCCGCTTCGATGTGAACTATCGGAAATGACAAAGATGATGTATCTCAGCTGCCGGTGAAGATATCGAAAAGCTGTCAACTGGTAAAATGTGCCCAATTCTTACTAAACATTTTATCAGTTGAAAACTTTCTGATATCTCTACTCGCAGCTGAGATATATAATTTTGAGAGAGCGGTATTACTTGCCTGCGTGGTAATGAAGTAGACAACATTCGGAATCAAACGAATCATTGGGAACATTGCCTGCATCGTCAAAGCCTAAAATAGCATGGATTACTGTGGCTAATGGGTTTCGGTAGCCACTTACCCTGACCAAATCCAGCGACGCCTTCTTGGTGCGCTCACTCAAATGCGTCTCCACTTCGTTGATTTGTTTGAAGATCTGATGCCTCCAGAAAAGTATGAAAATGGGCATCAAATAGGGAATTCCCAATAGAATGGAGGTGTTCACGAGGTACACGAAAGAGCTGGTCGACTTGAATCCTCCGAATTGACCGTACGACTCCAGAAGGTTATAGGTGGGGTAGGCACGAGTTGTATTCAGGATTACGGTAGAGAATTCGTACGGTGGGATCAGAATGGCAACCTGAAACGGACAAATAATAAAATAACTAATGGGATAACCAACCAGCATTCCCAATGGGACTATCCAATTCAATCCAAAGTTCCTGGCCAACTTTAGGTTTTCACACTTTCCATGACATATCAAAGAGTATCGATAGTACATTGACAAAAGAATCGATAGATATGTAGTGCAAAGAAACAGATTGTAAATGTTATAAACTATGAAGGACAGCTCTACGGGACCAGATCTCAACGGACCGTAGGGAAGAAGAGCCACCGAGTCGCCGGCACTGATCACTCTGGAATTGGAAAGTGCGCTCTATTGAGAACTTCTTAGGCTTACCTCAATTGTAAGAGAAGTGAGAATACGATGAGCAATGTCTCACTGATACTCGTGTTTAGCAGTAGAAGTCTAAAATACTTATTTTGTACATAAAATTCACGAAAAAAGAACCTGTAAGTGCTGAAAGACACTGGGGATTTTGCCCAGATCAGGCCAATAACCGAAACATTTAAGGGAATTGAAATGATTGCGAAAAAGGTGTAATAATAGTTGACCAACATTGGAATTCCTCGATTCATTCGGCCTAAAATGAAACTCCTAGGGGAACAACGAAAAAAGTAAAACACGTAAAGATTCAGAGCTCGAATAGTCAGAGATTAATTAATGTTCAGAGCGAAAAACGAGTGGTAGATGATATTCAGTGAATCGGAAAAAAAAATTTGTTCCAATGCCCTAATTCCCGTGACCCTTTCACGTGACCCACTGAACTTGACCTGCCCCATAAAAGCGTTGACCTCTGCATTTATCGTTCATTCTGACACGATTTTTCGGTAAGCCACGTCGCTCATATCGATAAGGTGAGTTTCACAGATCTTTCCAGAAAGAAATTAATGGATGCGCTTTCAGGTCGTTCAAAACAAATATAACAACGTTCAATGAACAAATAAAACAAAATGCCTTTGCGTGAGTGGAACTTTTCAGATTTTCTCCAGAAAGTTCTTATTTTTCAGCTAAAAGTTTACCGCCCGTTTCCGCCGTCAATGGATCCGAAGCTCACACGTACTTGGCCACTCTGGTTCACACCCGGATGAAGCGAGCCGTGAACGGTATCGCCCCTCTTCCCCAAACACCAACTTATCTATCTGTTTTGAAGGTGACAAACTCGATGAAATTCTGGAGAGTTTGCAAGTGTACGCCCGTCTCGCCAACGGAATTTCCCTGCAAATCGGACTGTCCGACTCTTCCGTTCCCGTGGATGACGTCATCGTCGAGTTGCTCCACGTGGCACCTCTCAAGCTCAGCGATGTTATCAACTTGGACACGAACGCACTGAGCGAGTCATTGAAGACGTTCAAGGAGCTTCTGGATCAGCTGGAGACGGCGAATAATGTGAGGAGCGTTGAGGAACGATTGGAGCTTCTGGAGACGATAAGGGGAATTGTTGCGAACCTCGGCGATGTGAAGAATCTGGAAGGGAAGGGAGAGTATTCGAGTGCGTTGGAGAAGGCGAAGGGATTCGCGATTGATGCTCAAGCGCTCAACGATTTCAATACCGCTGTGGCTGCGCTACAGCTGTCGATGACTAAGATTGACGGATGGAAAAACAAAAAAGATGTGGAATCACTTCATGACGAAGTGCATAATCTAAACTTCCAGTTGAAGGAGTACGAGACCGCGTTCAACAATTTCTCTCCCAAGTTCCTCAAGTTGGATGAAGTCGGTGGTCTTCAGAATGGAACGGCCATCTTCCAATCGCTGATCGACGAGAACGAAGCACGGAACAGTTACAAGTTCCGCCCGGGATTCAAGACCGACCAAATTAAGAAGTCACACGAGCTGCTCAACACTTTCAAATCGGCTGCCGATGCCTTCAAGAGAGACCGCGGCTTGCTCGAAACTCTCCGGAGACTGGTTTCTGCGCACAACTCCATTTTCGGCCCGTCGAAGTTCGCCGCTGGATTTCCGAACGGAGGCGACGATCTGGACGAGCTCGCGAAGGATACGGAGAAGGAATGGGTGCACGAGAGCATGAAAGGAGGAAAGGAAACGGCTGTGCATCTGAAGGGAACATTCCAGAAGTTGGATGAGTTCAAGAAGGAGTTGAAAGTCGTGGAGAAGGTTCTGGAGCCGGTGAGCAACAAGAAAAGTGTCGCTGCTTTGAAGCAATCAACATCCGTTCAACTCGAAATGGCCGGAGAAGCGGACAAATGGAAAGACCAGCGCAGTGCTTCGGAAGGATTGGAAGGTTGCGACAGCAAGTTTCAACAGACTTCCCAGCCCGACTATTCCGATATCAGCCCGACTCTGGAGTCGATTAAGAGATTGGATGAGTTTATTGGTACGCTGGCGTTCGACAGGAGCACTGTCAAAATGGATGATATCGTCGCACTGAAGAACCTGACCGACGTGAAATCGTTCTCGGACAAAGACAAAAAGGAGAAGATCCCCGGAATCGTTGCCGGCCTGAGAAGTATGCCAGAAGTCAAAACGACTCGTGCCGGTCTCGACAAACTCAAATCTCATCTGGAAGGTGTGAAGAAAGCGGCCACTCAGATCCCCACGTTGGCTGATGAAATCCATAAGAAGATCGTGGTGATTGACAAGTACGTGAAAGACCTGGCTGAGTCCAACTTTTTGAGTTTCTACGATTGCATGAAAAAAATCGGACCCGGTGGGACAGGACTCAAGGACATGATCGGAAAGGTCGAGATTCTGAGAAGCAAGAGAACCGATTTGAACGTCGACGAGGCACGTGGCATTTTGAACTCTCTTCAGGCTTCGAAATCCGGATTGAAAGTGCTTCAAACCGCCGGAAGTGCTCTGAAAGGCGTGGATGTGAATGAGCTGAAGGGAGCGATGGAGAGTGCCCAGACTGTCGCGGAGAATCTGGGAATGGCCGCTCAAGGCATTGGAAGTATCGCGAACGCGCTGGAAAATCGGAGCAATCTGGATGGGATCACGGCTGTCAATGCTGAAGAGATCAAGAAAACGGCGGATGCGCACAAGGCACAGCTGGGGTCTCACCACGAGAATCTCTTGAAACTGGAAGGACTCGGGACCGATCTGAAGAGCGTCTTCGTTGGAATCGACACGTTCACGGGCTCGTTGAAACATTTCTCGAGCACCGTGCTGAGGAATTTTGTTGATCCGTTCCGCCAAGCCGAGAAGATCCCTAGTGTGAAGATGACCGAGTCAGAACTGGTCGAGATGAAGAAGGCCGTCGAGGCGTTAATTGTCATCGATCCGAATGGAAAACAGCAGTTGGAACCCGTTCTCAAGGCTCTGAACACTTTGAGCTCTTTGGATTTGGATTTTTCGCGCTTCAAGTTCTCCCAAACGGTCAATAGCCTGACATCGCTCGAATCCTTCTTTGCCAGACTCTCCAGTTCCCTCGTCGTGACGACTTCTACTCCTCCGTCGACGATGTCGTCCACTTCCAGACCACTCTTCGCCGCTTCCACTGTTCTCATTTCTGTGGCTACGCAAGCACCGACCGATTACACGTGGTATGATATTCAGTGGAAAATTGAGTACATGTATTTATTTCAGGCTGGTTGTGATTGGTATCATCTTAATGATTTTGATAATCGTCATGGTAACCAGCTGGTGCTGCTTAAGAAAGAAGATCAAAATGAAGTTGAACAAATGGAAAAGCGGCTCGACGAGCTCCGCTTCAACTAGCAACGAAACTGTGTCTTCAACGCCTCTGAATAGCACCGTGATCAATGAGACGGCAAAAACTGCAGAGTCATACACCACGAATCAGTCGCCGGCTCTTTTACAAAAGCAGCCGAAGACTCCCAAAGAGAAAGTTCCTGCGAAGGGTTCGACGTCTTCGGATGGATCCAAGAATCAGCCGAAGACTCCCAAAGAAAAAGTTCCTGCGAAGGGTTCGACGTCTTCGGATGGATCCAAGAATCAGCCGAAGACTCCCAAAGAGAAAGTTCCTGCGAAGGGTTCGACGTCTTCGGATGGATCCAAGAATCAGCCGAAGACTCCCAAGGAAAAAAAGTTCCTGCGAAGGGTTCGACGTCTTCGGATGGGTCCAAGAATCAGTCGACGAGCCGTGAAAAAGAAGATCCTCCGAAGGATGCGAAAGATAAATCCAAAGAACCTGGCGTTTCTCGTGAGAAGAAAGACAACACAGTTTCGGATGAAGAAGAAAAGTCAGTAGTTTCACTGAATGGCAAGATGACATTTCTGGAAGGCGTGTGCCGTCAGATTCGGAATGAGGACTGGATGGCGAGGACGTGGGCCAAAAAAGTAATCGAAGAGGCTTTCAAGAGAGCTACACAAGACAAAAGAGCATGCAGTGGATGAATACGTGCACAAGATAAAATGTGGCCATCATACAATCTTCATGACCGAGGTAGTGATGAATGATGAGTAATGAATTCATTGTAACTATTTGCAGCATCCGAAAGACATTTCAAGCCTGGAGCGTTTTTGGGAGACGGTCGACACTGGCCATATCAAAGCGATTGTTCATTTGAGCAATCACTCAAAAAGGTAGGAATAATTGGAAATTGCCTCCGACACGCTTGATTTTGCTACAGACCGCTTCCCGTATTATCCTGAGGAAGGCGCAGTGTTTAAAACGGCGAATAGGAAGTACCAGGTGGCGATCGAGAAGAGGACCCAATGCCACTTCACGCCGGATATCACCGTCAAACTCACTAATAATAGCACGTGGGTTGCATTGCAAATCGAGTTTCAGTAAATCTGGTCTGATTTATTTAGGGAAGTAGAGAAACACATCGGCATTTACAAGATAGATACGCAGGAGTGTGAAACTTTTGCTGCTTTCCAAAGAATTGCCGCCTTGTTCGATTACCTAAGTGACGCCAAAGTGAGTTCTTCATCTTTTCTTCTCAGATCACCCATTCTCTTACAGAAGACTACTCTGGTTCATTGTTCAAACGGTATCGATCGTACGATGGCATTCGTCGGCGCACGGAAGGGAATCGAAATGTGCTCGAAGCAGAAGAACTGCACGGTTCTGCAGAGTGAGTTTTTAGCGCGCTCAGTGTCATTTCCATTGCAAAGTCTCTCTGTTTGCAGTTCTGATCACCTTGTACCAGCACAAGCACAGATTGATTAGGCCGAAGGTGTTGTTTTTCATTTTGAAGGCAATTGCACAGCGTACTGAAGAGGTACATTCGAATTTTAGCACAATTTTAGAAATACATTCGAGTTTGCAGAAATCTTCGGCGTTCTTCCATCCGATATTCGACGAATTCTCGTTTTACTTAGAACAGGAAGAGTCGAAGAAACCGCAAACTCATTTCCTATATTTGAATGCTCTAAATGATTATTTGAACAAAGCGTATCAAGCAGCCGAAGTGGAATGTTATCAACAGAATAGAAAGATGAAAGAATTGAAGGACAAGCAGGAAGAGGAGGCAGAACGACTAAAGGAGCCGGAAGTGAAGAAAGTGGGCAGACATTTGGAGAAGTTTCCAACCGACTCGGAGAGAGAGCAGCGTGAACGGAGAGATAGACGGAAAAGAAAGCCGCCGAAACCGGATGTTTCCTACAAGCAGACAGAGAAGAAGGATAAAGGAAGAACTAGTAGACTATTGTTTATCCATATCAACGGGAGGCCTGAATCAGCCCCGAAATGATCGACTTATTTGACGATTCGATAAAATATATTTGTTTGATCCTCCTGTGATGTGTCCAAATTCATGTGATTGTTTGCATTTTTCCTTGCCCTTATCAGTTTCCACTGCCCAGAAACATTGCCTTTCTCGCCTGACTGCTCTTCTTTTCACGAAACTTTTCAAAGCGAACCTTTTCAGGATTATTGTATCCTTAAGCGATGAGAGAAGTGATCTCGATACACGTCGGTCAGGCGGGAGTTCAAATCGGAAACGCGTGCTGGGAGCTCTACTGTCTCGAGCACGGAATCCTTCCCGACGGCACTTTTCTCGATGCGGACGATTCTTCGGGCTCTCTGAGCACGTTTTTCTCGGAAACTGGCTATGGAAGACACGTGCCACGCTCCATTTTCGTCGATTTGGAGCCGACTGTCGTAGGTAAGCACGTGTTTTTTCGTTTTTGGCCTAGCCATCCAAGTGACACAACACACGCGCGCGCCGACCTTGTCTACTCCCCCTGGCCGTCTCCGCTATGATGCACGCGTGGCCTAGTGGTCGAGTGTTGACTGCCTCTCGATGGCCCGCGAGTTCAATTCCCAACATTGGGAAAAAACCAATGAAGACACAAACCCCATGTCCTGAAGTTTTCCGTGCTAGCATGATTAGTCTTTCCGAGGTTGTTTTTGGTTTTAATTCTCCCATTTTGAATATTACAGATGAAATTCGAACGGGAACTTACAAAAAGTTGTTCCATCCGGAGCAAATGCTCACTGGAAAAGAAGACGCTGCGAACAACTACGCTCGTGGACATTATACAGTCGGGAAAGAGATCATTGACACGACTCTGGACAGAATCCGACGATTGGCGAACAACTGCGACGGTCTACAAGGATTCTTCGTGTTCCATTCGTTCGGAGGCGGAACTGGCAGTGGGTTCACCTCAATGCTCATGGAGAGACTGTCCGGAGAGTACGGAAAGAAGAGCAAGTTGGAGTTTTCCATTTATCCGGCGCCACAGGTACTGTTTCAAAGGTAACAAAAGTTCAGAATACGTATTGAGATCTCGACGTCCGTCGTCGAGCCGTACAATTCGATTCTGACGACTCACACCACTTTGGAGCACTCGGATTGCTCGTTCATGGTCGACAACGAAGCGATTTATGACATTTGCCGCAGAAATTTGAGAGTTTTCCGCCCGAGCTACACCAATTTGAACAGAATTATTTCACAGGTTTGCGGAAAAACAGTATTTCTCCGGTAGCGGCCAGACAAAAGCCCTCCAAATTTGAATTTTTGTAAATTTTCCAAGAAACAGACACTCTTCCTTTCTGTTTGACACAAAATATCGTAAATGTACGATATTTTTTCCCAAACATTTAAATTTTGCAGTCTTTTTCCAGGCGAAGCCTGAAATTCGGTAAACATGTACGAAAAAGACGAAGAAAAAAAGAGAAATTTTGAAATTTTTGCGCGAAAAAAGTTGTATCGACTGTTTGCAGGTGGTGTCCTCGATCACGGCCTCTCTCCGCTTCGACGGCGCTCTGAACGTGGACCTGAGCGAGTTCCAGACGAACCTGGTCCCGTACCCGCGCATCCATTTCCCCCTCGTCGCCTACAATCCGCTCATCGCTTCGGCGAATCACGAGATCCTCTCGGTCGACGAGATCACCAAATCGTGCTTCGACTCTGCGAATCAGATGGTGAAATGCGATCCGAAGAACGGAAAGTACATGGCCGTCTGCCTGCTTTACCGCGGCGACGTTGTGCCGAACGACGTCTCCGCCGCCATCAAATCGATCAAAACGCAGAGGACGGTGCAGTTCGTGGACTGGAGTCCGACCGGATTCAAAGTCGGACTCAACTACCAGCCGCCGACGGTGATCCCGGGCGGCGACATGGCCAAGGTGCCGCGCGCCGTCTGTATGCTCTCCAACACGACGGCGATTGCGGAAGCGTGGCAGAGACTCGACTACAAGTTCGATTTGATGTACGCCAAACGGGCGTTCGTGCATTGGTAGGCTCATTTTCAAGTTGTCCACGGCGACCAAAAGTTGAGAGGCGCGTGGCCCAGTGAGCACGGTTTTCCTCAAAATTCTGACAATGTTGCTCTATCGCGGCCGCGACCTTCCACGTGGAGAGCGGCAGAGAAAAATAGCCCAAACTTTCAGACGAAAAGTGATTTGCAGGTACGTGGGCGAGGGAATGGAAGAGGGCGAGTTCTCGGAAGCACGCGAAGATCTGGCGGCGCTGGAGAAGGACTACGAGGAAATTGGCGCGGATTCGAACGACGGAGAGGAGGTGGAGGACGAGTATTGAGACTTGTTTTATTGACAATAAATTTACATCTACTACTATACATCTAAATGTACATGTACATGTGAATGCACTATCTAATCGATTCTGGTCGAGTCGAAGTCGGTTCCTCCGTTGATCTCGGTGGCGGTGATTCGGTACGTCTGGAAGAAGGGAATTATTGGTGGCGGTGGCCTGGAAAACTCACGGCCTTGGCTCCTCCGTAATAAACGGGGCACATCGACTCGCAAACGTCCTCCAAATCGTTTCCTTCGGCCGGCGAGCACCACGACTCTTGGAAGACGACGTCGAAAGTGGTCACAGATCCGGACTTTTCCGATTTGAGCACCTCAATCGGCACCCAGAACTTTCCCTCGTTTCCCACGTTGACACTGGTGGCCGCGGCTTCCCAGGCCAGGCCCAAAATCTCGTCATCGAGTCCTCCGTGGATCGGCGCCGCCAGAACCATCGAGCATCCGAGGAGAATGGCAGCAGAAACGAAGGCGTTCGTCATTTTCGTTGAGGTGTTGGGAAGAGAACTTGAGAAACGGTAGAGATGGGGTTAGGCGGGGGCGCGCTTTTATATTCCCACCGGGTCATTCCGGCGACAAAAGATCGGTTCCGTGTAATTGGGTAAAACGGAGAAAAAGGAGAGACCGCTGGCGCCAGTCTGCTGAACCGGTATCATCTTTTTTTTTTGAGGCAGCTCTCATATCTCTTTTGTTATCACATTAAACACAGTCTCTAGTCTTTCTCTCGCCCCCCAATTGTTCAGGGTTAATTCGTTTTCCAGTCCATTAGGTCGCAATTTGGAAGAGAAGAGCTCATTTTGAATTGAAAGGAAGTGGAAGTGGAAGAAGAACCGGTTCGGTTAGGTGGAAGACCGTTTATTTATGGGAGTTCGAGACGGTGTAGTGACCGGAAAAAATGGACGAGAAGTGTACGGAAAGTGGGCGTGTATAGCTTTTTCTCGGTCGAAATGGCCGTCTTGGCTCCAGAGCATGATAGATTTTCTCGCCCTCGGACTCTCAGCTTTTCCCTTGCGCTATTCTTGCACTATTTTCAAGTGTCAGTCAGAGTTTTTGCAAAATACAGAAAAATTGGAAAAGTTATTTATTTCTTCCGGGATTTCTACTCGGAACACGTCGTAGTGATGATTGATGGAGGCGTCTAAATGGAGCTGCCATCCGCCTGAAAAGCATTCAGAGTTTAACAGCGTTTCAGAAATGCAATGACCTTCTGAAAGGACTCCGTTCTCAGTGGGTCTCGCGAAGAAAATGCGTTTAGCTCGGAAGTGGACAAGTGCCATCGCACACATCGCACACGGTTCTGTGGCCAGAAAAACGTCGGCGCCGGTGCCCAGATAGTCGGTCGAATGGTCTGTTCGCTTCGGAAGACTCCCGATCATTTCCATGGTCGGATGGCCGAGTGGATGGGCGGAAGGCCGGCCGGAGGAGAGCTGCACGTCGTTCTGAAACTAAATAATTATGAAGTTCTACTGACACGGCTCTTCAATTCGCACCTGCACAGCCACACATCCGTCCTTCATCTCCAACGCCTTCTGAATCCATCGGAAGACGTATTCTCGAAATGAAGACGTCAGAAATGAGCCGTCCAAAAGACGTTCGATTTCGTGATCCGGATGAAATCCGGTCGCCCACAGGTTTTTGGCGAATTCGAATTGACGGCGAGTCAACGGTTTTATCGCCGGAACTTGGACTGTCTGGAAATGAAATGAAGTTGAAATGAAGGAAAGGCATGACTGGTCACCCTTAAATCTTCTAAACGAACGTCCGGATGAGCCAAATCAGCGACGAGCTGCTCTGCGAGCTTTCGGCTTTTCGAAATCAGCACGCTTCCGTCTTTTTCGACTCTCTTCAAGTGCTGCAGTTCTTCTGGCAGCTCTTTCAAACGGCAAATAATCTGAAATTCAAGTGATCTCGTAATTTCACACTGTAAAATTGTACCTGGCCGATAACTCTTTTATTTTCCAGCTTCAGCGCTTCGAATGGCGTCGATGGAACTGCTTCGCATGTGAACTGCCGGCCCAAAATCGGAATTACCCTGAAATTGATAGGTTTTTAGCTGTTTTTGAGTGATTTGAACGAGGAAAGTGAAAACTAACTTGATTCTTAAAGACTCTTGGACTTTTCGAACCTTTCGGGGCGGTTCTTCCTCTGTCATTTTAACTCGCAAAGTTTGAGCTAGAAAATTTCCGATTATCTCGTTAATTGGAAAAAAGTGTGCCGCAGCCTTGCAATTCCACCAAGCTCCACCCACGTTTCCATGCCGCAGCAAAAATCAGAGAAATCAGCTGAAAATGACAGAGGTGGTTTGTCAAAAGACCAGAGGCTCCCACACACACATTCCAGTTATGAAGATATACGTGTATATTTCGTCGCTGGGCCAGGGCGCTACGTGTGAAGCGGATCAGCAAACCGGCTCACATCAACGAGTCGCTCACCAAGGACTCCGAAATGAATGGACTTTTAAAAAATATTATCATTCTGAAAGAAAGCGGAAAGAAGTCCTCTCTTTCTCTTTCTCTCTCGTCTCCGTAACTCTTGTATCTCGGCAATAAAGTTTATTGTAAAAACAATTCTCTAGTTCACTTTCAAGAATATTATGTGAGAAAAAGTGCGCCGCAGTCTTGCAATGCCGCCAAGCTCCGCCCGCTTTTCCGTGCCGCATCCGAAATCATGTGCATTTCCAGCTGTTTTCTGCGAATCTTTTATCAGTTTCCGATGACATTCCGCCTTTTTTCGTCTCTCCGTTCACTCAAATTGTCGATCAATCATTACATTCGATAATTTCCAGTGTGAAATCCCGAAAAATCGCAAAATATGGGAAACAATCAGTCTGGAGGACCGGAGGGCCGTTTCGCCGGTAGCCGAGACGGTGCAGGCGTTCGTCGCCACAGAATGATGAGCGAGACGGCGAGAGTTGCTGGGCAGGTGCTTCCGGATCCCAACGGACCGCCCATGATGTTCGACGTGAGTGATTTCCTCAGAACTTCCACAGCAAATGCAATTTTAGGACGGTCACGACGATAAAAGCGGGGAGTGCCCGGTCGTTTTCCGCTGGAGCTTCACGCAGACGGCTCAGCCACGCAATGTGCAAATTGTCGGGTCGTGGGATAATTGGTCGTCGAAAATTCCGATGGTTAAGTCCACAAACGATTTCTCGACGATTATCGATTTGCAACCCGGACAGTACGAGTACAAATTCTTCGTGGACGGGCAATGGGTTGTCGACGACAATCAGGGCAAGACTCAGGATTCTGCCGGAAACGAGAACAACATGATCAGCATCCAAGACTCGGATTTCGCTGTGTTCGAGGCTCTCGACGAGGATTTCCAATCGTCAACTGCCGGGGAAGTGCTTCGTGGAGAGTCGGAGAGCACCAAGAATCACGATACTCCGAATGACAGGTAAGTGGAATCGTCGAACGTATTTTGCGCATCAGTCGAATTTGACTTTCAGAGAACTCGAGAAGCTTCGCTCATTCACTCAGGAGATCCCGTCGATGGATATGCTCCGAAAGGCTGCCGGGCCGCCCGTGATTCCGCCCCAACTCATGCAGGTATAGTTTTCCTTATGAACAGTTGTGCAGCCGAAATTAACGCGCTGCGCAATGTCTTCGAGCTCCCGTTTTATGAAAAGGACGTAATTTCACTCACTTAGAAGGTGCTGCTCAACAAGGAAACTCCCGAATCGTGCGATCCAAACGTGCTGCCGGAGCCGAATCACGTGATGCTCAACCACATGTACGCACTTTCGATCAAAGACAGCGTCATGGTGCTCTCGTCGACGCAGCGGTACCGCAAGAAGTTCGTCACCACTCTGCTCTACAAACCCGTCTAATTGCCATCCTTTGCAACCCCCAAATGCTCCGTGAACCCGTGTATTCTCCCCTTCCGATTGTCCCATTCGTTCCTCTTGTAGTTGTCATGTCATTCTGAAGAAAATTCAGAATTCCTCGTCACTCCAAGAACCATTGCACCCCTTATCCAAGACACTTTTGTAACATAATCGCTTCTTTTTTTGCTTCGAATGTAAGAAACGCGAAACGTCGTAGCCACATTCTAATCATACGGACCCTTCCTTTTAACATATTTATCCCCGTGCTCGGTAGTGTCTAGATGTAAATATTCCCCTGCTCTCTGTCTTTTTCCCTGTCCTCCCTGCCGTTTTCCCCCCAAATTTCGACAGCTTTATTTGTGTGTTTGAAAAATCCCTTTAAGAAAATGTCTCTGTTCTCCGCCCCACCACTTCTGTGAATGATTTGAAATTGAGCATTCCGTCTTGTTCACCCTCTAATTTTCCAGTTTCTCTCGATTTATTCACTTTCTTTTCTCCTGTTTTCTTTGCTGTTTCTGTATTGCTTCACGCTCTCCATATTCTCGCTTTTCACCTAAAAATTGTAGTTTTTCCGTTTTAATAATTCAGTGTCTTTTCCATTGTTTTTTCTTTTCTTTTCTTGAAAAATTAGGAAACAGTACGCCGTCTGACACGGTACTTTCATATCTAAAAAACCAACGATTCAGGCCACATTTTTGTGCAAAAAATCGCTCGGAATCTATCCCAAATTGTGAGAAACGCCCTCGCTGATCGGCAAAATATTTGGCTTCCTCCCGCTGTTTCTGAAAATGCTTCGCATTTTTCATTTATTCTCCTCTGTTCAATTATTTCTGACCGTCGTTTTCGAAGCGAGAAAAAGCGCGCCAAATTTTAAAAGGCGGAAAGTTTTCAATTTTCTCATCGATCACAGCGGCACTGCGCGCCTGCGTCTCTCCGAATCGATCACTCTCGCGTGCGTCGTCATCTCTGTCGATTCGCTGTCCGTCTGTCCTCCAAAACTCCAGCTCACCGCCCCATATTTCACGTTTCTCTTGCTCTCCGTCTCCGCGATTCGGACGCTCTTTCCTAGTTTGGCGATAAGATGACCCCGAGATTGGTGAGCCCGTTCGTTCGTTCGTTGCGAGACCCCACGACTACCTTGATTCATTTTCTCTTTCTTTTCGTTCTGAACGTTCACATCCACACATACAATTCGCTGTTGGTTGTTTTCCTCTTTCCAGTCGGCCCTCTGCAACCCACAAACAAACAGCAAGACTAGATTCTGGAGGCGGTCGAAAATAGCGGGAAATAGTAACGAAAATACGCCCACTAGTATAGATTGTTGTTGCGTTTTTGCTTAGTCTTAGTCTTTCGTTTTAGCGTTTTGAACTTTTTCCCTTTATGATGAATGCGCATAATTTTTGAACTGGAAAACTGAAAAAAAAATCCGAAGAAACCAGTAGATTGTGGCCACTTTCAGTGGTAAGAGAGTGTGATCATCATCTTCCTGAAAGATCAGACGATGTCCTTCGGATGTACTCTCCATTTCGCCGTCTCCTTCCAATTCATTCGCTCTCCTACTTCTGGCGCCTTCCGACTGGTTTTCGGCTGTGACTGAGGCTGACGAAGTGAACTGACACTTCATGAGATTACAATGCCCTCCCTCGCTTCCTCCCCTCCGTCTTGTCTATCATTACTACTTTTATCGGGGTTTCGCCTGTTAGTTTCATCTACATTCGTTTCCTTTTTCGCTGACTTCTTTGTGAAATCATCTCCTGATTTTCCTCTGGTTGCCCCTAGAAATAAGCGTGAGAATCATCGAGGGAATGGGAATGTGTTAGTCATTCTCTGAGAAGTACTAGTACACGACTACTGCTCTCTCGGCTCCTTTTATTATTACAAGACACCTTTCACTTTCCCTTTCGGTCTTTTAAGTCGCCGTCTTCACATACTCCCGTCTTGGTATTAACGTGCAAACAACATTTTTTTCGCTGATAAGAGCATTCAGAAGGGAAAAGAACATTTTTCGGTTGTCAACAAACTACACTCTTCTTCCCGAATCCCTCAGAGTCCAAAGAAGCGCCATTCTGGTAAATATCTTGTTGTTCACCTTTCTCGGCCTCCGAAATTGATGGCTTTTGATGATCATTAGTGCCCCTCGGCCGCTCTCGCTTCTACTTGGATGACAAATAAGCATGTACATGCGCTAATGAGATATCAAAGGGCGGTCTACCCTTTTTCCCAATGAAGACGGTGTCCTTTTCACCCTTTATTACACCTTGCCGCTGTGCAGAAAACGGCGTTTTCATAGGTTTTCATCGGCCGATTCTGTTGCAAACATTGGTGATTAGAAGGCGAGAGCGAGAAAAACGGGAGTGAAAGGGAGCGGCTGTTCGGAAAAGTGCGTGCTCCATTGAACAGGTGCTCTATCATTTGATGCTTAAAGCAACCCGGCAAACGTGTTGAAGCTTTTTAGAACTTACTGAAAGTCTTGTTACTTTTTTTGAGGAGTGTAGGTCACATTGTCGCGTCCATCACATGAAACGTTCGGATCAACACTGATCTTGTGATAGTCACCGACGCGTGATTAGAATATTTCAACATTTTTCGTAATCTCCTTCTCAAAGACTTCGGCAACAGACAAAATGTACTGTTTAGCCTACTAAAAATGAAGATAAAAAAGTGCGCTAATGCACCTGGCTAGTCCATCTCGTCTCTTCCGTTTTATTAGCCCAAATCTGTACTATGCCCCCGCCGTCCATTCGTTTTCTGACCCAAACGACCTCGTTCAGCTGTGTGTACTTTTCGGGAGAGGGTGAAAAATCTCGCTTTCTCTCTTGCACTTGACGGATATGGTTTTTTCCAAGGCTTTTCCGATTTTCTTTGTGTTTTGGATTTCCCTACGTTTTCTGAACCAAAAATCGTTGTAGTATTCTGATCCGTTTGGAAGTGAAGACACGAAAGACTACGAATTTCCATTTTGTCATTCTCGAATCGAACTCTCACTAGGGAAACCAACTGCTGTTACTCCGGTCAGTGTTACTTTTAGAAAGTTGGAAGGTCGCCTACAAAACAGTGAATTTTGTCAAAAAGCAAAAGTTTGATGGTGTTTGCTGGAGCTTTCCAAAAACGTTTAGCCGAATGTGAAAGTCGGAAAATGGTCCCCATATTTTTTTTTTAACGAGAAATTTCCAAATAATACTCAAAAAGTACTTCCCCAGTCAGAAAAGTTCAGAATGCTCGTTCAGCTGATCCGCGCAAAGTCGGCAGATTCGGTTTGTCTCCCGGGGGGTGAGAAAACTCATTCACTTCCCGCGCTCTTTTCGATTCTCTCCAGCACAGACGACGCATTGTGTGTGTGTGTGTGTTGCAAAACGACGCTCCTCCAGTCAGTGCGACGCAGATCGTCTCTGCCAGGCCACAGGGCACCGCCCAGAGAGTGCTGGTAACGCGGAGACGGTGAGCGGAAAGAGTGCGCAACCGAGGCTGACACAGAGACGCTCCCTCTCCCTTTTCGCTCTCGTTCTCTCATTCTCTCCCCTTCCCGCCTCAACACAAATTCCGCTCCTCCGCGGGTTGATCGTTCTCTGCACTCTCCGCCCTCCTCCACACTATTTCGTCCTCATCGTTTCCACCTTCTGTTCCTCCCTCCAATCAGTCTCATTGATTGGCTGATTTCAAGTCACCATTTCACCCATTCTTTTTTGGTTACCCGGATTGTTTTTTCAAAAGTTTCGGGATAATCAATCGTTTCGTAATATTGCCGAACTGTTCGGGAAAAATGATGACAGAAACAAGTCGCGTGATGAACCGAACACTCTTTCGTTTCGCAATACCACTTTCTCCTCGTATTAGCTGCCCTACTCATTTTTCTAAAATCGTCCGACGCTTATCAACGAGCTGGCCAAATTGCTCCGCTTAGAATAGTCAAAATTGAGGCGAATTGATTGATTTCGGAAAGTGAAAGCGGCCAATACTTCTACTGATAACACGTGTTCTCTGGCTTTTTTCTCACTTTTGTCAGCTTTTGACATGTGAAAGACGTACCTTGACACGCTCGTGTTTTAAACTGTTGATTAGTACTCTGAAACAGTCTAAAGCTACATTTCTTTTGTATTGCTCTTCATACTGATCCATTTTCCACCCGCTTTTCTCTCATTTTCACTACAATTTCCCTCATTTTTCAGGTTATCCAAACCAGCATATTTTGTACATTGAATGGACTGATATCTTGTTGAACAGACTCTTCTGTCTATTCTCAACAGACATCTTTCCCCCCAAACTATAGTCGATAAAAGGATATAATCGAGTGCCTGGAAAACCTAATTATAATGGCCGACGTGTTTGATTTCGAGTTGGACGGCCACGAGGCGCCGCCGAGTCAACCCTCGCCGCAGCGTCACATGTAAGCATTTTTTGTTTGAACCAAAAGTATATTGTGTTTGTAGTGAGAATTCTAGCTCGATGTGGGTGATCCGAACTCAATCGGGCTGGAAATTTGACTGAAAATACAACAAATCACCATTAAAGTTGAGGCCCTATCGGGTAACTGTGTCGGGACCGAAAAAGTCGCAGTTTACGGTGCTCTATACGAAATTCTCATGATTTTAACTTTTTTTAAATCATAAAAGTGCTTGGAAACTGCTCTTCATTCGTTCTCTAATTCCTACAAGCGCCGTCTTGTGGGAAAGGTGTGTTTTTTGAAACCGGGCGCAGTGCTTGATGAATGAAAAACTGGCCATTGATCAAGGCGAAAACAACAAAAAAATACTCTATAGATTCAGTGTGCTTAATGTCAATAATTTCAGGTACCACTACGAACGTCATTCGGAGGTCATGGAGGACGACAACATGTACAGCAATGTGGCCGACGTGAGTTTGAAGCCGCAAGAGATGGGGGAATGAACGGGCCAAATTACAGGGGCAGATCTCGGCGCCGCCGCCGAGCTCCTCGTACATGGAGGATCCGATGGTGGAGGCGATTCAGTTGGACGCCAGTTCCATCAATCCTCCGAACGTTCGCGTGGGACCCGAAGATTTTCAGTTGCTCAAAGTGCTCGGGAAGGGAGGGTACGGAAAAGTGAGGAAAAGCATCCTTTCGGTCATCTGGACCCGTTGGACTTTCAGGTTTTTCAAGTTCGCAAGACAACCGGCACGGATTCCGGCAAGATTTTTGCGATGAAAGTGCTCCAGAAGGCGACGATCGTCCGCAATCAGAAGGATACGGCACACACGAAGGCTGAGCGAAACATTCTCGAAGCGGTCAAATCGCCGTTCATCTGTGATCTTCTCTACGCCTTCCAGACGGGCGGAAAACTGTATTTGATCCTCGAGTATTTGTCCGGCGGCGAGCTGTTCATGCATCTGGAGCGGGAGGGAATGTTCATGGAGAACGTGGCCAAGTTCTACCTCTCTGAGATTGTCGTTTCGCTCGAGCACCTCCATCAGCAGGGCATTATTTATCGTGATCTGAAGCCCGAGAACATTCTTCTCGACGGTCACGGCCACGTCAAACTCACCGATTTCGGACTGTGCAAGGAGGAGATCGAGGGTGATCAGAAGACGCACACCTTCTGCGGAACCATCGAGTACATGGCGCCCGAGATTCTGATGCGATGCGGTCACGGAAAGGCCGTCGATTGGTGGTCCCTCGGAGCTTTGATGTTCGACATGCTCACAGGAGGACCGCCGTTCACAGCCGAGAACCGTCGCAAGACGATCGACAAGATTCTGAAGGGACGGCTCACACTGCCCGCGTACCTGTCCAACGAGGCTCGCGATCTGATCAAGAAGCTTCTGAAGCGCCACGTCGACACGCGCCTCGGAGCCGGACAGTCGGACGCCGAGGAGATCAAGGCGCATCCGTTCTTCAAGCAACAGGACTGGAATCAAGTGTACGCGCGACAGTTGGAGGCGCCGTTCAAGCCGGAGATAGAGAACGAGGAGGACGTCTCGCTCTTCGACACGCGATTCACCAAAATGACACCGGTGGACTCGCCGTGCGAGACGAGCTTCAGTCTAAACGGCGACAATCCGTTCGTCGGCTTCACCTACGTCGCGCCATCGGTTCTTGAGATGATAAACAAGAACGGGCACGGACTATCCGTCGCGCAGCTCGCTTCCTCGTTCTCGAATCGCGGACAGAAAAGCCCGAGGAAGTGAGTGAAATCGAGAGAAAATTTTGCATTTATAAACGTGATTTTCAGGCCGGGAGATCCGCAAACGGTCGACTTCCACCACGGGCATCAGCAGCAGTTCTTCGGCCACGGACACGATCAGTCGGAGCAGCGGTTCGGCTTCGGCGGACCGACCACTTCAACGACCGTCGACTCTCGTCAGCCGATCTTCGGACGATTCGACGACGACGACGCGATGGACACGTCGACGCCGCGTGCGAGTGAGAGCCGCGAGAATGCGACGACTACGACGTCGAGCAGTGCGACGTCGAGGCCGTCGGGCATCGGAAGCACCGCGTCGACGCCCATTCCGCTACCCAAAAGGGTCATGTGAAAGGGTGGAAGAGGTGAGAATTCAGAGCGATCACGTCATTTTCTAGTTCTGACGTCCGAGTTCAAATATATTGTACTTTTATCTTCCAGAAAATAGCCAAATCTACATGGCGACGCCGCCTCCGCCGCCAACATCACCACCACATTCCGGCATCATCATCTTTCCCCTATCACTGTGTTCCGTGACGTGTGTTTCTTCCCCTCTAAAGCCCTCTAAACATGCTTTGTTCCTTGACGCGAAGGCTACTACAATTACGGACAGCTCTTTTCACGTCGTCAAGTCTAGAAGCCGTTTAGAAGACGCTAGAGCTCTCTTTTTTGTAATCAAATTCTCAGAATATCCTGGACGACGTTCATTCTCCTCCTTTATTCTTGTCATTTTTCTTCCTGCTAACTTTTTTGTTTTTTTTTCGACACTTTCTGTGGTTACTCAATTTTTGTAAAACTAGGCCCATCCCACCAGAGGTTACGATCTGTTGGCCGAGAAAAGAGCAGTGTGTGGAAGAAGTTTTGCTCTTTTCTCAGTCGTTTCATACGGAAGCACTTTAACCTCTGGCTTGTTTTCCCGTTTGGGACGCCGCCCCCTTCCTTCATGTTTTTGGTCTTTTCCGCCTGTGACTCCGCCCCCTTCTCCGCATCACCCTTCTGAATTCCTACCGTAAGATTACGGTAGATGAGTGTGTGCTCACTTTTCCCCCCCCTCTCCCCCTCCATCTTTCCCACTCTCTTCTATTTGCTCCTTTTTGAAAACTGGCTGAAATTCTACGTGATTTGTTGTAAACAACACCTCCCCTCCGCAAAAACCTCCCTTTCCCTTTACGTGCCTTTGATAGTCCCCAAACTTTTTTTTTCGAATTCGCCTTCATCAAAAAAATCACTGAAAAACCCCAAAAAGTTAGGTTTTCAATTAGGCTCTTGTTTTGAGTCTCGGCCTGTTTTTCCCCATTTTTGTGTCCGTCACCCTCTATCACACACTCTCTCTCTCTCCCTCGCGTTTTTTGGGCCAAATATAAAGATGAATAGGTTTGATAAAATGCATTGACAAGAGAGGAATGGGATAGCGAAAAGGAGTGTAACAAATCGATTGCGCCCCACCACCGCTGACCATTCTCGCCTTTTTCTCTCCTCACTTATCACAAGATTTTCGTGTGACGGCCCAAACTTTATCGCTTTGCAACCAACTTTCAGCCGATGGCCAACACGTACATGGACGGCGAAATCTTCGAGGAAACGGCGAATGAGTGAGTTTTCTGATATTGTCCATTCGAGCAGAAAAACCGAAGATTTGAATGTGCAGTGACGGAAAGCAATCGAGACGCGTCCAAATATAATTTCCCCTCTTTTTTCGTTGTCTTGCCCCATCTTTCAGCTCCTTACGGACTAGTCTTTCACATTTGGAAAGCTAGTCCACGATCCATAAAGTTGTAGTTTCTAGAAAGATCCAGCATTTCGAATCCGCATAAATAATTGATTCGTCTCGAAAACATCCAAAGTTCTCGAGCATTTATCATGCATTTCTCGCTTTGAATGAATATTTTCACGTTCGAAGACGTCCTATGATTCTGTAATGTTTTCTAGTGGAATCTTTGCATTTGTAGTTGACAACTTTTTTGTACGACCACGTGAAAGAAGCCCAACTTTGAAGCGCTGCAGTAGTCTTTAATGTTCTCGTACAAAAAAGTTGTCAACTGAAAAAATGACGCGCTAGACATGGAGATTTCCCAAAAAAAATTTCAGAATCATATAACGTCTTCTCGCCGTGCTGTACCAATTCTATTTTTAGTTAGATATTTGATCAATTGTTTCCGGTGCGAGAGTACCCATAAATAAGCGAACAGTTAGAGAGAGAGAGAGAGAAAGAAGAAGAAAATAGTTTCCATTTGATATTGTTTCTTCCTGTTTTCAGTACCTCAATGCTGAATGCGACCGTAATCGTCGACACGTGGAATGGGACCACGACGACTGGGATCACGACGATCTCGCCGGAACGCGAGAAGCTCTACGAGTCGTTGGTGTGAGTTGTCTGGCCTAATTTTTATGGAAACTATAGCCACGGCTTGCGTACTGTCATATCTCAACTGTTTGAAATTAGTACTCAAATCAATGCGTCTAACGTTCCGTGATTTCCAGGCTCTCTGGCAGTGCGATCACGTTCATCCTCCTCGGAATTCTCATTTTCTACTTCATCAAAACGTCGCGTTGGTACCGTCAATGGTGGAATAATCTGCGGAGCGAGAAGTCGGCGAAACGGGCGGAGAAGGCAAGACTGAAGGCGAAGGCGGAGAGGGAGAAAGAGGACGAAGAGGACGAGGAGGAGTACTCCGTCTGAATAACAATTGATTGCGTCGTATGACTTGAGTTTATGATAAAGTAGTTTGTACATACGTTAAATGTCAGAATGAATACAGACTGGCCGCGAATCTTTTATGCCTCTCAGTGCCTGCGAGTAATCGGGCACCTGAATTGTTCCGAACGTGCTCCCAAAATGATTCCAAACTTCTACCATTCTTCGCAATTCCGATGAATGCTTCAAAATGAATGTTTTTCTGCACAATTGTCATGCATAACGGTCTCGTGAACGATGACATCACGCGGCCGAGTTTTATTCGGTCGCCGTTCACATGTGCTGGCGCGAACGCAATGCGCCTTCTATTCTACTCCGCACAAAATTCCGTAGTTTTCGACAGAAAACTCACAATTTCAATGTTTCAAATGGAAATCTGTCCCAATTCCTTGATTTCAAAACCGACCCCTTTTAATATTGTCATCATTTTGTACGCTTTTTGATACAATTTTTCGTCATCACATCACTTTTCATCAAAATATAGACGAATGCCAGTGTAAACATTCATGGGGTTATTCAGGCTGTGAAAAAAAATGATTTTTTTTGTTTTTTTTCGTTTTTTTACGTCAAAAAATCCAATTCGGCGATGTAAAAAAACGAAAAACATACGCTGAATAGCCCCATCAAACTTCGCATGGACGAAGCTTGTTCGGCGGTTCTCTGTCCATTTTTTTTTGACGCCTCCTCTTTCAGCCGTTTTTCTTCGTTTTAGTCTTCACAAAAGCAACTATTTGAGGTGAAATGAATGCCGAGGAGCGTGCCGAAAGAGAAGCAAATGCTCGGCGAGCAATTGCGGTGATTGCGCACGCGAACGAGTGCACTGTCGCGGGATGCACCTACAAAGATCCGATCGGAAAGAACAACAAGTGCGTCACATACAAGAAGGTCATCAAGCACATGCTCACTTGCCCGAAGAAGATCACAAAAGAGTGTCCACTGTGCACAAGTGCACTCGTTTACCATCGTTACCACTCGGCGCATTGCGAGATTGACAACTGCCAGTACCCGTACTGCATGGATACGAAGCTGGAGTTCGGAGAGACGCCGGATCTGAAGAAGGCGCTCGGAAACATTCAGTTGTAGGATCACTGCTACTCTCAATAAAAAATCGATTCGTTTCTGCTTCTCTTGTTTGTCATCATTCCGTATTTGACTCATTCGATCGATATCTTCAACGTCTTTTCTTCTTTTCTTCTTTTCGCAACACTTGTTTTCACAGATTCACAGGAGAATGGTGCTCGGACGATACTTTCCTCTTTGGGTCTCCGAGCTTCCTCGTGAGAAATGTCACATTTGTCTGAAGAACAACTTCCACGAAGAAAGAACAAAATCGTTTTTGGCGGAGAGCGGAATTCCGCTTCATTCATGCCTGGAACCGTTCAGAACATCCACCATTCTCCGATCGAGTTGGGCGACACGATGATATGGCCACGTGGAGTTTGGATAAGAAGAAGCTGAATCAAGTCCGGCTCAGCGACAACTTTTCGCGATGAGAACAAAACACTTTTGGGCACAAATTCGACGTGAACTGTGAACGGCGATGATTATGCAAAGAGCATGGAAAGAAATCGAGCGGCGCAATCAAAAACACGTCGTTGCTCTCCTTTTTCTCAACAATATTTCTTAATCGATCCACGAATAGAATCGGTGAGTTGGAATTGAGACGATTTGAGAAAAGGCGAAAGATGGAGGTGTTTAGAGTTAATCGAAAGTATCATGGGACTTCTAAAATACAAAGACAGCTCATCGAGTAGTGACGAAGAGAAAGTGGAGACGGAGAAGGAGAGAGAGACAGAAAACGAGTATCGGAAACGATTGAGGACCTATTCGGTTGACGAGGAGGTTCTTGGGCTCACGGAGCATTAGAAGATGACACTTTTTTAATAGATAAAGTTCGGAGAGCAACTCCAGGATGATCTGATCAACTCGTTCTGCGACAAGCTTCAAGCTGTGAGCCCTCGGAAGATCGAAGCTTTGCTCGCCATTCAATTTCTGATGTTTGTGAGTGCCCGGTCTACAGTAATCCCTCTACAGTACACTTCAGAACGACACAGAAGAGATCAAAAAGCACGTGAGTGGCGAGAAGGACGCGATGCAGGTGCTCTACGATCGGACGAGAAGCCACTACGTGCTTGTGCAGTAAGATCCCATCGATCTTTCTACGGAACCTCATCGGAACTGTTTTAGTTTCGACCCAAAAATCCGGACAATATTTCTGATGGACAGTCTGCAACCGTTCGGCGACGGCAATCCGCTGGTTCCTCCAAAAACTATGCACACCCTCAACCTTTCTTCAGGTAATCACCGAGATCGCCAACCAAATCGCTCATCTCTTCGGCCACCTCTTCGCCAGTACCATTCCGATTACGGTCGACAAAGAGTTTGAGCATCAGGTACCGTAGGGTCTACCGTGATCCCAATGGCTTCCTTCCTTCCAGTCTGACAACTTTTCGTGCGGATACCGAGTGATCGGAGCGCTTGTGGACCTGGCCAGACAGCGAAACCCCGCCAAGTATCGATTCATTCAGTTTCCTCTAAAATAAGTGTGATTTTAGCTACAAATACAGTCGTCAGGCGATTTTGCACTTTCTGAAAATGGTGCTCAATGAGCCGAACCCGACGTGGCAAATGTTTGAGAGCGCAAAGTTTGGCGTCGAAAAGAAGTACATGGGCAGGAGCGTTGTCACGATGCGCATGTCGAATCCCGCCTTTTCCAAGTGAGACCCACAAAAGTTCGTCTGATTTCTCTCCTCTTCTTCAGAAGCACCTCGTCGAGTCTGGCGTCGAGTCGAGCCACGAGCCGGGCTTCGAGCAGAGCTTCCAGCAGACCTTCGAGCCGCGAATCCTCCACATCGTCGGCGAAAGCGACGGGCAAACGGGTGAGACTGCACTACTCTGGCCAAGCGTAGAAAGCCAGTCTTAAGGCATCCGCCGGCGGCACCGTCGTCCTCGAGATGGACGAAGAGATGTCGTGCTGGAGCGTCGAAGACGTGGCGATGGAGACGGCCGAATCGGAAGAGCGGACGGCGATGTCCCCATTGGGAATGTCGCTTTCGGCGCTCGGCGGAGAAGTTCTCGGATGGCTGCACGCGATTTACGCGCCCTGGAAGCCGTACTTTCGTCGTGGCCACGGGAAAATGAATCATTTTGACGAATGATAGGGTTCATAAACGGCTTTTTTCCTTGTTTCTTGCTGCATTTCAATTTCCTGCCAAAATTTCGGTAAAGCGCGTTTTCAAATTGAGCAGGGCTGGGAAAAAGGCCGGTTCAGGCTTTCTTAGGCCCCCGACCTTAGCTGCCAACAAAATGGCGACGAAAACATTCATCGTACACACACCAGTGTTGAGCGGAATTCCGTCTGCCTTCTTCCGTCTTCCGTCTTCCGTGGTTTTTTTTGTTCCGTCTTCCGTCTGCCATCTTCCGTGAGAAAAGTTTTCTTCCGTCTTCCGTCTGCCGTCTTCCGTAAAAGAATGTTTCTTCCGTCTGCCGTCTGCCGTCTTCCGGGTTTTTCTTACCGTAAAAGAGTAATAGCTTTTTCAAGAGCCATTTACTAGTCCCGAAGAACGCGAATTTCCACGGGCAGTACCCAGATCCAAAAAGTTTTGTTGCATTAGTTATTTTTTTCAAAAACCGGAAAAAAAGGCTCTGAATTGACGATTTTTTTGTTCCGTATTCCGTCTGCCGTCTTCCGGGAAAAAAGTTTTCTTCCGTCTTCCGTCTGCCATCTTCCGTGAGAAAAATTTTCTTCCGTCTTCCGTTTTCCGTGTTCCGTAAGAAAAATTTTCTTCCGTCTGCCGTCTGCCGTCTTCCGTATTTCAAAATTCCACTTCCGCTCAACTCTGACACACACACACACACGTATAAACGTACAATAACGTTGTTTGGGTCCGTTATGGATGTGGCCAAAAAAGAAATAAATTTATTTGTTTTGGTGTCCGTATGTGTGGAACAATGATGAGGGACGGGAATGGAAGCGGAAAAACTGAAAACAATAGATTGCATTTTCATCGGGAAAAGAGAATCGTTTGCTTCTTCTTTTCCATTCGCTCATTTATTCACTTTTCACCGTCGACGGCGCCACAAACACTTTCGTCATTTCATCATCGCGTAAGCTGTGTGTTCGGTGTGATGTCATCATCCGTTGAGTACCGTAATCCTTCATATTCATCCTCATCATTCGCTTCTTTTCGCGAAATATTCCAATTATTCCATCAATCATTGCGCGAAGAGAATTTTTCGGAAATTGAGCATTTCCCGACGCGCTTTAGCCGAAATTATAGGCCAATTTCGGGCGGCTAGATTGATGAGATTTCTACGAAAAGTGGGCGGAGTCTAAAGGGGCGTGGCCAACTGGGTGATTAGAAGAAAGAAGAAGAAGAAGAAGAAGAAGAAGATGGGTCCGAGGTGTCATTCAGATCTTCTTCGCCCCGGCGCAAAACATAACAGGCTTTCCGCGAAAAAGTGCTTTGTATGAGTAAGTGCGCTCTAACGAACCTTGGTGATCTCATCGCGGTTCCAGTGTAATTTCTAACGAGTTCTATTCTGAATTTTCTGCAGATCAGAAATTATCGCCTTCTGAATGAAAAGGGGCTATTAGGTTATGTGGGAGTGGGGAGCGGGTATAAAAGAGTGATGAGAGTCTGTCTTGGTCACTCTTCAAACGATTACTGACTTACCGTAGCCGTCTCTTCTAATCCACGTCATCACTCATTCCGGCGCCTCCAAAGTTAAACCTCTTTTCCACGGCGAAAACGCAAAAAGAGAGAGAGAGAGAAGAACAAAGCCTTTCTACGAGCGCCGAACTTTTTGGGGACAATGCTAATCCTGGCATGAATAATGAGCCTTCGTCGGCTGGCTCACCCGGTGATCCTGGCTCCAGAACTTATGAAAAGGACCAAAACAAAGGAACATTGCAATTGAATTGTGTGTGTGTGATTTTTTTCTGTTTGCGCGCCAAGTTTAGTCGAGCTCCTCGCCATCGAATAATGTTTTTTCGCCGCATCCTCCCCCTTTTTCTCATTTCGTCGTCGACGCCGTCCGTCATTCATTCGGAATTCCGTCTCCTTCGCACTTTGATATTTCACACCGAAACGTAGAGTTGACACGTCACCCTCCCTTCTCACTTTTCAACTTTTTATTCGTTTGCAATTGAAACGGAAATGCGCGTCATGAGACTTGGCGAAACTAAACACCGGGTTAAATTCGGAAGAAGATCGGAGGTCGCGCCTAACATTCCGCCAACCAGCGAAAGTACTACCGTACCCGTGCGCGTGCTCTTTTCTGCACACATGAAATCTTGAATTGAATCTTCTAGACTATGTACAACCGATAACATTCACCTAATTTTCTCAAAAAACCGCTCGTTTGTTTATCCATTCGTATATTGTTCGCTTCTCTTCTCGTGTCATACATTTTTGAAATCCGAACACAAAAGATGGTTTCCACTCGGTATTCTTGAAGAACCGGAGTGGAAGTAGACGACGAAAACATTGTGTGTTTTGGTTTTGAGGTGAGGTGACGTGGATGTGCACACAAGTGTTGACTCGCATTCTTTATTAAGAGAGGCGCTTCAGTTTTCAGCTGAAGGATGGTATAAAAGTCTAGGCAGCAAAGCTTCAAGAGTGTGTCTGAAGATCTGAAGCGTCGTATCGGGTTTGGTACTTGGATTCTCAATGGCTCCAAGTATCTCAATTGTCTGAAGCTCGTTGAGATCCTCAGAAGTTTCAAAGGATCCTAGAGCTCAAGAAGCCCTAGAAACTTCTGAAGAGTTGTTTGATTCCCCATAGACCTTTCTCGAAGCACTATGAAGCTCTCCCACGGCATCGCCTTCCCTAGGTGCTCCCCGACTCATTCCGCATTCCCATCCGTTTCAACACGTACATTCTCATTTCCTGTTCCGGCCGTATCTGATCGGATGCGGTCAAAGTACATCCTCTTTGTGTCCATATCAGATTGCCCTTCTTCATTAGTCATTACAATCCTTCTGGTTCTGGCTCGCCGATGTTTGAAGTCGCCGTACTTCCGAGTCGAAAGTACTCTTAATTGCTGCAAAAGACAAAAAGTGTTTGACGGCTCCCCGGGGTGTGCTCATTTATGAGTGCTCATGGTGGTGGTCCCTCTCTTTCTAATTTCAATTCCGTCGTGATGACGTGGCACGCGGGTGTCGGTGTTGCAATCCAACTTTCAATTCATTTCAATTCAATTTCACACATTTCCTCCGGACAATAAAACGTTGAAATTTCCCGTCCGTCTGCCCGGGTAATTGCTCTCGCGAAGAGCACTTCTGGGACGCTTCACCGGGCCGGATTCCCCTTATTTTCGGCTGTTTGAAAAGTCACGGTTCGCCGCGTTTTGTGAATATAGTTGAGGTCCAACTTTGAGCAGATATTGTCGCTCCCTGGAGACGTCACCGGGTTCTAACTTTTTCCGAAAATATACACTTCACATGGTTTTTCTGGTTGACCACTTTTTTGTACGACTGCTCCCAGGGGTACTGTAGCTCGTAGAAGTGATGGGTAGTTATGGGTAAAAGTACGCGCACGTCAAGTAGCTACAGTAGTCTGGGGAGTTGTCAATTACAAAAACCATGTACTAGATGTGAAGAATTCGTACAAAATTCCCCTCCAGAATCCTTGCATTTCTCAAGTGCTCTTCTCCTAATTTCCCAGATTTTCTCAAGTTCTTTCTCTGTTTTTAAAGCATTTTCGCCTACAAATTTTGCGTGTTAGACTTTTGGAAGATTCTTGAAAATCAGAATTCGAAAATTTTGATTTCAGGAAATCTGAAAAACAGAAGACGAAAGCTCAAAAACCAGAACTGCGCGAGCCCACTTTTCCCGATTGAAAATGTTGCCGAAATTGAATTGAAATCGAGTTCTCATTTGTTTTAGTGCCCTTCTGATCCGATCACATCGCCGCAAACGGCCGCGTATAAAAGGCCGACAAAAAATTGGAGAAAAAAAACGGAGACACACTGAAAGCTCCGCCCCTTTTCGAGCAGTTTCTAGTTGAAAACCACCCTCGTTTTCGTTCATTACTCATTCCGAAACATCTTCTGTTTTCTCACACTTTCCATTCCAGAACTTGTCCCCCCCCGCTCTCCGTTTATCCGTCGAAAATGATGTCGTCCCGATCGTCGATCATTCTGATGCTTGCCGTGCTCGTCGCCATCGTCTGCGTCGCCCAGTGCCGAAACATTCAATACGGTAGGCGATCTCTTTTAGTCGGAAAACAGAACATGACTGTTACCGTCATCATTTCAGACGTGGACGAGCTGACTCCGGAGGCGGCGTTCCGCTACGCTCAATGGGGAGAGATGCCGCACAAGCGCGTGCCGTCCGCCGGGGACATGATGGTAAGGACCGCATATCTCGACTGCCAGTAACGATATCGAAAAGTTGTCAATCGATAAATTACTCAAAGAGACATTGCGCACATTTTATTAGTTGACACCTTTTTGATATCTCTGCCGGCAACTGAGATATAACGGATTGAAGTTTCAGGTCCGATTTGGGAAGCGGAGCGTCTAGGAATCCATCGATTCGTCCGATCTACATGATTCCTCCGCCACGTCAGTCACACAAAACTCTCCAACCACCATCACCACCACCAATAGATGATTCATTTAATCTCCTCCCATGTTGACAATCCATTCTTCTTCTTCTTCTTCTTTCTCTCTTTTCCACATAATTGGCACTTCTCCCCCTCCCACCCCAAAAAAGACGATGATGCGACCAATGAACTGTTTTGTGTGTGTTAAATCCGAGTTATATTGATGATCACAAAGAGCGCTGAAGCGGAAGAAAAATGGTGGAAGTTAGTTAATGGGGCGAACGAACGAGGAAGAGTATTTACGCAATTAAGCGAGAAATGAGCCGCGCTTCTTTCGGTTTTGCACGGTCTCCCACGGCGCGAATGATTTCAATGGGGCGCACTTGCAACAGGCGGGCTGTGTCGATTTACGCGGCGGCCGATTAATTAATTTTCAACGGGAGGCCGCGTTCTTTCCATGTTTTCTGTACAATACACCTATTTTTTTTTGTGCGTCTGGAACCTGGATTTGAATAATTAGAGCACTTGCTACGTTTTGGTAACAGAAATCTCGCATATCGTTATTTAGATTTGAAGGTTTTGGCCTGGATTTTGATGTTTTTCGATTAGTTTTCGAAAACTGCTCAAGGAAACTAACCGCCGGAACCTGAATTTTGTGAAAAAAGATTCAGCGAACATTTTTATCGTTCGTTGGGCTAATGAAATGCAAAATGAGCTGAAATATAGAGGTTTGAAGTTTTGACGAAATGCGAAAAACATGAAAAACTCTAAATTTTGTAAAGAACGGTTGCCAATCAGTAAAATAATGTTTTCTAGACGTTTTTCAAGTCAAAAAGAAGGAAATAAAGATCGTAAACTCGAATTGAACTGCATTTTCAGACCTGCAAATTTTCAAAAGTTACAACGAAACTCGGCAATTTACGAGCGCACTGTGTTTAGCATTAGCGCCCTGGGAGACCGTGAACTGGGCGACACTTTGAAACCAGTTAGTTGCAAAACGTCGCTTTGAAACTGGGGTCGGTTCACGCGAGTTCGTCCGAAAGAGGCCGGTCAAAAAGAGAGAGAGAGAGAGAGTATCACTTCTCCTCAACAGTTATTTCTGAATCTTCCATCATCCAAACGTAACCCCACCATCCTTCGCTGCCTTTTCTCTTAATAAAGCGCTTGCAGATTAATTTCAAACAGTGTCCTCAATCCTCTAAAAATGGAGAATAGCACGAGTAAGCAGATGGGAGGAGGATCGCTGCCGAAAACGCCGAAGCAGAAGCAGGAGAAGACGACGGGCGAGAAGGATCGCGAGAAGGACGAGAAGGCGCGCATGCACAACAAGAAGATGCAGGAGAGGGATCTGCCGCGCTACAAGCACAAGGAGGCGTTCGTCGAGACCACGAAGGCCGTCTACGAGGTACGTGGCGAAGCGTGGTCCCGGAGGATCCTGATCGATTGCAGATCCACTCGGAACTCGGGCAGGGCTCTTTCGGCGCCGTCTACCTCGTCTCCCGCCGCAGCGACCATAAACAGTTCGCGATGAAGTGCGAGTCGGTGAACATGAAACGCTCGATTCTGCCGCACGAGGCAAGCGTCCTTCTCGCCCTCGGACTCCTCAAATCGCCGCACTTCGTGGACATGATCGACCACGGACTCGTGCCCAACCGCTTCCTTTTCGTCGTTCTCAAGCTCGTCGGCTTGAACCTGTGGGACCTTCGGATGCGGATCCCCGACCGCAAGTACTCGATGGGCACGACGGTGCGCATCGGCGAGCAGACACTCGCCGCACTTCGAGACATGCATCGCGTCGGCGTTCTGCACAGAGACATCAAGCCGCCGAATTTTGCGTGTGGGCGGGAAGAAGACGACACTCTCCACACGATCTTCGTCCTGGACTTTGGCCTGTGCCGGAAGATCGCCAAGAAGGGGCAGGATCTGAGACAACCGAGGAAGGAGTGCGCGTTCCGCGGCACCACCAGATACGCGTCGATGGCCGCGCATGACAATGTGAGGGACTGGGAAAAGTTGGGCCGCGCCAGGAGTTGGCTTTTCAGAAGGAGCAGTCGCGGAAGGACGATCTCGAGTCGTGGTGGTACATGATTTGCGAGATGATGGTTTTTGACATTCCGTGGAAGCAGTGCCGCGGCGTCGACAGAGACAACGTCAAGAAGAGCAAGATGAAGTTGCGCGAGGACGAGACGTACTTCAAATTCGTGAGATTACTCCCTTGCCCCTGTCGCTTCTGATGTTCCCCTCCCTTGGTTTCAGCTATTCCGCAAGGCCGGCTACGAACAGATGAGCGCCATCCTGTTCTACCTGGACAAGCTGGAGTACACGAGCATTCCCGACTACGACTACATCTACCATCAGCTGCAGAACGTCGCGTTTGTCAATTCGATCGCGCCGAAGACGCCGTTGGATTGGGATCCAAAGAAAGAGTATCGGGGACCGGTGTACAAGGAGAATCAGAATTATATTGTGAAAGCGTTGGAATGAGTGCATAAATAAATGAATTAGTCGCAATGGTGATGGTGGTGTCCGAAGAAGTGATGGCGGTGATGATGATGATGATGTCCGCCGTCATAGTAGACCACTTCCGGATAGTAGCCAGCTGAAAATGCACGGTTAGAAAATGCTCGCCAAAATTACGAAATTACGGTATTGCTGGTAGACGGGATACGGTTGGATCGGTTGCACGAGAGGAGCGGCGGCCGGGTACATGTACGCCGGAGGTACGGTCATCTGTGGATAGGCCTGACCGGCTGGGACCATGGCTGTTGAAGGAATGGGGACCTGGAGAAATGGTTAGGGTAGAAAGCCGAAAGTACAGTAACCCTTACCTGTTGTGCTGCCATCTGAGGTGGCGGTGGCGGTGATGGATAATATCCCCCGGCCATGGCCATCGGCATTTGCATCTGATTCTGATAGACTGGCGCTCGTTGAAGAGGAGGAGCCGCTGGAGTCGGAGCGCCGCTCTGAGGATACGTCTAGAAGGAGTACGGTTATGGTAGATTTCTCGGGCTACTGTAGAAGTGACTGACCACGGTATACGGTACGGAAGGGCTGGTGATCGGGGTGTCGGCGTAGATGCTGGAGTTGGAGGGCGGATGCGAGACGGTGGTGGAGACGAAGGCGCCTGTGGCCACTGGAGCCACTGGAGCCACTGGCGGCGCAGATGGGACCGTTTGAGCCGGAAGCGGTCCCGCCGGGTTCTGCTGGGATGCGTAGGTGTTATTGTCGATCAGACCGGGCAATGGATAGGGATGCGCCGAGAATCCCTGCGAGTTGCCGGTGTAAAAGAACGAAGAGGAGGCGGTGGAGGGGCCCTGGAAGATACAAAGTGTTCACAGTCCGTGAGGCAAACATTTTCTGGCATTTTCCCCTTGAAATCTGCTTGTTATTCCGATTCGGCAGTTCGGCGAGAGAGTGAGAGAGTGCATGACAGTTAGAAGGCGCCACATCTGACGACAAACTGCGTACTGCAACTTTTCCCTCGAAAATTTCGAGAGAAAAGTTGCATTCGACCACACCGCGCCCATCTCTGTGCCTTACCGATGCTGCTGGAGGAGCAGAAACGCCAGCTCCAATCGGAACTTGCGAAGCTACAGTCGTCGGATGGAGTACACTTGCGGGCGGAGGCGGCAGGTCGTCTCGGAGGTCGGTGAGGGGAACTTTCGGCGCTCCGAGGTTCAGGTTGTTCATGAGATCCACGGGCGGAGAAGTGGCTTGTTCGTAGCTCGGCAGAGCGGCTGAAAGAACGAAACGTTGTATTTAGGTGTTTCGTTGACAAACAGAAACGTACCAACGCCTGCCGGCTCAATGATAACTTCGCTGGTGATGAACGGTCCTTTGATGCAGATCTGGAAGTTGTCGGTGGAAAAGAAAAACGTAAGAGGAAACGTTCTACCAATTTGATCAGATTCGGATCGACGCGATGGACAAAGTCGGCGATTTTGGTCTCATTGAACAGAATCTGAAGAGAATTTCAACTATTTCATTTTTGTTGCCGATTCCGGAAAAACCTGAAAGGAATGCTGCATGGCCTTAATTCTGAGTTTCGCGTCCTGGTTGTACGGACTGATGACGAGGTTCTCGACCGGCGGCGACGTCTTCTGGCTCACCGTGCAGTCGATTTTCAGCTTCAAGAAACAATGGAATTTGGTGGTTTCGCAACTGAAAAGCGTACCCTTGACGGCTGTCCGAGAATGAGTTCCACTCTCAGCGCAATGTCGTTATTGTTAGTGCTCAGCGTGAGCTCGACGCTTTTCTTCGCGTCTTCGTACGGTTTTCCGGTCAAAACGACTGAGGATCCGACCGGCAGACCGCTCGGAATCTCTCGACGGAACGGCATTGTCTGCAAGAAGACGTTTCAGCTCATTTTTCTGTACGAAAGACGCATGCTCTAATTTTTGGTTACATTTCGAAGCATTTGGAGAAAAAATTTAGAGCCCGTGATCAGGCGCACGGATCGGAACGTTCAAGAGATCGGATATTGGTTATCCATGAAAACTGAATGAAAAATCAATAAAAATGGACTTACGGGAAGAACGAATTTTTGTGTGTGAGTGAGCATATTTCGCAAAAGCAACTGATGTCGTTATCGGCGAGCGAAACGTCGCTTTTCAGTTCCACTATCGCTGAATAAACACTGATTCTGATCTTTCGCGAAGGGGTGGGCGTGACTCACACTTTTTATTATTGACATGTCACTGTTTCGGTGAATCCCACATGATTCCCGGATTGTGCAAATATTCACAGAAAACAGTCTATTTTCCAAGGGTTTGCGGTCATTTTTCCAATTTCTAGTTTGGTTCTCATTTGGCTTGCTTTCACTTTTGTTAAAACTCTCTCTTTTAATTGCATTTGCATCTTTCTCCTTGAAGTGTCCCTGCAGCTGTAGAAACTCTCATTTGAATTACCTCCAATTGAGCCCGCAACCTGCGCGTCAAGTTCGGTGCAACTACACATCAGGCGGCCGACTTGACGACATCTCCCTGTTCTCGCTCTCTTCTCACCGATTTTTGTTCTAAAATAACTTTTACCAACTGGAATGGTTCATAAATTCGATTTTTCAGGGTAATCGAATCATGGATGTGCCTCTCAGTCTGTCGCAGCCGCAAGCGTCCCGGCAGCCTGGCTCCACAATGAGATGCATGGCAGACTATTCAGTGAGTCGGTTTTTATTGGAAAAACTGTAATTTTCTGAATTTCAGGTAATAAAAGAAGTTGGCGAAGGCTCGTTCAGCACCGTCTATTACGCCAAGGAAAAGGCCGGCGATAAGAGAGAAGTGGCGCTAAAAGTGTGCATGAAAAGTCTTATTGTGAAGAAGAAAATGGTAAGTTTTCGTTGTTTTTTAATAATAACAATTTTATAATGTCAGGTTCCATACATTCACCGCGAAAAAGACACATTAGTCCTTTTGAATCGCACAGAAAATGTGCATCCGTCGATTGTAACACTTTTCGCCACTTTTCACGACGCCGAGAGTCTTTATTTTGTGCTTTCTTATGCAAAATGTGAGTTTTAGTTCGTAAATGATAATAAATCCGATTTCAGACGGCGATCTCGTGAATCTGGTCACAAAACAGCCGGACAGTCGGTTAACCGTCCACGACGCGCGCTATTATTCGGCGATTTTGCTCTCAGCACTGAGTTTGTCAAAAAACTGAATACAAACCCCTAAATCTATGAAATTTCCAGTGCACATTCATTCGCTAGGAATCATCCATCGAGACGTGAAGCCTGAGAATTTGTTAGTAAAAGAGGACGGCCGGATACTTTTATCCGACTTCGGATCCTCAAAATTTTTGAAGGATTACGAGAGAGCGGATGGAGAAGAAGAGGAACAGCAGCCGACGGGCCGGAGACGGTCTTTCGTCGGCACCGCCCATTTTGTGACGCCCGAACTTTTGAAAGGACAGCAAATGGGCCCGGCCAGTGATTTTTGGTCCTTTTCCGTCTGTCTTTTCTTCTTTTTAACAGGTTTTTCACTCAAATCTCAAAACAAAAACCTTGTAAATTGCATTCAGGAAAGCATCCGTTCGACGATCCCTCCGAATACCTGATCTTCCGGCGAGTTCAGGACATTTTGTACACTTTCCCGGAAAACTTTGATAAAAACGCCAAACATCTTATTGAACACGTTCTAGTCACTAAAGTGAGTTGGAAAACAACGGAATATGCGGGAAACGTGGACATTTTTCAGATTGAAGAGCGATTAACTGCCCACGAGCTCACGGAGCACGATTTTTTTCGACCAATCGATTTTACCAAGCTTCAAGAGCTCGAGCCCCCAAAGATTTATTTATGACAATAAAAAATACTTTAATATTCTTGGTTTTACGCTTCACTGAGCCCAGTTGCTTTCTGGCAAAATACCATTCTGTTTTGAACTTTTTCCAGAACGAATTCTCGATTTTCAGATCGAAAACAATGGCAAAAGTGATTAGAAGTATGTTTTATATCACAAAGTTCTATACAATGTCGTTGAAGATGGCGTTCTAGTTGAGCACGGAGCGGCTCCTCCTTTTGACGCCTTCTTCTTCTCTTCACGTCAGATAATAGGGTCTAAAGTTGTTTTTTGAGAAGATTCTGAAAAGAAAAACGTACTTTTTGAAATTAACGATCTTTTGCGAAGCATCGGATTCTGTCGCGTCGGAAGAGAAGACGATGAGACAAGACTAGCAATAACTGTTCTTATCGAAAACAACCAATTGTCCCTGAACTTTGAACTTCCACGTGGAAAGGTCACATTCTTATCACAATTCCACGTAAACAAAACGTGGCTATTTTTGAGCGGTAGAGCGTGGTTTCCAACCCGTTCTAGCAATAATAGTTCAAACTTTCACTTTGAGCCCCTTCCAGACCGCTGGGTGTACCGTCCGGACAACAAATGGACGCGTTATCTGCCGCGCCGTAACGACGCCGTCAAAGAGTTCGATTACGAGAAGAACGGCGCCTCGCTGAAGCATTACATCGAGGAGATTCCGGAGGAGCAGAAGCCGAAGACCGCCTCCAAACTGTGGATGGCCTGGCTTTACAGGGATCTGGCCGGCGAGCCGACGTGGACGAAAAAACACGTGGAGAGCCTGTTTGGCGCGAATTTTAAGGTAAGACATGAGTTTTGGCTATAATCTTTCTGAAATTCAACCAGCTCATTTCTAAACAGATTTCCTCGTTATTGAGTCAACATTTTGACAATTTCCCGCAAAAACTGAAAGCCACTCCGATTTCTACAGGTCGGCCGAATGGAATTGTTCCGAAACAGTGCGCTCGTCAACGAAGAACTCTGGAAAGTGAAGCATCTGATTGAGCTGCGACCGGTGACGTTCAAAAACGGCGTGGAGCCGACAGAAGAGGACGTCTTCTCGACGAAACTGGCGCCGAACGGAGAGTGTGAAGTGCTGCAGGGCGGCCACGTGGCAAACGAGACGGAGCTGCGATTGGCGGACGGAAAGCAGTGGAGCCGGAAGGAACTGGCGCGCGACCTCAGCAAAAAGTACCATCGCTACCAGAGTGTCTTCGAGCAGAACGTCTACACGCCCTCCAATATCACCGTTCTCAAGTAGATCTGTTCCTTTTTTGTCTAGATTTCTTCTTGTTGTCTTTATTTGGTTCTGTTCTTCTTCATATATATATATATGGTTAGTTTAGACCATGTTCTTCTGAAAAAGTAGAATATTCGCTCCGGAAAGAATGCCCATTCGTCCGCCCTCTACAATGCTGTTCACGGTCCCGCATAGAAATGTTCGGTTGAATTGTTTGAAGCCTTCCGGCAGAATTCTCATTATCTCGGCCATTCGGATTGTATGATCTGCAAACGTTCTATTGTCCACTTTCTCGTCGAGCCCGTAAAACCCACCGATAACTGGACTGCTCACCAGCCACATGAACAACGGGCTCGACGAAAAACAATAGTGAAACGCGCGATTTCCGTAGGTTTCTTCCAAATTCTCCCGTTCGATCAGAGGCATTCCGGATGCTTCCGCCGATTCTTCCACTTCTTTTTGGGTGTGAAGAGACGGCATTCCGCACGCGTACTCGAGATGGTACAGGGTCTGCAAGACGCTCCCCGTCGCCTAGACTTTCTCTTTCTTTTATACCTTTACGTGCTCCTCGTCGTTCTCATCGTAATCGTTGGTTTTGATGAGATCGTAGACGATAAACTTCCCGCCGGGCTTCAGAACTCTCTGGATTTCCTTCATTACCTTCTCGAGACTCGGAATGTATTTGAGCGAGTAAATTGCGTAGGCGACGTCGAATTTGGCGTCCTCTGAACGACATAAAAAGTTGTTTTGTAAAAAAAAAGACAACAAACCAAAAGGCATTTTATGGCAATCGGCAGCGACGATATTCAAGCGATCCGAGAGACCCAAATTGGCGAACTTCTCATTTCCTAAACAAACTTATCGGATATTTTGAAAGCAAAATAGCTCACCGATGTCGGCCTCGTTCGGAGCAATCGTGACTCCGGTCAATTTGGCTCCCGAATCGGCAATGTCCAGCATGACGCCGCCGATTCCACAGCCAATGTCGAGGCAATGCACGTCTTCGGACAGTCCGAGCTTCTCGCCAATGTGCCTGAGCACAACATTTCCGTCATTTTAAACTAACACTGGAGTTTATGCTCTTTAAAAGTCTTAACTCACTGATGCAGCGACTTCAACGCCTCCTCGAGCTTCTGCCCCTCGTATTTGGGCGGTACAAAATGGAAATTGCCGCCGAAATACTCGTCGATGACAGTGCTCATAACACTGTAATAATGGGTGGTCACCTCCAAATGATCGCCCGATTCGCGCGCCTTCTCGTACAATTCATCGTGCTCTTTTTTGAAGTTTGACTGCAAATTTACCTGTTTACAGTGTATCCATTTCTCCTTCTTTTTTTTTTTAAAGTCAACACTTTTCTATTTCTTCCTAATGGATCGATTGTTTGTCTAATTGTTCGGGACACACGAAAAGTGGGTCAGACGGGCGGCCACAGAAAAAGATGATATCTTTGTGGTGGAAAACGGAGACTGTCCTTGAAGTACAACTTTTGCGGTTCGGACAAGTTCTTGTGTACTAAACCGTCGAAAAGAAGACGAAGATAAGGGCATCCAAGTAGCTTTTATTCGAGGCAATATATCTCAGTTGTCTGTAAAGATATCAAAACGGTGTCAACTGATGAAATGTGCAAAATGCCTTTCTAAGCATTTTATCAGTTGACAACTTTTTGATACCTCCACAGGCAGCTGAGATTTATCGTTTTGATGAACCAGTGCCCGTCTATTACAGTAATCACTAATTCTTACCAAATCTTGTCGCCGGAAATGGGTGAGAAGTTTCAGAAAGTTCGCATTCATGTTGATTGACATTTTTGCGCTGAAATATTGCAGTTTTACAGTAGAATTGTCTGAGAAACATTGGGAAAATCCATGAAGATTGTTTACACAGAACGCGGTTGGATTCTGCCGGGAACTGGACGTGAAAGTAGGTCAGTTGAGGGCGTAATTTGGCTATTGTGGTCTTGGAAGAGAGGCATCGCGTCCAATTACAGCCGAATTACCTAATTTCTAAGTTTCTCCTGTAAAACACTCGAAAAATCAAGGCGGAAAGTGTAGAAACTGTTTTTGAGCATTTTCGCTTTTATGCTTCTCGACTTTTCGATGATTCAGAAGAGATAAGAACTATCAAATGATGATTTTGTACTGACTCGGAGACACAAACAGTTGGAAAATCCGAAATGACGAGGACGGTTCGACACCGAAGCCCCGCCCCTTTCTTGCGGGAGAGAAAGTCAAATAACCAAGTGCCGCGCGCACCGTTTTTGTGTGAAAAACTGGTCAAGAATGGATGTTTACTTTTTTGAAATGTCAGGTGCTTCTTTGTCCTCGCGGAAATTACGTTTTTCCCGAATTCTCTGTGTAAATTTGAGTTGCCGCCAACAACGACGCTTCGAAATAACGCCCGTCGCGCGCGGTTTATCGTAAATCCACACGGAATTGATCAAAAAGCTGTTTACCGATTTCCATCAGGATTCGATAAAAAATGGCCGCAAACTTCTGGAAAAGCAGCCACGCGTAAGCTCGAACTTTTTTGTATCATAAAATCAATAGTTTTCATGCAGACAGCAATGGATTTTCGATAAAACTGAAATTTGGCGACAGCGAGCCGAAGACATGAAAGTCTTCAACGAGGAGGAGTACAACAAGTTAAACATCTTCTGGGCCAACTGTAAAATGAAATTGAACGAGTTTTCTCTCGTAAAACAAATTATTTTCAGTCATAACCGCGGTGGCGACCGAAGGAGCCCACAGCCAGGCGAATGTCGGGTGTAAACTCAGACAACAGGTGATTGCCACAGCCATTACCTACTTTAAGCGGTTCTATTTACGGTAATTCATTGAAACTAGCTTTTCAAAAAAATCTGTTTTTGCAGGCAATCCTTCCGGGACATGTGCCCGTACCTCGTCGCCTCCACATCTCTTTTTCTAGCGTGTAAAGTGGAAGAGCACACGCCTTTGAGCGTTTCTAGTTTTCTGAAAAACACGGCAATTGTCTGTAAGTCCCAAAAATAACTGGAAAACCGCATGAAACATAGTTTGTAGTGCCAAAACGCTGGGGTTGGACGTTCGACACGACGAGCACGAAAAACGGCGTCGTCTACGATTCCGAGTTCATTCTCGTCGAGATCCTCGATTGCTGCCTCGTCGTTTATGGAGTCACGCGGCCGATGGTCGAGTTGCTGAACGATTTGAACGGGAAGTGCAATCTGAAAGAGTTCGATCAAGTCGAGGCGCAATGCACAAAAGTGGCAAACGACACATTACGCTGCGATGTGGGACTGATGTTCGCGCCGCACTGCATCGGACTCTCCGCTATCATTGTGGGACTGGAGCTGATGGGTCGAATGGACGAAGACGTCGAAAAGTGGCTCGTCGAGTTGGACACGGACTTTGATAAGGTCTCCGAATGCACGGATCTCATCTACAAAATGTACACGCTGTGGAAATCATTCGACGAAAAGGAAGAGGTCAAGAAGCTCCTGGCCAAGCTTCCGAAGCCAAACAGCCCGTTGCCGCCACCGCAACAGCAACAACATTAATTCCTTTTCCCCATGTAAATATTTCTATCAATGAATGATAATATTTGTCGTTAAGCTCAACCCTCCCATGCCCCCATTTCCAATGCCTAATGCCCACTTGTCCTTGATGGGCGGCCGGAAAAAACAAGCATCGCGTCCTTGGGGAATTGGAAAAGTCTCCGGAATACGCTCCCTTCCGTCCCAATTGTCGCCTTTCCATTACAATGATTTCATTCTCTTTTTCTGTTCCAACCGAATTTCAAATTGCCGCCGAACCATGTTCCAAACAAAGGCATGGAATAATCGATTTTGCACAAAATGTTGCCGGCCGAATATAATCGAGTTGCCCCGCCGCTTCGGTGCATTGTTTGCACGACCACCGCTTCGAAACGACACGCGTTTTATCGCCTTTGAATGGTACATGCACGTCGCTTTTCGCTAATTTTTTTGGCGTAAATTTAAACATTTTTGCTAAAAGTCTGAAAAAAAATTAATTAATTGCGGCTAATGCGCTCTATAGAAATCGTCGCGGTTGTGGACGTGCTTTGAGAAATTTGAATTTTGTTAATTCTTCAAAAGAGTCAACATTTTGCCCTCAATTTTTGCCGTATAAATAAAAAGTTTGAAACTGAAAAAAATTTAAAAAAAAACCGGTTCTGTTTCCACATTCGCACGCCATCAAATTATACGATTCTGAAGGCAATACTATTTTCCGTTATTCTTTTCAAGGTTTCTTCTGTCAAAAATTGTTTCAAAACCGATTTTTGACCGCCTTCTTGCTTGTTGAACACAATGCGAAGGGTGCGCTTAGCTGAAATATCAACAATGTTTATGCGAAACGTTGTCGAGTTTTTTGAGTTTTCGCACAAGTCTTTCGGTTTTCTCTCATAATTTTCGATTGCAAAACAGCAATTTAGGTTGCGGCCCATAAATTGAAATTGGCCCATAAAAGAATGATGTGAAAATGAGAAAATTGGATTTAATTCGTGCTTCGGAAACGAGATTCTCATGAAACGTTATCTTTTTTCCACGAAATGTGCACAATATCTTGTCAATCACGCGAAACAAAACAAAATTGGCGAGCCGGCCGGAACACGAAAGAATCGGAGAGCGCAGCGGAGCTCACACGCTTTCCGAGCATCGCTCATCTTTCGAAACTCCCAAAAGAGCCGAAAATAGACCCGTTACTCCATTCATCTCTTTTTCCACCGCTTTATACACTCGCTTATGCCACATTTTAGTACGTTTTTCAATTCTTGGCACCGTGCCAACTGGTACGACGCTCCGGTGTTCCGCTTCTCACCTTGGCGGCAAATTTTATTTTTCGAAATTCACGCGTGTTTTTCTCGTTTTTCGCCGAAACTTTAAGGATTTTTCAGTCGAAATGGGTTCGGCGAAAGGCGAACTAGTGGTCTTGACGTCTATCAAGCAGAGTTCTGATCACAATATTGTAAGAATTGATCGGTAAGCCATTTTTTTTTCGAAAATCGGCTCTGAAGGTTACTAAATTTGCAGAGAAGAAACCGCGAAAGCCGAAAAAGTGCTTCTCATCGCCGGAGGCCACAATTGCGGACTGATTGTCAATAAATATGAGGAAAATGCGTCGTACGGTTCGTTTTTTGCATATTTACCCGAATAATGCCCCCAGATGACGTTACAGAAGCCGAAGCGGACGTGTCGCTCTCGTTCAGTGTTTCTTTGACCGATAAAGAGAAGAAAAAGGTGCAGGAGAAGCGATCGCTCTTTTTCAAACTCCGAAAAGGCGTCGATTTGGACGTCGGTCGGGCGGTCGTGCACAAGTTTTTCCGTAGCCTTCTCTCCAATCTTCCCGGCGGTTCGTGAAGGGCTCAGCTGGCGAAAAAACGAAAGGTTTTCAGATTACGTGTCGTTTTTGAAGCGTGTCATGACGATGATGCTCAAAGATTTCAATGAGATCGCCTCGCTGACTTTTGATTTGAAAATCGTGGATGAGACGGAGCAGGTGATCATTCCGGATGCCACGCAGTACGGTAAGTCTTGGAAAAACAGAAAAGTGAGGGCCATTGACAGCACAGTAATATTATCTCGATTCAGAATTAACAAAAGCTCTCAAAGGTATGCCCTCGTGTGACTTTCTCCCTTACAAAACTCGTCCTAATTACTCTCCTTTCCCAATTTCCCATACTTGTCATCTTACGGCTCGGATCCAGCCTGTCGATCGTTATTTACAGTGTTATTAGGCCTATACGTCTCATTTTTGACATCAAATTGAGATGAAAATTCGAAATTTTGCCATCCGGGCCTTCCAACTATGAAATTAACCCTCCCACTTTCCCTTATTTTCGTAAGCTTCATCCTAATCTTCGTATACTTTACAGATTCTGGCTCAGAGCTCGAAGATCTGACGTGCGGCCACGTGCAAGATGTGCTCGAGCACGCGTTCCCGAACGGTCTCGACCTGCCCACACTGACCAACAATCTGCGGTGCACCGAAGAGGAAGTGCTCGGGTTCCTCAAAGAACTCGAAGCGTCCGGAGTGGCGCGTAAGGTCGACGACGAGTGGATCCGCGTGGACACAAAACGGGTCGATGAGTCCGTTGAGGCGCATCGCCACGCGTCCACTTCCGGCGCATCCGGATCGTACGGATCCGCCACCGGGGACCAGCAGCCGACGGTCGCCATCATCACGTGTCTGTTCGTCGAGAAGCAGGCGATCGATTCGTTGATCGAGGAGTCGTCGACGATACATAAGTACAAGTCGGGCGGCGACTCGAACGTCTACACTTTGGGCCGCATCGGAGAGCACCGGGTGGTTGCCACGAAGCTCGCACTCATCGGAGACTCCCGCGAAGCCATCACGAGTGCCGGATCGATCACCACCCGTCTTCTTGGAAACTTCCAGAACATCGAGCACGTGTTCATTGTGGGCGTGGGTGGCGCCGTCCCCCATTTCACCGACGCCTCCCTCCACGCCCGACTCGGCGACGTCATCGTCTCGGCGTCGCATCCGCACCAGTACGTGTACGCGCACGATCTGTTCATCAACAAGCTCAACGATCAGGTCACCGGGTTCCAGTGCCACAACTGGGCGGCCAAGGATCCGGCGATCGAGCAGATTGTGCAGGAGGGCGGGGAGGATCTGCGCGAGAAATGGAATGCGGCGACTGAGGAAGCGGTGCAGAGACTGAGCGAACTGGCGGCGGATGTCGAGTGGAAGGCGCCGCCCGAGTCGACGGACGTGCTCGCGATGCCCGTCTCCAAGGGCAACGTGGTGGTGATGCCGCACCCGAACCCGGAGCGACAAGGCCCCGAGATCCACCTGGGCACCGTCGGCGCAATGTCCTCGATGAAGAAGTACGAGGGGATCACTGGCGGCGGCGACGACGAGTCCTCGATCAACCAGATCCGCGAGTCGTTCGCCGAGTCGTTCAAGATCCGCTGCATGGACGCCGGCTTCGACTCGGTCGTCGGCGCCGTCGTCGGATCGTGCGTCAAGTCGTGGGCGCTCGTGCGCGGCATCTCCGACTATCACTACGGACAGAGCCGCGCCGGAAAAGTTTGGCAGGTACGTTCTAGGCCGCACACAGGTTGGACTATCGAAATGTTTTAAATGTTAAAATTTCGAATCGAGAATTCTTGAAAATTTTAATTCGAAAACTGTATTTAGGCGAAAAATACGCTTTCACGAGAAAATTTGTATGTTTTTAGAACTTTTATCGATAAAACTTTCTGATTTTCAGGCTCACGCAGCTGCTCGCGCCGCCGGAATGACACGTTGCATCATCGAAAAACTGCCGAATTCCGCCTAGGTTCTCTCCTTTTTCGCATTCATTTTATCCGCATTTATTATTATTATGAACCAGTTTCCTTTTCTTCTCCTCGTCCCCATCCATTCCTTCGATGCTTTACTGCTCTGATGAATTTTATGCGACTAATTCCTCTCCGCTCTCCTTTCCAAGGCTTCCTCATTCTAAAACCCATGTGCACAATCTCTTTGTAATTGACAAATAAACCGCCCGTTTTAAAAAAATATTCATGCGATTATATATCCAAATTCAGCGTTCACAATTGATAACGAATTTGAGAGAACAAAAAAAACGAGCATATTAATACAAAAATAGGAACTACATTTTAAAGCAATTTTGGAAAATCTGATGAACATTTCAGGTGGACGGCGATTCGTTTCTTCGCTGCTCCTCTATCTGGTGAAGATATCTGCAAAAAAAAGCATGAATTTTAAAACTTTGAATAAATGCTTACCTCAGAGCTCTCTTCGCGGCCGTCGACTTGGCGATACGGTAGTTTCTGCCCATTCCGGTGAATCGGAGGTTGTTTCCGACGTCGACCGTCACGCGCACCTTACCGCTCTCCAGAATTCTCTCCATTTTGCTGAATCGCGCCTTGCTCTGCTCGAGCTCCATCAGCTCGCGGACCGGCGAGCGGGGCGGGTTAGCGCAGCACGATTCGATGGTGCTGCGCATCATATGGAAGATAACTTGCCACGTGGTGTCGAGGTTGCGGCCTGAGTCGAGGTAGATCGCCCCGGCCACCGACTCGAATATGTCGCCCATCGCCTTCGGCACCTCGATGTCCTCCTCGTGCCCCTCGTCGATTTCCTCCTCCGTCGTCGCCATGTACATTTCCGCGTTGAAATTTGTGTCAAAGTTGCGTTCGGCGCACAATTTCACAAATTTCTCAATCATGTGGTGCAGTCCCGGACACATTGCGATAAAGTGCTTCTGGAACTCGTACTTGATGGCCAACGAGGCGAAAATGGTGTTGTTGACGAGCGCGGAACGGAGATCGGTGAGCACTCCGGGACTGTATTGGCGCACGTCCTCGAACAGGTACCGGGTGATCATATAGTCGAGAACGGCGTCGCCGAGGAACTCGAGGCGTTGATAGCATCCCGTGACGCGGTTGTTTATGTAGGAGGCGTGCGTGAACGCCTGGACGAGATAGGCACGGTCCTTGAAGCGGTAGCTGCAAAAGTGATTTATTATTATTTCTCTTCAGTTTCTTTCCGGAATCCTACCCGATCTTCTCCTCCAACTGCGCAAACTGGAACTGCTGCCACAAATTGTTGAGCGCCTTCACAGAAGCATCGGGATTGGCGGGCGTGTCGATGAATCGGAGGAGCGGGGACTGATTTCCCGCATCTTTCTCGATCACCTTCAGTCCCATCCATTCCTTCATCACTTTCAGTGTCGGATTTGGTCCCAGAGTGAGCAGGTGCACTCCGATCAGCGCTTCCATGGCGTCGGCGATAGACTTGTCGGAAATGTTCTGCTGAGTGAGCAGGTTATACGGCAACGGGGAGAGGTCCTCGGTGACCGTGCGGGCTTGTTTCGGGAAGTTGATCGTTTCGATGCCATCGGCGGTGCTCTTAAGTTTATCCGACCCCACATCCCATCCCGATTTACTCTCCGGCTTCGTCTCAATCGCCTGTCCGTCGAGAATCCTCTCCATTTCGTGGTCCTTCTCCTCGGCGTCCTCCGTGTTCGGCGCTTTGAAATCGCACGTCGGCACGTAGCACGGCGGGAGCCACGAGTCGTGAGCGTCGAACTTGTTGGCCACGATCAGATGAGGGATTCCCAGTTTCTTACCGAGCCGGTACAGATTGCAATTGGAAACCTCCTTGCTTCTGGCGAACGACAGTTTTCCCTCGTGCTGGTCAACGAGCGTGTGGAAGAGATAATCGGTGACCGCGTACTTCAGGAACGAATCTCCTATCGTTTCGAAGCGTTCCAGAGACATTCCTGAATATTGTGATTTACTTGTGTTCACTCGTAGATTCTCGGTCATCTAGTGCACAACAACGAGTACACCCGAAAGAGACGCAGACATTTTTAGGCTCCGCCCACCTGGCGTGCAACGAATAGCGGAGGGCGGAACCCGCGAGATGTCGGCCGCTCTCCTGCGTGCCCCTATATAAGTGCGCGCATTTCTATCCATTTCGTTCTTCCGAGAACATATACTAAAATTGGAACAATACAGAGAAGATTAGCATGGCCCCTGCGCAAGGATGACACGCAAATTCGTGAAGCGTTCCAAATTTTTTGTGTAATTTGGTATGATTGTTTGGGTCATCTAAATAGATCTGCTTTTATATTGATTGTTTTGAGACTGGTTTTTCCCCGGGAAGTGTATGTCTTCGTCTAAATTTCAACAATGTCTTACCGTCAGCGGCGTTGGAGCAAGTGAGCGCCGTGAGCAAAAGGCACGGAGAGACGCCCATTCCGACATCCGAGTCGACGTGCGAAACGTATTCGTCGGCACGATCTCTCATCAATCCGCCCATCTTTTGGCTCTCGCGATGGAATGAGAACGGCCGAGCGGGGATGTCATTGGCCGCGGAAGGCAGGACCTGGCAGATCTGCCGATCCATCGCGTCTTCCTTCACAGTCAGGTCGTCCAGCTCCTTCTTCTTCTTGGCTCCGATCGAGAGCTCCTCAATCTCGTCGTCCATTGTGGAGTGACGATTGCGAATCTCGTCCTCCTGCTCCTCGTCTCCCTCGGTCTCATTGATGCTCTCGTCGAATTCGTCGAGATCGACAGTCTCCTCCGTTCTTCTCGGCTTCTCTTTTTCCTCGGACATCTCCGGTTGGTCCCTTGCTTTCGCAAACTGTTCTTCTTGCAGCCGTTTGAGTCGAACCTCCAATTCCGTGAGCTTTTTAGGCTCTGGAGCAGGATGAATTGGCATCGCGGAAGTAGGAGCTGTTGGAGGAACAACCGGCGCATTCAGTGGAATCGGAACAGCCCTCGGATCGAAAACCCGGCCAACGTCAGCCATAAGTGCTTGCATGTTGAGTACGCCTCCAGAATCATCCAAGATTTTCTGAAAAATGAACTATTTGCATCCATCTAAGAGCTGAAAACCTACGAAGGGCGTGTCAACATCAGAATCCACCAGTTCTGTTATCTCTTCTCCCCATCCGAGTGCAACAATTGAATCGGCACCCGGCCACTGTTCGGGGGTCTTCTGGGTGGCCGTCAAACGGGCCGAGTAGTCGTGCATCACGAACGGAAGGTCGTCGTCCTCGTCGGATATGTTTCCGTCGTGCAGTCCCTGATTCAGACCGACAGTGTCCTGGTCGACGTCCATTGTAAGGTCGACACGAGTGGAATCAATGGTCACTCCGGACCGGATCGCGTCTTGCGGATCCCAGACTCCAATGTCGAACTTTCCGTCCTCTTGACTCATCTGCTCCACTTGGTCCGCCTTCTGTTTCTCTTCCTTTATCTCCGCCGACTTCTGGTTGAGCTCTCTCAGCTGCTGAATCTTCTTGACTATCACAGACTGAGTCTCCTCGACAGCGGAAGAGTACGTCAAAGTGCTCCACTCGAAGTTCGGAGACAATTTCGCCTCTGCAGCACTTTTCCCGAACGCCTTCTCCAGAATCCGTTGGCGGAGTTCGTCCGTTAGCAGCAGTTGATTGACACGGTAGAAGACGCTCGGAAGGGCGGCGATCACATTCCAGAGCGTCGCGGAAATCGGATGAATGTCCATCAATTCGGGAACAAGGATTTGGCGTTGCGCCGAGTGCGACGTGGAATTCACCGAGTCTTTGGATTCGGCGGCGGATGCTCCAGAAGTTGACGAGGTGCTCATCGAGCGAGCACGACGATTCTGTTGGCAGCCGTGATGGGTTTGCACGCGAGGGAGAAGCAGATTGAACCGGTTTGACGTGAAGTCGACGTCCAAAAGGCTCTGATTCTGATCGTAGATCTCCAGTTTGTACTTCTTCGTGAAATACTCATTGAACGTCTCGAAATGATTGTCCGGGAAAGTGGAACTGGGTCTCAAATCCGTCAGAATCTCTGCCACGTAGTAGAACGCGGGCTGCTCCATATTTCGGTACCACGGCATCACAATCACGTCCTTATAGTCTTCCGCTCTGAATTTGTACTGACGTCGGACGGCGTCGTCGGGCACACGTGGCATATTTTCCATGTTGGCGACCACTTCGGAGACGTACTTCATGTTGATCGAATAGGACTCTTCTTTGCCTGAAATCATTATATTCGGCGATGGATTCGGAAAACGGAAAACGTACTTTTGTTGAGAGGCACAATTAGAGTATTTAGCGGCGTTCTGGTCGACACCTCAAACTCCAAATTGCCATTTTTACACATTTGGAGCACTTGAGTGAAGAGATAGTCGTGGAACGCCTGGACCTGTTGCAACTGGGCCTCCTCCAAAGTGATCTTCTGCGGAGCCTTCGTCAGACGAACTTTCATGTCGCCCTGTCTCAGAAAAACAGGGAACGGCGGCACTTTCGGAATGTCCTTGGTGCTTAAGAACCCGAAACAGTATTCGTAATCGTTCGGATTCTGGAACTTGCGTCTCTTCGGATTGGAGATTTCCTCCACCTCTCGGACTCGTTCCAATTCGAACGCGTAGATGTAGCACTCTTTACCAGGCTCCACGAATCCCTCGTTGAGCGCGCGAGCGATCTTCTTATCGTACAACTGCTTCCGTTTCGCCGATCCGACCTTGGCGAGCATTCCAGGCGCGTACTCATCCGGCTCGTCGTCAATGTGCTCCAAGAGCGCCGCGATGGATTCACGGCCCTTCGGAAGCAGGTTGTCGTCGAGCTCTCCCTTGAGATGCAGCTGACGGCAAGCTTCGAGAGCCACCGCCATCTGCGCGGTCTTCTTGTTGGGCATCGGATTCTGGAGGACAATGGCGTCTTTGATGGGCGAATTGATGGGGAGGAGCAGTTCGGCGCGGTACATGGTCACTCCTTGCATCTCGACTGGAATGATTCTGTTGTGGGGCACCAGGCGTGTGAAGATGTCAGATGGCAGTTTGCCGCAGTACCGGTTGACCAACGCGATCGAATTCGACATTTTCAACGTGGCTCCAGTGGATTCGACGACGTACGAAGGCACCAGCTTATCGATATCCTCCAGATTCTCCAGAGTCGCCGTGTCATCCTCGACAGGATTGTTGACGGTGCGGAAACGGCTGAGAAGAAGGCGTTCTATGTGCTGGAAGTCGTTCAGATCGTCGTCGCACGCTTGAATGTCCTTCTGATCCACCATTATGATGTACCGAGAGCCGACTTTACGAGCACGTCCTTTCGACTGAACATACGAGCGCATGTCGGTCGGACGGTCGAATTTTATCACAACGTTGCACTGTTTCACGTCGACGCCTTCTTCCAGAACGGAAGTGGCGATGAGCACGTTGATTACACTGCGGTGGAACTTACGGAGCACCTGAAAAGACGGAAACAGTTGTAGTTAAGCGATTTCAAAGTGAAAGTACTTCAGTTTGTCGTTTATGCAGTTCTTGGTTGTCCGAATTTGCCATGTTCTGACCGCTCGCACCGACTACGTACTCGGACGTGATGAAGTTGAACTTGGGCTCCCATTTACTCACGTGACGGATCATCGTCTGGAATTTGATTTTAAAACTGTGTAAAGTACGGAGCACTAACATTCAGAGCGTGCGCAATATATCTCTGGTCTACGAAGACGATGGCCGAAAGGTTCTCGGGCTTCTCCAACTGCATCGTCTCCTTCTGAAACTCCGGATTGAACATGGCGAGTGCCTCGAAAAGCCGCGTGATTCGGTGGGGAACGTATTTCTGCAGCTCTTCCAGACTCCGAATCCCCTTCATTTTCGGCTCCAACAGCCGCTTGATCGTGACCATCGAAGTCTTGGCGAGGTTCAGAAAGAGCAGCGCTTTGTCCGGCAGCACTTGAGACCTCATTATTCTACTCAACTGACCCTCCCACATTTGCGCGGTCCGCCACGCTGCCCACGGTCCCAACTGCCTCAGAACGGCCTTTGTCGTCTTTAGAGAGTCGCGGATTGGTCTGCGAGGATCCAGATCGAGATCGCGGTGGAAGAGATCGGTCGAATTTATAAACTGCTCCGTGTCGGTGAGCGTTTCCATCACGTATTTGTAGTTATCGAGTTCCAAGCAGGAGACGTCAAAGTCACGGCATATCACAATGGCTTCAAAGGGCCGCGCCCCGTACTTGGAGAGCTGGAAAAAGAATATTATGAACCAACCAGAACCAGAAAAACCAAGAAGAAACGCACCGAAACGAGGTCACTGGCAGTTTCAATCACACTGTCCATAACGTTCTCCAATTTTATCAACTGCTCCTCGAGCTTCACGGGCGCCACTTTCTCTTTGATAAGTGAGGCGGTGAGTCCGAGAACCCGTGGAACATGATCATTTTTCTTTTTCAGCGTCTTGTATTCGGCCATTATGAGACGATACGGATGCTTAGAGCCGAGAGCGTGATGGCATTCGTCGAAGATCATCACACAAGTGTCTTGGATTCGAACGAACGCGTGGTTGATGAAATCCAAAAGACACTGGGCGGTGATCACGACGACGTGGTGCTCCCGCATGAATCTCGCGCAGTCCTCTTTGCTCTTCCACAGCTCGTCGCTCGTCTGTCCGTGCACTTGTCCCACTTTGAAGCTCGTGTGGATTTCAATGTGCTTCGCCTGCTGTTCCACCAAATTCACTGGAAAATATTGATTTTTCCGGATGAGAATGGCATAATTGCTCATTCTAAAACACACCTTTCTCGACGATGAAAAACGCGCGTTTTCCGCCGTTTTCAAGCGGGGCAAACATCTGAACTCCATATTCTTTAAGCAAAAGAACGGCAATGAACGTTTTTCCGGATCCGGTGCCCAACTGGACTATCGTGTTCTTTTTAACCGCTTTGTCCAACAATTCGACCTGAAAATTCGCTGTTTTTCAGTTAGAAACTGATGGAATTACCTGATAATCTCTAGGATTAAAGCATTGGATGTCCGGTCTCATGCGGACAACCATTATTATCTGAAAAATTAGAATTTGTACTGTGAAAAAAGATTGTGAGTGAGAAAATGTATTCAGAGGAAAGGAATGTATATGCAAGCGCGCTCTATTGCAAGAAAATGTGTTCGGGGTGGGAAGCCGCTTTCAAAACAAGAAAAATAATTGAAAAAGCACAAAAATGACCAAATTTTTTAGTTTTTCATTTGTTTTCCACGTTTTCCCCCATTTCTTTTAAATTTTACCGTATGCGAAAGCGTTTTCGTGCCAGAAACCGATTGGTTTAAAACGGGTCTGCGCCTTTAAATGGACCGTATCCCACAAAATTCTCCGCCGTTTCTCATCATTCTTCCGCTCAAATTCGTCTGAAATTCGTCGCACAAATCGCAATAATGTCGCTTTTTGATAGAATGACCGAGTCGAAAGAGACTGCGATGCAGTACAGGCAAGTGCTGCACAAAAAACACGAAGAAATAGAAGAAGTAAAATTTGTAGAGCATTTTGCGTGTCCAAAAAGCAAGAAGTCTGGGATGCCCTAATTCATTACGGAAAAGAGGCGAAAAAGATTGAAAAAGTGTACGATATGACGACAGTTCTGCAAAGAGTTCAGCAAGAGTGTCTCGTGGTCAGTTTCTCAAAAATGTTTTTAAAAAAATTGATCGAGAATGTCATTTTAGTACGCGATGACGCACGGAATCGGTGTTCCGGAGGTTCACGACGCCGCCGAGTTGATTTTTCCATTGGCAATGCAAAAAGTGCTCATCAAAGTGCTCAAACCGTACTTTCTCTCGCATTGGGCCATTTACAGACGTCAGTTTCTTTCAATTTTTGACTAAAATCTTGAAAGTTTCAGTTGCCAACTATGATCGTACGCGCAAATTGGATCACGGATTGGACTTGAACGAAGATATGCTTTCGCCGGCGAAACAAATGGAATACACGCAGTATTTGGCCGATTTCAATATTTTTGTTCAAGAATTGTATGAAATTGTCGTTGATTTCGAGATTAAAAACTGATGTTCTGCAGAAAAACTGGGATTTTGAATGCGCACCGTCACATGGCGACTGCTGTTTCCCTCTACATCCGTGAATTGGCGGCGATGTTGGTGAATCACGAAAGATCGTCGTTCGAAGGCGAACTAAGATGCTCCTATCTTCAGGAGGTACTCTTTGTCATATGAACTGGTTTTTCACTAATTTTCAATTTCAGATAATGGAAAGCCTTCGTCAGTGGACGGATCAAGTGACGATGCAAGACGCGTTTCATCTGATTAGCAGGACCGTTTACAAAGACATTTTCCAGTTACTCTCCCGAAGAGTCAGGCGAAATCCCAGAAAAACTAAGAAAAAGCGTTATTCTTTAGGCCTACGAAATGATTGCCATCGATTTCCCCGACAAGTTTCGCGAAATCATCACTTTGAAGTATTGCCTTCTAAAAACTCAGAATTTCGGAAGAGAGGATCTCACCAGACAGTTGATCGCTCAAATTGAAAGAAATCTTCTCGTCGCCAGTCAGTTCTTGCCAACCTTGAGAGGAAAATCGAATATTTCAGACATTGACACCAAAACGATTCTGAAATCGTACGCGTCGTGCGTGGAAGCGCTTCGGGAAATGGACAGCAGTTGTGTAGTGATGCACAAAGTTTGCGGGGTTATTCGGGAGTATTTGAAGTGAGGAATACTGCTGAAATCTCAGAAAAAGTACAAATTGATGCTTGCAGAAAACGTCCTGACACGGTCCAACAAATCATCAGTTATATTACATCAAGTAAAAAAGATGAGCTCGAAAAAGACATGGTTAATCATTCCGTTGAAACCTGAAAACCAATAAATTTGCAGTCGAAAACAGTGCGTTCGGCCATGATGGACGAAGAAGAGTTGCGAGGAGTCAACGACGATTATCTGCCGGAGAACATGGAGACGATGGGCTGGGAACGGTGGATGCCGAACCCGATCGACGCGATGGTCGGCGACGGAATGCCCGGCCGGCAGGGCGTCGACGTCTTCAACATGCTCGTTTCCGTCTACGGATCCAAAGAGCTCTTCGTCAAAGAATACAGAAACCTGCTGGCGGCACGGCTTTCCGGCTCGGATCACAAGGATGTATGACTATTATCCATTTGCCATTGAGAAGAATCTCTGTCGTTTTTCAGCCGTTCTTCGAGAAACGCTACCTGGACCTTCTGAAAATGCGCTTCCAATACAGCGAGCTGCAGCACTGCGAAGTGATGCTCCGCGACGTGATGCACAGTCAGGAGGTTGACGAGATAGTCGAGGCGCGGAAGCCGGCGCATCTGCTTCCGGTCTCCGCGTGCATCATTTCCAATCATTATTGGCCGAGGCTCGAGACTGAGAAGACTGATACGGTAGAAATTTAACATTAAACTGAACAAAAACCAAAGCTAGACAAGGATTTCTAGGAATTCTGAGAGTTTGGACTTGTGGACTACGTACGGTCCTCCCATCGGACCTTGACTTTTTAATATTATCAGTCTTGGTTCGGAGGGTCTTCCTTGAAAATTCCTTTCAAATTTGATTATCTCGTCTGGAGATATAGTGATTTACGGCCGAAAAGTCTAGGCTTTTTGCAAAAACCAGGTTTTTAGGGCTGACAAAAAGGCATTATTCAGATCCTGCCGGTCGAACTGCAATCAGCGATGGTGAACTATAGAAAGACGTTCGGGGACGTGAGAAAAGAGCGAAAGATCAATTGGCTCAAAAGCGTCGGCTGCATGGAACTGTCGATCGAACTGGACGGTGTGCGAATCACGCGAACCATTCCGAACATTCACGCGGTCGTCCTGTTTCTCTTTCTGGAAAAGGAGGAGTGGACGACGGCCGAAGTATCCGAACGCCTCGAATTGACGACGTTGCCGACGAAGCGGAGGCTCGAGTGGCTCGTCAAACAGGGATTCATCAGTGTTGTCAGTGCATCGTTCAGATTTTCTTCTCCTAATTTTATCCATTTTTCCAGAACCCCATAATCGCCAGTGACGTGTGGACTTTGACGCGAAATCCGAGCGGAATCCTTCCGAACGCTCAGGCGACGCCGGAATTCGAAGAAGAAGAAGAACCGGAAGAGCCCGAGGACAATTCCGATATGGTCGAAGCTTTGGAGCAGTACTGGAGCTACACCCGAAACTATATTGTATGCCCTTATTTCACGAAAATTCTCATAAGTGATTTTCAGTCAAACCACGCGCCGAACGGAGAAGTGAAAGCAGAGCGGATGCACCGAGTCTACCGGATGTTCGGCTCTCCGACCTCCGCCGGACCCACCCTCGACCACGTCGCAACGTTTTTGCAACGGAAAGTGGCACTCGGACTGCTCACCTGCGTCAACGGAGCCTACCGCGTTGTTGCCTAAATCGTTCCGATCCTCATTTGTGATTTATGATTCTCAACCCCCCAATTCTTGTGAAAATTGCAACTTTATTATGACACAAACTCTAAATTTTACACGATTTTTGGTCCCGTAAACTCTCAACCTATTCAAAATCAAAAATGTCGGCGAAAACGAAACATCGGCGCTTGCGAAAGTTGCCGTGCTCCTCGAACTTGCGTCGAACGATCCGGCCGTGCAGAAGGTGGACCCGCTTCGAGAAGAGCGACCTCTTCGCGAAGATGCGGCACCGTTCGAACCACTCCTGGTACTCGGCGCTCGGTTTTCCGCACAAAACGCCCTGGTACAGCTGGTACATCTTTTCGGCGGTCTCGCGAGAGAAATCGAAAATTCCGGTGGATTCGGTGAGATGGCGGAATTCCGGAAGCTTTTTCGCGAGAAACGCCACGTAGATTCCCAGATTTTCGTGCATCGGAATCGGGATTTCGGAAAGGAGGAGCGGAATGGCCAATCGGACGGTCATCGAGAGATCCGAACCGCCGCAGTCAGAGCATTTCTGGAAAAGAGGAGGTTTTAAGGTAGTTGAAGGCCACAACATCAATTGGAGATCATCCGATCGGGCCCATTCTTGGCAAGATTATCAATTGCAGTTTAGAGCATCCACCTTGAAAGTTTCTGACCGTTCTGATTATCGGATCTATGGATATGAACCAAAAAATCCGAAATTTCGGCCGCAAAACTATTTTATGACCAGATAATCCAATCGGTTTGAATTATTCAAGGTCTGTATTCCAAACCAAGACAACGATGGGATAATTGATAACTTTCAGGAAGTGATCCAAATGGACACTTTAGGAAAGCCCAGACTTGGTTGAAATTTTTTTAAAGGCTGCATTTTTTTTGGCAAATACTAGTATTTTATATATTTTCAGCTTACCGTATCCTCTTTGCGCAATTCCATGAAATGTCCGGGCGGATGCGATTGGCAAACTTTCGTGAAGACCACGTATTGCATGCTACGTCGCGAGAAGTGGTCCCAATCGAACGAATACGAACTGAAAGTGGGAGAAAGTTTAGACAACTGTAAAACACGTTTAAAACTTACTGCTCAAAACTGACAGAACCGAAGATTTTCGTATTTCTCCCGAACAACTGCATTAACTCGTCGAATTCCGTTTTTGGGCCTACAATTCTACAATTTCTTTATTTTTTTAAGCTGAGGCAGGTACCGGAAGTGTTAGTCGTGTCCTCGTCGCTTTCCATTTCCACATAAATTCCCTTCACAACTTTCCATTTGGATCCTCCTGTTCCCGCCGGCGCGTTTTTCCATTTTTCAATTTCCGCCTTGGCCCGAGCGACTGTTTCGAAGAAATTCAACGTTTTTATCGTGGCGACAATAGTTGGGGCTGAAAAATTACAAATTTGGCTTCAAAATATGAAAGAAAAACAGTGCAGACCTAATTTGGGCCGTTTTTCTGTGTTCTTCGGTTCCACGACAGCTTTTCTTTTCGAAAAAAGCTGCGATTCTTTTTTATTTTCCTCTAATTTTTTTTTCAAATCACGGACGCTTCCGACGGATTCCGGTAGTGGAGAAACGTCGAATTGGATTATGGACGGTTCCGGGGAATTTCCTCTGAAAGTTAAATTTTTCGGAAAAATGTGATGAAAATGGCTTACCGATGAATTTCAAAGCTACAATCGTTTACCCAGCTCGCGCAGTAGGACGCTCGGAGCGCTAGACTTGGTGGTTGAGCGGTTTCTTCCTAAAAACTAGATTATTTTGAAAAATTAGGAAAAAACATACTTTTTCCGCATTCTCAAAGAATTTGTTGATGTCCTGCTCTTCGGCCGTTTTACCCGTAGCTTAAAAACAATTTTCTTTCCTTTTTTTTCTGAAAATTAAAGTATTTTACTCACTTTCTGCAAAAGTTGACATTTTGTTCGGCAAGCAATTCAAAAAAAGAATACGGTCAACAAGGCCCGCCTCCAAAAGTGTGCAAACACCACACTGCACAACCAGCATCACATCTGACGCCAAATCGGGTATTCTTGACTCTAAACTTTCCGATCGATGGATCGCTTAATTCCGGTTGCTTAGAGATTTAATTTAAAAACTTAGTTGAATATATCTATTGATTTTCCCATATTTCAGCGGTGAAAACCAAATTTGAAGCGGATAAATGGCGTCACGATACTCAGGTTTGTAAAATTGAAAGTTACTTTAAAATTACGTGAAAATCTAGTTTCAGAACGAAATGGAATGTCGGAAAGTGAGAAAATGACGCTTCCGAAAGTGCGGAAGCGAAAAGCACAGCTGGTCGATGAGATTGAGGCACTGAAAAACGAGGTGAGTCTGAAAACGACTTTCAGCACATTTTTTCCATTTCTTTTGCAAAATTTTGTATTTCTTTGAGATTTTTGGTCTAAATGTGATGTGCCCATTATGTGGTCACAAATCATATTCTCTAACGCAGAGACATTAAGAAAATTGCGAAATTTTACACCAAATTGTGTCTGCAGGTTCGAGAAGTGGACGAAGAGCTGGATCAGGTGTACTACACGCATCCAAAATCGAAAGAATACCACAAAATAGTGGTGAATGGGCGGAAAAAGTTCAATCAAGACCCGTGGAAGGCGCTGGATTGGCTGGCCTCCCGGAATATCGTTGCCAAGGAGCCCCACGCGTTGGCCGTTTGGATGAAAGCGGTCAGTTTTGTTTTAAAAGCTTTGAAAAGTATCGATTTTTGATTAATAGGCCTAAAAATTTAAAAATCTAAAGCCAAAAAAATAATGATGATAAAATTTGCAGGGCGAAGGACTCTCAAAAAGTGCGATAGGAGAGGTTTTAGGGGACAATCGGCCGTTCGCACTGGAGACTCTTGATCTGTTCACTCGAGAACACAGACTGCACGATGTGCCTATCGTGGCCGCGTTAAGGTACTGTATTTCTTGAAAATTTTTTAAAAAGTTCAAATTCCTGCAGGCAATACCTATTTTCGTTCCGCCTTCCGGGAGAATCGCAGAAAATCGATCGAATACTAATCAAATTCGGCGAAATTTACGCGGAGCAGAATCCAGAGTACGGATCGGCCGATCAGGCACACACAGTCGCCTACTCGTGCATCATGGTCAACACTTTGCTGCACAATCCGAATGTGAAGGACAAACCGTCGTTGGCCAAGTATATCGAAATGAATGAGGTACGAAACGAGTTGAAAACAGTGAAAAACTTATAGTCTTGCAGGATCTGATCGCGCGTGGCTCAATAACGATTGAACAACTGACAGAAGTGTACGAATCGGTGTCCCTTTCTCAATTCAAGATACCCGATGAGGTGGCTGCGAGCGGAAAAGGCAGTGTGAATGACATTCTGCTGCACGCCGAACGCGAGGGATGGCTCTTCAAACAGAGCAGCAATCCCGTCTTCTCCGGCCCGCTTTCCTGGAAGAAACGATGGTAAGTACCCTTTTTTCTACTGGCCAAACGTTAGGAGAACGTTTTCTTTGTCAGGTTTGTGCTCTCCGAGAACTGTCTGTACTACTTCGACCAAATGACCGATAAGGAGCCGAAAGGAATCATAACTCTCGCGAATGTGGGCATTCGGAAGGTCGACGCGCCCACCAGGCAACACATGTTCGAGGTACGACCACTTGTTTTAGTACTTTTTCGAAAAGAGTGTGCTTAACTTGAAGATTCAAATTTTCACGAAAATTTCAACGTTCTACATAAAAACCGTCCAAAATTTGCAGATCTACTCGCTATCGGACGGCCAAATAAAAGCGTGTAAGACAGAGCAAGACGGACGGCTCGTCGAAGGCCGCCACTCGATTTACCGCATTTGCGCGGTCAACGACGAAGACATGCGATCGTGGATAAACGCGATTTCGCGAGTGATGGGCCCGCAGCAGCACACGCTAACACGGCCCAAAAGCACGCATTGAAAGTGCATTTCCGTATTTACCCCCACAAAACGAGTCATAAATAGGCCTTTCTGATCGCTTTTAATTTTCGTGCACAATAACAAAGAAAAGATAATAATTTCGCGTAATGTTCACTTTATCTAGAAGATTCTCCCTCCGCCTCTTTCTGTCACTAATAATTCGTCTCGCTTGTACAATCTTTCTCTCTTTTGTAATAATCTCCACAGGACTAACTCTTTCTCCGCTTTTCATGTACGTACCGTTAAGTGTTTTATCCATGAAACCAAAAAAAAACTGTTTTAGCCATTACTTCCACATTTTCTCTTGAATTGTCCATAGGTTCTTGCCTATTTCCCCTATTTTTTTTCAATCTTAACGTTAATTCTCTATAGAAACCCCGAAACCCTTTCCAGAATGGTATTTTCTCTGAAAAGTTTGGAATTTCTTCAAGGCGTCGAGCCATTCCGACTCGAAACCGAAATTGCCGAGAAAATCGAGGAAGATGCTGCGATATCGGCGGAAACCGACGCCGGAATGTCGCTGATGCTTGGTAAACCGATTTTCTGAACCCTTTTTAATCGGAAATTGATAATTTTCAGAATGGAAAATGCGATTATCGGAGGATTCGGACAAGTGCACGACGTGCGACTGTCCCGTCGATTTCGGAGATCGCGCCGCCCTTCTCGAGCACTATCAGTCTCAGTTTCACAGGTTTTGCCTTAAACAAACTCGCAATCCTTGAAAACCGCAAGATTTTAGGACAAACACACTCCGAAAAGCGAAGAATCTGCAGGTTTACACCGAAGAAGACTTTGAAGGAATTGACACAGCCGAAAATGGTATGGAAAGTGTCCAGATGCATTTAAAGTGTCTCGTTAAGATCTGTCGCGGAGCCAGTCGCTGATCGGATTGGAATCCGACGACGAAGAATTCGACGCGCTCCTCCTGCCCGCCAACCGATCGTTTTTCATAAGAAACGACCAAGTGTACTCGGTTCCCAGAAATATTCTCCATTCCGATGAAGTCGACGTCTCCGCAGCCACTTTTAGTCGCCCTTTCGATTGTGCGATCTTTCTGTGGAACGGAGGACACTTTGCGGCGGCCGTCTACGAAAAGTATGGCGAACAACCTTTCGTTTCCGCATTGAAAAGCTCGTTTTCAGTGATAAAATGACGCTGCAGAAGTCGTTCCATCGATACGTGGCTCGTGCGAAGCAGGGAGGCGTTCAGTCGCAGCACGATTCAGGCGGAAAGGGAGCCGCGAAAAGTGCGGGAGCACAATTGAGACGGTAAACATTCAGAAGGACCCCCGAGCACATTTTCCCGTCCCTTCAGGTACAACGAGCAAAAGATGAAGGAGGAGATCCAGTCGATTCTGGCCTCGTGGAAGCCGCGTCTTCAGAAGTGCCCGCTTCTGTTCATCCGCTGCGCCGCCTATCATCGCAACGTCTTTTTCGACGCCGACGGATCCATGGAATCGTCGCGAGATCCACGCGTCCGAACTATTCCGTTTGAGACGAAACGACCGTCGATCGACGAGATCGCCGACTGCTGGCAACGGTTGCAGCACGTTCAGGAGCATGGAAACGAAGCGGGCTTCCGCGCGGAAATGCTCGAGATCCGCGAGAAACGAAAGCGATTGGCGCGGAAAGTGGCTGGAAAGAAGCGACGAGACGGCGGAATGCAGATGATTTGCGAGTGGAGCGACGAAGACGAAGAGGCGGAAAAGGACGCGGACGGGAAGCGGAAGGCGGCAAGGATTCGAGTGCGGCCGATGCGGAAGACTGCGGAAGAGGCGGCGGTTCAGTGGCCGAATCTGGACGACGACTGGCGGCACAAAACGTACAATCTGGTGAGGATGGACGACGTTGAAGCGCTGAAAAGCCACGTGGAGGCGGAGAAGGAGGAGGCGCTGGACTACCTGCGCAACGCGAAAATGCCGCCGAATCGCTCGACGTTCGTGCATGTGTCGGCGGCGCACGACGCCCGAAAGTGCCTGAAGTACCTCCTATCGGAAGTGCTCTGCGACGTGGGCGCCAAGGACGGAGCGGGCCTCCCGCCGTACTCTTCCTCGGCCAACGCGGAGATCAAGACGATATTCGTGGATTTTCGTGTGCGGAACGAGGCGAACGGCGTCGGCAACTGGGGACGGACGCACATTCCGGAGCCGAAGAAGAAGGTCGAGTTGAGTGAGGAGCAGGAGAAAGAGCAGGCGGAGAAACGGAAGGAGAAGAAGGCGAGACAGAGGGTAGAGATAGATGATATAATTATTTATGATAAGATGAGGGGTTTAGGAGAAGGAGAAGCAGAAGAAAGAGGCGGCGAAGAAGGAGGCGGAAGAGGTGGAGGAGCGGAGAAAGTACGTGGCGATGACGGAGAGAGAGAGGAGGGCTCTGGCGGTGGAGAGGCGGTTGGCGGGGCTTCCGCCCGTGCTCAGGTGCCATCAGGTGAGCCTGAGAATCTTCTGGAAGTGGGAAAACTCTTTCGATTCTTGCAGTGCGGCGTCCATCTTCCGGGCACTCCCTTCCAGTACTCGCACTTCAATTTCTGTTCGACGGCTTGTGTGGCCGCGCATCGGAAAGCCAATCCCTGACGTTTTCTTTTTGTATTCTTAGTTACTAATATAGCACTGTTTTCTCTTAACATTTTCCAGTTGTTTTCGGGTTTTTTATTGTGAAAATTTGAAAAATCCCAATGTGCCTTTAATTTCTTCATAAACGGTTCGTGTTTTTTCTAGTTTCTAGAAAGTCAACTCGTTTTTGACGACAGCAATATTTCTTCTCACCTTTTTTTAATCGAATTTTCCAAAGCCGCTTTAGTTTCAGGCTGAAAGCCGAATGAATCGGTCAATAAGAATATTGTCGCAAGCGGGCATCGCCCGAAGAGTCGAACTCTCGAATTATGATGCTCAGCAGGTGGAATACATGCGAGAAAAGTGCATAAGTGTCGACGAGAACGACAAAATCATCGGAGCGGTGAGCAAACGAGAAGCACACTCCACACACCAATGTGAGCAATTCCGGGAACCTTTTCGAACGATTTTACACGATTCTTTTTCAGTGATCCTGCACCGCGCATTCTCCGTTTTCTCGTTCACAGCCGACAACAAACTGTTGATGCAGAAGCGGAGCGCCGAAAAAGTATGAAAATGTCGGAAAACATTTAAAGCATTCACTTTCAGATCACATTTCCAAACTTGTGGACGAACACGTGCTGCAGCCATCCGTTGCATACTCGACAAGAAATGAACGGCGTTTTGGGCGCGAAAAAGTCGGAATTTCTGAACTTGTTTTGTGCAAATAAAACATTTTCTTTTTAGAGCGGCCATCAGAAAGCTGGAGCACGAGCTCGGAATAACTGGAGTCGCGACTAGTCAGCTGCAGATGGCCGGGCGGTACATTTACAGAGCGGAAATGGAAAATGCTCCGTGGGGAGAGCACGAGCTCGATTACGCGCTCATTCTGCGCGGCGTCGGACGGGAAAAGTGCGAAATTAACGAAAATGAAGTGGCAGAAGTGAAAGAGGTCGGATTTGCCGAGCTGAAACAATGGATTCACAGAGGTTTGAGCTTACTCACTTTTCCAGAGCCTTTTTTGCTGTTTTCCGAGAGCTGTCCGCGGCGCGGTGGCCGCATGTGAAAATCTTAGGCCGCCGGACGTGTACTTCTCTCGGACGGCAACATTTGCCGCCTGTTTTCGTATACTTTCCGCCTAAATTCAGGCAGAAAATCGTGTTTTTATCGCATTTCCCATTCCAGAACCTCAATCATTCACTCCGTGGCTGAAATTGTTCTCAACTACTGACATTTTCGAAAGCTGGTGGTCGAAAAAGGCGGTGACAGCGCCGGAAGACACAAAAATCTATAAATTACACTGAAACACTTATTTCTTGTGCTAGTTTCGATGTTTCTCATTAGGATGCTTTTGAATGTCGTTTATATTTGTTAGGTACGGATAGAAACTGCCATTACACTTGTTCCACGAACAAAAAATCCCGATTCTCTGTGTTTTTACTGACTGTACCTTCGATTTTCACGGTTTTCCACCGTTTTTACCTCACTTCACAATTTAAATTATCTTTTCTATTTATATCCTCAACGTCGTGCTTCCTTAGTTTCGCTGACGTGTTCTTAACTTGTTTGTTCAATTTTTCATAGTTTGTAACGCGTATGTTTTCCAGGGTGATGATCAAGTACCACGTGTCGCGAAGCGCCCGTCTCTGGGCGTACTGGAGCACTCTGCCGCACAAAATGCTCAAAAAGTATCCGGAACAGACGATTTTCTACGCGACGTTCGGCGTCGCCACAGTCATCCTCGGCGGCTTCAAACTCAACAAGTACCTGACGAACAACGAGAAGCCGTACTATCGCGGATACTACGACGTCGTGCGCTCCAACGACCCGGTGGCTCTGAACTGGCGAAAACCGGAAGAGTATCCGGCGCCATACCTCCTCTCGTCCGTCGAAACCGCCAATTGAGAGGAAGTAGTTCAATAGAGATTTCGAACCGCTGATTTAAAATGAAACTGCTCTCTAATTCGTAACTCATAGATGTGTAAATGAAGATTTCCTGTTTAGTCAATTGATTTTGGTCTTGTTTCTTTGTTTCTGTGTGTTTTAACCACTCAGATTATCTCTGTGATTCGTTTAAATGCTCTTTTCTAACCCATTTACAGAGAATGCACAACGTGCTGACGCGCGGCAACTCGCTGCTGGCCTTCACCCTCTGGGTCATGGCCGGAGTCACCGCCGCCTGCTTCCTCACCACCGTTTTCCTCGACTACACAACGCCGACGAAGCTCGAGGTGAAGGATATCAAACTGAGAACGGTGGTGGACTACGCGACGGACGAACGCAAAGTGGATCTGGCGACGTTGGCGTTCGATTTGGAGGTCGACTTTACGAAAATCTTCAACTGGAATGTGAAACAACTGTTTGTGTACCTCGTCGCCGAGTACAAGTCTCGCGAAAGTGTAGGAAAATGTCCAAGTTTGTACCTAATTATTGATTTTTTGTTGCAGGTTGTGAATCAGGTGGTGCTGTGGGATCAGATTGTCGAGCGCGCGGAACGAGTGGTGCTGAACGAGAAGGGAAAAAAGACAAAGTACTATTTCATCGACAACGGAAACTCGCTGCTTAAGCACAAGAACGTCTCGTTCTCGCTCCGGTACAACGTGATTCCGAACTCTGGATACCTGCGTCTGGTACAGTCGGCCGAGCCGGTCACCGTCGAGTTCCCCACCCAATACAGCATTACGAGACGGTGAAGAGTCCCGTGAAATACTAGCATTTTTGAAGAATGATGGGTTGTGATTGATTTTGTGTTTTTCCTTTTTTCCTCTGCAATGCAGCACCAAAGAATGCCTAATTTATCGATTTTATTGTTCCTTTTCCTTTCTGCCAATTCTCGTAATAAATTATTTACCCCTGGGGTTAACGAAAACCTTTTGCTCTGTAAATCGGTTCTGAAATCCGAATTTTATCTGACTTTTAATATTATTTTCGTGTTTTTAAAACTGTCTTTCTCAGGAATCATGGGAAAGTTCGCCAAGATCAAAAAAGCGCAACAAGGGGAGACGGAGACTGCGCAGCAGAAAATGGAGTGGGCGACCGCCGGAGCGAAGGATTCGAGTTCCGACGACAGCTCCGACGATTCGGACTCAGAACAGCCTACGGTGGCTCCGACCGAGGAGACCCGCAAAAGAGCCGAGCTGTGGACGAATCGCGAGCGAGTGCTCGTCATGTGCTCGCGCGGCGCCGACGTTCGTACCCGTCATCTGATGACCGACATCAAGGCCCTCCTGCCGCACGCGAAGGGAGACTCGAAGCTGGATCAGCAGAAGTCGTTGAATGTGATTAACGAGATTGCGGAGATGAAGAATTGCACGAAGGTGATGTACTTTGAGAGCAGAAAGCGAAAGGACACGTACCTTTGGATGTCGAACGTCAAGAAGGGACCGTCGATCAAGTTCCTGGTGCACAATGTGCACACGATGAAAGAGCTTAAAATGTCGGGAAATTGCCTGAAGGCGTCGCGGCCGGTGCTCTCGTTCGACGATGCGTTCGACAAGAAACCACAGCTCAAACTCATCAAGGCCATGCTCATTCAGGTTTGTCCAGAGAAAAGACAATAGTAAAAGGTATTTTCAGACTCTCGGCACTCCGAACCACCACCCACGCAGTCAGCCATTCGTCGATCACGTCTTCAACTTTTCGGTCGGAGAAGGCGACAAAATCTGGTTCCGCAACTTCCAGATCGTCGACGAAAGTCTTCAGCTGCAGGAGGTCGGACCTCGGTTTGTGCTCGAAATGTCCCGCCTGTTCGCCGGCTCGTTTGAAGGCGCCGTTCTGTACGACAATCCGAACTACGTGTCGCCGAACGTGCTCCGTCGCGAGCAACGCAAGGGACAGCACGCCTACATCGAGAAGCAGTTGGCTGTGAAGGCGTCTAACGTGAAGAAGGCGCGCGTGACCGAGATTCTGACCGAAAAGACTGAGGATCCGGTCGGAAAGGTTGGTTTTGACGGGGGAAAATCGGGAGAATCAACGATTTATTTGCAGGAATTCGACATTCTGAGCAACGGAAACTCGGAGGCGGCTGCTCAGATCTCGGCTCAAATCGAGAAGCGTCGTGTGCGCAAGAAGAAGGTGCAGAAGGCCAAGTACACTGGCGGACAATAATGATTCTCTTCCCTTTTGTTATTCCACTGTTGTTGTCGTTTTCCCCCACATTTATTGTTGATTTTTTACACATTTTTCTGAAAATAAATAAAATTTGTTGTTGACGAACCGATTTTCATCTTTATCTCTTAAGTTGGAATGCGTTGAAACCAATTGAACTTTATTCATTCTCACTTTTTCTCAATATTCTTCTCCCATTTATTTCCAGAATGCTCTCCAGAATCGTTCGATTCAGATGGCCAACGCCTCGCCGCTTTATCGCGACTTTCCATGTCGAAGAAGAGTATTACGAAGAGCTTGAACCGTCCGGAGCACCGCAGAAGACGTCGCCAGAGCCGCGGACGCCTTCAGAAGTCGCCACGTCGTCCGGAGACGCCAATTTCCTGGAAAACGTTATCGGAGCACTTACAGCGCAACGGGCGAAGGACGTGTTCGTGGTGGAGACCGACGAGTTTCAGATGACACCGTTCACACATAAAGTGAGCATTTCTGCCAGTTTATTGTAACTATAGAAACAATTTCTGTGCCCCAAACACTTTTCATTCTGTTCAGATAATCTGCTCGGCGTACAACTCGCGCCAAGCGTCGGCTATCTCGGAAAACCTGCGCGGCCTTCTGAAAGTGGACGACGAGACGATCGGAGGACTGTCGCATGCGAAGAAGAACACGAAACGGAGCAACGGATGGTACGTGAGCGAGGTGGAACGGGTGCAAGTGCACGTGATGAGCGAGGAGTGCCGCGAAAAGTACGAGCTGGAGGCCGTCTGGGCTGGCGACGAACGCATTCTCGAGCAGATCGACGCAGAGAAACAGAGGATCTTTCTGCCGCCGAAACGAACAACTTTTTGAGCATTTTGATTTATTCGCTTGTAACAACAATAAATTAGTTTAGCTGCTGAGCCATGCGTTGAGAGTGTCGGCGATCTTCTGGCGGGCGGCCGTCAAGTACGAACTGTCGAGCGAAGAGGCGCCGTACATATCGGCGCAGTGCGCGGTTCCGTTGATAACCACCGGCACGATGTCGCTGGAGTTGCTGGTCAGTTTTCCGAGCGCGTGCCACGGATCGATGTCTCCGTTCGGCAGCAGAATCCGGGCGGTATTGAGGTTGTCGCGTCCGCCGTAGTATTCATTCGTGTAGTTCACCGAGATTTGCACCTCCAGACTGTTGTAGGCGGCTCCGTAGATCGCGGAGCACTCGTCGATGTAGTACTGCGCCGGCAGGTTGCCCACTCCGCCGAACCACGGACCCGCGCTCGCCGAAGCCGTCGACTGGTAGTAGCCGAATTCGGTGCACGTCTGCCAGACCCACGCGCGGTCCGATTGCGCTTCTCCGAACGTCTCGTCCTTCATGAACGAGACGAAGCCGTTGTAGTCGATGTCGTTGCACCCGAAGTACTCGCTGACGAGGTTGAAGTAGTCGTTGACCTGCTTCATCTTCTGAATCGTCGTCGTCTTTGTGTTGATGTGATAGCGACAGATCGCGTGCGAAATGGTCAATTGGGTGGCGAAGGAGCCGGCGGCGTCGCCGGAATACTGGACGACCTCCATGTACGGCGAGTAGACGGTCTCCCAGAAGTACTTGAGGGACTTGTCGTCCAATTGAATGTCCTGGCAGAGGTGGAAGGCGGTCTTGAGCTGCTTGCGTCCGTCGGCGGTCTGAAGGAGGGAAGCGACCAGGTTGAAGCCCGCGGTGACGCTGTTCGCGCATTCGGTGGAATTGCGCGAGATCGAGTTCTTCACCACCTCGAGGTACTCTGAAACGGTCTCGATTGAAATGTTACAGAAGATGGGGAGACGAACCGAAGAAGTCCACCTCGGCCTGAACGGGCCCACTGGATCCGACGGCGGCGTACACGAGTTCCGGGTGTTTGGCACGGGTCCACGCGGCGAGCGCTCCCGAGTAGGATCCTCCGAAAGTGACCCATTTCGCGTTGGCCAGTTGCGGATACTGAGCGGTCATGGCCTTGATGAACGCGGCGGCGTCCTCGATGGCCTGCGCGGAGGACAGGTACTTGAGGTTCTGGACGGACATGTCACTCGTCGGACGCGTCTCTCCGTAGAATCTGTGCTCGATGTCGAAGACCCACGCGCCTTGCTGCTGCGCGAGATTCGTGATTTCGAGGCCGGCTGGAAGGAAAGATTGGATTGACTTTGAATATTATAAACTCACGATAAGAGACCCAGTAGCTGGACTCGGGACCCTCTCCTCCGAGCATCAGGAAGGCCGGTCCGCCCTCCTTGTACCACTGATTGTTGTGCCAGTATCTCTGCTTGAACGTCTTTCCGACCGAAGAGTCAAAGTGGTCGAGGGTCTGGGTGAACGTCGACGAGACGACGGACGCAAAGTTGATGAGATGCGAGACAGAGGACATCTGAAAGCAAAGAATAAAAAGATCATCCCCGGGGGGTGGCACTTACCGGCGGGGTCTTCTTCATTCCGCCACGTGGCCGTCCTCTAATCATGTTCCTTCTCACCCGCTGCTCAGTCGACGGAGCGGCAAGCACTTGGCACACCACGCATGCTAAAGACGTACAGTAACCTTTGATACCTCAGGATCCGAAACGTACCCGCGAGAAGGACGAGCAACACTCTGCTCGACGCCATTCCACCACCGAATCAGTAACAAGTGATGAAAAGTGAAACGAAAAGTCTGGAGCGCACAGATAAGGCTCTTATAGGCGCGGACAGCCTTATCAGAATTCAATTCCGTTTCGGACGACGATTTATAACGAAAAGATGATAAATGGTTTGGTAACTTGACTCACTTTTGACGTATTTGAACTGTGTGCCACGTCATCTGCTGAGAAACTGTGAGCCGACAGGGAACTTCGTTTCGACCGGACCCACACTAAAATGACAGTGTCCGAAAAGTCGAGGGAGGAAAGAATTCGAAGGAAAAGGTGTCAATTTGCAGAAATTAATCGGATTGATTCTAAGAAAATTGAAGACAAAAGCGATGACAGGTTCATTTTGCTTTCGTGACGAAACAGCGACTTCCCGCCTGAACTATAACTTTTTTCTCAACTTCGGCACACCATAAATCGGTCCGTAATACAAGAAAATCCTTCCAAGACACTATACGGTCCTTCAAACTTCTCGAGCAACTGATTCATCTGAAACCTGTAGGGGTTCGAATTGTCAACTTTTGCCACGTCACCACCTGCTTCGCATCTTTTCTTGCTCTTTTCTTGCTCGTTTCTCTGTGGCCAGTGGGGTTTTTCAAGTGTCTTCCATCTCTTTTCACACTTGCACAATAGCCTTAAATGTGCTCACTTGACACTTCTTCCATCTTGAGGTAAACACTCTGCCGCTCACGACGCCTCCCGACGATATTGTTCGAGAACCTATCCATACACACACACACACACATATTTATAGAAATGGAAGCTACTGTAGTATTCTGCTCCTCTTCTTCTTCTTCTTCTTCTTCTCCTTCTTCTTCTTCTTCTTCTTCTCCTTCTTCTTCTTCTTCTCCTTCTTCTTCTCCTTCTTCTTCTCCTTCTTCTTCTTCTCCTTCTTCTTCTTCTTCTCCTTCTTCTTCTTCTTCTTCTCCTTCTTCTTCTTCTTCTTCTCCTTCTTCTTCTTCTTCTTCTTCTTCTTCTTCTCCTTCTTCTTCTTCTTCTTCTTCTCCTTCTTCTTCTTCTTCTCCTTCTTCTTCTCCTTCTTCTTCTCCTTCTTCTTCTTCTCCTTCTTCTTCTTCTTCTCCTTCTTCTTCTTCTTCTTCTCCTTCTTCTTCTTCTTCTTCTCCTTCTTCTTCTCCTTCTTCTTCTTCTTCTTCTCCTTCTTCTTCTTCTTCTTCTTCTTCTTCTTCTTCTTCTCCTTCTTCTTCTCCTTCTTCTTCTTCTCCTTCTTCTTCTTCTTCTCCTTCTTCTTCTTCTTCTTCTCCTTCTTCTTCTTCTTCTTCTCCTTCTTCTTCTTCTTCTTCTTCTTCTTCTTCTCCTTCTTCTTCTTCTTCTTCTCCTTCTTCTTCTTCTTCTTCTTCTTCTTCTTCTTCTTCTCCTTCTTCTGCACACTTTTGACCCCTTCTCCCCATTTTGCCTCCTTTTTGACTTTTATTCCAAATTACGCAACGTACGGCAGGTGTCGTTTCTGTCCGGAACGCAGTTTATATTTCCAAAACACTTTAGGTCTCCCAGCGAGTAAAAAAAAACAAAAAGGAATGCTGGAGAAGGACGACGGGCACCTGTCTGGGCACACGCAATTGGGATTGCTTCGGTCCGATGGGGTACGGTAGCTTGGCTGGTCTTTGAATCTCAGAGCAGACTCAGAAGGCGTTCTATCAAACTTAGCACGGGTTTTCAGGGCTTGTTGAGGCTTGAACTTTTGGGTCTAGTGCAATATCTCGATCTGTAAATTCCAAATGGTATATCTCAGCAGCGGGTAGAGATATCCAAAAGTTGTCAATTGATAAATTGTTTATTGACAAATTGTGTACATTTTATCAATTAACGTCTTTTTGATATCTCTATCGGCTGATGAGATACATTCTCTTGAATGAATTCTATCAAAAGTTTTACGGTCATCGTCCAAAAAAGATACTCCAAGCCAAGTTTATGAAGCCTGCGACACCTTCAAAAAGCCCAGAAGACCTCCCAGACAGCCGAAACCCACAAAAAAGTGGCCCATTCTCAATTAGCCCCCTTCTCCATAACGGTCATCCAGTTTGTATTCAGTCACGCAACAGTTCCCCCCCTCCTATACAGTCGAATCGTCTCGGAAAGAAGGAAAAGAAGAAACGATTAATAGACGAACTATTATGCAACTTTGAGGAAGTCTACTCTCTATTCGCTTACGCAATAACCGTCTGTGACTGTGTGAGTGTGTGTGTACGTGGCTTCTTCAATCTTTCTGAAACTCTCTCTCTCTCTCTCTCTCTCTCTCTTCCTCTCTCTTTTTCTCCCTATCCTTATCATTTGCAAACTGCTGCTATTGTCGGTTCTTGCCAGCATTCCCAAGCCCATTAAGAGCTCATAAACAGGCAAAAAAGAGGAAAGAGAGAGAGAGAGAGCTCTCTTTTATGTGCTTTTTTCTCGTGTTCGGGAATGGGAAGTGTACTGTGAGATAGTTACTTCACTTTTCGTTTCATTTAGAGGTTGAAATGCGTTAGATAGCGTCTTTCACTGTCGAGCTACCGTACCTTAAAGGCGCATAGCTAGATTACGGTACATACAGTTTAAAGCTTGCTATCTTCAAAGCAATATATCTCAGCTGTCAATAAAAGTATAAAAAAGACGTCAACTGATAAAATGTGCAAAATTTCTTCATGAACAATTCATCAGTTGATAACTTTTTGATATCTCTTTAGACAGCCGAGATATATCGTTTTGAATCCATCATAGTTCGATTCGAAAACCTGTCTGGCTGTAACTTGTGCGAAAGAGCACGATTCCATCTAATTTCTGGTCCCCCTCAGACCCCTCCGCCCAAGTAATAGACGTCTCTAAGAGTCCCCACTAATCCGCTCACCCACACTCAAAAGTTCAAAAGGACGCCGGAAGCTAACTCGCGACAATAGGGTCCCTTCTTCAAAAAACTGCATACAGTTGGATGGAGGGGGGGGGGGGGTCTAATTAACATGTCAAAAGACGGCTTAGCGAGCCAGCCGTATTGTTCCGTCTTGTACCGAAAAACGGGTATAATTACGGGCAGCGCGAGGGGGGGATAGCTGAGAAATGTGTTCGAGAAGCGCGGTCAACCGGCAAACCTTTGTTACTCTTGAAGAATTTTTGAATGTGTGAAATGTGAAATGTGTGCGTGCTCCCCAAAAGACACTAAGAAGGTGTCAAACGCAGAAGAATCTGAGAAATTGGAATAATTGCGAGTCGTCGGGAACCTTCAATATCAGACCCCCTTTTCCTTCGTCTTCTGTAAACATTTTCCTCCGTATTTGTCTAATTGTTCGGCCCGTTAGCACATCTGCCGCTATAAGTCAATATGGCTCTTCCTCTACCAATTCTTGCTAATAAACTACTCACTAGGATTACTGTACTCTTCTTCTTCTTCTTCTTCTTCTTCTTTTGCGTTGAAGGCGGCAACTTAAAAATGCTGAGATGAAAGGCGAAGATGAGGGGTAATTAGGGGATCCGCATAAAAGCGAAAGATGATGGATAAGCGTGTCGAATGAATAACTTATCACTATTCGCGTATGCACACTTCCTTGACCAGAGTACCTTGCGGCTTACTGTAGCTTTATAGTCCGGGCCGGCGAGACAATAACAAAAACAAAAAGGTGTGCGCGAAAAAGGCGCCGAAATTGATGGCACATCTGTTGGATTAGTTCTAGAAGAATGAGTTCGTCGTGTTCACGCTCTCGACGCCCGACGGCGGTCCCTCAAAAACAAGGACTGCTTAAGGAGGCGGAAGGATTACTGTACCCCCACCGCTTCTTCCGATTCTCTCCCCCCCATCCCTGCTCCTCCTTCATCATCATCATTTCTCCAGCAAATATTATCCATTCATGTGTACATCGCTCTCAGAAAATGTGCCCAAATGGGCGGCCATTTCAATCTACTAAAGTAACTCGTCTTCTCCTTTTAATCAATTATTCAACGCCGCGCGCTTCTCGAGCATCTTTTTCGGTGCTCCCGGAAATGCTCGAATGAATCGACGTGCCGCTCTTCCACGTCTTCTGCCGGAGGTCCTAAACGTTTTGTGGGTAAACTTGACATCTAGTACTTTATTTTTTAAGTTGACAACTTTTCGGTACGACCAGTCCTGAAAGTACAGTAGCTTGAGGAAGTTGGCATTGAAACACTACAGTAAACACCAATACTGTCCATTCAAAACGATGTATCTCAAGTGCCGGTAGAGATATCAAAAAGTTGTCAACTGATAAAATGTACACAATTAATTTGCAAATAATTTATCAGTTGACAATTTTTTGGTGTCTCTACCCGCAACTGAGATACATCAATTTGAATAAACGGTATTTACAGTAACTATTGTAAACTTCGCAGCGCTACAGTAGGCCTAGAAGTGGCTGCAGAGAAAAAGTGTAAAGACCAAAAACAAAGCACTAGGTGTCGAGATTCCACACAAAACGTTTCTAGGCCCATAGCTCGCCTCTCTCGCGCACTAACCTTGTGCCTGCCTGAAAAGGCTAACGCGCGCGCACAAAAACTTATTATAAATCAGTCGGTGCGGGCGGGCGGTCCGAAACAATGCCTTTTCGGGCCGCTGATTACACCCCAATTTGATCGAAGGGTGTTCAAGGTGACACGCGTGCAGCTAACACTGTTGTTTGTGTTTGGAAACGCATAATTAGAGGCTGGCGAACAAGTACATTCCGATAATTGGGTGAGCGGCGGCGCGAGATTCGAACGGAAAAAGGAAAGGAAGGCGGGGGGGGCGGATTACTGTAGGTGGGTACGGTTACAATTAGCGGAGGGGGATTGATTTAGATGAAGGTGAGACCCCCGAACAGTCCGCTCAATCCGTTCGGTTAATCTTCTTACACTTGTACCCTCGCTAGTCCCCCCTCCCTCCCTCCATTTTCATGAGAACAACACTTGAATTCTCGGTTGGAAGTCTCGGGAAAAGGTTGCGAGAGCGAATAGCCAATTTCCTTAGCCCGACATTACTCACAAAAGAATTGTGTGTGAACTGGACAGGAAATTGGAAAAATTATCATCATAAGGTTTATGAGAGGACGGGAAATTGAGTGTCTTCATTGCCGCACCGCGTAAACTTTTGTCAATCACGGGAGTGTTTCGGATTCGGTTGTCCCAAAATTCCCAAAGAAAACGAGGCGCACTCGTGACTATAGTCTCGCTGAAAACTATAGTTGTGAGTCAGACAGACAGAGGTCTGATAATGAGTAAATTCATCAGCACACGGCTACTACTCATGTTTCGAACTTTGGTAGCAATGGCATAGAAGTATGATGACAGCCTCCGAGTTGATTAGTTGACCAGTGACAATATTTAAACGGACAGCGTGTGATTGATGTTACTCATTCGAGCTTTGGAGCCTTCTGTCTCCGTCCGGGAAGTCCTGGCTCGATCGGATATCACAATAAGGTTCAAGTCTCTGAGCCTTTAGCGCCAAAAAGACCGTCGAACCATGAGGAACCATGACTCCCGGCTCTTTGCCCCATATTGTCCCCCTGTTTCATAAAACTTCAACCCATCCTAACCCCATCATCATCATCATCATCATCGTGATCGTCGTCACTCTTTTTCCAACCAAATCGCCTTTGTCTCCCCCTCCCTCCCCTTCGTTACCTTTCGCTTTCCCCTCAAACATATCTCATATCCGAAACGGGATGAGGGATAAGTACCAGATTTCCGCCGCGCGAGTGTCTCTTACCAGTCGTTTCAACTCGATCTATCTGCTACGAGATGACGATAATAAGTTTTATATATATAAATCGAGTCGACGACACCGTCGGACGGAATAATCGCTTCGGATGTGTGTGTGTGTGCGCCATCTACTTTCCTTTTCGGTTTTACCCGAAAAGACCCGACTAGTAGTACGGTAATCACCTACGAAATGGCTAGGCGAGGAGAGGAACGGGGGGATACGGTAGGACTGGTTGAGAAACTTCCCGGTCCAACTGATATTGTACAATTGTGCCGTTTTGTTTTCCGTCTCCCTTCTTGCTTTCCCCTAGAGACAGTTCGTCGCTCGCCGGCATCTTCGAGACGATTATTATTATTGAGGCTTTCCTTCTCGTCGGGCCGTCTGCTAACTTTATATAATAATTTCCCCCCCTTGGGTAATTATTCGGCACGTCTTCTGTCAATACGTGAGCTCCTTGGCGCGCCGCGCGTTAATTGATTTTCGTCGCGCGTTTTGAGAAACTCGGCGGTTTAATTGAGAGAGTCAACGCGACTCCTTTTCTCATCAGGAAGCTCGACTGGGCTCGGGCGGTGAGCTCTGATGACCTTTCGGTACGTCTCAAGATTGTACAAGTTCCAGGACAATCCAACTTCTGGGACCGGAGAACGATCGAGAGCCCCAAGAAACTTTGTGCAACTTTAAGATTCCCCCGCACCTTTTGCTTGTCAGATCCTAAAAGATTGCTCTATACTTCCAACCAACAGGTCCAGTTCTCGGATTCAATGGGCCCCTCCTAGAAGCCCAAGCTCATCCCCTTCCCCCCGTTTTCCGCGAAGGTAAGAGGGGTAACCCGATGCTCTCATATTGCCACCCATCTTCTCGTCACCCTTCATTTCGCCGTTACTGGCGCCAGGCACAATTGAAAACGGGGGGACGCGTGATGATTACTGTAGACGAGCGAGGAGAAGGAAGAGAAGGAGGAGGAAGGGAGCGAGGAGTCACTCCGATACGGTCCAATTCGGCGGGTGGCGCGTAATTTACTGCCTGCATGTAATTTGACAGAGAATGTGAGTGACAAGACGGGGCGAGGAAAAAGGGGTGGAGACGGAGAAAAGGAAAGGAACATTTTATGAGCGGCGACGAGCATAAGGGTCCCGTTTAGATTGGTTCCCATCTTTAGAAAGTTAATGACAATCTTACGCCTCCTCTACTCTGTTGATACTTTTCCATTCGGAAAACTTCCGAAACCCAATCCTCGATTTGTATATGTATATATATTTATTGAGAGGGAAGATTCGAGTTGAGGATGGATGCGTCCGACTTTGTAATCGAATAGTCAAGGTAAACTCGAACTCCGAGCAAGTCTTCTTTCATTTTAAGGAATGGCCAGAAGGCCGGCCCAAACAGGCTTTTTAGACCGTCAATCCAAGCCCAAGAAGCCTACAAACTTTGTGGCCAAAAGTTGTTCAGGCCTCCTCGAAAAGTCTGGGACAATTAGACGAGATGAGAATGAGAATTATTTGTAGTCAACTTCTGTTTATGCTTCTACTTCTTCTTCTTTCTCTCCGATGCTCAGATGACACCTGAGAAATCGTTTGTTTATAGTTTTGTCCCAATATCATTAGATTCGGTAACCGAATACTGCGAAAAAGGTGATCAATCTTAGTTCTGGACGAGTGAGTGCGGGCGGGGGCGGTAATTTGATAACACACCTGTTCACATAGAATTCAAACACAGATCTAGGATGAGCACAGTGTTTAGACAAGCTCACCGTGTTTGGAGAAGTGTCGAAATCGTGCTCGATTGCCAAGGAGCTAGAGCACGTGCTCTTGGAACCTTCTAGAACTTTCAGTCAAAGCCCAGAGCCGCTATGATTCTCAATAACTGCGCCGCCGCCCATCCAGGCGATCGCGACGGGACCGTACAAACACCCATCTTTTCCGTTTCTCCTCCTTCCGCCCAAGGTCACATGCTTTGTTTAGCTGCTCACACAGCACCGCGCTCATCCACGTTTCTTCCGTGCGCGCGCGCAAGAAATGGGCGGTGGCGGCGGCTAATCTGCGCTGCTTCTCGGTTTTGTACTACTGTAGAGACCTGTCTGTTGCCGACACACACGGGCGGTACTAATTTGTGCCCTCTTTTCTTCTGATTCTCTAATTGCTCCGGCGGCTTTCCAACGAGCACCCGGTAAGTCTGTTCCTCGAGATTTTTGTATGAATTATTCACAAGCACATTCTTCTTTTTTCCTTCTTTCTGATCATCCGTTCTCGCGTCACCACCAAGTAGTTCTAGCCGCACATCTCAACCAATCATCGGGGGACGAGTGAGTCTTAACACCAATTTGAACTTTTTCTCGACTCACCGAACACGTCATTTCGTTATTAGACACATCCTTAAGGAATTTCGAGTTTTGATCACTTTCTAGCCAAAAAATACGTGATTTCGAGAACGTCTCGCGTCTTCTCGGATCCCGGAAGTTGGCTTCATCAGAGCGGAGATTTGAAAAAGCGTACTCTTAGAGAGTATTGCAACACATTCTTAGAAAGAGAGAATTTCATAGAAAATTCGAGTTTTTTGAAAGAAGATCTTGGTCCGGTCTCAGATCCAACAGACCAAGAGCCAGGTAGCTATTGTGGAACTAATTTCGAGAAAGTGCTTATTTTTTGAGAAAGCGTACCCTTATCGAGTAGATGAACTCATTCGAACAAGAATTTTAGAGAAATTTAAGGTCCGTGGCGGTAAATAAGATGTTGGCCAAGTCTCTGGACAACGCCGGCTCCAGGCAGCTATTGTAGAACCCAATTTCAAGAAAATACCTCAAGAATATGTTCGACATAAGATTCCGTTCAAAATCTTTCGAAAACGTTCTCAATTTCATACGGAATTACGGCTCCCCAAAGGGCAATCAGACAAATCTTGCTCATAAATTCAAGATTTCACTCTCTCCTTAGCTCATAATCATCGGCGCCTCATTCCACGTCACTGCTCCCCTCTCTCTCTCTCTTTCTCTCTCTCTTTCTCTCTTTCTTGTGCCTTTCCGGCCAATCGCCATTCCCCAGAGACTCCGCCCTTTCCAAAAGCCCCGCCCACTTCTTCCCGCCTCTCTCTCTCTCTCTCTTTCTCTCTCTCTTTCTCTCTGTCTGGGAAGGAAGATCGGATTGAATATGAGTTAGTTTACCGGTAAGGTGAGTCTAAAGTTGTGTCGGCGCCTAAGACACCCCCTCATCTTCCAATTTTTCTTGTATAAAACATTGAAAAAGAAAGTGAGAGCATTTTTATTTTAAAAATTCATCATCATCATCATTGTCTTTGTCCGTCTTCTTGTTTCTTCTTCTTCTTCTTCACCGGCCGCCCCTAGCAAATGTAATGCAAATTTATGTGATGAAAAATTAATGTTTCTTTTCGATTTCGTCGCCATCCCCCGTTTTCTTACGTCCGCTGCTTCTTTTCGGCTCCCCCCCAAAAAAGTGGTTGAGGCCGAAAAAGAGTGTGATTCCATGACGACACGTGGCAGAGCACCTCTTAAGTGCGTGTCACTTTTCGCACTTTTCCATTTCGTTTCTCACTTTTTGAGCATCTTTTGCGCGAAACTTTGTAAAATCGTGAATGCCTTCAAGTGACGTGGCGCGCTACAGTATCTAAGATGCTCAACGACCACTACATTCTCATGTGACGTGGCAACGTGACACTACAGTAACGTGCGGATATCTTGATTCTCTTAAGGATCTATCCAACTACTATTACATGTTCATTTGGTGTGGCACTACAGTAATCTGTGCCCTTATATCTCAGATTCTCACAAGCTTCTTAACACCTGTTGCATCCTCATTTGACGTGGCACTACCGTAACCTGATGCGTTGCTTTTTGGAATCTAAGATCTTTTACACTTTCTTATTACCTATCCGCTGATCAATGACGTGTCACTACCGTAAGATCCTAGTTCTCCACTACACCCTCATCGCCTACCGTAATCCTGCCCGCTTCTTCTCCTTCTTCTTCTTTTTCTTCTTCTTCCACTTCTCCTCCTCCTCCAGAGACCCATTACCTAAATTGTTTCTTGTGATCGAGCGAGCGCATCTGTGCCTCCTTTCACTCAGACATATCCCTTCAATTCGTTTCTCGCTCGACGCCGCCGCTCGTGTCCAAGAAAATAAACAGAATCGAATTTCAAATGGGAAAAGGGGGGGGGGAAGGGGGTATGGTAGAGAGCGAAGAAGAATCGATTAGCTATCAGCAGGGGCACTCGTCAGAAGTGGCGACGGATTATGCAAAAACGGTTGAAGACAAGTTACTACACATTTCTCCGCTATTCGCATTTGCATAATCTCTTGTTGCTATCATCGTGTGCTCGCTCTCGAGAGGTCTTCTTCGTCATTCCTTGACGTGGCACAACCTACCGTACCACCTCGCCCACTTCAAACTTCCTGAATTGAATCCAATATCGCGTCTTCTTTTCTCCTCTCGTCGGATCCAATAAATAACATTCGGCTCCCCCACTGTGCGCGCCGGCTCTTTCAATTCTATTCTACCATTCTTGCAGCGAATGTCATCGGGACTTCCGCCGATTCTCGCGTCGGCTCAACCGGCTGCCAACGCCTTTAGGTACCGTAATGGAGGCGAGGAAGCCTCAAGAAGAGCATTCATTTTTCCAGTTTCAACAACGGATTGACGCCATTCGGCTACTTTTTCCCGCAGATTCCGGGCGTCGCTCCGAACGGACAGTTGTCCGCCAACACGCCCAATTCGGCGTCGTTGAACCGATTCAAAGTGAAGAGGCATCGGCAGAGAGTGGACGCCGGCGAGCCGCGGAATACCTATCAGGTAGGAGGAGTGTTCAAGTAGTGGATCTTACAAACCTTCAAGACGATATATCTCAGCTGTCTGATGAGATATCAACTAGTGGTCAACTGACAAAATATGCACACTTTCTTGGAGAACGATTCATTAGTTGACAACTTTTTGATATATCTTTAGACAACTGAGATATATCGTCTTGAATAGACGGTGTCTTCATCACATCCACGCACTTTCTCATCAATCGATTTCGCTAATATATTCTGCCTCGGTGGCATCTGTATTCCTAATCAGTTCCTCCCTCTTCTCTTCTCCTCCCTTCCCTTCTCTTCACTTTTTCATTCATTCCAGGGCACCACCACCACCACCTCCTCCTCTTCCTCCATCACTTCCAACTCGTCTGCCACGTCTTCTGCCACCTCATCATCCATCCAATTCACTCCGAAATTCGAGAAACGTGAAGAAGCGATGACACCGAGTGTCGAGGCGGAAGCACCGATCGGAGAACAGGTACTTCCGCCGGTCCGCATGGGGGGCAAAGCCGATTAACCTCGAAATGTTTTAGGAGAATACTCAGGAGGAAGACGTTTCCGTTTCGATCGAAGCAGCCAAGCCGGAGGAAGGCGACAATGAGAGCGGCGGAATGTTCGAGAACGATGACGTCATCGAGGAGGAGTTTGGCGAGCGCGAGAGCCCCGGAAGCAACAGCTCGTCGGCGTCGAAAAGAAAGTGCTTCTTGCCGCAGAAAATCGGAGAACAACTAGGAATCGAGATCGGAGAAGGTGCCAGTACCCATCAAGAACTTCCAGGAGCTCATTGTCTTTCAGAAACCGAACAAATCCATGTGACGGTGGGCGGAACATCGGAAGAGCCGCCGGCGGACGAGCCCGAAGAGGCAGAGGCAGCAGAATCGAAAGAACTGTCGGCGATTCGGTGCCAACTGCAGAACGGCAACTTTGCAGAGTCGCAGAGACGCGTCTACGCCGCATTCATCGAGCAACAAAGGAAGCAAGTGACCGCTTCTCAGGTATATATATATTTAAGAATAATCGGAGAGCCAACCAACCACAAACACGAATGATTCAGATGGGACAGCTCGTGCAGGCGAACAAGATCAACTTCGATCTGCTGATTTCGATGCTCAAGAACGAGATTGTGAACGGGCTCGCGAAGAACATGGAAAAGGTGGTGAGGGACTGGATGGCCGACGAGATGGCCAAGCTCGAGGCGGCTCAGGTCACCGCTCCACCGCCCCCATTCCATCCGATGTTCGCCAACAATCCGCTCTTCCACTTGCCCACACCACACCGTAAGTCTCCATTCTCCCTCTCTCTTGTCTCTACCCTCCGCAACCCGTTTGCCCGTCGGCCGAATGGTCTAGTGGTATGATTCTCGCTTTGGGTGCGAGAGGTCCCGGGTTCAATCCCCGGTTCGGCCCATCTTTTTCATTTTTTACTCCATTTTCAGCAGTTGGTGGCGGCGGTATCTTCCCAACGAACTTCAACGCGTTCAATGCGCTCTCGGCGCTCCGCAAAAACTTCCAGGAGAACGAAATGGAGAATAGGCGGAAAAGGAAGTTGGACATGAAGCGCGAAGAGGTTATGAGCAGCCGAGCGTCTCCGCTCAGCGCCTCGGCGAGTCCGCCGCTCGGAAGATTCTTCCAGGCGCCCACGATGGTCGCCCATCCCTACGGCGCCATGAATTTCGTGGACCGCGAGGACTCGCCGACCAACTCCGACGAGCTCAGCGACTGCGGCTTCGAAGGCAACGGATCGAACTCGCAGTTGACGCCGATGCACCTGCGGAAGGCGAAGCTCATGTTCTTCTACACGAGATATCCGAACTCGAACCTGCTCAAATCCTACTTCCCGGACATCCGATTCAACAAGAACAACACTGCGCAGCTCGTGAAATGGTTCAGCAACTTCAGGTCGGTCCTTGACAAAATCCCATTTATGCTTTTTATGATGATGATCATGATGATGATGATGATGAACAAACGCCTTCCCAACTCGTTTCCGTCTCCAGACCAAACAATGGAGGAGAACCTCTTAAAAGACGGGCACGGTCTTAGGTGTGACACGCGTCGTTGACGTCGAAAAGGATGTCTTCGTCGCCTCCCCCTTTTTCTTCATCATAATGCCCCTCTTTTCGGAGGAGGAATGGGATTATTTATTTGAATTCATCATTTCATAGACGAGAGGGGTGTTCAAACACAAGCATTTCAGAGAGTTCTACTACATCCAAATGGAGAAATTCGGGCGACAACTGCTGGCCGAAGGCGTTCGCGATCGATCGGAAATTTTTGTGACCAAGGACTCCGAGCTGTTCAAAGTGCTCAACACCCACTACAACCGTAACAATCATATCAAGGTCAAACCTTTTTTTTAATTGTTGTTTAACTCAAATTTTGTTTTCAGCCACCAGATCGTTTGGTTCTTGTGGTCCAGGAGACTCTGCGTGAGTTTTACGATGCTATCAAGTTGGGAAAAGACGCGGAACCATCGTGGAAAAAGACCATTTACAAGGTTTGTAGAGCAAATGTTAGTTTACGTCAATGGGGATCGAACCGAACCAAAACCAAAACGGCGCCAACAAAATAGAAGAGTGCTCTGCCACTGCGCCACGCGTGGCACCCTTCGGCAAGCTCTCTAAGGCCTACTCAAGAATGCGCACGTTTCAGGTCATCAACCGCATGGACGACCAAATTCCCGACTTCTTCAAAGAGCCCAACTTTCTGGAGCGCCTCGAATCTTGATAAATTCGCTCTGAAATTCCCTATGTGATCCAATTTTTCCAATGTGTTTTTTTTGTTTCCCTCGCACACTTATCCCTGTCTAAGTCACAAATGTGCAATACTTTCGAATTATTATTATATCCGCCCCCGAATATAAGTATTTATTTCATTCGCCCCGCCCCTTTTGCCACGTGGCATAATTTCCTCCACTCTATCTATTCGTTCCATTTTGCCTCTGGAATTCGTTTCGTTTCTTTTTTTCTTTGGTGTCACTATGAAAAATTGAATAAATTTATTATATTCTTTTTCAGGTTTTAAAGCTTTTCAATTCAAATTTCACCAAAAACGGGGTAATAAAGCTGACACACAAAAGCGATATGAAATAAAAGTAATTTCAGTCGGACAAATATGTATATAATATATATATATATATTAAGGCTTTTGGCGGGGAGAGGGGGATTTCAGTCGGGAAAAGCAGAAAAGAGACACGTATGTATAAACAACTGGGAAAGAATTGGGATTGTGGAAGAAACGGTCCGAAAAGATCCGTTTAACCTTGAACCGGGAAGATTCGGGTCATCACGTTCTGATTGGGCGGGTACATGACACGTTGCGCTCTCATCGGCGGACGGTAGAAGATGGACGGCGCGACGGGGCCACGTGGAGCCATCTGAGCATTGAGACGAGCCATTGCCGGCGCCTCGATTCCGACGTTCTTGAGCTGAAAGCAAATGGATAAGTGAATTGAATTGAATTGAATTGAATTGAAACTTACAATAGCGGTCGAGTTGTACTGTCCAGGCTGGAACGGTTGGGACTGTCCGCCCAGACACTGCTCGAGGAACGTCTCGATGTGTCCGTGCTGCTCCATCGAGTTGTGCGGCTTGCGGATTCCGTGTCCCTCGTCCGGGTACAACAAATACGTGACCGGAATGTTCTTCTTCTCGAGCGCCGCCACAAATTGATCGGATTCGGCCTGCTTGACACGTGGATCGTTGGCTCCTTGGATGATCATCAACGGCTTCGAGACGCGATCGGCGAAGAACAGTGGGGAACGGGATTGGAGGGACTGACGGCCTTCCTCGGTGACAATGTCCGCGCCGACCATCTTGATGAGATCCTTGTAGAAGCCGAGCCAGTAGGGCGGAATGGCTTGCACCAGAGAGATGAGGTTGGACGGTCCGACGATGTCGACACCGCAGGCAAAGGTCTGCGGCGTGAAGGTGAGGGCGACGAGGGTCTCGTAGCCGCCGTAGCTTCCGCCCATCACGGCCACCTCCGATCGGTTGGCGATTCCCTTCGAGACGGCGAACTCGACGGCGTCGAGAATGTCAAAGTGCATCTTGCGGCCCCATTCTCCGTTTCCGGCGTTCGTGAGTCGTTTTCCGAAGCCTGTGGAGCCGCGGAAGTTGACCTGGAGCACTGCGTATCCGCGATTGGTCAGCCACGCGTTCATCGGTGAGAATCCGTAGTGGTCTCTGGCTTTTGGACCTCCGTGCACGAGCACGACCATCTTCTGCGGCACAGCCGGGATCATTCCGAGTTTCGCATACGCACGATCTCCATCGGGCACCTGGGACGACTTGAGAAGTGGTGCTTGCGGTGGCAGCGAGAGGTACGCCTGGATGGCCATGTCGTCGCGGGCGCGGAAGTCGAAGCCGATCTGCCGGTTGAGAGTGTACTTTTTGAGTTCCGGCCGCGTGCTCATGAACAGCTCGGCCTTTTTGTTCCATCTCCGGTAGATGTAGATGTCGTTGGGCTCGTCGGCCGACGCGTACGTCACCAGCCACGTCGACATGTCGATGCTCATGCTGATGATTCTCAACGAGCCGTGGGGCTTCAGGTTCACGAGGTATTGGAGGTCCTCCATGAAAGTGTCGTTGGCGACGAACAGCTCGGGCTTGTGGTAGACCTCCGTGATGGCCAGAAGGGTCTTGTCGATTGGGTGGATGAGCACGTTTCCGATCTGAGCTTTCTGGGCGGTGTAGAGGATTTCACGCTGGGTCGGATCCTCGAAGGGAAAGACGACGAGGTTTCCGAGGTCACTGCCCTCGCCCATGATCCAGTACATGAAGTTGCTGGACTTGTCGAACGTGAGCGGGAGGGTGATGGCCTTGTCGTCGTGCTGGATCCTCAGATACTCGACCCATTGGCTCGGATCCGTCGACGTCGGCACCTCGTTCCCAACTGGCCGGTAGTAAATGAGCTCTCCATCGGGTCCCTCCTCGCTCGCCAGCCGCACATTCATCTCGTTGTCGAAGAAGAACTGCGGGAACCGCTTGTTCCTCAACACCAACGTCAGCTGATCGGTGCGGCAGTTGAACGCGTAAATGTTGTGGAGCGCCGGGTTCTCGTCGTTGAGTCCGATGAGGATGGTGTCCGAGATCAGATGGTTCACCATCATCACCGCTTTCACATTCGGCTTGTCGCTGATCACAACTCGCGCACTCTTGTCGCTGGCAATCGCCGCCTGAAGAAGAGATGATAGTGACGATGAGAAAGAGAGAAGTTTGACTGATTTCACTCACCGAAGAGATATTCTTCTTGTAGAATCGCGTATTCTCGTCACCGTGATTGTCTTGAATGAAGATGATCACTTCCGGAACGGCAGTCCAGACAAAGTCTGAAAGTTGAATGCTTAATCTTAAATGTAAAGTCTATTCAAGACGATATATCTCATCTGCCTTAAAAACAGCAAAAAGTTGTCAGCTAACAAATTCTAATAAATGACAACTTTAAAAAAAAATATATCTACTCACCCAAAACAGGATGCTCGGTCTCAAAAGTGACTTGTCGCGAGAATGAGCACGAGGAGCATCTGGTGAACACGTTCTTCACGCCGTGCTCATCCGGAGCCACGTATCCGACCGACTTTCCATCGGGGCTCAGCGATACGGAAGAGTACTTGGCGTCTTGGAACAGAATCTCGCGGGGAATGATTTCTTGTGTGGTGACGACGACCAAGCACGCAATGAGGACGAATTGCATTGTCCTGGAAGCGGGAAAACGTTGAGATATGGGATAAGGAAAAGAGTTTTACGAAAGAGGCACAAAATAAACCTGATTCGCTGTGAGTTTTATAAGAAACACAAACACGCGACGCCCCTGAAGACGCTAAAAGTCGAGGAGTGGGCGGAGCGACGGACAGGGGGTGGGGGGCGCCCACGCAAAAGTTTTTTATGGAGACGTTGACGCCGCCGCCGCCGCGCCTCGGAAGGGATAGAATCGGTGAGTGATCAGGCGTGATAAACTATCAGTGATAGGTCAATTCTCTAAGTGACTGGTCAGAGAACGGTCGTCGGTTTCGACGGCTGGCGGATGCAAAAATCGCAATGAAATCGAACGGTGCGGCGGCGGCGCCCCCACCCGAATATGTGCTCACGGAGCAGCGGGGAGGAGCACGCACAATAAACAAAATCGGGAGCACCTCGCGCGAGAGCAAGGTTAACGCTTTTGAAACCGATACAGTATGTGTGTAGAACCTAACCTTTTGCGGGGGTCAAAGAGATGATGAGTGGGGGTGTACTATTTTGAGTAGTTGAATGTGAATGTGTGTAAAGAGGAACTCGTCTTGAAAGTGTTCTTCTTGTCGGGGTGGCCTAGAAAAAGCTAGGCCAGCGGCTTTGGATGGAAAATAGTTGCATTTTTCATTCAAGTACCGTGTAAGTTCTAGAACTCATCGATGTCTAAATTTCGAAGGAAGTTGTTCAATAGCCTCACTTTCTGTGACTTTGTGAATCCCCGGAACCCTTTAAATACTCACTCCTACTGTACTCTCCCAGATACCGTAACCCAAACATCCTCACTCATTCATTTCAATTACGACCGTAAACAGAGCCAAGTGCTAGCTAAAAACGCGAAAAAATGCGTAGTGTGTTCGCTCTTCTTCTGTTTTGCAGTGATAAAACAAGAACAAGTGACCAGTCAAGGACGAGGGAAAAAGTGCAGCTGGAGTGCCTGTTTATCACGTTCACACTCGAAAACTCCGACTACTGTATTTGGGTGAGCCGCGTGCGCGCGCGCGCGCATTTTGAAAAGTAAATAATGAAGTGTGTGTGTGTGCGGGGCTTCCGTAAGCGGAATGAATGACCACAGGTATAGGAGGACGTAAAAAAGGAAAAAGATAAACAGAGACGTTTTGGGGTGGAAGATATATGAACTTTGACTGGTTTTCCGCCTGCAAATGTCTTTCCTTATCACTTCGTATCTCTATTTCGGTTGCAACAACAGAGGACGACAAGAAATGAGATCGAAAAGGAATGAAATCAAACGCGGACGGCATCAGATGAGATGACGAATTGACGTGTCTGGTCAGCTGGTGACCCGACGATTTCGGGGTGGTCGTGCGTGTTCTGGAACGTTCTGGAACTTTTAGAATCTTCTAGAACGTCACCTGATCCCGTACTGTTTAGAAACTAAAACGTAACTCAAAAATGACTAGCTTTGGAGCAAAATGATCAACTACAAAGTTATTCAGCTCAAAAATTGCAACAACTTTTTAGTTAAACACTTTTTGAAATAATTATCGGATCTCGAGATATAGGTGCTCAAAGAGGGCGACAAAAAGTTTGAGGCTCTCAGGCTCCAGATCATTGTCCAATAAAACTAGCTTGAGCATCAGTTTTTTAGTGACAAGCTTCCCTTAACCGACAATATATCTTATGGATTTCCGTCGTAAACACCACCAAACCAAGGCCGTTCGGAACCATCCGAATCTTGTTCAAAGTGACGAATTGTGTCGTCTTTCATCTTTCATCTCACCTGAAGCTAGGATGAACACGGATAACAAAGTACGTGCGTGTGTTTGACGGTTTGTGTGGGCGACGGAAGTGATAAGAGAAAAGAAAAGAAGAGAAGAGAAGAGAAGAGAAGATATTGTCGTGTTCCACGTGATGCGCTCCTCATCACCAGACACTTTGACGAACGTGCGAGACTTCTACGAGTACCGGAAACGATCTGAAGCTGAGAGAAATCGAGTGAATCATTGGGAATCATCAGAATCAAAAAAAAAAGTCTAGACAGACCGTCCTCGAGTGGTCTTAGCTAAAAACTTGAACAATACTTGAACAATACTTGAACAATACACTTGAAAATCAGATTTCGATCTATGTTTTTGAAAGAAAGTTACTTTATTATCACAGTCACATAAACGGGAAGTCAAGATCTGAACATCAAAGCAAGTTTTGAGAAGTACAATATTCGGAGATATTATATCGTTCTGAAAAAGTTGTCATGAATCCTCCGTTCCGCTATTTCGATGCATTTTCTTTTGACCAACAATGTATGCATGTCACAAATGAGACGGGCGGGAAACAAAACTATTATCGAGCGCCGTGACGACACTGCCCAACATCTTCACGTTGAGCCCCGTCGCGCTTGCGTCGCGTCTGCGTTGCGGCCGGTCGGTCGGACCGTCCCGTCCGGTCCCGTCCCGTCTTTTCAGATTCATTCGCATCTTGTGTGCACACCATTCTTTTCTACGTCCTTTCTCTTGCCCTTCCACCATGTCCGCCGAAAAATCGATAGCTGTTTCGCAGCCGATCTACGTGGACACCGAGCACATCGACGAGTACACCGATCTGCCGGATCCGCACGACTTTCTCGAGTTCAAGGACCACTCGCAGCCGGCGTTGTGCATTAAACCGGCGCTTCACACAGTCTCGAACAGTGCCATGACTCAAGGGATCGTGGAGGAAGAGGCTGCGGTAAGTTGGAATTGAGTTTGAAATGCGCTCTCACTAATTCCGTTCACATTTTCAGTATTATCTGCCGGTTCAAATCGGAATCATGGGCTTCTGGCGTCTGAGCTCATCGAACAACCTGTCGGAGTACCTGGCCGACATCCCGGAGGCCGAAGAGATCGAAGACGCGCTGCACCGCGGATACCAGTACTTTTCGTTCAACGGCCGCTTCCTCTCGTCGCACCTCCAGCACGGCGATCGTCAATTTCTGGAGCACAACACGTGGCTCGGATTGGCCATGTCGAACAGCCGCTACTCGCAGACGACGCTCGTCGAGGGAAACAGTCTGAACACGATCAACTACAGTAAGACGGATGGAGCGGAGATTGCGAGAGAGAATCGATTCATCGATCAGTACGACCGTCTTCACATGCAAGGCTACCGGAACGGAGTGTACTGCACCCGAGTCTACGAGCGAATCGGCGAGATTCAAGAGCTGCCCGTCGAGATGCTGTTGCCGGGCGAGTGGAAGAAGATCAGCACGATGAACTTCGAGCACTTCTTCCAAGTGAACCAGTATTCGCCGGAGGAGAAGGCCGTCTGGGCTCGCGGTAACGTCGTGTTCTTCCTGAACGCCATGCACTTCACCACCTACCACAAACTCGACGGACAGCACGTGCACTACTACTCGACGCCGCTCGACGCCGTGACGGATGCGGACGCGGACGCGGACAACGGCGTGACGGAGAAGATGACGTCGGTGCACGGACGGACAGTGCACACGGAGTGCTTCGAGAAGGGCGGCTCCGGACGCCTGCTGCACACCACGTACCACTCGGTCCGCGGCGGCACTCTTTACGTGACGAGGGAGCAGAACGGCGAGTGCTTCACGTGTGTCTACGAGAAGATTTGAGAGCGGCGAGCTCGAAAACGAATACTGTACCGTAAGAATGTGTACCACTTGATATCATCGTATCGAATCATCTGCAAGATCATCTTTATCTTTTCCTCTTCATCCAAAACGAATAAACGATTATTATTTTTATCAATGACTCATTTATTGTGCCCCCTCTCTCCTCCTCCTCGCCGCCACCCCACAATTCCGGTTTGCACAGTTCATTCATTCGCTCTCGACTCTTCTCTCTTCTTTTCTCGTCGAAATTCACCGAATATCGATGAGACGCAGACGGTGTTTAACTTGCAAATACGGCATCCCCCCCACCGTATTGGTTTTTTGTGTCGAATTCGAATTCGAATTCGCTCATCACAAATGTAATGTTTTCCATCCGACTCATTTTTTGTGCGCTCCTCATCAGATCGACAATATCGCAACTCGTTCCGTTTGAAGACTATTTGTGTGGATCTGGCGCTCTTTCCACGACGATTTCCTACACTTCTACCTATCTATGTGACCAAATTCAGTGTGAGTTTTCTGGGAAATGTACAATAATGATACAGTTGCGGATGGTCCCCCTTTGAGCGTGCGCAACTAAGTTCAAAGCTATAATAGAATTCCGAAACAGTTTAGACAAACTCTATACACCTAGTACTTTATTTTTCCAGTTGACCACTTTCTTATACGACCACCCGGAAGAGGACTGTAGCTCATTTTGGAGTGACACAATTGACCGTAAATTGAAGACGATGTATCTCAGCTGTCTGCAGAGATATCAAAATGGTGTCAACTGAAAAAGTGTGCGCAATGTCTTTTTGAGCATTTTATCAGTTGACAACTTCTTGATATCTCTACAGACAGCTAAGATACGTAGTTTTGAATAGACGAGTCCGTGACAAAAGGTCGGAAAGCCAAATGGTCGGAAAAAAATGACAAAAGGTCGGAAAACAGGTCTTTTAGCAGTCTCTTAGCAGTTTTTCCGACCTTTTGTCTTCCGACCTTTTTGGTTTTCCGACCTTTTGTCACGGACTCGGTATTTCAGTATTTACTCAAACTTTCCGGATTTGTAGTACTCCTAGAAGAGGTCGGATGAGAAAATGGTCAACTAGAAAAATGTAGTACCAGATGTCAAGATTGCACTTACACATTTTCAGCCTCAGATAAGACTTCTAGGGCTTTCAGCACTTCCAACATGCCTTTTCCAGTAAACCAGTGCTGCATGTACCACGATCTCTGCTACTCCAGCTGCGTACTGCCCCAAATGGAGTGCGACAATCAGTTCTGCGAGTGTCTCGCCACGATCATCTCGAATCCGTTCTGCGAAACAATCGTCTTTCCGACGCACTGTAACTTTGCGCGTCTCTTTGGAAATCTGTTCATTTGTCCGATGATGGGATGATAAATAAATGTATTTTTTTACTGAAAATCAAGGTTCGAAAGCAATTTCGTCGCCGGCAAGAAACACGTGAGTGGAAAAACAGAGAAGGGAATCCCCTGCATTTTATGACTTTAAAAGACATGTCACTTTGTGATATAACATTGAGGAGAGGGATAGAAACGGACAATAGTCCTTTTGACTCGGACCCAATCTTTTCAGGCTTCTGGACTTGGATTGAAGTATCTTGGGTTCAAGTTTTCAGTCAGATACACTGGTTTGAAACCCAAAAGACTATTTGCAGAAACCAGGGAAGCCTAGGCCCTAGATAATCTCAAACCAAATGGACTTCCGAAAGGAACGGATGCTCAGCTTTCCTCAAAAGTTTCGCGCCAAAACATTTTCGAATTCAAATCGTCAATTACCTTCAAATGCGGGCGCGCGCCGGCCCACGAATAACCTTAATTATCAGAAGCGGCCCGTCATCTCATCTCGCCGCTTTGTCTCGCCTTCTTCTCCTCCGAAATTCATCTGAAATGGGACCGAGACAGAGAGAGAGAGAGAGAGAGAGAGAGAGAGAGAGAGAGAGAGAGAGAGACGCAGACAGAGGCCATGGACCCATTTTGTGGCGGCGGCGACGGCGGCTTTACTGAGAATCTGCGAAGATTTTCTCCTCTTTTTTCGATTTCCTGACTTGAGATTTCAGTAGTTCTGGAAGGTTAGAATTATGAAATATTGTCAATGTGTCTGGACTTTGGCGTGTCATGCTATCAGAATTCTCAATTAAGATAAAATAAGTTAGTATTGCAAATCCTCATCAAACAGTGACCTTGTCCGCCAATAAACTCATTATGATGTTTTCAATGCGACGGATGACGAATTTTCGAGAACATTATTCGAATTTCTGCGCTCTCACTGGCGAAATTAGGAAAACTCGAATTCAGATGGATGGATATGTTGCAGACGTATAAAAATGAAGCAAAAATGCGTCAGAAAAGTTGAAATCTACCGTATCGGACCCAAATTTAAAGGCGCAGAACTCCAGTGCGAGTGTCCAGCTTTGAAAATTTCGCACCGTTTAATAGAGAATAGAATCTCAGCTGTCTGAGGAGATATCAAAAAGTTGTCAACTGATAAAATGTGTAAAATGTTTTCCTGACCAATTTATCAGTTGACAACTTTTTGATATCTCCAATAGGAGCTGAGATATGTCGCTTTAAATGGACGCCCTTCTATAACAATTTCAACGGTGCACTTCTCAGTGTGTTACAGTTGCAAAGTGTGCCAATTCGTCGAGCCTGTCCCTCTCGAACATTCGGCCAATATCAGTTCGTCTTCTTCGCAAGCACCACCGGGTGTTCACCACCCGGCGATTGTCCCTTTCACACCGCGGGCGCACTCACTTCTGTTTACATTTGCGACGTCTTTTTGGCGGGCGGCGCCGCCCAAGGAACGAATGTTTATAACATGTCTCGCGTGTGCTTCAAGCGTTGCCAGATGTTCGTAACTCGAGAAGTGACATTGTAAAAGGGTACTGTAAAACAGGGGGGCGGCGCTTGAAAGCGTCGATATAAATCATGTCGAGTCTAGACGCATTTCGGCGCAAGGTCATTCCAATTCGCAAGCTTCTGACCGAATGATGACTCTCTCAAAATAGCCAAATTGTATGATTCTGACCAATGTGTCACGTGCGTCAGCCGCCGTTCGAAAATGTCGTTTTGAAATGGAAGCTTGGCTCAGTTTCAGCCACTATCGTTCTCTTCGACGGTTGTGGTGTCTAATCGAATTAGAATAGCGAGTAGATCGATCACTCGGCACACGGCTCCGGCCAGTCGCCCCGTGTCCCTTTGTGTCCCCGGGTGGCCCTGATCGATGGGTTCCATCGGATGGCGCCAAGCGGAACACATGTCTCTCTCTCTCTCTTTTGGACAGCTAAAACTGTCCGGTCCTTCACAATTCCATCACTTTTCAATTGTTTATATCTGATCGTACAGCTCCTCAAGTTTCAAGTTTCATAACACATTTCATTCCAATTCATAATTTTTCCAGACTCGCCGCCACACAATGGAACCTCCGACCGTCGACTTTGCCGCCTATCTCGCACAGCTCAGAAGTTCGTTCGTTTCCGTTTTCTCTCTCTCTCTCCAAATTCCAATTCGAAAATTGCATGACAAGCAAGATAATGAGAAAATGTCATGAAATTATTGATGAAGTGCCCAGTGAGTCACAGATGACACCATTAGACCCCTGCGGCGCGGAAGAGTGTCACGACAATTTATGGGAACGGCGGCGGCGGATCGTGCGACAACAGGCGCGTGATGGGGCTACGGTAGCATGTTTAAAGGGACCTTTTCAACAGTCGAACCTGGGGCTACCGTACTTTAAAGGCTCACAACTGACGTGTAAGCGTCAACGCTGGAGTCTTGTCAATGTTTTTCGAGTAGAAACAAAATCCGCAGATACATTATTTTGCTCTTCTTACCCACCCGAGTCGGATTCTTTCGCTTCTCACGCCTTTACCTCTCTCTCTCTCTCTCCCTCTCTCTTTCCAATTTCCGATAATCTCCCGCCGGCTCGCCGATACCTACGCGGATTGTATCCCCCTTTTCCATTTTCCATTTTCTATTCGAAAGCAGTCAACCAGCGTCGAAAAGGGAGCCCCCTCTCCCTCCCTTAAAACAACCATTACACGGAGCATAATTGCTCGTCGCCTGCCTAATAATCCACGTCTATTGTGCCCTTTGTACCTGCGTGCCCATCGTCGACAATATGCCGAATGAGACGGGCGGTCGACGGAATGGAGTCGTTCCGCGCAGCCGACGAATCGCGCAGTTGGTCGACGCAGTCACGGCTCTTCGCGGAGTTTTGAGCTCAGGTGAGGTCGCCTATCGATGCCACGTTTGTGATCAAAATTTTATACGGAAATGAGAATGTGGTTTCAGACAGGATGGAGCTTTAATTTCCGGGGTGATTAACCGGGGACATTTTGTGGTTTAGGCAAAACTTTTTGCGAGTCTTTTAATATCCAGGCTTGGTTGAGCTCGTCTACAGTATACGTACTGCAAAGTTTTACCACGAATCGAAAAATTGAGCAGTATCGCCTTAAAAATGCAGGCTTGCAAGATTTGGCCGCAAGAAAGCAGCGTGCAAAGTCCCAAAACCCGGGGAATTTCAAGTTTTTCCCTGTGCCAAGCCCAATCATAAGACTACCGTATTTTAAAGGCGCATAACGCACTGACCTCGATGCCAACGCAAAATGAGCTCCGAACCCTGTGCTCTGCTCATTTCCCCTCTCCCATTTCCTCTTTTCTTCATTTCGAACCCTTCTCCTTCGCCTCATTCTCGTTGCAAGAAAGAAGAAAAGGGAAATTGGAAAAAGAGGGGGGGGACAAGGAGAATTGGCCAGCAGAAGACCCCAAAAAAACGGTCCATTAAACCAGCCGTCCCATCCGCGACATTTTGCGACGCGCATTCGTCGTCTTCGTGTTCCATCCCCCCAGTCGACGCCTCTCTTTTTCACATTTTTCAGTGAGCGGTGAATCGAGAGAAACATTTGCCCCCCCTTTCGAAGAGTCGTTTTTTTCCTACTCGGGCCTCCTCTGTTCGTGCGGAAAGAGCGCGAGAGAAGCGAGAGACGCCGACAAAAGGCACTCTCTTCTGAGGACTACTGCTGATGGCGCCGCCGCCGCCGCCGCCGCCGGAGAAGGGGAAAAGGCGGGCTTGACCCCCCGAGTGATGGGCGGCCAGATGCATGTCTTCTCCGTTTAACCGCCGGCGCGCGCCACTGCTTTCCTTTCACACATGGTCTCAATTGGCACATTTTGCGTTCGGCTCGTTCTCCTCTCAATTTTTCTGGGCTGCTGGCCGGTCTCGGCCAAAATCAGAGCAAACTTTGACAATTTTACAAGAAAATTCAAATGTAACCAAACATTTTTTCGAATTGAAGCGAAAAGTTTGCATTTTGTGGCTTTCCCCGCAAATTAGTGTCGACAAATTCTGCTCGAAGAGCAACTTTTCTTGCTCAGTGCTCAGTGCCATTCCAGAAGACACAGTTCACATTCCTCTTCTCATTTCCCTTCGTTTTCGCGTATTTGACCTACGCGTCGGTCGTCGGCGCAGGTAGAAATCGTTCAATCTTCATTTGTTCCCGTCCTCCTCCTCCTCCTCCTTACATGCTTGTCTTCATTCTCCCCTTTTTCCGACCGCATCTTTGACCTATCCCATCTTAATTCCTCGTTATCAGTGACACGATCGGAACAGAAACATCATCATTCTGAATAAACCGATCCGGGAGGGCGTTTGAGCTCTCGGAGACGCAAAGCAACTCCATCTCTTCAATGTTTTTGTCAATCGCTGAATAACCCTTTTTATCAAGAATTAAAAATGTTAATCGAAATTACCTCAATGTTCCGAATCGTTAACCTTATCATTCCCTCTAAAATCAACTGAAAACAAAGTCCCGTCCAGATAAGAATCGCACCAAAAACGGCCGGGCCACCTACATAAATAGGCCTGGTTTCGGCTGAGATTCACTCGTTTTTATTCCTTTTGCGACGAACACACAGGCAGGCGAAAGGATTATAAAAGGACGACAGGGACACACACACACACAAAAATGCAATAAAAAGTTGGCGCCGTCGGTCGGGGAGGGGACGATTCTGAGTGAAAAAGGCACATGGACTCTAAACAGACAATTTTTTAGAGTCAGTTGTAGGAAAAGATGACAGAAATGTGTCGCCACGAATTGTTTCGTAAAATTCTTTTATCGAAATCACCCGCGTTGCGTGCGCTGTGTGCCAATTTTGGAAAATTTTGAAAGAGTTCGGTCGCGTTTTTCCGTCGGAAATGAAGAAATGTGTGAGTTCTGCAAAGCAACAAAATTCCGGTAGAAAACTTATTGAAAAGTGAGCATTGCTGTTCGTGGCGAGACCCGACGCCGGCTCGAACTAAATTTCTCAATTTTGGTGCTGCGCCTTTAAAACTTTACCACAAACCTTTTCCCAAAAAAATCAGTTAGAAAAATTCATTCTTCACTCGTTTTGCCTTGATTTTTCTAGAAAAAACACTTTTTACTCGAAAGTCGAAAGCTTCGCGAGCTTGTTGTGGTATTGTAGAATTTAAATGCGCAGCCCCAAATCAGGCATAAGGCGAGTAATCGCAAGATTATAACGACGAAACGGCCCCTTCCCAGTTTACCAAAAAAATGACGGCAAAAAAAGACAGGGAGGTATTGGGTGAGAGCGTCCGTTCTTCCAAATATTTGCGCCGTCGCCGGGAGAGCGCGCGGGGGGCCACCCCGCTTGCTCCTCGGAAAAGTGAGCACACAGACGCGGAGAAAGAGTGTCGGGAAGAGGGAGAGCGAGACGGAAACGGGGAAGCGCCGAACTGTGTTCCATATTTTATCACACACACGCTCCCACTCCCACTCCCACCAGTTGGGGAGGAAGGCCGCCCGACTTTTTTGTGTTTACCACCGTTTTCTTGGCGACGCTTTTTGGGCGTATGCCTGAAAAGAAGGTGTCGGGTTACTGTACTTGGTTTTCTGACCTTTTATATATGTATTCTATACACTTTTGCGCCCACATGAGACGCCGACGCGCACTCGCAACTTGTTCGTTTTCGTCCCGAAAAAAACGCTTGGGTGGTCTCGCCCGCCCTTCTTCTGTGTCTCCTCCCTCTCCGCCGACGCCGCGCCACTTTTGATATGTCGCCGGGCGAGTCCCTCTCTCTCTCTCTCTCTCTTTCTCTTTCTTTCTCTTCTTCCTTCTCTTCCATCATGTCTGTTCCATTTTCAAACATTTGCCCTCTATGGAAAAAAAGAGAGAAGGAGAGAGAGAAGAAGACTGGTAGGCAGAAAGAATTGAATAGAGAACTTTTTGTGGTCTGGTCGGTTTCGTTTTTCCATCGTTCGTGTATGTAGGTTGTTCGCTAAGCAATTTTAATTTTCAAAAAGTTAATATCTTGATCTTTGCGCATAATTCTTACAGCTTCGTAATGTGCCTTTGAAACCGTACTCCTTTTGAAGGCGCAGCATCAAACTTGCAAAGTTTTGTTTTTGTTCGTTGTGAGACCCAAGTGTATTGGTGCCTTAATGGCCTATTTTTCGAAAAGCCTGCTCGAAACTCTTTTCCGCCAATAGATTTTGACTTTTCCCCGGCCGTCCGGGAGGCAAGGCCACCCAGCCAACTAATCATCGTCCGGTCTCCGAACTGCCACGCGACACATTACACCTCGTACTCAATTCCAATTCACCCCCAACAAATCCTCATTTGGAGATGAAACGCAGCCGAAGGGCAACCGAGGCAACACATTTTCAAACGTCGAGGTGTTGTCGGGTGGCCCATAAATCGTTGATTCTTCGGCCTTCTCCTCCTCTTCTTTCTGCGTCGGTCTGGTCTTTCTTGCATCCACCCGGCCGCCCCCGGCACTATAAATCTCGGTCCGAAACGACGAAGAGGGACGAAACTTATTCGCTTCTCCAAATGTTTCTTTTTCCTCTTCTTCTTCTTCTTCTCCGCCACCACCAGATTTCTTTTATGTTTCTCTGTCCGGGCGGTCTTGAGAGGAAGATCAACACAAAACGAAAACTTTCGTGCTCCACCCAATTTCCTTCGAAACTTTGCCAAACAATTTCAGCCGGTGGCTCCCGGCATATTTGATGAATGGCGGCAATTCAATTTCCCATTTCATTCAAAGTGAGGATCGCCTCTTTTCGTCGACCAAAAAATGTTCCAACTTTGACGTATACGAGAGCAGACTTGTCGTGGGCCAATTTCTTCGTTTCAAATCGCACAGCAGCATTCTTCAAGATCCATTCATATCTGCTCTCTTTCTCCACAATTAAACTAATTAGATGTTGGGCGAGGGAGCCGACGCCTACCGTATACCCCCCGCCTACCAACTTCCGTTTCCCTTCCCCTATACACCCGTCTTCTCCTTGCATGGCGCCATCAGCCGAGGAGCCAAGAGCAGATGTTTCTCCCCCCTTGCTCTCCGTCTCTCTTCTTCCCGCACTCTCTGCTCTCTGAGAGAAAGAGAGCGAGAGAGTGCAAAAACGCAGACATTGTCGGAAGAAGAACACTTGGCCTTCTGAAGTCGGCGCCCGCCGGCGGGGAGCTCGCCGTGTCCCTCTTCTTCTTCTTCTTCTTCTTTTGCTTCCTTCTCGTCCTCGCCAGTTCCATATGTGTTTCTCGAGCTCCCTGCTTTTTTCTTTTGTGCCAGCTCGCACCGGATCGGATTAGACGCTGCCAATGGAGGTCTTTGCCGGATTTTTTGATGGCATTCTAGAGATTAGGTAACAAGAAGATTCATATTAAGCGGGCTTCTGCGGCCTAGAAATTCGGCAAACTGGAGGCAGAGCCCGTAAACTTTCTGGCGTTGGGCTCTCTCTCTCTCGCCGGGTGCCGCCCGTGTTCTGTTACCAATTGAAATTCGACACTTTTTTGGCCTCCACCATTGCGGATATCTGTCCTGAATGCCACGTCACTCGCTGTTTGTCTTCTACCGTACTCCTTTTACTGCTTCTCCTCCTCCCGGGCCTCCCGAAACTTTCATCAAATCTTTTCGTTTCGTCAACTTTTCTGCTCAAATGAAATCTTGTGCTGTTGCTGGCCTGAGAAGGAAAGAAATGGGCGAATGTGTGTGTGTGTGTGCATTTGTGCATGCGTGTACGTGTGTGTGAGCCCAAGGAGCCCCCGTGAGCACAAGTATGTGAGAGCGGCGGCGCCACGAGCGAAGGAGACGAGCGCCAGCTAATTAGGCTAAAACTCTTCACGAAAGGAGGGGCAGGAGCAAGAGCCTGCCTTCTTCGAAATCAAAGTTTGTCCGAGGTTCCCCCCGAAAAGGGGCGTGGCTTCTCGGGGCCACGGTGGTGTTTACTCATGTTTCCAATTAGACGCCGCGCCGACGGCTTCAACCTACGAACCCAAAAACTTTGGACCCTTTCTCGTAAGATTCGGTAAAAAGTGACGTACCAATCTTAAAGCCACAGAAAAACTGCAAGGTTACGGTAGGATCTAAGGATGGCAAATCTTGATCCCTTACTATAAGACAGCTAGCTCATTCGCGTTTCTAACCGAACCCAGCTATCGATTTCTGAATCTAGCTAGACGAATTTGCAAACATAATCTAGCTTAGAAAAATGTTGAATCTAATAGATTTGTCAATCTAATTAGAAGACATTTCAGTCCAGTCGCAGTGAATTAGCAATCTATCTAGGTCCGGTTAGAAACGAGAATTACATAGCTAGATTAATAACGATCACCTGAGAGAACCATTCTTATGCCTGATATGGTACCCATTCTCAATGTTTGGTCCTAAAAACCGAATCACTCAACTCATCTCTCTGCCCGAATCGCAACAATTTCCTGACAGCACACACGTGTTCCCCATCCACCCATCTCTCCAACCAATGTGCCCCGGGTTTCTCCCCTCCGCCGTTTCATGTTGCTCTCTGCTCTGCGAGGACCGCGACGCTCTAGGCGAGGGCCCCCTTGCCCGGCCGGCCGCCCGCCCCTCGCTCCCCCCGGGGCGGCTCCGTGTCGTTCTCTTTTCCCGCCCGCTCTTGGCGCCCGCGTTGGCTCTTGGCTCTTCTCGGAGGACGAGCACACTGCATGTGTACTGAGCCAGTGGCTCCGTTTTATAGAAGAACGAGAGCGGGACGCCGTCTTTCTCCCTCATTTTTAAAGAGTTTTTTTTTGGCGGCGGCGGCGCTTGACGTTGAGATCCGCATAGGATTAGGGGGCTCGGGGATCTAATCCACCGTAATCCTGAGCCCTCCTAGCCAGGTCACAGCTACAGTAACCCTTGAAGGACAAAGTTCAATGCTCTGCTTCTCCAATACTCCTACTAAAGTATGTTTCGAATGAATTGCCTTCATTACTCCTGCTCACAATCCAATCGTAAAGCCGCCTATTCTATCCAATCACTTTTTTTTTTGCTGCCTTTCCTTCTCGTTCCGACGTTTCATTTCTCCGCCGTATAAAAGTGTTTAATGAGAAAGTGGGCTCCCGAGAGCCGTGGATACCTGGCTCTACCAGCCCCTTTTTTTCGGGGCGCCCGAAGCAGCTGTCACGCATCAGCCGCTAGAAGATAAAGTTCGCGGAAAATGATTCAGAAGTTGAGGAAGAAGAAGAAAAAGTGATAGCGGCGGCGAATTAGATGGGACCGATGATAACGGGCTCGGGCGGCTCTTTCTGGAGAAACAAATCCCAGAGTTTTCTAGGCCATCACATCTAGACCGTGCTTTCGAACTATGTTTTTGAGGTTCCAGGCGTATCCCGGCTGTTTTTATGATAACTCTGTAGGCCCGATGCAAAACAAAGCGATCATTTTCGTCTCTCTTCGTATCATCGCAATCCTGCTAATTCGCTGCATCGAAACGGCTCTCATGACCTAACTTTCTCTCTTGGCCTCGAAAATCGGCACGGCTTAAAATTTTAAAAAATTTTTTAAACAAACGATCGGTTTTCCAGATTTTTACTCGGAAAATTGCATTTTTTTCATTAAAATTACACAAAGTTGAAACGATTTTGAATTTTTCGTACAGAAACCCGGCGGAACTTCCTTTTTCCCCGTTTTTTCCGATCAAAAACCGATTCGCTACTGTTCGTTCTCTTCTCTTTCTCTTCTCACCACAAAAAAGGAACGAAATTGTCTCGTCGACACTCGCAAAATTAGCATACTCTTCTTCTCATTCCTCTTGTCTATTTTTCACAGTTAGTCGCCGGTCGTCTCCCCTTCCGAATAGTGCAACTCCATAAAAAACGGGAAGACGGCGGGCAGAAAGAACGGGATTTCGTGGCGAGGCCCAGACCCGGCGGCAGTCTTTCTCGCTTTCAGAAGAATCCGCGTTTTTTTCCGCTGCGCCCGGGGAACCCATAAAATGTGTGTGTGTGTGTGTGCGCCGCCGTCGCCGTCGGTTTATGGGGGGCGGTATTTCAAGGAGGCGGCCGAGAGAGTGCACGGAATGAGGAGGGCGCGAGACGGCGAGAGGAGAAGCAGTCCGGGGGCTCAATGTTGCAAGAACGGAGAAAGAGATTAGAGGGTGAAAAAGAGAAGAAGAAGAAGAAGAGAAGGCAAAAAAAAAGAACGCACTCGTTTTTCCCTCTTCTTCTTCTTTTTGTGCTCGCAAAAGCTCTCCGGGATTCTTTTTCGGGGGTTTTTTCATCAGCTGCAATTTTTCCGTTTTCCATGCCAGTTTAGCCTACAAATTGATTCGCCGCCTTATCATCTGACCATTTTTGACGTTTACAATCCATTCGAGTCGGTTTTGTGCCCTTACTTTCCTCGCTTTTCCCTTCTTCTCGTCTCGACTTGCCTTTTGACCGTTGCAGTGAACTTTTAATTTAAAGGCGTAGCACTTGCGAAATCAAGGGTCGACTCGCCGACCTGGCGCGGCTCCGACAGCCTGGGCTTGTTTTCAGAAATTTTGCGAAAAAGTGTTCGATTGAGATATTCCGATGCTTCAATTTTTACACAATCATGGAAAGTGCTCGAAGCGGCAAGACCCCCTACTATTGTATGAATAGGTTCGCCCGCAGTGTTGGCATTGTTGCGACCGCCCGGAATGTGATCGCATTTGGTATTCAGATGAGATGGCTTGGGCCCGGTGGGTCTCTCAGACACCCAAGGAGGTCGTCTCCTCGACACAAGTCCTTTTCCTGCCTTTTTCTCGCTTTTATAATCTCTTTTGTGCTCAGCTCGAATCAATTTCATCCGATCCTTAGTCCCTCGATTCCCCATCGTCTTCTTACCATGAAAATGATGGTGATGACATAAGAGAAAGGGGGTTTCGTTTCGGGGTAAAGTGGCAGAAAAAGTGGACCGATGTGGGATGGATGATAAGCGGGCGCGGGGCAGTTTTACACACTCTCCGAACCGTTTTTTGTCGTCCCGTCGTGTCTGTTCTTCGGAAGCGACGACGACGACGACGGCATCACGCAGAATTCGTGACGGATACTGTAAAGAAAACGCAAAAAAGAGACGTCGCGCGAAGGATTGTTGGGCACTACCTCCGGGCCAGGTTTCGATCCACAATGGGTGGCTTTGGTCAGTCGTAGTTTAGGACAGTCTCTGACAATATTCTTGCGTCATGTCTCCATTCCATTCCATTCCTGATAAGACCCTCTTTCTCTTTCGCTCTCGGCGCCCGACATTGATTTGATTAGAGCACCCAAAATTTCGATCAAGTAAATCGATCGAACTTGTACAGTACATAATCGGAACCCCCAATGCGTACTTGCGTTCGAAACTGAAACACACCAAATCCGCTTATGTTCTGACTGTTCCGAAAAATGTTGCATCGGCGTCGTCGTCGGCGCGGGGACGATGTCAAAGTTGCGTAAATAAAGGTGATAAGGCCGCCAACGAACAAAAAGTTTCGCTTATCGCGAGCACAGGGAGCAGTCGGGGAGCGACGGAGCGGATCGGATACTGTCGACTTTTGCGCTCCGCCCCGTGAAAATTGGGACCGGAAGCCTCGCTCATTCTTCGCCTAACCTTATCATCTTTTTTTTTCTATTTCACTGCCATTCCAATCCTTTCTTCTTCTTCTTCCTCTTCTTCTCCTTCTTCTCGTCACTTTCACTCGTTCCAAATACTTTCGCCCGCGCCGTAGATTACTGTAGTTTTGGCCTGGTGGTTAATAACGAAACAAAATTTGAAGGGTTGAAACAATGCGAGAGAGTGAGAGAGAGCGAGACTTTATCAGTTTATCAGTGCGTGACGGTCTGCGTCTCCGCGTCTACCGTACTCTTTCTCTTTTTCTCTTTCGGCACCGAGACAGAGGAGGAGTTCTTTAGGGGTATCAGTTTTTGTGGGCATAAATGACTCGAGACTCCCTTTTTTCTTCTTTTCTCATTTCTCTACTTCCTAAACTTGGGCCCATATGAACGTTTTTTCAGAGAATGTGCCGGCAGGCTCGCCAAACCGACTTCTGAACTCGCAGCTACAAGTCGCACAGCACAGCCCAAACAACGACAGTAACCCAACAAACCACTGCAATCTCGACGTGTCGCCCGAATCGTTGAACAACAATAACCGAAAGCCAAACGGCGGCATGATGGCCCCAAGCACCGAGGACCCGAAAGCGGCGGACGTGCAGTGCAACGAGGGAATGAACGGATGGAAGAAGGCCGAGCTGGAGGGAGACAGGACTCTGGTACGTGACGGTTACTGTAACAGCACCCTCTATTGTTGATTACCTGCTGCGTAGGCCATGATCATCGAACACGGCTCCCCCGCGCCGAATGCCACGTACCGCGGGGCGAAGAAGAACTGATAACGGGCGTCGGGGACGAAAAAAGATTAAATTTGAGGTTTATTCGCCCATTTCCAAAGTCGGCGAATCGTGCTCCGTGTCTTGTTGTTTACCCCCTTTTCAACTAATTCTTGCGTGCCGGTCAGAAGTCGGATGACTCCTCGGTTGGCTGAAAATTTATAGCAAAAAGTACGCATGCACTCTTTTTCTCTTCCGGCTCCTAGTACCGCCGAGCACCGAGAGCGCCGGTGGCTGGTGGGAAATAATCCGAAACTTTGTACTTCTTCTTCTTCTTTTTCTTCTGACTCTTTCGGTTTCATATAAAACGCATAGGAGCCAACCCCGAAGCGGTTTTTAAGCTCTAAGCTTTTGACGCAGTTTCCCACAGTTGACGTTTCCAGGCCAAACGAATGGAGTCGCACAGCGGAGAAAGCGTCGAGGAGGCGATGGATGTGAGCGCCAACAGAGAAGCCCCTCGCAGTCCTCGAAGTATCTTTGAACCCATTTCCCAACAATTCCTTCATTTCCTATTCCAGACTGTCCCTCGGCCAGCTCGGAAGGATCGTCCAACGGGTCCGGCAACGAAAGATACCGCGCGGGACCGAACACCGGTCCCAACACGATCCACTTCTTCAGCCGGTCCCTTCCGCCGAACCATCTGCGCCCGAGCAACCCGATCGAAACCGACGCACCACAATCGCCAGGTACGTATTATGGGTGCATTTCAAAAAAATAAATGCGCTCTGTTGCAATTGTGATCTCTAGAATTCAAATAAAAAACAAACAAATTAGGTCCCGGAGATCACAAAAAGAGGAACAGAGCAGATCGCATTCACATTTCCAAAATATGATCGGAAAGCTCACGAGATCAGAGTGGAAAAGTAATCGTAGTGTGCGGTTCTGACTTGCGGCCATCGGGGAAAAAAGTGCATGCATCCTTTTTCGGAAAGAGTCCGCCATTGCTAGGTGACAACTCTCAGTAAGCGATCAGATCGCTCATTCGTTGTACTATTCTTGTTCGGTTTTTTATCAAAAAGTTTTCGAAAACTCCCCGGTGAGTTTTATGTGTCTAGCTGGCTCGGATTTCGGCCGAGCAAAAGAGCAGTTCTGTTGTTCCCCTTTCGCGAAAGAGTGACTGATGATTCGTCTTCCTGTGATCCCTCCCTATCATCTTTTGCATTTTTCTGCTTTTTGTCACCGCCCGGAGCGTCCGCGTACTTTTCGTGTGCCTGACGATTGAAAGAACCCTCCCCCTCTGAGTACTCCGATTGGCTTGGCAACCGAGTACTGTAGGTGTAAGATAACGGGGAAGTATCGCAACTTTTAACTTGGCGACGACGAAACGAGACAAGAGATAAGCGAGGCGGAGACGAGTGGAATGGCAACTTTTTTCTCCTCCTCGGCAATTTAGGATCGTCTCTTCTGTTGGCGCGGGGAGGGAGAAGAAGCGAAAAAGCTGGGAGGTTGGTGTGTAATTTGTAATTCGAAGACTTCCTTCGGATGCTCTGAAGATGACGTGGCTTCGCCTCCTAATTAGAACCCTCAGTGCTTCTCTCAAGTTGGCCAAATCAAGTGCTCGTGTGTGACGCACGCCTCCTCGAGAACCTTGGTCTTCTGGAACTCTTCGATAGCCATCTTTTTCATTTTTATTTTCCTGGAAACCAGTTCGTGCTACCGTAATCGCGGGACCGATGTGATAACGATCGAGATGATTTTCGCGCGCCCCCTTACGGAACCCTTTTTCGAACCAAATTAGAGGAGAGGGGGGCGAGAGAAAGTGAAAGGGCGATGTCTCTTTTCTCTTTCTTTCTTCTCTGCCCTCCTTTTTTCTTGGGCTGCTGGCCATCCTTGATACCCCCTCCAGTTTTTGTTATCACGGGGGTATACGGTACTTGCCATGGGGTTCAGTAATCATCGCCGCCATCAAACCGTGATGATTACACATACTCTTCGTTTCAACATGGACAAGGACCGAAGTCAGCGAAAAGGGAAGACGGCCGGCCGCACCTGTGATGTCGAGGAGGTGGAGCACGGCCACCCCGGGGGCACCGCCGCCGAGACGCTTATCAATTTTGTGACGGGTCGGTCGCCGACGACCGCCTTCTCCTCTTACTTCTTCTTCTTCTTCTTCCTCCTTCCTTCTTCATTTACTTCTTGTTCTACTCTTGGATGGTCTTCTAGACCTTGCCAGATGATTGAAACCCTCCGACGAATCAGCACGATGGAGGAGCTGGCGAGACTTCTGAGCGGACAACGTAAGTGGTAGACAGACAGCGATACTTCAAAGCTCAAGCACATCACAGACTGTGGTGATGCAAATGAAAATGCCAGAAAGTTCACCGCTTCACACTTAATCACACGTCTCCTTTTGACTCGTTTTCCCGTAAAAATGCACTTTCCCTTTCGTTCTACTCATTTTCTCATCGCTTCGGGGGGCGGAGCTCCGTCAGCTTGATAGTTGTGATTTTACGGCCTTGCCCGAATCGAATTTTACCGTTAAGGGCCTGTGACAACTATGCCCAGCTTCCTATCATTTTGTTTTTCCGCTTTGCTTTACCTACCCCAAAGACGGCCAATAACATTCAACCTGATATCATCCGATTTTGTTTGCACCGCCCGTACGCACAACAATTTTGTTCGCTAGAACTCAAAAAGAAAGGAGGCGAAGTGGAAATAAGAGAAGAAGAGGAAGGCCGGGTTCTCCTCTCAAGGGAATGCTAATTAGAGTGCAAGAACGCGTGAGTTGGAGCGGTGGCGCCGAGCGCTGATGAGTGAGCACGCCGCGAGAACTTTCAGAGCAGAAAAGAGTTTTAAGCTCGCTGCTCGCTCGTGTCGCTACTGATCGATAAGCGAGCTAAGGTTTCAAATCGAACCGTCCTCCCAGCCATCCATCATCTGCGGCCCCAAGCAGATGCCGACGGTTCGGTGCCGTCAGAGGAACTGTCAGTGTGGAATTGTTGCGATGACCCCCTGTTGAGTAATAAATAATGTTATGGGCGCCGCGCTGAGAAACGCCTCTCCCTCGTCCTCGCCCGACCACACATGCAACTTTTGTTCGCCCTCCTAGCCAAAAGTCGTCGTCGCACTCCGGAAGGCGCTTGCCGCCGTCGCCGCGCCCCTCCGTTTTTGGGCACACACACGCGCGCGCACTTCTCACAATTCTCTCTTCATCCGTTTTCGTCCTTCCTCCTCGGAATGCGGGACTTCAGACCGCCCAGTTCGCTGCCCTGCCGCCCACTGAGCGAGTGTTTCATTTCTCCCCCCATCCTAAACATTCCTCTCGCTCTTTTTTGGGGACTTGGCCTACCGTAACCCGAGCTCGTCGGCTCTGAAGTCTGTGACGCACTCAACCTTTTGTACTCGTGGTGTCCGACAGAAAAACAAATGGAAAATTTGGAGATTTGACATTTTTTCCAAATCTCTTTCGCAGAATCAAAATTCAAGCGAAAAGCCAACCGCGCGCGCTTTCCGCATTCGTAAAATTGCGCTGCGCCTTTAAGTCTACCGTAACCCGCGAAAGTTTTTCGCTGCGAAAACGGCCAATTTCTGTCCGTATTTCGCCGTCGCCTGCTCCGGAAAAATGGCAGAACACTGTCGGGAGCTCCATCAATGTCAATTTTGGGTTCTCGTAGAAGGTTAGTCTCTTTTTCGCACTTAAAAATTCAAGCGATCAAACGCAACTTTTCACGAGAAAATGTCACAAGTGATCTAAATCTATAAACTTAATTTGTCGCATTTTTGTGTGTGGGTGGTCTTAGCCAGTTTGGCCATTTATCATCTCGCAATAATCTCGCGCTCAATGACCGCCACGGCGATTTCCTCTCGCTTTTTTCGCCCGAAAGCCACAACGAAAATGAATTTTTATTTTGTTGCTTGCAATCGTGTTCTCAGCTGCAAGTTCGCTGAAAATCACGGAAACTTTTCTCTTTTCCCGTTTTCCAGCTGTCTTGACTGAAAACTCTGAGAAAAGGGGCGTGGCCGGCAACAACAACACAGCTCTCTTTAATTCGGTGTTGGCGCTCCCGCTGAAATGTATCTTTTTCGGTTCAGTTCGGCGACCCCGAAATTAGCCGCCGCAAACTGACATTCCCAACTTTCGAAATTTCGTGTACTTTTACCGCGAAATGTCCGGTTATTAGTACAGGTAATAAGTGCCTCGAGATGATAATCGTCAAAGTTTGAATTCGGATTCCCGCTGGAATGCCTCTTTTGTTGCTTCTGTTCTCAGAACTAGTCACTTTCGCTCACTTCTTCTCGGGATGCTCGTGCTAGAGCTCAAAGTTCACATTCTGAAGCTACCGTAGTTCTCTTCTGCTCACCACCCAGCTTGTTTACGTCCTTTCCCCGTCTCCCTCGTGCGCGCACAAACTTCCGCCGCTTTCTAGGTGTGCAGCGGCGGCGCCCGCCCATGGAAGGAGAGCAGAAGGAGCAGAAAAAGAGGAGGAGAAGTGAGACTAAAAACTTAAAAGTGCATGCCGAGGGCACTGAAGCTTTTCGCTGTTGCTCGCACACTCACGCACCAGCACGGGCGGCCTCCTCTTGTCCGCTCTTTCTCGAGGCGACCGCCCATCATTATCGAGACGAGAAACGGAGAGAAGGCGTTGGCGGCGGCGGCGGCGGCCCGAGGCCCAGGGGCTCCTCCTAATCATATATTCCGCTCCACTGATCTCTGCGAGCTCTGGCCCTCCGCCGCCACTCTGCTCCTTCGGTGCTCTTCTTCTTTGTCTCTCGCTGTTGCTGGCGCCGTGAGGCCACACGCACGCCACGCCACACACGTAGCCAATGAGGGAGCATCGAAGGCGGCGGAGACGGCGGAGAAGTGATACGGAGGTAAAGGAGCAGCGCCTAGGCAAGAGGGCAATTGTGAGAAAGAGCGAGAGCGAGAGGGAGAGTGCCCTCTTGCGTCCAGAAAATGTTTAGATTATACATGGCGGTGATGCATCATCGGGGGCCCGTGGCACTGCAAGTAAACAAACATAATGCCAGACGCACGGGGGTCGCAAAAGGTTTTGAATGGCGAAGGACTACGGTAGACATCAGAAAAGCGGCTACGACTAATCATCACCTCCATTCCGATCGAATGATCATCACGCGTGTCTAGTCTAGGGCACACGTACGGCAGTCTTCTCGAAATTTCCATGATACCCACCCAAGTACGAGCCAGACATGTACACAACAAAACACATCTCCCAGTTTTTTCTCTGAAGTACTTTTTAATCTCTTGTTCCGTCTCCGACGTGGATAATCCCATTCGAACACATCGATCCCGACACCTCCAGAGCAAGAAAAGTGTTGCTCGAAACGGCCACGCCTCCTGCCGCTCATTTTCACATGTTTCCTCCAAATATTGCATTAAGATGCACACATCAAGCTCTGAAATTCACATAAACTCGCGGCGGCGGCGTCCTAATTCGAATATTGGAAATGGATTCGATGCGCGGCTCCCGGAGCAGTATTGGGGGCTCAAAAACCAGTAAAGTGTATGCTCAGCTTCTCTAGGCCTTCTCGTATTTAGAATGATGAGTAGAAGCGCAGCGAAAAGGACTCTTATTCGCTTTTACGTATTCATATTCTCATCATCATCAGAAATTTGCATCGAAAGTCTCCTTGTTCTATCTAGCTTGAGCACATACCGTAATCTAGCCATTTGTCAATTTCCAACACTTCGGATGCGCAAAACAATCGTTTGTAATTCGATATAGGCTGTAAATCACTCGTCAACTTTGCGCACCCCCCTCTGTTCCAACTGTCAGATCAAGCCACTCCTCTATCCGCCATTTAGTGCCCTCCACCCCTATCCGTCCGTCCTCGTATTGTCGTGTTCTTTACTATTTTCCTCTACTCTCTCGAATGTCCACCTATTCTCTACCAGATATGAATCCGGACAAGGAGGCGGAAGAAATGGATGAGAAGGAGCCGGAGCCGAGTCCTCCGCTACCTGACGCCGCGTGTTCGCCACCCCGTGTCGTCTTCCCCACCCTCGATCTCAGCGCCCTCCTCATGTTCACTCCCAACTCGAAATTCACAATGACGACGTCGTCGCCGAACGGAGGATCCCCGTTCTCCGGCGGCTCCTCCTCGTCCTCGTCCAACAACTCTTCCCTCTGGGCTTCGTCCTCTTCCTCGTCCGATTCGTCCTCTTCCGGCAACTCTTCTGTTTGCTGGCCGACGTCGACGTTCGGCTCGCCGGAAGAGTCCAGAAGGCTTCTGACAGTCGTGCCGTCGGAAATGAGCCGACTCTTGCAGCACGTTTCCGAGTCGCTGCGTAAGTTGTAAACAGATCTCGTGAGCTTTCGAAGAAAGATAAAAATGTTCAGAGTTCGCACGGGTGATTCATCAATTCATTTCATTTTCAGTGTCCGCAAATGGTGAGCTCGTCGTCGCGGCCGCCAACAATATGGGCGGTGCAGTCGCTGCTCCAGACGCTCTGGGCTCTGGCTCGAGCTCTGGCCCCAGCTCCGGCTCCAGCTCGACCGTCATCGCCGCGGCTCCGACCTCTGCCGCGTCTGCCGTGCCTGTCGTCAAATTCAACACGCAAACGGCTCCGAACGGCAGCACCGTGGCCACCTCGGTCGGTCAGAATGTCCGTCTCACAGTCAATGTGAGTTCGTGTGTCTATATATGTTGTTGCTTTTCTCCCTTTTTCGGTTATGATTGTTTGAAAATAGGCTAACCACTGACTTTGCGATCCCCGAAAAACCATCGCAACTAACATTTTTCCGCGTCCTGCGTTCATTTGATTTGCACCTTACTTTTTTTTTACATACTAACACGCTCTCCCTCCCTGCTGTTTTTGTTGTTCATTCTGTGTTTGCACTCTCCCACTCGCCCATGCATTTTTCCATTTAGCAACCGCAATTTCTTTGCAGGGAAAACGCGTCGGACGTCCGCCGGGCACCTTCAAAAGACCACCGTACGATTTGAATCAACGTCTTCTTGAGGCTTCTAAAAAGAAAATTTATAAGAGAAAACAGAAAAACGGGTAACTAGTCAATGTGGTCCTTTCCTTCTTCTTTTCATTTTTTCGGTTCATTCATTAACATTCATCGCCTTTCTCTCCACGTCCAGTCTTCCACTTACCCGACGATTTTGGTTTTTCTCGTTAAATTTTCTCGTTTCCAGACGCTAAATTCGAAATTCTCGCTGCAATCACACTTTCTATGACATTTTCCTGAGAACAACGCGTCTAGCCTAGCCTTTTCCTTGTCAGTCTCATTTTCTGAGCAGCTGCTTTTAGACCGAATCCTGCTCCGGCCACCGAACGCGGCGAAGAAGTCGACGCGGGCGCGTCGGATCTGAAGTGCAAGTGGAGAAACTGCGGACTCAGATTCACGCTGCTCAAGGTAGGAATCGACAGAGCGAAGCGGAGAGTCTTCAACCTGAACCTTCAGAATCTCGTCGAACACGTGCACGACAACCACGTGCAGTCGTCATCGCAGGAGCACCACGCGTGGCGGTGCGAGTGGGAGGGATGCGATCGGAACGAGACGTTCAAGGCGCTCTACATGCTCATCGTTCACGTGCGTCGTCACACGGGCGAGAAGCCGAACAAGTGCGAGGTAAGTAAAAGCGAAATCGGCAGAAGCAGAAGAGTGCCGGCGCTCAGCTGTAGAGAGTGTCAGCGTCGTAACGGCTTCGGCAGCCGTCAGATTTAGATTGTGTTGTTTGACGATGTCCATATTTTAAGTTCTCAATGTTATTAACCACAAGTAGTTCGCTTAAATTGTTCCAGCTCTCTCGTCAATAAATAGTACACATACCCACTGTGTCTCGACTTCTTTTTCCCCCGACGAACCGTAACGGAGCTCTTTTTCAGTATCCCGGATGCGGAAAGGAGTACAGTCGACTCGAGAATCTCAAAACGCACCGTCGCACGCACACCGGCGAGAAGCCGTACAAATGCGAGTTCGCCGACTGCGAGAAGGCGTTCAGCAACGCGTCGGACCGCGCCAAGCATCAGAACAGGACGCACTCGAATTTGGTGAGAAACACTGACAGCTTTTGTTCAACTCCCGCCAAGTTTGTTCGCAGAAGCCGTACGGATGCCAGATTCTGGGTTGTTCCAAGTCCTACACAGACCCCTCGTCGCTCCGCAAGCATATCAAAGCGGTGCACGGCGACGAGGAGTACGAGAAGGCGAAGAAGTCGCGGCCGGCCAACTACTCGAACCGTCGCCGTCCGGATCCCCGCCATGCGCCCACCACCGGCGCCCTCTCCCACCCGTACCTGGGCACTCAGAACGGAATCGCGGGTCCTTCGGTGGCTCACAGTGTTCATCAGCAGCAGCATCAGCAGAACTTTGTAAGTTGGCACCGTCTTTTCGACGGCTAGCACTTTTTTTGCATGTGAAAGTCCCACACACACACTGTCTTTTCTCACCTAATTCCCCTCATTTTTCCCCCACGTTTTTCGTTTTTTTCTAGATCAATCTGGCGTTGGCTCAACATCATCAACGTGCTCAACTAATGGCCGCGGTACGGATATTTTTCTTTTAATTTTAATTTAACCCCTCCCGCTCGCCGCCTAATTTGAGTTTTGATTGATTGCGCTACTTAATTTGGAGTCTCGACACGACGATTTTTTCGATTTTCTCTAAACCCGTTCCTCCACGCACCACTTACCCGCCTCTAGTCACTCACCGTAACGGTTAGGCTTTTTTAGATTAGTGGATTCAAAACCTTAATCGATTCAGAAAAAATGCAACGATTTTAGGCCAACGGCATGCCCATGTTGGACCTGAACAACGCGGCCGCCGCCGTCCAAGTCTCGCAAGCCCACCAGGCCCAGATAATGATGCAACAGGCCCAAATGCAGCAGGCTCAGATGCAGGCTCAGATGCAAGTACAGGCCGCCCATCAGCAGGCGCTGCAAGCCCAGGCAATTCAGGCGCAGGCGGCTATGGTGCTCCAGAACAATCTGCTCTCGGCGCAAGGCCTCCTCGGTCCTTTCACGCCGATGTCGCCGTTGCTCTCGACGCCCCGCCCGCCGATGATGGCTCTGTTCCAGCAGCAACAGCAGCAGCAGCAGCAGCACAACCAGCAGCACAACATTCCGCCGCCGCCGTCGATGCTCTCGTTGACGACGCCGCTCGCTCCGGTCGTCACTTCGTCCTCCTCGCTTCCACTCTTCGGAATGCCGAACCTGGTGGCTCCGCCAGCGATGCGCGAGCCAATTCAAGAAGTGACGTTCAGTGTGCCACGTGCTCAGCAGCCAGTCATCCAGCAGACAACTCCGAATGGTCAGCAGCAGCAGAACAGCCAGGATGTCGAAATGATCCACGTGGACGGAGACGATTCGTCGGACGAGGACGAAGAGGAACCGCCGAGCGCTGTCATGCTCTCGCCGTCCCAGAACAACAGAAACGGCGGCGGAGGATCGTCGGGAGGAACGCCGGCCACCAGATCGTCCAGCGGAAACAGCTCGACCGACACGGGAATGCCGCAAGCGGTCGCGCAGAGAGGACAGAACAACAACGGATCAGGAGAGCGCGTGAGCAGAGGCTTCCTCATCGCTGACATTCTTCAGATGGCTCTTGACTTCCGTAACGAGCGAATGCTTCATGACGGTAAGGAAAAAGGCCCGATTTCTACCGCTAATGTTCCGATTTTCAGCCCTCGACATGGCCATCTTCGAGACTCGTACCTTGAGAAATCTCTTCCAGCTCTACCGTCTCTACCGCCGCTCCACAATGGCATATCCATTCAACCACCGCGCGATGAGCTGGCAGGAGGCCTTCCAGCTCTTCCAGCTCTACAATCATCGCCTCTTCAACCGTGCCCGCTATCACGATTCGCCACGCCAACGTCGTAGTGAAACGCTCATGCACCGTCTCATAAACTTTGTCAACTTCATCGGAAGTCGTCCGGTGCCCGAAATCACATTCGACGTAGACGAAGGATTCGGAGACGAGCTGACCACCAACTGGACGGATCACAACAATCGCGTGGCCAACGGACACTTTGCGTTGGAGGACGACGACGATAGCAGCGACGAGTCGGATCACGAGATCGCGGTCGGTGGAGGAGGCGGCGATGCGATCGGACTCGACCTCTACGCCCGCCGCGCCTTCCGCCGCAGACGTCGCATTCGTCGCGAGCAAGTCAAGGAGGCTTGGATGAACATCGACGGAGACGCCGCTGATCAGCCGTACACCATGAACATTCTGAGAAACGGAGACGGAGAGAGACCGGAGGGACAGGTGCAGCTGGAGAAGGTGTTCGCCCAGACGGACACTGTCGTTCGTCAGGAGCGAGAGGACGACAAGCGAGTCTCGATGAACTCGTTCGAGCGCAACTTTGCAGAGGCAAACGTGCGCGCTGAGCACTTCATGCGCAAGCATCGCGCGGACATTGCCGCCGGATTGGTGCAGGCTGTTTTTGTAAGTTTGTCCAGTCATAAAACTTGATTTTTATTTGAACTCGTTCAGGAGCCAATCCGACCGGAATCCTCCGATGTGCGCAAGAATATGAAAAAAGATCCGAAATTTCAAATAACCTCCTTGTTCCGCCGCACGAACATCGTCGTTGACCAGGCGGAAATGGATGCGAAGACGTCGTCGCTCGAATATTTAACCGAGAAGTACGATATGGACGAGCGCCGCCGCGAAACCGAGGAAATGAGAGTCAGCATCGGATTGACCGGTAAGAGAGGAAAAAACGGACGGACGAGAATCATTTTAAACATTTCAGCTTCGGTCGACCATATGAGCCTCGAGGAGCCGACTCTCGACGACATTCTGCCGGAACCATCGGTACGTCGCCCCCGTTTCCCTTCGTAATCCTTTGGAAGTCAAACTGATGAGCTTCAAATTAATATTATCGATTCTTCTTTTCAGACCTCTCTGGTGTCGTACATGTTCCCGGAAGACGAGCCAATCACCGCGCTCCCGTCTGCTTCGCCGTCCGCATCGTCTTCTTCCTCTTCTTCCGCTCCCGACTCGATCACCGATTCGCCTTCCGTCTCGCGTCGTCGCACAATCGATTCGGAGTGCGATTCCGAGAGCGACGTGCCGACGAAGCAGCACAAATATTAGAATAAGAATTGAGCACAAGTTTTACTGTACCGCATCTTGTACCATTTTTATTTTCTCTTCTTTTTTTTCACATCTCTCCCTCGTTTTTTACTCACACGAAATGTTCGCCCAAGTAGAATAGTCGTAGAATTTCTCTGGAAGAACACGTCTTCTCGGCTGAATCAGCCGGCCTCCTACCATATAGTCGTGTGCTATTCTGCCCCCATGACTCGTTTCATTCTTTTTCTCTGTGACATTTTCTCAAAAACCTTTTCTATCCATTTCTTTTGAGTTTGCCCCCCGTCCCTTACACAACTCATGTTTTTTTTCCGATCCCCACAAAAACTAGCTCATTTCAAATGATTCGATCACCTTTTCCCTCTGGTTATTTTCGCTGTCCCGCATCTCCGCCCCCACGCAAACCCACACACAAACATTTTCCTGTCTCCTTTTTTTTCGTAGTCTTGCCCTGTTCTTTGTAATTGTTGAAATCTAATACACGAATGCCGCCACCTTTAATCCGTATGATCTCTTGTTTCCTAAATGTTCCATCGCCCCCACTTTTTACCCGTTTTCTATCGCAGTGAGCCACCCAAAAAATTGTGCTCTGTTTTCCCCCGTTCCCCGACGTCCTATGAATTGAATTTTTTTTCGCTCTCTCTCTCTTTGTCCCCACCCCATGATTCTTGCGCATCTCCATTCCAGTACGCCCAGTGTACTTTTCCCTTCATTGATTCTTGCTGTAGAGAACTGTTAGAGCACACACAAAAAAGCTTCTTCTTCTTCTTCTTCTTTTTTGAACATTATGTATAGAACCCCTGACTGTCCCCCCTAGATTCCTTTCATTTCTGTCCTTTCCACATATCTTCTGTCGCTGTCCCACACACCCCGCACACACTTTGAACACTTTTTTGTCCACGAAGATGAAGCTCTTAAGCATTTTAATAAATAACCGATCAACAGTGAAAAAATCGTTTATTGTTCTAGCGAAATGTGTGTTTTTAAAGCTGACAAGCTGAGGAGAAAATGTGTGAAATCGGGTGGAAATGCTAAAGAGATACAAGCAAGGAGATCAGGGGACCCGGGCCGAGGAAACTTTGTCGAAAAGAGGGAAGATCAGAGAAAAGTGGGGTTATGACTGCTGAGCAGACGCACGTCGACCACGTCCATCGCAACTTCGTCGTCGGCGTTCGACGTCGCCACGAGCACTTCGTGGTGCCCGTTCGTCACGCTTCCGGTCGGCGCCGATGAGACAGCCGCCGCCGCGATCGACGTCATCGAACCGTTCACCTGAAAAATACATTGTACTTTTAGTTTTTGCAGAAGAATTAACGAAAATTCGGTATAACTCTTTGGCGGACAAGGATTATTCAGCCATTCATTCAAATTTTTCCGCCGTTTCGACAATCGGCTGCGTAGCGACTCAGCCTCCTTTTTCAGTAAAAATTGGAGAAGAGTTGGGCGAACTTTCACGTAATTTTGTTTATCGCTCTTTCGCAGTGAATACTGTTTAAAAACTACACTATGACTCAAGAACAGCAAGATTTGGGGTCAAATTATCATTTGCAAAGTTATTCAGTACAAGACGTTCAATAACCTTTCTCTTGACCACTTTTTCAAAGAATCCTTGGTTCTGGAGGTAAACGTGCCCAAAGATGAAGGATTTTTGTTGAAAAAAAGTATTTTTTAACGTAAAATTAATGAGCGCTCATTGTTTGTTGGATTTAGCGAGAAGCTTCGTTGCAAAAATCCCATACAAAATGAAGAGTTTTCACGGAAATTCCTTTTTTTCTAGTTGTCGTGAACAAGTTGCGTACCTGATAAGCGGATCCAGTGGGCAAAGTGGTCAACGTCTTGTTATGCATCGCTTGCGAAGTGCCCGTCGTCGTTTTCTTCGTGGAATTCGACCGATTCGATCGATATCTCTGCTGCAGTTGACCATTGAGAGCGCCTGAATTTCATTGCATTGCCTTTTTCGTTTCGATTCCATACCGTATAAAATCCAATTGATCGCCGAGTTTGTGAACGGAAGCGCGTGAATAAAGTACATAATGTAGACGAAAACAGGCGGCACACTGCTGGAGTTGGCCGAATTCTCGAGGTAGACGGCGAAGACGGTGGCCATCCAGAACGGTGTCCAACACAGAAAATAGAAGCAGGCGACGGCGAGCGTGTAGAGAGAAATGTGCAGAAATGGGATTTGAGAACTCTGAGAATTGGCGATTGTTGTGAACTTCTGGGCAATTTGAACCTTGAAAGTGCGTGTATGCTCACGGAGTTTGCTGAGCAGTTTCGTGTAGAAATAGGCGATGAGGACGAGAGGGAAGCAGTAGCAGAGGACGAACTGAAATGTGGGGGGAGTTTAGGGTTTTGTAGGCCCGCAAAGGGTGCAAAGTATGTTCACTGCAAGTCTCAGCACTAAAGGATAATCTGCCGTTTGTTCGATTGTCGAAATAGTTCAGTCATTTCGTGCGATTTTTTCTTGTACCCCTCAAAACTTGCTCAAAACTTGGGACCCCAAAATACTTTAAAGTTGAGCGTGTCCGGAACTTGCCTGATAAATAGTGAACGCGGTGAACATTGAAGAGTCGATGTCGACTGTGCACTTTTCGATTTTCATTCGTGTCAACGTACTCGGCGCTGAAATCCATCCTTTTGTTCTTTTTGAAATTTCCATTTTTTTTCACTCTCTCTCTCTCTCTCTCTTCGCACCACTCAATTAATCCCAAAAGTATTAGCGGCGAGAGAAGTAATTGGACGACAAAATTGGAAAAAGAATTGGAAACGGCTAGCTAGTGGGGAGGGAGGGGATCAGAAATGAGGAGATCACCTGTTTCCTTGGCGTAAAGAATGATCTCGCGGGCGGTGAACGACCACAGAAGAGGGCATAATGAGATGAATGCGTAGACGGCGAGGCCTGAGAATTGAGATGAGTTGGAGGATTACGGTAAGCGGGGATGTACCTAGCAGAATTGTGATCGCAAAGTTTCGCGACCGCAGGAACTTCTTCTGCGGGTGACACACGCCCGCATATCGGTCGAAACTCATCGCCGTCAGGATGAGAGCACTCAGGATCTTGCCAAAGTTCTCGAAAACGGCGTGCAGCTTACAGGGAATCACTCCGAACATCCAGAAGCCCAAAATCTGGAAGGAGATGTTCAAAGGGATTCTGAAGGATTCTTCGAACCTGATCAATGACAGTGATCGGAAGAGAAAGACAGACTCCGAAGTCGACGCACGAAAGGACGATCACGTAGATGAGCGTGTTGTCGAGAGTGGCGCGCGAGGAACGAACGACGTGGTAGATTGTGGTCAGCACTGCCACGTTGCCACAGGTACCTGTTGGCAGACATTTCTAAGCCGCCTCATCTCACACTTTTTTTATATTTCCGTTCGGCCGAGTCTATAGTAATTCTTACCTAATAAAAACAAAAGAAGATATGATACGGCCATGATCATGACATGAAGATCTTCGTGATTCGGCGGTGGCAACACGTCCGTCACTATATTGTACTTCTTCTGAAATGTGTGAATACTGTTTACAATTGGAATAGAATGATCAACAAAAAAGTTGTTAAGCACAAAATTTGCCGCTTTTTGAAATATAAGTTGGATCTCGAGACAGATTTTTTCCGGCCCATGTTTCGTGTTTTTTCGTCGCGTACTTTAACTTTGCGTAACTTTTGGCTCTTTATTCAATGCTAATTCTGGGATTTCGAGATGTTTCAGAACTGCTCCTTCTGTATTGGCTCCACAAAGTCCCCCCCCGCGTGGAATGACGTGGCAGCAACACACACGATTGACGTCGACAAAAAGTCATCACGGCGATGAGCATAATTGATGGGATTCTTCGAGCGGCACTGGTGGTTGTTTCGCCGCATTTCGAGACAAAGACACAGAAAAGGGGGGGAATCGAATCACGAGCGCTTTTGTTCCAGAATTCGCGAGAAAAGCGGAAGTGAAACATGATTGCCAGGGCTTTTAGTATAATGGGATTTGGTTGCGGGCAGGAAGTACGGTTTCCCGCCAGGAAACGTGCAGAATCTTGGCCTTTCCTCTAGCTAGCACTTGACGACGTCCGCACAACAAACATGGATTTGAATTGCAGCCGACGCAAAAGACAAACAATAAACCCTTCAGATGACGTGCGACCGACTCACCATATCATACATGATCTGAGTGACCAACTCCACGCCTATCCCGTTCGGATTCGTCACGTTCGACGCTTCTGCCACGACTTCTGACGAGGCCATCTTGAATTGGAACTCGAAGAGACTTCTGAAATGATATTAGAGGTGATAAAGATGAGGATGAAGTCGGAAGAGAGAGGGAGAGAGAGAGAGAGAGAGAGAGTGGGGAGTAAGTGAGAATGGGCGGGACTCTGAAGGGCGGGAGCGGATTACGGTAGAAGTGAGGAGAAAACATGGACGTCTTCTGGAGAGCATGAAAGAAGAAGAAGAAGAAGAAGACGTCCAGCGACGAGGCGACATTGAATTAATTAGGGCAGAATGCAAATGAGAATGATGCCGCCGCCGCGGAATGACACCTTTGCGAGAGCAACAGAAACAGAGAGCGCCGCTTAAATGAGCCGTGTCAGTCGATTTGATTAATTTGATATTGGCGTGATGATGATGTGGTGTTGGAGGAAAAGAAGGAAGAAGAAGAAGAGGAAGACGAAGAAATCATTAGACCAGAAAACCGTCCGAACTATCTCTTGTGATACGGTATTAAAGACACAGAACCGAATTTGGCTGAGATTTTCGTGACGAGACCCAACCGAGGGTTAGTCCACGAACTAAAGTTTTCAGCGTGTCGCGCCTCCAGATTAACACAAACTGAAGAATTCAACGGCAACCTCGAGAAATGTCGTTCGTGGCGAGAGCAGGTGGAAAACATGAACTTTATGTTCAGACTGAAGTTTTCGATATGTTTCAAAGCTGAAAGATGCGGTGAAAGGACAAAAAGATTTGAGGCGCGCGCGCGCGAATCTCGATTCCCTTTTGGCGACATTCCAATTAATTTCATTCTCGCTGCTTCCAATCTTTGGTGCCCCCCCTATACACTTTGTGGTGATTGGAAGAAAAAGAGAGAGAGAGAGAGAGAGAGTATCAAGTGGAATTATTCGATGACGTCAATGACGTGGCAATGGGATGCACCGCTCCGATTTTGCAAGTTAAGGTTCCAAAGATCCTGCGAGAAACGGAATAGGTTCGAGGTGGGGGAAAAATGGGGGAGAAATGAGTGAAAAGAAGAGAATGCTGGTGAAAACGAACAAAGAAATGGCTCAATTTGTACCCATTCTTGAGCTAAACCACTTGATTCCATTGGAACATCCTCTCGAATTCGACTAGGTGTTACGCTATGCCTTATTTGCAATTCCGAACAGGAAGCCGTGCTGTCTGATGGCAATTCACGAAAAAAACGACGAGTCTTCTTTGAAAGACCAATATTTGCAAACAGCCAGATTCTCGAAATAAACAATTGAAGAGTCAAAGGTCAACTGGCACAGATCATGAGCTCGGGAACATGAGTCAGAAAGCAAAGTGGCGAGGTTCGGTTCGAAGACGACTGACTCATTTCTAATCAAAATTACCTAACCGCGGAACAAATTTGAATTGGCGCCAACGAGGCTGCACGATCGGACAAGGAATTAATAACATTTAATGGATGATATCACAGAATTTCCAACCTTATTCCGCCTTTCTCCATCGCTTTTTCTCTTCTCGAATGACGTGCTCACCCACTGCCAAATGAGCCTCTTCCATGTCTTGAGCTCATTAAACACACCGCCTTTGGCTCATTTCTCAACGAGAAAACGACGATCAGTTCGGCGCGATTTTGTTAAATATAAACTGGCGAAGAAATATGAGATGACATGTGAAGAAGAAGAAGAAGAAGCAACTTTTTCGACTTTAGAGATCGCAAAAAGTGATGAGCGACAGGGAATATATTATAAATGTATAAAAAAAAGAGATGAGTTGAAGGGAGGGAGACAGCGAGCAAGCACACAAAAAAATGGCGGAAAAGTTCAATTTTTACTCTCTCTCTCTCTTCCTCTCTTTTCACTTAATTAATGGGCTGGAGAGGAGGAAAAGGAGAAGAAGAAGAAAGAGAAACAATATAAATATTCGAATTCCTTCGCCGTCACACAACATTTTTGATTTTTGTGACGTTACTCGAGAGCACAGGTGAATTTTTGTTGCGCAAAGAGTTTGAGATGAAATCCCCCGCATTCCTCAGGGAAAAAAAACGAAAGTTCAGTGTTCTTAATGAGGCCAATAAGTCAATTTTGGCGCTGCGCCTTTAAATATATACTTTTATCTTGGATTTTTAGTCGGAAATCTACCAGAAACGAGGCGCGCACTTTCTATACAGTAATTGTGAAAACTTAAAGGCGCAGCACTAAAAATCACGCAATTTACACGTTTTTTTCGGCAAACTCTGGAATCTTTGCAAAAAACCTCAGAAATGTCCAAATTGCCGGGCTCTACGGCCTAAAAATCCGACGGCCGCAAGGTGAGATCGCCCAGAGCAATGGCTCGTTAACACGCGAAAATTTGCGTCGGCTCGCCGCGAGAAGTGCGTCAATTCCGTTCCTCTTCGCCCGAATTCATTATGCATGGATGGTTCATCACAAAAGTGCGGGCGAACCGAATTCCGGGAATTGTGTTCACGTCAAGAAATGTTCGCGTTTAATTTTAGCTTCTCTCGAACGTTTTTCGCTCAAAAGTGCACAAGGCATTTTTCGTTTCCGACGTCACACAAAAAAAGACGATTCGCTCGCTGCATTGGGAGCAATTCGTTAAAAAAAACCCCAGGTTTTTTGAGGAAAAGGGGCGTGGCCTAATTACTACAAGCCGGAAGCCGCCCGAAAATGACGAAGATCTTCTATTGCCCAAAAAAGGAGTAAGCCGCGAAGGCGTTTGAATATTTCAGTATTTCACACGACTCTTCCAGCCCACAGCAGTTTTTTGTTTCTCAAACTCTGCCAGACAGATTACGTGGAGAAACGGAAGAAGATCGGAGAGGAAATTTAAAAATAAACTAGGTCAAACCTGAAGGTGATGCGTGCTAATCCACTTTTATAAAATATAATGGAGCAATGAGAAGGAGATTAGGTAAGGAAATAAAGATTAGAATGGAGCCAATGGCCGAGCGGGTTCAGGCTAGACACATTCCCGGCACCGCTTGTTTACCTTTGTGTCTTTGATTGAAAATCGCCTCGAAAATGGCCAATTTCATTCCACTCGACCCGCAAAATGTGAGACGTTTCGTTAAACAAGGGACGGTGCGTAATTTCGGAGTGTCGTTGTTACTGTTTTACTGATTTTTCGAAATATTTTGATGAATAATTGGAAAAAACTGTAAGAAGTTGAAAAGTTTCATTCGCGCCGACCAAATTAGTCATTTTTTGGCGCAGACAGCCTGTGAAAAGCACAGAATCGGATCTGATAAAAAACAGTCCATGGTCTCACTTTTTCCCGCAATTTCTCGGCCATCCGTCCATCACCAAAGCTCATAAAACTATTTCGGAAACTTTCAAAAAACATTTTCATCTTTCGTCTTTTCTTCTCCGCACATGAATATATCATTTTGATGAGAAACGCGTCGTGAAATGGCGGTGTTGTCGGTGAAACGCGGAAAAAAAAGAGAGAGAGAGAGAGAGAGAGAGAGAGAGAGAGAGAGAGAGAGAGAGAGAGAGAAGCGATTGTAGGTGGGTGGCAGAGCCCTATTCGCATTATTTATCATGTAAATGTAAATATCGCCGCCAAGGAGTTGGGGCATATCTTCTGAATATTCGATCATATGCAAATTGGGAATGGTCGAGCAGGAAGAAGAGAAGGAAATGAGAGCAAAAGAGAGAAAGAACGTGATCAGTGATTGATTAGCGAATTGGATATTCTATGGGCGCGGAGAATGTCACGATGAGGACTTCTCTCTGAAAAGGAAAGGAAGTGCTTGGGGGGAAGTGCTTGGAGCCCAGGGACCGAGTCAGCCATTTTCACCCACTTGCCATAATCTGATTGGGCCCAAACTTTGTAGGCTTCTTGTATAGAAGTATTAGAAGTATCATCAGAGGCCGAAAAGGCCGCAATCTTCGCAAAAACCCGGTCCAAGTCTAAGAAATCTGCAAAGTTTGGGTTCGATCGGATTATTGCAGGTCTCGCCACGAACAAAGTTTTCCATATCATCGCTGTAGTACGAACTTTCAATCGTGATGAGATGTAAACATCGGAAAGTTTGACGAAGAACAACTTTCGAGAACACTCCAGAAAACGAATCTTACGAAAAAACGAGAAGCTTCACACTTTTCTCACACGGAAATAGAGCAATTTTTGTTCGCGGCGGCGGCGGTGGCGGCGGTGGCCGGGGGAAAAGAAAATTTTAATTGGCGTGTTTTGAGTGGGAATGGACACGACTAATTGGACCGAGAATATCGACGACGACGTCGAGTTATTCGGAAGACGAATTCGGATGAACAAGGATTTGCTGTCGGGAAAATGAGTAACACTCGTACAGTAGTATCACTCAATTATCCGCTCTTTCGCACATTCAAAAATACACGAGTACGCACGAGTACAAACACACTTCCATTTCCATTCAGACGCCCCATTTTTGTGTGGAAAACCAATTTGTTGGGCGAGAAATTGGAAAAGTATACAAGCCTCAAAAAGGGGGGCACTCCCCTCTTTCATATCACTTTATCACTTTCCCGAAACCATGCTTCACAGTCTCTCGGCCACAATTTTTCTGATTTTCTGTGCTCAACTACTGGTGCTCGGGTGCCCGCCTCAACCCAACGGAAATTGCTATTATGGTTAGTTAAGAGACAACTGTAAGCAAAGCATTTTAGTCGAAAATGCCAAAAAACGTTGGGTGCGTATTATATCTTTTTTCCAGGCGAATACGCATTGTCCAAAAACCAGGGAGGCTTCCAAAATCAACAATGCGGACAAGCGACTAACCGAGATTGGTGTGCTGTCTCGTAAGTTTTGCCCTTTTCCTCTTCTTCTGGAATGTTTCCAGTTGAGAACCAGTCAGTATATACTGGATATACTTGACAATGTGCCCCTGTATGTACATGCACTCCACTCCACAACGTACTTGACGCCGTGAAAAGGGGGGTCTTTTGATGGTTTCCATTCATTCGTCATGTTTGCACCGTCTCCATACTACCAACAAGAGCAATTTCAGATGTTTCCAAGGTTTTTTCGCCCAGAGAAAGCAATCATGCGCGTGTACAACTAACACTGTTTCCCTTCTCTGTTACAGATATCAACCAGCGACGCAAACAGCTAATTTCGGATGCGCCTCCACCTTCCCAATAGAGGTTGGCATTTTTTTAAAAATTAAAATTGAGGACCTAGTAACTTTAAGGTGGGAGGTCAGGTTTGCGGAGAAGGAGCTTTTAATGTGAATCAGCAGGGATGCAGTATGGTGCAAACGATCAACGGACCGTGTTATTTCTGCTGTTGCAAGGGAGGCAGTTGCAATCATCCGCAGGTAAAACTAATGCGCTCTATTGAGAATAGAAAGCTGGCAAAGCTGTAAGCTATTGGACTTTCCGGAAGAACCTACTCGAAGTCCTTGTACTGAACCCGGTCAACGGTTATCTTAGGCTTTTTCGAAGCCTAAAACTTTGATTCCGATTGGAGCACTTGGTTCTGAATTTCTTTATGCTAATTTCGAACATTTAACAAAATTGAACATCCGTTTTAGACACCTTTCCGCGCTGAGCGTTGCATAGAAAGTACGTACGCGCTTTTCAGTGCCTGAGCTCTTGACCCAGTTTCAATATTCCGGCCGGATCCAAACTGATTGAAGTCTGTTGAGTCCAAGTTTCAGACCGATCGGTCTATTCACTCTTGAGATATGCTGAATTAAAAAACCAAGTTTTCTCCTGAGTGAATAATCCGATCGGCCTCAAACTTGGAGCCAAGATACTTCTATCCAAGTTCAAGAAGCCTGCGAAGTTTGGAGTTGACCGGAATACTGCGAGTGGCCCCACAAGAGCCCGTCCAAGACGGAATACTAATCCGAGCTATTTCAGATCTTTGCCCGCGAAGCCTCGAAACTGCCGATAAACAACCAGCTGCAGCAGAATCAGATGTACTCAGCGTACGATCGCCGCCAATCCTACTACCCGATGGGCTGGTACAATACCGCTTCGCAGCCCTCCAACCCATTCCTCCTCGTCGCGATCATTCTCATCATTCTCCTAGTTTTTTCCCGTTCTGTTTAACTCGATCTCCTTACTTTTCCCCCTTAAATGAGATTTGTGATTCGCTAAGAAAATCAGTTTTACTATTTAACGATAAAATGCCACGCATTGAGAAGGGATGGGGGAATTCACAGACAAAGAGTCTCACAGAGCAATAATATTCTGAGGAAGGCTGTGCGGCGTTCCACAAAAAAGACCCTATATTCTGACGGTAGAATTGGATGAAAGATGATGTAGAAAACTAGACGAAGGACCGGTTTTGTGATTAGAAACGAGGAAAACGTGTAGAAACGAAGAATGTAGAAGAAGAATAAAACGCTAAATTCCTATAAAAATTAGCAAAAAAAACAACCTAATTATCACGGATTTCGCGAGAATCTATCGCCAGTAGGAGGCCGATAGATAGCAAGCAACACTCAATAAGTTAGCTGTCTAGGAAGGGGCAAGAGATTCGGAGAATTTCTGACGGAAAACGGAATTTTGAGCAGAGAAGATGATAATGAAACGACGGAAGAGATCATGAAATCGAAGCCAACAGGGAAAACGAAACAAGAGGCGATCATTCGAGCTCTCCGTCCTCCAGGTCCATGTCCGAGTTCTCGGTGCTTGCCGCTCGCGGGGGTATGGGCGGTGTGAGCATCGGAGCAACGTCGAACGCTCGGGTGCTACTGCAAAAACAGCAATTTTTCGAATGAAATTTTCATGAGGCGTCTACCTGGGCCGAAATGCGGGCGAAGAATGGGAAGAGGACGGATTCGGATTGTCGAGGGGCCTTCTGTTGATCGCATTTTTCTGCGGATACGCCGGCGGAGGCATCGGCGGCGGGGGCACCGCCACTTTTCCGTTCGAATGCGGATTGGAAGAAGAGGAAGAGACGAAATTGCTCGAAAGCGGATCGATTCTTGCCCGTTTCTCGCTGCTACGGCTGAAAACGTCGAGATCGGGTCCCCCTAAACAGTCCATTACCTGCTCGAGTTGTCAATTCTGCCCGACATCCGATCGTGGTCTCTTTTCCGTCGTTCCTCTTCGAACTGCCGCTCTTTGTTCAGTCGCTCCACAGTCAACTCGTCTTTCGGCACGTATCCACGTGGCCGCCCGTTCGTCGAATCCGGAATAAGCGGGTGATTCGGAGCCACCATCGGACTGTTGCTGCGAGCATCACGCGTGCGGTCCTGAAGGATCTTCTTTTAAGATAAGTCTTGAATAGATCAGGCCCTTCTACAAGCGTTTCGATCTCAATAATTTAATCAGACTGAACAGTTCACTATAAATGCAATTCCTTAGCCGTGTCACAATCCCGAAAACTCACTCGATTCCTGTTGTTCGCGACGACGTCAGGATTCTCCAACTGAGGAGGACGGTTATCACGAAAGTCTGGAACTTTTGGAATATTCAGTATCATTTGGCTTATTGACGCCGCAAAGAAGGTACTGCAAATAATACTCCCTTTCCCCGGAAAAAGTGAGAAAACGTACTGTAACGAGAGGCATGATGGAATTTACACGTCGCCCGGTACGTGCTTAAGAAGTCCAGCTCCATTTCTGTAAAGATTTTCGATGAAAATCGACACTTTCTAAGGGATGAACCTCGTAATTGCTCCTCGGTCATTGTCGGATCGAATCGGGTGTACCAGAACGTTCCGGGCGTCATATGATGGGCAAACATCTTATCCACCTGGAAATTCCCCATTTCAAACCGTTTTTTCAAGTAATAAAGCTCACTTGAACATCAGCGTAGGCGGACATCAAGTGTATAATCACAATGGCCATAGAGGCTGCCGAATACCGCAAAGACCAATCTGTCACGGCGATTCTGAAGTTAAACTCGTGATTTTCTTCCCATTTTTGGGGCTTACACATCGGTCGCAAAGTAATAGGCGCAAGAAGCGAGATGCTTGTGTTTATTATCTGCAGATTTCGAAGTATTGAACGGAAACCCGTGAAAACTGACCTCTATCAACTGTTTTCATGATTTCCAGAACTTTTGTATGCGGTAGGTACACGTTTAGATCAAATGCTGCGAATTTCAAGCGGTTTTTTCACGATTTTAGCGGGATGCTCACCTATAGTCTGTAAAATCATGCTCTCGAGCAGAACTATTATTTGTTGCGCCTCCATCCGTGCCTAAAACCATAAATTTGTCAACTGTCACCTTCAAATTCAAATTTACCGCCTCCGTAGTCAACTGCTTTCTCTCTTTCCGATCCCTCCACACAGAAATCACATGCGACAGTTTGCGTGGGCATTCGTGGCTTTTGCCGGCCAAAAACACACACGCCGCTCCCACATCCTGCAGAAAATCGTTCTTTTTGAGGCACTTTCGGTATGGATATGCAAATTTTCACCGAATCGAAAAACTCACTCGATAATCAAACTTTTTGAAGCTGTGGAAGTAATAGAATCGATGCATGTGCGTGTGTGCAATGCACAATCCCGTGTGACCTCTGAAAACATTTTACAATTTTCAAACAATCTTTCTCGCCCCGTCCAATCCACTTCCGTACATTATTAGCTCTTTCGGTCTGAAAATATCGATTTTCCACAATCACAACATTCACCAAATTAGTCTCACATTTTCATTTTCGGGTCTTTCATATTGTTGAGGCCGTCGATCATTTCCTGAATGAACGCGGCGGCCAACTGTCGGTAGCTCATCTCCTCGTCCCTGCTCATCCCCTCCTTGATGCTCGCCGTGTTTCTCATCTGCAAAACGCACACATTTTCAGAGGTAAAATCGCTAGAAAATTGTTTGCCTCCTCCTTGGTGAAAAACCATTTTCTGGGCGCGGGCCGGTCGGTCGGTGATCCCGCGCCTTTTGTCGACGACGACATTGCATTTGCGGTTAATTCTGAATTTTCGTCAAAGTTTGTTGTTATTATCTTTCCGTAAAATTATACATTTTTCGACTTTTTTAGTGATCAAATTAATAAAATTCCGAGTTGATTTGCAACCTGGAGGATGCAAGTGCGCTCTAATGACCGCGCTGCGGTTCGCGTCGCGGTCGCCCGAGGTCCACCCATTTCATGAGTCAGCCGTTTTCACTTTTCCCCCCTTTTTGGCTCATTTCCAGTCGATGACTCATTGATTTTTCACAAGTTTTACGTTCTAAAAGATTCTTTTCATCATTTTTCATCGATTTTCCCACAATTTAGCGCAAACACTAGCCAAAAACTTCGTTTTTCCCCAGTTTTAATCGTTCCTCATTGTAGCTCTCAAAATCTGAAAATTTCGAGCAAATCCGAGATTTCTTGGTATTGGCGTCTAGCATTTAATCACGAGATTCTAACTAGAACAAAACATTTGAAATCTGACGTTGAAATTTGGAGAAAATCCGCGTTACACGTCGAACCCTCGTGACGTTGCTCATTCTATCCTGCTTCTCCTCGAGTTTCTCCGTTTTCCCTGTCGAAATATGGATATTCTCGGTAATTTTGATTTCAATGTTGTCGTTTTCTTTGGTTTTTGGCTATTTTTTTCGTAGTTGATTAGCAATTCCAGAATTTTAATAAAATTGCGAAATGTTTCGAAATCCCCTGTTTTCGCTAGCTTTCGGTGAAAATATCCTTTTGCTTTGAAATGTTTCGTCAATTTGTTGCCAGTATGCACACAAATAGTAACCCTTGAACGCAATTGCGTCATATTCCTAATTCACCTTCACCTCACATCCCGTGAACTATTGATTTTCTGCGCGCAACGGCATTGTGCGCACGCGATCGGAAGGTGCAGATGGAAGCATAGATAGTCGCGCAGGTCCGCCATAAATACCCTAATGCATTCATTTGTCGTTTCGCATATCGCTCATCCAATTCCCTCTCCTAACCCCTCTTAAACGTTTTATATTTCAGCATTGATCAGTATGTCGCATTCGAACAAATTGATCACGGAGAAGGATGGTTTCAAGTATGGCAGAATGATTCACCCCTGGCTCTTCAGAAAGACAGAAGTAAGTTGATTTTTAACAGGAAATGGAGAAATATCGATTTATCTTCAGCTTATCAACGACACACCAAGTCGGCGAGACGGTCTGAGCTATGAAGAGGAGCTTACCAATCGACAGAGAGGAGGAGTGTTCATTCACGAAATGGTCATGCAGCTCACACATGGGAAAGGAGAGCAGTGAGTGGAACGGGAGGGCATTTGGGGAGCGGCAACGGGCGGGCTAAAAGGCATAGGAAGTGAGCAGAAGCACTTTCGAGGTCTCGGGTGGCGACTTTTTAGTTGAAAAGTCACTTTTATCCGCCTTGAACCGTTTCCCTCCGCCAAATCTCCATCATATATGGTTCCACCCTCATCGAGCACTGCGATAATATTCCAGCGGACTGAGTGGTGTGGCGGCAACACTCTTCAACCGATTCTTCAAGTTTCACTCGTTCAAACGATGCGATTACCGTGACGTGGCGGCGGCGTGTGTCTTCCTGGCCGGCAAGAATGAGGATTCGCCAAAGAAGTTGAAGTACGTCGTGAATCAACTGTGGCAAGCCAAGTTCCCGCACAACAAGCAGTTTCCATCGGAACAACACTTCATGGATCTGTGTCAAGTCGTCACCTTTCTCGAGGAGATTGTTCTCAGGACGATATGTAAGTTTTACGATCTTCAAACAGTTCTCAAAAACGGTTAATTTTTTCAGCGTTCGACGTCAACATTGATCTACCACATCAGTACATTCTGAAACTGATGTCAACGATCGAGAAAGGCCGCAACGTGTATAAAGACATGGTCAAAACCGCTTACTACATGGCCACCGACTTGCTCACCGTCACGGACTGGAGCATCCGCTACTCGTGCGCTTCCATCGCAACGGCCTGTGTCAACATCGCCGCGTTCTTCCACGATGTGAACATCGATTCGATCTGCCCGCAAGAACACAAAAGCACGTGGTACCGATTTCAGGACAGTTGGCTCACTAAAAGCGAACTGGAATCAATGACACGTGAATTCATCGATCTCTACTCGCGTAACCCCCAGCTGCACATCGGAAGTTTGAAGAAGATCGACCCGAACGGAAAGGTAAAGATCGTGCACCGATCGCCGACTCAGCAACATAACCACGTCTCGTCCTCGTCGTCGTCGTCAAACTTGAAGAAGCTCGACATGGAGGCGTACAAGGAACGCCAACGAGGAGTCGCCGTCACTTCGACGGATTCGCCGCGTCAGAGCTTCCTGCCGGACGTCAAGAATCAGAAGGTCGTCGAGCAGGGGTTGATGGAGCAGAGGCTGCAAAGACAGCAGGTGATGGATACTGCCCAGAGGATACAACAGGAGGCCCAGCAGAGGCCTCGATCGAATCCCTCGTCCGGTCATCCTCATCAGAATCACCGCCACCATCACAGTCAGCAGTCGCACCATCATCAGCATCAGAAGCCGGAGGCACCGCGAGTAGCTGTCAAGCGGACGATGGGCGAGCAGCACGAAGATCTCAATGGGTAAGTTGTCTTTTTTGAATCTCACAATTGGAAGCAATTCTTTGCTAGCTACAGAACGAAGAAGACTCGGTTGGACTACCAGATGAACTTCGTCGCTGCCTCATCCACGATCCCGAACGGCCACCACCACCAGAACCAGCATCAGTACATTGTGCATCAGGAGACCATGAACGGAACCACTTCCTTGCCGCCTCCGCCTCCGCCACCGCCACTCATGAAGACCTTCGTGCCGGCGCCTCCGCATATGCTTCAAACGTTGAATCAGCCGCCGTCTGCCTACCAGCAGATGTGCATGGATCTCGAGGCGAAGCGGTAAGGGTCTTTTTCCATTCCCAGGCAGCTGAGCATTTATATTTTTGTTCTGAAGTAGTCTCTTCAATGTTTATCAGTTTCCAGACGACCACCCTCTTCGGATTCTCACGTGCAGCCTCATCACATCTCGCCGCCCGATGAGTCGTCGCCGCCAGTGACTCTCCAATCGGCGACGATGATCCTTCCGCCGCCACCTCCGCCACCAGTGCTTCCACCAGTTGTACGACATTATGCGGACGAAATGGAGGACGGAGAACTTCGATAAGCACCCTCTCGACCTCTTTCTCCACCCGCATCCCCCCCCCCCTTTTTTTGAATTTTGGTTCATTTTTAATGTACAGTAGGTTATTCTTTTCTTTCGCATCTCTATCCAATATTTCGTTTTTCCTCTTTCTCCTCCACCCCTCATACCATTTCTTGTCCTTTTTCTTACCGGTTTTGCCTTTCTCTCTCCCTCTCTCCTTCCCCCTTTTCCTCCTTTTTGTATGTCAAAATACACTATTCTCATCAGCTTTGGTCGGTGTGAATTTTCACTCCTCTATCGAACGATCTCAATTATTTCCCTCTTTGTGTCTATCATTTTTTCTGCTCCCCGTCCCTCCCTGTTTTAACCGTATTATTTCTTTTCTTTTCTCTTTTTTGGCAACTAAAACACGAGGTAAAAAAAATCCCAAAAAAATTTGTTTCTCCTGAATTTCTCTTCATCCTCCCCCTCCCCAGTCGTATTCGTCCCTTTTCGATTCCTGGTCTTTTCGGCTTCCCGTTCCTTTCCATATATTTGTAAAATTTACTTTGTATAATAATAAATTCTACTAAAATCCAAAAAAAAGCGTTCATAATTAGGGGGCGCAACAAAGGGCCAGAGGTGCCAGAAAAGTTAGCGGAAAATTTTCAGCGATGACCCCTTTTTTATTTTCGGAATCTATAGATACTCTCTCTGAGAACCCGAATATAAATTTTCAGAGCTCTAGACCACCTAGGAACATTTTTGTGTTCGATTGTGATGAGTGAAGCCTATTCAGCCGAAATTCTAATTTTTCAAGGATTTGAGGGTCACAGGTACCATACACGTGGCTATTTTTTACGGAATCGGATTCTGCCTGAAATTCTCGACAAAATTCCGTTTAGCATGACAATTTTGCAAGTCGCCGAAAACAGTTATAGTCAGATGTATGTTTCGAATTTCAGCGCACAAATGCACTGACTTCACCCCTTGAAGGAGCCGCGCACACCGAGGTTTTCAACGCGAATGGCGGTGGGCGCGCCTCTGCCCGGTTGGCGCAGTGGTAGAGTGCTCGCTCGGCTGTTTTGAGGTGTCGGGTTCGAACTTTTGACCTCAAAAGTTGTTTTGCTTTTTTAGAGCATCATTTCTGACGGACCTTTCGCAACTCGCCGAAAATTTTCGAGAAAATAATTGGGAGCGTACTCATATAGAGTAGGGGAACACATTCCAACAAGAATTTTATGGAAATTCGGAGTTTCGCGAAACCCGTTGCGGTCCCTATTCATAATATCTTTCCCGCCCCCAATTTTTGTTACTTTTCGTGTAATAAACGATTTTATTACAAATGAAGACGCTAATTGGAAGAAAAGAAAAACGCATAAATTAATCGGAAAATACGGGGAATTCAGGAATCTCTACTCATGTATTTACTACGGTTCGACTCGATCATTTGCCACTTTCGACTGTCGAAAACGCCGCGCCACGTGGATGCGTCGAGAGTGACCTGCAACGAGTTAAGGTAGATCTGAGTCAGCGGGGATTACTGTACCTTTCCGACGTGCTGTTCCGACGTGGCAATCTTTCCGGCCTTCAGATTGGCGAGCGTCGTCGACTGACTGCGCGTCTTCTCGAGATCTCTGCGGATGGCGGACAGGTGGAACGCGGGGAACGACTGCTTGATTCGCATCGCGCACTCGTCCAGTTGGCGTGGATCCACGAGGCGGGGCGATGTCTGGAAGAGAAGGGAAAAATTGAGACTTCGATCGGCTAGAGGGTTGAAATTAGTTATTTAAGGCAGACAACGCCGGGCTTTTTGCAAAAACCAGGACTTTGCCGGCCAGTTGCCCAGAGCACTGTATTCTTCTTCCGTTCGGAATCTAATCTACTTGATTACGAATAAATTACATGGAAACTTTCAAAAGTAGTGTCATTCTTAAAGTTTCCAGAATTTTGAAATCCTTACAACTCTGCTCTATCGGAAGCTAATGCGGTAGTTTCAACAACGAAAAGAGGAAGTGAAAAGTTGTCGGAATCAGGTCAAAACTAGACGTCCCGGTTTGATTTGTTTCTAGAGACAATCAGAAGCAAAAATTGTCAAAAGACGTTGAAGTCTACCCATCAGGCGCCTAATTTCCAACAGCTCCGAAATGTTACCTTCTCCTTTCCGGACGCTTTCTGCGCGCGTTCTCTGTCCGTTTTCAGTCGCTTCGCCGCTTCCGCCGCATCCGAAACGCCGAACTTGGACACTTTAATCTTGAGATTCGCGGCGACGGTGTCGGCCACACGGGCGGTGAACGCTTCCAGCGATTCCTGCAAACATCTCCTCAATTTTCCGTTCGTTTCTCCCGTTTCTACCTCTTCTCCTCTCTCCATTTTCGGCATGTACTCGATCGAAATGACGGTGAAGGGGAGGGCGAAAAAGTAGAAGAGGTCCGTCCACCACGTGGCGCCGAGCACCGAAACGGCCACTTTCCAGGGGTAGGGACGCCAGACGCGCACGGAAACCGGCTGAACGATAGGGGACACTTCGAAACTCCACGTGCTGAACGAGGGATTTGGGGGCAAAAGTCCGGAAGAGTGCGACTCACTTGAACTTGAGAAGCGCCTTCTCTCCACTGGTGATCACTCCTTCGGGAAAGGCGAGCAGCGGCATCTGCTCCTTGGAAATCAGTTGTTTCGCGCCGCTCACGAGCCGATCTCTTCCTCTCGTCGCGCCCAAATCCACGTAGCCAAAGCACCTGAACATGAACATTTCATTTAGAAATGAAACATTGAATCGCTTCTATGTTTCGGGCTCAAAAATCTCATATTTCCGTGGTTTCTAATTTTCGACACTGCTTTCATCAGAAAACTGTTCTGTTCGGCTGCGGACACGCCCTTTTTCCCACTTTTCTCACGACGGACCATTGGATGACGGTCGGAATGTCCCAAACGGACGGAAGCAGGCACGGCGTAAGAATGTCGATTGCGAGGTGGTCGAGGATGGAGACGTGGTTGGCGCACAAAACGCGCACAGATTCGTCGCGCTGTCCCGTCTTTTCGACGACGATCCCAAGAACGGAGCACATGATTCGCAGCACGTGCATCCGCAGCGCTGCCGATTTTCGCAGCATGCACGCGATTAGAAACGTGTGGAAGCCGATGAAAATGCGGAGGATAAATATGATCAAACCTGGAATTTTACTGCATTTTTTTCCTGAAAATCAAAAAGTTCCGTACCGATGGGCGCGTAAATAGTCGAAAACACCTTGGTAATAGAGTCGGCGATGCGCTTCTCATGGAATAATTCCTCAATTTTGACGTCGGCTCCAGAAGACGTCGCTTCTGGTGACGCCATCTGAAAATTGCCGTTTTTCTCTGTTTTTTATCCGTGGAAAGTACAACAAGTGGATGAAAGACCTGTGAAATAAGAAAAACCAATTCTGAAATACCACAAATCATTCATTTTTTAACGACATCAAGTCAGGGGGATTCTTTATAACATTTCTTTTTGGGACAGCAACACAAATTTTGGCTTCAAATTAGAGGGGGATTATTAAAGAATTAATCTAAGTGTCGAGAAGGCGATTGAGGGGAGAATCCAAATGAGAAATGAGTTGAATTATTGTGGGAATGGCTAAAAGAGCCACCGAATGAATAGAAAAACTAGCCGATTACAGGATAATCCTGCCTAACGAAAAAGCAGTAGAGTTTTGACTGGAAATGGTACAGATTCACTTTTGAAAGAGCTTTTTTTTTGGGGAAAAGAATGGAAAACCTATCGACTATGTATGATGCAGAGATTATATTCACATGAAAGATTCTATTATTACTGTTCTTGTGGCTGCTCGTGCGGCTCAGCCGCTTCCTGGTGCTCTTCCTCCTCCTCGAGCTGCTGCTGCTGCTGTTGTTGCTGCAGTTCACGCCACTTCGGGTCGTTTTTAGTGACCTGAAATTAGAAATTTGAAACTGAAAATAACATTGATAACAAATATTATCAATCTTAATATGACAAGAGAAAGAGAGAGATAGAAAGTGGAGGAAGAAGCGCAGAGAAAATCGATCGAATGGCACGTGGAAAACATGTTTCTCCCGTTGCAAATGTATTCAAAGACTTACAACTTGAGCGCCGTCATCAGTGTACAGTATCTGATAATCCTCGGATCCCTCGCCGAACAAACGAGCTCTGAAAATACACAATTTCCAGAACATTCCCTAAAACAATAGAAACCTGGCGCGGGCGGCTTCAATCTGCCGAATGCAATGTCTGGAAAGCCTTAAATCGGCTCTCATTTTAGTGACCGTTCGGCACTTTATCGCGTCTTCCATTGCCTGATAGTACTGCGAGTCGCGCATCATCTCCTTCGATATCACCTCCAATTCCTGATCCTTCACGCCCGAACCACCGTCTCTTTTCATCTCCAACGCCTCCGCAAGAGTCATGATCGGTTTCGGCTCGACGGAAGAAGACGTTTCCGAAATGATTTCCGATTCGATCGTCTCCTCGATGACCTCCTCGATCATCTCCACTTCCATTTCTTTTTCCGGAATCAGCAGTTGCATTTCTTCGTCGACGATTGTCGTGATAATGGGCGAAGACTCGTGATGAACGAGACGATGGGAAATCGGAATCGGAGCACAAGCCACTGGAATCACTGGTGCGATCGCGCGTTTGCGAGGAGACAATATAAGGGGCCGTCTGGCCAGAACGGTCGGTCTCTTCGCAGGCGCTTCCTTCACCGCCGCACCCGCGATCCGCGTGAACAGTCCTCCTTTTTTGGCGACTGGCAGCGCAGAGGGAATCGATCCAGAGGAAAGGGAACGTGCTCCGATGACTGAAGAAGTGTACGCTTCCAAGGGAACGTGGTACTTGGCCATGGATGGGCGCATTCCGGCGGTCAACGAACGCGCGAGCATTGATTTGAGCGGCCGTTCCTCTGGTTCTTCGGGCTTTTCAGCTGCTGCGGATGGAATTGGAGTTGGAGTTGATTTATCTTCACTTTCTACTGTTGGCGGAGTCGGAGTGGCTGACTTTCTCGATTTTTTCGCGCTTCGCTCCGGGGTTTGCTCAGAGATGCTCGATTCGGTGTCTTCTGCTTCGACCTGAAAACACAAACATTTCCAGAAATGACTACACGAAACCAACCGAAGACTCTCCAGTCGCCGCGCCCTTGCTCAAATTGCACGCCAACGCCTTTCGCGGCTTCTTCGTCGGCTCCTTCTTCAGCTTCGCGTTGATCAGTCGTTTCACTTGCTGCGATCGTTTCTGAACCATCTTGGCGAACTGCTCATCGCGAATCTTTTGCCGAAGACGTTCCCGTGGATCGTTCACTTCTAACCGTGGCATGTTCATAAAGTGCTCTTCAGACGAGAACTTTCTCTTCTTCGGAGTCGGCGGAAGTGAAGCCGAAGAACTTGCGGTCGGCTTCTTGACCGGGGAACTTCCGGCCGAGATGGCGTGCCGTTGACTCGTCCGCTTATCAGATCCCATCGGCGACTGCGTCTCATCCGCCTCCTCCGATTCCTCCCTCTCTCTCTCCTCTGCAGTTCTCTCCTCTTCCAGTCTCTGCTGCTCCAAATCCTCCGGTTCTGGATATCGCTTCTTGTGTTCCTGATTGCGACGCACTTGCAGATAGACTGCTCTTTGCATCACATTATGATCGTTCACACTCGTTCCTCCCTCTTTCCCGACGAATGCCAACGATCGGACCGCTTTCCGATGCCGTTCTTCGTCCTGAACCAGACGCGTTCGCTCTTCCGGATTCTGAATTTGTATTTCCTATCTCTCCGTATCTTTTCCACTCACATATACACTTTTCGTCGGCGACGGTGTTAGCACTATCTCATTCGCGGGCGGCTCACATCCATGATAAGCCACGTAGACGTTCCGTCGTGTCCAGTTGTCCCACGCCTCACTCGGATCCAGCTCCGACGCCCGGCAATTCATCTTGGCGAACTCGTAGATGCGACGTAGATGACAGTGCTGGATGGGCGGCGAAAGAAGATGTCGACGGTATCCGGATACCGTTTTGTATCCGTACGTGCATTTCCGACAGAACGGACACATGAAACCTGCCTCGGGCACCTGGAACTAGGGTTGTCGTGAGCAAGCTCAGGAGAAAAACGCCTTACGTCGAGCATATTGTCCTTTTTTTTGAGCATCTCCTCCGTGTGGTCGAGCAGATGATTCTGCAGCTCGACGACGCTGCACGAGTGGAATTCGCAGATGGTACACACCCACGGCACTCTGTAGTTGCTCACAAAACCGAGTTAGAAGCCTTCTGAACCCCTCAAACGCTTACCTTTTCTTGCTCGGTGTCGTCTTCACATCCGGAGATATCGCCACGGGCACTCCGAACGCTTCAATGGCGGATTTGTTAAAATTGTGGTTGCGAAAGCATTCCTCGGCAAAATGTTCGGTGCAAATCGGACCAGCCGCAATGGAAAAAGACACCGGGCCCATTTTGCTGCGAAGAATGTCTTTGTACTTGAAGCCGAGAAGATTGGCCCAAATGCGACGGCGATCCAGGTCGGCGGGAAAGTTCAAGTGCATTTCTCCGGCTTTCATGACCCGGTTACAAACTGTACATGGCTTGTGCGTCAGGTTCGAGTACGGGGAGAACTTCTTGTAGTGGTCGATGACCAGGATTCGCAGCCGACCGTTCGCGTTCTTCCGCACCTCGAGATGCTCGCCGTCCGGAGGAGTTCGTGTCATTCTGGACAGCGTTTCCGGAATTACTTGGCATGGAAAACTCGAGAAGACTCGTTCGACCTCTCCGGTTTCCTCCTCTTCCTCCCCGTCTCGCCCCTTCGCCGTCGTCGGAGTTTTGTGCGAACTCTGCGCGGATTCTTTCGTTGGGGTTGTTTCGGAATCCAGACGTACAACTTCTCCGGAAGACGTCACCGAAGGCATCACAATCTCCTCGACGTCATCGTCGCCAAGCGTGCAAACGTCGATCGGAGGCGACTCCAGAGTGTCCTCGGTCGGATTCTTTGCAGTTTTCTCGACGGCTTCACCAGGAGGTTTTTTTAACGCTGGTTCAGAAGGTACTTCAACGACTTCAGACGACGTCGCTTCACTATCCTCCTTAAAATGTATTAATTTCGAATGCAATTTTTTGAAAATCAGTGATAAGCCACCTTTATCTCGGTGGTTACTGTAGGATATCTTCACTCGAGTTTGAAGAAGGAATAAAATGAGAGATGAAAGCGATTTATGTGAATCGAAAGTGTGTAAACTATGGGAAACTAAACACCGGAGGTCTAGCTTTCGCTTACGAACGCCGCTGCCAACGCACACAAACTTTTCGCCCCTATTACCTTTGAAAAATCCGTTTTTTCCGACGTTTTCTGCAATTTTACGGGTAAATCGCTTTCCACTGCGTCGGTTTCTTCTCTCCTTCGCCTCCCCGTGGCACGATTGTCTGACATATTTTCTTCTGAAAACCGTCGGGAACATTACATGAAAAGTGCGTTCAAAGTGACGGAAATTGCGCGGAAACACAATTATTTTCGGTTTTTTGCCCGTTCGAATCGAGTCGAAGTGCGAAATTGAGAAAAGCCGAATCGAAAATTTGAAAATCCCGGCGAAATCAGAAAATCGATAGTCTGCAGTCAAAAATTTTGGACAATTGTCGCTCCCACTCATCTTTCGTCCGCAAACACGGCGGCGCAAAAGCACGTATCTCTCTGCGCTCTCCTCGTTTCACACACTGTTTCGCCCGCGAGAACGAGACTGGGCGATGATTGACGGAACTGATTACGGGTGGGCGGGGAAAACGGAGATTGTATCATTTCGAGAGGCCATTTGTATGATTTTGAAGGGCGATCATGATGATTGACGTGTTTCACCCCACAATGGAGAGATGGCGATGCCCGCAATTTGTACCGGCCGACACAAATGTTGCGGTAGACGAATTGAGTTCGAATTTAATAAATGTATTGAAATCCGTACGATAATAGTGAAATAAAGTCAAAGAGATGTACGGAGAGTTCGTCGGGTGGTTCGGGAGGTCTCCGCAAACATATAGTGAACGGTATTTGCGCAAGACGAGCGGTAACTCGAAGCATGAACATTTCCGATGATGTCTGAACGTGAGAAATGCGAAGAATGGCAATTTCAATCGGTGCCACGTGGCCACCCTCCTTTCTCCGCACTCTCTTATCTCTGCCCCAGATCTTTGCCTATAAAAGGGAGCCGGCGACCATCAGTTCCTCAGTTCGATCACTGCTCTTTCAACGAACAACAACAATGGGAGACAAGTCTGCCTACATGAGCGCCGGCGGCTACTCGTCCGGATACATGGGCTCCAACGCCTCCTCGTCCGGATACGCCCGTGAGGAGTACGCGAGCGGCGGCAGCGGCGGAAGCAACAACAACAACCAATCGTCGGGAGGATCCGGAGGCGGCGGCGGCGGCGGATCCGGCGGACAAGTGTTCAAGGCGCGCACCGATCAGTCGTGCTACCTCGGACCTTCGTAAGGCGCCGACGAATCTGCATCTCCGAGCATCTCTTCACCACTTCATCTCTCTCTGTGTGTAAATGTGCCCCAAATAAATGGTGTGCACCAAAGTGTGTGTGTGGTTTCCATGAATTGTCGAATTTTCTTGAATTCTTCTCAGGCAATGAAAGCGAAAAGCGGACTCCACAAAACAATATCGTTTTTCTGGAAATGGACAACAGAAACAACTTTTTCAAAAAGCGTCGCAGTAATCGCGCTCTAATGCACTCTCGCGTGAAACTGCGGATTCAGGCTCTTTATTCTCGTTTTCAGATTTTCGGAGCTTTTACGACAATACAACGGTAAATCGCAAGAATTATGACACCAAAGCACTGCGTAAATGTTTCCAGATTTCCTCAAGGGTCTTCTCTCCGCCAACTCTCCGGATCTCTTCTTCCGACGAACCCTGATCATTCAGCTTTCTCTCTCTCTCCGATTCTCGGTCTCTCCCTCCCAATCACCCTCTCTTTTCATGCTTTCACTGTGTAAAAATGCCCTCTCAACTCAGGCGGGCTCTGCCGAAATCTCTTCTTATTCAAGGGAGAGAGGGAGAGATTGGAGGCTGGCAAAGTGAAAACATGACACGATTTTTCTACTGATTTTATTCATTTTCTGATGATTTTTCATGTAGCCGTACTTAATCTCATACATTTGCAATTGCATTTGACAATTTTCAATAATCGGGATCAGTGCGTATAAACAATTGCGTCCCTCTCTTTCCTTTCTTTCAATGTTTCCTCCCATCAGAATGGCCGACGACGAGGAGGACATCGTGTGGATCCGTGAGGATGTTCCCCCAGCCACTCCGGCCCAACCAACGTCTCCAACTTCGCCAACGACTCCAGCGACGGTCATCGAGGCGACGCCCAGTTTGACGGACGCATTCGAGCGAAAGTCTCAGGGACCGCCGCCGGAAGTGACCGTCTCGGCGCCGCAGGAAGAAACGAAGCCAGTGGAGAGTGCTCCGATTCCGACGGAAGAGCCGCTCACTCCGAAACTGGAGCCGAAGACGCCGGCCGAGGAGAACAGCATGAGCTTCGATATCAGCGAATGCGAGCGTAAATTCAACAACGCCATCCGCGAGGCCAACGACATTCTCGAGGACTTTGACGCGAAAACGAAGCAGGTCGTCGAGAATACAAAGTTTGTGGCCAAAGAGCTGGCTCAATTGGCCGCCGACGCTCCGAAAGTCTTCCAGAAGACAATCGACGATCATTCGCAAGTGCCAGAAGTGTCCGAGCTTCCTTCCGGAGGGTAAGAGTGCTGCCGAGGAAAGAGAACCTATTGCAGCCGCTGAAATTTGGCGATCGCGCTTTACCGCACTCCACGCGTGTTCACTTTAGAACACTTGGGAGTGCGGTAGAGCGACATTGCCAGATTTAAGTGGTTTTATATTACAATATCTGATTTTTGAGACTTCCGAAAAACGTGGAATCCGTTCTGATTGGCGAGGGAATTCTCGAGGAAATCACCGGGACGCTGGTCCTTCCGAATGGCACCGTACTGGTCACGGACGACAGAGCCGGCATTCTGCTCTTCGATTTGGAGGGAAATGTTGTCGGCAAAGTGGGGATTTTCAAATTTTGAAAAAAAAAAAACGAAATATTGATTGAATTTCTATATTTTCAGTTGAATCCACCCGAGTTCCGAAAGCTTTGGAGTCCGGTGTACCATAAAGAGCACATTTTGGTAACTTTTTTTTGCAAATCACATACATGTTTGACTCCGCCCACCTGCCATGCAACACATAGCGGAGGACGGAACTCGCGAGACGTCGGTCGCTCTCCTGCGTGCCCCTATATAAGTGCGCGCGTTTCTCCCTATTCCGTTCTTCCGAGAACATATACTAAAATTGGAACAATACAGAGAAGATTAGCATGGCCCCTGCGCAAGGATGACACGCAAATTCGTGAAGCGTTCCAAATTTTTTGTGTAATTTTAGGTGTTGGCCGACGCGAAAAACGGAGCAAATCACTGGGTCCGTCACGTGATAAAGTTGACGACGCAGCTGGAGTACGTGGCGAAGATCGAGTGTCCGTCGTGGCTGGCCGAATGCACCATTCTGCGGGAGCGTCTCAGCATCGCCCACAACGATCATTTGTATTTGTGCGTTTGTGGAGAGGTATTAAATAGAGCTGACTAACTTTTGCTAAAAGTTGGTCCACGTAAGTCTTCAGATATTTTCGGGTCTCTACGAGTTGACGCCAATCGGCCAATGGACCGAACTGGAGTACAAACTGTCCGAGGCCTACGTCGACATGCTCGCCTTCGCCACAATCGGACCGATCACTCAGTTGCTCGTGGTCGAGGGTCAGTTCCTACCGTAATCCTCCTTGCTACAGTAATCCGCAGGCCGTCGCAACTACGTTCTGCTCGTTTCCGTTCGAGAATCGCGGATTGTCGACAAGAAGCGGATGGCGATTTGCGAGCGGCCGGGCGCTTTGGCCAGAGATGAAGCCGGTGGGTTACTGTAGCGATTACGATATATTCGGGATGCTTTCAGGCCGCCTATTCGTGGCCAATCGATTCTCGGCGAGCATCCAGCTGGTCGACACGATGCGCTGGGTTTCCGAGAAGAACGTGGCGATCACGGAGGCGTTCGTGCGGCATTTCACCGCTTGCTGGGGCCTTCTCGCGATCCCTTTGAAATCGGCCGTTCGTCTCCAGCGCTATTCGTTCCGTTCTCTCCGCTAATTGTAAAAAATCATATAAATCTCTTAATCGTTCAATAAGTAAAATTAGGCAAAAGTGAGAATTTGACAGGAACTAGAATGAATTTCAAAAGTCTATCCGGACGTCTCCTCGGGTTTCTTCTTCGATATCTTCGTCTGATCCACCTTCTTCAGGTTGTTCGGATTCGTCACCTCGATTTTCCACGCCAATCCTTTCAGTTTACTCGACAATTGCTTGATCTTTTCCCTGAAAAAAATGTTTTCTAGAGACGAATCAGAGATTTTCTCACTTGTTCGCCTCAAAAACCATATATTTCTCGTAAAGTGGCTTCGTAATCCATCTGCCCTCGTACCAAACATCTCCTTCGTTCAGCGGCACTTTCGAGGAGACCGTCGGCACTTCTGGAAGCGAAATATTGATGGGGAAGCTATGATATAGAGTAGAAAACCGTACTTCGTTCAATTTTTTCCCGGCGCTTCTTGGTCTCCTCGTCCATTTCGTTCAGTTCGGAATCGTCGAGCATCAGCGCGAGATAGTCGTCTCCGCTCATTCTCTGCCATTCCGGCGGACGACGTTTCTCGATGATCGTCCTGAAAACCCGTCAATTTCCCTCAAACATCAATAGAATCTGTTACCGAATCAGGCTCATTCTCTGCAAACAATCGGCGCACTCGTCGGACAGTTCGCTCGGATTCTCTCCCTGCATCAACGGCTTCCGCTCCGTCACTTTTTTGAGCATTTGGGTCAGCAGACACGTTCTGAAAATAGACAATGGAGGAGGTGATTACGGTCAAATCTGCACGGACTTTGAGTTGAGATCGCAGACGAGCTCCTTGCCGAGATTGCACAAATCTCCCGTCGAAATCTTCTCGAGCTCTTCCTTGTTGTTATTGTTGCCAGTTGGACGGGTGAGCGGGCCCGCTACAAAGTAGTGCATCTCTGGTTCCTGAAAATGTTCTATATAAATTTGAGGCTCCGAAAATGCTGAAAATGCCAGAATAGTCAGAAGAAGGGATTAATCGTCTAAAGTTCTTTTAAGATTATCCGTTCGTTTTTTCATGATAGAAAAGCACCTGGAAAGTTCGGAAAGCACAGGATTATTGTCAGTCAACTACTTCATAGAAATCTCCAACTGGTTCAAAAGTCGAAGCCCCGAAAATCCTTTTTTTTTTTTACATATTTGAGAAAGCGGATCGAATGATGAAAAGTGGATAATCTCAAAAGCCCATTAGTCTCTAATCTTCTTTCTCTTTTCCATCTTCTGATGTTTCACCGTAAAACTTTCCCGCTACATAATATTTCATGGGTTTCCTGTAAGACCCGACTACAAATGAGCTCCCAATTGAAATTCCGAACTCGGAATCGCGCTCAGCTCAGTTTCCAACCTGCGTTCTCTGCGAATACACCGAAGACTGCGAGCCGGGGAACTGATTTCCGCACGAATTTTGATCCGATTGGTATCCGGACGCGAGTTGCGCGTTTCTCTGCTGCTGCTGTTGCTGCATTTGCATCTGTTGCTGTTGAAGTTGCTGTTGCTGTTGCTGCTGTTGCATTTGGAGCATCTGCTGTTGCTGTTGCTGCTGTTGTTGATCGTACATCAACTGCTGCTGCTGTTGTTGCTGGTAGGCCTGTTGACGGAGATGTGCCTTTAATTGTTGTTCTGGATTAGAAACTACTGCTAGGATTTCGTTCTTTAAGTTATACAATTGTTTAAATGAAGTTAGAGAAAATACTTTCTCAAGCTCAAAATGACGAATCTGAGCCCATATCCGAGGGATTTTCAGGGCGCTACAACGTAGTAGAACTTGATTTCCCCCCAAGCAATCACCTGCATCTGAGCCATTCTCTGCTGATGCTCGACCATGTACTGCTGCTGCTGATTCATCGTCATTCCCGATTGAGCACCCATCTCGGGCTGTCCCATCGCTTGCGGATGGCTCTGCTGCTGGAAGACCGGCTGCTGCAGGAGCTGGTGAAGGTGTGGCTGCTGGGTCTGTATCGGTCCTGCGGCCAAGTGCTGAGCGAGAAGCGAAGTGGGAGCCTGTTGCGTGGGCGGCGCTTGCTGAGCAACTTGCTGACCCATTTGCTGAGCCATCGACATTTGTCTCTGCTGCTGTTGCTGGTAGTGCTGCTGATGGCTCATCGAGGCTGGGTACTGCGGTATTTGCTGTCTGTAATTCCTTTTTTCAGCTCTAAAAGCTCCAAAAAGGGCAGAGCTTCTCGACTCCGCCCATTCGTTGCCCAGGGCTGGGTGAGCGATTCGGTTCTCGTTGGTCGAGAGAAAAGCGTTTTGAGTGCTAAAAGAGATAGAGAGAGAGAGGCACAGGCACAAAACAGTTAAAGGCGCCTTAAGCATGCTCACCCAGCCCTGCTCATCCCCTCCAAACTAACTGATTGGATGCCATGTCCATGCTCGGATTAGACAGGTACCCGGGCGGCATTGCGAATCCCTGCTGCATTGCTGCCGAGTGTTGCATGTAATGTGGGGGCGGTTGGGGCGCCGGCGTGGCCGACGGTCCCTGCATCGCGTACCGGTTCTCGCTCCACGCCTGCTCTTGCTTGACTGAAAAGGCTTACACGAAAAGGCGTTGGCCAGTTGGGACCGGAGGCAACATACTCATGTAGGCAGGGGTGGGCGTCTGCGGAGGAGGGTATTGTGGCGTCGTTTGGCCCATGTACTGGGGCAATCCGGTCTGCATCGTCGGCGGGTACATGTGCGGCGGATAGTACTGCCCGGGCGGGTAGTTGGGCGGTTGATTATTCATTTTCTGCAAGATTTTGTCGATTTTCATCTAGTTTTCGGCAAAAAACGCAAATTTTGAAAAATAAAACGAAATACTCGGTTGGCAAAAGAGAAGTAATAATAAATCAAAGCAAATCAGGTATTGAAAAGTGCAAAAAGCGACAAATTTCATAAAAATCTTGTAGATTATAAAATTTCACCAGTTTATCGTAATACAAGTCGAGAAGTTAGATGAGAATCAAGTGAAATGTGGGGAGAGATCCTATAAATGCTCAGAACTCCATGCGTTCCGTATTGATTTTCTTGACGCACAGACTTTTAGCGTCGAAGAAGCAGGCGACGACGGCGGCCAATTGGGTCGAGTTGGTGCATCCGCGCGACAGATTCTCCTCCACTTCCGCCAGTCCGAGGATGATCGTCGAAAGAGCCTGCAAACCTCGTGCTCAGAGCGCCTATTTTGAGCTTCTCACCTCGTCCGGAATGTCGAGGGTAAAGGCGATGTCGTGGAGACGAGTGACGACGTCTTGGAGGGCGTATCCGTTCTCGAACAGCTTCGTCTTGATCGTCTCCATGCACTTCTTGGCCGGCTCGTTCAGCAACGCCTTCACGACCTCTTTCATTTCGCGTGGCGTCGGCTGTCCGATGCATTGGTAGACCGTCGTTTCTGTGATGTCGTCGAAGCTCATCGCCGTGCTCTGAAAGGTGAAATTAGAATATTTAGGCTAGAATTTCTCACTTGCAAAGTGTTGATGAGTGTTCGCATGTCTCCTTTCGCCACTTCCAGGAGAGCCGTCTGTCCGTCGGGATTCATTTTCAACTGCTCCTTTTCTACGATGAACTTGAGGCGCGGAACGACCAATTTCATGTCGAGCGGCGGGAATCGAAAGCGTGTGCAGCGGGATTGAATGGCCGGGGTGATCGAGGAAAGGTAGTTGCAGATGATGCAGAAGCGCACGTTGTCAGTGTACTTTTCGATCACTCTGCAAGAAAATCGACTTGATTTTCAGTTTTCTAGAAGTTTCTCACCTTCTCAGCGCATTCTGAGCGTCTTTTGTCATCGCGTCGGCCTCGTCGAGCACAATTAGTTTGAACGGAGCATCTCCAGAGCTGGAGGGCTTCGCAAAAGCCGCTTGAAGTCCTCTGGTCTGGGCGAATGACACAATGATGTTTCTGAATTACAAATTTTATTGTCTCAACGCAACTTTCCATCCCAAACCTGACAGCATCGATTCCACGTTCATCGGAAGCGTTCAACTCGAGCACCATCGACGAAAACTTCTCCGGACAGTACATTTTTCGTGCGGCCGCCAGAATCGTCGTTGTTTTTCCGGTTCCGGGCGGTCCGTAGAACAACAAATGCGGCACTGTGCGATTTTCGATGAAGCGGGTCACTGAAATGGTGACAAATTGGGGAGATCTGATCGAAATCAAGAGGAAAACTCACAAGTTTTGACGATTTGATCATGAGCGACCAACTCGTCCAGCTTCGATGGCCGATACTTCTCCACCCATGGCAAATTGCTCGTCACTGCTGCCATCCTGAGATAAAATTAGTTTCCAACATGATTTCTCAGCATCATATCTTTCAGCAAGTGGTTTTGGCATGAAATTCACGATAAATACGCAAAAAGTTTTAGAAAATCGATAATTCTATACTTTTTTCTTTGACAAGTTCATATAAGTTCCAAGCTGCACAGAAATTATCATTGAAAATCCATTTTTACTCGGAAACCCGTTTTCGCGGCAAATTTTACTTGTCCGAGAGGACTCCACGGCCGAGAAATGGTTTTCGGTGCGAGACCCGCGGTCGGAAATATTGACATGCGCCTTTATAAGGGCCCGCATTATATCGAGGAAAATTAAAAAAAAAAAACCGTTCAAATGCGTTTATTATCGAACAAAAACAAAAAAAAAAACCAAAAATCAAAAATTCAGATAACAATTTCTTTGAAATGTATTAAAAATCCAGCATCAATTTGCCTACCCGTACGTTGGAAACGTCCAAAAAGACATGTCACCTTGAATTTGGGTACAAATATATCAAAATGAATGAGATTATTGGTGAGTCGTTTCCAAAATGTGAATCTCCGTCCGATCAATCCCTCATCTGTGTCCTCTCCGAGTTGCTCCACAGAAGTGACCCCTTCGAGTTGCCACGCGCCTCCGGGAGCTTCAAAACCAACGAGACGCGCGCCAGAAGCGAAAATGTCGGGGAATTTCGAGTCTTCGGGCCACGATGAGTAGGCTTGAGCGACAATTATTTGAACAGTCTGCTCGCAGCCATTTTCTTTCGTTTGGGTCTCCAAATAATTCTGCATGTAAGTGCCGACTTTTACTGCGGGAATCAAAAGATTCGGCAGAATCCAGGTGCTTTTCTTCGTCGGAAACAACCATTTCGACATGTTTATCAGGTTTTTGAGTTTGACACTCAGTTCCGGAGCCTGATCATAATCATCGTAAACCATATCGAAAGTGAGCGATTCCAGCGGGTACCTCTTGAATTCCTTCAGATCGATCGCAGTGTCAAAGCTGATCTTTGTGAAGAACGTCTTCGATGTCATCCAGCGACTCCAAGGCCCTTCCTCTTTTATTTCATACGCGTATCTTCTCATGAAAGCGACCTCTTTCACTCGCCATTTTCCCATCATTTCGAGTAGAATTTCAAGCGGGAATTTCAGGCGGTGTCCGTTCCGGATCTCGTCGTAATCATCCAAAAGCAGCACGAAATGGTCGCATGAGATGTTCCGATTAATCTGTTTTCGCATATTTTCAAAGCTCTCCTCTTTGCTGGCAGCGCGATCCGCACGTTCGGCTAATTCGCAGAGCAGACTGAGAAAAAAAATCAATAAAATCATTTCAAATTGTGCAAGTCCTTTCACTTACTCTGAATGCACGATAAGTTTTTCGAAATGACGCGGCTTGTCGAGCAGATCGAGAACGGATAAATGAAGAGGACCGTATTCGCGGCAGTTTCCGATCATGCGCACGCAATCCAAACACCGACTCTTGCAGAATACATTGATTCCGATCAGCGTTGTCAAATGGCTCCCTGAAAATTCGTTGTTTTGTGTTACAATTTTTCAAGGAGAACGTTTTCGCCCAGCGAAATTTACGTTTTTCTGGTTCATGGCAACTGGGGGCCAAAGACCGGTCTGGAAAAGCGGGTTATCGTCGGATGACCGGCCGAGCAATCCGTTTTGGCTCAGTGTGACGTCATGGACGGCTCGGCGGGTTGTCTTCGGATAACCGCCGAATTCGATCGGCAGCTGACTGCGTTAACCAGTATTTCGGCTTTGTCTTAAGTAATAACAGTGAAAATCGCAAGAAAGTAGCAAAAATTATGGACCTATTCAGCCGAGCATCTTACTGATTTTTTACGCAAAAAACCCTATTCAAATGAGGAAAAAAACCACGGCGGAAGAGGTTTTTTCATGTGTACAAACCCTGTTCGTTGCGAGACCCGTGCTAATAAAGGCATGAGCCTTTAAATACAACCGGGCGGTCGTTTAAATTGTTTTAAACAAGCTTAATAGCTTCCGGGGGGCCGAAATACAAAACACTCACAATTGTCGCCGATCAACGTGAGAACGATGTGTTCGTGCAGTTGCTCTCTCTCCTCCCTCGACCATTTTCTGCCTTCCTTCATCTCCAAATGTCTCACTTTGACTCCGGCCACTGTGCTCAGAAACCTGTCGAATGATTGAGTAGTTGTGTGCACAAAAACCGAACAACTCACTCGAAGTAGCTCTTCATTTTCCCGAATTGGACGATACGGTCGTTGACTCGGAGCACCGTCAGCGGGCCGAAATCGTTGAAGAAGAGTCTGTCGAGGAAAGTGACTATTTCTGTGCGCTTGTGCTCTTCTCGTATCGTGCGCAGACAAGTGTCGTTGAATTTCCGGTTGACGAGCTGAAATCGGACGAACACTTTCAGAGATCTTTTCGAAAACGCTTCTTACCCGTAGTCGCAAGTGTTGCATCGGATGGATATAATCGAAGATTGTGTCGAGGATGACCGTATTATCGAAAATGTTCGGCGACGTCGTCATTGTTGGGACTGAACTGGACGGTGCGGGGAAATGAGCAAATGAAGGGCCTCTACGCATCGCGCGTCTCTGGGTCATTATGTCTGTCTGTGTGTGTGCATTGATTTTCGAAATCCACTTTATTCGCACAAAATATTATCGGTTCGCAATAACTCTCCTCACGAGACCCATGTAGCCGATGACGTAAATCACAAGTGTCAAATAGATCATCGCCATCCAATTCGTATAAAAGTTGGCTTGACTGAACGAAAAGTTCTGAAAAACGGGGGGATACTCTTATAGAATCTAAAACGGATTAGTGTACCTCGACGACCGTACGCCCACTCTTTTCGCACAAACTATCGGGGACCGTGCGTTTGTGGCCGTGCGGATCGATGGCTTTGCAAGTGATATTGTCGAATTTCGCGTCTTCAAACTGATTCACAACCAGCGATTCGTATCCGTAACGGAACCTGAACACGGGAAATGAAAATGGCTTGAGGAAAAAGGCGAGTCCCCACCATGAAAGGTACTGTACCCAACTGATCCATCCGTGCATCTCGGACACATTTGTGAACAGACCGCCCGTCAACGAGAAGATTGTGAGCAACGGACCGGTGACAGTGACGGCGATCGCGTAGGAGGGAGCAGTCTGGAAGGGAAGGGACCATTGATTTGATTCGCAATTGGAGCGCGGTAACACTGACCGCACAAACGGCGATTCCCAGCGCGGCGACGTTCCATTCAATGACCATACACGTGAAAATCTGACGGAAAAAGCGGTGCACACTGACCGGGAAACCGACGAAAAAGTAGGAGGCGACGACGAGAACGACGCCGTCGACGGTGAAAATCGGCAGGAACGAGAGGATTTTGGCGATGTAGTAGGCGGAAATCGGGTAGATTCGGTCGTCGTACTCGCGCACGAGCGGCGGGTAATCGGCCGGCATGAACGCCTGGATTCCGAAGATTGTCGAGTAGGTCAGTTCGGAGATGTAGTAGAAGAGGGCGCCTTTGAAGCCGACGAGACCGTCCTTCGAATGGGAAATGATTGCATTAAGGTGATGGAAGGGATTACGGTACCTGATCGACATCCAAACTGTAGAAGAGGAAGCCGATGAAGAGTCCCATAAAGAGCTTCTGAAACAGTTTCGCTTTCATGATTGCAGGATTCCGAATGTTGTCGAGCATGTATCTGAAGTTGAATTGTGTTGGAATCGATCGAAAATGACGGCGCCTGGAGAACCTGTGGAAAAGAGCGAATAGGAGCACACAATAGGCGGCCGAGTGGTGGGGTGTCATCGCGCGGACACCTTTCGTCTGATCCATCAGTTTAAGAAGACGTTCATGGTAGACACTCTTCTCGAACTTGTCGCACAACTCTGTACATCTGATTTTGCATGCGTCCGCTTCGGACGGCTTGATTGCAAGGGTCTAAAATGTCTACAATAAGGTCAGAATAGTTCCCGATGCTCCCACATCAATAAAGTAATCGGCGGGGTTCGTGTGGTCGGGCACTTGGTATCCGCACGCCGAAAAATGATGGATCGCCTCGTCGATGGCTCCGTGGAAGGCGATTCTTCCCTGAGCCAGAAATACGACCTGAACGAGAAATGGAAACGGATAGAATACAGCAATCGTTCGCTCACTTTGTCAAAAATTTCAAAGACTTCCGATGAGGGCTGATGAATTGTGCAGATGATCGTTTTTCCCTGCTCCACCGCCATCTCTTCAAGGGTCTGTAGCCAAAACGGATTCTCGGTAGAAGGCCGCAGCTTTCAGCAATTTTCGCGCAAACCTTGCGCAACTTATCATTTGAAGTTGCGTAAAAGTTGCGCACTTTTATGGGGCTATTCAGGGGATGAAAAAAATGATTGTTTTCCGGTTTTTTCCATATTCAGCGATGTCAAAAAATGAAGAAAAAAACGGAAAGAAATGCATTGCTCGCAGCGTTTTTTTCCGGCGGGTCTCGCAGCGATTTCCCGGACGCGATGCATGCGGCTACTGTGAGAGACGTTTTATGAGTGGATTTACGAGAAGGGGGAATTTTTTTTCTAATTTTTCAGCGAAATTGCCACGTTTTCCCGCTATTTTCAACCGATTTTCAACGGAATTTCAGTTCTTATTTATCTGTTCTGGTAACTGATGCGAAATTGCCACGTTTACCGCTATTTCCGACCGATTTCGTTTGAATTCATTTTTTTTTGTATAGTTTCGAGTGCCTCGTCATATCGTTCAAAACATTGAGCTTTTCGGTAAAAATCGGTTCAAAATAACGGTAAAACGTGGCAATTTCGCTGAAAAAGTAGAAAAATTTTCGTAAATCCACTCATAAAACGTCACTCACAGTAGCCGCATGCATCGCGTCCGGGAAATCGTTGCGAGACCCGCCGGAAAAAAGCGATGCGAGCGATGCATTTCTTTCCGTTTTTTTTCCATTTTTTGACATCGCTGAATAGGGGGAAAAAAACGGAAAATAATCATTTTTTCATTCCCTGAATAGGCCCATTACCGAGAAAACCCTCGCCCACCTTGACCACTTGCAGAGACATGTGCGAATCGAGGCCGGTGGTGGGCTCATCGCAAAAGATGATCGGCGGATTGTTGATCATCTCGGTGGCGAACGCGAGTCGTTTCATCTCGCCGCCCGAGATGCCCTTCTTGATGCCCGGCACGCCGATCCGACTGTTCTGCGGCTTCTCCAGCAGCATCTCCTTCATCACTTCGTCGACTCGCCGCGCCCGTTCGGCCGATGAAGTGCCCGGCGGAAGACGCAGTTTCGCTTGGATGTTCAGGTGCTCTTTCACCTGACATGACAACGTATTCTAGACATTTACAGAGATCTTGACGGACAGTCAGAGTGCCGAGGAACAGGTCTTCCTGTTGCACGTAGGCGGACACACTCGTCACGCCCTTCCCAATGTTCTGTCCGTTCACCAATATCTCGCCTTCCACATCGAGACCCTGAAAAAGAAAGTGAACGTGTTCGTAGCCGAAGAATCGATGAACCCACTCTCAAGTTCCTCTGGAGCAGCGTGTTCAGCAGGGTCGTCTTGCCGGCTCCACTCGCTCCCATCAGAGCGATCACCTCGCCCGGCACCGCGCATCCGCTCACTCCGTTCAGCAGAACTCGACCCGCTTTTGTTGTTACTTTCAAATTTTTCCATTGTAACGTCACCAAATTGTCCCACTTTGCGGCCTCTCCGGCGCCGCTCAGCAGAGGATTCGTGGCGTCTGAAGGATCGGCACGTGGCGGGAAAATGTTTGTTTCTCTCACCGGTTTTAGTTGATTCCATGGCTAGAAATGGGAAAATGAGAAGAGTTTACGTCGAACAAGTAACTTTTTTACGCTTTTTTACGTCCAAAAAAACGACTGTACTACATCATTTTTATTTATGAGAAGAATAATGGCAATTCAGGAATATCAACTTCAATGTTCCTGTTTTATATCATCCAAATCTGATCCCTCAAGTCTGGTTCTGGCCTGAAAAAGAAACCGAACTGAAAAGTGGGAGATCTCCACCTCACATTGATTCCGAACTCTTTCAGAAACGCGCAGTCTCCATCGATCTGTCTTCTCACGCATCGTTCCGATTCCTGTGGAATCGTACATCCGCATTGCGCCAATTTATCCCACAGCTTACGGCTTTTCACGGCTCGAATCCACTCGTTCTGATACTTTTTTATGACCGCCTTGAACTTCAGCTCCTCGTTTTTTATCTTCAACGTCTTCTCGGATCGGCAATGAACGAGCGTCAGAATGGGCACGTAGGTGTGATTTGGCACTGTGAACAGGCCTCGGTTCGCCCGATTTCTCGATCTGGTCACGGTCACCTCGCTCATGTCTATGTGGTTTTCCATCCAAAACTGTCCGGTTCCGGGCCTACTCGCGTGTTCCCGATTGGCGAGCGACGGCCAGTTGAAAGCGCATGCATCCTTTTTGCAGGACGTTCTGAAAATTGCATTTGTTTGCTGTAGCATAGAAGTTACAGTACTCCTGAACGTGGTCGTACAAATGTTCTTCTCAAAATCAAACGCTATTGTAGGCTTCCAGACTTACACACAATCGTCCAAACATTTCAGTCTCAGCTTCATCACATATTCATCGTTCGGATTGAGTCCTTGCACAAAGTATACAAGACTCGGAGTGATCGGTTTGCCCACCATAGTGACCATAACTTCGTTGATCGGTCGAAGGTACTTGTAGCCATCAGGCACGGTAACCCGCACGTTTTCGAACGGATCCGGGTCCATGAGCAACAACTATTGTCGGCTTCTCCGCAATGCCCTTTTTGTTCAAAGTTCTTTAATCAAATCAGCCATCGCGATGTTATAAAAAAGATTAGTTTTTATTCGTTTCATGGGAATCATAAGACCGATTTCTTTATTTTCTGTCTCGCAGAGTTCAACGCATTTCAGTACATTTCCAACGGATGATAGTCCTGAAAAGGAGCACTGTGTGCGCGTGATCGGACTCTTTGTGCTCACCTGCTCTGTCTGGAAGTACAGTTTCTCGAGCTCCTTCTCCTGCGGTCCCCATATCTCGTGGTCCAGTTTCTTCGTCACCATCTCCTCTTTCGTCCGCTTCTCCGGCACCAGAATCAGATTCCATCCGTACTCGGGCTCGTACTCGTTCTCTGCCTCCTGCTCCGGATCCATGTACTGAACCACTTCCGACTGCGGCATGCACGAAAAGTCGTGAGACTGCGGAGAAGGTGGTGGTGGGGGAAAGAACTCGCCGTAGACGTACGGGAGCACCTGGAGAGTCATCGGATCCAGTGATTCCGTGACTTCGGAAGGCGGATAGTTCGACGGCACGAAAAGCGGAAAAAAGCGCGAGGAGTCGCGTTTCATGTGGCGGATCTGAACCGATTTGTAGCCTTTGACGGCCACGAACTTTAGCTGATCGAAGCGGAAATCGAACGAGAGCCCGCTGGAGACGTGGAGCACCGACAGAACCGGCACGTACTTGTGGTAGGGCTCCACGTAGACCTAGACGGATCTACACGGATTATCGATATCGATTCGAATCGATGCCTACCATGTTTCTGCCCAGATTCTTCAGATCTCTGGTGAGCCGCAATTGCTCGAATCTGATGATCGTCTCGTGCCACGTGGCGCCTAGTTCTCTCTGCGTCTCCAGCTGAAACACTCGGCTCAACTGCGCGTTCACACCGGCCGGCGCTATCGGAAACCAGTCGTCATTCTGGTAGGAGAATCTGAAGCCGCTTCCTTTTCTGTTGCTTTTCATTTCGAGAATTCCATACCTGTACTCGTCGGCCAACTCCAATCGAAACTTCATCGAATACTCGTCGTCGGGGCCGAGTCCGACGACCAAAAACTGCGGATCCGGGTGCATTTGGGAGCCGTCGCGTTCGACGAGCACCTCGTTCAGCGGCTCCAGCTCGCGATAACGATGCTCATCGAATACGAACACTTGCATTACAAAGTAATGATCGGAAGGGGACCGGCGAGGAGAAAAGAGAAAGACGTACTGGACTATCACGCGGATAATGAGGAGCACGGACAAATCGTGCTCGTATTCAGAATCCAACAACAAAACAAAACAGATTTCACATAAACAAACTTTATTCTATTAAATTCATCAATATTCGCAGGGACCTTCTCAGTCCTTTTTAGCTATGTGTAGACCTTCGGAACGCTCTCAGTCGACGATCAAATCCACGTCGTACTTGTCGAGGAAATCGAGCGTTTGGCGGTAGAGTTCAACGGTGGCGGCCACTGAAAACGAACACGAATTCTTGAAAACCTTCTCTCTTAAAGGTGGAGACGTACTGTCGATGGATGGCTCGGCGTCACGCTTTGAATGGATCTTGCTCGGATTCTTCACCTTCACCGTCGGCAGCTGAACCACGAAGCTCTCCGCCTTCGCCTTATCGTTCGCCAGAAGGATCTTGAACTCGTCGGCGGCAACATTCACGTGGTTCTACAATAATGATCAGAAAGACTCTTGGGATTCTTGATGAATCTCACAATCAACGTCTGCTGAATGTCGCCGGGGTCGAGCGGGAAGAACTTGTTGATGACGACGTCGGGAATCGAGACGTTCGTCTGGATGATGTGCTCGTCGTTGTCGTACAAGTTCAGATCGTTCTCGATCGTCGCTTTGTGTTTGCCGCTGAACAATTGGCCGACGACGACGGCGGAGACGGTGAGCAGCACGACGAGAAACGCTCTCATCACTGTTGTCGCAAGCGTTCGGGAATAAATTATCCTTCTGGAAGTGTCTGGAACGGGCGGAATGGAACTGATTAGATAGGGTTTGCGGATTAGGAGAACACGTTTATTTTAATAAATGCAATCAATACTTTGGGATGGAGAAGTCACGTTTTTAAAAGTTATTCAAAGGTTGGGGGGAAAGGTTGACGGGTTGAATGCGTTAAAGTTTTGTGGGAAATGTTGTCCGTTTCCGGGCCAGAACATGTTCGAATAAGGGTAATTGTAGCCGTATCCGTAGAAGTTCCACGCCGGCATTGGCATTTGGCCGAAGGACGTTTGCGTTGGTGTCGTCGGCGTGACCGGAGCAGTTGGCGAGGAGCTCGAGGAGCCGGAGCAAGTGCTCGAGCCGGTCGAGTTGCGTTTCGACGAATTCGGAGACGTTTCAGAGTCGTCGGAATTGGCGCGCTTCTTGCCGAACGCGTACTTGTTCTTCTGTTTCTTCAGATCATTCACTCCGTCGCACTGAAAATCACGTTCATGTTAAAGTAGTTCTAAGGGACCGACCTGATACGCGGTGACCACCATGAACTCCATAATATCGAGTTTCTGCTGAACCGGATAGGAGCTCGGCTCCCAGATGGTCTTCGTTTGATCGGTGTCCACGCGAAGGACAGTGATGACGGGCACGTATTTGTGCATGCTGTGCACGAAAATCTGAAAGCAAGAATCTCCTGAAATGGCTCGGAAACTTGGAAAAACGTACATGTTTATCGCTCTTTTTGAGCTCCTTGTTCGTGATTTTAATGTTATCGAACGAGACGTCCTTCTCCATCCAATGCGATCCCTTTTTGATGGCGCCGCCCTGCAGCTCGACAATTTGCTCGTCCGACGGGACCGCCGATCCGTCGCCGACGTCTTTCCACACTCCATTCTCAAATGTGTACCTGAAAACCCGTTAGTTGAACACAAAACCGAAAAACGAAGCAGAAATCAAACTCACTTTTTGCCGTCGACTCTTTTCAGTTCCATCTGAATTTTGTAGTAGCAATCCGGATGCAGATTCTCGATTTTTACGTCGATGCGCGGGAACAGCGCTCTGCCCGGATTCGTCACGATCATCTCGGGCATCGGGGAGAAGGCGGCCCAGAGCTGCGGGTTCGCCGGTTCGATGCGAACGCAGAGAGCCATTCTGGAAGAGCGGATGGTACGGAATGAGACGGAATGTGAGCACGGGCCGCGTGTGGTGCATTGAGCATAACTGTAAAGGGGCGGAGCCAACACACGCGCCGAGCGTGTACCCTTTGAGAATAACACGCGTGGCGTGTGGTGGTGAAGATGTTGGAAAAGAGAAGGGGGTAAAGGAAGGGGTTGAGTTCGAATTGAAGAATATTGTCAATCAATAAGCAGTGAATGAACAATACAGTAACCCAGTTTATAAGAAGCCGTGAGATAGAAATAGATTTTCAGAAAAGTAGGCCATATAGAAGGGTCTGAGGCCTAAAATAGAGTACAGTAGGAGAACAGAGTTGAAAAGCGTTCAAATAATATCGAGTTGACTTTTGTGAAAGTTGAAAGTCAGAAGTAAGAAGAACTCACAGTAAACTGCGACCGCCCAACGACCGCGAACTGATTCATAACATTGCCCGTTCCACCCACTTCCAATTACATGCAAAGTTGGCACTTCGGTGCCATTCGGGCTCTTTGACAGTCGTGGGATCTCTTTTGGAGTCGGCGAGCGTCCGATTCGCACCCGAGTGCCAACTGAGAGACCATCTCTGGCTCGATTTCATTGCACCGAGGTGTTAAGAGAAACTCTTCTACTTTTAGTATCGCTGATTAGGTTGATTGTAACTTTCGGCCACCCTGTTCCTTCCTTTTCTTTATCCTGACATTGCGCGCGTGTGGTGTCAAACTCACGTGGAGTTGGGGGTTCCCTGGCTCGAAATTTCAATGTTAATCCTATTACTTTACGCTCACGATTGCTTTTTCCGTTTTCGTTTTCTGTCAGGGCCCTTGAAACCATCTCCACACGTGTGTCCGGCGGTGTCTCTTTGAGCAGATCTGTAAGAAGGGGCGGTCGGAAGTGTTTGATCTTTTCAGGGAAAGACTTTCATACATTTTTCATCGGCCAAGGATCCCTAATCATCATAAAGACACCTCTCATTGTTGGCTAACACTTGAAGTGACCTACTGGGGAGTTTTCAGAGGTCTTGTCAGCAAAAATGAATGGCTCAATCCTATTTCCGACTGTTTTGTTCCATCATTTTCTGGGCTACAGTGGTCCGCTGATCTTATGAAGCCCGTTTCTTTTCAGGACCTTCTGCTCAGTCTTCCCATAGTGTGACCCATTCATGTTCGCCAACATCTTCATCTACCACGCGTGTGTCGCTCACAGTCTGCAAAATCAATTCCTCCCAAAGAACTCCACGTGTGGTGCCAACAAGACCACACGTAAACAACCAGAACACGGGCGGGGATGGGGGGAGAGGCGAATGTGAAAGAAGGACCTTCACTTTTTAGGGAAATTAGGTCTATGATATCTCTATCATACGGGAGTTCAGAACGTCTTGCGATATACGTTTTGTAGGCCATTATTTCATTAGTTATCAAAGATCCGCCTAGAGACCAATTGCCTACCGTGCAGAGTTGAGCGGAAATGGAATTTTGAAATCCGGAAGACGGCAGACGGCAGATGGAAGAACATTTTTTTTACGGAACACGGAAAACGGAAGACGGACGAAAATTTTTCTCCCGGAAGACGGAACAAAATGCAGAACCTTTTTCTCCGGTTTTTTTATAACTAAAGCAACAAAAATGTTGGATCTGGGTCACTGCCAGAGTTGAGCGGAAATGGAATTTTGAAATCCGGAAGACGGCAGACGGCAGATGGAAGAAAAATTTTTTTACGGAAGACGGGAGAAAATTTTTCTCCCGGAAGACGGCAGACGGAAGACGGAACAAAAAAAATCGTCAATGCAGAACCTTTTTTTCCGGTTTTTTAAAATTTAAATAACTAAAGCAACAAAAACTTTGGATCTGGGTCACTGCCCGTGGAAATTCGCGTTCTTCGGGGCTAGTAAATGGCTTCTGAAAAGCGATTATTCTTTTACGGTAAAAAGAAAAAATTCCTAAAGACAGCAGACGGAAAAAATTTTTTTACGGAAGACGGAAGACGGAACAAAAAAAACCCGGAAGACGGTAGACGGAATTCCGCTCAACACTGACTGGTACCGTGTAAGTATAAGCATCATATCAAGTTGCCGGTGCCGTTTCCTCTCACTTGGGTGCAGTGAAATCGAGCCGGAGATGTGAGAATTCTCACCTCACTAAGGTGCGAACTACGCCAAGAAGGACCGCCGACTTTGAACGGGTATTGTCGATGATCCCGGGTGGCACTGGGGTGCGAACGTCACGTTGGAACGGTTGGAAAACATCGGAGGCGGAGCGGCTCATTCTAGTCTCTGCACTTTTTCGAGCCATTACTAGTTTCTAATATTTCATTGAAACCTATCGTTCCAAGATCTATCGTCTTGAAAGAGTAGCACTTGGGTGACCTTCTCTTTCCTATTTGTAAGTTTACATATCTTTCAGATAGTCATGTCGCGTATCAAAGTTTCCCTTCAAGAAGAAAAAACATGGAAGGATTTCCATGATCACAACACGGAAATGCTGACCACAAAAGCAAAAGGACGTGTGATGTTCCCTCACCTGAAGTACGTGGTTAGCGGCTTGGATCCAGATGAGTACTACGTCATGCACCTCGGTTTGGAGCGGGTTGACAATATCAAGTGAGTCCTACGGTACCGTCGAATACCGTAACCCTGCTACAGATACACATTCACATCCGGAAAGTGGACGGAGGGAAGTGCCGGCGAGCCGATCCATCCGTTCACTTGGCACGAGCACAAAGACGGAGCACGTCTGGGCTCTCACTGGATGGGACAGACGGTCTCGTTTGCTACGCACAAGATCACAAATGATCCGAGTAGCCGAGATGCCAGTTTGATACGTGTCCACTCTTTGCACAAGTATCAGCCGGTGCTCCGAATTGCGCGGGTCCACGATCCAATTGGAGAGGAGTTTCGATTGAAGATCACCGAGTTTATGGTGGTTACACAATATAATGTCAGTTCGCTTCTTCTACAATACTTCAACTTTATCGTTCGTTTTTCAGAGTTCGAAAGTGGCCGATTTGAAGAAAGAGTACAACAAGTACGCGAAAGGACGTCGTGATTCGAATGGTGTTGCGTCGAAAAGAGGGCACATTTCTCTTGACTCCTCTTCATCCGGCTCCAGCTCAACTACCGTATCTCCGGTCCGAACCGCTTGGGACCCGATGTGGTACAGAGGATACGGAGGAGAATGGAACTACAACTATGAAATGGTTTGGCAGGCGTACCAACAGAATCCTCATGCTTTCAACTTTCACAATTTCTCAATTTAGTTGTTTTATGATATTCATTGAATCGATTTTCGCTTTCTCTCTTCCTATTGACCTTTTTAGAGATTTCCAGAACATCCTACATCAAATTTGACCCAGTTAGACCCCCTGAACGCCGTTCCCAGCGCCCATTTCGCTCCCTTTCGACCGCACTCCAGTGCCCCCCTCCTCTCTGCTCGCCCGTCGTCTCTCTCCTTTATAAACACTACTGAGACCAGTGTCAACCGTAGCCCGTATAGCTCAGTGGCAGAGCGTCTGTCTCGTAAACAGAAGGTCGGCGGTTCAATCCCGCCTGGGGGCAGCTTTTTCGTCACGTTTTTCAAAGTTGACAAAGTTTTCCGCACTTTATTTTGGTATACGCCCGTTAGCACTGAAGTGTGCAACTCTGATTTTAATTTCACCAACAGCCATATTTTCCCAGCACTCTAGAGGTAATTTCCGTCATTTTAAGCCCAAGCTGGGGTCTGTAGCATTTTTTTTGAAGTTTTTAATGATTTTTCAGTTGACGATGATAGTAAGCTGCAGTTTTTGCAGTCTCTGACGTGGCATTGACCCTTGAATGTAATCTCGGTTTCTGTCTCGCCATATCCCATCTGTCTTCCACCCGTTCTTCTTCTTCTTCTTCTTCTTCTCTCATCAGACCCCGATCGGCCCTCCTCCTTCTTCTTCTTCTTCTTCTTCTTCCCGCCACAACTTCCAACGTGTCCCCCTTTCTTTCGCAGCCGTCTCTCCCTCTCGCATACTATTACGAAGAAGAAGAGGGAGTAGTGGATGGGGGGTTTGTCAGGAGGTGGCCAGTCGTCCCTCAGAGTGTCCCACTGACCCTTTGTGTTCTGCGTCTCTTCCTCTTTTTTTGAGATTCGGATTTTTCTTCCGTTGATTGTGTTGATCTGAAAAAGTACATAAAGCTATGGAAATACCGGAGAATTTTCTAGAAAAATCTATCTGAAAATGTTTACGAGGAGATTCTCCTTGACATGCAATCAAACTTCCGTAAACAAACTTTTCGTAGAGCGAACCGAAAATGTTCAGAAACTTTGATCGGAACTTTATACGCGCACTGAATTTCGGAGGAAAATGTTTTACTTTATTAGCGTTTTGCGTCAAAATTTGGCAAAAACTCCCGAAAACAATGGCTGCGCATTTTTCGTGAATGCTTCTCTTCGTAATTCTTGCCGATAATGCGTGATTTTATCAAAAAACTTCATTTCTCTGCAGAATAATGCAAAAAGTCCAGTGGTGGTACGGTATTAAAGGCGCAACACACCGAAGATGAAAACGTTTGTTCGTGGCGACACCACTTGAAAGTGCGCAAAAACCGTAAATCAACTGTCGCTTCCCGTTTCCACCAACCTCATTTCTCATTCCAACTACCCAATTATGCATCCCGTTCTGACACCTTTTGTTCGAAAACTCAACGTCCATTCCATTTCCATTCAAAACTAACCTTACGCTCGCGCATTCGACCAGAATACGTGCGATTCTCGAGATGTCGTCGGAAGGCTTTCCGCGTCTTTTCCGCGCGCGCGCGACCAGTTCCGGCACTGTTTTTTGATTAAGTTTATGATGAAGACGATAAATAGTGACACGTCATCAAGATTACGTCAAAAATGTATGTTTGCACATTGACTCTTGGCTAGAAACGACGATTTGTTAGAGAGAATTGACTGTACGGACGTTTTGCAACCGGACAATTTGCAACTAGGACTATGAAACATTAGAACTAGAATTTCTATTTCTTCTTCTCTCACTTTCGCCTTCGAATAGTCAACGTCAGTTATATCTCTTCTGCGTCTCCAAGTGCTAAACACTCATTATTGTAAGGCTACGTGTCGAAACCGCCCTTATAAGCAGGCAAACAGCACGTACTTCCGCCTCCTTTTCCTCTTTTTCAAATGCTTATTCGGTTACTTTCAGAATGCGTCAGGCACTGTTTGTGCTGACCGTTTGCGGATGGGCTCATGCGGATCTGTTCACTTCGATCGCCGACATGCAGAACCTTCTGGAGACGGAACGGAATATTCCGAAACTTTTGGACAAGTACATTCACGAAGAGGAGGAACGGCTCGTTCAGCTGAAAAAGTTGGCGGATGAGTACGCGTTGAAGAACGAGAAGTCGATCGAGACGGGCCTTAAGGACATCACCAACCCGATCAATGCGTTCTTGCTCATCAAGAGAAAGGTTAGACTTTCAAATTTGTGCTCTTAAAGTCAGTTAATTGAAATCGATGTATCTCAACTGTTTGTAGAGATATCAAAAAGTGGTCAACTGATAAAATGTACAAAATGTCTTAATGAAAAATGTGTTAGTTGACAGCTTTTTGATATCTTTTCAAGCAGCCGAGATATCTCGTCTGAAGCTAGAAGCAATTACATAAATTTCAACTTTTCAGATCTTCGACTGGAAAGAGATCGAATCGAAGATGAACGCGAACAAAGCCGACGGGATCGTGGCCTCCATGACCGGAGAGAACTACGGAGTTCGGTACCCGACCGCCGACGATTTGAGCGGAGCCGCCACCGGTCTGCTCCGTCTCCAGGACACTTATCGATTGGATACGAAGGATTTGGCCGACGGAAAGATCTATTCGGATCAGGGAAATTACACGTTCTCCGGTAGGATTCACTTCATTTTTGTTGACTAAACTGTCGTTTTTAAGCCAGAGACTGCTTCGAAATCGCGCGCGCCGCCTACAATGAGCACGACTTCTACCACACGGTCACGTGGATGCAAGAGGCTCAGAGAAGACTTGCCGATGAGCCGGAGCCCACTGCTGATATTGAGGATGTACGTTTTAAATTTCTTTCAATAAGGAAATAGTGCCATTTTTCAGATTCTCGAATACCTCGCGTTTGCGCTTTACAAACAGAACAACCTGAAACATGCCTTGAAGCTCACTGAGGAATTGCACAAATTGAGTGTGTTCTTTCCCTTTTTCCCTCTTCTCCTTTCATATTATTCTTCTGCCAGACCCCTCCCACCCTCGCGCGAAGGGAAACGTCAAGTGGTACGAGGATCTTCTGGAGCAAGAAGGCGTCCGACGCAGTGAAATGCGACGCAACCTGCCGGCGATCCAGAACCGTCGGCCGGATTCCGTGCTCGGAAACACCGAACGAACCATGTACGAGGCGCTGTGCCGAAACGAAGTCCCAGTGTCTCAGAAGGACATTTCCCGCCTCTACTGCTACTACAAACGCGACCGTCCGTTCCTGATCTACGCGCCGATCAAGGTGGAGATCAAGAGATTCAATCCGCTGGCGGTGCTCTTTAAAGAAGTCATCTCGGACTCTGAGATCGCAGCGATTCAGGAGCTGGCGAAGCCGAAACTCGCAAGAGCCACAGTCCACGACTCCGTCACCGGCAAACTCGTCACCGCAACTTACCGTATCTCGAAGAGCGCGTGGCTCAAAGAGTGGGAGGGCGACGTCGTGGCGAAGGTGAACAAAAGGATCGAGCTGATGACGAATTTGGAGATGGAGACGGCCGAGGAACTGCAGATTGCCAACTACGGAATCGGAGGACACTACGATCCTCACTTCGATCACGCCAAGAAGGAGGAGAGCAAGTCTTTCGAGAGCCTCGGAACTGGAAATCGCATCGCTACCGTTCTATTCTATGTGAGCTCATTTATCAAAGTTTTGTGTCAAATCTTCATGTCTTGTACGTTATTTTTGTATCTTCACTCCCAAGAGTACTGTAGCTAAACGTGTAGAGCAACTTCTACAAGCGACAGTATTTTTTGGAGAGGTTGTACTAACAAGTTGTCAACCACAAAAACAAAGTACTAAACATGAGGCTTACACCCAAACGTTTTTGGAGCAATAGGGCTTCATCAGGTGCTGCTAGACCAACACAAAGTTAACCTTCGATCCCCTTCAGATGTCCCAACCGTCGCACGGAGGTGGCACCGTCTTCACCGAGGTCAAATCGACCATTCTGCCCACGAAGAACGACGCGCTCTTCTGGTACAATCTGTACAAACAGGGCGACGGAAACTCGGACACCCGCCACGCCGCCTGCCCAGTTCTCGTGGGAATCAAATGGGTAAGCTGTCGGACTACCTTTTTGGACGACGATTTATTGAAACCGATATTGTAGGTCTCGAATAAGTGGATCCACGAGAAGGGCAACGAATTCCGTCGTCCGTGCGGCCTCAAGTCGTCGGACTACGAGCGATTCGTCGGCGACCTCGGAGTGGGCCCGGAGCCCAGAGACACTCCGAACCTGTCGCCGAGGCTCGGAAAGGATGTCTGGGAGACAATCTAAACTGTTATTTTCAAATGTTTTCCATTTCTCACTTACTCCTCGCATAATTTATCCCCAAAACCGGGTGGTTTTTACATGTTTTCTCCCCTTCTTGTTGCCTTTTTTCTCCCTCTTTTTTCTCCAATAAACTTTATTCTATTCCAATTCCAAAATAGTCGACGGCAACGATCGTTGATTAATCATGGGCGGTCTCGAGGAGAACGTCGACACTTTGCGTACTTGCGTCGACACTTTGCACGGCAGGATATCGTCCAGTTCTCGGTAGGCTCTGATCTGAATGATCCGCCCGTCGAAGGCTCTCCGTTGGATTGTCGTCGTTCTGGACGGAAGCGCGTCGAGCGGGAACGCCGTCGACATCTGCGGACAGTCTTTGTTCGTGATGCATCTCAGACGGTTCAGCTGGATGAAACAGTCCTCGTTGTTCACCTGAAATCATTAAAAACGGGTCCCTCCCACTAACATTTCAAAAATCACCTCATAAATGATCGCCGGCATCGCTTTGTGATGTTGAAGAATGGCAGTGTGAAGAAGGAAGAGGAACAATGGGAAATTGAAGTTCGGGAACACAATCGGAAGGCCCATAATAGTTTGTGGGCAGTAGATACCGAAGGAAACATCGAGAAGCTCGATCTGAGACGGTTCTTACTTGGTTGTACCTGAAATCTCTTACAAAAATAGTTGAAAAGTAAAAGTACAATGCGACGAAAGTGGAGATCATCGAGCGATTGTACAGGTAATGCCGTCTTTGCACTGCGTTGTAGATCAGTCTGAATTGGAAACGTTGACGAATGCTCCGGAAGTCTGATTTCTGATTACTTGCACAGTTTCGCAAAGTCCTTGGCGTAGGGATAGAATGCGATGGACGTTGAAGTGAAAATAATGACGAGGAATATGGGCGCAGAAGCCACGCGAATACTTTTGGAAAGGGATCTCGTGAGGTACGGGAAGCCGAGCGCGGCTCCGAAGTGACGGCCCGGGAATGTGGAACGGACCGAGCACGTGTGGAGGCTGAAACGATTCTTGCAATGCGCCTTTAAGGGTACCGTATCTGGTGTCGCAATACCGTTTATTCAAGACGCCATATCTCAGCTGCCGGCCTAGATGTCAAAATGTTGTCAACTGACAAAATGCTCACAATTTCTTGGTGAACAATTTGTTAGTTGACAACTTATTGATGTCTCTATTGGAAGCCGAGATATATAGTCTCGAATGAACGGTGTTGGGCTACACTTCTCGGTCGTAGCCAAAACTAACAAATGAGTGCCGATTTGATCTTCAAATTTGTTCGAAATCAACCGAACCAAACAGAAGACGATAAAGAGTACGGTGGCTCTTCGCTGCGATTCACACTCTTCCCTGGAGACGTCAAAGTGGACACGTGACGTGGCATTTCTGGAATGTGCCCTAAAGCCCGCCCGAAAGCCGTCAAATAACCCTACCGATCATCGTAAAAATCGCACAAAACCGCAATCTTGGGTGTCAAGTAGACGTTGATCAGTGCGGTGGCGAAGAGAAGAACGGAAAGAGTAGCGAAAAAGAGAATGATTTTGAACGTTTTCAGCGCTTTTTCGAGTTTTGGGTTCATTTCTCGCCGACAAAAGTGAGAAACTCTTTCGTGCCGGAGAAAAAGAGCCGGCCGGGGGTAACCGAATTTCGCGATTGTTTTGTGGACTTGAAAGAGCGAAACGAAATCGCATTTCTCGCTTCTTCTTCTTCTCCTTCTTCTTTTTGTGTGAAATCTTGGATATTTTATTGGAAAAATACTGACTTAGGCAATTGGGAATTGATGATAGAATATGAAAGCAAAGCAATGGGATCGGGGGGAAGCATTGTGACCGAGTAACGAACGTTCTCTTATCGAAAAAGAAAAAAAAAGGAAAAGCACCGGCGAAGTAAGATCAGTTCTGGTATTATTAACAATGAGATCCATTCTAAAGATTGTCGACGATCCGATGGGTTCGGAGTGATGACGTGGCGCGGATCTGCCGCTGTCTCTGCTTGGATCCGTCCATCGGACTGTTCGGCACACTGCTTCCGATCCCCGAAGAGCCGGAGGATCCGCTGGCCGACTGCAGCAGCGCGACAATCGATTCCTTGCCGGAGATCATCGCCACGTCCATCGCCGTTCGACCCATCGCGTCTTTGATTTTGGGCTCGGCGCCGAACTTCAGAAGCAGGTTGACCAGGTCCCGGTCGCCGATTTGAGCAGCTATCGAGAGGGCCGTAGCGCCCTGGAAAACACTATTACATACGGGTCTCTGAATTATATTGTACCTGTCGATCGCCGCGATTCGGATCCACTCCACAACTGTCCAGAAGGTACACCGATATGTTCAGGTGCTTCGCCCATACGGCCGTCATCAGAGCAGTCCGTCCGCCCCGATCCACGTCCTCGAAGTTGGCGCCGTTCCTCCGTAACATCTTCGCAGCGGCCACGTCATTCGTCGAGGCGGCCACATGGACACAAGTGCGTCCGTGCACGTCCGCGTCGGATGTCGAGGCACCGTGGCCGAGGAACACTTCGGCCACGTAGATGAGGTTGGAAAGGATGAGCGTTTGGATGAGCGGGGTTCCGTCAGCGTCGCGTTGGCTCCAATCGGTCACTCTCGGCGCGATCGTATCGATTACGGATGTGTGGGCGGCCATGGCGGCGAGAGAAAGGGCGGTACGACCTTCGTGGTCCGGCTGGTTCAGGGTGTCGGACACTTCGAGAAGCTTCTCGAGAACCTGAAAACAAAATTTGATAGGAACGTTTTTCAAGCGAATTTCAACTCACTTTTAAGTTCCCGTTGGCGGCCGCAATCATCGCCGGATGCTGTCCGTACCGATCCTTTGCCTCGGCCGTCTGCTTATTCAGAAGCGGCGTCACCAGTTCCACATCATCATGCGTCACCGCGTAGTGCAGTGCCACAGCTCCGTCGTTGTCTTTGTGTCCCTCATCGGATCCGATTCCACACAGGAACTCCACAACTTTCGAATGTCCGTTGATCGCCGCCCACTGGAGGGCCGTTCTTCCGTTGTTATCAATCGAATCCACGTCGGAATGAGCGGTTGCCGTCAGGAATTCGACTGCTTTCAGTTGTCCCTGACTGGCCGCGAGCATCAGAGGAGTTTGACCCATTTTATCGGGCACATCCACCACCGGATACTTCTCGAGGATGAATGGAATGCAGGGGTCCCCGTGGTAGGCGGCCAGATGAAGGGCCACTCGACCGTTCGCGTCTTCGATCTTGCAATCGGCCCCAGAATTCAGAAGTAGCCGAGTTGTCTCGGCGTGCTCATCCTGTTTGGACCCATTCGACAAATTCAAATGCAACGCGGTGGCTCCCGATTTGTCCACCGCGTTCACATCTGCTCCGTACTGCAGAATCACCCCCACCACATCCCGATGTCCCATAAACGCGGCGGCCATCAGGGCAGTCCGTTGTTCGGAATCCCTCCGATCGACCATTGCGCCCGTCTGCAGCAACAACTGAACTGCGGCCAGTTGTCCGGACCAGGCGGCCGCTCGGAGCGCCGTCCGGTCGCTGTGTCCGCACTCGTCCACGTCGACGCCCTTTTCCAGAAGGAGATGGAGGATGTCGAGTTGTCCGTAGCACGCGGCACTGCGCAGGGCATTCCATTCTCCGCAACACGAAGAAGCGACCAGATGGGGGAAGTGATCGGCCAGGAAACGGCACATTTCGAGGTTCCCGCGGGCGGCGGCGGTGAGCAAGCCGAAGCAAATGTCCTGAAATACAAGAATGATTTCGAAATGACCTTGAAAGGTATTACCATCGGCATCGGCTTGCTCTCTCTCAAAATAGCATCCAGGTAGTCGACGTCTCCGACCGAACACGCGTAAACCACATCATTATTGTTGTCCTCCATCCGCGCCCCGGCGGATTTTAACAGTGCAGTCGTCGGAAGATCTATAATATGACACCGAAGAACCAGGTCTCCGGCGCCAACACTTTGCAAAGTCTTCACTGCGTTGATGGGGTTCGTGGTCGAATGGGAGAGATGATAGGCGAGCTCGCAGATGTCCTGAGCGCTTTTCCGTCGTTTGGTCTTGAAGTGTTCCGCCCACGCACAGTGACTTCGGAGCGTCTCGTCGCCGACGAATCGGAACCAGATGTCGGGCACGTCGAATAGATCCGATTCGGATTGGAACGTGGATCCGATGACGCTGCTTATCAATCGGATATCCTTCTCAAGTATGGAAATTTCTCGGGAGATGAGCATCTGCGAGACGGCGAGCAGTTGCTGACGGCTCGGACGGCATCGGCTCGTCTTCGCCAGTCGGACGATCTCTTCGAACGCGGCCGGCAGACTCCGGGCCACCAGCGCCATCATCGGGCCCACTCCAATCGGCGGCGACACGTCACTCGGCAACATTCCGAGCTCCACTGCCCTGGCCAGCTGCTCCACATAGAACCAAGAGCCGTCTGATGATTTCCGAACGTCTTTCACCTGATAATGAGGTAGTTTGGCACGGATGAAACGGTCAAAGTCTGGGTCATCGGGGAGATCGAGTTCCATAATCTCTTTCTGCTCCACTTCCTTCTTCTTTTCCTCTTCTTCGTCACTCACAGCTCCATCCCTCGACGTGTAAACCATTCGGATCCATGTTGGCAGAATGTCAGTGAGCATCTCGACGAGTATCTGCGTCTCCTCGTCCTCCACATTGTCAACCACCAGGAACACTGGTTTCGACGGAGACGGCATCGTCTCGAGCGGAAGTTGGATGAAGTGCTTGAGGGCGTTCAGCGTGTCTTCCAGCAAAGTTACAGTCGTCAATCGTGGCAGGACCAGATTTGGGAAGCGGCGCATGAGCTGGTCGCCGATCGATCGGATCACGGTGGCCGGTTCGGATGACTGTGGCTCATCGGGACGGCAGAAGTGGGAAGCGACGCATTCGGGCAGGTCGGAGAGCTGCAAACTTGTACTGGTTAGAAATAGAAATATTAATCAAGAAGAAAGAAGTTTGGAGTAAAATGGTCAGTTTTCGATTTAGGAAGGGTAAAATTTGCTACAATTTTTCAGTTGACCACTTTTAGAAATAGTCATTGACACTTGAAATACAGGTCTGCCAAGTTGAGAAGGTTCGGTACAAGGCTACTCTAATACAGTCCATCCAAGAAGATTTATCTCAGCTGCCAGTAGAGATATCAAAATGTTATCAACTAATAAATTGTTTATCAAGGAATTACGTACATTTTGTCAGTTAACAACGTTTTTTATATCTCTTCGGGCAGCTGAGATATAGCGCCTAGAATGAGGCGCTTTTCTATTCGATAACCCGTAAATCGACACTATATACGGTAGCTTTAAAGGCGCATGACAAGAAAGTATTCTGCTTTGTCAGTTCTAGACGTTTCCCCAGTCCCTTTCTCAGTCAATTATGTTCCCCTGCCCGGCTTCAAGTGTCCTATTCGCGTGCATTATACTCGGAGCCCTCGACACATGCTCCATCGCCTTTTCAAGTGCTCTCACACCTCCTCAACCCGAGTCATTTACCGGACAATATGGTCTTCTGTCACTTTCCCCAAAAAGTACCTTTTTCGCAAACCACGTCTTCCCGCAGTGCTCTCTTCCGATGATCTCCAACGTCTTCTTCTCCGTGCCGCCGCGTTGAAACCAATCAAAAAATGTGGCGAGAGCTTCGGTGCGAGGGGCTGCGGGGCTCGGAGCACTTGCTCCGTGGCTCAGCGGCTCACGCATGTCACTTGATCATTTGGAGGTGATGGACCTGAAAAACGTCACTTTTATATTAGAAAAAGAGCATGAAAAGTGGTGCAATTCGGAAGAAAAGAGTAGAAAAACAGCAAGTCGGGCGGCGGCCACCCGTCCGGAAAACGCTCTTCTCCATCAGCCTTTTCTCATAAATCAACGAATAAAGCAATGCTTCGGGAGAAGAGGGGGACAAAATTGACATTGACATGTCATCTGGAGCAGCAGTGGATGAGCACGAGGAGCGGAAGGCACGGCCCGTAACAGGAGAGCACAATGAGATGGGTGAGAGCAAACATTTCGCCCCGAAAGGAAGAGCATTGAGTGTTAGGGGCAAGCGGATTTATGCAGATTCACGTGGGAAAATGAATGTGCAAACAGGGAATTTACCCATTTTGTTAGTATAGAGGTTGAGTTTCAAATTTCAACTACTGTAGCTCTTGGAAGTTGTCTTACACTTTCATTAGATTGACTTCCATGAACTACAATAGTCTTCTTGTACAGAAAACTTGGCAGCTACAAAAATGACGTACTAGATATGAAGATTTCACACAAAAACGTTTCAAAGCCACAGAGAATCTCCTGCTACGCCCACGCACTTTAAAAGTTGAAACAATTGAGCAGAGAGAAAATGAGGAGGGATGTCTAGGAAGAGTAATATTTCATAGCGGCATATGGGCAACACGATTAGGTGCTTGCCGTTGATTGCCGACCGCGGAGGGTGTCAATAAAATTAAGGCAACTGTTCTTCGATTCAATCATCTGGAACTTATTTGTCCCTCGAAAATATTGTAAAACTTTGCAGTTACTAGGCTAACAATTAGATCCAAACACAGACACATTACCAGTTTATTCCGGAATGCGTTCATTTTCTCATCCTCTTTCTCTCTCTCTCTCTCTCTCTCTCTCTCTCTCTCTCTCTCACTCCCGAATTATCGCAAAAAGTAGGACAAAGAGAGGGGAATTCCCGGATGAAGGACGGGAAATGACATGGTTATGACCTGGGAAACACACTGTACGGGAAATGAGTTGAAGAGGAAGAAAGCTTTGAACAACGAGAATTGTAGGTTTAAATTTTGTGATGCGGTTCTGAAAATGTTTGAATGAAATCGTCATGTCTAGTACTGTATTTTTGTAGTTGACAAGTTTTTTGTACGACCACTTCTAGAGGTACTGTAGCTCTTGGAACTTGAAATGGTTCTCAGCTAGTTCTAGCCTCCATGATCTACAGTATCCATAGGAGTGAAACTTGGATCTACAATATTCGTTCAAAGTTTTCTCAAATGTTTCAGCACTTTCCTAAGCGCTAAAACAGCCGGAAATGAGTTGGCTCTCAATGTTTATTCAAATTTTCTCCTGCCCCAACAATGACCGATATACAAATAATGCTCTCAGGCGGCTCCGCGGGGCTCGGAATGAAAACTTTGCGGATATATTCAAAAGACGAGAAAATTGATATTTCGGCTAGGAAAAACGGGTGAAATGAGAAGGAGCAGTTTTGAAAACGAACCCAATTAGTGGGGAATGCGTGGGCGTCTGCCGTATTTCATTGTTATTATGATGATGATGATGAGAACGCAGTGTTTATGACCGTGAAAATGTAATTAGGAGAGGGGGGTCAAAGTGAAAGCTCCAGTACAAATTGAAACCCAAAATACAATACAATTGACTTCGAAAAGGATGTGTTCGCATGACTAATTGCCACCAAACCGACCGATTGTTTGGGTTGAGACTGATAAGGAAATGGAAGAAAGAGAAAGAAGAAGAAGAAGAAGACGAAAGAGAGAGAGAGAGAGAGAGAGAGAGAGAGAGAGAGAGAGAGAGAGAGAGAGAAAGACGACTTGGTGACAAGAATGTTATCTTTTCTTCTTTCAAGTCGACATATATAATTAACGTGTCAACCCGTTTGCCCCTCATTTCATTCGACGGCACACACTTCACACAGATTTCGAGAAAAGTTTAGGGATTCCTGTAGATGGATGCCCCGAAATATGAAATTATTCAGAACTAGAAAAAACACTTGAAAACATGGTAAACATACAATAACTGGCAATGTTTGAACGAGTATTGTAGACTTACAAATGTTTGAGTGAAATCTTCATGTCTAGTACTGTATCTCTGTAGTTGACAAGTTTTTTGTACGATCCCTCTGAAGACTACTGTAGCTCACGGCAGTTGGGGCTCTTGAAATGCTTCTCAGCTAGTCGTAACTTCCAAGAGCTACAGCATTTCTAGAAGTGAGCGTACAGAAAACTTGTCAACTACAAAAATGATGTACTAGACTGTTTAGACATATACACTTGACACAAAAGAGCAACAGAACATTCAAATGAAAATCAAAGATTACTACGACAAAACACTCTCTTTCTGCTATACACACTCCAAAATAGCCATGTTCACCTGAAAAACAGGTGATTCTATTTTGTGTAACACATGACATTGCTGCATTTAGTCAAAATCTCAGAACGACCAAAATGGAAACATACTTTACAAATCTGGACTAGAGAAAGCCAAGCATGTCCGATTGAGTAGTAGTAACAGTCTCTCCCAACATATGATTCATGTGGTATTGTCATATTTTATGACAGTACTAACTGAAGCACCTCCCGTTATAACAAAACAAATGAAAACTGTACTTTCCACTCAGCACTCAGAAACGGATACAACCGGATGAAGCGGGCTTAATCCCCACAAGCGTATGCAAAAGGATTTCGAAGATTAAGCGCGTGTTTTGGGTTTTCGGAGAGTGGCAATCATTTGAACTGGTCAAAAGAAGAAGAAAAAGAAAAGGGAAAGGGAAAGGAAGAAGACCTAACCAAAAAATAGAAGATGAGCAATGGGTCGTTGCGAGAGGGGCAAAAAGAAAAGATGACAAATTGAGGGAGGACACATCTTTTTGCCTTTCTTATGAATTTCCGATGGATAACAGAGCCTAACTTTTACAGAAACACAGTTTTTTCTTGAGATTTACTGCTCGAAAATAATCAAAAATCTTGTTTGTCCGGCTGGAGCTCCGCGGAGGTGAATGGCACGAAATGTCGAGTGGTCAGCGAGCTTATCAATCCGTCTTATCAGGGACCGAAAAGAGACGGAGGCACAGAGAGAAAGAGACGAGAAGACGGAGAGAGAGAGAGAGAGAGCTTGAAGTGGAGTGGGGAACACCTGTCTAAGGAGCTCTATTGATACACTTTTACATACGTGATTAGGGAGTGAAATGCAATATGGCCCGGCGAGGTACTAATGAGATACATGGGCGCATTAATGGGGTGAGACAGGTGGGGGGACACACGCGAAAGGTAAGCGCTTTTTATTACTTAGGTCTCGCAACGAATGGAGCTTCTCCGTTTTCCTGCTGCGCCTTTCAGACCGTACGCGTACGGCACGAGCTTCTGAAAAACTTTTGGAAAATTGTGTCCAATTTGAGAGCAAGTCAGACGAATTTCGTGGCAAGACCCATTACTGGAGTAATTTAATGTTTACACTGAACTGTTGCGAAGGCATTGGTCGGTTGGCAACACGACGAAAAGATGACATCTTCTCCGCGCCGAGAAAGGTCATAAACGGAGCGATGGCAGGTCGTCTTCAGAAGAAACGGGCACGGACGGACGGATAATAAATACTTTATGGGCGTGTCATTGGACTTTAAAGGGAAACCATCTGTCAATTGGCGAGCGGCACCAAGAAACAACATTGAAAACCGGGTGGGGGCGAACATAATTATCGTCTTATTTGTGTTTGCGCAATACATTTTAGGCGGGATTTTGGGTAGGAAAGTGGGGGGGGTCTATTTGAATGTCAACATAAGTAATGGAGAGAGAACTTTCAAACTATGGGGTGCATTTTGCAGCGAAAAGGAGAAAAAAGCTGTGATAAAGAAAAAGGAAAGCGAACATTTCCTATTATTGACCTACGGGACAAGAACATTGTGTGGACGACAAAAAGCAAACAGACCGTTCTTTTTTAGGAGTGAACAAGCCTTTTCTCTCCTTTTTTTGATGAAAAGGAGAGCGAGAAGAAACAGTACTCTTCAACAACGAATGAAATTCGAAAATGGATGTACTAGTCCCCTACTTTGTGGCTAGAAAGAAACGAAGAAAAGAAGAAGACAAATTACATTTCGACTACCGCCCCGGCACGACTACGGACGACGAAATCGAACGCAATGAGATTAGCCCTCGCTAACTTCAGGCAGCTACTCGCTTAAATTGTAATGGAACGAGCCGATTCTCCTGGCGGGCAGGACGACTACATCCATAATTGATGTGTATCTCCATCCCCATTCTTCCCATTTTTTTTTCGATTCGTCGCGTCCAACCACCAAAAAAGGGTTTGATCTCGGGCGGGCTCGAACCGCCGGCCTTCTGTGTGTTAGACAGATGTGATAACCACTACACCACACAGGTGAAACGCGGTTGATCAATTATACAATTGAGCCAATTGTAGACAAATTATCAACAAATCGCGAACGGGATGAGAAGCAGAGTGGCGCACAACACAGTGTATAATAAAGAAATCGCGCTTGTTCGCGATTGATGTATAATTAGTGAATTATTGACAAGTTCGCGAACGTGGGTGCACAATCGACAAATCGGCGAACGGGCTGGTCACTCCGAGTTTTGCTTTTGCATTCAAACATTTGCGATTTTTTCATATTTTCGTTGGTTTTTATTGCAATTTCGCATGCTTTTATGTAATTAAACCAAAGTAGAGCATACAGGTTTCGCATTTCAATTCGTTATGGTTCATTGCCACGACTAATACTTCCAGAAACAGACAGCCGCAGGTGAGAAAATGGATTTTTGATTCAATTGCATCAGAAAAAAGATTTCAGATAATGCGAACGAATTTAGAAAAAGAGAATAACTGGAAGTTATTAATGCCGACCAAGATTTAAAAAAGTGATTCGAGTGTGCCGGGCGCAGAGTTCGAACAGTGTCAGACGGCCTATTCCTCGCAAAAACGAACAACGTGGTCGTTGGACGGTGAGATTCAGAAGGATACAAAGAAAATCAATCATTCAATTTCAGTCAATGTTCGTCTTCGAATAGTGTGTGGGAAGAAAACGATGGCGTTTCGAAAAGGAAAGAAAAGATGAACACATTCAGCATGAGGACGGAGTCGCAGAAGTAATCGCCGACTGTTACGTGATTTTATACTCAATTCTTTTTTTTTCGATTTTTTCTTTCACTTCTTCTTTTGTCTCTAACATTGCATTCTGTTATTTTGTTACTTTTTTCGTTTAATAAAGTTATCTCGTCTAAAGTGCGATTTGTGAAAAATTGGCTTGTTATACAATGGGCGATTTGTGCAGGATTTGTCAATTATACAATGCCCGTTCGCGATTTGTCAGTTATTAATCAACAATTCGCTTCATCGCGTGTACCTGGAGAAAAAATCTGGGATAAATCGCTAACCAATTCCACACTTTTCGCGATTCACCTGTGCACGAGATCGCCGGTCAACCTGCGCTCCCGAGTACGTAGAGGTGCGCGCTGTTTTAGTTAAAACTTGACCCCCTAAAACACGTTCTCCCGTGTTTCATAAATTTCAGAAAGGAAAAGTATGGCAATATTGTTAATGGAAAACGAAAACCACCCACAATTGAATGGGAGAAGAGAAGAGAGAAGAAGAAAGAAAGTAAAAGCGCAAATAAAGACGTTTTTATGTGATAGTAACATATAAAACGCCCAAGCTTCACACATTTTTCACCCATTTTTCTACTGAATAGAAAAAGCGAATAACAAAATAGTTTAGGAGGAAATTCGAGAAAGAAGCGAAGGAAATGGAGGAGGAAGAGGAAGACAACAAAAAAGCAATAGCCAGTGAAAAGTGGAAAAGATTGTCACAACAGATACGCGTCGAGAAACTAAACAAAACAATTGTTGCGGGGGGTTCGGCTCTCTTGCGGCGCCAACGCAAAACGATTTGATCTCTGGCGGGCTCGAACCGCCGGCCTTCTGTGTGTTAGACACATGTGAAAAACACTTATAAGAGCCATGGAGCGCGGGGAGGAGCATTGTAATTCATAGCTTTCAAAGTCAGAAGCCACTAATAATCTTTCCGCGGAACACTTTTGTTTTGGCCGTACCAGCCGAGGAAAAAACAATAGAAACGTCGAGAAGACAGACGAGTGGACACTGGCTAAACGGCTCCTCAATAATGGGCAAGAAAGCTTTCGGAAGAGAAAACGGGCAGAAGGTTTTGCTCTTTTCGCCTCCTCTCTCGTGCGTAAACTTTGCGGGCGGTCCGCGTCCGTCCGCCCGTCAAAAGGAGCCAAATTAGTGTGTGAGCATGCATTCCGCGGACTGCACTTCCGAAAATGTGTACTTCTTTCGAAAATGTGTACTTTACCAAATAAATTTCTACAAAATCGGTACACACACGCATTTTGTTCAAATTGTTCGAAATTAGTATTTATTACGCAAAAATTGAGCTTCCGACAAAAAATTACGATAAAAAATTTCGAGTTTGGTGCTGCGCTTTTATCATCGTACTAAAGACGCAACGCGTAGTGTTTTTAACAAAAAAACACAAAGAAAATATCAAAAATGCCGGATTTTACAGGAAAAATCAGTAAAATCGCGTAACAAAACCGCACGCTCACGTACGGTATTATTTAAAGGCGCATGCCCAAATTTAAACATTTTCGTTCGTTGCGAGCAGTGTGTCTTTTCGATAATCACGAAAATCGCTTCTTTTTCGATACGGCACACTGGTTGCGGGACCAGAGAATAGAAATAAAGAAAAGATTTGCTCGAGTGACTGAAAAAGGACTTCTTCTGGCTCTCTTTTTCTCAGAAGCACTCACACGAAATGAAATGGAAATGTGACAGAGACGTCTCGTGTGCGGGTGACATTCCGAGTAACTAAAAGATAATTCTCAGGAGATTCACGCGCAAAAAGTGTTGTTTTGAGAGGGGCGAAGTGTGCATTTGACACATCCGGTTTGACGGGCTAATTCGATCGGAAAATTAGAATTCAAGAGTCCGGAGAGTTGAGGGAAAGCGAGAAAGAGAAAGAGAGAGCTGGAGCATCATTACACTCTCGAACAATTTTATTGTTTTTGATAGGATTCACGGCATTTCACGGCGACGCGCATGAATATAATAGCGTTGTACACTTTTCGCCGATGATGACGACGAGGAGGGGACGGCAAAAAAGAGGAACGTCTTCTCGGGCGGAAATTGGATTGGCGTCGCTTTTTGACACTTTTGGAAATTGGAATTCGAATGGGTTTGCATTTTTATGAACTAAACTCAAACGAAAACGTCGCAGTTTCGCAGCCATCAAATGGCCATCAAACCCATGTCGGAACGTGGGTTTGCAAAGAAGGTGATAAAATCATCGGATCGTTAATATTATTCGCCTCTTTTCTTTCGTCTCTTTATTTTTCGCCGCCGCGGCAAGTGAGCCGTGACTAATGGAATTCCACGGGGTTCCTCCGAGTCTGGAAGGTTTTTGAGCGGAGAAGGCGTGAACAAAGAAAGAAAGCGCTGCCGTTCCGTAATGCTTACAAGGACACCTCTAACAGAATCAGTTTCTGAAAATTTGTCGAAAATCACTTTTTTTTTCGATAAATAGCCAAAAAATTAGTAAAATCCCTAAAACGAGTTGCTTGCCCTTACAATTTAACTTTTCAGAAACTGTCAAGACAACAGTGTTGAGCGGAATTCCGACGTTGTGCAAATTTTATCAGCTGACAACTTTTTTATATCACCACTAGCAGCTGAAATATGAGGTCTTGAATAAACAGCATTGTGTCCAAGAAAAAGTGCACTCCTTTTGTCTCGGCCACAAATTTTCCGTCCGTTATCAGCTAGCGTATACTTAACTTCTCGGTCAACTCGCCTCGTTTGATAAGAGAAGCCTGTCTAATGTTTTACAAAACGTTGAAAGATAGGGTAATTTCGCGCTGCTCGCCACCTTTTTTGCCTCGTTTACTCTAATTCCCCTCTCGAATGAGTCATTCATTCGACTGAAGGTTGAACAAACTGTTTCCGTACTTTGTTTGTCCTCATTCAGACACATCCTCACCACAATTTCTCTTTTTTGCTTTCCGCTTTTTTCGTCGGTTTCCCATCCATTTTCCCGTAAATAATATGATTATGGAAATGTGAAAATGAAAATGAAAATGGGCCAGTTTCCTATTTTGCTGATTTCCGATGCCTTATAAAGTTTGGGCCTAAAAAGTTCGCTGAATTTTTCATTTCCGGCTCTCCGTCTCATCTCTCATCCCACAAACTCAATTAGCCGCCTCTCGCCGCCGTTTTTGCTCATTTCCGGATGGATTTCCGAGTGAATTCTCTCAAAAACTTTAAATAAAACTATAATATCGGAAAGGTGCAGGCTATAGTCAAAAGGAAAGAAGGGGGAGAACGTCCGAAGCACAAACACTCACGCACAAATATCCGTTTTCCTTTCTCCTAATTCGAATTTTCTCCTTTTTCGCTCGCTCTCACTCATCCATGGTCTGACACGTATCGGTTTCACATTCCGGCCTCTTCTTCACTGCTCCACGTTCATTCCAGCCGACGGGTCTCGCCACGAAAATATTGTTCGATGCTGCGCCTTTAAAACCGTAATGAACACACATTTTTGTGAAAAGTTGTGTCAGAAACGTCACTTCCAGAGATAATAAAGCGAAATGATGTAAATTTGATAGAAAAAACCCGAAAAACAGCAACAAGCATTTGGGGTACGGTATTAAAGGCGCAGCACCAGAGTTTCGTGGCAAAAGTCGATCAGCGAACAAATCGCGCTCTACCGCTCAAGCCGTGGACGCGAAAAGAGTGCGAAATTCGAAATTTCACGAGAAATTCACACAAGAAGTTGCGGAAATTTGGAATTTGCATCAATTGACTGAAATTTGAGCTATAGAGCGCAATTGCTCCACTTATGAAGGCACACTTTGAGCATAAAATGTGATCCGGGTGTTCCAGAGCCGCCCCTCGCTTGGCCACCTTTTCCGCCTCCGTTCTATTGTCCTCTTCTCTGTTTGCCTTCTCTTTTTCACCGCCATTCCCTTCCGTTTTTGTGCTCATTCACTCACTTTCCTCCCTCTTTCGCTTTCTCTCTCTCTCTCTCTCTCTCTCTCATTCTCTTCATATCCAAATGAGCTGTTTGGCTTTTTACTCTTTTTTCGCTCCTCTTCCGCATTTCCATTATCCATTCGCTTTTTGTTATTTTTTTGGACAGACTCGACACATTGAAATTGTGAAAAAGAGTTCACGGTGCTGACATCACAGAATATTCAGAATCATATAAATGTTTTGTATTTTTTGCTCACTTTCGAGGTCTTACAGTATTCAAAGAACCAAGTTTGAGAGTTTTTATTAGAAAAAATGCTCATTTCCGCCCCCGCTGAACCCTTAATTTGTGATGTCTCCTCTTCTTCTTCTTCTTCTTCTTCTTCTCCGAATGCATTAAACATCTTCCCCCTTTTTCTTTTTTTTTCTCCGCTTCTCATGACGTGAACGAACCCATCGGATCGCTCAGAATCTTCGGATCCTTCGAGAAACCGTTCGCCGCCCACACAACTTTATGGCCATCAAAACGCCTCCGTTCCGCCCGTATTTTTACGTTCGCAACTGCCCTCCGGCTGCTCTTAAATATTTATGTTCCGCCCGTTTTCCTTCATTTTCGCCCATTTTTCCATTTTTCCATTTTTCTCTCGGCTTTTCCGAAGCGGACAATAGAAGTTAATCATTGCAAAAAGGCTTTGTTTTGGCTCAAAATTTCAAGCTCTTCGAGGTCGGAGTATTCTAGGCCACCTATGGAATCCTAGGCCATCTAACCAGATTGGTTAGTCGAAGAATTCAGTGTTCTAGGCCGCCTAGATCAGCTGTTTGCAGTACTGAGAAAGCAAGCTGAAATCCTAGGCCAGGTAGTCAGATTTCTAGATGTAAGAGTCGGAATCGTGTCCTTCTTGTTGAGTTGTCTTTCTAGATTTCTAGGCCATCAATCACAGCCCTCAGATTGGAAACCTAGGCCACCTCGTCAAATTCGTCGGCCATCCGCCCACGCAGCTGAAACATTGACGGGGGGAAAGCGCTCACAGCTGTGCTTATACGGGGCCACCACACAATTCTGCGCCTCCGTCGCTCGCTTTCCCATTATATTTCGGCTCGTTTCCGATATATTTATGGCTTTCTCTCTCTCTCTCTTCCTCTTTTTGTCTTTCCGGCGCCGTTTTCAGTTGTGTGACGTTTCACTTCTCTTTGTTTCGCCTTTCAGAAAAGTTAAAATCTTGAAGGTAACCCTCTGAGACTGAGTTCGAGTCCGAGTGAGGAAAGAGAGGAGGAGGATTACAGTATGCGGGTCAACGTGGCACGAGTGTGGGAGGACGCCGATTATGAGAAAGTGCGGGCTCTGTGCGAGCAGGACAGTGGATGGGTTGAGGTGTACAAAAAGAAGGATATTGCGGTTTTCACGCAAGCCGTCGAGAACAGCAGCTATCAGATGATTAGGGCGACCGCCGTGTTTCCCGATGTGTCCGCCTCGGTCGCCTACGATGTTCTTCACGATTCGGCCTACCGATCCAAGTGGGACAAGTACATGATCAAGCAGGAATCGATCGGACTCATCAACCCGAACAACGACGTTTGCTACTATTCCTGTAAGAAACTTGTGCCCCTCCTCCTACCACTATAAACACTCTTTTCAGTGAATTCTGTGCCGCCAATCCGGCCACGCGATTTCGTGATGCAGAGAAGTTGGCTGGAGACCGAGAAGGACCGTCTCATCTGTTCGCACTCAGTGTGCCACGAGGACTACCCGCCGGCGAAGGGATGCATTCGGGCGACCGTGCTGCTCTCTGGCTACCTGATCAAGGAGAAGGAGCAAGGATGCGAGGTCATCTACATCAGTCACTCGGATCCGAAAGGAAAGTTGCCGACGTGGCTCGTCAACCGGGTCACCAAGGTGGTGGCTCCAAAAGTAATCAAGAAGCTGCACAAAGCGTGCCTCGGGTATCCGGAATGGAAAGAGAAGCACCATCCGAGCTGGAAGCCGTGGAGTGTTCCAGAACAACAGGTACTCCTCTCCTCACTCCGAGCTCCAACTCAACAATTTCAAAACTTCAGATGGATTTGGCTCGAGTGGACTTGTTGAAATGTCAGCCGAAGGTGTACGATCAGGAGATCATCGACGAGTCGAACCTGTCGGCAATGAGTATCAGCACGAAGGACGACGAGGACGAGGATTCGCTGAAGAACTGAGAGAAAAATTGATGAAGACTTATACTATCGGCTTAATTTATGTTCCTGTCCTATCCCGTTTTACGAACTAGTCCCGGATTAGCACAATTTTCTTCTGTTTTCTTTTTTTCTGTGATTTTTTGATTTTTGGACGTATAAACGACAAGACTCTTCGAAACTTAAAGGAAGATATGATTGTCTTTTTGTTAACTAAGAATGATGATGGCACTGGGCTTACTTATCATACACGTTTTACGGTATAAGGTCTCGAAGGGTATGCGCTTTTAAAGTGGGACCGTTCGACACATCGTAACGTAAACAGACTGTGAACACACGTCGACGTAGTCAGTTTTTTTCTTTCCCAGTAATGTGTTTTCCCAGGGCGTTTGGACGGAGTGACGTTGAGAACAATAGTAAGTCCGACATCTTTCATTTCTAATCGTTCATATCGGCAAGGGGAGATCAGAAGAAGTATACACGAAGACCTGTGAAAGTTAATCAAAAATTTCGAAGTTAAAGTTATTTCCGTAAATTATGACCGTTATACTCTTCCGTTCGGGAATACAAATGTTAGATAATCGGTCCAAACGAGTCCTTGTCGACGGTAGTACTGAAAAGTATCGATTTTTGCACAGCTTCTTTTTTCCGGCTTACTTGGAAGAACGTTTCCCACGCGCTGAGCAGAACAACCCAAAATAAAGAGCCGATAAAACTGCCGATCACGTATTTTCGAATTTGGCGCCGATGATTGTTGATTGGCTTGCAGAAGGCATCGGAGAAAAACCAAAATACGTTGACAATCCAGACGAGTGGCAAGAAACAAGCGCCAATCAAAAAGTATCTGGAAAAACGGGCTGAAACTTTGAGAGATGACTGAAAATGACTTACTTTTTGCATAAATCTGCTCTCTTCACATCGTTCAACTTGGAAATGTCCATTTTTGTGTGGAAATCGGTGAAATTCAGAAGAGAAAGCAGGGATTCCGTCGAATAAAATGCCGAGTACGCAGCGCCGAAACGCCGCGGTGTTTGCAGACTCCAAATATTTTTCCACTAATTTTGCCTAATTTCTTTGTTTTTCCCTCAATTTCTCGCTTTTCCTTCTTGTTGTTTTACTGAAAGCTTGTTTTTTACTCCTCGTACCCAATTTCGTTCATTACAGATCGATTGAAGCCAGGGAAACCTCTGAAAATCGGTAAATCATGTCGATTATACAAAAAATTGCGGATATCGAAGCCGAGGTAGGTAGAGCTTGAAAATAGGGCTGAATATAATAAAGATATGATTTACAGATGGCCAGGACCCAAAAGAACAAGGCCACCAACGCTCACTTGGGTATTTTGAAGGTTTGTACGGAGTTTTCTAAACTTTTGTAGAAAATCGCTTCAAAAAGTGCAGACTCAACAGAAAAAGTACTAACCTGAAGTAGATTTCATCCTTATTAAAAAAAAACAATTAGGATAAGGCTAAAACTGTTTCGTCGTGAAAACGAGTATGAGATTTAAAACGCTACAAAAACACATTCAATATTGGAACTCCCCAAATTTTCAGGCGAAACTCGCTAAACTTCGTCGTGAAATTATCGCCCCGAAGGGAGGAGGCGGTGGACCCGGAGAAGGTTTCGATGTCGCCAAAACCGGAGACGCGCGCATCGGATTCGTCGGTGAGTTTTCATTTCGCATAGAAAATCTTCATTATTATTCGAAAAGTTCACAAGATAAACTTGTTAGGCACACGGGGAAAGAGGGTTGGAAAAGTGGACAATCTATAGGCAAAACTAGGTCTACACCGGGGGCGAAAAGCCAAACATTTTCATGGAGAAATTCAAATTCAAATAAATAGAGACGTTTTGAAAGCATCAGTTGAGCAAATTGAACAGTCAAAAATACATATAAATCGGAAAGTTTTGGGAAGTTTTTGAGAAATAAAATTATCGAAGATCGTCCTCATCGTCCTCTTCGCTCATTTCTTGACTCCTCTGATGATGGAGATTGTCGGAGCCTGATTCTGGTGGAGAATCAGGGAACATTCCCGGCGGTGGTGGTGGTAGTGACTGGAAATAGAGTGTGATTAGTGAGTACTGTAGGTTTCCAAGTTGTTCGGTACAATAATAGTTAGTATTCCGCATGCAAATCAGGAAGATTAGTAAATTCTATTACTATTACCTTTATCGGAACCAAATCTAAGTCCGTCGTGTCTAAATCCACAACAATCGGAGGCTGCGGGGACAATTCTTCGCGAAGACGCTCGTACACGAAATCATCGTCCTTCTCGGCTATTTCTGCGTCTTTTCCATTATCCGGCACATCTTCATGCTCTCTGTCTTCTGAATTATAAAGAAAAAGTTGAAAAGAAGACAAGAAGAAGAACAAACGCAATCACAATTAGAAGTTTGAGTTAGAAATATGAAAAAAAGCTAACCTTCCGAATCCGAATCGTTATTGTGATTCAAATGATTCTGAATGTGGATCTGAATCGGTGACGATGGCGGCGTCTCCGTTTTCTTCTTCTGAAGCGGTTCGATAACTCCAGCAGCGCCCGGAAGCGTCTGTCCCTGATTCTTGGCTTCTTTTTCGAGTTCTGCCTTGGCCATCGCCTTCTTCCAATCCAATTCCTCTCGCGTCACGTCTTCATCGTCACTCATCTTGTAGTATACGTCGACTTCTCCCTCCTCACTCGAAGACCACCGATCCTCTTCGTCTACGGATCCTTTGATACTGTCAATTGGCACTGGAACGTCCAAAGGTTCTGCCAATGGGTCATCGGTGCTACAAACATTTAAAAAATCGAGTTTTCTGCAATGCCAAAGCTTACTGTAAAGGTTTTAACTCGAGAATGTCCAATTGTCCCTCGGGCTCATCAATCCGACTTCCTCTTCTGGATCTCGGCCTCGCGAACACCGGACTATTACTCCTCAGCCCTTTCACACCTTCCACCTCCTCATCTTCTTCATATCTCTGCTTTCCAAGATGGTTTTGCATTGCCAACGGCAAATCAGGAGTGTCCGACTGAAGAAGGACCACGGGCGGAACGTTCTTGTTTCCGGCCATCTCATCCCACGGATCGTCCAACGGAGACTTTGGAATGTCGGTCGGACTGCTCGACGAGGCTCTACTCTTGTGGAATTGATCTTCGACGTAATCGGAAAAGTCCTTGGACGGCGGGAATATCGCCTCGGAACTTGTCGTCGCTTGTGAAGAAAATACTGGTGACACTGCCTTGTTTGTCTCTTTTCCATCCGTTCTCTTGGTTAAAATCTGCAAAATCATTCTTTTTTTTGCTGTTAATAAAACCGGTTCCTACCGGTGATTCCTCTTTGGCCTTCAAATCGTCGGTCGGATTGGGGGTAGTGATCGGAGCGCCGAGGGTCATTTGGTAGGAATCGACAAGATTTGTGGGGTACGTCGGCTCGCGAGGCAGTTGAGAAGAGTCGCATTTGAACCAGTTACGCATTTGTCTCTGCGAAAGAGACTGCGATTGATCCTAAAATTACCCGTTTTATTCAAAGTCAGAAAAAAGGAACCCACATCATGAGTGTTCTCATCGATCTGCTCGTACATCGTCAACGGCGTCCGCTCCTCCGAATGCACCATGTGCCCGTTCCGTGACGGTTTTCTCGCTTGTCCATCGCAAGTACCGTAGTTCTTAGCATCAGTTGCCACGTGGCTAGTCTCTGCCAACTTTGCCTCCTTCCTGGCCTTTCTCCTTCGGTGACACCAGCGAACGCACTGGATAAGACCGATAATGTAAGTGGTTCCGAAAAAAAGAATCACGACGGCTAGAATTTTGACTAGTTTGCTATTGTCTTTTGCGTTGTCGACTCTCTGCTCGGGGGTACTGTAGCTGAGTGAGTTGGCCGCCGCCACGTCATAATTTCGCTTCAACTTGGCCGCTCGAACACTGTCGATCTTGATCCCTCCAAGCACGCGGGACAACGGTCCCACTTGACTGGCTATTATGTACTTTATCTGGAAATTTTCCGATTTTCAACTGAAAAGAAGTGATTGTTCTCACCTTAACAGGATCAATTATCTCATCCTCGTTGACTACTCCGCTATTCCTATCGTTTTTCGTCAAAACGAACAGCAACCTAGTCAAATTTCCGCGTAAATGATCCATTCGAAGAATGATCACATTATCCTAAAACACAGGATTTATTAAAAGCTGTTTAGGGATCTATTAGTCTCTATAAAGCTAGAAATTAGGAGAGAAGTGAAGCTGGTTTCGAAATTTGGTCTAAAATTCATGAAATTCGAGAAAGCACCTTGTTGAAAAGTGGCTCTGATTCGTCACGTTCGGCATACACGACCGATTTGTCTAGATCTAGTCCGTCGGCCTCGTCATCGCTCAGTTTTTGGAGCATTTCCTTGAAAAAGAGGGGAATTTGCTTGCTCATTCCGCACAATTTTTGCGTTGAAAAACGAAACAGAATCAAAAGGAAATCATAACCGAGGAGTTGTTCATTCACGGTAAATAGGTGTGAAGACGACGACGAATACGTTTACGGTGAAGGGTTAAAAAGAGCGTGCGCTTGCTGCCGAGCCCAGTGATTTCAGCCAATTTTAGAGCTTGAGATTGAGAAAAGAGAAAAGTGAAACGTGCAATACCTGACTCACATGACTCATCCGAAGAGAAACACCCGGACACTCATTTGTGTTGTGCTGGCAGTAATGGGACACGATCGTCGAGATTCTCCGCTTGAAATACTCCTAAAAACGGACGTATAATAGCTATTTTCGCTGAGATTTCCGACCTCGTAACTATCACCTGTGTAGAGCTTCGCCTCGGTGTTCACCTGTCGCATTCGCATATCGACAACCGGAAGATCATCCGTCTGAAATGACTAGTTTCCCTCTCAAAATAGTTGTTGGCTCATAATTTCCTCATGTGATCCCATCACACCCGGTGTGAAATCCAATCTCCCACCGCACTCGGGTTTCTCGGCGCCCACAAGAGTTTTTGTTTCTTTGTTTGGTCTTCTCAAGGTCGAAACATGGCGAAGAAAACAAAGATGCGGTGTATGAATTCTTAAGTCAAAATATGCTCAGCTTCTCGAAATCACCCAGTGTTTTCCAACCCGCTTCTTTTTGAAGCTATAGTCAGTGTGCTCACAGAGCCCTTCTCTCGTTCTGCTGCTTCTGCTGCTGCTCGTTGCAAAGTTGGCTGGATGAGGAGGACGTCGCCGTCGTTTTTTTTTGTGTGTGTGTGTGTGTGTATGTGAGTATGTGTGTGAATAGAGACAGAGTTTTTCGGCGCCTTCCTCCTCCTTCTTGCCCGACTCACTCGGTTTTCACGGCTTCACGGCTCGAGGCACGCGTTGAAGCTGACGCCTTCTACCCCTTCTTTCCACAGAAGAAGGAAAAGGGCCTTTTGAATTTTTTGTTTGGTTGGAGAGCCAACGCAGTAAACGAGGACCCCTTCTGATGAGGAAGAGCGAAGAGAAATATGGCGCCCTTCTATTCGGGAGAGGGCAAAGAACTCGGCCTTTTTCAACCAGGAAAGGATTATTCGACGTTCTCAATAGTGGTTTGGCTTCAACGGGACAAAAAAACTTCCGAATCACCGTCTAACTCGATTCAAGAACGTCATGAAGACATAGTTCAGGCGTAATTCAATCATATAATAACGGGAAATGCCCGATATTCGATTATCTCGCAAAATCAAATTTGTCTACCTTTAGAAGTTGGATCTCCACCAAAATCTCGACCGAAATCTCAAGAGTAAAAAGTAAAAACATCACTAGACGCATTTTTTCGGCCGCTGCCAACGTCTGCGCCTCTCCTCATCCCGTCTAAACTCTGTTTAGAGCTCCGACGGGGAAAGAAATGATAAGTTTTTGGGTGTCCCCGGGGAGGTTCCGGAATTTCAAAGTTTTGTCTCGGAAAAAGGGTTTCGGCCTGAAACATTGAAGAGTTCTCAGATGAAACTCGAGGAGACAGAAACGAACTATTGTTGTGCTCGCTGTCTGTTTCCCTTTCCGTCTTCTCCCATCATCATCATCATCATCATCATCATCATCATTACTTGTTTTTTGCTCGGTTTCCCTATCGCACAGGGACGAGAGAGAACGAGGAAAAGGGAAGAAGAAGAAGAAGCAGAAATACCTTGATGAACACACTGCAATCGGGAGCCGCCGGCGCCGAGTGCGTCGAAGAGGAAGAGGAATGCGGAGAAGTGTAGGCGCGCATGCAGACGCATTCGTACTCGGTGTGATTGTTGCACAGTATCGGGCGTGGTGAGTGGACGACGGCTTCGGGCGCGGAAAGCGGATGCGGATCATACGGGTAGGCGGGCGGCACGATTCCGTACGGCTCGGCGTTGTTGTTGTGTGGAGTCAGCGATCTTCTGGAAGCTCTCACGCCCTCTCAATCCTGTTCAACACGTGTTGTGACTAACCTGACAGACGTGGCGAGCGCCGGATCGAGCTGTGCCAGAAGCACGAACAACGAGATCATCATTCCGAAGAAGGATCGACCGGCATACCCTCGTGAACGGCTGCACATTTTCAAGAGCAATTATAGAAGTTTGAAAAGTTGGGGCAAGATTACGGTAGTGGCGATTCCATGAAAGTTTAGCGTAAGCCGACTCGCCGTGCTTTTTCAGAGCGGGGTGGGGGTGGCCTCGACGAGTATAAGTATAGAAGGGACGAAAGATGAGAAGACGCAGAGAAGTCAGGAGACAGAGACTCTTTTTTGCGAGCACGGGCTCCGCTGCTCTGCGGGCGCAAAAGCAGAAAGAGGGAGAGAGAGAGGAAGAGAGATGGGCGGCCCCTCCCCACGGATCTCCTTCTTCTCTGGAACTCTCTCTCCCACCGAAAGGCTCCACGTCTTCTTCCTTCTTCTTCTTCTATTTCTTCGCTGCCTTTCCTACGTCTCCAAAGCTCTGAAGTCGTAGAGGAAATCGAAAAAAAAGAAGAAGAAGAAACGACGAAGAAAGTGTGTGAGCCGCTGTGCCATCGAGCCCATACTTGCCATTTTGGGCGAAAGATGGGCCTCGGATGTGTGAAGACACACAAACGAGAGCCCTGGTGATTTGGAGCTCAAGCTGAGAAGACAATTGCACTGTTTTCTTCTTGAAATGAAAATAGATGGGGATTCCGAAAGAAAGAAAGATTTACGGGATTACGGTAGCTTTATAAAGTGAAATTTCCGAATCATTTCGGCGCGAAATGTCAGTTGACTCGAGCTTATTCCCGACGATAATTAGATTGAGCACATCTATTCTCCATCTACATCTACAATTTTAATAGCATCGAGACAACGAATGCAATAAATGAAATCGCTTTTCGCATAGTGACCCGCCCAAATAAGCAGAGAGAAAAGAGGCGAAATGGAATGGGAATGGAGGAAAAAGAATGGACAATTATTGGTGGAAGACGGAAAGGCGCGACAGCGGTGCACTGGGAGTCATCTCTAATCCGGTCAATCGAGATAATAGGACTGACGGAAAGAGCAAGAGGAAATAAGAGCAAGAAAAAATATGGTCAAAGCTTTGGGAGCCTGACCTTTGTGCTGAAGCATTCACTGACTGGAAGTGCTAAATTTAAACTCGAAAGACAATAGAAGCTGAGCTCCTACTTTTTGAACATCAAAGAAATTAACCTGCTTCTCGAGCTCCATTTTGCAAAAAACAGAAATTAGAAGCTCACTCTCTCTTCCTGCAAAAATATGAAATACATCATTTTGTATCTATTTCAATCGTGGACGGGAAGCCAGAAAGCCCCTTCACTGCCGCTAATCCGAACACGCGCGATCTAATAAACACAACTCGAACGCTCGGTCTCTTATCAATAAAACAGTTGTGGGATCAAAAATGGAAACGGAAGAAAAGGAAGAAAAGTAAAAGGAGGAAACTTCCGTGGGTGCCACTCATTCGTCAACTGGAAGATGATGGAAATGTTCGCGGAAATGGACGAAAGAGATTCCCTGCCGGCGCAGAGGGAAATGACGAATTCCAAAGGAAACGACAAAGTTTTCGGAGCGAAAAGGACGCAAAGAGCGAAAAGGATGCTTTTTGACTACGACTTACTTGGAGGACTATAAAAAGACATGTAGACGCGGTTTTGGTGTAAATGGGGACGAGCTATGAACGGAAATGAGTTGTCATGCAAATCGACATCAAATTTCCGTCGTTTCTCGTCACCTTTTCTTTTCCGCCTTATTTTATGTGGATACCCTCGAAAAATATTGTTGTTAAAGAGAAAAGGACAAATGAAACTGTCGATGACGAGGCCGGCGAACCTGTCAAACCACACGGCAAACATATAGCGATTTCTGAGAAATTTCCACACAAAAAATGGGGGGAAAAACAATAAAATGGACTCAGGAGCGGCGAGGGGGCAATTCGTTTTGATTTTATGGATTTTTACACCGTTTACTACGTCAAAAATCCACACACATAAAAATTGGGCGGATTTATGGGGGAAAATGGGGGGAGAAGAAAGAAGAACATGAAAAGTAAAAGGTTTTTGGGGGTTTCGGGAAAGTTTCACCTGAAAAGGATTATCTGTTCTGAAACTTTATTGAACGTTTCAATATACTCCCAAATCAGATCATATAATCGGGCTGAAATTTTGACTGATATCGTAAAAACTATAGTTAGCTCAAGGCGATGTATCTCAGCTTACTGAAGAGATATCAAAAAGTTGTCAACTAATTCATTAAGAGATTGTGTACATTTTATCAGTTGACAACTTTCTGATATCTCTACCGGCAGCTGAGGTACACCGATTAGAATGGACGGTTATTGTCCAAAACCAGATAATTCACAAAAACAACTTCCATTTTTCCACTTTTAAGGCTTCCCATCGGTCGGAAAATCGACTCTTCTCTGCAATTTGGCCGGAGTTTACTCGGAAGTCGCCGCCTACGAATTCACCACCCTCACCACCGTTCCTGGTGTCATTCGCTACAAGGTACTCGTCTTTTTCTTGACACTTCAATCTCATTTTCATTTTTGTGTAGGGCGCCAAAATCCAATTGCTCGATTTGCCCGGAATTATCGAAGGAGCGAAAGACGGAAAAGGACGTGGTAAACAGGTTATCGCCGGTTAGTTTCGTGATCTTTTGCTCTCTTTTCCGATAACTTTTGCTTCTTTTCAGTGGCCCGCACGTGCTCGCTCATTCTGATGGTTCTCGACGTGATGAAGCCGTTACAGCACAAGAAACTTCTGGAGTACGAGCTCGAAGGATTCGGAATTCGGCTGAACAAGCAGCCGCCGAACATTGGGTTCAAGCGAAAAGAGAAGGGAGGTATCAACCTGACGATGCTCGTGCCGCAGTCGGAACTCGATCTGGAGCTCGTGAAGAGCATCCTCGCCGAGTACCGTATCCACAACGCCGATGTGACGCTTCGCTACGACGCCACCTCCGAAGATCTGATCGATGTGATCGAGGGCAATCGGGTGTACATTCCGTGCATATACGTTCTCAACAAGATCGATCAAATCTCGATCGAAGAGCTCGACATCATCTACCGCATCCCGCACACTGTTCCGATTTCCGCCCATCATAAGTGGAACTTTGACGATTTGCTCGAGAAAGTCTGGGAGTATCTCAATTTGATTCGCATGTGAGTTCCGGGTGGAATTGTCCTCGAACTCTTGGCGCATTTTCAGCTACACAAAACCGAAGGGGCAACTGCCGGACTACTCGCAACCGATTGTGCTGAACGCGGAACGGAAGTCGGTCGAGGATCTGTGCACGAAGATCCACAAGTCGCTGCAGAAGGACTTCAAGTGCGCGCTCGTCTGGGGAGCCTCTGCGAAGCACAACCCGCAGCGCGTCGGACGCGAGCACGTGCTCATCGACGAGGACGTCGTTCAGGTCATCAAAAAGTACGTTTCCCCCACACACCGACTACAGTAATCCTCACTTTTCAGAGTCTAAGCAGCTTTGTCTGGCATCCCGTTCTCCTGCTAATTTGCCCAATTATCTAATGTTTCGTCCCGTTTCTCTTTTTGTTCCATCTCTTCTTGTTTCCTTTTTCTTTTTCTTTTCTTTGTCTGTCATCCTGATGGTGTCCTCGCTAGGGTGGATTGCGAAAGTAAATCTGAATTCTTTATTCAACAAAATATATATGGGCAAAATTAGGAATTGACGAATTGGCGCTCCTCGCCGCGAACTTGCAAGTTCTCGCTCTCGAGCAGCACCTTCCGCTCGTCCCGCATCGCCACCCGTTCCCATTTGTTCTCGTTGCAGTGCGGACAGTGCTTCACGGGCATCATCTCGAAGCAAACCGTCCGTTTCTTGCATCCGACGCACTTGAAGAATCGCTTGTCGGCCGTGTGCTTCACCAGTTGATGCTGTTTCTGGTGGCACTCGGACGAGGCGAACTGGGCCGTGTACTTGCACTGTTTGCACGTCACCACCTTCACATTCTTCACTTCCATCAGCGTCGTCGTGAACGTCTCCACCTTCTCTCGATCCTCCAATCCGGTGAGATGACGTTGAATCGCGTCGGCTTCTTCTTGCTTCGCCTCTAAATGATGGCTGCTCTTTCGGGCCAACATCTTCTTAATCTCCTCCATTTTCGACCCGCTGCTCTTCGTCTTTTTGGCGTCCGGAAGGGATTCGGCGGGCGCGGACGCTTTTCGTTTCACGCCGCCCGTCCGTTCCGCCTCCTCCTTCTCCTTTCGCTTCGTTTTCAGAATTGCGATGGCGCGGAGCTAAAGGGAACAATACAAACTTCTTTCAAAATAGTGCTCACCCTGGCGGCGTGTTCCTGAGCGTCTTTGTGCCCCATCGGCGTCTGATTTCCCATCGACATTGTCCAGAGTTTTGAGCCGCCCGGAGAGGACGATGACGTGGCAGGCGAGGAACTCCGCAAATCCACAGTTTTCGCCTTCTCCTTCTCCGTGTCCGCCTTCAAGAATTCGCCGAAACTCTCGTGTTTCTCTGTGTCTTTCCGTCCGAAAAACTCCATTACCTCCTCCAAACTCTCCGCTTTATTCTCCTTTCTTTCAGTCAATTTCAGCAGTTGACGCGCGGCGAACGTGTTTTTCTAAAGAATCTAATTCGTTTCAAGACCATCATATCGTGTACTTGCCCTTTCACTCATAATCTCCTTCAACGTGGCATTCTGCTCCTCTTTCGTCGTCTGTTTCAGACTCGAAATGGGCATCGTCAAATGATTACTGTCGGCTGGTTTCATCGTGTCGCGGAGCATCGGAGTGCCGCTGAAACTGCGAGAATTTGATTTTTTGGGGTTAAAGTGGTTAGATTGGGCTGAAACTAGACTTCAACAAGTTTAAGCAAAATTTGATTATGTAAGGGCCAGAAAAACTATGTTTATGATTTCCGTGGGAAAACTGTTACGGAATACGAAGGTTGGAACAAAAGTGGTTTTCTGACTTTAAAAATACGTCTAACAAGGAAAGGTTACGATCCTGATTTTTTCCCATTTTTTCCGGCTCTGTAATATTAACAAGTCGATATTGCCTTCCCCGCATTCCTTGCGTGCTTACGTGGCGAGACCAGAGCCCACAATGCCGGCTCTTGCTCCGATCGTTTGCGGCGGTTGCGGAGTCGCCGTGTGCTGCTTCGACGGCAGGCTCAATCCGCCGAGGTTCGGAGCACAGGAGACTGCGTTGAAAGTTCCTGCATAATTATTTTTTTCTTCTATTCAATTCGCCTCTTTTGCTGTTTATTTATTTTCGGCTCTTCTTTTTCCTTCTCTCTAACAAAAAAAATAGTCTGTGTCAAAGCAAACAAAACTGTTTGGCAGAAAAGGGGGAAAAGAGAGGAGCCCCGGGGACAGTGAGTCACCTCGTTTGGCCGACAGTTTCCGAGCCGCACTCATCACGTGAAATACGCAGAATTCGCTGAGAGATGTGTTCACGAAGTTGCTGCATTTCTGCCCGTCTTGCTGACGGATTCCCTGCAAAATTTTTAGTTTTGTTGTTCTCTCGAAGTTTTAGCAATAAGAAACTGTTTTGGGCGTCTATTTTTAAATGATATGTTTCACTCTAGCTAAGATGCGCACTGGATATGGTCCAATTCGAAAATTAGCAATAAAAATTTGAAAATACATCATTCCGAACCTTGCAAGTTCCAAAATGCGCCGATTCTCCAATCTCAATGATTTGACTCGATTTTGACACTTTCAAAGTGGCTGCAACTGTTTCTGAAAGACTTTTAAAATGAAAATTTCAGATTTCTCCTCACTTTTGGCTCCAGAAGCATTGGAATCATCGGCAATTTGAGCGGAAATGAGTCCGATCACTGAGCCGAGCTGCAATTTGCACGAAAAGGTAACAAAATAGATGTTTTTGATACCCGTATTTCCAAGTGATCTCTGACCGCATCGCCGAACATTAACAGCTTTACCGGCTGAGATTGACAGTCCTAAACCGATTTTTTTGGATGAAAAATTAGGAAAAAAGGGTTTACTTTTAGATCGTGTAATTTCCAAATCAAAAAGTCATTTCCATTTGCGCTTTTCTTCTTGAATCCCTTCTCGATTATCACCGCCATTGTCACCCAGGCATCTGCAAGAAATAACGTTTCGAATGATCTTGAAAGGCAGAAACCATTAAAACTAGAACTAGGCCTCAAATCCGAAAGCTTTTCGAGTTTCATTCCAGCGGTGAATGCGCCGAAGCTCGTCGAGCTAATTTTCGGGTTTCGAACGGACATTTGAAATTTATCAAAGCGCACGATTCCGACGCAAACGGCTTCCGCGCACGGCTTCGTCAGCCCCGTGAGCACATTCTTTTTGTTAGATTTCCACGCGTCCGTGGCCTTTGGCCCACTCGTCGAGCTGTTCTTCTTGAGCCAACCGTCCAGTTGGGCTCCTTGCTCTGTCAGAGCTCTGAACAAAATGTTGTTTAGAGCAAGACTTTGTGATGTACAAACTTTTTTTTGACGTACAACTCGTCGTTATCGCTATTATCGTCTTCTGCAAATTTTGAAGACGTCGAGAGCTCCTTCTTCTCCTGGGGAGCACAATCTTCTTGCTGAATATCAAAGATTCTCGGTTCTGAAGTTGTTCACCTTGCATTTTCGGGGAAAGTTAACAAAATCTGACTTATTTTCTTGTTAGTTTCAATAGGCTGCAATTCTTCCTCTTCAACGTCTCCGAGTTGGGTGAGCAGGTCGTCCAGAGGATCCATTTTGCTTAAATTTACTTGAATTTCTAGAGTTTCGCGCAAACACTGAATTTATCTTACGCGCAAACGGTGTTCGCACCACGACGCAAAAATGCAGAAAGAGGGCCTGTTTACCCTGTCCATTTTTCTCCCTCTTCTCTCTCTCTTCGTTTTCGTACATTCGTACATCATTTTCACCTCTTTTTTAATCCGAAATAGTGTTACGAAATTCTAGAATTGTTCCTATTCTCTCCCTCTCTCTTAATTTTCACGGTATTCTTATCAGCGATCGATTTTTGTGAACTTTACAGAAACCATGCCGAAAAGAGCCGTCTCTTTTGCCGATGACATCGAAACGCGGGTGTTCAAACGAGACAAAAAAGAGCTCGAAACGGAGGATTTTGACATGCCAATGGAAGAAGACGTGCTTGATGTGAAGCACAAAAATGAAGAGGTTTGTGTTGAAAAATCTTTAAAAAACTGTAGTCTCAAAATTTGTAGGGAGGAGAAGATGAAAAGAAGAAGCATCACACGCTCGAGTCGGACGAAGAAGAGGAAGAGGAATACAAGCGCCTGGACACTCGGAAAGTGGAAGGACAAGAGGAAGGCGGCATCGATTTCGAAGGGTCCACCAAGATCACGGCGTTCAATATGAAAGAGGACGAGGAAGAGGGACATTTCGACGAATCCGGCAACTTTATCTTCAAGAAAAAGGAAAAAGAAATTCAGGACGCTTGGTTGGACGGAATCGACTGGAGTCTGGTGAAGAAAAGAGCAGGAGATCAGTGGGAAGGCGACGCGGAAAAGGTTTGCACGCCCTTTCTTTTTTGACCCTTTTATTCTTGTATTTTAGAAGACCGAGATCGAGGAGGACGACGGAAAAGAGCCGGTGACGATGAATGACATTCGAAAGAAGGATATTTTTGAGAAGCTCGTCGAAGTCCTGCAGCCGAACCAAACCGTTGCCAAAGCTTTGGCCGATCTGAAGAAGAAGAAGGGGCTCTCGGCGGCCGAAGAACGCAAATTGAGATGGGCAGCCAAGAAAGCTGGAAAAGCATTCGAACCGACGGACGGACAAAAAGAGACCGCACTGCTCTCCGGACTCGCCGATGAGCTCATTTCTGCTGGATTTGTAAGTGAAACTGACCGTAGCCTGTAGACAGACTCACACCTTTTCATTGCAGATGGACGCGTACGAGTGGCACCGCGAAAAGATCAACTTCCTGCTTCAACGGATGATCAGCACGGCTGTCGATGAGGTCGACATGTTCTCCGATGAGCCAGTCACGGCTTCTTCTTCAACGGCCGCTGCTGCTCCGATAGACGTGTTAGAAGAGGAGGATACGGTCAAATGGGAGTACAAGGAGAATGAGGAGAGCAAGATTCTGGTGAGCACTCGAAAAAAAAAAGAAAACGGGCATTTTTTCAATTGCAGGGCCCATTTTCCACGTCGGAAATGCTGGATCGACAATCGAAAGGGCAGTTGTCGGCGAAAGGAATTGCGAGACGCGAGGGAACGAAGGGCTCTTTCAATCCGGTCGCCAGAATCGATTTCGAACTGTACTTGTGAAATGCACGAAAAAAAAACAGCTGAAATCTGTGAATCATTTCCGTTTTTTTCCGCTCTGCGTCTCCCATCTCTCTCTTTTCCAAAATTCCCCCCATTTTCCTCCCGCACACTCTCAATTGATTCGCCCTTGTTTCTCTCTGAAAATGCGCCAAGTTGGCTACCAGAAATTGGTCGAGGAGCCGGAAGAAATCGATACGTTTCCAGGTGCTTTTTTCTGTTTTTTGCCGCCATTTTGTCGTGTGGTCTCATTTGCATTTGATGTAATCAGTTAAATAAAGAAGTTTTTGGTGGTTTTTAGGAATCTTGCAAAGTTTTATGGGTTCTTCAAGCCTTTTTATCTTAGGCATTGGGAATTCTTCTGAAAAGTCAATGGTTTTATTCAGGCAAAATGGCCGGAACTCGGGACTACGATCACCTCTTCAAACTGCTGATCATCGGCGATTCGGGCGTCGGAAAGAGCAGTCTGCTGCTCCGATTCGCCGATAACACTTTCTCTGGTACGGTCCTCACAAGTGACGGATCGTATTAACCGACTTTGCAGAAAACTACATCACAACCATCGGCGTCGACTTCAAAATACGAACGATGGACATTGACGGGCAGCGCGTGAAGCTGCAGATCTGGGACACGGCCGGACAGGAACGCTTCCGCACGATCACCTCGACGTACTACCGCGGCACGCACGGCGTCGTCGTCGTCTACGACGTCACCAACGGCGAATCGTTCGGAAACGTGAAGCGATGGCTGCAGGAGATTGAGAACAACTGCGACTCGGTGCAAAAAGTGCTCGGTGAGCAACAAATTTGTGGAGTCTGAAGGAGATTCGATGATTTTCAGTGGGAAACAAGTGCGAAGAGGCGGATCGGCGAGTTGTGCTCGAGAGCGACGCCCGCAATTACGCCCAGTCGATGAACATCTCGTTTTTCGAAACCAGCGCCAAGGAGGACAAAAATGTGGAACCGGTAATTGGTTTTAAGTATTTTGAATGTTTTAGATCGGTTGGATTGTCTTTTCACAAGGAACAGTGGTCTTAGGCCAGAATTGATCCTAATAGATACTTGGAAAAAGTGGAATGCAACTTTTGCGTCAAAGTCAGTTTTCTGGCGGAAAATTTAAACAAATAGTGAGAAAAGCTGATATTTTAAAGAAAAATTTCCGCGGAATGCGGAATTCCGCCAAACTATGCCTTAGGCCCTAAATCATTTCCGTAGGGGTAAAAAGGACCTGGCCTTGCTCCAAAAAAAAAGGTATTCACGAATAAGCAAGCATATGAAAAACATCCCAAATCGTCCCTTGACTCCCGCTTCAACCTCATTCTCTCTGCAGATGTTCACGTGCATCACTCGTCTCGTTCTGCACGCGAAGCTCGCCAATCCGTCCGCCTCGTCGACCCAGCAGAACCGTTCGGGCGGAGTGTCGTTGAAGGACGGCGGAGCGAATGCGAACCAGAAAAAGAAGTGCAAGTGCGCCTAGATGACTGCCCCTCGAAAACTCACGCCTACATCATTCTCACCCCCTTTTTTCTCGATTTCCCCTCACACCAAATGTTCACTTTTTCATCGCAAGTCAACTTTGTTCCATCAACGGCCCCGCTTCATTTTTTTCATTTCTCCTTTTTTTGGTAATTTCACCCCCAATAACTCTATATCGCCTTCGTTCTCTCCCTCTTTTTCGCATGTGCATATACGAACGCTTTCTCGGCCTCGGCGCCCAAATTTTAATTTATCAGCATTATATAAATATATATTGAATGGAGAAATCTGTCAATTTTGGAGGTGAAAAAAGGAGCGGAGATCGATCGACAATGAGTGAGTGGGCGGGGCTTTCGGAATTTCAGATCGGATATAAATGGTACAATATACGGATTTTTGAGGGGGAGAAGACAAATTAAAAAGTGAAAATGAGTTGAGGGGAAGAAGAACGCAATAAAATTGAGATATCGTACAGATCTTTTTTGGAAAGTGGGCGGAGTCTATCCGTGAGTGGTGTCATCCTCGACGAAATCGTAGGCCTGCTCGCGCGTGACCGAGTCGATGTGCGACACTTTGTTGCGGAAACGGACTCCGTAGAACTTTTCGGCGGTCGCCAGCAGCTCCGGTCGGAAAGTTGTGGTCACGAATTGGGCCTGATCGGACAGCGATTTGATCATATCTGCAATATTGGAAATGGACAATAGCGCACACATGTTACAGTTCCAACCCGCCACTGATTTTCTGTGTTGGGCGTCAAGGGCGGCGTCGATTTCGTCGAACAGGTAGAATGGCGCTGGATCGCACTTCTGAAAATGGGAAATTTGACGTGTTGAAAAGATTTACGAGCTTATCAAGTCGGCTAAAAACAGGGGTTTTCCGAATTCTAACAATGTCGCTCTCTACCGGCCGCCGTCACGACATTTTCCAATTTAGCACTGAATTTGCGGGCGCTACAACGAAGTAGAACTTGAACGGAATGGAACTCGTAGTTATATTTTAACGTTGCGAGTTCCAAACCGTAACAGTTTCATTCCGTGCGAGTTCTACTTCGTTGTAGCGCCGCCAATTTGCGTGGAGAGCGCCGCTCTCAGAGCGGTAGGGCGCAATTGCCGGACGTTTGCGGTTTCAATATACTCCTGAACACTAGCTCAACATTCCAAGTGAACATTTCCCTGCTAAATCGCACCTGAATGGCAAAAATAATGGCGAGTGCGACGAGCGATTTCTGGCCGCCGGACAGTTGGGTCATCTCGCGAGTCTCGGCCTCTCCGTCGTCGGAAACGAACGAGACGAGCACGGTGATGCCCTCGTACAGTTCGACCGTATTGATGTTCTCCTCGCCTTCGCGGGGATCGCGCATCCGCATGTTCATCTTTCCGCGTCCGTGCGGAACCAACTGCTTGAACACCTCCTCAAAGTTCTTTTTCACCTGCCTGAACGTCAAGTTGATCGCCTCGTACTTTCGCGTTTCGAGCACTTTGAGCAACTCTTCGATTGACTGAAAATAGATTGTTTGTTTGATTACTACCCCCGGAGAATCGCTTACGTCTTCACTCTTTTTCTGCTCGGCCATTCGCTTCGTGAGCTCTTCCTTCTGCTGCGAGGCCGTCATGTACTGGTCCAGAGCCTTCTTGTTCACATTCTCGTACTTTTTCAGATTGTTCACACACTCGAGCAGTTTCTTCTCCAGCTCTCGCGGCTTCACATTCTGATACTTTGAGAAGGTGTCGGTCGGAAGGGCGCCGAGTTGACGCATCTGAAAATAATGTTTTAGAACAGTCGACAATCCTTTCTGTACCTTTTTAAGGGCGTCTTCTCTTTTCGTGTTCACTTCGTCGGTTCTCACTACGATCCTCTCCAGTTCCTTCTGGAAGGCCGCCTGTTGCAACTCTAGGTCTCGCTGTTGTTCCTGAAAACAAAGACCGTCTTTAAAGAGGCTATCCGGATTCTCTTACAGCAAGATCGTTAATTTTGAGCTGCAGAGTCTCATTTCGCTGATCGAAATCGGATAATTCTGCGTTGACGGCGTCGAGTTGCTGCCGGACGGCATGCATTCGGGCGAGGAGGGAGGCGAGCGCCGAGTTGCACGTCTCCAGTTTGTGACGTCGTTCGTTGTCCGAGATGTCGTCGACGCGCGACGTCAGATTCTCCTTCGTCTTGTACAGCTTCTTGGTGAGCAGATTCTCAATGTTGTTCTTCCGATGCTGTAAATCCATCCGCTCGCGGGCCACCTTCGTCAACTGCGCCTTCATCTGATCCACCTTCTTCTTCAGTGCCTTCACAGTCTCCTCTTCGTCGGCCGTCAGCTGCGAACTCATCGCCGTTCCGATCTCCTGTTCGAGATTGTCCTTCTGCGCCTGCAGTTCTCTCAATCGGTTTCTGCTCTGTAACAACTGGTCCTTCTTCGGCTCCTTCATCTTCTGAATCATGAAGAACTGATGGCTCAGCGCGTTCTTCTGCTCGGTCCACTGTCTATGTCTTCGGTGGTAATCTCCGATTTTATTCTCGCTCTCCACCATCTCCATTTTCACTTTTTCGGCCGCGTGTGTCTTCTCGCGAACCTTTCTCTCCGCGCCCTCCAACTTCACTTTCAGCTCTTCCAGAAGCGCCTGCACTTTGTTTTTTTCGGCGTGAAGCTCGAGTTTGGTGCGTTTCCGATCGATGTATCCTCCGGTCATCACTCCCTTCTTCGACATTTGATCTCCGTCCATCGTGACGACGTCGTATCCCTCGTTGCGGAGACGTCGTGCCGTTTCGTCGAGTGCGCGCACGATGATCACGTTTGCGGTGATGGATTTGAAGATTTTCTCGAATTTACAATCGAAATCCATAATCTCGGACATTGGCCGGCAATCCGACGAGGCTGGCGGCGGACGTTCGCGAGTTGTACCGATGCGGTTCATCGGGAAGAAGTTGAGCTCGCCCGGCAGTTGCATTTCATTGAATTTGCGCAGTATTTTGGAGGCGATTCTGAAGATTTACAATATGTGGAAAACGGAGAAGCAAAAACAAACCGATCAGTGTCCACAACATGGTAAAAGAGACGGTTCTGAGCGATGACTTCGACGGCAGTGTTGAAAACGCTCTCGATTTCGACGAGCTCGATCAGAGTGCCATGATATCCGTTGATGACGTCATCGTGCTGACCGTTCCGATTCTCCGCCTTGAACTCCTCAATGACCTTCCGTACGCCAGTGACTCCATTGTAGATCGGTCTGGCCACAAGCCTTCTCAACTGCTCGTGGGCGGCAGCAATGTCCTGCTCGACGCCGGCCATCTCGTCCCTGACCGTTTTCTCCTCTCTGTTCGCCGCCTGAACTGCCGCGTACGCCTCATCGTACTTCTGCTTGAGAGCGCTCGCATTTCCGCCGTGGTTGTCGAGCTCGAAGCGGTTCTCCTCGATCTCCCGACTGATCGTCTGTATGTCCCTGTTCAGCTTCTCGTGCTCGCCTTCCACGTCTTCCAGCTCTTTCTCGATGACGGCCATCTGCTCCTGATTGTCAGCGATGAGACCGGCGAAGCGACGAGCTTCCTGTCTCAGAAACCGATCTCTCTCGTCGATGGATCCGAACTGAGAGCGGAGTCCCTGTTTTGAGAGCATCTCCTTGATTCGAGACTCGTCGATTCGAATATCAGTGGTGAGACGAGATTCTTCTTCGACCAGCGTCGCGTATCTCGGCTTTATCTCATCGAGCTCCGTCTCTTTCTCGTAAATCTCGTCGGTCACAGTTTGCAAAGAGTCTTCCGCGTTTTTACGGCCTTGACGTTCTCTGGAAACAGAGGGGAATAAGTCTGAAATGGCTTCCGGCGACTTACTTGGACGACTCCTCGTTCAGCGAATCGATCTCCAACTTCAACTTCATTCTCTCCTCGATCATGGCCGTGTTCTCCGCTTGCAAACTCTCATTCTCCTCTTTGTACCCCCTCACTTGACTTTCCAACTTCTTCTTCTCACTTTGCAACTTTGTCATCTCCGACTGCAAATCCGACAGCTGACTCTTCAGGTTATTGTCCTTTTGTGTCAGTTCCGATTTACTGGTATCCAAATTCTTCTGCTCCTTGGTCGCCTCTTTGTTCGTATTATCGTACATCGTGTACTCGATACTCCTCTTCGTTTTATCCAATTTCTGGTACTCTTTCAAGTCTTCCTTCTCATTTTCCAGAGTTTGAAGGCGTTCGTCAATGTACTTGAGCAGTCCCTCAATCTTTTCCGTCTTCATTTTCGTCTCTTTCAGGATTTTCAACGACTCTTCCTTCCTCTCGTCGTACACACGGGTTCCGGCGACTTCGCGGAGAAGTTTGAGCTTGTAGGTGTCCGGCGACGTCGCCAATTCATTGATTTTTCCTTGTTTGACAATGTAATAGGGGTTAGAGCGGGAGAAACCGGCGGATTCCATCAAATTCACAACCTGAAAGATGTGTTTTAAATTTTCCCCACATTTTCTATAGTTTTACCTCGGCTCTGGAGACCATTTTGTTGTCGATATAGTACTGATCTTTCTTTTTGCCAATCTGACGAACTATTCTCACTTCTGGAGCGTCGAACGCCATCATTCGCTTCTCAGAATTATCGAATATAATTTCGACGCGAGCATGAGCGACCTTAATCGATAGGTTTTTCAATAAAACTTATCTTTTTTACGACAAACCTTCGGTCCGGTACTCTCGTGGAGCAACTGCAGACGATTCTCTTCTCTCAGGTGACTGTAGTCATCGGAGAGCACAAATTGAACAGCTGAAAAAGCGAAAATACAGAATTGTGCGGCGAGTTGCCGACAAACCATGAAAAAAGTTGGATTTTCCCGATCCATTTCGTCCGACAACAACGTTCGAGCGAGGACTGAAGCCAAAGACGTGCGTATTGTCTTTGTAGCTTCGAAATCCCGTGATTTTCACCTAAAAACACCGAAATTTCGGGGAAGACCAGTAAAAACTCACTTCTTTGATCTTCATTGGTTTATCGCATCAAGTGACGGGGTTGTTACTGAAAATACTACACATTTAGAGAGTAAATTAGTTGTAGAATGAACAGATTGAAAAGAAACGACAACAAAATCATTGTAAGTCGATGAACATTCAATTGAAAATGCATCAGATGGGGTTGCGTTTCAAAACAAGTCGTTCGCGCTCTCGTCCCCGGGACTAGAAACTTCCACTCGGCCGCAGGGTCTCGGACTCCCCTCGGACAAAAAAAGATGTCAACACAAAAATCAGCACAAAGTTGATGGAAAGTTCAAAAAACGCAGCAGTTTTTGAACAAATTATATATTTTTTCGATTGTTGACAGATTTCTGAAAAAAAAAGAAACATGAATAGCACAACTAAAAAGTTCAAACGCACGTGAACCCCAAAGAAATGGGGGATCCACATGAGAGATCCTGGCTATTTTCCAATGTTTCACACCAAAATGGAACATTTAAACGATGCGATACAACAAAAACCACAAAAACAGGAGGATTTCGTCGACGGGAACCGGGTCCTCATCTCGGAGATCAGCCCGCAATACGCTCAACGTCGCAACCTCTTCAACCAGCTCGTCTGGTCCAAAACTCATATGGCCGTGAGTAGTAACAACACGTTTTCAGCTTCTTTTCTCTTTTCAGCTTCTCGGGCACATTGGCTACGTGATCAGTGCGGATTCGACGAAGAGGACCGCAGTTGTCCGGGTGTTTTACGTGCTCCCGTCGAGCACCGAAGTGGTTGGAAGTTTCTGGAAGGTTCTAGAAGACCAGCATTTATGTTTCAGCTGCAATATCAGACCGAATGGCCGTTCGAAGCACTCGAATATCCGTCGATCGTGGAACATTCGAAGGGAGATTTAGTGGCGCTCACTCGCGGAGATCCGGAGAAAACGACGATCGGAGTGATCGCCGGCAAGGATCTCGTAAACTTTGGAGGCGTCGAAAAGCACCTTGTCTACCTAAAGAACGCAGCGAACACGACGTCGAACCGGGAGATTCAAGTCGGACAATCTTCATACATTCATGGAAATCTTGTGAACTGTTTAGGTGACGGTCGATGTGAATCCCGGGCCGTGTGGTGATCTTTTCCTGCTGCCAATCTACACCGGACCTCGGCTATCGATGATCATGCGCGATCGCGGCGAATCTAGTGTTCACACGTACAAAGTAAGATCCAGGACATCATACCATGCAGTCAATTTGACTTTCACTTTCAGCACACAATCCACGGCTACTCGACAGAACCCCTGATGAGTGTCATCTCGAATTGGACGGACGACGCGGAGAGCTACGCGAAGCTCGTCGAGACGGTTCGCGCGAATCCTCAACAAGTGCGAAATGTGTTCGACGGCGAGCTGCCGCTGTTCCGCGCGGTCGCAGACGATCTGTGGAGTGTGGTCAATATTCTGATTGCGTTGGGAGCCGACAAAGCGGCCAGGAATACGGAGGACAAGACGATCATCCACGTGGCTGCCGAGAGGTTCGACGAGTTCATTGAGAGGGGCAGAATATGAAAGAAACTTTCAGAGGGCTGGACAAGATGCTCGAGGGAGTGCTGCTGCTGCTTCCGAACGAGGTGAACCGGCAATCCGTCGACGGCGACACGCCCCTTCATCTGGCCGCCCGTCGTGCTCACGCCGCTTGCATCGACCGTCTTCTGGGCAACAGCGCGTGTCTTCCGTGCGTTCCGAACAACCAGGGAGACACGCCCCTTCACGAGGCGTGCAAACTGCCCGAGTCCGGGAATAAGGTGCGCTGGCCCTGAGATTCACGAGCACCGATCATTGCAGAAGGCGACTATCAGCCGCATCCTGACGAACAGCCGCGCGAACATCCATCAGCTGAACAACGCGAACATGACACCGCTGCAAATATCGATTTTCGAAGGATACGTCAAGTGCGTTTGTCGTGTTTTCAGCCTACATTCGGTCACTTTTCAGCACTGTCGAGCAGCTTCTTCTGATGCGCTCCTCTTATCGCAATACGACGACAAAGAGCGGAATGAGCGCGTTGCACTACGCGGCGAGCTGCGGAAATGTGAATGTGGTGAACAAGTTGATATCGGTAAGAGTTCAAGAAAGAGTGAAATTCTACGATTCGCTCTTTTGCAGCTCGGATTGGAAGTGCATCGCCGCGACAAATTCGGTCGTGGAGTCCTCCATTACGCCGTCGACAAATGGACCGGCGAGGCGGAGAAAGATCGCGTCCGTCTGGCGACCATTCAGACTCTTGTCAAGGCCGGAGCACCGCCGAACGTGCTGGATTTGTACGGACAGACGCCGATGTTTCAGCTGATAAAGTGGGTCACACAGTAAACCATTGAAAACATGCACATTTGTAGGGAGATTCTGAAGCACAATGAGCAGTACCCGAGCACTTTGGTGCCAGTCTGTGCCCAACTCGTTCGGACCAACCTGAACCTCGATGAGATGGCCTCCCGACTCCGCCCCAATTGGCAACTCGCCACCGCGTGTTTCCTCGTCTCCAATGGAGCTGATCTCAACATCAAGTATTTCAAACTGTTGTAGTTCTTTTCTAGAATCACTCTTTTTGCAGAGATCGCAAAGGAGTGAGCGTCGTGGAGATGTGCGAAGAGTCGAGCCTGCGTCCGATCATTGTGCACATGGCGCAGACGAAGCAACGGACTGGAATGCCGATGCTCGCGCTGAGCCAGGACAAGTTCGACGCGGCGGAAGTGACGATGTGCTCGTTCCTGTGCATCGACTCGGTGGCCACCGTCAAACTGACGCCGTGCGGACACCGTGTCGCGTGCGTCGATTGTGCCGAGAAGACGGCGATCCGGAGGTGTCCGGTGTGCTATCAGTTCATTGCGGGCGCCGAGGATCAGTGTGAGTACACTTTCAGAGGCCCAACAACAAACTATTTTCTCGTTTTCAGACGGAAAAGCCATCCAGATAGGCTCTCGGTGCAGTGAAGCGTCGGAAATTGAACGGAAAACGACTGAAGTCTCGCCGGAATTGTACAAAAAGATTGCGGAGGACGCGGTCCGCGAGGCGAAGATTACGATGGAAAAGGAGAAGCAAAAGGAGCTGAATCTGCTCAAACAGAAGCTCGAGCAGCTCGAACTGGAGACGAGCTGTGCGATTTGTATGGACTCGAAGATTGCCGTCAGTCTATAAGGACCGCGACGAACACCCAACAAAACAAGAACGATTTTCAGATTGTGTTCAACTGCGGACACACGGCATGCGCCGGTTGCACGCAGAAGCTCAACAAGCAGTGTCACATTTGCAGAAAGACTATCGAGACGACGCAGTGCATTTACTCGTGAACAATATTTACACTACGTGCACACACTTGCTTTAATAAATATTCTCGTAAATAGCTGCCACACACAGCATTAGGGACCGCTGTTTTACAAATTTGAAATTGATCACTGAAAATTGGGCTCATCACTAAACAATTTTCGCAATGTTTACCGGCTATTTTAGGGAAATGGGTCAAGTTCAGGGAACTCGGATCTCAATTCTGACTTCAAAATCTGACGGACCGTAAGACGAGAAAAAGGAAGAAGAAGTGACTGCTGGGATTCTACACAACTCGAATCCCTTTGCGAAGAACACATTCAAACTAATGACTTTTTTTGTTAATTTGTCATAAAATAAACTAATTTCCAATTATGCGCGTGTATTTTTGCAAAACAGCAATACTCTTGTGAACTGGAGTTGCCCTGGTCACCCTTTCAAGCCGTTCATTTTCAAGTGTTTCTCATTGTTCGCGTGGCTTTCTACACAATAGTTAGTCGAACTTGGTGAGTTCTAGCTGAACCGCAACTTTATCGGTTCGTTTTCAGTAATGCATCTTACAATTATACGGGCGTACTTGCTTGTGTTATTGGTAGCGTCTCCATGTCAACTTCAAGGTTTCCTATTGAATTGCTTTCTTGTCCAGCTAACAAAACATATTCTCCAGATGTCACCGCAAGTAATGATCACGTGAGAAACATCGGGAAAAGAGCCTCCGGAGGTAAGTGAGGCTTTTTTGGTAATGATGGCATTCGTTTTTTAAGCCAACAATGTGTTCATATTCCGTGATCAAGTAGGGTCTCTGGCCCGTTTTGCTAACGCGCTCTACATCGAAGCCGTCATCCTCAATGACCATCCTATTGACGAGAAAATCCTCACCGCTGAGTTGACGAACGTCGGAGACACGACTGTTATCAACAAACTGTTGGCATTGAAACCGCAAGAGATTTATCACAACTTGAAAATGTTCAAATATCTACCGGACGTTCTCCCCGATGATCGTGAGTCCATTCTGAACGGACTGGAAGCAGTTGTGCGATTGACGCACCTTTTTTCCAATCTCACCCAATTGGTTGAGATGAAAGATCTTGAGCCGTATGCGAATGAAATCGGCTGGCTCACAAACTTTGACTTCTCACCTTTCGCGAGTGATAGCTCTGTGAAAGCTCTTTCGGCATTGGAAAGCATTAAAAAGTTGCCGGATAATGTGACCGATATGTTCAAGCACGCTGCTGTCGTAGAATTGGGCAAAACAGCTCTCGATGATATTGAAGCCTTTGAGAAGTACGCGAGTGAGATACAACCTGTTTCAAACGATCTAGCATCTCATACACAAATAGCTGATGGGCCCGCAATAATGAAGTCAGTCGTGGAGCATGTTAATTTTCTCGACACACTGACAAAAGAGCTCCCTGGTCTCAACTCGCTCGCAAATTCTCTTGCAAGTTTGTCGAAAAAGGAAGTTGAGGACCTCCAACAAACCGTAAAACAAAGTGAGGATTTCGAAAGTCTCTCCAACTTTATGGATGCGTTGCAAGATGTTCTGATATCCACTGAGAAGCACTACGGAAGTGCCGTTTCCCGTCGAGAGACTCCTTCATTTCCACGTGGAGTCATCAGTCTGAACGAGAACTTCGATAGTGTCAAGAGCAAATGGATTTGGGAGACTATGGAGGCGAAAAGAGGCGAGGCATTCAAATTTCATATGAAGCCGTTGGAACGTGTGAGCAACGAGATGGCAGACGTGGAAGGACGATTGAGACAGATTGCGGCGTGGGCGGAGTCTCTGAGCATAATTGAGACTATGTCGAACACACTGAAAAGTTTGATGGTTGTGAAGAAGAGCAAAACATCGCTCCAAGATGCGCTGAAGGATGTGCAGACGAAATTGAAGTCTCAGCCGAGATTCAATTCGGTAAAAAAAGCGAAAAGAATCAATGAGATCTTCGAGTTTTGCGTACAACTGAAAAACGCCAATGACGAATCTAGTGAGAAGTGCAACGAAGCTCAGAACTATGCCAGAACTCCAGTCGCTTAAAGATCTCTCCAAGGTTAAGGATGCTCTCAAACCTCTACAAAGTATGCCACAATTCGCAGATGCCGAGAGAGAAGTTGCAAAGTTGAAAGGAGACAAGAACATTGAAGCTGTCATCAGCAACATGAGAACTGTGCAAAAAGAAGTGGAAGAAGTGCGAATGATTGCCAGAACTATTCAATCGATCGCGTCTCGCCTCGTCACTTTCAAAGACGAGTTGGCTAATTTGCGGCGAGATGTTTCGCTTGCTGCCGTAAGCACTAGCCATTTCTTCAAATCAATTGGAATCGCTTCTGAAAGTTTTGACATTCTGTCGAAAGCCTACAAATTTGCCACCAGCATAAAAGCATTTCACGCGTCGCCAGTCTATTTCCATCAAGTCCAGTCGCTTATCGACGATGTCTCGCAGTGTTCCATTAAAATCTCTGCTCTACTACGAATGATGAGCGACATGGCTGAGAACAAGTTGCTCCGTGGGAATGCGCAAGCGTTGGAGGTGTTCAAAGAGTCGGCTGGAGTCGCACTGAAGCTAGCAAATGGAGAGAAGCTAGCGGGCTTTGTGGCCGATGCGATACTTCTCAAGGAAGAGCTCAAGACGATTTCCACTCACGCCGAAGACATTGACCGCGAAATAGGCGCGTTGTCGAATTCCAAAATACGAGATGAGGTGCGTATTGGATGGCCGAATGCGGCGCAAGTGAAGAATTCGTTGGGAACGCTTTACCATGATTTAACAACTTTGGAGAAAGAAATACCGGAGACTGGAGCAACTGACATCCCTTCAACTGGTACCCTTCTCTCGAAACTCAAGATTGTGAAAAATCCAGGGATTGATTTGGCGGCAGTCCGCAAATCGATCAATCTTCTCCACATCAGCAGCTCCAGTCAACTCGTGGCAAAAGTACGCAATGTGCTCGAAAAATGCTCGAGTTTGCATCTAGACTTTGTCAGTGCTCAATCACAATTGGACGGAATCGCCGACTCGGTGAATAGTTTCAATGCAAAGTTGACGGCTCTCCTAATCTCGAATGCGGAAGTCGTCGTCGCGGAGAAACTCCCGTCAGCCACGTTGCCGATCAGCAATCCGATATTGTAGGTATCTTCCTGAAACTCACTCTAAAATTTATTTCAGTTTCCATAAAAACAAGGTCGCCTTCTGGGTGACTTTCTGCATTCTACTCGTTGCCCAATCTGCTTTGCACGCCTTCATGTACTTTAGAGAACGAAAAACCATAAAATCTGAAATTAACGCTGAGACCGGAAAGAGGCCGATTATTAATCAAGTGATAATACCTGAAGATAAGAAGCCGGACGAAGAAGAAGAAGAGGAGAAAAACACTCCGGTTAAACACGAAGTTAGCAAGGAGAAAAAAGCGTTGGTAAAATCTCTGGTTAGGTATCCAGCAATAAACAGGGCCGATTGCAGAGGACACAAAGGAAAGTAACTAGACAAGACCTACAAAAGTTGCAAGATTATATCAAAAGAAGGAAGGCAGAGCATAAGTCAGAAACGAACACAAAAAAATTCGTGAAACGAGGGCCAATATACATTCCGATGAATCCAGATGTGAGTGATCAGTCAAACGCTTGTGAAGATTCTCATTGTTGTCAGATACCGCCTCCGCAGCCTCAAGCCGAAAACATCACATTGGACCACGTCGAGTATTTTCCACAGGGCAACGAAATGTTTGACGTCGGCAGTGACGTCGACGATATTGAAATCGATTCGTCGACAATTGGGGAGCCATCGACAATTGGAGGGACAACCAGTGAAGATCATCCACGTGAGGCTTTTCGAGAAGCATTTCTGAAATTGTCCCGATTCTTTTCAGCACCAAAAGAGGAGGATCATAAGCCGGAACAAGGTTACAAGTCATGAGGTGTGATGCCTCTTCTTTTTCTATGTTCTTACGTCCACAATAGACAACTTTCAGCGGGTACGAGACTCCGGCAGTTGGTCCGGGAGCGAGGGAGGCAATCACAGATTCGTTTTCAGCCGATTCGCCCATTATTCTCAAAAGTTCATGATCTCCAATAAAATTTTAAATTTTCAAATTTTCATTCGATCCTTCGACCGCTGCGCACGTGGTCTCCCTCCTCAGAAATCCTTCTTTCGAAAGAGACATCAATTGCGGAGAGCTTCCTTTTCCCTGACAATGGAACACTCCCAACAGCTGAGCCATTTTCTCGTCCCTCTGAAGAGTGTCCGTACACATTCGAGTATTATCCACGATTGTATGCAACTGAAAACTGGGGGAATTAAGGAAAAAACTGTGAAATTGCGCAGGACGTACTGCTCCGTAAGCAAGAACGTCCTCGTCCATCACGAATTCTTGTAAATGGAGGCAATGTTCTGCAGATCCATATGAAGCATAGAAAATGCGGGTACGTCAATAGCATCAATTACTGTCGTTTTTAGGCTTTCGACGCTTGTGATGTATTCGTTCACCTTCGCTTCTGGGAACAGTTTCTCAGATTTCAGGCTCAACTTCTGCAACTTCTCGAACGCTTCCATAGCCTCGTTGATCGACGAAAACTCTTCGAGGAAAGTGTGCGGTTGATTTTCCAGCTTTCGAATGACTTCGAGAACTTTTTCAGTGTTCACTTTCTCGATAGTGCCGAGAATCGTTCCGTTTTGTATGTTGGTGAGCTCCGAGATTGCGTGATCCACATTACAAGATTTCTGCAGAAGACACGACTCGAGGTAGAGGAGATTGGAAAACCGGGCGACGGCGGCGAGCTGAGGATGGAGAAGGAGCAGATTGTTCGCTGAAAACAATATGATCACTTTTATGAATCAAGGCAGTATGCATGACTATCAGTATGATTCAGAAGTGAGATCTGAGAGAGTCAAACTCACATTTTTCAACTTTTACTTGATGGCGAGCATGCTGGATCTCACCGAACAGTTCGGAACTTGTTAAAAGTACTTTTAAAAGTCCGAAAAGTAGCGAGAAGACTGCAAGAAAAACTCGCATTTTTTACGACTGAAATGTTCGAGGTTCGACTGAATGTACATGAAAACAGTTACCTGAGCGACTGTTTTGTGTGTTTACTGTATTTGCAAAGCGTGAGCTCCGACAGAAAAAATACTATGTTTTTCGCTGACAAACGGAGAAAAAGGCGCGCGCGGCGACCGAATTTTAAAGGCGCAGAGACTTTTGAGGTGGCGCGGGTCTCGAAGCGAAACGAACGAACGGTCGCGGCAGGCGGGATTTTAATTCGAAATGTCATTCTACGGAATTTGGAAGGTTCCCGGCCCACCCACCCAACTAAACGAAAGAAATCAAGTGTCAAATTGTTGCAGAAGGCGCGAAACGACAGTACGTGAAGGATTTGGAGGCGCAGGCGGGGAAGCAGCTGAAACACCTTGTCGACGTGCTGAAAGTGGCGCCGTACGAGTCAAGGCCACGTCTACGGCGAGGGCATATCGCGCGGAAAATGTGAAACGAAACGTTTGGACCGAGAAGATGCAGCTGCCGAAGAATGAGTCAACATTCCTGCTCTACCTGATGGAGAGAGGGACGAAGATCGGAAGCAGCGCGCTGTCGAAGATCTCGGCGGCGTATCAAGCGGCGAACGATGGGATTTCCAAGATGGGAGCGGCTTTCGTGGCGGACGTCATCAAGATGAAGAGAAGGCTCGAGATTCCGTTGAAAAAGAAGCCAGTCGAGGTGACTTTGGAGGATGTCGAAAAGATCACACAGTTGGCGATGCAGTCAAACAGTCCGGCGGGCGATCGGGATGCCTTGCTGGCGATTCTGTCGTTCCATGTGATGTTGAGGGCGTCTGAGGCGGCGGAGATCAAGTGGGACGGTGTCACTCAAACAGGAGATCTGATCGAGGTAATCGTTGAGAAGGCGAAGAACGATCAGATGGCTCTGGGACGTCGATCGTACTTCAACTACAAACCGGGCAGCGACGCGGACATTCTGATGCGCAGGTGGCGACTCAGAAGCAAGAAGAAGAAGACGTGCGAGTACGTGTTTTCGAACTTGGAGGGATCCAAACGTCTGTCGAAGCAATCGATCTCGGCCCTGGCTTCGAAGATGCTCAAGGCGATCGGGAAAACGGGAGCGACGCACCACGGATTCAGACGAGCTGGAGCGAACTACTTCCCGACCCATTTTTGCTCCATTTCAATGCCCGAAATCGACGTTTATCTAGAATTGTAAAACCTTTTTCGGCATCGTTTTTTATCATCGAAACGATCGCGGCCGACGGACAAAATTCCAGTTTCCCGATATCGGTGAGCGATTAGTTCTTGTAAAGTTCTTTTGAAAAATCAATAAATTCGCAGAAGTGTGTCATCATCATTTTCACCGACGAGGCTTGGACTCCGCTGCTGCGAACTGTGCATTCTGTGATCAATCGGAGCCCGCCGCAGTTGCTCAAAGAGATCATTCTGCTGGACGATAACAGCCAGAGAGGTTTGCTCTTTTTGCTGAAAATACGTACGTTTATTCTTCCAGAAGAGCTCAAAGCTCCACTCGACGAGCACATCAAGCGGTTCGGCGGAAAAGTGCGTCTGATTCGAAAGCACGTCCGCCACGGTCTGATTAGAGCGAAACTTGCCGGAGCTCGTGAAGCCGTCGGGGATATAATTGTCTTTTTGGATTCTCATTGTGAAGCCAATCATGGGTGGCTCCAGCCGATTGTTCAGAGAATCAGCGACGAGCGCTCGGCTATTGTTTGCCCCATGATCGATTCGATCTCCGACCAGAACCTGGCTTATCATGGGGACTGGTCCCTTTCGGTTGGAGGTACTTGAAAATAGTGATTTAAATAGAAAATAGTAATATTGAGGCTTCTCCTGGGCCCTTCATTTCACCTGGGAAGGACTTTCAGACGAAGAGACGAAGCGTCGCACGAAAGTCACCGATTACATCAGGTCAGAGTAGTACAGAATTAAAATGATTTTTTACAAATTCCATTTTTAGATCGCCAACAATGGCCGGAGGTCTTCTGGCCGCCAATCGCGAATACTTCTTCGAAGTTGGCGGATACGACGAAGAAATGGACATTTGGGGAGGCGAGAATCTCGTGATTTCGTTCAGAGTGAGTAACCGAAAGGGTATGCGAGTGCGCGTTGGCATGGAAACCTCATCTACTTGCAGAACTGGATGTGTGGCGGTTCGATCGAATTCATTCCGTGCTCGCACGTCGGCCACATCTTCCGCGCCGGCCATCCCTACAACATGACAGGTACATCAATCTCAGCTCGTTCTTCATCCGAAATTCCAAAACCGAAACAATTTCAGGCAGAAACAACAACAAGGACGTGCACGGAACGAATTCGAAGCGCCTGGCAGAAGTGTGGATGGACGACTACAAACGGCTCTATTACATGCATCGAGAGGACCTCCGAACCAAAGACGTCGGCGATTTGAGCGCCCGGAAAGCGTTGAGAGAGCGATTGAATTGCAAACCGTTCAAATGGTATTTGGAAAACGTCGCCAAGGGGAAATTCGTGATGGACGAGGACGTTCTTGCTTACGGAGCAGTACGTCCTGCGCAATTTCACAGTTTTTTCCTTAATTCCCCCAGTTTTCAGTTGCATACAATCGTGGATAATACTCGAATGTGTACGGACACTCTTCAGAGGGACGAGAAAATGGCTCAGCTGTTGGGAGTGTTCCATTGTCAGGGAAAAGGAAGCTCTCCGCAATTGATGTCTCTTTCGAAAGAAGGATTTCTGAGGAGGGAGACCACGTGCGCAGCGGTCGAAGGATCGAATGAAAATTTGAAAATTTAAAATTTTATTGGAGATCATGAACTTTTGAGAATAATGGGCGAATCGGCTGAAAACGAATCTGTGATTGCCTCCCTCGCTCCCGGACCAACTGCCGGAGTCTCGTACCCGCTGAAAGTTGTCTATTGTGGACGTAAGAACATAGAAAAAGAAGAGGCATCACACCTCATGACTTGTAACCTTGTTCCGGCTTATGATCCTCCTCTTTTTGGTGCTGAAAAGAATCGGGACAATTTCAGAAATGCTTCTCGAAAAAGCCTCACGTGGATGATCTTCACTGGTTGTCCCTCCAATTGTCGATGGCTCCCCAATTGTCGACGAATCGATTTCAATATCGTCGACGTCACTGCCGACGTCAAACATTTCGTTGCCCTGTGGAAAAATACTCGACGTGGTCCAATGTGATGTTTTCGGCTTGAGGCTGCGGAGGCGGTATCTGACAACAATGAGAATCTTCACAAGCGTTTGACTGATCACTCACATCTGGATTCATCGGAATGTATATTGGCCCTCGTTTCACGAATTTTTTTGTGTTCGTTTCTGACTTATGCTCTGCCTTCCTTCTTTTGATATAATCTTGCAACTTTTGTAGGTCTTGTCTAGTTACTTTCCTTTGTGTCCTCTGCAATCGGCCCTGTTTATTGCTGGATACCTAACCAGAGATTTTACCAACGCTTTTTTCTCCTTGCTAACTTCGTGTTTAACCGGAGTGTTTTTCTCCTCTTCTTCTTCTTCGTCCGGCTTCTTATCTTCAGGTATTATCACTTGATTAATAATCGGCCTCTTTCCGGTCTCAGCGTTAATTTCAGATTTTATGGTTTTTCGTTCTCTAAAGTACATGAAGGCGTGCAAAGCAGATTGGGCAACGAGTAGAATGCAGAAAGTCACCCAGAAGGCGACCTTGTTTTTATGGAAACTGAAATAAATTTTAGAGTGAGTTTCAGGAAGATACCTACAATATCGGATTGCTGATCGGCAACGTGGCTGACGGGAGTTTCTCCGCGACGACGACTTCCGCATTCGAGATTAGGAGAGCCGTCAACTTTGCATTGAAACTATTCACCGAGTCGGCGATTCCGTCCAATTGTGATTGAGCACTGACAAAGTCTAGATGCAAACTCGAGCATTTTTCGAGCACATTGCGTACTTTTGCCACGAGTTGACTGGAGCTGCTGATGTGGAGAAGATTGATCGATTTGCGGACTGCCGCCAAATCAATCCCTGGATTTCACAATCTTGAGTTTCGAGAGAAGGGTACCAGTTGAAGGGATGTCAGTTGCTCCAGTCTCCGGTATTTCTTTCTCCAAAGTTGTTAAATCATGGTAAAGCGTTCCCAACGAATTCTTCACTTGCGCCGCATTCGGCCATCCAATACGCACCTCATCTCGTATTTTGGAATTCGACAACGCGCCTATTTCGCGGTCAATGTCTTCGGCGTGAGTGGAAATCGTCTTGAGCTCTTCCTTGAGAAGTATCGCATCGGCCACAAAGCCCGCTAGCTTCTCTCCATTTGCTAGCTTCAGTGCGACTCCAGCCGACTCTTTGAACACCTCCAACGCTTGCGCATTCCCACGGAGCAACTTGTTCTCAGCCATGTCGCTCATCATTCGTAGTAGAGCAGAGATTTTAATGGAACACTGCGAGACATCGTCGATAAGCGACTGGACTTGATGGAAATAGACTGGCGACGCGTGAAATGCTTTTATGCTGGTGGCAAATTTGTAGGCTTTCGACAGAATGTCAAAACTTTCAGAAGCGATTCCAATTGATTTGAAGAAATGGCTAGTGCTTACGGCAGCAAGCGAAACATCTCGCCGCAAATTAGCCAACTCGTCTTTGAAAGTGACGAGGCGAGACGCGATCGATTGAATAGTTCTGGCAATCATTCGCACTTCTTCCACTTCTTTTTGCACAGTTCTCATGTTGCTGATGACAGCTTCAATGTTCTTGTCTCCTTTCAACTTTGCAACTTCTCTCTCGGCATCTGCGAATTGTGGCATACTTTGTAGAGGTTTGAGAGCATCCTTAACCTTGGAGAGATCTTTAAGCGACTGGAGTTCTGGCATAGTTCTGAGCTTCGTTGCACTTCTCACTAGATTCGTCATTGGCGTTTTCAGTTGTACGCAAAACTCGAAGATCTCATTGATTCTTTCGCTTTTTACCGAATTGAATCTCGGCTGAGACTTCAATTTCGTCTGCACATCCTTCAGCGCATCTTGGAGCGATGTTTTGCTCTTCTTCACAACCATCAAACTTTTCAGTGTGTTCGACATAGTCTCAATTATGCTCAGAGACTCCGCCCACGCCGCAATCTGTCTCAATCGTCCTTCCACGTCTGCCATCTCGTTGCTCACACGTTCCAACGGCTTCATATGAAATTTGAATGCCTCGCCTCTTTTCGCCTCCATAGTCTCCCAAATCCATTTGCTCTTGACACTATCGAAGTTCTCGTTCAGACTGATGACTCCACGTGGAAATGAAGGAGTCTCTCGACGGGAAACGGCACTTCCGTAGTGCTTCTCAGTGGATATCAGAACATCTTGCAACGCATCCATAAAGTTGGAGAGACTTTCGAAATCCTCACTTTGTTTTACGGTTTGTTGGAGGTCCTCAACTTCCTTTTTCGACAAACTTGCAAGAGAATTTGCGAGCGAGTTGAGACCAGGGAGCTCTTTTGTCAGTGTGTCGAGAAAATTAACATGCTCCACGACTGACTTCATTATTGCGGGCCCATCAGCTATTTGTGTATGAGATGCTAGATCGTTTGAAACAGGTTGTATCTCACTCGCGTACTTCTCAAAGGCTTCAATATCATCGAGAGCTGTTTTGCCGAATTCTACGACAGCAGCGTGCTTGAACATATCGGTCACATTATCCGGCAACTTTTTAATGCTTTCCAATGCCGAAAGAGCTTTCACAGAGCTATCACTCGCGAAAGGTGAGAAGTCAAAGTTTGTGAGCCAGCCGATTTCATTCGCATACGGCTCAAGATCTTTCATCTCAACCAATTGGGTGAGATTGGAAAAAAGGTGCGTCAATCGCACAACTGCTTCCAGTCCGTTCAGAATGGACTCACGATCATCGGGGAGAACGTCCGGTAGATATTTGAACATTTTCAAGTTGTGATAAATCTCTTGCGGTTTCAATGCCAACAGTTTGTTGATAACAGTCGTGTCTCCGACGTTCGTCAACTCAGCGGTGAGGATTTTCTCGTCAATAGGATGGTCATTGAGGATGACGGCTTCGATGTAGAGCGCGTTAGCAAAACGGGCCAGAGACCCTACTTGATCACGGAATATGAACACATTGTTGGCTTAAAAAACGAATGTTCTCCTCACCATTACCAAAAAAGCCTCACTTACCTCCGGAGGCTCTTTTCCCGATGTTTCTCACGTGATCATTACTTGCGGTGACATCTGGAGAATATGTTTTGTTAGCTGGACAAGAAAGCAATTCAATAGGAAACCTTGAAGTTGACATGGAGACGCTACCAATAACACAAGCAAGTACGCCCGTATAATTGTAAGATGCATTACTGAAAACGAACCGATAAAGTTGCGGTTCAGCTAGAACTCACCAAGTTCGACTAACTATTGTGTAGAAAGCCACGCGAACAATGAGAAACACTTGAAAATGAACGGCTTGAAAGGGTGACCAGGGCAACTCCAGTTCACAAGAGTATTGCTGTTTTGCAAAAATACACGCGCATAATTGGAAATTAGTTTATTTTATGACAAAGTAACAAAAAAAGTCATTAGTTTGAATGTGTTCTTCGCAAAGGGATTCGAGTTGTGTAGAATCCCAGCAGTCACTTCTTCTTCCTTTTTCTCGTCTTACGGACCGTCAGATTTTGAAGTCAGAATTGAGATCCGAGTTCCCTGAACTTGGCCCATTTCCCCAAAATAGCCGGTAAACATTGCGAAAATTGTTTAGTGATGAGCCCAATTTTCAGTGATCAATTTCAAATTTGTAAAACAGCGGTCCCTAATGCTGTGTGTGGCAGCTATTTACGAGAATATTTATTAAAGCAAGTGTGTGCACGTATTTAGTGTAAATATTGTTCACGAGTAAATGCACTGCGTCGTCTCGATAGTCTTTCTGCAAATGTGACACTGCTTGTTGAGCTTCTGCGTGCAACCGGCGCATGCCGTGTGTCCGCAGTTGAACACAATCTGAAAATCGTTCTTGTTTTGTTGGGTGTTCGTCGCGGTCCTTATAGACTGACGGCAATCTTCGAGTCCATACAAATCGCACAGCTCGTCTCCAGTTCGAGCTGCTCGAGCTTCTGTTTGAGCAGATTCAGCTCCTTTTGCTTCTCCTTTTCCATCGTAATCTTCGCCTCGCGGACCGCGTCCTCCGCAATCTTTTTGTACAATTCCGGCGAGACTTCAGTCGTTTTCCGTTCAATTTCCGACGCTTCACTGCACCGAGAGCCTATCTGGATGGCTTTTCCGGCTGAAAACGAGAGAATAGTTTGCTGTTCGGTCTCTGAAAGTGTACTCACACTGATCCTCGGCGCCCGCAATGAACTGATAGCACACCGGACACCTCCGGATCGCCGTCTTCTCGGCACAATCGACGCACGCGACACGGTGTCCGCACGGCGTCAGTTTGACGGTGGCCACCGAGTCGATGCACAGGAACGAGCACATCGTCACTTCCGCCGCGTCGAACTTGTCCTGGCTCAGCGCGAGCATCGGCATTCCAGTCCGTTGCTTCGTCTGCGCCATGTGCACAATGATCGGACGCAGGCTCGACTCTTCGCACATCTCCACGACGCTCACTCCTTTGCGATCTCTGCAAAAAGAGTGATTCTAGAAAAGAACTACAACAGTTTGAAATACTTGATGTTGAGATCAGCTCCATTGGAGACGAGGAAACACGCGGTGGCGAGTTGCCAATTGGGGCGGAGTTTGCATGTTTTCTCTTAAATACCCCGAGAATAATAGTATTTCCGACTTCCGCGCATTTCTTCCAAAACACGGCCATGGCCGCGCGCCTTGCAAAACCTAGTCCCCATTATAATTTCCACGTTTTCCACGTTCCCGACCCATTTTTGCTCCATTTCTATGCCCGAAATCGACGTTTATCTAGAATTGTAAAAATTGCAGAATGCTTCGGTACATTATTCCGCGAAAGAAGGGCTCGTTCGTCATCGCCCTCTTCCTCACCATCGCCTTTTTCGGCATCGTTTTTTATCATCGAAACGATCGCGGCCGACGGACAAAATTCCAGTTTCCCGATATCGGTGAGCGATTAATTCTTGTAAAGTTCTTTTGAAAAAATCAATAATTTCGCAGAAAAGTACGCAGAAGAACTTGTGCGACTTCCGGAGACTTGGAATGGCGAACTCCACCAAATACCGGATTACACGAAACCGCGAGACGGTCCCGGAGAGGGCGGGAAACCTGTTTTTCTGTCTGGCGACGAGAAACAGCTCGGAGAAGCGGATATGAAGAAGTGGTTCATGAATGTGCACGTATCGGATAAAATCTCTCTCGATCGAAACGTTCCGGACCCTCGGCGTCAAGAGTGCAAAGACATAAAATACGATTTGGAGGCGCTTCCTAAAACTTCTGTCATCATCATTTTCACCGACGAGGCTTGGACTCCGCTGCTGCGAACTGTGCATTCTGTGATCAATCGGAGCCCGCCGCAGTTGCTCAAAGAGATCATTCTGCTGGACGATAACAGCCAGAGAGGTTTGCTCTTTTTGCTGAAAATACGTACGTTTATTCTTCCAGAAGAGCTCAAAGCTCCACTCGACGAGCACATCAAGCGGTTCGGCGGAAAAGTGCGTCTGATTCGAAAGCACGTCCGCCACGGTCTGATTAGAGCGAAACTTGCCGGAGCTCGTGAAGCCGTCGGGGATATAATTGTCTTTTTGGATTCTCATTGTGAAGCCAATCATGGGTGGCTCGAGCCGATTGTTCAGAGAATCAGCGACGAGCGCTCGGCTATTGTTTGCCCCATGATCGATTCGATCTCCGACCAGAACCTGGCTTATCATGGGGACTGGTCCCTTTCGGTTGGAGGTACTTGAAAATAGTGATTTAAATAGAAAATAGTAATATTGAGGCTTCTCCTGGGCCCTTCATTTCACCTGGGAAGGACTTTCAGACGAAGAGACGAAGCGTCGCACGAAAGTCACCGATTACATCAGGTCAGAGTAGTACAGAATTAAAATGATTTTTTACAAATTCCATTTTTAGATCGCCAACAATGGCCGGAGGTCTTCTGGCCGCCAATCGCGAATATTTCTTCGAAGTTGGCGGATACGACGAAGAAATGGACATTTGGGGAGGCGAGAATCTCGAGATTTCGTTCAGAGTGAGTAACCGAAAGGGATTGCGAGTGCTCGTTGGCATGGAAACCTCATCTGCTTGCAGAACTGGATGTGTGGCGGTTCGATCGAATTCATTCCGTGCTCGCACGTCGGCCACATCTTCCGCGCCGGCCATCCCTACAACATGACAGGTACATCAATTTCAGCTCGTTCTTCATCCGAAATTCCAAAACCGAAACAATTTCAGGCAGAAACAACAACAAGGACGTGCACGGAACGAATTCGAAGCGCCTGGCAGAAGTGTGGATGGACGACTACAAACGGCTCTATTACATGCATCGAGAGGACCTCCGAACCAAAGACGTCGGCGATTTGAGCGCCCGGAAAGCGTTGAGAGAGCGATTGAATTGCAAACCGTTCAAATGGTATTTGGAAAACGTCGCCAAGGGGAAATTCGTGATGGACGAGGACGTTATCGCTTACGGAGCAGTACGTCCTGCGCAATTTCACAGTTTTTTCCTTACTTCCCCAGTTTTCAGTTGCATACAATCGTGGATAATACTCGAATGTGTACGGACACTCTTCAGAGAGACGAGAAAATGGCTCAGCTGTTGGGAGTGTTCCATTGTCAGGGAAAAGGAAGCTCTCCGCAATTGATGTCTCTTTCGAAAGAGGGATTTCTGAGGAGGGAGACCACGTGCGCAGCGGTCGAAGGATCGAATGTTCGCATGAAAACGTGCTCGAAACGGGCGCAATTCAACGAAAAATGGACATATGAGGTTCCTAAGAAATTCTAAATTTCGCTCTGATTTCCGTTTTTTTAGAACCAAATGCTGCGAAACTTGAAATCCGGCAAATGCCTGTCAACTGCAAACCTGAAAGCCGGCGATGACGTCATCGTGATGGAGTGTGACGAGAAAGAGCCGCATCAAAAGTGGCAGTTTAGCGATCCAGCGAAAGAATAAAGCCAAAATATGTTTTCAATAGATAACTCTTTATTTTATTGCTTTAATCATCCTTAATTCCGTTGAACCCAAAATGTTCCGCCTCTGTTTTTTAGGCCACAACTCAAAAGTATTGCAATTCCAAAAACTTCATTGTACTCTAGTCATTCTCTGTGATCGTGTTTTTTTGCCTTCTTTTTCTAATCAAATCGGTTGTAAACTTCACTTGATTCCATCATTCATCGGTTGTGATACTCTTTTTTTAACCGGGGTTTTTCCTACTTTAATACGAAATGGGTTATTAAAATTGTTTGTTAAGCTTTGTTCGCCTTGCTTATTCCGTGGAGAAAAGCGGATTTTATATTTTTAAAATTTAGAATTTTACTGGAGATTATCAACTTTTCAGAATAATGGGCGAATCGACTGAAAACGAATCTGTGATTGCCTCCCTCGCTCCCGGACCAACTGCCGGAGCCTCGTACCCGCTGAAAGTCGTCTATTGTGGACGTAAGTACATAGAATTTGCTAAACGTTCCACCACTTTCCACGTCTTCAGAATGCTCAATGCCGTCGGAATACTGCGACTACTCGGGACAGACCGATTTGTGCCGCGCGTGGGCCACTCAAAACGCTCCGGAACTTCTGGAAGGCCTCGAAATCTCTGAAGAAGGAGAAGGCGGAGCCGATGAGAAAAAGAAGCAGAAGAGAGGAGGAAAGGGATCGAAGACCGGGCCAGCGACCGCGGCAAAGGAAAAGAAGAAGGGCGCGCAGAAAGTGACTCTCCAGAGAGAGCCACGTGGCAAAAAGTCCGTCACTGTCATCAAGGGACTCGCCACTTTCGGTAAGGAACTGCAAACTAGACTGAATACGCAGATCTTCTCTCTTTCAGACATCGATCTAAAAGTGGCCTCGAAACTGTTCGCGCAGAAGTTCGCATGCGGTAGCTCGGTGACCGGCGCCGATGAGATCGTCATTCAGGGCGACGTGAAGGACGATCTTCTGGATTTGATTCCTGAAAAGTGGTCCCAAGTGACCGATGAGCTCATCGACGATCTTGGAGACAAGAAGCGATGAATAAACGAACTATTCGTCGAAGATTCCCAATTTCCTCATGTTTCCTACTAAGCTGAAGATAAAATGCTGAATGCAAAGTATTTTTATACACGAAAATACTTTCTAAATATTCAAGGCTTCGACGACGACGGCGACGACGAAGAAGTTGACGGAGGCGGATCGCGGAACGAATTGCCCACATAAATCCACGCCTTCTTCCGCTCTCCCTCCAGATTTTCGCGAATCTTCGCCATCCGATACTCGTGAAGTTCTGAAAGCCGCTTTTAAAATTGAGAATTCTCCGGGAAAATGCTCACTTTCTTTCATTCCGCTCACCAACTTCATATCCCGATCTTCTTCGTTCGGCGGCTCGATTCTTATTCCTCCTGAACAAATTTTTGATGGTTTTTCTGGATTATTCGAGGGAGAAAACGTACTTGGAGGCGCCGGCATTTTTCAGTGAATCAAGGTATCGATTAGTACTGAAAATTCGTTAAAATTATAGTCAAATTGAGAGGAAAAACGGGCGAATCGACGGGAATTCGGAAATGGAAAATGGAGAGAAAAGTGGAGAGAGTGGCAGAAAAGAGAGGACGCAGACGACGAGAGGGAAGAGAAGCGCGGCGGGAAAACGACGACGAGAAGCTTTGTTATTGCAAAGTTTCCAGAAGAAGGATTCCATATTGGCCTTTTTAATAAACAATTTTACGGTATTTATGATGTACGCAGACTTCTGTTGTTAACCGTAAACATCAAGCTCCGCCCCTCCTACTTTGAAAATTTCCGGTACATTTTTTGAGCAGGCGCAGTCTGCTCGATGTTCATATCTTGAATTTTTAGACCCTTTCTTGTTCTTTTCCATCCCGACACAATTTCAAACTCACTTTGCCAGCTCTTTTTCAACTGTTTGCTCTCCGAAAACCATTCAGAAACCAGTTTTTTTCGGCGTGTTCGCTTAGCTTTCACCGCGCGACTTTTATCAAAAATCAACACGTTGACTCGAGCTAACTAACTAATTCTTACTTATTTGTTCGATGCATGCATTATCCCTGAGCACAATTGAGCAGAAAAGTGGGCGGAGCCGCCGTCGGAAGGGCACTCTTGGACATGTTTATTTGTTCTCTCCTGTCGTCATACCGACCTTCTTCTCCGCTATTCTCTCTGTTTTCCGTCCTTCCTTCGTACATTTTGCTCTTTCTTTTTGTTACAACAAATTTTCATCAAAATTCTGAAATTTAATCGTTAGTTACTAGTTCGGAATCCCATTCCCATAAATCATTCCACTGCGCATCGGAAAAAAGAGGAATGAGATTGGATTCCTGCAGGTCTTCCGAATACAAGTTATATGCATTCACAAGTACCTCTCCCGCGTACTACTTCTCTCGCCAGATCCGTTTTCAACAAAAAAAAAACCAAGAGAAGAGAAGAAAGGCTCTCAAATTTCAGTTAAAAATTCTTCTGCAAAAAATGCACTTTTTTAGTTAACTAAAAAGACAGAAAATAACTATCGCCGAGACCAAGAAAAACAGAAAACAACTGTATTTTCTCGTGATTAGACGAACGAAAACTTCCGTTTCTCTTTTTTTTTATCAACCTGAAATGTTCATATTTCGAGATGAACACTAACTTTTGTGTCCCTCGTAGTCTGTCCAGTTCTCCCAATTTTTCAGTGAACATTCCAGTGACACTTTCATTACGCAACTGTTACTTGTGATTTTGATGAGAAATTGTTTAGGCTATGAGTCAGTTTTGCGATAAATATTTGTGATGCGTCGTGAGCTGTATAGTTTTAGTTTCCTTTAGAATTTCAAATACAAAAGAATTCTACAAAAGCGCTTACTCTAAGTACAGACGATTTGTTAAAAAGATTGTAGAATCACCATTTTTCAACATTTACAACTTTCCACAAAAAGTCTTTCATTTGTTTACGTCACACACTTTCCTTCCGTTATCAAAAACCTCCCGTTATCATCTGACACTCCGTTCGGTGCGTGCTCTCCCCAATTATCGATCGATTCCGGTGGTATGCGTCTGGTTTCAGGCCGCTTCGGATCGTTTTTATTCCGGCGACAACGACGTCGACGTCTTCCGGCAGATTGTAATAATAAAGCCTGTTCTAATAATAATACGAAAATGTCGACGTCATCCGGAAGATCACGAAGAAGAGCCTCGCTGGCCTCGATCACTAATTTCGAACATTTGGCGTAAGTTTGTATTGTTACGTAACGCGTAACCTTAGAGTGTTCTGGATTCTCATTTGAATGTGGATACATGAGGTAAATATTTCGTTAAGTTTACTCGTTTCGAATATAAAATGTCATTCCATCCACTTTTCACAGCCAGGTTCTAGAATTTTTAAAAGAAAATAATATTTTAAAAGAAGTTCCATCTTCAGATCAGTGGAAAAGGCGGGTTGGCTGAACAAATGGACGAATTACCTGAAGGGATACCGACAGCGATGGTTCGTGCTCGACTCGAACGGCACACTCAGCTATTACAGGTTTGTGTCTTAGACTTGGAAGTCGTTTCGGTTTCGTAGTTTATTCGTATGATTCACTGATAACTCCATCGTCTGATATCACTTTGATATTCTCATCCTCCAAACTCTGCTTCATTTTCGGTCAACTCAGTTGTGTTTGTGAACAACGAACTCGTAAAAATGAGTCATTTCTCTCTCGCAAAAACCCGCCGACTATTTGACATTCTTCTCGCACTACGAGTTCAGTTCGCTCGAGAAAAAGCGTACTTTTGTAGTCTCTCTAGTCTATTTCTTTGCCTCTCTATTTCTCCTTGCTTTGCTCTGCTACACACCAGAGCACTCACGGACGGTGCGCGTCGAACCTTTCCAGCAGGTGTCACACAAAATGTGACAACGTCAATGCTTTATAATCATGTTCTAAGTTTCACTGAAACTGCTGGACACTCTGAACGTTGGTTTTCAACTGAAGAAGAAGACTGTAAGGGGTTATAGTACTGTAAATTTAGAAGTTTACAGTCATTATCTGGAGACTACTCCACAGTAGTTTTGTAATTTCACATCATCCTCCTCTTCTTTCTTCCCCGTAGCGCCTCCAGAATACACGGCCCGAACCAGTTTCCCATCACCATCTTTTTCTATCCAATATTTGTGCGTATACGTTTGTACTATGTCTTTCCATGATATTTTTATTTGATTTCCACCCTCCCAGCCACCCATATGTTTGGATAAGCCTCTAGTAGAAAAATGACTGATTTTTCTTATCGATCCCCACGTTTTAATCCCGTCATTCTGGGCGGATCAAATCGCCGCCAGCGGCTTGCCCTTCTGCGAAACGCAAAACGAAAAACGACTCGTCGTTTGATTGACGTGGAATTTTCGAGGAAACTAGTGAATGATAAGCGACCGAAAAAGGCTTGTCTCGCGCCTTATTCCACCCACCGTCATATTATCTAATTGACGAGGATGGCATCATCGGTGGCGAATTGGAGAATCTTCAAGAAGCATTGTGAATGTACAACAAGATCTTTTTGACCGCCCGAGTTACTCACGTGAACAGGGAAAACAGAAAACAGATTAGTTCTCAGTCCGATTTAACACATTTTGCATTTCAACCGTTCAGTGATTCTGGAAATTTTGCAGCGTGAAACGTTGTTCTAGATGTTAAAACTGTATATTTTCGCAACAATTTCACCTGCGCTTCAATATGCTCGTTTTCTATTCTGAAATTAATAATGTTAACTTAAAATTCAGAGGAAATCTAGCGTTAGCTGTAAAAAAAAACGTTTGTGTCAACTTTAAGGCTACTTGTAACTTTTGCCACAACTCGGAAAAATTCGACTGGAAACTAGAGTCTCTGCTCCCGAAGCCTTCTCTCTGTCCCCGTTCCCGAACTTTCGCCCCCGTATATCTGCCCGATTGATCTCTCAAATTCACCTCGAAACGATCGGATCTCCGTGTCAGTGTGTTACGCCATTCCTCCTCTCCTCTCCTTCCTTTCTCTTTTTCCTCTCCTCTGATTCTGTTTCCTCACTCCAGAATGTTCCAAAGGCCAAAATGATGCCGAATCATTGCGAAATGTTAGCTGAAATGCAAGAATCCATCAATTTATCGGAACAAGACATGAAGATTGATAGTCGATCAAAAAGGGGAGAAACTGAGAAAAAGAGAAGCGAGGCGTCGAAGATAAGAGGAAAAGGAGGAGGAGGCGAGGAAGGCGATAACGATCCTCGTCGGCCACTCCTCACCACTCCCCGATTCTCCACTGCCTCCTCCTATACCTCGCTTCCCTCGTTGACTTTGACTCCGTCAGCTTCTGCTTCGGCTTCAACTTCATCTCCTACCGTAATCACCGAAAAGCCCCACCGCATTCACCGTCGAATCATGGGCACACTGCGTGGGCGGCTCCGTCAGGCCCGCAAGCAGATCTCCTGGTGTGCTTTCCCGGTCGGAAGACGTGCCCGACGCGGAAAAGTCAACAGCGAGCACGACGACGCCGGAAGTGTTTATGAATCGGCGTGTGGCGATTCTGTGCAGCAATATGTGTATGTGGACGATGATCGGATATCAGAAGAGGGCACTGAAAGGTAGAAACGAACCGGCTTCCACTTTCTAGATCAGTTTTATGTCAAAAATGCTGAATGTTTTATAGAAATCCCAGTGAAGTTGGTCATACGTGTCGTGGAAGTGTCAATTTGCAGGAAGCACGCATTCTCTCTGATAAGGTGAGCGAACCTTCGTGGCTCCCGGCGCAAAACGCCCGTTTCCAGGCAACCTCCTCGATTGTGATATCGGGCCAATCGCAGACGTTTCACGTGAAACCGCAAAATGAAATGGAACGACAGCAGTGGATAAACTCGCTCGAATACATGCGGCACAAGGCGATCACACGGGCGGAGAGCGGTGAGTTTTGTTGGAAATGGGAGGGGGCATTTTACTGCAATCGCGCTGTGTTGGGTAACTCTTTGCAGTGAAATGATCTTGGGCCGAATTTGAAGAAAAATGAAAAGCTCGGCCAGATTAGGAACAGAGCGCGATTGCAGATAAATTACCCCATAATAGGGCTCATAGAAGTTTCAGTAGAGTCCGTTTGCATTTTGATTAGCTCCGCGACCCCGTATGCAGAAACGCTCTATTCCGAAATTTTGACTTTGCAGAAGAAGACGAAGATGCACAACTGGCAAGCGCCGACTCGAATCGCTCCGACGCTCTCGTTCTTTCGCAACGTGAAATATCCGGGAAATTGTGCGATCTGAGAACTGCCGCGAATATGATGCGTGAGTGAAAAATGCGAAATTTTTCGTGAAGCACACCAGAATTTCAGACAAACAAGGCGACGAACTGCTGCGGGCACTCAACGGAACCGTCGAAACGGATAAGAATGCATTGGCGGAACGCGCGGACCTTTTGAAAGTGAATACTTATATTTTCCGGTGTGATTCAGAACGGAATGTTGCAGATGACAACCGCGGCAGTGCTCCAGGCCGCCGAAGAGTTTGTGGAGCTCTCGGAGCAATCGGCCAAACGGCTCAACAAAATTGTGGCGGTTGAGCAGAAGGAGAAGGCAATGCTGCAGGTACTGGGAAAGGGCAGAAGAATTGGCTTCTTTTTTTGTTTTGTTATTCACTGTCGTCAAGGGTTACTGGCTTCTCGCTGAGTGCCTTTTTACACTTACTTCCCATCCATTCATGCAATAAAAACACGTTCTTTGATAAATTTCTTCTCAGGAACAACTCGAAGCCCTCGCCAAGCAGCACTCTTCCCTCGAACGGGCGGCCACTTTGTGCTCGACCGGAGCGCCGCTCTCCGTCTACAGCGACCAGGAGGACGAGTTTCACGACGCCGAAGAAAATCTTATGTTAGTTTCTAAAAATATTAAAAAGATGTTACTTCTGTTTGACTGTCTGCGTCTCTTCCACTCACCCACTATCTCTCTCTCTCTCTCTATTTCGTTGGCATATTTCTTGCAAAGTTGTGTCCGGCTGGCGAACGGACGCGAAAAAGAGGGAAAAGATAGCGGCCACTAGTGGATACATTCACTTTCCGTTTCGGCGCCATTCTCTCGCTCTCTTTTTCGTTTTTTTTTCGGCGCACTCGCCTCGGTTTCACTGTTTCACTGCCACAAACTGTCAGTTTTCCCGTTTCTGTCTGCGTTTCAACGCGTGCCTTTTTCGGATGTTCACACCCTCTCAAGCTCCAAATGGACAATTAGCAAAGCTTGAACTCGTACTTCTAAACGGTCTGACTAGATGGAACCGAAATTGAAAGATTCAAAATAACAAAGCCAACAGCTACTTTTAAAATTTACTCGGTAACATTGGCATTAATTGTTAATAACATTGGCATTAATTGTTGAACGGCTTGAAAATATCGAAATACCAGTTTAACTGCTGTTTAATCATTTCCCCTCTCCCAGTTCTATCGCTCGGAGACTAAAAATCCGAATGTATGTTCGTTTCGCTGTCTATCTCTCTTCCACAATCTCCACACAATTGTAACAAAAGCGACACCACACACACGAGAAGCCGTCGGACTTTTGAATACACTTTGGTCATGCCTTCGCGCAAGGAACTGGTTGTGAGGGTTCCTCTCGTCTTCTTCTTCTCTGGTAACAACGTCCTAAATACTTACTGAATGTGTTTGTTATATTACAAACGACGCCGACACACAAAAACACTCTGCCACTCGAACTTTAGCCTCCTTCTTTTCTCCTTTGTTTTGCTTTCTCTCACCCTACGTTTTCCCTTTTTGGTCATTTTGTGTATGTGTGTGGAGAGAAGGCTAATCAGATGGCGTCAAACTGAAATAGGCATACCGTCGATCTTGAATCTTTGCGGAAAGATTCGAATCTCTCTCTCTCTCTCTCTCTCTCTCTCGACGTCCCTCCGCCTCGCTGGAGACGTTTTTCGACTATATATAAGAAGAGAAAACTTGATTTTGTTGGAAACTAAAATTGGGTTTGATTGGCAACCGACTGTTAAACTAATTCGGTTCTCCCATCTTCTTTTCTTCTCGAATGGTCACACTTTTTGTTTATCATCAATTCAATTCAATTCACTTTCCGTCCAGTTCCTATTCGAACCTTTATTTCCAACTATTATCAGTCTTTAGAGAACATTTTGAGATTCACAAAGCCGATGGCACTAGAAATCTACAGTATTCTTCAAGAAATGAAATGTTCACATGTTATTTTTCGTCCCCTTGAACATAAAAAAAAGCGAATCTGCGCTCGACCGGAAGTATAGAATCACATGAGTCAGCTCTGTCCGCCTTTTCTCATTTCCCCCCGCTCTTTTCAATCCCATGTTTTGCGTCCGTTCTATGGGGAACGTTTCCTTCGCTGAAAGTGACGAATCCAGCTACATTGTACCACTCTTTTCAAACCGTTTCTCTATAAAAAGAGCCATTTCGTCGGCTCATGGCACTGTTTGCTCAGCTTTCTTCGAAAACTAAACAGTTTGTGGCTCGGCACAGACAGAGATCGCTCTTCGTTAAAATTTCATTTCCCAACGTGATATTGACGGAAATTTAATTTTACCCCGTAAACCCTTCTCAAATCCTTATTTTCATTTTTACAGAATGCCCTGCAACTCATCGACGACGGCTGGAGTGCACGTCTCGCCGATGGACCGCCTCGACCGCCATCCGCCCGCAGATCCGTCCTCATCGTCGGCGTCCTCGTCGCCGCCCACGCAAACCACAAAAGGAGGTCGGCAACGTCGAAGCACAGTGCCCGAACGGCCGGATCTTCCCATCAACCTGTGGTCGATCATGAAGAATTGCATCGGAAAAGAGCTCTCGAAAATCCCGATGCCCGTCAACTTTTCCGAGCCGATTTCGGTGCTGCAACGTGTCACCGAAGACCTCGAGTACGCTGATCTGCTCGAGAAGGGCGCCAAACTGTCGACGCTCGAGCAGATGTGCTACGTGGCGGCGTACGCGGCGAGCAACTACTCAACGACATGTCATCGCACGAACAAACCGTTCAATCCGCTGCTCGGCGAGACGTACGAGTTCGATCGGATGGACGATTTGGGATGGAGAAGTGTGACGGAACAGGTGTCGCATCACCCGCCGGCGGCCGCCCATCATGCGGAAGGACGCGGTTGGATCATGTACCAAGACTTCACAATGACGTCCCGCTTCCGCGGAAAGTACCTGTCGGTCATCCCGATCGGATTCACGCACGTCGTTTTCCCATCGACGAACTCTCACTTCTCGTACCGCAAAATCACCACCACCGTCCACAATATCATAGTCGGTAAGTTGTGGATCGACAATCACGGCGACATGGAGATCACGAACCACACGACGAACGAGAAGTGCGTGCTCAAGTTCATTCCGTACTCGTACTTTAGCCGAGAGCAGCCGAGAAAGGTGAGAATGAGAGTAGGAGCTGAAAACAATGGACTTAATTCAGGTGTACGGTATCGTGCGGGATTCAGAAGGCGTTCCGAAGTACGTCGTCCAAGGCACATGGGACAAATCGATCGATATGCTGAAGGTGTCGAGTTGGAACGGAAATGCGGAGAAGCCGAAGGTCGAAGTGGACGAGACGACGTTGCGACGCATCTGGACCGCCCGTCCGTTGCCGTAAGTGGAGAGTATGATGAGAGCACGCAATATGCACAATTTTTTCCAGAAAAAACGCCGAGAAAATGCACAATTTCACCAAATTCGCCATCGAACTGAACGAACCGGAAGCGGGTGTCGCTCCCACAGATTCCCGTCTCCGACCGGATCAGAGAATGATGGAGAACGGAGAGTGGGATGGGGCGAACAAGAAGAAACTAGAAATCGAGGAGAAGCAACGGACGGTCCGACGGCGGCGGGAAGCCCTGAAAGAAGTTGCGATGAAGAAAGGTGGGTCATCGATTGGAGGAGCAGAAAAATACGTTTTATTTTCAGGAGAAAAGTACGAAGAGTACCAGCCGACGTGGTTCAATCGAGTGCAGGACGAGTCGAACGGAGCGCTGATCCATCAGTACAAGGGCGGATATTGGGAGGCGAAGGAACGCGGCGACTGGTCCGAATGCCCCGATATCTTCTAGACTCTCTCCATTTTTTCTCTCTCTCTCTCTCTCTCTCTTTTCCGATTCCGAATGGGTATAAGCTATGAACAATTCCTGATTAGCCCCTTCTCTAACCCTAATGCCACTTGTTCCCGAAATGTCCGTGTAAATAGTCAATGAATATGTGATTTTAAGTAAAAGGTAAAAACATTCGGACGGTCATGAAAAACTCCACGGAACGCTCGAGATTCACCACCATTCCCTCGATGAAGGTTGCGTTGTTCTGAAAAGAAATGCGTCTAAAACAGTTTGAAGAATCGGCGCACTCCCTGAGATTCTCCTCTTTCAAAGTCTCTCTTTTGCATATGAGCTTGATGGTGTCGTTCTGTAAAAGAAGGAATGAAAACAATGCAAATTGCTACAATAAATTCGCCCAGCACACAGCTTAAAAGCTCCGATCGCTGCGGGACCGTTTTCGAAAAATTCTCCACTTTTCGCTTCGCCACCTCCAATCGCTGTTTGAATTCTTGCAATCGGACCAAATAGTCGCCCTGATTGGTATTGTTCGAGCTCATAACTGAAGAGTTTCCAGCGTCCCGAGTCGATTTGATCTATGCAGCGGGCCCCGTTTCAAAAAGTCTTGTACATGATAAGCACAAATTCAAAAACCCTTTTATTCAAGTTCCGGAATATTCCGGAAACAAAACATATTCTAGTTTCGACGAATTGGGGAGAGAGGACGTCTCCAATGACAGCAAGTAGACAGGGGCAGAATGTCGGCGCGGGCTCGGCGGGACCTAGTGAGCGACGAGCGGAACGACCGTGAGCTCGCGTTGCGGATCCGTCTCGAAGATCTGCTTCGCACAAGATTGCTCCTTGGTTGCCTGAAAACGTGGAAATAGGGGGGATTAGCGAGCGAAAAGAAGGCGAAACTTACATCCGAAGTGAGCAGCACCAAGTGGTCCGTCTTCTGCTCACCATTGTGACGGAGCACATCGATCGAGATCTTGCCGCCGGGCTCGACGAATCCGTAAACGGGGTTCACGCGGTAGAGCAGATTGTCCGACGTCTTCACCTTGAACGCCTTTCTCGACTTGGAGCTGTTCGCGACGACGACCGTCTGGACGCCGCCCGTCGGAGCGAACGGAAGCTTGTTCGGCGAGGCGCGCAGCAGCGAGCTCTTCACTGAAAAACTGATAAAGTCGGCAGATCTCCTGGCCACTGTAGAACGTACCCTGTCCTTCGGGGAACGCGTAGCGCGAGTTGTTGGGCACTCCGCTCAAGACCTTCTCCTCCCCGGATTTGGACTTGGACGACTTGTCCTTGGCTCCAAGAGTGGCAGAGGAGGCGGCCGACTTGCTGGAGACATCAGAGGCCATCGCATCGCGACGCTGTAATCGGAAAGAAGAAGGGGTTAAACTGATTGTGTGATTGACAACAAGTGAAAGTTTTGTTCATGTTCGCGTGCGCGTGCGCGCCCTCCCCGTAAATTTACTGCGGAAATGTGTTGTGATAGTGATTGTGATACGAGGACAAAAAAGGGGTATCGAATGTAATGTAACACTAGGTACAAGTATAAAAGACCCGCCACTTCCAGGGGGACAATCACACCAATCCAATTGACATGTCTTCCTCTTCTTCTTTTATCATCGGCGCCAACGTCGTCACCGCCACCGCCATCCTCGGCTCGCTCTTCTACGCCGGACTTCTCTACTCGGAGATCAACGAGCTGCGCGACGGCGTTCTTTCCGATATGCGCGACTTCCGCGACATTGCCAACGACGCGTGGCGCTCCATGATCGTTGTGAACGCCCCGGAGAACCGTGGAGCCCACCCAGACTTTGGGTCTCTCTTCCTCAGAGGAAAGCGCGCGTCTGGATCCTCTTGCAACTGCGGAACTCAGCCGAGCAACTGCCCAGCCGGACCACCAGGACCACCAGGAGCGCCGGGAGACGCTGGAGACGATGGAGCCAACGGACAGGCGGGACCACGCGGACAGGACGGAACCAGCGTTGGCAAGTCGCAGCTGCCGACCGAGTGCATCAAGTGTGAGGCCGGACCAGCAGGACCGCAGGGACCGGACGGACCAGCAGGAGCTCCGGGAGCCGATGGACAGCCAGGAGCAGCAGGAAACAATGGAGTTGACGGTCAGCCAGGAGCCGCTGGACCACAGGGAGACGCCGGAGCGCCAGGATCCGCAGGAAATGACGGAGCACCAGGAGCTCCAGGAAAGAACGGACAGCGCGGAAACGGAGCAGCCGGAGCACCAGGACCACAGGGACCAGCCGGAGTCGCCGGACAGGCCGGAGCCCCAGGAGCTGACGGACAGCCAGGAGCCGCCGGAGCACCGGGAGCCGCCGGAGCACCAGGACAGCCGGGAGCCAACGGAGAGGACGGAGCAGCTGGGGAGGACGGAGCCGCCGGGGAGCCAGGAACCGACGCTGCCTACTGCCCGTGCCCACCAAGAACCGCCGCAGTCGAGGTCGAGCCAGCCGCCCCCGCATCCCAGTACAGAAGAAAGTACAGATTCTCTAACTAGATTATGTTCGGTTTGCTTTTCTGTAAATAAAGAAAGCGCACTTACGTCCTTCTCGGCGCACTGATTGGCGGCGCACTTCTTCTTCTTGTCCGAGCGCTTTGACTTGCCCTCCTTTCCTCTCTTCACGGCCGCAGGATCCACGTCACGCTGCGACTTCTCGGAGGCGGAAGCGCTCTTGGAGATTTTGGAGCTCTTCGAGGAGCGACGGCTGCGACGGTGTCCTTTCGAGCTCTTCGCTCCGTGGCGATGACGGTGAGACTTGGAGGATTTGGAGCCAGAGCGCTTGGACTTGGAGCCGGAGGCCGACGAGACCGAGCGCTTCGATTTGGACGACTTGGACGACTTCTTAGACGGCTTGCGCTGCTGAAATGCCACTCTCATCATCACATACGCATTCATCTGGCCGAACTGACCGCCTGTCGATCCTTGCTGGAGCACATGGCGAGTGCGGCGCCAGTCGCTGAGGCGGTGGCCACGAGGGAAGCCAGAGAGAGCATCGTGTGCGAGTTTGTGGAAGGAACTTGCTACACTCGAGTTGGAGTAATTTTCGCTTTGGCGAACGGGAATAACTGATTGTGCAGTGATTAGGATCGACCTTTCGACGATACGCTTTGACATTTGGGGCAGCAAAAGGGAAGGTCGTCACGGTGTCAGGTTTGTGGGGAAATGAGTTGCCGGGGTGAGGACGCGCGGGGGGCTTCACGTTCCCGATGGTTCTGGAAGAGGACCCTCACAAGATCCTCGGCCATTCATTTTCTGAATCACACACCACCTGCCCCTTTTCCTCCTCCATTTCCTCTCCATTCGAGATCATCAGAAATTATGTGAACGACCTTCTCTGGCCGTCCGTTCTGGCCACTAGCATCTGTCCCCCCCACAAACAGCAGCTATAATTATCGGCCAAGCGAGACGCACGCACCGGACAATTTGAGAGGAACGAAATGACTCGTGGTCGCATGTCCGTCCGTCACCTGCGGATTCGTGATGACCGCTTCACTAGGGGAGAAAAGGTTCACTTGTTTGTTGTTGTTGGTTTAGTTTCTATGCATCTATGCAAATCCGTATTTTTCACTCGATTCTAACTGTTTCCCTTCCTTCCGTCGACCAAGATTCGTTATGCTAATTAGGTGTCTCTGGATTTTGGAGGACACATCTGGTTAGTACACGGCTACGCCACGTCAAAAGTTTATTGCCATCCAATTTGTTGTGTTCTTCGTGAGTGAATCGGATTGAGTGGAAAAGATGGGGGAGGAGAGAGGCTTCTTGTGATGGGCGAAACGGAGGCTTTGAAGGCCGTGCAGATTTGGGTTCACGCTAGACGCTTTTTAGGGATATGTTTATGATTTGATTAGAAAATGTGATGTCTTAATCAGATTTCTATATATGAAAATCTGAATTTCCATGTAACGAATATCCAGTTGACCTTTGCTTTGTCTATATTAGGTCAAGTGGGAGTTATGACAATTCCTTTGCTACTTTTCTCTGTTAAAACCCTTTAAACTCTAGAGCATTCCCTCCGAATACCTTAATTTTCATGGCTATCTATGGTTCTTGTGATCCCTTGTTCAGATTTAAAACTCTCCGAGTTTATGTGCCAGAGTTTTGGCTGTCATGGACCGTACACTTCTTCGCCACTTCTTTAACAATTTCCAAGCCAGATCCGCAAGGAATAGTGGCGTCAACAGTTGTCGAGACGCATGGCTCGAGTAGATAGATTCCAAATCGAAAAACTAGTCCAATTGCTATACTAGGTCAAGTGGTGGTCAAGGGATTCGATTCATTTTGGTGGGCCAAAAACGTTCCGCCGCCCGTGTTTGGTTTGTCTTTTTCTCTCTCTCTCTCTCTCTCTCTCTCTCTGTCTCGAATCGCTTCGGTATCCTTTTCGTTTATTACTCCACTTTTTGTGTCGCTCCGCAATCAGGTCACTCATTTTTTAGCAGCACGCGTGTACTTTTCCCCTCTCAGATATCTCCGTCATTCTCTTCGTTTTCTCCGCACCTACACAAAACTGTCAGTGTGTCGCTAATTCGCTAATCACCCATTCTTTTCTCTTCTCCCGACCCTCTTTCTTGACATTTATATTTCGTCGAGTAAAAACGGTCCCTAGAAGTTTGGATCCAACAATTCCCCTCGCATCAATCATTTCGCCGACAGGTGATAAATATACTGAAAGTTGACGAGATCTTTCTCTCTCTCTCTCTCTCTCTCTTTCTTCTTTCCATCTCTAACCCTTCAATTTTCGGTCGGAAATTGGACGTTTTGTTATCAAAACAGCAGCCAGTGCCGCCAAATATCATTCGCTTCCCGATCTTCTTACTCTTGTCGAACCTTTCCATTGTGTTCGAAAGATTGAATGTTTAGGGCTACTGTAGTTGGTTGCGGAGCCGCTGGCCTAGGATTCCAAAGTTGGGCCACGACATGGTAGCATCCGAATACTTGAAGCCTAGACCACAGACCAAGAGGAACCAAAGTTCCAGCCTAGGGTGCCAATAGCCAAAGTCCAATTGGATCCGAGAAGAAACTTTGAATCCAACTGGTTATTTCCTCCTCTTCTTCTTCTTCTTCTTCTTCTTCTTCCCTCACTTTTCCTGGTAATCCAACAGGTTCCACCCACACTTTCTCATAAACACACACACACTTTTTGTTAGACGTCTTTTACAGGTACTCGCACAAGTTTTATGACGTGGCAAAGAGTGGGATCACAGAGTTTCGAGTTTGTGTACGTTTCGCCTTGCTAATCCTTGTTTGGTGGTTGGTTTGCCGTCGTCGTTCACGAAATGAATACAAGTATTCATCGCATAGAAAAGAAGAGATTTGAAAGTAGTCGGTCGGCGAGAAAACGGTATTCGCGCATATATTTACGGGGGGATTTCGGATTCGCAACGGAATCGACGAATCTCACACTTTTATGGTCTGATTCTTTTCCCTCCCCCCGGGATTACTGTAGATGTTATTTATATCCTCATCTACATAACAAACATCTTTTTCTTTACCTTTTCCCCCCAGCTCCTCCCCGCGCCTCGGAATCGAATAATAGAAGAGGCACACGGGAAATTCGTTTACGTCAATCGTGTTTTTCAGTCACACACTCAAAAATTCGGTGTCGGAAAGGAAGGTGATAAAGGAAAGCGGCCCCCCTCTCCAAAATGGCGACCTTTTCCTTTCTCCCAGACCCATTCGTCTTTTTTATGCCTTTTTGGCGAGAAAGAACACGGCAAATAGAGTGAGTGTGTTGGTCCGATGGCACACGCGCTCTACCGCAATTTACGTGGCCGTGGCTGACTTTTTTCATTTGATTTGCGGTAGAGTGCATTAATTTTGCAAACTTTATGCGCTTGGATAAAGTGATATCGCAGCAGAAGTGACAGTAAACAGTGTTTATGAATGGACAGTACTGTTTCGGTACTGTTCATTCAAGGCAATATATCTCAGCTGCTGGTAGAATTATCAAAAAGTTGTCAACTAATAAATTGTTCGTTTAGAAATTTTGTACATTTTATCAGTTGACAACTTGTTGATATCTCGGCAGGCAAGTAAGAACTAAAGTACTTTAAAGGAACATTGCGTCTTGGCTTTGAACTATTGTCGTTCCGAGTATTCTGATTCTCTTCTGATTCCAACCATCGAACAACAGCCCGCCCGACCCATCATTACTATGTATTATTATGATTTTCGCGTCCTCTGCCGTCCAACTATAGCATTTCTGTGCAAACATAACTAGGGGGCGCAACAAAGGGGGCGTGGCCTGACGAATTTTCTCCCGATTTTCGCGCGCGCGTGTTTGACGGTCTGTACCGAGGTCCCCAAATGAAGTACCATACCCTAAAAGTTTTACTTTATGTAATCGACCATGCTGAATCCAATGAACAACTCCATTTCACGTGAAAACGTACCGTTCTCTTGAAAAACCGCGAAAACGAAAATGGAAGTCAGTCTGAGAGCCTGTGTGGCCAAGTTTATGGCTACACGCGCCTACTTTTAACTGTTTCCGACAGTTTAAGGGATGGGGAATCCGTTTTTGAAGTCAGATTCGGGCTCCCTAGTACCCGAAAGTTTTTACAGATCCTCAAACTGCCAGAAAAGTTAGTGGAAAATTTTCAGCGTTGACCATACTTTTTTATTTTTGGAATCCATAGATAAAGTCAATGAGAACCCAAATATAAATTTTCAGAGCTCTAGACCCACTAGGACCAGATTTGTGCTCGTTTGAGTAGGGCCCATTCGGCCGAAATTGTAGTTTTCGGGAGATTTGAGGGTCACAGGTACCTTACACGCGGCTAATTTACAGAATCGGATTCAGCATCAAATTTCCGACCGATCCATGTTAAACTTTCTCATCTACCTAGTACCCAAAAAAAGTTACAGTCAGTTATGTTATGGATTTCAGCCCACAAAGGCACTAATTTCGCAGTTGGAAAGGGCCGCGCACAGCGAGCTTCTCTACGCCAATGGCGGTGGGCGCGCCACCGCCCGGTTGGCGCAGTGGCAAAGTGATCGCTCGGCAGTCTGGGGGTGCCGGGTTCAAAACTTTTGTCCTCGAAAGTTGTTTAGCTTTTTAAGAACATCATGTCTGTTCATTTTTTTGTTGCATATTTGGCTTGGTCCGTCAGAAAAAGACAAAAACCGCTCGCGGCGCACTTGCTGGCGAAGCTCCGCCCCCTCCTCGACCGCCGACCGGGGAGAAAACAGGCCATCTTTGAAGGGGTGTAACTCGGGATGTACCGAAAATTTTCGAGAAAAAAGTTGGGAGCGTACTCATATAGAGTAGGGGAACACATTCCAACAAGAATTTTGTGGAAATTCGGAGTTTTGCGAAACCCGTTGCGGTACCTAAACATAACAATAGTTATCACCCATCTCGAGGATTTCCATGGCAACTGGGCACACACCTCGTACTTCCGGAGCCCCGTCCGAGTCTCGTGCGAGTCGGTGTCTGAGTGTTTTTTTTGTTTTCTATTCAATTCTCGCACGTTTTTTGTGTGGTTTGGAGTCAAACTTTTTTGAGAAAATCTCGGAATGTCTATTTTTCCCTCCACGCCTCATCTATTTTTGTGACCGACGATGGGCCTTGGCTGCCAAAACGACTCAATTCATTGGCGAATTCTTTCGATGTTTCACGGATTACGATACTTTAAGACCAATTTTTTGTTCCTCCGCAATTCGCTCTTTTTGTGGCCGAGTCAAGACCCTCCAAACCCTACGTGGCTCTTCCGCTGTCTCCAGCAGCTCCCCCTCTCTTTCTTCTCTTTTCCGAACACCGCAAAGCTCATGAAAGTCCCTCATGAATACCAAATTCGTTCTCAATTCTCCCCGCTCTTTGTCCCCCTAACCCCATTATTCTCGCTGTTCTTCGCCCTCTCGTTTCCCACGCACAAAGTTCCGATTGTCCATGTTCTTCAAAAGAACTAAATATTTTACTGTTGGTCCCCCTGATAAGCAACATTTAAAAGAGACGAGAAAAACGAAAGTTTTCGCTCTCACAATCAGCACCCGAATTGTTGGGGGGGGGGCAAAAGTTTGGGCGTGTTTTTGTGGCGCCAACCGCCGGAAACGAGCTTTTTCTCACTCGTTTTTCAACTCGATTTTGTGCAGTATTGTGGTTGCTCCGAGCGCTCGAAGTTCTACTCTATTTCGAGCTGGAGCAGGTGCTTATTTTAGCAATGCTCACAAAGTTGTTGGGCAGGAATTGAACTTTCGAATCGTTTCTAAAACTTCTGAAAATATCCGAACCCAGGGGGTTTGCCGTTCTTAAAACAACTCGGTTCTTTCTCTTCCTTCTGTTCCATTTTTCCATTGCCTCATAACCATGACTCACTTTTTCCAGAGAAAGAAGATGAGCACACGCACGCAACGGGAAAACGGAAGAGAAGAAGAAGAAGAAGAAGAAGGAGAAGAAGACGTGCTTTTCCTCTTCCTTCTCTTTCTCTCACTCTTTTTCTGAATAATCTTGACGTCACTCACTCAGCCTCTTCTTCTGAATCGTCTTCTTCTTTTTCCTTTTCAACGATGAGCAGGACGCGGAAGATTCTTCGGCACGGGAAGAAGAAGAAGAAGAAGAAGAAGAAGAAGAAGAAAAAGGCGTGGGAAAAACATTTGGCTTCCCGTTTGAATACAAATGAGTGTGCTTTTGAGCTCAAAGATTTGTTGCAACATTTATTCATTTGAAAGTAGCTAAACGTAGGCGGGGAGCATCTCAAGTTCAACGAATCGAAAGATAATCTCGTGCTCTATAACTTTCTAGTTCAACATTGTTCACTATCTTGCACGTGCGTCGAGATATTGCCACTCAGCTAACAGGCACTTGTGAAAAACGAGTGCGCTTTGGGAAAGCGACAATATCAGCGCAGACTTGAACGATCGGGGAACGTGCTCAACTGACAAAGTATAGCCAGTCGAATTTTCTGTATTCCGATTTTTGAAACGTCTAGAAAACTCAAAAACCAACGGAGATACGCATTCTCAAAGTTCAGGTCCATCTCATTATGGCCCTTTTCACACACTTTCAACGTCATCGGCCAACCTTTTGCCCCTTTCATTGCCCTATTCACACATCTTCCTAATGAAGGTCTTCTTCGCCCCCTGAAGACATACATCTCTGAACTTCTCGTTTCGTCGAATCTGGCGCGAGCTCGTATAATTCTGCGGTGTGATTTCTCCAGAAGAGATTGAGAGAGAGAGAGAGAGAGAGAGAGAGAAACACGGATTCAGAAGGAGATTCCCAGAAGAATCTCTTCTTTTTTCAGAAAAAGACGTGCTCGTGAGTCAGTAGGCTCGGAATTAATTAACATTCCCCCCGTTTTCGCTCGTTTTTTCCTTTTTCTCCTCCGTCTGCTTCTGCTTCTTCTTCTTCATTTCTTTGATGTTTGAGAAAGCTAAAAGCTTATCTTTTTCTTCTTTTCTTTAAACGAAAACAACACGAAAAAACCACAAAGTTTTGGCGCGTTTCGCTTTGAAAAATGAGGATGGGGGGCAAGGGGAATCCAATTAATTTTGACATGTGCAACTGACACGACCCGCTGTTTTCCTCTCTATCTTTTTATCTTTCTCACCTGATTTCTACATTTTCTGTTCCGTCATCAGCTGGAACCCTGACGTGCTCACTTTTTCCATTTCTTTTACTAAACTCAAAGTTAACCAGCATCCCGACCGCGAGTCTATGATATCAACTTTTCAAAATTGAAGAGACTATGATTTCATCTTGCTCTTTTCGCACTGAAAGTTCACCAAAACATGCGCAGGCTCTCATTTTTTCCCTCAAATTCCGCCGGATCAATGTATCATTTCCTTGTTGCGATGAAAAAGAAGAAGAAGAAGAAGAAGAAGAAGAAGAAGTCGGAAGGCGCTATCGAATTTCCATCCGCCTTCCCTTCCGGATTATTATTATTAATATTATTTCTGCTTCCTCTTTTGTTTAATCCGCCCCAATTTCTGGAAGAGCACACTTTAACGATCTGAATGGATTGTAGAGAGATGTGGGTGGGAAAACAGAGAGATTAGAGAACGAGCATGAGATTCGGAGCAGGTGAGTCCCGTTTTAGCCGCCAAGAGAGAAATGACTCAAAAGCTCACAGAGAGCGGGCGGGGCAAAAACACTTTGACTCCTCCTACTCACTCGAATTCTTAATGAATTTTGTTTTGCGAATTCAAACATAAACAAGTGAGCCCCTTGCCACGTCATTAAAGTCCCATTCGATGTATTCTGTAGCGTTGCCGCGTCACGAAGCAAGACTGAAGAGTACGGTGCGAGTACACTTCTAGTCCGTCTATCGCGTGCCACGTCAGGTTATAGTGGGTACATGGCAGCTAGTATTTGACCAGAATATCATGGTCATCGACTCAATTAGCCTTCAAGCTCTCCCTCCTTTCCTCAATTTGTCATCTTCTCTTTTTACAGCACTCTTTATACTCAACTCGCCCTTTTTGAGCTCCACAAATCGCTTCCGAGCACTTTACATCCTATTTACCAAAATTTGACTAAAAACAAAACGCGCCGATGACGTGAACGTTTCCGAGAAGAGCATTCTCATTTCCGCATCGGAAATTTGAATTGAATCACTTCAAAGTCACTCTCTCTTTCTCTCTCTCTTTCTTCCGTGTTTTCCCTCTCCGAACGTCATCACTTGTATTCTCGATTCAGAAGTTGTACCATGAATGTGCGTCATAAACCGATCGTTTCGGCAGCCGGAAATTTGGCTCATCCAGTTACTTTGAGCTCGTGAGCCCTCGTTTCGGTGGCTTTTGGCTCCGGTTGCTAGGAACGAAGCCATGGGGACTTTGTGCACATGCCAATTAATTCTGCTCACGCTCCTGCGCTCAAGCGGCTCATTTTCAGTGGGATTTTGAGCAAATCCTGTGCCGGGGGGGATCTTGCTCTTTTGAAAAACACACTCAAAGTGCTCATTTTCATCTGGAAGCCCTCAAATCTCTGGATTAGAAGTGTGCTCCCGATCCCCGATGACTCACAAGCTCGGAGTAACCTTTTCGCGAGCTTCCGTTCGATTTCAAATCGATAGAGCCCTTCCTCTCTCTCTCTCTCTTTCTCTCTATCTTTCTGTCCCCTGGGTCCCTTCCCCCCCTCTCTCTCTCTCTTTTCTCACACACAACGGCTACATTTTATTTGAGCCCCCGGGGTTAACGAAGAGCCGAGAGTATGTGCAAAACTGAGAGACACAGAGAAAGGGTGTGTATCTCTTCTCTCTCTCTCTCTTTCTCTCTAGACGCTCCTAGAGAGCAAGAGAGAGAGAGAGAGAGAGAGAGAGAGAGAGAGAGTCGGTTTTTGGCTCGAGGGAGGGGGAGCTCCACAAACGAAAAGCGCGCGAGCTCCCCTTCTCGGTCATACACAAACGACTTTTCGGAGACGTCGTCGTCGTCTCTTTTTTGTGCTCGGCGGAACGTTGGGGAACATGTGCTCTCGACTCATTTTCAACATTTTATAGCGCACATTTTATGTCGCATACTTTATGAGCTGTCGGCGCCGAGAGCAGGAAGAGCCGGGGCGGAAGAGCCGAAAGAATGAGTTCGAGATGGGGCGGTCTGCCACGTCATTCTCATTTTTACGTCACAAATTAATGAGCAAGCTCGATGTTCAGCTGAGAAGCCGAACATCTACTGAAATTTTCGCTTTTTTTTCTCTCCCAAATCGCAAGAAACTAGTCTGGACTGATAATATTTGAAACATTGTAGGCCAAAAACGTGTTATTCCAACCAACCAGAACGTAGTTACAAAAAGTAATTTGCTCTATTATTCATTGCCACGTCACAACCCGCTTATGCTCCATCTTCTTCTTCTTCTTCTTCTTCTTGCCACGTCAAACTCGGCTCATCCGCCCAGTCACTCTCAAACATCTTCTGAATCTTGATCTTCTCCCCTTCTCCCTCCTCTCCATTCATCTTTCTTCGTTTCTAATTACCGCCCACGCTTCTATTCCTTCCCCCCTCCCCTCAACACCAATCCCATCTAATTACACCCCTTTTCTTCGATTGCAGGCTTTGATCCTACAAGCTCCAACTCTTCAATATTTCCAATTTCTTTTCCAGGGCGCGGGCGGCCTCATGAAATACCATCAGCGAGACCATCTCCCACTTTTACTCTCGCTCTTTTTGATGCGCTTCCTGCAGTCCACCGTCGATGCCGTCTATACAAACGTGAGTGCTACAGTAATCCTCAAAAAGTACCGTACCGCGTACATGTCCAGGTGAAACTTCAATGCGTGGGCGCCGAAGATGTGTATGGAACGCTTCAAACCGAGCTGACGTTCAACAGCAAAGAAGGCGGCAGCACTTTCCTGCCGGCCTACACGGACTTGTGCTCTGACAGTCAGTTTTGAGCTCGCCGTACCCCACCCCGAAATTCTTACTGTAGGCACAAAGTTCGACGATGCTCAGCGCGTGTACTTCTGCAAGAACTGCCTGCTCAACTGTCCGTCGTTGGTCGAGCAGGCGCCCAAAAATATTCTGATTGTGGCTGACGTGAAGGCGCCCAATTCACGGGTAATTGCATTTTCCCGGAAACCCGCGCGAGCAGGTGCCTTTTCAGGTTTCGTGGTTTCACGTACAGACGCCGGTGAGCAGCATTCGCGAGACTGGAAAACAGTGCAACGTCGAGAATCAGAATCCGGTACGTCCGTCTCCTTTTTCTTAGAACTCGTCACAACTTTCGACTTGCTTTGCAGGCCTCCTCCTCGAACATGGAAGAGACGTCGACGGACGCGTTGCGATCCTTCTCGAAGACCTCCGTGCTCTTCGTCTCCATCTCGTTCATCATCCTGATGGTCATTTCGCTGGCGTGGCTCGTCTTCTATTATGTGCAGAGATTCCGATACGCGCACGCCAAAGATCGACTTCAGAGAAGGTGTGTTGTTGGTCATTTTGATTACAGCTGTCATGGGCTTTTCCGGGAAACACATTTGATGTTAGACTGGTGGTGTTTTTGGTCTTGCCCCAACTTCCTCATTCTTCCAGACTGTTCAACGCGGCCCGCAAGGCTCTCACTCGGATCCCGACGATGGTGATCGCTCCGGGAATGCACCATGAGCTGCAGTCGGACTGCGCCGTCTGTCTCGACCCCTACCAACTTCAGGACGTCGTCAGATTACTGCCCTGCAAGCACATCTACCACAAATCGTGCATAGACCCCTGGTTGCTCGAGCATCGAACGTGTCCAATGTGCAAAAATGATATATTGAAACATTTTGGGTATTGAAAAGAAATATAAAGATGCGCAATGATCTAGAACCATCAAAACTGCAGAGGTATCAACGAGGACTTCACGTTACGGCTCGAGCTCGGCGAGCGGGACGACGAACATCATCACCGCCACCACCATCACCACCATCACCGCACCGCCATGGTGTCCGCTGACGACGTCGTGTCTCCCGAAGCCAACTCGGAGTCCTCCGACTCCCAGGGATTCTCTTTCGACCACTCGGAGCACACCGAGAACTTCAGCTTCTCGACGCCAGCCGTCGCGCCTCAATTAGTCCTGAATGCGTCGAACGCAAAGTCGTTTGTGATGCCGATGTCGACGCGCAGCTCAATGGGTTCGGAGTCGAGGGTGATGGAGCCGCGGCCGCAAACGAGCCAGCCAACGAGCAACTTCCGATCGGCCAGAACGAATCGGGATCATCGAGGCAGTTTGAGCGATCTGGCGGCGGGAAGTGTTGCGGTCCCGCCGGGACAGAGAACGAAGACGGTCGGAGCCACGACGCCCGGAGGATCGCCGGGCCAGATTGTGAATTTGGTGCAGGTAAGAGAAATCGAAAGCAGTTATCTTTTAAGAATCCTATAGTGTTCACAAAAGAAAGGAGCTAAGAATGGCATCCAAATACCATTTATTCAAATCAATGTATCTTAGCTATCACGGTCTCCAGAGCTGACAATATGGGCGTGGCCTCGGCGGCCAAATGGCGTTTTCATGAATTGAGCAGGTTTTCTCTGATTTTTGTGGTCAAAGGCGATGAAAAATCATTGTTCGACATGAAAACACACTAATTCTCGAGAATTAATGACGTTTTGGCGCATTTTTCGCGGACTTTGCTTTTTCGCCTTCGCCGCCGATCGCCGCCTAAAAACCGCACTTCTCATTTTGCGCTTTCTGGACCGTTTTCAGACAGAATTGGTATTGAGAATGATAAATCACGTAAATACAATCATTTTGAGCGCTCGAACCGCGAAAACTACCGAAAAGCAACTGAAATTCACGCAGTTTTAGCCAAAAACCTTCAAACGGATAAATGTGTTTTGCAAGTTGACCAAATTTAACGCTCTTGCGCTTAAAAAATTTGTAATAGCCTATACAATCGGTCTGTCGAGAGACAAATGAGAAATTATCGGTTTTTCGTGGCTAATCTGGCAAAAAACACAAATTTTTCGGTTAAAATTTGAATTTCGCGCCAATGTATCGCTCTATTGGGCGGGCGCCGCACTTGCGCCCATTGTCAGCTCTGGAGACCGTGCCATGCAGATTGTGTCCGAATAGTAATTGCCCATTTTCCATTCTTTTCGGCCCTACAATACTCTATCGTTCCAGGTCAAATCCCGTTCTGCGTCGATCACGCGCGCAGCTACGATCCGGAAGGAGAGCCTGCCCACTCCGATCGAGATTACCACCTCGGCACTGATCCCGCCGCCCACGTCATCCATCACTTCCACGAGTTCCAATTCAAATGCAACCAACAGCCAAGTAGTCTGAGAACCTCTCTCTCTCTCTCTCTCTCTCTCTCTCTCTCTCTCTCTCTCTCTCTTCTCGATGGTCTTTTACCCATTTTCATATGTATTCTGTGTGCTTTTTCACGAGATTCGCACGGGTTCCGCCCCCTTTCCTTCTCAATACTTTTTCCTATTTTTCTCGACTGTAATTAGTCCCCGCGCCCGCAACCACCCGCCTAGTCTATTTTTCATTCCGTTCGGAGCACAGTTATTTGACCGATTTCCGTTTGACACAATCCCAATGATCTCATAGACACTGTTTTATGAAATTGCCTTTTTATTAATGTTGTTCAATGACATTTCAGCGCATTTATAACGTTGTTATAGTCGGTGTCACTAAAATCGTTCGACACTTGGATGTTGGTCACTCCCGTCGGGATGCTCATTTTTGAGCCTGAAAGAGATATTAGAAGGGCACCTCAAAACCGGTCATTCAAAGCCATGTATCTCGCTTGTCTGTAGAGATATCAAAATGTTGTCAACTGATGAAATGTACACAAACTTTTGATGAGTATTTTGTCTGTTGACCACTTTTTGATATCTCTGCAGACAACTGAGATGCGTGGCTTTTAATAAACGGTATTGGCAATTCAATGCTTACCATTCAAAGAAATGACAACGACTTCGTCAAACTTTGGCCAAGGTACAAAAAGTGAGGGAACATTCGAGAAATCGTGTCGGGCGGTCAGAAATACCAGGGTAGTGTAGCCCATGTCTTCCATTGCGGGCGTCCAGCGGAAGCGTTGAGCTCCACTGATTGCGCTGAACATTTTCAGATATTTTCAGATGATAACTATCAATTTTCAGCTCACTCGGTAATGTTATAAGCATGGTCCGTCTTGCCATCGTCCCACTTGTTTGCCTCGAGCAAATCATCGAATTCCCTTTGGCTCCACGCCGGACTGTACTCGAATTGTTGTTCGTATTGCGCTGAACACAATTGGTTTTGTCAGGCGCTCGCAGGAGTAGTGAAAGATTACTGTAGCCGTAGAAAGATACGCTCATGTAGAACTTGCAGATATTGTTGTCGTTTGCCGGGTTCGCGAAGAGGAAATCGGTGACGGCGCGGATGAATTCTCGCTCCTGAAACGGTGCGAATGTTGGAAAAAAGCATCAAAGGGACTGAATTACGTTATTATAAAACTTGAGGGCGTTCTGATCAATGTTCGGGTCTCCGATGCTCTCGGAGTCGGCCATGAATTTGATGAGAACTTGCTCTTTTCGCGTCGGAATCGCTGTCGTTCTAGGGGCTATAATAATGCGTTGAGTTACAACAGGTTTTCAGTGCAATCCAACTAACGAGCCGGTGGATCCGTGGGTGCTCCCTGAGCCTTTCCATAACAGAAAAACGGATAGGCCGTCGAGCAGTCGTGTGCTTGCCACCGACCATCCGTTGTACGCATCGTACCGCAGTGACCAGGTGAAGAGACTGAAAAATGGGAAGCATAAAGGCCCAATGGGTTACTGTACTTACCGGGGGACCAGTTCATGAACACCAAATCGGTGCCATCGATCCAATCCCAACCGCCATCGGCTGTCATATCGGTGAGTCCGAGCCAGAGGAAGTTGATGTATAGGCTTGAGTTTCGGGTTACACCTGGAGGAATATTGTCGATTACCGTCTTCCACTTTTATGCCATACCATACAAAAAGTTATTGTCGATCATGTTGGTCACGGCGGCCAAATGATAGCCTCCGTAGTCGTAGCAAGCCTTTTCGGCGTCGTGGAACGATTTTTCGCCCGGATGAAGAATGAAGCAACTGTAGAAGATCACGGAACGTTATCCTGATATTGTAGACTTACTATCTGCCACTGGGATCCAGGTATTCCTTTCCATGACACGTGGCAACCGAGAGGACCGGGCAGAAAAGGAGAGAGAAGAGAGTTAGAGATGACAGAAGAAAAATCATTCGGGGGGAAAATGAAGGAATCAAACTGATAGCAGAGCATCATTATTATAGAGAAATCAAAAAATCAGACGGAGACGGAACTTCATTGATAATATTAATGACTAGTGACATTTGAGGGCATTCGCAACGTCGATCGGAGAGAAGTCGTTCGAAATTTGAACTTGCTCTGGTTTAGGAACCTCGAAAGTTCGTGGATTGATTAGAAAGTGGAGTGATGAAACGAGTGGGATTGTCAGAGAATCAGTTCAATTCAATGACTCACTACTTGCCGGATGGATCTAGAACTTCAGCTCCACGACAGGAAGCTCCAGACGCTCCGGAGCTCAAAAAGCTAAAGACTAAGAAAAGGTTGAGAAGAGCGTACATTTTGCAGCGCTTTTATGAAAAACTTTGCCGTGGGATCAAAAAATCAGAAAAGGAATGACGACTTTCAACTACTTCTAGCTATTCACGCTCTGTTCCTCTGTGATAATCCGCTGTTTCTGACTGATTCTCTGATTTTCAATTCCGTCTTTTTTGTTCAATGAAACCGGGTTATCTGGAAGCGAAGGACTGATGAGAAACTTTTGTACTATCACTATGACGTGATTGGAAAGGGTTGGACAGTTCTCGGTCCGGTTTCAAAGCCAGGATAGGATTATATTCAGATCCGAACAATATCGAGGTAGGGAGACAGGTTCCGACGATTGACTTTGCCTGATTTTGAGTTCAGGGAACACAGAACATTATAAGAATGAATCTGAACTGTCGGGATCTATGGAGTTAATCTGAAGAGCTTGAGCTCCCGTTCATTTACTCGATCCGACTTGATTGTGAACAGGTATGGGCAGTCTGTACCTTCCAGAAGTCTCATTTGGTCATATTTAAGGTAGTCATCAAGGTTATTGGCGCCTAGGACAGTCGAGATGACGTCTCGGCGAGCTTCTGGAATTCTGGCGTCACGCACAATGTTCCAGCTCCTTCTCAATCCCATAAACCACCAGATTTCTTAACTTCCCCCTCTTCTCCTCATCATCATCATCATCATCATCATGTTGACATTGCGTGTAGTGGTGAATGGATCAGTTTTGGGGAAGAGCAGTACACACTCGAAGAAGAATTGCATCAGAATTGGTGATGATGATGAAGTCTTGCGAAGACGTCTTCCGGAGAGCGGTCCGCCACTCGAAAAAGAAGAAGGGACCGTCATGTCATGTCCGACGGACCACCAAGTGGCCGCCCATTCATTCGCCTGGTCATCGCATCTCCCCGACCACTCTTCACACAACTTTTCGCCTCTTTTCACCTCCGTTTCATCTCATTTCCACATGTAAGGCTGTAGAAATCTGCGAAAATGACGTGGTTTTGCGGAGATCTTTTAGAATTTCACCTGTTACGGACGGTGGTGGCGAAACATGAGCATGCCTCCGAAACCGAAACGATCTTGAACTCTGAACTTTTTTTGCAAGCGTCTCAATCTCTGGTAACTCCTTGCCTTCTTGCTTCTTCCTTAGTTTAGAGGTATAACAGACTAATGAATGTTTCCGTTGCAGTTTCACCTTTTCTATAATACTAATTCGAGCTGTATTACGGAATCATTTGCTAACTTTCAAAAAGCGAGGTAGAGCCAGAGGATAGGAACTTTAGAAACCTCAAATGATATGGTTTTGGACTTGCCATGATGTTAATAAAGTAAAAATTTGAAAGTTTTAGCAAAAATTGATGCTATTTTTTGAATTCTTATGAATAAAGTTCTGTGATCATGTATGGAACCGGTATCCAGTGAAAATTGTAAATTGTAGATGAATACCCAAATACCGCGTTCATTCAAACGATATATCTCAGCTGCCGGTATAGATATCAAAAAGTTGTCAACTAGTAAGTTGCTCATTCAAAAATTGTGCACATTTTATCAGTTGACCACTTTTTGATATCTCCACTGGCAGCTGAGATACATCGTCTTGAATACATGGTTCCGTTCGACTGCAAGGTCCGCTTTAAAGTTCCCAACTTGTTAACTTCTTTGTGAGTTTTCTATTGTCTTTCGTGACAATTTCCATTTTCTGAAACCTTTGCACGAACCGGAGCCGCAAGCATCTAAAGCGCCTTTTCAGCTGTTCCCTGACTTCCCAACTCCACCGGAAACAGTGTAGCTTTTGTGCCACGACCATAATTGATACGTGCTGAAATGGAGAATTGAAAGAAAAGTTCACAAAAGTCGGCCACCTAGACGGCCGCAAATAATTGCAGCTGTTGCCTGCCTGCTGCGGCGTCATTTTCAAAAGTATTGTAATAGATATTCATTTTATCCCAAGTTTTACTTCCTGCTGGGCGCGACGGAGATTACGGTACTTTGGGTCGCTGACCTTTTTCCCGAAATTCCTTTTTTCCGCGCTTCGGGCTATACAAAAACCAGAGACAATTCGATTAAATTCGATTCGACTCGGATTAGATTCTCTGTCCCGCCGCCAAAGAATCCTCGGCCGCCAAATAATTGTGCCGTCATAGTACGATGGTCTCTGATATTGTCCATTTCTATCGAATCCAATTGTTCGCCTACTGAACTAGTTTTGCAGACGCCTGCTAAGCAAATAATGACGCACTTTTGAGGAAATGGAAATGGGGAAGTAGATATTGAAGGTTTCTGGTCAACTTCTTTCTATATTTGAAAACTTTGAAGTAGTTTACTTGTTGGTTGGCGGACTACGAGATTCAGAAGTCTCACCCTGAGAACCGTCTAGAATCTTCTTGAAAGACCCGGAAGATCTTCCAGCCTAATTCAATTGGCCCTTCAATTCTCCCACTTGAAATTTCAATTGCTTGTCTTGTCTCTCAGCTACTAGTTGTGTTTTGCACGAATGACTCTTTCCCACGGTGAATTCTTCCCACTATATATATATTTACATGATTCACATCTATAAGTATCCCTGAAATACTACAAGGATCCCAAAAAGCTGGCCCCATTCTCTCAAATCTTGGGATTTCAGTGTCGCACTTGAAACTTTCCTTCTAAAACGTTGCCAAGTTACATCCGGATCTGAATTTTCCTCAAAGCGCTTCCAGAAGGTTCGCAAACATTTCCGCAGAGAATCAAACAACTTCGATCTCTGTTTCTTGCCGCAAATTGACGCTCGTCACTTCTCATTTTGGATAGATGGATTCACTGATGAATTATAAGTGCAACATGCTCCCGTAATGCACAAAGTTCACCGAGCTCGTTGATTCTCTCCGGAATACTCTTCTTCGGACAGTGAAAGTGTGTAAAGGAGCGGAAGATTCGATTCTGCAAAAGAAGTTAGTGATGCTTGAAACGGTCATAGTAGTATTATTCGGTATCCCCGTGCCACGTCATCGTTCCCAATCAAAACTCCCCCTCTCTTTTCTTCTTTCTGCTTTCCAGACGTCATCTGTCCCCTTTTTTCTTCAATTTTTCTTGACCAATTCGTTTTGAGCCAGTTAACGGCTTCGACCTCGAATCCGATTTCGCGTGTGTTTTTGTTATTCCTGTCGTCCAGGGCTGGCCAATTGGCCGGCCCTTGACCTGGCCACTTGTTATACTCCGATCGGACCCAAGCTTTGCAGGATTGTTGGACTTGGATTGCGGGCCATTGGGACCAAGTTTCAGCCCGATCGGCTCGTCGGGTCTCGAGATATGTGGATCATTGGCCGATTTCTTCCAAAAAGCCCAGGCTTCCGGCCAATGATCCACATATCTCGGGACCCGATGATCCGATCGGGCTGAGAATTGGTCCCAATGGCCCTCAACCCATGTCCAAGAAGCCTGCAAAGTTTGGGTCCGATCGGAATATTGCAAGTGGTTCAAAGGTCCAGGTCAAGGGCTGGCCAACGAAAATCGTTCGAAAATGTGAGAATTCTGAACTTTTCCGACTATTTTTGAGAAACTTCTCGTTGCCCGTCGTCTCGTCAAATAGTGCCCATAAATCTACGGTTTTCCGTGAATTTTTTGCAATCTTCGATGAGTACGGACTACAAAAAAGTGGCCGACGACGTTGCCGAAGCGGTAGAGACCGTCTCCTTGAGGCAGCCAGACACGGATCGGAATCGCTGGCCCGTCGAATCGAAGAACAACAACTGGAAGCCGAGAGTAAACGCAACTGCTTCGATCCTTGGCCCAGTTCCCACGACTCTCCAATTTCTCACTGTTCAATGTGACGTTCTGATGTTATTTGATCAAAAAGTGATGCGATGTGATGACTCAAAAACTCGTCCAAATCTGACCCGATTCTGAATTGTGCAGAGAAGTTTCGAATTTCCTCGAATTCCCTTCTGATTTCCCGATTCGCTCTTCCCTTTGACTTTGGCTAGACGTCCAGGTTTCGCAAAAAAGTTCAATGGTCTGGCACTTTTTTAAAGTTGGAATTGAATTAGCAAGCACGAAAGAAAGTTTGAAGAGAATGGGAACAAAGTCCAGCAGTTTGGGAGTTCCGGTTTGCAAAAACGGAGCACGACGGGGGGGAGGGGCTCAGTTTCAATTTCTAAAATTGGAATGTCTCCTTTTTTTCGCGGCGAAGAACCTGACCATCTACTCTCTTTTCGACCAGGATCTTTGAGATTTGCGCCTACCCGAAACCTCTTGAATTTCTGGAAATCCGACCTTTTTCTGTGATTGATTGTTGATGCGTTTCTGTGCAAAACGACAGAATGCCACGTCATCGGCCGACTCTCCGCCGAGAAACGAAACGTAAAAACGGCAAATGAGCGTAGACGAATTGAGTGAAAAGGGGTCTCGTTGTCCTCAAAGTGTTTCCATTTCCCGGCCCGATTTGTCCTCTCTGTTTTCATCATCCCCCCATTTTATTTTTAGATGACGTGTCTATTTCGGGAAGTCTCGCCTCGACCGAATCGAGTCCGATTTGATTGATGGTCAGGTTGAGACTAGGAGGCGGCGGGGGAGTGTCCGAATGATTAGTTGTCGGCCCCCCCCCCCCTTCTTCCATTCAAAACAACTCACTCATTTTCAGTGGAAAGCAATTCTAGTCGACGAGTTGGCGCTAAATCTCAAATTCCAGCCTAGTTCCTGAGAGGCATCGCTGAGTCCGACGTCACGCACCGCATTGTTTTGTCATCAGAATCGTTGATTTGTGAATCGCATGACCGTGCCCTTTTGTCTTGTTTTCTACGCGAGCTCGTTATTGTAGAAGATTGGGTTTCACGTGTGTGTGTGTGTGTGTGTACTTTCTAAAGATCTCTAACATGACAGGTTTCCCCGTTCTCCGTTTTGAAAAACGTTTTCTGATGACTCGAATTAAGCATTTATCTGATCCCCTCATGGAACGGCTTCAGGATTACTGTACCTCAGAATCCAGAGTAGAAGCCACGTGTCACTTCGCTCTTTGCTCTTCACACCTCGAACCCACGCAGGTCCATCCATCAATAATTGAAAAGTCGTAAGTTGCCTTCGGGCCCACTTATCCTTTCTTTTCCGCAAATCTCTCGTCTCTTGGCCCAATTCCAGAGAAGCCTTTCAGTCTCGGATTTCAACCAAAAAAGGGCGGAGCCGTGGAAGAAGAAGAAGAAGAAGAAGAAGAAGGAGAAGACCTTTTCATTCTTCGCCGCCCTCCCTAATTTGTTTGCTTTTCATGAGCTTACCCCCTTCTCAAAAGTTTCGTCTCATGAGGCTATTATTGAAATTGAAAGTGGGTCTGAGAGATCTTCCCCCACTTTCTTCTTCTTCTTCTCCTTCTTCTTCTTCTTCTTCTTCTTCTTCTTCTCCTTATTATTTCACTCTCTTTTCCAGCATCAAGAATCTCGAATTCCCACCCACTTCTACTCCACAAATACTCACATTTTCAACCAAATTTTTGTCAAAGAACCAAACGAAAAACAGAGAAAAAGACACAATTTCATATTCATAGGGATCCTGGAAATGACGAGCGTCCGAGACGGCTTTGAATGTGTGATATCAATCAAGTGTCGGTGGTCAGAGGTAGAGGGCACTCGTCGCCACGTCATTCAACTACCGTAACCCTACTTTTCGTGCCAAGACCAAAGACGACCCTTTTTCGCATACATCCTCGTTTCCATTCACTTCCGAATTGATTAGCGCCGCCACGTCATCTCTCCATTCATTCTCCTCCTCCTCTTCCCCCCACTTGGCTTCATTCCAAATCAGAATCTTTTCCAAGAAGCCTACCGTATCCCTGATTCGTGCACTCTTCCCGTTCACCCTATAATTTCGTCGCAGACGTCCTTTTTCCTCTCCATCTTTTTCTTGACAAAAACAAAAGTGTTGGATTGCAGGTAACACAAATGGCGCCGATGCGGCGCTGGATAATCCTACTACTATTTGCAGTGCTGCTCGTCTCACAAGCCCAGTAAGTTGACCTATTTCTAAATTAGTCCATAGTTGTCACTGGCCCGACTCAAGTAGCGGGTTTTTTTTTTGTTTTCCTACGCGTTTTTCATCTCGATTGGTGGTATTGATGTCAAAAAATGGCACAGATCGAGCATGTACCTAACTGAAACGCGCACAATGATTCACGAAAATGTGTCAAGTTGCAGATCGCAATCCGAACCGACCAAAGACAAGAAACAGGGCCGAAAAGTGTCCGAGTTGGGGCCGTCGTACATGCGAAAACGAACACAACTTCCGTCGTTCTTGCTGCGACCGTACCGCCGACCCGCCCTGGCTCTTCTACTAGTCTCGTGATCTTTTTCCTCCCCCCACCCCACGATTCCCCCAATTCCTCAATTCTCCTTGCCCCCCTCCTCTCCTCTCCCGCCCATTTGATGTCACGAAGATGATGATGTTTTGAAAGCAACAAAAAAAGAAACTGATGCATTTGAATGGTATTCCAAACAATAAATCTAGTGATACAGTTTGTGAGCAGCCCGTTTTAATCTTTATCACATTCAATCAATCGACATTTGAAGCCAAGTATTCGGGAGAAGAAGACGATCACTCTTGGATTGCCTTGAGCCGTTTGTCCTCGAGAAGGTGCCGCGCGTCTTCCGCGTATTCCGCCTCGACGGCCACATTCGTGTGCACGCACGCCGCTCTCGTCAGCCACTTTTTCGCGTTCGCATAGTCGCCCATCTCGAGGTACGTTTTGCCGATGAACAGCTGATTCTCCGACACTCCCTCGTCGAGCTCGTCGGCCTTCAGAAGGTCTCGCAGCGCGTCTTCGTACGTCACCTTCGGAATTTGACCAATCAGTTTGGCGGCCATCCGCTCGACGAACGACAGCGAGGCGACCTGCATACTTTTACTTCTTTCGCTTTTGTTTTTTTGCAACAAGTAGGTACTAAGTGCGTGGGAAATTTGACAGCCTTCAGAATTGTCACGTTGTCTCTTTTAGCTTTTTGACCTGGACACTGAGAGGGAGGAAGTGTACTTTTGAGTTCACACTGGTCTAGGGACGTTTTGCAACCAGACATTTCAAAATGTCCGGTTCACAGTGATCAAGGGCCATTTTTTGCAGTTGAAAAGTGGACCTAACTTTCGATTGTGAATTCAAATGAACCAGTGACTATTGTCGAGTTCAACGCTTCAAGTACAGTAACCAACCGTATAACAGAATCTGCCTCGCATGTGAGTCGTCTCAAAGTCCTTGTCATTGAGCGCAATCGCCTCGTCCAGATACGTCTTGAACTTGAATCCGTAGTCCAACTTCTTTTTGAGCGGACTCTCCTCGGCCAGTCGACCGCACGTCGAGCACAGAACCTTGGCGCACTCGAAGTCCGTCGGATCGGTGAGATGGCCTTGGCGGGCGATCTTGTAGGCTGCAACACGTTGCACAACTTTCCAGAAGGCTTCCACATCTCTCCTCCGTACCTTTCTCGAGCATCTCGATTCGCTGCTCCTTCATCGTCTGATAGTTGCTCAGAATGTAGAGGTACTCGGCGTGACGTCTCATCAGGCCACAACGATGCTCCGTCGGAACGTTCTCGACGACAAGATCCTCGACGAGAGCGAGCGCGCGGGCGCACGATCTGGCCGAATAATGACCGGCCGCTCTGTCGATATCGGCGAAATAGCCCTGAAATTGAAATGCGGAAAAGTTCGGGAAAATGGGAAGCGAATCACCTCGAATTCGTCCTCGGTCTCACTAGAATCACTCATTGCGCGCACTTTCCTTTTCCTTGATTTTGCACGAACTGACGGGCGGATGTGATAACGTTTTGGGAGAAACCGGAAAAGGAAAAGGTTTCCGGGGTGCCAGGAACTGCTCAAAGTTCAAGTTCACGGGAAATTATGCATTGTATTGTTGAGCCACATGAAATATTTTGGATTTGAACCGTGTTGTATCAAATCTTTGTGTCTAGTTTCGGTTTTTGTTGACGTTTGACTTTGAGTCACTTGCAAAATTCCAATCGGACTCCAATTTTGTCTGCTTCTAGGGCTTGGATACACTGATTTTACGTGTTTTTTCAGGCTTCTAGCCTACATTTGAATTCATATTTGAATCACCCAAGATACTTCAGCCCAAGTTCAAGAAGCCCGCAAAGTTTTCGTCCAACCCGACTCCGAAGACTACTGTAAATAGCTACAATCGTTTTGAGAGTAGTCACACACACACACACGAAACTTGCTATTATTTGTATTAACTTTTGCTCTTTGAATGCTACATACAGTCGCTTTCACACTTTGCTTTGCTTTTCGCCCCCCCCTTTGCTTGAGAAATTCTGCTCACACAGCTCAAATTCGTCTTTTTCTCCGTCTCTGTCGGTCAGCAAAATGAAGGAAAAGAAGGAAAAGAAGGACGGAAAGCGAAAAAAGAATTGAGTGCGATTTGGGTGCCCACACACACACAACATTTTCGTCGTTTTTTTGTGCATTTTCCCATGTTTCTGGCGTTTTCTATTCAACTTGCCACGTGTCTTCCAAAAAAATTCTTCCCAACTTGGTTATCAATTCGATTGGCGATTAGCCAAAGGGCGCATAATCCCGCCTTTCACAGATTTCTCACAAAATCATGGGGGAAAAAGTTAATCCTCTTACTGCAAAACGACACGATGATTTGGTGGTAGTCGTCGGCCTCTGAATACGATTAGAAGCTTCCGAGGCTTCTGGAAGGCCTGGACTAAACTTTGTAGGCCTTTTTGGACTTGCATTGAAGTATACTGGGCCCAAGACTCAGGCCGATTCTTAGTCCCTTATGGTCAGTGTTGACGTGGGAAACCGAAAATTCCCGGCGAAAAAGTGTTCCGTGCATTCGGCCAAACCTCCTGCAGTTCTCCTCCTCAGCCCCCCTCCCTTCCAAAAATATTTCAAATCATCAGTTGTCTCAATGATCCATCAGGACTAGAGATGATAAGAAGATAGAGTCCCGTCTCGCCATGTGCTCACTTGCAACTTCTTCTCTCTCTCTGCCTTTCTAGAATCCTCTGGCGGCGACCCGTCGTGAACAAAATCACGCTACGTGCAAATCGAGAAACTTGCGCCCCTCTTCTTCTTCTTCTCTCGCGGGGCGGTCTTCAGAAGAGAAGAAGAAGAAGAAGAAGAAGAAGAGAAGGATAGAAAAGGGAGTCGGCCAGTGCCTCTCGTCGCATTCTCCCTCTCTGCTCGCTTGCTCTCTGGACTCTCGGGTCCTCGGGCGCCACACAATTCATGTTTACTGGTTGGCTGCTCGACTCGCGTGAAACATTTGCATCGAATTCTCCTTTTTTTCCGTCGTTTTTGTCAAGCCCAAACTTTCCCCACTTGCAGAACCATGGCTGAAGAGGGTTGTCGCTCGTTGCGCTCGATGGAAACCGACGGTTTCCAAGTGGTCACCGAAGTGGTCACCCACAAACTCAACCATATTCCGATATTCAAGGGAGACTTCGGATCGCTTCCGCCCAAGGTTCAACGCTTCGTCGCCGAGAAGGCCGAGCTGATGAACCCGGCGGGAATCTACATTTGCGATGGGTCGCAGAAGGAATACGATGATATTGTCGATAAACTCGTCGAGCGCGGAGTGCTCACTCCGTTGAGAGCTTATGAGAACTGGTGAGTTGAGAGAGGCACTCGTTTCGAGACCCACCCATTGGATGCAGTCCACACTTGGACACTGCTCACAACTGATGCAAAGTACCCTTTTGACCAAATTTAGACTAATACAACTGCTTTTTAGCCCCTTTTTTAGCTAGAAATGTGTGAAACTTTCCCTCTTTGCACCTCGAATGCCCTTCGCGCTCTCCTCATCTTGATATTCTCGTCGCCTATCCCATTGAACAACCTCCCTTTCTATCCCTTTCACTGCGGGCGGCAAACCAGAGAGCGTTTTCTAGAATCAAAAAACAGAAAAGTGTTTTCATAGACGTGAAGTTCGCCGGCAAACAGGTTCGTGTTTCGGCCAGGCGTTGTTTGTCAATTTGAAGTTTGATGGACGGGCGGGCACACTCTTTTGCAAGACATTTGTGTCGTTTGCAGCTATCTGTGCCGTACGGACCCGCGTGACGTGGCCCGTGTCGAGTCGAAGACATGGATGGTGACGAAGGATAAGTACGATTCGGTGTGTCACACGCCGGAAGGAGTCCGTCCGATCATGGGCCAGTGGATGAGCGAGGAGCAGTTCGGAAAGGACCTCGACGCGCGTTTCCCGGGATGCATGGCCGGCCGTCCGATGTACGTCGTGCCCTACTCGATGGGTCCGATCGGAGGCCCGCTCTCCAAGATCGGAATCGAGCTGACCGACTCGTCGTACGTCGTTCTCTGCATGAAGACCATGACTCGTATGGGTCAGAAGGTCCTCGACGCTCTCGGCGATCAGGATTTCGTCCGATGCATCCATTCGGTCGGACTTCCGCGTCCAGTCAAGCGTAAGCCATCAGAGTATCACAGATCTTTAAAACATTGAAACATTTTCAGAAAAGGTCATCAACCACTGGCCATGCAACCCCGATAAAGTCATGATTGCGCACCGCCCCAAGGAGCGTGAGATCTGGTCGTTCGGATCCGGATACGGAGGAAACTCGATCCTCGGAAAGAAGTGTTTCGCTCTGAGAATCGCGTGTAACATCGGAAGAGATGAGGGATGGCTCGCCGAGCACATGCTTGTAAGCGAGACGAGAATCTGGAAGCGTATATGCTTCTTTACTCTTTCAGATCATGGGCGTCACAAACCCCGAAGGCCAGGAGAAGTTCATCGCGGCGGCGTTCCCATCCGCGTGCGGAAAGACCAACCTCGCGATGCTGACGCCGACGGTGCCCGGCTGGAAGGTCCGTGTCGTCGGAGATGACATCGCGTGGATGAAGTTCGGCGCGGACGGCCGTCTCTACGCCATCAACCCGGAGGCCGGCTTCTTCGGAGTCGCTCCGGGAACGTCGCACAAGACGAACGCGATGGCGATGGAGTCTTTCACCAAGAACTCGATCTTTACGAACGTCGCCGAGACCGCCGACGGCGAGTACTTCTGGGAGGGACTTGAGAAGGAGTTGAAGGAGCGAAAGGGCTACACTGACGAGCAGCTGAAGCAGTTGGAGATCACCAACTGGCTGGGAGACAGATGGCACATTGGAGACGAGGGAAAGGCCGCCCATCCGAACTCCCGGTTCACCGCGCCTGCCTCCCAGTGCCCGATCATCCATCCGGATTGGGAGGCCCCACAGGGTGTCCCCATCGACGCGATCATCTTCGGAGGACGTCGTCCGGAAGGCGTGCCGCTCGTCTTCGAATCCTTCTCCTGGGAGCACGGACTTCTCGTCGGAGCGCTCGTCAAATCCGAGGCGACCGCCGCCGCCGAGCACACCGGAAAGCAAGTGATGCACGATCCGATGGCGATGCGTCCGTTCATGGGCTACAACTTTGGAAAGTATCTCGAGCACTGGATCAAGCTCGGCAAGGCTCCGCACAAGGCGCCCAAGATCTTCCACGTCAACTGGTTCCGCGAGACCAGCGATCACAAGTTCTTGTGGCCAGGATTCGGAGACAACATTCGTGTGCTCGACTGGGTTCTTAAGCGAGTTTCCGGAGAGGAGGACATTGCTGTGAGTGCCAGATTTCGGGGATAATTGGAGAAAAGTGCAAACAATGCAACATTGCAGGTGGAAACGGCGATCGGATACGTGCCAAAGCGCGGCTCGATCAACTTGGACGGCCTCGCACGCATCGACTGGAACGAGCTGATGAGCATTCCGAAGGCGTACTGGGAAGAGGACGTCGACGAGAGCAAACACTTCCTCGAGAGCCAGGTCGGCTCCGATCTCCCGCAGCCGATCCGCGATGAGCTCGATAAGCTCGAGAAGAGAATCCACGCCCTTTAAACCGCTGTACAAACAATTTCTCATCTCTTTTTTTTTCAAATATTTAACAAAAACGTTTCGCTTTTTCACTGTCAGCATCTATTATTTTATTAGAATCGCTAATAAACCTATTTACCCATACACTTTTAATAAAAAACAACAAAAAAAAACAGTGAACAGAGTTTATGAAGTCCAATTTCTAGTCGTATCAATATAGTCTCCGTCGGGAGCCTCGTAGTTTTTGATGGGCGGCGTCAGGGACGGTCCCTGGTAGACGAGGGGAAGATCTCCGTGCGCCGGCTGAACGGCCGCCTCGTATAGCTCCGGAGACAGCTTCTTGAGCTCGGCGAGAGCTTTTCTTTGCGAATCGATCACCGCACGGATCCACGCGTCATCTTGGCGTTGCAGAGCGTCACGGGAACGGGTGTACTCCTGGAAATAAAGATTTTAATGGGAAACTGATGCATTGTGGGGAAGAGTAGTTTATTTTTTATGACAATTGTGATGTTTTTATAAGTTTTCCAGTGGACAATGGTCGAGAATCCGATTGGACCAAAACTTTGCAGGCTTTTTGAACTTGGATTCAAGTGTATCAGTGTAGCAGTATCAGTGAAGTGTTGCAGTTTCAGACCGATCGAAGTGTTTGGTCGGGTTTTTGTGAAAATTGCGGCTCACTTTCAAAACTCACTTTCAGTGCAATGGCTCTTTCGTCGATCAGCTCCACTCCGATTTCCACTGGCGGCCGGCGACGTTCACTGGAAAATTGTTGCGTTTAGCTGTTATTTTAGATTATAATCTCAAAACTAACTGAATATTCTTCGCAGATTTCACGTCGAGCGTCAACTCGTCGACCGGTTTCGGTTTCTTCGAATGTTTCTGCATCTGTCGGATTTCCTTCTCCAATCGCTTTCTTCTGCGCGTTTCACGTTGTTTTGCCACCTAGAAAGGATTATTTTCAACGTTTTTGAATAGAATAGATTGTTTTTATACCTCAGGGTCAATTTTCTTCTGTCTTTTCATGAAAACTGACGAAGCCGCCGGAATGGTCTGATGGATTGGCCGAGTTTGGAGGAGCGAGAGCTTTGCGAAGCTCGACAGCAGACTCATAGCTGCAAAAATCACAAAATGTCCTAGAATTTATTTGTTTTTCAGACAAGAAGAGATGGAAACGCTGGAAACGGCATAAAAAGCCAAGTGACGACACTCCGAAATGACGGCATGGCTCGTAGTTTAGCCTGTCGTCGTCTCTTCGAACCACACACCCTCTCGCCCTGCCGCCTCATTCTCCGAGCACTCTTCGATTTTTTGATCCATTTCTTACCAAAAATGGAGACGATCCAAGAAGATGAAGAGTTTTCGATGGAGACAAAAAGCTCTCCAATTTCAGGTAATCTATTTTTTGAAAATGATTTTCATAATCAAAAAGGTTTTAGAAGAAGAGCTTCACTATTCGGCCGATCAGGACAGCTCGTTCGATCGAATTCATAAAACAAAAATCAGCCGAAAGAAAAAAAAGTTGGTGATTGCAAGAATACAAATGCAGCAGAAGAACCGGAAGAAGACGAAAGAGGAACCGCCGAAATGGATTTGCACGGTCAAAGGTACTGTTTTTTTTTCAAATTATCAGCTTAATGATTGATTTTAGGCTGCAAATGGGGCGGCAGATACCACGCACTTTTCCTCACGCACATCAAAACCTGCCATCCGCAACTCGACACTTCCAAAAATCTGAAACCCTATTCTTCAGTAAGAACTTTCTTCTTCAATCTTTTTTAATTTTATCTTTATTCAGAACACTTCAAATAACCCCAAAACATTCACGGACGCCGGCGATTACTGGCCGCCGCCGTTGGAAAGGAAGAAAGAAGAAGAATTCGTGAAAAAGTGGCACACTGAGTCAAACGTGGACATACTCGGGCAACAAATCGCTATGATTTTATAAGAATTTGTATAACAATTGTCTGTAAATACTCGAAAAATGTGATTTTAGATGTCAATTGAGATTTTAACCTCGTTCTAACTGTGTTCGGCAGCACTAACTGGTATTTTGGGAGAACTGTATACAGCTGTAATTTTTTAATTCAAATAAATTTACAGCAGATTCTTTAAAAAATATTAAAGACTCAATCTCCACAAACACTCACTTTTTCAGACATTTTCACAACATTTTCTGCGTGAAAGGCACTGAAAGCGAGCGCAACGTTTAAAGGCGCATCGCGTTTGTGTGCCTGCGGGTCTCGCAACGCTCGTCCTCAACGACACTCCATGTGCCTAAAAGTATCGCTGTTTATCGAAATTCTGTCTCCGTCTCTCCGTTTCGCATTGTCTCTCGTCGCCGCTTTCAAAATAACATTTTTAAGAGGACACACTGCTCAAGGAAATACCCGGAACATGGAAGAAGAGGAGATTGACGTGGTGAATTATGAACCAGACGCGTTAAGGGCCGCTGCAAACAACGAAATCGACACGGAAATTCCGTTTCAATGCCCGCATTGCAATTGGGTCGGTCGTTCGGCTCGCAGTTTGAGCGGTCATCGACGTCAGAAACATCCTAACAGACAAGAAGAGAGTTTCAAACGTCCCAAAGTAGGTGAAGCATCTGAAAGTCCTATAAAAATCGATAAATTTCGCACACTGCAATAAAAACACTCAGGGCCGTCCACGAAAACCAATTTCAACAATCGATGAGGAACACTTGGGGCCTCAAGATGACGGAACCGGTGGCTACCAACCACAGATTCCTCAGCAGAGAGTGACGACAAAAGAACTGTTGGGGGGACGGAAAAGGCCGAAAACTGTTGTGGAAAACCCGGATGAATCGGCTTTGAGTGAGATTTTTTGCAATAAGAGCCTAAAAACTTGTTCATTTTACTCCAGGAACCGACCGAGAAGCGTCTCGACTTCACCAAATGGGCATGATCGATGAGGAGATGCCAGTGGGAGAGTACGTCGCAAAACGAACGAACGGAGCTTTTGCGGTGGAGACGCACGTGGATGACGAAGGTGCCTCAATAATTGTGGGCGACGAAATCGAAATAGACGGAGAAGTGACTGTGGGCGGCGAGATTGTCAACGATGGTGATCAAATTCCATTGGAAAATCGACCGTATAAGGTAAATCAACTGATTTTCTTGTGCAAACTTTCAGTTTTCAGCCCTATTATCCTCGCACAGTCGCCAGAAACAATGTGAAAAAGGGGAAATACAATCAAGCGGGCACCCTTCCCGCCCGTCTTGTCACTTCGGATCCGGAAGGAAAATACAAATGTTACATCAAAGATTGCAACTGGCAAGGAAACTATCGATCCCTACGAATGGAACACATGAAAGCAGTGCATCCGTCATGGAAAATGCCGCCGCGATTCCTGCTGGAGCGCATCTCGAAGCACGGCGAGTACATTGATCCCGAGAAGTGGAAACCTGAAATACCGTGTCTTGTGGAGGGCTGCGAATGGAGAGGCAACTATCGCGCGTCGAGATCGGCGCACATGCGGAAAGTGCATCCGGAAGAGCACGCAGCGAAGAAGAAGAAGCAGCCGGGGTACGACTGCAACGGCACTTACATGTGCCACTATCCAATGTGCACCTGGCGAGGATGGTCTAGATCTACGAGATCCATGCATATCAAGAAAGTTCATCCCGAATGGAGACCCGATGATATGAGGACTACGGCAAGTGGTTTGATGTAGATATCGGTAACAAAATTGTTAATTTTTAGGTGCTTTTAACGTGTTTCTACTGCAAAAACTCGCTTCCGTCGTATCCTCAACTCGAAGGTCACATTGATCAAGATCACGGCGGACTGGGATTGGAGGTGCATGAGGAGTTCCTGAGCAAAGAAGAGTTCGGGGTGAGTCTCCACTTTCAGACCTTTCTATTCATTTATCCTATTCAGCTGTGGCTTCAACGTGTCGAACGCAGCTTCTCGATCAGTTTCGAGCGATCCGATCCAATTTCACAAGCTCAAGATGTCGTGGTATCGAAATTTGTTTGAAACAAATGCTGCTAAACTTCGAATTTCAGCACTACACTCTGCACTGTAATTGCGTGGGCGAACGAGGAGTTCAATTGGCCTCAGACACTAGGTATTTTTCCGTTGGTCGTGCTTAAAATTTGAAATTTCGTCATTTCAGATCTTACATCTATGAAAAACACAATTTTCTGAAACGACGCAATCAACAATATCTGACCCGCAGCAAAAGTGACTGTTCGGCGCATTTGGAAGTAAGCGAGCACGTGCGATACACGCAGATTATCGTGAAAGGAACACTCGAACACACTGGCCACCGATTCGGAACTCCTCTTCTCAGATTTTGTAAGTTCCGTGCAAATTTTGAATAAAATCAGTGTTTTTAGCACACACGGAGCGTCAATTGTACGGAGACATACTCATTTGGGAGCGAGAGGATCGGGATTTCAAGTTGAGCGCCCTGGAAATGGTGGAACGGCTCAATAAGTACGAAGGATTCACGATGGAAGGTTACGGACCGCCCACTGAACTTCGCATGATAACTCCGCTCCACGACGACCCGCTGATCTCGCTCCGAATGATAATCGAACAGTCCGATCTGTCGTGCTTCTTCGGAATCGATTATTCTCGTTTCGAGCACCGCGACATTGCTTTCGGCTACATGTCACCGGAAATGCAGAGGAATTGGGAGAGATACGGACCCGAGAGGGTTGCCATTATTGATAGAGTAGGATTTTGGGATGAGTATTCTTTTTTTGAGTATCCAACTTGCAGTCAGCTATCGATTTCGACACTTGCGAGCTGTTCGTCTACTCGGTGATGGTCACCGACGACAACTTCATTCCGAAGTGCTGCCTCATTTACGTGACGACGTTCGAGCAGAATGCCTGTGAAATTGTACTCGAACAACTCAAATCTATGTGAGTTTTCCTCTCGGGAACTTCTTCATTCATCACTTTTGTTGTAGTGATTCTCGTGGACCTCGTGAGCTGATGGTCGATCCTTCGGAAGTGTGGGTTCATGCGGCTGAAAAGATTTGGTCGCCCGAAGAAACGGCGGTGCTCATCACCGAATGGAGTCTGATCGACTACTGGGCCTCCAAGACGGAACAACTCGTTCCCAATGAGTTCGACGTCTTTTCGATCGTCTCGGCGCTCCGTCGGATGGTCCGTTCCGAAGACATCCACATCTTCCTCTTCTACGTCATTGAAATGTTCGAAACGCTCTTCGAATGCGGCTACGAAGATCTGGCCGATTTCTTCGATTGCCAGTTGTCAGACATTGACTTTTTCAAGAGATGGAGTCCGTTCCACCGAAGTGCTCTCGCCACCCACGCACATCCTACTCTGGGCGTCGCTTCCCGTAATCTCAGAGAAGCGTATCTCGGAAACGACCGAATCGACCGCCCGGATTTGTGGTTTGCCCACGCGACCATGAGAGTTTCCGACTATAATTCGGTAGAAGCGACTCAAACCTACACATTGAGGCCTGTAGAAGATCCGAAAAAGTTTTGCTACAACACGATTGACGTGTCAGAATTCCACAAAGAAGTTCACGAGCAGGACGCCGAAACGGTGCTGATGTACGAGGAAGAAGTGCAAATGGAGGAGTTTGTGGAAGGAGACGTCGTGGAGGAAGAGGTGATTGGACACGAACTGACGGACGAGGCCGGCCGGCATATAATGTACGAGAATGTGATGATGAAGGACGGACAGACTCTCCTGCGACGGACCCTTCCGCCCATCAGGCAGCTCAATCAAATGCCGCCGAATCCGCAGATGAGAATGTACGAGAAGGAAGCGGAAGAAATACAGCTGGAAGAGGAAATAATTCACATGGAGGACATGGAAGTTGTGGAGCATTTGGAGCAAGAGGAGGATCCGGACGAGCCCGGCTGCTCCTCCTCTCTAGTCCAGCACTCGCAGAATTCCGGACTTCCTCGTCATCTTGCGGATATGCTCGACAAACACGAGTCTGTGGACATGGACGATTCGCCTTCGCCACCGCTGAGACGCTCAAAGCGTGACACGACGAAGTCGGTGATCCGTGGAGGTCGGAAAAAGAAGGATCGGTTCGCGGACCTCAGAGACTGTCCGCCGGAGGTGATGCGCGCTATAGCTGCGCACGCGATCGCCTACGATGGACGCAAAAAAGAGCAGCAACCGTTCATGTTGGTGCCTTCCCTGGCCGAGATGGCTCAATCGGCGACGCCAACCGTCCCCACTCCGGATTTGAGCGAATACAATTCGATGTCGGCGCGCAGGTTCACACCGCAACAATCGGAACACGCGAGGAAACTGCAGAGGGCGGCGATGGAGAGAAGATTGGACCGAAGACGGCAGGAGGAAGAGGAAGAACAGCTCGAAATGGAACAGGTAAGAGCATTTCAGCGGGAGTAATAGAAATTCTGTACTTTATAGGGACAGTCGACCTCCTCGAGCATGCATCATCACCACCACGGATACGTTGACGAGGAGGAAGAAGAAATTCCAATCGACGAAATGGAAGATGATCAGCAGCCGTGCTCCTCTTCTTCGCTCTACCGTTAATTTTCATAATTCACTTGTAATCTTACCTTTTATTATTACCTGATCTCTTTCCCTTCGCACATTGTCAATTTATAAATCGTGTATCGTTATTGGCGCTCGGTTTTCGCTTTAAGCGAGTTTTACCGACTCTTCGATATCCTTTTTCTTTTCTCTCATCTTCTGGATATCCTAACATTTTCAGACAAAAATGGCGGCCTCAGTTCCGGCAGATCTTCGTAATCTACGCGCGTGCCTTCTGTGCTCGCTCATCAAATCCGTCGACAATTTCGTGAAAGAGGGCTGCGAGAACTGTCAGGAGCTTCATTTGAAAGGCGACGAGGAGAAGGTTTACGATTGCACCAGGTGAGGGGAATTGATAATACATATTGGCAATTTTTTAATTCCCATTTCAGTGCGAACTACGACGGAATGATCTCGGCGATGAGCAACGACGAGTCGTGGGTGTGCAAATGGCAGAAGATGACGCGGAAAGTGAAGGGAATGTACGCGATCAGCGTGTCGGGAAGCCTGCCGAGCAACGTGGTCAGCGACCTCAAAAGCATGGGAATCCGATACAAGCCCAGCCAGCGAGACTACTCGATTCAGGCGAAAAAGTAACCGATCTCAGCTAAGTAACTTATTTCATGTTATTTTTATTCGGTTTTTGATCATCATCTTGAATTATATATAATACACACATTTGAAACACATATTTTGGTCGGGTTATTGCAAATTTGAGCACCAATTTGGTCGGGTTTACGGCAGAAACAAAAAGTAGGGGGGAAGAAATGAGAAAATGCAAAGGAAAAAGCAAGGGTCAGGCAGTGGTGTAAAGCTGAAAAAGGGGCGGCCTAAACTGGGGAGGGAATATCTATAGCGTCATCTTCTCAAGAATCGGAATAATCTGGTCAAAGTTCGGACGTCTTCCGGGGTCCTCGTTCATGCAAATGTTCATCAGGCGGTTCATGTTCCGCGCGATACCCGGCGGGATTTGAACTCGGAGGCCTTCCAGCGCGATCTGAAATTCACTTTTTCCATTTTTGAAGGATCAAGAGTGCAGCTCACCTTCATTCCGCACTCCATGGGCGCGAGATCGGCGAACGGCACCTCGCGAGTGTTCAATTCCCACAGCAAAACGGCGAACGACCACATATCGGCGGCGCGGATGTTCAGGTTGTCGGGCGCGCGCGTGAGTGCTTCTGGAGACATCCACGCCGGCGAATACGCCTTTCCGACCTCCTGGAACGAGAACTTCGTGTCGGCCATCGACAGTTTCGCCGTCAGTTCTTCGTCGACGACGACATGCTTCGAGGAGAGGTAGAACCTGAGGATCATCGGATCCAGACTGTGCAGATAGCTCATGCCACGCGCAATGTCCAACGCGAACCGCACCGCCTGACTGTGGTCGATGACGACAGCTGAAACAAAGAATAACACACAGAATTGGCGAGGGAACGACGTACAGCTCTGCTCGTGGAGCACGTTATAAAGGCTTCCGAATGGCATGTACTGCGAGATGACGACGAGGTTCGGCGGCTGATTGGCTGCGGCCAACACTGCGCAGATGTTCGGATGCGCGAAGATTCTGAAGAGTTGAAAAAGTGTTGAGGAGGAATATGAGGATTACCTACCTGAGAGCTGGGAATTCGGTCTGGAAGTCTCTGGAAATACGGGCGGTAACCTCCTGAACATTGAGGATTCTGGCGACAATGTCGTTTCCTTGCCACTTTCCACGCCACAACTCTCCCGAGTGCGATTCGGCGATCTGCATATTCTCATTGAGTTCAAAAGCGCATTCAAAAGGACGCATTTAGGCGCCCGTAGAGATTAAAGTGTGCAAAATTTTTTGAAGAGCAATTTTTCGATATCTTTTCAGGAAGCTTAGATCGTACAGTTTTTACGTTGAAGATTTTCTAAAAAAAAATACCTTGGTGATGAGATTCAGCGACGAGACATCGACTCCAGTGTATCTGGAGAGTGTGGCATCACGAGTACGCGATTTCGTTCCCTTCCACGTCGTGTCCTTGAATGGAACTCTGTCATTCGGCGCCTGACCGTTCTCGTGAGCGATTTCTGAATTGCACCGCTTATTCATATGCTCATTTCTCATTTCCTTTCCTACCCAAAACGATGTTCTTGCACTGTGGCTGGCAGACGTCCAACGGCGTCTGCCCCTTTTTGTTGCACACATTCACGAGCGCTCCGTACTGAATGAGATCCTCGGCGATCTGCTCGTAACCCCAGAAGCACGCGTAGTGCAGCGGCGTCATTCCGTGCTCGTTCGTCGCGTTCACATCGGCTTTCCTCGAGAGCAGCTTCACGACGACCTGTCTGTGACCGTGCGCGGCGGCCAGATGGAGGCTCGTGTCGTCGCCCATGTTGGTCGAGTTTACGCGGGCGCCACGCGACAGAAGCATCTCGGCGATCGACACGTGGCCCTCTTTGGCGGCCCAGTGGAGCAGCGAGAATGCGTGATCGTCGCCGACATTCAGGTCGTGCTCATGGTCGTCCAGCCAGACACGCACCTACAAATTGGAACGGTTCGGATGAGAATGCACTAGCTGTATTTAGAAAGTGCTTCACTAGGTATTTAGTTATGGATCGAAACATTTCAACGAAGATTTTTTTTAGATTTTTAGATTCTCTAATAGTAAGCATTGTTCATCCGAAAAAAAACCGACTTGGAAAGCGTTTCCCTCTCTGACCCATCCGAAGACGTCCTCCATTATAATGGGCACATTTGGCTTGTGCGCGTGGTAATGAGTGGACAACGACATCTTTTTCTGCAACAAATTACCTATTTTCACTCAAATTTCAACTCGTCCACTCACTTTTCCTTGTTCGTCGTCTTCCTCAAACTCGTTGATTACCCTTTCTCGCCGCTGATGGTTAACCTTGAATAAAAAGCAGACTTGCCAGATTTCGGGCCGGCCATGCGGGCCGGGCCGGGCCGGGCCGGGTCGGTGAAGTGCCGGCCCGGCCCGGCCCGGTCGGCCCGGTTCAAAAAGGCGGGAATTCAAATTTTCGCGGAAATTTTTTTTTCGTTATTACAAAAAAAATTTTCGAACTAAAGTTTTAGTGTTTCTTCTTTGTTTTTTTGCTATTATGAATTTTTTATGAGAAATACATTTGTTTTTAAATGTTCGATGCTTGCAAAAATCCCCTAATTCTACAAAAAATGGCTTCATGCGATCAATAATTCAAATTTTGAATTCCCGCTTTTTGAACCGGGCCGACCGGGCCGGGCCGGGCCGGGCCGGAGTTTTGGAAATTTCGGCCCGGCCCGGCCCGGCCCGGCCCGTGGCAACTATGAAAAAAAGAACATAAAAAATCGATAAGTTGAAAAAGTTGCAAAAGCCGAACAAAGACAACGAAAAAGTATGTATTTCGGATGCAGGAAAGAATAAAAGCACGAGAGCGATGGAGAGAAAGAGAGAAAGAGAAGAAAAGGGGTCAACAGAGACACACATAGACACTTGTTATACGGACGGACGGACGGACGGACGGACAGAGGGCGAGGGGGAAGGGAGCTAGTACGTATGAATGTGTGTGTGTACTGAGCGGACAGACCGCCGAGGGCACGCGGAAAGCCGCCAACAAGTACTGATGAGAAAGAGGAGGAAAGCGAGGCATTTTAACGATGACATCGAATGTCTATTTTGGAAGAGAAATCGACGAGGAAACATGGGCTTTTCATGGACAGACAACAAGAAGAAAAAGAAGAAGAAGTTGCACTGAATATGAACTGCAGACAAACAAGAAACGAGAGTTTCGCTCGAAATAATACAGAACATGATGACCCAAAAGAGCTTGGAAAAGTTGTCTGACTCACGCTTGATTCATGATGAACTTTACACGAACAAGTGTCTCACAGGATCCTCCAGGAGAGCACCTCAACCCTAATATTCGATAGAAAAGTTTGAGAATGAAGGCAACATATTAGACTCACTTTCATGACTTCACTAGACTAGACTTAGCTGAGTTTCACCAAAACAAAGCAGACCTATTGTTATTCTCAAAATTAGTTTCAAAATTGGATTTGTTTCAAGTTTCAAAGTGCTCAGTTTTACTGGCTACCGACTCAATTACATTCTCGATACGGAGCGTTCAATGTGCAGTTGGCATGGTGCCAGCTGACGTTCTGGTTCGTTTTAGACAAAGTTACACATTTATTGTACAAAAATGAAAACATACATGCCACGTCATACACCCAAAAAAAGAGGAAAACAAAAACAAGAGATTGATGCTATCATCATCTTCATCATCATCATTCTATCACCTTCACAAGACGTGAGGGGGCGAGGAACTTCGGACAGAAGAGAGAAAAAGAGAGAGAGAGAGAGAGAGAGAGAGAGAGAGATCAGTGATATCCTGGCCCCGCAGAAAGGCAATATCAGCTCGAGAGAGAGAGTGAAAAGCGGGAAGATGCCGTGGGTGGGCGCGGGAAGCGACGAGATTCTTGCCGTCTGCTGCCATCCGTCAGGCACTGATCATCCGCAAAGAGAGTGGGAAATCAAAGAGACGCAGGCACGTGGAGACCTGCGAGAGAGTGCGTGAATCGAAGAGACACAGACACGGCGGCGAGGTGTTGTAACAATGCGAATGGCCGAGAGGCAGAAGCTCCCGTTTCGCCTGCTCCAATCGTTCTGTTCTGATGGGAAAGTGGCGAGAAATGGGTGCACGTTGAGCAGAAAGGAAGGGACTTACAGTGCTACAGTAGTCCTTATCTTTATAGACAAAAACAGTACCTAATGGTCTTCAAAACAAACTCCCATCATCTCCTCTTTCAATTGTATCATGCGTGATCATAAAAGGAAAGGCAGCAAAAACAGAAAGAGAAGGAGAGAGAGAGAAAAGGGAGAGAAAGACAGTGTCGGCAGTGGGGTGATAAGGCTACAATATAGACACCCTTCCACTGTTTCATTCTTCACTGTTCTGCCCCCACCACTGTTTGCAGTTTCTCTAGTTTTCGATTCTTTTAGATGAAGAGCACGGAAAACGTAGCGAGTTGGAAAGTTTAAGCTAGTGCCCTTGCATGAGGATTCCGAATCAGTGTCAATTTTTAACGGAGGGGTTTCACGAAACTCAAAATTTCCATAAAATTTTTGTTGGAATGTGTTCCGCCACTCTATATTAGTACGCTCTTAATTTTTTGTTCGAAAATTTTCGGTACATTCCGAGTAATAGCCCTTCAAAGTTTCCCTGTTTTCTCGAGGTCGGCGGCTTGCAGGGGGCGTGGCCTCGCTTGCAAGTTTGCCGCACGTGTTTCTCTGCTGTTTTTGGCGCCAGCGAAATTCAGTGAGATTTTGGAGTTTCAGTTCGGTTTTTCCCGTCTTTCGATGATTTGTTCTGTGTTTAACAGGTAATTTGAGGTAGAAATAGGTTTTAGAAGTTGTTTATTGTGCTAACATCTTGTTATTTCCAGAAAAACTGCCAACGGAACCAGAAAAACTTAATCAATAGACAAATAAGCAGAAAAAAGAACTCGAAGCACCGGTTTTCCGTGAAAAATCGATTCGGTCGACTAGAAATTGAAAAGAGAATATAGATGTTCTGCAAAAAATGGATTTCGAAAGTGAAAACATGAAATTCCGATTGATTTTTCACGGGAAAGTGAGTATTCCCATTAGTCATCGCTGAAAATTTTCCGCTAACTTTCCCGGCAGTTTAAGGACCTGTAAAAAACTTCGGCGACTTGGGGGTCCAAATCTGATATCAAAAACTGCTTCCCCATCCCTTAAACTGTCGGAATGACATAAAAATAGGCGCGTGTTGCCATAAACCTGGCCACAGTTAGGTTAAAAAATGCATTAACTTTCAACTGCAAAGGCTTCGACGCTTGCTCGAGATTTCCATCAACTGCTCATTGAGCTACTTTAAAGAGAATTGTGAGATTGGACCTTGGAACCTGTAAACTGTGAGATAAGACCTTGGAACCTGTAAACAGTTGACGCAAACTCACATCCGTTTTCCCCTTTCTTCTCGTTCTCCGATTTCCGTGAAACTTCTCTTCTTCACCGCCTCTTTTTTATCGCATAAATTTCGTTATCGCAAACTTCTTGTCTTTCTCATTCGCATTTGAAAATTGCAGACTCTGCACACACACACACATAATGATTCCCTCCACCTCGACCGACATTCCCCTCACCGATCATGTTGTTCCGGTGCGTTTAATTCGAATTCTAATCACTCAACAGTTCTTTTGTTCTCAATAAAAACTTTCAGGACCTGGTTGTGCATTCGGACTACGAAGACGCGGTGTCGAGTGGAGAAGAGCTCACGAAGCTGTGCTCTTCGCTCAAAAACCATTTGGTTTCGTCGTCGAAAATGCGACGAGAGAAGACCGTTTCTAAGATTCTGAGCAACCGCGAAAGGATGGCGCAGTACAACCGCGAGTCGAGCAGCGAGCACTCGAGTTTGGAGAAACTTCGTTAGTTTAGAGGAAACAAACTGAAACAGAGGAGACTTTTGGTTGATGCACAATAGTTGAAACTGGATAGGACCTTCCGATATCAAAGAAAGTAGGAGACTGTTACCCTAGTTTGTATTGAAAGCGACAAGATACTTCAAAGAAATGCATTTTAATACCTAAACATCCATGAATTCCCTATTGTTTTTATTTCAGAACCCGGAGAAATGCGTAGCCGCCGGAGTACGGGACTTCCGAAGCGAAGAACCAACTCTGACAGCGATCATAGCAGCGATTGGAAGGTGCTGAACTTGGCGGTAAGCTCGAGAAGTTCACAATAGCTCATAACTTTTCCCATTCATTTCAGTTCCAAGAAATGGCTCACTATCCTCTTTTAATGCAGCTCAATGAGCAGCTGATGGAAATATCGAGGCAATTAAACAGTGTGGAAGCCACGAATGCTTTGCAGTTGAAAGTTATTATGCATTTGTTGAATAGGGTATCCAAGGTAACATATTTTGAAATTGTTTGATACCCTCAAGCCTTCTGTGATTACAGCGTCGAACATCGTGGTTCCAGTCGGTCTGCCAGTTCCTCCGAAACTTTCAATTCTTCATTTTCGCCTTCTCCTGGCCGTTCATAGCCCGTCTAATCTATATGTGGTACCTGAGAATGATCAGAGCTCGGTGAACACTTTTGTAAACTGTTTCATATTTTATTCATAAACCTTATCACTTTTTATACAGACAAAAAAGAAAGAAATGGCGGAGATTTGAGATCAAATCAAACTTTCGGAATGGAAGATCTGACGTTTCCGATGGTCGAGAACTGCTGCGCGAGGTGGACGAGCTCGGTTTCGGTCAAGAATCCGTCTAGGTTCTTGTCGAGCATCGCGAAGATCTGCTCGACATCCGATTTGGTCACCTGGGATCAGGTTATGGCTTAGGAAAAGTTAGTGCCCGCTTACCTTGTTGGTGGCAGTCTTCTGCGAGAAGGCGTACAACTCCAACTGGTCCAATCGGTTATCGCCGTTCGCGTCAATGAAAGACAGCAGCTGCATCGCCTGATTTCTCTGCTCGTCGGCCGGAGTCAACGGCTTCTGCCCTCCGCTCAGATGCGATTTAAATTCTGCGTACGTCAACTGTCCGTCTCTGTTCACATCGGCAATCGAGAGAATCCCGTCGATGATTCGGTCATTATTCTCTTTTCGGATCTTCTCCACCTCTGCCTTGTCGACGAGCCCGTCGTCGTTCAGATCCATTTTCTTGAAGAATTCGTAGTCGAGGTCGACCGGACGGCGCGACATCTCGTAGACGAGCGGTACGAATTCAGAGATGTCCAGGTGACCGTTGCGATCGAGGTCGAAGCGGTGGAAGTATTCTGCAAGTGAAAGTTTCCATTTCATTACATCACACACTTCATCTGATGACATGGAATGAGAAATGAGTCATTTAATTGCAATGGTAGCTTCGCGGTTAGGTACGAACAAAGCGTTGAACATCAAAGATCTAGTAGAGAGAATACCGTACACTCAAATCGATGTATCTTAGCTACCTGCAGAGACATCAAAGAGTGATCAATCGATAAAATGTACACAAATTCCTAGTAAACACTTTATCAGTTGGCACCGTTTTGATATCTTTTCAAGTAGCTGAGATGTATCCTCTTGAAGCTCACCTTGTCCGTCGGGCCTTCCTCTCTTCCTCATAAAAGTGATCAACTCCTTCTCCGACAGCTTTCCATCATTGTTCGCATCGACCAGATCGAATGAATCTGAAAATGAATCGAAGAAGTGGATTACTGTACCGCATGAAGAAAACTGACCGTTTTGAGCGAAAACAACGCTAGTTCCGAGGAGAACCGCGCAGGCGGCGTAAACGGCACTTGGTCGCATCACCATCGTCACTGAAAGGTGTCTTCTTGTGTACAATCGCCGCACAGCTTCTTCTTCTTCTTCTGCCAACACAAATTTTCTGTCTTTTCTCTGCGCGACGGCCTCCGATGCTTTATCGACAAAACCGAAAGTTTGTAAGCGGCGAAGAAGCGGGCCGAGTGAAGAGACGCGGGCCGAAACGAGAACGGGTTTCGGCACGATGAAGCTTGTTTTGGGGGGAGAAGGGGGTGACGCAATCAAGATTACGCAACTGAAAGAGGCGGAGAATCGGCGGGGATTAATGAGAAGAAGCAAGAGGCAGAAAGGAGGAGTGTTGTTACTTTATGATGGCAGGTGAAACTGTATTGCGGTCGGTTAGTCATTCTAGTCACAGTTGATGGTGGCTGGAAATGATGAGTGAGACTACTGGTTCAAAGACGCTTTTTTGTAGTGCTGATGAGAAGTGGGGTTCGGGGAGGCGGCTGGTTGAGTGAGTTTCTGGAGAACGATTTATAACTTAAAAACTGAATGCCGCCACGGTCTCCAGAGCTTACAATGGGCGCAAGTGCGCCCCGCCCAATAGAGCGATACATTGGCGCGAAATTCAAATTTTACAGCAAAACTAGTGTTTTTTGCCAGATAAGCCACGAAAACCCGATAATTTCTCATTTGTCTCTCGATAGACCGATTGTATAAGCTATTTCGACTTTTTTAAGTTCAAGAGCGTTAAATTTGGTCAAGTCGCAAATCACACTTATCCGTTTGAAGGTTTTTGGCTAAAACTGCGTGAATTTCAGTTGCTTTTCGGTAGTTTTCGCGGTTCGAGCGCTCAAAATGCTTGTATTTACGTGATTTATCATTCTCAAAATTAATTCTGTCTGAAAACGGTCAAGAAAGCGCAAAATGAGAAGTGCGCTTTTTAGGCGGCGATCGGCGGCGAAGGCGAAAAAGCAAAATCCGCGAAAAATGCGCCAAAACGTCATTAATTCTGCGAATTAGTGTGTTTTCATGTCGAACAATCATTTTTCATCGCCTTTGACCACAAAAATCAGAGAAAACTTGCTCGCCATTTGGCCGCCGTGGCCACGCCCATATTGTCAGCTCTGGAGACCGTGTGCCGTCATTCATTTGAATGTATCTCAGCTGCGGGTGAAAATATAAAAAAGTGGTCAACTGCTAAAATGTACAAAATGTCCTAATGAACAATTTGTTAGTTGACATCTTTTTGACATCTCCATCGACAGCTGAGCTATATTTCGTTGACTGAATGATTACGTGTACGGTGCCTCTCTACTACAGTTTTTACGGTACCTCTTCCTGCATTATGACACTTGACACTTTAGTACTTGAAACTCAATTGTTTCAGGTGGAACATCCATCGTTGGCTAGTGATGTTAGTGGAATCTTCTGTGAAAACTACACTGCTCCGGTGGATCCCATCGATCTGTACTTGGAAGCTGCCTCTAGCTGTTGTGTCAGTCAAAATCATTTCGAAATGTCCACTGAAACCTCCGAATTCCGTTTTCCTTTTCGTCATCTCTTCTCCGCATAAAAAGCCGTCGTAAAACTGTGCCGCCTCATGTGTGTTCATGCCAATTCTCACAAAAACCGATTTGCATTTGTCTCGTCGACCGGATTTTGAACGAAATGAAGGTAATCATGGGGGACTGGGAAACAAACACTTGCATGTACATAGCTATTGTAAAAACTGTGATAGAACGGGGACGATATATCTCAGCTGCCGGTGGAGATATCGAAAAGTTGTCAACTAACAAATTGCTCATTAAGATATTTTGTACATTTAATCAGTTGAATATTTTTTTATTTCTCCGCAGACAGCTAAGATATATTGATCGGCATGGCCATGTTGTCAACCGCCTCTAGTTTGTGACATTGCACTGATAACCCCCCGATGACCATTCCATTTCTCCTCCGAAACACTGCTGCGCCGGTCCATAGAATGCCCCCCTCCTCTTCATTCATTCGCCTATCCTTTTCTTATCACTTTTCACCCGAAAAAAAGCGGAGCGGCGAAAGAGGCACGAAAAGAAGCGGAGACGACGGAGAAGCGAGAGGGAAACCCGAGATGGAGAAGAAGAAGAAGACGTTATCAGCTCCACTACTCTGTTGCGCGCACTGCTGCCTCGATCGGCACTGTGTTGATCACACCACCACCACCAAACATTTTGTTTTATTTTCATTTCCCAGTTTTGGAAGTGAGCTGCACGCACGAATTGTGATGAAATAGAGGGGGATTTCGATCGATAACATGCCCGCTGCAGGTACGATTAGGGGATCCGGGAAATGTGTACTTTTAGTTCCCACCCCAAGAAACCTGAAGTGAACTTTCAAGGAACCCCTTATTTATGAACATGATAATATGATTCAAAACAATGGCCTAGGAAACCAAACAGTGAAAGCTAGTCCACCGCCTGCCTACTTGCAGCCTCTCCCTCCTCGACCAGATGTCTGATCTGTGAAGCGCAGGCTACCGGATTCCACTTTGAAGCCCAATCCTGCTCAGCCTGCGCCGCATTCTTCAGACGAACCGTAGCACTCACCAAACAGTTCACCTGCATCACCGGAAGAGACGATTGTCATGTTCATTACAGTTAGTACCGTCTTCCGAATGAAAGTTAGGTGACGGCCATTCATTTCCAGGCATGCATCAGATTTGCCGAAGTTGTCGACACCGAAAATGTCTGGATAGCGGCATGAAGCCGGCTGGAGTCCAACCGAAAAAAGGCGGAGTGGAGACGGGACGCGCGTTCTTCACCAAATCGGGTCTCAAACGCAACAAGAAGTTCTCTACAGTATCGCCGATTACGGATGCCGAGCAGAAGCTGGTGGTGGCGACGAAAGTGCCGAAGATTGAAGTGCTCGAGGCGAATGTTGAGTGGGGGCCGGGAAAAGAAGACGTGGAGGAGGAGGAGATCAGTGAGATTCTGGTGAGTCTGGCAAGACTTGTGTCAATCTATGTATAGAGAGTGGCCCGTTTCAGAGACCGTCGGCCCGTAAGATCTCCTTTCCCACCAGCTACCGTTCGAACGCTCCGAGCGTTGCCACAACTCCTTCGCCGATAGGTCCGTTGGGCGGATTCAGTACCCCGATGAGCCAACTGAGCCCGCACAGAGCTACAATATCACAAGAGCCCAAAAGTGCTCCGGACGCGTTGGCCATATTGATTCGAGAGGAAATGAAATTGGGAGAACGGAGAAGGCTTCTGTTCAGTGATGCGAGTGTCAAACTGCTATTGGGGTTGAACAAGAACTGTGTTGGTTTTTGATTTTGAACGAACTGATCAATAGTTGTGCAATTTCAGCCCTACAGTCCCGGAGACATCAAACCGCTCGTGTTCAACGACTACCGTCTCACCATAAAAACGCACATAATGCTCGTCTACGAGTGGCTTCAAGCGTGGCCAGAACTGCAAGAACTCGAAGAGCAGGAGAAAGTGTCTTTGCTCCGGAAGGTCGTCCTCATCCACTTCCTCCTCGATCCCTCCTTCCTCACCTATCAAATCGGGGACCCGGACAAGTTGATTATGCAGAACGGAGGATACATTTCAACGTCCGATTATCAAGGAGTCGGCTGGGAAGACGAGGAGGACATTAGTGGCGAGAACAAGAGGAAATACTATGTGCCGATTATGAAACAGATTATTGAGGAGATTATGCCTTCGATGCAGGCCATGAAAATCACTTTCGAGGAGTTTGTGGCGTTGAAGGCTTTGGCCAGCTTTCAGGGAGGTTAGTTCGGGCAATATTCTCTCTCAGCTGCCTGAAGAGATATCAAGAAATTGTGTACGTTTCACGTTTCGACTGCCAACTTTTCAGGCTTCGAAAATGTGTCAGAAGCGAAACGTCCGTTCATAACCCAACAAGTCAACCGAATCCTGGGCTCTCTTCACAAATATTACCTGGACAACAACATGGACTTTAGGCCGGAGCGCTTCGGAACCATCGTCCTCATGCTCGGCAACATCTTCGTCAGTTTCCGACCCTCCACCACCAATCTTAAGAACTACTCTTATTTTCAGACGGCCGGCAACGATTTCGTGCAGAATCACCGTGAAATCGACATATTCCACATTTGGGATTTCACAAAACTCGGCAAAGAGCTCATCAATTTCGACAGTAACATGGAGCAAGAAGCGAGAGAGGAACAGCAAGCGAAACGGAACAACAGCAACAGATCATGATGATGGTGATATTGTCGGAGATTGAAGTCTGCGTGCTTGCCTGAAAATAAAATAATATGATTCCGTTTGTACAGTAACCCCACGTCTCATTCGGCGAATTTGATGTATGATCATACGAAAAAGACCTCAATTTCCTCTGAAAACTGACGCTCAACTACACATTTGGCCAACTTCTGCGTTTCCCCGTAAAAGAAGGATTACTATAGACGGTGTCGGGAGTGTCTGCGTCTCGCGTCTAACTTCTCAAATCTGAAATCCCTCAAATCAGCGTGATAATCAAAAAACAAAAAGGACAATGACTTTCTCAAATTTTTGTAAGCACTACATAGTTTGGGTATAAAGATGAAGTGCAATCGGTGGATTTTCAAGAAAAATGAGAATAGCACTTGCGTTTCTACTATTCGTTCTGGCTGCTGTGACTGTGGAAAGCGTGGGAGTGGAGCAGAAGAGCGCACCGCCGAGCACCGCCGCCGCCGCCGTCAACCCGAACTTTGGACACGCCAACTCGGCACTTTGGAAGAACAAGGGGTGAGTGGAAGCTCCGATGAAATGGAATCAAAATGTTCAGAAAGCAACGTGAAAAGCGTTACGGTGGCTACTATGGCGGTTACGGTGGCTATGGATACGGTGGATACGGTGGCTATGGATACGGCGGTTATGGAGGAGGATGGAGAGGCGGTTACGGTGGATACGGCGGTTATGGAGGCTATGGAGGAGGCTATGGTGGATACGGCGGTTACGGTGGTTACGGCGGAGGCTGGCGGGGTGGATTCGGATTCAGTGCAGGATTCGGTGGCGGATACGGTGGCTACGGCGGAGGATGGAGGAGGAGGTGATTCGTCCAGTGCACAATCTAATTGAGTACCTTTTTATGTTACTATGCAACCTTCAGTTTCAATGAAGTATGATAATTTACTTCTAGTGCTTCTCTTGTTCCCAATGCAGCCGGTCCAACTCATTCCGCAGAATCTGTAACGCAACTGACGTTTGTTCGTACATCCACACTCAGATGATATTCCAGTGAGAACATCTGCGACAGAGTTGGGCCGAGTACTTACTTGCACACTTGGAGATCGTTTGGATCCATGTGACTTTAAGGACCATCTCTTTTCCCGGTCTTGCCATGTTTTCGTTTGTCTTCAGAGGCTCACACATGAATTGTGAAGAATATCAACGACAGATGATGGTGATATTGTCGGAGATTGAAGTCTGCGTAGTGGCCTAAAAACAAACAATATGATTCCATTTGCACAGTAACCCCACGTGGCGCGATATTTGGCGAATTGGTTGTGATCATTGGCCTCAAAAGACCTCAATTTCCTCTGAAAACTGACCGGGAACAACAAATTTGGCCAACTTTGGTAATGGAAGGATTACTGTAGAATACCTGCGTCTCGTGTCGAACGTCGTCAAATCTTTGGATACCCCAAATCAGCTAGATAACAAATAAACAAAATGACAGAGAGTTTCGCAAATTAGAGAACGCCAGGTTGGCGTATAAAGATGGAGTCGGATCGATGGATTTTTAAGAAAAAATGAGAATAGTACTCGTGTTTCTGCTATTCGTTCTGGCTGCTGTGAGTGTGGAAAGCGTGGGCGTGGAGCAGAAGAGCGCACCGCCGAGCACCGCCGCCGCCGCCGTCAACCCGAACTTTGGTCACGCCAACTCGGCACTTTGGAAGAACAAGGGGTGAGTGGAAGCTCCGATGAAATTGAATCAAAATGTTCAGAAAACCACGTGAAAAGCGCTACGGTGGCTACTATGGCGGTTACGGTGGCTATGGATACGGTGGCTATGGATACGGTGGATACGGTGGATACGGTGGATACGGTTGCTGTGGATACGGTGGATACGGCGGTTATGGAGGAGGATGGAGAGGCGGTTATGGTGGATACGGATACAGAGGCGGATGGGGCGGCGGATGGGGCGGCGGATGGAGGGGCGGATTCGGAGGATGGGGATGGGGAAAGAAGTGAATCTTTCGTTGCACAATCTTGCTCAGCTCTTTTTCAAGTTATTGTGCCCATAATCTATGCGATCTTCAGTTTTAATGAAGAATTTAGTGTCACGGATCGTTTGTTTCAATCGTTTCACAATCGACAGAGTTGAGCGGAATATCCATTTGAGATGGCAAGCCTCTGTAACTTTTTCGCTAAATTTAGCTTTAGCTGCAAGTTGCGCGAAAGTTGCAGAGATTTGCCGAGAAGGAAATCCACGGGAGTAGCAGGAGGTCCTGTCCTGAACGATTTCGCTCAACTCTGCTCGGTGACTCCGGTCGCAGCCAGTGCAAATCTTCAAAAACTAGTTTTGGAATGGCATACTCGTTTAGTTCCACAATGCTGTAATGCCATTACAGAAAACCCAATAGAACAATAGACCGTTTTGAACTAAACAAAGTGAATGCGTTGCTATTCCAGTTCCACTGCCCCCCATTGTTCCCTCATTTCTAGAACCCCACAGGTCGATCCTCTCACTATATAAACTTGAGTCTGTTCGTCACTGTCAACTTCAAAAACTTTCCAACTATGAACTTCTTCTCAACAATCCCCCTTCTGTTCCTCTTCATTTCCCTCGTCACAGTGATGGCTTTCCAATCCGAAGAGCCGCAGTAAGTGCAGCCACTCTTGCCAATCACAAAAGTGTCAAATGTTCAGCAACATCCAAAAGCGTCAGTTCAATTTTGGGCAATGGGGACGGAATATGGGACAACGAAGCGAGAACTATGGACGAGCGTGGGGCAGACAGTGGTGATTGCGATTGTGTACCGAGTACAGAAATGAATAGAATGTTTGTTGTCAGTCATACACATAAATATCAGCCATCCAATAGAGAAGGTCCTCATTCTTCACTATGAATATTCTGTACATTCTTCCGCTTTTCGTATTCCTCTTCTCACCAACAATCAACTCAGTTTTGCCCTCCAAACCGCCGTATTCAGTTCGTCAGAACGTTCACAATTCCAGACAAATGGACAAACTGCAGAGACAACAATTTGTCAATTTGTTCAGTAGTTTTTGCTTTGAATGATGAACATGTTCCGAAAGAAAAGGTGATCAGAAAATTGCATTTTTCAGTCTCTTGATAAAGTCACATGTCCGTTTTCCAACTTGGACAGTAAACAGTCTGTTCCCTAAACGAGAGAAACAGGAATAAAAGCATCTTTCGGTAGTACTCGCGTGGAACGTTAAGAGCACTCCACGCCCATATCTCTAGTACTATAAATGTTCTCAAACTCAGGACGAAAGAGATCTTGTATCAAAATGCTATTGGTCATTTTGGTCCTTTCCCTTTGTTCCCCTTCTTGGGCGGTTGCTTCTGGAAATTCCACTGAAGTTCTGTCGAACGATGGTAATGAATTGGAAGTGTTCGAAAATGTGATGAATTTCATGGAAAATCAGACAGAAATCATCGTCGAGAAGTCTGCGATTGGGAACGAAGTGGAAGTGATCGAAGGCGGATACGATTCCAACCAGACGTACGTGCCAAAACTCAATTTGTAACTGAATAACTTAAGAAAACCTCGAAACACTCGTCACAGCCACGGAGGCGGAGGTCACAGTCACGGATACAGTTCCGGTGGAGGTCATAGTTACGGAGGGCACGGCGGAGGACTTGATCATCATCATTTCGGAGGTTACGGAGGAGGATATCATAGTCAGCATTACGGAGGATCCGGAGGCTCCGGCTACAACAACTATGGCTATGGAAATGGATATTACGGCTATGGAAACACGTACTACGGAGCCAATACAGGACTGGTGAACATGTGTTTGACGTGGCCCTATGGATGTTCTATAACCAATTATCGAGCGAGATAATGAAGTGTTTGAATGGCGTTTTGTTATCATGGATTCTCTGTTCATTTGAAAATGAATATTTTAGGTCCGAAATCCACTAAAACTGTGATTTGATACAAAAAAGTTTGACTGACAACCGAATCCAGCGACGAGTTTTTCCTTTCCGAAAACGATGATTTGAGTAGGAATGATTCTTTTTAGCACGTATGTTCTTTAAATCATGTTCACTTCCTACTAGACACCCAGCCGGACTAATAAAGTGAACAGGAAGAAGAAGAAGAAGAAGAAGAAGAAAGACTCTGTCAAACATTCCCTGTAATGGGTCAAAATATATTGAAATTTATTCGATTCATTATTATCAGTTTTCAGTTTCCAAATCGAAAACGACTGTCATCTTCTTTTCATTCATCAGAAGTTTCCCATGAATGCAGGCTTCTTCATCTCTTCGGCGTTTCGCTCGAATCTTTGCTTTCTGAACGCTTTCGTTTTTTAGTAGTTTCTAGAATCTTGACCTACTCCGCATCCAACTCGAAGGGCATTTGATAGGGGAACATTCCGAACAGCTGATCTCTGCCGATCTGAGCAGCGTCACGAGTTGGACGTCTTCTCTCGTCGAACGATTCCTCTCGCTTTCCAGACTGTTCACTCTCTCGGGACGGACGTGTCTGCACGTCGAACGGATGATTTTCACGTCCATCGGCTCCGCGAGCTGGGCGCTTTCGCTCGTCGAATGAGCTCTGTCCTTTCCTCGACTGCCCCGACTCCCGGGACGGACGTCTCTGCTCTTCAAGAGTTTGCTCTCCTTTTCCGTGCATATCAGCTCCACGTGTTGGACGGGATTGTCTAGAAAGATACAATGAATTGAAGACTCCCCAACTCGGCTGGCTACCCTTCAATTCCCGAGCGTCCCTTCATGTCATCCCCGGATTGCTGTTCCTTTCCAGACTGGTCGGCTGCGCGGGATGGACGTCTCTCCTCATCGGCGGATTTTTGTTCCTTCCCTCCGGCTCCTCGTGTCGGACGCTTGTGCTCATCGAGAGAGCTCTGTCCCTTTCCAGAGGAACCACGAGACGGACGAGACCTTCTAGAACAACAATTTCGTATTGATAACTTGAAAGTGAAGCGTCTCACCCCTCGTTATCAGCTCCATTTGGCTTGTCCCCAGTCGGTTCGGCTCCGCGAGAAGGCCGTTTTTGCTCGTCAAGCGATTTTCCCTTCATGTCATCAGCGGATTGTTGTCCTTTTCCGGATTGATCAGTAGAACGAGCAGGGCGTTTGTCATCGTTAGAATCAGCAGAGTGTTGTCCTTTTCCAGCAGCATTGCGAGTTTCTCGAGAGTGTCTGAAAGAATACTGTAACTCATCTCATTTCACAAAAAGGGGGCAGAGTTACTCTTCAAGTCCAGACGACTTCTCCGCCGATGGATCCTCTTTGGTCAGTTGAGAATCTCTGGAAATGATAGCCTTTAATAGCCTAGAATCATCGCTTGGAACTCACTTTTTACTATGCTCCAAAGCGTAGGCGGACGCTAGAATAGCCAAGGTCACAATCAGAATGCCTCTCATCGTAGCGAGATGAAATTGTTAAGGAATCGCCCCCCATTTTATACTGTCCTGGATGTTTACCAGTTTCCCGTTTCCCGGACTGTCCTTTGACGATGTTTTTCGGATTAAAAGTCAGATCTGTTGTTTATCTCAACTTTTTGCATTCAGCAAACTCCGGTTTCTTCCAAATATTGTGGGCATCAAGTTGAACGAAGACGAGTGATAATGATTCACGGACAACCGGAAAATGTGTTGTTTTCCGAAGTATTCATCTTCGAACCACTCAGACGACCGATGAGCAAGGCCAGGCACCATACATGGAAGGGTATATAACCACAATCCTGGGTTCTCAATGATTCGACCGAAAACTGGTACAACTTCGTAGACCAGATTGTTAAAGCCTACAACTATAATTGACAAACTTCAAGTGTCAAGTACCGTGAGAATGAATCTTAGAACATTCTAGACGGTTGTGTTCATCCATGACAAAGTTAGTAACATACAATCGACTACAACGGTTAACAAACAGTTCTGCAAATGAAAACACGTTTTACAGATTCATTCCGTCAACACTTTATCATCGTTGAAAGTGGCAACAATTGAAGGTAGGACCAATTGGCGAACATGAAGAGAAATACAGGGGTGTCTAGCAACAATAGATGAAATGCGTCGTGTGTGCGGCGAACTACATCGGTTACTTCCAAATTCGGTTGGGCCTGGACACTCAGAATGTGCTGATTCGTGCCAATTGGCTCACTTGCGCGGATACAATACTCGCCGTGGTTGGACGGAAAAGAAGGAAAACGTTTACAAGAATCAGATCAAAAATTCATAAAATATGTACACATTTCAACAGGTCTCGTTCACTTGCCCCATCCTCCGTACCGCCGTCCTCCCCATCCTCCGCCACGTCCCCAGCCGCCGCCTCCTCTTCCACCTCCGTAATATCTTCGGCCGCCTCCGTATCCTCCGCCACGTCCTCCGTACCGTCCCCAGCCTCCGTATCGCTTCACTCGACTGGGCTCACTGCAAAATTTGAGTGTTGACACGTGTTTAGTGCTGGAATAAACTCACTTGGCCGCTTCGGAATCTCTGATGGCGCCGAAAGGTCCCATGCTTGGATTCCAGCCGTATAGGGCCATACTATCGGACATTGGAAGAGAGAAAACCGAGGAAAAAGCCAAGAGACCGAAGAGAACAATTGAAACTAACTGCCGCATTGTCAACGATGGTTGCGTTGATCATACATGTTTTTCTCCTGACTTTTATACTCGCCCACCACGACGTCTTTGATCTGTTACACGTTTACGCACACGACTCGGCGAATCGGATCAGCCAGAAATATCACATGGATTCAGAGAAAGGAGGATGACTTGGAGAAGATCGGAAAAGGGGTTTAGCATATGCGAAGAGAGACTGATGCAGACTGTGTTGTTCGGCAAATGAGAGAGAGAGAGAGAGAGAGAGAGAGCGATCATTCTCTGTTTGGACGCGATCGGAAGGGGATCAGTTATCACAAGATCAGTTGATGGGTGTCAGAGGAGGGGAGTAAACACTTGCGGTCAGAACGGTCAAACTAAATTCAAAGGAGGTCAGACTGGGAACGAAAGTGCCTTGAAGACTCTAGTTTATTGAGGCAGGGCTTGGAAAATGATCCGCCTAGGTTTATAGAATAATTTTTGCGACAGTTGAAATATTACAGTCAAAGAATATAGTTTCAGTGAGGAATGAAAGAACATTTGGTCTTAATTGGAACCGTGAAAGTAGACCAAAAAACATGGTCTGTTGAAAATCGGCGGGCCCGTAGATCAAACGGCAAGCGCGCCCTATTGGCAACATTCACTGGACCGCGCAGATAGACTCTGTCCCTCATTCCGTTCCGATTTGTGCTCTGAAGTTGTCGATCAACGATGGATGCCACCTCCTCTTCCTCTTCTTCTTCCACCACGGCTCCACGTGTCCGCAAACACCGTCAGGAGATCCAGATCTACCGTCCGGGAATGCTGCGAAATGGCGGAGTTGCTCCGAAGGAAAGCGTGCTCGATCCGAAGTTGGAGACGCAAAGATCGTCGTCCGTCTGCTCCGGCTCATCGGACTCTTCCTCAGCAATCGCCTCATCCGCCACGTCATCCTCCTCCGGAGACGTTTACAGCTTCGACGATCTGCGTGCCAATCTGGAAGAGTTCAAGTCGTTGGACTGGAGCAAAGAAATGGAGAAGGAGGGACTGATTCGGTCGGCTGTCGATGCTCCGATCGTTGAGGAATCTCCACGTCACGAGGAGAAGGAAGATCGGAAGGACGAGCGACGGCACGAGTATTCGAATCGGAAAAATGGACAACAGGCAGGACGCGTCACTTTCACGAAATGACTTGAGTTCTTTGTAACTAAATAATATCGATTTGTCGTTAATTCAATTTATGATGATGATAATAATAATAATAATAACTATGCGATCCAATCAATAAACGACAAATGTGAATCAAAGAATCGTCATTTCTCTCGTAGTAATCACAATGATGTATTGTGCGTCATCAATTCATACATACACGAATTGTCAGTCATCTTTGGCGGCAAAACAGTTTGGAGGGTACAAAAAAAGGGAATGGAATGCGTTGCACAACGAGTCCCTCCAAGTGCTCTTCGATTCGCTGACGCCGTTGAAGTATTCTTGAAGGTGGTGGACTCTTCTGAACGAAAAATCAGCTAGTTTATTCTTGACACCTATATCTAAGCTGCCTGAAAAGATATCGAAAAGTTGCAAACTAATAAAGTGTACATTAAGATATTGTGTACATTTTATCAGTTGACAACTTTTTAATATCTCTACAAACAGCTAAGATATGTCAATCTGTTCAACTCACTCGTGCATAGTCTCATTTTTCCGTATGACCGCATCGTTCTCGGCACTCAAATCGTCCGAATGAACAGAATTAATTGAAGATCCATAATTGATGGGGAACGTGGAAATCTCTCTGATTTCAAAAAGAATTACAAATGAAACGAGCATCAAAGACACTGAATACATTGCTTCTGAAAGCCGAAGAAAATGAAAGAAATATGGAGAATTTATACGCTTTCGCTGTCATGTTTTCGACCTTTGACAGTTCAGTTGTGTCAGACATTTTGGCGAATTCAGCAAGCATGAACACGTGATCAGTGGAAACGGTCTGACCAGACATGAATCCTATGCGATCTATGTCAACATCGTTTCAGAACTTTGCGAATTCATTTCAAGAAACCATCTAACAAAAGAGAATGAAATTAGTGAGAAATGTGAACCGAGTTGACCTGAACTCCTCCGTCAATCTCGATCAGATGCACCGCCTCCAACGGAGTTCTCTCGGTAAAGTCGGCCAAGTGATTTCCGTTGACGAAGACCGAGATGGAGCCTTCGTTCGAGACGAACTCCACCGTGTACATCTTGTTCTGCTCGAACGGCAGCCGAAGACGGCTCTCCTCCGATTGCCATTCGCCTCCGGAAGTCGAGTTCACCTTAACGGATCCGTCATCGAAGTTTGGGCTGAAGTGAAGAGCGATGTCGTCGGGAGTGCGGAGGTTGATGTGGAAACCGGGGTCGTTGTTCGGCACGATGACGAGGCGGAGACGGGATCCGGCGGAGAAGCCTTGCACTGGGATGTTGACGGGCGTCGTCGGGTTGAAGTACTCGGTGCGGAAGTCCATTCCGGCTCCTTGTCCAATCGTTGCTGCAAAAATGGGTATCAAGTTGAGATAATAGGATTATACAAAGAAAAGGAAGGAAAGAAAGAAGGAGGGGAACGGGAAAGGGATTGAGGCGAACAGAGTAAAGTGTGGGGAGAAGAACGAATGAGGAAGGGGGGACGTTGGGCAGAGAGGTGGGACGATTGCGCACACCGGTCAAACGAATGGGTTTGTCCCCTTCCTTTTCTCGCGGCTATTGAAAACAGTGGCGCCATTCCCACTTTACACCGAGAACTAAGGAACGGGTTTTGACTAGACTCCTCAGACAGATAAATTAGGTAGTTTTAGTTTCTAACCTCTTCAGTTTCGCAAACTTTCCAAGCAGAGTGTTCGAATCTAACTAGATTTACACTAGATTTGACTAGCGAACCTGCATGATTCTCTGCAAAATCATTAGTCGTTTGTTCGCTCAAAGGGAACGAAAAAGAGAGAAACCCGAGTACAAAACGAGAAGTACACTGGGAATTTCGATCGAGTTCAAAGGGATATCGGGAAGGAAAGTTAGAGGAAACTCCGATTTCATAGTCTAGTACCATTATATACAAATAAGTGTAAAATTCAGACTAAGAGGAGCATCACAAGGACGCTGAGCATTGTGATCACAACCGGATTCGCCACTGACACTAATGTTTTGACGTTCATGATTGAAAAAACACTTAAAGAACTTTCAACCTGAAGATTTTGTACCCAACTCGTCACTGGACGATAAACATAAAAGTACAGGACATTGAATGATATCAGTATGCCCTTGTGCAGTCGTGAAACCCAACCAAAGTCACTTTCAAATCTCTAGTCGGACGACGATATGTTATAGTTTCCTGGTTGCGGAACCACAAAACCTTCTGTGACCGTGTAAACTGGTATTGAGTCTTTGGTCGGTTTCCGATAAAGACGCGATCTTTGCTTGAACATTTGAGTGTTCGAATATGAATCGTTGCAGTTCGTCGGACAGCGCATTGATATCGAATGATTGTAAACTCGACCAAAATTTATTTTCTCTTACTATCGAGCTAAGTGTCTACGAACCAAAACCCACATAAAATAAACCTTTTTCGTGGCCTAAGACAAAAAATTGAGGAAACACTAGTGTTGAGGACTGGAACACAATCAAATACATACCGAAATCTTTCGCTGCTCACTTTGCGTCCCCTACCCAAGAGAACTGAACATGACGGGGTACATACAATAATGAAAGGTGAGGTTATAGTTTGTAAATGTTACAAAAATATGTGCAGATCATTAGTTCGATATCATTGTATACAAATAAGTGTAAAATTCTTCAGACTATATGACGAGCATCCCAAGGAAGCTGAGCATTGTGATCACAACTGATCCTTGGAACGAAGGTTGAGATCCAGATGAATTGGTGAGCGGGAAAGTACAGTTTCCAGTTGAGCAACTGTAATTAGACAAAAGATCCTTAGCCCCCAGAACGTATCCCAACTCACTCCGTATCAGTTGAGTTGGCCGATGCAGCGAGTAGATGACTCTTGACCATAAATCCAATCGGATGCGTGGATACAGTAACCGCCAGAACAATCACCAACAGGCAGGGAAGCAGAGAGGTACTCATCGAACAAATCCTGTAACAATGAAAGTTGGAGACGACAAAAAGCGGGCGGTGAAGTAGAAATGCAGACTGCGTCACGTGTCTTCTCGGAGTATACACATGGTTCACAGTCGTTCACGAACAAGGCTGGAGAGGGGCGAAGAAGAAAAGAAGTGTCACATTCTTTATGGAGATACGTAGACAGCATATCAAACACCTAACAGACAAGTGATTGGATTTAAAGTTGAGACGGAGGTGACCTGCCCATGTACAACGTCGTGCCAACTCGGATCGGATGCTGATTCTGTGAAACTGGTTTGGTTCACAAGCGAACAATAGTGTCCAAGTTCCTGATTAGGTAGCGGCGGAGGCGGCGGAGTCTTCTGGAATTTCAAAGTCACTGTTCTTCGAGAACTCAAAACGTACATTTCAAACTTCACATCCTCTGGAACATCTTCTAGTTTATTATTCTGATGTTGAATCATAGTTGGCAAATGTACAATAGGTTTGGAAAATTGTCGGACTCTTGATCTTTGTGGAGCTGTGCACGATTCCACTGGAAGTGAACTTCCGGAGCCTGTCAACTCCAGCTCCAGAATGATGAGTACAACTAGACAGAAATATGTCATTAGCTCACAAGTTTTCCCATTCTCCGATTATTTTACATTTTTATAGGACCTTTACAAGTGGTGAACAAAAGAAGAACAATCTGGAAGTATGGGTATAAACATTTGAAATGCGTACTTTCTCGAGAAGAAATCCTTGAATGTTCAGTGATCGGAATGAGTGGTCACAAAAAGGAAACAACACAGCGTTCTTTACTCCCTTCTAAGTCTGCATTTTCGTTCAAAGCGGAGGAATTCTAATGAATATCGAACACGGAAGTGCACGGAGAAAGACTTTCTGTGATCTGCGCTGAACTAGTTTTACCGAAGTGAATCCCGGTAAACACTGTTAGGCGGAAATAGAATTTTAAAACTCATAACATGTACTGACTGTATATGAAGCAAACTGGTTCTCTAGGGTACATAAAAATTGGTCAGCAAGGAGAATGTTAACTGAAAGCAAAGTCACAGGGCCCTCTAACTCGGCGTTTTTTAATTAGGCTTTCACGAGGTACGGAGACTATTTCTTCAGTTTTATTGTCAAGATTTAGCTTAGTGAAACAATGTCATCGGCAAAGCATGCGGAGGACTGAAAATTGTGAAGCTGTAACTTCTCACACAAACCTTACATTCACCTCTAACCTGGCTATTTCAGCCTTTATATATCCCTGTGGGCGTGGCCATTCTAATTAGTGGGCGTGGCCACTGCACCACTGGCTTTTCCTTCTTCCTGTTGTGGGTCTGGTATACTTTCCCATCACAGTTCTTTGTCGGCATTCTTATCACTTATCGCAGGTGTGGGAATGTGAGCTTCAAGCGGATTTGCGGCAAGTTTCAAAGAAGCCGACTTAATTACAGACGGAGGATAGTGATAAGGACGCGGACAAAGGACTCCGATGGGAAAGAACGAGTGGGACTTCGAAACGTCATGGCACCGTGCCAAGAGGATTTGGAAAAAGAGCAATAAGGAATTGAAGGATTTCCTATTTCGATTGAAAGCATTCAACCCGGAGTCGATAGTCCGATCGGTCTGTAACTTGGACCCAATATACAGGGTGCGCCAAAAGTATGGTAACACATTCAAGGTGATGTAATCTTTGCAAAAATACTCAAACCAACATGAAAATTCAGCTATAATTTATTGAAACCACTATAAACGAGAAAATACTAAAGTTGTTCGATGCGTTTGCCTTTGTTCTTGACAACATCGTCGAGTCTCTTCGGGAATGCCTCTACTGTGGCACGGAGATATTCTGGAGATAGCTTGGCTCATTCTGCCTCCAAACTTTTCTACAATCACTCCAAATGGGGATGTGGATGTGCTTGAACCTTCGACTGAAGAACTCCCCGTACAGAATAGTTAGAATCCGGTGACGACGCTGGCCATTCAAAACTGCTGATGAAACGAGGAAAGTTGGCTGAGCACCAGGCTTGGACGACTTTTGCCTTCATTTTATTCGAAAGTGAGACCCCTAAATTTGCTTTTTTTTTCTAGTTTCGTGCAGGCGATGCCACTCAACAAGAACGCCGCTTTCGAGAATCGTCTTAGTTTCCGATTTGAGCGAAACGAGCGAGATCTCCGGCGGACTGTACGTGGACATCAATGGAATCATCGCCGGTAATCCCTCCCTCGGAGGCGCTGTGGAAATGGCCCGGAAGTCTCTGGAATTTGGGTGAAACGTACCGGCAAAGAAGGCCAAGTTCGACGCCAAAATCAGAATGATAAAGTAAGCTTTCGTCTCTCATTATTACTCATTATTTGTTTCTATTTCTCTTCTCCTTTGGTTTTTAGTCATTCGTCCTCAATGAAGTTCTCTCCTTGACACGTTGTTTCCCTCTCTCTCTCTCTCTCTTTTCTGCGCGCTCCACGTTTCTCTCTGTCAATGGTAGCTGCTCAGAAAAAGGCGACGACGCCTGTTTTGGTGCCCTTTTTAAAGGTGTCGGTGCCGAATTTCCGCTAATTTGGCACCGAAAAGACGTCGTAGCCGTTCCGGAGCGACAAGTGCCGCAATTGCTATTTTTCCCCACTTCTCCCGTCGCGACGACAGGAATATCGTCGAAATCGAACGTCTTCTGATGACGGTCTATGTGTTGAATATGAAAGTGAAGGGCTTGGGCTCTATTCCAAAAAGTTTCAACGAGGGAGTGAAGAATCAGAAGGCGCTGCAGAAGACGTCGTCACAACTTCTTCCGTTTTAGAAATTAAAAACTGGCCGGACGAACGAATGGAGAAAGAAAGAAACAGACAGACTTCGTTAGCTTTTTAAAAACATCGGAATGATGATGATGATATTAATCTCTCTTCTGCTTTATTTCCCTGGTTAAAAGCCTTTCCAAATTAGTAGTCGTCTCGGACAGTGTTGAAAAAGGATCCCCTTACAGGTAGCATCAGACTACACGAAAGTGTGACAAGCGAATCCGATCCGACCGCCGTCATCTCCTCTTCCTCTTTTTCGATTGCGCAACCGTCCTCCTTCTCGTCTCCGCCCCCGTAAACTTCTCCTTCTCCTTCTCCCTCTCCCTCTTCCTCTTCTTCTCCCAGATCGGGAGGTCGTTCGGCGGTAGGCCCCGACGCCACCGTACGGCTAGTACGCGGCCGTCCGCGCGTCCTTCCGCGACTGCCCTCGTTACGCCACCAATTGGTGAGCGAGCGAGGCGTCGAGGTGACCTATTTCTCTCGCATGTTGCGTATTCGTTGTGGCCGTCTACAATAGCGGCTTCTCCTTCTTTTTTGACCTAGATTCTTTCAGTTCGGTTGATCGATAATACGTAATGCATAGCAAATCATAGCATCGAATAGGAAAGCATAGAATAGCATAATAATAATAGGCACTGGCTGGACCCAGCCGCGCGTCCGCCAAATCGACAAAAGGTGTCCGTATTCGCGTATACTATCTACTTGTCTTTCTCTCTTTTCTCCCTCTCTCCCTCTCTCCTTCTACCTCCTCTTTTTGTCTGTGACATCGTGTTGTTTGTCCTCCTTCTGGATTCATTTCGAAAACTTTCAGATGTCATCGGAAGAGGTGGAAGAATGGAAGTGTCTGTACATGGACACCTTCGGATACCGCTTCCCGCTCTTCCATCCCTCACACGGCGTCTTCGACTTCCAACGTGTTCCCAAAACAGCGACGACTTTGCCCCAAGACCCGAATCCATGGAAGACTTCGTATGAGCAGTTGAGTCGTGGCGTTCATGTTCTAAATAGTTTGGAGCAGTTCATCGGAGCAGCCGAATTTCAGTGCTTTGATCACATTGAAGAGGCGTTACGGTGAGTTGTGTTATTCTTTTTTTATAATAAAAGATCATATGAGTTCAGATTCCTTGAAGAGTCGCCAGAAGGTCACGAAAAGCTGATTTTCCTTCACGAAGGCACTCATGAAGTCACAAAGACGATTCGAATAACTTCCAATGTTCAAATACTCGGAGCAAGTGCCGCTGAAGACGTGGCAACGACAGTAATCCTGACGGGAAAGCACGCGACCGTGCTCGAGTTCTCCGAAGGTGCACGATCCGCCTATTTCGGGTTGGTGACGGTCAAGTACGAGTTGGATAACTACGAGCAGGAAGAAGCGGACCACCTGATAATGGAGGTGGACGCCGGAGAACGGGAGCATCGGGATGAGGTCGAGGACGAAGAGCATCCGAACGGAAATGCGGATCCGCCGAGGACGAACCACTCGTGCGCCATGATAATCACTGGAGAAGGCGTCGAGCCGACCATCGATTACTGCCACTTTTTGTCGGACAACGTGGACAGTCATACGGTTGTTATCAAGGATCACGCAGCGCCCAAAGTGAGTTCATTATCTTATTGCTCTTCAATCTTTCTTTCCAGATGAAAAACTCGACGTGTATGGGCGGTTCTGGAGGTGGAATTCTGGTCACTCATCAGGCCACCGGGTACTATTCCAACTGCGAATTCGCTCGCAATCAACTCTCCGGAATCCGAGTTCAGATGCTCGCCAATCCGTACTTTTTCAACTGCCACATTCATCATCAAGGAGACGTCGGGATATTCATTTTGGAGTGAGTTTTCTTTGTGATTACTGCAGCTATTTCTTTCGTCTTTCAGCGATGGCCTCGGTCATTTCCAAAACTGTAACATCTACGGCAACCAGAAGTTCGGCATCGAGCTGAAGAGCCCGGCGACCAATCCGACGGTGATCGGCTGCGAAATCCATCACGGCGCAACCGGAGGCATTTGTGTACACGAGGAGGCAACCGGACAGTTTCTGAAGAACCGCGTTCATTTCAATGAGTTTATCGGCATCTGGATCTCGGAGGGCGCCGACCCGATTGTGCGACAGAACGAGGTGTTCGACGGGAAGCACGGAGGCATTTATGTGCACGGAAACGGCAAGGGACTCATCGAGGAGAACGACGTGTACGGCAACGAGCTGGCCGGAGTTTGGGTGACGACTGGCGCCGAGCCGAGGATCCGCAACAACCATATTCACTCGGGGAAGCAGGCCGGCGTCTACTTCTACGACGGTGGATGTGGCCTTCTGGAAGGCAACGAGATCAATGGAAACGCACTGTCGGGAGTGCAAATCCGAACGGGAGCCAACCCGAAAATCAGCAAAAACCGCATCTGGAACAACGATAACGGCGTCCTGACACACGACACGGGCATGGGCATCTTCGAGGAGAACACGATATTCGACAACGCGATGACGAACGTCTTCATCAAGGAGGCCGCGATGCCGGTGGTTCGCAGGAACAAGATCTTCGGATCGAGGGGAACGGGAGTGAGTGTGACGGAAGGCGGAAAGGGATTGATCGAGGACAATGAGATATTCGACAATGCACAGGCGGGAGTGCTCATTCTGTCCGAGGGAAGTCCTGTTTTACGCTCGAATCGGGTGCACGGCAACAAAGCGGCCGGCATTGAAATCTCGTCGAAAGGACCCAACACTCTGGTGAAAGAGAACCGAGTGTTCCGGAATCGATTCGGAGGTGAGACAGAAATACCGCTCATCCAAATGCTAGTTGCATAGACATCAAAAAGTTGTCAACAGATCATGGTCTCCAGAGCTGACAATGGGCGCAAGTGCGCCCCGCCCAATAGAGCGATACATTGGCGCGAAATTCAAATTTTAACAGCAAAATTTGTGTTTTTTGCCAGATAAGCCACGAAAACCCGATAATTTTTCATTTGTCTCTCGATAGACCGATTATATAGGCTATTACGAATTTTTTAAGCGCAAGAGTGTCAAATTTGGTCAAGTCGCAAATCACATTTAGCCGTTTGAAGGTTTTTGGCTAAAACTGCGTGAATTTCAGTTGCTTTTCGGTAGTTTTCGCGGTTCGAGCGCTCAAAATGCTCGTATTTACGTGATTTATCATTCTCAAAACCAATTCTGTCTGGAAACGGTCAAGAAAGCGCAAAATGAGAAGGGCGGTTTTTAGGCGGCGAAGACGAAAAAGCAGTCCGCGAAAAATGCGCCAAAACGTCATTAATTCTGAGAATTAGTGTGTTTTCATGTCGAACAATCATTATTCATCGCCTTTGACTACAAAAATCAGAGAAAACTTGCTCAATTCATGAAAACGCCATTTGTCCGCCGAGGCGACGCCCATATTGTCAGCTCTGGAGACCGTGATATACGGATAAAATTTATCAGTTTGTTAGTTGACAACTTTTTGATATCTCTACCGGAAACTGAAATATATTGTCTTGAAGATACGCAATATGTATTGCAGGTATCATGACAGCAAGCGGCTCAAATGTGACCGAAGAACTGAATCAAGTGTACGATAACCTGGACAAAGTGGTAAAAGCCATCGAGAAGGGAAAGTGTCTGTTCTCGGTGAGCGGAAAGGAATCGTTCCCGATGCACAACTTCTACAGGTATTGCCCCAAACTCCTCAGCTTCTTCAAATTCATTTCTTTCAGATGCATAACGTGCAACACTTCGGACCGGAACGGAATATGTCAAAGCTGTATAGAACGGTGTCACGAAGGACACGCGGTGATGTTCGTCCGATGCGATAGGTACCGGTAGCTCTACTGCTCAATTTTCATGCCTCACGTTTTACGGTGGTAAAAACTTTCAGGTTTTACTGTGACTGCGGTGCCGACCACTTGGACCGGTCGTGTTGTCTTCGGCAGAAATGAACGCACGCTATTAATAGTAGTTACTCGGTCTTTAGGTTATGCAATTTCAGTTTTTACTTTTTAATTTATGGAGCTTTCAATTTGTTTCGATACTAATAAAGAATCATTGCCAAATTTATAGTAAAACGAAGGAGAACAATGTTTCAGACAAATCAATATATTTAAATCTTCTCGTAGCCCCCTCAGCACAGATCCTTCGGAAGGGGGAAGGGGTGTCTTCAGAGTGTCTCCGTCTTCCAACTAACCTACTTTCTAGAAAGATCCTAAGAACAAAGTTCATAAAATCAGAGTCAATTTATTGAAAAACGGTCGAGAAACAGTTCGAACACAATTATACACAATACAGTCCCACCCAATCCCATCATTTTTTCGTCGGAGTCGGAGCCTTCGGAGACGTTTCGATTGCCGGCAACTCGGAAACTGTCTTCGTCTGCTCCGCCGATTTCTTCTTCTGATTGACAGGCGACGACGGATCCGAAGTCTTCTGCAACAATTTGAATTTTTCTTGTCCAAATGCCTACAACTGACCGTCGGATTCGTCTTTTTGAGCTCTCTTGGCGACGGAAACTCGCCATTCGGTCTCTTGTCCTGAAAGTGAAAAGTTAGACAGTTTTGAAAAAGCAAGAAGTAACTTGTTCTGTGGAAGTGATACGTGTTGGCATCGGAGACTCCTGAGACATCCTGATCTGAAAAAGTGGAATGAAAATGGAGTAGGAAGAATACGAACTTACAATATCGACCGAAGTGGATTGCGTCCGCTCGACAGATCTTTTCAGCGGCTGAAAATAAAAATATCATTGGAGCATGATTGCTGATCGATTTTCCTACGTTTTCCGTGCTGCGACGAACCTGATTCTCGAGTGACTTCTTCGGCTGAAAACGTCCTTTTTCAAGTTTCAAAAAAATGCTCTCCCACCTGCTCCGAAGACTTTCTCGGCAATTTGAACGGGATGTGAAGTTCATCCTTCCCGAATGGATTCAGATTCCGGAAAATCTGCATCAACCCACCCCCGTCCTTCTTCTTCGTCTCGGCCGAAAGAGTTCTCGGACGAGCCGGCGGCGAGAGTGTGAGCTTGTGCGTGGCCGCCAGCTTCGGCGGATCGATGATCACTTCCCGCGACGCCTTCTCGATCATCGTCCGCTCCATCTGCTTGATCATCGCAATCTGCTCCGCGTTCTGCTCTTTCTCGTACTTTCCTTCCTTCCAAGTCCTCGAGCCGGGCACTCCATTCAGAAGAACTTGTTTCTCTGCAATCCGGTACAGTAATCCCAGGTACCATTGCTTCCTCACGTCGCTGCAACATGTCCGGATTGGGTTCGATTCCAAAGTACCGGAGCTGAACTCTCAGTTTCTCGTAGCACCTTTCATTGTGGAAGATGGCGTCCGGGTTGAACGTTTGACAGAATTGAGGAGCCAGCAGGATGAACATCTTGTCTTTGAGCATTCTGAACTTATGACCTAGCTTTTTCTCTTCCACTCCATACGTACACATTGCTCTCACTGCCCTCACACTCCTTGTACGGCCGTCGGAACACGTTGATAAAGGTAATGCTCGCCATGCGAACCGCCGGACTGAATATTGTCTGTCTAGGCGGAATCACGCCGGACTTGCGATCCACGAAATAGTTATAATTGTCAGAGGTCTGGACTTGAAATGCGATCGGATGGTCCCCATGGTTCGTCAGAGAGATCGTACGACGCTCCGCTGGACGCTCGGCCTAAAGAATTTCAAGTTGATGCATGCTTTTAACTAATTATATCATACTTTTCTATAGAACGCCAAGTAGTTAAAGTCGAGAGAGACGAGGATCTGCGGCTCAATGAGCTTCACATCCGGGTTGGTGTTGGTCCAGAGGACGCCGTCGTTGGAGAGGAACCCTCCGGACGGCGGATGGTTCTTCTCGTCCTTCCGATTGTCGCACTCTCTGCTCGTGACATTTGCCGACTCCGCCGTTGTCTTCCGAGGCATATTTTGCAGGGAATCATAGTGCAACGTGGAGGAAAATAGGGAGGAGGTCCTGTGAGTTCACGTTGTCACAGAAGAAAGTACACAATACTTTATAAGATCGGTCAGATCCCTTTGGGAAACACTTGCACTGATGGCGGCGAATGTTGCAGAAAGAAACATCAAGAAAGCAAGTAGTGAACACGCGAAGGACTGGTTTTGGATGGTCGCCGCGCGTTCACTTGGGAGTGTCCGTCCGTCGACTGAAAAAAAGAAGAGGTCAAACGGTAGACTTGATCTGAAAGAAGAAGAAGATCTGGAAAGGAGGAAGGAAACTTGCAACACTGTGCTTCCGAAGAGTCAACTGCACGACGAGAAAGATCACTTTTCTGTGACACGGCAAGTACTTTCCTAATGATGTGTTCTTTGCATTCCTACTGACTCTCATGTATCGCAAATACTGTAATTGAAGGGAACCACAATACTGTGTCTATTCAAAACGCTGTATCTCATCGGACGGTGGATATATCAAAAAGATGTCAACCGATAAAATGTACAAAATTTCTCAGGGAACATTTTATTAGTTGACAACTTTTTCATATCTCTACTGAATGCCGAGATATATCGTTTTGAAACAACGGTATTGGGGCGCCCTTCTATTACAGTAACTACGGTAGATTTAGATTCGGCTCTCAACCATCCTCAGACCACTTGTCTTCTCTTTTCCAGCTGGCTTCTATACATTTTCGAGCTCTCAACTTGTGCTCGTTGTTTATGCGTGCGCAATAAGAAAACACGACGCATCCACTCAAAAATATCACTCCAAAAGACCTGTCATTAATACGAAAGGCGCTGAGTGCTCGCGCCGAGCCCACAAAACCAAAACGAAAACACTCGAGTTACAGATCAAGAAGAAGAAGAAGAAGAAGAAAAAGAACACGTCAAATAATTTATGACGTGGCGAGGGTGATTCGGCGCGAAAAGTCGGGTAATCGGCGCGCTTTCGGGGAACCTGTCTTTTTCTTCTTCTCCGTCTTCTTCTTCTTCTTCTTCTTCTCCTTCTTCTTCTTCTTTTTCTTCTTCTGATGAAGACGATGCCGACGACGACGTCTTCAGCATCGTCGTGCGTCGTAAAACCGATTGGACGGCTGCCAGCGTCCCTTTCTGCTTATCTAATTAGACTTCTTCTGCGCCGATTTCCCCCCGCCCTCCGTGTTGCCATTCCATCATCGCTGCCAATCGAATTCCAGGTGTCTGTGTCATATATTTCCTGTTTTTTCTTCTCTTCTCTTTTTCCTTTTCTCGCTCCCGCCAAAGTGGTGTCAAAGCACCAGCCCATTCGGTGTCTGGTGTCGCATTTCCCCTCCGGAGCCTTCAGTTTGCCCCCTTTTTCCTCTCCTATTTATTTTCATTCCGTCGTCGGAATTGCCCACGTAATGCGCGGATTATCATCGGCGGCAGTGTGCCTGAGTCATCTCGTGGGATGCTTTTCCGCGCCGACGATGTTTTTCGTCGCGTTCGACGTTCCGACTTCTCCCCGCAATTTCTCTTCTCAAGAAAAGTGGCCGACCTAATTATTCCTTAACATTTTCTCACTTATTATTCATGAGAGCCCGAGGAGCCTTCAAAGGAATCGTTTTCTTTCTTCTTTTTCGAAAAACTGGACTCTAGACCTAATAAAATATTCTTGTTGAAAATTTGCCTTTTACTTGAAAAACAATCGATTTTTCAGTGGCTTACTCGCAAAATCTCGTAATTTGCAGTCTAAATTACAAAAAGGCACGATTTTGAAATAAAGAATGTGCCCGACCCGGCGGCCCGCGATAATTTTGCATTTTACAGTGCCTTATCATTCCGTTCTGCCACACACTATCAAAACAATGATGGTTGCATATAAAAAAGAGACAATGTGTGCTCAGGCCTTTTCTCTATTTTCGGAATGCCCTTCTCAAAGCAAAGAACGATTTGTGCACAGCGCGTGGGCCAACTGCAAAGTTCTGCCATTTCCGGGTGGTTTGCCAGCAAGTCCCGGAAAATCGTCAGCTCCTTCGCCGTCCGATTTTCTCTGTTTTTTTTGTGCCGATCTGTTTGCTTAACCTAAACCGGCTGTTTCCGGAAAAGAGCCCCCGAACCGTGGCTGTGACGGCTGCTCTCTTCCCGACCGACGCAAACCCTTTCGAGAATGATGCGACCCGTTTGGTGGCTGACCTCTCGGTCAGCTGACCGACTCGGCCTCGAAAGTGCAATTCAGCAGTTGGCTGGACGACTGACTTCATTTCTTCTCATCGCGTTTCCTTTCAATTTCGAGAAAGTTCTCAAACGATTGCATAATATTTGTAAATATTTGAGCCGTCTCGTTTGTTCCTTGTTCAGCCACGCTCATGCATGATCATGTCGAAAAACTTTTCAAGCAGCTGAAAATATTTTGGGAAAAATTTGTTTTACAACCACCAGACTTTCACATTTTCAAATAAGTAGATATTGGCAATCAATTTTCTAACAAAATCTCATTTTTCACGTGAACATCACGAGTTAAGTTCCGTAGACCGCAAACGCAACAAACTGCGATCCGACTTTTTGCGCGCCGCTTCTCGTGTCAAAGTTTTCTGAAAGCAAAAAGAATCGTATGCATCATCAAGTCGAAAAAGTAAACGCTATTGGCCGTTTCCTCCATCGAGGCGGCAGCCAGCAGCTCAGTCTCTCTTGTCCCGATCGTCATGTTGCGATAGTCTGTGTTTGCCCGTCTGTGTCTCTCGACCGCCCCTACTCTCTCCTCGGATTCTTCGCTCTCCGTCTCGTTCCCAGTCATCCTCTGAGGCCGCCCCGAGTCTGCTGCTGTAGTGTCGCGCCCGGCGTCCTGGGCATCGCTGTGTTCTATCGATTTTCGGGAGAGAAACGGCGAGGAGACGTCTTCTCCCCTTTCCCCTTCTTCTTCGTCCCACTTTTTTCCCCTTCATCCCCCTTGTCGCCATCGTCGCCCCGGCTTCTTCTTCTGAGCACCGCGCGCGTGGCGTGTCCTCTGAGAGACGGACTAAACCGCCTATCCAACTGCCGTCATGTTTTTGTTCGCTCTGTGGCGTTCATCTCTAGAAATGTGTTTGTGCTGACCGAGGAGAGCCACAGTTCTCGTCTTGATTGATAACAAAATCGATTCGGAGCAGAACGGTATGTGCTGCTCTCGGAGCCGACCGTCACGTGTCTGGTGGAAGCGGCGCGGCTTCTCCCTATCGCTCGTCATATGACTTTTCCGGGTTGAGTTCTTCTCGAGCTTCTAGACGGAATCCTTCGTGTGAGGTTTTGATAGATCAGATTTTATTGCTAAATTCCTGGCCGGGTCGAAAACTCAATTTTCCAGCGAAAAATGAAAAACGCCGTGCGGCAAAGTCTCTAAAAGTGCGGTAAACTTGCTAATAGTCCGTTATATTCAGGATTATTATATTATAAAGAAAAAACCCAGCCCGGCCCGTTGCAAGTTTGGGTCTTGTAAGGTCTTGTGAGCTCTGTGAAAAACTAGATTTTTTTCTGTTTCTAATCACTGAAAGTGTCTGAAACGCTGTTTCAAACCGACTCACGAAAAGCTCATTCGGAAATGGAGTATTAGAGTCTAAAGAGTCTTAGAGTCTAAGTGCTGAACTTTCGTCTTAGTTTTTAATTTCTAATTTCCCAAATATGTTTTCGTTCAGTCGAAAAGCTCAAAAATCGCGCGAACTCCGAGCTTCGTGAGAATTAAGTGAAGCGCTTGTGGAAATCCTTTGAAAATTTGTGCATAATATTAACACTCTGTTCCACTCGTCTGCTTATTTACAAAATTTTGCTCACGAGCTCTCGATTATCGCTCCAATGCAATCTCGCTCCATCGACAGTCTCCATTTACATTTGACATTTGGCGCTACAACGGAGTAGAACTCGCTAGGAATGGAACTGTTACGATTTGGAACTCGCAACGTTCAAATACAACTGCGAGTTCCAAATCGTAACAGTTACATTCCGTACGAGTTCTACTTCGTTGTAGCGCCTTGACCTTTTGCCCGATTTACTGCTCTCCTCCTCCACGCACCGGTCATTCATTCATTCATTCATTCACTTCCATTCTCTTTTCATTTTTCCTATCTTTTTCTACACTAATCGGCCAGTTCCTCTTCTCGATCCGTAAAATGTGGGCCAACTGTTAAAAGTGCCCTTTCTCTCCGCACTTTTTCGTTTCGTTCTTTGATTTCTATTTTGATTGATGGCTTTTGCAGAGAACCGCACGAAGAGAGCAAACGGGACCGGGAAGAGATGTCTCACACTGCGGACGTTCCGCTCGAGGCGCCGTCGCTTCTCTGCCTCGCCTCCAGATCTGTACAGAGTTTTGTTTTGGATCCGGTGAGTAGAAACGGCGAAAACTACGAATTAAGGGGAAACAAAACATTTGCAGAATCTGCAAGATTACATGCGGCAAGTATTTCTTCCGGTGCCACTTAGTCAAGAAATATTCAAGCAGTTTCGCAGCAAATGGAACATTCACTTCAACCATCCGCAGCCCGTCGACCAGGGTCCCGGTCCTTCCGACGATAACCGCGCTATAGAGCCGGGAAACGTGGCGATGATGCGTCAAGTGTTCCAAACTTGGTGTGACTCAACAAAACTACCCCTTCTGAAGCTCGACCTAACGGGCGCCACAATCGACGATCAGACATTTGTAGACCTTTTACACGCACACGCTCAATCGATAACCGAGCTGGATTTGACAGGTGTTTCCGGTGTTACCGACCTTTCGAATGCGTATTTCTACGCGCGGAGTACGAACTTCCCTCTGCTGACTTCGATTCGAATGACGTCAATGGAGCTGGTGACGTCGCATCAGCCGAGGAGGAAAAACGGAATGGCGGCCACCGAGTACCGAAACTTCAATTTGATGCTCGGCGAGGACGCCCTCGCAGAAGCGCGCTCTCAAATCGAAAAAGATGGCGGTCTGCGATCGCCGCTCTCGCCAAGCTCCGCCCCTATTCCAGAACGTTCAACAGAAATGGAACTTCTTCCGTGCGATGCTCCAGAAGAACCTCCACTTTTCACAGCTCGGACCCCGAATGTCAAGCGCCTCTTCCTTCCGAGAACCTCTAAACAACGGAACGGAGAGGACGAGGAGCCGTCGACGCATGTGATGCTCTCTAAGATTCTGGCTCAGCTGACCATGCTGGAAGTGCTGGATCTTTCGTATTGGACCAAAACGGATGATCTCAGATGCCTGATACCTCTCGCGCCCACGTTGACTTGTCTCGTTTTGTACGATGTTCCGGATCTCTATCACGCTGTGCCAAATATTTGCCATTTAACCGAACTAAGGTGGGCTCAATGATTTCTAGAATTTATTTGAACAAAATATTTTTCCAGAGTGCTCGACGTCTCGCAATCGAATCGTGACACCGGAATGTACCCCCGTCCGGTATCCACCCTCAATCAGCTGGTTCTCAGTCTCCGCAAGCTCACCCACCTGGACATTTCCTCCACGAATCTCGCCGCCCAGCCCTCGTCTCATGACAATCCGACGCGGTCCCGCGACGTCGTCCGCTCCGACATCTCCGGACTTCAGTCCCTCGAGCGACGACTCAAATATCTGGGACTTTTCAATTGCGACAACGCCTCGCACGTTCGCGAAATCCCGGCTGATTTGGTGTCGGGAGACGCGAACGAGGAGCAAGTGATAACGTCGCTCAAGATGTACAAAGATCGCGCGGGACTGCTGCAGAACGTGCTCAACGAGAGCTATCAGCTCTACCGCTTCGGCAACAGTAATCCTTTGGTTCGGGCGGGTCGTCACACGGAAGCCCTTCATCTGGTTCTCGACGCGATGCACCGTCATCTCGCCGACAGCACTCTCCAGATTGCCGGGTCCGCCTCGCTCTTCTACATCATCCGCAAAGTGGACATGAACCGAGACACGAAGCGACGCGTGGTCAGCGCGCTTCTCAGCGGGATGGAGGTTCACATGGAGGAACAGGTGATGGTCCGGAACTGCTGTCTCTCGTTGTGCCAGTTTGAGATTCCGCAGGACATTCTCTTCGACTACAGGTACGTGGCAAAAGCTCGTCGGCGCCGGAAGGTGCAAGTGAAAGAGAAACAGTGTAGTTTCAGCCGACTCGCCGTCCTCCTCGTCACCGTCCTCCAACACCACAACGCCGACAATTTGACGCAGCGAATCGTCGTCTTCCTACTCAACTCGATGGCGTGCCACGTGGAGGGCGACCAGAAAGTGCAGGTGGGAAGTTTCGGAGCGATCGAGATGATTCTCGATCAAATCGCCCGCAAACACAACGCGAACGTGTGCGACGACGTGATGGAAGTCGGCTGGAGTTTCCTGTGGAACATCACCGACGAGACGCCCGTCAACTGTCAGCGATTCCTCGAGGCGAAAGGCCTCGATCTCTTCCAAAAGTGCTATGAAGCGTTCAAAACGGAACGAGAGCTCGTGCGCAACATGATGGGACTGATAGGAAACATTGCGGAAGTGGACGAGTTGCGCTCTCAACTCATGAAGGACGACTACGTGAACATCTTCTGCGCGCTGCTCGAGTCGCAGGAAGAATCCATCGAGATTAGCTACAACTCGGCGGGAGTGCTCGCGCACATGGTCTCGGATGGAGAGGAGGTCTGGAAGACAATGACCGTCTGCCGGCACGAAGTGATGAAGCAGATTGTGCAGGCGACGTCCACGTGGAAGCTCGCCACGCGCCGCTTTATAAACTATCGCTCGTTCCGTCCGATTCTTCGCCTCTTGCCTCTTTATCACGCCTACGCCAGCCAGCATTGGGCCGTCTGGGCGCTGGCCAATTTGACAACGACCGACGGAGAAAAGTGAGTTATCTCATCGGGCCCCGAACGCTCTACAATGTCATTTCCAGATATTGTGCGTACGTGCGTGACGAAGGAGGCGTTCCGCTACTCGAAGAGCTTTCTCTCAACATAACGACCACGTCGGAAATCCGACAGCTGGCCCGTACCGTACTCGACAACATTCGTCAAGTGGAGAAGAAGTAAGTCCAGCTCTCCGCCCACTTCTCATCACGCCTTCTTGTGCCCTTTTCCTTTTTTGAAAAAAAACCCTTGAGAGTCGTCTTTTTTTGTTTTTAGAGCTCGTAAATCGGCGATCAGACCCCAAAAACGGTCGCGTGACCCGGCCGATGATGGCGACGACGAGTACTGAACCCGAAGATAGACGCCCCGCGCCGAGAGTCCAACACTTCTATCCACTTCTTCTTCTTCTTCTTCTTCTCATTCATTGGGGACCTCTACTTTTGTGTGGGTAGGGGGGGCAGGCCATCTTTCGTTTCTTCTTCTTCGTTTTTCCGAAAGGGCAACGCACTGAATCGAGCTTCAGAACGATGTGCTTTCCGACGTTCGGCCACGAATCGGCTATAATTATGTGCATACTTCCAGAGGTCTTCCTGACTGCTCATCCCCTCTGCAAATTGTGTCCGATTCGGAAGATGTCGAAATGGAGGTGGAAGAGGCGGACGATGAAATTATAAACATAATGGACTGAACGCGAACTCGCCACATGCCCCCTTTGAATCTTTTCGGGTCTTTCACCTCTCCCATCCCTTTCCTGTCTGTGTTACCTCCTAAGTCAAACAAAAAAGAAGCCCCGTCAGTTGTCCCGCAGAATGCCATAGGATGTGTTTTTTCCTTCACTTTTCTCCCTTTTCCAACTTGTTCAGTCGATTCCGCAACTGATTCCCCCCGCTAACACTCTGTACATTTCTTTCAAAACTCTGTACTCCCGGTTTTCATCCTCTTTCCCGTCTTTTTTCAGTTTTCACGCTCTCTTGTTTCTCTTTCCTCGTGCAATGGGCGACTGATTCGAACCCAGCGAATCGGTGTTGACCCACTTCTCTCTCTCTTATCATTCTTTCTGTTTTGTTTCCGTCAAAAAGTCACCCACCAACTGTTGTATTTTTGTACATCAATCCTCTGCACACCTCATAGATACGCATACACCTATGCTAATCTTTTGATCATCATCATTCAAAAAACTGTTTTTGTGGTTTTTCCCGGATAATAAAAAATTCTGCTTTTACGACATCTATGCGAAACTAATACTTGGAGGGAAGGTAATAGAAGGAAAGAACAATCGGGTGTTATGAGAATAAAAATGAGATTTAGACGCTTGGGAGTTCATCCGAATACGGAACTCTTCCGTGACTTCCGTAGGCGGCAATTGCGAGGCGTTTGAACGCCGTCGTAGCGAACTGCTCCACGTCCTTCGGCTGAACCTTCTGGATCTCGGCAATGAGCTCCGATTGCTCTGGGCCCTTGTGAAGAGCATTAGTAGCGTGCTCGTAGGCGGAAAACACTGTGTTCTCGGCATTGAAGAGCACCTCGTTGATAGCGCGGCGTTTGCAGCCTGAAGATGAGAAGTACAAATAAAACAACAGAAAATGGTCACCTTCGATATCCTGCACCTTTGGAGTTTTCAAAGCATCGACGGCGGCTCTCACGGCTCCGTCAGCGTTAGCTCCAGAAGCCAGGAGATATGCTCCAACGAGTCCGCTCCCGTCGTACGATGCCTGGAACGAGCTTCCGACGACTCCAGATGGAAGAGTGGACAGTCCAGAAGTAGATCCGGGAATAGAGGCGAATTTCAACGGAGAAACACGTCCAATGTGGGCCAAGAAAACGGCCTGAGTAGCGCGAGCCTTGAGGTTTCCGATCGGAGCTCCACTTCCGGCCACGATGATGTGCACGTCGTTTCCACGGGCGAAACGACGGTAGTCCCCTCCCTGAATTCACAATATTTCCAGGCTTTCTGTGAATTTCTCACTCTGAAAGGCGCCTCGTGGTTGGTGATAAGTCTTCCGTCGGCGATGGATCCCGATTCCTCAGCGTAGTTCTTTAGAATTTCTCCGTCGACGTTGACTCCGACGAGCACTCCGTTTCCGCTCACAAAGTGTTTCTCGGCGAACTTCGAGAGCTCATCGCTTTTGTAAGCACCAACTTCGCGCTTGGAAGAGAAAAGAGAGAAGGACAAAGAGTCATTTCTGTAAGTTTCCAGTATTTCAGATATTTCATCAAGAGTAAAACCTAAATGCAGCACGGTGAATATCCTCGAAAACGATTTGATATGGCGTCTTTTGAGATAAGTCAGCCAGAATCGTCGGAGCCACATCTTCCAGCTCCCATGGCTTGAACGCCGGCTTGGCGGCCAAGTGGCCAAGAATCGAAAGGGCGTAGGCGGCATGATCTCTCGCCACACTGATCTGGACTCCGAAAATATCGCGAGTTGCGAATGAGCTCAAATTGGCTCCACTAGCCGCCGACGACCAGACGAGCTGGAGTCCTGGGTAGGATTGAGCATCACGACCGACAAAGTTGCGAATGTGATGAACGAGTCCTTGCTGGTTGCTCGCTTGGTAGCGGGAACCGGCTCGAAAGGCGAGAACCTGAAGTGTTCATATTTCGAACAGAATTCCAGATAGAATCTCACCAGCTGACTGACAGCTCCGTTATTATCTTGTGCCACGACACTGAGACCATTACTGAGCTGAAAACCGAATGAATTCGATGGAGAAACAATGTTTTAAGTACCTTGGTTTTGAGCGACGCAGCTTTATTCTGTGCCTTGGCGGCAGCAGCGCTTCGGGAGACGATCGTAGATCTCATTTTACCTATAAACGAACAACATTTTCAAAAAATACAATAGAAAATGGTCAGAAAAGTATAAAAATGGTCTGAAAAACTGGCGAGTAAAACTTGCGCGATCTGCAGATCCGGCATTTTAACTTACGGAAACTTGCGGATTTCGAAAACGACCGTAAAACTAATATTCTGTTTCAGCTGGGCAATTTGAAGAAAAACACGGAAACTGTGTGAATTACCTGCACAAGATAGATAATCAGATTAAAAATGGCTTGACTTCTCCACGGGCCGGCAAGGCATACGGAGGACTGGACATTGTGAAGCTGTAACTTCTCACAGCCTGGATCATTTTGAAGAACACAGTAAAATTAAACTTTTATTAAAAAATCAGAGATCCCTATGTTCGATTTCTGGAGATAACTTGAAAAAACCGAAAGTCCCATGTATGAAAAGCCGGGCCCTGTTCTCTCGAAGATCATTTGTCGGGATTTGTAAGTCCCCTTCAATAAACTTGTATAAAATAAAGATAACATTTCAAACTTTCCGAGGCGCCAGTTAAGAAATTCCTAGAAAAGTTTGAGAATTTCTTGAAAAAGTTTGAGAAAGTCTTGGAAAAGTGGCGGTCCAACATAATAGAACTGCGCAGAATAGAACCGCGACACAATAGAACCGGCCACAATATAACTGTTTGGAGCGCCTTTTAAGCCTTTCTGTAGTATAATTGTTTCGTAGAAAAAGATAATTTTTTAATCTCGTGATCGATTTAATTTCACTTCCGTCGTGATCTCTCTTCTCTACGGTAACGAAAACCCACAGAAAATAATTTTATTGTTTTATCAAAAACGAAAGGAAACCAATTTTCTAGGTTTAAACTGTGGTCTTCTGCTTATTATAGGGGCGCCGGACAGAAAGGACGCGCTGTTCGCAATCTGGCAGAATTTCTAGGTCGCGAAGTAATTTTCCACTGAAAACGTGGCCTAACTTTTCAAACTCGGCCCCGAGGTCGCTCAATTTGCACTGCAAAAAGAGTTTCTCAACAGAGCGCTATTTCTGTGCGGTGCCCCTATAATGATTGTTCGAGAGACGAAAAACTTTGCGAAATTTAATTGAAAGGAACGGACAAAATGCTCATATAAATGCGGTTCTATTCTGCCCCGTTCTATTATGTTGGACCACCGGAAAAGTTTTGAGATCTCTGTTCAATCGCATGACTCTCCCATTTGAAATGCCATAAAATCATCGTTCGCTGAGTCATTCATTCAGTTATCAGCACTTAAGTTTGTCTCGGAAACAGCCCGTCCGTGATAATGACGCCACTAGACTATAAAATCTGATTCCTCGAAATTTCTTCCCCGATATCCGATCCTGCAGGCCCTTTGAAATCCATCGAAATTGCCAAATGTCGTGTACTCACAATGTACTGTGGAACATTCTCGTACTCAGTTCTTCCTCTTTTCTCGTTCCTGATAACTTCTCTCTTTGAGCAAACAAACGACTTATGACGGGGCGGAGAATCATGCCAACGCACGCGAAACTTCATAAACAAACCGATGGAAACTGATAAACCGTCGCATAAAAGCGATGCCACGAAGCCAATGATTTACACTTTTTCTCAACTTTCAAGCGTATTTCGAAAAGAATTCAGAAACTGATGACTCATAATCAAAATCCGCCCCTTTCTCCTCGGTATAAATAGCCTTCTCGTCGTTTCTGTTTACTTTTATCGAGAAAAAGACGAGGCAGACCCTTTCGATCATTGTTTTTTCTCGCCAACCCATCACTTTTTATCGAAAAACTCGAACTAAATTCACATTTTTGCAGAAATGATTGGACACGGAGCCGGAATCAACTTTCGCACCGAGTACTTCAACCCGACGACGCCCGTCAACATCCCAGTGCAGGGCTTCTCCAACGGATCCCGTCTCCGCCTCGTCATTCTGCCGGGCAACGACTCCCGCTTCCACATCAACCTCCGCACTCCCGACGACATCGTGCTCCACTTCAACCCACGCTTCGACGAGGGAGCCCTCGTGAACAACTCGACTTCCGGAGGCGGATGGCAATCGGAGGACCGTCACCCGCTGCCGTTCGAGCAGAACAAGGTGTACACGGTGGAGTTCGTCTCGAACGGAGGCATCATCTCGACCTTTATCAACGGAAATCACTTTGCCGACTTTGTCGAGAGAACTCCGTCGCAAGGAGTGCACCTGGTCGAAATTGACGGAGGAGTTCACGTTCACTCGGCTCACATTTCTCACTAATTTCATTTTTATATGGTTTTGAAATAAATTGTCCAAGTTCTGGAACGATGTCCATAAAAGGCGAGCGTTTTTTCGAAGAAATGCTGCATCAGAACGCATTGAATTAATCAAAATAAGTTAAAGTACAGAAAAGGGCGAAGGGGGAGATATTTTTGATCGGGAACTCACCGCCACGTCGTTCTCATCGTCTTCCGCACGGCGATCCGCCTGAGCTGGCACGACCACTCCAAAAAAAAAGTTTCGGAATTCTGTTTCTGCCGTTGTAACTTGGAACTCTTGATTTTTAATCATTCTTCACGAGACATCGAGACCTTGAAAAAAACCAGACTTGCAACGGGCCGGGCCAAAACTGGAAATTTTCCGGAAACCTTGGAAACCAGCCCGGCCCGGCCCGGTCGGCCCGGGAGGATGCACCTAAAAATTCAAAGCGAACTAGAACTTCGAAACGAACATAATTTTATAGACTTAAAATTTTATAGACTTAAAAAGGCAATGTTATAGCATAAAAACCTGTTAAAAAATAGAAATTGCTGTTTAAAGTTGCAAAATTTTCACAAAAATTACGAAAATTTTCTCAAGAGTGGGCGGAGCCGGGCCGGGCCGGGCCGACGATTTGCTGGCCCGGCCCGGGATTTGGCAAGTCTGAAAAAAACAGGTTTATTGATCTAAAGTTTGATCACAATGGATGTCTGATTTAAATACAAGTGAATCATTTTATCCCCATCCGAAGCCCGGGTATCCACCGAATCCTCCGTATGGATATCCTCCGTATCCGCCGTATCCGCCCCACGGACGGTATCCCCAGCCGCCTCCGTAACCTCCGTATCCTCCGTACCAACGACGTAGTCTCGCCTGTCTGCAAGTGAATTCTACAGTAATCTGAACAATCAAAGTTCGACTTACGGCGTGAGACTATTAGCGACTTCTTTTCCAGAATCATCCATCTTCTCCGAGGATATGCCATATCCTTCCGACGCTTTGGTGATCAATGGAACAGAAAATGATCCGAGAGCAAGGAAAACAACACAAAATACAGTTAAGAATTTCATTTTTGACACTTTTTTTCCAATTTCAGCTGGTTATATACTATTGTTGACCGTCTACCGGCCGGGAAGGGGCGGGGCATTCTTGCACGAGAAATCTCTAATAAGGTTGCATACTGATAAATATGTTATGTCATTCTTGTGATTTTTCACGAGTTTTTGTCATTTTGATGTACTATTCCCCTGAATTTGCCGAATTTTGGTGAATAAACAACAAATGTAGTGTGTCGTCCGAGAGAATGACACAAGGCGCGGACGAAGTTTCGTTAATGAAAAGCTAGTCCGCGCGGTATTTTTTCAAGCTTTCAGCTCGTTTTCGGCAGATTTCAGCCGGAAAATGAAGGTCTACAGGCTCCCGCTGAGGATTACAAAACGGTTCAATTCGTGAGTGTGCTTTATCAAGTTTTTAGAGCAAAGATAATGTTACAGAAGAGATTACCGGTTAGCAAACAATGAAAAGTCGGTGACAGTAGATTTGGGAGCTAAAAACAGCATTGAATTGAAAACAGGTGGGCTGAAATTTTTAATAATTCCTAGAGAAACCTTGAAAAATGTGTTTTGCGCAAAAATAAAAACGAGAAACATCGAAAAAGCGGACATTTCCAGGCCACATTGCCAGGTTCGCTTCGGCGGCCGTCGTTGCGTCATCTGGAGACAATTCAGTGATGGCGACAGTCGTTCAGAGAAAAACCAATCAAGGAGACGGAAACGGAGTGCCTCTGCAAGTGGAATACCGGTGCGTTTATGGGAAATGCTCGGGAAAGTGAACTATTTTCAATCCTTTCAAGCTCGGAAAAATGTTAATATCGAATAAATTTCACTATTTTTCAGACCTTCCGCCTCTGCAGTCGGCCGTATTCCCACCAACTTCCTCCGCCGTGAACTCAGCCAGTCTGACACGGAAATTTTAATTTCCCGAGCCATCGACCGATCGATTCGTCCGCTGCTGCCGGGCAACTCTTACGAGACCCAAGTTATCTGCAAACCTTTGGCTCTGGATGAGAACGCCGATCAGATCATGCTCGGAATCAACGCCGCCGCCGCCGCTCTTCACATCTCTCCCGCTCCGTTCACAGGCCCTCTGGCGGCCCTCCGAATCGCCATGGATTCGAGGGGAAACTTCCAAGTGAATCCATCGAAAGACGAGCTCAATTCCTCCGCTCTCAACCTCATTATCGCGATGAGAAAATTTCAAAGAACAGTAATGGTAGAGTTGGACGCGCACGAAACACAGGCGGAGCACTTGGAAGGAGCACTCGACGTCGCATTCCAAAACGTCGAAAAACTGCACGACGCGATGGATCAGTTGGCGCTAGAAGTGGGCAACACGAAGTCCGTTCTGCCGTTCAAATCGTTCCCAAAGATCGAAGCCGTTCTGGAGACGTTAGCCAGAGAACGCATTTACTATGTGATGACCGATTCAACGCACGACAAAGTCTCCCGAGACCAGGAAATCAGTGCGATCCACTATGAAGTGCTCGAGTCGCCCGAGATTCAGAGCTTCGAAAAGGAGAACGTCACGAGATGCTTCTATTCTCTGGTAAAGGAAGTGCTCCGTGACACCGTGCTCACATCAGGAATCAGATGCGACGGCCGGAAGACGACCGACTTCCGTCCGATCACAATTCACGTGGACATGTACAAGAAGTTGCACGGATGCTCGATGTTCCAGAGAGGACAGACCCAAGTGCTCTCCACCGTCACTTTCGACAGTCCGACCGCCGCTTTCCATCCGGACTCCGTCGCTCAATTGCTCGGATCGCAACGAAAGAAGGCGTTCATGCTGCACTACGAGTTTCCCGCCTACGCAACCAATGAGATCGGGGTAGGATGCAGTACTCGGGCAGCCACGTGATCTTTCTAGAACATCACTTTGTTTTGTGGTTTTTAATGCGGTTCACTTCGCCTCTTAATCTTTCAGTATTTCATTTCTTCAATTGAAAGTATAATTCACCTTTCCAGACCGCCCGTTCACTGAATCGCCGTGAAATCGGTCATGGAGCCCTTGCCGAAAAAGCCCTCAAGAACCTTTTCCCCAAAGATTTTCCGTACGCCACCCGTCTCGCCTGCCAAGTGCTTGAATCCAACGGATCTTCGTCGATGGCGTCCGTGTGCGGCGGCTCTCTCGCTCTTTTCGACGCGGGCGTTCCGATGAAGAACGCGGCGGCCGGCGTGGCGATCGGACTCATCACAGATCCGAAGCAGCCGGACGAGAACTACAAGGTGCTCACGGACATTCTCGGCATTGAGGACTACGCAGGCGACATGGACTTCAAAGGTTCGCATCACATCTGAATCTCCGTCCATTTCAACTTTTTACTTTTCCAGTTGCCGGCACGGAGCGAGGCCTCACCGCCGCCCAAATGGACGTGAAGAATGACGGTCTGACGCGCGAGCAGTTCACGCGGAGCATCCAGGCGGCCCGCGACGGCATCGACCACGTGCTCGCAAAGATGAAAGTGATGCGGGATCGGCCGAGAGAGCACTTCAAACCCAGCGTTCCGATCATCCAATCGATGCGGATCGAGCCGCACAAGCGGGTCACTCTTTTCAGAAACAACGGATACAATTGCAAACTGATCGAGGCGGAAACTGGTGTGAAAGTACGTTTCGCAAAAGCGTTTTGGCTCTGATTAACGATAATTTGTTCAGATAACGGCGGAGGACGAGGCGAATATCTCATTTTTAGCGCAGGATAAGGAAAAGTTGCAGAAGGCGTTGGATTTGATGAATGAGTAAGAAAGTCTTTAAATTGAAGTCCCAGAACCGCGTCTTTTCTTGCAGAGTCCTCGAGAGCAACGCCACCCTCGACTTCGCCTTCGGATCCATCGTCCAGGCGGAAATCGTGGAGATCATCGAACGGGGCGTTTACGTGAGCCTTCCGGGCAGCTCCCGTCGTATCTTTATGAGCAACAACCATCTGAGTCTCCACCCGGTCCGTCATCCGGATGTGCTCGGGCTCCACATCGGCGACAAAATGAGCGTGCATTGGTTCGGACGCGACGAGCACACTGGAAACATCCGACTTTCGCGGAAGACGCTCTCCGGCGCCGCCACCCCAGCCGTTCAGAATATGAAATAGTCCAGTTTTTCTTTCTTTCTTCATTTTGCTCAATTTTTCTGTCAAATGCGGGTGTTGTTATTATCCTTCTTCATATTTTTCTTGTTGATTTCCCAGTTTTCTAGTTGTTTTAAATGGTAAACTTTAGTTTCTGAAGCGACAGGAAAAAAAGAATAGAATAGAAGCGGAAGAGATGGGACAGTGACCCGATGAGAAATGGGGGGAAAAGGTAGAGAAAGTCTAATCGAAAAGGGGAAAGGAGAAGCATAGTATCTGTTTAGGGGTGTGAATCAGAATTGAATATCAATGAGGGCACGTTCGATTCTTCTCGACGGAAGAATCATCCGAGGAGAGCCTTCTGCATGGCAACGCCGAGCTTGGCCGGAGAATCGGTGACGACGACGTTCGCGTTGCGGAGCGCCTCGATCTTGTCCCCTGCGGTTCCCTTCCCTCCTGCAATGATGGCTCCGGCATGTCCCATCCGTCTGCCTGGCGGCGCGGTCACTCCGGCGATGAACGAGACGACCGGCTTCGCGTTGGGGCCCGAGTTGCGGGACTTGAGGAACTCGGCGGCCTGCTCTTCGGCCTGTCCACCGATCTCTCCGATCAGAATGATGCCCTTGGTGGCGTCGTCCTCCAGGAACACCTCGAGACAATCGATGAAGTTGGTGCCGTTGAACGGATCTCCCCCGATTCCGATGCAACGAGTCTGTCCCAGTCCGACGGTGGTCGTCTGGTGAACGGCCTCATAGGTGAGGGTTCCCGAACGGGACACGATTCCGATGCAACCCTTCTTGTGGATGTGTCCGGGCATGATTCCGATCTTGCACTCTCCCGAAGCAATGATACCCGGGCAGTTCGGTCCGAGCAGGCGGGATTTGTCTGAAAAATATTGGAAATAACACATGACGTTCTATAGATCTCGCTCACTTTGCTTGAGGAGTCTGTTCTTGACTCTGACCATGTCCTGCTGCGGAATTCCTTCGGTGATGGCCACGATCAATCCAATCTCAGCGTCGATGGCCTCATGAATAGCACGGGCGGCACCGGAAGCCGGCACGTAGATGACGGTAGCGTCGGCTCCGGTACGATCCTTCGCCTCCGCAACGGACCCGAAGACGGGAAGTCCGAGATGGGTTTGTCCGGCTTTGTTCGGCGAAACTCCGCCCACCACCTGGGTGTTGTATTCGAGCATCTGCTTGCCATGGAAAGTTCCTTGACGACCGGTGAAGCCCTGAAAGCTTTTTGTTCGCAATAAGACCAGACATCCTTTTTTCTTTTCGTTTAATCTTTTGCAAGCGGGGGAGAAAGATCAAACAATCATCCCCTTCCCTATCTCTTTTTCTCTTCTTACCTGGATGATGACTTTCGTGCTTTTGTTGATCATCAGATTGTTGCGCGTGTCGTTGTAGACGCTTCGGGTGACTGCGCGAGTCGCCGCACGAGCTGCCGATGCCAAAGTGCTCGCCATATTCTGGAAGATGCCCAGATGGTTCTGAAGCGCAAGATGGACACGGTAGGCGGACGAAAACAATTAAAAGAGTCTAGAGTGTAGACTAGACAGAAGCGGAAATTACTTGATATGCTGACGAAAGAATGATGAGAATGGTGTGAGAGGAGCGTCGATTCGTGGAAGATAACCAGCGAGAGACAGTAGGTGATAAGGAAAACGGCTGGACGTGGTGGCCACGCGACCATTAGTGATCACTGGACTTTGTCCTCTTCGCAGTAATCGAGTGCGTTTTCCTCCTCGGAGGCTACAAAGGTTTCCGAGAATGCTCTCTAGGGGAATCAGGAAAGTGACTAGGTGCTCAAGGATCGGATTTGGAAGACGAAGAGCTTTACACTTTCACTAATGGATTTCCTTCGAGCTCATGGAGCTCACAACAAGATGCTCATTATTTTATCTTCATACTAAATCAATGCGTACACAAACTGCTCAAGTGAGCAATTCTCCCGCCTGCACACCAGAAATAACCTTTGCTGGTTACTATGCCATGAGAAAATACGTATTTAAGAACCTTGCACAGCTGATGGCATTCACGTGAAAAACATGTTTACCGCATGCGGACTTTCTCACTTTTGAAAAGAGCGCGAACGGAAGTCAGAGGCTTGGGAGATTCTCATGGAAATGCTACAATTTTCTGGAATTTGTAGAATGGATACTACAATTCAATCAATAGCAATCACAGAGACTGACTAAGGGGACTAGAATCCGATCAAGAATAACGTATTTTCGCTCGTTTGTAGACAAAACAAAAAACAGCGTCAATCTTTTGCACTCACTCTTCACAACGCGTAGTATTGCGTAGTTTATTTGCCAGTGTCCGAATTTTTCCGCCTATCGGTGGAAGTGCAAAGAGGAGGGGAAAATCGGAAATCACTCTGCCGAACACAAGTTTTGCAGGAGAAGACGAAAGAATCCGAGGTGGGAGAGACGCAGAGAGACCCTCCGAAAAACGACGTTTATCGCTTTTTAACGAAAAACAGAGGGGAGCGAAAAAGGCGGTCCTTTTCTTTCCTCTCCGCTCCCTTCTTTTACGAGTGTTCTCGTAGGAGAGAGGAGAGAAAAAGCGAGAAAGAGCTGAGCAGCGGACACACACGGGAGGCGTTGACGTTTTTTCTAAAATGAGTGGGAGGATGAGAGAAATGGGAGAACGAGAAAGGAGTAGCGAAACTAGAGCAAATAATTTAGAAAATGGCCTGCTCTTTTCAGGAAAAAATTGCACAACTTTTTTCGAAAACAATGCAAACGCGCTCTGCTGATAAGCTTATCAGGCGGCAGTTCAAACATGGAATTGTAGTTTAAATTTAGATTCGGAAATTATTCTCGAAATCGTAAATTCTACGGATCTCTGTTTGATTAAACTTTGAAACTTCGCGCACAGAAGAATTCTCGACAGAGCGCATTTACTCCTCGTCGAACCAATCTTTAGAATTCTCATTTTTCGCATTTTCCACAGCTCTCAAATGCCGCCCGGCAAAAAAGACCAGTGCAAAGCCTGCGGAGGTTATGAGTTTGCTCTCAACGATGGATTCATGTATTGCGAGCGATGCGGAGCTCTGCTCGAGGTGAAATTCATTGAAAAATCCGTGAAAATCGATAAAATCCGCCTTGTTCCAGAACTTCGAAGAGATGGAAGAGGAAGAGGGAGGAATTAATCACACGATTGGAAAAGGAAAGATTAATATTAAAAAGAAGACGGAAGATGGGGAAAGTGGAAAAAAAGAAAAACGAAAAACCATGCTGCCGCCTAAATTGAGCGGCGGAAAACGGATCGAAATTGCACTGGAGAAGCGGGCAGAGTTCCTGAAAGCGCAGGCAGTTCACAAGGAAAAGTAGGCGTACATTTAATTCTGGAGAATATCTGAAAAGCCCATATTCCAGCCTTCCCTTCGATCAAACCCCGGATTATCTGCACGGAATCGGCGTCCGCTTGTTCGCTTTCACCCAAATACTCTCCAAATCTATCTACATCCTCGTCCAAGAGCTGGGATTCGAGGCATCACTGCAGAAAAATGCGTTGGCAGTGTTCCAAAAGTATTTGGCACACTGTAAAGTCGCTTTTTGTGCAGATGAGCAGTGTGGAAACGATGAGCAATTGAGATTCGTGGCTATCATGGAAAATATTCACTAGTAAGGCCATCTCTCAGCGAAAAACAACAAACGTGACGAAAAGTTTGCAGCGAAGAGGAAGCGCGTGCAGAAAAACGGCGGAAAAAGCTGGAAAAACGGGGGAAAGGAGTGAGGGCTCTGAGCAAATCGGCGGCTGCGTGGCAGTTGCTGACGCAGGGAAACTTGACCGAGAATCTGGAATTGGTGTCGGAAGAAGAAGAGGAAGAGGAGGAAGACGAAGAGCAGAGGGGAGAAGAAGCAGAAGACGACGCCGACGATGAAGACCCCGAAGAAACGGTGGCGGTGAACGACACAACTATGGGATTCCTGAGAAAAGTGACGACGGCTCTCTCGAAAGAAGCGCTCCGAAGGGCGTCGCAGATTGTGATCAATCTGGAGGTGCTCGTGGCGATTGTCCATTCGGCAATGCTGTGCAGTGGATACCAGAACGTGTTCGTTTCGGACATTGTTCGGTGGATTCGCGAGGATCGCTTCCGCATCTCCCTCAAAGCCATCAAGTCGCTCAATCGCGGTTTCATCGACTTCAAAAAACCGACTGTGGAAGAGTCTAACACGGCGGTCTTCACTGCGGAACACTTCTTAGTACGAATTCTTCTGAATATCATAAGTTTCCAAAATCCAAACTATTTTCAGAAGTTTCCATTGTACGAAATCGTCCGAACTTCCACCCTTTTCCATCAGTCTCTGCGGTTAGAAAAGAACATGGCGCCGAATAGTTTCGAGAAGCTCGCCGCCCGTCTCATCGACAACCTGAACCTTCCGGTCGACATTCTCAGCCGAGTGCTTCTTCTCGAGTCCATCGTCCCTTGTGACTTGTCCCTAATGCTCCAGAAGCAAGTGGACGTCCGGATGGGCAAAGATTTCGAGCAGCTGACCGGAACCGTCCCGAAACTCAACAACGAAGCATTCATGACGTGCTTCGGACGGAAGGATATGTACGGAGTGGAGACCAAGTCGGACGAGTGGGTTTTTCTTTGCATTTTTTTCTGAAACCGCGATTCTTCCTTCAGAGTAATCCTTTGCAACGACTCCAAAGTCCTGGCGTACATTCTTCTGGCTCTCAAGCTCACTTTTAACCTGGATACTGCTCGCTGCTCGAGTTCCACTCACGCAAACGATAATCAATTCGATATTGACACGTGGATCCATCAGTTGGAGATGAGAATCAAGTGCTGGCAGGGACACGATATGAGCATGGTTCTGAGGACGACGTAAGGTATTCGCAGCAGCTTAGGGATCAATCTTTCCACTTTCAGATGCCCAATTCCAGAGATTCACATGCAAACCCCGCTCGGACCGGATCATTTGATGTAAGCAATCAACTATTTCTGTCATTCTAAAGCCCCCCCTTCTACCTACTTACCTGTAAAATGAAAAGCACTGAAAAGGGAGAACTTCTCAGCCATCTGTCCGCTTTTATGGGCACAGATGAAGAACAGAACTCGACTTTTGGCGCGAACGTAGTTGTAACGAAGAAATGGAAAATGGAAAACTGTTTCAGTTTCGCGAGAGACAGTCTGCCGTTCGCCGTCCGTCACCGTCGTCAAATCGGTTTCCGAGACTGCATTCCCTCGGAAATGTCCTTCCATTCCACCTCGAACCTTCCGACCGTCTTTGACGTTCGAAGCCATCGCTTCCAGAAAGATCGGCGGAAAAGCGAAGCGACTCTAGCGCCGTTGAAGTTTCAAACAACTGTACTGCGCAAAGAGATGGAGATGAATTCCGAAAAGTTTGAGAATATCGATGAGGATTCGGAGAAGACGTTTTTCAAGGATTTTACAGTAGTTCTTCAGTGTTAGAATCGGATAATATTTGTATGATTTTAGAACTTCAAAACGACGGAAATGGCTGAAAGTTTCGATGAACTCTTTCCATGCGCCAGTTCTTATTCTGTCAGTTTGATTCATCAACCAAACCTTTTCATTTCAAGAAAACAACTTTTAGCAGTATCCGAGACCCGATTGGATTAGCTATTGCACGGCCAGAAAGTCCAAGTTGACACCGGTAAGAGCAAATTATAAAAATCCTCCGAATCATTCTTCCATTCAGAAAACCGGGCCGCTCCGTTTTCTGCTGAGCCGAGAAGCGTGCGACGATCTGCTCAACGTGGCCGCCTTCGGATTTTCCGATCGTTTCCGATTCCTTCTCTCCTCGTTCTCGCTCCTTATCGGTGAAGATCAGATGGCGGTCTACGCGGCGTTTGTGATGCTCGAAATGCATCTGACGGGCGGCTCGAAACTCGAAAAGCTTCGCGAAGATCTGGTCAAATCGACGCCGATTCGAATCAACGGACAGACGTACAGCTCCTCGTCGTTCCATCCGAAGTTCAAGCAGGGCATCATCACCGATTCGCCCATTCACAGTATCAATCAGCTGAGATGGTTCAAGTTGACCGAGAAGTTTTTCGATCAGGAGGAGGATCTGCAGGCGGAAGAAGCGGCTTATCTGCAGGAGACTCGGAATCACGGGATCCGGAGGCTCGGGAAGGAGCAGGAGGAGATCGCGAAAAAGTATGACATCAATGCTTGCTTCGAATTCGAAACGTTCTTTCAAATCTTAGCCATCAAATTCTGGTGATTTTTGTTGATTTTTTATTGTTGAAAAATTGTTGTTATTATCATTTACAATGAGAAAGTCGATCACAGTTTTGGTTGGGGGGTTCGGTTGGAAAATGGCAAAGTTTTGAAGAGAACAAATACAAGAATTATTTAAAAGCGTTGTTCAAATGTAGACGAGCGGCTCCGAATCGGTGCTCTTTGTGAAATGCGACAGGGCCGTCATCCAACGGCTCCTCTCCGACTCCTCTTTGAAAGAGAAGCAGAAGCCGGGGAAGTGACGGGCGTAGCCGGTTTTCGAGGCGGAGATCATGGTGGCGTTGAAGGCGTTCGGCGACTTTCGCGAAGATTCCGCGCCGACGTACCAGATCACCTCGTCCAGTGGCCACGATTTCCAAAGTTTCTCGTTTCGGAATGCGGCAATCTGAAATGAGGACAACAAGTGTGAAACGAAACGACGAAGGCTTTCACTCACTGATGTTCCGTTCTCGATCTTCACTTCGTACGACTTGAACTGTTTGGATCCCGGCTCGGCGACCTTCACTTTCCCGGTAAAACAAGACATTTCCGTGCCGTCGAATCGATATTTGTCGTGATCGAACAGCAGGAAGGCGTCCTTGCAGCGCCAGTCGATCCATTGCAAGAAGCACTTGTTCACCTTCTGCGCGGCCGGAAGACGTCGCACGAGTTGTCCTTCGCAAAGGCACTCGAAGACGGCGTACGGCGAATCGGCGGGGCCATCGAATCCCCGTTTTGCGACCGCTTCCCGGCACACCTCTTCGCACGCGAGGCTCGTTTTCACGTTGAACGCCCGGTTGTCCTTCTCCCACACGTGCACGGCGACCATGAAATCGGGGCTCGGCTTCTTCGCGTTCACCGACTTCTTCTCGGCGTCGTTGACCATTTGGCGGGAGAGCTCTTCTTCCATACTGATCTGAAAGAGTTGTCGGATTAAATATGATTCTCGAAGCACAGCTCACCTGGAAAATGGTATCGTAGCCCGTGATGAGATGAATCATCGCGTTGATCTGATGGTTGTACGTCTCGCCGAACACTTTCTGCTCCATCGAATCCGTCAGAAACAGACTCGCTCCGAACACTTTGGCCAGGTTTTCGACGCTCGCTCTGTTCTCCGTCGCGTGTTCGGAGACGTTCCGAAGGTGGGCCACCAGTTTTTTGAGTGTCGCGTGGTGGACTGTCGGCAGTTGCTCGATGAGCTCGGCGTACCGATTCCACAGCGTTTCCGATTGCGCCTCGAGTGCCAAGTCGAACAGATCGGCCTGCGAACTGCTGGGGAAGAGGGGCTCGTCGAGTTTGCGGAAAAACTGACGGAGCACATCCGCGACGGCGTAGACGGTCTCGTCGGTTTCTTGAACTGGATAATATCCGACAGGGTCTGGAACATTGAGATATTGTAGTTTTGAAGATGTGCAACGTGGTCTAGTTTAGAAACCTACAATATCGGTTTTCCATTAAAATAATAACAACCTCTGCTCCTCCTACTTTTTTTTTATTTCTGATTATACACTCCATGTAAAACAAATCACAATCCTTTTCGAATACTTTCAAATGCTTTCTTCTATTCTTGGAGGTATCTTTTCCCACGTTTCAAGTCTCCACCCTCTTTTCAGTTTTTCTAACAATGACCGTACTCATTTGGACGTGCGGCCGAAACAAATCCACATCGTCTTCGGTATCCGATTCGAAAAAGGAGGTGAAGAAGGAGGAATTGGATGAGAATGAAGAGGAGGAGGACGAGAAGCGGAGGAGACGGAAGAAAGAGAGGAAGAAAGAGAAGAAGAAAAAGAAGGAGAAGGAGCGGAAGAAGAGAAGGGACTTGAGAGGAAGTCCCGAGGATGCTCCCATTGATGTGGGTCATCAGGACCTCTCGCTCTTCTGATCAATAATATTGCAGGCTCCCCGACAAATCCCACTGAACGAGAAGGAGCAAAAGATCGCGAAGGGACTGAAAGTGGCCAGTGGTGCCTACCCGACTCTCGACAATCTCAAGTCTGATTGGGACGATAACGATTGAAAATTTGAATCACCTTCTGTCAATTTTGTCAAAATCATTTTCGCCTCGGTCACTTTTCCGTTTCTCCGGTAGATTCCTTCGGATTTCATGCCGTAGGCGGACACGAATCGAATGCATTTGTCAACAATCTGAAAGGGTTTGGGTTACTGTAATGTAAGATTGCGCGGTGCTTACCACTGGAACATTCTCCCCGGTCAGTCGAAGATTCTCCAGACGGCTCTGTGGCTTCTTGATGAGCGTATCGATGGCGTCGAACCAGTTGGAGGTTGTCGGATCGTCGCGCGAGTCGATGTAGAGGGTCACTCCGTTCAGAGTCATTGAGAACGGTCCCCTCTTGTGCTTTACGTGCGCACAGAACTCCGTCTTGTCGATGCGGTCTCTCATAGTCATCACCTTCCTCAAATCCACGTCAACCAGCTCTTCCATGGAGCAGTTCCTGTTCAGAATTCGATCGCGAAAGTCGGAGAGCATGTAGTAAAGCGTCATATTTGTGATGCCGACTGCGCAGTTCCGCCATTCCCCTGTCGTTCCGTGCTTGATCCACACATTTCCACAGATGTTCAACTCCTGCACGTCTTTGAGAGCCGGCGTCAGGCCGTAATGAAGGGAGAGCCACGCTTCGGAGATCATGAACATCCACGAGTCAGAGGAGTCCTCGGGCACGAACGAGACGACTGTTCGCTTCTCGCCAATGTGGATGAGGATCGGGGAGCAGAGCGAGGCGGCGGTGGAGGTGCTCGCAGAGTCCTGAGGGGTGTCCCGACGGATTTGACGGAACATGTAGATGTCTTTGATGTCGAACGGACCGCTCACGGCGTCGGTGGACTCTTCGTCTTCGTGGAAGCTCAGTTGCATGTTGCGGAGGCGTCCGTGAAGGCGTTTTTCCCTCCGTGTCTGAAAACTCAATGATGAATATGAAAGTCAGACGTCAGAAGTTCAGAACTTACACTTGTGAGACAGACGAATCCGACGTAGGCGATGGAGCTTCCGTCGATTTTCACTTTGCCCGCTTCTCTCACAAAATTCTCCTCGGAATCGTCCGATAATCGGGAGATCGTATCCGACGCCAACGGAGCAATGTTCACATAAGCGTGCGGAAGAGGACTCGGCGTCGTCGTCGTGGACATCGTCACTTCTGGAGCACACGCCTCCACGACGTTGTCCAAGTCCACAGATCCTTTGCTCTTCTCGCCGGCTCCACTGAACAGTTCGTGCGGGGACACGTAGTGATTCTGTCGGGACGAGGAGCCGAACGACTGTCTCGAGCTGTTGGCGGAGAAGAAGGCGTCGTCGAACGGATCGACGGTCGAGCCGATGAACTCGGAGCTCGAATAGTCGCTCCGTCGCGGGCACGGCGTGTACGGATTCTCTTCGTGGTGGGAGGAAGTAGAGGTGCCCGATTGGGCAGATATGTTGAGATCGATCGGACGGTGCGCCGAGGATGATTCAGCTTCTTCCTCCTCGGTCAGCCACTCGGTCACTTGCTCGCAATCCGGTGATTCTGTGGGTGCTACAAAGAAAAAAGATTGGAAGAGAGTTATTCTCAAAAGCTTACGATTGCTCGGAGAAGGCGTGATCCCTGAGATTGCTCTGAAGTTGTCCAAACAAAGGTAGATGGGATTCTCGATAGTTTGTTGGCCCGAGTATTGCGTATTTGATGAAGATGGGCCAGACTGAGGAGACAGATCCACGTCGATCGGGATTGCAGGAAGCGGACGGCTGCAAGGATCCTAATTATTTCCGATTACAAGAACGCTCACTCACTTCGAATGACTGCCACCTCTCTCGGGCACCAACGGCTTCTGCCCCACTTCCGGTTTCCATCCTGGCGGCGGTGGAGGTCTCGGCGGGGGCGGGGCGTGTCTCGTGGGCGGACTCATGCATTCGGGATCCACGGGCGGTATCAGTCCGATCTCCGGCGGTCTCGGAGTCTCCCCCACTCGTACTTGAAGCTCTCCGATCACATTTCCAAAGGTCTCCGCGGTCGAGTGATTGAGCACGGTGCGTGGCGGTTTGGCTGGTGGTCTCGGGGGTACTGCCGGTGGGGACGGCGATTTGGGCACTGTGTCGGCAAGGCTCAAAGGGACGTCTTCGAGCTCTTGGGCTCTGCGGAATCGGACTTCTTGTCCGTTTTCGAAAGGCTGTGGAATTGGAGGGACTGGGGAGATCTGCTCGTTTTGGGTCGGCTGAAAGAGAAACGTTTTGGAATCGGAATACGTCAGAACTCATCCACGAACCTGATTAAAACTAGAAATGGTCCCATTCGGACTGGGACTGTCAGCGAACTTTGTTCTGGGTTTAGGCACCGGAGCCGCCATCTCTGAAGGCTGCAAATGTACGAATTGATACTGAAAAGAAGCCGAGAAAGATGGGATGCGTCATTCAAAATATGAGAAATTGAAAAACAGATCGGAAAAGTAAACAAATAATGGGCGAGAGGAGATAGAAAAGAGAGACGGAGAGAAGGAGACGGAGGCGAGAATCGATTGATCCGCAAAGGAGCATGAGATCGACAAATAAGGGGCAAAATGGAGCAAACATGGAGTAACTTGAGCATTTTTGTAAACTTTGTACTATATTTTGGCTCGTCTTTTTGTTCTTTCTCAATTTTTGTTTGTTCGAGTTGGAGAGGAGGGCGACTTTGATGACAAATTTTAGTTGGCACGTACTTAGTACAGTTTGAGCTCGAATGAATCCGAATTCTTGATGTTTTTTTTTTTTGCGGCCGCGTTTTCACCTGGGATTGCGGTAGAACGACATTGCCAAATTTTCAAACGCCGATTTAAATTAATATTGCACACCGTAAAAACAAATTCAAAGAACACGATCAGCTACAAAGTCGTAGAGCATGAAATAGTCTATTTAATGGTGTTTTGACTGAGACAAAATCTTTCAAATTGGCCTAGAAAAGACGGAGCAAAGTCATGATAGCGATTTTCTGAACGGAGCGAAAGTGCAAGTTCATCCCGTTTTCAAACAAGAGCATTTGCACAAAAACGGCGCTCAAAATAGCGTTTCGCTGCGGAAACGGAAAACAATGATGTATTTCGTCCGTTCCGATTGTCCTTTTCTCGCAAAAAACGCGCCGTATTTGTGTGTTTGATCGGTGAGCCTCGATGAGGTGAAACGGAGAAACCTAATGTGAAAATCAAATACGAAATGAGGTAAATCAATTCGAATGGAAATGATGGTTTGGTTCAAGGACGGATTGATGAGAATGGATTCCGATTTGGAAGAGGTGAAAAGAGAATATTCGAAAAGTTGTGGGAGTAAGGAAAATGAGTAAATATTTGTTGCACCTGAACTTCCTGGGAGGCGGAAATGTTACTTTATCAGTGTTTTTGGAAGATTCTTTTAATGAAAAGCTTTTAATATTATCGGTTGACAAAGTTCGACGGGCCTCAAAGCGAAGTACAGTTTTCGTTTCGAGACCCAATTCGGAATATTTCACCAGTCCACCAGCACCGATCGAACGAGCAGAAGACACCTTCCAACCTCGAGAAGTGCTTGGTCACAACAGGGAAAAGAGAGTGAGTAAGGAAGAGAGACGCAGAGAAAGAGGACGAGAGTGTGGGAATCAGTGGGGACGCAGACGGAGAGTCGGAGGGAAAGTGAGAGAGAGAGGGAGAAATGAGTCATCGACGACCGTCGGGGGACGGTCGTTTACTCAAACAGAACAAGCAAGGAAAACAGAAGAAACGGGAAGGAAGGCAAGTGATTACGAAATGAGGGATTACTTCCATCCGGCTATTTAAATCCATAATCGTTTTGAAATTGCGGACTTAATATTGACACCTTTAAATGTTTAATTAAAGTGAGCGTCTCGACGTTAAGAAACATATTTCCAAGAATCCGGGCCGGAGACTTTACCGGCCCGGAAGTTACACCTAGAACAAATGAAAACATGAAAACCGCGTGCGGTAAAAATTCTAAAATCGGTCGCTCTGCCCACTTTTGAACAAAACTTGGGACCCGAGAAAAAGGGGTTTCGGGGGGAAAACAAATTTCATTGAACTGGGACAAAACACTAAATATCACAGTCTAGCGATAAGATAACAATTGCGTGCCTAGGGGATCTTTTTGATGGCCTTTCCGCTAGCGTACTGTAGGCCCGAGTAGACGGTGGTGAAGGCGGTGGCGCATCCGAGGCCGAACACGGCGTCCTGGGCGCCCGCGGAGAATTCAAAGACGGGCGAGGCGAGTGAGAGGGCGACGAGCGACAGTTGCAACACAGTGTTGATCTGGAAGCAAACGAAGAGTTTATATAAAACTTTCTCGAAGATTCTTGAAAGTTTTCTGTCAATCACCTTGCTCATCATCGTCGGCACCACTTGCATCGATGAGACCTGGGGATTAAAGAATCGATTGAGCGAGTACGGCGGGTCCATGCTCTGATAGCGTTTGTAGAAACCTCCCGTAATGAGACACACGTCACGAAGAATGACGATCGAGGTGAGGGGAACTGAAAATCATTTTTGTTAATAAAATGTTCTGGAAACGAGTGCTTACGTGGAATGAGACCAGCATGCGTCATAGTGACGAACATGGTCGAAATGAGCAGTTTATCGGCGACCGGATCCAGAACCGACCCGAGCAGCGATTTCTGGCCGGGCACATTCCGAGCTATCCAACCGTCCAGAAGATCTGTGGCTCCGGCGACGGTGAAAAGTGCGAAAGCGGGCGTGAAATGGTGCTGGACGACCAGGTAACCGATTAGTGGAGTGGCCGCGATTCTGAAGGAGAGAAAATGCTTCAAAATCGTAACTTTTTGTAATCAAAACGTGTAACGGCTTGTATTAGCTTATTTCACCGAAAGAATCAATTTTCTGACTAAAAAAATTCAAAAACTCCGCGATAAGTCCGTTGAACAGTTTTATTTGAATTACCTGGCAGCACAGATGGCATTTGGTATGGTGGCCACCTTGTACCGTCCTCGCTCCTCGGGAGGAAGTTCTTTTACTCTCGAAGGCTCGTTGTGCTGATACCTACAGTGAAAAAAGCTTCAAAATCTCTTTTCGAGATAAGTTTCTACCGTTTGCCAGCTGTAGGAATAACCATTTGCCGCCGGAGAGTCCACGAAAAGGTGAGTCTAAAACGGGCGATTTGACCGAATGCACACGTCGCCATCATTTTTCCATCTGATCATTATACTCCCATTAGCAAGTCAATCTGAGATTCAAAATCGAATTCAAATCAAAATTGGGGAATTGGGAGTCGAAATAAAGTTCCGCGAATCCACGAGTTTGATGAAGGATGTGGGCAGAAAACGATCAACAGTCAAAAGCAATTCATTAGCCAAAATCTATGAAAGATCGGTCGGCAAACGAAATCACTATAAAACATGGCGACGAGGCCGTCTATACTAAAATTTTCATGATGAATTCAATTAATCGGTGCTGTAGTCGAATGAAGAAGAGCCTATTTGCGGTTGCGGTAGCTCTGTGGTGGTCTGATGGCCTCTTCGAAGGCGAAGAGGTTGGTGTAGACAGCGGTGGCGAACGACGAGATGAAGAAGATCGAAGAGATCGCCAAGTAGGTGTTGAACTTGCTCTGAAGCTCTCCGTACACCTTCTTGTACGGCTGGAACGGAACAGCCATCAAGTCGAAGTTGCATGGCGGGCCTGGGTTGGCGACCTGCAAGGAAAATGGGTTTAATCTTGAAATTAGCGATTTCTACAAAGGACTTACGTGGTGTCCGTGTCCGTGACGCTTTTGAGCGAAACGGCTGAGAGCCAAGAAGCGGCTGACGGCGGTGCGGTTCATCCTGAAATTATAAGTTTAAAAAAGGGTAATCCCGAGAAAACAGCAATAAAATACACAGTTCAAAACGAAATAGATCAACAGAGAATACATTTCTGAAAAAAAATTACAAACGTGATGATTTCCAGGTTTTATTAATAAATATATTTCTGAAATTTTCACCGTAACTTTCAAACCCGTTTTCTCGGGAAAAATCGGATCGCAAACATTGAAGATTCACACCAACATGCATTCTACAATATTATCGAAATTCCGATAACTTATCAGCAAAAAACCCGTCGAAAATCGATGAGAATCGTAAAGTTTGAGCTGAAAAACGAGCGGGCGGCCGAAATCGATTGCGCTAAACAGAGCGCAGTGTCGAGGCGGAGTGTCGTTGCAAGAATTTATTTGCCCTCGCGTGCTACGGTAGATGCCTTATTTTTCCGCACTATTTGACGGCTGCGTACCGTATTTTCCGAATTTTTCTGTTTCCAATTCAAGTTCACAGTTTTGCTCGTCCTTTTCCACAAAAACGCAAATGATTCGATCGTCGAATCTCTCGTGAAACTTGCAAAGAAGTGACTACCGTAGTTTTGGGCCATTATCGATTTTTCCATTTTCGTACGGTAACTTTTGTAGAATCATGGCCGAGCAGCCGACACATGAAGAAATGTTGTTAGAACAACAGCAGAACCTCATGGAGCAGCCGCCGATGGAGCACCATCTCCATTTGTCTCCGATCGATAAGGAAACTGATGAGGCACTGAATACCGACCAGCCGCCGGCTCAGGAAGTTCCGGTGAGCGAGAGAGACAATTCAATTTGTTTAATTGACATTAGAAAACTGACAGGGGAAATTCAAAACTTTTGTAAACAAAGTAAATATTATGAATTTTTAATAGCTTATGAAAAATAACTGTATTTTCTCTACTTTTTTTCACTAATTATCTAATCATTGCAGTTCCCGCTCAGAGACATGCAAGTCGCCGAACAAATGAAGAGAATGATTGTCGACCTGCAGCGCATCTGGCTCACAGAATACCATAATTCTCGCGAGAAAGCGCTCGTGGAGCTCACCGAGAAGCTTCATCAGGAGTTCCTGGCCGATCAGCAGAAAATCCGAGCGGAGCTGCTCGGCCAGTTCAAAGACGAACTCGAGCAGACAAGAACCGATTTGGAGATGAAATATCGTGAGAATCTGAAGCAGGAGAGTGCGAAGCTCGTCGAGAAGCACAAGCGGGAGCTCGCTGCGTCCAAGAAAAAGCAGTGGTGCTGGTCGTGCGAGAATGAGGTGAGAGATTTGCATTGCATTCAAAAGTCTGGCCACGTCCCTCACGAACTGTATTTTGTAGGCGATCTACCACTGCTGCTGGAACACGGCCTACTGCTCGGTCGAATGCCAGCAGGGACACTGGCAGACTCACCGCAAATTCTGCCGCCGAAAGAAGGGAAACAATGCTCCGGGAGCCGGCGCCGTCAATCTCCCCGCCCAATAAACGCCCGCCACGTCCGTTTTACCTGTATTTCCATTGTCTCTCAATTCCATTTCTCGGCCCTCTTTGTCCCGTTTGCTCATGGCCCTAGCTCGCTTTCCAATTCTTTTCCACAACAAGACTACCACCAACTACTGGGGACCGTACCAACCAACTCAAGATCTCCCAGTCAAATTCCGTCGAATCTTTTAACCGTATACAACCAAACTCGTGTTTTATCGCTTTTCTTTTGCGTATTATATGGCCTTCCATTCTTTTCGCGCTTTTTTTTTTTAAAGACTGTAACATATTCGTGTTTCTTATTTTTCGTTAAATGTAATAAAGCGATTCATGTGGTTCCTTGCTATTGCAAATTTTTTTGTTAATTTTTTTCAAATAGAAGTCGCTTGGATTTCTATTATTTCTAAATATTTTGAAACTGAAAAGCTGGCAAAAAAATTTGCGAAAAACCGACTTTTCGGGAGTTAAAGTAAACATTTCAAATCTTATCACGGAAACGGCTCGTTTTTGACCAAAAAAGCTATGGTTTTTGGCTTTCCAACAAGCTTTTGAGGGGAAGCACGATGTCGGTTCGCATTTTTCAGAACTTTTCTCACAAGAATGGCGGAATCGCCGTCTAATCGTCAGACGATCCGGCTCGTTGGTCAGCATCAAATGCCACCAATATCGGTAGAAGACGTCATCGGAGAAGCGGAAGGCGGAACGGAGAACGACTATGTGGACGAGAGAGCCAAAAGACTCATCGGAGAGCTCCAGAAGCACTGGCTCACCGATTATCACAATTCGCGCGAGAAATCGCTCGTCGAACTCACCGAAAAAGTGCGCGCATTCCGACGCTTCCCGGCACATTTCCAGCTCTTTTCTTGCAGCTCCACCAAGAATTCCTGGCCGATCAGCAGAAGATCCGTTCGGAGCTGCTGCAGCAGTTCAAAGAAGAGCTCGAGCAGACGAGATCCGATTTGGAGCTCAAGTATCGGGAGCAGCTGAAGCTCGAGGGAACCAAAATGACGGAGAAGCACCGCCGAGAGCTGTCCGACTCAAAGAAGAAGCAGTGGTGCTGTCAGTGCGAGAACGAGGTGCGTCGGCAGAGAAATTTGGGTCAGATTCGGATAAGTTTGCAGGCGATCTATCACTGCTGCTGGAATACGGCATACTGCTCGGTCGAGTGTCAACAGAATCACTGGCAGAATCACCGTCGAACGTGCCGTCGCAAGAAAGTGAACACTCACGGAATCATTCCCGGACAGTGACCTATTTCATTATTTTTTCATTTCCAACTAATCCCGATGGTCTCCCTCTTTCTTCCGCTCAGATCTCATTTTTACCCCGTCAAGCGTGTTCTTCTCTTTTTTGTTATTCAGAATTTCCGCATCACTCAAAATTCTATTAGATTCATCATAATCATTCTCGACATTGATTCTTTGTTCCTTTTTTGATGTTGGAAAAATTCGAAATTTTATTAACCCTGAGTTTGAATAGGATAGCGGATAGATCAGATTGGGCTCAGAGCCAGATCCAATTGGAGGAGGGAGAGCTGCGAGGAGACCTTTGAAAGCTTCGCAGAAACATCTGGATTAGCCAGGTTCGCAAGGGATTTTGAGAGAAATAATTGGAAAACTGGGCCAGAGTCGCCGTTCAGCACGGCCAGGAGTAAAGATTTGAGCTCCGCGGTGGTTAGATAGGAAACTATCTGAAAATGTGCGAAAACGGAGTTAGAACGAGATGAAACCTAACCTGTTGAGTATCGGATATCAAAACTTGATACTTATTCGACAAATCCGTCAACTTTTGTGTCTGGAATCCAGTGCACAAATAGGCGGATTCGGCGATGAGGCCGTTGACCACTTCCCGAACATTCGTGTAGTTCAAATTTGTCTCGAACGTCGAGTTATTCTGAATTTCCTGGCCCAGTATAAAAGTGCATTGAGCGGTTTTGGGCGTGGGCGTCGGGAAGACGAACGGCGGAATTGTGGGGAAAGTGGGAAGATTCTGCCAGAAATTGGCGTCCAAGGTGGGAAGCGGCGGGAGCGTCGGCAGGTTATTCTGCAGAATGAATCCGGAAGGAATCAGAGTGCGGCGCTCCGGCGAACACTCACCCAGAAATTGGGGTCCAACGTGGGAATTTGAATGGGCGGGATCGTTGGGAGATTCTTCTGAAATTCTCTAAATCGATTTTATCTTTTTTCACTCAGCTCACCCAAAAGTCAGGATCCAGCGTCGGAATTTGAATGGGCGGAATCGTCGGCAGATTCTTCTGGAGAATAGGATCCCTGATTACGGTAGTTCTTGCCAACTCACCCAGAAATTCGGATCAAGCGTCGGAAGCACAATCGGCGGAATTGTCGGAATGTTCTTCTGAATCGAAAAACCGTGTTTAGGTGCCTGAAATGAAGACTAACCAGAATATCATCCCAATTGATGGTCGGAATGTTTAGAATCGAAGGATCGGCAGTCGCTACGGATACATCCGTTTCAACGCCTTCGACGCCAACGTCTCCGGACACTTTGGCCGACAATGAACACGTCTGAAAGGACCATGATCCAACGGGACCGTTCCCGAACTCACCGCAAAAGCGATCCACGTCCAAAAGACCGCCGAGACTCGCATCCTTTCACTAAAAAATGCTCCAAACTTGTCGACAATTGCCATTTTATATGTCAGACATGCTTGACTTTTGGAAGCTGTTCAAACAATAATACATCACAATTTGTATTTTTCGCAGACGATCAGAACAAAAAACGGAAAAGAATAGAGACGAGTGCGGGGAGGAGAAGCTGCGGAGCATTCGAGAAGTTGGTGCTCGAAAGGAGGGACGCGTCCGTCGCGAACACTGTGTTCTTTGTCGTCAGCTGCAAATGACGATGTATCTCGGCTGCCGGTTCAGATATCGAAAAGTTGTAATCAGAATGTTTCAATGAACATTTTATTAGTTGACAACTTTTTTATATCTCTACGGGCGGCTGAGATATATAGGCGCTTACGTAGAAAATGGTTCCAGCCAATGGCTGAGAGAGCTTGGAAGAAAACGAAGAGCTGTTGAACAAACATGTGGTGTCGAAGCACGATGAGCCCAGGATCATGTCTTCTGTAACAGTTTCTTTTGAAATAGCTCTAGAAAGTGTGAAGCGTTTACGTGGCAGAGTTCCCTCGAAGTTGACGGGAGAAGCGGTGTAGTAGACGAGGACGATGTACTCGGAGCGATCTGAAGATCATAGCGTCTTCTGGTATGAACTAGCTATTCTCTCACATGAATCCTGTTTCGGCATCGACGCCGAGCTATCCAAATAAGCGATGAATCTCTGCGATGACGTCACGTTGATCGTCTGACTCGGCTGCCCGACAATTATATTGTAGTTCAAGAGAACAGCGAACGGTTTGTAGAGTGGATCTGTACGGATTGTGTGCAAAATGTCAAGGCTGAGGGGTCCTTACCGACTACAGTAACCACGTGAACGTATCCAGGATTGAGGGTCGATGCGAGACTGACCGACTGGACGATTCCGGTAATGTAGCTCGGAAAACTGAGGACTACCAGCTCGTCGCCCACGTGGATTGGCGGGAAATTCAAAATTGAACTGGCGGGAGAGAGTTGGACCTAAACGGCTTTTTGTTTCAAGTTGATGTATTCCAGCTGTCTGTAGAGATATCGAAAAGTGTTCTTACAGTCTGAATAAGAGAATACGGAGCCTGTGGGAGAATGTTCGGAGTGAGCTGCTTCTCCGAATACCCTGAAAAACGATGTCTCTCTTTCAACGTTTCAAAACAGCTTGATCTCACAATCGGAAATGGTCATGCGGCCACTTTCACAACAGAGATACAGAGTGGAACCGGTCGAGTTGTCGGTGGATAATCTGCAAAAAAAAATCGTTGGCATTCCGGCAATCGACGTGGGCCGACAGACCTACAAGTGAATCCGGAAGGGCACTCGGAACGGTCGTCGGGATTGCACACTTGGTAATCGAACGGAGTCGCGTTGCCGGGACATAGTTTTTGAGCGAAAGTGCCTCCTGAACAACAAGGATCAACTCTGTGGGGACTGTATTTTGATTCCAAATTGGGATAATACATATGTACTCTATACTTTTCAGTAAACTCGCAGCACATTTGGAGGTACCCTGTTAGCTAAAACAAATTACCTAAGAGGCCCAGAAAAACAATCGCAATCAGCATAATACCAACGGGGGAAAGGGGGTGTCGTGGATTGCTCTCTGCGCTCCGAAAGCCTGCGAATGACTGATGTTTGTTCAGATGGTCCTCATCGATTGACTCTGACTTCTCTTTACTGACTCTTTATGACTCATTTTCACTTTCAAAGAGGTTTATTAAAGGAAACCCGTACGCACAAAACATCGGAAAGGAAATGTAGAGAAGAGAGGAATTGTTAGAGAGGAATGGGGTGGTCTCGCCACGAAAAGAAACGGACGAACGGACTATCTGGCGGGACGGTCGACGAGTCGGAACGCCTCCAGCAACTCGTTCAAGTCGATGAAGCCGTCCTTGTTGAAGTCGATCGATTGGGCGATTTGCGAAATGTAATCGGTTTGCAGCGGACGTTTTGTGTACTTTCCGAGGACCTGAACGAGGAGTGATCACTTAGAAACGGATAATATTCGTAGTATTCATACCTCGCAAGCATCGATGAACTCTTGCATCGAGACCTGTCCCGAGTTGTCTTTGTCCATGAATCGGAACAATGTTTCCAGAGTGCTTTTGTGCCGATAGAGCGACTCGACAATATCCTTTTCCTGCGCATGCGTCCCTCCGACCTGGGCGATCTTCCGATCTTCCCTGTACATCACGTACTTTCCGTCTTCGCTGAGAATGGAGACTTTCGGAGCAAGAGCTATCCACGGCAGGTTGAGCCCGGTGATTCGCTCTACGCATTCGCTCCATTTCAGAATCGGGAGCTTGCCTGAAAGTAGATGTATTCCAGTTGTTTGTAGAGATATCAAAATGTTGTCAACAGATGAAATGTACACAATGTCTTCATCAACAGTTTGTTAGTTGGTCACTTTTTGATATCTATTCAGGTAGCTGAGCCACATCGTCTTGAATGAACAGTACCTGTATTCTCCACATCCACATTGTCAAACTCTTTGTGCAGTTCGGTGTGGAACGAGCTCAACTTCTCTTTTAATTCCTTCACCGCCGACTCTTCGACGACGCCCAATCGCTCCCTTAACGTCGACTTCCGATGCGTCTTGCTCGCCATATACTGCACAAAGTGCGGCTGTTTCGACTTGCCGATAAACTTGACATAGGCGCCCCGATTGCTGCCCGTCTCGTAGTAGTTCGAGGCGGAGAACACAGTGAGACACGTGTTGTTGTGCGTGAATTCGTAGCCTTCAAACTTGCATTCGTGCGAGCGGACGAGCAGTCGGAAGCCGTGCTTTTCGAGGAACGAGGCGGTGATGTCGGCGCCAAAGTACGAACCGCCGCCACGGAAGACGTTCGGCCAGCAGCCCTGCAAACAACGTCTTCTCACCGTCTCTCTTCTCCCGCCGCTCACCTTATTCTGCTTGGGATCACTCCACATGATGTCGAGCATCTGCTTCCATTCGTCCACGTTCACCGCCGAGTTCTCCTGCTTCTCCTGCTCCACGCCCTTGTTGACGGGCGGTCGGAGCACCGACTGAAACCGATGACGTGGAATCTTTTCGAGTTTCTCCACGTCCGTCTGATCCGAAATGCCTCCGTGCACCACAAATATGTCACGATCGACGATGGTCGCAATCGGAAGCCACGAGAAGACGTCCTCGAGAAGACGGCAGATCGGAGTGGAGAGGTCCTTGTACTTGGTCGACAGTTCTTTGATGAACCCGTATCGCAGGTTCATTATGTGATCTTCGTGGTTGCCGCGATTCAGGTAAATCGCCATGGGATCGACGATGACGAGCGCGAAGAGAACGCACAGAACTTCGATGGATTGACCGCCTCTGTCCACAAAGTCGCCGTTGAAAATGTACGGATTGTCGACCGACGGATAGCCGTTTTTGTAGAGAATAATGCAGAGATCGTCGAACTTTCCGTGCAAGTCTCCGCAAATTGTGATCTAAAACCTCGAGGTTCAAAATATGCTGCAAGATTGGAAGAGTACCTGATTGGAAATGGAGGTGGATATTCTGGAGACTGACGGCATGCTCTTGAAGATCTTCCGCGCTTCCTGGAGAATCATGAGCACGTACTTGGGATGGAGCACCTTGTTCACTTTGAATGCCTCGATCATCTTTGCGATTTGCGGTTTGTCAAGAGGCAGAGTGAGGATCGGACCCTGCAAAATAGCTCGTTTTTGCCGCTTTTTTCTTCCAATAGTCTATCAGACCTTGTAATTTCTGTCCACCTCAATGTTGGCTGGCGACGTGTCTTCCAACATTTTCCGTATCGATTCGCCTTCAGAGGCCGCCAACGACGGCTTCGCGTAATGAGAAAGGGCGCTCATCAGCGGCGAGTCGCGTCCGTTCTCATTCTTCCCATTTTCAGCTGCCATCGCCCGGATGACGTCGGCGAAGAAGTCGTACAACTGAAAACCCTTGTGCTCCCTTTCAATTCGCTTCCGGATGATACCTTCAGCTGATCTTGTTCTCCGGCGTACTCGAGAGCGGTGAAGATTTGCCATGTGGCTCGGCGACGCGCTTCCAGTCGCGCTTCGCACCGACGGTACCATTTCTGGATGAGAATCGCCGATTTTATCGCTGCAAATAGCCGCGTTTCGAAGGCACGTCATTTGACGGAAATTGGACGAATTTCCGGGTGAGTCGGAAGAAGATACGTGACAAGTGGTTTTCTATTTTTAAAATACAAAGTTAGTGATGGTGCAAGTTCCTAGGAAGGGCACTGACGCACATGCACACAAGCTTAGAGGAAGTGAAGAAGGAGAGTGCGAAGAGGCGGATAATCTCACTGAGCTGCGGCTGCGGCGACGGAGATCGCTGCTTCTTGCTCCGTCGTTTCTTCGAGTGCTTCGTCGAGGATGTGCCCGAAGCATCCTTTGACGATTTCTTGTCTCCGGATGCCGAGTTGTTGTTCTGGCTCGACGAGGAAGCACGTAACGAGTTCTTTTCTAGGATTTGCGATGATAAAGGGAAGGGTAAAGATAAATGGAGCACTTCAAGTCAACTTCAACCCAAAGAAGACCCCTTTCAATCACTCACTTAGCTCCGTCGATGGCTGCTGACGTGGGCTCGATGGGCCACAACCCATCTGCAGTCGGAAATCTGAAACAGAAACGGTACGGTGTGCAGTAGGATTTGATTCGTGAAAAGCGAGAGAGAGAGAGAGGGAAAGTGAGCGGCTGGCTGCTAATCCTGAAATGTTCCCTTATAGTTAGCATATCCGAGTCACACTAATCCGCCCATCCCGATGATCTAATTCCTTTTCGACGCCCGTCACTTTCGGCTCCGATTGACGTACGAAACTTCTTTTGGTTGCCAAGAAGAGAAAAGGAAGTGACTTCAGATGATTGGAATCGAATTAGAGAGAGAGAGAGAGAGAGAGAGAGAGAGAGAGAGAGAGAGAGAGAGAGAGAGAGAGAGAGAGAGAGAGAGAGAGAGAGAGAGAGAGAGAGAGAGAGAGAGAGAGAGAGAGAGAGAGAGAGAGAGAGAGAGAGAGAGAGAGAGAGAGAGAGAGAGAGAGGAATAGAGCAATGAGCAGTATGACAAGTGGCAATTAGACCTTTTTATGCTCACAAGAAACGCTTGCTTGAGAATGAGTGAGACGTTCTGATCTATGAATGCTTTCTTGCTTCACAAGGGTTCCCACAGAGCATCATTCAAACTATTGCAGTTCATACCAAAAGCTTCGGACTTTATCTGCATACATTTTTCTATAATTTGTGCAAGCTCGGTCGGAAAACCGTAATTAAACTGTAATAGAAGGGCGCCCAAGTACCGTTCATTTATGACAGTACATCCCGGCTGCCGGTGGAGATACTGAAATGTGGTTAACTGAAAAATTGCTCAAAAAGACATTTTAAACATCTTATCAGTTGATAATTGTGGTGCCATTCTATTACAGTGTGTACGGTAAGAGGGAGAATCCGCTTAGCTTTTTCAGCAGAAGGTAATTGAAGGTGAAGCCGTTCTCACTATATTTATTAAAACTTTCGAAGAAAGCAACGCATTATCAGTCGAAAATTCTCGAAAGCTGCTATAATATCATTGAAGAAGCGAACCAGACAATTCTCCTCACACTTCGATGGCTTGCTAATCTTGTTATTGAGCGGACGAACAAGGAAAGGAAGAATCGGGGGGAAACGAAACAAATAATAGAAATTTCAGAGAGGCCCTCGGGAGTATTATGGATTCACATCATCAAATCAAGCGTTAGCCTCGGAAGGCATGAGCCTGCCAAGCATACACATGGCTACTAATTATTATCATTCATAGATATGTACATATGTGTGTATCTTCTTCTTCTTCTTCTTCTCTCTCTCTCTCTCTCTGTCTCTCTTTCTCTCTTTCTCTCTTTCTCTCTTTGAGGGTGGGCCACCACCGTCAGCAGGTTGGTTGTGTGAGCTCTTCTTGCCTTCTCTGACGACGAGCATGAAAGATGCACGGAGACGAAAATATTATGGAAGTGAAGTGATAAATAGATATGCGGCTTCTTCTCTTTCTCTCTAGATGCTCATTGAGCAAGACATTGGACGATAGTACTAGTGGAACACACAAGGGGAGGTCTTGTATAGACTACATAGAAGGCGTAGAATAAACCAGTTGTGTTCATAGGGGGGTGTGATGAAAAGCAGAGGAAGACGGGTCGGAAGTTGGCAAAATGAGATCAAAACACAACAAGACCAGAAGAAGAAGAAGAAGAAGAAGAAGAAGAAGAAGAAGAAGACGATGTTCTCTGTTCCGTGACCGATTATCCACATAGTTTGGCAATGCGAGTCGCTGATAAGTAAAGTAGAGCCAGAAAGGAAACTTGGAAGTTGGACTGTTCGCAACCGCAAGTGGTTGATTCGGAGAGACTTTACAAGTACTGGTTTGCAATAATGCACTGGTTTTGAAGCGTCCAAACCAACTTTTCTCGAAGACAGTTACCATGATTTCCCGCCAAAAGCTCTGGGCTCTCTCTGCTCTCCTCCTCCCTCACCCCCCACCCTCATGTGCATCTTTTTTTCAGAACTATCTAGAACCGGCGGAATAATTCATGCAAAAGTCATCGGGCCCGGACATAGACGAGCCTGGATCAGAATCGGAAAGTGGCGAACCGAAAGAGAAACGTGAAACGGGTGCAGCAGATGATGATTTGGGAAGTAGGGAGGGAGGGAAAATATACAAATTAGATTGGGGGGACGGCTCTCAATCTCGTCGCTTCGCTTGTTTTTTGTTGATGAGTAGCCGAGAGTATCATTGAATTGAGACGGGCGGACCGCAAGGGAATTGATAGGCGGCTCGGCTCACATTTGAATAATCGGGTCGGAAGGAGAGGAGGAGAGAGAAGAGAAGAGACGCCAAGTTTCCTGTTTTTGAGAGAGAGAGAGAGAGAGAGAGAGAGAGAGAGAGAGAGAGATAACATGATTGAATGGAAAGAGATTTGAGAGGCGACCGGGGGAGCACTCTGCAAAGTGATGAAAGTGCACCGGAGAGGGACGGTTCCGGATTAGAGCGGCGAGTAGTAATCCGTTTCGGGAGCGGTGATTCATGAGCCAATTTAGAGTAGCGTTACAAACCTTTCTGGGCTTTGCATTGACTCTGCGAGCAGGGCTGATCTTTCAGGATAACGCGTACCTTGTGCTTCAGAACTATCATAACAGGCCGGTCGCAATTTGAGACAGAGTAATTATGAAATGAGCGGCCCAGGTTCACAAGTCTTGTTCGTTCATATGATTCGGTACTTCTACAGAAAATCTAACTTCGTCGGATGACAAATAATCAGAGATCCGCGGAATCCGCAAAAAAAGTGTCTTTCCATCCATCATTCCATCCATTAACCTTTTGCCGCTTGTCAGAACCTATGATCGGCACAAGTTTCTATTTAATACAGCTTAATTTGCACGGACCGTTTGAGAATTCTGTATTTATGCCTGGTCCGTGACAAATTTTGTCGGTAAGAAGTTCTCCAAAGGCATCAAGAGAAACAGCAAGTGGCAAACTAGAAAGAACGAAATGAAAACGAACTTCACTGGGATAGAAGATGAGAAAGAGTGTGTGAGCATTTCATGATAAGAGCTCAAAACGCTGCTCGGTTCCAGAGACACCGCCCCTCGGAAACGTGTCACATCAGGGAAAGCGGCCGTTCGAAAAGTAACAACGAGGTGGTTGGTGGTGGTGGCAATGATAACTCGACAACACCGAAATAAAAACATGTTGTCTCTCGTCCCTCCCGGAGAAGCTCTGTTTCCCGTGGTCTCCCGCCCGCCCGTCAGCTGTTTCGGGACCCCGTGCCGCGAGAGAGTGTGTCGAGTGGGGAGACGCATACGGATGGGTGGGCGACACGATCGGATCGTTGAACTTCTCCCGTCGGAGAGGCGATGATGGAGTTATGAAAAGAGGAAACAAGTGGAAGAAGAAGAAGAAGAAGAGCGAGTGCGATTCCGAGCACAAACGTCACTTTTCGATGGGAATCTGCAGACATTCTTCTTCTTTTTCCTTTTCGAAATATCGCATTACGGACGTTTTTGGGGGAAAAGTGCACTCATGATTCAAATAAATAGGCATAAACAATCAGAAATCTTTATTTAAAACACTGGTCTCCTGAAATTCTTAAGGGTAACAAATGTGTATATGTATTTCTGATTTCAGGACGGTTTCAGTATGTCTTAATTACAAAACCTGTAATATAATGTGTTTATTTGTGTTGACATTGCTGATTTTCAGTCAGATGAACGTTTTGTGCATTAGAATATTGCTCTTTTCTGCGATTGTGTAACTGTCGCCTTGCCAAACTCAAATTGCCGCGGTGGCCGCCGCCACTTGGACTAGTTTTTACGCTCGGCCATCGCATTCTTCTGAATTGACTCCCCTCTTTTTCTATCGATTTCCACTAAAATTGCCCGTATTTCCAGTGGAAAAATGCTGCCAACAACGTCCCAACAACCTCAAGAACCTCAAGAACACGAAGAAATTGCCCAACCACAACCAGAAAACCGAAATGAGGCGGGTACGTCGGAAGAACCCGTGGAAATCATCGCAACGGAGGAAATCGTTGGAGAAGAGGGCCAAATCTTCCAGGAACATTTGCAATCCGATCAAATTGCCGTTGTCGATGGCGAGGAGATTATTTTCGCTGTGAGTTTTGAATGAAAAAGTAGACTTACAGTATTTTTTTCTGTGCAGGAAGAAGACTACGTGTACGACACAGTTGTGAGCGTATCCAATGAAAGGAATTACCTTTTTGATGTGAGTTTACTTCAAAAATCGATTTTTTGAGGTCATTATCCGGTTTCAGATGTACCAACCGCACGAGTCAGAGCACGGTACTTTCCTGTGCAAAATATGTATGAGAACCGGAAAACAGACGGAATATCCGGATAGACAGACGTTTGTCGCTCATCGATACAAGTGCCACGGGTCTTTTAATGTCAGTTTTCGAGCAGAATCTGTTTCTTATCCTATTTCTGTTCTGACAATAAAAAATCATCAGTTACAGAACAACGTAATCTGCCCAATACCGGAATGCCGCGAAGTGTACGCCTCCCTCTACACCCTCCGTCGGCATCTGAGCCAACAGCACGATCTTCCGCTCGAAATCCATCAGCAATCGTTCGCGAACATTGGCGAATTCGAAAAGTTTCGTCATTTGGTGGAGGTCACCTCGGGTTGTCGGTACATGATGCACACGAAACAGCCGAAATACCGAAGACAAGTTATGCATTGCGCGAAGAGTGAGCACAAGTTGGTGCTTCAGACTCAGAAGTGAGTGCGCGCGAAAGTTAAAAAAAAAGAAACTGAAAAGAAAACGTTTGCAGACACCGTCTCCCTCGCGAACGCATGGCGAAGGAGGGCTCGGCGTGTCCGTCGGTGATATCGTACCGTGTGAATCCGTACAACGGAGAGGTGAACACCTTCATGCAGCTACTCCACGTGGGCCACGCCCCCGATCACGCGGCCGACGTGGCCGGAAATGCGAACAGCGCCCGTCCGTTGGACATCGTCTTCCCGCAGAAACCGCCGTGCTTCGCCGCCAATCCGATGCAGTACGTGCAGATTGACGTGCACGAAATGCCGACGGCGGTGTACGGAAACAAAATGTACGAGTGCATTCTCGTGGTCACCTGCCTCAAATCTCGATTCATGTGGGCTCGCCCGATGCTCGAGTGCACCCGCACCGCCATCGGACGCATTCTAAACTCGATATTCAACGAGTTCGGAGTGCCCGAAGGCTTCTCCACCACCTACTCGCCCACGTACATTCGGGACACGATGAAAGCGCTGGAGAGCGTTTACGCGGTGGAGATCCGTGAGATCTGGAGCGAACCGCCCCCGTACGCTTCCCTCGAACACTGGGCCATAGAGATGGCCGAGCAGGAGCTGGGGACCCGCAATCGGTGGGTCGAGCAGATGCAGTTCGTGGTGATGGAGTACAATCAGAAGTCAATTCCGGAAAGGCCTGAGACGCCGTTCCAACGAATGTTCAACAGAAGACCGCCGAATTTGTACTCGAACGGAGATGCGAATGTGCCGGATGCGTTGGCTTCGAAAGTGAGACGACATCATCTGGAGCTGAGAAGGGAGGACGGACACGTGACGAGCATGCTCAACACCTGCTTCAATCCCGGAGACAAAGTGTTTCTAAGAAAAGGAATCACGAAGCCGAGAAGAGGGAATAACACACAATTCTACTTCGGAGTCGTTGGCGAACGGGATCTCAGCAACCAGTATTACCCGTACAAAGTTCACTTTTCAAGCACTGACTCTCCGTGGCCCACTGATAGTTCGTCTTGGTCGTATTGAACAGAAAGAAAAACTTGATTTACAGGGAACATGTTCGTGTGGGTCAGTGTTTTCGACCTCCTTCCAACCACCCACGAAGTCCGTGAAATGGCACTCGAAGACCGTCAGGAGACCATTGCCAATCTTCTGTGCACTTGCTCCGGAGAAACGACCAAAGACTTTGATCTGTCCGCGTTCGGAGAGCTCGCCAGAAAGACATCCAAATGCGTTCTCTACCGAAATCTTCACTGCACCAATCAAATGTCGAGGCTCTGCTGTAAAGTGGAGGCCAATCAACGCTGTCGATTCCACGAATTGTATCCAGAGAACGACGAGTCGTATACGGTAGAATTCAGGGAAGACGTTCAACGGTTCAATTAGATTTCTTGCAGAAAATGGAAGCGGCGATGATGTCGTTCAAACATCAGAACAAGCGGATTATTGAGAAGGTGTCGAAAGAGATGGAGAATCATGCGACCCGAGGTCTTCAGGGAGAGGATATCAGCTTTGGAGACGAAGAGGACGAAGACGTGGACATAGAAGACGATCATCCGCCGATTCTGGAGCCGCAAGCTATTCAGCAGATTATGCGGCCGGCGATTGACGAGGAGGAGCAGCTGGAGCCATCGGAACCTCTGGCACCGGCTGTCAAGACTCCCGAGCCCATCGAGTGTGAGGAAGTGGACGAGCAGCTTCTAGAAACTCAGCCGATATTCCGATACGAAGACCCGGAAGAGCATCCTTCGAAGCAGCAATCGTCGCCCAGAAAAAGCCGGAAGAAGAAGGAGGAGGGCGACGAAGCGGAGCCGAAACGACGGAAAATGACTTCTGAAGAACCGTCGGCCTCGGACCGAAGGACGTCTGGAAGAAGGACGATACGACCGAAGAATCTGGACGACTACGTCGAATGATCTCATTTTTCAAACTTTCATTTTACAAGTTTTAATCAACGTCACATTTTTATCTTGAATGTAATAAACCAAAACCCAGAAACCACGCGCGATGTCCCTGAAACTTGCAAATCGATCGATTGCTTTCGAAAAAGTGTGATAATCGGTGGGGTTGACGGGGGGTGTGTTCCGGATCGGACTGATGATGATAGAAGGAGGCGCTGATAAGCACGCGGAGCACGCTGCTCCAACCAACCACCAATCACTGTTTGATTTTTTTGTGCACATTTTCCGGTTTGCCCCAAACTTTCATCGCTAGAAACAATTTGATGTGAATAATGACGATCAATGGGTGCGGAATGCGCCAGGAGGTGAGCGGAAATGGGTCCCGCAGCGAAATGTGAACCGTCATGCAATGGCGCGAAATGTGCCTTCAAAACAAAAGGCATTTTGAAATATTTCCGCTTTCATCTGAAAAAGAAAAGCCGCTCAAAGTTTGGTCTTGCTCGGCCGCCGGAATGGAGGAGAAAATGGATTCTAGGCTAACGAATTTTTTGCTTTTTTTTCAACTTTTGAAGATTTCGCTCGATTTTTTTGGTTACTAGCGATAATCGACTTGACAGCATAAAAAATCTTCAAAAGCGCACTAAAACCGGAAAAAAAAACGAGTGAAACTGCAAAATGTCGTCAAAACGTGAGAAAAGAGAAAAAATTAAATAGATGGCCTAGATTGCAGTCACTCTTCCATTTCTGCGGCAGCACGGCCGAGCGAAATAACTTTAATCAAACTTGACTGCGCGCAACTGGTTGCAAAGTGTCCAGTTTTCGAAACAAAACATAGTCTAGGCTAGAAACGTCACTCGGATTATGAAATTGAGCACAAACTCGAGCGCCCGTCACCTACAGTACCCCACTTGCAGATAGTGCTGCGGGCGCTGTCAATTCTCCACTTAATCCTGGTGGTCAGCAACTTTTTCGTGTTGGATCCCCGTGTGTTCGCCCCTTTGTACGTGATTTACGCGGTCGGCGTCGTCTGTTTTTTCACCCTCTTCATCTACTCGTGCGTCGCCTATCAGGCGTGGTTCTTCGTCGTCGCACTCTGCTTTCAGGTGGGCTCTTCCGGACATTTCGGACCGATTTTAATTTCGAACCTTTCAGGGTCTGTACATATTCTCCGCCGGATACTTGGCCTCGCTGGCACTCATGGGATATTTCAGTGAGTTTCTCGGACAATTTTGGGACCCAAACTTTGCAGCCATTTTAGACGTTCATTGAAATTATTTGGGTCCAAGTTTCAAGTGATTTGTGGATGGGAGGCCGAAAAGGCCCAGTTTTTGGGGAACGTCTCACATTTTTCGGTCTCTACTCAAAATAATCGGCCTGAAACTTGAACTCAAAAGGCTTCAATCCAATTCAGACTGCAAAGTTTGGGTCTCATCGAAATAGCTCTGATGAGGCATTGAAAAACTGGAAAAGGGCAGTTTTTTACTTAGAATCGAAATGGAAACCAACAAGGAAATTTTGGTGATGATCCTCAAGTTTTATTCTTGAAAAATGTTACGGAAGTATCGTGCCAGGTCGTTCTAGGCATTTCGTTTCCTTTCACACTGAGCTACAATAGTCAACTGACCTGTAAATTATAAGTACTGTAACTAAACCCAGCTAATTAATAACAAGAATTCACGATGAGCGAGTGAGTGATAAGGTTAACGACCGAAAAACCCATAAAAAAGGAAATTACGTTTCGCAATGACTTCCTCTTTTGTTTTCAGCCATCCAAACCGCCTACCTCTGCATCCTGTTCGGCGCCAACACTCTCGTCATCATCAACGACGTCGTTTCGATGATCGCCGTCATCACAATCCGCGCGGAACAGCTGCGGAAGCGCGCCGAATCGAAGAGGGCCGTTCGGAGGTCCGATCTCGAAGCTTCCTTCCCTAAATACTGATTCTACCGTTTCGGTGTCAATTCTTCTGTTATGGAGACGAACGTATTCCGTGTAACACGGTTCTTGATTGCAAATCATAATAAACGCTTTATTTTTCTAATCTGAAACTTGTTGTGTGATTATCTCAGCTGAAACGTGCTGAAAATAGTCATGTAGGGAATTTGGTGGGATCATTAAATTGTGCTCTTTTCAATGGTGCACAATACTTCTTAATTTAGTTCGAGTTTCGCTGTGTGTGAACTCGAGAAAACTGGCCGTTTTACCGCTTGCCTGCGACTCATTGCGCTCTCCCTCCCGGCGTTGCCTTCAAATACACCCTCCCGTTGAGGCCTATTTTGCTGCCGCATGGCGCAGCGGGTTGCGACCTCGACTGGCAAACATCAGCCCACGAGCGCTTGATGCCCGTTGCCCGTGAAAGTCCGCTGATGACAACTTACATACACCATTACGATCTCTGAAGACTTCGTGACTGATCATGTTTCCATGCAACACCAACTGAGGACTTTTTGATTATTTTAAAATAACGCTTACACTCTCTACGTGCTCCATTTCTCGTTGTCATTTTGAGTACACGATGCTGCCGGAGGAGACGGGCGGTGAAAGTGAAGCGGTTCTGTTAACCCTTCTTTTAGCACACTTTAGCGTGTTTCTGGTAACCTATTTTTGGTTGTATCCGCCTGACGAATCGCCGAAAACCAACCGAATTCATCCGTTGGCAAGAGTGAGTTAAAGTGTTGCAACTCTCGAAAAAAAAGAGCAAATCTTTTCCGAATCTCGATCGATCAAGGTTCACAGGAGAGACAATATTCACGGGAAACTTTCTGTCACTTGCGGAAATCGTCCGAATGCACAACACGCAGAACACGTGCCGAGCTCGGAGTTACATGCTGACCGATGAGGATCAGAAGACGTTGATGGTGGCGAGCGAGGGAGAGATGATCCATTTGAAGCATCAGTCCGCACTGTACCAGGATCCGGTGCTCAACTACGGAAGTCTGATTGTCCAGAGAACCGACGTCGACGTCGACTTTGCCAACAGCACCAGGGAGCTGGTGGGTCCCGCTGTCAGATTTGTGCTATTATGTTTTGGTTCGCAGATCGATGAGCCGAACAACCCGGTGGAATCGTTGGCTCCGCTCAAAAGAAACAAAGATCTGGAAAGGGAGAAGAAGCGAAAGATGAAGGAGAGAAAAGAGGCGGTCAACCAACTGGCGCGTCCGACCGAAAGCGCCGAACGTCAGAACATTTTCGCGCGAATAATTCCGGAACGATTGACGACGGCGTCGCGCAAGATTCAGAAACGGACGCCGACGCTAAGGGAGCGCACTTTGGACGTGGCGACGACCGTTGAGGACGACAAGACCGGCCAGAGACCGCTGACGAGACGGCTGGGACCGCAGAAGGGAATGCGGAACCTGCTGGTTGGCAGCGAGACGGCTCTGCTCAAGATGCCGTCGCAGGAGACTGTTCCGAAGAGACAGTCGATAACTAAGAGTGAGAATGTGGGTAGGGACAGCAGAAATTGAAACGATTTCAGGACACCGTCGGAGCATCTCGAAAGAAGACAACCGAACTCAGGAGGAGACGAATCCACTGCCGATGAGAACTCAGGAAGACACGACAGTTCGGAAGCCACTTGTGTAGATATATAAATGAATGCGTTTAATTTATGGCAGCACGTTGAAGACGATGTAGAATGATTAAGTTTATTGAAATTTCACAAGAACAGAACACAAATGACGACGAGAACGAAAGAAAGTAATTATGAGAATAGGATTGAGAAAGAGAAGAAGAAGTAAGTGTGAAATGTTAGGAAATCGAATGAAAAAGGACAAACAATCGAGATCTGTTGAGACGGAGAATGGAATACGACAAATTAGAGTAAACCGCAAAAGTGAAGGGGATTGGATAGAGTATTACCGTTTAGGAAACGTACAAATTGAATGGAACTATTGGAATGACATATGGGTCTGATCTTCGGGGAAAGATTCGAATGGACCATGAGAGTAGTAGAGATCGGGTTGGGCAGGAGGGTAAGGAATGGGGTGATATGGAGTTGGAGTGGGGACGTAATGGTGTGGAGCCGGAGTAGGGTCGTAGTGGTGTGGAGCCGGAGTGGGGAAGTACTGACGTGGAGCTGGAGTGGGGACATAGTGATTAGTTGAGGGGGCGGGAACGAATTCCGGAGAGTACGAGGTGCGATCGGAAGAGTAGCCGGAACTGTTCGTGGGACTATCGGGATCCCATCGGACGACATCCGAAGTGGATGCAGCCATCACTTGGCCATCCATCTGGAACGGAGCTGCAGTGACGACAGGACTGGGAGATTTCAGATTGGATGGAAGACCAGGCACGTACTTGTTGTCGTTTGACTTCATGGTGCGGATAAGTGGGTTCTGAAAAGATGAAGAGTTAAAGCAAATACTCAGAAGTATAAAGCTTACCTTGTATCCAGTGCAAGTGAGGAACTCGGTTTCAGCGGCAGAAAACCATTGAACCTGGCGCAGCGTTCCGTCCTGAAGGATTTGCCAGATTGTCAGAATTGGCAAGTATTTCGTCAATGACTTGACCTCAATCTGAAACATAAATATTGAACACTTTTTAGTCGAATTTGGTCAAAACGTACACTTCTTGCCAGGGTTTCCCTCAGTTTATGGGCCTTATCAGCCGCTCTCACAGCTGCCAAACGATCGTTCGGATCGACCGGCTTGCCTCCGACCTTCTTCGGGTTGCCAATATTGTAGATTTTCAAATGTTCGGCATTTATACCAGCAGCCATCCACTCTCTTCCGCTCATGGTGCCCACAGTGTAGCAGTTTGTGCATTCCAGACCGTCAACTGGCTTCGAAGTTTCCTTCCACTCCCCCTCCTCGTATTTCATGAAGTTACCACACTTTCTGTGCAGAAATATGGTAACAGTGTAAGGGATATCGGGGTAGAGTCCCTTCACATCGTATTTCAACTTGGGGAACAGTTCGCGGCCGGTAGTGAGCACCATCATCTCGTTCGGCATCCCGCAGTACTTCGACCACAGCTTCTTCTCATCGTTCAGAGAGATCTCAACTGTATTCGGTCCGTTCAGAGGCACAGACATAGTTGGAGCTGAAAGGAAGAAATGAAAATTGATTGGAAAAGAGTACAACTCACCATTTTGTGGCACCATGCTTACAGCGGAAGATGAAGAAAATTGATGAGCCATTTTCGAGAGGATCGAATGAGTCGAATGAAGAGAATACCGTCCGAGTTTCTTGCAAATGGAGGAAGAGGGGGAGAAAAAAAAAGGTAAAGGGGCGTGGTCTGGCAGAGGGACCGTTTTGGTGACCCGAGTGTGAGATTTTATGGGGGAGGTAGAGTCCGGAAGGAGGTATACCGCCGGGACTGTAAATGGAAGGGACTCTGGGAAGGTACTGGGAACGAGGACGGGAAAGTCGAGGGCGACGGAGAAGAAACTGTGGGAAGAGCATGTTGAGGCGACTGGGGGGATATCAAATCAACTGATCGAATTACCGCTTCTCTGGAACCCACAATCTTCCAGTCACTCCCCGCTGTGATGTGTGGCTCCAGAATAAGCAACTCACTTCACACAAATGACTGACAAAGTCGGTTCCCTCTCGCTTCGGTGCTGTCCCGAATGGGAACTCCTTTTGGCACTACTTCCTAAATCAGAACATGAAAGCGTAGAAAAAAGTGTTTCCTTTGTACTTAAGCGTAGTGTAGGTATTCTAGATACAGCTAGACATTCAAATGAAACAGTTCGTTGGTAACGAAAACAAGTGTGAAACAGAAAAAAGATTGTGAATAAGCAGAAAAAGAGAAGTTCCCATTCGGGGCAGCACCCTCGCTTCCTCTCGCAAACGTGACTCCAAAGATTCATCTTCTTTGCGCTCACCTCGTTCCGTTCCTCCGAGAACACAGAAGCTGAGGTCGCGTCACCGAACAAAGAATCGAGAGTCTTCACGCGCTCTTCAATTCTCGTTGCTCCGCCTCTTCCTCCATTTACAAGAAACTCTGACGGTATTCTCTTCATTCTCTTCATTTGATCCTCTCGAAAATGGCTGAATATTCTTCGTCATCCGCAATGAACATGGTCTCGACCAACTGCAACGGCTACATCTACTGCAACGAGCAAGTGCCCCAAAATGGTGAGTTGTATTCTTTTCCAATCAATTTTGATTTCTTCCTTCCAGCTCCAACTATGTCTGTGCCTCTGAACGGACCGAATACAGTTGAGATCTATCTGAACGATGAGAAGAAGCTGTGGTCGAAGTACTGCGGGATGCCGAACGAGATGATGGTGCTGACCACCGGCCGCGAACTGTTCCCCAAGTTGAAGTACGATGTGAAGGGACTCTACCCCGATATCCCTTACACTGTTACCATATTTCTGCAAAAAAAGTGTGGTAACTTCATGAAATACGAGGAGGGGGAGTGGAAGGAAACTTCGAAGCCAGTTGACGGTCCGGAATGCACAAACTGCTACACTGTGGGCACCATGAGCGGAAGAGAGTGGATGGCTGCTGGTATAAATGCCGAACATTTGAAAATCTACAATATTGGCAACCCGAAGAAGGTCGGAGGCAAGCCGGTCGATCCTGAAATCGTTTCAATTTCTGCTGTCCCTACCCACATTCTCACTCTTAGTTATCGACTGTCTCTTCGGAACAGTCTCCTGCGACGGCTTCTTGAGCAGAGCCGTCTCGCTGCCAACCAGCAGGTTCCGCATTCCCTTCTGCGGTCCCAGCCGTCTCGTCAGCGGTCTCTGTCCGGTCTTGTCGTCCTCAACGGTCGTCGCCACGTCCATAGTGCGCTCCCTTAGCGTCGGCGTCCGTTTCTGAATCTTGCGCGACGCCGTCGTCAATCGTTCCGGAATTATTCGCGCGAAAATGTTCTGACGTTCGGCGCTTTCGGTCGGACGCGCCAATTGGTTGACCGCCTCTTTTCTCTCCTTCATCTTTCGCTTCTTCTCCCTCTCCAGATCTTTGTTTCTTTTGAGCGGAGCCAACGATTCCACCGGGTTGTTCGGCTCATCGATCTGCGAACCAAAACATAATAGCACAAATCTGACAGCGGGACCCACCAGCTCCCTGGTGCTGTTGGCAAAGTCGACGTCGACGTCGGTTCTCTGGACAATCAGACTTCCGTAGTTGAGCACCGGATCCTGGTACAGTGCGGACTGATGCTTCAAATGGATCATCTCTCCCTCGCTCGCCACCATCAACGTCTTCTGATCCTCATCGGTCAGCATGTAACTCCGAGCTCGGCACGTGTTCTGCGTGTTGTGCATTCGGACGATTTCCGCAAGTGACAGAAAGTTTCCCGCAAAAACCTTGCTTGCCTCCTATCCCACTTTTCCTGTTGCATGCCCTATCCATGCGGATGCCATGCCGGATTGGTGCGTGACACATGCTCACCCCATGCTACCGTAGCAACTTGCTGTTCACCTGCCGCTCGCGCGCCCCACCCTTGCCGAAAATTACCTGAGCACCTCAACTATTATAGGGGCACCGCACAGAAATGGCGCTCTGTTGAGAAACTTTTTCTGCAGTGCAAATTGAGCGACCTCGGGGCCGAGTTTGAAATGTTAGGCCACATTTTAAGTGGAAAATTACTTCGCGGCCTAGAAATTCGGCCAGATGCTGAGCGCCATTTCTGTCCGGCGCCCCTATAATATTTCAACTTTCCGACGGCCTTTCCAACAGGATGTTGTTTTCTCCGACGCTTAGCCGAATGTATGTCCGTCTTGAAAGGTATACCGCGGACGGACCATCTACGCCCCTCTGTTCCGTCTCCCTCTTCCTTTGTTCGTTCGACTGGAACACCTGCAAGGTGGCATGTTGTGAATGTGTTGATGGATTAGTGAGGGCATAGAAGGGAGCACAAAAACATTCCCAAAGAGAGAAGCCGCGAGAGAGAGAGAGAGAAGCTGTAAGATACAGGAACGTACCAGTGCAATTCGAAGATGTTTTCAGAGAAGTATTCAGCGCCGGACATTTATGTGATACTATTTGAGGCTAACAAATTTCACAGACCTCTTGCTCATGATGCTTCTCATCGTAACCATACAGTATACCCGTTTCGTCTGCAAATTGCACAAAATAACTCGGGTAGTCACCCAAATGTTGATCTTGGCAGGACTATCCTAGCGTAACTAACTCATGAGACCGAAGTCTGGTTTTCAGGATCTGCTCATTCCGAACAGTCGTACTTTTCATATTCTCCAAACAGTCTATCATCCATTGGCTACTTGCCCGCACCTTTTCGTCTGAATGCATTGCACCGTTCCGTCCAGGATAGAGTCGACGTTTCACCCGATTTCAAAAGTTCGAAATTCATCATCGTCGTTTCGGAAGCGTACGAGTTGCCAGACTTCATTTGCTCCTTATCATCCAGAAACTGACCAATTTCAATGTGATTTTCGATGCGGGTGATTCCTGGTTTCCTGTTGGATAGTGTAACCAGGTTCACAGAATAAATATTTTGTTAATTGTCCATTTCATTTTGGGGAAAACCTGAAAAAAACTGAGCGGCGAAGAAAATAACCGTTCTTTTTCTTTCTAATCGCAACTCCTCCGCGCTCTCCCGATTTCCATCGAGCGTTTCCATATTTACGGCCCTTTCCGATGACTCCTAAAAGCATGAGTATACTTCTCTATCTCATTTTATTACAGTTACTAATAATGAGCTGTAAAAATAGCTTACCTAAGGTCATAAAGTATGCGATCGAGTATACACATTTACAACACTCAGGTGATTTCCCGAGAGCAACGGAAAACGGGGCCATGAAGACTGGCGGCGTCCTTTTGTAGAGGTCGTTAACTGGACGGAACGATGAAATGCATTCAAATGAAAAAGTGCGGGCAAGTAGCTAATGGACGGTATACTGTTTGGGGAATTTGAAAATTTTGTTCGGAAAGAGCAGATCCTGAAAACCAGACTTCGGTCTCAAAAGTTAGTTTCGCTCGCATAGCTGATTCGGATAGTCCTGAGCAGAAAACTGGCGCAAATTTTTATGACGTCTTTAGTTAGATTCGGCTTGCAATTTTGATTAAATCACCGTAAATACTGTATTACAAGGGCATGCCCTTCTGTTTTTCAGAGTGCCCAAATTGAACATTTCGAACTTTTGAAATCGTGTGAAACGTCGGCTCTATCCTGGACGGAACGGTGCAATGCATTCAGACGAAAAGGTGCGGGCAAGTAGCCAATGGATGATAGACTGTTTGGAGAATATGAAAAGTACGACTGTTCGGAAAGAGCAGATCCTGAAAACCAGACTTCGGTCTCATGAGTTAGTTACGCTAGGATAGTCCTGCCAAGATCAACATTTGGGTGACTTCCCGAGTTATTTTGTGCAATTTGCAGACGAAACGGGTATACTGTATGGTTACGATGAGAAGCATCATGAGCAAGAGGTCTGTGAAATTTGTTAGCCTCAAATAGTATCACATAAATGTCCGGCGCTGAATACTTCTCTGAAAACATCTTCGAATTGCACTGGTACGTTCCTGTATCTTACAGCTTCTCTCTCTCTCTCTCGCGGCCTCTATCTTTGGGAATGTTTTTGTGCTCCCTTCTATGCCCTCACTAATCCATCAACACATTCACAACATGCCACCTTGCAGGTGTTCCAGTCGAACGAACAAAAGAAGAGGGAGACGGAACAGAGGGGCGTAGATGGTCCGTCCGCGGTATACCTTTCAAGACGGACATACATTCGGCTAAGCGTCGGAGAAAACAACATCCTGTTGGAAAGGCCGTCGGAAAGTTGAAATATTAAAGGGGCGCCGGACAGAAATGGCGCTCAGCATCTGGCCGAATTTCTAGGCCGCGAAGTAATTTTCCACTTAAAATGTGGCCTAACATTTCAAACTCGGCCCCGAGGTCGATCAATTTGCACTGCAAAAAGAGTTTCTCAACAGAGCGCCATTTCTGTGCGGTGCCCCTATAATAGTTGAGGTGCTCAGGTAAACTTCGGCAAGTGTGGGGCGCGCGAGCGTCAAGTGAACAGCAAGTTGCTACGGTAGCATGGGGTGGGCATGTGTCACGCACGGATCCGGCACGGTATCCGCATGGATAGCAGAGTTGAGCGGAAGAACTCAACGGAAGAACACGGAAGAATTTTTATCTTTTTTAGAAATTTTTTTTCATGAAATGTGATCAACTGACAAAATGTATAGCAAAGTGAACTCTTCTCATAGAAAAATAATTGTAAATTTAACTTTTCATACAAAAAAGTTATTCGAGTTGTTCCGTGAAAATGTCCTTCCGTCTTCCGTTAGCCCTTTTTTCACGGAACAAATCGAATAACTTTTTTGTATGAAGCGCTAAATTTACAATTATTTTTCTATGAGCACAGTTCACTTTGCTATACATTTCGTCAGTTGATCACATTTCATGAAAAAATTTTCTAAAAAAGATAGAAACTCTTCCGTGTTCTTGCGTTGAGTTCTTCCGCTCAACTCTGATGGATAGGGCGTACAACAGGAACAATGGGATAGGAGGGAAGCAAGGTTTTTGAGCGGCGTCGGAGCAGCAACGGTAGCAGGGTTGAGGCAAGGAAGTAGCAAGGGTTCAGCGCGTAGCAAGCACGGAATCGGCACCCTTACAGCAAGTTGCCGCAGAAAACGGCACCGATGCCGATTCTTGCGGGAACTTTCCGAAAATTATCTGAGTGATATGCTCTATGCATGCTCTTCCCACAGTTTCTTCTCCGTCGCCCTCGACTTTCCCGTCCTCGTTCCCAGTACCTTCCCAGAGTCCCTTCCATTTACAGTCCCGGCGGTATACCTCCTTCCGGTCTCTACCTCCCCCATAAAATCTCACACTCGGGTCACCAAAACGGTCCCTCTGCCAGACCACGCCCCTTTACCTTTTTTTGCTCCGCCTCTTCCTCCATTTGCAAGAAACTCGGACGGTATTCTCTTCATTCGACTCATTCGATCCTCTCGAAAATGGCTCATCAATTTTCTTCGTCTTCCGCTATGAACATGGTCTCGACCAACTGCAACGTCTACAGCAATGAGCAAGTGCCCCAAAATGGTGAGTTGTACTCTTTTCCAATCAATTTTCATTTCTTCCTTTCAGCTCCAACTATGTCTGTGCCTGTAAACGGACATCAGCCACCTGTGGTCTATCTGCTGGATAAGGAGCAGCTGTGGTCAAAGTACTTCGGGATGCCGAACGAGATGATGGTGATCAACACCGGCCGCGAACTGTTCCCCAAGTTGAAGTACGGTGTGAAGGGACTCAACCCTAATGCCGTTTACACCATTTCCATCGTTCTGCAAAGAAAGAGTGATAATATCATGAAATACGAGGAGGGGGAGTGGAAGGAATCTTCGAAGCCAGTTGACGGTCCGGAGTACACAAACTGCTTTACTTTGGGGTCCATGAGAGGACATCAATGGATGAATGCTGGCATAGATGCTGAAGATTTGAAGATCTACAACGCTGCCAATCCGAAGAAGGTCGGAGGCAAGCCGGTCGATCCGAACGATCGTTTGGCAGCTGCGAGAGCGGCTGCGAAGGCCCAGAAACTGAGGGAGACACAGGCGAAAAGCGTAAGTTTTGACTATTTCCAGGAAAAGTATTCAATGTTTCTGTTACAGATTGAGGTCAAAACATTGACAAAGTACTTGCCGGTTGTGACCATCTGGGAATGGTTTCCGGACGGAACGGGGCGAACCGTCCAGTCGTTTTCTGCTCCTGAAACCCAGTTCCTCACTTGCACTGGTTACAAGGTATGGTTGAACCTTCCGAGTCTTTGGTTTAACTCTTCATGCTTTCAGAACCCAACCATTTGCGACATGAAGTCGATTGACAATAAGTACGTCACCAAGAAGGTCAAAAACACCAAGGCTGGAGTTCCACGCGTACCGGACGCTCCCAGTCCTGTCAGCACTGCAGCTCCGTTCCAGATGGATGGCCAAGGAACTTCGGATGTCGTCCGATGGGATCCCGATAGTCCCACGAACAGTTCCGGCTACTCTTCCGACCGCACCTCGTACTCTCCGGAATTCGTTAACGCCCCCTCAACTCAGCACTACGTCCCCACCCCCGCCCCACATCACTACGTCCCCACTCCTGCTCCACATCACTACGTCCCCACTCCGGCTCCATATCACTACGACCCCACTCCGGCTCCGCATCATTACGTCCCCACTCCAGCTCCACACCATTACGTCCCCACTCCAACTCCATATCACCCCATTCCTTACCCTCCTGCCCAACCCGATCTCAACTACTCTCATGTTCAATTCGAACATTCCCCAGAAGACCACATGTTATTCCACTATTGATACTCCCAGACAATTTGTACGTTTTCTAAACGGTAATACTCGATCCAATTCCCTTAACTTTTTCGGTCAATTCTAATTTGTCCGATTTATTTCTCGATCCTTTCCCTTTTCCATTCGATTTCCTAACATTTCATACTTACTTCTTCTTCTCTTTCTCAATCCTATTCTCATAATTACTTTCATTCGCTCTCGTCATAATTTGTGTTCTGTTCTTGTGAAATATGAATAAACTTAATCATTCTACATCGTCTTCCAAACTAAACGCATTCAATCCGCACTTTTTAGATCGGGTACAATTGAGCGCAGAACAGTAAAGCATATTTAGAGCATTTTTCTGGGCACTTGATACATGGTTTTCGGAGGAGAAATATTGCAAATGTACGGTTATATCAGATAGAGTTGCATAAGTTACATCAACAAGGAAAACAAGATTGCAAGCAGGTAGAACGAACTTTTAAACGGTGGGAAGCAACGGGAATCATTCTTGAATGGTGGTCAGATTCGTCTGTCTTTCGTAGAGCTCCCGATCGGTGGCTCTGATCAGTCCGAACTTCTCGGCGGCTGCGAGTGCCCGCTTCGCCTGCTCCGTCGAGCCGGCCCTGTCGTGATTGATGCTTCCTAGTTTGGTGACTGCGACGAGCACTCGGAACACTTCGGAAGAGACTATCTCGGAGCACAGCTTGTTGCTTGACAGCATTATATTCGCGATTCCCATCAGTCCTCTTCTTTGCGTCTCGGCGTCCTCGTGCATCGCAATGTCTTTGAACAGTTCCGGCCATGATTTGATCTCGTCCATGATCCGAGCACACGCCGATTCGTCCTCGGTGAGCATTGCGAATGCGGCTGCGGCGGACCGGGAAAGACGTTCGTCTTCCACTTCTGCCGAGTAGAGAACCCACAGTTTCAGGCGATCTGTTCCCTTCTGAAATCAAACATTTTTATTTGAAACAAATATATTCTAAAACTAACAGCTACGGTCTCTTCAAAGAACTTCTCGAAGAAGAGCAAATTGAGCAGCAGTTCGGCGGCGGCGGCTCTCAAATGCTCGTGCTCCGTCATGAACCAGAACTCCTCAATTTTCGGAATCGCTTTCTCCTTCAGAATTCTCGCTCTAATCGAGTCACTGACACTAGCGAGATTAGTCAGAGTGAGCAGCGCGTCGTAGTTCGCCCTTCCCTCGACTTCCGGATGGAGGAGGTCGCACAACGGCTTCACCACTTCATAAGAACGCTGTCCCGGGAAAGAGATGGTCGGATCGGCCTTCGATCCGAGCTTCGCAATCGCATGCGCCGCCTTGATCTTTCCCTCGGGCGTCGCTTCCTTGGTCAGTCGGAGACAGAGCACCGTGCCGCCTTCGCTGATGATCCTTCCGCGGAGATCCTCGTACTCGGCGAACGCGAGGATTGCTCTCGCAATGAGCTCCAGGGCGTGCTTGCTTTCCGTCTTGCTCACGGCCACGCACGCGGGCACTGCGCCTTCTTCCACGAGTGCTCGGACACGCTTCTCGATGAAGTCGTCCGTGTCTTTCGGGTGCGTTTCAGGAACGTGGTGCTTTGCAAATTGAGCCAATTTCACCATTTCCTCGTCGACTTTCGGTTTTTCATACGCATTGGAGAGGTTTGCGTAGATGGTGGCAAGGGTGTAAACGCAGAGAGGACCGGCCTTCTGGGCTAACAGCACGAGGGCCTTCAGAAGAAGAGAATCATCGACGATCCATTCCTTGATGTCGGCATCCAGGGAGAGATAGGAGAGTCCTTCGCACGCGTATCTTCTGATTTCCACCGAATACTTATCAGTCTCCAGCAGGAAGCTCTTGCAGGTCTTTGCCAGACTCAGCACCGCCTTCTCCTTCATCGTCGCTCTCGAGGCGTCGTCTCCTCCGGCCGCGCCGATCTTGCACAATCCAACGAGAGCTCGCACCTTCACCGTCGGATCCTCGGACTCGTAAAGAGCACGGAGAACCGGGAGGCCCACTTTGAGCATGCTTACGGCTCGCTCGTGCTTGCTCACAGTGGCGACGATCAGTTCGGCGGCGATTCCCTGCATCAGAATGTTCTCAGAAGAGGCCATCTGGAGCATAACGACGGTCAACTGGTCGTTAGTGATCAGGTTCAGGCCGATATCGACCGGTCCTTGGAGCATTGTGACCAGGAACGCCGCCAGTTTTATGCGGTTCTTGTGGCCTTCCTCGTCGTCGCTGGCGACCGCCATCAGAGAACTGAAAGTGTTCGGTTAGAAATCAGACGCGTGCTTTCCGCAAACTCACTTGAAAAAGTAGTCAACTCGCTCCTTGAATATCGTCCGTTTCGTGTCGAACACCATGTCCTCTTCCAGTCTCTGCAGACAGATTGCCACGTGCTGCCGAGTCTCCGCAGAGACTGGATAATCGCACTGCTCCGGAATCTGACTGGCCACGTCTAAAAGCGTCAAAAGTCCGCGATCTTCGACAAACTTCCACGACCATCCACGCGGAATTCCGCCGTCCATATGCATCAGATTCTTGAGGAACAAGTCGATGACGGTCTCTCTCGCCAGAATTCCAACGTTTCGGTCTTGGAGCATGTCCTGAAGCTCCAGAAGCACCCGAATGATCCACACTTTGTTGGCTTCTGCCACTTCCGGATCCGGCTTCATCTCCTTCTGTCGATCCATTTTGGCTAACGCGTTAAAGACACGCTGAACGATGATTCCGGCGGCGTCGACGAAATCTTTGTAAGATCTTTTGCACATGAATCGACACACGAATCGCACTGATTTTATTCCGTCCGCATCGTGCATCGCCAGGAATTTCAGACTTCTCGCGTGGTTCTTGATAGTTTCGTCGAGGATTCTGACGGCCGTGACGACGACTTTTTCGCTCTCCTCTTTGTCGTTCACCAGATTGAGCACGAACGGAACTATCGCACCCTGCAACCGAATAAGTTGAATGAAATCTGAAAAAAGCCGTTATGATCCCACATTATTCCAAACGGCCGTGGCTCCGCTCTCGGATTCTCTGCACAAAACGAGCAAGTTGTTCAGCGCCGTCTGCTTCTGTTCCGCACTCTTCGCCTCTCCGCGGAACGCCAACTTTTCCATGTCGCTCACCTGAAAACATCAATGTTTTATACAATTTTGACTAGAAAACAGGTTACTTTGTTTGACAACGAAGTCGTTTTCTTCAGCTGCTCGCTGTTGGCTTTGACGAGTCGTTGAAGAACTTCCACGATTCCTCTGAACAATTTATCGATTTTCAACCGGTTTTCTTGGCTTTCAAAGCCTACTTGTCTTGTGGCGCGAGTCTCAAAGCTTCTTTGGCGTCCGTGAAAGCGGGACCAACATTTCCGAGCTGTTCACGAGCGAGCGCTCGTCGGAACAACGCTTTCACGTCGGCGCCATCGAATTCCAGCGCTGAAACACGGCGTTTCAGTTTAATTTCGGAGCTTTTTCTCACCTTTCGTGCAGTCAGTCTGTGCTCCTTCATAATCTTCACGTTTGAGACGAGCCAGAGCGCGATTTCTGTAGAGCACCGGACGAATAACCTTGTCGTTGTCCGTCGTCATCTGAAGTGCTTCAGTGTACCTGCAATTTATCGATTTGGCTCTTTCTTTTCACTTAGTGATACTCACAACTCATCGGCCTTGACGTATTCTTGACTTTTGATCGCATCATTTCCCTCATCACGAATCTGTTCGGCGGTTTGAATACGAGCCACCATTGCCGCCTTCAAAAGTGAAATTGGGGGGACTATGTTTTTCAAACTAGGCCATGTAAGTAAGGAACTCGGTCAGGTCGGGATCACGGTTAAAAATAGGGATTCTGAAGAGCTCACAAGACAGAAGAGGAGTATTCGAAGACAATTATACAAAAACTAAGTAGTATAAGCTCAATTTAACCTAATTTTTCTCTTGAAAACTTTTTAGACAGTTCAAATCAGCCGTGGGAGCTTTCTGGTAGCACGAGAAACTACCAGAAATCTGCGATCGGCAACAGGTTTATCACGAGCTCCGCCCTCGTTTTCGCTGGAGCTTTCGAGAAGGTGCTCGGCGGTCGAGATATAAGAGATTCAGACAAACAGATAGTCTAAAAGTGTTGGCACGTGGAAAAAGTTTTCATTAAACAACTCCGAACTTTCCGATGAGCAAATCTTTATAATTTCTGACTTCAGACAAACTAATCGATAATCGAGAAGATTCGGGGGGAGGGAATCGGTTGATGGGAGAGATCTGAAGTGTTCTGCCGGCAGACGGCCCCGAGTGTAAAGTTACGGAAAGAGCGGCGGACGGGCGGATATCTCGCGAGAGAGCTGTTTGAATAATCTTGCACTGTGAGCAAAGAGAGAAAGGTTCTGGCCGGCAGGAGAGCGTATAGTAGAGGGGCGACGAATGGGGCGACGAATGAGTCATCCGTCTGCAAATGAACAATTGTGAATTTCAGATAGAATGGCTTTCCGTAAACTGCGAGTGATCTGAAAACTGACAAACTGAACCGGGAAATTTAAAATGTTTTCGGCGAATCCGACTTGATCAACCGTGTCAGTTCGGCTCAATTTCAGAATGCTGCGAAGGCAATTCTTTGCATTATTCATCGTCAATCTGCAACAGAGACGATATACAACCCAGAAGAAAATTCTGGATAGACATTTCGAGACGATCGAGAAGAACTGTGTGAACGAAAAAGCGGTAGAGTTGGAGGAGCTGAACGCTTTGACATCGTTCTAGCGGGGAATAATACCGCCCTACCGGAAACTCTCTTCTCAGAGGAGTTTTGAGCGGAAAAAGCTGCCGGATAGGTCGGTTCGTCGAGGAATACGACTGCTGACGATGAAAACAGGTACGACGAGAAGTTAACACACAAAAATTTGAGAACCTGCAAGATCTCATTCCCAAAACCACTCTCACAAAGTTTATGGCAAATGAAAAGGAAAATAAGTACACACAAATCGAAGCGAGATGCAAAAATGGGTGGTGTTTTTGGTGCAAACGCACCTACTCAATGGACAGTCACCAATCATACTTTGGAAACTAATGGCAAAAAAGAGAGAAAAGAAGAATGAATAAGTTGAGTAAGAAAGCATTATATTGGGAACGGGGGATCACCGATTAGATTTCGTTGTTGAGCGGCGCATCGGCGAGGTACTTGTCACGGCAGACGCCGCGGACAGCCACCTGGTGCGGCGGACACTTGTCCTCGCACTTCTTCACTATTCTCTCTCCGACGATTCGGAGCACTTGCACTTGTCCGTTCGAGCACGGTCCTGCAATCGAAACGTGAATGTGATGCCCTTTTCCCGGTCTCTCAGACTCACCGTTGGCGGCGTTCTCCTTGTTCTTGTTGGTCACCGTTCTTCCTCCGACGACTGGCCGTCCACGGACCGGAAGCTTCGGCTGTCCCTCCTCCTCATCGCCCTCTTTTTCGCCTCCGTCCACACTTGAGCAGCATTGGAATCTGTTCGAAAGTGTGCTCTTTTGACACTTGTATCCGGCTGGACAACTGTTCGATCCGCTGTTCGAGCATTGGACTGGAGTTCCGGTGGATGGGAACAGGAGAGCAGTTCCTGTGGCACATCCGTTCGAAGCTCCCGAAGATCCTGAAGAGCCTCCGGCTGGAGCGGCCTTGGACGAGCAGCAGTAGTAGTTCTTGCTCTTCTTCGAGAAAGTACACTTGTAACCGCTGGGGCACGGAGACGAAGTGCACTGCTTCGGAGTTCCGTTCACGACGTACGCACTTCCACGATCGCAGACATTCGCAGCGTCCTCGTCGGTCTCTTCCTTTCCGGTCGGCTTCGAACTGAAAGTGCTCGGCTTTCCGGCCTTCTTCTCGGCTCCAATGATGGCTGAGGCCTTTCCGCCTCCGCAACAGATGTTCTGTTGGGCGGTCTGAGAGAATTGGCAGCTGAATCCACGTGGGCAGTTCGGGCGGGACGGCGAGCAGAAGCGGGCGTTCTTGGTGCGTGGCTCCAAGTACGGAATCTGTCCAGGGATCGGGCACGTCGACATCGGTCTCGACATCTTCTTCATGCAAACATCCTCAACAGCCTCTTCGCCTTCGGGGCACGTGCAGACGGTCTCCAAGCACGAAGATCCTCCCTGGCACTGCTCGTCGTGCTCGCACACTTCTCCGATCAACGTCTTCACGACGCACTTTCCGGCGACCTCGATTTCGTTGGCTCCGCAGTCGGCCAGGCAGACTCCGTTGAGTTCGTGGTGTCCTTCTGGGCAGGAGCACACCGAGTCCTTGCACGTGGATCCGGATGGGCACTGCACTTGATTGGCGCAAGCCTCTCCGAGCGACTTTTTGTCGAGACACGCTCCGTCGACCTCGACTTGCTTCTCCGAGCATCCCTTCGTCACCACCGGCTCTTCGTTGGTAGTACAACAGAGTTGGGCTCCCGAGATGCTTCTCTGGCAAGAGTATCCGGGCGGGCAGGTGGATTGTCCAATGGCACACGACTGCGGCTCTCCGGTGATTCCGATGAAGGCGACCGAGTCGTTCGGGCATCCTCCCGACATTCCACAGCACTGGAACTGGTTGTTGGCGGTGGAGAATTGGCAGAAGAAGCCGGTCGGGCAGTTCTGCGAGGCGGCCGTGCAGATTCTCGGAGCGTTGGAGGAGTGCTCACGGTAGGCGACCTGGTTGTTCGGGCATCCGAGCGCCGCGATCGACTTCGGGGTGGTGATGGGCGTGGCTCCGCAGCACTGATACCTCTGATTGGCCAGGGACCACTGGCATGAGTAGCCGTTCGGGCACGGAGCGTTCGGTGGGTTGAACGGATCGCACGGAGCAATCTGGTTGTCCTTCATGAAGACGTACTCGTTTGGCGGGCAGCCATCAGAGACGGAAGCGACTTCTCCCTTGCAGCAGAAACCAGTGGTGAACTCGTTTTGAGTGGACTGGCAGGAATAACCGTTGGGGCAAGTGATGAACGCTCCGAGGGTGCACGATCTTGGCATCTGCGAGGACTCCTCGAGGTAGAAATCAGCCTTGTTCGGGCAGAGATGATTGGCCGAGCAGCAGTATCCTTGGAATGCGCCGGGAACGTCGGATTGGCACGAGTATCCGGTCGGGCACTGGTTGTTGTTGGAGCTGATGGTGCAACGGATTGGCGCCTTGGAGGACGGTTCGCGGTAGAGAGCCTTTCCGGACGGGCAGAGGTCCCCGGTGATCGAGGCACAGCAGTAGTAGCGGTTCTTCATGGCGTTGAAACGGCAGAGGTAGTTGCTCGGGCAGGATCCCTCCACATTGATGAGACACTCGCGGACTCCCATATCGGCAGCATTCACGTAGGCCTTCTCGCCTTCCGGACACACGTCCATGTTGGTGGCTCCGCAGCACACAGAATTGCTGGAGAGCTGATCGTAAGTACACGCGAAGTTGGTGGGGCACGAGTTGGAGAGAGCGGCATTGCACTCGTACGGCATGTTCGTGTTTGGGTTCACGTAGGCAACGTCTCCTGGAGTGCACGCGGCCGAGAGACAGAAGTTGTTGCACTGCTCGAGGGTGGCGAAGTTGTTGAGGTTTCCGGAGCATCCGTTATAGGTGAACTGTGTGCATTCCTTGGTGACAATGTTGAAGTAGAAGCGAGCGGCGGCCGAGGAACTGCACGAGGATCCCTGTTGCGGTGGGAGCGAGCAGATGTGCGCACGAGTGGGGCAGCATCGGTTGACGACGGAGCTGCCCGAGTTGACGGAGGTGCATTCGTGGGTGCCCGGGCAGTTCTGGGTGGCCGAGCAGACCATCAACTGTCCGAACTCGTTGCGTTCGGGGGTTCCTCCGTTCGGGCATCCGCCCACGCCACAGTATCCCTCACAGTCCTCGCGGGTGGCAAAGTTGTTCGAGTTTCCGTCGCATCCATTGTACTGGAACGATTCGCATTCTTGTGTCTGGGAGTTGTAGAAGTATCTGAAACAAGAATCAATTAAATGAGACTCTTGAGAACTGAAAGGGTACCTGTAAGAAGATCCAGATCCGCAAGTGACTCCCTTGTGCGGGCTCAATGTGCAAGTGTACGCCTTTGTCGGGCAGCATCCCCAGACGTATCCGTCGAAGTAGCACTCATAGTTGACCGGGCAGGAGTTTCCGGCTCCCGAGTTGGAGCACACGTAGTAGTTGCCCTGGTAGTCCTTGTAGGCGTCTCCTTGCGGGCACTGCGGCTCCGGAATGATGTTCTCGCAAGTGTTCTGGCACTCTAGAAGGGTCTCGAAGTTGTTGTCGTTTCCTTGGCATCCGGTGTAGTCGAAGATCTCGCAGGCTCGAGTCACGGCGTTGTACCAGTATCTGCGGACGGACTGTTTGCAGTCTCCGAGACGCAGTGGCTGGGAACAGATGGCTTCTGGAATCGGGATCAGTGAGTTACAGACTGACGAGCAGTGGCTTACGTGGTCGTGGGCAGCAAACGTTGTGATCCGATTGACACTCGTGAGTGCTCGGACAGTCAGCATTCGCGGAGCATCTCTGAAAACCAAATGTAAAGGCTCTCCCGATCTGTTTCGTTCGTAAACATACCTGATTGGATGATCCGATCTTGAGCGGAGTACCGTATTTGCACTGCAATTTGGCGCAGAACAACTCGCAATCCGCCGACGATTTGAAGTTGTTGAAGTTTCCGAGAGCTCCGTTGTAGGTGAAAGCAATGCAACGGCCCTGTTCGGCATCGTAATAGTAGCGAGAGCTGGTGGAGAAGGTCATCGAAAAGCTGCGCTTCATGAGCACTCCGGCGTCGAAGTTGGTGGAGCGGATGAGATCGACCGGACGGCCTCCGGTGTTGGAGCAGATGCTGGCGACGGTCGGGCAGCAGAGTTGCATGGATCCGATGGAGGTGCACTCGAAGTTGGAGGTGCAGGAGGAAGCGGTCTGGCAGTTGTTCACCGGCTCGTCCTCGTTCTGGCTGGATCCAGTCAGATATTGTGGCGATCCGCGCTTGCAGGCTGAAAGTGACCCGTTGAAGATCAGAAGCGTCCACGCTAAAACTCACTATCTCTACAGTAGGACTCGCAGTGCTCTCTAGTCTTGAAGTTGTTTGGCGACTGCATCTCAGTCTCATCCCACGGGTCCCACATAAACTGTTCGCAGGTGCCAGTCACGGCGTTGTACCACCATCTCGGGCGGACTCCGGCCGGGGCAGCCGATCCACTGTCAGCCTCTCTCTTCGGTTGGATGCAAGTGAACGCTCGGTTCGGACAGCAGATACCGTCGGAAGACGGATGAATGTCGTAGACTCCCTCCATGGCAGTCTTCACGTTGGCCATGGAAGTAGTGGAAACGAGACAATCGTATATGTCAGCAATGTAGATTCCGTCTCCTTCCTGAGCGTTGTTGGCTTCAGTCGCGAAGGCGCAGGCACCTCCTCCGTTAGCGACAAAGTTGGTGTAGTCGGTGGATTGAGACGAACAGAACTGAAGGGGATTGATGTGCTCTCCCATCTGGATGTCAGCGTCATCCGGGTCAGTCATGTGCGGGTTGCGAAGTTGGGAAACTGGCATTGTGAGGAGGTCATCGTCGTACCTTAACAACACGTTAAATCTCCAGCTGAACACTCGAAAACTTACTCTGGAAGTGGGCACTTTGGCACCGGATCTCCGTCCTCTCCAGAGTGGAGCACGCAGACGACTCCGTCTCTCGTCTTCGCCTGGACGTACGGAATTCCATTCACGTCTTCCGGGCACTCGCATCTCGACTTTTCGCATCTCGACTCTGGCCAGACTGCGGAGCACTGCTCGGCGTACTGACATCCCGACTCTCCCGGATTCTTCTTCAGGTAACAGTAGCCTTGAATGGCGACAAAGTTGGAGAGGCACGTGCAAGAGCCAGTGGAACAGAACATGCCCTGAAACGAAGAACGTATTGTCAATCAATCACAAAACAGAATGAAACTTACAGTAAGACAGTCAGTGTTGAAGCTGCAGAAGTCTCCGACTCTCCCGGAGCCGGCGACTCCTTGACGCTTGTACCGAACATTGCCAGTTCGACACTTGCCATCGATGAAGAATTGATTCTGGAAAGGTGGATTGGTTAGGGGATGTCACAGATTTAGACGGCTCACTTTCGGACAGATTTTTCGTTCGACTTCCTTTTTCACAAGATTGCAGATCAGGAATGCGTTCTCGTGCATATCGGTTTTGCTGGAAAAGACAAGATCATGACCTTCAGAGCTTCAGAACATTAGAATAAGGACTCACTTAGTGGCAAGGTCGCAGTAGACCGAATCGGCGGTCATCTCCTCATCACATGGATCTCCTTGCGTCGGTATCCGACATCCGGACCCGTCACACCCGTCGCCTATCCGGCAAATGGGCTTCTGCTCGGCTGCATATGTGCCTCCTGCAAATGTCCGTTTTTGAAATGAGATGGTCCCTCTTGTTTTGTTCCCATCCCGCCGGGGGAGGTCAAATCAAAAATAGTAGAATTGAAATCAAACGCGGGACGCCCGAGTAAACAAATCGGCTGATCCTCGCGACACGACGACGACGACGAAGGGGGCTCCAAATCGGGAAAGGCAACTCTCTTTCGGGTCACGCCGGCCGCCCCGGGGACCGTATTTGCGGCCTCTCACTTGGCGGTGCAAACACAAAACTTTCGGGAGAACAACAAAAGTTTCGGGATTGCCTAATATTTGCCAGTTTTGGCGAGAAAAGAGAGCCAGCCGATTGTGTTCCGAGGAGGAGAAACACACTAGTTTCGAGACTGAATTCTTTCAATTGAATTTGTCAGCAGACTCACGAAAAAAGTGAACTCAGACCGGCGCAAAGTTCAAGGTTAAATAGATCAGAAAGTTGGCTTCAAGATAGGTTACTGTAGTTTTTTTCTAAATCAATGCTGCGATATAAAGGTCTTACCTGCAAGCAGGAGTAAAATAAACCAGTGGCGCATTTCTGCGAAACGAATAATATGAGAAAGCGTGAATATGAGTGAGTGTTCAAATGTTTCTTGAATGCAGCAGATTCAAATCAACTGATTGCAAAGCGCGACGACGACGACGACGATAGTATCACAAGTGGAGCTGTTGTTGTTGTTGTTGTACGCGGCGACACATAAAGGATCGTGTGCTTCGTAGTTGCAATCGAATTGGAATGGAATGGCGTTGGGAGAGGGGCGCAACGGCGGCGGCGGTCAGCGGTCTCTCGGGGGAGGGGTCAGCGGAGGTGGGCTCCACAGGCACGGTCACTATATGCGGTTTGTGTGTGTGTGTGTGTGTGCTCTGAGAGTGTTTACCCGGGGGTTTCGCAGGACGACGACGACGACGGTCACTACTTAGCCTGTTGGTAATGCGATTTACATGTAGTGCTCATAGTCAGGCGGGTACTAGAACAGGATCAGTTCGTTTGGTTTGCATGATATGAGTCAGGCAGCAAAGTAGGAGAGAAGGGAAGAGTTTCCAAAGGGTTCGACCCGAACATCGGTCTACAGTAATCTGAAGCGGTATTGCAATGCTCTTCTATTACAGTTTCAACGATCTCGACGGTCTTGAGCTCCAATTCAAACACACTTCTGGAAGTTCCATGTGCTACTTTGACCCCAGACTGACTCTGATTCTATTTCGATCTTTGTATTTGATCATCGCTATTTCCATTCATCATGCTCTCGCTCCCACTCGCGCGGGAATGTTTACGGTTCAATTTGTACCTTTCTCTCTCTCTCTCTCTTTCTGTTCCGGCGCGTTCCTTCTCCAATCTGATAATCTCCTTTGTCACACCGATGCAACGCCGTTAATCCTCGCGCGGGCTTGTGGCTGAATGATAAGATCACGCGCCTTCAAAAAAGAGAGCGCCGCCGCCGGCTCGTCGGGAGCCTCCGATCATGACCTTGATGAAAAACACACGGCGGTGCGGAGAGAAAGATGTTTGCGCAGCGTCGTCTCCCTTAATCGAGACGCTTTTTTTGGGGCGAAAAAAGAGTGAATGTACTTATGTTTATTTGGGACATGACCAAATAATATAGATATCGGATGATAGAGAATGAAAAGAAAGAAAGAAAGAAAGAAAGAAAGAGAACGAGAGCAAGGATGAGAATGGGCAAAAAAGGACATCTCCGGGAAGAAGAGACGGATGAATCGGACTGAAACATCGAAAAAGTGTGTAGATAAATAATAGCCGTAATGCACTGAGACTGTTGAATTGGGTCTCCTAGAACTGGGAACAATCATTTGAAAGATAATCGACGGGCCTCATCTCCTTCGTCGTCTTTCCGGCGATGTACAGAGGTTCGGCGCGTACCAGGGCGATGTGCATTGAGGTTCTGAAAAAGTTTTATAATGACAATTAAAAGTTGGAGTCTAAACTACCACATCTCGAAGTTCCATCCTTTTCCACCATCAGATATCCTCTCGGACAAGATGCTCCGGACCTCTTTACTCTTCCGTTCGGACAGCACATCTTGTTGGTGCACGTGTAACCCTGAAGCCCTCTCGATTCTCTTTCCGATTCTTTCTAATACCATACCTGTGGACATCCTTTTACTGGATTACAGACCAGCGGCATGTTGTTCTGTGGGAAAAGCATTGGCTGTCGGCCATCGGGACACGTGTATTTGCCCCCGACCACTGGGGATACTGTAGACTTCGCGTACCGGCCTCCCTGGACGACTCTACCGATAACAGGTGGTTGGGCAGGGACCACGGGCCTTCCGACTTTGCTCATGACAGCTCCCTTTGTGGTTCCAGCTGGAGCGACCGAGCAGCAAACATACGAACCGATCATCTTTGAGTAGACACACGCGGAAGGCTTCGGACACTTTTGTTTGGCACATTGGATCAGGGTATACTCAGCAGAGATCACGGGCTGTTTGGGTGCTTCGCAGATGTTCACGTTGTCTGAAAAGGAACCAATGAGGGAGAGTATGAACGAAGAAAACTGACTCAGGCATCTGTCCTTGTACGGCGAGCTTCCTTGAGCGCACTTGCACATCTTCGCAGCACAAACGGTGCCATTCAGACACTGTTCGTTGTGTTCGCACGTGCCGCCCATCGGAGACTTATTGAAGCATGATCCGTCTTTTTCGATCTGATTTTCAGAGCATCTGAGCACCTTCTTTGAGGCCTGCGTCACTGCTGCCACTGCTTCCAACTCATCCGTATCTACTTGAATGCACCGTCCATCTTGCTCTCGGAACTTCTTCCCGCAATTACACTGCTGTCCGATGCATTCCGCTCCAGAAGTGCATTGCGAAGAAAGAAGACAGACTGATCCGACGGCTCCGCGGACTTTGCACTCTCCGCTCACGAGTACAGTGTCTGGAGGGCACAGTGACTTACCGGTGTTTCCAGAAGACGTCACGGACGGCGACATGGTGGGTGGCGGTGATGGAGAGGAAGGAGCAGCTGGAGCTACAGTAATCGAAGGCGTGGAATTCTCCAGATCAGGGATTCCGGTCGAGTTCTCGGTTGAGATCTGTGGGCGATCCCTTCCGCTGATTCTGACGGTCGTGCAGCAGATGGACTTTCCTCCTCGCGAATTCTGACAGCTGTATCCTTCCGGACAGTTTCTCAACTTCACCGAGCACTCCTGGGCTCCACCGGTCAGATCCAGATAGGCCACCGATTCTCCGGGACACCCAGCTTTGTGTCCACAGCATTGGAACTGCTTGTTCCGATCCGAGAATTGACAGAAGTACCCGGTTGGACAGGACGCTCCAGAAGCCGTGCACACCACTGGATGATCGTCGTTCACGAGAGCGACTTGGGAATGGGGACAGCCGAGTTCTGCAAAAAAGGTGATCTTCTATCTATTTTCGGACAAAACACCGTGACGTTTGAGCGACTAGTTAAGAGCCCACTTCACACAGCCGTTCAGAGCTCAAGCGGAAACTTCCGCGTGGCCTAGGATTTGCAGATTTCCCAACTCCGCCATGGTCTCTGAAGGTGCGAACTAGAGACGCCTCGACACAAACATCATAATCCAAATTCCAAAGAAACGAGTGCCTATCCAATTTCTTTCCTTCTAAATTTCGTTGCATAATACTTATCTAATTTCTTTCGATCGGGGGGCAAAAGAAAGAGCCATCTCTCGCGCGCGGGGAGAGGAGCGGAGATCTCTTTGTTTGTCGTGATGTTCGTAGTGGCTAACACCGCGTGCTGCTCCGCAACTCACAGCCGCCGCTTCCGTGTTGCTCGGCCAGTCGGTCCGAGATACCCAAACAAAATATACTTTCGAACGAGAAGGACGGATTACACCTGCTCATCGACAAAAGTACACTGTCAACAGAGCACTCGAAACGAGACATTCCTAACCGGGCGATTGAGGAGGACAAAGCCGATGAGCACCACAACAAATCAGCCTCATTTTGAGCCTCCGGGGGAACTTTACTTTATCTTATTATGTACGCTCACTCAAAGGATATTGTCAAGTTCAGAAGAGTCTGACGAACCTTCCTGCTCAATCTCATCCTCTTCAATCGGATCCTTTCCGCAGCACTGATATCGTTGGAAGGCGACGGCAAATTGGCAACTGAAGACGGAACATATAAGAATGATATATCTCAGCTTCCTGTAGAGGTATAAAAAAGTTATCAACTAATAAATTGATCATTATGATCTTATGTACATTTTATCTGTTGACCGCTTTTTGATATCTCTACAAACAGCTAGGGTTACTTCTGTATTGCACAGTACTCACCTAAAAGTAGCCGGACATCCCTTGTTTTCAGGATTGAACGGATCGCACGCGATGATCTCGTTCTTCTTGGCAAACGCGTACTCTCCAGGAGGACACCCCTCAGAGATGGCGTTGATTTCTCCGCGACAGCAGAATCCGCTCATCGACGACGGCGTCTGTTTGTGACATCGATAACCGACTGGGCACGAGATGAATGCGCCCGGAGTGCAGATTCTCGGCATTTTCGACTTTTCATCCATCAGAAACTCGGAATCGCCTTTGCAAACATCTAAAAGAAACGAGATACATTTAAAGTTAAGAAACGCTAAAAAGTACTTCTAGCAGAGCAGCAGAAGCCTTGCAAAACGTTTTTGGAACGGCTCTGACAACTGTAACCATCCGGGCAAGTGTTCGGATTGTTAAGAGTGCAGCGGATCGGGAGGAGGGTCTTCTTGGCTCGGAAAAGAGCACGACCATCTGGGCACACATCTGAAAATGGAATTGTAGAACCCGGTTACTTAAACTACACATTTTTCTTACTTTCAGTAGTCGGAGCACAACAATAGTACCTATTCCTTTGAGCATTAAACCGACAAAGGAAGTCAGCCGGGCAACTGCCCGGAATATTGATTGCACACTCTCTGACCGTCTCATCGAGAGCGTTGATGAACGCACGTTCCTCGGAAGGGCACACTTCTGAAAGAGAATCTCTTTCTACAGTAGTCCTAGCATAGTTTCCCTCCTACCCATGCTCGTGGATCCACAGCAGACATATCCGGAAGTGAGGGAATTGAAACGGCACTGGAAGTTGGCGGGACAACTGTTGATGAGCACGTTGTTGCAGTCGAACGCCTTCTTCGTGTTCACATCTTTGTAGGCGACTTCTCCGACCGCACAGCCGGCCGAACTGCAGAAGTTGTTGCATTCCATCTGCGTGCCGAAATTGTTCAGGTTTCCGTTGCAGCCATTGTATTGGAACGTGGCGCATTCCTAGAGATAGAGTTATGGGCTGAGAGAAAAGGAGTGAAAGACTCTGACTTACTCTCGTGACAATATTGAAGTAGAATCTGGCCACCGAAATCTTTGAGCAGTGATTTCCCTGCTGTGGCGGTTGGCTGCAAATGTGCGCTTTCGTCGGACAGCATCTGTTGCCAACGTTTCCATTCACAGGAATAGAGATACACTCGTGAGTGGAAGGACACGACTTGCTCTCCGAGCAACTCATCGGCTTGTTCGTGGCCTCGTCCCGCAGCGGCATTCCTCCGTTCGGACATCCGCCGACGCCGCAATAGTGCTGACAGTCTTCCGAAGTCAAAAAGTTGTTGGCGTTTCCGTCGCAGCCTTCGTACTGGAATGACTCGCACGATTGCTTGTTCGAGTTGAAGTAGTAGCGGTAGGACCGTCCGGATCCGCACTGGACGCCCTTATCTGGGTTCAGAGAGCATGTGAATGCCTTCGAAGGACAGCAACCGTGCGTGGTTCCATCGTAGGAGCACTGGTAGTTTACGGGGCACTTGGGACCGCTCTGTTTATCCGAACACTGCTGAAAGTTTCCGTTTCGGTCACGGAAAGCGCGTCCGTGCTGGCATTTGGGTTCGACTGAAAAAAAAGGGTTTCCCGGTTCCAGAAGCCAACAACATACCATTAATGCCCCTACACTTCTGCTGACAGGTCACGAGATTCGGGAAGTTGTTGTCGTTACCCTGGCATCCCGTGTACTGGAACATTTCGCACGTTCTCGTCGCCGCATTGTACCAGTACCGACGAACCGCCGAAGTACAGTCTCCGAGGCGTTTCGGTTGAGTGCACAGAGATTCTTTAATGTATAAGGATGTGAAGGGAAGAAAAGAAAAATGAAGAAGCTCACGAGAAGTGGGGCAGCAGACTTTGTGGCTTCCCTGGCAAGAATGCGAGGAGGGACAGTCGGCGTTCGTCTCGCATCGCTGCCATTCTTCTCCGATCCGAAGCGGATTTCCATTCTCGCAAACCACTAAAACACGTATCATTCATCTAATTATGTAAAAAAGGAACTTACACTTTGAGCAGAAAGATTCACAATCTTGTTTAGTCAAAAAGTTATTGTAATTGCCAAGTCCGTGGTACAAGAAGTTGACGCATCGCCCTTGGTCAATATCGTAGTAATAACGGGTCACTGCTTTGCTGTAATGTATTGAGGTCGAAAGATCATTCAAACGTGTCTTCTTACTGTCCGGCGATCTGCAGTCCGCGATCGTAATTCTCTGGAGGTTTCGTGAGGAGAAGTCTTCCTCCGTTGGCACTGCAGATGTGAGCAGCGGTCGGACAACAAGTCTGTTGGGAGCCGATGAGGGTGCACTGATGGTCTTGATCGCATCGAGAGGTGGAGGCGAGGCAGTTGGTACGGGGAACTTCGTCGAGGAGCGAGAATTTGGAGGAGGCGAACTCGGGGGCTCCACGGCGACATGCTGAAAGTAAACAATATTCATTGAACCGATATTCTCTTGCCTCTTTTATTGGTCTCTCAAACTCAAACTCGGGTAATTAAGAGTGAAATTCTGAGAGACTGGAGAATGACTGAACTAGGCCTGGCACGAAAAACCCATCGTGCTCCGAACCGTGTACGAATATTCGAAGAGAAGCAAGCAAATTCTTACTATTCAGTACAACAAAACCTATTCTACTATTGCTCACAACATTACAACTGGAAACGAAGAGATTATGGCTAAACTAAGTAACATAGAAAATCTCAACGAAAAACAACTGCTACTTTAAAAACAAATGTGTGTATTTGCGCGGGGCACCTGACCTTACGCGCAAATGCAGACTATTTATGCTTCTGTGTCTACACTAACTTAAGCTACTTTGGGGGGAAGAGGAAGACTACAATAAACTGCCTTTTAATCTAAAAAAAAAAGGTGAATGGTGACAGATTGGTTCTCGCACAGAAAGGAGGAGGTTTGGAAGAGACGAGAAATGGAACTTACTGTCTCTGCAATAGGATTCACAGTGCTCTGCAGTTCGGAAGTTGTTCGGCGAGGCGTTGGTGATGGTGTCCGGATCCCACATAAACTGCACGCAAGTTCCCGTCGCCGAGTTGTACCACCATCGGGGAACCGACGGTTCGTCGCCAGATTCCAGCGGTTGAATGCACACGAACGCTGGAAATAAGGGGCTTAGAAGTTCGTCTGAAACTGCTCGAAACCTCTGTTATGACAGCAGATACCGTCGACTTTCTCGGAGTATTCCGAGAAGAGATCGTTGTTCACTTGTGGATGGGAAATGCAGTTGTAGGTGTCGGCGATGTAAACATCCTGTTCTCCGTCAGGATATACACACCACGTAGATCCGTCTCCTCCGTTCGAAGCGCGAGTTTCCGAAGAAAGGGAGTTGCAGAGCACTGGCCTGTAAAAGGAGATTATGAAGCTTTTATTTGAATTTGAGAGTTCCAGCTCATTCTAGCTCACATGTAGGTGCCTGGACTCAACGGATGAGTGGTGGGATTGGCGAGGATAGTGGCCGGGTTCGGGTTCCCGTTGTGAGCCTCTGGTAACGGACACGCGGGGGGAATCTTCGAGGAAATGCACACGGTTCCATCTCTCGTTCGGCTTGGGACAGTCTCTTTGGGACATTCACAAAGTCCTGCGGAGGTGCAAGTGGTCCCCGGCCAGACGGCTTCGCACTGACGGCTTTCCACGCATCCCGACTCTCCGGGATTCACTTCTGAAACCGAATTAGACTATGGTAGGTAGTGCAGTACTTTACGAACTCGGCCAGCAATGTTGTGAGATGGAGACGAAATCGCTGAGACAACTGCAAATTCCGCCGCCACAAAACATGCCCCGCTGGCAGTCGGTGTTGAAAGAGCACACGTCGCCGACTCGCGAGGAGCCCGTCGTGGCCCTCCGACGTCGGATGTGGTTGAGATGAGTGTCCTCCTCCTGCACACACTCGCGGGTGATCTGGTTGAACACGGCGGGCGGCATGTTCCGATGCGAGCAGTCGAACTGAATCACCTGACAAAACACTTTGTTTGTTGAGCATGATGCGAAAAACGAAGAGCCATGTTTGAGCACAACTCTTTTTTTCGAATTTGAAAACGAAATGACCGTACCTCTCCGTCCACACACATAAAGTACTTCGACGGCTGGTAGATGACTTTTCTGGAAAAGTGAACGAGTACTGTAGATCAAAAAGGGAACACGGTACTTTGTTTCATTATTGCAAGTGTACACTGGAAGTCTGTCAAAGTTGTTGCATGGTTGTCCGACGGAAACCAGGTCGCATTCATCACAATACGCTTCTTCTTCGCAATAACCAGAGGCTAGTCGGATTACTGTAAGGGTACTGTAGGGAAAATAGTTTAAGTATCTTTTATTAAGTATTTAAGTATAGTTTAAGGTATCTGAGGTTACTGTAAGACTAGATAAAGCCTATAAGTTTAAACTTACAAGTGGCAGTGCATAGAATTAGAATAAAATTCGGCGGACGCATGACTGTGTGCTCGCCGAGCCGCCGGCTCTCTCAGTTGCTGTAAAACTTGGTCGCTAAATTGGAAAGAGGTGTCAAAAAGTGAAGAAGGGGGGAAGGAAGTAAGTGATGAAGAGAGCGGCTCCCAATCGGGGGGCGTGCTATTAATTGGTAAATGAAGAGGCAGTTCGTGCAATTCGGTGCTCTCGATCCGAGACGAGCTCGTAAAGAGCGTGCTCGGACCGGAGGCGGATAAGTGAGGATGGCCGAGAAATTGATAAGGATACTGTTTTATCTCTCTCTCTCTCTCTCTCTCTCGAGACTATCAAGTGGCGGCGGTTCACGCGTTTTGACACCTCAGTGGACCGCCTGTTTGTTCAGGAAAGAAGAAGAAGAAGAATAAGATGGACTAAGGTAGGGGATGGGCGGTGTCCAGACCGATGGACTTTCGGGCAAAAGGGAAGGTGTGTCCGATGACTCAGACGAATGTCATTGTATTGGCGGAGATCCTTAAAACTCTCGGAAGACTGATTACATGGTGCTGTTTCCCTTCTTTCCCAACTTTTCGTTCGAACTCTCAACCCATTCCTTTTTTATGTCACCCAATAAACCGCCCACGTAATAGCCGACCAAACTGCCATAAATGCTCGCCATTTTGTCCATTTTTATCGAAAACCTTCTCCTCACGCCACTCGTTCCTTTTTCCTCCGCCAAACTCGATTCACTTCCCTACTCTCGCCGCCGCCTCCTTTCGCCGCCCCGGTTGTCCGCCGACACGCCGTTTGTCTACTCCCTCAGACCCCCTCGCCCCCGTCCCCGTCGATAGCTCAGTTGGCAGAGCGGAGGACTGTAGAGTCAGTGGTTATCCTTAGGTCGCTGGTTCGAATCCGGCTCGACGGAGTTTTTTGCGAAATTTCGATAATTCGTTAGTGTTTTCTTTTAATTTCAGGTCGTCAGATAGATAAGAATTCGTTGTTTAGACTCTGAATGGCTGTCAATCTGTTCCCTCCTCTAAAACTCGGTTAGGTGTTTGTGAATTAGTCAGAGAATCCGGTTCGTCTTCCTTATAAAATTTGGGGGCTCCACGAGCTCATCACGGCTTTTCCCCATGTTTACAACACCTTCTTCTCGTGCGAGCCGAGCACATTATTGATTTTGTTTCTCAGCGTCTCGTTCGTTTGCGAGCTCTTCCGTTGCTCGGGGGCCGTTCAAAACAACTAAAAACACGCGACGATGCCAGTGTCCTTTTTTGTGTGACGCTTCTCCGTTTTTTTTTTGTTTTTCACACGCCAAACACGGGCATGCCCTGGCTGATTTCTCTTCCGTTTCCCTCGCCGCTGACCAATCCGCTTATTGGCGGCCCGAGGATTACAATCACCCCCACTGTTTCACCTTTCGACTGGCTCGGCTTCGTGACTTGTTTCACATTAGTTATTATCATTTCTGGCCGGAAACAGACGAGTACGGTTCGTCTTTTTGTCACTCAATCGTTAGTCGGAAATAATAGAGTTTGGGACGGCGCACAACTCTTGAGCTGAAACAAACACGAAAATACTAGGCGGTGAATGGGATTTACAAGATAATTATTCAGAAGCACAGAAAAAATCAAATATTTCAACTTTTATACTCGTAAATCGCGAAAACGGAGCGAACGTTTTCAGGCGAGTCACACGCATTGCAGTTCTGCGCCTTTGAATTTGACACGGATACGGTATCACGATTTTTCTCTAACTCCTCACGAAAAAGCCGATTCAGACGGATTTCTATGAGAAATGTTCAGCAAGTTACTCTTCATTTCCTTAAAACAAAATGCGTCTGAAATCACACTTGTAATCTACCGTATCGGCCTCTAATTTAAAGGCGCAGTACTCGGGCGAATGATAACTGTACTGTAATCAAACTCCGAACCTTTTCAAAATTCCGATTCGGTAGAGCACAGTTGCATCACATCGCGCATCGATTCGCACTCGTTCTTGCCTGGATGCCTAGACTGATGTAACGCAGAAAGTGGGCGGGGCCTTGACCACCCTGAAAGACGGGGGAAACATCAGGAACAAACTATAGATACCGTATACTCGCTCTCATTATTCTGATTCTTTCCTTCACTCTGTTTTCTCCGTTTCCCGTTTCTTTATCTTCTTTTCCCCGTTTGTCAGCGATCATTACGCTCAAATAAAACGAGGCCAGTGAGTTTAAAAATATTTTTGAGTACCTGAGCTCGTAGCGATTGTTTTCGATTCTCTTATCAGGTATTACTGGTTGAGCAAAACACATTCCATGATCTGTGATCTTTGTGTTCAGAGATTCGGGAACATTCTCGAAAACTTCTGATCACTCTTCACTGATCTCAATCAAAATATTATTGATCCTCGCACACTGACACCTTTTCGTCGAAACCACCCAACTGAATCGGTTGCCGCGTTCATCCGCCTATCATAGTACAGTCTTTTCCGGCCTCATATCATTTCCCAGAATCGCCTTCCACGCGTGGCCCAATCATCGGCCGATCTCCTCTCCTACACCTGATTCTGATACTTTGATCAATTGATATTCAGTTTGTGTTTGTTTGCGCCTGTCTCTTTCTGTAAAGTGGAGTTGTCCATATCATTATTATATATGTTGTGTTACAATGTGATGAATAGAGAGACAACACACGATGAGCGCGACCGAGTACTTACGGGGCCGAGAATGGAAGGAAGGAAGAAGGAAGAAACGAGCAACGAGCACCGGGCTCTCTGTTTTGATGGACTTTCGGCATGGGGGTGCACACCGAGATTCTTCCAGAACATTCCAGAAATTTAGAGAAGAATCTTTCAAAAGCCTTTCACTATATACATATACGATCATTTCAGAAGTTAGGCCCTAACTGGACCTACTCCTCATTTCGAGAACATTAGCATTACATCTTGAAGCAGAAACAGTTTAACTGAAAATGAAATATCTGGATTATTATTCCAGTTAGCCTAATTCCAACTCAAACTCTAGACCTTAAAGATCGTCGGCTCTATAGGCTCTATAGGCTTTTGTGTGGCTCAAAATAGCTAGAATTACCTGCGGCCACGTTCATTTCGATGATTCTCGGAAGCCAAGTTCATTAAAGATTTCTGAAGCTAATTCAAAATGTCCGACGAAAAGTTAGATGTGCAGGCAGTCGCAGCCTATCACTCTCAAAGGCGATTCGCAGGAAACGCCTTTTCAAGCCTGGCATCGTGCCAACAATTGATCGGCAAACGTCTTTTGTAGCGAAAAACCGTGACGTCGTACGATCAAACTGTTCAATTTTCAATTGGTTCAAGCTGACATTTTCTAATCAGTCGGTTGCGAAATATAGTTTAGTTCGAAAAACGAACGTACAAGCTCAGTCAGACAGGTGAAAATATGAACGGCTCTCTAAGAAAATGCCTTAGAATTGAATTGCTCATACTATTTTATTCATAGCTTCTGAAGCAAGTCACCTTAAGAATTACAAAGAGGTCCCGATTGAGAGAGGTGAAGTCCCAAAGTTGAATTAGAATCCAACTTGAGTACCTTCAGCCTAAATCCATCAGCTCTCCTTTTAAATTGAGCCACAAGATGCGCGTGCTCGTTTTTTGATGACCTCATTAGCAGGGTTGGTGCTGATGCATCCATGCTCCGCTGCACTCCGCTTTTCCCCCCGTTTGCCACGAGCGACCAGTTTCCAGAACAGTTCCTTTTACGAGCCCCTTCCTTCCTTATCACTCAACTCATTCGATTCCCATCCAAACCGAGAAGCCATGTTTTGTCCCTTTAAACCCATTGTGGTAGTTTAAACTTTTCTTTTGTTCCAGAGATTCTCTCTTTCTCACCATGTTTGCATAATCGGATGAGCTGCTCCTGAGCCGCAGTACGCCGCCGTCGAAATGACAGAACCGAGTGGTGGTGGCGTCGTCGACAACTCGCCGCTCATGTCGGCTGTCAAAATAGATGCAGAATCTGCAGCTGGAGAGGGATCGGAAGTGGCCGCAACGCTCGAGGATCTGCTTCAGGTGACCTCTGCGTGAGTGACTTGCTTCATAGTGTGGCCTTCCATTTTCTTAGTTTCATAAACCTTACATGATCGTACTCGGAGCCTTGGAATCGGTTTGCCAACGCATCATTCAATTGCAGATGGCGTCCCTACCCGCTCTTCATCATCTGCTCCATGTCGTTCCTCTGGTCGCTCTGCGCCCTCAGCGCCATCTCGCCCGCATTCACCGCCTCGGTCGAAGTGTGCTCCGACAACTGCTCCTTCTACACAATACAGCACGAGTTCAACCTAACCACTTCATTTTTCCTCGAGCCCGCCGAGCTCACCACGTCCGTTTATTTCTTGGGCAACTTGCTTATTGGGCAGCTATTCGCCGTGATCGCTGACAGGTGACTATTGATTTCGTCACAACGTTGCTGACCTGTCACTCTGTACCGTACATGCATTTATTGACAGATTCGGCCGCCGTCCAATCGTCATCTCATCGCTCTTTTTTACCGGTATCGCCGGCTCGCTCGGCGCCTTCGCTCCCAATTTTTCTCTGCTTCTTCTCGCAAGATTTATTCAAGGATCATGTTATACTGTAGGTGTCATCTTTGCTTTTCTGAAAGCTCAAACCTCTTTTTGTTTTCAGCCCCTGACAACTGTAAACTACGTGCTGAGCGGAGAGAGTATTCCGACGCGTTCCCAGTCGCTCACGTCCATCTTCTTCGGCGTCTTCTGGGTGTGCGGCTATTGTTTTCTGGCGCCCATGTCGGTTTGGTTTCCCACGTGGCGCACTCTCCAGTTCGCCACCGCCGTTCCCAACGTTATCATGGCACTGTTCCTCTTGATGTAAGTGTTTATGCGTTTTGCTCAATGACCATCAAAAGTGCTCGGTTCTTTTGCAGCACTCTTCCCGAGAGCATTGCGTATTCGATCGAGAAGAGAGACCGTTCGGCCGTCGAGCGGTGGATCAGAAACAATGAAAGGCTGTCGTGTCGCAAGATCGCACACAACTTGGATTCGATTATGAAGATCGAGAACAAACGGCCGGAGAGACTGACAATCCTCCAGATGCTTCGGGCGATTCTCGCGGATCGATCGATAATCCGTCGGATGGTTCTGGAGCTGATCCTCTGGATTCTGACCTTCATGACTTACTGTGCCCTCTCGCTGACCTCCACCTCCGTCGGCAACTCGGACCCTCTCGTCTCTTTCCTCTTCTCCGGCGTCGTCGAACTTCCCGCCTACCTGTTCATTCCAATCTGTCTCAAATGGTGAGTATATCCCTTCTTTCCATAGTTGCCACGGGCCGGGCCGGGCCAGGGCCTTTTCCAAAACTCCGGCCCGGTTCAAAAAGCGGGAATTCAAAATTTGAATTATTGATCGCATGAAGCCATTTTTTTTGTAGAATTAGGGGTTTTTTTGCAAGCATCGAACATTGAAAAACAAATGTATTTCTCATAAAAAATTCATAATAGCAAAAAAACAAAGAAGAAACACTAAAACTTTAGTTCGAAAATTTTTTTTGTAATAACGAAAAAAAAAATTTCCGCGAAAATTTGAATTCCCGCCTTTTGAACCGGGCCGGGCCGGCACTTCACCGACCCGGGTCGGCCCGCATGGCCGGCCCGAAATCTGGCAAGTCTGCTTCTTTCCCTCCCATTCCATTGATTTCAGGACGAAACGTCGTCCGACCCGCTTCTTAAGCCATTCGATCGGCGCGTGCGCTCTGCTCGTCATGTACTTCCTGTCGTACGAGAGCCCGTGGCACCTCGTCATCTGGCTCGTCGCCAAGTTCTGCGCCGCCTGCTGCTACATCTTCTGCTTCATTTACGCCTCCGAACTCTTTCCGACGTTCTGCCGCTCGTGCTGCATCGGCGTCTGCTCCACGTGCTGCAACATCGGAGCCATCGTGGCGCCGCACGTCTTCGCGATGGACCTTCTGCTCGCCGGCTCTCAGTTTCTGCTGCTCGCCGCCGTCGGCGTCTTCTGTGCCGTCTTGGCTCTTTTGCAGCCGGAGACTAAAGTCTAGGTTTTATGAAAAAGTAATCATATTTTCGATGGAAAAAGCGTGTAGACTCTGTGTATTACGTGTATTCATGTACGAATGTGTGGCTTTCATCAATAAAGATTTCTCTCACCGCCAAAACGAATCCATTCATTCGTATTTCTGCTTCCGTACAGTCCGTTTTCCACTCCTTCTTCTTCTTCTTCTTCTTCTTCCTTTTCTTCTCAATCCTCGACGTTTAGTAGTAAAATAATTCCAAGCTTTCCGTCAAACGGTGAATTAGTCGAGGACGTTTGTGTTGTTTCTGCGTCTCTTCTTCTTGAAAAGGTACAGCTTCTGCCCATAAATCACTCATCAATATGCATATTTGCCCAGATATATATTTCTAGTTATCACCCGAAGGCTTCGTTCCACCAGCGTCGTCGTCGACGACGTCAACTTCAGAATTCACCCTTAATTATTTGTCAATTAGATGAACTAGACACAAAAAAAGGTCAAGAGATCCTCTAGCCAGTGGGCGACTTCAGAAGTTGTTGTTTGTCGGCCTTTCAGGTGGTTTGTTGCGTAGGAAAGATTCGAATCGGAAGGCGTTTAGATCTGTAATCTGGCGTGGTTTTAAAGCAGAAAAGTGGAAGCCGAATCCTGAGAATTCCATACTATCTGCAAAGAGGTCTAGTGAGTTTCTTGTACTCTACATACTGTAGCTCATCGAGGTAACTGTAGAAGAAGAGTTATTCAAGACAATATATTTCAGCTGCATGTTGAGATATCAAAAAGTTGAGGTACAGCGCCTTTAATAGACAGTATCAACTACTGACTGTTGTGTCAATTTTTCACTTTTTCTCCAGTTGACCACTCTCAAAGCTACTGTGGAAAAGCTCATGGAAATGTTCAAAAGTACTGATTTTGAATAGCTACAGTAATCTAGCGGTTTGTGGCACAAAAAGGCAAAGATAAACCTAGAACAACAATATTCTTTCTGGAAAAAGTTAGTTTGTTTCCCTCATTTCCTTCTTGGGCGGGCTATAAATTCTCGTCCTCCGGGGACAAATGCGTGAAGAATCACATAAATTCTCGTTTCCTGCCTTCTTCTTCTTCTTCTTCCCTTTTGCCTCCGCCCTATTCTAATCCGACGTGACATCTTCTCGCATTCCGCTATCACTAGCTGCCTTTCTTTGTCGGCACCACCACCGGAGATATCCTTCCGTGAGAGAGAGAGAGAGAGAGAGAGAGAGAGAGAGAGAGAAGGACATATATGCAAATGATTCGAAAGTTCTGCGTCTCTCCGCATCCCGTGCTCGTTTCCGATGTTTACTGTTCGGATAGTCTGCTCAACTCGAGCAAGAACGGGGGAAGCTCCATGTGCTCTCTTTCCTGTATGTACCGGACGAATTGACTACTGTTTTTGGTCTCTCTCTCTCTCTCTCTTTCTTTCTCTTCTCCCCTCTCTCTCTCTCTCGGTCCCATTAGCATGTCAAAGCGCCACAAAAGAGTCGGCAAAAAACATGGGCGCCACTGAGGAATGAGAACGAAATTGGATTAATTCTCAAGTTGTTCCTCCTTTGATTCCCGACATGACCTCCTGTTTCCTATTGATTTACTACTCTCCTTTGTACTTTTGTGTCCGTTTTACCGGATTGACATGCCAGAATCATCGGGCAAATGATTGATGTTCTTTATTTGTTCCACTGCTGTTTTTTTGTTCGTTTAGTTTGGTTAAAACTGGAAGACACAATACGGTAATCCAAAGAGTTTTCCATAATAAAACTGATTACTGTACTTCTTGACCATTCCAGCTTTACTATTGTAGCTCTCTGGAAAACCGGGTCCTCTCTGATCAGCTGATTCTACCGTAATCCAACCTGTCCCTTCTCACCTTCCACCTCTTGATTTCCGTCCAATTCGGCTTACCATTTCATTTCCTGTCTTTTCTTTTCTCTCTCTCTCTCTCTTTCTTTCTTTCTCATTGAGCCCCTCCCAAACGAATCCGCTTCCTTCTTTCTTACCCTTCCCCCGTTGTTTCCAATTCTCCGGTTGAACATGATAAATGTATTGTTTGTTATTGTTTGCCAGTCTTCTTGTCTCCTCCTCCCCCTTCTTCTCCTTCTTCTTCTTCTCCTTCTTCTTCTTCTTCTTCGTCCGTCCGTCCGTCCGTTCGTTTTCTTTCCTCCTCAGGTCCTCGCGAGATGCGCGGCGGCGGCGGCGCAAAGTGCCCCCGCTCCTCCCTCGTTTCGCACTATAGTTTGCAAAAGAGAATGACGAGAGACAACATGCACAGCTGACCGTATCTACCGTAATCCTCTTGTTTTACTTTTTTCAGGAACACAATCTTCAAAACTTTTCGACTTGAACGCTAAAATTTCAGCCAATTCCCCACTCTCGATCCTGTCCTCCTTCACCGCTTTTATGGCTGTAAACTTTTCGATTCTCACTTTTTTATGACCCAAGGAACGGCAACATTTGCAGCTTCATCTTCAACTTTGTCCCTATTCTCCAATAGTTTTTTGCCAATTCCTAATTCCTAATTACCAGACATCGCGGCCGGAATGACGCGTAACTTTCCAGTCTCTCCCTCCTCCGCTCTTCCGCGTGCTCTTCCGCGCGGTAACTGATATACGCGAGTGCCGCGAACTCTGCCTCAATTGTTTTGCGTTTGCTCGCCTCGAGAACCAGTCCGTTTTGATTGGATGGGCTCCTTCCTGCTCGAACACGTGTCAACACACGCAAAGTCCAGAGAGAACCGGACCCATTAGGTTCGCGTTCATTAGTCGGAAAGATGCTTCCATTCTCCCCTCCCCGTTCCTTATTACTTCGCCTTCTTCTCCAGCCAATTTTTTGTTATAATCCGTTAAAGTTGCAAAGTTTTAAAAACCAAAACAATAATTCTGTGTGGTTGGCGTCGGAATGCTCAGTACTTTGGCCCCTCTTTGAATGTTTGTTCAGGCGAGTTCCAAGTTTACTCACTTATTACAAACTTACCGATCAAGGGGTTAACTGGCACGCACTACCGGTTTTTCCGTTTTTGGGCACAGCAACTCGAGCTTTTTATGACCCGGCAAGTGTCGAAGAAGGCGATTTCTTGAAAGCAATTGCACTTTTTCCATCTCCGAAAGGGTCGAACTCGTTCAAATTCGCCTTCCCTCCTATCAATCAACTGCTCTTATCAGCGGCTCATTCGTCTTACCCTCTTCTCTTTTCCTTTTCCATTCCATGTCCACTTTGTTCCACTTTCTTCAAAACATTTCCAAGAAGAACATCATCTCAACACGTTCACGTTCTTTTAGGCCACTTTTCACTCGCTCCTTCGGATTATCCCTTTCCTTTTGGCATTTCGATGAGTGCCTCGTTTCGCTGTTGTTGGCACAGCCGTTCCTAAGCCCGCGCAGCAGTCACTTTTAATTAGTACATATCCATGCACAAAGAGCTCTGTCGTTTCGAGCACCACGTAGTCATGGAGACCTCCCGTCGAGTGGAACTCTTTGTGCTTCACCTTTTCGGGGCAACATTACTAAAGAGGCGAACGGCCCCGCGAGCCCGAGCTTGATAAACACTTTAGAAAGCCGTGCTCTTTGCTTCAAAGGTAATCGGATCAACACTTTTACCTCCTTCAGACTTTCCCTTTCTTCTCTCCATTTCATTTTCAGTTCGATTAAAAAAAAACTGTACAATTGTGTCGTTTTCCGTTCGGTTTCTCTTCTCGCAATACTGACTCACAAACTCACCGCCACTTTTCTCGCTCGTTTTGATGAAATTCTCTCTTTTCTTACATTCTGTTTGCAGGCAGGCAGGCAACATGGACTACGACACGGACACGTTGCGGTCGGCAAAATGCAACCGGGATGCCAGCCACAAGTACTACAAGATGCTCATGGCGGTGAGTCGATAGAAGGATTTCTCTTCACCTACAACAGACTTCCCCAGCCCCCATGGTCCTCACTGATCGTTTCTGAGCTCCCAATGAATCGATCTGTACCAGAGTTGAGCGGAAGAACTCAACGGAAGAACACGGAAGAATTTTTATCTTTTTTAGAAATTTTTTTCATGAAATGTGATCAACTGACGAAATGTATAGCAAAGTGAACTCAACTCTGCTCATAGAAAAATAATTGTAAATTTAACTTTTCATACAAAAAAGTTATTCGAGTTGTTCTATGAAAATGTCCTTCCGTCTTCCGTTAGCCCTCATTTTTTCACGGAACAACTCGAATAACTTTTTGGTATGAAAAACTAAATTTACAATCTTTTTTCTATGAGCACAGTTCACTTTGCTATACATTTCATCAGTTGATCACATTCCATGAAAACATTTTCTAAAAAAGATAAAAAATTCTTCCGTGTTCTGCCGCTCAACTCTGATCTGTACCAAACTTAAAAGTTAGAAGACAGTTGATCTAAACTTCACGGGGATTCCGAATCTAGTGCCCATTTTTGTTGCCAATTCGAGAAAATCGTATCGGACAACAGAAATCCTATTTTCTTCCTTCGTGACGGTCGCGTGAACTCCTTCCTTGTCGATGCAATTTAAATCAACAGTACCGTTTCTTATGCCCGGCCCCAGAAATCCCAACTTTTCTTGGCATCATTCAATAGTCAGTAATATCGGCGCCAGAATCTGTAGGTTGCAAATCTCACATTTTCTACAAATTTATGACCGATCGATCATCCCAGCCACTTCGTCCCTCATCTATTTTCAAAACTTTTAGCACAAAGCGTCCCCCTCCACCTTCTTCTTTCCTTCGAGTAATTGTCGTGTTCGGAATAGAAAGACGAAGGTCATCTCCTTCCAAACACGTCTTCTCCATGTCATTTCCCGCCATTTTCAATTACTTATTGTCGTGGTTTCAGTTAGGACGGCCTCAAGTGCCCATTCTTCCCTCTTTTCCTCATTCTTTCACATCCCTACCGTACATCTTTTGTAGTTTGATCCGTGGAGCTCACACTTTTTGTTGAAAACTATCCCGAATGTTGCCCTCCAAAACAGCGAAATGTTTTATAAAAACGGGGCGGAGCAAGTCCTACGAGTATAAAAGCGGTGGGAAGAGCTGAAATTGAAACAGAAGCGGGAGGGAGCAACATGTTTTGTTTCGACGCGTTTCTTGACGCGACTGTCAAGTGTTGGCGTTTGGATCGAGAACGATCGTTTGACGAAGATCATGAGCCTTATAAGGTGAGCCACGGGTCTGTTTTGCAGCGGAATGACTATGGTCCGCACGGTGATTCTTTGCGAGGGTGCAGTGAGGAGAGGCCCCCCGTCCCGTGAACTGTCCTCTCTAAGCCTTTTCCCGCTCGCCAGAACTTCAAATGCGTGCTGTTTGCAGAATACTGATTTATTTTTCCTAAATTTCTGGGAATCAGTTCATTGTAAAGGAAACTCGCAAGCGGCAACGAGAAACTCGCAGAAATGTCTAGGGATCACTGCCAAAATAGCTTCTTTTTTTAAAATATGACTTATCGTGCGTGCTTTTTGTGTCTCTTTGTTAGTTTACATCACAATGAACTCATTTCCAAAAAAAATCAAGTGAAATGAATCAGTATTCGTCCGACGGCACGCATCTGAAGCCACGGAACAGGCAAGGAGCGCGCGGGCGGTGAAGAGACACAAAAAGCACGCGCGAGCAGCCATTTTTCGGAAAAAGCTATTTTTCCAGTGGCCTATAGATATTTTTGCGAGTTTCTTGTTGCTCTTTGTTAGTTTTGATCATAATGAACGCATTCACCATGACAATGAATAAGATGAATCAGCATTTCTCCGGCGGCACAAAAAAAGAATCACCGTGGTCCGAGTTACTGTTGGGTTTACGGTAGATGGAAAACTCTGGCTTTGTCTCAAACATTCACAATACAGCATCAAAGTCTTAGAGACTTACAATATCCCCGAAGCCACGTTGTATCATTCGTATCACAATTGCCAAGGTGACGTATGTGTTTGCCGTGCCCATAACGGACGTCCCATTCTGGCAACATTTCCGCGTGTTGACATGATGCTCGGCGAGCAGCTTAGAACTCAACGAGCAGCCGGCTGGTGGTAGGCGCCTAATGTAACCGTAATCCGATCCCGAACGGCTCGTGAAGAGCTTTCTCTCTCTCTCTCCAGCGAAAAAGAGTACAATAGTACTCTTGTAGGGTCCTGTTGCGCGCATATGCATATTCGGCCGGGAACTGTCGAGTTGCCTGCATTCCGTTCGCCGTCTGCGTCTCCGCCAGCCATGGCGAAACGGCTGGTGTCCTTTACTTTCGCCCCCCGTCCCCTGGTGACACCCAGTACCTCCTAATGTACATAAACAAATCGCACGCGTCCATTCTCTCTCTCTCTCTCTCTCTTTTACTCTTTCTACTCTCCTTCGCTTTTGTGTTGCTCTATGAGTCACTGCATTCATTCTGCATTCCAAAACGTCTTATCACTCCGTCTCCGTCTCTTTCTTCTTACCTTTTTGACCATTTCTGCTCGAAAGTTTATGCTCATTGCGCAATCCTTTTCGACGGTCCCTCTCAGGTTTTCATTGGTTTTTTTGTTTATGATGAAAAGAGAGAAAGAGAAGAATGAAGAATGCAAATGTGATTCACGGACGTTTTTTTTCCGTTCGATTCCACAATACTCATTTTCCATTCATTTCCACATTCCACAGTTTACATTTGTGCGTTGTTGTCTCGTCGTCTCAGTTGCCAAATGTCGGAGAAAAGCCAACTTTTCTTTTCTTTTTATAAAGATCACAAAATGAAACGATTGTCCTCACTTTTCATGGCCCAAAACGTTTCCACTAAACTTTAGATGATTTTTGAGCACTAGACAACCCTGACGGACCAAAAATGTTCTTTTTTCAGTCAATTTGTACATTCCTCTATCCACTTCTTGTGCTAGCACCCACTTCAGACCTCCAAAGTATCCGGTCTGCCTCCTGGCTTCTTCTTCTTCTTCCTCTTCTGCTTTTCCTTTCTCTTTTTCTCTTCTAACCTATCCATTCCATTTCTTGCAGCCAACAATGATGATGAGCGGAACGAGTCTGCCACCTGCGAAGGTAAGACCCCCCTCTCAAGTGATATTATCTTTTTTGCCCCTTCTCTCCATCTCGGATACATTACCCAACAGTCTCCGTTTCTCTTCCTCTTCAGAAGACAAGAAAATCGCCTTTCTTTCCGATTTTTTGATTCGCACTCGAAATGACTGTTCATTTTTGGAGAGGATATGCGTAGACAAGTGTCGCCATCCCACACACGGATTAGGATTAGCGCGAGGGAACAAATCGAACAAGTTTTTTTGAGAATACATATTCCCGACCGATCGATTATCATTGATTCTCTACGGGAGCGACGATAAAAGTGGAAATGGCCGATTTCCGATTTATGAGCGGCTTCTTCCTCCGTTTACCAAACCAAATGAACATTGGCAGTGGAGCGAGAATGCTTCAAAGTGTCGGAACAAGACAAAAGATTACCTTCCCCTCTTCCCTCGCCCGTACGATCACCGAAAACTTTCCCACAGTCTCAACAAACATCCTTCCTTTCCCCTCTTTTTTTCCTCTGACAGGCGCCGCGAGCCGCTGCTCTCCAATGAGAACAAATTTCCGTTTTTAGACGGCCGCGTTTTGATCTTTTTCTCTTAAATCGTTTGGGCTCATTGAAGACGGTGTATCTCGGCTGTCGGTTTATATATCAAAAATTGATCAACTAACAAAATGCGCACAATGTGTTAATGATCAATTCATTAGTTGACAACTTTTTGATATCTCTTAAAGCAGCTGAGATATATCGATTCAAAAAGCAATACTGAGGAACCGCAATCCAACCTTTCGTGGCACATGCAATTCTTACAATTAAAAGTGAACTTTACAAATGTACATGATATCTAGCTGGTTCCGAATACAGTCTAGTATGTTCCCTTTGACACGGGAACCGGGCGCCACCACTCTCAAAGCGCCACTTGAACTCGAAGAATCCAGCTGCTCCACCCTATCATTCTTCTTCTTCTGTTTCACTCCTCTCGTGTTGACTCGTATTCATTCATCCAAATTAATCCGTGTCCCACCACCACCACCACGTGTCATTGCTCTTTTGCTCCTCTCGGCGCCGAGAGACACTTTCCGGATGGCGCCTTTGCGGAATGACGCGTCGCGCGCGCGCACGGAAAAGAGCAGAAAAGCATCCGGGAGCCAACCCGTCCGAGTGTGTGTATCGCTTTGTTTACGCCTTTTCATATATATATTCCCCCCCACAAACAACGACACCGGCAAGTTTTTTTGGCATTTGCGAGCATTTCGATTGGAAATTGATCATTGATTCACACAAAAACCTTTGATTGAGCTTCTCCATAATTTGCATGTCCTATGAAAGCGCCGCCCGCTTTTCGATGAGTCATCCGCGCGGCATCGATTCGAACACCAACACGACCTTTCTCACCCCCCTCCCACCCAGTGTTTGTTCCTCCCTTGTTGCAAACGAAATGCGAGATTGATGTGCTTTTTGCCGCGAAACGTTCTTCTCTTTTCCGAATCCGTCCTACTGGTTGTGTTGTTGATTCAGAAGGAAGGTCGACGGCGCCACAGGCGGTCCCCTCCCGATCCCATCCATCCATCATTTTGCATCCGTAGTTGATCATTTCCGAATGTGCATTTGTATACGAAAACTTTCGGTTACTTCTAGCTAACTTACCAAATACCGTTTATTCAAGAGCACGTATCTCGGCCGCCTGTAGACATATCAAAAAGTGGTCAACTGATAAAATGTGCAAAATAACGTAATTAGCAATTTATCAGCTGACAAGTGTTCGGTAGCTCCACCGTCAGATGAGATATATCGTCTCGAATGAAAGATGCCCTTTTTAGCACAGTTTCGCTCAACGTTTTCGAAACTTTACGCAAAACGCCACGATCGTCTGTGTCATTTTGTGTTTACTCACTCTTCTTCTTCTTCTTCCAGTTTCACCCTAAAATCTGATCTAGTTTTGATGATATTCACCCCAGCATCTGACTCATCTGCCTGTTTTTTTTCCTGCCCACATCTGGCCTTGGTCCACACTGCCGGCAGCTGATGGCGATTCTCACTCTCTCTCTCTCTCTCTCTCTCTCTCTCTCTCTCTTCCATTTTCTTCTCTCCATTTCCCCCTCATTTATTACCCATTCTTCGGGGGGCCGTTTCGACATTGTCTTCCTTCTTGTGTCGCCCGCACCTGCGAATCGCCCGCATTCCATTCGCATTCTTTTTATAGCCGACTCACGGATTACTGTAGTTCTCATTTGAAAGCAAAAAGTATGGGTGTTCTTGTTGGAGAATGAGTACAGAAAGGGGGTCCTATTAAACGTGCTTCTTTCCGTGCATGGCTCTTTTCGGTGTGAAAGCGCGCGGAGAACCGTGAAAACGTTTGTGTGTAGGCCGTCTCCGCTTCTCAACCACTCTCTCTCTCCTCGCAATTACCCTCTCCGACACCTGTTTCGCTATAAGATTTCATTCATTCCAATTCAATTCTCCAAAACGAAAGGAATCGTTTCTCTTTTTCCAAAGGTCAACTTGTATGGGAATGTGTTGTTTTAACTGTGATTGAAGGTGTTCTTACAGCCGTCTCGCAGCTATCTGCCTCACGACACCGGTCCAATGTTGCACAGAAGTCCGTCCGGAGCAAAACGGAAAATCCGGCAAAAGCGGGAGGAACAGTGAGTTTTTTTATTTCATGCGAGCGAGTTAGAATCAGAACGTTACTTTCTAACTAGTTCTCGGCAAATCAAATCGTATTTTTTCATCACATTTTCAGAGCGTCCCGCCCGTCGCCGTTCCTGTCGCCGTCCAGCTCCTCCTCTCAAACTTCAATCTCGCCGACGCCCACCGAGACCTCTTCCAACTATCGTTCGCTCATCGATTCCGGCGACTATCAGTCGATCCTTCCGGATTTCGAGCCGTCCTTCGTCCCGGTGCCCACGCCGAGGTACGTTTTTTTCTCCTTCTTCTCGTTCCCTCATATTTGCTGAAAAGCTTGCACACATACATGCATACATATTTGTCCGTTTTCGTTTCCCATTCCTCCTCTCCATTCCGGGTCATTTTCTTTTTGTAGTCTGCCGCTGCTGATGCCTCGGTCAGGTACTTTTCTATGAAAGTTCGTTGCAAAGCGGGACGGATTCCATTCACCCAAAACGGTTATGCATTCGTCCGAGGGCGGCACGTCGTTTAGTGCGTACATTTCATTTCTGTGACTGACATACTTTTGAGATGAGGTTCCCTCAATCAATCATTTTTCTACTTTTGGAAGGTTACCTTCGGCAAAAGAATGGAACTCCAACACGCTGTATCCCAGTTGTTTGTAAAGATATAAAAAGTGTTCAATTAATAAAATGTACATAAAATCATAATGAGCATTTCATTAGTTGGAGCCTTTTTGATATCTCTACCGACAACTGAGATATATCGTCTTGAATAAGAGCGGCATTTCTAGATTTTCAGAAAAATGATCTTCAAACTCTTTAAACCTTCCTGAACAAATTTAAGGATTAGGCAAAGTTTACCAGCTCAACACTTTTCGAAAGAATTACAGCAGCAATTAGTCCCTCTTTTCCTTTCTTTTTCTGTTTCCCATTCCCATCGTCATTTTGCGAGCGAAAAAAACGCGCGGTCAGTGCCCTTTTCCCAGGTTCATTCGTATCATTCACGCCCCTTTGAAACGTCGTCGGATATCAATCGAAAGTCGCATTCTCTCTTTCGTTACCGTTCCGAACTGTCCTAAATGCATGATCTGAGCGTCTCTCCATCTCAGTGCTATTCGCTTCTTATCGGTTTTATTCGGTTTCGTCTCAATTTCGATTTCAATAATTATGAACGAGTGAAAATTGTGACGGATGCCTGGAGAGATCGGGCAAAGATCGTTTGCTAAGCTGTATAAATTCCTGGGCAGACTGCGAGACAGTCGTAAAAGTTGTGAAACAAGCCAGACTGATATAAATGATAGCACTATCACTTGTTGTTCAAACTGGAGCTGCAGGAGACGGTGGCACTTGAATTCCTTTTGATGATAGCTCTCTGTTATTCACAACTCATCTAGTGCTAGTGCCGTGTGCATACACCATCACGGTAACTTGCACAAAACGTGACTACCGTAGCACGTGCTTCCTTCTCCTCCTCCTCCTCCTCCTCCTAATTCTCATTCTCCCCGTAGAAGCTACTGAAATTTGCGGAATGCAAGCAATTTCCCGGCGACGTCTCCGTCTTTTTCCGTCTGCGTCTCTCCGATCCGCACACTCTGTCGCCGAATAATTGGCATCGCTTCCTGCGATCTCACGTAATCGGGCGACAAGTTTGCCGCCCTCCCCGATCCGCGCGCCGCCCTGGAACAAGCTTATTCACCACCGAGAAGAAGGAGAAGAAGAAGGAGAAGAAGAAGAAGATCGTCCTTTGTCAGCCCTCCGATCGCCCGCCACACAACCTTTTTTCCTTTCTTTCTCCACTCTAGCACACGTTTCTACTGTTTCGAACAAAACTAACTGACCACAATCATTGCTATCCGACCCGTTTCCGCATCATTCTGTTTTCTTCAGACTGTCAGTGCCGTTTTCCAACTCGATGAGCTCTCTGGAACTCTCGACCCAAACGATGCCTGCGCCAGTTGCTCCGCCGACCGCCGCCGTCCTGCCGACTCCGCCGCCCGTCACCGCCAAACCGACTGTCGAGGTCAGTTGTGCGTGCCAATGTTCGGAGGAGCACTAAATTACATTCTCACAGCCACTTGTCGGCAGTGCGCACCCGAGATTTCTCATTCAGTTTAAACTACACTGGTTCGCCGTAGACTTGCCCCGTTTCAGTACGGAAAGCACGACGTTTCGCAACTAACGTGAACTACTGTGCGATTAATTGCACTGTCAAAAGTTCACGTGGGTATCGATCGAATACGTGCTTATTCGTAGCGCAGAAATATTTTACGTATGCGCACCTTACTACCTTCCGTTGATAGCGCTATTTGACCTAGGTATGAGTCATAGGCCCGTCCTTCTTGCCTCACTTTAAATATAGGTCAATGTCTGCAAAAAGCAAATTTCTCTGATTGCATTTTGAAAGTTAACGTGTCCTTTGGAAACTTCTAGAGAAAAAGCAGCAGATGCACTGTATCTCCCTGACTTTTTCCAGTTTTTCCTTAGAGGGTCGCTGATAATTATTGGTACATCTATAATAAGCTGAGATTTAACACGTCTCAAAGTGCTTCCAAAGAACACTTCTCTAGTAAAACTCAGGCTACTAATGTCTGTCCTAAACCCATTCTCATTCAGGTGCACCCGATGCCGACGGACGAACGCTCTCCCTCGATGGCCTCTTCGCTCAACGGATCCATCGACATCGATCTCTACAAACCGAAGCCTCCGGTGCCGGTGAAGCCGAAAGGACTCCGCATCGATCATCTCAATCGGTACGTTATTTAACCTTTCCAAAAGAAATTCCTGCCTTATCAGCTGTCTGTTTGCTCTTTCCTATGCACGTACCTTTTCGGGCCAGTTTTGTTTCGCAAGTTTCTTGTCGAGCCATCCCTGCTCTTTTCTCCTCGTTTCTCATTTCCGGATCCGCCCACGGCCACGAGGCTCTCGCCCACTTTCCGTTGGCCGCCTCCTCGTGAGAAACCGCCCGACAATACTCGTACTTTCTATGCTTCCCTGTTTTATTAGTTCGAATTTGGGCGCGGAGAAAAGAGAGAACTTTTTTCGCAAATTGACGTGTTTGCCTGAAAACTGTTATCATCGGTCTTCTTCCAAACGTATTGTACAAATTTCCGACTTGTAAACCAACACTCCTGTGTATTTTGATTTCAAACATCTCAAACTCAAACGTCCATCAGTCGAACACAACAATAGTCGTAACGATTCGGATGGCGTTTACACTGTGTCCGGCAGAAAATAAATAAATAAATGAATGAATGAATGAATGAATGGCGGCCCGACGGTGCCGTCGTTGTAACCTCTCCCCTCCCCTTCACACTTCTTCCCTTTTCAACTTGCCTTCTCACTCCTGCTTATTTTCAGTCCTTGCAGATCCACGTCGATGACGTCGCTCTCGTCGCCAATTCAGCACACCACTTCCTCGTTCCTCAACAACTTTATGCCCACGCCGTCCCTTATAAATCTGCAGCAAGGGTACCGTAATCCGGACTTGGGAAGCCAGGATTTGGCGAGATTGGAGAGCACGAGACACGAGAGCATCCAGAAAGTGAGCAGGAAATTGAGCACATATGAGGAGGAGAAGAATCTGATTGAGAACGAGCTTGATGAGGTTGGTTTTTTTGCCACCTACCGTACTCAATATGGTCATTTTTCAGATCGAACGCACCGGAGCGCGTCTCTTGTCGATCGTTGAGCAGAGGGACAAGAATCTCGCTTCGAGGGTCCGTCGGTATTTGGATAAAAGCAAAGAGTTGGTGGGGATTGAGACCAATCTGAGATTGCAATTGAGCAAGTTGAACGAGAGAATCAAGGACGGAGTTATCGATATTGTAAGTTCACATGACCTGTGTAAACAACACAGCACACTTTTTTAGTCGTCCGCTCGAGCCGAAGAGTCGTATCTTCAAAAACGGTTCAAGGATACGGATTTTCTGCGGAAAATCAGTGCGAGAAGGGAAATCGACTATGACAAAGAGCTGGTGAGTCTTTTCCGATTCGATCAATAGAGCACAATCGTGTTGTTTTTCAGTCGGAAATCTTCACCGACGACCAGTTCCACCGTTGGATTCTCTTCAAGAAGGCGTCGGTGCAACTGATGCAGAACGAGTCGTCCGTCAGCTATTTCATCCGTGAATCCAACATGAAACTCGACGCGTTGCACCTTGCGCCACGTGGCACAAGTGCCTAATTCTTTTCGGTAGTCATCTTTCCTCGCTCTCGCTTCCCCCATTTCCGATCGTACGACGGGTCCCTCCAAAATGTTCCCCTTTTTCCTCAATTTCTTTTTCCATTGACCACACCAAATCCCCCTCATACATATATATTTTGCTGAAGTTGTACATAATATTGGAATCTGCTTTTGCTGTGCAATCTGGTTCGTCGTTTTCATAATTGAATAAAGGTTATATCACAAAATACTTAGTTCAAAGTTTGTTCTATTTGTCGTTGAGCTCCGGATTCATGTTCTCCATGATCGATTCGATCTTGCTCTCCAGCATTGGCACGATTTCCTTTTCGATGAACAGATGCGTGTCGTCGAGCTCCCGGACGATGAACTTCGAGCCGAGCTGTCTCGAATCGTCGAGATGGATGAGCAGCTGACGGAACGCCGGATCGCTCGAAACGAGCACGCCTTTCTTCACATTCACCATCTTCTTTCTTTTTTTTTCTGTAAAACGCATTGAAAGATGATATCAATTGATAAATAGAGTGGGAAGAAAAGTAAAAACGGGCGAGAACCGTCATTAAAATTGGAAAAATGACAAAAATTGGAATGATTCATGAAACAGAGCCGTAAATATTTGCCATTGAAATGTAAATTAATTAAAAATCGAAATGCACTTGAATATAAAAACCCGAAATCAATAAAAGTGTGATTAGAATGCGAAATCGTCTTCTGCGACTCCCCACGCGTCTAGCTCTTCCATCTTTTCGTCCACTTGATCCCTCAGCACCATTTTCGCACTCGCAATGATCGCATTCGCCTGAGCCAGACGTATAGTGCCGAGCTCTTGCACAATTTTATTGGGATTCGCTCGGGCAATCTGAAAATCTTCGTTTTGTGGATGATTTGATTAGCCAAAGTCGATTACCATTCCGACAGTTTTGTAGCCGGCTTTGAAAAGAACCGCCGCGCGGGCCTTCTTGACCCCATCCACTTGCATCAAGGGCAGAAGTTCTGGTTGTGCGGCCTCTGAAAGACGTTGAACAAGCTCGGGGAGCAACTTCCGAAGCGGCCACATTGTGTTGATCTTCTCTGAGAACTTGGCGATGGACGCCGCCTGCGAAATGGAGGACTGCAACGTCGTCTGCAGCCAGCCCTTCTCCACTCCGAACCGCTCCGCGACTGCAAACATCGGCTCGTGGCTCCAAATCTTTTGGAGCATGAGCGCAATGTAGAGACGCATTCGCGGAGTGCCGGCCGTCAATTCGACCCGAGTGATGATGGCTTCGAGTATGAACTTCTCCTGGAGACCGCACTCGCCGAGCAGCTTCTTTTCACTTTTCGGCAGGGAGTTGTACTGGAAAGTGATAATTTTTTTGGTGGAACTGAAGAAAAATACAGAATATTTACCATCAAAAGGAAGAGATCCCAATTTATATTGCATGCTTGCTCATACGGAGTGATAATGAAGAGAAGATGGAAATGCGATGAGAATATGACGCCTTGATTGAGAGAGGAAAGAAGATCTTCGTGGAGCCGAGTGGCTTCTTCAGGTGCGAATCCCGCGTTGAACACTGCGCTTCCGAGCTCCGTCGCCGTGATTGCTCCGATCTCGTCGATTTCAATAAACGTTTGCTCTTCAAGGATCTTTATGGATCTGTCCACGAGCTCCTTGATCTTCTCGAAGGCCTCTTGGGCGGCAAAAAGAGAATACCGAACTGCTGTCAGAATCTCTTCGCTGCTTTTGGCGACTTTCAACGAAACAATATCGAGAATGAAGGAGGACATGGCGTGCTTGGTGCTCAGCGAGCTCATACACCTCGGGATTTCCGATTTGAGCATCGCCCTGAACCACCGCTCCTCCTCGCCCGGCTTCACGATCGTTATGCAATCTCCCTTTGTATCGAATCCAGCTCTTCCCGCTCTTCCGGCCATCTGCAAGTACTGCGCTTTCCCGAGGCGTTCCCTTCCGACCATCGGCGCTTTGATAATGACTCGACGGACTGGCAGATTGACTCCCGCGGCGAGGGTGGAGGTGGCACACACTACGTAGATCAGACCTTCCTGAAATGAATTAATTCTAAAAGCTCAAAATTTCGTTTTTCTCGCCATAAAAGCTGACTCAACGCACTTGCGTTCGTCCTGCGTTAGTCCGGAATGATGATAGGCAACACCGGAGAGCAGACACTGTTTCAGCACCGAATCCATGCGCTCGTCGTCGTTATCCGCCAAATACGACTGCAAAAACGTTTCGGTGTCGGCTCGTTTCATCTGACGGATCTGCGGCGGAAGCGACTTAGCTATCAGCACCGCCACGTTCTCGCAGTTCTTTTTGTTCGGACAGAAAATGACGGCCGAGCTTTTGGGGATCAGTTTGACGAGCAGTTGGCAGATTCCGTCCGGATCCGTGGATTTGAGTTGCTGGAATATTAACGGATGGATGGTTACGTACTACAGATCGGAGCTCACGTTGGGAGGCAAATCTCCGGCCGGATTGAGCTCTCCGTCGGCGGCCACCTGATGCATCACTTGTCCGATTTTCACAAACTCTGTGAGCTCGACCTGAAATGAGAACCAGTATTTGAGAATAGCCGGAGTTTTCAAACGAACCGGCCGGAAGTTGGTGCTGTAAACGAACGCCCTCATCGCCGACTTTAAGTCGTCAATGTTGGGAAGTGTGGCCGACATGCCCACAATTTGGCCGCTGCCTTTGAACAGAAACTTTGCGAGCAACTGCTCCAGAATGGCGCCTCTTCCGCCATCTCCGATCATGTGCAACTCGTCCACGACCACCAATCCGATTCGATCGATCTGTCCTTGCGTGATCAGCGAGTTTATCAGCATATTGGCCTTTTCGATCGTCGCCACGTACACAGACACCCGTTTCCGTCGTTTTATCGGCGGAAAACGACCTTTGTTGGATGCGTACTCCTCGATGTTTATGCCGAATTTCTCTTCGAACGGAGCTAGCGAAGAGATCTTTAAAAACCAATAATTTTTTGAACCGTATTCCTGGTGAACCTTTTCCTGAACAATTGCCACGTAGGGAAGTACTAAAATGGCGTTCCGCTTGTGCACAATAGCTTCTCGGAGCATTAGAATCTCGGCAATCAACGTCTTTCCGGCACCGGTTGGCAGGGAGAGAATGCAGTTTTGACCTGCCAGCAGACGTTCGTCTGCCAGACATTCTTGCTGCCAATCTGAATGAAATTGAGTCAAATTATTTATCAAAAAGTCCAAATTACCATAAAACTTGTCTAATTTCTTCATCTTTTTGTACATTTCCATATATTTGTCAGGCAAACATTTCTTCGGGTCTATCACAAATGTTTCGTCCTCTTTTCTCTTTGTTTCCATTTCAATCTTCCGGGCACTCCGGAGCACGCTCTCATTCCGAAAGTTCAGTCCGAACGGATCTTGCTCCGATTCTCCCTCGTTCGTTAGACTGGCGGCCGTCCGGAATCCATCGGCGAGCAAGCTCATCGAGCTTTTTTTCTTTAGAAGCGGCGGTCCGGTTTTCCGGTGAAGGGGCGTCACCGACGAGTCCTCGATGCCTCTTTTCCGTGCAGGAGACACTTTCCGACTGTCCGGGGGCACGTTTTCCGTCGCGGAAGGGCTGCTTCGCAGCGGGCAAATGAATTCTCGCGATGTTCGCGGGGTTCGGAGGCGAGCTGAAAAAGGAAAGAAAAATGTTTAGAGCAATCCGGGAAAGGGCTTACAAATCTGCGGAATGGGTGTGAACGGATCATCTAAATCGGCGGATTTCGTCCGCCGAAGCGGTGTATTGTCCATCGGATTCCACCTGAAACATGCGATTCGTCTGTAAGTCAATGGAAGAAGTACAAAGTTAGTATGAACAAAATATCAAATGCACTGCAAACTAGACACATGGACATTAAAATTAAAGAAAAAGCTCATAGATTTATTTGGTTTCATGACACGCACAAGGATTCATTATATTTACAGGATTCTAGAAAAGGATAAAATGGGGGTTAAGTCGGCTTTTAAAATTGGAGAGATTGTACTCGTAACCGGCTAAGTAGATGCGGTGGATCATTTCGAAAAGTTCAACAGCAGAAGTTTTCAAAAAGCGAAACGACAGATGGTGTCATGATGACTGGATGTGGGGAGAAAGTAACCGGTGGGAGAGGACAGAGCGCCTAGAGAATCGCCTAAAAAGTGAACAGAAGCTGCTGATAAAATGCATTTGAGGGGAAAAGTAAGCGAAAGTCGAAAGTGGAAGGCAGAGGAGAGAGTTTCCTTTTACAATGCTATTTGGGCGGTACAAGAAGGAAAGAAGCGAGAGAATTGGCCGGAGAGTCGTAGGAAACCGAAGGGGTCACCAGAAGACTTCGAGCCATTCGACGACCGGTTGCACGGGGTGCTGAAAGTTGCCAATAGAGCGCAAGTGCACTAATTGTGAATACTCACGTTTGGTGCTCGGCTTCTTCGTGCCTTCAAAAGCATTCGTCGGCGTCGTCAGCACCGGTAGCGACGGCAGACTCCGGCTTCGATGTCGTAAAACGCACGGCGGCGGCCACGGAATGTCTGAAAACGTGCCGATGAGGATTGAAAATTTGAAACTGCTTGTGAGAAAGCTGCTCAGAACATGTGCTCTTTTTGTGGTGTAAAAATGGGAATGGCACACAAAGTAGCGGCGAGTTACCTGTCTGAACACCGATTGATCTAGAAAGGATGATTTTATTTACAATGCTAGAGAGATTTCCGAAAACTTTCAGGCAAACTGAATACTTACACTCTCTTCGGAAGATTCGATCCACGTGGAGTAGGAAGTCGGGAACGAGGAGTTGGAATGCGCTGAAAATTCAGATTTTTGATTGACATAAATAAATCAAAACCGATGCAGGAGTTCCAAGTTTGCTCAGCGCATGCGCCCCATCGATTGATTTGCTCGAGCACAAAGAACCGAGCGATGAATGGGTGGAAGTGGACTGCCGATTCGCCTCGTGATCGCTCTGCCACGACAGTTTCCTCTCCGTCGCTTGTCCATCAAGAGCGGCGCGTCGAAGGGCTGAACAAAGCAATTCATTTGGGAATGTCCGTCAAAGAAGGACATACCCTCTTCCTGCGCGTGTATCAAGTATTGGAGTCCCTCGAGATTCGCCGCCGGTTGAACGGAAGATCTTCCAGCGGAGGAGGCGGCGGACGCAGGACGAGACGGCGTCGAAGGATTGATCGTGACCGTTGGAGGTTGACGTTGAGTCTTCTGAGGCGGAGTGATCGTGGAAAGAGCTTCGGGCTGAAAAAATACAGATTCCCGTGTGTAAGAAATTTGTTTTATAGCATTAAAGCCCACAATTAGTCGAGATATGAACCTGTCTGATTCCAGAAACTGCTCTTCTGTTAGGGGTGTTAGCGTTTACTCGTCCGTCCGTTTTGCTCATGGTCATTGCTTGCATCGGACGCGGCGTCGAATTGTTCATCGAGTTCACGTTGTGTACGCGGAGCACACTGCGAGTGGTGCGTGAAGAAAGAGGAGTCGCGGTGGTCGTGGTGGCGGAGACAGTCATATTTCCGTTGATAGTCGGAGGAGTGAACTTCTGAACTCGGGCCAAAGTGCTCTGAAAGAGAAGGAAGGGTTAGAGGATTAGAATCACTCAGAAAGTGAAAAGGATTACTGTAGACAGTTCAAATTAAAGTTATTTAGGTAGTTAATGAGTTGGTTGAAAGCTTCCAGAGAATGCCAAGAAAAACGTACTGAATGTTTAACATTAAAAGTCGCCGATCCGTTGGAATTCCTCATGAACTGGTCGTTGGTCGGTCGGGGGCTCACAGAATTGCTTCTTCCGCTTCTTCCGTTCATAATTTCCCCGCCCGGCCCGTCCGTCGTCGTTTCCTCTTCCACTCGCACCATAGACTGCGTCATCGCCGCGATATTTCGATTCAACGACAATCCTGTGATGTGACCGTTAGAATCGAGGACGAATGGGAAAATGAATAAAGTCTGTTCTTTGCATTTCCTCTCCAATGCTACTAGACTACCACAAAATGCTACGAAAAAAGTGCACTTGACTTGCCTTGCATTTCATGCTCAAGACCATTCACAATATCCACTTTGCTCTCCTCTTCCGCATCAAAGAACACGTCCACATCGTCGTCCTCTTCGCCCGGGTAACTGACAAGAAAGCCGCCGTCCTCCAAAAGTACCGACGACACAACAGAAACGTTATCCGGCGACGTAGACCTCTCCAAAAGCCATTCGGAAACTTTCGCACTCGGAGGCATTCTGGGAAGTCCTGGAGACGGAATTGTGAGCGGAATCTGAGGACTCGAGAGGTTTGGAAGATTCGGAAGATTTCCATTGAGCGAGAACTTTCTATCCGCCGCCTCCTTCCAAATATTCTCCACACCGTTTCCATTGTGCTCAATTCCACTGAGCAGCATTGCGAGCAGCTGAGCCTCCTCTTCGTCCATCGGCTCCGCTTTTCGCTCCTCTTCTGGAAGAGACGCCTGCCGTTTTAACTTGACGTCGATCGGCGCCGAATCGATTCTAGATCGGCCTCCAAACTGGGACGGAGGGGCCGAGGGAACGTCGTCGAGACGAGAGGGAAGGGGAGAAGCGTGCTCGTCCGAAGCGGAGAGCTTTGTTTCGTCCTGCTCACGAACGGTCGAAAGATCCACGCGACGACGGCTTCGCTCGTCTTTCTTGGCTGAAATTCCACAAAACGCAATCACAACGAATTCACAGAAAAAGAAAGAAAGACAACAAAGATGTGCAATTGGCGCACATGCAACATGACACTGACAAAATAACTTTGAATGAATTTACCTCGTTTGGCTTGGGATTTCGCAATCTGCTTGCTGAGAATCGATGCACTTGCAGGCAGGTTCACCTTGTAATAATTGCACATTGTCGCCTGATCTTGTTTTCCCTCGTCCTGCAGTCATTTTTCTGCTTTTTTTTTAATGTTTTTTCTCCTAAAACTCACATTGAGCTCGTCGTCATCGATGGTAAACTCGTAAGCGGGTTTCTTGGCGGCAGTGGCGGCCATGATCGCCTGAATGAACACAGAATTGGGAAAAGAAGCAAGGAAAATGGAAGAGAAGAGAACGATTCGTGCGTTCTCTCAATGTCGAGAATCTTTTCACATAAAAATAAATTAGAGCGGCGATTAGAGAAGAAGATAAAAAACTGTGCGAGCGAGAGAGAACGAGAGGAAAGAGGCGCACAAAAGAGGAATCGAAATAATCCGGCTGCTGTCTCGGTGCGAGAAAGAGAGATTCTCGCTCCTTTTCTCTTCGCCAAGCACGCTATTGATCGAGGCGGAGGAGGGAGCGTGGCGAACAGAGAGACGCAGGCATTCCGGTTTGCGGTAGAGCGCCGCTTCTCTCAAGCATCACTAATTAAGGGGGCAACTGATGGAAATTCTAGACGCGTTTCGGAACCGCATTTCTTTCGAGTAAATAGTTCTGAGAAAACTATGTTTGGTGCGGAATTTTGTTGAAGACGTCAGCAGAAATTGCATTTTTCAAGGGCTTCATCGTTCTCAAAGATGTGCAACCAAATTTTTTGGGGATTATCCCGGCGGGATAATGTTTCAGTTATTTATGATCTTCTGAAATTTATGTATTTTCTAGAATTAGTAACTCCAAAAAAATTTATAAAACTATTCTACTTAAATGTGGGGAAAAATTAGGTCTGAAAACTGATTTCAGGCGCTTGTTTTCAGTCAATTCGGAAAGGTCGGGCAAGAATTTTCAAAAATCATTCAGACAAAGTTTAAGACAATTCTCAGAACCTCACCAAGTGTCGGTCCCTTGTCAAGTTCTTGAAGAGCGAAAAAATTGCCATGCGTCTTTAAAGCACCGTTGACCAGGGTGTTCCAAAATTACTACAAACTGAATCAGTGTTCTGTCCGCCGCTTGTGATATGAGTCATCACTGATGACCAATCATAGAGCAAATATCTGAAAATGAAACAAATACACCAAGACACAGAAACGTTTATCATGTTCACAGACAGTAAGATAAGCAGAGAGAGAGAGAGAGGGCTCTCAATTGAGTTCCGGGTCGGCGTATTGCGATTCCAGAGAAGCGGTGACCGGACGGAACGCACTCAGTCCCTTGTACTTGTCCGCGACGGCGCCACGCGACGACTTCATGACCGAACGGGTGGTCGGGCTGTGCACCGAAAAAGCTCCGAGAGCAGGGCCGAGCTAAAAAGTGTGCTTTCAGGTTTGCCGAGGGGATTCGGCGAGTCTACCGTAGCAGTGAGCACCGTAGAGTAATCGGACATGGTGTACGAGATCACTGAAATGTTCGGATTGGCTCAATGGAGATGGATGCGACCTACGGCTTTCGGTCTGCGACTTCTTCGGAGCGTTCACCAGCTCGGCGTCCTCGTGGGGAAGCAGCACGTACTGGGAACCGCCGCCCAAGTGGAAGACGTTCTCGGTGGCCATCACTTTCTCTCCTTTCGGCAGCTGAATATCGAACATTATCTCAACTTCTGCAGCGTTCAGATCTAACAGAAATGTCGCTTCTCTTGTGGATCTCGTCGTTCTGCTGCGGCGGCGAGAATCCCGGCACATAGTCCTCGGCGTCCATGGCTCCGACGCTGTCTGCAAACATTTTCCCATTTCTTCCTCACAATCCCTGACCCATTTACAGTTCTTGAACTCTTTTGGAGCCGCCTCGAGCTCAGCGGCCACGTGGTAGGCGTACTCCGACTTCTCATTCTTCGCCTTTGCCATCAGCTTCTCCTTCTGGAGCTGACGAAGTTGGGCACGGTAAATAGGCGGCATGTCGTCCGACTCGAATCCACAGTAATCCGAGGCGGGCGGCTCGGCCACCGGGTTTCCGGCTCCGTTGAAGACCTGTTGCGATGCGACGATTCTGCCGATTTCCATGTCATGCAACGGACGATCGGCAAGCAGTTGTTCGAGCTGAACGAGGAAGAGATGAGTGGAGGACACTTCCATTTCGGTTTCAACTACTTGCGCCTCGGCGGATTGCTCCTCGGACACGAGCTGCGCGGGCTCGTTCTCCATGTTTCCATCCAAGTAGTAGCTCTCCACGTAGGCCATTTTCACGAGCTGAACGAGGGCAATTGCGTGGGAGCAAAGAATCGGAACCTCGAACTCACTTGAATGTAATCGGTTCAAGGTTCGAGAAACCCGAAATGAGTTGGATTCTGATCGGAAAACTGATAACGACGTCTCGACGTTCAGAGGAAAGGGAGGGGTCGTAACGGTTCACGAGATGCCACGTGAAAAGTATGGAGTGAAGACGAGTTGTCTGCAAGACTCAACAAAGGATGGCATTTTTCTGCGAGGAAATGAGGAGACAACCTAATTCCCGGAAAAAGAGCAGAACCTGTGAGCCTTAAAGACCTATTTCACTTTCAGGCTGAACTGAACTGAAACAGTAATAAGATAGATGACGAAACAGCACACAAAGCGCCTCTTGTGAGAGGGAATAGAAACGTTTATTCTGACTTCCCAACCGGATTCCCCACCGAATAGTGACCGAGTTCTGAAAGGTGCTGTAAATCAAGAAAGTCTGAAAGATGTTCACGCGGTTTTTCTGTTTCTTTTAGAAAGCACAGTGGACTTTTTCAGCTTGATAACTTTCTTCTGAAGCGCACTACCTCCATAGCTTGTTTACTTATTCCAAACGTTGTACTGTTTTACTCAGCGCCTCAGACTCTTCTCTCGATCCCATCTCTTACAGACTTTTTCTCCGTGCACTCTCTCTCTCTCTATCCCTCTCTCCAATCGATCGTCTTCATAACTCGAACTCACTTTTTCCTGGTTCTCAACATGCCACTATTCCACTTCTATATTAACCTCTTCATCATTTACCGTCGTCTTCCAACCGATCCCACCCGCTTTGGCATGATCATCTTCCGTCTCATCACTATCGAAAACATGTCGACCGGCGAATGGATCTCCTTCAGATGGGCTATGATTCACACTGACATCTCGTGGAGTTTCGCATTCGAACACATCGCCATGGTACTTTTCATCTTCGCTGGATTGATCTGAACCTGGAAATCATTACTCAACTACCTGTTTTTGTGCTAACCTCAACTAAACCCACTAATAAATCTGTGTTATGCTTCAAAGTGTCTTCGTGGTTTTCTTACGCTCAACGGTAAAGATTGTCCCAGTTTCTTTTTCCAACGCATATGTTCATAGCAAAGGGCGAGAAATGTGAGTCCTCTGACCTTGATAGTCTAAAAAAATTATCTGCGCTTTTCATTCCAAATATTGTACTTAACTGGGAGTTAATCAGCGATGTCAAAATCAGTGTATCACTGTTTTTATCACGGGTTTGTCGTCAGTGAGTAACCCCTGAACCAACGGTTTCATCAACTGAAAGTATTGTTCCCTCCCCTTTTCGCTTCTGCTTACCTTTTCCACATGCACTCCGTTTCCATCACCGCCCATTGTGTTCTTTCATGTCACGTTGAGTATGTGATAAGAAAAACACTCTTTTTGCTGATTATATAAGTTCACTCCTCGGTAGCACTGTTTTTTGTTGTTGATTCCACCTTCTTCCCTTTCCAGATCATTTTGTCGTTGTTTCTTCCATGATCTCACATGTATCATCTACTCTTTCATCATTGTGCAAACCATTTTGTCCTTAGTTTACTCACAAGCATACTGTAGTTGCTGCGAAGACTTCTGGAACAAATCGTGTCTGTCTTGTGTTATGAAATCTCGGTTCTGGCGCAGTTGGCACTCTCACTTCATCGAATCGATATCAGCTCCTCCCCTTCTCTCACTTACTATTAGAAAGGGCGGAGGAGTAGAACTGTTTGGGGCTCCGCCATCTTCAGTCTCGTCTCTCCGTCTCTCAAATCAACACAGTGTCACTCGTGCGGCCGGCGCCCGGCCACCCCGCCGCATTCGTTCCCGCACACGCATTTCATCGCATCCACTTTCTTAACTTCAAATTTAAGAACATGCCGATCCGTCCGGTTCTCCTCATTGCCTGCCTTCTCGATCGTTCCACTGGCACCCTCCACTTTCACATTCTCGGATGGAAGGCTTCCGAACATCCGGAGCACTCGCCACGGCTTCTCTTCGAATTGCGAAAGATGCACGTAAAGATGCAGCTGAACGGAGGGATGGAATGGAATCTCGAAGAGGACAATATCAGCCAGATGACCGTCTCCGAAGCATACGCTCAGGAAATGATCGAACAGTCGGTGGCCAACTTTATTCGCGAGTGCCTCGGTCGTCTGGATGAGCAGTGCTAAGGACCCTTGCTTGAGTTTTGCAACCTAGCTAGTCTCGTATTCAGTTGCCTCATTATTACCATTTTGTATTTCAACTGCCACCTTATCATTCCCTTGTACTTCATTTCTCATCCGTTCCCCCGATTCTCCCGTTCATCATGAGTGATCATGATGCGTCTATTCGTTGCTGGTTCAACATTTGCTCAACATGACACCGCACATTTCGAATATTTATCAATAAACTGTTGTTTTCGTTATCTGCAAACCTTTCTCTCAGACACTGACGCGCCGTGTCGGCCGGAGTTCCCACGTTATTGGGAAATACCCAAAAAGCTTTTATGTAAAAGGGATCCTTGTCAATTGTAAAGGATTTTTGTGCATTATTCTATCTAAATAGAAAAGCACTAAAATTTTTAGAAAATCGCTTCAGAAGCCGTCCAATCTCAGACGAACCCCCTGCCGGGCGGTTGCGAAAACGAGTGCCAGGGTTGCGATTTACGCCCCGCCCCTCTAAATTTCGCCCGATCTTATTGGAGTTTTTCTTTTTCCCAGAAAAAAAATTATGAAAATTTTTGCTCAAAAAACTAAAATTTCCACAGCAATGTCGGGATTTTATTGATTTTTTTTCGCATAATGTCCAACTGCATCGAAATTTGCATCACATTTTTCCAGCCAATTTTCAATTTCTTGGAGGAAACCGGAAAATGGTGGCCGGTCGGAGAAAGCTGCACGAATTCCTGCAGGTCATCGAGTTGACAGATGACACGTGGCGGAGCAGAGTTGAAGAGTACATTTTCCTTTTTGAAATCTGATAAAAAACCGGAGTTTTACAGCTTTGTCTGTGAAAACTTCGATGAGAAGGCGGAGAAGAAGCGAAAGCCGCTGTTTTCCGTTGGAGAAGACGAAGAAATTGATGATTTGCCGGCAGAGACGTGCGAAACGGGTGTCCAGTGCAAACGAGACACCGAACAGTTGGAAATAGACAAAAGTCAACGGAGTTTGGACGACATTAGCCGGGATTGGAAAGAATGTACGGTAAAATGTGAGGCTTTCTAGTTTTTCAAGTATTTCAGGTAGAACTGTGACTCCTGGAGAGACTGTTCGTCTTTTACGGAGAGGACACGCCAAGACCCGAGAGTTGGAGAGCCGATTTCCAGCCGAACAGGCCATTGCCATTCGGAGAGCGTTCATCAACAAGCCCCTTGATAATCTTCCATTCTTAGGATACGATTACACATATGTAAGAGCTCCATCGAATCCAATCATTCATTTTTGAATGGTTCAGGCAATGGAGTCATGTTGTGAGAACGTGGTCGGCTTCACGCCCGTTCCAGTCGGAATGGCGGGTCCTTTGACTATCAACGGAGTCTCGGACATCTTTGTTCCGATGGCCACGACAGAAGGAGCTCTTATTGCATCCACAAATCGGGGAATGAATGCGATCCGAGCGGCCGGTGGAGTGGAAACGAGGATCATTAGCTCCGGAATGACCAGAGCACCAGTCGTCAAGTTCAAGAGAGCCAAGGATGCTGTGTAAGCTTTTAAAAGATACTATTCAAAATCACCCTTCACTTATCTTTTTCAGCGCTCTCAAACTGTGGCTCGACGAGCCGACCAACGAGGAAAGAATCCGTCGCGAGTTCGAATCATGCTCCCGCTTTGCCAAACTCAAATCCATCGACGTGACCATCGACGGAAAGCTCGTCTTCCTCCGATTCGTCGCTTTCACCGGCGACGCGATGGGAATGAACATGATTTCAAAAAGCTGTGACGCCGCAATGCGCTTCCTTCTAGAAAACTTTCCCGATATGAAAGTTATGGCGTTGAGTGGCAATCTGTGTGTGGACAAGAAGGCAGCGGCGAAGAACTGGACGGAAGGACGAGGTCGCAATGTCGTTGCTGATTGTGTGATCCCACGAGATGTCGTTACGAAGACTTTCAGAACGACGCCGAAAGATTTGGAGGAACTGGCGATAGCCAAACTTCAGATAGGATCATCCCGTGCCGGTACTATCGGAGGTTCGAACGCCCACGCGGCGAACATCGTCGCCGCCATCTTCATTGCCACTGGACAAGACGCCGCTCAAGTGGTCTCTTCCTCAATGTGCTCCACCCAAATGGAAGAGGACGAGGACGGAAATCTCTACGTGTCGTGCAGTCTTCCGTGCGTGGAAGTGGGCACTGTCGGCGGAGGAACCATTCTCGCGCCTCAAAGATCGGCACTGGAGAGCCTGGGATGTGCAGGTCCGAATCGAGAACGAGCCGGAGAGAATGCCGAGAGACTTGCTCAGATCATTGCCGCCACCGTACTCGCCGGAGAATTGTCGTTGATGGCGGCGCTGGTGACGCAAGACTTAGTAGCCAGTCATATGAAATTGAACCGGTATAAGATATTCAGAAGATTCCCGTGAAAAATAAAGTGATTTCCAGATCAAAACAGCAGATCTACGAAACGGAGCCGTCCGAACGAGCGTCTCCGTTCCAGGTTGAATACGAACGAGCAGCCAATCAGCTGAGCGTGGGCAAAGGAATCAAACTGAAGCGGCTGCCGCAGGACATTGTTCAGTGCTCCAACATCCTCTAATTTCAGTTGTAATTACATAATTCGATAATATTTCCCCCATTTATGTGTATAACCAGTCATTGGGTTCCTTTTTTGTCCATTTCTTGTTCTTCTTCCTGTTATCTTCCCTGTATTACTGTCGCTTTCCCCGCATCCTTCTAGACTTGTCCGATAGATATCTTAGGCTAGTAGGCAAAGATTTATTGTTTAGTTTTCCAGTATAAAATTTCATAAATTGCTATAACACCAAGTTGCCTTACCAAAAAAAAGGAGCGAGATTCCAATCGAATTCAGTTCTTGAACCTTCCTCCAAAAACATGATTGTTTGCTTAGCATTACGTCATGCAGTATCACTATAAATCAACATCATCATCTTCCAAACGACATGCTCTTTTCCCTCTCTCTCTCTCGCACACCTCTCGAGTTTGGCTCTACACTCTCCCGCTCTTTCTTCAACCTTTGACAGTCTATCAAATCATCATCATCCTCTCTCCCCGCTCACCCATGGATTTCTATCAAGTGTTGCGTAGCGCCCCTATCTTGAAGCATTAGGCCTAAAAATTGAAATTTCTTTAGAGCACGCTTGCATTTAGGTACTTTTCCCTGACAGGGAGAATGGTTTTCGAGAGCAAGTGAATCATGAGAAACGTTTTGGTGTTGTCAGAATATACTGACAGACCATACCTGGCGATGAAGCCAATTGATTTCTCATCCCCTCCAGAGTACTCCCTTCCAGAAACCTCTCGTCCTACAAACAAGCAAGTGTCGAACTGTTTGGCTCTTTTCCCCCTCTTAAATTGTTACTTTTCCCTCTAAAATTGGGCAGTACACTCTCTCGTTTTCATTCGTTTACCTGAGGCACTCTATCATATCGATATCATCGTCTTTTCCTCTCACTTGTTAGAAATGGGGACACTGTTTGGGGCTCTCCTCTTCTTTTCGTCTCTCACATCAACACGGTATCACACTTTCGGTCTCGCATTCGTTCCCGCACATTTGCCTCTTTTTGCCTAACTTCATATTTAAGAACATGCCGATCCGTCCGGTTCTCCTCATTGCCTGCCTTCTCGATCGTTCCACTGGCACCCTCCACTTTCACATTCTCGGATGGAAGGCTTCCGAACATTCGGAGCACTCGCCACGTCTTCTCTTCGAATTGCGAAAGATGCACGTGAAGATGCAGCTGAACGGAGGGATGGAATGGAATCTCGAAGAGGACAATATCAGCCAGATGACCGTCTCCGAAGCATACGCTCAGGAATTGATCGAACAGTCGGTGGCCAACTTCATTCGCGAGTGCCTCGGTCGTCTGGATGAGCAGTGCTAAGAGCCCTTGCTTGAGTTTAAAAACCTGTGCCGCAGAATTTTGGTAATCGCGCTCTACCGCAATGAAAACTCGGCCACGGCCGCAAGCGATAGAGCTCGACTTCGAGACTTCTGCGGTAGCATTCAATATTATCTAGTCGTTGCTGTTTAATCACTTTGTAATCCGTTCTCTTCATTCCGTTCACTGTTTTTGGTTTCGCCTTTTTTTCTTGTTCGTGGCGAGACCCATAATCCTGAACTGTATGCAGAGCTATTGTTATATTACCACAAAATGTTCCTCACGCATCCACCGACAGTGATCACTCACTGCTACTTCAGGTATGGCCAATTGGCCGGTCCGGGCTTTTCGTTGGCCGGCCCTTGACCTGGACTTTTGAACCACTTGCAATATTCCGATCGGACCCAAACTTTGCAGGATTGTTGGACTTTTATTGAGGGCCATTGGGACCAAGTTTCAGCCCTATCAGATCGTCGGGTCCCCAGATATGTGGATCATTGGCCGATTTTTTCCAAAAATCCCGGGCTTCCGGCCACTTTCTGCCAATGATCCACATATCTCGAGACCCGACGATCCGATCGGGCTGAGAATTGGTCCCAATGGCCCTCAACTCATGTCCAAGAAGCCTGCAAAGTTTGGGTCCGATCGGAATATTGCAAGTGGTTCAACGGTTCAGGTCGAGGGCCTGCCATCGAAAATGCCGGCCAATTGCCGAGCCCTGCTCGTACGTGTTTGCCACGTGGATTCATTCTAATCACTTTGTACCATGTCAACGGTTGACCCCAAACATTCCCACAAAACGCATAGATGCCATTGTCGTGATCCTCCCGTGATCTCCCCTGTTCATAATGCCTTTCCCTTGTTGCTGGTTCAACTTTACACTTACAAAGAATAATAAACTTGTGGTTTTTGAAATGATGTCGAGAGCACAAGAACAAATGAACACAAACAGGAAACAGGGAAAACAAGTAAACAATGTCGATGATATTCTTAAATTAGCTAAGATCCTATGCAAAATGAGATTCTCAGGGGCTCTTCTCCTTCTCTTCCTCCTCGACTTTCGGCGGATCGTAAAGCGGGAACAGCTTGGCCACTTCTTTGTATTCGTCCACCTTTTTCCGATCGTCAATTATGCGGCGAGCGACGTCGAGCGACGGCCCGAACACATTCAGAAGGAGCACTCCGACAATCTGAAGCGTTCTGCATTCAAGAGATGCCCCGTGGATTTGTCCGACTTACACTTCCGTCGTCCTTTGATTTATAGAAAACAACAGCTTTCTCGAGGGGAGTCTCTCCGTCCGGATCGGCGTGCACAGTCACTGTGTCCAGGCTCGAGTCGCATTGTCCGACGGCGTTGATGTGCAGGTGAGGTGCGAATTTAGTGAAGAACGACGGCTGGTACCTGAAAAATCATCATTTCTGGGCTCTTTTCCCGATGTCTCTCCACCAGAACGCCTTCTCCGTCTGTCCGTTCGTTGCCATGTTCTCTCCTGCCAACCGTCCGCTGACCTGTGCATGCTCCCACGAACTGATCCGTCTCTTTCCGAGCACAACGTCTTCGAACGCCACGATCGCCCCGGCCGCCCACACATTCTCAGCGACTTTCAGGTGTTTGTCCGCCTGAACTCCTCCGAACTTCTCGTCCACCTTCAGTCCCGACGCTTCAATGATTTCCGAGTTCGGCTCTTCTCCCGTGGCCACAATGACGAGGTCGGTACGTAGTTCCGAGCCGTCCTTCAGAAGAAGAACGACGTTTTTGCAGCACTTTCTGACTCCGTGAATCTTTTGTTCCGCACGGACGTCGATGCCTGATTTGCGAATGGCTTCTGTGGATTTTTCAGCAAGATGGGCGGGGAGAATGTCTTCGACGGCGAATTTCTCTTCGAAAACTTGATGAATCTGCACATCTCCGTACTTTCTCTTGATCGAATACGCGAGCTCAGAAGCCAGAAGTCCGCTTCCGATGATTGTCACCTTTTGGACGGATTTATCGGCGAGACCTCCTTCGACCCTCTTGAAATCTGCTGGCTGAAAAGAATACAAACAACTCTAGACATTCGCGATGGAGCACACTTACATAATGATAATATGTGATCTTCTGTTTGGCCTCGTCGCTCGCCTCCTCGAAGATCTTCTCTTTCTTCGGCCGAACTCCCGTCGCAATCAGCACTTTATCGTATCCAACCGTCGTTCCGTCGTCCAGAATCACTTTCTTGTCCTCCTCGCATATTTTGACGGCTTTCTTGCCGCGAAGAATGGAAACTCCGCCGTGCGTCGCCTTCGGAAGGTCTTCTGGAGTCACGAAGAAGCCATCGACCTGGCGAAAAAGAAAACGTGTGAAACCGGGATAATTTGGGGGAAAACCTCATAGAAAATGTCTCGTTTCCTGCCGGAAAGTGATGTGTAATCCAGTTTTGTCGCCGCCGTTTCGTCTCCGTACCACCATAATTCTTTGGAAAGCGGCGGTCGATTGTAGGGCAGTTCCGTTTCTTCGCCAATCTGAAAATGTACAATATCTGCCAGAAGTGTCTAATTTCTGCTGGTTTCATCTCATTTTTCAATAAAACAAACCATCAAGACTTTGGCTTCCGCCTGTTTCGCTCGAATCGCCAAAGAAGCGTAGTAGGCGGCGGTGCCGGATCCAATGATGACGTATTCGCAGTGGAGTTTCTGAAAAATCCACTTGATGCTCTCAAAAACGTCCGTCAAAAACTCATTTATTCACTTCTGAAAACGACTGAGAATGGGGATGGGCGGTCTGAAAGAGAGAATTCAGAGCAACCGGGGGGAAACGAAAGAGAGAAAAGAACAAGGCACACGACTTTTCTGGGGATAGAAAACCGCAAGAAACCGATAGAATTGTGGATGATAAACGTATGATAGGGGAAAATTCGATAAGATTCTAGCGAGGTGTCACTGGATTTGTGGGTGCAATGGAGAAGCTGGAAACCGACTACTGTACCTCTTCTTTCGCTTCTGAAGTCGTCGGTTCGGCGGCTGGCTGAAAGAATACGTTTTTTAGAAAAGAAAAAGAAAAAGAAAAAGAAATGAAATTTACCTTCTCCTCAGAGCTGGTCGATGCAGCTGGTTCTTCAGGCTCGGCTTCCTGAAAGTTTGCAAATGCTTTATTTTGTTTTCTCTATTTCGTTTACCTTTGGCGTCACAGCTGGCTCGGCTGGTGGAGCTGGAGCTGGCTCAGAAATCTCGGCTGCTTGAACTGGCTCTGGTTCCGAAGTGGTAGCAGAATCGGAATCAGAAGCGGTTGGAGCGCCTTCCTCTTCCTGAACGGCCGGCTCTTCAACGACTGGAGCAGCTTCTGGCTCCGGCTCCGGTTCAGCGTGCTCTTCCTCTTCGTGATGAGCAGCATGCTTCTTGTGCGCGTGATGATGATGCTTATCCTCCTTGAATGTGTCAGTTTTGAAGAGAACAGCGGCGATGGTGAGTCCGACGAAGACGAGAGCTCCGACGAACGTGCCCACTTCCGGCTTGTACGGTTCGAATTCGTGCTTAGGCTTGCCACCGGAGCCGCAGAGGGACCAGTCGAGGGGTCCTGGCTTCGGAATGTACACTGGCTGTGGATCTGGAAGAATTTCAGCTGGGTTTGGGAAATATTCTAGATTTTTTTGTAAAAATTGCGAGAATTTGACATTTTCAGCTGAATGTTCTGTTTCTCACCATGATGATGATGTCCTCCACCTCCGAGAGCCATTCTGCTCATTGCGATGCTCCGGACGGCGGTCTTCTGCCGCAACGCCGTGGCCATCTGTCGTCCGACTGCTCGCAGAAGCATTTCTGATGCCCAGTGTACCCTGAAACTCAATTTATTTTACAAACGGCAAACAAAACGGAGGAACGACTTTTATTGGGAAAAAATTAGCGAAAATCAGCAAAAAACGCAAAATTTTCAGTAATTTTTTGAGTTTTCAAGTGAAGTTCAATAAAAAGTAGGGCAAAGGCTTTAAAACGGCTAAAAATCCGACAGGTGACGGGCGGCCGGGCTGGTGTAAACATGCTCTAGTCGCAAAATGATAAAAATCGGCGGAGAGTGCGAAAAGAATACACAAAGGGGAGAGGGCGCGAGAGAAATAAAGGGCGGAATGATGCAACGGTGTGAAGAAGGTAATAATCGGTCAGATGACGAGATTCAGAAGGAAATTCCAGAGAACAACGGGATTGTGGAATGTTTATTAAAGGACTAATAGGCTCAGATCATTATTATTAAGCAGAAAGCTTTTACGATTCGAATCTCGCGTCTTCACTTCTTCTTCGTCACCGTCTTCTTCACCGGCGACGCTTCCAATCCCATAGTGCTGATGCCGTCCATGTACTTCTGAGGGTTCTCTTTCACTCCTTCATTGCTTATGGTCTGAAGGGCTTTCCGGTACTTTTCGGGTGCTACAATCTTCTGAAGATCCTTCTGGATGAGGTGTTCTGGACGTGTGGATGCTCCGATTGCGGCCACGAGCAGACAGATTCGTCGCTTCGACCAAGGATATTTGGGAGACAGTAGCAGGTCTGGAAAACAATTAATTTAAGTGTCCTCCTGTAACCTTCAGACTAATTCAGACGTCCTTCTAATTATAGCCTTGAACTGAGAGACAACACTTTCAATTTTACGCTTCGACACCATCTCCTATCATCTTTTCCATCAAACTGAATTCCATTAGCCCAGTGTTCTTATTTCCGTGACGTTTTGTCGTCTTTGAGATTCCCCTCTTCCCGTCTTTTTTTCTCATTTTCGGCCGATTGATTATAAACCTTTTTGACAGACATTTCTAGGCATTTTTCGGCGTCGTCTTCTGCTTTTCCGCCGTTTTTCGTACGGGCTTATTTGTGCTACGTAATACGAGCACACAATACTAGTTCTCACGATAAACTATTGTCGTTCTATCAATATGCACTTCCTTTTTTGTTGGTTCTAATCAGTGGGAAACACCCATCAAACTGTGTTCTTTTACTGATAACACTCTTTTATTCTCAACTTTATCTATCAAAAACGCCTCGAACTGTCCTTTTCTCTCTCTCTCTCTCTTTCTGTTTCTTACCTAAAACCTCGATCCTTTTCGTCGGTCCTCGCCGATCTTCCGTCGCCATCACGTCGAGATGCCATCTGAACATGAAGAAGCAGATGCACGATCCGAGGCCGTCTCCGTCCAAGTTCGAATCGTCCGTCATCATCTGATCTAGCATCCGGGGAATCACTTTCTCGGCGAAATCGTTTCCAAGCCACGGAGTGTCGCGGAGGTGTCGGAGGATGAACTGCATGTTCTGGGCCGAAAACCGGATGATCAGCTCGGCCATCGGCTGCTTCAGCTTCCCGTGAAGGGCGGCTCGAGCGACGAAAAGAGCACAGAACTCGCTGCAAGTCACGTCCAACGGGAGTAGAAAGTGGTGCATCGGCAGCTTTTCCGTGGACGGCCGCACGAAGTTCTCCACGAGAATTTCGATGAGCCAATCCGAATATTTCCGTTCGAGTGTCTCGTTTTTCATTTGACACAACCATCCCATGACGTGATTGAAGATCTGCAGAACGGGGTACTGGACAGCGAACGAGACGAGTTGGAACATGATTTTGATGCGGAAATCGTGGAGAACCGTGTCGTCGGATCTGCCGAAAAATATCGCTTCGAAGTAGGAGTAGCGGTGACCGTCGTCTGCACGTTCCTGAGAATTGAGATTGATTTCAAGGCGGTTGCGAAACACTTTTATTCTGCTCAGGGCGATTCCCAATTATCCTTCGCGGCTCTTTCGCAATCTCGCAACGTCTGGTGGGCGTGCCGAGCAGAAGACAGAACAGAACGGATAATCAGAATAGCGCAAAAATCTTTTTCGTTCTGCTCTTTTTTGTATTCGAAAGTGCTTATTAGCCGTAGTTATTCCCAAATAACCACAGCTATTATAGGGGCACCGCACAGAAATGGCGCTCTGTTGAGAAACTCCGTTTGCAGCGCAAATTGAGCGACCTCGGGGCCGAGTTTTAAAAGTTAGGCCGCATTTTCAGTGGAAAATTACTTCGCGGCCTAGAAATTCGGCCCGATTGCGAACAGCGCGCCCTTTCTGTCCGGTGCCCCTATAATATTTTGCATTTGTTGGTTTCGCTTCTTCAAACATCCCCTCGCATGGCCTCCAGATCTCTAATTTTTTCCGAGCCTCACCCCAATTAGAAATTGCGGATATCGCGTTTCTTTCCAAAACCAAAAAACTATCTGAATTGCGCTGATTTTTTTGTCTGCTTCGTCCCACCTGCGCTTCTCACTTTCTCGTGAGTACTGTATCCGCACAGGTGTCCTTTTTCCGCCGTTTCCATTTCGTAATCGCAAATGAATGGTGAAATTTTGGCGCGGTTCTGCAAATACAACCGCCCACCTAACCCTCTATATTATAATCTATTTTAATATGCTCCGCGAGCTCTCTTTTCTTCCTCCTTCTGCATCATCTGTGTTGTCCGATTTCGGGCGCAACAAGAAGAGGACAGAGAACGAGAGTCTGCGAGGAGAAAAAAGGAGCAAAGCAGAAGAGGGAGAAGGAGAGCCGGTGCGTGTCAAAACAACAAAAAATGACAGAGGAGACGGCGTGATGCACTCTTTTTCTATCTTGCTCTCGCGCTCTCCTGCTCTTTTTTCGGAGCCAGGCACTTCTGATACACCGCCCGAAATAGGTGGTAATTATTCTTTGCCGCCACCAACACTGCGCGCCACGCGAAATCCTACTCGAGGTCGGCCTTTGTGATCAATTTTCGCTGAGCCAAGCTCCGAGAGAAAATTACTCACCAAAAAGAACTGCGCGAGCACTCGGACGAGCTGAAGTTCCTGGATCGGATTCATCTTTGTCCGTCGGTCCGATTGGATCAGAAAGAGTTCCTTGTCGAGCATCGACTGCACTTCTGGCTTTTCCGCGAGCGCCGACCCTCGAGATCGGCTCATTTTCGAAGTTTTCACTAGCTAAAATGACATTTTCTCTGGAAAATTCACGGGGAAAGTACCTGTGTGAGTGTGGCTTTTGCTTGATCCGTCAGTACATTTGATATGGGTATTGGAGCTGCTGGCGCCGGCGGCGAAGTGTTCCGTGACGAAGACTCCGCCCTTTCGGGTTTGGATTCCGTTGATCTAGGCACCGACACGTTGGCTGCTTCCCCCGCAGCCGACATGGCCTTACGATTCTGAAAAACAAACAATTATCTTGGCCTGTCTCTGATGCTCGAAGTCTATCACAGAGTACGTCTCCCTTGACGACAGAACATACGAGCGTCGGAAGTCCCGCCCATTTTATCATCAGTGAGCGAGCAGTCAGCAGTCTCCCGAGCATACCGAGCAGTCCTTCTCTCTGTTTCACTCTCACATCTACAACGCTATTTTTACGCCTACATTTTCGTTTATAATTTATAAACATAGAAACCTACAAATTGTGCTCCTACGCAAAACGTATTTTTCTAAAAATGAAAACTCGTAAAAGTAGGCCGAGAAATTGCGAGGAAATGAACGGGAAAGCCCCCGACTGGCCGTAGTCTGCGAGAAACTTCGGCCGCAGTCCAGCCGTGCAGAGACATAGAGAGGGCGACGAATTGCCATCGGCCGATCGTCTTCGTCGGGCGCCCGTCCTCTTTTTCCCTCTTTCTCGTGCGTGTAAACAACACGTGCGAAGCAAAAGGAGAGAAGAGAGCGGACGGCCGGCCCTCCAATCGAACGTTTCGGCGTCCGTCCGCCGGGGCAACACACTTTAGAACCCTTTTCGAGCGGTGGTCAGTTCGGCGGTTCAGTTTATTTAGTTTGCCTGCTGTTATCGGTGTCAAGTATATTTCGAGCCGAGAGACCAATTTTGAAAGCACAAAGACCAATTTTTGCGTTGGGAACGAAGCACTTAAGTGACGTCACCAGTTGAACGGCTTTTACGATTCGATTTCGCCCTTTCCCATTCTCTCAGATGCACTTCTCTGCCAAACTCTACGTGTTCTTTTTCTGGCGTTCTCTTCTGGCATCTGGTGCCTAGTTAGCGTACTCAGCATTCCTCGTCAGCTATTTTTCACGATATCGTGTTCCCGACTCCTACCTCTTTTATCTGACCTTCTCTGCTAATAGTCCAATCTTATGACTCTCTTCTTCTTGCCTTCGTTTCTCTCTCCGAATCGCAAGCTCTCTCTCTCTCTCACTTTTTCTCTTTCTCGCCCTATCATCATCGTCGGTCGCCCGGGGGCCGTACGGGGCAGCAGCCAACGTCCCGCCTGGCCATTCCAAAAACACAAGCAAAAAAGAGGCCTCTTCTTCCTTCTCCTTCTTCTTTTTCCTCCTCCTCGCCTCCTTTTCCATCTTCTCCGTCCGGTCGGTGCTCTCGCATACTCTCCCTCACAACATGTGTGTGAGCAAGAGCACAGCGTCCCCGCCGGCCGGCTGCCGGCAGTCCCTTGCACTCTTTCCTCCTGGCTGCTTTCAGCCGACCAGATCGATGCGCCAAAGGAGTTCACAGCACCGAAATCTGTTGCAGACGCAAAATGATCGGCAGAAATTCACTCTCTATGCGTGGGGGGCGTGGCCGTGAGAACGACGGAAAAATAACGACGTGGCTCCCATATCTACCGTATCCCCATCATATAATTCATGCGACTTTCCACTTTCCACTAAACGACCTTTTAATGTTATCGAACGGCCACAAATCGATCAGTGGTCGACGAATGTTTTCCATGCAATTCCACATTTTATCTCGCCCTATCACCCCCATCAATTCTTCCGACGGCTCTTCCCTCATTCTCCCCATTTCTCTTCTTCTTCTTTTTCAAAAATTGCGATTGTGAGTCACTGTCCTCTGACACTCCTCGTCCACATGCACTATTTCGTTTATGTTTCTTTTGTGGTGACGAAAACAAACATCGGCGTTCGCTTTCTTTCCCTTCAACAGTAACCTTCAACTGCTTCTTATTTGAATGTGTACTTGCTTGCAGACAATGGAGAGTAGAGACGACGTAGACGACGAAGTCTACGAACCGCCGAGGAAGCGGAAAAAGGAATACTGTGACGCCCGACGGTGAGCACAAACATTATGATTCAAAAATACGGGGGATTATTCAGAACTAGGCAACAATCAAGCTCAGATCGGCACAGATGGGAACAATTTTCGAGCGCGTCCTCCAACAGCGAATCGGAAATTCTAAACGAAGAGGAGTTTTTTGACAGTATCTATTGTTCGCCGATATCTCAGGTACTGTGCTTCTTTTATAAGTCTTCGAACTTTTTTTTTTCAGGAGTTTGCTCCTGATCAAAGCAGCTCACAAGCCACTCATCGGGAATACAAGAAGGTCAAGCTTATCGTGAAGATGCTTCTTGCAACACTGAAAACGTGCAGTGAGAAGAAAAAGGATGTTTTGCTAAAAATTCTCAAACGGGAGGAATCTTCGGACTTGGCGATGGCTGAGTTTTCGAACGAGCTGGGCTACAAAACGCCATTCTTTCCGGCAACTGCAAGGCGGCTGGCAAAGGACTTGGTGTCCTGCATCGACGCGCATCCAGACAACGCTGCAGTGCTCCACGAGCAAGTAGAGAGACAACATGAGCTGTCGAAGGATAGGAGAAGGAGACGACAAATTGAAAGAGAGCCTATTTCGAAGTGGACCACGAAGTATTTTGAACGACAAGGGAAAAGAGCAGCGGGTCTGAGCTCTGATGACGACTGTGAGACAGTGGGAGCGGAGAAGGTGTACAGACCTCAAAAACGTAGCTGTGGTGCAGCAGTGGTTCCGACGTCAATGCCAGCTGCGGTGAATCCAATGAACACGCCAATCAAAGTGACATCGGAGGCTACAGAAGGATCTTTCGAAACGCCATCTGAAGTGGTTTCAACGGCTGAACACGTGATTTCAGTGTCCAAGCCACTCGTTCGATCATCAGTGGATAACGGATCTGCAGAAAAAAGAAAAGAGACTCCTGCTGAACCGACTTCTGCGCCTGAAGACAAGATCGTAATCATTCAGCCTGCAGCATCCGAAGCGGCTCCAGAAATTTTGAAAAGTGAAGAGAGTGTCCTCAAGCCACTTCCTGCACCCACGCCCACAACGAGAGAAGAAGCTCCGACCAACTCACCCTCAAGCATTGTTTTTCTCGACAAACAAACGACTTCAACGTCAGTGAATTCTGCTCTAACGTCCACACTTCCTGAAGCTATTCTCGAACCTTCTGCGTCTGAGAAAACTACAACGGTCGAACAGAATGGAGCTCCCGCGACATCTGGCGGAGGAGCCAACGAGTCTCTAGTGATCACCGCTGTGATTCCAGTGGGCAAAATGAATGAAACTGCTCAGACTACGCCATCGGATAGTGCTTTGACAGTTGAAGAAATTCCGGTTGCACTAACTCCTGGAGATGCTGATGAGGAGATCATTCTCGCTCCAATGGCAGCTGCGGAAGTCTCGCCAGCGCCAAAAGTTGATCAGGTTCCAGTGAGCACCGAAACTAATTCGGAGAATAAAGAGATTCCCACTGGAATGGCTCCGCAAATTATTTCGGCTCCAGCAACTCTGACGACAGAAACATCCGAAGTGATTCCGGAAGCGTCCACATCCGAACATCCTCTCGCGTCCAGCGCAGCGACGGCGGAAACCACGACGTCTGCAGAAATCCAAGTTCCGAAAAGAAGAGGAAGAAAGAAGAAAGCTGTTGCTCCAGTTGAGGAGGCAGAAAGGCGAGTAAACGTTTAACAGAAAACGTAGAATTCCATCAGATTTTTACAGACTCGCCACAGAAACCGACGCTCAAGGACCATCTACTTCGACTCAGGAGCCCCGAAGGAAGCACAGAAAGAAGAAAACCGCAGCTGCAGTATGGGACAGACGCAGAAACTCGAGGAAAGCTAAAACTTCGACAACTGCTTCTGATGGAGATGAAACTCCGAAACAACGAAGGACGTGGAAACGACGCAGTGATGGAGAGAGAAAGAACTTCAAAACTCCATCAGAAGCTACTCGTACCAGATACGCGCGAGCTGCCCGAACAGAAGGTCGGTTTCCATTCGAATGTCAGAAACAAAGCATATATCGTTTTCAGCTTCCGAGAGAGTGGCTGCGATGGCTAGTCCCACAAGACGTCGTACACGTTCTGCAAGAGGGCGGCAGCAGAGAGGCTATGATGATCATCACGATGAAGTTCCTGCCGTTGCGAATGAAAGTCAAATGGGGAACGCGGAAGATGTCGATACTCGAAGCGTTCCGGCAGAAGTCGACAATCATGCTGAGAGGGCGAATCCAGCAAGTGATTCTATTGTGCCAGTAGAAACTATTCCCTCTCATCTAGGAATCACTGCTGGTCTAGTTGAAGCCTTGACAGCACCAATAATCAATGAAGCTAGCAATGAGATTGGCGATGTTCAGAAGCCACCAACTCCAGAGGCTACAGAAGAATCATCAGTATCATCAGTTCCAACAAACGAAGAACGCTCAAGTAATGTATCAAACACATCGAGCAACTTGGCAGGAGTTGCTGATACTGTGAATATTGCTACTCACCCCTCTCTCAATCCACTTGAATATATTATCCCTTACGTCGAACCAGCTGAGTCTGAAGTTCCTGATGCATCGCCCGTAAAACTTCAGGACGCGAATCCTTCTGCTGGTCAAGAGAGCGGAGAGGTGAAGAATAGTGAGCAGTCGGGAGATCGTCTTCAAGTAGAACAGCAACAACTTCAAATCAATGTGGATACTGCGACGGCGGGAAGATTGGTCGATCAAAGAGAAGAACAATCTCGAACCGTGATCACTCCTAGAGCAATAGATACGATTCCCTACGATCCATTGACTCCCATGACATCGGATCAGTCGACACAACCAGGCTCACCGTTGGAGAAGGACGATTCGAGAGTTCACACGCCTGAGTTTGCTGTGACTTCGGGATTGAATGCTGGCTGTATCAATCCAGATGGAAAGCCTACTCTGGCAGCGGAAGTTGGGAAGGCCTTAGAAGCCAAGTCATCAGAAACAAGTGAAGCTGAGGGAACATCCAGTTTCCAGAAGCCTCTGTCTGATGGAGATTCAGCTCCGACGGTAGTTGAGGAGATTCTACCCGATGAGATTGCAAGAAATTCTTCTGCTCAACCTATGGATGATGCTGTCATTTCTGGGCCTCTGATTGATCCGGACGTACGATCAATTATGGATGACATTCTTTCCGCAGTGGCTTTTGAGGTGCCTTATCATTTAACTCCTCCGACTGTTGTATTTCCTATTGTGAGACTAGGTGAGCTAAAGGCTAAGAACATCTAAGAACACTTTATTTTTCAGACGATTTCACATTCCATCCCTCTTGGAGTGACGTTGTTCCTGCGGCCGCACCCCAACTCAATTCGATAATTTCTCCAGTTCCTCCTGTGACTATCACTACATCTTCTGACAATTCTCCGCAACTCATTGCCAGTGACAATAATCCATTCGCGCCGAACTTTGATTTGTACAAAAATCTGGAGACACCAAAACCAAGTTCTTCTCGACGTCGTGGCGGAGGAAAATCGCTTCCAAGGACCCGAAAATCGGCGATGTCAGTTGAAGAAAACGGAGCATCAAAAGGGCAGAGCGCGTCGCCTTCGCAGGAACAAACGTATGGACAACCGCTGGAAATTCAAACGGATGGAAAAGACGGAAGCGGGAAGACAGCGAAACGAGGGAGATCTCGCATGCCGAAGAAGCAATTCGAAGCTGGCGAAACGAGTGATCAGTTCCAGACAACTCCAAAGACGCCAACAAAACGGAGACAGCCGGCGAGACCTGCTGCCAATGGAGCACCTGCTAAGCAACGGGCTCCGCGGAAGACCAAATATTCGTCAGGAGCCGATACTGCTCAATTGACTCCGTCGCCCAACAATCAACTGTATTCTCCTGCTCCTCCTGAACAATCTTCCTCTCTGGCTCATCACTATTCGCCAGAAGTCTACAATGGCTATTACTCCCCGGACGGTAATTACGATGTTATGCGAGGCTTCCAAACGAATTCAAGCGTTCAACAAACCGCATTTCCCCAATTTATGAATTTTGAAACTCAATATGAGGCAAATCCATCTTTGTCAAACAATGTGCAGTATGCACCTAGTGGTGAGTCAATTGGATGGACATGGGGACGCGGCCTAGAATACCTTCACGCGCGCATTTTGAATTTAGTGGCGGAGAAGAGCGCAGGGTTGCGTTATTTGCATAGTTACTCAAGATGAACTCTTCTATTTTTACAGAAACCGTTTCGACTTGGTTCTTAACATTTTAACTGCAGTGTGCAACTAAGAAATGTAATTTCACATACCTTTGTCCTTATCGGTTTCCGCTTCGCCGGCATTTTTTACAAAATAAAGCCAAAAATAACAGAAAATAGACGAATATTTAGAAGTGAAATAAGTCGAAATTTATTTGGGCGTTCTCAAAGTTTTCAAACAGCGCCGCCGCCGTAAATCGACACTTTGCAAACACCGCCGCTACAAATTGCAGACTTGCGCTACAGTAATCCTCGAAAAATTAATTGTTGAACTTTTTTTAGAAACTCCGACGTTTGAAATGCCCGTTGAACCGCAGTGGGACACTTCTAATGTACATTTGAATTACCCAAATTACTGTCTTGACACATATCCTCACGAAAATAGCACAAATTTATAACTATTCCCTCCTCGTAGTAATCTTTTCGTTTTTCTGTCAAATAACTCACTCAATTCCTTATTCCTGTTGCCCACTTCTCGATCGAAATTTTCTCATCCTCACTGGTTTTTGACCCCATTTCACACGTATTTCCAAAATCATCTCGTTCCATCCATTTCAATAATATTCCTTCGATTTTTGTGCGAATAAATCTTCATCCAATGTCTCAGCCCTTATTTTTGCAGAATTGTTCGAAACAACAAAGCCATAGATGTCAAAATCTCTGAAAATCCCGGATATGTTCATGAAAGCCTCGGCGGCAGCTACGAAACGGTACTTTTCAGTCGAAGCAGAAAAGTTTAGCATCTACAGTAAGAATTCTTTATTTTTCCAGAAAATCAACATCAACTACAACCTCAAGCTCAGAAGATTTCAAAGAGAACAAATCGGAGCCATCTTCCGTCAAAAAAATGAAAACCTCGGAGCCAGAGCCTTCAGAATCCCCACAGACGTCTGACGTTGCTTTGAAAACACTTCTCCGCTCAGAGTCCTGGTCGCTTCTTCTGGAAGACGAATTCAAAAAAGGGTACATCGGAAAAATTGAAAAGTTTCTGAACGAAGAGCGTCGGAAAGGAAAGCAAGTGTTCCCGCCATCTCCGGAGATCTTCACCACGTTCAACGTGCTTCCGTTCGACAAAATCAGCGTAGTCATTATCGGACAAGACCCGTATCATGACGACAATCAGGCGCACGGACTGTCGTTCAGCGTCAAGAAGGGCGTGAAACCTCCTCCGTCACTCAATAACATTTTCAAAGAGTTGGAGTCGGATGTGGAAGGGTTCAAGCGTCCGGAGCACGGAGATCTGACCGGCTGGGCCCGACAAGGCGTCTTCATGCTCAACGCCACGTTGACCGTTCGTGCTCACGAGGCGAATTCGCACTCGAAGATCGGATGGCAAACCTTCACGGATACGGTTATTCGTGTGATTTCTAACAGATCGGAAAAGCCGATCGTATTCCTGTTGTGGGGAGGATTCGCCCATAAAAAGGAGACGTTGATTGACTCCAAAAAGCATGTAGTCATAAAGGTACCGAAGAAAAAAAGTTGTAAATCCTGATTAAATATTAATTTCAGACCGCGCATCCGTCTCCGCTGAGTGCCCGTTTCTGGTGGGGATGCAAATGTTTCTCGAAGTGCAATGAGCAGCTGGAGAACAACGGACGCAATCCGATCGACTGGAGCGATCTGTGAACGAATTCTCAATTCTCGCTTCTCACTTCCTTTTTTCTTTTCCTCTCTGCGTCTCTTTCACTGGCATCTCTCTCACTCCCACTTCCCAAACACTTGTTCACATTTTATCGATTTTTCGTCCCGCTTCCTCGTCAATAAAATTGTACAAAAAGCATGTATCGGTTTTGTGTTATTCACAAGGATTCACCTTCAAGTCGTTATCTTTTGCAAGATTTATTTTTCTGTTAAAATAACACTTCTTCAGAAAAAAAAACAAATGAGGCGGCAAAAAACAGACGAAGAGCGGAGCTGGACCTCAGTTGCTCGTCACTTTTTGTGCGTTGAGTGCCATAAATATTTTAGAAATAAAGTGAGTATTCATCTTGAAAAAAAGAGGAGCCTGAAACGTTTTTTTTAGAGGGAATACTACTTTCACACAGAAGACTGCCTTCTGGAGGCGTTCGAAAGAGAAGTGAGCCTCAGTTCGTCGCGTGGAAACGAAGAAGAAGTTGTGGAAGCGGATGAGGACTGGAATGAGCAGCCGAGCACTTCCGGCGCCGAGAAAACTGTAAGTGGTCCTGAAGGTGAAAGAGAAAAAGAGAATTTCTCCCTTTTCAGGCCGAGACGAAGTTATCAACGATGGAAGAATCAGTCAAAACGGAAGGCCCTTCAAAGTCATCCACGTCATCAGAAAATGCCAAACAAACGTTTAAAGAACCGATGAAAAAAGAAGAAGAACAAGAGAAGAGGACGAATTGGGAAGCACGTCGGAAAGCGGAAGAGGTGATAGAAGGTCCGCGTGGATCGAAGATCATTGTGTCCGTGGAACCGCAGACGGGCGAGGTCTCCGCCGAATTTCAGTCGGACGACGACGACGATTCCGAACCGCCGCTGCTGGTTTCACAAGTGGATTTGGACGCGGAAAAAGAGAGAGAAACCGAAGGAGACACAGAAAATCAAGAAGATCCGGAAGCCGAGTTGGAATTCGGGGACGAGCAACCGCCGATAAGCTTCATTCCCACCGGAAAGGTAGGAAAACAGTCGCAGGGCTTCTGAAGAGCACTTATTTCAGGTAATCGGCGCGCTAGCCAACCCGGATGACGGCACAAAGCCCAAAATGGAATGCCCGACGTGCGGACTCGTCCTCTATCGTCACAACTTTGCAGCGCACTTCCGGATTCATACTGGCGAACAGCCATACGGGTGTGATTACTGCGGGAAGCGATTCCGGACGACTTCCTCGCTGAAAGTGCACAAAAGAGCGCACACCGGAGAGAAGCCGTATCAGTGTCCGAGCTGTGAATATCGGACGATTACGAAAAGGAATCTGGACAGGCACATTGTGAATCATCACATTCGGAATGCGATTATAAAAGGGCCGACGATGCGGAGATCGAGGACGACGCCCAGGTATCAGCCGGACGAGGACGTCGAGGCGATGACTCCGGCAATGAAGTTCGCGGCAAGCCAGAGAGCACGGCAGGCGGCCGCCCGTGCCGCGGCGGTGTCCAATCGAGAGGATCACACGTACATGCTGCCGCCAGAACGACGGCCCGAAGGAGCTGCGGAAGAGTACGCGGAAGCGGATATCATGGAAGTAGAAGAAGAGTACTGATAAGGAGGAAAAGGAGAAAATCATTCGAATAACCACGTCATACTTGTTTATATCTGTGTCAATTCACCTTTCACCGTAATTTCTAGACCCAATTAATGAACGCGCATCGAATCAAATCAGAATTTGTAATTCTTGAAATCCAGGTTTCAGTGCCGTTTTATCTGGTTTTCCAGAATGCGATTTCAAACCAGAAAGATGCAAGTTCAGAATGAAACGCGTTCTTTTTGTGGCCGAAAAGAATGACGTGGCTAAGGGAGTGGCGGCAATTCTCTCGAACGGAGCAGCCAATCGAAAGGAGGGACGGAGCAAGTACAACAAGATTTACACACTTACCACAGAGCTTTTCGGACAGGCAAGTGCGCTCTACTGAAAATAGAAAGTCACCAGTAGAGCGCACTTCCATCCTTCCATGTTCTTGCAGCGAGCCGCCGTGTCGGTGACGAGTGTCTCAGGTCATCTCATGAACTGGCAGTTTCACGAGAATATGGCCAACTGGCAGACCGTCCCAATGGTCGATTTGTTCGAGGCGCCCGTCCGGCACATGGTCACTCCCGACATGAAACTGATTGAGCAGACTTTGAGGTGTACACGAGAGTTACAGTAACCAGAACCTTTGAACTTTCAGAGAAGAAGCTCAGAGACACGATACTCTCGTCGTTTGGACAGATTGCGATCGAGAGGGCGAAGCGATCGGAGCGGAAATCGTGAAAGTTTGCAGAGGGAGCAACCAACGACTCGACGTCTTCAGAGCGAGATTCTCGGAAATCACGAAGCAGGCGATCACCCGGGCGGCAGGGAATCTGATCAGATTGGACGAGAGGACGGTGGCTGCGGTGGACTGCCGAAGCGAACTGGACCTAAGAATCGGATCCGCTTTCACAAGACTTCAGACTTTGCATCTAAAGAATCGATTCAGAGATCTATTAGGTTCAAATGGTAAGTGATTCCTTCTTCCCTTTAAAACCATAGACCAAGCCCATTTTCCTTGCAGACGCCTCAAAAGTGATCAGCTACGGCTCTTGTCAATTCCCGACTCTCGGCTTCGTCACTGACCGCTACAAAATGATCGAATCGTTCATTTCCGAACAATTCTGGAAGCTGCAAGTTAACCACACACGAGAAGGCCATCAGGTCGAGTTCCTCTGGGATCGGCATCGAGTATTCGACAAGGACACCGTCGACGTGCTGCACGAAGACTGCAAAGAAGCGAAGGAAGCGGTTGTGGAGAAAGTGACGAAGAAGCCGAAGAGCAAGTGGAGACCTCAGGCGATGGATACCGTCGAACTCGAGAAGCTAGGAATCTCGAAGCTGAGAATGTCGGCGAAACAGACGATGCAAGTGGCGGAGAAGTTGTATAGCAAAGGATACATTTCCTATCCAAGGACGGAAACGAACAAGTTCCCCGCCGGACTCAACCTGACGCCCCTCGTCGAGCAGCAGACCTCTTCCAATATCTGGGGAGATTTCGCCAATGAGGTTGTTCATTTGAATCGGAAGGCATTCCATCACATCCCTTCCCTTCCCGTTTCAGGTACTCCAAAATGGTGTAAATCCCCGAAACGGCCGGAAGAGCGACGAGGCGCATCCACCGATCCATCCGCTCACTTACGTGGATAAAACCCAACTGCAAGGAGACGACTGGAAGGTCTACGAACTCGTCGTCCGTCATTTTCTCGCGTGCGTCTCCCAGGATGCGCAGGGAGAAGAGACTGTCGCAAACATCAGAGTGGGAAATGAAAAGTTTCACGCGTCGGGACTTCGTATTCGGGATCAGGGCTATCTGAGAGTGTACGTCTACGAGAAGTGGGGGAATCGACTGTTGCCGGCGTACACAGAAGGCGAGAGATTCTCGGATTTCCAGCTGAAAGTCACAGATGGAAAGACACAGCCGCCGGATTTGCTAACCGAAGGTACCATTCTTCGATCCTCGAACTCTTTCAGAATCTTTTTCAGCCGATCTCATCGCTCTCATGGACAAATTCGGCATCGGAACGGACGCGACGCACGCGGAGCACATTGAAAAGATCAAGACGCGCGAGTACATCGGAGTGAAAGCCGATGGAAAACTGTTGCCGTCCTTCCTCGGCCTCGCGCTCGTCGACGGCTACGACGACATGGGATTCGCGATGAGCAAACCGGATTTGAGAGCAAATTTGGAAGTGGGACTGAAGGATATTTGTGACGGAAGACGAACGAAAGAGGCGGTCCTCCGCGAGCAAATCGACAAGTACAAGGCGATTTTTGTTGAGACCGAGATTAAAGTCGGCATTCTGTCGCAGAGTTTGCAGCGGTATTTGGACAGAAATCAGCAGAACGGGGGCGGCGGCGGAGGCGGCAGCGGCGGAGGCGGTGGTCCTCCGAGACCTGGAGGCGGTGGATTCGGAGGAGGTGGAGGTGGCCCTTCTGGAGGTTCAACTAATCGCAGAGGAACTGGAGCAGCTGCAGCCAAACCGAAAGCACCTCCAAAGCCACGTGGCAGACCGAAAAAGAGCCCGCCGAGACACGATTATAACGACGATATGGATGCCGATGAGGCGGCACCAGAAGAAGGAACTGTCAGTGATTTGTATTGTAGTCAGAGACCCAATTCCATTCCTATTCAGATAGTGACCCTGAGCGAAATGTTCGGAAGCATGACGAACCCGAAACCGGCCCGAAAACCCCGTGCTCCACGAAAGAGTGCGCCGAAAGCGACGGGAGCTGCGAATGAGTCTGAGGAAGTGTTCTGTAACTGTCCGGAGCCGATGAAAGCAGTGGTGAAAGTGGTGCATAAGGAGGGTCCGAACAAAGGAAAAAAGTTCTACACATGCTCACTTCCATACACTTCCTCTGATAAATGCAACTTTTTCAAATGGGTCGAATAGTGATTGATCTCTTATCTCGTTCTCAAGTATTTCACATTCCTCATTGACAATGATACTCCTCCCAGTTTTACCTTTTGTTATGAATTTGTTGCAGTTGTTTTTTGTTTCATTCATTCGTGTCAGCCGGTAACTTCCAGACCGTCTCGTACTTTCTCTTCCGGTCCGATTAGAGCCCGCCTGATAAGCCTGAGCACAAACAGTCTTTGGGCCGGTCTTTTGGTCTTTGTCTCGTTATTCTCGACGCTCTCTCACTTCGTTTTTCAATGTTTTCGAGCGAAAGGCAGTGCTTGGGTCGTAAAACTGTACAACTGGAAGAAAGAGTTATCAGTGAATGACCGAGAGTAAATACCGAAACGTTGCTGCAATTTTTGCTCATTCAGTTTTTCTGCTCCTTTTGAATTGAAGCCTGAGACCCAATCGAACAATAATTCAATCGAATAGCAATAGTTCTCAATTCACCTTGACATTTCCATATCGTCCTAAACGATCCTTCCTCTCCCACCCACCCACACCCGTATAGGGCGTTACCTGCCAACACCGATGAATCACTCGTACTTTTTGCCTGACTAATTTCGGTGGAGTAGTGTGTGCGGCGTCACCCCGGTCGAAACGAGAGACGCAGCCGTCCGTACCGTCGATCAATCGCTCGGATCGTCCGATTCCTCTCGGTCCCGCACGCTCTCTCCCTCGCCGCCGCCGAGACTTTCCCCTGTTTGGTTTGCCTCCATTCCTGTGTTACTTTTGTTCAGAGCAAACGCAATTTGATGCTTGTCGTTCCAGTTCTTTTGTCATTCTTCCCAACGTTTACCACTTTTTGTTTCAGCGAAACTTCTAAAAATGAGCAGTGTTGATCTTCCGCAGCTGATGGACGATAATCTGGTAAGTTACTAGTCTTTTTCTTGATTGTTGTACCGTGAGAATCTCCCAAACTTCAGATCACTCGTCGCAAAAAGATCATGCAGTCGATCGAAGACATCCGAGGAAAGAAAGCAGAAATCGCACAGGCTCTTCGTGAATTAGGAGTCGGAAATCCACAGCAAAATGAGGTAAAATCTCGTGAAAATCTCCAATTACCAATACATGTTTCAAATGCAGAGTGTGAAAAACGACATGAAGCAGCTTTTGGAGGCTTACGATGCGATTTCGAGCCAAGAGACTCAGTACATGGAAATTCTGAAGACTATTGTGGTTCGTCAATTTTTTTCCTAAAAATGTTAATGGGCAATCTAAATATTTTGCAGGGCATTCACGAACAAGCCACTCTCGACATTGCACAGGATTTCGAGCGGAAAATCGAAAAAGACGCGCAGAAATTGAAAGAAACGAAGGAGAAACAGGAGGAGAATGCCGAGGAGCAAAGAGAGAAAACTCCGGAAGAACTGGCGAACAGCGAGACGATGGCGGAGCTCCAGGAGGCTCTGCTCGAGCTTAAAAAGGTCTCCGAAGAGGCGGTGAGGGCCTCGGAGCTCAATGAGAAGCTCGTGGAGAGTCTGCAGTTGACGAAGGCGAAGAAGAGCGCGAGGAAAGAGCTCAACGCCAGAAGAGCCAAAGAGCTCGACGAAACGGCGGCTGTGATCAGAGCAGATGTCATGGAGAAGATCAACAAAAGTGAGATTCTTGAAAAAATACTTTAAAAAGCAAACATTTACAGTGTCCGCCCTGAAAAAGACGACGGCAAAACAGGAGAGAGAGCTTAAAGATCTTCAGAAGCAGTGTCTCCAACTGGGACTTCAGCTCGGCGTCGAAGATCAAGTAGATCCGGAGGCCGAGCGTGCGACCCTTGATGACAATCAGAGAGTCCCGGTGATCGGGGAAACTCAGCAGAAGCCAGAGTTGAACGAAGAGGAGAAAGAACGAAGAAGGGAGGAGATCCGGGAGAACATCAAGAGAGAACTCGAGCAGTGAGTTGACCTTCTGAAAATTAAAGGCACATGTCCCTTGGCTTCAAGTTTCAAAACATCTCTCAGCTGATCTGATTACTACCAGTGTAACCGCTGACTCATCGGCAAAACAATCTTCGCAGAACATCATCCGACCGACGTTTAGTGTAATCGTCTCTCCGGAAGCTTCTAGAGTCCCTTCGCGTTGCTCTGACCGGTTTACAATGTGCTCCTCTTCTCCGCCCGATCGATCCCGATATCTCTGGGCAAATACTCGTCGCTTACACTTTTGCTCTTGCTGCTGCAGATATGCATTCCGAGTTGTACACCTGACACTTCGTCTCACTTTTCCCCGTTTATTCCGAATGAAATCCTATTACACTTTGTGCAGAGAATTCGGAGATGATAGGTCCGAGAAGAAGTGCATTAGAGAGAAAGAGAAAGAGGAAGAGATAGCTACCGTCAAGATGTTTCTTTTGGTCTCACGTTTCCATTTTCGATACAAATTCGTATACTTACAGAAAAGAACAAGTGAACTCCCAAATCCGCGAGAAGCTCGCGGCGATGGATGCTCGTCGAAAACGTCTTCAACAAATCCGGAAAATGTTGGAGAAGCAAGAGGAGAACGCCGCCGCTTCGGCCGCTCAGAACGGAGAAGGCATCCCGCTGACTCCAGAAACCCCACGGCCGTCCGTTGAGTCGCCCGATGTTCCAGAAGCTCCGATTGCCGCTCCAGAAGGCGAAGACGTCGAGGGGCCGGTGGTTGAGAAGTCTTTGGATGACATTTTGTTGAATGCTAAGGCTAATTTGAGGTACTTTCAATTGAAAATTCATAGCAAATATGGGGTGGTTTTAGCAATTTGACGGCGATGCGTGAACGATTGGAGCACATCAAAGAGACGGGCGGCGCGGATTTAAACGAAGAAGACATTCAGTTGCTCCAACGGTTGGACACGATCGATTTGGAAGAGGAGGTAGGCGGCAATGATGACGTGGCATGGTTTGAATTCTGAAAAGAAGTAAGCGGATGAAACATTGTTACCACTATTCAATGCATGGACTCTCTCGACTCTACGTACATAGATTTTCACTTTTTCTGCCGTGATCTACTCTGCGTGTCGACTCCAATTCTCTGTCCGTTCTGATTTGATCTGCCGTGTCTCACTTTGAGCCCTCGTGATCCTCTCCCTTTATCCAGCCGTCTGTGAAAGCACCGAAATCCGAAGTGGATCTGATTATGAGCGAGAGAGACGTTGATGACGTTGACGTGGAAGATCAGAAGAATGACATCGAAGCGGCCGTCCGGTCTTCTTTCCACGCGGTTTTCCGGCCGAAAACTTTGATTCTAGAGGAAAGTCAGCTTGAGATGGTTCGGAAGGCCAGACTCGCGGCGATTGAGGAAATGGTCAGAAAGATCGATGACAAGGTACGAAGGATTCAGACGACGTGACGATGAGATCTTGGGGGTCCCTTAGCTTGAGCTCCATTCCCTTCCAATTCCGGGCCCTCTTTCGGATTCATTTGTTGTCGATCGTCACCCTCTTCTTCTTTTTCTTCTTTTTCTTCTTCCCCTTTTGCAATCTCAATGCTTCTGATGACCCAGCGACTAGAGAGAAAGAAAGAGTGAAAGAGAGAGGAAGATTCATTAAATTGTGCGGTCCTTCTCTTCTGGACCCCATGGGTTGTAATATGGGATCCGTGCCCTCCCCCCATTTCCACTGCGTCTTTCTGTGTCCGGGCGGCGGCGGTGTCCGGAGCAATAAATTGTGGAAAAACACACAGAAATGGCGGCGAAGAGAGAAACAGAAAGTCTGCGTCTCTGGCGCGGAGCTGGTGACCGGCAGCTCATCCCCGGGCCCTCCGGCCAACTCGACGAAATTAAGGACGAGACCGCTCTGCCACGTGGCTGGGGATGTCTAGGATCCTCAAATTTTAAAGAAGCTAGAGCTCTTTTCTACTGTGAACCTTCGATTCCCCCTTAGAACGTCTGAGCCATTCCCACCTCTTCTCCCCTATCATTACACCTTCAGGTACCCCTTCGGCTCCTTCTTTTTCTTGCTGCCTCTCCTTCGTTTGACCCCGCCCCTAGCGGTCCAACCGCTCCTCATCATCCTTCCGAAAGCCACGCCCCCATTCGATCTCATCGTCGTGTCGTTGTCGAGTCCGCTCACTCACTCATTCGTGCCCCCGTCCTCCTCCTCCTCGTCACCACCACCACTCGATTCCAGCTGCCCTCCGCCGCCGCCTCCCTCTCCCTATCACTGCTATCACTGAGAGCCGGTGAGCTGCGCGAGCTTGCCGCTCATCTACTGCGGCTCGCCGAGCTCCAAGAGCCCGTGGCTCAAGCCTAATGTATTGAGAATTGAAACATACGCAGGTTGGTGGTGTCCCTTCTCTAGGTCCCGAGTCTCTAAAGAAACGAGAAAAAAAGAGCCCGGGGGCCGGAAGAGCCCTTTTTGTGCTCAGTGTCATGTCTCTTTTTGCGCTTTCTCTCCCCCTTCCCCCTCTGAGATTTCCCCCCACTCGTTCTCCAAAAACGAGTCGGCGCCGACTAAGTGAATGCTTTGCCACAGTCTTCGCACACTGAAATGAAGCCTGGGTTCACTTTCACTTAGACCGGCGTACGACCCGTTTCTTTGCAATATGGGCGGGTTTAGTTTTGCAATAAACTGCGCAAAAAACGTATGAATATGAATGGGATGGCCGGGGGTGATAAACCGTGTGAGCCGCCGACGCACTTTGTCGCGTCGGTCTGCGTCGCGAGGAGCCCGGGGCGCTAATGCTCCAGAGCTCGTCGCAAGAGTCGCAAAGCTGTCCTCGTTTTGGAAGAAGAAGACGGAGAAGAAGCGGGACACACACACACACACACGCACACTCGCACACATACGTGTTAATGCATTTCAGTCCTCTCCTTCGTCCTTCTGCTCCGCGAGCCGAGAGCTCTCGGGGGCGACGAAAAAGGAAGCGAAAGCGAGAGAGAGAGAGAGAATGGGATGTGCGGAGACGCGGAGAGAAGGGCTTATCATCAGATATTCATGGGAGGCGAGCGTTGTTGGGGCAACCGAGCACAGACTGCGCTTCTGACGCGTCCGAGGGAAAAACGTATTAACAGGAGCGTTTCAGATTCCAAGCCCCTTCAGATATACAAAAAAGAGCTCGTCGGATGTCAATCACAAGACCGCCAGTTGTCCGTAGTCGTCTGACCTCCCCCGTGGACAAGTGACTCTCTCGAAGAACAGTTGCTCCTCCCGAGTGAAGGCATCCATCGCCGCCTGCTTATCGCGACAATTCTCAAAAAAAAGTTTTTTGTAATCGGAGCTCTGTGAGCCACTAAGAGGACATATGGCCGCGTCGCATCGGATTGACGTTTACGTTTACGACTTTGTGATGTGCGACATGGCGCCCCCAGATGTTGGCGGGACCCAGCTGGGTACATTCAGATATAATCCTTCTTTGATTCTAGCACCTAGACTGACTTTGTAATGAATTTCGGACATGGATTATATCATTAATGCTTCCTGGTCGCGTCCATTTGCACCTAGTCACCATGGAAACTAATCCTTCTTTCTCTATGCGTCTCTAGTAAGCTGAGACCAAAAACTGGTGATTAGTGGGTGAAAAGAGAAGAGAGAATGCCCTTCCGGAGTCTCTCTCTCTCTCTCTCTCTCTCTCTCTCTCTCTCTCTCTCTCTTTCTTTCTCCGTTTGCTCCTCACTAATTAGTGCGCCAGTCACGACGGGTCCCAACCAAGAAGACCAGAAGACGGAGAAAGAGGTCCCCGTTATTATGGTGCGTTGAAAGAGGAAGAAAGAGAAGGAATTGAGGGGGAATTAGCATTGAACAATTGAAATGCAATGGGAAAGGGTTTCAGAATTTGAAAAACCATCCACGTCATCATGGCCATCGTCATAATCCTGAGAATCTTGATTCACACCTTAACGTATTTACAGAATCCACAGTAATCCATCCCGTCGACATCTTCTTCCGATGAACATTCTCGTCTAATTTATTGAAAACCACTCATCGATTTGTCAAGCTTTCAAATTTCGAATTTCAGTTTTCAATTTGTTATAAACTAAACCCAAAAAAATGTGATATACTTTTTACCATTGTCATTTCTGCTCTAAGTCTACTTATCTGCGATACTTAATAAATGTCATCAAAAATGTAATATCTCGTGAAATTCTGAATATTGTATGTAGGTAATCCTCATAGAAATAGTATCTGATTCGTTCATTTCATTCATTTTGTTGAAATCAGGGATAATTCCAGAAAGATGCTCGGTGACGAGTACGGTAGTCTCGTGGCAGTGGCCACCGTATCCACAGCACTCATCGTCGGCGTTTCGTGGTTTTTGAGGAGGTACATAATCAAGGTTTTTTGAGGGTTTGTGCTTCATTTATAACTAAAGCGATTCACTATGCGCCTTTTTGTCCATAATCAAAGTAAATCGTGAATGCTGGAATAGAAGCAGATACTTGAATCCAAGTACAAGAAGCCTGTAAAGTTGCATCTCCACATTAGCGAATCACTACTTATCTTGTACATAGTTTCTCCCATTCCAGCCGGCCGATCCTCATCAACTTCGTCTTCTTCGCCGTCCTTTCGGCTGCCCTTTTCTCCTATTCCCATCTCGTAAATCTCTCCATTCTCGACTCTTTCGACCTGCTTTTTCGGATGGTCATTGGACCGGGAGGCTCGTGGAACAGGTGATTTTCGTCGACAATCTAAAACTCGAAAACGCTCATTTTCTCAGAGTGTACATGGTGGCGTTTTGGTTGGCGAACGTGGCGGTCTCCGTGCTGTTCTGCGTATACGTGACGGCCATCGGGCGGAGCACAACCGTGCACAGAAAGTTCTTCCACCTCACCGTCTCGCTCATCTACATCTCCGGCATCGTGCTCGATCCGCTCTTCTCGTGGCTCTGCGCATGGCTCTGGCTGTGCATTTTCGTGCTCGTCGAGCTGCTCCGCTACCTGAACGTGCCTCCCTGGGGCGCTGCGCTCAACGAGCATCTGCTCATCTTCAAGGATGCGCAAGACGCGGAGTTCCTGCTCACGCCCATCTACCTGCTCGTCGGCATCTTCCTCCCGTTGCTCGTTTCGCCGAAAGTGGACAAGGCGGGTTTCGTGCCGACTCTCGCCCATTTCGCAGGCGTTGCTGCCGTCGGAGTCGGCGATTCGATGGCCGCGATCGTCGGATCCAGATGGGGGAAGACAAAGTGGACGGGCCGCCAGAAGTCTCTCGAAGGAACACTGGCGATGCTCGTTTCGATGCTCTCCTTCCTGCTCGTCGCCAACGTCTTCATATTCCGTCCGTCCAGCGTCATCTCGATCGTCGCCGCTTCCCTGACGGCTTCTCTTCTGGAGGCATTCCTCAATTCGATGGACAACTTCATTCTTCCGCTCGTCACTTTTCTTATTCTATGACTAACCGCCTTCCCTTTCTAATTCTTGTACCATTATCAGGTGATCACTTCGCTTGCGGGTCGCTTACAACAATTCCAGTCACGTTTTTTTACATGGGTTGCTAAATAAATATGCTAGAAATACACATTTCACATCAAGTTTCTATAGATCAGCGCTTCCTCGGCCATTTGTTCGGTGGAGCGCGGTTTCCTTTCCGGCTCTTTGTCGTGAGAAGCCAGCTTCGCGTAGATCTCGTTGTCGCCAAAGTCACCGGTGCGACGGGCGAGAATATGAATGTGCACATGCTGGAATTCATATAAATTTACAGAAATTTCAAGAAAATCGCCTACCGGAACAGTCTGTCCGGCGTCTTTACCGTCTTGGACACAAATCGTGGAAGCGTTCACTTTGTGGTGCTGGAAATTTTAGATTTTCAAAATATTCACCCAAAATGCTAACCTTTTCGAGCATTGTTTGCACCTTTTTGGCAACAATGAACAGATCGGCGGTTTCTGCGTCGGAAAGGTCGGTGAGACGCTGAACGACGCGTTTCGGACTGACAAGAACATCTGAAAATAAGGAGGGAATATACTGAATGCTGGAAATCATTCAACATACGTCCGTCAGTGACCGGTTTCAGGTTGACAAAAGCGAATGTGTTGGGAGTACTGTAGAAAACGTGTTCGGCCGGAATATCAAATGCGGCGAATTTCAGCGCTCCTTCCGTTTCGGTCTTTTCATTGACGTGTAAAGTGTACAAATCGGAGCGACGGTGGGCGAAAACTGGCTGCATTTCACGCAGGCTGTCCACGTAGCTCAGGTCGATTTCGGCGAAGCACATATCTGGAACAATTGGGCTCGATGGAATGATTTTGCAGTGCTCTACGTACCGACTCTCTCGGAGCACTGAGCCACCACAGCTCCCCACGGATCGACGATCATCGCGTGTCCATAGGACTGCCGTTTCGGGTTGTGGGCTCCAGTCTGAGCAGCCGCCACCACGTAGCATTGGGTTTCGATAGCACGCGCACGGAGCAGAGTTTCCCAGTGTGCGAGCCCGGTGTTCAGGGTGAAAGCGCTCGGGAATGAGAGCAATTGAGCGCCCTTCCGACGGTTCCAGAGGGATAACTCTGCGAATCGGACGTCGTAGCAAATGGAGAGCCCGAGACGGCCGACCGGAGTGTCGACTGGAGGGACCATCTTGGTGCCCGCCTTGCTGAACTCGCTCTCCATGAGTCGAACTTTTCCGGGGATTTCCAAGTCGAAAAGGTGCAATTTCTTGTACTCCACTCGCGTTTTTCCCTGCGAATCGATCACCAGATGCGTGTTCCAGGGATGAGCCAGGTCTGATGGGTCCTGCAGCGAGCAAATTTGCTACCGTAAACCTTGGGTACTGTACCTTGTGATGAAGGCCTCCGAGCGACAGCCAAACATTGTGCTTCTTCGCGAGATCTCGATATCTCTGCATGTATTCCGAGTCGGCTGCCATCGCCAAATCGATTTGTTCATTTTTGTTGAGCCCGATGAAATCGAAGCATTCCGGGAAGAAGACCATCTTAAGAAAGGAGGAGGGATTAGGGTAGTCCGTAAACACAGAACGGTACCTCGCACTTCTTCTCTCCGGCTCTTTCGATCATGCTCTTCGCCGTTTCGAAGCTCTTTTCCAGGTTGTTGTCGCTTGTCATTTGACATACTGCTATCTGCAATGGGGTTTCAGAATTGTCCAGAAAAAATAAGTTACAAAGTGTCGTCCAGTGGCCATTGTTCGCCGGAAAATGGTGGTCAGCATGCGGTCTGCCGGTGATGAAATGATAAAGAAAAATCGATAGACAGTCAAAGAAATCAGAAACTGGTCAACAATCAGTTCGATAACAATCGCTAAATTTGAACGAAAAACAACAAATAAATGATTTATGCACAAAACCGATAATTTAGCGGGGAAAAGGGATCTAGCTCAAATGACTCGGGGGGAAGGTGACTTTCGAACATCCTTATTAGAATTTTCAGATCTTATTACTCGATAACCTAGTAATGACGGATGAAATATATCTTCTAGAACGAAGAAAATAACAAAGGTACGTGAGTTTATATAATTCTAATCTTTCTTTGGTTTCTTCGGCTCATTCAACTTCTCGTGCTCCCTGTGGAGACGTTCCACTTGCCCCAAATGAGAAGTCGTTGCGTGCACACTGTTTTTCCGGCCCACACTACGAACGCCCAAGTGGCGATAACTGCAAATTCGAGTTCGACGTCCAAATCAAGAAATTGGGCACTTACCGGTACCACCGACGTCCGTACAGTACTTTGTTGCGCTCGTATTCCGATCGGACCTTGTACTCGACTTCCCTCGCGGTTTTCAGTTTTCCCAATCGTTGGAGTATTGAAAATGTGGCACGGATGAGCAAAAGTGTCGTCATGTAACGGAAGGGCATTGCAATCTGGGAAAATGCTCATATTTTGGCTATAGCACACATTTTTGTTGTAGATTCATCAGGTTCTTAGCTTTTTAAAGGTTTTTCATAGTAAACCGCCCACCTTGTACAAAATGAGCGCAACGACGAAGACTCCGGCGCTGCGTGGCGTGCTCTTGACCTTCTCGACGATCGCCGCCGGCATGTGCATCCATTCGAGCATTCCGATCACATCGACGCCGCTCTTCACCACGAGATAAAGGGCGGCGAACCAGGCGATGCAGGAGGCGGCGTGCGCGGGGACCGCAATGTACCAGTACCGTTTGAAATAGTATTTCACTTTCGCAAAAATACTTTTTGGCGCTTCTTCCGCCTTCATCTGCGCGATTTTCGCCGTTTTTGCGGCCTTCTGTTCGTCGGACATTGTAATCCGAAACCATTTCCATTTCTTCTGATCTTCTGCCACTTTTCGCGTCGTTTGGAGGAATCTGGAGGAGATCGAGGGCACGGAAGTGAGGGAGAGGATGCGGGGGCTCGCGGAACAAGCGAGCCGACATATACTGCGTGATAGGAGCATTTTGTGGTGAGGGGAAGCTGAAAAGTGAAAAGTGAATGAGCGAATTGCACCATTTTGCGAATAGTCACGTACTAAAAAAATTCTGAAAGAGTAAACACACGCGCAAAGTTTACTGGCCTAGAAAACCAAAGCTAGTCCGTCTTGCCTACGTGATTTCGCAACTTTTTTTTTTCTCTCAACTCCATTAAAATAGTCCACCGGGTAATCATAACTCATTTTCACCTTGTAATCCACTCAGGATCACATTGCACTTCTAAAAGGCCATAAATTTATTGCTATGAAAACAATCTATGTAAAATAAAATACATGAAAAGGGGAGGCAGGGGGCAATTGGGAAAGGGAGAAAATAAATTATAAACGTATGTATAAAACAAAACGATGCGACTTTGTAACCCAGCACACAAGGTGCGACGACCAGTATTGGGGGAGAGTGCACTTGTTGATGGAGACTTAGTGGACGAGCTCGGACTTCTGGCGGATGGCGTAGTAGAGACCGATGACGGCGAGGATGATAGCGACGGTCTCCGAGGAGACTGGGGACTTGCTGGCGATTCCCTAAAACAGCAAAATAAAGAATGGAACGTGGAAAATGGAATCTCACAAGGTGGTTGAGTTGAGCGGTGAAGAGTGGCTTGGTTGATGGGTTCTTGGTGTACTGGGCGAGTCCCTCCTCGTCGAAAATGTTGATGTCGAAAGTCTGAGCGGTAGCGTCAGAGTGATCGAGGGTCCACGAGATCTGGTACTTGGCGGTCTCATCAGAGGTAGACACTGGGATCAACCGTCCGTTAACCTCAGCAGTGTACTGGATGTTCTGGAAAACAAGATATTGGAAATTTTTTCAACTAAGTAGTATTTATTGAGTTTACCTTCGGGCTGTTGCTGCACTGAAGGGTGAATTCGGTGATGAAGGTCGTCTTGTAGTGGAAGAATCCGTCGATGGTCGAGAACGACGAATACGAAAACTTTGGCGACTCGCACTTAGCGCAGAGGGCGGAGGCAACAAGGCACAGGGCAACGGCGATCTTCAGCATCTTACCTGCAACGAAAACTTTTAGAAAAGAGGAGGCTAGAGATATTTAAAAGAAATACAAGTAACGGAACGAGTAGCAAAATGTTTTTCGAGAAGCTTTTCGGTAAGCAGTGAAGAGAGCTTCATGATCTTCAGTGGAAACGCTAAGGGTTTGAAAGGAATTCCGAAATAAATCCCAATATTTGTGTCTTCAGTGTTTCGACAACATTCACAACAAAAAATACCAAAAGCCATAACATTCAAATTGCTCAATCAAGAAAAACGATAGCACATAAACTCGATACAAAAACGTCAGAAAAGTGACTTTTCACAAGTGTAGAGGGGTGATTATGAACTTTTCTACCCAACAAACGATAAGCTGACCAAAAAATGTTAAAAATCTGTGATTTTCTCACGAAGTCATTAATTTTCTATCCAGACTTTACGTAAAACAGTCCACACAGTCTTCTTGGAAGCCAGCCATAATTTGCAGTTGTTCCCGGTCGCGTCGAGACCCGTCGGGCAGCAATCCCTCTGCGCCTTTAAACCTCGCTCGTCTCGCTCGCCGCAGAAATCGATTCTTTATCATGTTCTGATGCTTGATTCTTCGTTCATTCTGTGATTCTGTTGAAAAAAGTGATGATAGCAAAATCAAATTACCTGAATTGTCAATTAGCGCTGTGAAATTGCTTGGAACAGCCCGAAAAAGAGATTGTCAGAAAATTGCTAGATTTCAGATATTAAAATGGCTTCCAGCAGTAGTGGACCAGAAGTCAGAATTCACAACGTCTACATGACGAACGTCGAAGAGGAATTCGCGAGGATTCGCGGATTCGTCGAGGTAAATCGAGTGAAAACATACAATTTCCTAGAAAATGCGCAATTCATTGCAGGACTACCCCTACGTGGCAATGGACACGGAATTCCCGGGTGTTGTGGCGACGCCATTGGGAACGTTCCGAAGCAAAGAGGATTTCAACTATCAGCAAGTGTTCTGCAACGTCAATATGTTGAAATTAATACAGGTTCGTCGGAAACAATTCGTTTTCGCTTGAAAAGCAAACAATTTCAGGTTGGATTTGCGATGGTGAATGAAAAAGGCGAATTGCCGCCGACGGGCGATGTTTGGCAGTTCAACTTCAATTTCTCCTTCTCCGAAGATATGTTTTCGCACGAAAGTGTCGAAATGCTCCGGCAAGCTGGTATTGATTTTAATGCTCTGCAGGTTTCCCTTTATTTCGCAGCTCCTCACTGATTTCTCGGTTTTTACAGACAAATGGTATTCCGACAGCAGTGTTCGGCGAGTTTCTGACGACTTCAGGATTGATCACAGATCCTCGGATCACGTGGCTCACTTTCTCTTCCGGATACGACTTCGGATACCTTCTGAAGAGTATCACATTGGGAGACCTGCCAAAAGAGGAGAACTCATTCTTCGCGTGTCACAAAACCCTCTTCCCGACCAGTTTCGACATCAAAATCTTGCTGCGGACACCTAATTGCGCGTCGGCAAAGTTGAAAGGAGGACTTCAGGAGGTGGCCGATCAGTTGGACGTGAAACGGCAAGGTATACGTCATCAGGCTGGTTCAGATGCTCTGCTCACCGCAGCCACGTTCTTCAAGATTAAGAAACAGTTCTTCGGAGACAGCTGGCATCAGGTATCGTACATTTCGAATCAGTTTTAAACTAAAGCACAACTTTCAGATCGCTCCTCTGATCTGCGGTCACATGTTCGGTCTCGGATCGTCTCTTTCTCTGTTCCATTCCTCCAATTCGACATCCCGACTTGGAGAGGACCCGACGAACGGCTTGGGCGGTATTCAGCAGGTCAACGCATAAAACCAACCAGTCAAAGGTGTCTAGAAGTCTGCTGTAAAAGGGACTCAATTTTAACGTTGTTTTAGTTTTTTTTTTGAAAATTCAAGCTTTAAATGTATTTCAATCAAATTGAGCCCTCCTAACGCTACACTTTCGGACATCCTTGCCTTTTTCCATACTCGCCACCATCTGAAACATAGCACTTTTCCTGTAGTCCCACCTTCCTTCACACCCTCTCCAAACCGCCCCAATTGGTCTCTTTTCCTCTCTCGTGTGTCTATTTCTTTGTCGAATTTTGTTGGTCGCATTTCCATCCCCGAATTTCTTACCAAACCCCTCGCTCCCACCAAAAATCACTTTTCTCCCCCTCTTTTGTAAATTTTCTCTGTTTCTCTTCCGTCCCACCGATCCCCTCGTCCCAATTTTGACCACTTCCCATCTCTCACCCATCATTTTCTCTCCCACTCTCCCCGAAAATTTCGAAATTTTCGCTTTTCCAGGTCTTTAGGCAGGCTCCGCCCCGCCCGTTTGATTCTGTGCTCAGTTGAGGGCGGTCTCTGTGTGCTTGTGTGCTGGCTGGCGGCAGCTCAGCACGTGTATCTTTTTATTCCCATTTCCTTCTCTCTATGCCCAAAAAAATTAAAAATAAATCCTTCGAAACGTACAATTCCTTGTTTTTCTACTTGTGTTTGGTCCAACTATCCAAGTTTCCCTTACCTTTACTTTCCAAATCAGATTAAGTTCGAAAATGATCATTTATAGAGTCAAAAATGCCGAGCGGTGGACAAAGAAAACACACGATCTCGAACAAGACGAGGAAAAGGCCCGGAAAGGATCTGGATCAGATCCACGAAGATCTGAAGCCAGAGAAGGCCGCCAAGCTCCTCAACCAAGAGGTAATTTTCTATTTCGCGTCTTTTCCACTGAAAAAAAATTGCAGGTCGACTACGATCTCCCCGGCAACGGCCAGTTCTACTGCATCGAATGCGAGCGTCATTTCATCGACGAAAAGACGCGTCAACTGCATCGGAAGACGAAACTGCACAAGAATCGAGTGAAGACGTTGAAGGAGGTGCCGTACTCGCAAAAGGAGGCCGACGCCGCCGGAGGATCCGGATTCTTCCCGGCCATCACTTTGAAGACTCGCGTGGAACTGCCCAAGGCGCCCGAGCCAGTGAAAGAAGAGGAAGCCGCCAAATAACTGAAATCACTTCCTCTTCTCTTTGTTGAATTTGTTTTGTTTTTGTTGTCATAATTGTTTGATAAATCCGAAAATTTAAAGTTTTGCATCTTTTTTTGCGCACTCCCGCTTGTAACCTTGAGGAAAATTATTTTCACTTTTCAAACGCTATTTTTAAAAAAATGTTGTAAAAAGTCGAAAGGAATGTTAATCACGAAAAAACGGGGAGATGGGAAAATAAAAATAAAAATTATGTCGAACAGGGAGGGGCTATATCATCGGGAGAGTCTACTTCGTGAGCTCTTCGACCTTTTCGGTGAACTTGGTGGCCCCCTCGGCAGTTCCGAATCGGATCATCATCGTCGTCATCTCGGCAATCGAAGTGGGGCACGTCAGACGGATCTTCTCGCCTTTCTCGTCCGCCTTCGTCGCTTTCATCGCTTTGTTGCACAGCGCGTTCAGCCAGACGGTCCCAGTGGTCGTGGCCGCGCGGATCAGCACGCTCTGTTTTCCGTCAGTGTCCTTGATGTGCAGCATTCCGACGCCGAGCTTAGTCCACGCCTTGTCGGCGAACTTGAACACTGATACTCTGAAAACGCAACATTTCGTTCCAGATTTCACAAAAAATTACTCACTTGGAGCTGAGCACCGCATCCGGCTCCTCATTCTCGACCGCTTCGGCCTTGGGCGGCACGTATTCGCCCTCTTCGTCCTCGCGGCCGTCCGTCTTCTGCTGTACCTGGCCGTCCATTGCTTTCTGAGCCAGTCCGGCGAATAGACCGCCTGCGCCCGAACCAAATGTGAGCTTCGGAGTTGAAGCAGTGCTGGAGTCTGCTCCAGAACCAAACGAGAGAGTGGGAACAGTGGAGGTGCCCGTCGCGGAACCAAAAGAAAGAGTCGGAGCTCCGGATGAGGTGGAAGAGCCTCCGAACAAGGAACTTCCGCCACCGAAGGACAGCGGGGCAATCGGCTTCGGAGCGATGGAGGAGGACTCCTCTAGCGGCGATCCGGGTGGTTTTCCGAACAACGACGGCTTCACACTTCCGCCGAAGAGCGACGGTTTTGATGGGCTCTCGGTAGATTCCTTGTTGATCGGTGATCCGAAAGTAAGCTTCGCAGGCGGCTCGTCAGCATTCTTTTCATCCGTTTCCGGCTTCTTCCCGAACGAGAATCCAGTGAATTTCGCAGGCTCTTTGTCTCTGAAATATGTTGCTTATTCCGATTTTCCGAATCTGAAACATACTCTTTTCCGAGGAACGCAAAGAGCGATCCTCCACCGCTGGGAGCGTCGGTGGTCTTGCTCGCGGAGCCCTTCGTCCAGAAATCCTTGCTCGGCTCCGGAAACTTTATAGTCACATCCGGGATTTTTGTGGTCGACGCAGTGCTCTTCTGCTGCTCTGCGGCTCCTGACTTGAAAACGACAGACTCGGATCCTCCGAGTGGTCCTCCGCCACGAATTGCTCGTTTTCTGGCCGCAGCTGGAGCAGGAGCCACCGGCTCACTTGGAGCAGGAGCTGGAGCAGCCTTTACAGCTGGCTTCGAAAAGATCGGAGTTGGAGCATCCTTAGTGATCACAGAAATGTCACTGAAAAGAAAACAATTTACGGTCTGCATGGGAAAGAAGCGGTTACCCGAATTTCGGAAGGGTTGGAGCAGTGGCGGCCGGACTCGAGGCGGCGAAGATCGTCGTATTTGTCGGCTTCGGAGATTCCGCCGCTTTCGAGCCATTGCGTCGATTTGCCTTTGCGAATTTGCGTTGGAACGGAATGGTTGCGGGTTCTGTCGACTTTTCAGTGCGAACAGCAGCCGGCTGGGCTGGAATTTCAGTTGCTTCTTCGTTGTCGCCTACTTTGTACATTGTTCTCAACTGTTTCACGTGCTCCATGTACGATTTCATTGTGCCCGACTGTAAAGTCAATCATTTTTTAAGGGAACAAACTAATCGAAAACTTACAAAGTCATAGTGATTCTTCTCTGTATAGAATCCTTGGAGGACTTTTAGAAATTCGCCGTTTAGAAGGCTCATTTTGTCGCGCAATCGGAACACATTCATTTGTTGCTCAGAAGTGAGCGGAGCACTACCACCGTCCATCACTTACAGCTGCAAAATTAAAGTAACTATGAAGGAAATTCATAAAATTGTGAATGGAATTCGAATCAGTTTAAAACTCGGAAAATCCTACCCCAAAATGTGTAATCAGACGTGAAAGTGTATGCACACTCGGCATCACACTCACCGACAATCTCTTATTTTGCGCGCTTCGCCTCTTTTTGGTCTTTTTGATGGGGTTTTTATGAATTTTCAAGTTTCAATATATTTTCTTTATTTTCAGCTGAAATTTATGATTATTGCAATGAAAAGTTCCCAACTAATCCTTCTCCGTTTAGCAACGATCATTGGCTATCGAAATGTTGAACCTTTTGTTTTATCAATCGTTCTTTGATCAGAAAAACAATGAGAAAAGAGGGAAGAGTTCAAAAACCTGTGACGAATTTGTTGTTTAGTTATTTTTCATGCTGTTTCTGTGACCTATATGAGCGTAAACGACCGATCAATGACTTGTTTACTCTCCAATTATCTCAAGCTCCTTATTCTTTTCAGCCAGAAAATGTTGCGAGTCGCCGTTTCCGCTGCTCTCCGCACTGTCGCCGTTCGATCCGTGACGAAGAGCTCCGTCCAGCAACGGATCTTCACTCCGATGCTCGTCTCCGCTCAAAAACAGACGTTCCAGATCAGAGAATACTCTGCCAAAGTTCGAATTTAAATGAAATCAATCAATGATTGGTGAACATTTCAGGCTCCACTCACAAAGAAAACGTTGGAGGAGCGAATCGTGCTCGTGCTCTCGCTTTACGACAAAATCGATGCGAAGAAACTGACGATGGATTCTGACTTCACGAAAGACTTGGGCCTCGACTCTCTAGACCACGTGGAAGTGGTGATGGCCATCGAGGAAGAATTCGGATTCGAGATCCCAGACGGAGACGCCGATCGCTTCAAGACCCCGAGAGACATCTTCCAGTACATTGCTGACAAGGAGGACGTCTTCGAGTAGAATCTTCTCCTTTTCTCTCTGTTAGGTGTAGAATTCTCCACTCTCTTATCGTTTGATTTTTTCTCGTTATTCTCATTTTTTCGCGCTGAGCAGGTGAAATAATTATAAAATTATATGTCCAAAAACACTGTTGTCTATCTGATTCCAAAGGAAGTTGCCCCTTTATCCAATACCTTTCCCACTTTGTCAAAGTTACAAAAATAGGCGCAGTTTATTTGAAGTGCATGTTCGACCCGATGAAATGGTTTGGTCGAGGTCCGTATCAGCAAGTGGGCGATTCTGACGATCAAATCGAAGTTGATCAGATCTCATTCACAAGTTCTTGCTCATCTGGAGAGCACGAAGGATACGTGACCCCCAAGGACACGCCCACGGCTCCTGGAAGACCGCTCGATCCTCCGAATGATCTCATTTCATTCGAAGACACCGACGTCATGATCCCAGGTGGACAAAACTACGGTTTATCGTTGAAACCTCTAGTTCAGGAACGTCGGAGAACTCGATTCTCTCTTCGGCAGACAGTCCGATCCTTCCGTCTTCTTCGTCCGCATTCCCCTCCTCTTTCCCTCTCCCTCAATTCTCACCCAATACTCTGAAAGAAAGCACAATCGTTCGTAATTCAATATTCTGGTTCAACGAGTCGGAAGTGGACGCGTCCAAACTGGTGCTTCCGATTTCGAACCGAGGAAGAGTGTGTCGATTTGATCACGACGTGGACGACAATCAGTTGGAGACAATGTGCCGGACACTGCAGATCTCAATTGGCCTGTGCGAACGGTCCCGATGGCTGAACCACTTGGCCAAGGATCCAGTGATGTCTGCGCTGGTTCAAGAGCTCGATGAGGACTTTCCGGGGCCTTCGACGTCTTCGTCCGAATTTACAGAGAATCCTGATGAAGACGCGGACGAGGAACATCTGCAAAACGGTCGGTCGATCGAAATCCCTTTCCAACGCCCGCCCGCCTCTTCCTTCTCTTCCTCTTGCACTGGATCTTTCCAGACTTTTGTCTGTACTGGCGATCGTCGAGAAACGACCGGAATCCTGGACGATACGGTTTTGGTCCAGACACCAACGAATCCAGGATTCGCGCGAACGATGGTGCCGAAAAGGCGAGGAATTCAGGGAGTTGAGATACGACGGAGGGTGAACGAGACACCGTCGGCCGTCTGTTCGGCCATCATTCGACAGGCGGTTCAGAAAGACGAACCGGTCGACAGAAGGATGGTCGAGTGGATGAGAGGCTTCGCAGAGGTCGACACGTGGATTCAGGAGGTGGCTCCGGCGTCCCGCAAGCACGACAAGTACTCGTTCGAAGTGCCCGTTCTGGCCGAAGACTGGTGCCTCGTCGTGCACAAACAGCTGCCGCTCCGTCAAGGACTCGAAGCCCAGCAATGGAAGTGCGCCGCCTGTCGCCAGTCACTCCACGCCACAAATCTGTCCGAGAGGGACTCTTGTCCCCGCTTCTGCGACTACTTCGGCCTCTTCTTCTGCACTCTCTGTCATGGAAACGAAAAGTCGATTATTCCGGCGAGAGTGCTCACTCAATGGTCATTTACGGAGCACGGAGTCTCGGATAGAGCCATGCGCTTCTTGAGATCTGTTCGCGAGACACCCGTCTTCAAAATGAGGGAGTTGTCGATGGATTTAGTGAAGAAAAACAAGGCACTGAGGGCCGTGATCGAGTTGAGACCCAAATTGAAGCACATGGAAGCATTCATTAAGGTTTGAGAGGCTTAAAATCGTTTCAATCTCATCGTCACTGATTCTAATTCCAGGTCTGCGTGGACGCCTCCTCCCAAGTATTCGAGTTCGGAAATCTGAGCACAATGTTTGCGAGTCTCGATCGATACCTCCTAGAAACGGACGATCTTTTTTCTCTGAATGACTTGCTCAGAATCTATAATAAGGTTTTCAAAAACATTCGAAGAACCATCTGAATCTACAAATTTAGGATCTAATAAACCTTCTGGAGCCGCTCGCCAAACGGGCCCGCGAGCACATTCTCAACTGCAAACGCTGTCGTCTCCAGGCGCCCGTCTGCGTCCGCTGCAACGACATGACGGACCGTCTGTTCCCCTTCGAAGAACGGGCGATCTCCAGATGCGACGGATGCGGACACTTGTCCCACGCGCCGAAGTGTCCGAGAAGAGACGTTCCGAAAGACACGCACTGCCCGAAATGCGCCAGGATCAAGCCACGATCACGATCATCTCGCCTTATTGGAGACGTCGTCTGAGTGCCTTTTTTTTTATAAAAAAGAACCCTCTTTAAATAATTATTTGTACTTAATTCTCGGTCATTGTTCCGCAGCTTTCTCCCCTCCTTCCACCGCTTTCATTCATGCTTCAACCCAAATTTTCACTTTTTCTAAATCCCAAGTACCTCGTGCCTTGCTCCACACCCTGTGATACATGTTGTGCGAACGAATATCAAAAACAAACACAAAACTGTGTAATGTTCATAAATATTTGTAAGTCTATTCACCTTTTTTCAACTAATTTTGTTCTTCGGGCAATCACTCCGATTTACTTTTGCCTGTAAATTCATATTTTCAATTGGAAACAAAAAAATATATTTTCATTGTACAGAGCAAAATGCGAAGTTCCACCGAAACTCTGCAATTGGTAAGTGATTAAATAAAACATGGAGACAGATCCGCAGAAATTCGTTTTGATCAACCTCGGTATCGAACGTAAACCTGCCAAGTTTTGGTTTTTTTTTACTTTTCCGCGGAGAAAAAACAACATTTTGTTCGTTTCAACTTTCAACAACGCTAGCCTTATGCAACGATAGAAGAGAAGTTGCGGACTTTTACCGAGTAGGCACAATTTCATGGTTGAACGGTTTGCAGCTCCTGCCCAGCCACACGCTTATCCGGCTCAATTTCCGACGGGCATTTTCCAGACGGGCCATTTCAACATGCTCAATGTGCCGATCGGAATCTACCCTGTGACCTTCGACGATCACCAGCAAGACGCGAAATCGTTTCCCGAACGCTTACTTCCTCAACGCTTAATGGAGAAGTTCAAAACCGTCGAAACTGAGTTTGAAAGTGAGATTTTGCTACTGCTCTTTGTGGGAAAACAGAACCCAAAAAATGTTTTCAGATCCGCTTATCATGCAGAAACTGAAATGGCGTCGCCCTGATGATTTCTATCAAAACGAGCGGAACCAGCGAAACGGAGAAACGAGAAAGCCGACCCCATCCGAGTGTTTCGAGCGCGTTGCACTCTTTCCTGTAGAGCAAGAAGAAGAAGAGCCAGGAGAGGAAGAGCCGCAGCCTGCAGATAATGCGAAGCATGTATTTATGTCATTTACTATCCTAACTTTTTCAGTCCTCCTATTTTGCCTATACTTTTGCATCATATTTCATTATTATTCTCGACTCCGATTGTGAAAGTAAACTATTGCAATTCTGACGCTTAGATTGATACGATTGTTTGGTTACAACCCCAACTTTTATTTATCAAACATTGCTCAATTTAGAAGTGTTTTATTGGCACCCTAAAATTCTGGCGATGGCGCTCTATCGCGAACTTTTTCAATTTAGTGCTGAGAGCTGTGGAGCGCGGTTGCCAGACCTCTGCGGGAGCAGTTTCTTTAATTCTCAGACAAATGGATCTTCTGGTGTTCGACGCGAAAAAGGGCAATCGAAGGGGAAAAGCGTGGACTCCAGTCGCACTGGACAAAAAAGACGTGAGCGAAATGCTCGGCGAACGGAAGATTGAAGCGTTTTTAGTAAGCTTTTATTGGCGAAAAGTGGAATATTGAGCAATTCAGAACGGAGGACTCGTTCAAATACTCGACGAACAAGTGGCCGAAATCCTTTATGAAATGGCCGGAATCGGCGAATGGCTGGAAGATGGGCGGGAAGAGAGCACTTCTGTGAGCAGAACTTGCTTCGGAGCACAGAATGACGTGGAATTGGAAGAGCTGAGTGGCTCTAATTGGGCAGGTATACAAAAAGCTCTTTTGTCGGGCGAATTTCCTACTTTCAGACTTGTCCCCAGTGCTGAATATTCTCGTGCTCACCCCTGAAGAGACGATCCTTTTAGCAGTGGATTGGCAGATTCTGGAGCTGAAAAAAGGAAAAATGCCTATTCCACGAGAAGATATTTGGCTGAAAATGAGCCATTTATCTGAAAATCCTGATAATTTTGGAAAATCTTTCGCAGTTTTCCGATTTTTACGCGAAAATGGATGGATTGTAAGGAGTGGCCACACATTCGGATGCGATTTTTGTAAGCCGGAACCCAAAACTCTAGGAGATTGAGTACTTTTTCAGTGATTTACTGCCTCGGCGCACAGCAATTTCACTCGTCCGCCGGCGTTCTGATCTCCGACGAAATAGATCCGATCCGCCTTCTGACGCTCACCCGGATTCTGGCGCACAACAAGAAGGCGCTGGTGCTGGCGACGTGCGGAGAAGCGAAGACGTTCGAGGATTCGGTGGCAGCAAAAGTGGAGGTAGTGACATCGAAAACGTACTTTTTGGAAAGGGACGTCGCCCAGATATCGAATCGGAAGAACGAAGTGTACGAAGTGAAAACGGAGACTTTGATTGATTAAATAAAATGAACTGTGGATACTGACCTTTTTTATTTTATCGAAATTGTTTGTTCAATCAGTTTGTATACCTAAAAACACCCCTGTCTGTTCTGACCTATTTTTCATGTTTCCTTTTGGTCGCTGCCAATTTCATCGATTGGTCATGACCGAAAATGCTTGTTTTTTTTGTTATTCGTTCTTTAGTCTATTGAAATTGAAAAATCAAATCAGTTAAATTTTAATTTCAGTCAATTTCAATTCACATAATCCGACCATTTCAACGTCTTCGCAATGGGAAATGTAAGGCTGTTTTTCATGTTCACACTTTCTTTGTCAACTTAAGCATGCTTAAACAACACAAAAGTTGTGATAAAATCGAGTCGTTTCTCTTTTCTGTAGGCCTTCTGGACGACGACGACGCCGTTCTCGTCGTGGTCCCCGCCGCAACGGCTGTTTGCTTTAATCTGGCCTGCTTTTGTCCTCTACCTCATTCTGAAAATCTTGGTTGAGAAGGTACTTTAGTTGTTGTTTTGTATTGATTTGCAACTGTTATTGTGTTTAGTCTTGACCCAAATTCCACTTTTTCTGGATTTCTTCGTCAACTTCGCTCTAGTGAATTTGTTTTCTTTTTCCAAGAAACACAACTCCTTATCACTCAATTTTTGTTCAATTCCCTCCCCATTGAAGCTCTAACCGAACTGAATTTCCAGATGTGGGGGAAAGACGAAGCGGTTCAACAAATGCGTACCCGACGAGCTCAAGGCTTTGCTCAATTTGAAACGGATTCCGATCCGTCGAATCTCGTGGGAAATGCCCGAATCGTCGGCGGAAACGAATCGGCTGACCAGATTCGCGACACCTTCAAAAGCATCCTGACACTGGATCTTGAGAGCTTGAGAAGTAAACTTAAAGTGAATCTTGCAAATCAACGGAACTGTCTATTTTCAGAGTCGTTGCAGGAAGAGAAGTTCAATGCGTACACAGTTCTGTGTGCGTACGTCTGGAGGGCAATGAAAATCAACAAGGAGATCAATGCGATCACAGAAGTGATTCGCGAGGCGTTCGACTATGCGGAGCAGCTGGATTCCGAGTATTACCGTACTGAAAAGCAGAAAAAGCCGTTGTATGGCTTGCCGTTTTCGGTGAAAAGCAATTTCTTCGTTAGTTTCATTCGAGCTAGTTGCCCCTAGCAAGTTCTGGATATTTCAGATGAAAGGCTACGACGTGACTTGCGGCTTGGCTAAACTTCTCAACCAACCAAAAGAGACCACTTGCCCGTTCGTCCTGCACCTTCAAGAGCTTGGCGCGGTCCCATTCGTCCTCACCAATGTCCCACAGGGTCTTCTCTCGTATGTCAGCTCTAATCCGCTCTATGGGACCACCAAGAATCCATGGGATTTGACCCGCACACCCGGAGGATCTTCGGGCGGAGAAGCTGCTCTTCTGGCAGCCGGAGGTGCTGCATTCGGAATCGGAAGCGACTTGGCCGGAAGTCTGCGAATCCCGGCTGCCTTCTGCGGACTGGTCACTCTGAAACCGACCCAGGCGAGATTCGAAGTCACTGACACGCACGGAGGCCTGCCAGGACGTGGAAGACTCGGATTGAGCTTCGGATTCTACACGAAGAACGTGAAGGAACAGGAGGACTTGCTCAAACTTATTATCGGATCTCCCGATTACTTTGATCTGGTCCCACTCACGCGGACGGTCCCTCTCAAGTCTGTAGATCAGAATGCTAAGAAGCCGGTCATCGGATACTTCCTGGACGACGGATTCACTCCAGTGGTGCCATCGAATCGCAGAGCAGTCCGGGAGACTGTCAATCGGCTCGAGAAGAAGGGATTCGAGTGCAAAGAGTTTAAACTTCAGGACATTGACCCCGAATTCCAGCCGTTTGTGGTCGCGAACATGCTGTTCAGAGTATGAATCTCGAACAAATGAACTAATAGTATCCGTTTTTACAGAACATAATGCCCGACAACGCAGCCTACATGGCGGAGATGTACGGCGGAGAAGACTACGATCAGTACATGAAGCTCTTCATCCGTCTGATCCGTTACAAACAGAATTTCCTATTCCGCTTCTTCGCCAACTACTTCGCAATGCCACTTGCCAATCTTCTGCTCTCGGAACGACTCGCTTGTCTCGGAAATGCGAGCAACTCGGGACTGGAGGCGGCGCGACAGAATCAGGAAAACACGGACATTTACAAGTTGAAATGGATAAGATATTGGAAGAAACTGGGCATTGACGCCCTTATCTGTCCGTCGTTCATCAGTAAGTTTCCTCTGAATTCAACTGAACTTCTTCCTTATTTCCTCCTTTCCAGCACCTGCTCAACCATTCGAATATCCCGCTCAACTGTCGACTGGCGCCTTCCTCACCGGACTCTTCAACCTGCTCGACGTGCCCGCCGGAGTCGTCCCAGTGTCCCCAGTCACTTCCGAAGACACCGCCAACCTTCTAAGAGACTCTGGCACTTACGGCTTCCCGACCCTTGGAGATGTTCTTTTAAAGAAGCAGAGAGACGCCGCAAAAGGATCGGAAGGTCTGCCGAACGCTGTGCAAGTCATCGCGTTGCCGAACGACGAAGAGACTGTTCTTCAAGTCATGAAGCTCGTCGAAGAGGTCACTGATGGAGTGGAGAAGCTCGAGTGGAAGCTTGATGAGGATGAGTCCTCTGAGAGCGGAACGGCTACGGAAAAGACAGCTCTCGGCGGAAAGTCGGATCAGAATCGTAGCCATCACTGCTTCAGACGCGTCCCGGCCAAACAGTAATCCATTCCTCCTTTCTTTTTCTCACTATTATTACTCTTATTTATTCGTCTCTAAAAGCACTATCTGTAATTATTCTGTAAATAAACAGCTCGAATGATATCATTTTCCGCCCGAACGTGATCTTTAACTGGTCATTTCCGGTTGTCATTTCATTTTGCATCGAAATGCCGGACAACGACGAGCGATCAGTGGAGATTGGCGGCATTGTCGGAAAAAGATATAAAGTGAGTGGCCTAGAAATTGCACGACAATCACAATAGAGCAGGTAATCTCGAAACTGGGAGAAGGCGGAATGGGAAAAGTGTTCAAAGTGGAGGACGTCGAGGCGAAAGGCACGTTCTACGCGCTCAAAATGGAGAAGAACAACGTGGATTGGACGAATGTGCTCAAATTGGAAGTGCAGGTGACTTAGAAGCCCCCGGGCCGCGGCCTAACTTCCCAAACCCGCCAGGTTCTGTCCCAATTGGCGTCGAAATCACACGTGGCAAAGTGCATCGCGAGTGGCAAACGAACAACGTTCCAGTACATGGTGATGACGTTGCTCGGCGAGAGTCTCGAGTCGATTCTAGAGTAAGCTAGATGAAGATGGCTCTGGAAAAGAAACGCTCGGCCACGATGCTTTCAGTAAACATCAATTTCTGAACGTCTCGAGTCAAATGCGCGTCGGCATCTGCATTCTGTTCGGTATCAAGCAAATTCATGATGTGTTCATCGGCCACGGCGAGCATTTTTTTAAAAGACTTTTTTACAGATTGGATACCTGCATCGGGATCTGAAACCGGCCAATGTGGCCCTCGGACATGTCAGTAGAATCAGGCCTTCCTTCATCTAATCAATAAGTTTCCAGAAAGGCTCTGCCGACGAGCGCTTCTTTCTGATCTTCGATTTTGGTCTCGCGCGTCAGTACATAACCGACGAGAAGAAAATGAGACGGCCCCGCGCGAAGATGTCATTTCGTGGGACCGCCCGTTACTGCTCGATCGCCATGCACGACAACTACGAGCAAGGAAGGGTGGACGACCTGTGGGCCCTCGTCTACTTGCTCGCGGACATCCGGGCTCGGCTGCCTTGGGACAAAGAGAGCGACGTGGAAAAGATCGGAGACATCAAGAAGACCGCTTCGGACGAGTTGCTCTTCTTGAAAAGTCCTCTTCAAATGCTGGAATTCGTGAGAATCATTCGGAACACTCACTTCTACGACCATCCAGACTACGAGAAGCTGTTTAAACTGATGGAAGACGTGATGAAAAAGGCGGAGTACAAGTGGTCGGACCCGTATCATTGGGAGCCGGAGAAGAAGAAGAAGAAGGAGGCAAAGTCGCCGGGAATGATCGAGGGGTTGATCACCTCGTTGAAGAGCACAAAAAAGAAATGTTCGTTTGAGAGACGGAGCTGAATTTGGGTGAATAACCTAATAATTTCAGCTGGAACCGCTCTCACTCCAAAAGGAATGTCTCCGACTGGAACCATTGAGGAGCACTCCGAAGCGCCGTACTTCACTGCCGACGATTTCAAGAGCAACCCGATCGGGTTCTGAATAGAACTTTTCTATGATAAAGATATCTTGAGAGAGAGAGACCACAGCATACCGTACTGCTAATCCAAGTTCAAGTATCTCGGCTGTCCGTAGAGATATCAAAAAGTCGTCAACTGATAAAATATACATCATTTTGTCGCGAGCATTTTATTAGTTGACACATTTGTTATATCTCCACTGGCAACTGAGATATATTGGTGTTAATGAACAATACACTATTTACGGTTACAAAAAAGCGAATAAAATATGTTTATTCACACAAATGAGTCGATCTGAGAGCGGGTCAGTTCAGCAGTCGAGTGCTTTTTGTACATGGGAATGAGAAGGAAACGGGCTGATCACCACGTGGTCACAATCTCCGTGTCGTCGGGAATGTCGAAGAGTTCGTCGAGGATCGGATGATCGGAGAGCCGCACGAGACGGAGCGCCGACTTTTGTTCGCCGAGATCCGGCAGCGCCTGCCAGCGCCGGTTGCGCAGATCGAAGCGCTCGGCCTCTTTGCTCGTCGCCTGGCCGTCGAATCCTCCGGCCACGTAGATCGAGTAGCTGTCCATGTGGCACGCGCCAAAGTTGGATCTTCCCGTGTGCATCACCGGAACCGGATGCCAGATTCCTTCGCGGAGATCGAACATTTCCGACGTGTCGAGACGTCGCGATCCGTTGAATCCGCCAATGACCATGGCGACGTTGTCGGTGATGGAGACCGCCGAACAGCCAGTACGACGAGTGCGCATGTTCGACGAGAGTGGCATCCTGGGATTGAGGGGGAGAGATTGGATTATAGTTGTGAGGCACGGTACTCACCAGATATTCCCAATGGGATCGTAGATCTCTCCGTTGCCGTGCAGGTGTCTTCCGTCGAATCCGCCGACGGACATCACCTGATTGTTGATGGTGAGCACTGCTCCGTCGGATCTCTGCCATTTCATGTCGGCCAGCTCCGTCCATTTGTCCGTCGTGTGATCGTATACTTCTGCGCTTCTCAGACGGCTGATTCCGTTCATTCTGCAATCATTTCAACTCGTCCTCCCCCGCCCTCCTTCCGTCTCTCTTTCGTACCCTCCACACGCGTAGATCAGCTCCTTTCCGTACGAGTCTTTGGTCGTCGTTCCCGTCATGTAGCACCTTTTGTCGTGCATGTTCATCCCCTTCATCCACTTTTTGGTATTCAAATCGAAAACCGTCGTGGTCTGGTATTGAGTGAGTCCGTTGAATCCTCCGTAGACGACGAGTTTGTTCTCGACCAAACTGATACCATTGTACGCGCGACGGATGTCCGGACTGCAAGTAATACGGTAGATACGGTAGCGAACAGAAGGCGACGTACACATCAAAATTGAACTTGCACGTCTGCCAGCGGTCACTGCGACTATTGAATATCTCGATCTTTTGGGCGACTCCCCGACTTGCCCATCCACCTGAAAAGAAAAGACTGAAAAGAAGCACTTCCAATCAACTGACCAAACGAGATGACGCCGCTGACGGGCTGTCTCACTCGGATCACTTCGTATTGGCCGGCGTCGGGCATCGGACGGCGAGCAAAGTTCCGCTCAGCGAACTCGACGATTCGGTCGGATTCGAGGGGCGAGTTGTGCTGGATCCACTGCGAAATCACCGTCTTCTCGTCCTCGCTCCTCAGATTCAAGTGTTTGTCGGTGAGCAATCCAATGATCTCGTTCTCCTTCAGTGTCAGATAGACTTTTGTGACGAACATCTGAACGTGAAATTGCTTCTTGATTCGGGGAACGCCTCCCTGAAAATACCGTTTGAAACTGTCGGATCATTGCTCGCCACACGCGGAAAGCCAGCGAAGTGTGGTAGAGAAGAGCGAGGCGGAAGATTTTGATGATGTCTGAAATGGGCCTCGCATTGGAACACGCTACGATTGCCTTACTTTCATGGGTGAGATTGTCGCAGAGGATGTCGGTGATGTAGTCGAGAGCAATGTCCATCTGCAGGTAGGCGGCCGGTTCCAGCAGCTCCACGGCTCTTTGCAAATTGATTTCCGGCTTGATGCCTTGCTCGAAGGCTCGGGGAATCGTGAGAAGGAGATGAAGATCGGGACCGGAGATCAGACGGATTCTGGAATTGTGTCGATGGAACACCGTACCGTGACCGCTTGCGAACCTGTGAACGGGATCTTTGGAGTCGCGGAAGTCGGAGGTGAAAAGAAGGCGGAAGTAGGTTGAGTAGAAGGAAAGGAGACTCCGTTCGACGGTAAACTCCTGGTTGTTCCTCAGAATCAGAGTTACCGTCGGACTGAGATCTTCTGAAGCGGTGAGTTCGTGAGCAAATTTCACTTTCTTCGCCGGCGATTCTTCGAACGAGGAGTTGTAGTCGATGGCGGTGCGCGGGGCCGGACTTGTCGCCAGCTGGTATTCTGATGTGTCACTTTGTTCCATCTGAAACTTTTATTATCGATCCTGGAGTGCGGCAAGTTCTCCAGAGGGAGCAAAAAAAGAACGTACCGTTCGAAAAATCCGGCTAGAAATAAAAATTGAAATGGAAGAGATTGGGGAAGAGTTAGCAATCGAGTCGAAATGAGTTTCACTTGCGAAAATAATGACGGCGAAATTGGAGTTCTCGAGAGAAGGGAAAGTTCTGCGAAATGGTCACGTGGACGGTTTCGACGATAAGAAGGGTTTTATGACGTGGAAAAAACAGAATCTACCGTATCAATTGATTCGTCTGAATTGTCCGGTGATTCTGGAATAAGTGTACGCACAAAAAGTGTGTCAACAAGACATCGAGATACCATATAACGTTTTCTGGAGCGTCTGTGCTCCATCAGCAATTGCATACACATGAGTCATTGAGAAGATGATTCTAATTGAATTCCTCCGTGTTTGTCCGCTTTTCCCCTTATCACCAGTCGATTGCGGTCAGTTGCTCTGGAACCTCCGTTCGCCTCAATTTCCCATGTTTTGTGCGACTCTCAAATGTGTGCTCGGCCACACCTCCCGCCTCGGTTCCAATCTGTCAAAACGAGAGAGCGGCGGAGAAGAAGAGACGCGGAGAGACTGGCTGCATAATAAATATGTACTCTTTCTTCGCCTCTCACTTTCCTCACCACTTCTTTTCGCCTTCTTTCTTCTTCTTCTTCTTCTCCTTATCACTGAGAGCGAGAGAGTTGATGACTGTTTTAAGTACTGGATGGACGGTGCTTGAGCTGTGTTATTGTTGTTTTCATCAGGTTTAAATCTGATTAATTCTATTCGTGAGTACCGTAAAACTGTAATTTAACAATACCGATTATTCAAAACGATGTATCTCATTTGCCTGTAGAAATATCGAAATGTTATCAACTGACAAACTGTACACAATATCTTTATGAACAATTTCTTAGTGAACAACATTATGGTATCTCTACTGGCAGCTGAGACACATCGTCTTGAAAGAACGGTATTTCCTTTTGTAGCCTTTTTGTACATATGACTTCAGATTCACCCGTTTTCTGTATCATTTCTGTTCTTTCCAAGGTCCGACGTTCATATCTTGTTAATTATGGATATTTTATACGTGGTCTCGAAGAAATGAGGGACCTAAAAAAGGAGCTTAGGAAGTTCCAGGAAGCAAAAGTGATGTCCAACATGTTTCCGTTTCGAATGTTATACCGGAAGTGCTAACTTTACAATATGAAAGTTACAAGACAATTTGAGTATCTTGTAATTAACACAACAATATTCTAAGACTCCTTGTAACAATCGAAACGCAATTGGCCCCGTGAGCATTTCGAAAAGTTGGCAAAGTTTGGGATTCTGTGTGGACACACTTGCAATCCAAGTCCGTTTCACGTGTTCGCCCCGTCAAGTGCTCTGTTTCTCGGCCGTGCGAGTGAGTGTGTGTGCATATTGTATTTCACACGGACAATTGCATGATTGTCCGTCCGTTTCGCCAAGTCCAGAGCGAGGGGGGGGGGGGCTAGCTGCCCGATTCCACCACTTCAAACTGTTCGTTTCTCTCCCGCCAAACGGCCGCTAATAGACTCTTTCTCTTTCTCTCTCTCTCTCTCTCTCTCTTTCTCTCTCTTTCGTTTTCCCATCATTCTGAAACATACAATCTTTTCTCGTTTTCGGTGCGTTTTTTGCGTTGAAGTGGCGGTGTGATGATGAAGTAGATGTCTAGCTAGTTTAAGAGGAATCGAAGATGTTTGTGTAGGCGGGAGGGGAGGGGGATCTAAACATAGAAACATTGAAACCGTGTTGCAAGTAGGTCAGAACACGAATTGAAACACACGAAAAAGGATTGGCAAACTCAAAGATCCACAATAGCAGTTGTTGTCTGTCCCCCTCCCTCCGCCTTCGGGTATCTTATCAAATGTACCGACTCCTCTCGCTTCTTATCAGTTCCTTTCCGTTGTTACCTGCTCTTTCTCTCCCTCTTTCTCCCTTCACCGCCCACTTTTTGTTGGTTACATTTGAGTTAGTTTTGCAGATGAAAATATGAAATCGAAGAGTGGCGGCGGATTGTTTGGCATCTTCAAAAAGGTAAGAGCAAAAATGAGCTGAAATTTTGTAAATTCTTGTGCGAAAGTTACGAAATTCGGTGAAGTTTCTGATAACGGGTCTCGCCACGCCACGAACGAACTTTTCTGTTCAACTTTTGGCATAGTTGGATCATTCGATCGGAACCAAACTTTGCAAGCTTCTTGGATTATCTGGTCCCGAGATGTGTTGAGCAGAGGCCGAAAAGTCCAGGTTCTTGCGATTATGTATGCTTTTTCGGGCTCTGGGCCAAAACTTGGACCCAGGGTACTTTCATACAAAGTTAAGAACTTAGCAACGTTTGGTTCCGATCGGAATAATCCAACTATGTATGCCAAAATGATCAAAGCCTGGGCCGATTGAGACATTTCCTCGGTATCTGAAAACCCTCATAATTTCAGAAGACGACGGCGGCTCCGGCAGCGCCAGCAGCGCCAGCTCCTTCTCCTCCAAACAGGTTTGTGTCTATGCCAAAGCGCCGCCCCTTTTTGGATAAAGCTATTCCTCAGTTTTCCATGTGTCAACAGTCATTTTCTGCTGCTAGTGCTGCTGCTACTGTCCACTTTTCCAATCTCAATTCGATTCCATTTCCGTTTTCACATCTCCTTCTTCTCCTTCTCCCCCCACTTCCCCGTTCAACCACTCTTATGTGAAAAGTGATCGTAAATCGGGAAAAACGAATCGAATTGGAGTTTATTAGTTGTGTCCGAATGAAATTGGGTGACGATGATGATGATAGAATCGATTCGGGCGCCAGATAGGTAACACCGAAGTGACGTGGCACTCGGTGATAACGGCGGAGAGAATGAGGAACGGGCGGTGCACGGCTGGAAGGGCAGTGAGGAATCATTAGGAAGAGACGTAAATAGATCCAATTTGTGCTAGTTTGAACAACTGTATTTCAGTGAAAACTCTGTGAAAGTTAAGATTTTCATACCATTATTCTTCGAGGAACACCAAAAAGTCAACTCTGGAGCCAGTTGTGTGACGTGGCTTCTTCTAATTTCCAAAAACTTTTTGCAAATGCCAAAGTGTCAAATGTTTGCTGTTTGCACAGCTGTGTCCTCCTTCTCCCGCTGTAGTTCCACACCGTTCTCGTTCGTTTCGCCGTATCCAGTCTGTGACGTGGCAAGTGACCACAAGCGGTTTCACTTTTTGGTTAAACGATGATACTCGTATAATAGTGGTAGTAGTGGTAATTATGCAACACTATAATAGCACTCTTACTCATCGCCCCCCGCCGTTTCGTACAGTTCCACTCTCACGCAATTCCATGCTGTTTCGTTTGGAAAAGAGAAAGGGAGAGAGAGAGAGAGAGAGATGATTGTGCCGTGAATAATAGAAACGATTGCAGAAGTACTGAAAGTACGTCAAGAGAAGAGAATTCGTCCGTGGCGACCACAACAGAGTCGGCCACGTCTTCTGGTTTCCCAGCTCCCGCCATGCCACCGGTCAGTTTCCAATCGATTCTATTCAAAACGATCTATCGTAGCTGTCTGTGGAGATATCAAAAAGTTGTCAACTGATAAAATGTACACAATATCTTAGTTGAAAACTTTGTGATATCTCTTCAGGTAGCCGTCTTGAAGCCGTATTGAAGTTGATCTTATTTCAGAGAAAAGGAAGCATCGCCCAGACGAGCGTGATCCATTATTCTCCGCCGGGAACAGTCCGTGCCTCTTTTCCACCTTCTGCCACGTCATCTGTGGTCTCTGAAGACTCTGATGAGAATGTGGTGGTCGTTACGAGGAAGAGCAACATTGTACTGGAAGATGAGGAATCGTGAGCCCTTTCCGATTCATTCTACCCTTACGCTTTCTCGTTCCAGAGTGATTTCCACGCCCGTCAGCCAGTACGACGAGTGTCCCATAGTCGAGAAGCCGCGGAAAAAACGGGCGGCCCCTCTACCACCACCACCGCCAGCTTCTGCTCGAACTCCAACTTCTCCGATCTCTCCTCCTCCACACCATCGCCAGTTCTCACAAGTCTCCCGAACGTCATCCGAATTCGCTCCTCCGCCACTTCCACCTCATCAGCAGCAGAACGGAGAAATCAATGGGAACGGAATGGACTACGAAGAAATGCTGAAGAATTTGCAGACCAAGTTCGAACAGTGGCACGTGGTGAGATTGGAGGACGGCGGATCGATCCGAGAGGAGCGGATCAAGGCGCAAGTGCTGAGGGAGCACGAGAAACTGCGGATACTTCTGGAAAATGAGCTGCTTCCGGGGTCCAAGAATGGCACCGCGAGTTACAGTAACAACAACAATATCAAGAAGCAGCTGCCACTCAAAATCCCTCAGTACGGTAACATCTACAAACCGTCGAGTCCGTCGCCCCCTCGTGCGGTTCCCGGAGGTACCGTATATCAGAAGATGAAGGCGAATCCGGCTCCCGTGAGGTACTGTACCTTCTCTTTGCGCCTTTCGAAACGCTCATGTTACAGGGAGAAGCCGTCGCCGCCTGCCACGTCATCATCATTCTCCCCGAAAAGCACGATGGATGAGAATCGAAATGAGATTCAAAAGGTTCAGACGCCGAACACTGTAAGTCGAGAAATGCAGTTCAATTGCTATTCTCATAGAATTCAGGCGGCCGTTGATCGTTTGCGACGAGAAGTTGAGGAGCAGAGAGAGCGAGAGAAGGAGGTCAAACAGTACCGTAATCCGAAGAGTTTGGAGCGGAAGGAGCAGATTACTGTAGTGACGTCACCGGAGCCGAAGAGGAAGGAGAAGCGGACACCGCCCAAGCCACCCACACCTCAGAAATCCCCGATTTCTCCGGTTTCTCCGGTCTCACCCGGTCCACGAATGGTCGAGTACAAACCGATGAAAGCACGTCTTCAGTCCGTGGATTCTGAAGAAGTGGCTCCGCCCATTCCGAAGACGCCGCCTCCGAAACTTGCAGAGTACAGGAAAGAGCAGCAGCCGCGAATGCCGACCGTACATCAGAATGGATACGTTCGATTGCAAGTGGGAAAGAAGGCGCCGGCTCCTGCTCCTTCTCCGAGCTCCGATGCTCCGAGAGCTCCAGCTCACGTGTACACCGGCCCCGAGTACGCTTCGTCTCCAAAACTGATGCGGAAGGTTGCTCCGGCTCCCGCTCCGGCTCCAGAAGCTCAAATGCCAAGGAAAGTGTACGCGACAACACCCGTCAGGGAAGAAATCGTGTACCAGAAGCCGAGCTCTCAAGCCCATCCTCAAGCTACCGTATCGCAGTCACCGTACCAAAAGGGAATGCTTTCTGCCACGTCGCCAAACAAGACATCAAGTACAGTATTCCCGCCAAAGACGCCTTCGCCGATGATGACGAGAGCCATGTCCACGGAGGAAAAGCCGAGGAGTACGGTACCTGCTGCCACGTCATCAATGATCCGAACGATTTCAACGGAGAACAAGTCGACTACAGTAATCCAGTCGCCAATTTATCAAAAGCTGCCGCAGAAAGACGAGGGACACTACAAGAAGTCTATTATTTCGGCGACCTCTTCTCCAGCCGACTACCGCAAGATTCCCCCGGTTCAGAAGCCGACCACTGCTACGGTTTCCGCCACGTCACCACCATATCCTAAGGGCACAGGACCGACAGTAATAACGATTCCGCCGGTTGAGAGGACGCCACAAGCGACGAGAAGCGCCCCGAGGGTTCAGAAGCCACCGTCGACAGAAGGTTTCGACATTTCGGATATTCTCAAAGGACCCCGACTGCGGAAAGTCGGAATGCCAACCGAGAAATCGGGAATATCACTCGGGAAAGTGGTGGATACGGTAGCAGCAGACGCCCCGGCTCCCAGCACGAACCGCCCGTCTTCGGTGCCCCCTGCCGCCTCCCCCGCCGCCCCCGCCAGCGCCGATTGCTCCGAAAAATATGGATCTTCGCGATTCTCTGATGAGCGAAATTCGAGAAGCGGGACGATTACGAGCCGCCCGTGCGTCCCAAAATGCTTAAACTTAACACTTATTTTACTGGTTTTACCTCTAGCCCGTCTATTTGAAATTTTGTGAAGAAACGAATAAAATAAAAAGGTTATTGTGAAACTGTGTCGAATTTCTCATGTACATCTGAATTTGCGACATCTGATTAGAATACGGTGCAGAAAACGGTCTTTCAGACATCTTTATGCACAATATGCAGAGAATTGAAACACTAAAATTTCAGAGTGGATAATTTTATTCCCCAATTGGAAATTCCAAACCATAGCACAGCCTTCTTGTGTGAGAAACTTCAGTTCATAACTTTCAGAAATGATTTTTTATTTCAATAGCATCGTTTTTTGAACTTTTCATCTGAAACCACTCATTCTCGCGAAATTTCCGAACTTTTCTCCCCAAAGTCGCCAAATTGCGACGAAATTCGCTTCACAAACAAGTCCGCAATTGCGCGTGGCGGTGAACACTCGCCAATGCAGACAACAAATTCGACCGTAGCCGGCGAATTTAGGCTCACCTAAATTTTCAATTTTTTATTCTTGGACCCAAAATTCGAGTCAACTCAATGCTTCTATAACTTTCTGTTACACGGAAATTTTCCTATATTCCGCCCGGAACGGCAAGAAGAGAAAGGTAAGTGTTTGATTGAAGAATACAATTGTTCAAGTTTTAGGATTTACTAAAATTTTTGTAATTGATTCTGGCACATCTTTTATCATGACAATGTAGATTTTTTTGTTTGTAACACTGGAATTAAGTGAGAGAAGCTTCAATTTGCCCCCGTGTTTCGTCGAGAATAAGTATAATTGCAGAAATGGCTGATGACTGGGGATGCAATGTGGATCTGTTCGGGGAGTCGAACTCTGCCGAAAAACCCGTCGCCAAATCACTCACCGAGCTTGTTGATAGCCTCACGAAAAAGAACATGGTAAGAAGAAACCGATTTCTATATAGGATTAATGCAAACCATGCTATTTTTCAGAACGGAGCCCGACAAACTGTCAAAGTAACTCCTCAAGAGGCTGAGAACGTGAAGATCGTTGCTCTCAAGAAGGCTCTTCCTACAAAGATCGGGATGGTCCACGCTCCGAAAATTCTGAAAAAGAAAAAAGGAAGCGGCGGACACAACAACAACAACAACAATGTGCTCAACGACGCCAACCCTAAGCGGGTGCACTTCGACGTAAGGCAGTTCTCGCTGAAATAGGCTCGGTATCATCTCATTTTCTTTCAGATTGAACAATTTCTGTCCAGAGAAGCAAGCAAAGGCGACCGAGTCGAGGCTCGTGAGCGAATGCTCCATGCTCTGGGAGCTGCTCCGTCGAAACGCGGCTACGTCAACTACAAGGATTTGAAGGTGGAGCGGGCACAGAAGAAGGCGGAAGCGAAGGCTCAAGCTGAGATGAATCACGCCAACGGCCTGTCGCTTCTGGTCAAGAAAAAGAAAAGCAACAAGAAGAAGTAGTTCTTTCTCACCTCTTCCGTTCCACTCGTTTTACCGGAATAACAACAACGTTCTCCCCTCTTCTATCTGTCTCTCTCTCTCTCTCATTTTTTCTCTCTTCCCACAGTTTTATCATCTCAAATGCACGCTGGACGTGAAAACGAACTGCTGGCATCAGATCTTCTCCCCCTATTTGTCTCTTCTAAATCCTCTAGCTCTTTGTGTGTGTGTGCTCTTGTGTGTCTTGTGATTTGTCCCTCTACCTTTACTCTTTTTCCTAAACATATACGATTTGCCCAAACCCCTCCTCTCCGACTCTCAAAGTTTAAAAATCTGTACATCCCCTCCCTCCATCTCTGTTTGTTGTTATTACGTGTTAATAAAATGTTGAAAATCCGCTGTCGCGAGTGTATTAGTCCAACGCCGTTAAACGTACGGTGCTCCAATATATTAAACACTATGCAAGTGCGCTCTATCGCACTGCGAGGGACGCGTTGCGACCAGCGACGTTGCGTTCTCTTCCCTTTTCGCCGTTTGAATTTTATGCGTTCCTTGCTCTTTATCGACGTCTCTACTGCTTTCGTTGCTCTCTTTTCACACTTCAACGCCTCTTATTTGGCTAAATTGCCGCTGAAAACAGTGATTTCCTCGTCGCTTTCTGTTTTAGTCACGTTTCTGTGAAAACAATTTATGGCCCATTTAATCGAAAACGTTTTTTGTTTGTGCGCAATTGTTTCAATTTCTCGTAGAATTTTCTTGTATTTGCAGGAGTAATGGCTCGTTCGCCAAGCCGTTCGCCTTCGCGCTCCCGCGGTGTAAGTTTCTTTTCTTTTCGATTACCTTCTACGGAAAAAATCAATCGACTTTACTCTTTCACTCACCCCTCTTCAGTTATTCCCAACTTTGCGTGTATTTTCTGCTGAAATTCATAGCAAACTCTCTGCAGACTCCTTCCAAAATCTGTGACCTGTGTGGGAAGAAAATGAAGAAAACATTTGGCCCCTAATGAAGAGGAAATCAGCAGAAGAAAAGGAGGAAAGGAGGGCTTCTTAGAAGAAAGAAAATGGGATTGTGAAGAAAGAAAGACAAAAAGAAAATGTGGATGTGGGATATGAAGATCAGAAAAGGATCAAAATGAGAAAGAAGACCAAAAACGGCCTCCAGTTCTCCGCTCCCGATGAAGAACACCCCAATGTTTTGCAGAATTCGCACGACCGCTCCAGATCCAACTCGCGATCGCCTTCGCCCGACTATCGGAGAGATCGAATCAGGTAAGTTACGTGAATCTGTATCTCACGTTTTGCATACTAAGCTTGCGCTTTTTTTTTGCGATTTTTCCACGCCCAGCAAGGTCATTTCGGCAAAAAATGGAAGATGTACCGTTTTTCATAAAACCTCCAGTGCAAGCGTTACGGTACTGATAGCATAGAAATCTTTCGGTTTTACTTTTTCCCTTCAATAGTCAAATTTTCCAGTTCGCGTTCCCGTTCGCCACGTGACCGTCGTGGTGGTGGTGGAGCCCGTTTCGGAGGAGGAGGTGGTGGTGGAGGTGCCCATCGAGAGAATCCGCCGCCGTCCAAGTGTCTCGGAGTGTTCAATCTCTCCTCGTACACCACCGAAAAAGATCTTCGCGACGTGTTCGGCGAGTTCGGAGAGATCGACAAGTGCGAGTTGGTGTACGACCGCCCGTCGGGACACTCGCGCGGATTCGGCTTCATCTACTACCAAAAGATGGACGACGCGGCGGCTGCGCGCGATAAGCTGTGCAATACGGATTTGGACGGACACAAGATCCGCGTCGACTACTCGTTCACCAAGCGCGGACACTCTCCGACTCCGGGACAGTACATGGGAGAACGTCGTGGGGGACACAGCGGAGGATATGGTGGAGGCGGTGAGAGACACCAAGATCGAGGAGGCCGTGGCGGCGGAGACCGCTACAGCAGCGGACGTAGATCGCCGGACCGTCGGTGAGCTTGATTTTCTGCGAATATTCTCTGAAAACTTGTAATTTTCAGCTCGCACTACAACGGAGGAGGAAGTTACCGTGGCGGCGGCGGAAACGGATACGATCGAAACGGCGGAGAGCGTCGCGAGCATCGTGGCGGAGAATATCGTGGAAGCAACGGAGGAGGAGACCGTCGTCCGTACGACCCGCAGAACAGAAGACGCGTCGAATCATACGCATCGAGCAACAGCAGCCGTGACGGAGGACGTCGCCGCAGCCCGTATTGAGCTGTGATCTCTATCTAAGCTCTCTGAGCCCCGAGACGTTTCATTCCAAGTGTACTCCTCATCTCGCTTGTATCCCATCCAACTTTTAAAAAATAGATTAATCTCAATCACTTGTTTCGGTCGCTTCTGTCTTATTTTTTCTTGTTTTCTAAACGCCTATTTCTTTGTTTTTGGAGAAGTTCAAATGAAGCAAGTTCTGAAAAAGAAAGATGCCTTTATTCAAAAAACTTCCATTGTGTGAGAAGCTTTCCATCATTGCGAAGTAAAATTCGAGTTAACAAATACTGCAGATCTGGTTCTTCTGCTTTGCAGACTTTTCTCTTTTCCGCTCCTCCAACTCTTGCTCCGTCGGCTCTCCAGTCAGTCTGAAAGACAAAACGGGTTACTGTAGAGCGGATTACTGTACTCACTTTCCCATGTAGGCCGGCAGATCTCGATGGCAGTCCCAAACGATCAGACAGAACGGAAATGGAACGAATTCGACGGAGGACGCTGCAAACGGATTCTGAATATTCACAATCTAACGAAAAGAGCTCACCGTCCGGCTCTTCGATTGGCATTTTCCTGAATTTGTCCGTCTTTTTCGATTTCGGAGCTCCAGGAGCAATAAGCGAACTCGAGCTGAAATTGGAACAAAGGCCAATTTGAAATGGGAAAAGAAAAGAGCTCACGGCGGTTGGGAGTTCGGCTCTTGCTGGGCGTTGAGGAACGAAAAAAGGCCGTAGTGCTGGATGTGGCTCACTTTTTTCGGGTCGCCGGACGAGGAGGGAACAGCGTCCGGATGGGCGAGACCGCCGAATCCGCCGGCGCGGAAGAAGGAGAGCACGTTGAGCGAGGCCATCATGTGATCGGCCACGCGGCTCGCCGGCAGATCCTTGTGCTCCCATTTCGGCACGTAAATCGTCCTCTTCTCTTTCACATCCGCCTGAAAACGGGAAAGTGAAGGCAGAGCGGACCGAGTATTCACTGACACTATTCCGTTTTCGGAGAATAACGGGCGCGCGGTTCTGAAAAGCGGTCACGAGATCTTTGAGAGTGTCCAGAGAGCACATTTGGCCGTCGTGGTTGTAAAAGAGAAAGAGGAGGAGGGAGCGATTTGCGGTGGGAAGGATCAGAGTGTGGAAGTCTGGAAATGGGAGTGTGTGTTGAGATAGCAAAAAGTTATCAGCTCTATTTATAGCAATTTCGCCTACCGTACTCTCCGGCCACAACACTGATCTTCCTGACGGGCGTCTCTTGAATCCGATAATACTCTAATTTGTTCCACGTCCAGATCCTCTCCGCGTCGAACATCTCGCTGGGCATTTCCACGATCGCATGGTTCGTCCACACGAGAATCGGCGCCTTCTTCTCCCCTTCGTCCGAATCTTGCGCCGGCCGCCACGACGCGAAATCGTACTTTCCGCCCGTCTTCTTCGTCTCCGTCTGTCGCACTTTCGAGCCGAGCTCTTCGAACGCGGCGAGACCCATTTTGCGTTGTTTGATCTGGTCGATCGGAGACAATCCCCACTTCCACATGATCAACGGCTTCTGGCTCGAGCTCACTTCTATCTGAATTCAATTGGGTATACTGTATACGAACGTGCTCCACTCACTTTCAGGGCGTGCGCGAGCCAGAGTTTTACTTCGGCGTTCCCTTCGAAAACCTTTTCTTGTACACGAAAATGCTTGAAAAGCTTGAAAACGTCTTCGTCGTGCGGATGCACAAACTTCGGATGAGCGTAGACTCGGCGAGCTTCGTAGTGTTTTCCTGAAATACTTTTAAATTCTCAAATTCGCCCCCCGAGAGTATCTTGGAAACCTCCACAAAGATTGCGAAACTCGGCACTCCAACTGTGCGCGAACTTTTGAGTATAGTCGATCAGCGAGTCGATCTGTGTCCAATATCATCTCGATTCTCATTGGAGCGCACTTACGTCCGTTTTTCCGCATCCGGCGTCATAGCAATCCACGACGCTTTCCGTTTCCTGAAGATGCCTTAACAGTCTCCACGACTACAAATAATACACTGAAACCTTGATTCCGCAGGCGCCCAACAGAAAACCGATATTGCTGATCATTTGGGGAGTCGACACGAAGAACGAGACCTCCGATTCGCGGACCATTCGTCTGAAATTCCAGATTTCGGGTTTAAACTCAGAGAAATTGCTCACTCGTAGACCTTGTACACGAGGGATCCCCATTTCCGGCACACCTGCAAAGGATCACAGTCTGAACTCTTTTAACCAGTTTCTGGTGCCACTAATGCGCTCTAGTGTACTTCGAAAGTTATTATTGGAGCGCGTTTTCAATACCTCGTGCGGCACAGACTCCTCGGATTTCGACTGGACCCCACTGCTCGAATCTGTGCCCGATCCCGCCTTCTTCTCGTCGCTTTCCGGCATTTCGGTAGGAATAAATCCAGCATTTTGCTTTTCTATCACAAAAGTTCACGGAAACGGTTCTCGCAGATTCCTCTGCGGAAATCTTCGTTCCGTTTTTTCGCGAATTCCTATGAAAAAAGTCAAAAATGCGTGGATGAAGGGGGCGATTGCTCATTTATAAAAAAAACGCAACTCGGATTCGTGAAAGAAAACGAAAAACATTCAGATTCCAGAAGAGGTAATTTCTGTGAAGAGTGATCGGTTCGCGGGGAATAATTGGAATAGGAGGGGGAGAGATAATAATCAGAAAGGGGGAGAACTTAAAAAAGAGGAACAGAAGAAAACAACAAAAGATTAGGGCGGTGGAATACTTAGATACTCATCCAATCTCTCTGGGAAGAACATCGAATTGTGTACCCGCACACAGAAAGAATGGAAAAATGAGAGAAGGGTTTTAATGAACAAGAAAGAGAGGAATGGAGATGACTACCGTACTTCGCTGGGTCTCGACACGACTTCCCTGAAACAGGTATCTACAGTAATCTAAAGGACTAGAGCTGTGTACACTTCACAACGGACTGAGATTGAGTTAAGAACTACAGTAGTCCTAATTGGCCTAAAGGGAGTCGAGCGAGGAGTACGGTAGCATCGGATTGAAGGGGGATATATAATCAAAGTACAATAGATAATGGAAAAGAGGGGGAGTAGAATCGAGGATGAAGAAAGAGTGAGAGACGGAGAGTCGCCAGGAGCCACAGCTTCTAGTCGAACTCTTTGTCCTCGAGGAACTTGTACTCGAAGGTGAACGATTCCTTCTTGCGTTGAGACCATTTCTCGAAATCGAAATACACGTATGTTCCCTGAAAAACGCACACATGCTCACTTCCAGCCTGTCAATGTGCTCACCTGTTCATAGTCGTCAGTTATCTGCTTCGGCTCCTCGTGTCGTTGGAACCACGTCAAATACTTGGTGTGGAAGCGCCACGACAGCTTCTTGAGTGCCTTCGCGGCCAGCAATTGAGCCCGAGTGCCTTCCATGTAATAGAAGATGAAGAAGAGCGTATCCGGCGCCAGACGCAGGTAGTACTCCAGACTGTCCGATGTGTTCGGAGCCATCTAAAACAAATGTATTCAAAATTAAATCTTCCGAATCTTTCTGCTCACCTGTCCGTACCAACTGGGCACCGGGAACGGCACCTTCGAGAGGTAGTTGCGCGGCTTTTCGCTGTCCAACGGGAACGTCGTCTTTGCGCAAGCCAACTCGAGCGCCGCCAGCTGCCCGTCAAACTCCTGATTCATCGATGTCCTTCCGAGCGGCGAAGCGCCCAGCCACGCCGGAATGTGCGCTCGTTTCGGAGCCGTCGAAGTCTGTTGCGGCTGTGAGGCCAGGCCATGGAGGGCCGCCTGGATGGCCGGATCGTCGGATGGAATGCCGCCGAGCATTGCCTGAGGAGTCGAGCGAGCACCACTGACAGTCGTCGCCTCCCCTGAAAATACTGATAAGAAAGGGAGTTAACCATTTGGAAAAGTATAATGATACGGGCGGCCAAACTTTTCAACTTTTTAGCCCGCAAACATTCGCCCCCGTTTTCATTAGATCACGCTGCCTCTTCAATTAACTTCTTCTGGCAACAAAAAAGGACACAATGATGTTGTGGGCAGCAAAATGAAAATGAGAAATGCAGAAGACGTCGGAAAAGAAGGAAGAGGCGAATGAGGCGGCGCGGCTGCTTTGAATATCCGATGAGTAAAGGACCAAAAAGGAGCAGAAGCCATCTGCCCTTCTACGAGCGAACAAAAACTAGGCAAGCGATTCGGGGGAGCGGCGGGCAGGACAGCTGTTCTTTCTTCAGGCGCCACCCCTAAGCGCACCGATTATCTTTTTTACGCCTTTCAGAAAAAGCCTCAAGGCCGCCCATAAATCTTTCTGTCGCCGTCATTTTCCTAAACAGCAAAATCCTCACGTAATTAGTGGCTGGGAGGTTTCTAAAGACGATTTCGAAGAGAGAAGCAAAGGAGAAAAGAGAGGGGCAGGGGCTGAAAACAGGCAGACGAAAACATCAGTGTATAGTCACTGCGTACAAAAGCAGCAGCATCAGCAGCCACACAAACTAGACGCGGCGCCACGCGGCTGACGCTCGCCGAAAGCACTGTTCGTGGCGAGACCCAGGCACGGAGAGAACGACGAGAAAAAATCAAACAAAGTGCGGGCGAACGGACGATTGGGAAGAGACGCATAAAACATGTGAGGGGCAGAGTGATCGATAGTTCAGAAAATGATAAAGACTGTCTCTGTCTGGCTACAATCGGCGAGCAGTCTAGAGCTCTGAGCTCCGGAGCCCAAATGAACTGGAACAGGGGCTCTTCGACTAAATTGAGGGCAAAGAGCACATCGAGTGCTCGGCGGTGACGGAAAAGCGGGAAGTGATGCAATCTCTTGAGGAATGCTTCTCTTGCTGCAAATGCTCTCCGAGCACAGGCCAGTACAGAGAAGCGAACGCGAAAAAAAGAAATCAGTTGCAAAGGCAGCCGGGACGAGATGAGGCCAACTGCGAAATTTCTCCTTTTCCTCTCTTTTCTCTTCATTATGGTGCTCCGATTACTAACAGATGTGTTAGGGCGCAAGGGCTCCGTTGATGACGTCACGAGAAGCCCCATTTCGGGACCGCAGAATAGGCTATGAATGAATGAAAAAAGAGCGGTGTGCGTGGGCGGAGAAGACGGAAAAGGAGAGATCGTTTCGAGATGAAGACACGGAGGTATCCGGCGGGAGGCGACGAGAAAAATAGGATGAAGATGGGAAAGAGGAGAACAGGGTCAAGAGGGAAAGTGATGAACTCGTCTCGTTTTCCTCGACACTGCTGTTCTCTGATCTGTGTTTGGGGTGTGACGACAACAAAACATGTGACTATGACAAAGGCGCCGGATGAATGAGGAACTGGATCGCGAACGAGACCGACTATTGTGCACTCCGAGAGATCAGTGCTTCTCAAATCTAGGGCAGTAGGACTAAAATTTTTCTAATTTCGTCAAGAGCTCTCCTTTAAATGTCAAGCTGGGCATTGCACCTGACATCGGTTGAACCACATCATTATGCCTGGCGACAGCTGCATCTCAGACAGGGTTCGCGGCAAACAGAGCGCTCATTTTACGACCGGAGAAGGCCCTTCTTAGAAGGAGATAGGCTCAAAAAGAGTTGGACCGGATGGTAAGGAGGCCAGACACAGAATGGGCGGCGCCGAACGGACAAATATGGGAGAGGGCCATTGAGAGCAAGACACCGGCGTCGCCGCTCCAAAAGATACTTGCCCTTTCCCTTTCTCTCTCTCTCTCTCCTGGTCCATTCGCTGCTCGCATGCTGGTCGCTGTGGTTGCCGCGTTGGCGCCGAGAATAAAGGTGGGCGAAAACAGAGAGACAGAGCGAGGGGAACGGAAGAAAAGTCTAAAAGAGCAGCCGAACGGCACGAGCGGAGAAGGGGTTTGCGAGTGCGAGCAGATCGACGATAAATTTTAAAATAGCGCCAAATATGATGACAAATCCATAAGGGTAGGTCAAAACGTGTCGAGTCCAAGATTGAGTAGATCAAATGAGAAGACACTTCATTTTCGAGGCCCTTTTCCTTCTGGCCGTCGGAAACCAGCCAAAATGGCAGCTCAGACTCGGCGCTTTCTTCCTCAATACGAAAGTGCACCTAATCAAAAGACCGCCCGCCCATCTTTTCTTCTCCATCTGCAAATTGTATCCAATTCCATTTGCTCTCTTTTTTTTGTCCTTGCGCTGTACAAAAACTGTATGCACATGAGTCATCGCGGGAGAGAGAGAAGCGCGGACCGGACCGTCCATTCCATAGGTCACTGTGTCCAACTTGCGACGCTCGTACACAATGCTCGCACCGGTTCCTTTCTTACCATTCAAATTGTTGTCCGTTGTCTGAACCGTCGTCGTCGTTGTTATCGTTGTCTGAGCCGTCGTAGTTGTTTGAGTCTGCTGGACGGGTGGTAGCTGGATGGGCGGTTCGAGCGGCTCGGCTACCGTCGTCGTCGTTGTCGTGGAACCCCGAGAAGGCGTCGTAGCGACCGCCGTCACACTCTCTTTCTTCACCAGCGTCTGGGGAATCTGCAAAAAGAGGCGGTTGGAGAGAACGTGTCGAGCAGAAGACGGACGGGCTCTCAACTTTTATACTTTCGTGTCAGAGCGTTCCAAGCGCAGCTTTGTCCGCTCTGACACATGAGAAAGTACAAAAGTTATGAGTCATCACTCTTTTACTAAAGGAACTATGGGGGTGCAAGTCTGTGAAAGCAAAAGCAAGCTACTGTTGGCCGCAGAAGAGTTGCACTCTACGGTGATTTAGTGCCGATTGCCGGTAGAGCGCGGTTCTCAAAATTCTGTGGCAATCGTCTAGATTTGTGTCGTTTTACATTAAAAACATAATTTCGAATCTGCTTCCCTTCACCCCTCCTTTACTATACAACGCTTGCTTTCCGCCGGCAGAGCTCTTCGCAGTTTTCACCGTCATAAATCTGGCTCTGACGACCGAATGAAGCGAGCCATCCCTCCCATTTCGGGCATCTCTTCTCGCAGTTGCTACGCACCGCCAGCTTTCTGTGTCCGTTCATTGCCCTTCAATCTCTCAACTATTGCATAAATTATGCACTCTGATCGGCGGTGCATTCGTATGAGGATGAGATCAGTTTGTCCGGTGCATCTCTAGTCACACTCGGACTGATTTGCCAAACTAAATTTTCTCAATAAAAAACGCTTTTTTGATTGGAAATACGAAAAGACTCTCCACGGCTGATAGAACATTACAGTTTTCCTTCTTTTCAATCTGCCGATTCCAATGAAAATTTTTGCTTTACAAAAATATTCTATTCTAAAAGGAAAACCATTCTACTAGTATTATATGCACGCACACGTACTGCTGCTCTAACCATGCCGGAAGCTCACAACAACAATCACAAGCACTCAATCGGTCACCTCCTCCTGCTCTTTCTCCTCAATGGAGGACGACAGTTCGGAAGAAAGTGATGACTTCTCCGATGCTTTCTCCTCTGGAGCCGTCGGGCACGATTCAGAAGACACTCGCGAGGATTTCGAACCTTCCGACCCTCTGCTCTTTTCATCCTCCTGCTTCTAAGTTTATCCTCATTTTATTACAGACCTTCCTCTCACTTCTAACTCTATTTTCTCTAATTTCTACTCTGTACATTCTTACCTCATTATTACGAATTTCATTATTCGACGTGCTTCCCGTAGTGCTGAAAGTATCAATCTTATCATTTTAAGCCTAAATGGATGCTTACGAAGAAGCCGACGATGTCTTATTAATCGTGATCGGAGACGGAGCGGCCGAAGTGGCAAACGAAATGGCGGCCGGCGAGTTGATGGTCGAAACGGGCGTCGAAGGGATCGGAGTGGTCGTGGATCGTCCGGCGGCGACGGAGTTGTACGGTATGCCTGGCGGTGGGGGAGCCGACGCTGAAAATTTCCGTCTTCGTAGACATTGTACCAAAAAGAGTAACAATTCATCGAAAAGTGTACTTTCGTGGCGAGACCTTCCCTCCCCCTCTTTCATTTCATTTAACCATTTTCCCTGCTTACCAGGCGTCACGGGCGGCGTCCTCGGTCGATCGACGGATGAATCTCTGAAAGAACTACAACATTGTTTTGCCGGCTCTTTCGCCCTTTTGCTCACTTGCTCGTCAACCGTTTCAGTTCGGGCGTCGACGTGACCGCGGCGGCCACAGAATGCGGCGAAGGCATGCTGAGCGGTGCGCCGACGCGTCTTCCTGCCGGGCTCGGAGGCTGTCCGTTCTCGGCGGATCCGTGCCGTGAGCCAGAAACGGCGCCCGTGTCCGTGTCGATGCCCAGCTCGTGGCCGTTTTCCCGATGGTCCTCGTCCACCGAGAGCATATTGATTCCGCCGATTTGCTGGCACAGTTTGTCGAGGTTCAGCTCGTCGTAGGCGTCCTCCGGATCGTAATCGTCGCCCAGGTCGCCCTGGTTTTCCGCCATCATTTCCACGTACGCTTCTATCGATTCTTTCAGCGTGTCGTGCACTTTTTTCGCACTTATACTCTCGTTGCTCACCATTCGCATGCAAATCTACAAAAACCCGCCGATTTCAACATTATTTTTGTCTTTTTTCCACCTCCAACTTCTCAATATGGAAGTTTATCCGTTCGAGGTGGTGTTTCAGTGCTTCCACGCGCTTTTCCCGTTCGTTTTTCGCCCGCGCGTCCTCTTTTTTGCCACGCTTTCCCTTTCCAATGTCCGTGGTGGCAAGGGATTCCAGTTGCATTTCGGTCCGATCGACTTCCTCGTTCAGAGATCTCAATTGATGTTGGATCCAATCCATCGTGTCCGATTTCTCTTTCTCCTTTGGGTCCAGCTTTTCTTCGGCCGACAGACCCTAAAAATGTCACTTTATTTGTGTCATGATTTTAATATTCCCATCACCCACTCCCCTATCTAAATATTGTCGAATGATGTGGAATCATCGTCGTTTCACACGCTATTGGCGCGGCAAAAGGAGTGGGCGTTTTCCGACGTTTCATTGATTTCGTATCGAATTTGTGAGGCTCACAAGTCAAAATATGATTTTTCCGTCAGAAAAATGGTTAGTTTTCTTTCATTTCCTGCACTTTTGCTCGTCGGAAGTTGAAAATGTTATTTCTTTTTTCCTGTGGGCTTTCAACACAAATTCAATAGATTTGTCCGTTCCCTTGTGGTTTTTTCTCGCTCTACTTTTCTATTTTCATGTTAATTTCCGTCACCATGCGCCAGAATCGCCTTTTCTTACCAATTTGCTGTGCGGCTTTGTTTTGTTTTCCCGTTCGACGTCCTTGAACTGCTCCATTCGCTGCTCAATCGTCTTGCGGTACGCGTTCAGCTTTTCCTTATCCTGAACCCCGGATATTTCCGTTTCAAAATCTTTATTCTCATTGTCAAAACCTTGATTTCACTGGCATTCTGCCAATTTTTGACCTGATCTCGAAGCCTCTGCAGTTTTTTGATTTCCTTTTTTAGGTCATCCTGATATTTGTCTCGCTGATTGTCACTGTTTGCCTCGTGCATCTTTTCCATCGTTTCTTCGAACAACTCGACACCCTCGTCGATCTGAAATTACGAAATTGAACTGATTCTGATGGACACTGAAAGTGCTGTACCTTTTTGAAACATTTTTCGATTTCTGCTAACAGTTTTCGCTTTTCAGCCATTTTTTCTGAAAATTTCGAGATTCTTCGTTGTCGGAGGACTATTGTGAAGAGGGCCAATTATACGGGCGCAGTCATCGAAATCGAGGACAAAATGGCAGTAAACTTGTTTGTTTTCAACTTGTTTCAATGGATTCGAGCGCCAAAATTGCTGTTTTTATCAGCGGAGCGTAATTGCATTGCCAATCGATTCCGCGAGCTCTTCCGCGCGGAATACTCGCGGACAGAATGGACCGAGAAGCCGGAGAATCCGAAAAATCTATTGAAGAAAGAGTATAGGCCCGTCGCAGAAAAGTTTAGAATCGAAGAGAGTGGCGCCTGATGAAAGAGTACGCGAAGGGAGGAGACGCAGACGGAGAGAGCACGTGCAGAGCAGAGACGCAGAGAAGAAGAGGGTCAGATGCAAAACAAGCTACTCCTTCGTCTTCTTGGCCTTAGGATGAGAGAATGGAGAAGCAGAACGGGGGAGATAGGAGAGAAGATACAGTAAAGTTCGTGGTGGGACCCACAAAACGTAAAATGACCAAGGGACCGGAATTTCTCGAAAACCAATAGAAATCTGATCTGTCCGCTGAGGAAAAATGGACTAGGAATAGAAAAAAGATCACCCAGCCAACAAAAATCAATGCTCAGGTCTCACAGTGAAATAAAATTGACTAGACTAATAGTAAAGAGCGCCGAATTCGTATTGTAATCCGACAGAACGTTTTCAGGAAAGAAAAAATCCACTTCGGCTCTTAATAGAATCAGATAAATGGATATAACTTTGACATTAAAATCGAGATGAACTGTGCACTCCTTCTCAGTTCCATCGTACTGTTGAGCGGATAAATGTCTTCTTCGATTTCTGAGAAGAACGAGAAAATTGTCGAGTACACACGGAATTTCCGCCTCATCGACTTATTGATCCAGGCCAGTGCGATCAACTCCGCTCTCGGGTTCTTGTTTTGAATCCTGATCTTCATTGGCAACTCAGTGAATCTTTTTTGTTTTCAAAAATATTGGAATTGGCTTCAGGAAACAAAACAAAAACGAAAATGTTTAAATTGTCGAAAAGTGAACAAAATCGGGTTTCGCTATAATTTTGGCGGCGTTTATAGATAAGAACAACCTCGCTTGTTCCAATTTCAATCAATTTTCCATCTGATTATCAAATTTTGGTTCGAAACTGTGGAAAGTACATGTACACGGGTCAGTGCGAGTCAGTGCGATAAAAATGGGCGAATCATCTGACGCACTACGGTCGACGACGGCCATTTGCGCAAGGTACGCAGAAGTGTTTGCACACAATTACCTACCGTATCAACTTTAAAAATAGGTCAGCTGAGTTCAGATTTCTTTCGAAAAATAGGAACATATTCTCAGAAGCATGCCAGTTTTCACTTTGAACGTCAACGTCTCCGTTTCGGCCGATAAAAAGGTCGATATCCTGAAGGAGCTCTCCACCGTCGTCGGGAAACTTCTCGGAAAGCCTCAATCTGTAAGTGTGATGAAATTTGGGTTGCTTTAATTGAAACGCTCAACTTGCAGTACATGTGCGTGCATATCAACACTGATCAGGCGATCACTTTTGCCGGAACCACCGATCCGGCCGGATTCGCCGTGCTCAAATCGATCGGAGGCGTCGGAACGTCAAAGCAGAACAACAATCTGGCGTCGGAGATCTTCCCGATCATCGAGAAACACATCGGAATCCCCGGAAATCGGTTAGACTCGACACTTTTAAGCGGAATGATAATTTGCTCAACTTGCAGTTTGTACATCGAGTTCGTCAACTTGGGCGCCGCCGACATCGCGTTCAGCGGAAACACTTTCGCCTAATCGCCTGAGCCACAGAAGTCTTTAATATAAGTATCTAATATGCATCCCGATTTGTATTCATTTTCTTAATTAGAATAGCTCTAAATAAAACCCAGTGGAATTAGATTTGTTTATCATTTTGTGAAGTGACAGCCTTTGTATTTACCACTACTTGATGGCAGAGAAAACGGCGGTCATTCATAGTATAGTACCCTCAGTTGTCACTGAATATCCATTTTAGAAGAGAAGCAGACATCTTAGACATCGAAGAAGATTTGAAATGAAGCCGTTCCCGACTCTTCTTGGATTCCTTTTGGTTCTGCTCAACGGTATGTCTCGCTTTATTAGGTTTTTCAGTCGAATTCTTCAGCTGCCACTCCTCCCGATGCTGAACTCGAGGAAAAGTACGGACCAATGATCACCCTGATCAACGAACGAAGATTGGCGTGGTCGACGGCGAACAACATTGCCATTGAAGCAAGGGTTCTTTTAGTTGAGCGCCGGCAGTAGATCAGCTTGACGACCTGTTACATATCAGGAAAGGATCGGCCTTTTGCATACATTCTCGGTGTAGTTAGTACATTTCATTAGGCGATTTGTCTGACGAAAACTTAAAAAATATGGTTTGCTTGTTGGATCACCTCCTCGTGGTGCGAACTGGAAATGCATGCACTTGTCCGCCGGCTCGTCTTGGCGTGGATTCTCGGTGGCAAATCAGAAGTAAACAATAAATCTTTTTTTCTTCGTATATATATTTTTTAATCCAGCCCTAATAAAACTTGTTCTTCTGTGAAACATTGGCAATACTTCATCGTTACTATGCTAAGAACATGAAAAAAAGTTCGAAAAAGAAGTGATAATTGCTACTCAAATGGAAACGAACAGTGAAAAAGTGCAAAACGAACCCGGTACGTGAACAAAGTTTGGTAGCGGAGACAAAATATGATGCGGATGAGGGGAAGAAAGGAGGATATCACATGGAAACGGGTACACTCAGAGTAGATCTGTGGGAAAAGGAGAGAGGAAGAAGACACGTAGAAACAAAGATGAAATATGTGGAGAAAACGAGACTAGTTGATGGCTAATTTGATGAAACCAATGAGAATGTTGAGGATTAGAATGCCGGTGCCGAACATCAAAATCACGTATTGGAACAGGTCGCGGCGTCTGAAACGGAACCGTTAGCGCCGAAACAGAGGATCACCTGATGCTACCTGATGCTCATTCCGGTGCACTTCAAAAGGGTCTGCACAATGAACTGTCCGTCTAGCGCATAAACGGGCATTGCGTTGAAGAGTCCGAGGGCAAGCGAGAGGGTGAAAAGGTATTTGGCGGTGAGCTCGAGGTGCTCAAGCCACGAGATGTGGGCAAATGAGAAGCGCGGAGTCAGCGGGGAAATGGAGACCATCTCGAGCATCTGAAAAGAGGAGAAGTTAAGCCACGGCCACCAGATTAGAACATGCTCAGACCTCATTGAGCTGCCCGACAAAGAGAATTGGCTTCTGCCGGTTGGACAGTCCGATTTTGACGAGATGCGTTCCGTTGTGGAGTGCCGGATAAACGCACACTTTCTCCTTGCTCTCATCCAATTCGCACGGATTGCTGACGTTGCAGACGGCCTGCTCGACGACGTGTCTCGCGTGCAGACAACTGTACTTCGTCACTGTCTCCTGCTCTTTCTCGGCCGGCGCCTCCCTCCGTCCCTCCTCCAATCCCAGCAGCATATTCAATTGTGGCGCCCGCGTCTGCGTCTCCACGTTCGGCACTCTCTCCTCTCTTTCGAAACAGACGTGCGCGGTCGTCACATTGAACTCGTCGCAGCACAGAATCTCGTCAGCTTCTGTTCGTGTCTGAAATTTCGCTTTTTGCAATTTGTTCCTAAATTCACTAATGTGCTTACATTGAAAGCGGTCGCCGCTTCGACAGCCTCTCGATCGACGCACCGTCCGTTGTGCAGATTGCGTGCCGCCCGAATGCACCGCCACCAGTCGGCTGCAGTGGCCACGTGGCACTCATCGACGCTCACGACGACGTCTCCGGCGAGAAGCCCTGTACGAGGACTGGAGAGTCCCGATCTGACATCCACCCCCTTCACGGATATTCCGTTCCCTTCCGCCAGTACCGGAGTCAACAGGACAGGCGCCACGTGGAACATTCCCATTGCTAAAAGAGCCAGGAGAAGATTGTGCCAGATGCCGGCTCCGAAGATCTGAAGACGACGAAACGGGGAGGAGCGTTTGAGGGAAGTGGGTTCGATGTCGGTGAAGGCGCCGGGGTAGACGGCGAGGATGAAGATGCCGAAGCCGTTGACGGTGACGCCGTTCGAGATGGCCGCCCAGGCGTGCCCGAGCTCGTGGAACACCGCGGCGACGACGAGAACGATCATGAAGATGGGAATATGGCTCCATGGAAGGTTAAAGCCGGGGATGATCGGCACGAGACCGCGTGACTCCTTCTGTCCGTCCTCGATCATGTCGTACTCCTCGTCCACAATCACCGGATTGTGCATTTCGGGCGTCGTCGTCGTCTTGACGCCTTCTGCCGTCGGACTGGGCGGCCCTAAAGAGAGCACATTGTGCATCGACCGATACTCCATTCCTCGGTAGGCGGCCACTTTCGGCCGGGTCGACATCCACTGTCCGACGTCTCGCATCAGCAGATGGGACATGTAGACGGTCATTCCGAAGAGGCACACTATCGAGGCGAACACTCCGAGGGCGAACCAGATGCGGATCAGAAGCGATTTGCACTTCGTACGCCGCGATTCTTCGAAGAAAATGTCTGAAACCCACACATTTCGGTTTTCGTGCCACAGTTCTCCTCACCATTCTTCTTGGTGTCGCCGGTCTCTTTGAGCAGAGATTCTTTGTGAATATCGGTGTGAACATGGTGCGGAGTCACGTAGAATCTCAGCTGAAACGGCGTCACTTCGATGCCGAATCGGTGCGAAAGACGGAGGTACGGCTCGAAGTGGGCGACTCGGAGCACGTAATCGATCAGGAATACGGCGCTCCATGCGATCAGAAAGATCGCGATCGCACTTGTTGCCAGCATACACTTTTAGAGCGGTCTGAACAATGGAAACTATTTTTTTCAGTTTCTGTCGATAAGAATGCTTTTTTTTGAGAATTTCAAGACAATTTACATGAAAAATCTGCAGAGAAGAGATTTTATGTCGTTTTCCGTAAATTCCGGAGAAAAGAGAGCTCAATTCTTTGAAACTTGACTCCAAATCTTTGAATTTATGTAAATTTATGAAAAAGCATGGGAAAGTAGTTCATTTTTCGCTGCGAGACCCAAACTCACTTGTAAAATGTTCTTTTCACTCTAATCTCATTCTCCTCGCTCTTTTTTTGAGTCTGAAAGGGTTTTGGTCATCGGCAATATTACATTTTTCCAAAATAACCCTAAAATGGGCATGAGGTCTCGGAACCTCTTTGAAAATAAATGGGGAAAACGAAAAAAAATCATTTGTATTTTATTTTATTCTCTACGGCAACATGAAACGGGTACAACTCTAGTGAACGAGAGAAAAGCGGATGGAGGCATGGTGACGCAACTGATATTGAAATTACCCGCGAGAGGAAGTGAATATTAATTCAGAAGGCTAAAGTTTTACAGAGGTAGACATTAAAATAAAGTAGCAAATAACAATTTTACAGTGAAACGAAAAGTTAAACTTTTCGGATTTGTTTCTTCAAAAGGGCGAGTCTCTGCTTGTGCGCCTCTGTCGGAATGTGTTTCTCCTTCGAAAGATCAATGACTGACTCGCTGTGACCGCCGAAGACCTGGGTAGAAGCTCGCGGAGCCTGAAACAAAATAGGGGGCTTTTAGGGAAGGAATAAAGAAGAAAGCTGACCACAGGCATGTTGTAGCAGTTTTTGAGAATGAATTCGATGTCCCTCGACTCGATCTTCTTCACCTCCCGATGCTTGATCATCTTGCACGCCTTGTCGATCAGAGCGCTCACAAAATCGTCGGCGTACTCGATCAGCACCTCCTTCACGTTCTCCTCAAGCACCGTCGTCGTGCTGATCTGCGCCATCAGCTCGTCCAGCTTGATCTTGTCCATAATGGCTCCGCACGTAACAGCAGTCATCATGATCGGCTGCTGCTGCTGCTGTAGCGGCGGCTGAGTCTGCTGCTGCAGGGGTGGTTGCGGTGGCGGAATTCTTTCCTGACCCATCGGAGGGTACTGATCTTGACGGGAAAGCGGTTGAGGCGGCATCGGCGATGAATTGTGCTGAAAATTAGGCAGTGTGTTTAAAAATGTTTGCTTTCCCATAATATTTTTCAAAACTTTACCACAAACTGCGGAGGAGGACCGCCTTGCTGCTGAACCATGTGCGGAGGCGGACCGCCCATTCCCATCGGATGTCCGGAAGGTCCCGCCTGCATACCCATCGGCATTTGGCCCCCTTGTCCTGGCGGCGGTGCCATCGGACGGGACATTTGCATGGGCTGTCCGTTCTGTGCAAACTGTTGTTGTTGTTGCATTCCCATCGGAGAAAAGTGCGGATTTCCGGGCGGAGGGCCTTGGACACGCATTTGTTGGTTCGGGTACGGCATCGGACGCACTAAAAATTCTGATGGGAATTTTAATAATGAGCTAATACATTTCTGATTGCTTACTCTGCTGCATCGGCTGGATTCGGATCGGACCGCTCATTCCCATGGGCGGCTGCGGGGGCGAGCCCATAAATTGTTGATCCCCGGGATGTTGCGGCGGGACGCCCTGCTGTTGCATCGGCTGAAATGGCGCTTGGAATACATTGAACGGATTGTGATAGGGCCACATAGTTTAGGGGAATTAGTTACAGAAATGCAGAATATGGACGGTTCGGACGAAGCTCGGGATGAATGGGGAGTATCGATTGATGATGAATAAGCACGAACACACAGAGGAACAGCCGAAACGTTTCGCTTTTTCCCGTCTTTTATTCCTTTTTTATTCACGGCTCGTAATATTTTCGGTGCGGCGGCGGCGGCCGGACGGACAGGGACACTGCAAAAGCGAAGCGCACAGCACTTTTCTTCTGCCTTTTTTGCATTTTTGTGTGTTGTTTCCTATGTGTTATTCATGACGCTGCTTATGGATATTAGGAGAGAAAAGACGAGACAAAGTGGGGTGGGAGCGAGGGACGGCACAGATTATCGATTCTTACAGAAGTAACGGCGAGAGCGGCGGCAATTTGCGGATTCGCCTGGATTATTAAGTTATTCGGCGGCGACGGTGACGGATCATTCATTTTTCTGCAATTTCTTTTGAGTTTTCGGCTGGGAAATTGACAAAAAATGCTTCAAAATGCCGTTCGGACCGTTTAAGTTATGACGTGCGCCTTTATAGTGCGGTCACAGTAGTTAAAGGCGCAGCACTCATTTTTCACAGTATTTATTGTGAAATCAGCGTATTTTCGCTCTGAAAACGCGAATTCACAGGATAATCAAGTGAACGAACCCATGCAAGGATGACCTTGATGAATAAATAAAAATAACAAAAGAAATTCACATTATGCGCGATACTATAAAATTAGTTCTTCCTCAATTCTTTCATTTTCTTCCAAATAATAAATGAAATAGTGGGAAAAATGTAGGGCACAGGAAGGCATGAATCGACGAGAAAACGGGGCCAATGAAGAGGTGCGCGCGCACGGATTCGCCCCTCTTTCTCTCCATTCCGTCCAGCAATTTGTCGGTGCGTGCGGAGCGTGGCCGTGAGAAACCTAGGCCGCACGGGGGCTTTGAAGCGTGCGGAAGCACAAAGTGCAAACAAACAACTAAAGAAAGAGACAAACATGTCAGAATTGCTTATTTCGCTTCTCCGTCACTCTCATCTGTCAATTTTTGCAACGAACGAGGGGAGGAGGTGACTCGGGGAGCAAACCGATCAATAATCACTCGGATGAAATAAGTTTTATTGAAATTTCAGTTGAAATGGCGGTGAAAGGAACGAAGTGGGCGTAATCGAATTTGGTGAATGGTCTAGGACGGTCAGCATGTGGACGAAACTATGCAAACATTCCGCATTGTGTACTACTACTGCCACTACGCTCACATCAACGAGAAAGTCCTTTTCGGTGTGGGACTTGAGGTCCTACCTTGAAAAGTTTCGAATACAAAATTTTCCGAATGACGTGAAAAAACTGGTTTCGGATCGGCTTTCAAGTTTCAAAAAGTTTGACGGATTATGCAAGTGGAGTGGTTGAAACAGAAAACATGTGTTGAGCGGTGTATGGAGGTTGTTCGTGTGGTTCTGTTGGATCATCGGGTTACAAGGGTTCCGAAGACCGAGCGACCTGGCTGATAGAGTTTCTAGAAAAACAAAAAGATATAAAAGATGACAAACTGATGCATCATACAGCTAACAAAGCAAACTGTCGGTATTGTCAAGCGAGTCCAGTTTCAAAAGTCTTGTGATAACAGAAAGATTGTGAATAAAGTGAACACGGAAAATTTCAGAATAACTTTGGTTATCAACGACACTTCGCTGGGCTAGAACAGCTAGGACAACACACGTTTTCAGTTTTAAACAGACTATTGTTAAGGAATGGAAACTTTTTGCAGATAACAAAGGACCGTCCGTGCCTTTTTGAACTTGAATCGTGAAAGTCGTCAATGTGTCTTAGGTGCATGTCTGAAATTTAACACCTAGGACTATTTTAAGGTCTTCTTTCCGAAGATGAACTCTTTTTGTAAAAAACCTCGATCTCAGGGGTGTCTGTGCCTCTCACAGAGTCCCTGAAACCAAATCCAATCTCTCCCGGCCCGGTCCCATCAGATCCATAAGCCGTATTCTCTTGCCTAATGTCCATGTCCGTTCCCGGTTCGAACCTCTTCGCAAAGTGGCCATCAGTCTTCGCGGACCGCGCCCATCGCATTACAACTACCAGATGATTATTCTCGTACAGCGCGAATCCATTTGTATGCGTCAGGCAGAATGAGAAAAAAAAGACGCGCGTGGTCATTGTGTGTTCGTCCGAATGTTTTCTGAATACTTTCGGAGGCCTTCATCGAATTACCCGAGACTGTCGCCCGTCCGACGCAAAAGAAGAAGAAGAAGAAGACGTGGGAGGAGGCACTTTCCCTCTCTCTCTCTCTCTCTCTCTCTCGCAACCTCGCCAATTATCGTCGATCGTCAAACGCGTGCCTCCGCGTACACATTGCGTGTCCCCCTCGGCAGTTGATACATCTGAATCTGTGTTGAAATCCGACAGGTTTCGCCCCTTAGTCCCTTTTCTGAATAAATCTTTTCTGCCATTCCATTCCACTTCCATTTTTTCGCCTTCTCATTTTTTTTTCTCAGCCACGCCTTTTTAACCTTTTACTTTCCGAATCAAACCGTTCATTAGCCACTCTGACCACCGAAAAGCAACGGTTTCGCTTGATCTAATCGAGGCGTTACTCACCTAATTTCCACTTATCTCACTCGACTTTCCACTATTACTGGGAAGTGGAACTTGCTGATTTTCTGGTCGGTTCTAGAGCCGCAAAGAAGAATGACACGGCTACGAATTGTGAAGGGTTGAGATGTCAATAGGCTTAGCGATTTCAATGCAAGTTGGAAAGTCGGAACAATACTTACAAGGTTCCAAAGATCTTTCCGTTAGTTTCATAGCTTCCAAGTGAAAGTATGAAGTATTCGATCTAAGAATCGAGAAATTCACAGCAATGGTGTCAAAACTAACAGACTTCTGAAATAGCACAGATAAACGTTTTGTTCTGTGTGGAAAGATCGGTTCTTGAAGAATTTCGGAGAGTAGTGCAGCATCAATTTATTGCATTTCCTTTCAAAAGTTCATCATTGACTCTTTTTGTAATGAGAACCCAATTCCCAGGTGTCAGCTACATAAATCTTCGTAACTGCATATCAATCGCCAATCCTCTCCAATCAAACTACTATCTTTTGCCACCCAAAACAACACCTTTCTCTTCGGCGTCTCTTAACCATTCGGATATGTCTCTATTCGGTGGCATGGCATAGGTAATCGGCCGCCCTTCCGTCTCTGTTGTTTTCTCCACTCTTTCATCCGGGAGACAGACCTTGTATTCGCTCGGTCGCTAGCAAAACAGTACAACATGATGATGGGGGGAGGAGGAGGAGAAGGAGGCGTCAGAAAGAAGAAGAAGAAGAAGAAGAAGAAGACGTCAAACCACACCCTTCTCTCTCTTCTTCTTCTTCTTCTTTCGTCCATCGCATTGCCTCGATCGCTTACGATTGATTATCGTTTCTTTGGGGGGGCTTCCCGAATGAATTCCCGATTTTATGTCCTCAGATCGCGGACGACCTTCGTGTTCCGTTTTGCAAACATTTCCTCTCAAACTTTAATGATCCCAAACTATACAGTCCGTTTTTCTGAAATCTCTGAAATCTTTAGTCTCTTTCTGAGGACATCCTGATCTTTCCAATTTCCATTTCAATTCTTCTTCCGTCCCCGTCTCAAGTTCACTTCCTTCCTTTTCAAGTGAACACTTGGAAAGCATGGACGTCCTGGCTTGAAGTCTGAAAGTTTGTGAACTTAACTGACCAGACACCTGTTTCCAATAGGAATTTATCATCAAAGCATACCCGTTTCTATCTTTTTTTGGGCGTGGTTCTCCCACACAGCTAATCAACTAACCGCCGTTGTTCTCTGTTACTGTGCAGTAAGGGGAAGAGGAATTTCTAGGCCACCAAGCTAACATATTGCTCTCTTCTTTTAGCCCTTTTTCAGCCGTCAAAGTCCTTGATTCTTTCAGTTGGATGGCAAAAGTGGAAGTGCAAATCCGTCGGTGCTTCTGTTGCGGTCTGTCCGTCGCCACGTCGGCCATCGGGATATACACTCTGGTAAGCTTCTTCTTTTTCTTCCAAAACTGGATGAGAAGCCCAATAAAAATGAAACGAATGTAACATTACACACTCCCCCCCTCCCCCTTTCCCATTGCATGCGGCTTCGACGGAGACTACTGTTTTTGATTGATGGCATTGATTCGGCGGGCCAACTGATAATTGAATGTGGTGGCCTAACTTTCTCATACTCTTCCAGATCCTCTACCTTCTCCTGTCCGGTCTTGCTGGTTGGGGACTCTCGGACACGACGGCAAACGGCGACTCCTCTCACTACAACTCTTGCGAACTTGAGGCTCAGGGAAAGATCAATGCAGGTACGGTTGTGTGGTACCGCCGTAAACCCCAAAAAATCCAAATGAAATCCGTGTTCAGAGAACCGCAAACTGACGTTCACCGGCGGAAGAACTGTCGTCGTCGTCGAGGATTCCACCTCCTATCACTGCTCCCTGGGACTGTACACGGAAGAGTTGAAGTACTCGGCCTCAAGTACGTCCCTACCGTACCGTCCCTCCCCTGCCTACCGTACCCTTTCCAGACCGCTACGTGTCCTTGGTCATCGACATCATTCTCTACGTCTCTCTTGTTTTGGCCTCTGTCATTCTGCTCGTCGGCCTCTGCTCCTACAACCAATGGCTGCTGCTTCCGTGGGCATTCCTGATGATCATCGACATCGTCCGCGGCTTCATCTCCGTCTTCTTCATCTTCTGGTATTCGTATGGTAATCTCGCGAGAATCGCCACCGGAATTTTCTTCCTCGGCCTTCAGTTCCTCCACGTGAGCCCTTCTAAATGCTTGATTCTCTGAAACCATTTCTGATTTACAGATCTCGTTGTGGATGATCATTGCCGCCAAGTTCCAGAGAATCTACAATAGAAGAAACGGAATTCCAGACAAAGTGGTCAGTAGTTGTACAGTAATCCTTTAAAAATCTTCGTGTGTTTCAGTACGACGTGCGTGCCGGAGGCTCCCGTGCCCCATCGACCTATTACGGAGAGACCCACGCGGTCGCCCCGCCCCCTCATCGTGGCGATTACTATCCAGAGCAGCACCGTCCGCAGCAGTACCACTACGATCAGCAGCCGCCTTATAGATATTAGATGGATCCTAAGATGCCATTTTCCTTGTTAATTTCTGTTGTTCGCCACCCCAAATTCCCCAGATATTGCTCACTTTCGTCCTCATTTCCGTTCCGAATCCCCCTTGCTCGCATACCGGTACACATTCCCCAATCTTGCTCTGCCTTTGTATATCATCTAGATGCATTAGTTTCAAGTGTTTATTTTTGTATGTACATTCCAATTCACTTCACTACTGAACCAAAATCATCAGAAATCGGCGGAGCCATTGTAGCAGAAAGTGTGCGACGAACGGCCAGAACACGAAGAATATGACGGTCCGCCAGGAGGTGGCACGTGGCACCAGGATGTAGACCGTCTGCAAGTTTGTCAGTACATAGAGCTTCGAGATTTGAGTTGAACTCACCGCCTTTTTCATTAGGGTTATCAGGATGCTGTGGCGTTCTTCGACCGCCTTTCCGAGCTTTTCAATTGATTCGGTGATCACTTTCAGCTCTTTTTCGAGTCTGAAACAAACTTCATTGACGACAGTTTTGTACGTTTCTAAAGCTTTGTGGTTCTTTTCAATGTCTTTCATGGAACAGCGACACATTGAAATGCAGAGAGACTCAAAATGAGAGCTCGGAATTGTCAGGGATGGAATTACCTGTGACAAGTGCTTCTGAGCGACGGAGATCCCTGCCGACGGAGACGTGGTTGCGAGAAAGAGGAGGATCTGAACAGTTGAGTAATCTGTCGCGATGGTTCTGTTTCTAAGCGTCTTTAGTTTTCGAATAGCTGGTTTCAAAACGTCCCCATGTCGCAACCCACCCCAACTTTCCCCACCTGGACTGTATCTCATCGTCGATGGCGTCGGCGTACTCGTTGTCCGATAAGGCACAGGCACTCGTGTTGGCCGTGTTGTCGTGCTCGACCTCTTTCGCCTCCAGAATCTCCACCGACTCTGTCATCTTCTCCGTCGGCTCGTGATCCATCACAATGTCCACCGGCTCCTCTTCTTTCTCCTTTTTCTCTTCCAGAATCCCGAGCACCTCAAACTTCGGCCCCAGCTTCTCGTAAGTCTCGCCCTTCATCCATTCTTCCGTCTTGTACGTCTTCTGCACCTCCCGAATCTTGTCGACAATCGCTCGGACGTACTCTTTCTGGGCCTCTTCCGAACTCATCTCGTCCAGTTTGTTCCACGCGTTCCACTTGTAAACGCCCTGAACATCATAGAAACTCGGCTTCCGAGTGTCGCATTTTCCGCGTGTCGCCTGTTTGAAAAGACCGTAAAAGTTGAGTTTCTCATCGGTCGAAGTCTTTACAGGGCCTAAAAATGAAGGAAATTAAGGGGAAAGCAAAAGGAGAACTGACCGTCTTTCGGCAGATTCTGTACAACATAAACGGCGGTCTCAAACACTTCATTCTTATTTTCGTCCGGCATTGAAGTAATGGGATGAAACCGGGAACGCAACTCGTCAACCACCGAGAGAAGTAGAAAAATAATTCTGAAACCGGGAAAGAGAAGGAAATTGGATTGGGTGATAACAATTGATAAGCGAGCAATTGAGACAACAGTTTGAGGTGATGACGGGGGCAAAAAGTGAAGAGTTTTCACCGATTCTCACTTCATTTTAATCAAAATCTACGAGAAAAATACGAAAAAGACCAATTTCAATGCCAGAATCTCTGAAAATCAATAAAGAATTGGGAGAAGAAGGAGGGGGAAACAGTTGGGGAGAAATGACGAATCGACTGATAAGACAAGGCTACGGTGTGGCCGTTCAGACGACGAAAAGAGAGAAGTGGCATCGAAGATGGAAGTGTGAACCGATTGCGGGGAAAGGGGGACACTTCGCAACCGGATGACGAACGCAAACTGTCTTTGTACGATTATCAGATCTGTTTTGGGGTCGTTGAAAGTTCAAACCAATACTGAAAGTTGATTGCAAGAGGCTCAAAAGTCCTAATCAGCCCTGGTTCTCACTGTTTCAAAGTCGGGAAGGCAAACAAGTAGGTAATTGTTGAAAGCTCTAAGCAATCGAAAGTTTATTCGTACTCTAAGAAACATTCTCGATTTCGAAGCTTTTTGTATTTCATATTCACCTCGGAACATTCTTTTCCCTTCACCTTTTCCATATATGCCTACTATTTACCACTTCCCCACTTCCTGTTAGCTTTCCGTGTAATACGGAGCACCTGAGTTTCCCACTGGGATTGCTCCTCATCACCCGCTTATATCTCTTCTCAAACCCGCCCGTCTCGTCGCGCGGGGCAACCGCTTAATCCTCTCGATTCGCCGCTTCTCGTCAACCATCACTCATTGCTGCTGCCCCGAAAATGTCCGATGTGCACAGAGTTTGGGAGGACGCGACCGCCGAGAAGAGCCTCGTTCTCACCCGGGATTACAATCCGCAATACGCGTACGTCGCCAATTATCCCTGGTGAGTTCATGGAATGGAAGGTTACTGTATGTGTTCTTTTAGGCTCTTTTTCGCCGACAACAAGAAGCTACACATTGTGGCGTACTTTGAAGAGAATCTGGAGGTCGAGTGCCACGTCAGAGTGAAGTTTTGGTTCACGAATCAGGAATCTCAGTTCTTCGAGCGACAGGAGCCATTTCCGCTGGGCCACGAAGAGGGAGACACGTATGAGATGGAGAGCACGGACTGGGAATCCGTCGAGATCTTCTTCCGAGTAACCCAATTGTACGGAAGTCCCTATCTGAGTCCCCTCGAGCAAACTGACTGGGGAGTTGTGGTCACTGTGGGCGATAAGCGCGTCTTCGTGAATTTGGAGGTTCATTCGGTCCACTTGACATCATTATATTGTTCATTCAGACAATCTGCCGTGAATCAGAAGTGCTCAAAGAGCTGAGAAACTACCCACAGAGCAGTGTGATCACAATATTCGACGTGGATCCGGATGTGTTTCTGGAGATGCTTCGAGTCGTTAATCCGCCCTATAAGAGGATTTCACGTAAGATAGAAGTCAGAAAAAAGATTACCCGGGGAGGGGGAGACGATTATGAGAATCGGATTTGTTTGCAGGAACATGATGTGAATAATTGGGGTAACATTTGCAGGCGCCAACTTCGTCGACCTCCTCCTTCTTGCCTGCCGTTTCCGCATGACTCCGCTCTTCAACCGTCTCGAACAGTTCACAAAAACGGAAGAGTACAACAAGAAGTGGATGACAAAGTGGGTGCTCAAGAAGATCGAACGCATTCTGCAAGAGGAGCCGGGCTCCAACATCGAAGTTCTCGACGAGTTCCGCGCGACGAAACGTCTCGAGAAACCGCTGAAACAAGTGAGAATCCGAGATCCAGAAGTGGAGATCATTCACGAGGACGTCGTCGTTCGGGAGACATCCTGTCTGGGCGCGTTCGCGGATTACTGTAGCGAGCAGAAGTCTCGCATCATCTACCTCCTGCTGACGGTTCTGCTCATCGAGAACTTGCTGCTTCTGACGTGGTTCATCTGCATCTACAGAAATAAGTAACGATATTGTATGATTCTTTGCAAACGAAGTGTTGTCCAAACACGTGAATCTTCTAGAAATGACGTGGCGTACGCTCGTTAATCTTCTGAACAGAATCCCCGGGGGAACATCTACGTGCCGGAATGTTCTCCCTCTTCTTCTCCTTGTTTCTTGTTTCTTGTTTCCTTTCCTTTCCTTTCGACCAAACATCTTTTATGCACAATGCAAAACTATAAATATGAGATCCGGAGAGTGATAATATACGCTCACAATAAGATTCAGATTATTTTCCGAGCGGTCTTCTGGAAGCCGGAAGGAATCTCGTGAAGCTTCTCGGTCTCTCCTCGTTCTTCACAAAGTAAACGGCAGAGGTGTGGAGCCAGCGGACCTGGAACTACCGTAATCCGTCGCGCCTTCCCTCACTCACTCACATTCTTGTCGTCGTCAATCAAATGTTGTAGCGGCTCGGGAAAGTTTCGATTAACTCCTTTATTAGTCGGATGTTTCACGTCGACATCTTTCCGGACCTGCAAAAAAGAGAGAGAGGGAGAGAGAGACTCTTGTTTTTGACATTTCGCAGCACTTTAATTGGATTTTCGGCAAAGAGAAACACGAAAACATCGAAATGAGAAGAAGAAGAAGAAGGAGACGAACCTGTGTGTAATACTGCACAATGGCCGGGTATTCCTGACGTTTCGCGCACACGTGCTCGATAAGTCCGTTGAAATCGTGCTCGCCGACGCGGAGCAGCAGGTCCGTTCGAGTTTCATTGAAGTAGTAACAGCCTGGAAGTACCCGAGCGATTCCCGGTGAACTTCCATTCCCTTCCGTACCTGTGATCCATCTCCCCGTCGACAAACAGAGCCATTGGAAGCTTCCGTCTCGGTACTCCTCGCCCACTCGAATCTTCTTTCCATTAAAGTCACAGTAAGGCTCTGAATCTTCACGCATCCTCATCCACATCTTTCCTTCCGCTCACCAATTTCATAGTACAACTTCTGCTCGTCCTGTGAGCACACATTCCACAGCTCTCCGATAGTCGTGTTCCGTCCGACCGGCACGTCTCCATCGGGACCTTTGCATCCGATGAACGTGGCCTCCGATCTTTCTTTCCCCTCGCAAGAGTACTGCCACACCTCGTCATCCACCCATTTCTCCCCGTTCACCCGACAAACTCCATACCAATCCCGACAATCGCAGGCATCTGAAACCAGACTTGCAACGGGCCGGGCCGGGCCGGGCCGGGCCAAAATTGGAAATTTTCCGGCCCGGTCGGCCCGGGAGGATGCACCTAAAAATTCAAAGCGAACTAGAACTTCGAAACGAACATAATTTTATAGACTTAAAATTTTATAGACTTAAAAAGGCAATGTTATAGCATAAAAACCTGCTAAAAAATAGAAATTGCTGTTTAAAGTCGCAAAATTTTCACAAAAATTACGAAAATTTTCTCAAGAGTGGGCGGAGCCGGGCCGACCGGGCCGGGCCGGGCCGACGATTTGCTGGCCCGGCCCGGCCCGGGATTTGGCAAGTCTGTCTGAAACTACCGTAATCCATGTGCCCTTCACTCAACTTCCTCGTATTCTAATTAGTGCGTTCATGCTCACGAAACCTATTCAAAATGCACATAAAGTACGATTGATGGTCATCGAAGTCGAGTGACTTTTTGACATTCAAACGCGCGCCAATTTATTCACTTTTCTTTGCATAGATTTACTTTGTGCAAGTGATGTGAGCAAAAATGAAAATCTAATCTCACAGCATGGTCCGGAAAGTTTGGTGGAAAAGAATCCTGTTAGCACTGGAGCTTACCTGGCAGAATTTCAATATCGTAGTCTTTTGTGTCTCCGAGTGAAACCAGGACGATGAGAAGAAAAGAAGAAGAAGAAAAATGAGTAAAGGGCTTCAGATTCAGATTCAGAATCATGGTTTCTACTACGGAATGACTGAGATTCTGACCACCTCGCTCCAAAAAGGGAGGAAGGGGGCAATTATGAAACTGGTTTCGAGGTGGCGAAGAAAAGAAGAAGAAGGAGAAGAAGAGAAAAGTGTTGCGTAATGTGAGATATGCAATAATCGTTTATGTTTATGCATATCAATTAATTAAGAAAAAGCGAGTGAGAAAATGAGTGGGTGGAACTGGAACGATTCTTGTTTTTGCCCCCTTTCTGATTCCGCCGAACTCAATCCATCTCTCATAAAAAGGCTGTCTGGAAATATTCAGCCGAATGACAAGTTCTTGGTAATCAATCACAGCAAAACGGAGGAAATTGGAATGGGCTCGTGTGCGTACGTCGTTGCCACATCATTTTGGCAAGCCGTTTGACGCCCACGTGCTGTTGACAAAAAATAAGGAGGAATTTGAATGGATAAAGGCCGAAAACATGTCTGCGGGTGATGGCGACAGGATTGTTTATTTTAAAAAATTGAGAATCTGAAAAAAAGTGCTCGAAAAAGCCTTGGGACCAGGAATTTTTTCTTTGAAAACTTTCGGGAAGTTACTTGCTTTTTGGGTAAACTTTTTCAGTCCAGTGAAACGATTTTTTTTCGGAAATTGGTCGTTTTATACAAGACACAGCTAGAACCGAAAGAAGCGGCGGAAAAAGGAAAGGAAACTTATATCGTTGCGAGACCGGACTAAAATTTTTAGTATGCGCCTTTAAAGAATACGGTATTTTTTTTTCAAATAGAGCTCCGAAGGCTTGCGACCATTTTTCCAACCGAAAAGCGGGAAAATCTTCGGAATTGAGACTTCGGCATTTGCGTGAAGGCACAAAAGGGCTCTTAAAGTGCGTCAGAGCCCGGCCACGGTGTCAAGCAGTTCGAATATATATCATGAACTTCCGTACTGCGAGTTTAACGCTTCCCAGCTGATCCCTTCCTCATCCGTCCCACAGATCTTTTTCAAACCCATAAACACCCAATTACAAACTATACAATTGACTCCGTTGCTCCCACGTCACAAACACTTTTCCTATAAACCCATCATCCGTCCCATTCACTCTCTCTCTCTCTGTCTTTTTTCTTTTTATGCCAGCCCATAACTACTTCCATTCGCTTTTTCGCATTCACACACTCAAAAAAATTCCGAATAGAGCCAAACTTTTTCAAGATTTCCGAACTTTTCCTTCCGCACGTTTGTCAAAGTTTCAAACGTTTCCAACGACTTTTTGGGCTGTGATAAGTCGTTCCTCTGGGAATTTTCCCTATATTTTGCGCTGAAATAGCTTTTGAGCAGGAAAATTCTGGAAACATTAAAAGATCTGAATACTGAATACTCCTGCACATCTGATGATCATCCGGATAAGTGGACACACTCCGGCTCTCTGTGTTTACCTCTGAAATCTCTTTTTCTGCCTTCTCGCCATGAGCCAAGTCCCTGAGTTCATCTCTGATTCCTTTGCTCCATAGACTCCGCCCCTTCGCGCCCGGGCTCCAAGCTCCGCCCACTTCTCAAGCCTTTTCCAGGGCGTCTCCTGATCAGCAGTTTCCCATTCCATTTTCCCGCATTTGGAACGAAGGACAGCATGCGTAACTCGTCACTTTTCGCCGTTCTCTTCGGTCTCGCAGGTCAGTTCCCCAACGCTTTTCTGTTAACTTTTGGCGCCAGAGAATTTCGGCGCATCAGTGGTTCAGTGGTAGAATGCTCGCCTGCCACGCGGGCGGCCCGGGTTCGATTCCCGGCTGATGCAACTCTTTTGAGCCCGGCGCTTCTCGACTATATCTCGATTCGAACAAAAAAGACCAGCGAGCACAAAAAAATAAGTGTGTATAAATCATGGCGCTAGATAGCATCCGATTCCCTAGAGCCTGCCGTTTTTCGCAAGACACAAAAAGCGGAATATACATCGTTTGGTGTGACAATTGAACGATTTTGACGGATGGTTTGACCGCGTCATCAGGATCCTTCCGGCGATAGGAAAATTGATGGACTCCTGGAAGAAGCCCATCTTCTTCATGGGGTGCACAAGTTGATTGGTTTCGCTATTGCCCCCTTTTAAAAAGGGGGTCGGCCTCTCAAAGCTCATTTCAAAAATGGAGGCAAAAAAGAAGAGTGGGTACTACGGTGATGGTGACGTAGAGCGTAAAAAAAGTGGAGAAAAATAAACTGATGGCAGCAATTCAATTTGAAGAACTTCATCTTCTTCTTCTTCTTCACTTCAACTTCATCATTTTGTGTTCTATTTCGGTCCATTCTCCGCCCACCTACTAGTTGTTGACAAAAACTGAAAGGATTCTCGTAAAGTGTTCAATTTCGGAGTGACCAATGCAATAGAATCCCTACGAAATGGAAACATTTCCGAAATGGACAGCGGATTAGAGTCTGTGTGTTTTTGTCTATGCGCTAGTAGTCTGATGACGTGGATGGGCGAATTACGGTAAAGTCGGAGACGCGTGATCGCACTTTTTGCGAACACACTGAATCCCTAAACACATGTTTTGTCTCCTCGAGCACTCGTCAATCTAATAGAGCGTGCTCCGATTTCCTCCCGCGCACTTTCCGACACCCGCCGTCCGTTTTTATATTCAGAGCGGGTCATCTCTGATCATCACTCGGATTCGTTTCTCCGCCGTAATCTGGTTATTCGCCGGAAAAAGCGCTGGGGGCAAAACAGGCGGAAGAGAAGGTGTCGGCGCCGGAAAAGAGCGAGCAAATTTAGGATCCGTATTGAGAGTGACACATTTTTTCGCACATCGCGTCACTCCACTTCCCTCTGGTTTTCCGCGCTGAAAAGTTGTTTTTTATTCGAACCACGGAGCGCCGGAAGGGTCCGGGGAAGAGCCGTGATTGAAGGGGTTCATCAGTTATGGGCGAGTCGGCGCGGCGAGCGATGAATTCGTTGATCGGCTCGCTGGAATTTTGGAGCATTTTGAGCAGCGAACTTGACGTAAATGAGCTGGAATTTGAGTGCTCAAAAGAAAAGATCAAACATTTTTTTGAAACTACAGAAAAACGCCAAAATTAGCGCGCGCTTCAAGAGAACTAATGCAAATGTGCTCTAATGAACTGAGAAATTGGATGGCGCCATGTTAAAAAAGTTTAAATATTCAGCTTTGGTTGAAAATTGCTTGAATTTGCATTTTCAAAACTGAATTCCAGCAGAAATGACAAATTCGTCACTTTCCCATGATATCATATGAGTCTTCAAACAAATCACCTGCTTCCGGTGAGAAAATGAACTTTGAGAGCTCTGAGCTCTGACCGCGAGCCCTGAAAACTATTAACTTGATGAGGAAGAAGAAAAAGAAGAAAAGTGACCTTTCTGTTTATTCATTTTAAACTCGAAACTGATGAAAAGATGTTTTCAACCAAATTTAAATGAGCAAATTTTCAGCGATTGTGATGGTGCTCAACGCGCAGTACTTCGAAGAGGAGAAGCGCGGAGGCGGCCGTGTATTCCAGAAGCGCGGCGGAGCCCGAGCCTTCGCTCCGGACTTTGACGCCGAGAAACGTGGCGGCGGTCGGGCGTTCAACGACGACGATGACGACGAGAAGCGCGGCGGCGCCCGTGCCTTTCTGACCGAAATGAAACGTGGCGGAGCACGAGCATTCCAGCCGGAGGAAGTTGAGAAGAGAGGCGGCGCCCGTGCGTTTCTGATGGACAAGAGAGCCGGCGGACGGGCGTTCGGCATGAAGAGAGGCGGCGCGCGGGCGTTCCTGGAGAACAAGAGGGACGAGGACTGGGTCATCCAGCCGTACGCCGGCGAGGAGCTCGGTGTGTTCTAGAAACAGAGCACTTGCACACTCCTCCACTTCTTCTTCTTCTTCTACTTCTCCTCTTCTTTCCACTTCTACCCTCGGTGTGTTTTCCCTCTGTTTGTCGTACGTCGCCTAAAGTTTGTACCGTAATGTCCATGTTGATGTTACTTTTCCCTCCGTGCTTCTCATCCCTTCCCTGCCTCAAAAAACCGGTTCAATTTCAGAAAAGCGCGGCGGCGGTCGTTCGTTCCCAGTGAAGACTGGTCCAGTCGACGACTGACATGGCTTTGACACACTCGTCTAGATCTCTGATTCTTCCCGTTTCCGTTTCATCAATGATCAATCAATCATTCAATAAATAAAGTGTTGAGTTGAAATGAAATGTGAAAAATGCAAATGAATATGAACAAAACAAGTGAGAACAAGTACAAAAAGAGAGCGGCTGCAACGGCTACGGGGCAAAGTAATGGTTTCCGGAGGTGAACGGAGGCACCGGCGATTCACAATTCGTCTCCGACTTTTGGACTCGCACTGAAACAGTTTTACATATTACATTTTCAGAAGCCTTGTGCAGAATAAGTACTTACGATTGATGGGATTCATAAAGTATCCTTTTCCAGATCGGTAGAACTCGTACTCAGAGGCGACCGCCACACAATCCACGTCTCTTCTGAGCCGACTGAAGCAGACGTGCGGCGTCAGACACCGGGAGACCTTCATAGTCCAGTGCTCGTCATTTATGGCTCCCATGCAGCGGTCGAAGTCTTCCAAGTACTCTGTGTTCGTCTTGTTCAGCACTTCACTCTTGAAACTGCCGAATCCTTCCACTCTCGATTGCCATTGTCTGAGCAGAAAAATGAGTATTATAGGTCCAAAAGAGCTCACTTGTTTAGCATATCAGCCAGTGGGGACATGTTGATGGGCGTGGGCGAGGGGACGGTGTTGTGGGAGTGACGGAGATGATAGAAGTGGGCTTGGCGACACGGAATTCTGGTTTGAACGTATCCGAAGCGGTGAATTCCCGTCTCATGCATGTTCACACTGTCCACACGACCTGGGAAAACGGATGAAATCAGTCTGAATGGGATCAATGATGTTTTAGAACTCACTGGCATTGACGACTACCCTCGTCTTCATTCTCCACACGTTACAGTTCATCTTGTTCTTCGAGTTTCTCAGGAATTCAAAGTTGAAATTGGCGAGACTCTGATCTCCTTGTCGGTTCGGCGGCACAAATTGCACGTCTCGGTGCTCAAAGAGCAGAGATCCGGCTTGAGGATGTTCGGCGAACAGGTTCTGGGAATTGGCATAAGAACCGTTAGCAACAAGACAGTCGCAACTATACCTTCAAGATTCTCAGATTGTCTCCAGAAGCAACTGACGTCGGATCGAGCGGCAACAAAAAGTCGTCAATGTCCGAGAAGACGACAATATCCGCCCACGGTTTGACGAAGAACAGGCAGTTCACGTGGGACTCCTCAATTCCTCGCGATAAGACCAGTCCGTTGGGGTTGGTATCGGAGAGAATGGGCCATTTGGGCCAGTGTCGGATGATCACAATTCCCTTCTTTTCGTACTCTTGAAGGATTCGGTACGTGGCCCGCGAGGCCGATTGAACTGGGATCACGATCTTCGTGGCGCCCATCGCCAGCCACAATTCGATTCCCGTCACGAGGATCTCCCAATCGGTGTAGATGTACATTGGAGCCATGCACACGACCATATCGTGGCGGCGCTCTCTGCAATTGAGACAAATGTTCACAATCGAGGAACGAAGCTCCGTCACTCACCTCAATGGTGCTTCCGGAGTGACCAACATGGCATCTTCGACGTTCGGTGTTGTACTGATCCTGAAAGATCTCATTCAAAGCGTCAACTGAAGCAAAACAACTCACTTGAACTCCTTCATTGCGTGCACATCCAAATCGCACTCGGCAATGTGACCGGCCCACGAGCAAATGTCCGACGAGGCTCTCTTCCCGCGATGAATGCGTTGAACGGTGGCTCGTGTGACTGCAAAACTTTAATTTAATCTCTCAAAACTCTCCGCACAACTCACTCAGATACCGGTTGTTCGCCTGAATAGAGAAGCAGTAGAGGGGGTGCTCGATACGTCCGTCGGCCAGAAAATGAACGATTGCGAAGCGCCCGTCCACGTTTTGTTCGCGTTCGTCGCGCCAGAAACTACCGAGCACAATCTGTCGAGTGTCTGAAACGGATCGGTGGTCGACTCGGTGGCCATACAATCGCAACCAACTCACTGATATCTTTCCTCAGAAATGTGTCTCCAATGTTTTTCATCGCCCACATGTTGATTGTCCGTGTGTACCAGGCGAAACCGCAGAGAAACGCAAAAACGACAAGAGATATCCGGAAGACCTGAAAGCAGTTGCCAAGTGTCGCAGAGGGTTGCGGCGGTTGCAAAGTGTCCACTCACCCAATCGCCTATATTCGTGGCCCTGCCGCTGAAAACGCGCAGTTTCCTCTGCATGGATGACAGTGTCCGAAACACTGTCCGCTGCATTTTTGATCTGAAAATGTGAGCAAATCAATCGATATACGAGAGAGAGAGTGTGTGTGTATTGGACAGAAAGACGGGGGGAAAGGAGAAGTTTGTATTCAAAAAGAGGACGGCCCGAAACGCTGCTGCCGCGATATGCATCTGGTGTCCGATTTCGCCGAACGATCCGAAACTTCGGGACGATTCGAAGGCGAGATTGGGTGGAGCGTAGCCCGCATTAAAGAGGGACTACACGCAAGCGGGACACTGATCCGAATCTTCCGAATCGGACGATGAAGCGAGGAGGCTCGGAGTAGGAGAAACCGAGACTGATAGCGTCACGAAGTATGAAATATGGAGGGGAAAATGCTGAAAACAAGAACTGATTATGAAGTCTGATATGAACTGGAAACATTGAAATTCCATTGCCTCATTCTGCTCCTTGAAACGTTGTGATCAAAACCTGTGAACAATTGGAAGTCTTTTGGAGCAAGAGTTGTGCTCTTTTTGCAGCTTTAAATTCGAACTGTGAACATTTTGAATAAACGTGCTCCAAATCTTCCGTATCTGTTCAACCGCCCCGAAACAAAAACAAAAAAGAGTTCATCCGTCATTTCACAATATTTCCATTCCTCAGTTTGACTCTCTTCTAATTTGGTATCTATAGTCAAATGCGACACCGCTCGGAAAAGAAGAAGAAGCGGAGCGAGAATCCGAAGGTCTCTCTCTCTCGGTTCCCGGTTCCCCTCCCTCATTCCGTGTCGTTCAGGTGAGCGTACGAGTGAGTGTCCGTCCTTTGCGTGCCAATTGGAAGCCGGTGAAACAAGTCGAGTGCGACGGACCCGTCCACACTCCGAGCCCCGCTCAAGACCAACTCGACAGCAATGTGTGGAAGACGAAGAACGTGCGAACCGAGTATTTGGAAGGTAAGAAGATCGTGGTGACCGAGTCGGAGCCGCCGACTCCGGACGAATGGTCGGAAGAGACGGAGAAGAGCTCCGAGTGTTCGTGCAAACAGAAGATGACGGGGAAGACGGGTCTCGTGGCTCGGTGCGATTGTCCAAAGTGTGAGCGCGCCGATCAAACGCCCACTTCTATGGAACTGTCGCCGAAAGAAACGATCCCAGCGATCCAGGAAGAGGAAGAGGTTGCGGAAAAGAAGAAAATGGAGAAGAAGAGCGAGACAAAGGTCAAGAGAAACAAGTGATCCATCCGATCTTCGTGTCTGATTTGAGTACTGAAACTTCCAGAAAGACCTCTATCCGTCGCACCAAATCGATGCCGCCGCCGCCGCCGCCCGTTCCTCCCAATTCCGTGGCTTCTCGTGACAGTCAGCGGAAATGGAGCAAGCTTTACAAGGAAGCCCATCATCCGAGCAAGATGATCGACTTGAAAAAGGTTCCCTCATCGTCTCAATGCCACGTAGATCCCGTTTTCTCTTCAGATCCCTTCCATTCCAGGTCAGATCGGAATGTCCGAGCTCGAGCCGGAAGAAGTCGTTCCTCAGCACGAACCGCTCCTTCCGTCCTCTGCGAGCTTCTTCCACTCTTCTCCCCAAGTTCTCAATCCACCGCCCGTCTCGCCGCTGTCCATTTCTCTCCGTTCCTTTAACAATCAGCCGCCGCTCGTGCCGCAGCTTCCGGTGCACGTGGAACCGCCCAATGTGCAGGCACTGCCAGGCGATCCCCTGGTGGTGAGCAAGACGCTGAGCACCAATCCGCCCACGACTACCGAGCCGCCGCCAAAGGCGAAGCTGTCCGGAAGTCGTCAATCGGTAAAGGCGAGAGTGAGGAAGTGCTCCTCGAACTCGTCCAACTGCATCGTGATGGTGCCGCCGGCTCCGGAGCTCCACGCCAGGACCCCGATCTTCCGTAAGATGGAGGAGTTGTTCTACGGCCAGGAGACCAGTTGGTGGCTCCTCGTGGCCCTCGTCACGCTCTCAATCTTTGCCTACCGCTCTTCGATCGAACAACACACGTGCTACTACGACTGAAAAGAACCTAATGCTTTTTGATTGATACGAATGAAGTGAAAAGTACACTTGTCTGTTTTCCCTCTAGATCGCATATTTACAGTAACTTCCATTTTCAGGTTATTCTGGATGCTGTTTTGCTCGACCTCCGACTTCTTCACGATCACTCATAATAAAAAACATGTATCAACCCTAGATTGACATGGAGCAAATGCAAAACCAAACTTCGGCGCCACTTTTTAGTTAATAGCACTCTACCGAACTTCTCGCAGAAATGAATGACCTTATATTCTACATATTATAACTTTCTACCCTACCCTCTTCCAGCATAATTGCCCACCTATCGCAATTCCCCCTTTTTTACTATTTCCACGTACTGTCATAAAGTCGCAATAAATAATAATAATAATAAATGCAGCCTTTATTCACATGGTCATTCGGTCAAATCAGTCTCTAGTCTCTCGAGCCCCTCTTCTCCTCAACACGGTCGTGCCACAGGTTCTGGTACTTCTTGTCCGTCTCGATCAACGCCTCCGAAATCTTTTCGGTGAGCTCTCTCTGCGAGTCCTCGGCCGACGAAGAACGACTTCTCGGGCGGCGCTTCTTTTTGGAGGACTCGTCCGAGAAACGGACAATCTTCGAGTTGGGTGCCGACGAGCCAACGGACGCGGAGCGGAGACGACGTTTGCGCGGACTGTTCACTCCTGAAATTTAATGTATTGGAGCAGAATGATCCTCGAATACCTGGAGTGTGTCTCTTCATCGGAGTCGGGGGCGGAGCTTTCTTCATGAACTTCGAGCTCAGCTGATCATCGGCATTTCCGAGCGAGACGGCGACAAACGGAATGCCGTCGACGGAAATCGAGAACGCTTCGAAGTCCGGTTGTTTTGAATAGTAGGAGAGGAATTCACGGACTGAAAGACGTCAGAATCGAAAATATGGCTCCGCTGATAAACGGACCCTGCAGACGGGTCGTCTCGTCCTTAATCATCGCGAACTCTCCGACGGGACGCGTGCTTTGACGTCTCGTAGGGCGCTTTCTTCCCGTCGAGACCTTCTTTTTGTCTTTGAGAATGCGGCGGGGAGCGGATCCAGTCGAGCTGCAGGAAGATCCCGAACGACGTCTCTTGCTTCTGGAGGAATTTCCGATGCGCGAGTGCGGAGAACGTCCGGGAGAAGAACGGAACGAGTCGATGCGGGAACCACGGCTTCTTCCGGTGGAGACATGCGACGAGCCGGAAGATCCGTCGTACGAGGCAGAAGTTCGGAGGGAAGTGAGCGCGGAGCCAGTTGATGCAGAAGAGCCGCTCGAGTAATCCGACGGGAAATCGGTCTGAGGAGAGTCCGGGACCTGCAGAGGCTGACTTCGGTGCGAAGAGCCAACCGGGAACTCACAGTGTTTTGATTCTTTTTCGATCGAGACGCCATCTTGGAATCGATTCGATTCGCACTATCCAATTGCTTGCGCGAGCGAGGGAAATCGAGTGAAACTTTTCGAAAACTGAATCTTTCCCACATACCGGAGGGGACGTTCGTTCCGGTTATCTCTTGGTGCTGTTCACGTAAAAACGAAAACAAATAAACATTTATTAATCAGCTCAGCTCAAAGTTCAGAATCCGACGCACCTTCCCAGTTTGCACTCTCGGTTCTCTTCGCCGCACTCGTGATCCTCTTCGCACCGATTCTCCACACACTTTCCGTCTCTGCACATTTCTCCAGATTCACACGTCTCTTTGTAATCCGCCAGAGTACACGAATGGGCCATTCGAGTTCCTTCGACGCACTTTCCAGAACGACACACTTCACAGGCGGGACAGTGGTAGTCACGGGTGCAGTTGAGCAGAAGCGGATGGGTGCAAATGCCCGATCGGCACACGTCGCACTTGCTCGGACAGTGGTAGTCGCGCGAGCACTTGAGAGGAACAGGAGTAGGCGTGGATGCCGACGTGGATGATGGTGATATGGTTGACGTAGAAGTGGAAGTGGAAGTGGAAGAAGAAGAAGAAGAAGAAGAAGAAGAAGAAGAAGAAGAAGAAGTCAAGTTGTTACAGTCCCCAAAAGAGCAGAATAGAATCAGCTGAAAGAGATATTGTGAATTCACAGGAGATGTACAGTTCACTCACCGCCAGGACGATCTTCATTGTTTGCTGCGTTTCCAAGTGCCACTCTTCGAACAAAACACAACAAGTTTCAGCCAAACAGCACGAAAAAGTCAGCTTCTCTTTGCGGAATGCAAATTCGTTGTCGTCGCTGATTTCCCTTTTCACTGTGCACACAAACACATATAAATTGTCCCATAAACCGTTCCCCCCGCCAGGCATGAAGCCAAACAATTATTTCATTTTCCCCTTCGAAGCTTCGTCATATGAATCATTCCCCCCATTGATCTTTGGTTACTTCACGACGTTGCAAACTACTGTAAAATCAAAACGATTTTCTAATGCGTTTATTTAGAAAAGTGAGCAATATTAAAACAAAGTTATTCAAAGCTGTGAAGAAGGGCATTTGTGCCGTTCTCGTTGAGAAAGTTCCCGATTTACACCCAGAAAGAAGCGATTTGAAGACTTTTAAGACAATGAGAGTAAAGTTGCAAGTGTTGGGTGTCATCGTCGATGATGATACCTCTTCGGATGAATGTACTCCTCGTTCTGCTTCGAAGATCCCGACGAAATCGTACGTTTATCCTAAAAACCGTCTCAAATTGCGCTTCAAACGAACCGACGAAACAGTCGTCGTTCGACTCTATTCTACTCACATATACCTGATCGTTGCGCTCCTCGCTCATGTCCTCCTCGTCCTCTTCGATCATATCGTCGTCGAAATCGGATTCGGATTCCGAGGATTCGTCGCGGACTGAAAGGATCACGTTGAAAAGGGGGAAGCATTTTGAGAAAAGCTATGGGAAAAGCAGTACTTGAAAGCGAGTATCCGAACAGAAAAACGGCGTGTTTTGCGATTTCACGAGACAATTCGAACGGCCGAGCTGAAATGAAACTGAGGCAACTGAAGCGAAGCAACAATACGAAACGGAGCAGGATGACAGGCAGACAAGAGCTCACCGAGAATTCCGATTTTCTGGCCGAGCCATCTGGCTTTCTGGACGACGTCGTCTTGCATCAGTTTGAAGCACATTGCTGAAAATGTTCTCTTCTCTAATAATTCGAATTCTCATATAGATCATACCGATCAACGCCATTCCGAAGAGGAGATAAAGAGCGCAGACGATCAGTTTCTCCTGACTTCCCTCGTCCAACGCTTGTCCGGGAACGATGTCTCCGAAGCCGATTGTGCTGAAATTGCAGGATCTTGGATTTTGGAGGCAAAAACTAATTCAGACTGCTCACCTTAAAGTGATGAAACAATAGTAGGCTCCGTCGAAACCGTTCCAATTCTCCCACCACGCAAACAGCCACGCTCCACCCGAAATGAACGCGAAAACGATGCAAATGCCCACGCTGACTGGCATTTTCTCATGTGATCGATGGCCCTGAATACGTATTCGGAACTCTCAACCTCAATGGAAAGGAAAGCTCACATTCCGTCTGAGAGAGTGCAACGACATCTCGTCGGAGCGTTCGGATCGATCCGATCTGTAGCTTCTTCCGTCGATGTCGCGCATTCTCCTCGACGTGGAACTGTCCATGCTCGGCTGTTTGTGGGTCATTGAGTGCATCATCATCATCTCCTTCTCTCTCAATTCCCTGGCGCAATTGTTCCTCGGCTTCTGCATTTCCTCGTCATCAGTTAGCGACATCTGCAATCGCTTCCCTTGTTCTCCACTCCATAATCTCTGTCCACTTACACTTGTCTCTTCCGTCTTCTCGGGATCCGACTTGACGTCTTCATCTCTGCTCCGTGAAATGATGACGTTTGGCACACCGACGACGTTGTCGTCCCTTCTCTGTTTTCTGGTCACCAGGTCGTGGAATGCGGCAGCCGATCCGCCGTACGCCTTCAGATCCACGACGCCTTCTTCCGGTTGGTGCTGTGCACGGACTAGAAGACCTCCTGAACGGATAAGATGACACGTTTCTACAGTAGTCCTCGCCGCTCACCCTTGTATTCCCGGGCTGGACTCTCACTGATCGCGTGCCTTCCTCGCCTCTTCTTCTTCTCGTCCGTGTACAACTGCTCCATATTTATCGCAGTGTTCGACTTTTGTAAATTGGCTCCTCTGAAACTTCTGAAAACGTTTAGCACGTGATCTGGATCACATGGCCAATCATCGTTCACTCCGGGCCACGAACCTTTTCGCCTGTGGAAAGTTGGGAAGTCGGGGTATTGTGCCGTTCGGACTTCTGCTCTGAGTGCTGATCTTCCGGCGACCGGGCAGAGACATTGTGTCGAATCTCTGCGGGGGCGGAGCAGTCGTCGTTGAGTCGTATCTGAGAGAAGGAAAGCGTAGAAGCAATGTTGCCGAGCTCATTATCACCTGTTGAAGCTCCTGACCGATTTGGTATCATTGCTTCTCGTTCGCGACCTATTCAACGAAGCATGTCTTCTGATCGTATTGTAGCGCTGATTGCTCCGCGAGCTCTGAACCCTCCGCACATTGACGGCGGCGTTCGGATGGTATCGGAAGCTCAACGCGGCCCTCCTCACACGTCTCCGATTCTTTTGCCAACGACAATAGGCACAACAGAGTTTGAAGTAAATGTAGGTGAACACCTGAAGCGAGAGGATTACCAGAATGATCAGAAGTGAACGTTTTACTTGAGCGAGGGTTTCTGCAATGTTGGCGAGGCAGAGAAGCATCAGAGGGATTCCGAGGACCGAGTAAAGGATGGTCAGCAGACGGCCAGTGTCGGTTTTGGGGCAAATGTGACCGTAACCTGAAAACTTGTTCATATTCTCGTGTGTCCCTTGACATTTCGCTCCATTTTTCTTATCAACGTTTGTTCCGAGAGAAGAAAGAAAGAAAAAAAGAGTTCGTCTCTCGGGAAATGACGTAATCAATCTGAAGTTTGTTCTTTCTCTTTCTATTCTGGTCGAATGGAACGAGTTCTAGATATGAGTGCTCATTGAGCACAGACATTTGATGGAGGGGGTCAACTTCCAAAAACAACAACAACAACCCCTTGTGGTCTAAATTTAGAAAAAGTTTGGAGGGCTCGTCGAGAAATGTCCTCAAGGGAGTCACAACGACACGCATTCGGGAGAGATGATATGACAAAGAATTTGAAATGAGAAATACGCAAAGTTGGGCTGGTATTCATGAAACTCTTACCGATGGTTGTGAAGACGGTGATTGAATAGAGAAGCGCTCCCGAGAATGTCCACTGGTAAGTGGGCCGCTCCTCGTCGTGTTCGTCGTATCCTGAAAGAGAACACACTCGCTATTTAGTCGGCCCAATCTGTTTATCTGTCCGCTTCTGACCCAGTTACCAAGTGTTCAAAGTCAGAACTCTTCTGATTTTGCCGACTGTTTTGTCAGAAAGAACTCAAGTCAGAAGAGCGTTCAGCGGATAAATAGAACTAGTCAGAAGCGAAGTCAGAAGGGGATCAAAACAATAATGTTAGTTTCGCGATACTCATGAAAGTAATGGACAAATTCAACTAAGAATGGATCAAATTGGGACGGTGCTTGTTTCTAATCGTTTACCTTCAAAGTTCATGGCGTGCACCAGAAGCATTTCGAATTCCTTCAACGCCCACTGCGACTCATTCTTCACCGCCGTCTCCTCGATCACATTCTTTCGGTTTATGAACCGATAGATGTCATCAACTACCTGCAATCAACCTGTCCAGCAATCCAAACCGATGCCGTTCTTCCCCCCACCTTCTCCGACGCATTCTTCACTTTTCCCTGCAGTCCCTGCTCGTACGGATACTCGACTGCCTGGAACATGAACGCGCCGGCGACCGCGTAAAGTGCGACGAGGAAGCAGAGTCCGACATGGGTGATTGTGAAGATTGTGGCCTCAAAGAACGGAATTCAAGGATGTTCAGAGGGCAGCGAACACTTACAGTTCGGACGAAAGTGGTGACTTTGAGGCAGAACGATCTGACTTCGTCTCTCATTATTCCGTGCTCTACTTGACTCCCATTTGGCACCGAGGAGCTCTAAAAAGGGAAAGCATTGAGGATGAGAGTAAAGAATGTAAGAACATTTTGAGAAGTGTAAAAGATATAGTGCATACTGTACTTTTATAATAACGTTCAGGATGTTTGACAGTATCAGTTAGAAATGGCTTCAACTTCGAATAGCTGTAACTTATCAAACTGACTCCGTTTATACTTTGTGAGTTGCCTAGAAAGGGTTAATCGATCAAAGACAACGTTGATACTGTAACTCTGTACATAAACCCATAAAACGCTACAATCTGTCTAGAAATGTTCAAAAAAGTGCTCAAATGGAGCATTTCTTAAAGCTGTACAAGCGGGAGCGGCAGCAGAAGTCGTAGCGGCCGCATCCGAGATTTTGGAGACAAGGCGAAGAAAAGAGGAGTGTGCTGGTTGTGGGGGAGCAAGAAGACGTTTGCGTGTATCCGTTTTGGGGTCTCAATGTGTGTGTGTGTGTGTGTGCATGTTTTGCCGATTGATAGACGACAACAAGGCCCAAGAAGAAGAAGCAGAAGAAGAAGACGGCGCGGCAGAAGACGTCTCAAAAGTGCCGGGACCAACAAGTCCCCAAGGGCCGGAAATGCGCGCGCTTCCGCCGACGACTCTACCATCGCCGCCAAATGTTAGGCGGCCGAATCGGAGAAAGATACACGCCAGAAGGGGCCTCTTCGTATTCGTTTCCAATGCACAAAAGTTCGGAAGAGCACCACAATTAAAGGGGGGAATGAGCGAACGAAAGTACTGGAAAAGGATAAGGAAGGCGGGGGGTCTAGCGGGCAATGCGACGACGGAAACTCGGAACTCAATTTCTTGCCAAGCACGCGACAATGTGCGGATTCACTTGCAAAAAGAAAAAAAAGAGCAAAAGTTGAGTTGAAGTGAGGAAGAAAACGGGAAGTTGAAGGGACAAAAAGATGTCTTCCGGAAGGGCGGTTCATGGATGCGAGTACTGTTGATGGTTCATTGGATCTGGAGGCACATCGAATCGTTCTCCGCTCAAAGTCCTACCTGGTCGGTCTAATCTTCTCTTCTTCTTTGAGACGGACAGAAGACTGTTAGTCATAATGAGAACCCGTGTCTGGCTGGTCTGGAACCATGACCGGCAGTTGAGAACTTTTATGCTTAGAAGGTTATTGAAAATTCATTTGTTAGCCAACAGAACCCTATGAAATATATGCAGCGACCGTTCTAGAGTAATATTGAAACAAACTTCACAAAAAGAAAGAGAGACTCTTAATGCCAGAAGCCAGGTCCGTACGGTCGGTCCCTCGGATTCGCGGCCACCATCCCGTCTCTTCTCTCCAACGTCGGCACCCGTACTCTTCTGAATACTCGCTCCGCCATCTCATCCGCTTCCAATTCCATTTGCTCAAATGGCAGCCAACTCCGAACCGCCGCATACTTGCCCGGTGTGAACGAGAAATTGATTCGGTTCCGATTGTAAGTCATGTCGGCCACTGCGCCGTCGCTCTTTCTATAGATCAGGTACTCGTCCGATTGTCCTGGAGCTTCCGGAACCTTCTCTCGAATGTAATTCCGCAATTCGAACTTTACTCTGTTCCATTGGAGTTGTCCGTTGAGCGAGACTTCGCAAAGGTTCTGAGGGCTTCCAGACGTTGAATCCGACCAGTTTATGAAGAACTGCGCCACGTTGTTGAAGGTGGACCCTTCGATCGAGAGGATCTTGACGTTCGGCGCGTTTGTGAAGATGTTGAGGTCGAGAATCGCAACGTTCCACAATATTAGATGCTCGATGGTTTCACACTGAAAGTGAGTTTACTTCCCATGTTATTCTCATCTTAAACAAACGTGTGGAAAGTGTGGAACCTCGTCTCTGAACCACGGAATAAGCGTCAGTTTCTCAAGAGTTTCGACGGGAAAGTTGCTCGGCCAGTTGACGAGCATGAGCTCGGCGGAGTGCCCGGCGAGTGTGATCTCCGGCGCCATTCTCAGATTGTCCATCTCCATTATCTCGGCGTATTGGACCGCTTCGCCAGAGAAAGTGAACATGTGAGCTGGTTCTCTGGTGAAACTGATTGCTTTTTTGAGCAAATCGATCATTTGGTAATAGGAGCTCTCATACGGATGTCTGAAATTCCCACTTCACTTCTCATTCCAATAAAAATTCACGTACGGAGTGATTTTCTGCAGTTTTTTTGCCTTCCATTTGTGGCCATTGATCTCCTCTATTTCGATTGCCGTCACTGTCCGAGTCAGACTGATGTAGACCTTTTTGAGGCTCATTTTGGACTTGCTGACTGCGTCTCTTTCCCTTCTCGCACATGCACCCAGAGCCAGTCTGAGCATGATCAAATCCCATCTTGAACTCGTGGAAACTGACTCACTTGGCTCCGAAGTTGGCAAAATCGCCGATTCTCGTGATCATCTCCGGAGGAAGGTTTTCCCACGTGGCCATTATTGATGGAACTAGAAGGAATCAAGCGAATAAAACTGATAGGAAACGGCGGCCGAAAAAGAGATTGGAGAGACGGAAGCGGCAGAGAAAGAGGGCGAGGAGAGGCAGTGCGAAAGGGGAGAGAGCCGAGAGACAGAAAGGGTACTTTTCCGGACCGGGTGCTGTTGGCGTTAGCAGAATGGTATTCAAATGTGGTCATCGGATGACTAGACATTCGGACCGTACCTTCATCAATTCATCTTGATGTCGTTCTTCCATCTTCCGTGTTTTTGTTTTCTTGGACAGTTTTCTTTTCATGTGTGACATAGGTTTGAACGGAAAGAGAAGTTGTGAGCTTAAAAGACGGTGTAGGAGGATTAGGTTTATTGAAATTTGACAAGAACAGAACACAAATAAGGACGAGGGCGAATGAGCATGATTATGATGACAATCGGATTGAGAAAAAGAAGAAGTAAGTGTGAAATGTTAGGGAATAAAATGAAAAAGGACAAACAATCGAGATCTGTTGAGACGGGGAGAATCAAGAATGGAATACGACAAATTAGAGTTAACCGAACAAGTAAAGGGGATTGGATAGAGTATTACCGTTAAGAAAACGTACAATTGAATGGAACTATTGGAATAACATATGGGTCTGATCTTCGGGGAAAGATTCGAATGGAACATGAGAGTAGTAGAGATCGGGTTGGGCAGGAGGGTAAGGAATGGGGTGATATGGAGTTGGAGTGGGGACGTAGTGGTGTGGAGCCGGAGTAGGGTCGTAGTGGTGTGGAGCCGGAGTAGGGTCGTAGTGGTGTGGAGCCGGAGTAGGGTCGTAGTGGTGTGGAGCTGGAGTGGGGACATAGTGATTAGTTGAGGGGGCGGGAACGAATTCCGGAGAGTACGAGGTGCGATCGGAAGAGTAGCCGGAACTGTTCGTGGGACTATCGGGATCCCATCGGACGACATCCGAAGTGGATGCAGCCATCACTTGGCCATCCATCTGGAACGGAGCTGCAGTGACGACAGGACTGGGAGCGTCCAGATTGGATGGAAGACCAGGCACGTACTTATTGTCGTTTGACTTCATGGTGCGGACAAGTGGATTCTGAAAAGATGAAGAGTTAAAGCAAATACTCAGAAGTATGAAGCTTACCTTATATCCAGTACAAGTGAGGAACTCGGTTTCAGCGGCAGAAAACCATTGAACCTCGCGCAGCGTTCCGTCCGGAAGGATTTGCCAGATGGTCAGAATTGGCAAGTATTTCGTCAATGACTTGATCTCAATCTGAAACATAAATATTGAACACTTTTTAATGAATTTGGTCAAAACGTACACTTCTTGCCAGGGTTTCCCTCAGTTTATGGGCCTTATCAGCCGCTCTCACAGCTGCCAAACGATCGTTCGGATCGACCGGCTTGCCTCCGACCTTCTTCGGGTTTCCAATATTGTAGATTTTCAAATGTTCGGCATTTATACCAGCAGCCATCCACTCTTTTCCGCTCATGGTGCCCACAGTGTAGTAGTTTGTGCATTCCGGAGCATCAATTGGCTTCGAAGATTCCTTCCACTCCCCCTCCTCGTATTTCATGAAGTAATCACACTTTCTTTGCAGAAATATGGTAACAGTGTAAGGGATATCGGGGTAGAGTCCCTTCACATCGTACTTCAACTTGGGGAACAGTTCGCGGCCGGTGGTGAGCACCATCATCTCGTTCGGCATCCCGCAGTACTTCGACCACAGCTTCTTCTCATCGTTCAGAGAGATCACAACTGGATTCGGTCCGTTCAGAGGCAGAGACACCGTTGGAGCTGAAAGGAAGAAATGAAAATTGATTGGAAAAGAGTACAACTCACCATTTTGTGGAACTTGATCGTTGCAATAAATGTAGCCGTTGCAGTTGGTCGAGACCATGTTCACAGCGGAAGACGAAGAATATTCAGCCATTTTCGAGAAGATCGAATGAGTCGAATGAAGAGAATACCGTCCGAGTTCTTGTGAATGGAGGAAGAGGCGGAGCAAATGACTGTAATAGGGCGTGGTCTGGCAGAGAGACCGTTTTGGAGACCCTGAGTGTGAGATTTTTATGGGGGGCCGGAAGGAGGTATACCGCCGGGACTGTAAATGGAAGGGACTCTGGGAAGGTACTGAGAATGAGGACGGGAAAGTCGAGGGCGACGGAGAAGAAACTGTGGGAAGAGCATGTTGAGGCGACTGGGGGAATACTCGCAATATGCACGGAAGACGATGATAATGAATGCTCGGATTTGAAGAAGTTCATTAGAAACTATTGTCTTGTATGTTCTGACTGCATAATTTTCAGCGAAACGGAACATTTAACGATGAAATTTTAATTACAAATAACGTATTGGAAGGGCACCCAGAAAAATGAGCTAGAGCAGTTTTGAGTCGATTTCTGGACGTTTCACACGATTTTAAAAGTTCGAAATGTTCAATTCGGGCACTCTGAAAAACAGAAGGGCATGCCCTTGTAATACAGTAGTTACGGCAATTTGATCAAAATTGCAAGCCGAATCTAACTAAAGGCGTCATTAAAATTTGCGCCAGTTTTCTGCTCAGGACTATCCGAGTCAGCTATCCCAGTGAAACTAACTCCTGAGACCGATGTCGGGTTTTCAGGATCTGCTCTTTCCGAACAGTCGTCCTTTTCATATTCCCCAAACAGTATATCATCCATTGGCTACTCGACCGCACCATTTCGTCTCAATGAATTGCACCGTTTGTTGCGAAGCCCCAGTCCTTCGTACAACTCTGTATGAACAGATCGGCTTCGCATATTCTTTCATTCCGGTGCCACCGGAGAATCCTCGCTCTCAACCGAGCGCTTAATAGATAGTCCGAGCGCTTAATAGATAGTCGATTTATTCTCTCTAAATCTCCCTTTATTTATGTCTTTCTCTTCCTTTTCACTTTAATTCAAAAATTTTGTATCCTTTTATCACTTCTCTCCGGCGAATTCGCCCTCCAAATAATCGATACAGCTGATAGTGCGTGTTGTGCGTGTTCTCGACGCTCCTAAACGGGCCGCGCCCGGCGACACTCGTCCGCGCGAGCGGCTTTCGTGGCGAGACCCGCGACCCAAATCCTACTAGTTGTTCGATAATTAATTCCTAATAACGACTTTTTCCCAGCGAATTGCTGCTCGTTTTCCGTCAAACTTGACATTTTTCACATCACAATTTTCCCTGTTCTGTTCCGCTTGACCGTCCGCCTGATTTTGACTCCATTTTGTCACGTTTTGAGGCCGTTTACTGCTCAAAACTCTCTGTACCCAGGCCCACGATCCCCACGGTCGTGACGCCACGGGTCGTCATTATTAGTGATGGCAGCTGCTAATAAACAGTCTATACAATTTCTCTAAGGTTTTTCCCCTGTTCTCAACAGGTTTCCTCACAACTCCAATGGAACAAAGTAAAGTTCGGCTGCGATCCAGAGGATTTTTGCCCTACGGGCGCCTTTTGCCTCTTATACTTTCGATTTAAATAAATCTGAATTCTTTATTGACTTGTGTTATGTCTCGCTATGCTCATCTTATACAATTTTACTCGTTCTCTTTCCTTCTTCCGCAAGCAGTCCATCTGCCCCAAGACTATCGGAGTCTTTCGGGGTCGTCGTTCCGACCTGTTAAACCGGAGGCTCATCACCAGAGTTGAGCGGAATAACTCAACGGAGGAACACGGAAGAATTTTTATCTTTTTTAGAAAAATGTTTCATGAAATGTGATCAACTGACGAAATGAATAGCAAATTGAACTCTGCTCATAAAAAAATAATTGTAAATTTAGCTTTTCATACAAAAAAGTTATACGAGTTGTTCCGTGAAAAAACGGAAGACGGAAGGACATTTTCACGGAACAACTCGAATAACTTTTTTGTGTGAAAAGTTAAATTTGCAATTATTTTTCTATGGGCAGAGTTCACTTTGCTATACATTTCGTCAGTTGATCGCATTTCATGAAAAAATTCTTCCGTGTTCTTCAGTTGAGTTCTTCCGCTCAACTCTGCTCAACACCGTTCCGTCCAGTTAACGACCTCTACAAAAGGACGCCGCCAGTCTTCATGGCCCTGTTTTCCGTTGCTCTCGGGAAATCACCTGAGTGTTGTAAATGTGTATACTCGATCGCATACTTTATGACATTGGTAAGCTATGTTTACAGCTTATTATTAGTAACTGTAATAAAATGAGATAGAGAAGTATACTCATGCTTTTAGGAGTCATTGAAAAGGGCCGTAAATATGGAAACGCTCGACGCGGATGGAAATCGGGAGAGCGCGGAGGAGTTGCGATTAGAAAGAAAAAGAACGGTTATTTTCTTCGCCGCTCAGTTTTTTCAGGTTTTCCCCAAAATGAAATGGACAATTAACAAAATATTTATTCTGTGAACCTGGTTACACTATCCAACAGGAAACCAGGAATCGCCCGCATCGAAAATCACATTGAAATTGGTCAGTTTCTGGATGATAAGGAGCAAATGAAGTCTGGCAACTCGTACGCTTCCGAAACGACGATGAAGAGAATTGAAGAGCGCGTGAAGAATCTCGATTCTTTGTTCGGTGACGCGACCCCAGCTCCTGTGCTCTCGGTTTGTAGTCACGTTTGTGAGAGGAAGCGAGAGGAAGCGCCGACTTTGTCAGTCATTTGCGTGAAGTGAGTTGCTTATTCTGGAGCCACACATCACAGCGGGGAGTGACTGGAAGATTGTGGGTTCCAGAGAAGCGGTAATTCGGTCAGTTGATTTGATATATGTTCCCCAAGTTTAAGTACGGTGTGAAGGGACTCTACCCCGATATCCCTTACACCATTACCATCTTTCTACAAAGAAAGTGTGGTAACTTCATGAAATACGAAGACGGGGCGTGGAAGGAAACTTCGAAGCCAGTTGACGGTCCGGAATACACAAACTGCTACACTGTGGGCACCAAGAGAGGAAGAGAGTGGATGGCTGCTGGCATAAATGCTGAACATTTGAAGATCTATAATATTGGCAACCCGAAGAAGATCGGAGGCAAGCCGGTCGATCCGAACGATCGTTTGGCAGCTGTGAGAGCGGCTGAGAAGGCCCAGAAACTGAGGGAAACTCTGGCAAGAAGTGTACGTTTTGACCAAATTCAACAAAAAGTGTTCAATATTTATGTTTCAGATTGAGATCAAGTCATTGACGAAATACTTGCCAATTCTGACCATCTGGCAAATCCTTCCGGACGGAAAGCTGCGCGAGGTTCAATGGTTTTCTGCCGCTGAAACCCAGTTCTTCACTTGCACTGGATACAAGGTAAGCTTCATACTTCTGAGTATTTGCTTTAACTCTTCATCTTTTCAGAACCCACTTGTCCGCACCATGAAGTCAAACGACAACAAGTACGTGATTCGACCGACGTCCGCCTTACCGGTCGGTCGCCCCCTTTGCGTCTCTCATATCGATTTTCTCGCCACCGTCTGCTTATTCTGCTTCTACTCCTCCCGATGCCTCCACCTGGCGCCAAACGTCGTGCTTCCTGCTCTGAAGGTTCCGACAATCCTGCCCAAATGGTGCCGCTGGCCGACTTCCTGGCTCTAAAGGAATCCTTCGACACACTCTCCTCTCAGTTCGGCGCTCTGATCCAGCTCTTGAAGGGCATTCTGCCGGATTCGTCGCTCCACAACCTATCCCTTCCGTCCAACCCGCTCGCTGGTTCTTCTCTTCCGCCTACTCTTCCCGCTCCGTCCTCGACCAAGTTCTGCTCCACCCTTCCTGCCTCTCTCTCCATCGCCAAGGAAGCGGCCTCGCTGCTCGACAAGTCCACGCGGGCTGTCATTGAGCGCTTGCCTGATGACCCCAAGAACCCCTCACAGGACTCTGTCGATATGGCAGCCGTCTCCAGCTGGTGCGCCAAGTTCGATGCACCACAACCCTCATCCGTCTTCCGCCACTCTTGCTCCGCGCTCATGCGTCCGCTCAAACCTCAATTCGCGAACTCTAAGGAGAGGGACAACTTCACTAGAATCTTCAACTCGAAAATCAAGCCTGCCGAATTCTCCTCTTCCGATCGCAAACCCCGTGCCCGCAGAGATCTCACTCTTGCCGAGCTTGCTGTTCTCCGCGAAAGTCGCAAAACGATCTACGACGAGAATAAGAAAGCCAAATCTTCCATTCTCATTCTTTGGTAACATCCGCGGTTGCGCCTCCCTCACTAAAATCTCGCAGCTCACCGACTTTTTCTCCTCTTCCAGCGCTGACATCCTCCTTCTCACCGAAACTTTCCTCAATGATTCCGTCCCTTCCAGTCTCTTTTCGTCCAACAGCTTCTCCATGCTACGTTTCGATCGCGACCCTTCTGCACACTCTAAATCTTCTGGAAGACCATCCAATCTGGACGCTCCCAGTCCTGTCGTCACTGCAGCTCCGTTCCAGATGGATGGCCAAGTGATGGCTGCATCCACTTCGGATGTCGTCCGATGGGATCCCGATAGTCCCACAAACAGTTCCGGCTACTCTTCCGATTGCACCTCGTACTCTCCGGAATTCGTTCCCGCCCCCTCAACTCATCACTATGTCCCCACTCCAGCTTCACGTCAGTACGTCCCCACTCCGGCTCCACACCACTACGTCCCCACTCCAACTCCATATCACCCCATTCCTTACCCTCCTGCCCAACCCGATCTCTACTACTCTCATGTTCCATTCGAATCTTTCCCCGAAGATCAGACCCATATGTTATTCCAATAGTTCCATTCAATTGTACGTTTTCTTAACGGTAGTACTCTATCCAATCCCCTTTACTTGTTCGGTTAACTCTAATTTGTCGTATTCCATTCTTGATTCTCCCCGTCTCAACAGATCTCGATTGTTTGTCCTTTTTCATTTTATTCCCTAACATTTCACACTTACTTCTTCTTTTTCTCAATCCAATTGTCATCATAATCATGCTCATTCGCCCTCGTCCTAATTTGTCTTCTGTTCTTGTCAAATTTCAATAAACCTAATCCTCCTACACCATCTTTGATAACAGAACATTCTACCAGAAAGGGAACGCCTTCAGTCCGCGTACAGTTGGATTCCTTTTACAGTTCGAAGACACTTTTTGCCGCTCTCAGCACAACGGCCGGCATAGGTGCTGGAGAGAACGGCGACAGCCGCTTGCAGCCCTGGCATGCAATTTTCAGTTTTAACCTTTCTCGGGTTTCCTTTATTGAAGATCTTCAATTTGCCCGCGTTTATCGTCTCATTCATCCAGACCGCCCCATTCTTTACTCCGAGCACAAAACGTGACGACACTTCCGGACCAGTTAATCCTTATTTCGTCTCAACGTATTTGTTTCCTGTATATTTGAAATGGTACTTGCACGCGCGTTTCAAATGAACGGACATTCGGTAGAGCGCATATGGGACCAGGCCCGTCACCTTGAACTTCAACTTCGAGAACAGTTCCCTTCCGGTTACCAGAATGGTCATCTCATTCGTGAGCAGCGCGTACTTCTGCCATATTTCCTGATCCATCAGAGCGACTTCAATCGGCTCCCTCTCGTACTTGTCCGGGAGAAAAAAGCAGACAGGACGAACCGCCGGTGGTGGTGGAGTCACGTGTTCCGATTTCGGCGCTATATTTTCGTCTGCTTCAAGAAGAGAAAAATTGGCAGTATTTTAATTTTACAGGACGGATACTGCCTGGGGAGCGTACTTATTCGAATTTTTAACGAATTGTAGTGTTACTATTTTGAAAACAATCGGGAAGGAAACGCTCGTTTAAGCCACTTCGAAAAGCACATTTTTACCTCGGGCAGATGACAACTATGGAAAATGATGATTGAAACGTTTTAAAATAAAGTTACTCACCGTTGCCGATCGGATTTCTGACCGAATCGAACGTTTTTCGCTTCGGCAGTGCATGAAATGACTGATCGTCGCCGTCTGCAGACTCGGGAGAAGAAGGAGCCGATGGATGTTGGCGGAGCATTTTCAACTGAATTCCGGTTCAATTTTTCAAAGCTAAGAGCGAAATTGCAAGGCACTCGCAGGAGATAAAATTCGAACGGGCTGATTAAAGTAATCAATGGGCGATTTTTTGCTGCCGGACTAGAAAACTCCACGTCCACGGCTTCGCTCAACGGCTCAACTTTTTTCTAGTCCCTAGCGATTTTTCAAAAATGAGATGAGAAATTGAGTTCATGAATTCGTTCTGTGGCACTTTTTTGTTGCATTTTTGTGCTCACTGATCTAGTCCGTGATAATAATTTTCCATGATTCCCATAAAATTGCTCGTGTAGGAAATTCAGATGATTTGTTTTAAAAATCGAGCGTGAGACGCGAGAAGTCCTCAAATAAAGACATTTCGTAAAAAATTGGCCGCTCAGAGCTCTGAAATTACGGCTTTTAAAGGATGAGCAGAATACGTTTTTGAACTTCATGACGTTCAAGATCGCTGAATTTTTCAGTCCTAGAGGACTGACAAAACGGAAAAGAGAGGGAAGACAATTGAGACGCATCGAATCAGGCAATTTTCGAGATCGTTTCGACGGTTTTCAGGCGCAGTTCACCTGTTTGCCCTTCAAACGAACTGAAGAAGTAATTCCTGACACGTTGCGGAAGCATGCTCCTGTCCTCATATTATGCTGAATCCATTTCTTGTACAGCTCTCGCAAATCAACAAAGTTTGAAGGCGCCCTGGAAGCTAAAAGTTCGAGATTCGAAATCAATTTTGTGTTGCGACTGTCTCGAACAGTGTAAAAATAAAAACACGTTTTTTTTTAATATCACAACTTTATTAACTTCCAAAAAGAAAAGGCACTTTACGAAAATAGAAGGACATTATGAACGAACAATTATTTCGTGGTTGGGCGAGAAAGCGTATGTTGATAATGCTACAGAAGCTCAACAAAAAGAGAATGGGGAACATTATGCAGTGATTTCGTTGGAAATAAACTACAGAACACTAAAGCCAAAAATGTTTCTGAGAATTGAGAGAATTGCAACAGAAAATGATCATTGAAGGGATGGGGGGAACAAACGCTGAGAACTTATACCAGAGAATTAACATTTTTTGGGTTTTCTTGTGAAATATTAGAGGGGATGGAATGTAGAACCATTCAAACTGGGGGAAAAAGATCACAGTCAACCACGTGAAAGTGCCGAAAAGAAGTTCTAGAACGAAAATCGATGCGAGCACTTTTTGAGTGATTGTTGGGGAAGGAGCACAGGAGGAAAGATGATATGGGGGAAGGAGAGAGAAAAAACGATTAATAAGCGAAATGAATTCGGATGGATCGAGTTCAAATTACTGTAGAATGGTTTTTCAACCTTGACAAAGGACGTGTTTGCTTCTACTGTAATAATCAATGAATGAAAAGGATCGCAGCGATCCGGATTAATGGCAAACTTTCTTGGCGACCAGACTGACGCAGATGTCGTCAATCGATCGTCGCTTATTGGCCTTCTTGGTCTTCTTGACGATCTCGACGAGGGAGTCGGTGGGCGAGCTGGCCGAGACTCCGGACGAGGTCATCGAAGAAGAGGAGACCGGGCTCGGCGTGTTGCTCGCTGGCACCGAGCAGCTTCCCGACTCGGAGGCAGAGTTGCAGACGGGCTGCTCCGTGGAAACGGAGAGGAAGCCAGTTCCGACGGCCTTCACTAGCTGGTCCTGAAAGAAGACGGTTTATTGCTGAACCCCTTCTGATGCTCTTACCTTCTCGTCCTCATCAACCACATCCACGTTCTCCTCCTCGGCTCCGCTCGTCACGTCTTCCGTCGAAGTCTCTCCCTCGTTGTTGTTCGAAATCATCGAGAGCACACTCTCCAACGGCGACTGCACTGGCTCCGGGGTCTCGGCGGTCTCGGTCTCAGAAGAGGACGTCGTCGAGGAGGCGGACGACGATGGCATCTGGAGGAACTGCAGGAACGCCGGATTGGCATTCAACAGGGCCTGAATCCAAGAGGCGGGGATGTTGGATGGAGCTGAAGCCGGAGGAGCAGCAGAGGCTCCCTCGACGGAGGATTGCTGGTTGAGCAGGGAGGAGAGCATGCTCAACATCTTATCCGGCTCGGCGGTCGGGACAGCGGCCTTCGGAGAGCGCTTCTTGATGCGCGGAGAGCGTTCCTCGCCACGAAGCTCATGTTGAGAGAGAGAACCTGAAGAGTTGAATGGTTATTATCAGTGTCAAAAAGGGCTCCACAATGACGGTCTGCCAACTGATAACATTCTTCGCAAGCTTTTCCCTCTGACCATGCGCGCTTGCACTATCAATATGATTATCAGTGAAGCGCACTTGCTTGCCCATCTTTCCAATCTACTCATCACACCTAGTTCAAATGACATGACAGATATTTCCCAAAAGCAGAGCCTTATGGCTATGTGCGTGTCAACGAGAGAGCAATTACAGACCATTCTTCCCAGAGTATCCCCTCTCAAAGACCCGCCGCCCCGGTCCCTCTTGCTTACCAGGTGGTCGGCTGCTGATCGCGATCGCCTTCGCCTCTCCGGGTCCGCCCGTCTTCATCATCGAGTTGTTGTGCGAGTGCAGCTCCTTCTTATCGGGAAACGTCCAGTTGCAGCATCCGCAGGTGAACACTCTCGGGATGCCATGCTCGGTTTGCATGTGGCGACGGACCGTGTCGTTCTGCGAGATCTGCTGCATGCACACCATGCACTGCTGGTCGTCTCCGTGGAAGTTGAGACGGTGGCGGTTCAGCGAGGCGGCGTGACAGAACGTCTTTCCGCAGTGTCCGCAGAGGAACTCTCCCTTGAGGTCGGGGCGTTTCAGCTCGGCTTCCGGACGGTAAGGCATCACGAGATAACGGACGATGTCTGTAAAGAGCGAGAATTGATTGAGGAGCTGGAAGCAAGAGAGGTAAAGAAGGTAAAATCGAGTTGAAAACATGATATGGAATGGCAAAAGCATGGAGAGGCATAAGTGCAAGTAAACACCGGAGGAGAACGAAAACAGCCCAAGCACGAGAATGAGACCGAATGGGACTGTGCCGGAATGCTCGACTGTTGCGGCCCCCCTCCCCCCGCCCGCCACACACATCACCTATAGGGGCGGAGCTTGAAGGACCACCGCGCGCACCGTCCACCCCAAAATCCCCCGTCGAGGGGCAGAGAGACGCAGAGAGACCCAAGTTCAAGGTCTAAACACCTTCCCGGGGGGAAAGAGCGAGCTTCGCGAGAAAGAAGCAGAGAGAGAGAGAGAGAAGAAGAGAGAGAAGACCCCCTGTAATTATACAGATAAGCAGAGGGCGGAGAGAAGCGAGAAGGAGAAAGATGGGACGACGATGATGGGTGATAAGATAGCAGCAGCAGCAGCATCACCCACGACGAGGAGCGGGCTTATCTTCTTTCTTGCCACGTCATCGGGGTCAGCCAGTCAGTCACAAGCCTTCGTTCGTTCGAGCCTGTTTGTCCTGTTCGCGCACACACACGCACACACATGGAGCCTGTTGATGGGGTGGACATGACATGACGTAAGGTCGACGGACACTGTAGGACAGAGCAACTGCTTGTAGTGTAGACGTGCATAGTGAAGGCTTGAAGGACCGGGTGGCCACGCTATGACATGTTCGCAAAAAATCTGTCAAAAATTCAAAAATTGAGCTTTTCGGGATCATTTCTTATACAGGAAGCATCAGAATCGGGATGACGGAGGTAACCGACCGGCTACAACTATGGTTTTATGGTCCGTCACCTTTAGAAGCATTAGCTAGAAGCTTCAGGTACCGTACCCCCCGCTTCTACTCCTTCCTTCACTACGATCCACTCATAATCCGCTCGTCGCCCCAATCTATTACCATATTCATAAACGGGCGAGCGAGCGAGCGGAAGAGCGAGAGAAAGAGATAAAGTTCACCCTTCTTTCTCTCTCTCGACAATAATGAGGTGTGCTTCACATAAAGTGTGTGTGAATTGGAAAAGCAAAGTGCATCGCAGCCTGTAGAGGGCCATTCCACCTTCCCAAATTGCTGCTGCTGCTGCCCATCTGCCAATGGGGGGTTCTGTACAATGCAAACATACCTGCCACGTCATCATCATAAAGCCCTGATTTAGTAACCCACACACAGAGAAAGAGAGAGAGAGACACACAAGACGGCGGCATCCTCTACAGTTATAAACGAGTCACTTTATGGATGGATGGAAGGAAGGACCATTACATCAGCCTCGCTTTACCCCCCAGGAGAGGGAGAAGGCAAGAGGAACGACGATGGTGAGATGCTTATCATTCAGAGCGATTGCGTAATTATGGTGTACAGTTTCGGTTCGGGGTAGATAAAGTCGGGGGGTGGGTCAAGAAGACAAGCTCATTTGAATGCCACCACCTAATGGAGAGGACTTTCCGGCCGTAAGTAGTAGGTACTGTAAGGAAGAGAAGCGGACAAAAGGAGCGGGTCAATGAGCCCGGGACAATAGAGAATCGCGAGGCTTCGACTCAAATTCTCACTGGGAAGAAACAAGACGAGGAGGAGGAGGAAGAAGAAGAAAGAGAATAAGGAGCGAAGATGATGCCGACCAATAATAACATTCAATTAGGACCGATTTCGAGTTGGGGGCGACAGGCTCTTCGAGAGGCAGCCAATTGTTGACGGAGTTGCTCCCCGACGAAGAGCTTCTTCTTCTCCGCTTCTGTATGCCTTAAAAGGCAGTGGGGGGCTGTGTAAAGTTGTGGTCAGTCTTCTTCTTCTTCTTCTTCTTCTTCTATTTTCATCTGCGGTCGTTGAAGAAGCAGCCGAAAGGGATGGTTTTTCGAGAAAATTGAGGGCGAAACTGACCTTGAGGGGAACAGAAGAGGAGACGCCAATAGATGAAAACTGGTACGGAAAATGGTCAAAAAGCAGTAAGCAATTGGAAAATGGGAAGGTCTGCAGGTGCAGCACTCACTCGTCTCCCGTCATTAGCACCCGGTCCAACTTGTTCACATCAGATGCTCGCAACAAAAGGCACCCGTAGATCCCCGTTTCCCAGAGGCAATGTCCGTCTTTGAGCTGTAAAGCATGCCGACCGTGTCCTCCCCCTCCATCCATTCTAATCCTACCTGGTGGTGGTGGTGGTAGTGGTGGGTCAAGGCTGGAACAAACAAGTGACCGGAGAAAAGAAACACGAAAGGTGGGATGGAGAAGCCAAGCGAGGACGCTCGTTACGCAATGATAGTAATCCTCTCCTCTTCGGACGCCCCCGATTCAGGGTCATTTAGCTTACTCGGAGAAGGGGCACGGAGGTCGGTCAGTCTTGAGGAAGCAAACCGAGGAGAGGAAGGAATGTCTCAAAAAGACATTATCAGCAAAGCGCGCTTGATGGTCGAGAATGCACATTTGCATAAACTGTATTTATCGTCGTCCCTTCCGTCCTTGTGCCAACACACTGCCCGCTTACAGAAAGGCCTCTTTCGCTCGACGGGGGGGCACCTTCCAATACAGCAGATGGTATGGAGTCATGTGCGCGAAAAAGGAGACGTTTAGGGGGGGGCATTCTACAGGTTTGAATGGGTAGAGATGGCGGGTTGGAAGCTCATTTGGAGTAGGGTCTATGAATAACCTGCAACAAAAGTGATGCCGTTAATTCAAGACAGTATATCTCAACTGGCGAAGAAGATTTTGAAACGTTGTCAATTGGGAAATTGCTCATTGAAACATTGTGTACATTTTGTCAGTTGACCACTTTTTGGTAACTGCACAGACAGCTCAGATATACCGGCTTGAATATACTGTATCTAGGAATGAATTTGTTTCGCAACTCGGACAATGTGATCCGCACAAAACAGTCGTCGAAACCTCTTCACAGAAGCTTTGAGAGGATTTGCCGAATAAGGGTTTTGGGTTCAAACAACACGGGCGTCAGGTGAGTTTTATGAATGCGTGAGTGGTTGGACGGTCTCCCCTCGTTTTCCTCCTCCGGCGGATGCTTCTGTCGTCTGACCTTGGCACATGATGATGGCCGGCCGTCGACCCGACCGCCGGACGACTACAAAAGCCTTCACTCACTCACTCACTCACTACTACTTTTCGAGTACTCGCTCTTCTCTTCCCCTCTTCTTCCCGTCTATCGGACTGCCGAATCAGGCGACGAAGGCGACGCACATCGCCGTCGTCGTCGTCGTCCTATTAGGCTAAATAGATGACCGACGGGCCGATTGGGAAAAGACAGTGCGGAAAAGTTGGAGGGTGCCAGAGAAGAAGCTGAAATGACCTTTACCAGTTAGAGGTAGCGATTAGCATCCGATGGGAAAGATAGATGTCTGTGTGACGACGGCTTCTCAAGGATACTGTAGGTTACTGTAGCCGAGCTCAGCTTATGCCTAATTATCCGTGTATGTGTGTGTGTGGACAACTCGAGCTTAACCCCCTCATTACGATCTCCCGCTAAGCCCTCGCGGCATTCCGACGCACAAAAAGGTGTCAATGGCTTAACGGACGGCGAGTCCCGGGGCAGGTGGGTCCGACGGGGCGGCACACATCCGAATTACATACCGATTAGAAAAATTAGTCGTCATGCCGCTCGGGAACCACAAAAGAATAATGGCCGAAAGAGCGAAAAAAAAGGGACGGACGGAAGAGAGATCGACCAGAAAGCGAAAGTAACAAGTTAGTTACAAAGCGGAAGCTCCGCCTACACAGCCATAGAGGGTTTCGACACGATTTAGGAAAACATGTACCGTAATCTTGTAGCTCTTCCCATATGGTGCACCTGTTTGGGAAATCGAGAGCGCAATAAGTTTAGAGAAAAAAGTGTGGGAATGGGTGAAAGAGAAAGAGCAGTGTGAACCATCCCATCAGCTGAAGGGGACCGGTGACTCACAAAAAAGGAATGGCTGGATTTCGAAAGCCGAGAAGTTACACGGTCTTTACAGTATCCTGGACTTTTCAGACACGACACTTCACCTCAAAGTTCTTGAGAACACTGCTAATACCCACCCAGCGGTGCATTCCCCTGTCAGAACCAATTAGTGACTAACTATGCCCCCTCCTCAAACCTACAGTACCATTTGCCACGTCACCAAGAAGAGGGAGAGAGAGAGTCAATCTCAAAAGTATCGAGTATCGGGAGGTTGTGTGATCGAAATGCTGCTGTTACCCGGGTGTTACCAGCCTGCTTTGCCTGCCATCCTCCCCTCCTCCCGTGCGTCGGCCAAAAATGGAGGGGAATGGTTACTTACTTTGTCTGTTTCTCTCTCTGCCTCCCGCGCGCACAATTCAAAATCATCGAGGGGGGCGGGTGGGAGAGAAAGAGAGAAAAGTGAAAGATTGGTGCTGAATGGGAGGTGGTGCGCGGAGAGAACACCGACGAATGATAACACGACTACTGTAGGGCATCGCAGAGCCATCGACGAGACAACGGGTCTTCTGAAGAGGGCGCCCGACGAGCAGACGCTCTCCCCCACCGGGGGCAACCGGAATCCGGTTTTCAGAAGCGTCGTTGTCCGTCGACCGACCGGCGGGGCTTGTGCCTCTTCACCGTCGTCGCAAAAAAAGAGTCGGTCGATGGATGGCGGGTGGGGCGAATGGCAAATGCCGAAGTTTCCAATTCGGGGAGGTGGGTGGCAAACACAAAAGGCAATGTTTGAGAGCATTTCCCATCACAAAAGTTACTTTTCGGGAGCGAGGCAGAAGTTGAGGAGGTCAACAATCGATCTGATGATCGGTGTGGAAGAGGGGAGGAAGAAGGGGAGGAAGGAGAAGGAGAAGAAGTGTTTTTGATTTTGAAGCCTCTCCTTCTCTGATGACGGGATCGACTGCCGGAGTAAATATTTCAGCACGTCATCGGACTGATCACACTTCACGACGATTTCGTAACCGATTAGGAGTTGGATCGTTGGATTCTTGAGGTCTTCGGTTACCGGGGTTACTGTAGTCGTCCCAGAACTACCGTAACCCTTCTGGCTTCCTCTGAAACTTTGCTCCAACTTCTTTTCCTCAAACTTCTTGGAATTCCATTTCTCTAAAACTTCGCTCACGAGTAAAACCTTCCAGAAACGCCGAAATCACGCCTGTAAACCCGTCCTGATGGTCAGCAGCTTATTTTTGAAAACACTCTTCGCCTCCTTCTCCTCTTGCCCAATTCGTTTCACACACAATAGGCTCAGTGGGAGAGGAAAAGACCCCCACTTCTACAGTAATTGAAGGCCGTCCTCGGGGCGCAAAAGTTAGTGAAGCGCGCGCGCCTTCTGCCCCTTCCTCCTCTTCTAAAATTGCACTGGCACCGGAGAGAGTGCGTGGATTCGAGAGAGAGAGAGACGCCGACACTTTTCCGATCGAAAGAACCGAAATGGCAGCTTGACCTTCGGCTTTTGTCCATCTTCCTTTGCAACCATTTTTGATTGGAGAGGAGGTGATGCGCACGCGGAGATTTGGAATTTTGAATGTTGAATTTGACCTCGATGGAAGTACGGGAACGCATTGGTCGTTTCGATCTTGGCTACGATCTGAAACGTGCGGGCCTGTATCAAAAAACTTTCTGCAAAATAACGGTTGCCCCGAACCAGGATCGAACTGGTGACCTTTAGATCTTCAGTCTAACGCTCTCCCAACTGAGCTATCGAGGCGACGGATCCCGCGGCTCACAGACCAATCAGATTCTCGGTGTTTGCGAAGAAAATTCGATCGGAAGGCGTCGCCGATCAGAGAAAAAACGAAAAAAGCGTTGAAGTAGGCGCTTGATTCATTTTTCAAGCCCGGTTTTCGTGCCCGTCAGCATCATCAACTACTTGGGTAAATGGGCTGACACGAGAGAGTGTCCCGGGAGGAGAGGACGCAGAGAAACCTGTATTCAGTCATGTGATGTTTTTATTCTGTTTTTTTTTTTTCGCGAATTCGTCCGGCGTCCGGCGTCTGGTCTAGAAGAAGAACAGCTTCGGACGAACACACACACACACACAGACACACACACTCTCGAATTCTGAATCATGAATGCCGACGACGAGGCATTCTTACAAACTTCTCGAGAGGAAGAATGACCAGAGAAAAGTTGAATGTTTCTTCGAAGGCGAAAAAGAATTACACTTGAATGGCCGGCCGAATGCCCACGATTACAACGCGTTTAGACAGGGAATTCGAGAAGAGATCAAGCTACAAAGGGGTCGACGATTACGGTAGTCGGGGTGATTGATAACTGTGCAGGCGACCGGAAACGGGGGTTTTCGGAATTAGAAACCAGAAAAGAAAGGAGGGGAAATATGTTGGGTCCGGAATCCGGAAGTTACCTAGCTCCAGAAAAATGTTAGAAATCAGGTTTGCGAGCACTTTTTTGAATGCGCAAGACTGTATAAAGCCATAAAAGTCCCTAAACCCTCCAATTAAGCGTTGATGAACGTGTTGCGTGTAATTCAGTCCGTGCACGATCTTTTGCGTGGATTTCGCTTTACGAAGTTTACATTTTCGTCAGTTGATGCTGGCTTTTCACACTCGAGAAAAATGCAAAAATTGACACTGTAAAACTTACTTTTTAAAGGACACAATCAGTTTCCGATTACCGAAAACAGACTATACACATGCAGTACAAAAAGATCAATGCCCCGAGCGGGATTCGAACCCGCGATCGGAATAACCCGAATGAGTTCATAAGACTCACGCCTTGGACCGCTCGGCCATCGGGGCACACGGACTGAATTACACGCAACACTCTTATCAACTCCTAATTGAACAGCTCGTCGAGGTTTCAGGGACTTTCAGGGCCTTATGCGGTCTTGTGCATTCAAAGTGTTCGCAAAACCTCACAATTTTGAAACAAATTCAATGCTGAAACGCTGGCCAACCGGGGGAATTCGACTTTGGGAAGCTTGGTTTTTGGTTCAGATGTGGTCAGAAACGTTTCCAGAATAGTTTCAGGTTGATTTCCTTCGCTCTGCAATACCATAAACTTCAGTTCCATTCGTAATCATCTCAAAGATTACCGGGATTATACCAGTGCCAATGCCAATCACAATGCTCCGTTTCGTCTTCCTGAGTCCTAAATTTCCTCATAAAAAAAGCCCATTCTCCATTTCAAAAAGTATCTTATCAGCTGGGACTATACCAATTTCAGGTCATTCTTATCGCCTCTAAACCCATCACAGTTTGACGATGACCGCAAACTTTTCGGTCTCTTATCACTCGCTCTCCATCAATTTCACACTTTTTCAACTCTCACATTTCAATTCCCGAAAGAAATTTGAAATTGAAACTGAAACTGAAAACGTGTTCCGTTCAGCCGGTTCAATTTAGGTTTATGGCGTTTCCAGACGGTCCAAACGTGCAGTAATCGTCGACCAAGAACCAGTACACATTTCGACAACAACCAGAACGGTCCCCCCTTCATTCTTCTTCGCCTTCACCCGCTCTGATACGGAGCTCACGCAGCAAACAATCCGCTTATCATTCTTTCCTGTTTCCCCCCGCCCGCACTGGTCACTCACAGTCTGAAACTAGCGATCGGTGTACTGCTTCAAACACACTTGACACCCAAATTTCAGAATGCGCGTCCTGAAAGTGGACGACATATTCCAACTGGACAGCTACCAGCTGGTCGTGTTGGCCTTCAATGAATTCCTCATCTTCACAATGCTATCCAACGTGGTCTTCAACATGTTCGGAGCGGCGGCTCCGCGAGTCCCCGGCTGCGACGACGTCGTTTACAACGCCACGAGCGTCTTCCAACAGTGCGAAGCGTACGACGCCCATTTCGACTGTCAGAAGCCGATTCTGAAGTACGAGTTCAAGTCGGCGGCCGTCGAATTCGAGGAACTTTGCAATCGGCACGACGAATCCTACATCGACCACGTGACCAAACTGTTCGGAGTGAATAATCGAGTGAGATTCTCGACGACTTCTCAAATGATCGGCGTCATGTTGGGCTCTGCGATAGCCGGACAGTTGTCCGATTTGTACGGAAGACGGAAGGTGAGCCGAGCGGGTTCTGTGCGGTGGGGCGAGCTTGCATTCTTACAGATCACACTCGTATTCCTCTGCCTCATGCTCTTTTTCTCCACGGTTTCGAGCTTCTCGTCGACCATCGAGGTTTTCATTATCTACCGCTTCTTTATTGGAATCTGTTGTGGCGGTCTCACTACGTAAGGAAGGGATTACAAAGGGTCCAATCGCGTCGATTCTTCCAGTGTCGGGTGCATTTTCGTGGTGGAGAACCTTCCGGCGGCGCACCGTCTCTGGATGAGCACCGTAATCACCTGGGCTCCGAACTACATGCTCTTTGCTCTCTTTGCGTACGTCACTGGCGAATGGAGGGCTCTCGCGCGGATGTCCAATGTGATGACCGTCGTTGCGATCGCCATTTGTGCTTTGTAAGTTGTCAGAAGGCACTGAAATCCTGCGAATTCCATTTAAGTCTGTTACCTGAAAGTCCCAAGTATCTGATTCAAACTCGGAAAACGAAAGAGGCGATTAAAAGTATAAAGTACATAAACAAGTTCAAACGAGTCAGGAATCAGTTAACTGACGAAGAAATCGAGGGCGTCGTCCGAACCGCCATTGACGCCGACACAAAATCTCGAGCGAAAGCGAAGAAATACAGTTTCATTCACCTCTACATTCACCCGAAGATCACCGTTCAAACCCTTGTGGCCTCCATTTCAATGTAAGAGCATCTCTAAGAGCCCAACCAGAAGCATCCATATTGCAGGTTCTCAGTGAGCTACGTCACTTACGGGCTCCTCTTCAACTACGACGTGCTCACCGGCTCCATTTACATGAACGCGGCGGTGTCCGGATTGCTCCGATACATTGTCGGAGCTGTCGTGGCCGTGCTTGATCACTTCGGAGGCGAACACGTCGGAAGGAAACGAATGCATTTTATCACGGTCTCTTTCATCATGTGCTGCATGTTCGGCATCTTTTACATCTACTTTTATGGTTGGTTAAGGGCACTTTCTGTGAGTTTTTCGATAATGTTCTTTAGATTTGGTGGCGGAGTACAAAGGATGGATCCGTGCTCTGACGCTCTTGGCCTTCGGGACCACCGGATGTTTGTTCCTTCAGTTGCTGCTCATCACTGCGGAAATGTTCCCAACGGGCATTCGGAACATTGCATCCGCGCATATAAACGTCTGCGGAAGGCTCGGAAACGTATTCGGACCAATGGTTTTCAATTATGTGAGTGGTGGGTCTCGCAGAGAAAAATTAACATTTTTTGCATTCAGAAGCTCGGGTTCGCTGGCTCCGGCTACTTAATTCTGGGTCTCATTTGCCTTTTCGATGTGATAATCTTCCATATCTTCATCCCTGAGACTAAAAATCAGCCGCTTCCGCAAGGAATGCCAGAAAAGAAGAAAAAGAGGAAAGGACAGCGAGAGACACAGAAAGAGCTGATGACGATTCCGGAGGAACCTTGAATTCTCAATTTTTGCATCAATATTTTTTTCTACTGTACATATCTTTTATTGCGCGCGATTGAAATAATGAAAAAAGCTTTATCGAGTTGTAATTCAAAAGCTACCGTAATCGCTGGTCTCGCAACGAAAACAACTTTTGAACGCGGGCGCCAAAAATTTCGATTCAAAATCCTTTCGTTTTCGACGTGTTTCTCCACTTTTCTCAAGACTTTCCACGTTTTCCCACAATTCTCCTAATGATCGCTTCGAAATTAAATTATTTTGACAGACTATCTCATAAAAATAATGCTAGCAACATTGAAATCGACAGAAATGTTCGACGATCTGTTCAACGCGTCGAAAGGCAGCGAGACGAGCTCGAAAGCTCGTGCACCGAACCCGTGGCCAGCTCCCAGAAATGTGAAAAGCTTGAAAGTGCCCGGAGGAGTATGCGGATGCGACGGAGGCACTGGTGGACCCGGAGAGAGGCACGGAAAATCGGGAATCAGCTCCGACGGCAGTTATTTCGACGATGGAGTCGGATTCCTTGAGAGTCAGTCTGGAAAGTTCGCAGATTCGTTGAAAGAAGACCCGATTTTCAGAGCTGCAGCAAATTGAGAAAGAACGTGGCCAGTTGACTCCGGATAATCAACACCTAGCCCTATTATTATGTGCAAATTCGCCGACGCCGTCTATGAAACGTCTGGAATCTCGGTCGTCGAGAACTCAGCGACTATCCAGAAAACTCACGTGTGCCAATTGTTCCGAATTAGGTCACCTCTCCAACGAATGTTCTGCAACGCCAAAGAGTTCGTTGGGTAAAGAAAGGCTCTCTCTTGATCACGGTCAGTTTTTATTTTAGGATTCATAGAATCCTTTTCTATTTTCAGACAAGCAAACTATGGAGAGTAGCAAGTCGTACTACAGTGCATATGCGTACGGAAGCAACAGCCTAGAGAAAGTTCTGAAGCTGTCGCCGGACACTCCGTCGCCACGTGGATTAACAAGAGATCGAGGCGCCAGACACAATTTCCTGACACTGAAGACAACGCCGGAGGCCAAGAAGCCGTTGGCGCAGCAGAAGAGACCAGCGACGCCGGCACCTAAAAGACCTTCAATTTTTACATTTCCAGTCAGTGCAAGCCAAAGAGGTAAAACTGAAACTTCATCTTCTGGACTATTTTCATGTTTTTCTTTCAGAAAGTATAGAAACTATGAAAATCGAAACGCGTCACACAGTGATTCTTGATGGCGACATTCATTTCGAGGAGACGAGCACGATTCAGTTCCCGAAGAATCTTCCGCCCAACGTGCACGTCATCACAGCTCAGTTCGTGCCGACTCAAGTGGCCAGAACTTAATAAGCTCCTCGTGTTCTTCTGTTTTATTGATATTTTCCCACTTGGACCTCATTTTTCACATTTCTCGCCGATTGCGTTGTCTGCTCACCGGAAGGACTGTTTTATCGGTGAATCGAATGAGTTATAGAAATTGCTTAATGTGTTGCTCGTCAGGTAATAAAGTTTAAATTCAATGTTCCACGATTTTGCCATTCACGTCCCAATTCCTCTTCCCCCCTCCCCCTCGGTGTTTACACAAACGCGTCGTTTCGTGCGCCTGCGTACTTCATGTCTCGCTTCGTTTCGCTTCGAATTTTTCCGTCGTTCGTCTTCAGAATACAAAAATGGCGACGAAAGATCGGAAAAGACGTGGAAAATGGGACACCTACAAATCACAATTCAATTCGGATGACGGGCCGGGCTCATCCGGAGCCGGTAGCGCCGATAAGGACGGCGCTGCTGCCGGTAAGACACATTTTTGACAGATTTGATGAGAATCTGATGAAAACGTTTAATTTGTTCAGTACCAAAAGCCGCCTCACACAATTTGAACAATGAAACGTCGACGGTACAGACGGACGAGTTCGGGGCGAAAGATTATCGGAGGGATATGCCGCTAAAAGTAAGGAATTTATTGACTTCTGCATAAAAATAAGGAAAAAATAGAGTTTCGAAGGTCTTTGGTATTAAATACTATGCTAGAACGAATTTTTCTGTTCTAGAGTTCATAAATTATTGTGAAATCTTCAATTTTCAGGGCGATTTCAATTCTCGTCCTCTCTGGGTGGCTCCAGACGGTCACATTTTTCTCGAGTCGTTCAGTCCCGTTTATAAACACGCCCGAGACTTTCTCATCGCAATTTCTGAGGTAGTTTTCTGTGAATTGTTATGAAAAGTGCCGAAATTTCAGCCAGTGTGCCGTCCTCAACACATTCACGAGTACCAACTGACCGCCTACTCGCTCTACGCCGCAGTTTCGGTCGGTTTGCAGACGAAGGATATCATTGAGTATCTGGAGAGATTGAGCAAAAGTCAGCTGCCGAAAGGAGTCATCACTTTCGTTCAGGTATACTTATTCTATTCAAATGTTTTCCAATGCTTCCTTTTTTTTAGATGTGCACAGTAAGCTATGGAAAAGTGAAATTGGTGTTGAAGCACAATCGATATTTTGTGGAGTCCCGTCACTCGGATGTGATGCAGAAGTTGCTGAAAGATCCGGTTATCCAGACGTGCATTCTCGATGACCGCGTTCAACCGGCACAACAAACGGACATTCCGGCACAGGAAAAGATCAAGTTCTCGCATGGAAACGAGAAAGAAACGACCGAGAAAGAGAGTGCGGACGGAGAAGTGCCGGCTGATATCGATGAATTCTACGGAAAGATAGATGGAGACGACGAAGACGACGCAGAGATTCGCAATCTTCAGCTGCTCACTTTCGAGATCAAGCAGGAGACGATCGAAACGGTGCAACGTCGGTGCATCGAGCTCGAGTATCCGCTTCTTGCCGAGTACGATTTCCGAAATGACACTATGAATCCTAACCTCGGAATCGACCTGAAACCGTCGACGACTCTCCGTCCCTACCAGGAGAAGTCTCTTCGTAAAATGTTCGGAAATTCGCGTGCTCGAAGTGGAGTCATTGTGCTGCCGTGTGGAGCCGGAAAGACGCTTGTGGGAGTGACGGCGGTGACCACAGTCAACAAACGGTGTCTCGTTCTGGCCAATTCCAACGTTTCTGTGGAGCAGTGGAGGGCTCAGTTCAAATTATGGAGCACGATTCAGGATAAGCAGTTGGTGCGCTTCACACGAGAAGCCAGAGATCCGGCGCCTTCTGGAAACGACGCATCGAAGCCGGTCGTCTGCATCAGCACGTACTCCATGGTCGCCTACTCCGGACGCCGTACGTTCGCCGCCGAAGAGGCCATGAAGTTCATCGAAAAACAAGAATGGGGACTTCTTTTGCTCGACGAGGTGCACACAATCCCCGCCAAAATGTTCCGTCGCGTTCTGACGATCGTCCAGGCGCACTGCAAACTCGGACTGACGGCCACACTCGTCAGAGAGGACGACAAAATCACCGATTTGAATTTCTTGATCGGTCCGAAAATCTACGAGGCGAACTGGATGGAGTTGCAGAAGGCGGGCCACATTGCGAAAGTGCAGTGCGCCGAAGTGTGGTGCCCGATGACTTCCGAGTTTTATTCCTATTACTTAAGGTATCACAGAAAACAGACGAAATTTCTAGAAATTCTGTAAGTTTTCAGATCTCAAATCGCGCGAAAGCTCCTTCTCGCCGTCATGAACCCCAACAAATTCCGTATTTGTCAATTCCTGATCCGTTTCCACGAACGCCGCAACGACAAGATCATCGTGTTCTCGGATAACGTGTTCGCGCTCAAAAAATACGCGGTAGAGATGCAGAAGCCGTTCCTTTACGGAGAAACGTCGCAGAACGAACGAATGAAGATTCTGCAGAACTTTCAGTACAATCCACGCGTCAACACGATTTTCGTGTCGAAAGTGGCCGACACTTCTTTCGATCTTCCCGAGGCGAACGTTCTGATTCAAATTTCGGCGCACGGAGGATCGAGAAGACAGGAGGCGCAGCGTCTCGGACGTATTCTCCGAGCGAAGAAGCACTCGACGGATCAGTTCAATGCCTTCTTCTACTCTCTCGTCTCCCAGGACACTGTCGAAATGGGATACTCGCGAAAGAGACAGAGGTTCTTGGTGAATCAGGGATATGCGTACAAAGTGGTCAACAAGCTGCCCGGAATGGAGTCCGAAGACTTGAAATTGGGCACGAAAGAGCTGCAATTGCAATTGCTGTCTCAAGTGTTGGCGACGACGGACGCGGACGCCGAAGAGGAGGATATTAAGGTAAAACGGAAGTGCGCTCTATTGACAATAACTCACTCTTTTGCAGGAAGAAATGGCGGACGGCACTATCCGAGTGATCCGTCGCGAAACCACAATGGGCTCGATGTCGGGCGGACAAGGGGCACAATATCACGCAAAAGCCAAGGCGATCACAGAAAGACATCCCCTTTTCAAACGGTTCAGAACATAAATCCCCGTTTCTCTCCTTTTCTTGCATATTTTATTGTCTGATTACTCTCGATCTGAATTGATCTGCTTTCTCCTCTTTCATAATCATTTTGTGAATAAATTATAGTATTTATGTGTATGCTCAATGCGCAGTTTTCAATCTTTTCAATCTCGGTCTGTTATCGGAAGAACATTTCCAGACCGGTCGGACCCTGTTTATCTCGGAGTGATTGTATTATTCAAACACTTCAAAATATTTTCCTCGTCCATCGCTGTAACATTGTGAATAAACTGTATCGTACGCGTAAGGACAGGCAATTTGCGTGAGCCAAAGTGGGACCAATTAGGAGTTGGAAGGGAATGAGACAAAATATTTTATGCTCTGAGTTCCGATGATGAATTATTCAGAAAATGAGACTATTTTCTGTGATGTTTTACCCGAATTATCCAGGATTTACGAGCAGAAACGATTTGACGGATCGCTCAATATTTTCATGAAAAACTTGCAGTTTTCGACAGGAAACCCATTTGAAATCAGGTTTGCGAACACTTTGAAGCACAAGACGGTATCATGCCCTAAAAGTCCCTGAAACCTCTACGAGCCGTCCAATTAGGAGTTGATAAGAGTGTTGCGTGTAATTCAGTCCGTGTGCCCCGATGGCCGAGCGGTCCAAGGCGTGAGTCTTATGAACTCATTCGGGTTATTCCGATCGCGGGTTCGAATCCCGCTCGGGGCAATGATCCTTTTGTACTGCATGTGTATAGTCTGTTTTCGGTAATCGGAAACTGATTGTGTCCTTTAAAAATTAAGTTTTACAGTGTAAATTTTTGCACTTTTCTCGAGTGTGAAAAGCCAGCATCAACTGACGAAAATGTAAACTTCGTAAAGCGAAATCCATTTTTTTCACAGCCTGAATAACCCCATAACTTTCTTTCTTTTTCCGTTCGTCCGGCCATTTTTTCATTTCTAAAACGGGAAAAGTTGTGACGGAGAAACGAAGAAATGGAAACGTGAACTTTTTATGAAAAACAAACAAGCGGCGTAACCAAATCAAAAAAGAATTCAAAGTTAGTCGTTTCGGATTGCTCGGAGTGTCAATTGTTGATTGTGTGGGTCCATCTTGTACATACCGCCAAACGCTCATGCCGAAAGATGTACCAAACTGACCCTTGCCTGAATTACGAGCAATACGCTCATTTACTCCTTGGACGGATAGCCGGGGTTTTAGCGACGTTAGAGAGTCTCTTTTAATGATCTTACGATTTCGAACAACATGGTGAGTTATTAATTGGTCTGCAGATCTCCTGATGACGTCACAATCGACGTGGCAGGGATTCAATGCGTTGCAAAGTTCGAGGACTGTCAAGCGATGAAACAGAAGCGGATCAGTGCGGAGGAAGAGATGATGTTCGGAGTTTTCGGGCAGGGTATTCAGATCGTCTCTTGACCTGCTTCTATTCTTTTCCAGACTCTTCTCCATCTGCCGCCAACTGCTGTCCAGAGCTGGCGGCCCTCAACGCCCGTCTCATCCTGCCGCGTCCTTCCGATCAGTACGTGTCCCACATCGCACTCCGCGACTACGAACTACCTCCGAACCCCGCCCTCTACTCCTCTTTCCAAGACATCTTCTTGTGCTCTTCGAACCAACTGAAACTACGTCAGAGGCACAAAAATGAACTGTTTCTGCACGTGGACTTTGAGAAAGAGCGTCAAACTCCCCGAAGCGTTCTTTTCGAGGCGATTTTTCAGATGATCGATCAATTGGACGGAAAGAAGCCAATCGGGAGCATTTCTCGTGTTTGCTTTCCTTTCGTTCATTTTGGGAAAGTGAGAATTTGTGTGAGGAAGGAGGAACAAAACGGGAGTGTCCATGCGAGAATGTTCAACTTGTTCGGATCGCTTTTCGGAGTTTTGGATGGAATCGGGGGAGATGTAGGGAAAATCAACGATAATCAAGATGACGACGTCTTCCTGAGCGAATCTGATTTGAGGGAAAAGTTCGATGGCATCTCACGGATGTATTCTATGGATTCTGAAGACGTAGAAAAGAAAGCGCTAGAACAAGGAAGCGTATCGGAAGCAACCATACCACAAAATGAGCAGAAAACACCGATTCTAGACACTCTTCTCACCATCATCCGAGACCAAATGAACCTGAAGCTGCCGTCAGATGACGTGGCAACCACTCCGCTTCCCTACCTCGGCGTCGATTCCATTCGCCTCGCCGAGCTCGAATTCCACGTGGCGCGGGAGTTCAAAGATCTCGGGCTCAGGGCTCCATTCCTGATGCCCTTTAAGACGTTGAAGCAAGTCACCGAGTTCTTAGAGGAGAAGTTGAAGGGATCAAAGAATGATCTGGAGCCTCCTCAGAAGAAGAGTTCTGCGATGGGAAACACCAAAAATGACTTCAGAATGCCTCTCTCGTCCCAACAAAAACGAATCCTGTTTGTTGAAGAGCTGGAGAAATCCCATCAAACTTCGAAAGTTCTGTCGCAGTTTGATGAGCCTGTGTTCCTCAAATTCTCGTCTGAAATCCAAAAAGGCAAACTTCTTCGCGTTCTGAACTATCTGGTCATGCGACATTCCATCTTGCGTACCGGATATCACGAGGATTTTCAGTTCTTGCTCTCTGGAACCGAGTACTTTTTGGCTTTGGAGCCGGGGCAGCCGAAACAACAGTATCACTCGATGAGATGTCATCTGGAATCGTCCAGTTTCCTCCAAATCATCTTCCATCACATTTCCATTGACGGTCGTTCTCTATCCATTTTCTACAGAGAGTTTGAGGAACTCTACCGTAATCCTCAATTGTTGCTACCAAATCCAAAGCTACAGTACTTTGATTACTGTAAGAGTACTGTAGCGAGAACATCCGAAGCACCGGCTACAGTGTCTTTCTGGAATAGCTACCTGAACGATGTGGAGATTGAGGAGCTTCCTACTGATTTTCCAAGGGAAAAATCATCGAAAAGTCTGCTGGGACGCACTATTTTCAAGACGTTTCCAGTGAAGATTCAGAAGACGTTCGATGAAATATGCCGCCAGAATTCGTTTTCGAGATTCGAATTATTCTTTGCTTTTCTGGAAGCTTCCATCCAACAAGTATTCGGATTGCGCAAGTTCGCAATGGGATTTGCGGTGGACCAGAGGAAGTACGAGTTTTTCGAAACGATCGGGTGTTTCACCAATGTTCTTCCGTACATTTCCCATCGAAATGATCACAAGAAACCACTGGAGCACTTGGCACAATGCCAACAAACCCTGAGAGCTCTGAGAAGTCATGGAGACCTTCCCTACGAGAGGATTCTGTCGATCTCCCGCTCTCGTGACCTTTTTCAAGTGTTCGTTGTGAGTGACGTGGTAGACGTCGATGCTCCAGAAGAATCTATTCGGAGAGTGAAGCGGAAAAAGTCGGTCCGCTTCGAAGATGACGTCACAATTCAAGTGGTGCAGCCGGAGCATCGAAAAGAGCAGATTGTCAAGTACGAACTTACGTGCTACTTGCGACAATTCTCGGATGACACGTTGCAGCTGGAAGTGCAGTACGCCAGCGAGCTCTTCAGAAACGAGACGATTGAGTTTTTGATGGAAGAGGTGTTCAGAATGGTCAAAAGGTTCCCAGGGACCAGTTCAGTGAACAGAAACCCAGTGAAGAAGAGTGATTTCCCCAGAATTACTGTATCCCAGATCAGACACCTCCAGCCCCTTGGTCCCCGAATTCGTTATCTAAACAGAGACACTTTGAATTGCAATGAAATGATTCATAAACTCTCTGTGGCCGTGAGCAAGTATCACTTTCAGCTCTTTGGCCAACTGCTCTCAGAGCATCCGCTTATCTTGAAGCTTCCGAGGATTCCGGAGCTCGTGCAGGTCGTCTTGGCCGCGTGGAAGGCTGGCTTTTACCCAGCACCACAGCACATGGACACCACGGATCAGGCGATGGAAAAAGTGAGGAGTTCACTTGGAGCCAGCGTTGTTATCAGCTACTGCACAAAAGAGAAGAAGCTGCTGGTCAATGGAGCTTATCTCAACATTCAAGACCCTCCCAGACCGTCTCATTTCAACCGGACTGCTCTCTACGATTTGGCATACGTGACCAGTACTTCTGGAAGCACAGGAACTCCGAAACTAGTGGGGACTTCGTTCGAAGGACACTCGAACCTCGCCCGGCAGTACACTCAAACCTTCCAGCTCTCCTCCTCGTCTACCGTACTCCAAGTCGTCGATCCTTCCTTCGACATCTTCTTCGCCGATCTCGTAAAGTCTCTGGTCAACGGTTCTCGACTTCTCCTCGCAAGAGACCCGATCGCCACGTCATCAGAGCTCCGGCAGTGCTCCAATGCCTACTTGATGCCTGCTTTTCTGTCACGCATCCCTGTCTCCGATCTGAAGAATTTGGAAAGTTTGCAGTACGGCGGCGAGCCACTGGCACCGCAAGTTTTGCGGAAGATTCTGCAGGAAAACGAGAGATTGAAGATTTGGCAAGAGTTTGGACTCACCGAGCAGACTGTCTATTCAGCTAGGCAGCGGATTAGAAGACATGAGTTAGAGCAGAAAGCGCGAAGAATCGGAGAGCCGTACTCGAACCTCAGACTACAATTGAAGAGCTTACTTGACGCTCAACAAGATGCTACGCCGCTTTGCCTCCGTGGCCAACTTGTTCTCTCTGGAGTCGGACTCATGAGGGGCTACTTCGGAGTCACGAAGGACGTGCTCGAAGAGTTTTACACGGGCGACGAGGTCTCCAGAAGTCGAAAAGGGCATCTGACGTTCATTGGAAGGAAGGATTCGCAGGTCAAAGTGCGCGGTTTCCGGGTGGATTTATTTGAGGTGAGTGGTCTTTACCACTCATTTCTTTCGTTTCTGGATGATATTTGCAGATAGAATGCACGGCCCTTTCCTCGAATGTTCTGGAAACTTGCACGTGTCTTGTACACGAGCAACAACTCGTTCTGTTCTTTAAACCACGTGGCAGTGAGAACGTTCAGCGAAAACTGGAGGATTATCTAGAAAAAGAGCTGATTTCTTATAAAATGCCAACCAGAATCATTCCGCTTGACACTTTTCCATTGACGAGGTAAATGAGGAAGTTTTCTTTGAAATTCCGATGTTTTCAGAACCGGAAAGATTGACAAACAACAACTTTGGAACATGCTCACTTCATCTGGCGTCACTGCCCATTCCGAGAGCTCATATCCTTCTTCTCGGAAGACGGACAACCTTCGGATCCTGAGTTCTCTTCGTCAATGGTTGGAGCACTACTCAGAATCGAAGATCTCATCTGATGACGTGGATATATTCACGTGCGGCGTCGATTCCATTTCCGTGATGCTGGCGATTCAGAAGCTGAGAGCAGAGGAAGGCGTCGAGATTCATGTGAAGCAGTTCTTCAAGTTGAAGACGTTGAGAAAGATTGTCGAATGGATGAAAAGCTCTTCAGATGTCGTCGTGACCTCTCCAGCTCTACCTCCAAAAGCTCCCAAGCAAGAACTTCACATCAGCTTAAACCACATCCAACAGCGGATTCTGTTCCTCTCAAGAATGACGTCTTCTGAATCTCCAGACCTTTTCCGTCTTCAGTTCTCCATGAAAGTGCCGTTCTCTGCTTCAAAAGCGGGTCTCGCCACGAACACCGTAATCCTCGGCAATCCACTCCTCCGTGCGGTCATCCAGAGAGTCAGTGGAGAGCATCGATTTGTGCTCCTCTCAGGCACTGAGTGCTACCGTCATTTGGCCCGGAAGGAAGTGAAAACTAAGAGCAAAGAAATGTCATTTGAGACGAGAGTTTGGATGAGTTCGGATGATTCGTTGGTTTTGTCCATTCATCACATCATTTGCGATGGAAGGAGCTTACAGATTCTAAAGAATCAGATGATCAAGGTTTTGGAGGCGGAGCACGAGCTGAAGTTCCAGGCAAACTTCCATCTGGAGATAGACCCACTGGTTAGATTGGGAGAAGATCTTGAATATGACGTCGATGACTTCAAACTCCTCTTTCCAATGTTCAAATTCGGATCGAAAAGCTCGAAAATCCGATTCGAGTGCTCTGTGAGCCCATCCGATCACATTCCGAGAGCTCATCGCATTGCATTCGCCTACTGCCGGGCAGTTTGCTCCGTTTTCAAAGTGACCCGCTTCCCCGTGGCAACCACATTCACAAATCGAACTTCTTCCAACTGGGATACGGTCTCAATGTTCGCCAACACCCTCCCGGTCCGCTTTTCTGAAAATGACGACAGTTTGGAGTCACTTTCCCATCGGATATCTGAATTAAACGAGAAGTATTCGAACTTGCACCTACAATCCGTTCTGAAGGGCACACACGGAGCGTTCGCTGACTTTGCTTTGAACTTTCACAAACATCTGGAGGATTCAGAAGACGTTTGCTATTGTCAGTTTCCAATGCTTCTGACGTTTTCCGAAGCCGATGAAGCAGCCGTTTTGGAGTTTGATGAGAAATTGATATCGAGAAGTGAAGCAGAAGACGTCAAGGATCGGATTCTGGAGAATCTGGGCATCCGGAAGACTCTGAAGCTCAAAAAACAACTTGACGTTTCCAAAATCTTTCAAAAGTTTCTCCAGAACTCGACTGAAATCTTGGATGATACTGACTTTTTCCAAGCGGGCGGACATTCGCTCACCGCCATGAAGCTGGTCGATTTCTTGAGTGATGAGCTTGAAATGGAGCTCCCGTTGAGAATTATTTTCGAGAATTCGACGCCGAGAAAGTTAGAAAGAACAATTCGAAAGTTTAGAGATTCCGGAGTCTGTGAGAAGATGGATGACGATGAAGTCGAGGTCATCCAAATGGAACCTCGGATCTTTGAATTCCCGCTGAGCCGTCAGCAGCTCCAGATGTTCTACCTCTCCCAATTGACTCTGAACTCTCTTGAGTACCAGCTTCCCTTCATCCAACCGTTTCCCCAATCCGTTCACCCCTCTCAAATCCATCGATCTCTTCTTTTGACAATTCAAGAGCAATCTATATTTCGAACGGTTTTCCGAATGTCTTCCGACACCGGCGAGCCTTTCCAGCAAGTGCTCTCGATGACGGAAGCGTTCATTCAGTGCCACGTCACAGAAGTCAACGACACGAACGAATTGCACTTGAAGATCCGAGAACTGTGCCACGAACCGATCGATGTGCTCTCCGGGGCTCCGTTGATCCGTGCCGCTTTCGTGACGTCGCCTGAAAAGTGCGTGGCTTTCCTTCATCTTCATCACTTGATCAGCGACGCCAGATCGACACAACTGACGAATTCGTCTATGCGCAAGTTCCTGGAAGACCCGAAGAAGATCCCCGAAAGATTGGAGCACAGTTACGTGGATTACTGTAGGTCAGATAGCAAAGAGTTCTCTCAAAACGTCAGCGAAGTGTACCTGAAAAGTCTTGTGGAGGGGCTCAGAGCTCCAATCGCTCCGAACGGTCAACAAGAGACACATAAAGTCCACTGTGACATACCAAAGGTGACCATCGTCGCCTCTTCCGGAGCCACTCCCTTCTCCGTTTTCCTCAGTGCCACGTCACACACTCTTCTCAAAAAACTGAAAATTCCCTCTCTGAACATTGCGTTTCCGGTACTGAACAGAACAGAGAAAACATCCGGAATCTGTGGATACTTCCTCAATAATCTCGTCATCAACAGCTCCCATCTGTCCGCACTTCCAGCCGTTATTCAAGACAATCATCCGTTCTCAGACGTGATTCGAGAGGTTCGGAAGGCTTCTGGAACTGACATTCCCGTGGCGGAGGTGTATGTGAACTGCCGGTATGATCTGGAGTTTGACGAGACGGACGACGAAGAACTTCTGGATTTGGTGCCGCTGAAACTTCATTTTCCGATTGAGATCGACGTGGATTTGATGGAGAATGTGTATCGGGTCACAATGCGATCGGACAGATTCAAAAGGATGGAGATGGAGGAGATGCTCAGGGAGATAGGAAAGTTTATAAAAGGAGAGAGGGAGCAGAAGGATCAGCCGAAAGATCAGGGCCAGGCACCTGCTGCCAAAGTCCTTTACGGTCTTCGCAAAGACTTTCCGCGCCAGTCCCTTCCTCAACTTTACCGTGCCTTTTTCAAATCTTCCACTCGCCATTTCTCGCTGGACTCTTCCGGTAACTCCCGTTCTTTCTCTCAAACATTCCGGCTGCTCCGATCTTATTCCCACGCCCTCTCCCGTTCTTTTCTCTGCTCCAGAGCCGCTCCGCTTCGATCTGATGACGTCATCGCAGTTATTGGAGCAAAAGGACTGGAAACTACGTTGAAATGCCTCGCAGTACAGTATGCCGGAGCCGCTTACCTTCCAATTGATGACGGATATCCGGAAGAGAGAAAAAAGGAGATTCTGAAGGACGCTGTGTTCTGTCTCAATGCCGACATGGCGATAACGTCTTCTTCTGTTCCTTCTCTCCGTCACTTTCCCATCTCCACTCCAGAATCTCTGTCTTACGTGATCACCACTTCTGGGACTACCGGAAGGCCCAAATCCGTCGCCATTTCCTGCGAATCCGTCGCCAATCTGTGCCTCTCTTCCACTTTGACCATGCACATTTCCTCGGCCAGCCGCATATTTCAGTTCACAAATTTTGTGTTCGACAACTCGGTTCTCGAGGTGTCCATGGCCATTTCCAATCAAGCAACTCTGATTTACGATGATAATTCTTCGTTTTTCGACGCCACCAAGTTCAAGAAGATGACCGAGGATCCGGGAATCGGAATATCGCATTGTCTTCTGTTTCCGAGTCTTGTCAACTCGCTCCCAATCGAGAAGATCAACGGATTGGCGTACTGGATCGTCGGAGGAGAACGTCTTCCGCAGCTGCTTCTGGAAGATGCGTTGGCAGTCGGGTGCCACGTCATTCAGAATTACGGACCGACAGAAACGACGGCGTTCGCAGTGGCGCGACGGATGAAAAAAGGAGACAAAGGGGAGGAGATCGGGTGGCCGGCGGTGAATGCGAAGGTTCGGCTGAAGGACGGAGAGCTTCTGATCAACGGGATCGGCAGAATGAGAGGCTATCTGAATCGGGCGGACAGTTTCTGGAGCTCCCCGAGCTCTGAAAAATGGTACGCGAGTGGGGACGTTTGCAATATTACCTCAAACGGTGTGCGGTTTATTGGAAGAACCGATGGCCAGGTGAGTTCAATCCACTCCTTCGTTTCCAATATCCCTTTATTTCTCTAGGTCAAAGTCCGTGGATATCGTGTAGAGTTGTCGGAAATCGAGAAAATCATCGAAACGCACTGCCACATCATCAGGTGCAAGGCTTTGTTCGAGCCGGAAACTCAACAGATCCACGCCTTTTTCACGTCTAATCATCCGGTGAGCCCTGAAGAAGTCAGAAATCATTGTGTACGGTGTCTGGAGCCACAGAAGATTCCATCGAGTTTCAATGGAATCCGAGAGTTTCCATTGACCCGAAACTCTAAAATCGATAAGGAAAAGCTGATGGAGAGGTTGAGAAGTGAGTGGAATGCTCTCAAAATGCTCCGATGTTCGTGCTTCTTCCAGACCGCTCACCTGCTCCGTTGTCCACTTGCTCCGTGCTCTCCTCCATCTGGCAGTCGCTTCTCCACTCTCCTCCTCCCGCCCATTCCGATCATTTCTTCCTCATCGGAGGCCATTCTCTTCTTCTGATTCGTCTCCGTCATCTCATTCAAACTCGCATCGGAGTCTCGCTAACCGTCCCTGAAATGCTCGAAAACCTGCAATTCGGGGAGATGCTCCGACTTTTAGCGGCCAAAAGTGAAACCGTGAACGACGTGAAAACTACCATAATCTTCTTCCCAGCACTTTACGGCGCTTGTACCGCATATCTGAAGTTGGCGACGAAGCTGCGGACTAATTTTGAGATTGTTCTTCTGGATGAGGAGGAGGGCGATACGGTAGAAGACGTGGCGAGCAAGTATAAGAGACAGATAGAGAGGAAAGGTATTGCATAGGAATTTGACCCAGTTGGAATCATCCGATTAGGCCTTTACTTTGAACTGATTGGGCATTGTGATCTAGAGATGTAAGAACATCATATCGTTCAATATTCGGGTCGGATCGGATAATATCAACTGCCTTAAAAGTTCAAAACCTGATCAACTTTTCCAGTGAACCCCGGCAAGAAGTTCTTCTTTATCGGAGCCTCCTCGGCCGGCACTTTCGCCTACGCCACGTGGCTACAGTATCCGTCCAATGACGTAGCAGTTGTTCTCTTGGACACTGGCACATTCTGGAATCTCATCGAACATTTGAACTATCGAAAACATCGCGAGGTTTTTTGGCCGTTCACCTCATTCCGAAATGTCACTTTTTTCAGGATATTGTGCAGAATTTGAAATTTTACAATGTCGACGAGGAAACAGGCGAAGAGGTGGCCGAGCGATCGTGGGGAATATTACAAATTCTGAAAAAGTACCATCCAAAAAGTTCGGAGAAGTCCGGGAACTTACACGTTTTATCGGTGGACGGGACCGATCTGGGATGGTCCAGGTGAACGGAGAAAATACAGTTTTAGTACTTACCGTATTTTCCAGATTCTCCAAAGTCATCGAAGTTCACAAGATAAGCGGCGATCACTACAGCATGCTGCAGGATGATGAAAATGTGCTGAAAATTGCGGAAATACTGAAGAAAATTTAACGAAAAGCGCTCGAATGAATGATTACACTTGATCGTTAAAAAACAATACAGACATTGAATTTCATCCAAAAATGAGATATTCTACAAGAGATGTGTACCGGGGGTGATAAAAATAGCGACATTTGGAGAATAGGAGAAAAAAGGGGATGGTTGGATGTTCTAGAATACAAAAAGAGACTAAACAAGTTGGACAACTAATAAAAGCGGTAAGATTCAGGAGCGGCCGGCATTATGTAGGCGGCGCCAGTTGTTCGCCTCGCTTCCACGGCCTCTCGGTGCCCCGCGTCTTCCCAGTCCTTCCGACTCGTGGTTGTGGTTCTGGTAGTTGCGGTTGGGTGCGCCGAATCCCGCTCCAGGTCTATCAGGGCCTGAATTATGCAGCGTACTCTTTGTCTTTTTCGGATTTGGCACCAACCTTTGTTGCCTGTTGGAACTCTGCCGGCTCCGGAACTGGTGAAAGCTCCTCCGGCGACGCTTGGTCCTCCGCTGCCGTTCCGAGAATCGTTGCTCGTTCTTGCCGTTCCTCTGAATCCGTTACGATCGTTATTGATCCCTGGTAGATGTGCTGGCGGTAGGCGTGTTTTGTCAAACTGCGGCACGTCCATGAGTCGGCAAGGAGCCCTCGATTCTCTCGGTTCCCTGCCTGCTCCCGATTTCTCCGGTTTCTTCATTTCCATTTTCTTCAGCTGTGCCGTCGTTTTCTCCACGGCCATCTGATTCTCGCTCAGCTTCTTCTCTTTCATTTCCTTCTCTTGGATCAGTTTTTCTCTGTCAAGCTTATCCTGAGCATCGAGAATAGGCCACAAGCAGTCGGTGATGAAGTCGAGGAACAGCTTTCCAGCGTGCAATGCCTGACTGGAAGAAAGGTGTTGTGTACTGTAAATTCCTCTGAGTAGTTTCTGAATTACTTGAACTGCTCTTTGAGCCTTGCGCCGTTTTCAGGTGAAAATTTGACATTCACTTCCAGTTTGATGAGCTGACTGCGCTTTGAATTCGAGAAGGCTTGCGACGCTGGAACTTTTTGCAAGGCTGAAATTACTTTCCAGAATCATTGCCTCACGAGGTTGATCTTTAAGAGTCAGAACGACGGTCACCATCCTGTTTTTACGAGTTGTGAACTCGATTTTGCCGCCTCTGGTCTTGTGGGAACTCGATCTGTTGTAACTGACCACAGGCTGCACGCGGAGTCTCGGCTTAAATACGTGTTTTTATTTTTTTAAATTTTTTTTACTATAACAATATTTACCTTAAGCATTGATAGGTACTGAATATCTTCAATTTCTCGGCGAATTCTCTCGAAAGTGGCTAAAACATTGCGGCCATCGGCGTCCTGGTAGAGACGTTCCGTTCTGGCCGCATCTTGAAGGGCGAGAAAGCTTAGTCGAAACTTCTTCAATTCTAGCCAGGACTTCCGCTCAGAATCAACGCCCTGAAAAAAGTACGATCTGTTTTCAAAAACTGAAATATTTACACTTGCATCATTGGTGCTCATGTTATGTATTATCTTTGAAAGATCCAATTTGGTTGCGAGTTTCCGTTCGAACACCATTTTGTAAAACTTTTCGCAGAGCAAATGCGAGCGTGTTCGGCTGAGCGCTGAGAAACTGCGAAAACGGTTCGAAATTGGAGCAGTCGATGAGCGACGGGTCTCGCAACGAAAAGTACCGTGCGTTAAAGGCGCAAGCCTAAAAAAAGAAAAATTTTGGAGAAGTGACAAATTTATTCGTGAAAAGCATAGAAGTTTATAAAGTGGCAGAATTTGAGCATTTTCCGTCGGCTTTTGCGATCTCCGAATCTAAACTTCAAAAAATTAAACATTTTTTCAAATCTTTTTCTGACAACTCACTAGTCATTTGTGGCTTCTCCTCTTTCGCTTCCGGACCATCTTTCGCTCTGAAAAACAGAACAGTTCTCTTTGTTTTTCGAGAAGAGAAGGAAACTAACGGCAACTCGTCGAACTCAATGTCCATCGCCTCGTTCGAACTGTCCTTGGCATCCAACTTGGCCGATGCCTGGTGCGATTCTCCGAGTTCGCCCACAAAGTTCGCCTTCTGCTGCATCCGCTCGTTGTTCTGCCAGTCCATCGGCTCCTTCATCGTCACCTGATGCTCCTGCGCCGCTTCTCTCAGCAGCTCGGCCAGCTTCTTATAATTCGGACGCTCGAAGTAGGTGATCGCATCGAGAATCGTCAGAATCTCATTGAACTGCTTCGGAACTCCCTCAAAAAAGGCGGATCTTGCCGGCTCCGCACGAATCGCCACCTTCGCCTCTCCGATCTGTTTGTGATTCTTGTGTCCATCCATGTTCGCCCACGGCAACGGGCCCTTCAGAAGTTCGATGGCCATGTAGAACCAGCTCTCCAGGTCGTCGCGAGCGGACTGATCTTTGTGGGAATGCGCGGAAATGGCACAATACTGGAAGGTTCCCATAAGAGCGGCGGCACTGCGCGGAGGAATGACCTTGCCCTCCTTATCACTGAAAATAAACTAGCTCGAAATGCAAACTTGGTCTTGGAACTTACACAAACTTGCGTGCGAATCCAAAGTCGAGCATGTAAACGATGGCCTCGTTCTCTCCGACTCCGATCGCAAAGTTCGGCGCCTTGACGTCACGGCACAGCCATCCGCAGTTGTGCAGATCTTCCAGACGTCGGAGAGTCTGATGAAGGATCTGAAGTGCCGTCGGGAGGGAAAAACGGCGTTCTGTGCGAGTGCGACGGAGACGGCCGAGATCCGGACCGACCAGTTGCATAATGCAGTATCTGAAACCTCGCAGATATCCCCGAAGATCCTTTCCTCTTCTCAACCTGTAGACATCAGTTCTTCCGGCGGCGATAAACCTCGGAAATCCAGTAATTCCCTTCGTCGCCATCAAAACCATCACGTCCAACTTGAGCACCGGACGCGAGTTTCCCTCCTGCCGCTCGCACTTCATCGCGTACTTTTCGTGCGTGGCCACGTCCTCGACGACATAGACGTCAGAAAACGGTCCCGAGTAGATATTTCGCAACACTTTCCACTTTTGGTCACTGTTTTGATGTTCGATAATGAAGCCAGCCTACAGTAACCCTTTCCGTTCGGCTGGAATTGAAACAGAAAGTGCTCACTTGAGGCATTCCACGAGAGTCCCGTTGATTCCCACTCATTTCGTAATTCAGAAATGTTCAACTCTATTTATTTTCCTGTTTTCGTAGAATTTTTTAATTTTGCTGCGTGGTTTTGACGCCGAAATCCGTTAGCACTGACTTCGAGGCCGAGGACGAGAATTCATGCATGGCCGAAGTCTGCTTCAAACTCTTCCACTCAATTTTTGCAATTTCCACTCAATTTTCTCATCGCAAAGGCCTGTTTTTCAATTTTTTAAGCTGAAAACTTTCAATTTGTGAAAAAACGTTATTTTTCTTCCACATTTCAGAGCCAGAAATCTGAAATGCGATGGAAGTGCGGCTCCTGCTCCTGCTAACTTCGCTCTCACTGATTTCACAGTCAGAAAGTGATGCAAACGCAGTGAAATCCGTTAAATGCACCGATTTGGACCCAACACAGTATGTTTTCCACTCAACAATTTTGAAAATCGATATTTCAAACAGATATCTGTGCAAAAGCTATGCGATCGACCCGAAAACTCAACAATCGGTTACTTGTGCTCCGGACAATTCGATTAAAGGTGAAAACAAACAGAAATCAAAAAGAAATTGCTGAAACCCGAGTTTCAGTAGTGTGCGAATCGGCGGAACACATCAAATGCATCGGAAAAGATCAGTCCGGAGTTTTCAATAAAACGGTGAGGAAATTATAGGCAACTGCTTTATCAAAGAGCTCCGAAAGTTCAGATCTCCGACGGATGTCACTATGGAGCTCACGTGAGCTATTCGACCGCCGTCCTTTTCTCCATCTTTCTCGGATTCCTCGGAATCGATCGAATCTATCTCGGGTACTACGCCATAGGTGAGAAAGTTCGTGAAAACTCTGTACCGTCCATGTTCTCGGTGCAGGTCTCATAAAGATGTTCTCATTGGGCGGTCTCTTTGTGTTTTGGCTCGTCGACATCATTCTCATCAGTCTTCAACTTCTTGGACCCGCAGATGGATCCGCCTACGAGATGGCCTACTTTGGACCACGGGTTCAGAGAATAAGATGGGTTTTTTTATCCGGGTTTTATCAAAAAACGAGAATTTCAAAACTAATAATCTTCTTTTTTCACGTTCGACAGCCACACCAACTTCTCATTCTTCACATGCGACGGATGCCCCTAGTCATAAGAAAAACTGAATAATTTCGGTGATTTTGTCATTTTTATCCATTTTCCCTTTCGATTTTTACTGCTCCCTCTCACATTGTACATTCTCACCTTCCTGAGTATAAAACTGAAATAATTTTAGGAAATTGATTTTCCAATTTTTCTGGTTGTTTCTGGTTTCCATTCCAGTTTTATGTCTTTGGTGCTTCATTGAAAATATGTATTTCTATTTCTCATCTAAATTGTTCAGAATAATCTGGAGAAATGGCGACTGATGCGCAGATGGCCCAGGTTGCCGAGCTGGAGGTAGGATTTAGCGAATATCGTATGAAAAAATGAAGCGTTTTCAGGTGGAAATGATGTCGGACATGTACCGCCGGATGACAAACTCTTGCCAGGCCAAGTGCATCGCCACCGCCTTCAAAGAGTCGGAACTTACCAAGGTACGGAACCCATTGGAAACCAGATCAATACTGTCTGCGTTCAGGGAGAAGCGGTGTGCCTGGATCGTTGCGTCGCCAAATACCTGGATGTGCACGAGAAACTGGGAAAACGGCTGACGAGTATGTCGCAGGGAGACGAGGCCGCCCTTCAGAAGATCGCCCAGCAGTGATCTCGCCTTCTGTTTCTTCTTTTTTTTTTTAGAAAATTTAGCTTATTTCCTTCCTTGTTGCTCTTTTCTCCAATTCTTTCTTTTCTTGTTGTTGTGATTTTTTTTTAATGAATCCATTGTAATAAAGTAAAAATAGTTGTTTGAAACTTGTTTATAATTGGTTAGATCAGCCTTTGTTTCTTCATTCTCAAAAATGCCAATTTTTCGATCACTTTTTTTCAGAATTTGAAGTACAATCAGGTAAGATTCTTCATTTTCAAACACAAATTTGGATGGGGGAGGGGCGATAAAGCGGCGCGAGATTGGGAGGTAATTCAAAAAAGTGAAAAAAGATGGGCACATAAATATCTAAGAGTTCGAAAAAAAATATGCTGCGTAGAAATGCGAATATGGCAGAAAAATGGGGGCGAAACCGGTGAGAAACATTGAAATCGGGCGGCTCAGAAGCACGAGGTGCACGTTCGTTTCATGCAGAGAATCGCGGAGAGAATATTGAGGAAAACTGCAAATTTTCGGTTTCGTTTTTGAAAATATCGAATGAAAAAGGGTACCTTCGATAGCAGCGACGACGAATTGAACGGAATTAACAGCCACGCCCACTTTCAGCTGCCACAAACACTTGGCGAAGTCGTACTTGTCCATGTGAGAGAAAATATACGAAATTCTGAAGGATTCCTATAATTTTTTGTCAAATGTTCGTCTACTCACCTGCTTGTGTCATGAGTGCCCAAAAGACAGAATGCCTCGTCTCTGTCGATCCTCGGGTGATGATAAGTGCCCACGAGAGCCCAGTTCCGCGCGGAAAGCCCTCCACTGATGAGGCACATCATCACGGAGACGAGCGAAAGTGTCAAGTGCGCCATGTACAAGTTCAACGATCCGACCTTCGCCGCCGTCGAACCGACGATCGCATTGATTATGTAAACGGCCGACGTCCAGATGGCCGAATAGTACGGGCAATAATCGGAAGTGTCACGGTAGCACCAGATTCCTCCGCCCAGAATCACCACTGGAAAATTGTCATTTTACTCGGATTCTCTTGAAGCTCATATGTTTATAGCCTAGTCGTAAAACTTCGAATGCTTACCTGCCAGCATCAGCTCGACAAGGCATAGCCTGAACATTCCGCGATTTTCCCTTCGTGGAAACCGATCGAACCACATTGGGTTAAATCCAGGTTGATCGGGCACACAATACTCTGGCGGAGGCGGAGGGGGTGCGGATGGGGGCGCAGCACGGCGCGGAAGAGATGAGGCTCCGCCGTAACGCGACGGAGAAGCTGAGGATTGGGCGGAATTCTGGAAGAGCTCGATAAGATTCGTCGGCGTTCATATTTCTAGTTGCTCTGCGGAATGAGAAAGTCTAACCAAGTTTGGAACAATTCGGTGAGAAATCTCAGAATCTCATAGAGATCTTTTGTTAAAGTCTTGTTAAATAAGTAACTTACCTGATTGATGGTAATTTCCATAGTAGCTGGAGCGGCCGGAGCCGGAGTATATCCATAAGGACGATATCCACCTCCGTACTTGTAGTCTTTTCCGCCCATGTTCTGCAAAACAAACTTGGAGAAAAAGAACGGAAACAAAAGGGCTATTATAGAGGTTCGCATAAATCAATCTGAAGAGAGGAATTCGAAAGAGAATGGAGAGATGGAGACAGTTAGAGAACAAGTCAAAAATCTGTGATAGCGGCAGACAGTGTGACCTTCTCTCTTACCCTTCATTTTCACACTATCACCCTAGAAAAATGATAGGCGGTCGCAAGTTTATTAATGAAGAGAGAGGAGAGATGGAGAGGCGTACAGTTGAGACAACTTTGATATTTTTGTAAGAGGAAAATCAGTGAGTCATGTATTTGTATTGATTGACTTTAGAGAAAAAAGTGAGAGAGAGAGGGAGCTCCAAACTGAATCAATTGTGCCCGAAAACTGAGAGAAGCGAGCGCAAAAAGAAGAGAGAAACGATTTGTGAGCATTGACGAATGAACACGTATCAGTTTGAGGCGAAAGACGTCGGAAGTGTCGCATGTTCTTCTCGCATTCTCTCGCACTTTGAGCCCCCGAAAGACTCGAGAGCGATGGCAGAGGAGGACTACACGGGCGGTCTCTCGCCCCGAAAAAAGTACACACATAAGGCTGCCACACCATTTTTCTCCATCCCTTTTCCCATTTGGTAATTCGACACCAATACGTGTCTGGCCGTTTTCCCAGCTCGTAGAGCAGAGCCAATAGCCGTCAGAAATAGACGTTTATCAGGCGGAAATTGAGCGGCATTTCGATTTCACACGAGTTCAGTGCGATCTCGAGGCAGAACGAAAAGTAGTAATAAAAAAGAGAGAAAAAGTTCTCTGTTGGTGTTTGACGAGAAGAGGAAGAAGAAGCTTCGGCTGCTCCCGGCTTTGTTTGCACACCTTTACCTCGTCGCGCACTTGTTTCATCATAATTTGGACGAGGAAAAAACGCGAGAGAACCAAAGAATCTTTTCGCTTTCCCACCGTATGTGAGACGAGTGGAAAGATGATTACGAAATCAAATCACTCTAGGTGATGATGATATTATCAAATTAACCCAAGTTTTGGGAATATGAGGTCAAGATTCTACTTCAGAATTTTCTCGTAAAGCTTAGTTGCTCAATTTTCAATGTCCGTTTGATGCTGGTTCTTCTAACGCATCACAAACGTAACAAAAAAGCACGCACCCTAGAAAAATCCCGAAAAAAGAGTTGCGATCTCAGCTTCTGCTTCTTTTTTTTTCTCGGGGCAACAGTAGATGATTGCATGAGACAAACCGCCGATAGATCAGGCGAGAGCAAGAGACGCAGAGAAGAAGATGCACTCTGCAATTGAGCCATGTCACTCGCATCTCTGCCGCATTTAGGCGGCGACCATGGAAAACGGGAAAGATTTGGACTTTGATTGGAGCCAAAACGAGCTATTTTTGCAGTGAAACTAATGCACCGGAGCATTTGTTCTTTTAAGACGATCTCCGGATGGGCGACAAGTGTCCAGAAGATCGGACAGAACGCCTTCGTGAAAGTGGCCAATGGAACCGCCCAGAAGCCCATTCAAGTAGTGGCAAGTAGGGAGCTCGCCAAGGAAGCACGAGTCGGAAGCGCATTGACGGTCACTGGAAAGGTGGAGGAGAGCAAGGGAGCACAGCAGAAGAAGGACCTCGTCGCCGAGCAACTGCGCGTTTTCAACACAGATTCCAATGTGAGCTGCACAATTAGCGCCTATTACTCGAAGCATCTTTCAGCCTCGATACGACATCTCCGCAGACAACCTGCGACAAAACACCTATCTCCGAGCACGGAACGATCAGTTCGCAGCGCTCCTCCGAGCAAGATCGCAGATTTTCAGGCGCACTCACGAGTTCTTCATGGTAAATAAAACTCTCCCGATTGTGTATTAATAAAACGTTTCCTTCCAGGATCGTGACTTCATCCACATTGACACTCCGAAACTGACGCGTAACGACTGCGAGGGCGGCGGGGAAGTGTTCGACGTTATCAACTCGTCAGAAGCATCAGAAGAGAAGACGCATCTGACTGTCAGCTCGCAGCTTCATTTAGAGGCCATGGTCAGGTAGAAAGAAGATAAGTGGAAGATTTGAGTAACCCTGTGATCTTTTCAGTCGCCTCAACAAAGTCTACACATTGGGACCCGCATTCAGGGCGGAGAAGCAGCAGAGCAGTTCGCATCTCAGTGAGTTTCACATGTTGGAAGCGGAAGTCGCTTTTGTTGATGTGAGAATGTCGACGTCTTCGGTCAAAGATCACATTTCCTTTAGGACATCGATAAAATGTGCGACCTAGTGCTCACTTACCTGAACAATATGATCTGCCACGTCGTCAGCGAAGAGGGAAAACTGCTCCCGGAGCTCCGAATCATTGGCTCAGATCCGCTCCCGAAACCCGTTGAAATGCATCGAATGACCTACGAGGAAGCGGTCTCTGCACTCGGATCGAGGGGTCAAAAAGTGACGGCGAAAAGCGGATTTTCAAAGAAAAACGAGTTGGAATTGTGCAAAATGAACGAGAATCAACCGATATTCATCACTCATTACCCGGTTGAGCAGAAGCCGTTCTACATGGCACGGACGGAAAACGGAAAGAACACACTTTCTTTTGACTTTCTAGGTACTTGAACTAAACATAGCTTCTCATGACCAATACATTAATTTTCAGTGCCCGGAATCGGAGAGCTGGCCGGTGGATCCGTTCGTGAGCAGAGCGCAGAAGAGCTGAGGAGAAGGGGGTGTGGAATCGATTGGTATCTGGAGACGAGAAGAAGGGGACAACCGCCCACTGCCGGCTTCGGAATCGGATTCGAACGATTGCTGCAGTACCTGCTCGGAGTGCCCAATATCAAGGATACGATCGCTTTTCCGAGATGGCATCGACATTGTCAATGTTGATATTGTACTGTTCTATGAGGTTCTAGTCTAGATTATTGATTTTTTCTTGTTCTCGTTGTTTCGGTTATAAAAACTATTGATTTCCTTCTTTTTGCCTTCTGTGAAAGTCATTCTGTAGTGCACAGTTTTCAATATCTGAAACTCTTCATCCTTTTTCTTCTTGATGTCTAATATTTTCTTCAGATTCCCCCTTCAAAATGGTTAAAGTCAAGAATCGTTACTACGTGATCCGAATGCTGCCGAACGACGGTTCCCATCCAAACCCGCGAAAAGCGGCCATTTTCCAGGAGCTCATGAAGCAAACGACCGAAATGTTCGGAGATTTCGGACATTCTATCATCAAAATGAGTCTTTCCGTGAGATTGTTTTCCCATCGAATTGCCGTTTTACCTTCCTCATTTTCAGGTGCGCGTTCTCGATGAAGACGTGATTGTGATTCGTGTTTCCGAGGCGGGCAGCAAGTATTTCGGAGCCGTTCTTCCGTGCATTCACAAGATTGACAAACAGCCGATGGTCTTGCAAACTATTTTCATTGGTTGGAACTATTTAGCACTTGATTCAGAAGTTCACTTCTGTTTTTTTTTTCAGGAAGAAGCATGCGATCATGTGAGAAACGACTGATTGGGACACGAAGAGATGAACTGCACGCGGCACTCGGAAAGTGCACCACAATAGGTATTAGGCTTTCTGAAAATTTAAATAATTTTGAACTTCAGCCACCCGAAAATCTCTGCTTGAAACTATTCAAACCATGTGCGGAAAGCCGGCGCGGATTTTCAGCGACGAACAACGGAAGGACCAAGGACGCGAATAATTCAACTACTTTATTGTTTTGTACATTTTTGTTGCTTGTTTTTACATTGAAACGTTACGAGGTTATTCAGCGGTGTCAAAAAATGAAAAAAAAACGCAACGCATGCACTGTGGTTTTTTTTCCATTTTTTTTACACCGCTGAATAACCCTATTATGAATACCAAAATTAATCGCGAGCCGTCTTCTCATCTTCCGCTTCTGGCTCTTGCGAATGAGCGCGTGGATGTGGGATGGGCGCTGCCGGAGCCTGAGCAGTGACTGTCGGACTGTAGACGGGCTGCTCGTCGAACAGAGAGCACGTGCGTTCCGAGACGGATCCGAGACCATGTGCGCCATTTTGATCTGGATCCGAGACCACTTGCGCCACTTTGTCTTGTTTCTGCAGTTCGGTGGCGGTGTCGGTGAACGATTTAATGCTGACCGGACTGAAAATGGGGAAGATCGGCGCTTCGAGTCGAAAAAAAAACGAACGATAACAACTGGAGTGGCATCTCGTCCTTTTGCGTTTTCTCGGCCGACAAATGCACGTTCGGCTTCGTTTTCGTTTTCCTCTTCGTCACCGCCGCCGTCTTTTTTTCCTTGCTCTTCTCCGCCGACTTCTTCTTCTTCTTCTTGTTGACTCTGTCCGACTTCTGCGTCTTGTCCGCCTCGAGCAAACTGCTCAATTGGGTCGGCGACAGCTCATCCGGCTCCGGCACTCCCTGCTTGATACGCTCTAATTTTTGCAGTGCGAGACTCTGCAACGAGTACACGTGGCAACCGGTTGCGAAATGTCCGCAAACGTACATATTGTTCCGCTTCGGCTGCGAGACGTTTTCGAAAAAAGCAAAAGTAATGGATTAATATGGACGCCCACATGATTGTCACTTCAGTGATAAACACGCACGCAGTACCCATCTGGAATCGGGTCCGCTTTCAGTCGGATGATTTCCAGAGACTCACGACCAAATGCTCCCAAGTCCAATCTTCTTTTTCTGTCATTCTTTTATAAAATGACAATCTGTTTTATTATTTTTCCGATTGCGCTGTGTTCCGGTCACCTCAGTGGTTCCTTCGCTCAAATAATGTGCGTGGAACTTTGTAGTTAACACGGTTTGTATCTCTGCTTCCTGTACAGATATCAAAAAGTCGTCAACTGATAAAATGTAAGCAAAGTTTCAACGAGCAATTCGTTAGTTGACAACTTTTTGATATCTCTACAGGCAACCGAGATATATCGTCTTGACTACTCGTCATTTTGTCAAAACATCAATTTTTCATTGTTGAGATTTGAACAGTTTCCTCCTTCAATGTCTTCTTCTTAACAAACTTTTATAAATGTCATTCTTCCGAAGACGCAGAGGGGAGCATTCAAAAATGGCATTGAACGGGAAGAAGAAGAAGAAGAAGAAGAAGAAGGAGGAGACGGTGATTGGGGGATGTGACCTTTGAATACATTTGAATATAATACAAAAATTGGATTTATGCGCGGACATCGGAATATCTGGGACACACACACACACACACATCAATAATTGCGTTCATTTCGATGGGGTTACTGCAGAAAATAACAACAACGACGTGAGGTCGTTCTGAAGTTTTCGTCGTTCCGGGCGGATGCGAGTGCGATAAAAAAGTAACGTTTTTGAAATTTTTCTTCGTTTTAGGCATATTACAAGTTACTACAATAGTCTTCAAGGACTTCCGCGCCTCATGTAAGAACAGCTGGTTGCAATCCGTCGAGTAGTGAACTAGGACGGTTCATACTGATTCAATATCACAGAATTCAATCGAAATCTTCACAGACAACTCTGAAAAAGGGATTGAAATTCGAATCGCACCGCCCGTCTCATAAATTTGCATCCTTCCCATGGTGAATCCGGATCCACTGTTTCCCAAACGTCCTTCTCTCTCTCTCTCACTCTCTCTGCCCGTCCGTTCGTCACCGATCCCATTAGCCCCCGTCCGAAAAAACGTCTGTCCGTTTGTCGTCTTCTTCGTGTGTGTCCCCACCAACTGGTCACTCCAACTATTTGACCGCCCACCCCCCGATTCTGTGCGTCTCCCTGCCTCAGCACACTCTCTCGGCTCGGCTTGGTGAGATTTGCCTGCGTCTCCGAGACGTTCCGCACTCTTTCCGCGTCTGCCACCAAACTGTCCGCACGGTGTCCGCATCCCCCTTCCGCCCCCCCACCCGCCATTTGTCCTTTTTTGTTAGGCCCTCAGGGGAACGTTCTTTTTTCGAGGGTTCCTTTGTTTGTTCTCTGCGTCTCTCCGCCTACCGTACTCTCTCGGCGGGTCTGTGCCACCAAGACAATAAAAGAGGGCACCGGTGCACCATTCCTTTACACCTTCTTCTCTTCTTTGTTTTTTCTTTTCGAATAGGTACTGATGAGCTTTGTTTGCTCGTTTTGAAGAATTCTGCAAAATTTGCTTCAAAGTTGTCGTCTCAAACTGTCAAATTTTGACTCAAAAATTCAGCTAACTTTTCGCATATCGATTGAGTGCCCAATTTCAACAGCTTCTGAATCCCCCATACTTTTTACCCAATTCTCCCCAGATCCCAGTCGTTTTTCCCCGATTCTCGTCCTTGAACGCCACCCAATTTGTGGGTCCCACCACGTTCCGTCAAAAAAAGAAACGGTCTTGCATCAATTGTTATTGGTGTGCATTATTATGGCACGGCTTGCGCAACCCCGAATTTTTTGACGACGAGACCACCTGTTCGATGCGTTTGCGAATTGCGAATCGAATAAATGGGTCCACTCATTTTCATTTTCGTGTCCGGACGATCAAAAGCACCTGGTGGTCGCGCGGCGCCCGTCGCAAAGCAAAAAAAGAAAAGGTGATTTGTTTTTTCACCTAATTTTTTTCCGTCCGATCGGCCTTGACGGAACTATCCACCGTGTATATCGTTTGAGGAGAATTATACACGGAAAAGAAGGAGGAACGAAGGAGGACGGCTAATTTTTCACAACATTATTTTCAACGCTGGTGACGAGCGAAGCCCCGCCCACTTTTTGCTACGCTTATTGACTCATTTTCATTGCGAACCCGACAGGACTTGGCGCTGCGCCTTCAAAACCGTACCATCTGAGTTGAGAAGTTCCGTTCGTGGCGAGAGCCAACCGATTGCTTAATTTTCAAATTGAGTATACTTTTCCACTTGCACCGCATAACATTTGAGCGCCGATCTGTTCCTCCTCAAATTTAAATGCTCGTACGAGGGACTAATTAGAAGTGCGCCGACCGGTCCTCAAAGGGCTTTTGTCGTCGAAAAGGGCGGCACTTTTTGTGTGATGAGTCCGCGACCGACAAAACGTTTTTTATGAGTTGAAGGGGAGAAATGGCCGGCGGAATGCAAAAAAAACGAATGAAAAGTGATGGAAGAGTACAGAGTTTATGAGCTGATGATGATGATGAGCGGAGAGAGAGAGAGCAATCATGAGAGGCTGTTCGAATTTTGAAATCACTCGAGTCGGCTCATTTTTGTGTTGCGGGTGAGCCGCATACCGTAACCGTAAAATTTAAAGACGCAGCACTGAAAACTTTTTGCGGTTCGATTGTCCGGACGCTTTATGTGCTCAAGCAGATTTTTAAAGAGCGCCGATGTAATTTTTGATGTTAGAAATCTACTCGCGATGAAATTTTCTGGAATTTTCGTGCTGCGCCTTTAACGTTGCTCTATATTTTCATTGTAAATATTTCTCAAAAACAAATTATAGCCCTAGCGCTGAAATTGCGAAAATTTGGAAAAACCCCGTGTCGAAAACAATTTTGCAACGCGCGCAGCCCTGCGCCTTTAAGTCTAAGACTTTTGTAGACTACTGTACGAGCCGAAATTTTCTCTTCCACAGCTTTCAAAAATTGGCGGTTTCGTTTTTTTTTGTGTGTGTGTCGAAGACATATTCGGATAATACAAATGACACCGACCCGATGGCCTATATTCGTTCTGTTTTTTGGCGGTGTGTGCGGTCGTCGGCGGTTAGACATGGTTAGACAGTATTTCGACGAATTTCGCACTTTCCAACTTCAACTTTGATCGCGTCGTGCAAATTTTACACTTTCTAGATGAAGATATTTTTGAAAATGTCGTAAAACATAAAATTGTCATAAAAACAGCAAGACACGATCTTCATGTGATTTTTTTGTGGTTTCTTTTCTGATAATGGAAAAAGTGGTCCCCATTTTTTTTAGAAAGCTTATGACCTTTGAAGTTGAAATTGCTTTAATTTTTTATTGACGAACGCTTTCAATCAACCTGTCAGAATGACTCATATTCAAATAATTTGTCACAATTTTTCCGAAACGATTTTTTGCGTCGAATCGTCAAGGTCGTTTTGGGGAAAAAATTTGAAAATCCTCGACTTCTCCCAACTGAATCTTTCGAAAATCCCAACTACCGTAGCCCGACGTCCTTTCGTCAATATATATGAATTTCATCAAACATTTCGCTCGCCGCTTCAGGCATATAATTAAATTCGCCTCGTTTTTTCGGCCGTCCAAACACGGCCTCCGCCGTCCGCGCGTCCGTAAAACCGTTTCTTTGATGCCCTTGTGTGCCCGGCCGTACCCCCAACAAAAAAGGAAATTTTCGAGCGTTTTGTGTCTGCCACCTCCTCGTTTCGAATGCTCTCTCGGCCCTGAAGATTTCGACAGTGGACCGAATTGAGGTCATTTTGAAGATGTCGCCCAGCGGTTTTTGAAAAACCGCCGTGGATCGGTCGAAAATATTAAAAGAGAGGAGGGAAAGAGATTTTCAATTTTCAGCAAGACTCACCGCAGCTCATTTTGGCAGTAGAACGTGCTGAGCTCAATAGAGCTGATTCGAGCGGCCGAGCCAACGACAAGGTTGAAAATTACAAGATTTCAGTAGAGCGCACTTCCCTATCTGTAAATATCTTCCACTTCACCCCCTCACTCATGACTTCTCTTGTTTAGAATCAGTCATGCTTTTGCCTCTTTTCCCATGATCATCAACATTTTGCCTCCCAAAATCCTTCGTCGTCACCCACCACCATTATATTCTTGAACGACGGGCTTTCGCCTTTCTCCCCTCCGTTTTGCCTCCAAATTCCCCGCGAATAATAATATCACGTTTCGAACTAATAACGGTCTTCTTTTCCTCCGACGTCGGAAGAGAGAACCAATCCATCCTCCCATATCCATTCATCCGAACGGACGACGGCGACTGGGAGGAGGAGGAGGCAAAAAACGATGAAAATGGCTGAGAGGGGAAAGTGTAGAACTGTAGGCTTCACTCTGTAAAGTGTCGTGACGGTGTTTGCACACATTTTAATAGCGTACCGAGGAGTACGGTATCTTTGGGCTGTTTGGTCTGTAAGTACTTTAATTCATCATGTCTGCAACTTTGGGGCCCGTTATGTTTTTTACAGTTCAGCACACTCTAGAGAGATACCGTGGCTCTAGAACTCTGTAAATTGTCGTCATGGTGAATGCACATTCTGCCCAGATACAGTGGTCTCCTTCCACTTTCTCAAAAACACATAGCTTGTCCGTGCCCAGACGGCTAATGGTAACTGGTTAGACGGGCCGCCGTGAGATGTTCGTAGATATGCGTCTCTGTGTGTTTTTCCGAAAAAATCCATTCGAATCCGAAAGAATGCATCAGGATTTTGTTGTTCAGATATGCGTTAGTTGAAATGAATTTCCTTCCAGTTTCTGCCCAGACCCTACCGTAACCCGAATTTCCCATTTTGCAGAAAAGTTGCATTTTTTTTTAGTGTCTCTCATTGAAGTGTGTGTCCAACCTCATTCTCGACCCGTTCCTGTTTGCTCTCTCTCTCTTTCTCTCTCTCGCCCGTCTGCGTCTCTCGGTCCCGCGTGCTCTCTCGTCGGGATCAGCCGTCCTTCCGATCGGAAAGGAGGTCCCCGTCGCCGCCAAAAACTTCCTCCTTTTTTGAACTTTGAAATTTGAGAGCACACATTGGAAATACGCACTTTTAGGGGTTATGGGTCCCGAAAGACCTCCCTGACAGCTGTCTCCATTTTTGCTGCCCCAACATTTCCACCCATTTCCAATTCATTTCTCCACTCATGCTCGTTCTTTCCCTTCTGCTCTTTCTTGCCCTCAAAATTTTCACTTTTTTGTATCGCCTCATCCTCTTCCCCCTAACCCCCATTCAAAAAAGTTATGTGCAGCAGCAGCAGCAGCAGCAGCAGAAGCTGGCAGAAAAGGGAAAATATTGGGGCGACGAGGAAACGGGCGAAAAGTGGAATTTTTGTTTCGCTTTTTTGTGTTGGGGGTGGAAGGAGGCCCCCAATGCGGTGCCGCCAAAATTCGATTTTTGACGACTTTCTCTCCGGCACGCTTTTTCCACCCCGCCGCCATGTTTGAAGCGGTTTTTTGAGCAAAAAGGGGGTAAGGGAATACACGAAATGAATGTTCTCTTTTCTTTTTTTTGTTTTCGCTCCGCTCGTCTTTTTTCGTTTTCAAAGCTTCAGCCTACTTGAAACGTTTGCCGATTGTACTAGTCTAAAAGTTCGAAATAGTGAAATCCGTACAATGAGATTCGAACCCGTGACAGTCAATTTCCAAATTCCAAAACACTTGCACTGCGCCACAGGCGCAACAACCCCCCGAACGCTCCCAGGGCAGTGAAGTTTCCGGGTCGGCAGTCGTCTCCCTTGCGAAAGTTCATAGAAATTCTTTGCTTTAAACTGACCAAACTTCTTTTTTTTTTCTTAGGATGACTAATAGATAGTATTCACTGATTTCTTTACTCATCCCCTCTTTAAACTGACCTACTAAAATCGGGCCATTTCGTGCGTTCGCTGCCTGATCCGACGCCTGGTTTCCAGTCTTTGCTGGGAATTCTTCTCTGTTCACATCCATACTTCTCTTATTTTTTCGGAGGGAGAAGCTTTTCGGACGGCCGGGCTACGAAGATATTTTCCCAAAAATTTTAATGATCATCAAAAGTTTTACGATCATCAGTGTTGTGTTATCGCCCAGATGATCATCATCTGTGATGATGATGATGGGAAAATTAGTTTTTTTGTTCTGGACGAAGGGAAGCGGAAAAACAAAAAGTTTGCCAACTCGACGGCTTCAGAGCCCATCCTTTTTACTTTCAATGCGGCGCGACCGTAATCTGAGACATATTTTGAGCAATGCGCCTTTACATCTGCAGTAACCCAGGGATTTCAGTTTCCCAAATCTTGAAAAAATGAGCTCATTTTGAAAAAAAAAAGTCTACGGAGCCTATTTCAAAGTAGATCGATGCTTTGTAACCATTGACAGTCTCAAATGATCGTGGTTCCATTTAGTCTCTGAGCAAATGCTCACCATGAAAAAAGTGAAAAATGCTCAATTTCCGAAACATTCCAAAGTCTGCCAAATTTGCCTACGCCTTCCCAGTTCTCTAAAACTACAGTAAGCGTAATCCGAATTATACAAAACACGTCGTTTTCTCAATTTCTAGTTCAAGATAAAGTGATTGAACAGTTAAAACGACTTCTTCTTTTCGCGCGCACGATCGCGTTCGTTGTCGTCGTTTTTTGGACCGCCTGTCCGTCCGAAAAAGGCCAATTAATTTCGAATCGGCCCTTCGTTCGGCCATCGCTTTAACCAATTATAGGCGATCGTAAAAATACAGCTTTTGGCTGTCGAGGGGAAAAGCTGAATTGAAGGTGGGAGAGATCTCCGCCCCAGCATATATTATATAATAACAGCTTCTGACGAACATATAGTTCTTTCTCTCCTGGATATATACTATATCGCTTCGTTCGTTCGCTCGTTCGGAGGAAGAAACCGTTTTCAAAACGAATACACTTTTCGCTTTCCCCCTTTTCCATCATCTCTCATTCAAAACTATTTGCTGTTTGTTATTATACAACTGTACATTTTCTAGATATTCTCTGCTTTTGAGCTGATCTTAAGTAACCTCACCTCCTCTATTTTTGTGTGAAATCTCCATGCCTAGTACTCTATTTTTGTAGTTGATCATTTCTAATACTATTGTTGCTCCTCCGACTATATTTTCCACAAATTAGTGCCGTTCTCATCGAATCGGTTTCGCTTCTAATTTGCGTGAATACAATAAACATTTATGATTCTTTTCTTTTTGCCCTAGAAGACGTTACCAGTTCCCCCCGTCTCTGCCAATTTTTCTCCCTCTTTTCTTCCATTTACATCAGATATACAGTAGTAGTTGTGTGTGTGTGTGTTGAATGTAATAAGAATAAGAAGAAGAAGAAGACGAAGAAGGAGAAGCATTCCCCTCCCCTCTTTCCGATATTTGTTAATTTACACACACACTGTAGAGGATTCTTGTATTTTGGGGTGAAAAACAAGTCTCCACAACCATCGCTTGCTTCTTTTGCAGCCCCAATCTCTACTGCTTCGTTTTCTATTCGATGACGACGATCTGAGAGTGAGACTGTGAAAACAAATTAATTTTTCTAACATCTGCTCAGAAATGTGCAAATTCGCTCTATCGCAATGAAAACTCGGCTGCGGCCACGGAAGGGGCACGCGAACCGCAAAGATTGCGATAGAGAACAATTGCAACAATTTTGAAAAAAAAAGCTATTCACGGCGAACATTTGTGAAAAACATGGTTTGAACTTCCCGCCCGTATTTTCTATTTTTTGGACACCGTAAAATTGTATTTTTGACCTTCGTTCAAATCGCCAACATTTTATTTATCATTGTTTATTTTCTTGCTCAAATGAAACGATCGTCAAATTTGAGAGTTCACAAAATCCTTTGTCTTCGAAAAAAAACCAAAATTATCCGAGAACTTTCAATTTTCTTCGTCGCTTTTCCTTATCTCTTGGTTTTCTCAAATTTTCTCGAAAAATCCATCAAAAAATGCTCGTATTTTTGCAGAATGACATCGCTTCTCGGCGGCAATTTTTCCGAAGTTCTGCACACGGCGCTGACGAGTCAGCTGAACGTTCTCTCGCAGAAGACGTCTGATTCAGATGCGCCGACGACGTTCAGCTCGTCGTCTTCGAGCGATTCGCCGCCCTACGACTCGATGATGTCCCTTTCGGGCGCCGGGCTCGGAGAGCAAACCAGCGGTCTCACTTTGGATATGTTCAAAGACGGATTGGTTAGTATGAAAAGAGCAAAACATTCTGACGCGAACAAATTCTATTCTAGAATTCAAAAACGTGCCTACAAATATTCGACTGATTTCAGTTCGCCTCTCTAGTCCATCCCCCGCCCACAGACGTCGCCCATTCAGACACGGCGAGCTCCGAATCGCCGGAGCCGGCCGCCCATCCGCATCTGGAGCACGATGACGTGGCGAACGGAACCCCAGAAGAGGTGAGTTTCCAGAATTCATGCGAGTGCAAAAATATGTAAAAAATGAAAAATGCAAATTTCTCTCACAATGAGTCACTCGTTTTTGGTGGAAAATTTTTTTTGGAATTTAATAAAAAATTTCGACGTACAAAATTTCCTCCACATTTCCGTTATGTTTTATTTTTCTTTCAGCATCAACAATCGGCAGCCCTATCGCTGATCCAATCGTTCGGAACTCCTCTCGTGAAGCTCGACGATTCGGAGCCACCCCAACTCGAACAAAACTTTTTCTCCGAGGCCACAATTAGAGATCTGATGCCAGTTTTGGCGGCGGCTCAAGGATCCGGAGGGATCCAGCATCAGAGTATCCACAGCGCCGCGGCCTCCGCCAACAACACCTCCTCGCCGTCTGCGTGGGCGAGAAACGCGGGCAGGAAGAAGTCGCATCCGGTGTGGGACTTCTTCAAAGATTTGAAAGATACAAGTGAGTTTCGGATGATGGAGGAGAAATTAGAAAATGAAAAAAGTTTACAGCTGGCAGCGGAGGAGTGATCTGTCTGCACTGTAGCTGGAGCGGAGACGATCGGAGTCCGAACAACTTGCGAACGCATTTGAAGAAGTTCCATTCGGACGATGGCATATTCAATCGATTTAGTGAAAAGTTGGCAAAGGTTAGTCTCTTCAAAATGAGCCTTTGTTACTGTAACTGAGCAGTCCGTGACCTGGTACACCGAGCGGTACCTGGCTGTGTCCGAGTACACCCCTCATCATATTTTGCGAGGCCCCTCATAATACAAGTGCGCGATTCCTGCAAAACGACCTCGAAACTCCCCGTCCGTTCCCCGCCGGCACTCTACTCGCCCCCTCATTTCCGTACCGGAATGACTTGCAATCGGTCCAATCCCCCGCTCCTCTCCCTCACTCTCTATCCCTCTTTTCACGGTGAAGACCCAAAAATGGAAATTGGAATCGAACCGACGGACAGTCAGGCGGACGGGTAGTTTTGGCGAGAGCGACCGGCCTACGACCCGTCCATCATCACAACAGGATCCCCGTCTCCTCCCGCTCTTTATTAGCACAGGAGGCTTCGTCGTTCCCTCGCCGTCAAGAGAGAACGGTTCGCGGCGAAAAGGGAGAAGGCACGCGAGAGAAGCGCGGAAAGCCTCCTCGGGGGTGGTCATTTTGTCCCCACCCGCGCGGGATTCTCCCCGGTATTTGTGCTTTGCTTTGTGACCGACCTCCTCCTCGCCCTCCCGCCCGAAACGACCTACCCGGGAGGGGAAAAGAAGATCGGACCGAACTGAGAGAAAGCAAAGATGAAGAAAGAAGAGAGGGGCGCCCGCGCGTTTTCGTCGTCTTCGTCAAAACGGGGCGGGTCCTCGGCCCCCCGGCCACCGCCGCCGCGGGGGTTTTTTGCCGGCCAAGCCATTGTCTGCGCCTCTCCCCGCCGCTCACTCTTCTGCCTTTTCTGGCTGCCCCCTGCCGGTACCCCCGTCAAAGAGACACGGGGCCAGTCCCTCCACCACACACACTCCTTCTTCTTCTTCTTCTTCTTCCATTCCGAAAGGGAAGAGATCGTCGTGTGAGTGTGTGTATGTGGACGACGGGGCGCGGCGGCCCCTTTTCCCTCCCCCCCCCTTATTCTTCTTCTTCTCATTTTCCACACCGCCATCTTCTTCCCCACACTCCCCTCCCATCCACACATATCCCTCTAGTCCCTTCTCCTCCAAATCCAGCTGAAAGATTCCTCATGTCAAGACTTTGCCCCGTTTTTCCACGCCGATTTTTGTATCCTTCTTGTAAGCAGCTCTAGATCGAAACTTTTCTTTGCTTGAAAAAGTAACTGTATAATCCAGAAAGGCCAACTAGGATCAATGAGTTCCCAGATCTTGTTCTAAAACCGTACAGGCTTCTATTCCTACCGTATTCCTCGATTTCCTACTTGTGACATTCCCGACTCCAAAATGTGTAGACTTTTAATAGTTCAACCTACCCGAGCCGAACAGCTTCTTGTACTAAACATTTGACAACCAGCTGGTAAACCGATAGGACCATTTCCATCCCCCCGCATTCCAACTTTCATCCTCCCCGTATAAAAGAGTATTTGTGTGTGTGTGGGTGTGGTGTGTGCCTTCTTTTCCCCGCGCGCTCCTCCTCACACACTTCCCCCTCCCCGTTTCCCCCGTTTTGCGCCGATGAAAACGGGCCCCGCCGTGCCCCGTTTTCGGCGCTCTTCTCTGGCCCTTCCGCCGCCGGCACAGTCTCTTCGACGCCCCGACTTTTGTTATCGATTCGCCCCGTCGTCTCGGGGCTTTTTGCGGAGGAGACACGCACACACCGGCCGGGCACTCTCTGTCGCCGACGGGGCGGACGACCAACCACCCGACTGCCTATACATACCTTTTGCCTCCTCCTCCGTTTCCTGACGCCCCACTTCCTTTTCTGGTCTCTGTTCCCTTCGACTCTTTCGATTCTTCCTCCTTTCCGGCCTTTCCAACTGACCCTTTCTCTCTGTAGACTACCGTATGACTCGTCGCAAGCAAGACTGCACCCTGGCCATGGAACCGCTCCGAACTCCTCAAAAAACTCAAGACGATTCGGCGTTCTTCGACTCGGCCAACTCTGTCGCCGGAGAAGAACTCGACGTCTCGCAAGTCATGGCCCTTCTAGAGCAGACGAACGACGGAATGCTCAAGGGCGGCAAGAACGCATCCATCGAGAAAGAGCTCTCGCCTCTGACGGCCGCGCGCGCCAACGAGATCCTCTTCGCCGCCGGAATTCGTCCGCACAAAAAGACATCGGAGATTTGGGAGCACTACAAATGCCTGAACGAAAAACAGAATGTGGAATGTATTTATTGCTGGAAGGTGCTGAAACGGAATGATAGCAGCACAAAGAGCATGTGGGGACACATGAATGCCTATCATCAGGATGTGCTCAGAGACGGAACGACTAGAAAGAAGATTAAGAGACCGGCGGGAAGCACTAATGTTGGACTTGATTTAGATGAGGTACATCCAGGGACACAGTTACAGTAACCTAGAAATTCGTGCAATTTTGTAGTTCCATTCTCCAATCTAATCATTTTCAGACTCCCACTCAACCCTATGTGAAACGCGTGCGTGGCGGTGGCTCCTCGACCTCCAACGGCCTTCCGTCGATGGTGAAAATGGAGCAGAAGCCGGTGATCGACATGGCATTCCTTCAACAACTCCAAGCCTCGTCCGGAGCCCTCAATGATGTAATGAGCCGCCAACCCACTCTCCTCATCCCAATTTGCTTCTTTCCAGACTGAATTCTCATTTGGCGGTCCGTCGCTCAACTTCCTCGACTCGTTGCCCAAATCGTCGGAAGTGATCAACATAAACAGCGGATTCGTAAAGATGGAAGAGGCCGAAGAGGATGCGGAGAATCATGTGGAGGTAGGTACAAAGCTTATCAGTTCGGGGGTGATAGAGGGGAACCACGTCAATGAAATTGACACTTTAGTAAGGGGGTGATAAGGACCGCGAAGCCCTCGGGGCTCCATTTTGTGCACACTTGACAGAAAGCTAGAGAATGATAAGAGAGGGAGAGTGACAGACGGCCGGAGAAAAGAGCGAAAGGGCAGTGACTCACGTTGTGTTGGGCCAAACGATCGGGACTGTAACATGATATAGTTTGAATAAACAGGGAACGAAAAGGTTTGAGTAACTCTGGGGTCACCGCTCAGTGCAACTGAGCCGCTTGTTGGCGTTTACCCCGTGTGACACCGCGTTTCCATAACAACCGCTTGCAGGCAGCCTCCTCCTCCAGCTCAGATGAGCCCGTACGCAACGTCGACAGCCCAGAAGCCCGCCGTTCCCCGCGTGCACACTCTTCGCAGCAGGAACAGAACGATCAGTTGGTCGCCTTCGTAAACAGTCTCTCCACCACCAACCCGATGATGTTTGCAATGCTCAACGCCGCCGGAGGAGCTCCTTCCGCGTCTTCCCACCACCAGCCGCTGCCTCCAGCCACACTTCCGCCAGCTCCCCCTCGCGGAGCAACACCCACAGATCCGGCCAATGGATCTATGTCGCCGTCGAAACTGGAGAAGGATCCGAGCTCGTTCTCTCTAAGCGAAGGACACTGCGCCGCGCAACTGATGTCAATGGCTCTGGACCTTGAGATGACAATGTCGTATCACCGAAGACGCATCGATATAGAGCTGTGTTTCGAGAGCAATCGGACCGCGGAAAAGTCGGGAGGGCGTGGAAAAGTGATCTGCTTGACGGATTTGGGAAAAGAAATCAAGTGAGTGATACTGAATCTCAACGGCAATCCATTCATTTGGGGGCTACACAGAATCAGAACTGTCCCGAATCAGAATCAATTAGCACTGAAAATAGTTCTGATTCGGGACAGTTCTGATTCGAACAGTTCTGGTTCGGCGCACCCTCATTCATTTGTCCCATTTTCAGAATCACCGAACGAGTGAACGGAGCGATCTGCGACACGGAGCTGTGGACAAAGACCGACTTCAACCAGTTCCACTGGGCAATCCGTGGAAAGTGCCAGAAGTGCTTCAACAAGCAATAAATTGGTCTTCCCGAATCCACGAGTCTTTCATTAGGAACCACCACCCCCGTCCGATCGCTTTATCCTCGAATACTTCATCATTATTATCCATTCCTCCTCACCCGCCCCTACTCAATTCCTATTTATCATCCGTTTTCTAGAAATGCGCTGGTCGTGTCACCTTCCTCATCCCAATTATATGTGCTCCTGCTGACATTCGTGCCCTTTTCAAGCCAATAATGTATACAATTTTCACATGTGTTAGATACGGTACTTTCTTTTGTTCATCATCATTTCATTGTGACTCTTTATTCGCCTCCTGCACTCCTTCAAACTCATTCATATCTCTTCTAATATATCAAGTTTTACAAAGAGATTACACAATAAATTAAATGTATTTAGAAGATCTTTTAGAATTTATTCCAAAGACGTTTTCGAACAGGAAAATGTTTTTCTCTCGCTCGCGCAAGCAATTGGATAGTGCGAATCGAATCGATTCCAAGATGGCGTCTCGATCGAAAAAGAATCAAAACACTGAGTTTCCGGTTGGCTCTTCGCACCGAAGTCAGCCTCTGCAGGTCCCGGACTCTCCTCAGACCGATTTCCCGTCGGATTACTCGAGCGGCTCTTCTACATCAACTGGCTCCGCGCTCACTTCCCTCCGCACTTCTGCCTCGTACGACGGATCTTCCGGCTCGTCGCACGTCTCCACCGGAAAAAGCCGTGGTTCCCGCATCGACTCGTTCCGTTCTTCTCCCGGACGTTCTCCGCACTCGCGCATCGGAAATTCCTCCAGAAGCAAGAGACGAACCATATTTTCGATTCTGACATCTTTCAGTCGGTGAATTCCTCTCCTACTATTCGAAACAACCGGACTTCGAAGCGTTCTCGATTTCCGTCGACGGCATTCCGTTTGTCGCCGTCTCGCTCGGAAATGCCGATGATCAGCTGAGCTCGAAGTTCATGAAGAAGGCTCCGCCCCCGACTCCGATGAAGAGACACACTCCAGGTATTCGAGGATCATTCTGCTCCAATACATTAAATTTCAGGAGTGAACAGTCTAGAGACTGATTTGACCGAATGACCATGTGAATAAAGGCTGCATTTGAAGCTGTTCATAGAGAAAATCATATTTACAATGTATTCCTGAGGGCTGAAGTATGGCTTTCTCGTAGTGCTTTGAATGAACAATGTCGGCGTTACTCCCGTCCGTGTAGAAGATCACAAAATGATTGTTTGCGTGAAGAAGTTGTAATCTTAACAACAATGTATATTGATTAGGTTTATTCAAATTTCACGAGCGATTGAATCAAGAGCGAAAAAGTAATTATGAAAAGTTAATAAATCTGGAAAAAGAGATCAATGGAGGCAGAGAAAAGGAGAAATCGAGAATATATTGTACAAATTAGAGTTTGCCGAAAAAGTTAATAGAATTTGATTGAGTATTACCGTTAAGAAAATGTACAATTGAATGGGACTATCCCATTTGCAATAACGTCATTTCCTACGGGGATTGTTCGAACGGAACATGAGAGTAGTAGAGATCGGGTTGGGCAGGAGGGTAAGGAATGGGGTGATATGGAGCTGGAGTGGGGACATAGTGATGAGTTGAGGGGGCGGGAACGAATTCCGGAGAGTACGAGGTGCGATCGGAAGAGTAGCCGGAACTGTTCGTGGGACTATCGGGATCCCAACGGACGACATCCGAAGTGGATGCAGCCATCACTTGGCCATCCATCTGGAACGGAGCTGCAGTGACGACAGGACTGCGAAAGTCAGGATAGGATGGAAGACCAGACACGTACTTGTTGTCGCTTGACTTCATGTCGCGGATAAGCGGGTTCTGAAAAGATGAAGAGTTAAAGCAAATACTCAAAAGTATGAAGCTTACCTTGTATCCAGTGCAAGTGAGGAACTGGGTTTCAGGCATCTCAAATTCCTTGACTTTGTACAATAGTCCGTCAGAATAGAACTCCCAGATTGTCAGAACTGGCATGTACCTTATCAGTGACTTGACCTCAATCTGAAACAGAAACATTGATTACTTTTCGTAGAATTTGGCCGAAACTTACACTCATTGCCAGGGTTTCCCTCAGTTTCTGGGCTTTCGCAGCCGCTCTCGCAACTTCCGCACGATTATTCGGATCGACCGGCTTGCCTCCGACCTTCTTCGGATTGCCAATATTGTAAATTTTCAATCGTGCGGCATCAATTCCGATCATCATCCATTCCTCTCCGCTCATGGTCCCCACAGTGAAGCGGTCTGTGGTGGAAGGTCCGTCAACTGGCTTCGAACTTTCTATCCACTCATCTTCCTCGTACTTCATGAACTTTTTGGAAATTCTCTTGAGATGGATGGTCATTTGGTATTGGGAATTGCGTTTCAGTCCCACCACATCGTACTTCAACTTGGGGAACAGTTCGCGGCCGGTGGTGAGCACCATCATCTCGTTCGGCATCCCGCAGTACTTCGACCACAGCTTCTTCTCATCGATCAAAGAGACCACAATTGAACTCTTCTGGGATGCAGGAAGAGACAGTGTTGGATCGGGATGAGCAGTGTCTGAAAGGAAGGAGTAAGAATCGATTCGAAAAGACTGTAACTCGCAAGGTTGTTGCATTCGCTCGTTGCAATTGGCCGAGACCGCGTTCACAGCAGGAGTTGGATTGTGGAGCGGCATCATGTTACCGGACGGATACTGAGCATACATCGGGACATGGAACTGCGCTGGATGGAAAGATGGCATTGCGTTGTGAGACGGAATTGGCATTCGTGGTGGCATCATGTTGCCGGGCGGCATCGGAGTGTGGAAGGGCACCGGATGGTAAGAAGGCATCCGATTGTGGAACGGCATTGTATGATCAGCACGAATTGGACAATGAGAAGGCATCATAAGTGGAGACTGCATCATGTTGCCGGTCTGCACCGGATGCTCAGCTGACATTGGAATGTGGAACGACATCGGCTGAGGGTAATCGGGCATCATTGGTCGAGAAGTGCTACAAACTGAAAGGAAGAAATGAGAATTGATTGGAAAAGAGTACAACTCACCATTTTGTGGCACTTGCTCGTTGCTGTAGACGTTGTTGGTCGAGACCATGCTCATAGCGGAAGACGAAGAGTATTGATGAGACATTTTCGAGAGGATCGAATGAAGAGAATGAAGAGAATACCGTCCGGGTGGCTCAAAGGGCCGTGTCCGTTTGGCTGTAAAAAGGAGTGACCTGAAAGAGGGACCCCCTGTGTGTTAGAGGTGCAGACAGGAGTCGGAAGGGGACATACTAGCGTGCGTACTGTGGGGAACACTGTGAGATGTAGGAAGATGCTAATGCAAGAACTGATAAAGCGTGCCTCTGAAAACTCTGAAATCTCGTTGCCTTCCACTTTCTCTGTGGAACGACCGGGTTTGTGAGTGGTGCATTCACAAATCTGAAATGGAACTGGACGTTTTCGAGCCACTATTGTCTGTATGTCGTATGTGATCACTCTGGCTCTCTGAAGCTCAGAAGTATTCTCTCCTCTTGCCCGAACCTCTTCTGGCCATGTCTACTCACATGAACATCCACAAAGCGCACTGGTTTGAAGTTCGTCTCGGGCTGGTTTCTCGAGTACTTTTGTGAACTACTGTATGCAGACAGAGGGGGTATACTGTATGGATAAGAGGAAAACGATAATGAACATAGTCCCAGATAGTACATGAACCTGAAAAAGAAAGTCGAAAAATAGGTTTCAGATCACTTATACATCTCCGGACTGGATCTTTCTTTGAAAACTGTTGTGTTCCAGTATCTCACAGCTTCTGTACTCCTATCGCGGCCTCCATCTTTGAGCATGTTTTTGTGCTCACTTCCACGACCTCACTAATCCATCAACACATTCAAAACATGTCAACTTGCAGGTGTGACAGTCGAACGAACAAAGGAAGAGGGAGACGGAACAGAGGGGCGTAAATGGTCCGTCTGCGGTATACCTTTCAAGGCGTCAGGCAAGACAACCGTCGAAATAATCGGAAAAGGAAGGTTACGGGAAACAAGTAATAAGAATGTTCTGGAAGAGAAGGAAAGCCTTGAGCACTTTTTACTTGGATGGAGCTCCGTACGAATGAAGAAAGCTCTTGTACGAATGAATACTTAGATTTGAGACAATTCATTAGAAAAACCATATGCAAAGACAGAAAGAACAACCCGTTGTGAGGGCACACGAGAAAACATTGAGGAAAAAAGGAAACGAATTGAGAGGAGAGGAGATCAGAACGGATGGGATCAAAGGGAATCACGAGGGGCAAGGCACGCGAATGGAACCGCAAATCTTTGGAAACAACTGAGTGATATGAATGTCTACAACTGCTGGAGTGTCCTTGGCTCGAGCTCAAACGAACGGGATGGCTCGGCGTGCGAAGAGGAGACGTCGGAAGAGTATCTGCAATCAAATGTGTACTTTCAGAATGCTCTAGTCGGGATGCTTACCCGCCTAACCGAATTGCGGTCTCGATCTGGTTCCTGGATCTCAGCTGACGGCGTCGCGGGCAACTTCTCGTGCGCGGAGCCGGTTGAGCGGAGCGTTGATGGGAAGGAGTGCGAAGGTTGGAAGGGATGTGATGGCGGCAGGAACGAGACGGGCGCGAGGAGCGAGCAGTCGAGGAGCCGGGCGGAACGAGATGTGCTTCTTCGGGAGATGAGCGGGGCAGCAGGGATTCCGTGTCATTCGAATGGCTGGAAGGAGAGAATGAGTCGAACATTCCACAGAACATTCACTTACCCTGACGTTTTTTCCGGAGAATCCACCTTCGGATAGTGCTTGTAAACCACATCGAACTGACACAACGGACATCTTCTCCGCGAGAGCAGCCACGGATCGACGCACTTCGGATGAAACTCGTGTCCGCAGAAGAGCACCCGCAGCTCGGTTCCCTCTTCGTATTCCTCCAAACAGATCACACATCGCTCCTGCGCCGAATGGTTCGAGCTCTGAGCAACAGAAGTGAGCGAACCGAACACGGCCAGATAGGAAGAGTGCCTCGACGAAGAACGGTGCTGCTTGAGACGGGCGAATGTGTTGCCGGACTTCTTCTTATTCCCCGCACCCTTTTCCTTTTGGAAGTTGCGGATTTCCATCTTGGTCAGGGCGGTTCGCGCGAGAGCACGGAGCCACAGCTCGCGATGCATAGTCGGTTGACAGCGGATCTTGATGACGACGAGGAGGGAGACGAAGACGATCAGAACGATCAGAAGGCCGAGGAGCGAAATGTTGAGGATGGTCGGTCGGAACACCTGCAGTTTCAACACTTTCGACGGCTTCTCGTCTATGAATCCGATTCGCAGTTTCACGACGGCGCCACGATCCGAAGCGGTCCTGAGCTCATTGCGAAGACGTTCCGTCTGCTCGTCATCCAACACTATGATCGGGATTTTGGTGCCGCCAATCTGAAAAGTTTCTTTGCCGCTGAGTTGCATAATATCTTCTGAACTCACCGTCATGGGCCGTGTGGTCCGTTCAACTCTAGAAGCAGGCCCGACTACCAGCGCCATGGCTCCAGACTTTTCCGCGAATCGGGCCTGGTTGTCGAGGGCCACGCATCCGGTTAGAAATGGCTGAACGTCATCGACGAAGACGACGGAGACGTGCTCGAAGACGGTGTGATCGAGGCCTTTGCGACGGGCGTCACAGGCACGGAACGATGAGACCTGGAATTGCGACAGTTCTTTGCTGGTTAACCTATCCGGAACCTAATCCAGAATTGCGTAGCATGCTTCTTTCGCTCCCTATGTCGGGCCTTCTTCCTCTTTCTCTCTTCTACAGTATAACCATCGGCTCCCGCTAATCCCCTTAAATGTTGCATCAGAAGGGGGTCATCAATGGGATTACACTCTCATTTCCCCACCAAAATTTATGCCCCCCCTTTTACCCGCTTCTTTGAGGCTCGCCGCATGGCCCACCCGCTTCGACTAAAAAGCCGAATAAGGAGAAGAAGAAGAAGAAGAAGATGATGACGACGACGATGGAAAAAGAAAGAAGTAGAAGAAGAAGAAGGAGGAGACATAGTAATTGTGTGTATTATTTGTTTGTTGTATGTGTCTGTGTTTGTCCATCTTGTACTTGTTAGCACGACGAGCCTGAGCTGAGCACCAGATCCGAACAAAAACGAGTGGAGAGCCGAGAAATTCCATTTGAAAACGCGGGCCAAGTGGTCTCCAGAGAGCCGCTATTCACCCGCACAAAGAGCACAAAAATTTGGGCAAAGGACCAAGGAGGAGCTCGCCTACCTAATCGGTGAAATATGATTGTTGGAGCAAGAAGAGCACAGCACAAAGAGGGGAGCTGATGATTAGAAATGCATGCTGATGGCATTGACGAACTAGCGAATAGATAGTTTCGAAAGAAAGGGGCAAAAAAGAGCTGACAGTGAAGAAAGAGTGCTCCGCTAGACTTTGTACTTTTTCATTTTGACCACTTTTCTCCTGATTTAGCATCGTACAGTTCCACATGGTTTTATCAAAAAAAAAACTACCGTAAAAGTTGTAGCAGCTGCCGTAATGCTGGCTCTCAACCTTTAATCTTCTCCCCGATCCTCCTCCTCGAATTCTCAATTTCCTATCAGATAATGGGTCCGCGTCTGTATGGGAGGCAGCATCCACCCAAATTCGATTAGTGCTCTCTCTCTCTCTCTCTCTATCGGCACGGCACAGAAAAAGGAAATTGGCTGCGGGCAGCCACTAATGCATTGTGCAAATACACGCCAAATTATGTCAAAAACCACGCAGCCTATCTGTTTCTGTTTCTGTTTCGCTCGTCCGAGTACCCTGGAGCAACATCCGAAAAGACAGCGCGGCCACAACAACAACTAATATTTTAGCGCGGGGCGGCTCTCCACACAAGACTCCCCCGGGGTTCGAGGCGCCAAAAAACCGGGTTAACAAGCATCCGGAAAGAGCTTTTGCATGAATATATCATCCGGAAGAGCGTCTCGAGGGCACCAGATGCTGACGGAAGACGGACGACGCACCTGGACAATGTCTCCGCCCGTCTCGTAATTGCTTCCGACCGCCGAGAACGTTCCGACCAGTTTGATTGTCGTTTCGTCCTCAGTCAAATCTGCAATAATTGGATAAACGGAATCGAAACGAAGGCAGGTGCTCTTCAACAAAAGGTACTGTAGTCTGTGCTCGTTTGAACATTTGTCCCTCTTCTATGACGTCAAAAGTGAACAGACTATACTTTTGCAAAACGCACCTTCATTGATATTCCTGTGCGTCACAAAAATATCCGCTTTTTCGGCGAATTTGAATTGTGAGGCGAGCGTGCTGGAAGAGGACGGCGCCGGCCGGGTTTCCACGGTGGCGCAACCAACGAAAACCGCGATCATGAACCATACGCGCATTTTGTTGGTTGGCAAGGGTCCGGGCATAGACCCTCTCTGCAAATTGGCCGTGTTTAGAAGAAGAAGAAGAAGAAGAAGAAGAAGAAGGAGAAGATGACATTGACGAGATGGACAGAATATGACAGAAAAGAGCCCTGGCAACGTAAAAGCCTATTGAGAGAGGCTCAATGAGCCAGAGCAACAGATTCATACAGTCTCTAATGACAAGAAACGAGAAGTTGAGGTGGAAAATTTTCAAATCGGTCGCGTCGGCACAAAGAAAGGCACGAAAGCAATAAAAAATCAGTGTGGGGTCTCTTTCTCTCTTTCTCTCTCTCTTTTTCTTTTTCTCTCAGGAGTTCTTCGTTCGTTTGCCACCCGCCGGGTGAGTGACAAAATGAATGTTTTCGAGGGGCGGGGCCAGCAGTGCGGAGGGCGGAGAGACGCAGAGACCACCGCAGGGCACCAGAAGAAAACCATAAAATTCGACGTCGAGGACGATGCGGAAGGAAAGCGAGAGAGAGAGAGAGAGAGAGAGAGAGGGCCAGGTCAGAGGCGTCGAAGACGGTGATCGGAGGAACGTTTTATGTTTATGTGTTCTTCGGAAAAGCAAAAGCAGCATCTGGCGGTGGGCTCACTTGAATGCGTTTATTTATGTACACCTAGATGTTCCGGGGGGTCTTCTTCCCTGATTACATTTATTTTATGACCCTACACAGTCTTTGGAAAGCTTCTGAAGAAGCAGATGGGCGTTGTAGAGGAAAATCATCAGAAACATATGACTCGGCAACGCAGACACGCACAGATAAGATTTATGACGTGGAATTGGGCGGAAGATTGAATTATGGCTGGAGAAAGGAAAAGAGGAAGGCGATGGCTAAGGAGATGAGAAAAAGGAAAGAAGAAGAAGAAGAGGCGATTGGTTAGAAAAGTGGTTGGGAAGGCACATCTGAAAGCTTCATGGCCCAGCCCACCGTAACCGAGACACCCAGAAAGCACCTGCCAAAGTTTTGAAAGTGAAAGTGTTCGCTGTGGGACACCTGGTCTCTCTCTCTCTCAAACGAGAAAGGAAAGAGAGGCGATAGAGACCATGAAAAAAGTGTGTTTTTGGATCGGATAATGAAAAGGAAAAGGGCAACAAGCAGACTGGTATCAATAACATGTGCGGCGGCGGCGGCGGCGGCAGCGAGAAGAGAAAGAGGTCAGTGCCGGTGTGTTATCTGTGTGAACGGCCGAAGGGTGAGAAGAGGGAGGAGGTGGAGGCGGCGGGAAGGGTGCTCTCCCTTTCTCTCTCAAAAAGTGTTGTGGTGACAGGTTGTGATGGCTTGTGGTGATGGATCATTGACGGAGGACACAATCGAAAGGACCACACACTTTACGGCAAGCGTGCAGAGAGAGAGAGAAAGCAGCAGCGAGACGACCAGAGGTATAAAAAATGAGTGAGCGAGTGATGATCGGGCGGCATTTCAAAACGATTTTGATAGATGAGGCCTGCGGCGAAGAATGGCACTAGAATGGCACTTGGGCTCCGAGATCTACAGACTTCAAGATTTACAGCTTTTAGAATTTTTAGATAAGTAGTACTTCTTTTCAGAAGGAGAAAGGAAGGTACAGTATTTTTTGATGCACAGCATAAAGTCATTTAGACAAGCGAGACGGAATAAGAAAAGCGGGCAAAGTCGTTCCCGACGCAACCTACGCAGCTGCAGATGTTCCGAAATGACAATGTTCGAAAGGGAATAGCTCAATATATGAATCAGACACATCTGTCTTCCTTCTTCTTCTTCTTCTTTTTCTTTCGCTCCTCGAGAGCATCGCATATACATCACAATCGGGCACGACGACGACGACGACTAAAACGCAACTTTTTAGCGCGAGGCGAGATGGGCGCGGGGTGGGGCGGCGAGATGAAAGGCGGCGGACGGCCGCTGCGAAAAGAAAACATTGATAAAAAATGGGCAATGAAGTGAGAAGAAGTGGGCGGGAAATGGAAAAGTGAGAGAGAGAGAGAGAGAGAGAGAGAGAGAGAGAGAGAGAGAGAGAGAGAGAGAGGTGATTGACCTCGATGTGAAAAGGAACGGAGCCGCGCAAGACGCGTGTGCTTTGCAGAGGAAGAAGAAGAAGAAGAAGAAAAAGTGACAGCCGATTTTTTACAAGTGATGGATGGAAATTGAGGGCAATTAGGGGAGGGAATCGTAGTCGGCAGGCCAGCTTTTCGAATTTTCAAATGTTCAATCCTTGCCATGTTATCTGTGAGTGGAAGGAAGGAGGGAAACATGTGCGTGTGGCCCGACGGTCATAAAGTCTGCACCAATCATTAAAATGTTATTAGACGCTTGGAATCGTCCTTGTTTTCTCTTCTCCTCTCGCTCTTTCTCTCCGTGATTCAGCGGTGTCTTCAAAGAGAGAATCATCCAGAACACTTGAATCCAATAACAATCGTCCCTTCTTCTCGGCCACTAATCACTTCTTATCACCTTTCCAAAGAGTATCCTTCTTTTGTCCGGTGTAGAACGGACACATTCGTTGCTTGCTTTACATTTGCATAAACGAATCGGTTGTGAAGGATGCAGCGAGTGACGGAAAGAGGGACAAAACACATAACTGTTTGATAAACGATCGGAGGAGAGCGGGAAGAGGAAAACGGAGCGAGAGGAGCCGGAATAAGTGCCTCTGGGACCGATGGAGAGGTGTCGAATGGGATCGGAAATAGTTGAGACGAATGACTCTTGAGTTTCAGGTCAATTGGATGAGAGTCGCTGACTCAAGGCCGAAGTAATTGGATCACATGACTGTTTTCGGCTTCACTGACTACTATGACTCCTGAAAGTACTTTTCTTAGTTCCAATACTTTCAAAACACATTCAAATAGTATAGTAGATTCGGAGAGAAGTACGAGTGGATCGGATCGCATTCCAATTTTAACGAGCACTTTCCCAAACCCATAACTTTTTATCGTCATTTGATCTCCGAACCCATCTTATCATCGAAATTACCCCCCGATCCGTCGGTCTCGCCTTCAGTGACACCTCGCAGATTTATGACGTGGCTTTGAAGAGGAGCCGCCGCCACCGCCGGACACTTTGAGATAAAAAGCCAAAGGTAGAGAGAGAGAGAGAACTTTGATTGATTAGAAATAGGAATTCAAATGAATGAATGAATGTAATCTGTAGGGGTCACCCATGAAGAATGTTTACATTTGATGTGCAACACTGTCCCTGAATGACCTGTTCTTGTTCGCACATCGAGGAGGAGGCAGATAGGGTCACTCGGGAAGGAAGAAGGTATGGAGGAGGAGTCAGGCACGGATTACGAGTATCAGGGAACCGATAACGGGCAATTCGTGGTTTGCATGGCGAAGAACTTGGTCGCAGGAGCCTCGGAGGAGGGAAAGAAGACGTTTTTCATTAACCGAAACGATTAGAACAGGGTTTTGAAAAAGGTTACCATTTGAATAGATAGGAAACATTCGATCTTCTGTATCTTTGCTATTATACCGTACTGGATCTGTTCATATGAAACAACAAAGATGATAATGATTGAAACAATGTAGGAACTTTAACAGATTGCTCAAAGACATTGCTGAAGAAAAGGTAAATTCAGTAACTACACAAGACTCACAAGGTCCATTTGCTGAAGATCTGCGAACTTTCTGAAACTTGGCCAAAATGATCTGTGACTGTTTTGAAAGTATCAGCTGACAATTGTTGTATATCATTTTGACTTGAAGTTTCAAAAGAAAGGGTTCAGAACCTTACCAAATGTTAGTATACTTAGCACGATTTAGTTAGTAATTAGTGATTAAAACATGCATGATATTGGTTTAGGAACAAATTGACCTTTGGCATTTCGATTTGAGATAGAATGTTTCAAAGTGCCGCCAACTATGAGTCTCCCATAGATTTATGTGAAATGTATTGTTAGAAAAGAGAAATGATGACAAGTTGATAGTACCCTACTGTTATAAACACCTACGCATTCTAATAAACACATCACTTTTACGACATTACAAACTTCTACATCACTTCGGAAGAAACCGTCTATGATGGCCTTTGAGAAAGAGTCAAGCAGAAGGCCACAAAAGTTGAAACAATGTGTGTAGACATACTGTGGCGCGAGGAAATTAACACATAGGTAAAAGGGTAAACAGGCGAAAATAAACATTGTGTTCCGATTTGTGGAAGGGGAAAGTTATTAGTGTGTGCGTGTGTGTGAACAGTAGATCAAGTAGAGGAGAAGAAGAGCACGTGAGAAAAAGGATTGTTCTGTGAGGGGATCGCATTTGAAGTTGGAGCTGACTATCGGTGATGTACAGTACTGTAGGCACCATGACGTATTGTTTTTCTCGCTCTCTTTCACATAGCTCTCTTATCTATAATTGACCGGAACCGGCACACGTGATCGATGTCTTATTCTTCTGTCATTTCTCCGTCTGACACATTTTTTTTTTGAATTCCCTCCACTTTTATCGTGCCTTTCTCTCCCCTTCACATCCCTCTCATGAATTCCTCACATCATCTTACTTTTGTCTCTTCTTACTTTGCTATCATCCGTCGGTTGCCAATGTCAGAAGAAGAAGAGAGCATTGGGAATCAGAAGAGACGGAGAGAGACGAACAGTGTCTGAGAGGGAGAGAGAGTATTGATTTGCAGGAGACCTCTCATCTCTTTTCTCGCTCCCTCTCTTTCTTACTCGACAAGATAAACCCTTTTTCTTAAGTTCTTCTTCGTCTGCCGAGTACATTATGACCTTCATTCATAAATAACGTCTTCTGAAAACCATAACGATAACATTGATGTTTTTTTTGTCATTCCCCTCTTGTGATCTGATTCCCTTTAAATGACCACTTGGCTCCAATTGATTTTCTTGTAGTTTGCTCCATCCTAAAGAGATAAGGTTCAGGAGAGACGCAGACATCGAAATGAGCAGCTGATGGGCTTTCTCTTGATCTTTTTCCTTCAATTGTTTCTCTTCCACGTGTTTTTAGGTCCGACTCCCTAGTTTTCTGATTACGGTGACGTAAATGGTTTTCGCAATTTCCGAGGGGACAGAAAACTGATAGGAAAGTTCTGGAACTGACTGATTATCGCTGATTTTTCGATATGAAGGCAAAGTTACGCCCAAGTAGAGATTATTGGACAGAATGTTTTGTAAGATTGCCATTTTTCACATGATTGTTAGTATTTCGAGTCGATCCTAACTTGAATAATTTTCTGACAAAAGAGGTTACGATTTCTAAAATGTAAAGTTCAATCCGATAGACCGTATGATGCCGGTTGAAGCTCTCCGAAGACCCCCTCTTCCTCCGATTGGTTCTGCTCTTTGCAGTGCTCTCCACATCAAATCACTGATAACCTCTGAGTGACTTTGTGTTGATCACCGAGTTCGGCATTTGTGATTGCTTGTTTGGGTGATGATTAGGTGCAAACACGGGCAACGCATGTGAACTCGGATTGGACATTACCTTTATTTAGCTGCGGGTGTAGGTTATCAGTCGATTTTTGTTGAAATATCGGACGGCAGTTATTGTGCTAAGAGGTTTTAGTGTGTTAAAAGAGCTCAAAGACAGGTGTGCTTATTCTGGTTTTAGGGAGAAACTAAGTGCTCAATCTCATGAGCTTTAGCTCAATCTCAAGAGCTTTAGAGTAAAATAACCAACTCATGCAAAAATCGCATTAATCCAATTGACTTCAATCTGTTTGTACTAGTGAATTCCATTGCAACTCTGTCAAATCTGTCAATCGGAAATGGATCCACTTTGATTGGCACTTTCAGAACATTTATAGAATCAGACATGCAGTCTCAACCACCAGAAGTTTGACCAGAAAGTCAATGATATGTCCACGTGCTGGAGTGATAAATCAACAAAAACTGTTCTTCGGAGTCCCTCCTGTTTATGAGCTCCTTCTAATCACTTGATAAGGACCGGAGAAGGATGACCATCAGTCGTTTTCGTTTTGAGAAGCAAAAATAGTTGAAAGACTTCGAGAGATGTCCAGATGATCATAAAACGCGCACCGAGGGAATACAGAAAAAAAACGCCGTGATCAGCATTTTCTTCTCTCCTCCCTTATCAATCTTTTTCGCCTTTTACCTTTTCCCTCCTCGGCCGCTTTTTTCTGTTTCGTCGCCTCCTTTTATGAGCATTTTCCGAGTTGCGAGTCGGCTCTTTCTCTCTCTTTTTTTTCGGTTTCATTTGTGCACGGACAACTCTAGGCCTTCCTCATGACTCTTTCTTGCCCTATTAAACCGAAAGACTGTCTCCTGAGGCTTTTGCGAAGCGCATAGTAAAGATCCCCCTTAGTACATTTTGTTCTACTTGACCGTTTAGTCATTACTCCCTCCTACACCCACTTCCTCTCTTTTCCTGTAAACTTGTTTTCCTAGATGGTCGAAGTGAATAAATAAGTTATTATTACGACAAAAAAACAACTTTTTCAGGGTGGTCCTTCGGAAACTCTGAAAAGAAGAAGAAGAAGAAGAAGTGCACCACGAAGAATGAACGATAATTTCGATGGCGACGTGCCAATGGCGGATCCGTTCCTTTCATTGGTCACCAAGCTGGATGATATCGACAGTGAGTGCTCTTTGAAATGATGAAAAGATCCAGTAGAATAGCGGAATTTTAGCATTCCCTAGCAATGATTCAATGGATTTCGATATGGAGAACTGGCAAGAAGCAGGCCCTTCTCACGCCAACGACGCCTCCGGCAATCCGAATCAGCACAGTCCCCCGCAGGAATTCTACGACGGAGACGGGTTAGTTACTTTCACCTCTTTTACTTTTCTCATAATTATCTCCTTGGAATTGTCGTCTGGACAGTAGGAACTCAGCTCACAGAGCTCAATTTACACATTATACCTCCTTCTTTGACTTTTCTCATAAAAGAACCCATAAAAATGTCGTCTAGACAGTTGCAAATGTTGGCAACTATACGAGTTCGTTTGCAGACAGCGCGACGTGAGCACGTTGCACTCTCTGCTCAACAACCAATCGGACGACTACTACGGAATGCGCTTCTCCCCTCCGAACTTTGATAACATCGCGTCGAGTCGCTCGGTCTCCTCCCTCGCCTCCAATCAGCCACTAAGCGACGGGCCGGCCAGTATGCTCAGTGCTCTGTCGACTGCCTCCAACAACGGAAACTTCCCGGCGGATGCCTATCGACCTCTCTCGCTGGCTCAACAATTGGCTGCTCCGGCCATGTCAACCACCGGAGCGCCTCTTTATGTGAATACGAATGGAATCGATCAGAAAGTGAGTTGATTTTGAAAGGGCAGACTTTACGAGCACGTCGGTCATTCCAAAATCGTAAAAGATATGCTTTCAGAACATCCACGCAATGCTCTCTCCGCCTCACCACCACTCAATCACTCCGCAACGACAATCTCAATCTTTCGCCGAACCGATGGAACACATCAACGGGTACATGTCTCCATTCGATCCGGGATCGAGCCACCCCACTTATCCCCATTACCTTAACCAATCACGCATTGTTGCTCCGAGATCCGAGCATCCGGAGCCAATTGGATCTCCGTCTGACGAAGTGGAAGAAGTGAAACCACCGAAAATATCAAAGTCGGCACGAGCACCCGCGGCGCCGACGCCAGCTCCAGGACCCGAAAGCCCTCCCCCGGCCACAAATATGAAAGAAGAACTGCTACGACTGCTGGTGAACATGTCGCCGAGTGATGTGGAGAGGCTGAAGAACAAGAGAGCGGGAGGTGGTGCCGAGAAGAAGTACAAAGCTCAGAAGGTGATTGTGGAGCAGGATCCGGAAGATGACGAAGACGACGATGATAGTGATTCGGGGGAACCGCATCAGACTTCGAACATCATCGTTAGAAGTGAGCAAGTGGTTAGAGAACAGGACAGTACTAATTCACTCTTTTTCAGGGCCTAAAACAGAAAGGAGGACGGCTCATAATCTGATCGAGAAGAAGTACCGATGCTCTATAAATGATCGAATCCAACAGTTGAAAGTTTTGCTCTGCGGGGACGAAGCGAAGCTCTCAAAGTCGGCCACTCTTCGCAGAGCCATCGAGCACATCGAGGAGATTGAACAGGAGAACAGCACGCTCAAGTTCCAGCTGGATCACTTGAGAAAACAACTTCAGATGAACGGAATTCCGGTTCAGTACCCGGAGATGCCGTTCATGGATTATTCAGTCACATCTCCCAATGACTCATCGCCATCGCCACCTCGAAATGAACGGAAGCGGTCTAGAATGAGCACAACGCCGATGAGAAGCATGAGTGGAAAAGAGGCTTCGAGAGTGACGCTCTTTGCGATGCTCATGGCTGTGCTGATCTTCAACCCTATCGGGTAAGCATCAGCATTTTGCAGAAACCGATAATATTCGCTTCAGTCTACTGGCCGGCAGCGCCTCGTTCTCTCAAGTTTCCGCTGGTTCCAAACCGCCAGTGGCTTCTCCTTACGACCATGGAAGAGTTATTGATGTGAGTTGCACATTTCCCGATGACTCCAATGACGGACGTAACATCTTTTCAGGACGCTGATGGAACAATCACACAGCCAATGTACTGGCACAACAACATCATAAAACCGAGCTTCAGCTGGATTATCAACATTGGAATCTTTTTTTTTGTTCTAGTCAAACTGCTAGTGTATGGAGAGCCCGTTCAAGATTTCACCTCACTCGCGTGGCAGACATTCGTGGCGACGCGAGAGAAAGCGAGAGCCGAGCTGAGCACGGGAAATCTGAAAGAGGCGCAGAGACAGTTCTGCGAGTGTTTGGTGGTTTTGGAAAGAACGCTCCCGTCGCCGGGCATTCCGACCATCTTTTCGATTGTGTGGGAATGCATTCGACATCTTTTGAATTGGCTCTGGATCGGAAGGTACATTTCAAGGAGGAAGAGGTCCACGACGATGCCAGTATCGGTGGTCTGCAGAAGTCATGCGCAGACGGCCGTGCTCTACCATGAAATCCATCAGGTTCGAGTCCTCGGATATCATTCAACTACCATGACATTAATTCAGATCCACTTGATGGGCATCACCGACTACAACGACGATTCCGATGAGCCGTCGACAATGTCCGGCCTCTACCTGGCTCTCTCTGCCGTCAACCTCGCAGAAGCCGCCGGAGCTTCCAACGACGGGCTCCCGCGTGTGATCATGGCGCAGATCTACCTGGCCGCCTCGATCCGCTGCCGTCTCGCCCTTCCCAACCTTCTCGCTCCGTTCTTCTCCGGCTATTTCCTCCGAAGAGCGCGCAGACACGTCCGGAGGGCTCCCGAGCATTCAGTCTCTCACCTCCTCTGGCTGTTCCATCCGGCAACAAGGAAATACATGGCGGATACGAAACGTCTAGAGCACATTCTGAGTGCGAAGCAAAAGTTGAGATTTGGAACGTTTGTGGAAGAGGAGCACTGTGAGTTTTGAGTTTTTAGACCGAATCTCAACGAACATCTCTGATTTCAGTGTCTCCGTTATCTCGGATTCGTACAACTTTCAAAGTTTATCTGCTCTCTAAACTTGTGCAAGAACTCGTTGGCGGTGAGGAAATTTTCACGAAGAATGTGGAGCGGATTCTGAATGACAATGACCGTCTGGATGACGATGTGGACGTCGTCGACGTCTCCAGGCTTCTGGTTTCGATCTCAACTCAATGTGCAGCAGTTTTAACGAATGAGAAAGACGAGTCAGCAAGTGAGTTACCGATTTAATAGTAAGTAAGATTCATGGAGCTACAATCTGTTTTCAGAGTTCGGCTCCTGGCTGTCCAGGAACGGAGACGCTTCTTGTACCTGGTGGACGCACGTTCTCACTTGCGGCATCTACTTTAGAAACAACAAAACAGAGCTGGCACGACAGCATTTCTCGTTGATCAGAAATGGCACTCCCGAGATTTTCAAAGAGTGGGTTTGACTTTCGGAATCTGTTCCCCAAACTGAACGGTTTGTAGCAACCTCGGAATGGCAGTCGGACACGCTCTTTGCACTCGAAAGTTCTGCCTGGATGATCGGGATTCTCCGAAACTCAGTCAGTACGTTTGTCTGCACACCAGGCAGGCGCTGAAGTGCCTTCGGATCTTCTCCACCTCCCGTACTTCTGGAGTCGTCTCGGGCATTCAGGAGGGCGCGAGGAGGATGGCCTACGAATGGGTCATGAGCTCCCTTCTCGACGCATGGCGTAGCAATATCACCACTTCCACTCCGTACTGGACTCAGGCCTTCAGGGCACAGCCGACGTTCAGCACTTTGTACCAAGAAGCCTACAACCACTACGCAATCCTTCACGGCCGTCGAGGAGACTGCTGGCGGCTCTTCGTCTACGAGCTCACTTGCCGAATGCTCAACGGAGCCAACCCGCAAGCCACGTGGTCGGGAATCCGAAGAGTTCGATCCACGAAAATGGACGCAGTGCGGGGAAGAGTGAGCATGAGGAGGTCGGCTCAGCCGGACGCATTCCACCTACACACTCTGCTCAAATTGCACACTTCAATGGAGTAAAGAAAGAGAATTTATTCAAAATGATTGTTGAATGTTGTTGCGTGATAAATACGGTTAATATAAAAAAAAAGAAACAGTTCGCAATTGTACAGACATTGAAAGGAAAATACTGTTGGGGGAGGGTATCCAGGATACTTTTGAAGTATCTTTGGGAGGGCCCGTTGGGTTTGTTTGGCACTGGATACTTAGTTGTCAATCTGAATTAGCAATGCAATTTACGCCTGGAATCTTGGCGAGCCTACCATCTTAAAGACGTCTGCGAACGCAGGCTCCGGCGACTGGCTCAAAGGTGGCGGCGCACTGGCAGACTCCGGCAGAGCAGACGGCTCCTGGGACGCAAGCTGGGGCGGCGGCGATGGCGACTGGAGCAGCGGCGCATGGGGCTCCGAGAGCAACTGGGATGACTGGGGCGACTGGGATGACTGGTGGCGGGACGACTCCGTAGATGGTGCGGGCGACGCACACGGTTCCTTCCTGGATGAGCTCTGGTGGGCAGAGGCACACTCCGACGGAGCAGACGGATCCTCCGGTGCACTCGACTCCTGGCTCACATGGCGATCCTGGGAGCGCTTGTGGGATGAGACGTCCGGCGACAACTGGAGCCGGGGCAACTGGGATGGCTGGCTGGCATCCGATGACTGGCGAGTAGGCGATAGCCGGGTTGGCGCAGGCGCAGGCTCCGGCGACGCATTGAGCGGCTCCAACGCACGGGGCGGCACATCCGAGGGCTGGCTGGGCGGCGATCACTGGTGGGGAAGCGAGTGGAGCAGCGAAGACTGGGGCCGGGGCCGGAGCATAGACTGGAGCCGGAGCGTAAGCAGGAGCATAGGCTGGGAGTGGAGCTGGAGCAGCAAAGACCTAGAGAGGAAGATGAAGAAGAGGTTAAGGGGAAGGATGACTCACTGGAGGAGCAGCAGCGACCGGGACACAAACCGAAGCCTGGCAGACGGCCGGAGCGGCACACGCGACAGCGGCACTGCACGCAGAGTACAGAGGAGCCACTGGAAATGAGAAGGTAAGGAGGAGACAGTTATCATAAGAGAAAATGATAAAATAATGGAATAGGGCATGAAGAATGAACTGTACCTGGCACCTGAGCAGCGGTGAAAGCGAGGAGGGTGGCGCAGATGGTAAGTCTGAACATTGGCTTCTTCGGTGGACGATGTGCTTGCCGGGACGCCAAAGCGCGCTTAAATATCCGCACGCGCGGAGGAGGCGGGTTGGGTGAATGGCAAAAAGTTGCCGCCGTCGCGGAAAGGGGTGCGGCGGCTCGCGTTGTACACACATTGCAATGCGGAAAAAGTGACTGGCGCGGAAAGCGGAGCTGAGCAGATGGGCAAAGCGATGCGGTTGAAGAGCGGAGAGAAAAAGAGAGTGTTCACTCGATTAGGGGGCATCTACTTGACCAGCAGGAATGTTGCCATTTCGGGGCAGAAACCATCACATATTTTAGCGGCGTGTCCCACTCTTTTTCTCGATTTTCTTCTTCTGTCTTGTTGGCGGAACGGCATTGATGTACGGAGACTATTGTAGCTCATAGAGTTTCTGTGCAAATTTCCGTTGATCTCGAGACTGGTCTTCTGACGAAGAAATGTACACTTTAAAATAGTCATTTTCAACAACTTATGTTCGTTTCTATATAAAATAGGACAGCATTTTCTAGCTTCACAAGTAGATATCTACAGTACCTCTTTCCAAAAACATCTAATATACTTTCAATTCCATAGTCCATTCTGTTCTTTTTTCCAGTACCAGTTCCTCTTCTTCTTCTTCTTCTCCTTGGCTTCCGAAATAGAATCGTAGCTCTGCTCCGCTGTGCAAACTGTACTCTCTTCGCCTCTCAATCTTTGCTCCCTTATCACAAAACTGCACCGCGCGGATACCGCACTCCGCTCGAGACCCGCGTGAGAAGGTGCCGAAAGTCTCACGTCGGTGTGCGCGCGCAAACAAAGCCGTCAAGAAACACTTCTCCTCTGCTGCTCCTGCGCTGCTCACATTAAGAGGATATATTGCGCCAGTGCAAACATGCACATTTACGTCTATTATACGGTCGGCACGGAGGGCTCAACTCCCAAAATTCCAGTTTTGCATTGCCTTATTGCAACTTTTTTTTCTGTGCTGCTCCGTGCTCCGCGCAGTCCGTCTAGGGAGCGCGCGCTTTTGTCCTTTTTTTTGTTCGATGGGAAGCTTGGTCGCCGAGAAGGAGGCAGTTGATGGAAAAGTAAATGAGAGGGGGGAGGGGATCAAAAATGGGGCAGACTTTGTACCTCACAAGAATATGCTATTCCCAGCGGTTCATTCGACTGGTCACGGTTTTCCACAAAACGTTCAAGTTTCACAGTCTGAACCAAGGTTGGTCCCATTGGATAATCGCAAGTGGGTCAAAAGTTCAGGGCTCTGCTAAGTGAAATCCTATGATATTGGGTCCAGACTTTCCGGGGCCTTCCAGTCTCATTTATGCCTTCTGCCACGTCAACTGGTGACTCAAACATACGGATTGTGGAATCAAGTAACCAGATACATTTGACTCATGCCAACCCAATTAACCCACAAATTCCTCCTCCTCTCGCTCCCCCGCACTTCTTCTCCATCACAAAACATGTGTTTGCACACACTCCTTCTTCGCTGCGAGCAGCATTGTTGCTCTCTTTCGAATTGAATAGAAAGGCATTCATTCATAACAAAACACAAAAGAAGAACGTAATGTAACTGTAGACTGGAAAAACGAGACAATACAAAAAGGGGGGGAGGGGCCTGGGGGGTTATTCCGGAAACAAAGAACAAAAGAGGGAAGGGGGTATTATATGGAAATGCAAAAGAACCGTAATAGTTTCACCTGTAACTGATAGAAAAGAAAACCTAGTGAGAGCAACCAATCAAGTGTCATGATCCAACGAATATTGTCGAATTATCTTAATCGGACTCTGTCTACTCGTCGCCGGATTGTGAATGCCTTTCTCGTGCTGAGTCACGTAATCCGAGACCTGTAATAAAAAAATGGTTTTCAGCACTCGGCAACACCTCGGAAAGACCTACTTTGCCACGTGAAATGCCAGTTGGCAGTGAGGGATGTCTCGCGAGAACGCCCCGTTTGTTACATGGTCGTTTCGGCGAAATTGACCGACTTTTTTCGGAGCTCTGAAGTGTTTTTTGCGGTTATTAGTTTTTATGGATATTTGAAGAATGAAACTCTCAAGAGTTAGCATGGTAGTTGAGTCTAGTTGGGATATGATGGCTTAGTAGGTTCTTAGTGATAGAATTAGTCGAACTGAGATGTGTTCCGATCTACCGACACTCACCTTTCGGCGGGCTTTCCTCTTCATTCTAAAGCAGTGCGAATATTAGAACTAGAGGTGCGGAATTGAAATTGAAATTGAAATCAAAATTTCGAAAAAAAAAAGAGCCCAAAACTTACGAGAACTTCTTTGAGCAGTTCCGCATCCATGGACTGGCCAGTTTGAGACTCTCTGTGACTCATTTCCTGCCTCGATTTCTTCCGACCGCGGCCTAAACTCGACCGCCGGCCTCCGAAGTAATAATGGCTTCTTTCCGATGCCCGATCGTTTCTGAAGCCTCAGTTTTGGGAATGTTCACACGATGAGAGGTTACTTGAAAGGCTCGACTTCCTTCGAGGACAACGGCGAGGCGGCACAAACTGGCAAGAACTGTGTCTTGTTATTCCTGTACTCGTCCAGTCTTCTGGCAATCTTCAAGTACGAGTCGTCCGTCTGCACAATCACCTCCTGCCGCGTCTCCTCCTCGAATATGCTCGTTCCCATTCCGCTCGTCGACGAACTTCTCGCCCTGTTCCCATTGGGTTCTATCGACAGGCGATCGCATCCCGGAGGCGGCGAGTACTGGGTGCTCATGGAGACACTCGCGGACATGTTCGGAGCGATGAACGTCTTTCTCTTTCTCTGCGTCTCTTTCGGCAGCGATTCAGATGTGGAGGGACTCGTCAGCATATCAGAACCCAAAGAAGACGCCTGGCTGTTCTCCTCCTTCGATACCTTCTTCTTGTTCTTCTTGTCCTTCTTCAAATCCTCACAAAGAGACGTCTGCTGCGACTCGTCCTTCTTTTTCAGAAGCTTTCCGAAGAACCAATCGCCGAAAGAGGTCTGTATGCTTCGGTCGTCCTGAAAAGTGATAAAATGATCGGATGGCCGATGGCAGATTGAATTACGCAGTCGGCCACCTCGTCCTTATCGATGGGCGACGTGTTTTGGTCCCTCTTCGCAACAGCCGAGTGTGGGGAGGAGACTGGAGACAGCCTCCTGTCTATCATTATCACTCTCTCACTTCGAGATGTTTCCTGAAGCATGAATCATACGTGTTACCGTAGCCCTTGCCAACTCATTCGCGTGTGTGTTCGCCCCCCCTAGTGGTGACCTCCCCCCCCGCTCCCATATCGATTTTCTCGCATTTTTCGAAAATGTCGGTCGAAATGTCCGAACCGCTTTCTAAGCGGCCGTACTCCGCCACCATCACCGACTCCCCTCCTCAATCTACTACTACTACTTATTCCGCTTCCGCTTCTGTGCCATATTCTGACTATCGAAAGCTCCACGATCACGTCGCTGCCCTCACCGACATCGTCTCCGCGCTCCTCAAAGCCATCGGGACCGGAGGATCAAAACCACTCAATGACAAGGTGAAATCCCTCGTTCCGGTGATCCCCTTGCTCCCAGACCTCTTGCCTCCGACGCCACTCAACCCGCCCGCCTTCTCTGCTCTCTCCTGCTCGACCACCGCCCCCACGTCAACCGCCTCCGCCCCGTCTGCTCTGGAACTGGCCAAGCAGGCCGCAACTCTCCTCGACAAAGCCACCCGTGCCGTGATTGAAAGATGCCCCGATGACCACTCCGACTCCAACCAAGACCTCAAGGACACTGAATTCGTTCAGTCCTTCGCCAAACGACACGGACTCCCGGTGCCCTCTTCTGCCTTCAGACACAAATGCGCCAGCAAATTCAGACCGATGAAGATCCAGTTCTCCTCCTCCTCCGACCGCGATAGATTCATGTCTGGATTCAATCGAGCCAAGACCAACGACTCCTCCACCTCCTCTACCCAGCCACCTCTTCGCATCCGTCGGGACCTCACCTCAGAAGAACTCGCAACCCTCCGCGCCTCCAGGAAACATGTCTACGATGAAAACCTAAAAGCCGGTAAATCCATTCTACTCATGAACGATATCTCTTTCAAAACCAATCCCCACCCTCGTGATTTCCGTCCTTTTTAAATCTTGCCTGTCCCATTGCCAGCTTTCTATCTTCCCCTTTCTCCCTCCCCCCCCTTTCGCCCCCGCTCATCCAGAATATTTCGTCCATTTCGCCCTCTTCCACGCCCCCCAACACTTCCCACTTACCTTTCATTTCTCTTTCTCTATCTAATGTCCGAGGCACCGCTAATTTGACCAAAATCCGCGCGCTCTGTGACTTCTTCCGTTTTTCTGAACACCACATCCTCGCACTTACTGAAACTTTCCTCGACGATACTGTTCCTTCAACTCTATTCTCTCTCCACCAAATCTCCATCCTCCGTTGTGACCGATACCAAACCGCCAACTCTAAAGCTCGTGGAGGGGGCGTCGCTCTTCTCTACAAGCATCCTATCTCTCTTAGTAAACTCTCCATCAATTTCGAGTCCTTTTACTCCTCCCACCGCTCCGAAATCCTTGCCTGCTCTCTCCACTCTCCGCATCTCAACTCCCCCATTCACCTTACTCTTGTCTATCGTCCACCGGACACCTCTTCAATCGAAACCTCCGCCTTGATCTCCCATCTTTCCGCCTTTCTCCCTCTCTCCTCCTCTATAGTTCTAGGGGATTTTAACTTCCCCCTCCTTAACTCTTCTCACCAATTCTCCCAATTCCTCATCACTCGCAACGCCTCTCAACTCGTCTCCTTTCCCACCCGCACCTCCCCAACCTCCTCGACCACTCTTGATTTAGTCATCGCATCTCATGATCTTCCCCTCTATGATCTTCGTCCCTTCCCCCCGCTCCTTAACTCTGACCATCTCTGTGTAAATTTCTCCATTCTGGCCTCCAAATCCCCCCTCACCGCCCTGTCACTCCCGCCCTCCATCTCTCCGACCCAACTCAATTACCGTAAGACGGACTTCAAATCTCTCAATCACCGTCTCGCGACCATTGACTGGGCCGCCCTCCTTCCTGACTCTCTCTCGGCCTCTGCCTTATATGACAAATTTCTCCAAATTCTTAACGACCTGATCCGTCTCCACACTCCCCCCCTAACCCCCCCCAAAAGACTCTCGGTCCCAAATCCTATCCGTAGACTCCGCCGATTACGTGCCACTCTTTCTAGGCTTCTTACACTAACCCCCTCCCGCACCGCTTCTCTCGCCCGACTTCTTAGCAAGCAACGCTTACTTATTAAGCACACCCGACGCCGCGCCGCTGCTCAGGATAAAGCTCTACTCTCCGATCACAATTCTTCCTCGGCCAGGCTCCTCATTCGGAAACGCCTTAAACACCACCATACCATACCCCCTCTCTCAATCAACGGTTCTATTGTCCACGAAGACGCTAAGATCGCCTCCTCATTCGCCGAAATCTTTGCCCGCAACTTCTCCTCGCCTTCCCATTTGCCTAAACTTTCTCCCGCACACCCTCCCTCTCCTTCCAACTCTTTCCCACCCCCTATTACTGCCCAGGATCTCTTCCCCCCCTACATTATCGAACTCACTCTACAAAAACTTCCGCCCAGGTGCGGATACTCCCCCCACCTTGCCAACTATCTAATTTTAAAACGCTGCTCCACCTCACTAGCTCTTCCCCTCTCTCTCATCTTCTCTAAATCATTCTCTTCCTCTTCTCTTCCCTTATGTTGGAAACATTCGGTTGTCATCCCTGTCCCAAAAAAAGGTAACCTCTCTGACCCCTCCAATTACCGTCCAATCTCTTTAACTGACCCTATCTCCCGTGTTATGGAACGCATCATCTGTCGTCGCCTTCTTTCTGACCACTCCTCCAAATTCCATCCTAATCAGCACGGCTTCCTCCCCTCTCGGTCTTGCACTTCCTCGCTTCTTGACTCCATCTCTACCTACAGACATTTACTTTCCTCTCATAAAAACTTTGGACATCATTTACTTTGATTTCCAAAAAGCTTTTGACAAAGTTGACCACAATCTCCTCCTTCGTAAACTGGACATCTTTGGAATTCCTCCCCTTTTTCTGCAGATGGTTTGAAGACTTCCTCTCCCATCGATCCTTCTCCATCAAAAATCAACTCCCATGTCCAGCCCTCTAGAACCCCAATACCTTCGGGAGTTCCACAAGGCTCCGTCTCTGGCCCCTTTCTCTTTCTTATATTCCTCAACGACTTACTCGACAGCCTTCCCCCTCTGTTCACTTCGCCGTTTTTTTGCTGATGACCTAAAAAAATTTACCACCCTGCCCCTCTCCTCCTACAATCTGCCATTGACTCCGTGCTTTCCTGGTCCACCCTCAATCTCCTCCCTCTCGCCGAAACTAAAACCTCTCTTCTGAGGCTTGGTTCCCGCAATCCCTGAGTTTCCCTACACAATTAACAACACCTTTATCTCCTCATCCGCCTCTGTCCGTGACCTTGGGCTTCTCACGGACCCCTCTCTCAAATTCGAGCTTCACATAAATCAGAAAGTTGCCCTCTGTCTCCTCCGTTCCCACCAGCTCCTCAAATCCTTTCGCTCAACTAATCCATCTTTCTACGCCTCCCTATTTAAAACCTACATTCTCCCGATTCTTGAGTACTGCTCCCCAATCTTCTCCCCTCCTCCTGCATCCAAACTCGCCTTAAAAACTTGAACGTCCTCTCCGACACTTCTCGAAAAATTGCTCTCCAACGCTGTAACATCCCTGTTCTCCTCTTACCACCACCGTCTTGCCATACTTAACATGTCTTCAATCCGTCACCGCCGCCTCAAATCACAGTTAACTCTCCTCTATCGTCTAATTACCGGTGCCTCATACTTCCCCATCTAAGTCATTTTATCTCACTTACCACCTCTCCCCGTAGACCCATGCTCATCCGCGTCCTAAAAACCTCGTATAAAAGACTTCTTCTCACTGACCGTTCCCATATGGAACTCTATTCTCTCTAACACCTCCACCTTCCTCTCCCCTCTCCAGTTCGAACTAACTATAGACTCCTCCATTACCCGTTTCTAACTCTCTCTCCTTCTTGCCCTACTCCCCCTCTACCATATAACCCCTCCTTATCTCCCCTAATCCCTAGGTACGTCTCGTGAGGGACTGTCCTTTCCACCATTCGTCCTCCCCTCTCACGTGTTGTATCTTTCTTTCTCTTACATTGATAAATAAACGAATGAAACCAAAAAAAAAAAACTCACAGTCTCCGCATCGTGCCTGCCCACTGGCGACGTCACCACCGACCGGTGGACCAAGTGAGAAGTGCATGGATCCGTCGACATATCTGCCACGTCGTGCCGTCTAAAATTACGTCTTCTTGTTCTCGTTTTCTGCTCAACTTACAACGACGTCTGCGTTTCTTCCTCGTGGACACTTATATTGGGCACTGGTGACGTGGCAAACGATCGTCTTGACTGTGCTTTCAGGTCTTCGCACAGAGAATTGGCTGGTGACGTGGCAGCCGACTTCTGGTGCACTTTAGCCAAGGAGGACTGTGATACTGTGGGCTTTGGAGGGGGAAGCGAAAGACTGGTGAGTTGAGATTTGTCCTGAAAAGTAGAAAAATTGGAATTTAAAGAGATTCAATGGTGAGTTTAGTACCGAATAAGTAGTCTCATAATCTCTGCCAACCGCCGCATCGGCCAATTGTCTCAACGTGTCTTGGCTGTTTTTGTAGAACGAGCTGCTCATCGCCTCGCAAAGCACATTGATTTCAGCCTGCGACAATCCACGTGGCAAATCGTCGGAGCTCGACGGAGGCTCCGAATCGAGGAAGGCCGAAGTGGCCATACTTCTCTCGACAATCGGAGGACGGACTCGCTGAGTTTGGAGGTTCGCGAGTTTGATTGCAATCTCGTCGATTTGGAATTGAGCCAAATCGGTTTGAGCTGAACCGTCGGATTTTGGGGGGCAAATGGGAAATTGATCTGACTCCTGAGGACATTGACACGTGGCACAATCCTTCTGAAAATACACAATTGTCTCCCACAATCAATAATACGTTTCTCTCATTACCATTTGTCGCTTGCTTCTCTTCCTGGCCGCCGGGGAACTCATCGAGTCCATAGGAAGACTGGTGGCGTCAGAAATGGAATCCCGATAGTCGTTCGATCTGGAGACGCTCGTTCCTTCGTCCTGTTTTCCTTGCAAAACTTCCACATCCGGGTGCCCTTTGTCCGTCTCATCTACGAGTTGTCTGAAGCGAAAATAAAGTGAGAGATGTGAAACCCGATCCGGATCCACTCACGTCGACCACTGAGTTCCCTGATGCGCCGGGCGGAGATGCTCGCTCATCGGATCACAGGCCATACTCTGAAGAAGTCAGAGATCAATGCGCCGGATTCTACAGTAACCCGCCTGTTCCATCCTCTCCACCTGCGTTCCCATCACTCGTCCCGGCCGGTCCGTCTGAATCTCCTTGCTCTCTTTCAGAAGCCGTTCGAACTTTTCGACGGTGTGCTCGAGCTTGTCGTTCTGCTGCCCAGACATTATGTTCGGAGCGACGAGCCGCATGAACGGCGGCGCGTGCTTCATCGCCTTTTCCAGTGCCTCCTCACGGTTTATGAGCTCTCCGTTCTCTATGGCACGGGTGTACTCTTTCTGAAATCGGATGATATAATAGAAAACAGAATAAGAGGGCAAATGAGAGAGACCTGAATCTCCTTAATCAAATTATAAAGCCACTCTTCCATTTTGATTTGCACGACTGAGATGAACATGGAGACGATGCTCAATCCGAAGATCACAAGCACAAACATCACGATGAACATGTGCGGCTTATCCGGGACGATGTCTCCTAAAAACAAAAAAGAATACATGGGAAATGGTATTGGTTGCTAACCCAATCCAATAGTAGAAAGTGATATGCAGAAGAAGTATAGACTGGTGAAAAATGTCCATCTCGTCTCCCAGAGGAGGAACAGACAGGAGCATCCACAGACGTAAACGACGCAGATGAGAAGAGCCAGCCAGATGGGAATCGTGCGCGATTCTTGCTTCAGATCGTCTTCCGACGCATTCACACCGCCAGTCTCCAGAATTTCCTCCAGTTTTGATCTGAAAGGCAGAGAGATGTGCACACAACTCTTCAACAGAACTCTCACATCTTCTTCCTGCCTCTCAACCGATTCGTCGTGTTCTTTGCTCTCTGCTTGATTCCGAGTCGGTGTTGCTGCCAGGAATTCGACAGCGTCGTCGTCAGCCAGTTTCCGCACTTTGAAAGAATCGCCAGCACCAATGGAATTCCTGTAATTTCTGTCAGTTGGAAGTGCGCTCTACCGCAAACGCACCGACGATCGCGTAGACGACAGAAGCGGCTCTTCCGATGGCCGTGCGCGGAGCAATGTTACCGTATCCGATGGTTGTGAACAGAGTTCCCACGTAAAAGAGCGCGCCCCAAAAGTCCCAATCGAGACATTCAGGAAGCCGGACTTTGTGCAGTTGCTTCTCATATTCAATGAATATTTCCCTGAAAGCAGTATTCTCTGCGGTGCTCACCGGTCTCAAGATTACTCGAAATTAGAATGTTTCCTGAAGACCATTGAAGAGATCCTCTGGAAAGTGTCATTCCGAAGCATGCGAAGATCGATTCTCTCCTTCCTGCAATCAGAGATCTTTGATCGGTCAGTAAGAATGGAGATGACTCACTTTTTGACTTCAATCTCATAGTCATGCTCAAAATAATAGAATGCCCAGGCGCCGAGAAACGAGTAGATAATCAGAAGGACACTCGCGGAGATGCGATGGAGTTTGTGCTTGTCATAATAGTATTTGCACTGAAAACATGAAGGTTGAATCGGAAGAGTATGGAAGTTCCCCTCTTACTCTTCCCAAAAACGATTTGGGCGGCGGTGCCAGCTGAACTTCGCTGACTTTCTCGTCCATTTCCAGAGAGCACGTCCTGGAGAGCTGGCCGACGAACATTCTGGCAACTTTCGCCTGAAATTACTTTGAACTTTCATCAACATCCCGTGATTCCTCTCATCAGTTAAAAGAGAGCACAGATTCCCTTCCCGACCATACCCGCAATGTATTCTTCTGCTCCCTTCTGTAATAGTCGTCCTCGTCGTCGTCTATCGTCGTTCCATCGTCCCTGGACTGAAAACTGAACTGCGAGAAGCGGACTTTGGATCCGAGCGAAGTGTTCGACAGCAACGATTCCCTCGAGTACGGACGAGAAGCTCTGAAGAAAGAGAGGAAGAGTGAGTGAGAGAGTGGGTGGCTCAGAGCTCACGGAGCAATAAAAAATGAAAGGATTGTTCTGGAATGTGTTTATCTGATTTGCTCGCTGATTTGCTCAAGTACACGAGGTCAAACGGAAGAGGAAGAGTAGAAAAGATGAAAGAATGAAAGGGATTTTGATACACACGGGGAGATCAGTCGAGAGCAGAAAGATTGACATGCACAATACTACGTTTGTTGATGCCATCCACAAAGGTTTTTGTGGTTATTTTCAGCTAAGAAGCAGACGAAAAGTAATGTGTTGATCAAAGATCTGTGAGGGACCAATTGGTACTGGAAATCAGAGCTCAAATTCGATAGAAGTTATTGAAAGTGAGCTCGAAAACTTTGGGTGGAACATGTGTCCAGACAAAAAGTTTGTGAGAGCTGCCGTCAACTAAGACGTGTGAAATTCAGGAAGGTGTCGGCGGTTTGACGCACCGACAAAAAATGATGAAATCGGAGCCCTCGGAGCTCCCGGAGCACATGCTCCTCCCGAAGAAGACCGCTGAGAATGCTCGCACATGGTCAATCATCGACCGCATAAAAATGATGAATTGGCGCGTCTGGGAGCCGGCGAGAAAAACGAGAAAACACGGGAATGTAAGTACGAATGAGCCGTCGGGCGCCTACCAGAATGACGAGAAGAAGGGGACTCGTGTTATTTTAGTTAAGTGGGAGAGTGAGAAAGGGAAAATAAAGGAGAGGGAAACGGATCTGTCAGCTGGCTTTCTTATCTCTTCATGTGCCGCCGGCACCGACACTGACTATGACGAGAACACGAAAAAAGAGATGACGACGGCTCCGGTGCACTTTCACTTGTCCGTAAATAAGAGTCATCCGGTTTGTAACTGACTTTCATCACTTTCAAAACGCTTGACGTCGATCAAAGGGCTATGAGATGTTCGGATTAAACCGTTAACTTTCTCGATTTCATTTACGAACTTTGAAAAACGGGGAGTTATTCGTTGTTTTCTGTGTTTTCTGTTGTGGCAAACGTTTTTCAAACGCTGAGCAAGCCTCGAATAGGTTGAAAAGCTTATAGAGCACTCCTTGTCTATAGACTGTATGTATTCTTGAACACTGATAGTGAGATTACTAGGAACTGCTACACAGTTGATACAACTGTGTCAGAATTTGAGAAATGATAACATCCCTATTGGAAACATGCTCACAACAACAGGACGGAAAAACAAACTAACCGAAAGTTGTCGTACTTGCTGCCAAGTGCATCGTCCGTGTACCCATCGGCCAAAACTGTCGTCGTCGGGGAAGCGTGCCTCATCGATTGGGGCAGGAACATGGACATCACTCCTCCAGTCAGTCCTCAATCCTGCATAATCAGAATGAGCGCCTCCTTGCTCTCCCTCCTTCTTCCCCGCCAAAAAGTGTAATGGAACGGCTCAACTTGATATGACACCAATTCGCGCAAACGACAGTTGGTCAACCTCATTGATCGCAGGATTATTCGCATTCGCAAGAGGAACGGAAAGAGACGCGAGCGGCGGTGTAATTTTAATCGGTTTCGCAGTTGAAATGAGTAAGAAGAAGTGGATTAATGGGAAGACTTTGCCAAGAGTTTGACAACTTTATTGTTCAATCAATGAGAATTTAGACACTCATGTCAGACCGATCTTCTTTGCCACGTCATTCACACGTCTTCTGAATTCCTTCTCGAACCGATCCAAACTAGTGTCCTCAATCACATCGTACTCCAACTTGTGACACTCATTCCGTGATTCCCACGGACACTCGGACTTGTAATGCAATTTTAGCGCTTCAGAAGACGTCAGATATTGAGATTTGGCAACTGAAGGGGACAGTTTGTGAAGGGCAAAGTGGTTGAAAACTGTGGCTACTGTAGAAGTACTGAAACGGATTGCCGATACAAATTGGCATTCGGGATTGTTCACAACCTGCTGAAGCTCTTCCCGTATTCTCCATTCGGACTAGTCTTTTTGGACCGTTTTCTGTTTGAGATCATGTAGTTATGGCGTGGAAATAACGTGAAATTGGACGGGAATTTGAAGACATTCCTAGCAGAAATTGAGCTAAGGCGTAAAGAAGAAAAAGAAGAAACTTTGTGCTCAAAGTCACGGAGCATGTCGCCTGAAAATCACTTGTTTGACTGCTAAAAGCCGAAGAACCTCACCATAGTTGTCATGTTTAATTGGGACGATAACTTCATCAATATCAATTATCAAAACGTATTTGTGAGTGTAAATGTGTCTGTAGAAGCAGTCATTGTAGGGAAGGAGCTCGTGTCTTCGTTTCTGAGGTCGATTCGTTTTGAGGAACGCACTCCGTTTCAAAGGATCATTCGGATTCCCACTGGGCAGGGTTAGTGGGACCTTAGCGGACCTTTAGACTCATTGTCAGTTTTATTTCTCACACTCACCACTTCCAACTTGCCCTTCTTCTCATAATAATCCAACACTTTCTGGGTCTTCTCGGTCAGGTAAAAAGTGCAAACTGAAACCACATCCGCGCCAAACAAGTACTGCATCTCGATCCATTCCAGAAGCCGTCCGGAGATGTCCTCTTGATAATCCAATCCTTTTACACAGACTGCCACTTCTCTCTTCTCTTCCTCTTCAGGTTTTCCTACGACTTCCATAGCTTCTTCTATGCCATGACACTGTTTTCTTGTGAGAGAAACTGCCAATCGATGTCCGTCGAGCCTTTTCGGGATCGGGCAAGTGATGAGGCTGGGGACTTGGAAGGAGTCTCTGGGGTCCCATCCGGTCTGCCAGATTTCTCGGATGTACCCCTTCACATTCGAGTAGCCGGAGAAAGTGGAAGCGGGCGTGGAGAAGATGTTGCAGAAGATGGAAACTTTGGATTCGATTGAGTGATTGGACATCACTAGCACCTGGAATGAACAGTTTTAAACAGACGAAGAGAAGTGAAAACTCACCTGAACCGCCGAGTTTTGCGGAAACAGAGAGTTCGCCCGATCATCGAAATACGCGGAGTAAACTTCGATTCCGGCCATTTGCAGCCAACTTCTAGGCCTTGCGATCTTCGTCGGTCGCTTCAGAAAGCACCAGTGATCCTCCTCGACCTTCGTCGTTCTCTCGACCACCGGACGGGCACTTGCCCTCCCCATCTGCATTAATTTCAAGTACTCTTTCACGAAGATCTCATCCTTTTCCGCATCAAAACTGTCTTCGTACTCGTAAAAAGTAGTATTCTGGAAGGAAAGTAAAGATAGGAACAGAACAGAAAGAACATCACTCACCTCATTCTCATATCTCTGCCAAACGTGCAGGATTAGAAAAAAGAAGAGGAAAAGTACTGAAATGCGTCGAATGGCCCATTTGAATCGCATAATTTGTGAGCGAGTAAAATCATAAAAGCTCCATTTGAAATGGAAATTGGGCTAGAATAGGCGAACGGAGAAGTGATGATGACTGGTTTGGTTTGGAAAAGAAAAGAGAATTAGGCAGACGAAAAGAATACGGAATGGAGGCAATGACCTTGGACGGACGGAGAACGGAAACAAGAAAGAGAAAACCTTTGTGTATCCACATACAAAAGAATTTTTCTTGGTTCGCGGACGATCCGACCTCAGTGCAGCGAACAAATTGTTTTATCCGATTTGACTCGGTTGACGATGCTGTCGGACCTTCGCGACTCGGACGTCCGGAGCCCTCAAGATTTTCCTCAATACGGACAAGTTCGAGGGGAAACTGCAGGCGACTATGGTAGGAAAGCGATCTTAGTGCTCAAAGATCAGCTCCAAAGAGACAAGCTCCAACATCTACCGAGCCACTCTGTCACGCCCATGATCATATTCCCGGTTCGCACGGCCGCAAGATCCAATGTTCGAATGCAGTTCCTGTCGAGAGAAGACCCGCGTGTTAATTTTCACTGTTAATTTTCTATGACTTCCGTTTAGGAACTGAATCTTCTGGCGACGAATAGAATGGCGCAGACTATGGAAGTGATGAACGAGGAGGAGAAGAAGGTGACAGGAGCGACGCGGGTCCCGAGTAGAGAATCTGACGAGAGAGTCGGAACACCATCTCCAGGCTCTCGAAGAGATTGCTGGTTCTCGACCGTCCTTCTTCGATCTCGTCGCATTCTTTCTTCCCTTTCCTTCTCCCCTTCTCCTCCTGCCACTTTCGTGTTTTCACTGCCGTTTTTTTCCGAATCCCCCTGTCTCGTCCCATTTCCTATCCCACTTTTCCCCATTTAAATCTGGACGATTGGCAACCTGCTTTTTTCTTGTTCAAACGGTTGCCAAATGTCCATAAATTCCCCTTCTTTTCTTCTCCCTGTCCCCATTATTGTAGTAGTTTTGTGCTTCTTTTTGTCTTCATTTCTCTGGACATTCCGCATCTCGTTCGTCTATCCATAAACCACTTTTTCCTCTCTGCAAACCGTTGATTCTGTTCTGTTCGCTCAATAATAATCATTTGATTTGCCGCATGATAATAACACAATTCCACATCATTATCATCGCTTTCCACCCGTTAAATCCAATAAATGCTCTGTATTTTTAGAGATGATAAGAAGAGAAAAGAGACAGTGAATCAGAGAGAAGCATCGTAAAAATCGCACCTTTGCGGAGCGAAAAAACGGAGAAAAACGGTGATAACGGCGGAGAGGAAAATGTTTTTTGACTCACACTTTTCTCCGGTTTCTCGCAATTTTCGTGTTTTTCACCTTCTCAGAATTGCAGGTATTGTTCCGGAATGGACTACTGTCTGCTCGTCTTCTCCTCCGTCGTTTCCGTTCTCTTTCTCATCTCCATCATCCGTTATTTCCGTCCTTCGCAGCCGGCGAGAACGAAAGCGACGGAACGGAGAAGAAGCTTCGGAACGCAGAATCGGTACGAATCGGTCAATTCCTTCTCATCTGTGCTCAGTTTCAGATCTTCCGACTCTCCGAAATCCGCGCGTAAAGTGGTTGAGATGCACGACGTTCAGGAGCTGAAGCACTTGTCGATGACCGAATTGGAGCAGTTCAACGTTCAGTTCTGCAAGTTTACCGACAGATATTGGAGGGAGATATTCAGAAGACAGTACGCTTCGGATTACTGTACCTGTGAACCAGACCTTTTCCAGAAATGATTCCCATCACCCCGATCAAATCAACGTTTCCCGTTTGCAAACCTCGAATATCATCACTGCTCTCGACGAGAACTTGCCGCCTGGAGCATTGAGAGAAATCACTGTTATCGGTCAGTTTCGACTGGATATCCGTCGCGTACTCATTTCCATTCCAGGTCTCGTTCCGAAACCATTTTCCTCGCGAAAATGCGAAGTGATGCGTTACTTGCGGGATCGTCTCACCAATTCTCCGGATGTCGAGCTCACGTTCAAAGGCGATCACCTTCGAATTACAGCTGCTGGCAGGTCATGATGATTCGAAGGAGAGAGCGAACAGAATGGGTGCTTTCGAATAAAAACAAGACATTTCATCTAATTACAATAAAACTGTGCGAATTTGCTATAACGGGGGGAGGGTGTACTGAGAACTTGAAAAGGGACGGAAATGAGAAGAGGGGGAGAAGAGGTGACTAATCAAAAACAATTGGATTCTCGGAATAGCAACTGTTCAGAGTTACTTTGGTCCGAGCATGTTCTCTGGCTTCACCCATTGGGCAAACTGCTCCTCGTTGAGGATTCCGAGCTTGACGGCCTCCTGGACAAGAGTCGTTCCGTTCTTGTGAGCCGTCTTGGCGATCTTCGCGGCGTTGTCGTATCCGATGTGTGGGTTGAGAGCGGTGACGAGCATCAGCGACTCACGCATGATCTAGAAGACTAGAAGATTCCAGCGGGAAAAATGCTAAACTGTTGGCCACAAGTTGAGTTGTCTAAATGAAAACGGTACTTTTTCAGTCCTAGGTTCGCTTTTGCATCTTTTTGGGATGCTTCTTTCTTGGCAAGCTAGAGCGCCAATGTCATAATGCCACGGGGTGAATATAGCGCTTTTATCTGGTTCTAATGTACTTTTCCGATTGAACGTGTCTTGTTTAGGACTCACCGATTCTCTCGGATGATTCTCTCATAGTCATCGGAACAAGCATGGTTACTGGAGCAATTTCAATTTCATTTTTTCATCGCAGAAAAAGAAACACCGGTAAAAGGGGGGAAGAGGGGACTGCAAGATGAATAGGAAAGGAAGGGAACCATTCCCGCAAGAGGAGGGCGCCCTTGGTAGGGGGTACAGGATAGTGAACATTATGTAGTAGTGGAGTTAATATTTAACAATTGAGATATCTACGAGTGACTGGAATTGGGAGGGGGAAATGAAGGAATTACAGTTTTTGACGATAGCAAGTGAGTAACATGGGGCGTCGCTTTGAGGAGGTAGAACCTAAAAATTGCGAAATTTGAGGGAGATAGGCATCGCCTGTTATGATCTTATAAAGGAGTAGTAGCCCTGACTAATAGTGAAGAGGAGGATGATATGGGGATACCGGCAATCGTGTACGTGTGACGGGGGTTCCTGGACCCGAGATGCAGAAGAAAAGTTTTATGATGGGCCAAGGGAAGGGAGTTGGTGTCTGGTGTCTGCCCATTCGACAAGTAGGTCAACAACACACTGTAAAGCGGAAGGATCATGAGAGAAGATTTTGATATCGTCGGCGAATGCGGTGAAGTGGACAAGTCCTTCAAGTCTGAGCAGTAGATCATTAATGTAGATGAGGAAGAGGAGGGGACCAGAGGCTGTGCCTTGGGGAACACCGGAAGAGATCGGGTGTTTGGATGGGTCGGATGCGGAATTTACTAGAGCGGAAAAGGTGCGGCCGGCGGGGAAATCAGAGAACCAGTTGCGGTAGAGGGGGGAGACTCCGAAGAGGCAGAGTTTGGAGATGAGGAGATCGTGAGAAACTTGGTCAAATGCTTTGGCGAAGTCGAAGAAAATAATGTCGAGAGACTAGGGCTCGCTTAGAATGTGACTGTACAGGAATGTGGAATGGATGAGGGCTGATGTACAGGAACGGTTAGATATGAACTCATGCTGGTAACGACCAGAGTTGAGCGGAAATGAAATTTTGAAATCCGGAAGACGGCAGACGGCAGACGGCAGACGGAAGAAAAAATTTTTTACGGAACACGGAACACGGAAAACGGAAGAAAATTTTTCTCACGGAAGACGGCAGACGGAAGACGGAAGAAAACTTTTTCGCGGAAGACGGCAGACGGAAGACGGAACAAAAAATCGTCAATGCAGAACCTTTTTTTCCGGTTTTTTAAAAATAATTAACTAAAGCAACAAAAATTTTGGATCTGGGTCACTGCCCGTGGAAATTCGCGTTCTTCGGGGTTAGTAAATGGCTTCTGAAAAGCTATTACTTTTTTACGGTAAGAAGAAAAAATTCCGGAAGACGGCAGACGGCAGACGGAAAAAAATTTTTTTTACGGAAGCCGGCAGACGGAAGACGGAAGAAAACTTTTTTCCCGGAAGACGGCAGACGGAAGACGGAACAAAAAAATCCACGGAAGACGGAAGACGGAAGACGGCAGACGGAATTCCGCTCAACTCTGGTAACGACTGAATTTATGGGAGAGGTCGGATCGTAGACGATGACAGATTATTCACTCAAAGACTCTGGCGAATGGATCGTTAAGAGAAATTGGCCGAAAGTTGGGGGAAATTAGCGGGATTTTCCTTCTTGAAGATGGGAATGACCGAGACGTGCTTCCAAGTGCAGGGCACGGAAGAGGAGGAAAGCGACGAAGAGAAGATTATGGACAGCGGCAGAGCAAGAGGAGTGGAGCAGCGCTTAAGGATCAGAAGGTTTGCAGGGTGAGGGGGGAATCCACATCGTAGGGGGAGTTTTCGGAGGAAGAATTCCACTGCGTATGGAGCGATAAGCGAGTCGGGTGAGGGGGTATGGCAGGGTACAGTGGTGGTAGTAGAGGCATAGACGGAAGACTGTTTGGAGCAGGCTAGGACTTCACATCTGTGGAGACCGTAAAAGCGTGGGAGGTTAATATCAATTTGGGTGACGAGAACGGAGGGCTTGAAGAGGAGGGCAACGCCGCCTCCACAGGATTTTCCGTGCTGAAGGGGTTCACGATAAACGCACTCGATCCCTATGAAAATAATGCCTGAAGGAGGTGACTATCCAGTCAACTGTCCGCTTTTATGGGACCAGTTGATAGAACAGACCTCCCTCCCTGAATCAAGTGCATTCTGGTTATTCTTCTAGTTCCAGTTGATGTAGGAGCGATGATGATCGGAGTCAATCAGATCCACGACGTTCTTGAGAAATCTGAAAGAAGCATTGTAATCCAGAACCGAAGTAGAGCTAACAGCATCGTGAACCGACCATCAATCTTTTCCGCATTCTCACCTTTTTTCGTGTTGTTTGCATCGTCCCGTCAGAAGAGTCGCCGAAAATGGGGAGCCGAGTGTAGAAATACTTTAATTCTTCGCTCGCATTCCAAGTACAAGTGTTCTGGAACAAATTATTTTCAAGGTACTGATCGTTTCACTAACTTTTTGTCAAATAGCAACGAAACCACATGCCGGTAGAGAAAGTGAACCTTCCTCCTGCAATAATATTGAAAACTGGCAGAGTCCCGAATGAGAGAGAAAGGAGTTGGAAGAGATATTGTAGTTTGAGCAGTCCACAATCGCTTCATGTCTTTCGGCATCTTGACTGTTTCCTCCCGCCTTACCGCCATGACCCACTAACAGTCCGTCGATAGCCGCCCGGTCCGATATAACTCTCACGCATCTCGGAGCCGACCAGCTAAAGAGGTAGTAGATGGGTTTGTTTTCACGGCGACCCGGTTTCGAATGTCTCTACAGTAACCTACTGCATCCTCAAACCCGGGGATTTTCGGCTTTGGGGCTTCTCCTTCAAGTGCGCGTCACCGTTCTAACAGTGACCACACTTCCAGTGGAATCAAGTAGAACAATATCGTGAGAGGAAGTCTTCTTTTGGCCTTCATGCCTTTCGGCATCTTGACTGCCTCCTCCCGCCTTACCGCCATGACCCACTAACAGTCCGTCGATAGCCGCCCGGTCCGATATAACTCTCACGCATCTCGGAGCCGACCAGCTAAAGAGGTAGTAGATGAGTTTGTTTTCACGGCGACCCGGTTTCGAATGTCTCTACAGTAACCTACTGCATCCTCAAACCCGAGGATTTTCGGCTTTGGGGCTTCTCCTTCAAGTGCGCGTCACCGTTCTAACAGTGACCACACTTCCAGTGGAACCAAGTAGAACAATATCGTGAGAGGAAGTCTTCTTTTTGGCCTTCATGCCTTTCGGCATCTTGACTGCCTCCTCCCGCCTTACCGCCATGACCCACTAACAGTCCGTCGATAGCCGCCCGGTCCGATATAACTCTCACGCATCTCGGAGCCGACCAGCTAAAGAGGTAGTAGATGAGTTTGTTTTCACGGCGACCCGGTTTCGAATGTCTCTACAGTAACCTACTGCATCCTCAAACCCGGGGATTTTTCGGCTTTGGGGCTTCTCCTTCAAGTGCGCGTCACCGTTCTAACAGTGACCACACTTCCAGTGGAACCAAGTAGAACAATATCGTGAGAGGAAGTCTTCTTTTTGGCCTTCATGCCTTTCGGCATCTTGACTGCCTCCTCCCGCCTTACCGCCATGACCCACTAACAGTCCGTCGATAGCCGCCCGGTCCGATATAACTCTCACGCATCTCGGAGCCGACCAGCTAAAGAGGTAGTAGATGAGTTTGTTTTCACGGCGACCCGGTTTCGAATGTCTCTACAGTAACCTACTGCATCCTCAAACCCGAGGATTTTTCGGCTTTGGGGCTTCTCCTTCAAGTGCGCGTCACCGTTCTAACAGTGACCACACTTCCAGTGGAACCAAGTAGAACAATATCGTGAGAGGAAGTCTTCTTTTTGGCCTTCATGCCTTTCGGCATCTTGACTGCCTCCTCCCGCCTTACCGCCATGACCCACTAACAGTCCGTCGATAGCCGCCCGGTCCGATATAACTCTCACGCATCTCGGAGCCGACCAGCTAAAGAGGTAGTAGATGAGTTTGTTTTCACGGCGACCCGGTTTCGAATGTCTCTACAGTAACCTACTGCATCCTCAAACCCGGGGATTTTTCGGCTTTGGGGCTTCTCCTTCAAGTGCGCGTCACCGTTCTAACAGTGACCACACTTCCAGTGGAACCAAGTAGAACAATATCGTGAGAGGAAGTCTTCTTTTTGGCCTTCATGCCTTTCGGCATCTTGACTGCCTCCTCCCGCCTTACCGCCATGACCCACTAACAGTCCGTCGATAGCCGCCCGGTCCGATATAACTCTCACGCATCTCGGAGCCGACCAGCTAAAGAGGTAGTAGATGGGTTTGTTTTCACGGCGACCCGGTTTCGAATGTCTCTACAGTAACCTACTGCATCCTCAAACCCGGGGATTTTTCGGCTTTGGGGCTTCTCCTTCAAGTGCGCGTCACCGTTCTAACAGTGACCACACTTCCAGTGGAACCAAGTAGAACAATATCGTGAGAGGAAGTCTTCTTTTTGGCCTTCATGCCTTTCGGCATCTTGACTGCCTCCTCCCGCCTTACCGCCATGACCCACTAACAGTCCGTCGATAGCCGCCCGGTCCGATATAACTCTCACGCATCTCGGAGCCGACCAGCTAAAGAGGTAGTAGATGAGTTTGTTTTCACGGCGACCCGGTTTCGAATGTCTCTACAGTAACCTACTGCATCCTCAAACCCGGGGATTTTTCGGCTTTGGGGCTTCTCCTTCAAGTGCGCGTCACCGTTCTAACAGTGACCACACTTCCAGTGGAACCAAGTAGAACAATATCGTGAGAGGAAGTCTTCTTTTTGGCCTTCATGCCTTTCGGCATCTTGACTGCCTCCTCCCGCCTTACCGCCATGACCCACTAACAGTCCGTCGATAGCCGCCCGGTCCGATATAACTCTCACGCATCTCGGAGCCGACCAGCTAAAGAGGTAGTAGATGGGTTTGTTTTCACGGCGACCCGGTTTCGAATGTCTCTACAGTAACCTACTGCATCCTCAAACCCGGGGATTTTTCGGCTTTTGGGGCTTCTCCTTCAAGTGCGCGTCACCGTTCTAACAGTGACCACACTTCCAGTGGAACCAAGTAGAACAATATCGTGAGAGGAAGTCTTCTTTTGGCCTTCATGCCTTTCGGCATCTTGACTGCCTCCTCCCGCCTTACCGCCATGACCCACTAACAGTCCGTCGATAGCCGCCCGGTCCGATATAACTCTCACGCATCTCGGAGCCGACCAGCTAAAGAGGTAGTAGATGAGTTTGTTTTCACGGCGACCCGGTTTCGAATGTCTCTACAGTAACCTACTGCATCCTCAAACCCGGGGATTTTCGGCTTTGGGGCTTCTCCTTCAAGTGCGCGTCACCGTTCTAACAGTGACCACACTTCCAGTGGAACCAAGTAGAACAATATCGTGAGAGGAAGTCTTCTTTTTGGCCTTCATGCCTTTCGGCATCTTGACTGCCTCCTCCCGCCTTACCGCCATGACCCACTAACAGTCCGTCGATAGCCGCCCGGTCCGATATAACTCTCACGCATCTCGGAGCCGACCAGCTAAAGAGGTAGTAGATGAGTTTGTTTTCACGGCGACCCGGTTTCGAATGTCTCTACAGTAACCTACTGCATCCTCAAACCCGGGGATTTTTCGGCTTTGGGGCTTCTCCTTCAAGTGCGCGTCACCGTTCTAACAGTGACCACACTTCCAGTGGAACCAAGTAGAACAATATCGTGAGAGGAAGTCTTCTTTTTGGCCTTCATGCCTTTCGGCATCTTGACTGCCTCCTCCCGCCTTACCGCCATGACCCACTAACAGTCCGTCGATAGCCGCCCGGTCCGATATAACTCTCACGCATCTCGGAGCCGACCAGCTAAAGAGGTAGTAGATGGGTTTGTTTTTCACGGCGACCCGGTTTCGAATGTCTCTACAGTAACCTACTGCATCCTCAAACCCGGGGATTTTTCGGCTTTGGGGCTTCTCCTTCAAGTGCGCGTCACCGTTCTAACAGTGACCACACTTCCAGTGGAACCAAGTAGAACAATATCGTGAGAGGAAGTCTTCTTTTGGCCTTCATGCCTTTCGGCATCTTGACTGCCTCCTCCCGCCTTACCGCCATGACCCACTAACAGTCCGTCGATAGCCGCCCGGTCCGATATAACTCTCACGCATCTCGGAGCCGACCAGCTAAAGAGGTAGTAGATGAGTTTGTTTTCACGGCGACCCGGTTTCGAATGTCTCTACAGTAACCTACTGCATCCTCAAACCCGGGGATTTTCGGCTTTGGGGCTTCTCCTTCAAGTGCGCGTCACCGTTCTAACAGTGACCACACTTCCAGTGGAACCAAGTAGAACAATATCGTGAGAGGAAGTCTTCTTTTTGGCCTTCATGCCTTTCGGCATCTTGACTGCCTCCTCCCGCCTTACCGCCATGACCCACTAACAGTCCGTCGATAGCCGCCCGGTCCGATATAACTCTCACGCATCTCGGAGCCGACCAGCTAAAGAGGTAGTAGATGAGTTTGTTTTTCACGGCGACCCGGTTTCGAATGTCTCTACAGTAACCTACTGCATCCTCAAACCCGGGGATTTTTCGGCTTTGGGGCTTCTCCTTCAAGTGCGCGTCACCGTTCTAACAGTGACCACACTTCCAGTGGAACCAAGTAGAACAATATCGTGAGAGGAAGTCTTCTTTTGGCCTTCATGCCTTTCGGCATCTTGACTGCCTCCTCCCGCCTTACCGCCATGACCCACTAACAGTCCGTCGATAGCCGCCCGGTCCGATATAACTCTCACGCATCTCGGAGCCGACCAGCTAAAGAGGTAGTAGATGAGTTTGTTTTCACGGCGACCCGGTTTCGAATGTCTCTACAGTAACCTACTGCATCCTCAAACCCGGGGATTTTCGGCTTTGGGGCTTCTCCTTCAAGTGCGCGTCACCGTTCTAACAGTGACCACACTTCCAGTGGAACCAAGTAGAACAATATCGTGAGAGGAAGTCTTCTTTTTGGCCTTCATGCCTTTCGGCATCTTGACTGCCTCCTCCCGCCTTACCGCCATGACCCACTAACAGTCCGTCGATAGCCGCCCGGTCCGATATAACTCTCACGCATCTCGGAGCCGACCAGCTAAAGAGGTAGTAGATGGGTTTGTTTTCACGGCGACCCGGTTTCGAATGTCTCTACAGTAACCTACTGCATCCTCAAACCCGGGGATTTTCGGCTTTGGGGCTTCTCCTTCAAGTGCGCGTCACCGTTCTAACAGTGACCACACTTCCAGTGGAACCAAGTAGAACAATATCGTGAGAGGAAGTCTTCTTTTGGCCTTCATGCCTTTCGGCATCTTGACTGCCTCCTCCCGCCTTACCGCCATGACCCACTAACAGTCCGTCGATAGCCGCCCGGTCCGATATAACTCTCACGCATCTCGGAGCCGACCAGCTAAAGAGGTAGTAGATGAGTTTGTTTTCACGGCGACCCGGTTTCGAATGTCTCTACAGTAACCTACTGCATCCTCAAACCCGGGGATTTTCGGCTTTGGGGCTTCTCCTTCAAGTGCGCGTCACCGTTCTAACAGTGACCACACTTCCAGTGGAACCAAGTAGAACAATATCGTGAGAGGAAGTCTTCTTTTGGCCTTCATGCCTTTCGGCATCTTGACTGCCTCCTCCCGCCTTACCGCCATGACCCACTAACAGTCCGTCGATAGCCGCCCGGTCCGATATAACTCTCACGCATCTCGGAGCCGACCAGCTAAAGAGGTAGTAGATGGGTTTGTTTTCACGGCGACCCGGTTTCGAATGTCTCTACAGTAACCTACTGCATCCTCAAACCCGGGGATTTTCGGCTTTGGGGCTTCTCCTTCAAGTGCGCGTCACCGTTCTAACAGTGACCACACTTCCAGTGGAACCAAGTAGAACAATATCGTGAGAGGAAGTCTTCTTTTTGGCCTTCATGCCTTTCGGCATCTTGACTGCCTCCTCCCGCCTTACCGCCATGACCCACTAACAGTCCGTCGATAGCCGCCCGGTCCGATATAACTCTCACGCATCTCGGAGCCGACCAGCTAAAGAGGTAGTAGATGAGTTTGTTTTCACGGCGACCCGGTTTCGAATGTCTCTACAGTAACCTACTGCATCCTCAAACCCGGGGATTTTTCGGCTTTGGGGCTTCTCCTTCAAGTGCGCGTCACCGTTCTAACAGTGACCACACTTCCAGTGGAACCAAGTAGAACAATATCGTGAGAGGAAGTCTTCTTTTTGGCCTTCATGCCTTTCGGCATCTTGACTGCCTCCT